TAGTAGGTGTGTAGGTGTTTGGTCCTCTAGACAACTGGGGCATTCGCTACTTTCCGCTTTTCCAATCTTCGCTAGATGACTAGCTAAGAAGCCAATCCCGGCCTTCAACTGGATATAAGCTGACTGGTTTGGTCGAGGTAGTAGTGATATTGTGGGCTTGAAGTTGTAAGTGATTAAGTCCCGGGCTACCCTTCTATAGTGGGTGCCTAAGCCTTGGGATTTTTGTCCTATTGCTTCTCTGTCTTCTTGGCTTAGCCAGTCAGTTTCCCAGGCTTTGCGCGTGGCCTCATTAACGTAATACTTTCATAGTAATGGGGTTCCTTTGGCCAGATATATACTGTACCACCCTCGGGCCTGGATAATAAGGAAAGTATAGTGTTATCCTAATAGGACCAACCGAGTAAGGAAATATATGGATAAGAATAAAGGATAACGTGTTTGATAAGCGAGTGGCAGTGACAAGCGAGTGGCAGCTCCACCTCACCAATTTCACCTCTTGCGCAACATCACGATTTAATTTCACAACACAATATGCCTATCGTACGAAATGAAGCGCAAATCATCCTTGCCCTCCAAGCTATGGAGCGCGATGAGGAACTTAATCTCTGGACGGCTGCAAAGGCTTATTCGGTACCCTACAACACACTCAAGCGGCGATATAAGGGAATCTCCTCTCGAGCAGATACCGTCGCCAACTCTCGGAAACTAGACCCTCTTGAAGAGGAGGTTATCGTACGAAGGGTTCTCAACCTATACGAGCAAGGATTTTCGCCTGGATACGATATGGTGGAAGATATGGCCAACTTGCTACGCGCGTCGCGTGACGCCTCACGCGTCGGAAAGCGTTGGGCTTTAAACTTTGTACGACGATAGCCAGAGCTCCGGACGCGTTGGACGCGTCCGTACGACTACCAGAGAGCCAAATGCGAAGATCCGAAGATAATTAGCGCGTGGTTTGACCTTGTTCGCAATACAATCGCGAAATATGGGATCCTCGAGTCGGATATCCGGAACTTTGACGAGACTGGGTTCATGATGGGCCAGATCTCACCAACCCTTGTTGTTACCTCGTCCGAAGGCCGTGCGAGGGTGAAGAAGATCCAGCCTGGTAATCGGGAATGGGCTACCGTGATTCAGGCCGTACGGTCGGGTGGTGATACTATCCCTCCGTACGTGGTGGTTGCGGGTAAAGTCCACCTCGAAAGTTGGTATCGCAACAGCCCTTTCCCACCCGAGTGGACAATTGATCTCTCAGAAACTGGATGGACGAATAACCAGATTGGTCTTGACTGGATCAAACACTTTGACCAACATTCTCGCCATCGTACGATAGGTGGAAAGCGACTCCTAATTCTGGATGGGCATGAGAGCCACCACTCGGCCGAATTTGAGGATTACTGCAAAGAAAATAACATTATTACACTTTGCATGCCTCCGCACTCATCTCATCTACTTCAGCCCCTTGATATTGGGTGTTTTCGTATATTAAAGTGGTTCTACGGCAAGGAAATTGAGAAGTTAATGCGCAACCATATTCACCATATCACCAAGCCCGACTTCTTCCTCGCCTTCTTCAACGCATTCTAAGCAACATTTGAACCTGAAAACGTAAAAGGAGGTTTTCGAGGGGCAGGCCTTGTTCCGTTCGACCCAGAAAAGGTGATTTCCCAGCTGGATATCAAGCTTCGTACGCCGACACCGACTAGCCCCCCCGAGGTCTCGTACGACAGCTGGGTCTCTCAAACGCCACGAAATGCTACCGAGGCCTCTCTACAATCAACACACATCAAGGATCGTATTACCAGACATCAAGGTAGCTCACCAACTCCAATTCTTGAGGCACTTGATCAGATTGTAAAGGGTACGACAAAGGTTATGCACGAGATGGTGTTGATGAAAGCGCGGGTACGAGAGCTTGAGGAAGCAAATACAGCTTCAAGCAAACGCCGGAGAGCTAAAAAAAAGTCGTATCCGGGTAGGAGGACCATTAACTATGCAGGATGCGAGCGATATTTTGGCCGAAAGGGATGCGCACGCATTGGTAGAGGAGGAAAAGCGATCGAGGGGTGGTCGTGCGAGGAGCAACGCAACAGGTTTAAGGCACTGCAGTAATTGCGGTAAAATAGGACACAACTCTCGTACGTGCCAGGAAGATACGAAAATGGATGAGGAATCAGATTCTGAGTAGTTTTAGTTAATTATTTCCTTTGTAGTATTAGTATCTCGTTCGGTAGTTGTAATGAGGTAGTGAGAACTGCCACTCGCTTGTCACTGCCACTCGCTTATCAACCACGTTAAAGAAAATAGATCAATCTTTGCTGACTTATTCTAGCCATTTCATTGTACAAATCCTTGTACTACTAATGAAATCCCCTAGGGCCTTTTTTCCCTCAGTGGTGTAGAAAAGTATTTGGAGTGTGAGAGGGTAGTTTTTCAGGGTTTTTTGTCATAGCTTTCTGCTCTACAGTGTTCTTCCCGCACTGTAGTAGTAGCTGTGTAGGTGTTTGGTCTTTTTGACAACCGGGGTACTCGCTACTTTCCACTTTTCCCATCTTCTGTTGTGAGGTTAGACCTGTGGTATGTACCTCCCTTTTCCTTCATTACTCTAGGGTCTACTAGGATATTCGCCTTCTGTATCTGTAGCCAGCCTAGTAGTATAGTGGCTTTTGTAGCCTTTGTGGAGTCGGCCTCTTATTACAAACCACTTGACTGATAGGGTCGTCTGTCTGTAAGAGAGCACGGGCTCCACAGGATGCTGGGGTTGGTAATTATGAAGATAGAACAAAGGGCAAGCTCCTATCGCACGGGTAATACAGTGAAATCGGAATGCCACTCAAAGTATATTAGTGCAGTGAATGTTTATTGCTTGCTTGAAGAACCAAGCAAGAACTATCTAAGACCGGTGCCACGGTCGTCGTATATATCTATATATGGCTGGCCAATGGGGGCAGGCCCGAACTGCTCCCCGTATGCCCTCGTGTCACGAATCCCTGTGGATTTCCTGTGGTTATGCACAAAGGTGGGGCATGCACTTTTGGCGCGAGCCAATCAGGAGCGTTCCAGGATTCCGAGCTCTGGAGCTCGGGGGCGCGGGACAGGTCCGGCCGGGCGGTGACCCGGACGCGGGACCACGGGACAACGGAACCACTGTTATTGGTTACGTAGATAGATATATACGACAATCGTGTCCACGGTCTTAGATAGTTCTTGCTTGGTTCTTCAAGCAAGCAATACACATTCGCTGCACTCATACACTTTGAGTGGCATTCCGATTTGACTGTATTACCCGTGCGATAGGAGCTTGCCCTTTGTTCTATCTTCATAATTACCAACCCCAGCATTCTGTGGAGCCCGTGCTCCCTTACAGACAGACGACCCTAACAGTCGAGTGGTTTGTAATACCTCGGGCCCGCTAGCGTGTAGTGGCCTGAGGCCCCACTACCCCGCTCCCGATGCCGGTGCCCCACTAGGGCGCGCTACGCCAGTGCCAGGGGAGTTTGTGACACTTTGACCAAATTGTAAAGGGTATAACGAAGGTTATTCACGAGGTAGTATTGGTGAAGGCTCGTATGTGAGAGCTTGAGGAGGCAAATACAGCCGTAAGTAAACGCCAGGGAGCTAAAAAAAAAAAAAAAAAAAAAAAAAGTTGTATCTAAGCAGGAGGATCATTGACTGTACAGGATGTAAGCGATATTCTGGCTGAAAGGGATATATATACGCCCTACTAGAGGAGGAAAAGCGGTCGGGAGGTGGTGTTACAACCTGGACAACAGAGTCCACAGAGCTAGGCCCGGCCTGGGATTGTGAGGGGGTCTGGACGGCAGGTAGGAGATTGCTAGAAGGCAAGGAGTATCGTGCACAGATTGCGAAAGACAGACTTTCAACACACAACCAATGTATGCTTAACCAGATGCATTGATAGCTGCAGAACCGTCTCTCCCAGAGAGCGTCTTGCCAGCTCCTATATAGAACGATGAACAACTAATCAGAGTCCCTGCCTTACACGCTCAGCTGTGCTCAGTCGTGCTCAGTCGTGCTCAGTCGCGCTCCGTGCGTCTTGGCACTAACCCAACCCCACTGAGCACTCAGCTCAGTTGTGCTCAGTCGTGCTTAGCGCGCCTTGGCACTAGCCCCACTGAGCACTCCCTGATTGGGTGCATCTTCCCTTGCCGAAAGCCCCACCCTAAATGCCGCTCCAGCCAATCTGTAGCGGGCGGGCAACACCCTCTGCACCTTTGAACCGGGATCGTAACAGGTGGCCGTACGAGGAGCAGTATAGCAGGTTCACGGCACTGTAGCAATTGCGGCAAAGCAGGAAACAACTCTCGTACCTGCCAGGAGGATGCGAAAATGGATACGGGATTGGATTCTAAGTAGTTTTAATTGATCATTTTTTTGTGGTATTAGTGTGTTGTGCGAAAGCTCAATTGGGGTGGGGAGAGTGGCCACTCGCTATATATGGCCACTCGCTATGCAATTACGTTGATACTTCCAAAATCCTTCGTCTAGTAATACTGCTATTAATTAATCCTATAGCGCCCGTATTGCAGCTTTTAGTTCTTTAGATACCTAACGAACTACTAGGTTCTATTTGATAAAGTCAGAGAGCTATCTCAATTCCTTAAGCGCCTGCTAATCCATAGAATGCAGTATATAAGTGTTAGTACGCGACTTCGGTTTCGCACGATAGTATTATCATATAGGTCCGGTCTGCGTGGATGCAATTCTCCCCAACGTTAATCGACGATCTAATGGCGGAAGAACTGATCTGGGTATAGGTATGTAACAGATCAGCCTGTTACCTGGGCGCCATTGTTGGCATATGGGCGCGTTGGTGGAAATGCGATGTATATCTTCTACCTCAATGGATCACGGTCCAAACCTAGAACTAGCAGTGTCTTGTCGGGTCACGTGATCCTGTATGTACATAGTCCACCAATGGTCCAAAATCTGAGACTACTCTCACGACGCTCCTTCTCGTCAGCACTCTACCCTTAAGGATGCCCGACAGGTCGCTCACTGTAGCTACGTATGCCGCCGGGGCGTCTCTTGCTGCTATTACCTTAATTTATGTTTTCGGCCCTACTTATTTTCTCGATAGCGATCCCTCCTCTACTTCATACGGCGTCTTTTCGTCGCGGAAGAACGGTATCATCGGGCTCTCGAATACCGCTAACGATTGCTTCATCAACTCGGTGCTCCAGGCTCTTGCCGGGCTAGGTGACCTTCGGCTTTACCTGATTCGGGAGACACACCGTCGCGGCTTGGACGATGGCTGGGTGCATACTCAGACGGTTTCGACCTCTGCATGGCCTAGAAGCGTCGGACAGAAGAAAGCTGCTGTGGAGTCTATGAAGAACATGCCGGACTGGAAAGCCGAGGGCCTGCAAAAAGGCCTTGTCACAAAGGCTTTAAAGGATATACTAGATGCGCTGAATGAGCGCCCAATTTATAGAAAAACGATATCTGCTGGGCCTTTCGTCAAGACTCTTGAACAAGCCTTTCGACAACGGATAAGTCGCCAACAGCAGGACGCGCAGGAATTTTTGCAAGTCGTGGCCGAAAGGCTATGCGACGAGTATCACGCGGGACGTAGGGCAAGGAGATTCGCGAGACAGAAAGCAACATACTCCAGCCCTGGGCGCCCAACACACCCTCCTCCGCTTGATAGTGGATTGGTGAAGGAACGGCTCGCCGGCCTTGGCTTTGCTTCTGCGGATGATCCCTCTCATCGAGACCGGGCGAGTTCCTCGGAAGATGCTGACCCTGCCGCATTAACCAAGGCTGTGGTAAGCACTCAGGAGGAGGACGAGGGGGAGAAGGAGGATGGGTTCCCGCTCGAAGGGAAATTCGAATCACAGATCGAGTGCCTAACCTGCGGGTTTAAACCACGGCCGAATGAATCAACATTCTGTTCCTTGACCCTCAACGTTCCTCAATCGTCAGCCACCACGTTGAACGCATGTTTTGACGGCATGTTCAAGACAGAATACATCGACGACTTCAAGTGCGAAAAATGCCGTTTACTCCATGCCATTTCTGTGCTCAAGGAAGAGGCGCAAAAGTCCCACACGGAAACCCTGCGAAAAAAGACTTGGATGAGTATAACCAGGCTTCAGCTCGCCATCGACACGGACCCCGAACATCCCCCGCCAGACATAACGCTGCCAGACCTCCGCTTTGCGCCGAAGCGGAGGATAGCGCGGCACATTCGGCTGACTGAATTCCCAAAGGTCTTGGCTATTCACCTGTCACGATCAATATTCGACGCCAGTAGCCTGTCGCACAAGAACTCGGCAAAGGTGTCGTTCCCTGAGCTGTTACCTCTTGGCGGGCTGCTCCAACAGAGAAAGTACAAGCTACTAGGACTGGTGACACACAAGGGAAGTCACCATAGCGGACACTACGAATCCTTTCGTCGACAGAATACATATCCGCCATTTTCCAACCCAAACACATTCCAGGTCTCTGGGGTCTATAGCAAGGCAGCCAGTCCAACATTGACACCTCATTCCAAACTTATCCAGCAGGAGTCAGAGGGAAGCAGCCCACTGACGTCGACTCCTGACCTCCTGTCCCCCCGACCAGAAACCGACCTGTCGGTGGTGTCGTTCACCACGGCTACGACGGCTGCAGAGTGTGAGGGAAGTGTTACGACAGCACAGGATGGGCTTAGTTATGTGACTCCGGCGGTGGCCATTTTCCCCGAGAGTGGCGGTAGCGATGCGAACGGCGCGCAGTTAGTTTCGTTGCCAACCCGTTCCCCGATATCCAAAATCGCACCTAAACCCTCGTTGCGTGCCGGTGGTCAAGCGTCAACTAGGGTGGACTCACCAGAAGCACCGCTACCCCCTGCTTCTAAACAGAGGCAGCGGAAGCCACCTGGCCGTTGGTGGCGAATCAGCGATGAGAAGGTCAGAGTAGCGAGCACTCGTGATGTGCTGAGTATGCAGCGTGAGGTCTACTTGCTCTTCTACGAACTGGAGAAGTAGGTGTTCCATAACTACAATTGATCTTGGCTTTGGTAGTAATTTACTGGCGGAAAGCTATGGAATAACGAGCATGGACATGCAAAGACTCGGATACTGTATCCTCTCTTGAAATTTTACGGGCTGGTGGTGTTTATGCGTTTTATATACAGTATAAGATAGACTCTATCAGTTTTTGTAGAAACAAAGTACACACACACACATATATTTATATATAAATGTCCATTTATGATGACACAAGACGAAAAGCACACCAACAATGAATACATCCATCCGCGTGAGCGAATGAGACTTTATACTAGGCCATTATCTTCAAAATTGGTCGAATACGGCTAACACATGCTCTAACTATCAAACATTCGGCAACGACTTCGCCGCCAAATAGTAACCATTCGTGTATTAGATAGAGACTCACTGGCCCAGCAGTTCCTTGGCAATCTTCTTTGCGTCATCATCGGTGAGAGAGAGTTGCTCGTTTGCCTTCTCCGTCTTGGTGGGGTCAAATCGCCAAACGCCACCAGTTTTCTCAGCATCGCCATGCTCTGCTAGTCCGACAATAGGTCCGAGCTTGCTGAGCACAAGGTCTGGGGCATCTGACCGTGCGTTGAAGTATTGTCTTTCCCAGTTGCGGCCTTCTGCTTTCTCTTTGGCACGCATTTCTCGCTGCGCATTCTCGATCTTGCTCTTCTCCTGTCCTACCGCGTCTAGATCTCCCTTGGCTATGGCTGCCGCCACCTTCGCCCACGCCCGCCTCGACTCTAGAGGGTGTTGTTTCTCAACAGGCGAGACAATCAGTTTTGTAGTAGAGACCTGCGAGGGATCCCAATACCCCACTACATTGTCCTTGCTGTTGTGTTTGGCCACACCCGAGTGAATTTCGAAGGTCTTGGTCCATTGACCAGAGACGTTGAAGAGCACGTCCTTCTCCTTGCCTGACGGGTACAGTGTTGCGGTGAAAGAATTCTTTTTCCCAGAGAGCCAGCCCTTTCCACTATAGTCAATCTTGGCTGTGAAACCAGTAGATGACGTGATGTAAGATGCACCGTCTAGTTCGATGAACGGCGAGCCGAAGATGAGACCCTCAATGTGGAGTGATGGCAAAGTAATCAAGTAGGTATCCGGCTCTGTTGAAAATGGCGATGGAGCTGTCAGAACGGCATGGCCTATCTGTTTGATATTGATCGTTTTCGAGAAGGATGCCTTTTGAGCATTATATCCCTCAAGACGAACACCGCTGGGTAAATTGGTGATGCAATACGCGGTTGCTGGTGGATGGTGGCTGACTGCCGGTTAGCATATTAACCGTCGGTCTAAATCTAGGACACAATGCAAACCTGACTTGTTCGCTGATCAGTTCTGTCGTCCCGGCTTCGTCCTCCCATTTCCCAAGAAACAGCTCCCCGAGAAAGGGATTGAGTGGCTTCTTTTCATTGCCATACTGCTCACTTCGGCTGGCATACTGCTGCTTCAGCGTTGTGAGAAACCTAAGAACCGTGTCAGCCTCAAACTTCCAGTTGAAACGTTACGAGAATATTCATGTATTTTATGGTGTCGCTGTGAGGAGGAGGGCTCGACTCTAGAAAGCACGTACCACTTGAGTACAGAGAGGGCCCTTTTGGCGGCATCAGGTTCTTGGGCGGGATTCGCGAAGATGGAGGGGTGTTCTGCCCAGTACGAGCTGAACTCGGTCAAACTTGTCGATGATAGAATAAACGGTGGAGCCGTAAGACTGGCAAGATCACCGTTGAAGGACGCGATAGACTAGAGTCAAGAAATGTTCAATTAGCACTCTACGTCCAGGAAAGTTGGGAAGTGCCCGATCTCGAAAACTTCATAAAAAGACGTGATAGGGTAGTAGTCGCTGCTGACCTTGAGGAAAGCACCCCAGCTACCTCCTCCATTGGACTGTTGCTGTTGCGAAGGTGCTCCGGATTCCATGGCTTCGCGTCGTTAGATAAATGAAGAGACGACCGTTCCGCTGAATTTAGAAGCCGAGACTAAGGTAGGCGTCTCGTCTCGTTCGACTTGGTATAGAGGCTGGCTCGATATTTGCGCTCGGGGGGTCACGTTTCAATCCAATAGGTCTTTAAGGGGCGTTCCTGGGGTGTCTTAAAGAGGTCGTGGGCTGTCGGGCTCGGATGTCGCTCTCTTCGAGGAAGTATGAGGATTCGAGACGCCGTAAGTCTCTTCGGATTATGAGTAGCGGAAACAGGGATACCTAAGTATCTGTACAGTTGGTTGTAGGCACTGTAAACGTGCAGGAACCTGGATACTGTACTGCGAAACTGCATGAGCAAGTTGTAAAGCTGCCCGTGCCGTGTCCCGAGGACCCCTCTTTTGTCTGAAGCTATCCCTGGGTACATATGCGAACTAGGTTGGGTAGCGCCAGCCAGCAAAACCCCAAGTCAAGTAACCCTGAGCCTAAAGGCAGCCAAGGCGGGTATTTGACGTCAGCACACAGGACCCCACGTCATTCTCCTTCGGGGTGAGAAGAGCCAATACTGTGCATACAGGTTCAGGGACCCCCTTAGGAACCAACTCTTGTTTTAAAAACTTCGTTATTACGTATCCAAAAGCCTAGGGAAGTAAGAGTTTAGATTTAGAAATGAAATAGTTCGTGAGACGGGGTTTGTTATTTGTTGAAGTTTCTCGTATGATCTATATTCAGATAATTATTAAATTGGCAGTGCAGTGCCGTTCAATTGTTTGACTTTTTGGTTTACTGTAGCAAATACTTAACTGCGTTCATTTTAGTGTGCATGCGTGATGATATAGCTAACTGCGGACGTTCCTCCTTGAGGAGACGATTTTTTTTTTAAAAGAGGGTGAACTAGTAGGTAGAAAATAGGTCGTCGTTACTCCCCGCGCATAAATACGTAATTGCCGCTGATGCCGGCGTTGGGGTTCCTTACTCTTCACGGATTTGGGTTTTGGCTCAGCCTGCTCTCGACTTCAGCCGCCCACCACTGCTGCCAGTCGACCACCGTCCTGTTCTTTCGAGCCTTTTCTGCACAGAATACCATCGCATGGCTGCGGATCACTTCTTCGAGAGTGCAGCCGATTATTTCTTTCTGCGCCCTATCCGTAGACCAACCGTGATTCTTGACCTTGTCGACAGCGAGAACGAATTGCCTAGTCAGTCCAACATCGCCATCTCCGTGACCGGCACTCTCAAGGCGGGGTCTATGGGTAGTTGATTTCCCGGTGCGAAAGTCCTGGACTGTGATAGTTGTCGAGTCGGCGTATATCTCGCCATCGGTACCGTACAGATGTGTGTATCGTTCGCAGATCGCTTTGGTTTGGGCCACCATGTGAAAGATAGCCATCTTTGCTCCGCGCCCATGTATGGGATCGGATGTTCCACCTTCATCCTCCGGAGTCTCGTGGGACGAGGGCGCCGGCTGGATCTGATCCTCTTCCCAGGTGATCGTAACTACCTGTTCATCGCACACATCATTGTCGCTCTCGTATACGCAGCGGCCAAACCAGTTTCTCCGAGCAACCTGCGAGTCTGGCAGACTCGCATTGTAGTCCTTTCCTAGCTCCAGAAGCAAGGCATCGCTCGCCCCTTTCTCGTCTCCATATGACTCAATATCGGGCACGACAATACTCACCGGCCAGTTCTTGTTGCCGGAGCTCAAACCGACCAGCTCCTTGCCGAGATATATGCGCTTCGCGGAGTACTTACACGTCTCCTCGATGGGGCACGATAGACAGTTTGTTGCCGCGCCTGCTGCCTGCGGTTTTCGACTCTTCTTGAAATACTGCAAAGAGCCCATGCTCGAGACTGTCGAGGGGAGATGGGGAGGGGGACAGTCGCGTGCGGAATAGTCCGGGGGTGAGCAAAGTAGCCACAACAACACATCAATGTCGTGACAGCTCTTCGTGAGGAGACTCGGGGCCGCAGTGCTCTCCCGCCGCCAGTTCCCGCGAACGTAGCTATGCTTGGAAATTGTAAAGACGGAAGTCAAGGCGAAGACGCAATTGACAACTGGGACATTGCCATGGTGGGGGAACTCACAGTGAAATGCCACCAGCCTACGGGCTCCGTGTGTACGACCGACAAAACGTCACCAATGGCATGATGCTCATGGATCAGTCTTCTTAGCATCTTGTTGTGCGGGCTGTAGCGAAGGACGTGACCGATGGAGAAGACGGCCTGCTCGCCCTTGGCGGTCGTGTTGGATCCCAGGGCTAGATACAGATCTATGCAGTCCTTGAGAGTCGTAGCCAGTGGTTTCTCACACATTATGTGCAGCCCACCGAGCCTGGTGAGTGCAATAACAACTTCCCGATGCATATCGTCTAGGACGCACACGAACACGGCGTCCACGCCCGGGGGCACATCTTTGTCGCCTGCCAAGACACGGGCTCGACGGCGCTCTTCATAAGCAACGAATTCAACCCAGTCGCCAAACACGGCTCCCTCAGCAGGCGGATCCTGGGTACCCCATATTGTGGCCTGGCCGAGCCGGGTTCTCTTGTATTCGTTGGGCTCGGCCACTGCCGTGACGACGCCGTTGTTCGAAGATCTTACCGCCCGGGCATACGTGAGGCCGCGAGAGCCGGCGCCGATGATCAATATCCTAGGAAGGCTGGGCGACTGGCTCTCATCTCGTCTTCCGCTGCCCACCGTACAGTCCTTGTCTTGAAGGGACGACATAGCCCGTGTTATTGACCTGGGAGACTACCTTAGATAGTCGTGACCAAGGCAAGGTAATTACTCAGTCGTCAGGGTTGCCAACAACCAAGTTAGAGGTGGGTACCTAGATGTGTGTATCGGAATCAACGATCCGTTTTCCTTCGAAACGAAAGACGCCTTTGGCACGGATGGTCGTGGCCAAAATTGGAGATGGATTTCAGTTAAAATAGCGATCAGGCTTCTCGGTTAACGAACTGGTAGGATCTAGGATCGTACCAAGGAGCGAGCTGGCGGCATTGTCTTTCTTCTGGTGAGGGTGGCACAGTGACGGTTGGCCCTGCTTGAGACTAACAACGCTAGGCGGTGGGGTAAGTGAGTTTTCTTTGCCGAAACAACCGGGAAGGGAAGGGAAGGTCCTGTACCGTATCTCTTCGCAGTGTGGAGTACAGTACTACTGTACAGTAAGGTAATCTTCGAACTTTGAGAGACTGCCCGACTATGGTAGTCGGCAATGACAAATTACGACTCACAGTGTTCCCGACGAAATTATGGTAGTTGAAGGAATTAAACTTTTAATTGTTTTTTTAATCTCGAATTTTGAGCTTACAATGAAGTACCCAAGAAAGTCTAAGGTAATTTAATAAATTTATAAATTAGATCTAAAAATGTTTACGTAGTAAAACGCCTGTCTATCTGGGTGTTACAAATGCCTTTCTTCGGCCCCACTTAGTGCTCTTATCAAAACCACAGTTCTCCGCACTTGGCTGTACGCCTTCCCTGGGGTAATAAATCCCAGCCGACTAGGGGCCCACTATTAGAAATTTCTAGATGCTTTGCCCTGACCACAAACAGAAAGGCACCTGACATGGGATTTATTACCCGGAACAGGTGTAGATATGGTCCATGTCAACAAAGAACTCGGGTAGTGAAACGAACAACATGCCAAGCGGGGGCTCCCGAGTCCTTGGAATCGGGAAACAAGTAATTCAAAGCGAGACACCGAGCATACCGTCCCAACCTATTCAACGTCCGACCTTGTGCACCCTAGGCGGCGAAAACTTCTATGCGGATGGCGCTCGTTTGGTATGTATTTCACCCCCTTGTTAGGCCTTCCAGGCGAACATGCTTCTTCTCAGATTCGACACCTTCCTTGGGCAAAGTCGCTGCTCATTGAAATCTGCTTGCATGGGAAACTAGTGAACCCGAAAAAAAGAAAAAAAGAAAGAAAAGAAAAGTACTAACCAGATAAATAGGATCGATTGCGAGGTACCGTATTCGCATGTGAGCGCTGCTGGCCGCGACTGCTAATAAGTAGGGCTAGATGACGGGGCTTGACCCGGATAAAGACTCCATTATAGAGATATTCTGTCTCGTCACCAACGGCCAGCTAGATTTTCTCGACAAATCTGGTTGGGGCACCGTTGTTTACCAACCCAAGGAGCGCATGGATTCCATGGACGACTGGTGTATTTCTGTACACGGAACAAGTGGGCTCACCACCGCCGCGATCGAGTCGACTGTGACGCCCGAGCAAGCAGCCGACGAGTTATTGTCCTACATTCAGCGACTTGTCCCGGACAAGGGCGTCGCGCTTCTGGCCGGAAACAGCGTGCACGCAGACCGCGCTTTTCTTCGAAAGGCCCCTTACAATAAAGTCCTTGAGCACCTACACTACCGTATCTTGGATGTAAGCAGCCTAAAGGAGGCTGCTCGCAGATGGTGGTATGTTTTGCAGAGCTAAATGCCCCCTGGCCAGAAGACCGCATCTGTACCACCCACTCGTACCGAGCCAAAATACTCCAAGTACCAGTATGGCCGATAAAATGAAACAACATACTGACAAGCATGGCAGCCCCGAAATTGCCTTAGGGGTTCCAGCCAAGAAGGGACTCCATCAGGCGAAACAAGATATAATTGAAAGCATAGAAGAAGCTAGGTACTACAGGTCGACACTATTTCAGCCACACCGGGTGGTTAAAAGTGCTCGTCCTTAATACCGTCAACCACAATCCAGCCGCTGTCAAAGTTTCGAGCACGTATACGGACTAGGGATGATAATTTTGAATGTCATCTTTGTTAATGGGGACGCCACCCACCCTCCTGGTGTATGTTCCGTTTATGGAAGTTCAGGTCTTAACGTCAGGCTCATCCCGGCCCACAAACTCCTTGAACTTCAGCAGTTCTGTTGCCATCTTGATTTCAGGTCTGAGGAAGTCCTGCGCATCTAGGTCGTATGAGGCCGGGTCAGTGCTGTGTTGCTCAACATAGAGGCGAATTGTTGCCCCAGACGATCCCGTGCCGGACAAACGAATGATGATCCGGCTGCCGGACGAGAAACAAGCGTAAAGACCTTGGCCAGCCGAAACAGAGCCATCCAGATCCGTGTAGGAAAAGTTTCCAGCGGCGGTGACGGTCCGGTCTAGCAAAGTTAAAAGTTAGCAAAAGACGACTTAACTCGAAGCGTCTCTCGAAACTCCAGGAAGAGTAGGTTTCCGCAGTAGAATAGTAGATCGAAAACGGGCCCGAGGAAGAGGATGATGGTGCAGATTGCATGTCTAGACCTACCTCCAACCTTGCTGCCGACAAAAGTGGGATCAGAAACCAAGTCGTTCAGGACTCCAACAACTCTGTTGGCTCCGTCCGAATCAACATCCTCGTAATCGTAGCGCGTGAAGAATGTCCGTCCATACTCGGTCCAGAAGTCATTCTGTATCTGCTTGATACTCGGTGCTACGCCTGGCTTAGAAGCACCCAGGCCCGCAATGATGTTCAACCAAGCCACGATGGCCCAGAGCCCGTCCTTCTCTCTGATGTGGTTACTCCCCGTGCCAAATGATTCTTCGCCACAGATCGACAGCTTGTCGGCATCAAACAGCGCACAGAAGAACTTCCACCCAGTTGGGACCTCGTAGCAATTCAAGCCCTGTTTTTTGGCAACCAAGTCCACTGCACCAGAGGTGGGCATGCTGCGAGCTAGTCCAAAAACCCCGTTCCTCTGGAAGTATGGGATCAGCTGAGCGTGGTGGGCGATAATGGCCAGACTGTCGCCGGGCGACACGAAGGCACCGGCACCATAGATCATATTGCGATCGCCATCCCCATCAGAAGCAGCGCCAAAAGGAATGTTCTTGTTCTCGACGACCTCGACCAGGCTGTGTGCATAAGTGAGATTGGGGTCAGGGTGTCCACCGTTGAAGTCCGGAGATGGCTCGCAATTCTGTGTCGAATCGGGGCCCAACCCGAGCTCTCGTTCGAATATCGCCTTTCCGTAGGGGCCGGTCACCCCCGAGAGACCATCGAACAGGACCTTGAAGTTGGGGTGGGCGATGAAAAACTTTTTGATCAACTCGAAGTCAAAAATGTCTTTTAGCATTTCGATATAATCGGTGGTACTGTCGATGATCTCCACCTCGAGGCTTCCATATGTACTGGTGCCAACAGTCGATATGTCGATATCGGGGATGCTGGCAATCTTGTACGACGTGAGAGTTTTGGAGGTCTCAAAAATCTTGTTTGTGACCGCTTCGGGCGCGGGGCCGCCGTTGGCGAGGTTATACTTAATGCCAAAGTCGTTCTTTGGGCCTAAATACGCGGGTCAGGCTCATAAAAATCCCCTAGGATACCCAGGATGTCGTGGACACATACCGCCCGGGTTGTGGCTAGCCGTCAGGAGAATGCCTCCAGTGGCATTGCGCTTGCGGATGACGTGACTGGCGGCTGGCGTTGACAGTATGCCATTCTGGCCGACTAGGAGCTTCTTGACACCGTACGCCGGGCCAATTTTTGCAATCAGCTGGATCACCTCGGGGTTCCAATACCGTCCATCGCCGCCGATGACGAGGAAAGCTCCTATTCCAGGGGGGGGGGAGAAGCCGCGGTGGATCGGTTAGCAGTCACGCCTCGACCACAAGAATAAGCGCAGGTCTGGAGGCTCACCTTCGGCGCCCTCAGGAATGGAGAGCAAGATGCTGGCGACAAAGGCCTCGCTATAGTGAGGCTGCTGGAAGACGGTAACCTTCTTCCGAAGCCCAGACCTAGAGCAGGGTACAGCATGTCAGTGGTGCGGCCTTTTTCTTTGCAACCTCGCCTCTCAACTTTGAGCAAACGAGTTCTGTGGTGGGGTGAAGCGGGGGCGGGGCACCAGTGACGTACGTGCCAGGCTTCTGATCAGCAAACGGCTTGAACTCGATCATCTTGATATCCATCTCGTCGCTGTGTGCTTTACGTGTCTCAATTGTGATTGTGGCGAGCTGAATGCTACGCAAGAATAAATGGTACTTGGAAAAGGAGGAAGGGTAGGTAATGAATGGGTGGCGCCTCGGTGCGTGTTTTTGGAAGGGGGGAGGAGGGTAGCGGGGGTTAAAAAACAGTCAGCTCATTTTATTTGATGGTGGGGGAAGACGTTGGGCGTTTGGACTTGTCAAGTCTGTCTTGTCTGTCTTGCACCTCATACTTTGGTAAGGTAAATGGTAAGTGAGATGACCAGATTTCTACCGCCTACCTAGGTACCTACCTAGTACTTAGTACGTATCATCTATCTAAGGTACCTAGTAGGTAGCTCCCGTCTCTAGGTAAGGTAAGGTATGTGTGTATAAGGAGGTAAGTATCTAAGATACCGTATGGTATATACCCAACGTGGATACCCGCTTGGTATTCGTACCTTACATCCCATCGACATTCGATATTCACCAAATGAACAGGGACAAGACAGGACAAGGCAGGCGTGGGCGGGCAAGATACGGACGTAATTGGTGCCATAAGTCCCTGTCCACACAGCCTCCGGGCCGTTTGGTTATCTAATGAACAAACGTCAGGTCGTCACCGCTTCGAGACACTGGCATCCTTGCAAACTTGCAGCCACTGGAAGAGACGGATTCAAGGGCGTGCATCATCGGGGCAGCTGTAGGGCCCCACCCCACTGCCAGGCCGCGGCGATATTCTCAACAAAGCGCAACTAAACCTTCCATGATACCAAGTACCTATAGGTGTACTCAATCTCTCACCAGCGGCCCGCACTCCCGTTACGTAGTCTGACCCATGTATGTAGGTACTGTATGTACCTTGGTGCTGTGGATGTGTAGAGCGAACAGCAGCAGCAGGCTATCCCGCCCGGAACGTTTAAAGTAGTACTGTACATAGCAATCTGGGAACGAAAAAGAAACAATTCCCACTGTCGTCTAGGCACCTGAAATATGCTCGGAGGATGCATCTTGAGCTGTCACACCATGGTCTTCGCCACTTCCGACATCAGACATGACGTGTTTACTTTGAGGAAGCGACAGCTGGCTCACTAACACCGGATGCTCCAGGGGACGTTGTTGCCATGGGGAAGACTTCTCGGAATCTCTTGGCACCTAGTTGCGAGACGGGTATATTAGCTAGCTTCGTAACCAAGATACCCAGCCTACTTATTTTTGACCTCCATTGCCAGAGACAGCAACAAAACTCACCCTCTTCGCTAACGAAGTATATTTCAAAGGCGCCTGCCTTGTTCTGGCGCATGCTTTCCTGTCGGTATTTCTTGCAAAACACATAGAGCTGGACATCCTTCAACCAGATGCGATGTCTCGAGCGCCGGCTTAGCCAAGTTGGCGACTGGGACTGGTGTGTCACTGGTGACTTCTCGTTAGCTAGTCAATAAACACAAGTGTAAAAAAAGGAAGGGCGTCCGAAAGACATCGCTACTAGTGTTCGAGGGAACATGGCAAGAGACAAGGAATCCAAGACCCACCAAAAGCGGTCCAAACGGGACATTGCCTGAGCTCGCCTTCCCATACCGCAGCGTGGAGGCGAATGCCCCGGGTTTGTAGGTCTTCGTAGACAATCAACGAGTGCTTGTAACCGTCGTCGATGATTTGCCTAGACCAATCATCCATCAGCCTGGGAATTCTCAGTACAACCCCTGGGAGCACGGGGGTTAATACGGCCGGAGCTATGGCGGTCTAATAAACAGAAGAAAGAAAAAAGGCCGCGGTGAGATACATACGCCTGAAAGAGCCGTTTCTCCCTTTGAAGCTTGAATTCGTTGGGGTGGATTTGGACCGTCAACATGTTCCTGGCTTTGAGGGCGACAAAAGTGCAGTAAAACAGAACCATTTCTGTGTGCAGTTAGTCGAGTTCAGCTCACCTCAGAAGAACGGGGTTGCCGGATGGGTCATGCTACCTTCCCAAGTAAGAAAATACAATGCCGCCCAAAGCTTGCTAGTATGCTCTGACCGGCTCCATCGCTTCAGCTGCAATGTGCTGCCTTCGCGCCCAATACAGAGTTCATGAACACCATACATTGAGAACCATGGCTCCCCTCCCTGGATAGTGCGCATAAGGATGTAGGGTGATTGGTCAACCGAGTTCAAGAACACAACGACGGAGATTCTGTCGTTGTCAAAAGGCCTAGTTGCAGAAAGTGAGATTAGACACCGAGGCGTCCTAGTCCACGGAGACATGGGCAGCTAAGGGGGAATGAACAATGATGCAGACCCGACGCAACCGAAGTTGACCGGTAATTGAGGGTTTTGATAAACGTTCCTAGACTCACCGCCGAAATAGTATCTTCGACTCCGCAGGGATATCCAGACGGCCCCACGGGTAGTAAGGGCCATACGACTTGGAACTGGGAAGACTGGAATTTAGCAGACTCGGACATTGATCTAAAATATATCGAGGGCCTCTTACGGTCTCAGGTGTTTCAGCGCAGTCCGTGATGGCAGAGGGAGGGAGAATATTTGCTCTGCCCAGTGCCCGTTCTGTGGAAGGCTGATTAAACACGGAGCAGTCTGGAGGATTGACGAGGGCACGAACGGGCTCATGTACCACTGCGAGAGACATCAGATCGTGGCGGACTAGAGGGCCAACCTGCAGTGGGGGGGGAGCTAGTGGAGGAGCGTCAGCCATGTCATTAGAAACAGACTCGGGGGAAACCGACGTATTCCCCTCTTCTCCCGCAACGCAAGAAGACGCGTACGCAACGTCTCGAGGGTGTTTAAATCGAAGCTTGGAGACCTAGGCAAGCATAAGAATGGAGCCGACGCGGTATGGAGGTCACGGGGGTCGGAATACCTTGTGAGAAGCAGCCTTAGTAAAGACAAGAAATGATTGTAAAGAATGAAGCGCTGGGGGAGCGGGAGACCCCCAGCTTCTTCCGTCATCTTGTTATACATCTTGCGCCACCTTGTCTCTCTGGACACTGTCTTGTCCTCGAAATAACTGGTAATGTCTCGCAGGGTCCGACATAGACAGGGGAGCACGACGTTCAGGTGGTCTAGAACAACGGGCACCCGCGAGATATGGACCTGAGAGCGGTCGGCGAGATCGCGCAGCAACCTGCTCGATCGTCGTATCTCCTCGGCCAGCGCGATCATATGCCCGTGGAAGGATTCTTGGAGTGCCGCCCGCAACTGGTCTAGGCCGAGAGCAACAAGGTCCGCCCGCTCAGCTTCACGGCAACAACCCTGGAGGAGATGGGGCTCAACGAGTGTGACGGGAGTTCTGGCGTAGTCCATGTTCGAAGCCTTCGTATTCCTTTCTCTTGCTAATAATCAGCGACAGCCTGCTGTGTTAGTCGGCAGAGACGAAACTGGTGTCTGCTTAGAGAAAGCGCGTGCGCCCATGGCGGTCCTCGAATACCATGGTCTACCGATGCTGGATGGACCCCTTGTCACCAGAGGTGGTACTGTTTCGTTGTTGACTCCCCCTCCGCACTGGCAGTCTCTTCGCGAGCCGAACAGGCTCTTTCTCGTCCGCAGCCACAAATATGACAAGCAGCGTCACGGGAGGGATAAGTAGGGGGAGGGTTGGGCATGAGCCTGGCGACCTAAGCAGTGATCGGAGGGGTGCCCGCGGTCTCGGGAAGCCGGAGAGTCCGGGTCATACGTCTAGGCCAAGAGCCTCATTCCCCAAGTCCCGCTTCTGTATGACAGACAGTCCTCAGACCTCAAGCCGGGCCCCATCCAAGCACGTCCACACGACTTACTTCCAGATGAAGGGGCGAACCTGTGGGTGTTCGGCAATGTTGTAAGAGCATCGCCGAAGTAATTAACGTCGCAAAACACAACTGGACCGAGAAAGCGAGTAGCCGGTGCTCGGTTATCTTGTAACAGGGATTGCGGTGGCCGCGATACCAGAGACTTTCCGGACTGACGAAAGAGCCGGCGGTTGGGCACTCAAGCATGGGCATCGAAGCATGGGCAAGGGTAAAGTATTATTGGTATCGGGCAACCCGAGAGCAGATACTAGCAATAAGTATATGTACACCTTACCTACCATAGGTAGATGGGTAAAGGTATGTACTTCCTCCAAGGTAATTGACGCATGGGATGTTGATGAATTGGCCGAAAGAAATCACGAATTAGAAGACAAAACAAGTCTGGAATCCTGCAATGCAGCAGCAGCACGAGGCACGAGAAACTAGCCCAAGGAGTCAGCGACTGACACGAAGCCAGCCGGTCACCCCCCGGCTGCAGCGAGCCAACAGCGTGCATTAGAACGACACCTTTCGGCATAGGCTAGAGAAAAGTGTGTGGGCGGAGTGGAACACGCGCTTGAGCTCGAGCGAGACTTGACGTGGGAGTCTGAAATTCAAAAGCCAATGGCGCAAGAAGACATGCATGCATGCATATATGGACGGTGCAGCTGGAGAGACGGCTGCTTGCCAAAGGTGGGCGACCATTCATGATCCCACAGACAGTCGGGTATCCACAGAGTCGCACTTGCCACTTGGGGGAAAGAGACGAGCTTGTTGCTTGTCCGCCAGAGTTGGGCGAGAATCTGGACAGTCCACGACATGTCCACCACAACATGCCTACACCTAATGCAATATTGCTCAGGCGTCCAGCACTTGCATAAATGATGGCTTGAGGTCAACTCGGGTAGGAACTGATACAATTAGTAGCCATGGCCGTCATCACTCACATCCTCTCAACAACTAGCCCCTCCCCCGCGGGGTTTGGCTGTGACGAGTTCAAGTTGATGGAGCAGGTGAGGTACCTATACTCCTTCCTGCCCGTCCCGACGCGAAACTGTCGAAACTTTAGACACCGAGTGTAACCGACAAGAATCGAGACCCCAATGCCTGGGCACAACGAATGAGTAGACACACCTAAAGCGGCCGGATTTCTTTGTAAGTATGGACATGTCATTCATTGCAAGACAGTCTAGCAATCCGTTTTCCAAGGCACTTTAGAGTGCAGCCTTAGGTGCCGCTTGGATGTCCTGAATAAAATAGTCTTGTTATACATGTCATTGGCTTTAGGGGTCCAGCCGCTTGCACCCCGTCCGCCAATATAGACTTCTCGTCATCCGTACTGAAGGGATATCTGTCCTCCAGCTTCCATAGTTCATAGCAAACCTCGTGCAAACCATGGCAATAAAAAGAGAAGCACTTAATCCCATTGCCGTGCCCCAGAGCAACACCGTCCGTCCCAAAGATACAAGGGGTGAAAGAAAACCAGGCGCTGTCTGCAGTGTCTTTGTCTGAGTTTCATCTCACCAAGACATTTCTACCGCGAGCACGACGACGCGGCTACATGTCAAAAAGAAAATGCTTAGGGAGACTCCTCCTCTTCTGGGTCATTCTGCACACATAGTTAGCAGTAATTCACCGAATGCCAAGATCATTGTTTCACTTACGTTGTACGCCTGTTTCTCGTCCTCGTATCGCTTCTTGTCGGCAGCTGCCTTGGCCTCGTAAGGGGTTCTTTGCTTATCGCTAAGAGCCTTCCATCGCTCGCCAAGGATTTTGCCAACCTGGCCAAATGAGACACCCGGGTTCTCTTCGCGAACGTTGTCGCGTTGTTCATTGGCAAAGAACATGTACGCAGAGAGGCCGCGCTTCGGGGCGTTGGGGTCTGCGGGCATATGTAAGTTTCTGTTTCACTGGTGCAATATGTGCGAGGCAAGTAGGACAACGAAAATGGGATCCTGTTGCCACACACAAAAGTCGGGCGAGCAACAGCCATGACACCAAAACGACCCAACCAACGTGGAAGAAATGACTATAACCCAATTTGAAGCAAAAGGGAACATATAACTCACCCTTCTTGGTGCGGCGCTTCTCAACCTTGCCGCCTTTTCTACCAGCGGCCTTCGGCATGTTGGCGGATCTAAAATAGGAAGGTTAGCGGGTTCGGGGAACAAACATAATTGGCCGAGGGATTCGGAAATCTTGCGACGCGACAAAGCAGCACTCGCTGGATGCGAGGCGCGACCACGACTCTCGAAAAAAAGGTTACAGCCCTCGAAATGATAGCAAATTGTATCAATCGCGCCTCGCAAAGGAAGAAACAAAAATAGAACAAGTGCCGAGCTACTGCTGCAGCAATGGTGAGAGCGACGATAAAATGCACATGAAAAAGAAAGTGGCATTTCCTGTTGAGAGGATTATGATGGAACATACCTAGATTAAGACTGGGGGTATTTGGCAGTATGTTGCGTTTGTTCTGATCAGATCTTGCAATTCGTCAGCGATCGTGATAATTGAGCTTGAATGTGAGATTGAAAATGCGGCTGGCGGAGCAGGAAGACGAGAGCAGTGCAAAGCGATACGCCTGGTGGAGATGCAAAAGTCCAGAGCCGGGCGGGTCTGCTGCGAAAGAAAAGAGCGACAGGGGAAAGGCGACCCAATGAGGAATCAAGAGAGAAAGGCCAACTCTGAAGCCCAGGCAAGTACTTTGGATTTTGCTTGTGTTTGCATGGGAATGAAAGTACTCACGTCGCGCCCGTGGATTGTGGAGGTATTCTGGTGCAAAATTTGGGTGAGAGGTGCAGTTTGTATGGGAGAAGAGGAGGGAGATTTGAGAGAGGGGAGGGGGGCAGCCTTCGCCCGTATTTTACTATGGGCGGCTGATTGAATGAAGGGGGCGGGGACTCCCTGCTTGCCCATAACAAAAAATGGGCTGCAGGCGGGCTGATTTTTTGTGATTTTTGGGGAGGAGGGAGGGGGCGAAGCACCTTCCCCCGCCAAGGTAAGCTCAGCTTTGTGTACAGTACCCCCAGGTGTCGCGTGCACAACAGACAATTTATTTGTACTGTGTACCTCGTCTGGCCGACCCTTCCCGGGCTTGCTCCCCGTCGTTTGCAGTCCACCGCCACAGCTCGAGTCGGCCAATTGATACTAGGAGATGCCACATTCAACATGCACTGACTGCTAAACAATCCCAACCTACCTAGTACGGCCACAGGGCTGCGGTCAAGCTCTTATATAAAGCTAGAAAGTTATGTCCCTGATCATATCCGAAACCCACAAACCCAAGATACATTAATTACCTACTTCACTACCTAGACAAGGCAGGCACCTTCGGTATAGCATGGCCCGCATAGGTAAGGTAGGTAGGTCATTCGGTAAAGTGCATGCGTTCCACGCATAGGTAAGGTAGGTCAAAGGGGTAAAGTCCATTCCAGTTTGTCGCCCCGTGTCCGTGACTTCCTCGACATCGGTCTTGCCATTTCCACTACCTGGTTCTCTTATAAAATGTGGAAATATTACGTTTGGCGTTATCGCATTCGCTGCTAACGAGTGAGCTTTCCCTCCATTGTTGCATGAGAACAGTCCTTGGTCACTTGGGAATCCGACGACATGCTTAAAACGCTATGAGATTGATAGGCTACCTAGGTATTACTTTTAAACACATTCGCGGCGGCGGATGATGCCCTGGTCCTTTGACTTCGCGCGTACAGCTTGATTCTCTATACCTATTACGACTGACATACGACTATCAACAACTCCTCTCAAGCTCATCTTTCATGAATTAAAGACAGGTTCACAGAAATGAATTTGCAATGAAATCCAACGTAAGTGCCATCCAGTGTGACCACTACCTCCGGAATTGGTGAGCCAAGTCAAAGAGAGGCATGTATAAGGAATTCAGGTCCACACAGGGGTGCTTGGAATGGCCCCACTTCGAAGAAAATAAGCCAGTACGTACCTTAAGTACTCTGTCAAAACCCCACAGCAGCGTTGGTCCAAATTGAAGGAGAGGTAAAGCAACCGTAAAATGACTTCTACGATGAGATGGTGTTAACCCAGGCAATCAACTCTTAGATACGGACTTCTTTTCGATTCTCGTGATTAGTTTCCAAGATCAAGCACCATGTTCCTGAGCTGCTTGTCCCTAGCCCAGTCGATCCCACTTTCAGTCACAATGGCGCTTGTAGTTCCCTTAACCACTCTCCACTTCTGGCGGCTGGCTCTCATTTCATTTTCCAGACGCCTAGTTCCGAAGGAGATATGAACACTATCGTTCATTGCTGGCCCTTGATCACGGGCGTTGTTCTGGAGGCGTAGAATCTCTGCCGCCATCAACACATTCCGCTGACTGGCCTTAAAACCTAGAGACTCGAGGTCTGCGAGACGATCCGTGGCTTCTTGAAGATCTAAACACTGGCTGGCCAATATGGCTGATGTTCGGTCGCGCTGTTGGAGGCGAAATGAAAGGCTCCTGAGATATTGTCAGCAGTCGTGCCCAGTGCCAGCTTGTCGAGGTTGGATGCTGGCCGCAATGCATGTACCGCTCAATGGGAGAGGTATGGGCTGCGTTGTGTATGGCCCTCAAGGTTGGCTGGATCGTCACAACACTCTTAAGAACATCGTTCCGCAGAGCTAGTGCTGCTTTCGATTCTAGGAGATGAAGCTGGGCCTCCTCCACGTCTATTTCTGCCAGCTGCGAAGATTGGTCTGGTAGTGGTTAGAGCGGACTTAAACGTGGTGAAATGATGGAGACTTGGGGTAACACAACCTGGATCTCCGTTTTGGTGGAATCGGAAAAGTGCCAGCTCAAGCTCGAGTTGCTGAAGCTTGTCATAAAGCTCTAAAACAGTTTCCTCTGCCTCGGAAAGGGGTTGCGACGTGAGTCCACTGGAGGCCATTGCTGTCACAAAAAGACCACGTCGGAGTTAAAAACTAGAATGTTTGACAAGTCAGCTTGGAAAAGATGGACTTCAAGACCACTGTGCGTATACGGGTTTATATATAGAGTGCCGGTTATTGCTATCCAGCTGAAGCTCAATCAGGAAGGGAAACGCACTTGGCTGTGTTTGTCTGGTTTGTTGCTGTGCGCCGTGTCTAGGACAAACCCAACCTGATTCCCTTACTGTGTAGTTATTACATGACTACGGTCGCGCCCACAGTAAGCGTGTGACTACGATGACACTTTGTGACTGGTGGGGCGTTGCCCCACAAAAAGGCTGCGGAGGCGCGGAGCACAGGCACACAGGGGACTTGCTGTTCAAGCACGTGTCGCGGCGCACGTCCCACCAGCTTTGAGCTCCCTACCTTCTCCCTAAGGTTTCGAGAGCCCTCATTTCGCAGCCTCAAGGCTGATGGGCATAGCGAGCACCGAACAGAGCACGACAGCCAAGCTCCGATACGGTTCCGAATGGTCCGGTGCTCAAGCGCGGCATATATTTCCGACCTCATGATGCACACAGTAGGCGCATGCCATCTATCTACCTACCTACCTACACTATTGCCTAGGCACCTACAGAGTCAGGCAGCAGCAAGAGACATCAAGCTCCTTAGACTTTTGCGCCACGCGCCTATCTATGTAACCTTCTTGTCTACATACTACCTAGTCAGGCTCAACCTAATAATGATCTTCCACCTATCTTGGAACTTGCAGTACAGATTTTAATACAACAACCAAAGAGACCCCTACGCTACTGACTCGTTTCTCTCTCACTCTCTCCAAGGCTCCTCTTCGAATTCTAACGGCCTAGACGCCATCGCATCGCCAGCGACCGCGAGGACATGCAAGGAAATGGCAACCCAGGTGTTGATTGCCCACACGGGCCAGCGCCTGCAAATTGATGCGTCTCAGTTTTCATCGTCAGCGCTCTCCCTCCGCTAACACCAATCCCCGTCTGGCACTGACTGCTCCCAGGTTTGATGATTTCAAGGCTTCCGTAGCCCGCCAGAGTTCAATCCCCGTCCAGTGCATCATTACTTTAACCGCCCAGGGGCGATCGTTGAAGTGGCAGACTGTCCACACAGAGGTTGGTTTGTTCTGACGAGAGCTAAGGGATACGGGAAGACCGTGGCCTGGCTAACACGAAGCAGAAAGAAATATATGTTTATGACAACCGGCTTACGCAACCCTCTCTGCCTTCGCCCGGAGCCTCTGTGCCTCTCAAGTCAGAGCTGCCACTCCCTAAGCGATTCGAAGTCTCAGATCCCCCTAACTCTATCGATGACACAAGGTCGATTCAATCGTGGCGGAAGCTCTTTAGTACGCGTCGAGAATGGGCGCTCAAGGTTGTTGAGGGCTGTAGCCAAATGGCGACGGCCACAGACGACCGCTTCAGTGAAATGGACGTCATGCTACGGTGTCTGGACGCGGCCATTGCAAATCTCGAGTCGGTTGTCAGGGCTCTTGAAACAAAGTACACGGAGCTCAAGAAATGGGCGCCTGTGGCGCAGGCGGAATACAGTGCACTGGCGACGGGGTGGGAGCAACGTCTGTCACTCGCGCGGAGCATCCCCATCTCTCCAGCTATGGTGCATTTCATGACTGGCCGCGACGTTAGCAATGCCAGGGGACGGCCTCAACGGCAATCAACCCTTGAGGATCTTGTCGATCTGGAAACGGCTCGGAGAGCAGGGCGTCTTGTTCCAGCAGCGCTGCGCAGGGTCAGTGACCAGATAACGGACTTGGAAAGGGGGGCGACTCGTCTGTTCCAGGATTCCGATGATCTTCTCCGTGGATTTGACAAGATAGTAGCCCGCTCGGCACTATCACACAACGGCGAGTCACTGCAGCTCCTGCAGGATATTCAGGCTGTAGCCAAGAAGATCGACACCGACTTCCAAACAGTTCTGGAGTACACAGGTTCGACCCGAGACGTCCTCCAGGCTTCCAAAATTGCTGCGAACCACACCGAGCGTCTGCTGCCTAGCATCCGCAACTGTGCTCTTGAAATGGACGGGATGCTCCGCTATGCTGCGCAGGCCAGAAACAACCTTGCTGCGGAGTTTGTTGAATTCATGCGCAATATCGCTGATATCACTGCACTCAGTCACAGCGTCAAGTCGCTGGTTAATTCAATGAGTCATGAGGAAGACCTGAAAACCTTTGACTATTTGCGACTCATTCAGCAGCTTCCTTACGTATACGCGTCGTTCGTGGCTGAGGCGGTGAAGCGTCGTGAATGGTTTGACAAGGTCAAGCTGGACTCGTCCACTCTTGCCAACGAAATGGCCTTGTTTCAAGAGGAGGAAACCAAAAGACGCAGAAGGTGGCACAAGTCGGTAGGAGCTACTTATGAACCTGCATTCCCAACGGCGGAGGGCAACGTTCCTGGCCTTGAGGTGAACCTTCTCGGCGAGGACGTCCAGTGGCCAGCCATGACAAGAAAAGACTTGGAGGATTTCTATAGTCTCGCGCAAGCACAAAAGGCCGAACCTGATATCATCAACGACATTAGCAGGCTAATTGCAGATATTAACAACCCAACAAGACAGCAGGCGAAGCGTATGAAGGCATTTAAAAACGGCAGTATTCACGAGGCTGCTCTGGGGCGGAGTGGATTGTTAATCCGAGGAGATGATGATCTCCTGCGGTCCTTGCAGGACGACAAATTAAAGCTGGAGAACAAGCTGAAGACTGCCGAGAGCCGTGTGCGCCGGCTAGAGGATCTCCTCCATCGCCAGACCCAGGCTTCGCGACCCAGCCTGGGCAATCTGTTTCAGATGCCAACCCAACAACTCTCAGATCGCAATGATTCGACTATCTCGGTCAAGTCACCTAGGAATCTTGAAGACCAGAGGAGGTCGACAGAGGGGACGGATGGCCATACTCATCGGATTCAACAGCTGGAATCGGAACTCAGGGCCGAAAAAGAGCGCTCGGTCATGCTTGAAGAAGACCTCAACGCGCGGACAGCGCTGCATGACAATATGAAAGGCCAAATAGAAGAAGCCAACTCCACTAAGAGGGATCTCTTGGAGAACATGGAGGCCCTCAAGCGCGAGTTTTTGGAAGAGAGGAAATCTCTCGAGGGTGAGGTAAAGCGGTTGCAGTCGCGGCTTGATGATACCGAGGACGAAATGGAGCATTTTGGAGAATCCCGAGAGAACGAGAAAGCTTCCTACGACAACAAGGTCGACACTCTCGAACGTGAGGTCGAGCGACTAACTGTCGAAAATCGAGATGAGGCCCTCAAGTCAGAAGGGCAGGTTGAATACTTACGCAATGAGGCTCGACTTCAACGCGAGCGGATGGAGGCCCAGGATCGCCTACTCCAGGCTGCGCAGGATGAGTGCAAGTGCTTGAGCAAGAAACTGGAATCGCTCAGCGAGGTAACCGGTACGCAACTCGGAGCGCTCCGGGACCTGTGGGAGCAACTGTCGCCTGGAGATATTGCGTCTGAGGATTTGTCGGATCTTATTGATGGAATTTCCGGGAAAGTCTCCGATAAATTGGCAGACCTGCGATGCTTTGAGGGGGACTTGGTTCTTCTTCGTCTGGACCTCGAAGGGGCCCATAGCGGCGCCAAGACTTTACGCTCAGAGGTGGCAATGACGAAGGACAAGCTGTCACGCGAAGAACTAACATCCCTTCATCTCCGCGAGACACTCTCGGAGGAGCAGGCCAAGGTGGCAGCCCTCGAAGGTGAGTTAGCGGATGGACGGGGGCAACTGAGCCAACTACGTGTGAGGCTTACGGACGGGGAGACCGGCTCTGAATCACTTAGGAAGAGGCTCGAGGAGGAGGAAGAAAGGATAACCTTGATAGCTGAGGAGCTCGCTTCTCGGCAGTCCCAGGTCGGCAGCCTAGAAAATGAGGCCCAACACTATAAGGATAGGCTGGGGGAATCACAGGCGCAGCTGTCAGAGCTGACCATGCGGCTGGATTCCCGCACGAAGCGTGCTAAAGACTTGACGCAGCACTTATATTCGCAGAACGAGCGCCTTACTCGCCTGCTTGAAAGGCTCGGGTATTCCGTTTCACGCCAGGGCAGCAACATGGCAATTCATAAGATACCCCGGTCGGAGCGCCCGGCACAGAGCGCAAACGACTCAGACCCGAATTCATCCATCCGTCGATCGAGCACTCTAAACACTCGTGCCATGGCCGACAGCGCTGACCTGGAGCCGCTATACTGGATGAACAACACGGATGCTGAGGAGGAATCTATCAAGTATGAAGCTTACATGGCTTCGTTGGGCTCGTTTGATATTGACGCATTTTCCGATACGGTGCATCGGCGCGTAAAAGAGGTCGAGCATATGGCGCGTAAACTGCAGCGCGAAACCCGCGCGTACCGCGAGAAGGCGCACATGCTTCAGAAGGAGGCACATGACAAGATTGCCTTCAAACACTTCAGGGATGGAGACCTTGCGCTGTTTCTTCCTACGCGGAACCAGACGACGGGAGCCTGGGCCGCATTCAATGTTGGCTTTCCCCATTACTTCCTTCGTGAGCAAGAGGCGCATCGACTGGGGAGTCGGGAGTGGCTCGTGGCCAGAATTACGCGCATTCAGGAGCGGGTTGTGGACCTGAGCAGGTCTCTCCAACATCAACCAGGGCTGCCCAGAAAGCCTGCCGGCGCCGAGACCGAATCACTGAACGACGACGATAATGATAATCCATTCGACCTTTCTGACGGCCTACGGTGGTATCTGATAGACGCAGTTGAGGACAAACCTGGTGCGCCATCCACTCCGGGGCTGGCAAAGAGCACAGTGGCAGCCAATAACGTTGAAGCCATGGCCGACATGCACACTCATGGGCGCTTGGGTTCCAAAGGTGGAGGGCTGGTCGCTCGTGGAGGGTTATCTTCGGGCATCGAGGGCGTGAGCAAGACGCTGTCAAAAAGTCTAGAGAGCCGCCGGTCAAGTACAGGCTCTAGGAAGGCTCTGCCATTCACGATCGGTGGCTCCAAGGGGCGTGATAGCGCGCTTGCGAGCGAAACGAACTCACTCCGCGCCGCTGCCACGACCGATATGCCGGCGTCGGTGAGCCCAACACAACCTCCCCACCAGACTGCCGGTGCTCAGAGGGCGGAGCCACCTCAAGGCGGCGATGCTAGCAATTCACCGAACCAGCTTCAATCCGAGGTTCGCCACGCAACAGACGCTCTCGACGGGCTTTAGCCCGGTAGCATTAGTTTGCTAACCGCCTGTATCCGCAGGCTCACATCCGCAGACTTGGGCAGCGAGAGCGCAGTACCGTCTCTCAAAGCCCGTTAACGAAGAGCGTTGTTTGGGATTCGCTCTGGAATTTGGATATTAACTACGGAAACGGGCAGTTAGGTACCTAGGTAGGATACCAAGTTGGAATAAATGTTGTTCAGAATACCCCTCGGCGCCCAGCCGAGAGCGATCTTCTCAGAAGGAAAGAACACCATACTCGTGCCCCGCTAGTGTTAATAGACCACGAGAAACAACATGCATGGTCATACACAGCTACTAACTAATGTAACTCACTCCCTGTATTACTAACGGGAGTTGTCCGGCTGTCCATTGGCAACCATTCGCAAACCAAAAGCACAAGAGGAAATCGAACGTTGCGGCCAGTTTCCACTAGTTGAAGAAAATATTAACCGTAAAAATACACATATTTCACGTCGTGTATTTATATACAAATATTCATGGCCAGACTCCAGCATGTTGGCAAGAAAACAAGCCGGCGACAACTTAAAAGCCTTTGTTAGGAGGGGCAATAACAGACGGGGCTATTGTCGAAGGGTGCTTTGCTTCGCAGGGCGTAGATGCAAGCCATCTTGCACATGAGCACCCACTGGAGCGATTTATATACATGGACGCGTCCATATATTCCGGCATCCCGACTCTGCCGCAGCCTCTTTCGTACACTCGAAGCAAAGGGGTAGCATGGCCTTCTAGTCGTCTCTATGGAGGCTTTCTGCTCGTTTATAGTATCGGCGATAAATCCTCGAAGCCTGAAATAGGCAAGACCCAATCACTATCACACACAGGCTCTCGCTCGTCTTTAGGCGAGTAGTGGCGGCTTCGCGGCATCCAACGGTGGTTCCAACTGAGGCGAAATCTCGGAGACAGGCGGCTGCAGCGACTGCGGGGATATATAACGTGGCCACTCGTTCATGTTCAGGTGGTCCTAAAGTTGCGTTCTTGCGTCAGTTGTGTGTGCGAGAAGCAAGGCAAGAAGCGGAAGCAATTTACAGTCCAGGGCGAGAGCCCCTCAAGCGGCCCAGTCCTCTCGGGAGACTCGGACTCCGTCGTCGAAGACTCGAATTCTTCTTCATCCACCCCAAAGGTACGATCGCGTTCGCCAATATCATCGCGTGTGAGGCCCAGTTCCCGGAATCGCGCGGCTGTCATGTACTCTGCAGCATTCTCGCGGTACCTTTGAATCTATGTCAGCCATGTTACGCGATTGTCTGGTTATTCAACGACTGGACGGGTGGGCAACAATTAGACACGGCTAGGAACGGATAGGAGAATTGGTCAAGCAGCAGTAGGATTGAAGTGTAGGTATATATGCAGAAAAGTACGAATACAGACCATTGGTATCGCATGCGGCCTGGTGACACGCGCATGATGGCATCTGCCCAAAAGAAATGCAAATTAGCATCGCGTCCAACACCGCTAAGACCTTGAGGGGGGGTTGGAACTTACTTTTGCGGCCATATGTGCGAATGTCACTGAGAAGGCGAACAGCGACATCTTGACCCTGCGGTCGTCTTTTCGTCGACTTAGCACGGATTTGCACCGCTGTCGAGACAGCGCCGACGACTGAAGACCCGCTATTATTGCCACCAAAGACAGTTCTACGCAAGCATGCGAGGCATTTTGACCATCTGCTCAACGCGGGTCCCGCCATTGTATCTGTAAATGCCGAGTGCAGTTACTGGCATGCCAAAATTCCGAACATATCGAGAAGAGCTTCTTCTGGCTACATGGGAATGCTAAAGTTGACGGGTAATCATCGGATAATATCAGGGAGCTCTACCTTACCTAATTGACGAGGCTGTCCTGCATTAGGTAAGTTAAGTCGAACCTGGAACTTGATAAGGTCATGGTACTTCGTACCTTAAGGTTTGCCTGCATAAAAGGCCCAAGCGCAAGCCAAGTCCGTTGTTTGTGTACGTACAGAGTGGAGTCCTATTCCCGGTCCGCGATTTGGGCGCATCGCATCCATTCATAGGCGTAGCCTATTGTTCTCCTTAGATAATCCTCCACTGCTTTTGTTGTTGCCACACTCGAACAGCGCATCGTGGTTCAGAACGCCTAAAGCCCTGTTGGCAACCCGCTCAGGCATGGCCTTTCTGCTATAACCACGTTGCGCCGGTCTTCGCGCTCCAGCCGGACCCTGGACTCGCACCTGCCGCACCTGCCGCACCTGCCGCAACTGCCGCAACTGCCGCATCTGCGCCTTCACTTCGTACTTGCACCTCCCGACCAACGAGCTCAAGACTTCCAGCCCCTCCTAATGACCCCCGCGCCCGTTAACCGCATCGTCGTGTTGGTGGCATGCTTGGGAGTAACAGCCAGAGTGTTAAATCATGGATCGCGATAGCCAAGAGGGAGGCGGCCTTGACCCGGTTGCTCTAGCTGCACAGCGCAACAGCCGTTTCACCTCGCCACTAGTTGTCAACAGCGCATCTCAGAGAAAGCCCCTATTCTCGCGACCGCCGCCAGTCCAGAATAATATGCCCAGCGATACTCAGGACTTGCTTCACTTTCTACCTGTCACTTCCAATACCGCCCCTGACCTCAAGCAGTCCTCGCCGCAGGTTACGAGAATCCCCCGCCCCCCGCAAACACGTCCACCCCCACCCCCACCCCGGCGCCCGTTTACCCTCTCGGATGCATATAGAATGGCGGAAGAAGAGGAAGCCACCCAAGGATCGCCCAGCCCGGCGCCTAGATCATGGCGTTCCCGGCGCGAATCGGTCGAGCTCCCAAGAGCATTGGACCAATCAGCATCCGATTCCCAGCATCCGAGACGACGGGCTGGGGACTCGGTGGAAGCCGGGCCTGGAGACACCACAGGTTCGGCGAACGGCCATGGCTCACGATTACGGCGAGGCGATGTTTCAGAGAACGGCTTTGACGAAAAACTTCGCCAGCACGCATTGAGCCGGACAAGCTCAGAGGAACCAGTCCAACGCGGGAATACCAGCTCGAAGACAGAGGCCAGGATAGTCGAGACAGGCAAGGAATCTGTGCCGAAGTCGGGCCGTGGTGCTATTGGCACCAACAACAAACTTCCTTTGACCTCGAAGGCCGCGGCCAAAAGTGGCTGGCTTTCCCGTCGGGTATCGGACCAGAAAGAACACGGGTCAAACGAGAAACTCCCGTCCCATGAACAAGCAGAAATAACCAAGGGTGCAGTTAGTGAACCTCTCTTGTTGAGCACTGGCCCCGTTTTGCTACCTAATTCCAACCCCAACTCGCCTGGTTTCCGATCTCCAGAAAAGAGCTTTGCCTGGCAGGCAGAAGCAGACTTCACTGCTAGCGATCTCCAGGTCTCCAATAGCCCACCCGTAGTTGCTGGGCGTAGCAACACCAGGATTGACGAAATAAGGGTCTTGGAGGCTGAAGCCAACGGTGAACTTTCCGAAGACGCCGATCCCCGGGCACGAAACACTCGGATTGACGAGATTCGCGCTCTAGAGGTTGAGGCAGCTTCGAAATTCCCAGACGAACCGTTGGGAACGGACGAGGATAGGGATGGCATTCGAGCGAAGAATGGTGGCGATAGCGAGGATAAGCTTCTCCGCACTCGACATGTCGGGCGCGCAAATGCAAAGATTGACGATATCAGAGCTCGGGAGATTGAGAGTTTAACTAAGAGAGCTCTCGCTACCGCTAGGCTTGACGAGATCCGTGAACGAAATACGGACTCCACGTCACGATCATCTTCGCCAGATATTGTACGAAAATCAAGCAAGGAGCCGCTCCGTAGTTTCTCCCCAGCAAGTGGCAGGGGGAGACCAGGGCCTGGTGGAGAACATGTCGCAAAAGAGATCGGCCATGATGTTGGGGAAGCTGTAAAGGCTGTCACTGGCGACGATGGAGGTCGCCCAGTCCTTAACGTTGAGGCGGGGAAACATCAGGAGAGTAGCGACGGTTCAAATCCAACCAGGGGCAGCTCCCACTCAAGGGATGACTCGCGTGACATCCTACGCCGCCTGGCGCTCGCGACCAGCACCAGTCCAGCTCCTGAGTTGCGAATACCCAAACTGGACACTAACTTCATGGCGCGTGATCGAGAGGGACTGGTAATCACCAAACAGAAGAAAGCCGACTGCGCTAAGGGCGACGTTAAGCCTACTGTTGGCTTTGCCGGTTTCAAAAGAGACTCATCCGTTGATTCGAGTTCGGACAAGCGGTCAAACTTTGCGCATTCAGACTCCGACCCTACTGAGCGGATTGAAGGGGAGATGAAACTCTTTGCGCCACTAGAGAACCATTCAGAACGAGGCTCATTACGTGCTCCATCTCCAGCACCGGAACAAGAAGAAACTACAGACGACACACCCAGGCCAATCAAGCCCGATCCCTTAACACAGCCAACCCCCCGTGTCACTGGCGCATTTATTGAGACACCGACGTCGATCAAGATTGAAAGGTTTGAAGAGAGCCCCGCAGCCGGATCCTCTAATACTGGGGCGAGCAGTTCTAGAGTCGATCGAGAGGGTGCCGGACAGAGTGCTTCTACTGGTGATGGCGGCTTAGATGTCCAACTCCGAGGTCGAAGAGTCAATGTCTCACCCCGACAACCAAAACACGCGTTTTCTGCCACGGATGATAGGATGCTCGGCCGCCAATCATCGGCACTTAACGTTCATCGCCGCGCCAAGTCGGTGCCGCGAACGCGTTCTACTCTCGTCAACTCAGCCAGACCACCAACGGTCAAGGAAGACTTGCTTGAGATACAAAAAGCCAACCAGTTTGAGGACTCCACCTTAGACGACATTGCTAATCTCACAGAGTTCCTTGACCAGCGGCCAATCAAACTTGAGGCCCTAGAATCAAGGAGGTCCAGATATGATAGTGCCGCCCGGGAGTTCTTAGGCATGGAGAAGGAGCTTGCAGCGTACGACAGGATGAACAAGACGCTGAAGACCGGCATTCTAGGCATCAGGACAGCAAAGAAGGGGATCGAGCGGCTTGAGGACAAGGTTTCACACGCTGACACCAAAGACATTGTCCATGGCGCTCACGGCAACAGCAGCATCATGTGTTCTGTTTGCCATGGCCACCTGGCAACTGAGGTTTCGGGTTCTTACATACGCCTGCCCCTTCCTCGCCTGTGGTCACGAGACCCAAGATTCCGATTCACGTTGCCTGGTCTACTTGTCTTTCTGCTGTCGCTGTGGTATATTGCCGAATCCTCAGTGTGCTTTTTGTACTGCAAGCCCCTGTACTGCTACCCAGGCAAGCCTTGCGACTGGTCTCCGGATGATCCTCTCTGGGGCTATTCGATTCCCGTGAAGCTGGATCAGTGGGTCACCGGTGGACGGGCCAGAGAATTTGCCAACCGAGTGGGTCCCGACGTGGCTGATTGGCTCGCTGACTTATGGGATGTTGCTATCGGTGCCGATATAACCCAGGTCGATACATCGTACTACACGTGGGATCAGAAACGCCAGCATCGGAGACGGCTGTTAAAGAAGGGCCTTGTCAGGCCATTTGCTGAGCGACCGGAGGACAAGGCCAAGTTCGGAGCCTGGAGAGCCGCACGGCTCCTTATGGAGAGAGTTGATTCGGCGAGGGAAATGGGCTATAGAGTGGAGGAAGATGAAAGTATAGCTGGAGATGAGCGGGTTCTCGGGTCATGATAACCCGCGTGTATGAATAAGGGCGGGCAAATCTCTGTATCTGTTATCGAGAGTACCTGACGAATCGGGTTTTATAGGCATTGGGATCATGGGTGTTGTTAGTAGGGCGTTTTTGGTCTTGGTTATCACCATACTTCGTCGGCCGGCGAGTCTCGACCACTATAGTACCATAGCATCTAACAAGGGTGTCAAGGTCTACTTTTGATGCCAAATGGAGTTCGGTTGTAGGTGATACTAGATGACAACCATAGCCGAGTTTATTCCGTCAAAGGTTATGAATACTACCGGGTACATATGTTATGTATAGGGCCTATGCTCTCTCGAGCGAGCCCTCGCCTGTAGTACCTAGAAGTGATACCTAGATAAGGTATCACTGATGCTAAGGTTTTTTTCTTCCCTCTTCCTTCTAGCCTCACGTCTCCGTTCTACACTCTAATCTCCAAGACTTCTGTGGTTTTGCGCGGCCAGTCTCCCTTGTTTTTTCAGTAGCATGTTCTGGTGTGCCTTTTCCATCTGTCTGGACCACGCCATTCGGCCGAGCTCTTTCCAGCGATGCTCAACAAACAGGCGCACGGCCGCCAAGTTGTAAATCCTCTCGCTGTCTTGGAATGGAACAGAGGGGGCAATGTCGCCGAAGTCGTAACTATCTGCCATAACGATCTTGCGCATGGCGCTGACCAGGCATGACCTGTACTGATGGTCCAGGTCGTCCGGAATCAAGGTCTTGATCAGTTTCTTTACTTCGTCGGCCGACTTCTTCACTTCCCAGTCTCTCAGTCGCCTAGTGTATTCTCCACGGACAAAAAAGCTCGCAAAAGCTTCATCCCGAACCGTCGACCGCGCCTCCTGCAAGTTCCTGGCCAGGCCCTCGGGAGCAAAACGCCCCTCGGCGCTCAGCTGGGGGATGAATTCATTAATCCACCGCCGGTAGATCGGACGGCCATTCATTCGCCGGCGGCGGCGGTCATTGGCTTTGAGTTTCTTTCGGCCCTCGTCCCCGCCAATAACCCCAGCGCTGGTTGTCTCATCGCCCGGCTCCCCATTGGCATCTGATTCGTCACGAACCGAGAATAGGCGGCACGTGGTAACATACGCGAACAAGGCCTCGACAGAGTCAAACGGCTCCGCCCAAAAACCTTCGACCTTCATGCCGAGAAAGTGGAGTATCTCGGCGGGGTCTCTGCTCAGCTGGACCTTGGCCTGTTTGCGGTCGATTTTCTCGATCTCGGGAATTCGGAGCCATAAAGCATCTTCGTCGACGGTAAGGCCAAACGACCGGATGGTGCTTCCGAGCAGATTCCAAATATCTCCGTGGGCATGTTTGAAGAGGCACTGGAAAGTTTAGAAAGATCTCGTGTTGTCAGCCACACCTGGTAACGTATCCCGGCTCCCTCCCGTTGCTATACCCGCCGCCCCCGGTTGACATACCCAGCATAAGTGGTCTACGTCCCTGCAGATGCGAATGTCGATTTGCACATATGCTGCCTTCGTGTCCTCGTCCTCGTCTTCGTCCTTCTCTTGGCCGGAATGTATGTTTTCCGTGCCACTGTCTGGTTTGGAAGGCCAGGGAATAGCGAGGTTTGCAGACCCACCAGCAGGATCAATAATGGAATGCTCGGCGCCCAAGCTCTTCTCGACGACAGCCATCATGTCACGCGGGGGCCTCTGGATTCTTGCGCCATCTGTCGTTGACGGAAAAACCACAGGCCTCTCTAGGGCCACAAGAACATCGATATCGCCGTGATCCTTCTTTTCGGGCCCCTCAATGGGCGTGGCAACATAGACGAACAGGTCTCGCAGGCGGGCATGACAGGCAGCTTTCACTTGGCTGTAGACGATGGGAGGCATGCGCGGAACGTGCAGAGCGATGCCCTTGGAAGAAAAGGCCGAGCCACCCATGGTGAATTCTGAGTCGGCTCGCGTCTTTCACGGACGATGGACTGCTTGCAAGTTCAGCCTCTTTCTTTTTCTCTCTCGAACAAACACAAGAACGTTGATGATTCGAATCCCTGAGAGGCCAAATGGAATATGACATGGAAATGTGTTATTAGACACCTTAGCCACGCCGTCGTCGATGAGCGAGTGAGGACGAGGACGAGGAGGCAGTGGCGGCGGCGGCTACTATTGGCGAGTTATTATTGACTACCTATGCAAGTGCCCAACCCAAGCCCCATTCAGCTGAGGGAGAGTGTGGGTGTCTGCTTTATATTCCGTTGCATAGCCGATTGGATGATGATGGCAAATAGGATTTTGTATTTAGATGCTGCTTGGTAACAAACTGGGCGGCAAGTTACGTTCTTGGGTAAGGTAAGTAAGAAACCCCGGCATATAATAAGGCAGGAATAGTTATCGTATAGCATAATTCTAGTTAAGGTATGTACATAACGAATATATTTATTATATTAGAGAGGGATCATTCACACTTTCTATTTATAGCACTGAACTATTCAAGGCCTTAGCCGTACTCCGCAACGAGTTTAGAAGAAATTAGAAATTAGACGTTGGGTTACGGTTACTATATTATTAAATTCGCTCAAACAACTAAGGTAATTCAAGAAGTTTAAACTACAGCTAACTGCTCCGTATTATCTGCAAATATCGGGGCGCGGGCAGTAATATGCATATACCAAGCAGCAAGCAAGGTACGGGGTATGGTACATCCAATATATACATACCTTTCATACAGAAAGCCCCTACTCCGTACTGTAAGTAAGAAACATGTAATTATGTACACACTGTACATACGTATTCGCACCTTACTTCGTACACACCTTGGGTACATCCTCGGGTGCCGCAACAAAGCGCCATTACTCCCCAATGCAAACCCCAAAAACAGCATATTACCACCTCCGTCGTCCTTCGCGCCTAGACGAGAGCCAACCCTCATAACCATGGAGAACGGCACACCAACCCAGGGCGAGGGCAAGGACCCTGCTGGATTTTTGAGCGAGATTATTGGGAATCCCGTCACGGTCAAGCTCAACTCGGGCGTAGTCTACAAGGGTATGAAGGTCTCGCAAACCGCCGCCCGTTTTTTCTTCTTCTTCCGCGCGTGCGTACCAAACCAGGCTAACTAACTAACCAATGTGCCCAACTCTCTCCATCGGCCAGGCGAGCTGCAGTCTGTCGACGGATACATGAACATTGCTCTCGAAAAGACCGACGAGTATGTCAATGGCGTCAAGCGCCGAAACTACGGCGACGCATTCGTCAGAGGCAACAACGGTTTGCGCCCCCCCCCCCCCCCCCCCCCCCCCCCCCGGCCCCTTCGGGGTTATTCTCTTTATCTTTCTCGCCTCTGACCTTTAACGTATAGTCATGTACATCTCAGCCGATTCTTAGGAAAAAATGATGGCTTCCGGGTCTAGACTGTAGTAGATGGAGAAGAGAGCCCTCCCTCGGGGGTCAGAAACTCGTCGAGTTGGCACTTTTTTTTAACAGGCAGTGCAATCAAGTCCTGTCAGCCACAACGTAACCTCGCACTTCAATGTTGTTTGTTAAACTGCCTGCTTCTAAACCACTAATTGTACCATGTCAAGGACAGCTCCAGTCTTCGAAGCCCAACTTGCCCATGAGAAACTCCGATGAGCAGATGCCACCTCACACGGAAGTAGTGTAGTTCACGCTAATGCCACGCACGGTACAAGTTCCGCGCCCTCACCACTCGTATATTGATACCCCTTACTAGACCGGCCGGAGCGGTGAAAACCCAGTTGGGACCGAGCTGTGAAACCCCCCCACAAAGGCACCGCCTGGCACGACGACACTCGGGGAGAGACCGAGATTCGGGCTCTGTGCTCGGTTGAATAGCCCAACCAGCCTTCTGCCAACCGAGGGCTCGAGTTCTGTGCCGTCTCTTGCGATTTTGACCTCTCTGTTCGAGTTCCACGGGTTCCTGAGCCCCCTCGTCCGATAAAACGGAAGCCTTGCTGTCGAAAGCCACTCGAGCCGGAACGGTTTGCCCCAAGCCTTCGACCCTCCCCCGCCGCCTCCTTCATGGCCGCTCCTCACGCTGCCCGTGTCTCCGCCAACCGATCCGCCCCCGGAGCCGTCATCGTCCTGGCCCTCGGGAGCTGCTTCGTCGCTCTCTGCTTCCCAAAATATGGTACCGCGGGCTGAATCGTCGATGATACGGCCCTTGGGAACACGACCTGTCGCTTCCGTTGGGATAGCCTTTGGCAATTCAACATCGTCAGACGGCTGCGCCTTTGGCGCGAACTCGATAGCCTCCGCAGGGTCGTCGTTTATCGGGGATGCCATTCGCGCATAGCCGAAATATTCGCCCGACTTGTTTGCGGAGAAGACGAGGTAAACATTGTCCGCCTCCTGGTCGTAAAGGTTGATATTAGCTTGGATCAAATAGGTATGCATTGTGACAGGGGAAAATAAGGAAGGAAGGAGGATAAACGAGGCGAAAACGGGGGAAGGCTCAAACGACGAACCTGAAAAGCGCTGTTCAGTGTCGTCTCGTTGTGAGACTGCGTCGCCCAGATGCTGGTTTTTACGCTCAACTCCAAATCCTCTACGGTGAGGCTCTTGAGGATAAAGAATCTGTCCTTTTGCTGCTGTAAAGACGTGGCATCTGCTGGTGGACTTGCTAGCTCGGACTCTTCGGCGGCCGGGGTAGGAGAGGCACGGCCTGCGTTATTCTCGCTAGCCTCAGATATGCCGGCTTCGCTTGACTCTTGCGAAGCCCCTGATTGCGGCGTCGATGTTGCGGCAGGCCCTGTCGGCGCCGTGACGCCAGCCGGGCCCTCGACCGTGCTCTTTCGAAGTCGGCTAACTAGCCTGACTGTCAAGAACTTTGAGTCATGTAGCTTCCGCTGAGCGGTAACGCAGGCTTGGTCGCCTTTGAAGTTGGCAAAGGCGCAGTTACTTTTGGAAATCAAAAACAGTGACTCCAGCCCGCCTGTTTCGCTGCACACATGGTGGACGAGGCTCATTAAATCAGTCTGCGGAGGGAGGTTCCCTATCCAGATGGCATGACCTGAGGACACACACTCTTAGCAAAAAGAGTTCGAGCCATTTGGGCGAGCAACATGAGAAATGAAGGGAGCTTACCGCTTTGTCGCGGTTTCCTCGGGGGGCCCCGGACAGCGTTGGGATAGGTATCACTCGAAACTATGCGATACGACGAGTTAGTAACACACTTACCCATCCAGGGAAATGGCTCGCCTGCTTCTCGCGGCGACTTCAGAATGACTAACTGTGACCTTGGTCTACCGGGGGCGTTGAGCTGACCCTCAGGCGACTAGATTGCTGCGCGGACTCGGCTGGGTATGGGTTCAGCGCGGTATGCTGCCCAAGCATCAGCTGGGTCTGGACTTGGGGGGCCTGTCCGGCGAAATGAGATGCGGGTGAGTAGTAGTAATGAGCAACCGGGTGAGACTGCTGCTGGCCGACGACGACGGCGTTGGGGTAGTAGCCTAGCTCGGGCCTTAGAGCCATGTTTGGCTGTGCTGCCTGCGGAGGCAGGGGAGTTGCGTAGAACTGTGGCATATGGGTGTGCTGCGGCATGAAGTACTGGGGGTTGGGAGCCGAACCTAAGACGTTGTGAGTCCCATACTGGGGGACTGTTAATGGGGCCTGGGACGGTATGCCGGGGTTTGCGGCGCCGACCAGGTTGTATCTTTGCTGCGCCTGGCCGTACGGAGGGCCGGGCCGGTATGTGGGCTGGGGCAGAGCACTAGACATGGCGCTCAAGTCGAACGGTCCCACGGCCCCTAGCCGGGACGGGCCGTGCGGCTGGGTCATGTCAAGCTGTGACGCAAAAGCGTGCTGGTGCTGGGGGCTGCTGTGCTGGTGCTGGTGCTGGTGCAGGGCGAGCGACGATGCCTGGAACGAGCTAGCAGCAGCGTCCTGTCGCGGAAACTCTGGTGGAGCGCCGGGTTGTGCTGGCGTATCTCCCATTTGAATTCTTGTTCGACCTTCCCGGCGGTCGCGCTCTGGTACAGGGCTTCAGGCACAGGATGCTGCTGTGTATGTCTATCTGTCCGTCTGTCCGTCTTGCTGCCTGTCTGCCTATCTGCCTGTCTGGCTGGCTGTCTGGCTGTCTGGCTGTCTGGCTGTCTGGTTGTTTTGCTGCCTGGCTGGGAGTGCCAAGTCTGTAACGGGACAAGGCCGTCGAGCCTAGGATGTAGAGAGATGTTTCAACTATTTGCCTCGCGTGCCTGTCCACTTTGCCGTTCCTAGTGTAGGCCAGCTGTGATGCACAACTCTGGTCGGCCGTGGCCGGGATAGAAAACGCCTCGAATAGAGTGTCGCTAGGTAGATACTACTAAATAGGGCAAAAAATCAAAATCCAGCCTCCCAAAGGCCACAAACCCCTCCCTGGGCGCCGAGGGCACAATGGACGGCGAGACGGTTCGATGGGTACCGTAAAGAAGGGGTGCAAAGGGCGGCGCAGTATAAGTGGTATGGCCCCCCTGAGAGCTCGCGTTCTGGGCGATCGACGTACCTGAGCGTCCAATCTCAGCGCTGGGGAGAACCTGGAAACCCGGAATGCAGGGGTATCGCACTGGCTTAGCCCTTGATGTACCGTACCGTCCTGAGTAGACCTCAACCGGAGCTCATGGATGTCCTGTACGAGACCATAACAGAGCAGCTTTCTACCGAGAGCAGGCGGAGGAGGTGGTGAAAGAAAATTAGAATAACCCCGTGAATCCTCGACTAGGAAAAATGTGAGGCTCGCACTTGGAGATGGTTCCTTAGCCCGAGGAGGTGCAGTCCAATGAATAGTGATAGCGAGTGGCAGAGACAGGCGCGGTGTAAGCGAGCCAGGTAGTCGCGGTATTGTGAAGTGTATGTATTGTATTTCTCCTTCTCTGGCTTGGTGGCGGGGGGCGGTCCGAGACTCGTCAACAGTGGCATAGGGGTAGGGGTGAAGACTTGAGCCACGCGAGAGAGTATATATCAAGAGACCAGACGACGATGGATTAGGAAGGGACGTGGTAGCCGAAGCCTAGGGACGAGCCTCCGTTTCCTCACCACACGCTGCTTCACGCTAGTGTAAGCTTGCCCAGCCAGACAGAGTGGTACCTAGGTAAATATAACTTGATGGCGAACTGAGGCGAGCTTGGCAGCCAGAAGGGTGGCGTAGTGTGTCCGTAGGGCGCGGAAGGTAAATCCTTTCCTTCTTTCTCTCTCTCTTTTCCTTTCTGCATCAATTATGGCCCTGTCCCGTCTGCTTATCCTAGGTATTCCTCTCTAGGACGGGCAAGTAGCCAGGAACTGTATGGACGATAAGAGAAAAAAGCTGACAGACGAGACACGGATCTGCATTCAAAGTTGGTGGCCAAGTTCGTTCCCGGGGCTCGGCACTCTTGCCCCCTCGCGCGGCTCCAGGAACTGGCAGTAAGTAGCGTAGCGTAGCAGGTGTGTATATATGTATGTACTGTACTGTACCTATGTAGGTAGGTAGGCGGTAGGTAGGCCACGCTGGTAGGCAGGCGGACAGATGTCTAGTCTAGACAGCTTTGGGTAGGAAAACCTGTAAGGTATAGCACACATTGACTACTACCTTGGATAGCGGGGGCAGTTTGATACATCTAGACCAAGCCTCGGTCAGGCAGGTCAAACACCCTGGTGTGGAGGTTGCCCCAGCCCGAGGGAAATGGCCGTCCCCATGCGGGATTGGCTCCTTTCAATGGGGGTTAGGCCAAGACGCAGAACGACACGCCAGCCGAAGACCCCTGGGACCACCAGCAGGACGCTGCTGCAGGAGATGGAGGCAAGGTTTTGGTAAAGGGCACGGCACACAAAGCCGGGGGGCGCAGGTAAGGTACCTAAGGTAGGTAGGTAGGTATGTAAGTTACGCAGACTGGCAAGGTAATGTTTAGGTAGACTAGGTAACTGCCGGTGTGCAGTTGCATGCGTCTTGTCTTTCTGGGCGGCGGCCAGGGGCGAGTTCAAGGAATTGGATCTGACACCGAGCTGAATTCCATGCTGTCCGGATGGGAATTTCCCACGCGGACACCCCAGTGCCCAATGCCCAGGGGGCGAGAGGTGGATGGAAGGGGAGGGCCCTTCGAACGAACGAGGACCATTATCGACTGTGCCCGGCAGGATCCCAAGCAAGCAGCCGATGGGTTGCTGGATGGATGGGGAAAGGATGCGCGTTCGCAGTTATTTGTCGGCAGCTGTTTTCGCCACGCCATGTTTTCGGCCTTCCATTTTTTCCATCATTTCTTGTTTTGCGGCCTTGGGTACGGATACCCAATTCTTCACCTCTCCTCGCCACCGCCTAGGGTTTGCGCTATTCCAAGCGTGACTTACCTTATGGTATGAGTTCCCCCAAAGGAGAGGGCCACCACACAGAGTGCTGTGCAATGCAGTGCAGTGCAATGCGCCGTGATATCGAGCCCCTCCCACCCCCCCTTCTTCCTCCAAACAAAGCTTCAACCAGGCTATAGGCCGGCGGCGAGAAGCAGGAGATGGAAGTGGCCACACCCGAATCCGAACTGGCTTGTCGAGGCATGTAGGTACTGTATCTCAAAGCCTAGCTGGCTGGCTGGTTCTTGGTACAGTACTCCGTACGTGCGTGTTGGATAGGTAATATACTAGATGGGCCTACCTTCCATCCTTGGTTGTTGCTTGTCTGCCCTTTGAAGGGCCTTTGCGAACGAGACAGACTGATCGATCGAGACTCTATTCGAAGCACGTCTGCGGGAACCCCGAGACTGAAGCACCCCAGACACCCACGCCGCCTGTCAAGGTCTGATTTCCCAGGTTGGTTAGGCAGCAGGTAAGGTATTTATGCCTAGCCTGTGTTTCTTCTTCTTTTCTCTCTCTTTCGGCCCCCTCACTTGGCCGGCTGCTTGATGATCTATTGTTGTGTATGGTAGGTAAGGTAGGTTAGGTAGTCAGTATTAAATGATCCGCACTCAACAATAGGTACGGTATGTATCCCTTTCCTTGTCCAGAGCCAACCCCTTGCCCAGAAGACACATGCCCCCAAGGCCAGATGACATAGATGTGATGAAATTGCGTGTCGTTATTCCTGGGTGCTGGAGACGAAGGGCATGCGAAGCCTCTAAACTAAGCCTAAGCAGCATGTATGCACGGAGTTTGCATGCACGTTGTATACCTTAAGCTAGGTATGTACGGTTGGGAAGGTATTAGTAGGTAAAATGCACTCTTCGACTCTGTCGCCAATTGAGTCCGCTCGCGAAACCGAACACCGTGCGGTGAATTGGACTTTGGAGAACACGACGGGGGCCACGCGAACTCCTCTCCCTAGATAGAAGATGGAAAAGGTCTTGCAAGATTCGCGGTTGACGGGAGCCGTTTGACCTCCAAGTGGGTTGGGTACTAATGTTTGGAATTGTCGGGTGACGAACTGGCAAAGAAAGCTGCCAAGGCAGGTTGGATTGGTGTAGGTTCTTCGTACTCCGCAAGGTAGACAGGGGCGAGCCGTCATCGCCCCACTTTGTCGTCATGGTGCGTGCTTTCCGTAGTAGAGCGGGTTTCCATGCTGAGGCGAATAAAGAGACTTCACTATCATGATGCTCTACGTAACACCCAACGTGTGGATTTGTTTGGGTTCCGGCTCCTGAGCCGATTGAGTTAGCTGCCGCGCAAACAACTACATAGTAAGGCACACACAGTACAGAGGTACTGGTAGTTGAGGTTAGGTAGTACCTAGTAGAGGTACCTAGTAGTGAAATAGGTAGGTAGATATCCGCAGCGGACTCCATACGCAGTCGGAGTACACATTCGCGCCCTGCCCGAGGACCAGCTAGGTAAGCACTGTAGTTGAAAAAGATTGGTGATAGGTACCTAGAAGTTACGCCCAGTGATGTTTGACGAACTTGATCGCTTTGAGGCGTGATCGTTCCGTATTTAGACGCTGAAAATGTTCTTGGACGGTTTGATACGTAATGACGGGAATTCGCCTTCTCTGACTCCACTTGACCCACATCGACCGAGACCCCATTCGACTGCTGGACCGGACATTTTCTTCCGGGCAGAGACAAGCCCATCACCGCTGGCTGGTCTCTTCCAGAATTAACGCCTATTTTATTATCATTACTCTCTATTCCCGAGCCTCGACCTCCAATTAACACCTTCCAACATTCCGCCCCTCAGCCGCACCCCCCTAATTAATGTGTTATTCCAAGATGGCCTAGCTGTACCGTCCGCGATTAATAGCTTGAAATTGCCTATATTCTGAACCGCAGAAAGAAAAGAGGAAAACAAACGCATACTAGAAAAATTAGATATACAAGTGTCCGTATCAACTAGGTAGGTGACAATCTATTCTACTTACACGTGTACATACCCCGTAGAAGACCTCGGAATCAACGAGCAAGGACGACGGACAGTACCGCCAGCGTCTACAAGCATAAGAATCCTACCCCTAAAAGCTATTGCATACCATTGTCTTGGACATGAGATGATATGGTGTCGTTCTGAACTGGCTCATCAGGACCGGCGTCCCGACAAAGTCGTATGTCATGAGGCTCGTAATCTGCTGCTCATCAGATAAGTTTGAGAGCGATAATAGGGTTTCCCCAGCTGCTTTGTCGAGACTACAGACAAAACTGGGCAAAACGAATCGATTCAAGGGTTGTGCCCGAGTATCGTTGTGGTGCTAGTGTACATGGACTTCTGCCTGCTCCCCCCCCATCTAGTCCTTCTTCAGCGGCAGCAAAATCTCCTCGACCCCGTTACTGGTAATAACCATCATCTGCAAACCGTCACCAACTTCAATATGACGTTCGACTGCTCCGTCAAAGGCGTCTTTGACCAGGATCTCAACCTCATTTCGCGACAGAGGACGCCGTTCCCGCTCCTGAAGTGCGTGACCCTCACCGCTTCCCGGCACATACTGGTTCTTGAAATTGACCTGGTTGTCCAAGAAGGGCATTATCAAGCTGGCCGCTGCGCCACCAGCCCGGCACTGCTCCCGCTCGTAGCTGCCCACGGGGTCGTAAGAATAAACGGCGCCCTTGCCTGCCTCGTCCAGACCGCCCAGGATGGCATAAGCGTAATATGGAAAGAAACGCTTCTGGTATAGAATCGTCGACAGCCGCTGCGCGCACGCTTTAACACTCATGGGTTTTCCATGGCGATAACGGTACATCTTGCAGATGGAGTCGAGTCGTTCCTTGAGAGCTTCACCGTCGGCTGCGAAGCCCACTACCGAGAGTACGATGGTCGCATCGTGCTGGTCTGCTGTTGTACCGCCGATCTTGAATACTTTGGGATGGTGTCGGGAATTGATGCTATAGCCCGACGTCAGGCGCGTGTCACCCGCCATGATTGCGAAGTCGGCGCCAGCGATGGCGAGCGTTGAGCCGCCGTTGTCGGTATACCTGCATCAAGGTTTCAGCAGTCTGCGCTCGCACTTGCATCTAGAGGAACTATAAGGTGCGCACGGGGAACGTACGGGTCGAATCGATGCTCCCGGGAACCCTCAGGCGCGCTAGTCTTGGGTGCGTCGCTGAATGAGTAATTTGGCCCATTCATGAGCGGGTTCTGGCTGAACATGGCCATGGTCTCGACGATAACACGCCAACGGCAAGCCCAGGCTTATACTATGTTGCTTACGGGAGATATCGTCGGGAATCGATAGAGATGTAGAGCAGAGCGGTTCGTCAATGCGATGAATGGTTTCGTGGTCCAAGGGAATCCGTGGTGAGATTGAGGCAGCAGTGGTGTTGTTACTGGGTTGAATGGAGCTGAACGAAGCTCTGGCGCGCGTCAGCCCTGCAGCCTTGAGCTTGGGTGGTGTCGGCTGCTTCTGGGCGTTAGACCTGAAATTGATGAGTCAGCAAACGCCACGGAGAGAGCCCTGTACCTGGTGACCGCGCCGTAGGTTGGGCCAGTCGCGACAAGGAGAAGTCCAGACATGCAATACCTAGATGACAACTGTTTGATAATTCTGAAGCTCCCATACTACGGAATAGATACCTACAAGGCGAGTTTTGTGGTGTTTTTTTCTTTTCCTTTTTTTGCTCGACAGCAACGTGTCCCCCCCCTGGAGACACAATCGCAAACAGCCACGACGCCGTTTTATTACAGGAAAGCACCCAAGCTAGTTGTTTGTGCCCTACATCTCGGGGCTGTCTGACGTCGTTCTTGTCGATGCGACATGGCTCGCGATATTCGCCAAAAGGCATTGCAACGCATTGCCTTTCTCTCTGCCACAACACCATCCATCTCATTCGACAAATCGGATCTCGATCGGTTGTGTAGAGCTGCTCCAAGTCATGGCAGCCGATCCCTTGCCATCAACGGCCACAACGCATCGGCGCCTTCCAAGTCCGACAAGCTGGCGAAGCTCAATGTTGGCCGCGTCCCCATGGTACGCCAACTTTAAACATATCCAAATCCCCATCACCCACCTTCTTCCCCGAGCGGGCTGTGCTTGTCCCAATAGTTGCTGACCGTGCGTGGCAGAGCATCCGAGAGTATGAGGTCCTCTTGGCTCTCTGCAAGGCTGCGCCTGGTCTACAGGCCGCCCAGAGCGCGCTGAAGCTCGCCCGACACTTGGTACCTTACCTCATGGATGCCCACGTCCAGGCATTTGCTTCATCTCCCTTCTTCCGGAAAATCGAGCCGTCCCCGACCGAGTCGCTGAGCTACCATGTCACGGCCGCCCTGCTGTCTCTAGGGGTACAACACGCAGACGTCCAACAGCTGGTCTCGGACAACGTCACGGCATTCCTCGATGCCTGTGCGTTTGCCACCGAGAGCGTGTCCTGTGCCGATGATGACGACCCGGGAGCCCTCGAAGAGGCCATACGGACGGCGACTATCACAATTGCTCTCTTGGGCTTTCTTGACGCTGCGTGCGCGCAGGCGGATTTCTGGAGGTCCGGAGGTCGCCTGGGCCTGATAACCCGGCTCCGTAACCTTCTTTCGCAGCCCTTTCTAGTTGCTGTTGAGGCTGCTTTCTCCACCATTCGAAATTCACACTCCCACGACCGCGATGTTAAGGAGTGGAAAAGATGGCTCCGTCACTACGACGATATTGGTCGCCCCCTGGGTGCCATGTTATTGCAGCGGAGCTTCATGTGGCTGCTTGTGGCCGCAACGTCTCTCCTGGTCGCCGAGGAAGACGCCCTGCGGAGCTCCCATGTTCTTGACATACTCATGTCTGGGAACGGCTTGCGCCGTCCTTTGACTGCCAAAAGCGGCGAGGCCGATTTCCGCTCCGTGGAGTTTTACGCCACGGTTGCCATCGACCAGATGAATTACCTGGAATCGAGTGCCGATTTTGACAGTCTGTCACCGGCTAAGCAGAAACTTGCCTTTGCTGTCAAGGCTTGCGCCTTGATCAGCTATCTCAATGCGTCCACCTTGAACGAAGATGCCGCGGCTGGCGACGTTCTGATGGACTGGCTTGAAGACACCCTTGGCGATCCCGCAAGCATGGCAGATGAGGGCTTGGCGTCGGTAGTTCTCAAGTCGACGGCATTGCTCTGTAGGGTGTCCCCTGCATATGCAACTAATGTCAGCCGTCTTCTCCCCCGGTTCATTGTCCAGAGCGGAGCAAAGAGCCACACCGTGACCGTAGCATCAAAATGCCTCGCCTTCGTCCTAAAGCTACTCTCAAAGGACGCTATTATCACGACGCTTTACACCCTAGGCAATGTCTTGAGTCCCGGAAATGACCGGCCCCTTACCAATGGCTTGAACGGTGACACTCGGCACGATGCTCGCGATATTTCTCCCGTCTACGCGGCGAGACAGTCTACTGGCAGCTCGATTTCTCTGCAAATATCTGGGGAGGAAGACTCGTCGATTGTCCAAGGGAACGTTGTTCAGGCTATCTGCGAAATAGCGAGTACCTGCAGGGACGAAAAGATTACGGGGCTCGCCCAGTCAATGCTCGCGCAAAAGATTGCCAAGCTCAGCAGCCTCGTCGATGCTCGCATCATTACCGGGGCTGCCACGTTAGCTCTAAGTGGTGGCCAGTCCGAATTTCGTTATCTCCTCAAGAGGTTTGCTGCCGTTGCCCATGACGCTGTGTTGGAGAACAAGGATGGGGCCCTTAACGCTGTCATGAAAGCTCGAAACAACATCTCGGCCAATCTTCGACGAGATTCTCCACTGTACGATGCATACTTAGAGCATTTACTTGACGGCATTATTTCCCAAGGAGATGCGCATAGCCATCACTCTCACCATGCCAAGGAATCCGACGTTGAGCTAGCTGCCCGAGAGATCGCGCAGTTGATCCAGCCTCTTGCTGTTTTCATGTCTGTCAACGATCTTGCATTTGACGGCATCACTGATGACGACACCCATTCCATGCTCCGTGATGCGTGGTTCAACATTGTTGTCCACGGTTTCACTCCCGCAACGGAACGCGGGAAACTTCACATGAATGATCTGAGGATTATGGCTATCCACTCGCCGCCTCTGGTGTTGGAGAACCGTGGGGAGCAGAACGAAAGTGACATTGAGCTCAACCCTATTCTTCGCAGGGGTGAGGGCTCGGATCGAGAAACCCTGCAGAAGAAACATCTTGCAGAGCTGATTCCGACGAGAAGCAGCGAGATCAAGGGTCTCAGTTATCGGAAAGTCATATTCCTTCATGCAGCGCATCTAGTCGAGACTTTGCGGGCGGATGCGGGTGACTGCACCAAGGCATTGTCATACTTTCTCGAACCCAGCATGCGGCGAGGCGACGTCAGCCGCACCATGGATGGAATCATGAACGCTGCCATGGACAGGTACTTGAAGAAGACGCTCAGTGCCTCCAGTCCCACCTTCTCGGCGCAGTATGCAGCGAGTCAACTCGTCAAGATATTTTGCAGCTGTTGCCACCGTATCGAGAGGGTGCAGCAGGCCGCGTTCGGTTGTGCTGACCGCATATTGCTCGACATACCATCAGCCCTTTGCCAGCGGTCCTCGCTGTTTGCGCTTCTAGAGCTCCTCTCGTTGATGTGGTCGAGCTGCCTAGAAGCAGAAACGGACCGGTACGAGCCGCGGACTACGTTCACGTCCGCTCGGGGTGGAGTCACGGTTGAACTCTCAGACGATTATCAGCTTAGGCACCTGACGCTCGAAAGCTTACATGGGAAGGCGAAGACTTGGTTGACAAGTGCAATTGAGATTGCCCCCGCCGATGTGAAGGGGCTCCTGCAAACTTATCTTTCCGAGTTTGACGACGAGGGTACTTATGGCCATGTATCACTCGGTCGATCCTTTGCTATTGAGATAGGCTCCATCATCCCGTCGACGGACCAGAGACTGTCCTCGCTTGACGTTCTCGGCGACTGCCGCATCAATACCGCCTCTGATTTCATGGCGCAGTACACGACACGTCAAGAATATCGATATTCCGAGGCGCTGCCGGATCATAGCCTGGAATGGCTTAGTTTCATGCGTCTCGATCGCAGAGCCTCGATTTTGCCGTTGTCTGATAACGAGAGCGACGATGCTATCACTGCTCTCTCACACATTGAAAGGCGTATACTTAGTCGAAAGGTGACGACGCTAGCTGACGTTAGAGATATACTCCGACGCGCTGCCGCCCTTCTCTGCCGGACTGAGCAAGACGAATGTTCCATCGCCCACTATCTTGTCAGCATCCCATTTGCTATGTTTACGAAGCAGTCGATCAAGCTCGGCGTTTCTCTTTGGCTTGGGGTGATGAATGAGAATCCGAGGATGCAGCCGCGAATCTTGGTAGAGATTGCACAGCAGTGGGAATTCAGCGTTCAGAAGAGACTTGGGCTCTTCAACCCTATAATCACCAGCCCTGACCCTTTCTTTCTGAGGGAGGAATTTGCACCGAGTGATAGCGCTGCACTTGCAAAGCGCAAGCATCTAATCAACAACCTCCTGGCGCCCCATACACGTCTCTTGCAGTTTCTGAGCAGTCACTACAACGCTACCCGACTCGGAAACCCTAATACTCATCACGTCTTTCTCCGTCTTCTTGATGTTACCTTGAACGCCGTTAAGCAGTCAACGTTACACCCCATGGCCAGAGAAATCCGCTTCCAGGTGGTGCTCCTCGGCCTCAGGATCCTCAAGACTAGTACGACTATCGGTGCTATCGCACAGTGGCGGCTGAAGGACTTGATACTGTCTTCAGCACTTGGCTGGTTCAACACAGCACCGCGCTGGTCATTCGGCAGCAATATGATTCAGCTCAAGACAGAGATTCGCCTGATTTCGGACGTAATGGCAGCCTTGAAGGCAACAGCCCTCATCGGTGCGCAACCTGTGGGGAACATCAAGTCTCTTGCTTCCAAGGAGAAGCTCATTCAAATTCTACTAGAAAACGAGCAAGCGAGGCTGGCAGTCTGGGTTCACCCTGTGAATGAACATCAGAGGTCGCAACTGACGTTCCATCAGTCGAATAAAAATGCAATTGAAGTACGCCCCAGTCACTTTTCGTCCTCCCTACTTCCCTCGGTTCCACACCCTAGTTACTCTGACTGACTGTTTGATAGGCATCCGTTTTTCCGCTTGTTCGGACAGCTTGGGCTGAAAGCCCATCGCTGGCTGTGCATTTGATAGGCAGGTTTCAGTATCCACGAATCCATAAGGAGGTTCGCTGGCTGCTGCTGAACTTTCCCGCAAAGGCTGCTGCTGAGCCTGAAGCTCTGTCGGTACTCATCGATGGCGTGCTGCCCGAAGATGTCGGATTCCAGCTCAAAGTGAGCTAACCAAGCCCGAGCCATACTGCCCTGTTTCGTCGTCCGTGCTAACTTTATCGCCATAATAGTACCTGCTTTTCTGGGCACCGGTAAATCCCATCACTGCAGTAACATTCTTCCTGCCAGCCTACCGGAACCACCCTTACCTGATTCAGTATGCGATGAGGGCGCTAGAGAGCCACTCGGTTGATGTGACATTTTTTTATGTGCCGCAAATCGTGCAGACTCTTCGATATGATGCTCTTGGCTACGTGGAGCGCTATATTCTAGAGACTGCCCAACTATCTCAACTATTCGCCCATCAGATCATTTGGAACATGAAGGCAAATGCCTACAAGGACGATGACTCTCAAATTGTAAGGCATCTTCCTTTATCCGTCTTCCAGCACTTCGTGACGGGATCCTTTTCAGACGCTAACACGTCATAGCCTGATGCTATCAAGCCGACTCTCGACAAGGTCATGGGCCACATGATTGAAAGTTTCTCAGATGTCGATCGTGGCTTCTACGAACGAGAATTCTCCTTCTTCGATGAGGTTACAGACATATCCGGGAAGCTCAAACCCCTGATAAAGAAGTCTAAGCCCGAGAAGAAGCAAAAGATTGAAGAGGAGCTCCGTAAAATCAAGGTTGAAATTGGCGTTTATTTGCCGAGCAACCCAGATGGCGTAGTTATTGGCATTGATCGCAAGTCCGGCAAGCCGCTGCAAAGCCATGCCAAGGCCCCTTTCATGGCGACCTTCCGAATCAAGAAGAATAAAGCTAGCCTTCCAGAGGAGGAGGACGGAATTCTAGAAGAACCAAAGAGGAACGATATCGTCCAAGAAAGTACCATTGAGGTTTGGCAGTCGGCCATCTTCAAGGTGGGAGATGATTGCCGTCAGGATGTGCTCGCCCTTCAGATGATAGCAGCCTTCCGCGGGATTTTCCACAATGTCGGCCTGGACGTCTTCGTTTTCCCTTACCGTGTGACGGCCACAGCTCCCGGCTGCGGTGTGATTGATGTCCTGCCTAACTCGGTTTCTCGAGACATGCTCGGCCGGGAAGCTGTCAATGGTCTTTATGACTACTTTGTCTCCAGATACGGCAACGAGGACTCCCTCCGCTTCCAGCAGGCCCGGAACAATTTTGTCAAGAGCATGGCGGCTTATTCTGTCATCTCCTTCCTACTCCAGTTCAAGGACCGACACAATGGAAACATCATGATCGACGACGCCGGGCACATTCTCCATATCGATTTTGGTTTCTGTTTCGATATTGCCCCAGGTGGTATCAAATTTGAGCGTGCCCCATTCAAGCTCACGTCCGAAATGCTTGCCGTCATGGGTGGCAGTACAGACCACCAGTCCTTCAAGTGGTTTGAGGAGCTATGTGTTAAAGCTTTCCTTGCCTCTCGACAGCACACGGAGAAGCTGTCGCAGATTGTTCTTCTCATGATGGACAGTGGGCTACCCTGCTTTAAGCCGGAGAGCGTGAAGCACTTCAAGGAGAGATTCGTCCTGGAGAAGAATGAACGTGAGGCTGCTGATTTCATGAAAGACCTGATAAAAAAGAGCCACGCAAGTTATTCTACAGGCCTGTACGACCAATTCCAGCTCCTGACAAATGGCATACCGTATTGATTCGAACATGTCATGGTCAATTGGGATGGCCAGCCGGGGCCGGGGCACGTTGGAATTGCGAGACATGGGTGGTGACACATAGATAACTTTAACCTTCTTGCATTGCTCGCCCACTTTAATTCACTATAGAATAACTACGAGCCGAGTACCCAATTCGCTGAAGAGGAGTTATAGTACACATCAGCAGCCACTCTTGCCTAGCGAAAGTAATTTTTAGCCTACAGCTGCCAAAAATCACACCCGTCCCTTTTAGTTAACCTTATGTTTTTAGAATCCTTTCATTTTTTTATGGTTACTCCTCGGTACTCGGTTATTTATCTCGGCTTATTCAATCCTTGGGAAAAGTACCAGGTAGCTATCATTCAACTTTGTACCACTATATGGGCTCAAGATGGCATAGGCATATAAATATTTTTATGGTACCCCAACCCACCCGCAGACGCCCCGATTCGAGAGATGGGTTGACGGGCAGGAAATTTTGAAAAGCACGCTTTGATAGCGTGAAATTTGCTGGAATGGAGGGTTCTGTCTCTGACTCCAGGCTATAAAGTTATGGGATGCCCAGTCAATGGAACCAAGCCAGCCTGACGGCGCTGGAGGCGTCATGAGCGTGCGACTTGGGCTTGGGTAGGTAGACAAGCATGATCGGTACCCTAGCCCGATTGTTGTTGCATGTGTGTTGGCAAGTTATAACTTGCGTAGTCAACGTGGACAAATGCCCTATCAACAATAGGGACCGATTCAAGAACATATTGGAGACTCTCGCTAGTTTTCCCCCATCCTTGTCAGCGGCAGCACAGTCGGCCGAAAGTCACAGAACCTAGGCGAAAATGGCACGGGGTCAGAGGCAGGAGGCTTGAGAAAGGCGCATATCTTACCTCAGGTCGTGGCTGTCTTTAAGTGAAGTACTAGCGTCGAGAACAATATCGACCTGCGCCTGGCGGTCAGCGATTGCATGTCTTTTCAAACTACATGGCCTCACGTACCTCGACATTCAGCTTATCGCCTGCATGGTAGGCCTGTAATCCTTGAATTTTTTTAATGGTTTTAGCAAACCGCATGGTCAAGTAGAGCACTTCAAGGATTAGCTGGGCGTCACGTCAAGCGGGTGGATGTGGAAGCAACTCACGTATGTTCCTTTGATCTGCGGTGGCAGAGAAGCCAGAAAGGTGTCGGATGTGCTCCGAAGATGTCTGGGACCAGTTAAATATGACGACGAGGGAGAGCAGCAGTCCTCCCAAGGCATCCAGCCACCAGATTCTGGCGTAAAACCCGACTAGAATATGATATGGCAAGTATAAGCATTATACCGCCAATACATGAGGCGGGAGCAGATGGTAAGACAAACCTAAGGGAAAGGCGATGGAGCCAGCATTGAAGATGACGTCTGCAGCAAAAGAGTCAGAGGATGGATGGCATGGAATGTTCCCTGGCGATTCGGACGGGTAGTGCATACCGGTGCTTGCATCGGAAGCTCTGAGGTGATGCGGTTAGCGCTGTTTCACAGAAGGGCAAGGAGTTCACTTACAGAGCCTGGACACTTGAATTCTTAACCAGGCGGCACCAAAGCCAGCACAGTCCTTTGATGAAAATGGTGCCAAGCATAATGGCGATGGCTGGTGCGCCGCTATTACTTGTATATCAGCACAACTTCATAACACGTTCCGCTCAAGAAAACAAGAAGAAAAAGAAGAAGAAAACTCAGGGGAAAATAAAAGGGGGGAGGGGAAAATGCTTCTCGGCAAAGGCAGAGACAGACGGTAATATAAACTCACAGTTCAATTATCTCACGATCTGGTGAGGCAAGGCGCTGGATTGCTTGGAGAGCTACCTGAACAAAGGAGGTTATCATGATGACGGAGAATACGAGCACACCCAGCGGCTCTAGTCTGCGGCGGCCAATGGGATAGCGGTATTGGTCCTGTCGGCTGATCAGCCAAGTGGTGATCCAGACAATGGCGGTGGAGAGGAAGTCCAGAAGAGCGTCGACCAGACTGGCTAGCACCGACACGGAAGGGACGGAGACGACGACGGCGAGTTTCCCGGCCAGGAGGATGGCATTGGCAGCAAAGTTAACATTAATAGCGAGCGTGACTATGGGGGCGTCACTGTCGACTTGGTCATCCTCGAGCCAGGGGATTTCGGGCTTGGGGGTGTTTTCTGTGCCGGGTTCGCCGTCACGCCCGTAGTCGTCGCCGCCGTTGTTGTCGTCGTCATCAACGTCGCCGTAATGTGTCCGGCTAAATAACGGAGTGGTCTCGGTAGGCCGGTAGATATCCTTGGGAGTCCGTCTGATCTTCCGTGGGTTGTTCACAACTGCCGGCGAAGTAGTGGTGGCATCCTCGAGGGGCAGTAGGGCGGTAGCTTCCAAGGACGAAAAAGGCGGCTTAGACTTGGGAGGCGGCGGCGATGCCTCTTCAAGGATGGTGGAAGGGACCTCGACACCGCGGAATGCCGAGGCTGGCATGTTGTTGTACTCGTTGAGCAGGTCATGAGGCAGAGATGAGTCGAGCAGCTTGTCAATATAGAGGTACTGCTGAATGAGGTAGTTGACACGCTCGTGATACTTGCGGCTAGCATCGCATGCGAGGTGAGCAGAGCATGGCAGAGGGCTGGAGAAGGGAGACAAACATACATGGGGGGCTTCATGGAAGCCAGCTGGTCCTCGGTTTTCCAGTAGCGCTCCCACCGATACCTGGGATTGCTGTTCCCGATTAGGCGCATGCTGCGCATGTGAGGGCCGTTGAGGATGGCGCTGAGGCGGCGCTCGCTGGGGCGGGGATGGTCATCCAAGCTGCAGCGGTCGCCGCCGAGGCCCGTCTCTTCGTCGTCGCGTGTGAGCGAGAGCGACAGCGAGTTGTGCGGCGCGGCGACGGAGCGGCTCCCGATGAGCGACGCCAGTGCGCCGGGCTTTGGCAGAAGCGGAGGCTCATCCTGTAGCAGGAGAAACGAGCTGCGCCGGAAGGGCCCCGGCGAGCGCGAAAAGGACGACGGCGAACTCATTGCGCGTCCGCTCGCTCGTTCGCTTGTACGCGGTTCCGAGCCAACAACCCACGACTCTAACTACTGTCTCGCAATCTCGCAGTCTCGTAGTCTCGTAGTCTCGTTGTTGTTTCGATGCCGGCCGGCCGACCGTTTGTCTGTCCGTCTGTCTGCCCGTCTGTCTACCTATCCGTCCGTCCGTCCGTCCGTCCGTCCGTCCGTCTGCCTGTCAGTCCGTCCGTCTGCCTGTCTGTTTGGCTTCGTTCAGTTTGGTTTGGTTTGGTTTGGTTTGGTTTGGTTTGGTTTGGTTTGGTTTGATTTGGTTTGGTTCGGTTCGGTTCGGTTCGGTTCGGTTTAGTTGGGTTTCGTTCGCTTCTTCTTTCTCTCCCCACTTCTCGACTGTTTTTCACCTTACCTAGAAGTCCACGAGCTATTGATTGGTAGGTACAGCAAACCAACGATACACACCCAACCAAAAGTAAACTACCTAATTAAGGTCAATTAGGTGAAGTGCGCCGTTGAAATAAAACCGTCGTGCCTTCGGCTTCGGGTGATGGACGAGTCAGAGCTGACACGGCGCGATTCAGCCCAGCAGGTCAACCAACTACAGCTACCTTACCTACCCGAGGTACCCTACATTATCTGTACCTCTGATGTCCCGTTTAGATACCTAGTAATTACCCCTATGTGCTTAGTTGACGTGAATAGCAAGTTTCCCCTTCGTCTACCCCATTTATACCTGCCTTGGCGTACAAGCTTCATCCGTTCCTGTGTCTTCGCTCTCTTGGTTAAGGTACCTAGCGCTGCCGGCACCTCCTCAGGCCTTATCCACATCCATGCTTCTAACTGGCGTTGCAGTGGGTAACGAGTGACGGGCATACCCGAGTCTCCGTGTTCCAGAATGCTGACGAGGAGGGGCTGGGGTGGTTGTGGCGGCGGTGACGGCGGTGACGGCGGAGGCGGCGGCGGCGGCGGCGGCGGGTGGCGGCGGGCTGCCTTCAACCGTTCCAACCCCAAAACCCCCTGGAATCTCGAACTAGCCAACTGCCAACCAAGACGCCCATGGATGTATCCGCAGCATCTTTTTCCTCCCACCTCCAGTTATCCATGTTAAAGTTTCAGGCACCGGGTTTTGTTGGCACCGAACCCCGCCGGGGGGGAGAAGGATGTCCCACGGAAATCTGCCTCAGCATCCCACCTCCCCTTTCTAGGTGGGTCGTATTTCGTGCAGCGAAGGTGAAGCCGCTGACGCCATTGAGCATTGTTGTTGGTTGCTTGTGGAGGGGTTCATTGCATACAGCATACATACCACCTCAGTATTGCATCCAGAACTTCCACCTCGCTGCCGGCATCACACCCATAGTCGGTTCAAATGCTGCAGAGGGAACTGCTATAGATGCAGTATATACATGCTAATTATAAGGTATGTATTCGTGAATATTCCTGGACTTTGCAACGGCGGGTTTTACGCTGACACCAAGAGCCTCAAGCCGAGAGGGTTGGACAACACGGACTGTGTATACACATACATTGATTGGATGCAACCATTGTAATCCGAGGTGGTGTCTTTTCAATGTAACTGGTACCTTATATATATTCCGTTAGTACAGATAATCTAGATGTTTACATTCTCCTTTGATCTTTTCCTGAACGTCCTAGCTCGTGCCAATGAACAGCTAAGCAGGCAAGTTATTACATATTGCATACATGTTCGACCTGGTTGCCGCGACATGTGATGTGACGGGGCCATCATCCCAAGCTCTACTATTCCAATAGGGCCGACCGATTCAGTTGAAGCTTTTGGGGCGCAGGGTTGCCTTGGCCACTGCAACTGTTGTCTAGTTAGCCCGCAGAGGCCTTCAGTGTTCCAGGCAGGTGGACTTTGAGGTATCGCATCCATTTGTTACCTACCTACCTTACCTGCTTCCATGGTGCCTTGAAGGTATTTATGTTTTCACCAGAGCATGAAACACTAATCCGTTCGCCACAGTAACTGAGGTGCCTCGAGTACCTAGTGAGCAGAAAGAAGGCTCGGGGCTTGCGCGCCAGTGCTTGGTAACCAGAGGCGACATGACATAGGGCAGCATGCGCCTTCGGAAAACGGTATTGATGTTCTCCACCCAAGTTTAAAACATCACATGCCACCGGCGCACCTCAGGCGGGTCACGGTCAGTCGATGTCGTGGATATCGTCGAGTCAGCCCGATTTAGGTTGCTCTGGGCAGAGATGGATGCACGAATTTTTAGGTTGCACGAGGGTCACGTTGGTAGCATGCTGTCTAAAGCGCCGTTTTACACATGAATAGGTAGGTTCCATTGCCATGCACTGCCACCAAGAGACGGGAGTTGTCCTCGCATTGCCTTGCCTTGAAGGAGCAGCCCGCCCAGATCCTGCGCCAAGTTCGGGTTTGTATTTGATTGGCACCGAATATGCCACCCAGGAGGAGGCGCATGGAAGCTACCCGCCAAGCTAACAAACATCTTTGCATTCGGCCTTTTGGGGGTTTGCCAGCTATGGATACTGCCCTGACTGTATTGGACCCGAATCTGAGACCTGTGATGGAGTACGGAGTACGGATCATAAAGAAGCCAGGCGGGCGGACTATCTCAGGTTCCTATTATTGCCAATTTAGGCTTCCTGTATCTTAGCTATGACACAAAGCTTGGACAGATTTGACAGATACTATGACAGACAGGCCGATGAGTCTCGGGGAGATATCAGGAAAGGCCTACTAGGATACGTACTAGGTTTAGAGGTGTCCTCCGTTTCTGAGTTCCGGGTCCAACAAACAAATTCATTGGGGTAAATCTGTTTCCCGGCGATCCCGGCGATCTATCGGGGCTGGTCGCGCTCAGGTCCTTCACCCGGGACGCTGTCCGCAATGCGAAGACAACACGGACCTAGGCTTCAGGCCTTTCAGGTCATCGTGCGTCAGTCCTGCATGCTGATTGAACACATTTCATCCTGCACACGCTGTACACATAGGTAGCTCGAAATTATGCGGCTTCGCGGCTTGCCCAGCGCCCTCTGTTAGCAGAATCAGGTCTGCAGCAACAGGGGATGATGAGCAGGGGCGCTGGGGCGCTCGCCAACAGGAAGGCGCTATTCCCGCCATCATCCTCGCCATTGTCAGTAGCGCCTCGAGTCTCCCCACTTCACTTTCGTAATGCTGGCCAAGCCGAGCCTGGAAATAAAAATAATTCTCTGCCAACCCGCCTCTTTCCCCCCTTCCTGAAATCCAGTCTCGTTACGTGTTGTTCCTCCGTCACGCCTCCATTTTGCGTCCCAGTCTCGAAACTTGCCCCTCTCGTCGCCAATCATTTGACGCATCTGTTGCCGGTAGTTTGACCTTTCTTCTTGATAATTTCTCTATTGTTTAGAAGCCATTGCATTCTTTTTCCTCCTTTTTTTTTTGTCTTGTCACAACTCCCGTCCTTGGGAACTCCGACGAGCCCTTGCGCCAAATTCCCCAGATCCGGACCCATTCAGGTTTCAAATCTTCAGAATCACTCATTCTCGCCCGGCCATCACAACCCGTCCCGGCAGATATTGTTTACTCCATTCACACAAACCTCGTGTGTCCAAACAAGGCTCCTCCGTGCTTTGTAGCTTTGTCGAGCCGATTTTCTCCGCCTCGTAAGTGCGACAAGCCTTTTTTGGTTCATGAACGGGCCGCCTTGCAACAGGCCCCCCCTTCTTTTTTTTTACCATCTTTCGCCAATTGGGTGTGGGGGTGCCTTTTTTCAGTTCTCTTATTACTTGGTGCGAGGCCTCACGAGACATCCCCTTTTCTGTTTTGACGGGCTGTCTCGTGTCACTTGGGGTGGGCGAATTCACGGGCACCAGAAACTCTTGCGATGCTGTTGCTACCTACCCTTTTCTCTTCCGCTTGAGATTTCCTGTGCCTCTTTTCCCCAGTCGCCTGACGTCGCTGTGGGACCTGTCTTCTAACTTTGACCGCCCAGATATGCAGCTGGCCGTCGTGTCTCATTCAAGGAATATTCGCACTTGAAGGTAGCAGCGGCAATAGGGCAGGGCCCCACGTCGCCCTCTTATTTCCCAACTCTAGCACGAAAACAAAGGAGCCGCACCTTTTTCTGACGGACGGCCGACGCGTTTGACGGGGCATCTTCGCAGTTCGGACGATCCGATCTAGACTTTCATATGCCTAGATTTCCAGCCGCATTCTCCAGGCGGAAGTCAACCGCCGACAATCTTGATAATGCCCAAGCGAATGAACCGTCCTTTCGCGTACTGGAACGTCCCGACGTGGCGGGAGGGAAATCTTTTGATGGGGCTGTGAGACTTACGACAAAGACACATACCTTCCCGAAGACGAATGTCCCGCCAAGAACCAATAGGCCAGCCCTCAATATCAAGGACAACATCTTTGCGGATCTCAAATCAAACCGGTATGTAAATGGACTCTTTTTGGATGATGTCTGCCCTACAAGTATCCCTGACCAGTGGTATCTCGGTGCATCGGTCACGCGCGCGACGGGTGGTTGCTGTTGGGGAACCAGTTCGCTAATTGCTGCTTAAAGCGGAAGCGGATCTTCAAATACGACCAAAACCACATTAACCGACAACTCATCGCGTCACAGCAACACTTCGACAACCCCGTCTTCGGCTGACTTGGGTGGGCAGGAGGAGTGGCGAAACATACAAAAAAGGGGGGGACCAACGGAAATGCCCCTTCCGCCGATTCCTCCAATTCCAAAATCATCTTCGAACGGATTTTTGAGGGCCGCTGGTCGAACGTTCTCGTTTGGGGGGCAAAAGAAAAATTTACCGCCCGTACCTGTAGCGGAAGATTCGCGACCATCAAGCCCTATTGCTCCAGAGGCTCAACAAACACCTGCTCCTGGGCGTTCGAGAGCCACGACCTCGTCAACAGCAACGACTGTCACACCACCCAGGGTAGATGGTGACTTCGATCTCGATTTAGGTGGTGATTTTGGCAAGATGCTTCTCGGAAACGACAAAAGGGCCAGTGTTTTGACCCTAAAGAATGATCAAAATGGAAGGCAAGCCGTAGGCGCCCGGAACTTGACCACCACACGGTTGAGTCAACCTTCTCCTATTCAGATTGACAAGACGACAAAGGTCGAGCCCTCGCCATATTCCTGGAGTAGTCATCATTCCAACGAGCAACTACTTGTCCCGGCAAGCCCTTCGGATTCGCCACCAACGCATGAGGGCATACCTCCGCCTGTTCCTCGCCATTCTTCACCTTTGGCTGGGAAGCTGCTCGGGCCAAGTGCATCGCCAGAAGGGTTTCTCAATAAGCCATTCCCGGGACGTCAGTCTCCCAACATTGAGCATGGGGGGGGAAACGACGAGGAAGCGAAACTACTCAGAGATTCTTTGTCCACTGTGACACGATTTATGAGTGGGGCGAGCTCGGCTGGTGTAGCGGCAACTTCATCCACCTCTAGATATCGAAGGAATGGGGATTTCACGACTGCAACCACCACAGATGTCTCAAAAGACGAAGACGAAGGCTTATTTGACTCGAGCCAAATATATTCCCTCAAGTCTGCAAGCCGCTATACGCTTCGGAAGTCGGCCTCTCCACAGAATACCAAGGTGATGACGCCAGCCCAGTTTGAGAGGTATAGGGAAGATAGGGAGCGTCAAGACAAAGAGCGTCAATTTGACACTGCAAGCAATACTAGGGGAAACGAGGAAGACGAGGATGACAATTACGAAGACGACGAGGACGATTTGGAGAAAGCCAAGCAACAGGCAAAGCAAAGGCGAAAGCAAGAAGCCCACATGTCTGTGTACAGGCAGCAGATGATGAAGGTGACTGGGGAGTCTGCGAATCCATCACAGTCTCGCCCAAGTCTCCAGATATCGTTTAGCACTCCTAATCTACCCAACTTGAACCCGGGGATCAGTCCTGTGGCCAACCCATCCGATGTCTCTGACGAAGATGAGGAGGTACCTTTGGCTATTCTCGCTGCACATGGGTTCCCTGGCAAAAACCGCCCACCAACCCGCCTGAGCACCATGATGTCCAATCCGAACCTTCGTGCCAGTCAGCAACCTAGCTATCAACGGCCAGGGTCGGCAGTTGGTGAAGCCTCGGGGCAAACGAACCTGCGCCTTCCTGCCTTTGCTCGGAACCTGCCCCAGGATCCTTTCCTTGGCGCTGGTCTTGTCCGGAACACTGTACGAGAAAGCTTTGCTCTTGGCGGTGGATCGACAACTTCCGGCCAACCCGGCACACCTGTCCCTCCAGGCGGCTTAGTCGGCGTTATCGCTAGTGAGGAACGTTCTCGGGCGATGAGGCGAGGCAGCCCGCATATCGATACCCAGAACCCAGTATCAGCAGCAACGCCCGGTTTTGATCCGATTGCTGGCATCCCCCCTCATATGTTGTATCAGGGCAATCCTGGTCCTATGATGGCCACTTCTGGCGACCAGGCTCAGATGCAAATGACACAGCAGATGCAACAGATGCAGCAATTTATGCAGATGCAGATGCAGTTCATGCAAATGATGGCGAACCAGAACGGAAATGCCCAAAATTTTCAGATGGCCGCACAGCCAATGTCGAATATGGGCTCACCTGGCGGCTTTCCTGGCATGGGGGGCATGCCGCCAACGTTGGGAATACCGGAAATTCCTGGGATGGGAGGGCCTGAAATGCGACACTCTTTCATGGGCCATGATTCGATGCTTGATTTGCCTTCAGCTCGGGGCGATGCACAAATGCGCACCATGAGCATGGTTCAGCCGAGCTCAGCCTCGTGGATCCAACCTATGCAGAATTCCGGCTTCGCTCCGTCGATTCGCATCCATGGCGCCGGCTACGCGCCATCAATTGCTCCATCTGAACGTAGCAATGTGGGCCTCCCGGGTCGTTACCGACCAGTGTCTCAGGCCCCTCCGCCGCAACCTGTCGGTTTTGCGCATTTGCGTAAGGTCTCAACCATGTCTGGCGCCTTGCAACCCGGAATTTCGGTTTCCAAATCTGGCAACACCTCAGACGACGATGACGAAGAAGGATGGGAGGCCATGAAGGCCAAACGTGAAAAGAAAAAGTCAATGTGGAGGACGAAGAAAAACATCGGTAGCGAGATAAGCGCACTCATTAGTTAGCGTGGCGTTGGCTGCCATAAGAGGTCATTGTTTATGGGATCGATGGCTGGATAATCGACCGATTTATTTGGATGGGAACTCCTGCCTCTCCTAGGGGTCTACTCATTGGATAGAACAGCGAACTACCAGAATACTGTATATTTATGTTTGTTCGGGGACTGGAGTCGAGAGTGCTAAAGAGGGGTAAGATGGCCTGGATTGGTGTGTAGGAACGATTTACGATAGATATGGCACCGCCGACGCAGTAATTTAATAATAGTAAGATATTTATTTATTCATTTGTTTAGGGGCAGACTGTTCCCTCTCGTGGGGGACTTCCTAGAGAGCCGTTAGTGAGGCTCTAGGTCGAGACAGGAGCGACCAAGAAAGGCGAAGGCGATTATTTCTGTATAGAATGAGTACTTCGTAAAGAGGCTCGAAGCGGATCTAGCCTAGATGCTAGATGGTGTGTGATTTCTCTCCTAATCGATTCTACCAGCAGCCCAACTCTTCCGCTTCACTGCCATTTCGACGGCTGCGAGACCCCAGTCTTCGCCGTGGTTGTGGCTTCCATCGAGAATGCCAGCTCTGGCCCTTGCCTGATCGTCGTTCAGCACAGTAAGAACGCCAAAAATGACGGGTACGCCCGTGTCCAAAGACACACGCATCAGACCCTGGGATACGCTTTCGGAGATATATTCGAAGTGCATCGTTTCCCCCTTGATCAGCACACCAATAGCAATTAAGGCATCGAAAGGGCCCGTTGAAGCCCCCGCAGCGGGGAGGGGCGTCAGGTCTGTAGTTGAGCTGCCCAACAGGTCGCCCGCTGTGCTGCCACTACCGGCCGACGAGGACTGCACCTGCGAGGCCGAATAGAGACTGTTTGTCGGCCCATGGGTCAGCGTTTGGCGCTCAGGAGCTCCGTCGTCGCACCAGTAGCAACGGGGGAGGAGGGGTCCAAAGGGGGCAGACAGGCGCACCGTTGGACCGCGATTGGCAGTTCCCAGGAACCGGGAACCGTCTGCACCACGATATTTGCTTCTGAAACTCCGGACTCGAGCAGCTTGGCCTTGGTACCCGCTAGAAGAGGTTCAATGATGGTCTCGTTCCAGCGCGCATGGACAATACCAATTCGCAGGCCGCTGCCATCGTGCTGCTGCGGAATGGGGCCTTTATTGTGCATAGCTAGGTAGGTATGGGGGCGTCACTCCAAAGCCGTTCTGTAGCGAGTAAAGTGGGTTAGAAGCTTTCGGAATATCCGTACCTTCTATTAGTTTAATGGGGGGGGGAAGGATCCAGGTAGGTTCTCGGAAGGCATCCAGGGAAGGGTTGGAGATCTTACTAGTTATAGTCCAGTAGTAAACTGTGATATTATCGAGGGGCAGCTTTGATCTGCCGCCCAGCTTGATCATCTGGGGTCTTAGCGCTGCGAAATGTTTCCAGTTTACGGATACTTTACTTATTACGCACTGACGGATACTGCACCTTAGACAACCCGATATTCGGAGTTTACCAGGACCCTCCCGTTCTAGGGGTTTAGAGTAATAATCCGGCAAGAAAGCAGAACCCGCAGATACGCAGGGGTCTACTTGTATTCGATGACATACGGAGTACCATATGTATCATGTGTATTACCCATACAAGTAAGGATATACCGAAGGTACGGTAAGTTACTTTGGTAAGGTGTGTGGTAATTACATGACACGTCGAGCTTGAGTGAGTTGTCGACTTCCTTGTCGCACTTGCCCTTAATTCTCCAGACTCGCCTCATCACCCCATCGTGACTTCCACCCTGCATTTGCTTCAGATAGCAAGACCCCATTTACGTCCTGTGCACCTCCCTATCCTAGTGAGATAGGCAGAAAACCACGACTCTTCCCACATCATGCCTGCAACTCCATGGTTTCTCCACTGGTGTCCTAGCTTTGTGAGTTAGGCCGTTCATCTTGTCTCGTCGTCATCCATAAGGTATTCAGTATTGGGTATTCTCCCATCAGACACATTTATCGAGATATATGTCCTACATCTTCAATCTTTGATCTGTCATCTTCAATCTAGGAGCTGTCGGGTACCGGACGCCTACACAGTCATTCTGCGGGCTTGAGGTTACTAGCATGCCCATCTCACCTCTTCCGGAGGCCACGACCCGCCTGTTGGGTTCATCTCTCGTCATTTCAACCCCTGTGCACCTTGTCAAGGAGCTATTAGACAATGCTATAGACTCTGGAGCAACCTTTATTCAGGTGCTTATGTCCTCAAACGCTATTGACAGGCTTGAGGTCAGAGATAACGGCCATGGCATCCATCCGGACGACTTTGATGCTCTCGGCCGTCCGGGGCATACCAGCAAGCTCCTGTCATTTGATCAACTCGAACAACTCGGTGGCACAAGCCTTGGATTCCGCGGAGCAGCATTAGCAAGTGCTAGTGCTATGGCAGAAGTCTCGGTGACCACGAGGACATCAGCTGAGAAAGTTGCAACAACCCTCCGCCTCGGCGGTCGCAAAGGGGTCCAGAGACAGGAGCTCACGCCCGCCCCAGTCGGTACCACTGTCTGTGTCACTAACCTATTTTCCCGATCTCCCGTGCGGTCAAGAGCCGCTGCAAGGGATTCTGTAAAGAATCTGATGAATATAAAGAGGCTTCTTCAGTCCTACGCTCTTGCAAGGTACCAGATTAAGCTACAGCTCAAGGTATTACAGAGCTCTATTCCGATATGGTCTTACGCTCCTATACCCAACTCCGACGCCAGAGGGTCCGTCCTCCAACTTTTCGGAATAGATCTAGCATCTCAGTGTGTATCCCAGGTCTCTATCCAAACTGGGCAGGATGCTCAGCTCGCCAATACCAGCCGTGGTCACTGTCCCACGTCCCGAGATATCAATGACCCAATATTCGAGGCGGTTCTACCTAAACCTTGGGCCGACCCTCTGAAAATTTCGAAGGGAGCGTTCTTTTCGGTAGACTCGCGCCCCCTCTCCTCTACTCGAGGGACGGCTAAAAAACTCCTATCAATTTTTCGTTCGTATCTCGGCCGCTCCATCCGATTTCCAGACAACAACACGACATTACGAGACCCATTTATTCGCTTGAACATAGTGTGCGCACCAGGCAGCTATGATGTCAACGTTGAACCCTCAAAGGATGATGTGTTGTTCAACGATGAGCAGCGTATCATCGACCGATTTGAACACTTTCTCACGTTGATATATATGGCTCCTAGGGCTGCCCCTAACACTCAGCCTCCTAAACATTCGAGGCAACTAATTACTAACGTTATTGGGGCCGAACCTCCCCATGGCCCCAATAATAGTCCACCCCTTCAGGTAGAGCACCTTTCCATCGTCGAGATTAATCAGGGGGTGCTAAACGTGTTACAGCCATCGATGGACACGTGGATCGTCGATATGTCCCCAAGCTTCGATCGGCCAAGTGACGACAAGAGCGAAAAAGAAAATCATCATCCCCCCCCCACATTAACTAGCCAACCTACAGCAGACATTACTTCAAGTGTCTCCGAAGTTAACATTTCTGACCATCTGATGGAAGGGTTGAATCCCTGGTCGATTGCCAAGTTAGCCGCGCCTCGCCGACGTGATGGGCCAAATAGCAGCGAATATCTCAGACAGACTCGAATTGTGCCTCGAGTGCCAGATTCCGAAACTCTATGTCCCGATGACGCTAACAATGCATACACTTCAGCAAGACCAGCACGTCTCAGTCTCGGTCTCCCATGGCGACAGCAGCATCCCGCAGCTTCACCGACATCGAGCAACTCAATATGTGTGGTTGGCCGAAGCACATACCAGAAGGCGGCCAGAGGTTTGACAACCGTCTCAAATGGGGGCAGTTCCCGAGATCGAGAACGCATCAACCCAAAATTTCGAAACCCTCTACAATCATCTTCCGGCAAAGCACGACAGGCCCGAACACACCAGGACAGCGTAAATATATACCCTATCTGCGAAAAGACCTCTGGTGAGCTCGCCGAGACTCGGACCTCGTTCAGTGGTGGCAATGCGCGAAGAAGGCATGATGAGGCACTCTGGGACCATCACCCCCAAACATCGGAGGCTCTGAGATTTAATGCCTCCATCGAAGATTCAGTAGCAATACGTCGTCACGATATCGAACGACTTAGAAACTTTCCGGACAAGATTCCACGCACAAATTTCGAATTCGGACGGGAATCTACGCAGGCGCCGTCTCGCCAGGGACTTCACTCGTGTGACAGATCGGAAAATATAGTCCCAGGTGTGTGTGTCATGGCAACACAGACTAGCCTACCGAGAATTGATTCCGAAGTTCCTCGCCAACCGGATCTCCCCACCCGTGATTCGAGGGCGTACTTGATTAGGAAGCAAAAGTCCATGGAAAATGACCCTGAGAAGAGGTCGGGACGTGTGATGACAGATTCACTACCGCTCGAAACAACACCAAATAGTCACCAGACGCAAACCCTGGCCCTGACGATAAATATCGTTTCGTGTAATCTGGGGAGGTGGCTCGTGAGTGCATCACAATTTGACAATTACGTGAGGCATGGGACGTCAGAACATGGCTTCAAAATCGGAGGAAGTGTGTTTGATATAAAAATGATGGAGTCCCGGCTGCTGAATCTTCTGGCTCTTCGGAACGAGGCCTGAAGTGGTCTTCAAGCATCCTCGTCTCCTCACGACCTCGGCCGTGTTGCTTCTGTTCTAATTTCTGCAACAGAAGATATGGAAAGAAAGCGGCTATAATAAGTCATGAGGATCAACAGATTTGCACAAGATCTTGCCGAGCTGTTGACGTCTGGAGGGCAGCGAGAGTTGGCAAGCTAAATCGCTCAGCTATGAAAACACATGAGGTACCTTCCTTAGCTTACATACCATAGTTATCGGATAACAAGAACAACTCTATAGACTTGCCATTCTCATCGACCGAATGCATTTACTACATTATCTATTAGGGCGACGGTCTGTTAGAAGGGTCTTCACGGGTCAAAGTCCTATGCTCTAGATAGATTCCCGTTTTTAAAAGATATTTTATGTTACTAATATGACGGGATGCTTGAGTGTTGGTATGTCACTGAAGAGCGTGAAATGAAAAGGGGTTCGTTAAGAGAAACGTTGGCTACCAAACTCAGACTATGGACGGCGAAATACGGATTTTCTTTTACTGAGATAGCGACCATAACCGTGGCTCTCGCACTTCGTTATAAACCGATAAAAATTGCAGTAGGGATGAATACGAGACTCTCGCATCGCCTGCGCGAAGGTAAAAAGCACAGCCCCTCTGCGGCCCCTGCGGCGTCCAGAGAAGATCCAATGTCTGCGCCTGTGAGCTTGCCAATTTCTGATTTCTAGTGTATAACAGAGAAGCAAAGGCAAATACAGCCTATCTCCCGAGTACACCTAACTATCCGAGTCCCTTGTACTTAGTAGGCAGTTGCTCGATTGTGTCGACTTATGACTTTCGTTGCTGGTGTCGAGTGAGTAAAGGTCAAGCTGTTCCACCTAGCCCACGTCATCGCAATCAGAGAGCCACAGGCAGGCAGCATAAAACGAAGCAGACAGGGATGATGGTTGGGTTACCTGTCGGTAATGTTAGCCAATTACAGAGGAGACAAGTGGGGGGTAAGAAGGGTGTAATCAACACATGCATACAAGTACATCGTCCTAAACAAATATAATATAAATTACAGAGTACCGGAGTATCGGTGGGCACTTTCCAGGCTGCGGCCGGCTTGGCTGGAGCAGACAGACGCCCGTTTTGATAGCACACGCCCCCACATTTAACGCCGCGGTCCCGTTCAAAAGCGTTTCTTGATCCCTGGGCCGCTGTCTATTCATTTTCCATTGCCTTGTTAGTTCCTTGGCTTGCCGACTTGTCCTGCATCCAAGTTCTTATCAGCCCAAACTCCCACAGCCCCCAGGGAAAGAGGCGCTGGAAGATGCGCAGGGCCATGTAGCCCGGGTGCCCGCCGTGCTGTTGTCGCTTTCTGTCTTTTCGGGTTTCCAATTGCTGACGCCGACTTCCCAGCGCTTGCCCAAACCTCAATCATGCGAGCCGCGCATGGTGATCACGGCCGCCTTTATTTCCCGCTTAATTCCGACGACGACGACGACCACCTGAGAGGTGTCCGCTGTGCCGACGGCGGTTATAATGGGACGCAACACTGTGGTGCCCAGGCGCATGCACATGTGAGCAAGAAGGCACGTCTGGTGCGGCCCTTAGGCGCTGCGGACGGCAACAGCAGCGATACTCAACAGCCGATGACGGTGACGATGACACCGGCGCAGTCTCGCCTCCATGTTCACGAATGGGTGTCGCCGGTCAGGTTGGCGGCAGGTCTCTCAAGGTCTGCCTGGCCAAATGCACGTCTATGGCCCTTTTCTTGTCTGCGGATTCTTCTAATTCTTCTCCTACTGGGCGCCCTCTTTCGACCCGCCGTCGCCGCTCAAGTGGCCTTCGAAAACTGCCTGCCCGATTCCTATAAGAATTATGAACCGACACCATTGCAGTGGAGGGCCGTATCCGTAGACGCCTCGTTCGACACGACGGATACCAAGCATACGCTCCGAATTACTATGTGGGGGAACGTGACTGGCTCCTCCACCAACATCACTCTGCCACCACCGAGCAGTCCCGACTGGACAGACGCCACCAAGCTCGATGGCAAGATTCTCGACGAGCCAGAGCCTGACGCCGTCAACCCCAAGCTCACGACGCTCCATAGCAAAATCGATGTGCTCACCTACGAGCCCTGGAACGAGAGCACGAATTTTTGCAAGATGCTAAGCAACGCATCGTGTCCCCTAGCGCCCGTCTTCAACGCGAATTCTAGGTATGTAGTGGTTGTGTCAGGTTACGCTCCCTTTTCTGTCAAGGTGGTGCTGATTTGGCTTGGAACAAACCCTCCCCCCTCGGCTAGCTTGCTTCCCATCGGTCTTCCGTACTTGACTATCAGCAACGATTTTTATTCGTCGTATGCATTTACGTCCTTCTCGGCCACCTTCCTAATCATATACGGTGACGCCAAGGTCACCAACATTGGTTGCGTCTCTGCAGCCATCACGCCTGACCTGGGCAATTTGACATGGATGCTCAAGTTCCTGCCCCTGCTTGTCCTTCTCTTCGTGGCCGGTGCCACGGTCTTTGCTGGCATCTTTAGCCCATGGGGGACTGTTGATATTTTCCATTGGACTTCCAATTACGGCCGTGACCCCGATCTTCTTCGTCTCGTTACTCCGGGCTTCGGCGATTGTCTCCAGTACATACAGTTCATCGTGCTGACCGGTGGCCTAACCCTCAACTACCCCGGGTTTTATCAGCCAATTGTCAGTCAGGCTTCATGGTCAACGCTCATGTTCAACCAAAGTTTTGTCAGTAAGTCGACGGGGTGGCTCAGCCTGAGGGACGGCATCTACGTCACGAATGGCACCTATGGCCTGCAGAACCTCGCACAGCTGGTGGGCATGGGCAATTTAGAGGATATCTGGGCTGGCATGATGGTTTGGCTACTCGTCATCATCGCCAGCATGTTCGTCCTCGTCCAGTCCGGCTTTCTCGTCCAGTGGGTTCACCGATTCGTCAACAGGATTCCTGAGGAAGACCTCCGCGCCAAAAACATACCGTTCACATTGGGAAATGTGGTGAGGATCGTTCTGAACTACTTCCTGCTGCCAATTGTCGTCCTCTCCGCCTTTCAGCTGGTGGTTTCCAACGAGTCACCGGCTTACAGCGTTGCCCTGGCCGTCATGACGCTTGTTTTGATTATCGGCTTCGCCGCGTGGCTTCTTTACCTTACCTTGTCAACAAAACCGAGGGCCGTCTTATTTGATGATCTTCCGACGGTCCTTCTCTACGGCCCCTTGTACAATACCTACTCGGACGAAGCGGTTGCCTTTACCCTGGTCCCAATATTTCTAACTTTCATTCGCGGTATCACGATTGGGGCGGTTCAGCCTGCCGGCGTTGCCCAGGTCATCATCCTCGCGGTCTGCGAAGTCGTCCAGATATTGACCTTGCACGGCTTCCGACCCTTTCACTCGCCCACTTCTATGAATGCCTACCACACCCTTTTCTCGGCCCTTCGTCTAGTCACCGTTCTGCTCATGGTCGCATTTGTACCCTCGCTCGGGGTCACCGAAGGCCCAAAGGGCTGGATTGGTTACGCTATCCTACTCATCCACGGCGGCGTTCTCGTGCTCGGTTTCTTCCTTAACGCTATCCAGACCATTGTCGAAGTGGCTGCCCGAATGCTTGGTGCTGGAGGCGATGACGTCCGTGGTCAGTCGAGGGGAGGTCTTTCAAAGATTTTCGGAATGCGGCAGCTGTCTCGGCGCATGTCCCGACGCGAGGCCGGCCCTTCAAGGCAGAGCCAACTGTCTAGTTCTGCTATGCTGGATGCCGAGGATGCGTCAAAGGCTGGCTATATTATGGCAGGAGGCCGCATCAGGAGCGAGTCAGCGGGAAGCATGGGCGTATTGATGAATCGTCAACAAAGAAGCTCTTCGGCCTTGGACAGTGTTAGCCTCGAAGCCCCCGCCCGAAACTTCGATAGCGGCGCAAGTTCTCTCACGCCTACTACTCCGGGGGAGGCTAGCATGTTTTCCTTCCTGCCGTCTCCCAGGCAACAGTCTCGACAGCAAGGTGCGCTAGGCATGCAGCCTGCCGACCCGTACTATCGGCCGCCTAGACAGCGACGCCCGACTCTGGAACAGTCCTCTTCAACAGCTTCCAAGACTGGCGGGTCTTGGATTACTGGTGACTGGTCGCAGAAACGACTCAGCCAGGCTGGAGGAGGTCTGATCGGGGGCGAGGTTTCTGACGATGATGGTCAGGCGGCAAGAGACGCTACACCTACACCCCATGTGCAGCCCGCGGTACCCTTTGCACCGAGAACAGATTACTCAACGCGAGAAGTTGATTTTTATTACGGCGTAAGAGGCCAAAGACTGAATTCGGTTGGGCCAAATCGCAAACTGGGCACAGGTCCAGCTGATCCTACTGGACCTATGGCCTCGGCTGCAGGCTGGTTCAGGAATGTTTTAGGGGGGAAGGGAAAAGAGAAGGCGAAGGGTTTCGAGGTTGTCAGAAGTGCTCGGATGCCGCCTACTATGCGCTCCAAGGATAGCGACTTCGTGCATGAGGTACCAGAGGGAATTCCGGTAGCTATGGGCGTGCTCCGCAACGGGCCGATTGAGTCGGATGATGAAGACGAAGGGCAACACGTCCAAAGATCTCGTCCGACAGAATCGGAAGCGGCTGAGGAGGTGAACGTGAGGGGGCTAGATGACGTGGGATCTTCGGAGACTCGACAAGCCACACCCTGGCTGTCGGTTGGCAGCCAACCAGCGGTTCCGCGAAAGAGTTCAAAGCGACCTCCATCCGTCAGTCTAGTAACGCCTGGGCCTCAGCTAGCCCCCTCCGCTACAACAATATCTAAGCTCCCCTTTGAGCGCACCCATTCACAGGAGAGACTTTCGGGCTCGTCTACGGGGGCAACCGAGGATTTCACTCACATTTACCCGCAAGAGCCGACCAACAAGAGCCCAAATGAACAGACAACCAGTTACGGCTTTGTCCAGCACGGCAGCATCGATAGGGTTCATCATGATGCAGACCTCTTGGGCAGCTCCGCCGAGGTTGTCGATGAGACGCGGTGAAACCAAATGTGCTAACAACACTACTGCGTTTGTTTCCTATCAATACGACTTCGGCCCCGGGGTTGCTATTGATAAGCTTTCGGATACGGGAATACGGCGTATGTCAATTCGGTGGCTTTTAGTATTATAGGATTTAGGCGGGAAGCGGTTTAGTGCGGCCATTTTGTTGACTTACCAGGTATGCCAGCATGACCTGAACTTGAGCGGTGGCGTACAAAAGTCTGTATTAAAAGATAATGTTCTTATGTTAGACTGCTCTGCAAACTCGGCTCGTGTTGTCGAATGTTTTGTTACTTTGTATCTGTGGTAAATAGACGGACTCGGGCGGATATAATGAGGAACATCGACCTGGGTTGACTCGCCATTATATATATGTAGATACATATATACGGGAGAGTCGTATACAAGGTAGAATGAATATCATGACTTTACTAACATGTATCCGAAGTGGCCGGCGTTTGTCCGGTGTTATACTTGGGTTAGCTAGGTAGACTATGGCCCGCCGCCAACACCCTGGGAGCGAAACTGGTAATACAATCTCACCTTGCCTTCCGTTTTATTTACATAGGACATGAGCATTTCTCATACACACAGTATGTATTAACCGAATCGGATGACTTCTCTATTCCCCTGTGAGCTTCTCTTTTTATGGCGTATTTGAAATGCTTCAAACGACTAACAGCCCCAGGGGAGTCGTTTTATGTTTATGGGTCTTGAGCGTTGATCCATTCACATACTATCATGGGTATATCCGGCTATGCCAATATAATTATGGTTGCACGTACACGATAGCATTATGGAGTAACACCAAAGCAGCCTAACCTACACCACTACCCGCTGTAGGCTTCTGGCTTATTTACCTAGAACGGTGATAAAATGGGAGGCCCATAACGGCAGCTCCACAGGCCGTATCGCACAGCTAGCGTAAAAGGAGAAGAGCATCCCAGTGGGCATCTCGTCATTCATTTTCGTAAAAAGGCTAGCCGTTGAATATATAATATATATGTACAGCCCACATATTTCGCACATCGAAACGAAAATCCGCGAGTCAGGCACTCTCGTTCAAAGGCAGGTAGGTATCAGAGCACCTGAGCGATGCCCAGTCCCGCGAGCCCCGCCGCAGCAACGAGTCCGGCGCACCCGAGTCCCGTCGGCCTCGCAGCTGCCGCATTGGCCGTGCCAAAATAAAAGCCACTCGCCGTGGTCCCCGTCATGGTGCACATGCTGTACTGCAGATTGCTGCAAGCTACTTGCACCAAGCTGTTACCTTCAAAAGGGGCAACCGTGTTAGTAAACAACATGTGCATACCAAACGAGGAGAACAGAGACAAGGGGTTGCTTACATATGCTAGTAGCGGTCGGGGTCGGGTAAGTGACGCCGGCACCTCCGCCAACAGTAACCCCACCACCGCCGGGGACGACGATGGTCACGCCGAAAGGGGCGGAGCCTGCTTGTCCCTCGAGCTGTGCGGTACAAACCGCCCAGTTGACACTGCACTCGCTCACTGCCGCCGAGCAGTCGGTAGGACCGGCGAAAGAGGTGGCAATGTAGGGAAAGGAGAAATAGGGGTTGGGTACGAAGGATACAGGGGTGGTTTGTGCCGGGTTTGGTGTTACGAAGCTTGCCGGAGCGGTGCCGGTGCAGACAGCCCTAGTGAGAACAGCGGTCAGCATCCAGGTGTGTACCTACATACTGACGGGCGCCTTCGCATTCACCTCCCCCAGCGGGCGTGCACTTGCAGGTCTTACAAGCTCGTACATGAGGACGTAGCTGTAACCTTATGTAGTACGTAGACTACGGAACACCCGACGGAACGGTAGGCGGGCTAATAAGGCAGGTAAGGTAGGTAGCTTGGTAGCTTGGAAGCTTGGAAGCTTTGACTCACCCCCCGGGGCAGCAGGCTGGGTTATTGCTTGCATCCAACTGGCAACTTTGGCCGTTTTGACAGCACACGCTCGCAAAGGCTGGCCCTTGGTTGGCGCAGCTGTAAAAGTTGGCGATGCACCCCTGTTGGCGTTTTGCAAAGGCGAAACCGAGGGCGGGTGTTCCGGTCTCAACCGGCTGGAAGGGTTGCTGTTGCTGATGTGCCGCAAAGACAGACGAGGCCAGCGCAACGGCCGCAAGCAGGACGTAGCAGCTCCTGTGCCAGCTTCCCATCCTCGATAATAAATAGTATCTAACTAGCTCCCAGGGCTCTGAACTTGGGGCTTGTGATGCCTAAACTGAGATCCAATTGAGGATGCGACTGAGATGGGATGGACGGTCAGGCCGGTAACCTTAAGGTAGTTGTCAAGGGACTGACAGACAGGCGCTGGCTGATACGGCGCTGGCGGGGCGGGCGTGTTTACCGTCTGAATGCGCGGGAGGGTTCGAGGTTTTATTGTTCGGATTTTGTATTAAGCAAACACCTCATTAGGTACTATTGGTATTGCGACGTGGTGTGTGTGCTAGGTGTATGTACTAGGTGTATGTAAGGTATGGTTGTGGAGGTTGCTGCCGCCAGAGGGTCGCTGTGCCAGCCCAGTTTATCACTTGTCTGTTGATTTTGCAGGCTGAAGAGGCGGTGGGCCAGTGTCCCTCTGGTGTTGCAGTGCGCTAGTTGTCACCTAATCGCGGGCCCGTTTGTGATGTCATTTCTTCTTCTGGGGCCGTCTGCTTATCGGTGGCCGAGCAACCGCATATCAGATCTGGCGGTATTCCTAATTCGTCAGGGAGAGGTCGTATTCCGTAACCCCCCACCCCAAGCCTTCGGCGGGGTAATGAGTACGGGAAGTACGCAAGGTAGTATATACATATTCTGCATACCATGTAATAATAGGCAGGCGGACACTGAATTTGGGATAATACAGTTGTTAAAGGGGCTGGAGAATAAGAGGCACGAAAAGCATTCGAGAAGCGCTCGCATGAGCCCGGCCTCAACTCGGCACACACGGCCTGTTCATGATTCCCATTCGACGCCCTCTCTACAAGCTTCGCAGGTGCCCAAGAATTGCCCGTAACCGCAGGAGCGCCGTGGGCTCGTTGGGCGGCTTCTGGTTTGGGGGAGCCTTGGAGAGTTTCTGGACTTCCAGCCGCGCTTCCTCGGCCAGGGATCCCAAGTCACCCCAAATCTCGTCTTGATATCCGGTCAGGATCTGTGACCACTGCCCAATCCACGCTTGCCAGGCCGCCCCGCTGTCTGTCGTCCCTAGATGCGTGGCTAGATCGTCGGCCGCCGCCGGCCTACTGCTTTCCCCTACGCGCAAGTAGTCCGGTATGAAATTGAGCACACTATCCCACGCGACGGACGAAGTTTTGTCGCCCACTATGGCCTCGCCAAACAAAGCGCGGCGCAGGCTCGACAGGTCGCTCCGGGACATGGTTTCGTCTGCGGGCTCGAACAAGTCCGGTTCGAGGCTGCCGGCGGCCGAGAGGAGGGCTACCACGTTGGCGCCGTCAACGGTTTCCTGCTCCGCGGCTGATAGTGCCGGGTATCTATGCCCCCAATTTGTCTGCCGTGGCTCTCTGTCAGGGCCGCTGACCTTCATCACCGCTTCTGCTTTGCCTGCCTCTGGCGACAGACTCACGACTGTCGTGTCCAAGAAGACGGCAAACGATGCATCTTCCCGGGCAATGTGCTCCTGGGTCTGGCCAGTTCTGATGGAATCGCCGCCACCGCTAGACCGCACTTGCACCGAGCTTTCGCCCACCCGAGACACAGCCTCCCCAGTGCGTGATGTCTCCCCCTTTTCGCCTCCTCCAACAGTTGGAACAGGCCCTGCTCCTGCTGGTCCCGGACCTGGTAGCAGAGCCGAAGACAGCAACGCGGCTGACCTTGCGACACGAGAAATGGACGACAGTACCCCCAAGCTCGAGGTGGGGGACCCTATCTCGGGAAGTGGTGTCTCTCCCTGCTCACTCGTAGCTTTCTCTTTCCCCTTTGCTGTGTTCCCCACAAATTTCCCAGGCGTGCCTCCTTCCATACTCGCCGTCAATCAAGCAGGTCACGGAGACGGACGAGCCGGAATGATGTGCTTGTTGCAGACTGTCGAAGGGTTTGTGGCGCGGACAGGCCCTGTTGTTAATTATCCAATCGAGCCTCCTTCCTAGGGTCTGGGCCGTGGTTGCGTACTAGTAGATTGCATGAGTCGGTAGAGTTCGGCAAGGCATGGAAACGAGTAAAGAAAGGAGAACCCTGTGTTGCTTGATCCTGCGAGGCTTACTTATACCGTTAGTTAACTGCGTGCTGTCGGCAAGGTACGCAGTATGCGCAAGAGTTTGCGGATTTGTAATGCCCAGCAGAGTGCCAAGTCATCCAATAGTGTGTGTGTGGATTGAAAACAGACCACCGAATACGAGGAATGAATGAGCGTGGCGGGAGGCATTTTTGCAGCATTTGATTGTTCGGGAACGGATACCTAGGACAGCAGCACAGCCTAACCTGCAGCGGCTTAGGTCCCCAGATCTTAAACTCAGGTAGCTTTAGGTCTTCACGTCCGGGTATGCAAAAAGGCAAGGAACTAAGTAAGGTAAGGCAGGAAGGAAAGGCGCTTATCGAGCCCAGGCTTTGATATAAACCCAAGGTACCTTCCTTAGGTACGAAAACCCCAAACCCGATTCTGCCTGAGCTATCTGGCCATCTCGTGCAGAAACAGCCAAGGTACCAATGATTATATGAAAGGAATTGAGTACGGAAGATAATTCGCTAGCTTCACGTTTATTTGGGGTGAACAAGCAACTGAGGTGCCAGGCATTTCAAATAAGAGATAGGCATCGACAAAATCCACCAGGAGGTGCCGCTTCCCATCGGAAGTAAAGTAAAGTAAAATAAAATAAAACCCCTTTTGGCGAGCCGCAAGGTCCTGTCCTGATGCCTTTCATCTCTTTAGAAAAGTCTCCCGCTAAGACAAACATTCAGGGATTGGACTGGCGTGATTGGCAAGGCAAGGCTGCAAAAGACGCGAGGAGGGGTAGGTCGCTCACTCACTGAGGCGACCGGGGGCATTTGGCTGGGGCATTTATTTGGTCACTGCCTTACGGATAACTTCATCAAAATGGCAACTTAACTTACACATGTGGATAGCAAAATATAAGGTGCCGACCTTATTATGTACAGTACCTAACCATACATGCTGCATACTCAACACAACATTAGAGTCAAGGCCCCGCATGTGTATGGATTACCTTACATCGTATGCAAAGGAAGTATACAGTACATGTATGTAATGTATGTACCAAGGTATCGATTCATTAGTAAGGTGAATAAGGTGGTCGCCTGCCGGTGACTTTGACGCACTGTGGGAGAAGCCCCATCACTGCTTTGCTTTGGGGCTCCATTTGGGCGCACCACCGCCAAATCATCGCCGCCAACACCACCGATTCCCATCATTTCAAGCTTAACCTGATCCCCAAGATCTCCAAGCTTTCCAGCCCTTGACCACAGCTGCGTGCGACCCTGACTCCTACCCCGCGCTCGCTCACGCCCCGAAAGAAGACTTGTCAACGACGGCCTTAATTATTTTCTATCTTGTTTATCGGCTGCCGCAGCCTTGCATCCGGGCGATACAGCACCTCTAGTACCAATCTCTCTGCCTCGCTCACGCCGCCGACTCGCAACAAGCCGTCCCAACGCTGCCAAACCCTCCCGAGCTCGGCCCAGCAGCAAAGTCGCCTGCGCTCGCGTTGTGTATCCGTTTCGTCCAGCCTCCAAGCTTCCTGTGCACCGTGCCTCCTCCTTTGGCCGCCCGTGTCTGAAAAAGCAACGAGACTGCTCCTGTTCGGCTTTCTCTGTTGCCACCGCTGCCGGCTCAACCGCCAGCGCCCTCTCTTGACAATAAATCTGGCAGAGTGGGGGAGGTCTTCGCCCACGCACCTGCATCTTTGAAGATGGTGGACGCAGAAGCGAACCAGCCGACGTGGAAGTTTACGCAGTGAGTTATCTCGTCGCTCTTGTCCGCTCCTAAACACCCCGCTAGTGTTCCAACCACCACCCCGCGTCTGCTGCCGCTGCCTTCCTCCTTTGCCGCCGCTGCCTGTCCCTGCGCATGTTTCGAGTGTCACCGTATACTAACCCTGGCTGCTAGGTGCTTTGGCGATAAGGGAGATGTCGAGGATATTACTGAAGGTATGGCATGAGCACCCCTCATACCAGGCTCGAGAAGCTGCCCCGGCTATTTTTCTTGCGTTCGGTATTGCCATCTCGGACTTGCTGACTTGAGCCTGCAACTAGCCGATATAATTTCGACGGTCGAGTTCGATCACACTGGCAACTATCTAGCGACTGGCGACAAGGGCGGGCGGGTTGTGCTCTTTGAGCGGAACGAGACGGTCAGTCGCGGCAGTCCATCTGCCCTTCAGTGAAGACACCGCTTACATTCAGGCACTTACAGAAAAAAACATGCGAGTACAAGTTTCACACCGAGTTCCAGTCCCACGAACCCGAGTTTGACTACCTGAAGTCTCTTGAGATTGAGGAGAAGATCAACAAGATCAAGTGGTGCCGGCGACAAAACGCCTCGCACTATCTTCTCTCGACCAACGACAAAACTATCAAGTTATGGAAGGTGTTTGAGAAGTCGCTCAAAGTTGTGGCCGAGAACAATCTTTCACATGACTTGACTCCTGCCAACACGGCCGGCGGCGGCGGCGCGCCGCGTGCTGCACCCCAGTCTCAATTCCGCAGTGCTGGCGACCTGAAGCTACCCAGACTTACCCATCACGATACTGTCGTGGCCGCCGTTCCCCGGCGGACCTATGCCAACGCCCATGCCTATCACATCAACAGCATTTCGGTGAACAGCGACGGGGAGACCTTTATCAGCAGTGATGATCTGCGCATAAACCTGTGGAATCTGAACATCCAGGACCAAAGCTTCAACATTGTGGATATCAAGCCCGCCAACATGGAGGAACTAACAGAGGTTATCACGGCGGCTGAGTTCCATCCTCTGAGCTGCAACTGGTTCATGTACGCCAGCTCCAAGGGCACCATCAAGCTTGCCGACATGCGGCAAAGCGCCCTCTGTGACCAGCATACCAAGTGTAAGTGTATCATTCACATACATACGCTTTCCACATCGGCCCCCTTTTCCAACTACTGACACCAGTCCAGTGTTCGAGCAAGAAGAAGACCCGTCATCACGATCTTTCTTCTCGGAGATCATATCGTCCATTTCGGACGTTCGGTTCTCTTACGACGGCAGATATATCCTCTCGCGTGACTACCTGACGGTCAAGATCTGGGATGTCAACATGGAAAGGCAGCCGGTCAAGACTATTCCAATCCACGAACATCTTAGGCCGAGGCTATGCGATACGTACGAAAACGACAGCATCTTCGACAAGTTTGAGGTGGTGTTCTCTGGCGACGCGAAGAACGTGATGACGGGCAGTTACAACAACAACTTCATGATTTACCCCTCGGATCCGGACAAGGAGGTTGAAGTTGTACTACAGGCGGACAAATCGGCTTTCAAGGCCAAAAAGGTTGGGGTGCCGACTCCTATCAACTCATCGACAAGTCCGACAGCGAACGGAGGCAAGAAGGGTGGCTCCCGGGCGGGAAGCCCAGCTGCAGGGGCTCAAGGGCAGAGGATGCGTAAGGAGACTGATGCCGACCAAATTGATTTCAACAAGAAGATTCTGCACATGAGTTGGCACCCCTTCGAAGACAGCATTGCGATTGCTGCAACCAATAATGTAAGTTTTGGTCACCCTCTATGGCGAAGAATCACATGTCACGCTGCTGGAATTCCAACATGTTAACCCTGCCGCCAGCTCTTCGTCTTTTCTGCTCTGTAGAGGGGCCATTTAGACGTCAAGAAAGTCAAGGGGAGCCGGGGAAGGGGAAGTGGAAGGAATTCTCGGTCTGGGAGGCTTCCGAAGTCGAAGATAAAGGCGACAGTCCGATGCCGGCCGCGATACCGCACGTGAGGTTTCCCGGCGCGGTAGAGCCTCGGGGCGGCTCTTTGTCCCGGATCTTGTGGGTAGGGAACTTGCAGAGCAGCGATAGAGCATGTTTGTTGACGGACGAGACGAGTATCCGGCGGGTTACCAAGGCCGGCTGCTGAAGGTTGATGCTATGCATTGGAAGACGGTGGGCTGGTGGTGTGGGCGACGTTCTCTCACAAGGAAGCGAGACCTGCTTTTGGAGTGGGGTGCTTCCCGAGCAGCTGTAGAAATGGGGCTTTCAGGATGCGGCTTGCATGACGTGATTTAAGGGGACAAGCCATAGCACGCATTCCACAGGGAGCAGCAGTTCACAATGCCAGCAGAATTTGGCAGGGGGCGTCATGTTCATGATGTCAGAATACATTAACTTAGAGCCTCAAAGTACTGCCTACTAGTCGCACGATGATGGGCTTATTGGGCTCGCCATCGTCACCTATTTCAGAATGACGCCAAAGGTACATGAGTCGAAATGAGCGCATCGCAGTTATACAATAGGCGACCTTACTCAAGTCAAGAGGCTGTCTTTTGGGGGGGAAGAACAGCGATAGAGTAAGAAAGGGCGTGGTCTGGTATGGCTTAAAAGCCGTTTTCATTGTTCCGAGTAGCTCATGAAAGAACATGTAAACTTAGAGACACGGTGATTACTCAAGTACCTTAGGCATTGAGCCATCATGGACACTCTTTAGATTCGAGCTTTGCAATTTGAATTTAGGTTGCTTTTGTAAGTACCTCTTTCTATCGCTCGTAGTAAACATAATACGACGAGTACGGAGAAGGTTCAAGTTTAGTACTGTGTACAGAGTTCTCTGCTGAACGTACTGTACGAATATACCGCAACGTCAATCCGACGGCCTAAATACCCCAGGTATTAGCCCCTCTATTACAGGAGGAGCGCAGTACCGCTGCTGGAGACTGTCCGTCTTGCCCTAAAATCCACACAGTGCTTACCGCTGAAACCACACTTAGCATGCAACCTTAACGGGGGGCCCAGCCTTACAACGAACGACAAAGTGGCTGTGCCCATTGAGGGAAGAGAGCCTCAGCTGACCAGCGAACGACCACCATTTCAACGTCGCAACACAGGGCGACGACAATTACACCTTTGCTTCAGCACGCGCGTCTTCTTTAACAGCAAAGGGATAGTGTATAACTCATCAAAGCATACACTTGCAACTGGAAAGAAAGCGATCGGGCAAGGAAACGCGACTTTGTGACGGGCGAATCGACTGCCACTGCCCGTACTCGGTACTTTCGCGACTCTTGGTCAATAGAGACGCAGGCTAGCTACACGAGGTGCGGAATCCCGGCCAAGGAAAACCAAGAAGCTGCACTGGCCGGGTCGCACGTGGAAATACATCTAGAGAAGAGAACATTAGGGCGAAGAGAATCGATTCAAGGGTAAAAGATAAAAGAGGAAGTGCAATCCCACCCAACATGTCCGACCAGGCCCACGCACCGACCTCACGACCTAAGCCGCCGCCAGCAGGCGAAGAGGAGGCTTCCGCGACGCTGAAATTGGGCGAGTTCCAGGACGTGGACACGCTGACGCTGTCCGAGGCGTCGCTCGTCATCAACGCGCTCATGGTGAAGCGCCGCAAGGATCGCAAAGACCGCAACGAGACTGACGTTCTCAACAAAACGCTCGACTACCTCGATGCATTTGCCCGTTTCAAGCAGAAGGAAAATGTCGAGGCCGTCGAGCGCCTCTTGAGCGCCCACAAGGAGCTGACCAAGTTTGAACGCGCCCAGATCGGTGAGTACTGACTGCCAAAGGCTCGCGCGCGGGTACCCAATGGGAGGGGGAGACGGCAGTTTGCGCGTCTCGGTGCCCGGTCCCTTTTTATTTCATTTTATTTCATTTTTCATTTTTATTAAAAAAAAAAAAAAAAAAAAGCAAAGAAAAAGCAAGCGCTTTGGCTTGGTTTGGTTTCTTTTGGCTGACAATAATCTTTTCTTGCCCTGCCAACCCAGGCTCGCTCTGTTGCGACAGCGCGGACGAGTGCAAGACCCTCATACCCTCGCTTGCCGAAAAGATCAGCGATGAGGACTTACAGGAGCTACTGGACGAGATGGCCAAGCTCATGACCTCATGAGGCCAGGGTCAAGACCCTCGATACGCAAGAGGTAGAGGGGAAGAAGCTGCGGTGCTATTAGAGTTTACGGCTAAGCGAATCCATCGACATGGACAGTTACATGGAGAGGGTGGGGGGGAGGTGCTTCTTTATTTGCTCGCGCTATCGTGTCTATCGTAGGCGCCTGCGTCATCAGTACACGAGGAGGCTGGTTTCTCGGCAGATGGACGGATGCGCCTACATCTTGACGCACATCAGGATACGTCCCGGCAGGCGGAGACGAAGGAGGACTATAAAAGAAAAGGCATGGCATGGCATGGCATGGCGTACTGGGGGGTCAGAGGGATTTGATGTATAAATCCTCTATCATCTTTTTTGGGAGCACTCGGAATACCATAATACCCTTGGGCTGATGTGTGGGTACCTGGTACCCTGTTTTCCAGCTTTAACAGAGACACACCAAACAAGGCTCTCCGGTTAGACCGCCCAACGGGCATATTTTCATATGGTCGCCATCTTCAGCCATAAGCTCTCCTGTCCGAGATGGTCGGACATGGCCGGCTTTCCACTTAGATCTGGACCACCTGGTAGCGCGTCCAGCTGTTCACGTATGCCCCTGAGTCGTCTTCCTGCTTAGTTACGCCAAGTGTTGCCCGCGGCCATTCGGGAATTGGCTTTTGCTCTACCCCGGAGCTAGCCACTGACCATGTCATATTCTGCTCTGGACCAACTGCCCGGCCCAAACCAAGCGCCGTCCCCTCGAGTTCCCCCAGCTGAGCAACGGCGGTAGAGTCGAGCTCGGAGATATGAGTGAATCACGCAACCATGGCGTTGCAGCGGTGAAGCAGTTTCGGGTGACACGCGGGTGCTGTCGTGTCGTCCCTTCGTGTCGTTCTCTAGATAGTTGTCTCCGGGATACATGTCAGCGTGTGTGTTATCCCTCGTTCCTGGTCTTGGGGCCGCTCTACCCCATCCCGCAGTTGCTCGCCTCCCAGAGGAGAACATATTGAGTCAGCAAGGCTGGCTAGACCGGCAATGAAGAACACCTCACCTGCGGCCCTTGAGCTATGCAGCCCCTTGGAGGCACGCCGCCGCCGCCTCGTCCGTGCCTATGTGCTGACCAGTGTGGCAAGAAGTATGAAGAAACCACAGCAGCAGCCCACCGCAACACTCACGACTTCGCCCACAGATAATGTGGAGTCGCTGCGGTTGGTGACAGCAGCGGAAGAAGCTGGGACCACTGCTGGGATAGTGCTCGACGCTGGTGTTGTTTGAGTGCTGCGACTTAAGGATTCGGGAAGAGTGGACGACGACGGCGACGACGACGCCCAGCCCAGTGGTGCATTGTTGGTCGTCGTGACGGGATGTGAGTGTTGCACCCCCTCGGAGCTGGTCTGGAAGCTGGTCGGGGTGCTTGCCGTGCTCATAGGTTGCTGGGCAGACACGGGACACCCGACAGGAACTTGCTGGCAAGCATCCCTGGTAGGTGGGCGAGGTGAAGGTGCAGCTCCACCACAGGTAGCCAGGCTGGCAAGCTCTGAATAGCCCATCCTCATTTACGGCTGGGATTCGCTCCGAGGCCATGGCGGACGTTGAGGATGGGGCCTCGACGACTGCCCGGGAGTGGTCCTGCTGAAGATGGTCGTACTGCGCCGTCCCCGCCAGCCCCCTCCCTCCGGGCGTGGAGGAGAGCGACGAGAAGAGTATCGAAGTCAGGGCCGTTAGCCAAACGCATCCCAAGTCCAGTGGAAGAAGGTCATGGGACCAGAAGCCTGTCTCGACAGCCCCTTTGTCTGGCGAAACCTGTGTCTGATGATGAAGATGATGACGATAGCTTCAAAGCTACCAAGTCCACCTGGCCTGGTGCACTCTTGACGAGGACAGCCCAAAGCTGCCTATGTTGAGCCAAATACGAGGCACACCGAAACGACCAAAAACCACATATGTAATAGATAAAAGAGCCGATAGAGGGGGGTTTCGGTAACGCCTTCATTTGCTCAATAGAATTCCGCGAGGAGAATTCGATAAAATTGCCGTGTTCCCTTCCACTCACCAAGTTTGCCTGATCCGCGTGCCACTACCACACCACGGCCACCACATCCATATACGTCTGTTACACAGGCTTTGGCAATTGCAGCTACCCAAAACAGCCGTCCGATCATGTGTTGTGTAGTGGGAAGGTCTGCTGGGCTTGCGTGCCCCTGTTCCTCGACCACGTCTGCCAGGAGCAGTTGTCGGTTCGGATATCTCTCACGGCAAACTACCCTCACTAGATTGTTTGACACAAAAGCCTGCTCGGGATTCCATCCAAAAATCTGAAGCCATGGCCTGGCGTTGAGGCAAAAGTACGCCACTCAATGTTGTAAGACTTTGAATAGGGGAAAACTCCGAAAAGTCCCGAGGGTATAACGCCAAGGTCTGTCTGGCGCTTGCTATTTTGGCACTTGCTATTTTCTTCTTCATTATTGCTACAGGCAGAACCGTCATATCAAGCAGGCGCGCCCGCGTATGCGAGATATCCTTGTCGCCAACCGCACGGCCACACTTAGTTGCCCAGCTTCTCAAGTAGCAACCTTGTCCCTTGGTTACCCCCCAATTTCGACTGGCCTTGTTTGGGACGACGAGCCCCCTTCGGCTTTGTTTTGTCGGCCTCGGCCTTTGCCTTTTGATTCGCCGTCTCTTCAACTGCCGCCTTCTCCAGAGTCTTTCTTTCCGAGCGAAGTGTCTTCAAAAGTTCCTGCTTCGAGGTAAAGTCAGGCGCCTCGAGTAGCGCCAACACTGTGAACGAACTAGGCCCAGCCGCCCACTGTACAACATGTTCTTTGATGACAGGATACAGGATGTCGGCAAAGTTGAGCGGCGGATCAATACGCTTGACGGCGCCGGCTTCCTTGTCAAATCTACCGCCAGCAATAAGAGTCCTAAACATCTTGCCACCATGAGGGGTGAGGGAGATGTGAGGCAATGGTAGGACTAAGGCATCCTCCGAGACCACCGGCGTCAAGTCACTAGCCGCAGTTGAGGCAATCGCTTCCAAGACGCTTGTCTTATCGCCTTGTGCAGACAACAAGACATCAGTGACGAACTGGCAGCCAAAGGATGTCTGCACCAGGTCAGAGGGCGACGAAGCAACGGCCGCCAGTAATTGTGCGGACAATGCCGCCACCAGCTCCTTGTGCCGAATTTCGGGGTCCTTTTTGCTTGTCGTCTTTCTGATCTCGTGGATCTCATTCAGGATCTCCAGGTCACTGGCATGGCTGGATGGGAACAGGGATTTGGACTGTCCCTCAAATAGGTAGCAGATGGTTATACGCGCGTTGAGATCATTGGCCAGAAACGGAATGTTGTGCGTATCCTTCTCCTCGCTCTTGCCCAGAATCTCGGGGAAGATAGTCTTGGACGTGAGCACGGTATCGTCAATGAGGTCGTACGCGGCCAGAATGATCATGTGGCCATAAGCATCGCCGCACATGGATTGGAACGCATCCTTGAAGGTCTTGAGGATCTGTTTGCGATCCTTTGCACCTCCGTGCGCCAGCAGCAAGCACACCAGCCTGGCACCCGACTTGGTGAAGGCCATATTTTTGAGCAAGTCGCCGTTATCATCTCCCCGGACGACCTCGCTAAATTCTTTCAGCTCCTCACTCTCGGGCTTCAGGTTCAGGAAGTACTGCAACATGGCATCGTGGAGCATGGTGAAGCCCGTCAACTTCTTCTGTATCAGGCCGTTTGTCATGTCGCAGAGGTACTTCAGCACAATCGCCCTCTTGCTGGGCTCCTTGGCAAGAATCTCAGAAAGATCGGCAGTGGCGTTGGTATTGTCAGGCTGTCTGAACAGGGCGAACTCCGGCCCGTACCACTCGCGCAGCAGATGGGCCTTTTGTTCTTTGGTGGCGACGCCGCGGTAGACATCGTCGAGGATCCAAGAAGCCTCGGAATGGTTGATGAGCTTCCGCACCTTGCCGTAGAACTCGGGAATGATCATATCCCGGGTCTCGGCGTCATTCTGTACAAGAAGCTTCCCGATCAGGAACTTGGCATACCTGCTCTCAGCAAGCTGCGCATAGGTTCCCTGGAGCTCCTTGGCAATCTGCTTCCGCTGGGTCGGGGTGGAGTACTTGATGGCTGTCTGTACGGCACGCACGGCGTCATGCTTTAACACAAAGTCCTTGACGCGCCCTGTGATTATGCCGTACAGCTCGTCAACGAGCTGCTGGCGCTCCTCCTTGGGCACATGGGACTTCCGGCGTAGGCGTTCCCACAGCTTCTTGGTCCGCTGTAGCTCGTCGGCCAGTGGCTTCGCATTCCTGCGTTCCAGAGCTAGTTGCTTCTGCTTTGCGTGCGACTCTTTAGCGCTCAAGCCTAGGGGGTAGCGAATTAGAGGAGGCCGTCATGGAACATGATGCAAGAAGAAAACACGAACCTGTCTCGGCCGTCTTTCCCGAGCCATTGCTAGCCGCCTTGGCCCTTTCTACTTCCTGGACCGCCCTGGCGCGCGGCGGCAGTGAGTCTACCTCTGCGCCGCCGTCGTCTACCGAGTCTGACGAGTCGCTGTCGTCGGAGCTGGCCTTCTTCTTCAAAGGTTCGGTTCTCGCTTTCTTGGCTCGGCTGCCACTGTTGTACTTTTCGCTCGAACCGACTTTTCGTTTCGTGTTTGTGGCGGGCGCAGTCGTTTTTTGTGCCATTGTGCGGTATTGTGAGTTGCACGCTGGTCAAATAGTCTTGATTATTTTTTAGTTGCGATGCTAGCAGTATTTCGCCCAGATGAGATTTCCAGTGGTTTATCCGTATCGACTGATTTTTTTTAGGATGCAAGTCTTAGCATCCTTGTTATCTGCCGGGCGGTGAAGATTAAAGCTTTACAACCCGGCTGCGAACCCGGCCAGCGCCAGGAGATGCCCCTCCTCGCTTACGCCCTGGCCTCAACTTGCTCTCAAAGGTCACCAGCCAAGGCGCAACAGGATCCAGTGTACAATCTAGCTAACAATCTCCTACAACGAGTGCAATATGGGGCGCGAAGACCAAGTCGAAGAACGCGAGGTTCTAGATTCCATTTTTGCGGACGAGATCACAGGTACACACCCATCGATTGATTGGCTCAAGCTTCTCAAGATGGTTGGCTACCACGCAGTTGGACCCGGCCTAATCCAACACTTTGCATATAGACATATCCGAGACCGAGTACAGAATATCAATTCCGCTAGACATTCCGGATGACGAAAATGAGCCGCCTGTCATGCTTCTGACGGTGCGATACCCGGACGAGTACCCAGACAAGGCCCCATTCCTCGAACTTGCGGCGTCCCAGAATGCATCCCCACACCAGTTTCTGAATGTTGCCGATGACAAGGCGCAGTTGCTTCAGGACCTGCAAGCAACTATCGAGGAAAACCTCGGAATGGCCATGGTCTTCACCTTGGTTTCAGCTCTGAAGGACGCCGCGGAGCAGTTGGTGCTGGAGCGCAGGAACGCTGCCATAAGGGCCCACGAAGAGAAGGTCCTAGCAGCCGAGCGCGAAGAGAACAAAAAATTCGACGGGACACCAGTCAATCGCGAGACATTCTTAAAGTGGAGGGAGTCATTTTTGCAGGAGATTGAAGAGGCACGTTTAAGGGAGGAAGAAGAGAAAGCCGCCGAGATGAAGAAGGCCAGGATAAAAGAGCCTGCCAAACTCACGGGGAGGCAACTCTGGGAGCGTGGTCTCGCGACCAACCAAGATGAGGGTGATGAGGACGAAATTCCCACCGAGGATGTACAGAAGCTCACGGTCCAAGATTCCTGAGCAAGAGTCTTAATGGCGACAAGTCCGCCAGAAAGAGGCATGGCTTAATCATGAATCGCTTCCTGATAATTATATGCTCCTTAACCCCCAACAAAACGCGTTTTTCCTTCCTGGACTCCTTTATATGCAGCCATGAATCAAATATGAACCCGCCAACGTCAGATGTTGAGCGCGCGAGGCATGGGGTAATTGCAGGTATTCTATTGCATCTCCGCATCTCCGTCGTCGTCGTCGTCGTCGTCGTCGTCGTCGCCTCCGTCTTCCGTATCTTCCCACGCCGCTTGATCATCGCCTTGATCAGGGGCATCCCCTAGCTCATTATTGATCGATGCAAGTAACTCCTGCGAATGCTCTCTTAACCTCTCATCTTCATACTCTTCAGCGTCGAAAATACGCAGGCACTGGGCAAGCCGCTTCCGCGCTGATTGCCAAATGTCCTCCCAGTCGTCCGAGTCTGAGGCCTGGTTTCCGCTCTTCAGCTTCTCGCCCAGCACATACCTGCCGTAGCCTCCAAGATACCAAGCCTCTACACTTTGATCATCCTCGCTGATTAGACGCTCGGCGACTTCGATTGCCCTCTGCTCCATGCCAACCTCGATCAAGAGCCTGACCAAGCTAACGCGTGTGGGGAAAGCAGGGACGCCAGGGTCCTCAGGCGGAAGGTGAATCCAGAAGTCAAGACTCCTTTTTAGAGCTTCCTGTGCCTCTTTGGTTCGCGACTGCGAGATGCGCACATTGGCTACAGTCTGCCATGTATCGGCTAGCTCAGGGGCGAGCATAGTGGCTTCGGTGATAAGGGCCTCGCACCGTTGCTCGGCATCTTCCTCCCAGCTGAGATCTGTCATGTAGACCTCGGTGACTGCACAGAGAGTATCTGCAAGCTTGCGCCGCTTTTCGGCGATGACCGCCTCCTGCTCGTGGCGTGTCAGGGGCAGCGAGTCGAGCGCGTCGCCCAGCGTCTGAATCTGAGTGCGCAGAACGGCGGCTCCCCGCTCATACCATGAAACGCTATCTTGGCCTCCCTCTTCGCTGAGCTGCGCCAGCCACAGGAATTTGTCGGGGCCGCCGCCGAGCTCCTCGGGGAGCGTGCCGGCCTCGTCAACTTTAGCAGCAGACATGAGGTACTTGCGAGCGCGGTCGATCTCGCCCATCTCGATGTTTATTTGGCCGAGGAGAGTCAATGCCGCGCCAGCTTGCTGCCCCCCATCGCCAATGTGCTCATAGGCGGCGCGTGCAGCTTTTGCCGCCCCTTCAGCGTCGCCCACCTCGAGCATGGCCGTCGCATTGGCGAGCAGTTCTCTTGTATTCACGGCAGCCTTCTTGGCTCGGGCCCGTTCTTTCGCCTTTGCTTTCTGTGCCCTCGGATTGGGCTTCGTGGGTGCCATCTTGGCGGGAGCAGTTGGGCTGCGGTCGTGAGAGGATTGAGGAGATGCTACGCTGGTGCATCCACTTGTAACTTTTTTGTGCTGTCGGAATTTTTGGGTGTATCGTGAGGCTTATCGATAAGGCAGTTGCCCCGCACATTGCAGGGGCCATTGACCGTTACACTTCAGTCACTGACAGAGGACATAAGCAGCTTGATACCTAACTCTAGTAAGGAGCTCAGTTGCCTTGCCCATAATAGAGCCTACTCCAAGTAGTGTTGAAAGCTTCTCCAAACAGACTTGGGAAGTCCCGTCACTGACGATCAAAAGTAGTCGCAGTGTCGAAACAACAAGTGCACAGATTCGCTCCCGCCAGACTGGATTGAGTTGTTCTTAGACTCACTTCATGCTACCCCACACTCCCACTCTGTGCCAAGACCTTATACGGGGGGCGGTAATTAAAGGAGCTGGAAGACTGGGGGGGAAAGAAGCTCAACCGGCTGAATGCCTAATCGATCTTGTTTCAGATGCGCGCCCGCAGGACGCTTTGCTGGGTGTGCGTAAGGCAGGCAGCTGCCCACCCATTTCAGAACAATGTGCGAGGGCTCGCAATCGCAGTAGACGCAGTCCTCGGGCTTACCTGGGGCATTTGCCCTGGGCCTGAGACAAGCTTTGCTCTCTCATCATTGCCGTCTCCTTGTCTTGGCCGTCTTGAATAATCTCGAGAAGGGCGCCTTATTACAGGCGATATAGCCTCGAATAGAGTTAGGGGGATTTCCAGCCCGTCTTGATAGGACAGCACTCTCGACGCCATGGGGTTTACCCGCCTCGCCCTCATCGGCCTACCATGCCTACTTTCGTTATTGGGACAGGCTGAGCTGGCGGCGTCGGCGACGATGACGCCGTCGTTCAAATTCCCAACTTGCGTCGACACGTGCGCCGGGCACTCTGGCTGCCAGACGGACGATTCAAAGTGCATGTGTACGACAGCGAGGTCTTACTTTCTCGAGACTGTGGTAACATGCGTATACTACAACTGCAAGGACGACTTCCCCAAGGTTGACGGCGAATTCTTGAATATCATGACTGCCGGCTGCAAGGGCATCAAGAAGCCCATCCCCGACTCCTCGCTCAAGGCAGCCAAGAGCGTCGTGAGCGTGTTGTCCAAACTCCCCTCCACGACGACAAAAGCCACGCCAACCACCACGCCAAAACCGGCGGCAGCAACTCCAAAAACAACTTCAACACATTCAACGTCAATACAGTCAAAGCCAACACAGTCACCATCAACCCAGTCAACGGCCGTCCAGGATGCTCCCTCCAGCACTTTGGCTTCGGCGCAGGATCAACAGACGTCAGCCGCGCCCGCGGCAGCAACAGACGCCTCGCCGCCTTCGCCTCCGTCGCAGCCGCCCCCAGTCGTGGTCACACCGTCCAGCTCGGAGTCTCCAAGTTCCGCCGCAGACGCGCCCAACCCAGTGCTCACAGACTCGAGCCCCTTTGCGCTTCCAAACTCGTCTGGGCCTCAAGTCGGGGCCATGCTATTCTATGGGATGGGCCTGCCCTTATTATTAGCCGGCGCCTTTACTCTGAGGTGACCCAGCCGCGACAGGAGGACGTAACAGCCTGTGCGGAGCCGGGGCCGGTGTTGCGCGGTGCAGTCGGATGGCTTAACAAACGAGATTTATGACGGGCTGCCAGCGCTTTCTGCTCTGGTTATTGCCTCGAGGACGGAGCCCCTCGGGAGCTAAACGCCGAGCCATGTTTCGGAGAAGGATTAAAGTATTGGCATAATCATGTATTTGCTAATGTGTAGGAAATGATATTCCTGGGGCGGATGAGTACATAATGAAGCCTGGGTACGTTGTAGGAACTATTTGATGGAAACGTGTTAGGGTACGGAGTATGGCGAGGCGATGTCTGTGTAGTTTACATTTTCTATCTCTTTATAGGACATCCCTGGTAGTCCATTTTCACAATACCCATCATGAAGACGGTTTATATATCCAATACTATGCTTCAGAAGTAAAAGTGACGCCAATTATTCCGATAGGTTCGTTGGGTTTAGTAGTGTTTTTATTGAATATCATATAAGTAGGCCTATCCTTTTCACCGGCCCGTAGACCGAGGGATGGCAGGCTTGTCACTCATCGAGCAGGGAAAAAAATAGTACATCACAACCATCCTGCTTTTGTTCCCTCGATTATCTTAGCCATCGAATGCAGGCCACCCATGGCATCCTGACCAGCTCGCAAAGCTAGGTTGGCACTCTGTCCTCTGAATACATGTCGGTGTCTTTATCATGGATCGATAGAACTTCTTCCAGCATTGCTCTGATGCGGCTGATATCTCCTCGACCCCTACCAGTCCTGGGGGTTTTGATCGTTAAAAAGCGCCTCGCCACCAGCTCTGACTCCCCCAGCCTCCCTCCACAAACTCTCGTGAATTCTCGTATGCTTCCACGAGGTCCTCGTTGCTCTCCTGTAGGCTCACGATGTAATCGGCTCTTTCAATGACGTCGCTCGGAATATCATTAATAGCCGCACACAATACCCCAAGGCTGCGCTCGTCTCGACCCTCGAGGAGCTTAAACAGAAACGTGAGTTGGTCCTCTGCATCTTGAGCCTCGGGGTTAAGCCGAACCTCCATGTGGGCAAATGCCACACCGTCCCTGGGCCCTATAAAGCCGTGCTCGAATATTTCGTGGAAGTAGGTACTGACAAGCACCTTTAGATTTTCCATGTCGAGATCAAGGAAATGGATGAGATAAGCTGCAAAGAGGGCGGCGCCGGCTTCCATAGTGGTACCTTTGCCAAACTCGTCAATCAGGAGCAGACTCCGGCGAGTAGCAAATTTCATTGAGAAAGCCGCCTGCTTCAAGTCTACCAAGGAGGTACTTTCATCATCCACGACGGTCTCTCGGGTAGCAATCCGAGTCAAAATCCGATCCGTTATCCCAATCGTAGCTCGTGTAGTAGGTACATAGCTTCCCATATGGGCCAGGTGCACGATGAGGAGACAAGCTCTTGCAACGGATGGTGCCCATCCAGAATATCGATAATGTTCGATGTTGTCATCTCAGGCGCCACCCATCCGTACTTCTCCGCGGCGGAAGCAAGAGAGAGCAGACTATCAAAATCCCCAAAGAGCTCTGAGGCCTAGACTATGGCGTTCTCGTGTTCCAGAACTACTGCCGCAAGTTCTATGGCAACACGGATTTCTTCGTCTATATAATGCCAGTTATTAGAGAACCCAGGACATGTTATGTTACTCTTACCAGCAATTCTTGCAGAGAGATCTCCGTGCTGGAGGTCGAGATTGGCCATAGTAGAAGTCTTGTAGTAAACAAGGTCTTCACTAATGAAGCTTATGTGCCAGGCATCTCCGGCTAGGTCTTGCCCACTATACACGCCTTCCCCGATCTCAGGATTGAACGTTACTGCGACGAGAAATCCTAGCTGTGGAATGACGGTGCAATGGTGGATATGCTCAGTTACCCACTCGGGAACGTCTCTCAGGAGTTCGCCTTTTATTTTAGGAAGGATTTGGCACACGTGGGCAAATTCTCGCCTCAGCTCGTCCAAATTATCACTTGCACCTGTGAGAATCTCAGTGCGGCCTGTCTCCATCGATAGCTTGAAATTGATTGTTTTCAGAATCGTTTCGCCAATGGATAGAAATATTCGAGGGTCGATGCTGCTTCTTATCTACTGCGATCAGCTGCTCCAGTTCCAGACTGTCTCGGTTCGCATTGGTGTAAGTTATACAAAGTTACCTACCTTCGAAATCGAGTCGATATCAGATGATCCCAGGAGCGAAGACACGTATTCTCTGAGCTGAGTGGAGGCCATTGCGAAGCGCAGTAATATCTTCCAATCTCCTGTTTGCAGGGATAACTGGCCTCTCATTCGGTCTACACCCTTTCTCACGTGAAGCAGGAGGGTTTTGGTGTTCTCGATCTTTCTCAGATGCTTTCGTATGCCCCGCAGAGCTTCACGGTTCTCGACACGCAGAAAAGTCGCGATAGCCCTCTGCCGCTCATGTATGAGTTTGACATCTGTACTCGGCCGAAAAAGCATCTGACGCGCTTTGCTTTGCCCTGTGCTGTGCAAGCAAAACCCTGGAGTAGGCCCGAGACTGAGAGACACTCCTTGAGTTTTGGTTGCGAGCGGTTAGAGCATTGTATCTGTGGGTTGGGATGGAGCTCGGATCGTATAATCTGCAGCGATATCAAAGCATCCGCACTCACGAGCATCGTATCTGCAGGCGTGCTCATCTTCGTCGACCTTATCTGAAACGCAAGGGGCCTCTCGGCGTCGGTATCCAGAGATTCTATGGACATACGACGGTTGAGATCGGTCACAACTGCCCTGGCACACCCAATGGAGAGGTGACTCTCGAGGTTGATGGTCTTCGCTAGACGCATGAGTTTGCTGTGATCGGGAGAGCTAACATAGTTTGCCGAGTGCTCCGCTGTTGATTCTACCTCTAAGAAATCTGGAAGGTTCGGGCCAAGATCTACTTTTGCCAATATCACCTTCCCTGCATCATAATCAAATTCCGCAGATCCAAGGTGTCGCAAAATGTGTAACCCTTGCTTATTGTCGGACGCTTCGTCACTTTCAAGCCGCTGTGCGCCTCGCTCAAGAAACTCAACCAGCACACCTGAAGCGTAGGCTAGAACGAGGATGGTTGTCGGTTAGACGCGAAGTAGAATTGTCTCGACAGCCTCGATTCCGCCCATGGATATGTCTTCCTCGATAAACAAGGCTCCTTCGGTGGCTACGTAGTAAGAGCAGCCGACTCTGCCGTCCTTGTTCATGTCGATACCCATACTAAACTCACTGAAAACATCATGATCTTCATTGCTGGACTGTGTGGTATCTGTGTGGATGAGCGTTGACTAATGATCGCGCCCTGGGCTGACATGTCGGAGACTTGTAGGCGAGGGTAGCGTGTTCGAAGGCTAACGGCGAGTGACTGAATGCGGCGCCGTCCGATATAGTGTCCTTGGTCTTGTTCGGACGCGTGTAGTGGATGAAACGATAGAAGACGAGGAACAAGGGTAGTAGTTAGTTGATTGAATAGAATTAGAAGACCTGCTTGAGCGCCGAGAAGAGATAGCGTCTATCTGTTTGCGCTCAGGGGAATTCAAAGGCCGAGAAAAGGCGTGAAACGACGAACGAGTCTGGGAGGTTCTAGCCCCTTCATCAAGAACCCGAGCTCTTCGGGTTTGCGAGGGCGAGCTCAGAGTTGAATAGGTGGAAGTTGATTCAGAGTAGGACTCGTGGGAGGAACTCTGAGGTCGAGAAGAGACCGCAGATTGGCCACTGTACTCGGAATGTAGCAGAGAGGGACTGGAGCTTCCAAACGGATCGGATCGCAAGGCCGACGGCGAGCCCGTGTTGAGATATGATGATGCATAAGAGTATTGGGAGCTCGACAATGGTTTAGCTGGACTTAGGCTTGTTGGAGACAGGAGACGCGACGTGGTGGAATACACACTCTGAGCACTTCCGTTGGCCACCATCGGGGGCGTTTGACCAAGCTGGCGGCCCTCGTGAGACGAGCTGCACCGGTTGAACGAATCCCTAGGTTACTGGGAATACTGGAAGCTAGTTCAATGATCTGTAAAGGTGAAGTAAACGACTAGATGATACCATCAAAGGCTGCTACTCTTGATCGACACAGCCGCTCGACTGCAATGGCCGTACTCAGCAAGGCTCTATTTCTGCGGCTCTATTTCTGCCCGAGCCTGCTTTAGAGAAGATGCCAAATTATGGATAACTGGTAGTACTGCCTGTATCGGACTTGCAAGGAGACCTGAACGCATTGGGAAGGCACAGATCAGATGGTTCATGTTCAAGCTTTTACTCGTAGTGGGAAGGAGCTTCCGGGACGGGACCACGGCCCGCCTACTGAAGCCTGGCAGGGACAAACAAACAGATACGGATGAAACATTCCGTGATTCTGGCACAGCAATACTGGTTTTCTTAAGTTTTATTACGGCCAAGTCCCGTGGCCGCCAGTTTTAGGGAATAATATAATCAGACAGAGCTACCGCAGCTGTTATTGCGTGCTGCTGGTCTTGACCCAGCTGGCAAACTCCTTGCGCTGCTTTCGGATGTCCACAAAGCCAGGCCTTGTCTCTAGGAACTTAAAAGGGTTGCCTACAAAGTCCTTGTTCACCTCTCCGTCGTTGTCCATGAAGCCTTCTTCTCCCTCCCGCTCGATCTTGCCCGCCCAAACACGCCACTGGATTGGTCGCAAAGGCCGGGTCCCGAGAACCAGCCCGAAGAGAATGACGGTAATGGCGATGACAGTCTCGATTGCAATATCCACGGGAAGGGATGCGACAGCCAGCGACGACGAGGTTAGGGTCGCGGTGGCAGCCTTGAACGATTGCAGAGCCGAATGCTCCTGGGCCGAGTAGCAGCTACGATCGAGTGTTAGCTCGAGCCGTCCATGGAAGGGGACGATGAATTGGGTTGCCTACGCATGGCCAAGGAGAACGGCGCCAAACAGGGTAATGGCTTTGGATATCCACGTCATGGTGCACAATGGGCGCGACTGGTCGGCGCGATGTGATAGGCAGAGGGTCGGTTTGCGTTGGCTGAAATACGGTACGTCGTCGTACTTAGAGGGAGCTCACAGCTGGTGGTGGGTTGCCTGGAAATCGGATAAGTGGGCAAGCCGAGCCGCGATGACATTATTATGCGCTAATATAGTATTGTATGCATATAAAAGTCATTAAACACTAAATAAGGTACTGGGTAAATACATACCGTTTCCGCGCGAGTTTACTACGCGACTTAGGAATTACAATAGGCAATCTTGGGTCAAAAGAGGCAAGAAAGAAAATTATTTACATGTTTTTTTTAGATACCTAGTATCTAAAGTAAAGGAGGTAGGTGTAATTACCTTGGTTGCGACGGAGTCTTGCGAGCCAACAGGGGAAGTGCCACGACTCTTTCTCTGGAAGGTGCTATCGAATATACATACATCAGCTTCCCCTAGGCCGTCTTCATGCTTCCTCGTTCACTTTCTTTGTCTATTCCCCTCCCCCCCCCCAAAAATCCAAAACTCCAAAACAAGGGATATGAATAGGAAAGAAGAGATCCTCCGACGCCATTGTTTTTCTCTTAAATCCAACAAGGAGGCCAGCAGACTCGTCATGTCGGGCAGCTCATAGGATGTTCCAGATTTCCAATAAAGAGATGTGGTGTGTCCGCATGTGCTTGCGCATCTGCGTATATGCCCGTGATAGATAAGTAAGATAAATACATGATATCTGGTTCTGGAATATCAATCCTCTTCGGCCTAACTACCTACCCCCCCTCCCACTCACTCTAAGCTCTTCCAGAGACATGCGCGCCCTGGAACCCGCGCACCCGCCCGGTGTGCGTTAGGCTCCTTCTTCAATCATTCGAAGACTCACGTTTCTGAGGCGGAGGGTCTTCCCAGCTCGTGTCCAACTGGGCCGTGTCCGAAAGAGGCTCGATCTCCCAGTCGCCCTTCAACAGCGACGCGTTCTGGTCCATGGGCAGCGTCTCGTCATAGCTCATGAACGGGTCCGAATACTGGCCCCCCTCGGCGTCGTCGTGGCCCGTCGGGAGGTGGGCCGTCTGCCACGACTGTGGAACGGTGCCAAGATCGGTGTCGAAAAGGAGGTTATTGAAGGCGTGCGAGTCCATCAGCGGCGGGTCGTGCAGGGAAGGGTCGATGCGGTGGTGATCAAAGCGGTGCAGCGGCAGCGGCTGCGACGGCGAAAGCGGCAGCAGCAGCGGCTCCGAAGCCGGCGAGTGCCCGTGATACTGGCCGAGGCCGTAGTGCCCGTGCAGCGGCGGGTGCAGCTGGGACGACGGGTGGGTCAGCTGTTGGAATGCGAGGCTTGGGGATGGCGTTTTGTGCATCATGACATCCTCGACTAAGCCGTGGTGGTGTATGCCACTGCGGTGCTGCTGATTGCGGACCTGCGTCTCGTAGTACTGCCCCGGCATGTCGCGGTGGCCGTACGGCGGCGGCATGGATCGGCCCGGGTTGGAGAAGTCAAACGCCGACCTGTTTTGGTGGTGCGAGAGCCCCATGCCGCCGTGGTCGCCTATCGGGTGGTACGGGCCCATGCCGTAGCCCGACTGGGGCCGGAGATAGTCGCCACCCACGCCTTCGTTGGGCGTCTTCGTTGTCGATCGGCCGCGCCCTGTCCGGTTGACCCAGTCAAAGTCTTCGAGGTCCGAATTGTCGCTTTTATGGCCGTCGTCATACTTGGCCTTCTGCGGCTTGGAGGGCGTGAACTTGTAGTCGGGGTGCGCCTTCTGGTGGTTGTCGCGCTCCAGGTCGGCCCACGCCTTGAACTGTTGCCGTACGCTCTCGGGCTCCAGGGGCCAGCTGAGCCCGCACACGCGCGAGACGACCTGGTGGTTGTGCTGCGACGCCCATTCCTTGGCGCGCTGTTGATATGCCTTGCGGTAGAGCATAAAGGCGTTCATGGGCCTCTTGACCCTGCCCGGGTTCTTTCCCGTGTCGACTTCTTGCTGGCGCACTTCGGACGACCGGTGCACATACGTCTCGATGTCGGCGACTGGTATTTGCGATGCCTCGGTCAGCTCGCTCATGGGTCTGTCGAGATTTGGGACATTCTTGGGCGTCTTGGCCCGTTCCTTTTTGGCCTTCTTTTTGGGAGCGGACTTCTCGATGCGACCGCTCCTGGGTGCCAGCACCTTTGATCCGGTTGTGACGTTGCTCCGAGTCGTCATTATGTCCGACCCCCGAGACGGGGTTGGCGGCGACGTTGCCGGGGTGCTATATGGCTGAGCGCCCTCCAAAAATGCCTCTGTCAGTGATTTCTCTCACCCCGTGACCCGCTGTTCTTGCAATAAAACTCACTTCCGGGATGGGACCATAGGGGCTGCTGTCATGAGTATACATGGCGTGGTGGTAGCCCTGCTGTGTTGACGGATTAGCTGATGCAACACTTGCCTAACACGGATAGTGAGTGCCCTACAAGCTGGTCAACCCCTCCACGCTGCTGTTGATACTGCATCGCCGCGTCATATCCCTGGGGACGATGCGCTTGAGGCACTGGCGTCCCGTATCTCGACGTCGGCTGAGATTGGCTCTGCCTGATTTGTAGGCCGTGGACCTCGCGGGGATATGATGTGGCGGCATTGTGTCTTACCAGTTCGTTGAAGCCAGTCGGCAGCTGCTCTAATCTGGGCGAGGCCGGCGACCGCGGCGTGTTGCGGTCCATGCTGGTATGCTCAGCAGGTCGTATGCTCGTCGTTGACTGGTCGTCGTTGACTGGAGGCAGTGCCCTTCGTCGATGAATGTTATTTCGGCCCGTGAGCTGCCAAAGGTTGAAACGACTCTACCGTGCCGCCAGGTTCACCTTCCAGGTGTTTCCTACCGGGGCAAGTTGAATAGAAGCTGCCTCGTCCGTACCACTTTTGGGGCAAGTGTTGAACCACTCAGCACTCCAAGGGGCTTGCTAATATGATGATGTGGAGCGACGTCCTTCTGCTGGCCTTGATCATTCGAGCGAGTAATTTAGCGCGCTGGCCACGAAAGAAGCGACTCCCAGCCCCAATTTGAGGATTTCCAAACCCGAGCAGGCTCCCAAGCGGAAGCGGACCTTCAGTCTTTCTTGGTCTTACGGGCCCGTGAGGCCAACTTCGCGAGCAGCAACGCCCGGCATTCACAAACAAATGGCCGACCAAGCTGTGGGCTGTGCGCGGAAAGCGGTGTTGGGAAGTGCTTGTCTCTCTTCGACGGTGGTTGTGCAGAGGGCGATGACTGATGGGCTTCTCTCTTTGGGAATGCCACTCTATGCGTTCTGGGCGGGACGCTGCGTCTCGATGAGGTCCCAACAAGGCCGTTGGATCAAAGTCACTTGATGCCGGCTCTGTCCACGGGCACGCTCTCCCACTGGGACTCCCTGGTGGTTAGCTCGGGTGCCTCAAGCCAGGGGCTTTTTTTTCTTCGCGTGGACAGTACCGTGCATTCCTATGGCGATGCTATAGCGGTCTCTCTCCTTTCTTTGTCCGGGTGGTCCAGGACAGGGCATGGGTCAGTAGTGTGGGCTGCGGCTTGACAGGTTGCGCTCTCTGGCGGCCTGAATGAAGGAGCTGGACAGCCTTTGTCTCGTGGAGATTCTTGGTGGCATAAGATATGGGAAAGAAAGAGGATGGGGCATGGCCCTGTATTTGTACTCTCTTTATGGGCGGCTTCTCCTGCCGCGGTGTGGTTGTGAAGTTGTCTGCCACCCAGAGGATTGCCGCATTCGGAAGCATCCCAGGACATCCAGTCCGGCGGGAACACGCCTTGGGCAGCAGGCATGGAACATGGGCTCTCTGGTTGAGGGCAGAAGGCCATTTGGACGAGGAGCTAGCACCAAAAACCTGGGGCCGGAGCATGGACCGACATGGCCCCTGGGCCGTGGTCGTTGCCCAGGCCATGATACGCCCTGCTCCTCCTATCTTGGCTCGGGTGCACATCCAGTAGCTGTCGGGACAGAACAGTACGAAAAACGAGGCTGCTGCGGCAGCGTCAATTTTGGCGCGCTCCAGCAGGAGAAAGACATGGATGGTGCATATATATCATCCATGACTCTGATGCAGCCCAGAGCAATCTTGTCCCCATCCCATCCCCTCATCCATCACCTTTCTGCCTCAACCGCCAACCCCCCCCCTTGTGCTCCTCCACCTGTTCGTGCAGAGATCCGAACTGTGCGGCTATCCCGTCTTCTCGAATAATGGCACAGGCTGGATTGAGAGGCGGATCCAAAGTGCAAATGTGTCGCAGATTCAAGGTACCACCGAGTGTTGGCTGGAATGTGGCCGGCAAGTCCCGGAAACGGTCTCGCGAGCTGGCATCCGGCCGGTGCTGGCTGACTACCCAAGGTACCTACATACCTTCCTCGGACACCTCAGGCACCTTGCCTATTAAAAGTATCTTCCCTACCTTGGTTAGCTCACTTGGAGACGGCTTGCGTTCCTTTGATGACCGCGAGACCGGGGACCCAATCCGGACCACCGTATCTCTCATACCCCTTCACCCCTTCTTGTCTTCCTGTGCTAACCACATGACTTTTGGGTGATGCGCACGCGAGTAGGAGAGACTGGCGGGAGCTATCCGGGCGGCAGGCGTTAGGCGTGTGTGTGTGTGGTGTGTAAGTTCTCTCTATCGCTGTCGTTGACATCGGCGTCGGGGGTAGTCAGGCAGCCAAGGGGGAAAGGCACTAACTAGCCCACCCCCATTGGCAGATTGCTTAGCCGCATCACGCACGCGGCCGCCGTGACAACATCTAGTTGGTGTTGTATCCCTGCAGGTCGCTTCGGGTAGCTGCATTAGCCTGCGACTGTTTGAACCTCTTTCGTTGCCTACTTGGGGAGGTAAGGGGCCCTCCTTGGACCGCCTGGGTTGAAGGGGAGACACTAGTTTATTGCTGCCCGTGCAGCTGAGCAAGGCCAGGCACAGACGACAGTCCATGGTCATTGCATATCTAAATATTAGGAAGCTGCAAATCTGCAAGGCACCAAGTGTCGAGAAGTTGCAAGCTGGGGCATCTGGAAACTGGTCTGCACTGCCACGACGTACTCACTGCTTGGGCATCGGGATTAGATAACGTGGCTGGATACGTCCAATCTCAGTCCTTTCCGATGTTCCGTGTAGATCTTCATGCTGCATGTTTCCTTGCCAAACATGTCTTAAGCGTAGACCACCGGTTCGTACCAGCTGTCAGGTCCGGTGCTGTGACACCTCACTTGTCAGATTCTCTAGATGACCACTGTTGTTTCTGGATTGAGAATCACCGCAACTTTGATGGGCCGAGCATTTATCTAGAAAAGGTGCCGACGGCGAATTGAAAACAATCTCCCTCTGTTACTCTTGTTGCCGCTCCAAATAACAGATATACTAAGCATATACTTCGGGGTTAATTAGGTATGTAGAAACTAAAAGGGGCTGGTTCAAGGTCAAAAGGAATACAAGTTGCATCCATGACGGCTCAACGTCCCCCAGTTGTCACATAATGCGCGGGCATTGACTATCAAGCTGGCCTGTGTAGATATGTAGGTAGGGATACATGCGTGCTGCTGAAATACCTACTTACGCTGTATTTTCTCTACCTGGAAACCTGCTTATCCATACATAAATGAATCTACCGGAATCTAGCCTCCCTGTTTGCCATAATATTTGTGTATGTTTCCTATTAACGCCTTTAATGACTTTGTGGGAAAATATAAAGCCATTATTCCGCCTCTAGCCTTACCAATGGACCCCTATGACCAGAGAGAAAAAGGCCGCCTCAACTGAATCCAGCTCCCCGACAACAAACAAGCGAGGAGCACAATGCCAATGTTGACTAGCCGAGCAACTTAGTAACCAACAGAGGGTATACCTTTAGGAAAGACTCGTGTTTTCCCTGCTCTGTTTCCTCTGAGACAACGCCGTGCCGCTTATGAGGATGTAGACTGAACTAGATTTTGTGGTTGGGCGACTCGCGCGTCTTGCTGTGGCGAGGCTGCCTTGACTGGAGGTGTCAAGATTTGCTGCTGCGGAGAGGGCGATAGCGCCGCCGCAGGAGGGAAAACAACAGCCGAAGAATGGGGCGCTGCCCGAGCAGCACTGAAACTGTTGCTATTGCTGTTGCTCTGAGATGGCGCTATAGCTGGGGATTGCTTGGTGGGAGACAAGCCACCCCGAGAGGGTGGCAATGGCGAGGGTCGCTCGTCCAATCTGCGCTCGGACTCGGAAAAGGACTGGACTGGCGTCAGTTGTGGCAAAACTATTGGCCCAGAGGGCGTGCTATTGACATATCTTGCCCCGAACTCTCTGGGGGCAGACGGAGATTCCTTTGTTGCGACAGCGGATCGGTGTTGTGGTTGCTTTGATGGTGATGGATTGTTGCCGTTTCCGGTAAGGCTAGGCGGAGTCTTGTCCCGTACGTGAGTTTGATTACTGTGCCCAAGGACGGGAGCCGGGGTCGAGTGGTTGAATAATGTGTCGTAAGCCTTTGTCTTATCATCCGACTGTGTTGGGGGGGATAGATTCGGGTGTGGCAACGAGAAGGCGTTACTATCATATCTGTTTGGTGGCAACTTGGCTAGGGCAGTCTCGAGAGCACCCCCACTAGAGCCGTTCATGTTGCGCGGTCCAACTTGAGGTCCCAGGCCAGTCGAAGTGTCCCGAGTGACAGCGCTGGCGACAGCGCCAGAGGTTTCAGTCCCGTTTGGTCGAGGCTGGCCCGACGGAGGTTTGGGCTCGAGCTCGACGAAGAGCTTTGCTCGGGCAGGTTGTGGAGAGGCGCTCTTTTCCACCGAATCTTGCACGGGCGAACGGGGCGGTGACGACGACGACGATCCCGGACGATTGACCTTAATCTTTATGATCCTCGGTCGCTGTTCTTTCTCGGCCTGCCCACGACAATGACAGGATTCGCATACGAAGTGGAAGTCATCCTGGTCAGCCTCGGCTTCATCGATACCAAGGCACTTACTATGCTGCCAGACGTTGCACTTTTCGCAAGCAACGCTATGCGAACCGTCGTCGATCTGACCGTATACACCGCAAGCGCAGTCGAAAATCCAGTCGTCCTCTTCCTCCTCAATCTCCTTGAGTGCCTGCTTGTTCTTCTCGATTTCGGCCAGCCGACGCCGCTCTGACATGCGCCCGGGTCCGGTGATCGTTGACCTGCTGTCCTCGGACAGTTGGGCGAGCTCCTCTTCGTGTTGCAAACGGCGGGCTTCTCGCTCCTTCAGTCGTTTCGCCCTTGACATCAAACGACTCTCCCTCTCGTGCTCCATCTTAGCCCGCGCCAGGTCTTCCTTCCGCTTCGCTGCCTCTTCTTCGCGTCTCTTCCGTTCCTCTTCGCGGCTCTGTTCCTCAAACTTCTGTTGCTCGGCTTTGCCAGCGATGCGGCTGGACCGCTTGGCATGTGCCAACTTCTCCAGGTTTAGCAGCTCCTTTTCCCGCTGAATCTGCTTTCTCTTCCGCGACTCCTCCTGCTTTTCTAAAATCGGTACAAGATGGTCACGAATCTGGTCTCGCAGCACCTTCTCGTTGCTGTCTCTTGTCGTCTGAACCGTAGATAGAAACCCGCGCACTTCGTCTAGGGTTACTGCCACACACTCCCATTTCATGCCTCCGAGACCGTCGTCTTCTGTCACGGTCGCTGTGTCGATTTTGGGGGTTTCATCGCCGTCCTCGTCAGTGTTGTCTTCGGCAGCGGCCGCAGCCGAGACACGCCGCCTCTTGCTTGCTCGACTGTGCGCCTTGCCCTTTTTTTGTCCCTTTTTGGGTGTAGGAGGCGGCGGCGCTTCTGTCTGGCGATATATGCGGTTGTCATCTAGGACGAAGTAAGTGCGGTCTTCATGGTCCCACCCGTAAGGCTCGATTCTCTACACTGAGGTCAGTATCACATTATGCGCAAACATATTTCCCTTGCTTGTAAGAAAACGCACCCAGTTTGTCTGATCCATGTCCTTTTGCTCCTCCGTTTTCTCTCGCAGTCGTTCCGGGCTCATCATGATGAACTGCGTCATTTGTTGCAGCACCCGAACCTATATGCCATCTTGTCAGCAATAATTTGGTATCGAGTTGCTCCCGGGGGACCCCCGGAGAGTCCGCTCACGTACCTTGGTGAAAACATCAAAATCGGCGAATCTAGCCGCCGTCTCCTCAGTGCCGAATGGGTTTTTCTCAGGGGCCTTGCTAATGTACTGCCGTCTCGTATACTCGTCGAAAAGCTCGTGGCTTTAAAATGTTAGCTGGAACATGATACCAGAGGAACAGGAAAGGGCCTACGTCAAACCGCGGTAAGACGAGAGAAACTTGAGAAACCCGAGACCAATGTTTTGCAGGGCCATCGATCCCGGCTTGAGGCATTCTGCTTCCAGGTCCTATTGGGCTCACTAAGTTAGCAGGTTACTTCGGCCTAGGCTCAGCGCGCATCGTAACGCAGGTAAGGACTTCGGCGGGGACCCACCTCGATGTCAAGATTGTCGTCGAGCTTCAGCGCCTTGCCAAAGAGCAAGATAAACTGGAAGAGATTGGCAAACTGCCACATGTTCCTGATGCGTTGCAGCATGGACGGTGGCTCTGGATGTTGAACATTCTCTGAGTCGGCGTCGGGCAACGCTCGCTTTCGCGTCGCCGGCATCGTGGGGTTTTTGTGTGCTCGTGTTCGGATTTGTGTGACTGTCGATGCGGCGGCGGGTGCGACGCGCTCAGAGCTGGCCGAGGGTCCGGATTGATGAGATATTTAGGCAGTCGCTCATTGAGTGTAGTGAAAATGCTGATCTAAACAAGGGGATTGTCGATGTTTGGTTTGATTCTGTTGGCGGCGGTCGCTCAGAGGAAATTGACGTGGCTCTGGGGATTCGCGCGCATCACTGGCAGCTAAAGTGCAAGGTCGCGGCGGCGAGCGGTCGAGGAGACGCGACTGGGTACGTACCGGGCCTGATCTGGAATTTTAGGCGGCTTAGTCATGCATTTCAGTCAAAGGGGGGTTTTCAGCGCTAGGTGCCTTTCAGCCAATCAATCCGCCTCACTTCCCCCACTATCTTCAGCAGTCAGAAGCCACCAAGCAAGTCTCATTGTTAAAGGACGCCGAATACCGTGATAAGTTTCAATTGTACTCGTACATACGCGGCACAAGATGTAACATCATCTAAAGCTGATCGATGACGTGAGTACTTGCTTTATCTTGCTTTGTGAAGCTATTGGGGAAAGACACTGGGTTTAGTTAATTGTCAGGGGTATTGCTAGGTTTTTACCCACAGACTGATAATATTTGGTTGATACCTTACTTACTCTGTCTTGTCTGTAGAATATTGTGAGATTAAATGTCCAAACACGCTCGCTGAGATGCATCCATCACGAAGGAACAGAGAGACAGAGCTAACGGATGAAATCTAGGTTGATACCTCAGGCAGACAATGCAACAGTCTTGGCATGATGAAAGCTCGACACGTTTCAGAAAGGTGTTAGACCAATGTACGAGTCCTCTTTGTGTACTGTGCACTCCTTTCGGATTGGCACTGTTTGTCTTGGGTATAGTACGGGTCGGATTTGGAAGGCCTTCTCTCCAATCACCTTCAGTTCATCTCGTGTTTTCGAGATAGCCATCTAGTGTTGAGATGTTCCACGGCATTGTTCTTCAGTACCCTCTAGCCATTCCAGTCCAATCTGCACTACGAAATGTTCTTCGTAGAATCGTCCTGTACATACCTTAAAGACATACAGAGCACACGCTACACCATCTCCATTTCCCCTGGGCCGACGTGGGATGGAACTAATGCATTAGTGTTGGCCGTTGCTCCAGCCCACCTCAGCACTGCCTGTTTGCTGTCAAACGGCCAATAGTATTCGTACATGGCAAGGCTACGCCGCGCTTACTAAATTAAGCTCCGCCCCCGTGCTTACAGTGCATCCACACACTGTAAGCCGTTCCTTTGGACTTTCAGCTCCTGTCCTCGGTGTTGGAGTCGGAATACGGGAACATCACCCATCCGCCTGCCTGAGGTAAGGTCCAGGTAGTTGCGGCGCAGTTAGGACTCCATCCTTTTGGCCAAATCGACGGACCAGACCATTCCCAGGGCCCGAGTCGAATGCGAATCCTGCTGACTGCATTTCTCCACGACTTCTCAACTACCTACCGTCCATTGCGCCGTTTAGACGTTACTAAACTACTACAGTACCTACCTTACTTTATAGATTGCGGCGCTCGCGCACACGTTTGGGCCGCACAGCCGTCGTTTCCCGCCCACCCCTCCACTCCCCTTGGCCGTCGTCGACACGAGTCGCGAACCGAGCGAGTCAAGGCGTGTCTCACCAAACATTTCACCATTGCTCAATGACAGCGGCCCTTGAAGCAGTGTTTAAGTGTTTTATTCTCATATGATGACAGCGCCACTAGCCTGCTAGCATATGTTGCGACAACGCTAGCGCATCGTGCGCAGACCTACTTATTGATTTTCAGCGGCAACAACAACAGAATCGGGCCAGTGGTGTCCCGTCGGATCCTGCAACATGGCCGACAACGACCCTACCTCTCCACGCCGGCCTCCCAACCCTGCGGCTCCCGTGTTCCAGTCAATACCGCTTCAAAATCTCAACCAGTCGTCCGGTGACAACGACGCTGATCATGGAGGACGCGTTCGGACCGAGCAGTCCGGGCTTGGGCTTGGGCCTGGGGCCGGGGTTGGGGCTACAATACACGGGCCAGCAGCGGTTCATGGGGGAGGGAGAAGAGATCACTCGCCAATTGCCATGTCGGCCAATTTACCAGGACTCTCGACTTACTGGGAGCATCCCTATGCGTACGCCCACGACGACATCAGCGCCGGCAGTTCGCCGATCGATCATATGGCTCTACAGTTTGCTCTCCCCCCCGACATACGACAGCAGCCGTCACCCTCTGAGGCCCCGCCGTACATCTCCGGCTCCGATAACCTATACCAGACCCCCCACGCCTATTATGAGGAACGAGCCGATACAGACTCTCTAGAGTCGGATAGGGCCCCTCTAAAGCCTGCGGCACAGCCAATGGCCCACCTAGACAGGCCAGAGGCAGAGGCCACGCCTCGCAATAGTTTTCAGACTGTGTCTGATCTCGGCAACAGCCCGTCCCGGCCACGGAATACCCAGATGCTCGGCTACGACTTGGAGCCCGGGTTTGCCTCGGATCGGCACCACAGCTATGGGGCGAATCTCGCTCCCGAAGACAGGCGACGGTCACGCTCTCCGTCAACGAGCGGAGCGCTGTCGAGAGCGGGCTCCATTATGAGGGCAATGTCCCAGCGCGTGGTCATGATCAGTGGCGAGGGCGATCTTGTAGAACAGCAACCTCGGCGGGAAAGGTCGCGCTCGCCAGGTGTCGACGGCCCTCGCCAGAGTCATATGTCGGCGCCTATGCTTGTCGACACCTCGTACCCATCTCAGATCTTCCGCATGCCTTCGGAAAAGAGGGCTGGGTCGGAAAGTGTCCACCCAGAGGAGCAGCCGGCGTTCATGTCACGGCCGCGTGCTCCCCTGCCGAATCCTCTAAAGGGAAATTCTCTCGGCATCTTCCCGCCCGAAAATGCGCTGCGCAAATGGCTCTGCAATGTCCTGGTCAACCCCTGGACTGAGCCGTTCATTCTAGTTCTGATCATTCTTCAGGCGGTTCTCCTGGCCGTCGAGGCGGCTCCGGACGTATTCGTCGAGGGGAATGCCCGGCCCCCTCGCTGGGGGAGCACTAGGATTGACTGGGCCATATTTGGCCTGTTCGTCGTTTTCACACTCGAACTCGTAGCCAGGATCATCGTGTCCGGTTTTGTTGTCAACGCCGACGACTACGCTCCAGTCAGCAGCAAGCGCCGTGTGAGAGAGCGAGTGGCCGAGCAGTACCGAGCTATCTTCCAACCCCAACGCCACAAATCGGTTCGGCAACCACGGCAAGAGCAATTTGTGCCGACGGCCTTTGCGAGGTCTTTTACCATGATTCAGGGACAGGCAGCGATAGGTTCGCTGGAAGACCAGCAGCGTCTACACCTGGCGCGTAGGGCATTTCTACGGCACGGCTTCAACAGACTGGATTTTGTCGCTGTTGTTTCGTTCTGGGTGTCCTTTGTGCTTGGCATTACTGGTCTGGAGCACGATCGCCATATCTTCGTCTTCCGTATGCTTAGTTGCTTGCGTATCGTTCGTCTCCTAGCTCTTACAAAGGGCAACTTGGTCAGTCGTCTTTTTCCCTTTCATCTGGTCAGCTAGGGCTATCTTTGGTCAAACTAACCGCGGGCATACAGATCATCCTCCGGAGTCTCAAGAAGGCAGCGCCACTTCTCGTAAGGGTTTCATTCTTGATGGGCTTCTTTTGGCTTCTATTTGCCATTATCGGGGTGCAAAGCTTCAAGTCGAGCCTCAGCCGCCAATGCACCTGGCTCAACCCTGAGAATCCCTCAAACTTCAGCGTAGCATACACGCCGCCCATGTCTTTCTGCGGAGGACACCTCAACGTCACGTCCGGTGCCCCGGAACCCTGGGTTTTCTCTCCAACCGGAGACCTGGCTCCCGAATCCCTCCGCCGAGGCGCCCAGAATGCAAAGGGCTTTCTTTGCCCCAGAGGATCAATCTGTCTGCAGCAGAGCAACCCGTATAATGGGACGGTCAACTTTGACGATATCGGGCATTCGCTCGAGTTGGTTTTCGTCATTATGAGCGCCAACACGTTTTCGGATCTGATGTACTACACGATAAGTTCGGACTTCCTCCCGGCAGCGTTGTTCTTCGGGGCTGGCATCATCATCATGATGCTCTGGATGACCAACTTGCTCATTGCGGTCATCACCTCCTCCTTCCAAGTCATCAGAGAAGAGTCAAAGGCGAGTGCATTTGCTGCCGACGGGCCACCAGCCCTCGGCCCTTCGGCTCACAACGATGGACCGCCACGGCGACGGTCGACACTACAGCATATATACCACAAAATCCACTGGATTTGGGTTGTCACCATCGCATACGGACTCCTGTGCCAAGCTTTCCGGACGGCGAACATGACGCCAAGCCGAGAGACGTTCGTCAACACCTCGGAGCTCATCGTGACTATTTTTCTCGACATTGAAATCGCCATCAGACTTGTTGCAGACTTTCGGAGATTTCATCACCGGATGAGCAATCTCTTTGATCTTGTGCTCGCCGTGATTACGACCGTCATTCTTATCCCGCCTATCCGCAATGCAGGCCAAGTCTATAACTGGCTCACCGTGTTCCAACTTCTTCGGGTCTATCGCCTGGTCTTGGTCATTCCGATGACCAAGAAACTGATTCAGCTTGTACTGGGCAACGTGGCCGGTATCGGCAACTTGATGCTGTTTGTCTTCTTGATCACGTTCCTCATGGCGATATTCGCTGCGCAGCTCTTTCGCGGCCAGATTCCCGCCCAAGACGCAGACGGGGATTATGTTAGGATACCGTTCAACACCATCTACAACTCCTTTCTCGGCATGTACCAAGTATTATCAAGCGAGAACTGGACTGAGATCCTGTACAATGTCACGGCCTTCACCACCCGTCTAGACACTGCGTGGGTCGGTGCCGTGTTCCTGATCGGATGGTTTATCCTCTCCTACTTCATTCTCATCAATATGTTTATTGCTGTCATTCAAGAGAACTTCGACGTTGGGGAGGACATGAAACGACTTGAGCAAGTGAAAGCTTTCCTCCAACGCAAAGAGCTAGCCAGCTCATCCAGCAACCTTGCGCTGTCGAAAGTCTTCGCATTCGGACGATCTAAGAAACACAACGAGGCGCTCGATTACGGCCCCGCCATGATGGAAATGCTGCTCAAGGAAGCTGTCGTGCGCGAATTTCTTGATGACAGTATCGACCCTCTTCAAGAAACGCCAACCGAGAGCGAATCCCCCCCGCAGCTCGGGACAAACAATGGCATCAAACCTGGGACTCTTTCCTCTCTATGGGGAAAGGCTGTTTCGATATTTAACGGCAGCGACCCCAACCCCTTTTACTCAAACGTTCGATTCAACGGGGCCAGTGACACGCTTGATCCTAGGCAGATGGCTCGCGAGGCTGTGAGCGCTACCGCCAGTCGCCGCAAGGCGCAAAGGGAATATCTCATGCGGCACCCAAAGTACAACAATGCCTTGTTCATCTTCACGCCCAAGAACCCTATCCGGCGCCTTTGCCAGCAGCTCGTCGGGCCCGGGCGGGGCTCCGAACGGATTGACGGCGTTATGCCGAACAAATACGCATGGTATACGTTCTCTGCTCTGATTTACGCCGCCATCGTTGCCATGGTGATTCTGGCATGCTTCACGACTCCCCTCTATCAAAAGGAGTACTTCATGAGGAACTCTTTCAGCATCCTCAACTGGTTTGTGTGGACTGATATGGCATTCGCGATTGTGTTCCTAGTCGAAGCAATCATCAAAATCATCGCAGATGGCTTCCTCTGGACACCCAATGCGTATTTCCGCAGTACGTGGGGTGTCATTGACGCCATCGTACTAATTACCCTATGGATCAATGTCATCACCCTCTTCACCAACGACGGGGCTGTGTCTCGGGCTGTGGGCGCTTTCAAGGCATTAAGAGCTCTGCGTCTGCTCAACGTCAGCGACAGGGCCAGAGAGACTTTCCACTCCCTCTTGGTTGTCGGCGGATTCAAGATTCTAAGCGTGAGTCCTTCGCCCTATTCGCCCACGCTCTCACTGAGTGGCGACGATTGCTAACCGCGTGTTGCAGGCTGCCTTTGTCTCCATGTCCTTGTTGGTCCCATTTGCCATTTATGGCGTGAATCTCTTCAATGGGAAGCTTGTTGCCTGCAACGACGGATCAGGCGCCGTAACCAGTCTGATTGATTGCTATGGCGAGTATAACAGCACCCCTTTCAACAACGATTGGCCTCTTTTGGCTCCAAGGGTTGCGTCCAATCCATACTTCAACTTTGACGACTTCGGCTCGGCCCTTTTTGTCCTCTTCCAGATTGTCAGCCAGGAAGGATGGGTTGATGTGTCCTTTGCCGTCCAGGCAATTACTGGTAAGGGCCTTCAGCCTCAAGGGGGCCCGCCATACAGCGCCCAAGGAAATGCCTTGTTCTTTGTCATCTTCAACCTCATGGCGACAGTCTTCGTGCTCACTCTCTTCATCTCCGTCTTCATGAGGAACTACACGGAACAGACAGGAGTTGCTTTTCTAACGGCGGAGCAAAGATCCTGGCTAGAGTTGCGCAAACTCCTCCGCCAGATTTCGCCGTCCAAAAGCGCCTACGACGAGAGCAAAAGGAAGTGGGTCATGTGGTGCCACAAGCGCGCGATCGAGAAGCGCGGCAAGTGGTATCTAGCTGTTACCAGCGTTCTTGTTCTCCATCTAGTGCTTCTCCTTGCCGAGTTCTACTCGGAACCGGTCTGGTGGACGCGAACTCGCGACGGCTTGTTTCTTGTCTTCACTCTGATCTACATCAGCAACATTGTGGTGCGAATAGTCGGGCTCGGCTGGAGTCGGTTCCGAAAAAGCTCGTGGGACGTCTTTTCCCTGGTTGCGGTCATTGGAGCTCTCGCCACTTCTATCTTGTTCCTGACCAACACCGTGCAAGACACGTACATCCAGCTACATAAGTTCTTCCTGGTGGCACTTGTGCTTTTGCTCATCCCGCGGAACGACGCACTCGATCAGCTCTTCAAGACGGCTGCTGCTAGTCTCACGACAATCGGCAGCTTGCTGGCCACATGGCTGGTGTTCTTCTTGGTTTTCGCCATAGCGCTGACCCAGACGTTCAGTCTGACACGGTTCGGGAGCCAAGAAGACGCCAACATAAACCTCCGCACCGTCCCCAACGCGTTAGTTCTCTTATTCAGGTTCAGCTGCGGAGAGGGCTGGAATGAGGTCATGGAAGACTTTGCCAAGATTAGGCCTCCTCTGTGCGTGGAAGGGGACACATTCTTTGACAGCGACTGTGGCAGCACTGGGTGGGCCAGGTTCTTGTTTGTTGCGTGGAACATCATCAGCATGTATCTCTTTGTCAGCTTGTTTGTTTCGCTCATCTACGAGAGCTTCTCTTACGTGTATCAGCGAACCAGCGGCTTGGCCGTGGTTGACCGCGATGAGATCCGGCGGTTCAAGGAAGCCTGGCGCAGCATCGACCCATCCGGTACTGGGTACATCAGTAAGGAGGCCTTCCCCCGATTGTTGGGGGAATTGTCGGGAGTGTTTGAGATGCGCATATATGACGCCGACGACTCGGTGCGCCAGATTCTTGAGGATGTCCGGAACGAAGGGGGGGACACGGCCAGTATACGACACGCCTCCATCGTCGGCAATGGCGGATCCCAGACGGGAATCGACCTGAAGAAGTTGAACCAGCGGTTGGCCAAGATCGACGTTGTGAAGGTGAGAGAACGGCGGCGCCGGTTCAACATCTTCTTTGAAGAGGTCATGGTATCGGCCGACCCCGAGAGAGGCATATCTTTTACGACGGTCTTGATGATTCTGGCACACTACAACATTATCAGCGACAGCAAGAGCTTACGGTACACACTCCTCTCTCTCCCCTACCCCAGAATCTTGCCATCAGTTTATGCTTGCAATATATCTAACAACCGGTTTTAGACTGGAAGAGTTCTTACGCCGCCGAGCCCGGCTGCAGCGTGTCGAAGAAGAAGTAAGGCGACGAATTGTGCTGGGGTTCTTTGACATGCTATACTACTCGCGGCAGTTCAAGCGCCACATGGAACTCAAGCACTCGGCTCGCATGACGGCAATTCCGCAATTGGATGTTCCTGAAATCCTAGTAGACAATGAAGAGGACCGGGCAGCCGGCGGAGCGGCCAGGGCGGGCACCGAGGGCGACACGTCGAAGTCGAACATGTTGGGGCCCAACGCTGCTAGCGGGGGGGTGTTTCTCTCAGCGGACGACGCGCGCTCACCTACGCATCATCAGCGCAGTTGGTCCGGCGTCAGTGCCGACCTGTCGTCATACGACACGTCGTATGGCCATCCCCTAGCTGGGCCCCGAGCGTCTGGCCCGGCGTCCCCTAGCCACCGCAATCAGGTTAGTGCCTTCAGCTTTGAGCTGCACGAGGCACCAGATGGCGGAGACAGCAGCGACGCAGCTACGCGGACTGGGCGTCGTGGGTCGGTCAGCCCTGCCCAGGTCAGAGAGATGCTGGACGATTCCGTCTGGATGGCAAGCATCAGGAGAAGCGCAACAACAAAGAGGAACAACAACTGGGGTGGGGGTAGCGGGCCCGGCGAGTTTTGATTTATGATGGAGATCGGGTGCAAGGTGATTATGAAAACTGGCGTTTTTGGCAGGTTTGATTGGGATGGTTATGAGCGACGACACATAGCACACTGCATACCCCTTTTTTTCGAAGTGTGTTTATTTTTTCCTCCTTTCCAACCTATTATATCTTTTTCGTTCCCTTTCTTGTCTCTCTAGGCTCTAGATAATATTTTGTGGGGTCTACTGTACAAAACAAGGCGCTTTGGGGAAAGGCTCTTGATTCATTTTGCATTGTTTACACCCTGTTCATGCCTGAGTTGGCCAATTTGGCTTGATAGGGAACTTGTATTGGCGGCCTGAAGAATTCCTTTGTTGACAGAACAGAGCAGGAGATGGACCAAGATATGGCGTTTGTATCTAGTTGGGTTTTCTGTTTCTATTAGATTCTTCCGTGATGGAGAGATGGCAGGCATTAATTTCTCTCTGGCCTCCGTACAGATGGAGTCTTTTGCTATAATACAGCACAAGACGAAATATTCTTGCATAGCTGGGTTGAGGATTCCCCCTCGCTCGGGGCAGTCGTGGCTTGGAAGCCTTGTCAATACAAGATATAATTAATAGAAAAGAGGCCAACTGGCCATCAAGAAGTAGGCTGTGGAATGTGCAGACAGACGATCCTAATCATGCGCAAAATCTATCGCACGGCTACCTTACTCCCTGCGTATTCCCTGGGGCAAGGCAGCTAGCTAACTCGCTGTCCCAGACGAGTGAGAGCATTTGCGAGGACGGTGTTTCACTCATCCATGGCGATGTCCCTTCTCCGCACCGCCCCGTCGTAGAGAGCGTTGGAGAGCCCAGACACCCCTGCAGCGGATGCAGGTACAGTACTGTGCAGAACACTAGCAACGGGGTGCATACGAACCAAGGTACGGATACGGACCAGGAAGTCAGGTTCAGGTGGTGCCATCGTGTGTGACTCGGTCAATGGAGCGAAGCACGGACGAGTGCAAGGCATGGCACTGTTGTGGTCATGCAAAGGATTCGATTGAAGAGGCAAGCGGGGAGGCAGGGAGGCAGGGAGATGACGGCCGGGGGGACATTGGAACTCGAATGATCTCCAACGGGCGTCCAATTGGTATTTGTCTCTCAGATAATAGCAGCCGGTGCGGCCGACTCTCGGCCAAGGGGCCCCGGAGATTCTTCCAGAAGTTCGCGCAGGCGATTCTTTTTTCCCAATTCTTTGCAACTCGTCACAGGACGGTATTGTGATAGAATAGATTGGCGTGGCAATGGTACAGGTAAGGGCATGAAACAGCCATGAACGGTGTCCCGGCCAGGCGAAGCCCCTTGATGCGCAGGGTCCTAGCGGGCCACTAACACGGACAGGCGCCTGCGCGCAGCAAATCTGATAGTGGCAGCCAGCCACCTCCGGGACGGCGATCATACACACAGTTAAGTGGGGACGGGCCCCCAAGGGTCCACGGTGGCATCGCAACTTCCTGACTACCTACGTACCCGCAACCGTAAAAAGGAAAGAATAGCCAGCAGCTTGGGCAGTTGCACCAGCCCATGGATTAGTCCGTGGATGCGATTGAGATCAAACGAACAGGCAGCAGACAGCCCTTCCTACTACTCCTGCTGCTACCCACTGTAGGTATCATGGGACAAGTAGTAGTGGTTGGAACACTCACACTAAAGGAAAGTGCCCTCCTTGCCTTACCCCGTAGGGAGGGAAGGCGTCTCATACTCCGTATTGTATGTATGTAGATACCTCCTTCCAGTAGCAGGTGGATCTCCTAGCTGAAAGCTCAAGGTAGGTGCCTGGGTAGCAGCAGCAGCAACGGGATAATGGGACTAGTGCTTTGTTTCGGCCCTCGACTTTTCGTTTCACTACTGCCCTGACTTGCAGCCAGATGACATAGACGGGTCCGTATCTAGGACGCCCCGCTCGGCAGCAGCGTCCCAAACGTCAATCAGCACCCACCTAGTGAGCATCCGGTCTCTGCGGCCGACAGCTGCCTCCTTCGGTCATGGTGGCCCGTGAATGATATTCCTAGATCCCCGGTGGATGACGGGTGCTTCCAAGAGCACGCGCGGGCTTGGATTGAGGAACGCTCGGGGGTCATATAGCACTCGGGCGAGCCGCGGGATAGGATGGATGCACATAAGCTGGTTGATGTGCTGCAGAGCCACTGTGGCTCTCGACGTGATGTGCAGCTGAGTCGCAAGAGTCAGGCAAACTAGCGATCGCATAACGATGCGCCCTCAGCAAAGCCGCTGCCCCTTGAGAGCTTCGCTAGACCTTAAAAGGGTGCATGAAGGACGGCGTGCGCAGTGGCTACGGTCCCCTTCCCTTGCGTCTCGGCACATAACACATGGTACTGTCTTTTCCACTATCAGTTTCCCAATTCTCCTCCTGCCCGGGCTGGCTGTGCTGCCCCTGCGCTGTTTTCTTGCTGCATTCATTCGTCCCTAGTTCCAGATCCAGTTTCTAGTTTCCGAGCGGCGCCCCACCTCCCCTTGTCTGCACGTTTGGACGCGAACCCATATCGGGGAACCCCTTGGCGAAAGCAGAGCTCAGGTTCCCAGGCTTTCTGTACACTACTAATCGCTTGATACAAAGACTTTTATTATAAATCGGGTGAGCTGCAACTTCCTGTCATCTTTTCTTTTTGGCTCACAAGCTCAGGCGTCAACCTCTGTTTTGCGGTGCGTTGCTGACGACGACGACGACCACGGAGAATACTCGCCCTTTTAAAGATCTCAGGCCTTGACTAGATCGTCCCGTCTTTAAGACCACACCAAACCAAAAAAAAACAGCCTTCGCTTCTATCATTCTCTTCTGCCGCAGACAGACTCTACCTGCACACACTTACGACATCGGGCTGGACCTCTTCTTTCACGGGCCTGTTTTTTTTTTGATTGACCAACGCATCACAACCAATCGTTTAACACACCAAACCAACCTCTTGTCCAACTCGACTGACCCAAGCACCACTCATCAACACATCTTCAATATGCACAACTCACGTTTCCATGCCATGGTGGCGCGCCTCTCCCGGCCGTCGTCCCGTCGTTCGTCATCCGTGTCTTCACAGGCCAGTACGGACCGGAACTCGATCCTCTCTCGGGCGAGCTCCCCAGTCAGCACCATCAACAGCATCGTTTTCCGACATAAATTCATGGAGCCAGCCGAGGAGGAGCTGAAGGAGCTCAACATCCTGGAGCCAAGACCAGTCGCTCACTTCTGCAGCCTTGAGGAACGGATGGCGAGCTTCTAGTCGCGCCTCACTTCCTGGCGCCGGGCATTGAGATGTATACCCAAGTAACCAGGAATTTTTGGAGGTTTTGGATTTTTGGGGTGGCGATTCGTTTACACTTCTGCACCCGACGGCTTCTTGATCGTTTCTTCTTCTTCTATTCTTCTATTGTCCCTAGCGGAATGCCGGGGTTTCTTTTTTTGGGAGGGTGGGGAGACACAATGATTTGAGGCGGGACATGACCCAGTGCTGGAACACACAACTGAAGACATTTTACGAAATAATACCGCTACACATCAGCAACAACATGGGAGGGATGGTCAAGGACTGGGTCACGTATTATTAGTTTGGCACTAGAACTAGTAATTTGGGGCAAACGGCGTTAAAGGGGGTCGGTATGGTTATAGTTCTGCACATACTTGGGATAGCTGCCGTTTTTTTTTTCTAAAAAAAAAAAAAAAAACAAAATTACACATTTCAAACTGAAAGCTTCCTACATATGTCGTTCCCGACGTCGGAGCAGTGCCGTTGAATTGTCAATTTAGTGTGTGCATGGTAATGGGTGATAGATGTAACTGTGGGAGTCACTCCATGAGTTGACGAAAGAAAATATAAATATCGTCCCCAACCTGAGCAAATAGAGTCTGGGCTAGTGAGTCGCAAGGGGGTAAAGTGCGAGCGGCACCGGATCTGCAAGGTACAAATACACCGTAGCTGGGGATGCAGGTGCCGACCCCGCATGGGCTGCACGGCACGGCAGGCAACGTCTTCAGGCGTTCGGCCGGCAGCGACAGGGCTTAGACCAGACAGGCCGCAGAGGACAACGTCACGAGTGCGCCACAGAACAGCATGCGATGTGATGCGCTGTCTGTCCAAGCTTGAAGGGGTGTCTTTCTTTACTTCTTTCTTCTGAGCCTAGCATGCCTAGTTCTCGAAGACTAAGGTAGGTTAAGTTGTCGGTGTGTGGCGTGGCCAGCATCTGCCGTATCAGCGCCCGACAGCTGGCTCAGGATAAGTAAGCCTCGTGTCGGGCACCAAGCAGCGGCCAATCTGTCCGTTGCAAACACCAGATGCCAGATAAGCGATGTAAGGAGCAAGGGACACGCGCATACTTTGCCTCGTTTTTACAGTCTGGCTGGTGGGGTAAGACGTTGAGTGCCAACCTCTCTGTCTTCTGCTTTTTTGAGAACCCAGGCGTGAAGTATAACTAACCTAAGGGAGCCGCTGTTTGAAAACCTTGAAAACCATGAGGACCGGAATCGAACTCTGGGGTGATGTGGGGGACCAGCCTTAACTCATACGTATTTAAGTCCCGGGCCACGAACGATGTCATGTTCCATCTCAACTTGAAGTCTCCCGACCAATTTGTTTACAGCCAAACCTTTCTACCTTACCTACCTTGCCTAGGCCTATTCAAGTCTCGCCGCCCAACCTGTCTATCTCGCAGCCCTTCCCACCAAGGTCGACTTGACTCAACCCGCCTCACCTTGCCTCGCCTCGCCTCGCCTCGCCTGACCTCCAGCTTTCGAGCCCATTCGATCTGCTGCACACACACAAGCGCGCAGTCCGTCCTCAAACGGGGCTCTTTGAGACTCACAAAGCTGACCTAACATTACTTGCTTCGCTGTCACACACGGTCGTCCCGCTTCTGTCGCACACGCAGTCATTCCGGCGTGGATGAACACCGATAAATAACGGTCGACTTATTCACTTCTGGCTCCTGCCTCACAAGCCTGGGTTCTCGATTCTCAGAACCGCTTTCACCTCTCCGTCTTCTCCGCTCTAGACTTGACTTCGCGACACTAAATCCTGTCGTTACAAGCCTCGGAGACAAAGCCACCACTATCCGCCCCCGGTACTCATATCCTTGATCCTTTCTGGAGGCGAGGAAGCATATCGCTGCCGAGGCTGCTCCCACTCCGAGATTCACAAAATTCCGCCGCCACCAGCAACACCATTCTCAAGCGTATCATTTTGCAGGAGAAAAAGATGGCAGAATTTAAATCAGCGATAGCCGTGTCACCCTACTCGACGGCTGTGCACAGCATCGACGCGTGGCCACTAGGGCGAGATCGCCCTTCTTCATTCCGCACAAGACTGATCGACTCTGAACCCGAAATCACTCTTGACGTCACTGACAGCCCCGAGAATGACATGGAATTCGACGATAGCGAGTGTGTTACTATTGAGCGATCCCTGCGCATACGTCAACCCCAGGCTAGTGGCCGAGACCAGATCGTTAGAAGCTTCTTCTCCGCCCCAGTCGACATGCTCGCGCCAGACCACGAAGAGCAACTCATGCTCGCCAGCTCGGATGCCCGGGCATCACTCCCACCTGTCGGTGTGGCCGTCTCACAGGAGCTGTCCGGCAACACGGCGAAGCGTCGGCCTCTATCTAGCAGGTGCATGTCCTCGATGTCCTTGCCATTCTCCTACCCAGTCAAGCGGCAGAGACTGTCAACTGACCCGGCTGCAGGCAGCGAAGAGGGACGCCGTCGAAAAGACCTAGCTAGCCTGCCCATCGACAACTCGTGGTTCGTCATTACCAGCGATCTCTCTCTACTCCCAACCTACGCCCCCAGCGACGTCATGAAGCGTCGTCACTTCCTCCAAGTCGCAACCGCCAGAGTCAGGGCAACCCGGAAGAGGACAATGTCACAAATTCAACGCACATGTCGTACCGCCCTGCGGAATGCTCTTGGTCCCGGCTCAAGGCCGACGAAGTGTATCGCCGTCGGGGTTGTCTGTTGAGAAGATTTTCTCATGCACGAAATGGGAAATAGAGAATAATACCTTCTACATAATGTATTTGTACTGTATAACACCTCACGAGAGATATCCAGCGCCATATTTCCGGCCCATGTTTTCTTCTTTCGGCGGCTCAGTTTCATTCTGTTCTGCTTTATGCCGGATCAACTATGCCACTACCAACTTGACAACACCCCTCGACTCTATTACGAAAAGCGAAGCACAACCATGCCCAACATCACACAGAGCAAAGGCCCGCCAGACAATACGGCGAGCCTGACCGAAGGCAATTGGGGGGCCTGGCATACCCGCTATAAAACCCGTTTGTTGCGACACCGGAGAGCCGGACATCCTTACGCGGGTATCGGGGCGAGCATGGCAGAGCGCAGGATTACCGACACAAGATCTCTGAGACAAGGCCTTAATGTTTTTTTCCCCAGCTTACTTGGATGGGGATACATGGATGTAGAGATACATAGATAGAGAGATAGAGGGATAAGTGGAGGAAGGAGGGAACACATAAAGCGATATCACGACCAGACCGCGCATAGATAGGCTCCCGGGAGGGAAAGGAGGAAGTACATTTACGTCTGCAAAATACGGAGCTCACGAAGGCCACACTCGTAGCTATTGTGTATAAATTCCCGGCTGTGTAAATACTGAAGGATGTAAATATTTTGCCGGCCATATGACAGTGTCCCCGTTTGGTATCTTGGTCTCTTTTCTTCGCTGTAAGTAGCTAGTTTTGTGAGTCTACAAAACACGGCTTACCTCTGAGAGTACGTCTCCCTAAGAGGATAAAAATAACAACATACAGCAAGAACTTCACCTCAAATGCGATAATGCGGGTTATTTTTCCCTTTTTGACAAGAAAAGATAAGAATAAACCCATGTGTTTACTGGACAAGCTGAACCCCAACTATGTATGATTCGTTGATTGAAGTAAGCACCTCAACGGTGTCAAAAATAATAACATAAACCACAATAAGAGTCTCCCAAGTAGTGCCGGTAACTTGATCGTCCCCTGCGGTGGCATATGAAAATGATGTATATGCAAGTGCTGATCCCCTGAAGGCAATGAATGGCCACCTATGGCTAGTGGAAGCAACCCGGATCATGATTTTCACTATTGAATACAGAGTCTATGCCTATGAAAAACAGACACCTGGAGGGATTTTGCCGGGGCTGTATATTTTTCAAAGTTCGCTTATAGCTGAATACTTCATAACAGCCTATTGATCAAAGCCTGGTAGGTATTTAGCACAATTCTAGCAAGCACGACAAGCGATTCACTAGGGGTCTTTACTTTGGCACATACTCGTTAATAATGATTTGCGTTCATTTCCCAGCCCCAGAGTCTGTCATCACCTAACAAGACCGAACAAAAGTAATGTATGTACAATATTTTCTCGTAGGGGTCTTCTGTCTCCATGCCTGAAGAACAGCCTTCCCCCACAAGTCGTGATCCGCCATTCTTTTTCATGCATATTGCAATTCCTTCTGTCCCCATCCCCAAATCCAGATTACGCAACGTAGAGAGCTAAGAGCCACAAAAGTTTGTCCCACAGGGACGAGGCAAAAACGGCGATAGCAACAGCGACAGCGGCGCAAAACCCGAAGGTAGACCACGAAGCAAAAAGAGCACTCTGAATAGACAACAAAAACGCCCCAACGCCTTCCCACCTGCCGTGGGACGCCGGGCGCCGCCACGATAGAAAAACCAGACAAACAAAGAAAAAGAAAACCGAAAATGCCCCATAAAAGACGCCCTGGCTATGTGATACCGAGGCGAGGCTTCACCCGGCTTGGATAACATGCTTCCCACGAACCCCCACAATGGATGAATTAGAGATAAACATGCTAGGACAGGGCAATGCCATATCTCCAAGAAGCTAAGGGTGAGATCCAGAGTTGGGTGAAGAGCCAAGGCTATTGATCCAACCACACTGGTGCATCCTGAGACGCTACGAGATTCAGACATGTATGGTGGAGACGATGTGTCAGGATAATGACTGGGTATCTATGAGATTTCGTCCAGAGAGAGGTGGGCATCGTTGATGTTGTAGTGCTCGGCGTTCTTCTTAGCCCACTGACGCGTCAGGATAGATGCTATACCAAATGTTAAAAACGACTTGCTACACGGCGTGGCCCAGGTGGAGTAACAATGTAAGCGCTTACCCTTCAAGAACTTCTTGCTTGCGTATTTCTTGAAAAAGGCCTCGTGGACAACGGGCCGTGCCATGTAGTCAACCATTAACAGGAAGACGGGCTCAATTTCCTCCTCAGAGTAGCCGGCATAGTACTCAATGGTCTCATCCTATTCAAAATGGTCAGCAACTTATAACACATGTCCAAGATGCCACGATAACATACCCAATCACCGCGATCCAGAATCAGGCGTGCCAGGTACATAGCCGCAGCAGCAATGTGACTTGGGCGATACGCCATAAAGCGATGATCAAGCAGGCTGATCTCGGTGAAATACTTTCCAATAGTACGCGACTGGATATCGTAGTTGTCTGCCTTTGAGATACGGCGAAGGAAGTTCATAGGGTTGGGGTAGCTGAGGTCGTAGTTCAGAGTGGAGAGAATGAACCGCTCGGCGCTGAGAATCTCCGACTCAGTGAAGCCGTCATCGGCAACGTGGCTGAAGTTTGCGATATGAGGTGACAGAACCTCCTCGTACTTGGAGGCAATGAACATTGCCGTGATGCCGACTAGCTGGAGACGGTCGAGTTGGACTACCTTCTCTGAGAGAAAGCGGTCGATAATATTGACCGCCAGGAACAAAGTCTCGGGAAGGAGGTGGAAGCGGGTGTGAACCTCGATGAGCCAGTCAATGAGGATACCACGCGTCTTCCACTCGAGGTCGTCTTGATGTGACATGTACTGAGGGTTGGGTACTGAGTTGCACTCGAGATCACGAAGATACTCAAAGATTTCGGTGGCATACTCGGCCACCATTAGAGGATCTTCGAGGTCCTCGCTGTCAAGATCCTTGACACCTTCCGGGTACACATGCTCGACAGGCTCAGTGATAACAGGTGCTTGCACGACTGGCTGGCGAACAACTTCTCCAACCTCGATATGCATCTTTGCTTTCTTGCCGGCGTCGAGTGTATGAGGCTTCTTATGAACCGGCTCGCCTTCGTCTGGAGTATCATCCCTGGCTGTGGCGCTGGTGGTAGCGACAGACGAAACAGACGAAGCAGGGAATTTGCGTTTCGCGCCAATGGAGCCGGGGCCTGAAAGCTTCTCGGCCTTCTTGTTTGGCACCTTGTTGGTGAGGGCAGTTCGGCCACCGGCCGCCGGCTTCTTCTGTACACCACTCGGCTGGGAAGCCTTGGAGACGAGGCCCGTCTTGCCGAGCGTCTTCTTCCCATCTGCAACCTCGACCTTGGTCATGTTGCTGACATCGCCGAGGGCGGCGCGCCTCCGTGCGGGGTTAGCATTGACAGCAGTCTTCTTCGACTGCAATGCCTTTGTGGGCACGGCAATCTCATCTGCATTGAGGGTCGCTGCTGCTTTGGCGCGAGTCAGGCGTTTCGAGCCATTTGTGCTGTTCTCGTCGTTTTCGTTCGACAACGCCACTGAACGCGGGTTTCTGGTCCTCTGCATGTTATGGTCAGCATCTACATTGGCGAGACTGGATAGCCAAGACGCGATGCCAGGGACAGCACACGCCAAACTGGAGAGAACTTACAACAGGCATCTTTGTTACAGAGGCACTCAAAAAAAGACAGGTAAATGTCAAAGCTACTAGGTTGTTAGATTGCACGCGTTTCTCAGAACGAGCAGACCCCAAGTAGGTTGAGTAGAGAGAGAGCGCGATAGGATAAACTGATGATAGCTGCTTACCGAATACTGCTGCCGTATCAAGGGACAATGACACTCGAAATGTCGTGCGAATGTTGTATGGTGTCGAATATTACGCTCGTCCCTCAAGAAGTCTGTCCTGGCGGCTAATAATGGCTGGGGTTGTCGAGGAACCGATATCAGCGACGCGTCCTCTACAGCAGGATCAAGACGGATTGACCACAATTAAGAGGTCTGCCACTGGAAATGGCGAGAACCTGAGGTCGACGCGGTGCAGAGGGCGGAGGGCTTCGTGGTCTGGGAAGAGGATGTTGTCGATGTGCAGAGGGAGCTTCTTGTTTTTAAGACGTGGTGGTGGAGGTGATGGGTCTCAGAATGGGAGCGATGGACGTGTGTGGGACAAGCAGGTATCGAGGTGGATGTGCTGGGCTGGGAACAAGTACCTTCCACTAGCGCGCGATCGCGGTTGCGGAAGGGCGTTTTTGGTTGGCGCTTTGGTAGTGGCGCGTCTGTTGCTCAATACGTCACGGAATTGCGCCTGAGAAGCTGCGGAAGAATGCCAATTGACCGTAGAACTGATCAGAGCGATTTATTAGAGTCGGTAACAGGCAAACTGGAGGTGAAAACTGCTGCGAGAACAGTGTTGGTTGTTCAGGTCGGGAGGTTGAACAGTGTTGCGATGCAAGCAAAAGGTACCACTGGCCAACAGGGGAACGCGATGGAGGAACGCACAGCCAAGTCCCGCTCCCTTGCCAAAACCCACCATCAACAGAGGCAACGGCGGGGCAACGCCTTCTTGATTGGCACAATCGTCGGCAACGCCCTGGGGGGCCCGGACCACTACGTGCCGCGTTTTTCGCGCGCCCAATTGTGGCTCACGCGGTGCGTCAGCCTCAGAGGGGACGGCCGTTGACTAGCCACAGCATGCATCTTTCCAGGTCCTGCAATAGCAGTGCTCCAATGGGATGGTCGGTGGCCAGCCACAGCAACTCGGGCCAAGGCAATTTTCCCGAAAAACGCAAATTCGGCACACATCGCATCGCACGACGTTGAGCCCCGGCGGCGCGCATTCTGTTTCCTCGAGCCTAACCAGCCCACCGGCCCAATTAGCTTGCACTGTACCGCTGCAAGCTGTTTTAGACGCCGGCCCGGCCTCGATGCCTCGGCCGTGACACTGCCCTGACTGCCGATTTATAGCTCCCCCGCCCTCGACTTGGTGAGCTCGACAACAGCATCTCCGCCAACGATCAGCTATCCATCTGTCACCATGTTGCAGCCCAGGCTCTCTCTCCAGCTGCCGCTTCGGCCTTTGGTCTCGGCATTTGCAGGGGCTGTCTCTTGTCAGCGTGCCCTACCTGTGACCGTGGCCAGGGGGTTTGCTTCGCGGGCGCGAACTCCGGCTGTGACAACGCCCGAAGGTGGCACTACTGCGGCCGTCAACAAGTACGAGAGCCAGTCGGGCATGCGAACGTACAAGCCGCGCACGCCCGGTCTCCGACATCTCAAGCGTCCCATCAATGACCATCTGTGGAAGGGCAGGCCGTTCCTCCCGCTGACGTTCCCCAAAAAGGGTCAAGCGAAAGGTGGCCGGAACAACTCGGGGAAAATCACCGTTAGGCATCGCGGCGGTGGTCACAAGCGGAGGATCCGTACTGTCGACTTCATGCGCATGGATCCCGGCCCTCATATTGTCGAACGCATTGAGTACGATCCGGGTCGGAGTGCCCACATCGCCCTAGTGGTGCGGCAGTCGACGGGCGTGAAAAGCTACATTGTGGCAGCAGACGGCATGCGAGCCGGCGATGTTGTCGAGAGCTACCGGGCTGGCATCCCACGGGAGCTGCTTGAGAGCATGGGCGGCGTTGTTGATCCCGGTATCCTGGCAGCGAGGACGGCTTGGAGAGGAAACTGTTTGCCGTTACACATGATTCCCATCGGGACGGACGTGTTTAACGTCGGCTCGCACGCCAAGGGCCGTGGTGTCTTTTGCCGCAGCGCCGGAACGTATGCAACCATCATTTCCAAAGAGGAAGAAACGCGCGAGGACGGCACCAAAGTCCTGACGGGAAAATGGGTCAACGTCAGGTTGCAGAGTGGTGAAATCAGAAGGGTGAGCAGAGATGCCTGCGCGACTATTGGTGTTGCCAGCAACATCATGTACCAGTACAGGCAACTGGGCAAGGCTGGAAGAAGTCGTTGGCTGAATATTCGGCCGACCGTGAGAGGCCTGGCCATGAATGCTTGTGAGTGTCGCCGGCAGCCTACGCTTTCCGTCCCCGCTTGCTGACTGACCTGAATAGTCGAGCATCCACACGGAGGTGGCCGTGGTAAGTCCAAGGGCAACAGGAATCCCGTCAGTCCTTGGGGCAAACCGGTACGTTTTATCCTGTCGCTAGCATCGCTGTATTTGGAACCGACTTTTCTGACCACATAATTAGGCCAAGGGCGGTTTCAAGACACGTATCAAGGCGAACGTCAATAAGTGGGTGGTTACGCCTAGGATTCGGAACATGGGCAAACGCAAGGCGAAAAAGACGGCGTGATTAATTCACCATGGGCTTGCGTCAGGCATCCGATTAAGATGTATTGTGATATTGTGTGCATTATAAATACGAATAACTAAAGTTGCGATCCGATTCCTTTGACCGTAACAGTTGGGCCTGTGCCTGATCGATTTCTCAGGCGCACTTGCAGCAGGAGGGACCTGTCATCATAGATTGTCCCCGGCCTTTGAGTTGAGCTGAAGACTCGGTAGGTATCTGTTCAAAAAGTACACTTGATATTTACCGTACGTTGCTTTAGTCACTTAGTGGCAGGAATAAGGGCCAGCATTCTATGAAATGAGGGATCTCGTGAGTTGTTTCCCGAAATGGCTCAATTCGCTAGATGGGGATTGCATGGGTGTGGGGATGGCGACGGTGATTGGCTGTCTGCTGAAGGGATGACGAATATCTGGGGGACCTTTGCCCGGTACGGCTTTTGTCCTCGTAGGGTTGGAGGAAGCAGCTGCGAGACTGAAGAAGGGGCTGTGCCATTAAACTCACCCTGCCCTTCATGGTTGAGACAACGTGAGCGATTGGCACTCCGCCTCATTAGGCCCTGGCCTGGCCTGGCCACCCGACCCGGCACAGAACAATTCGGTCTTCCATCGGGTCCCTATCCAGGTGAAGAAGTCTTCCATGTCAGCACACCAGGCGTCTCCATAACTGGGCATCTCCCTGGGAAACAAGACGACCTTCCGTAGCGCGGGTAGATAATAAGTGGTGATTCGTGAAGCAATACGAATACCATTATTAGACGTAAGGTCTCGAGGAGCGAGCGATATTTCGTGCTTCGTACTGAATATGTACGGAGTACTATTCATTGCAGAACAACGCCCGATATGGTTACTGGCAAGAATGATTACCACAAGCTATTGCCCTTTTCAGATTAACTGGATTCGTTTCAGATTGGTTGGCGCTGTCCGCACTGCGCTAGGTTCATTAGCCCAGTACCGCGATTCCCGATTATTACTCGCGCTGGGACCCAATTTTGTCCACGTCGTCTCGAGAGGCTTGGAAGTCAGCAAAGAAAAGAGTGCGGCTGGCTGCGTGCCCATGCCTTTGCGCAACCTACCCACCAATCTTTGTCGTTCCCAAACCCAACGCAGTGAAATATTGCGGCCGTGGCACAGAAAACCTTCTAGGCGCTTGGCAGGCTGGTATAAGCGGTTGTCTTTGATCCAAAACCAAAAAGGGCCTTGCGCGTCGCCGCCGCCACAGCTACGCCTTACTGGTGCCTTCCCCAGTCGTCCTCTCCCACCACATTGTTCCCCGTCTTTCGGGAGTTCCCCATGCCTGACGACTCGGTCGCACCCCTAATCTCTCCTCACTCGATACTTCCAGAAGACCGAACTTCAACCCGCCAGACGACAATGGATCTCGGCGGTGGCAGTCGTGGGAAGAAAGGAAAATTGAGTTGGGTTGTTATCGCATCTTACGTCTTCGACTGGGCTGTCCTGATCGTCGCCGCTGCTGTTGGTGCCATATTGGGCGACATTACGCCGAACAAGAGGCCCTTTTCGCTCGAAGATCCCGATATCTCGTACGTCTATTCCTCGGGCAATTCCCCGACGCCCCCTTTATCCATGTGCTCAAGTCTAGATGCTTAATTATTTCTAGATTTCCCTTTACAGTTCACGAAACGGTCCCGCTATGGCTTCTGCTGATCTGCGTCGTGCTGGCTCCAATTATCCTGGTCGCCATCATCTCTCTCGTCTTTGTTCCCGGATCGACGGTCCCTCAGGGCACACCGAAGGCGATGATATGGAGGCGCAAGCTATGGGAACTTCACGCGGGCTTACTGGGGCTGGCTCTGTCCATCGTGGCGGCATGGCTTATCACCAACTGCATGAAGAACCTGTTCGGAAAGCCACGCCCGGATCTCCTTTCTAGATGCCAACCTGACCTCGCGAATCTAAACCAATACATTGTGGGGGGCATCGCCAATTCGAGTAGCAACGGACAGCTCGTGGACGCCAACATCTGCAAAAATCCGGACAAGTCGACTCTGGACGATGGATTTAGAAGCTACCCAAGCGGCCACTCGAGCTCCTCAGCCGCAGGTACGTACTGGCTTGGGCAGAAGCCAAGTTGCCATGATGGAGTTTGAGCTAACGATTATGACGGGCTGCAGGCCTAATCTACCTCTCACTTTTCATATGCAGCAAATTTGCCATCACGATCCCGTACCTGTCCCCGGGCGGCCACGCCACCGAACCCGCGTTTTCGGCCTTCCCTTCGAGGATGCGGGTTAGCGATTCCCACCCGGAGTCTTACGAGCTCCCTGTCCGTGGGGCAAGCAACTCCTCGGGAGAACAGAAGTTACAGTTAGCACACCGCAACCAGTCAATTGCGGCGGCCCGCCGACAAGCAGCAGCGCCGCCTCTGTATCTTCTTATCGCTGCTATCGTCCCCTTCTTTGCGGCCGTCTTCATTGCCAGTTCGCGATGGTTTGACTTTAGACATCACGGGTTCGACATCCTGTTTGGCTTTATGATTGGCACAATTACTGCCTTTTTCGCATTCTACTACTACCATCTACCAATCTCCAGCGGTGCCGGTTGGGCGTGGGGCCCGCGGAGCCATGACAAGGCCTTCTGGGCTGGCGTTGGCAGTTCCAGCTATGCAACAGACCGCGTGCACCTTGAATATCGGGCGGGTGACGAAGAAGAGGTGCTACATGTCGCCCCTGATCGGTACGGCCACGGCAATGGCCGCGGCACCGGCTTAAGTGCTGGTAGCGCGCCTTCTACCTCTGCGAGGAAGCCTCAACTAGAACCGCAGGGCTTCGGAGAGCAGCACAGGGACAGCGCATATATGGGCGGTGTTGCGATATAACTGGAGAGAAGACAACTATAATTTCTAGGTGTGGGGGGCGTCTGAAGCGTGGTTCTGGAAAGGTTCGTGTTTTATTTTCGATGGAGTAAAGAGAAAGGATGACAAAACCCACACCTTAAATAGGAGGTAGATGGCTGCCTCGGATCCGTCAGTTTGTGCCGTCACAAGTTCATGCTTAGTACTTTCTTTTTCTACCGGCGTTGGGGGATATTCTTTGTATAATCCTAAGTAGGCGCTTTCTTGCTTTAGCATAAAAAGGGCTAGAGAGATTCTGGATACAAGTGGCGCATACTTAGTTGAGGACTTAATCTCGACGATTTAAACTGCCATATACATGTAGCCTTTCAGTGGCTTCCCTTGTACGTCTAGACGTTCGTTGATCATACGGGGGCGGTTGGATGTCCACGACCTCGGAATAGTAAGGCAGAGAGCAAGTGAGAACTAACTTCATTTGCATGCCCATCTAGTTTTGAAATGTTTTCATATTTCGCCACACAGTCGCGTACGCACCGTACTTTCATATATCGAGAATGCCTAACGAGAGGCTTTGAGCCGATCCACTGAGGCACAGCGGTTGATTCAAGTCGCACAAGGTGGTGCAGTAGTATATTATCCGTATGAGCCTTGTCAAGGTTATAGTGAATTTTACATTGAGTGAACTGAGGGTGAAATGGAAGGAAAACGGCAAGAAGTGAGAAAGAACATATACAAACAAAAGCAGCCTGGCCTGCCTCTGGTGTTTCATAAAGCCACGTGTAAATCAATAGCCCACGCTTGTTATGATATGTTCCGCTAATTAGAAGACAAACAATGTATCTACATTTCTTCTTTTCCTCCCCTCGAAGCCGGAAAGGACACGGCGCCAGTGAGTGCCCAGTGTACTAGTATTAGTCTCCTCCCTTTCCGTTCCTTTCGTTTCCTTCCTTCCGCCCCCTTCCTTCCTCTCAAAACTCCGAAAGAGCAAATGCGCCAGCCTCAGAGCGAGCTCCCCAAGTCTCGGCAAGCCTAAAATAATCAATCGCTGAGGGGAGGAGGGACCATAAGCGGGTTGTGTGTCTCTGAATACCTTGGGATATCTTGGGCGTGTGTTATATCGTTAGTCCGGTAAAAAGGGGTTGTTGTCGCTACGCGACAGTGCGTATTTCCCCCTCGACCAAGCCACCGGCCTCGGCTGCCTGAAACTGCTCTGCACCTAGCTCTTCGTCCTCGTCCTCGTCCTCGTCCTCGTCGGCCTCAATTTCGTCATCAGCGTCCTTAAAGCCGCTCTCCACCTCCATCTTGCGCAGGCGACGGCGCATGTCGTCGCGCTGGTTGTTTTGCCACCGGATCAGCGCGGCAGCCGAATGCACCTTGAACCCGTAGACGCGAGGGATGTAGCGCTCGGCGCTCTTGGCGGGAATGAGGGCCGGGTAGACCTGGAAGAGGATGTTGTGGAACGAGGTGCCAAAGTAGGCGCCGTCGATAGCGGCGTGGCGGGACGACTTGGGATTATAGATATCCTCGCACCGCCCGCAGTACAGCTTGACAGGCTTCAGATGGGGGACATCGGAGAGGCCCATGGGGAGCAGAGGGTGTGAGTGGCACATGACGCGCGGGCATTTGCCAAAGTCGCCCTTTTTGTACTTCTCAAGCTGGATGGTGGGGGAGCACCATGGTCAGTCAGGGCGTGCGCCTGGGTCGACCATTGTCTTGGAAAGAGAACGAACCATTTTCGCCAGACCTCTAGTGGTGACAATGTAGCGAGCGTGCACAAGGCCGTAGAGATGCCTGGCTGACTTCTCTATCGTCTCCCGCATCTCATCGTCACAGTCGAGGTCGAAGACATCAGTAACGAGGTCGAGGGCATATTGGTAGTACTGAACCTCAGTGTTCAGGCCCGTCAGGTTGAACCGATCCGTTAAATAGTCCTCATCTATTTCGCAGAAATATTCGTTGCCTCGTGACGAGATGAACTACGGAGGCGCCATGATTATAATTAGCAAGGAGGTTAGAGGAAGGGAAAGAGAAGAAGAAGAAGGGCGAGGATGAAGATGAGGAGACGGCAACGGCCTACCCAGTCTCGCCAGTAGCTGGTATAGTCACTGTCGGATTCGCTCACGAAATCGTCCATGGTTGCGCAGCGATATTTATCTTGGCCGCATAGGGGGGTCCCAACGGAGGGGTGATGTGCTCCACAGCAGGACCAAACGGCCAAGTGCGGCTAGACAACGAGGTGTTGTCGTAAGTTAAGTTGTAGTGAAGCGGGCGACGGTTGTCTGGTGTGCGTGCTTGGTGCTGGGTGCTGGGAGCTAGGCTGTCATGCAGGGCTGCGGAAGTGAACTCGAACCCAAGTGATGCCTTTCGCCTTTGGCTGGTGCAGCCTTGAGCAAGAGTGGGGTGGGGGCGTGGACGTGGACGTGGACCGCTGCTGCGCTGCGCTGCGGGAATGCAGAGGGGACCGAAAGTGTAGGCATTGGCCGCAGAGCGACAGCTGAAGAGCGTGCCTCACCGCCTTGTTTCCCGCTCTTCGAAGTCCACCATTTACGCGTTTTAGTACTGCACAAATGGGCAAAACAGCACCCCGCCAAAGGAAGGGAGTGTAAGGGAGTGTAAACAAGCACCGGCAGAATTTACTATTACCCGTCTACACTACGTACCTGCTTAAACTACCTTACGTAGGAGGGGAGGAAAACATCTAATTTTCTCCCGCGTCGCAACTGGCAACCCCGCAACTGGTCAAGTCGGAGCTCCGAGTTTCCAACAGCCAGCCCTATAAGTTGACGAGTTGCGGGTTCGTTCGTGCATGCCTATTGTAATTTGCAAGACTTCTCTGTAACGCATATAGAAGTCCAGAGATATACCACGCCAAGCTCCTTCACATGGCGGGTCAGTATCCACCAGAACAAGTCTTCCATGCGCTGCGTGTTCCGCGTGCTTAATCCACCCGAAATGAAAACCCCCGAGAAACAAGATCGACCGTGCCAGTATACACGTTGCCAGTGCTCACCGTGTTGCGCACATGTGGATTGTCCTCAATAGCATCTATCCATCCTGCCATCGTGAGTCGGGGCTTGACGGGGTCCAGCCCCTAAATCGTTGCAGAATCCGCGAGAGCCGCAATGCAAAGGGCGCAAGGTGGATGTCGACAAGACACAGTTGGTGCCCGAGAAAATATGGTCCCTACTCGGTAGCGGTTATTCGCGGGTCCTCGAGGATATCTCACTATTTTTGCGGCCTCTTACCTTCTCGTCTGCGGCGTGGACAAGCGTCATGATATCCTGTTGTAGATTTTCAGTTCCCTGGCTTCGCGACTTCTCTTCTGTTATGGCTAAGAGAGAGAAGAAAGACGAAACAGGTTTGGTGTTGATCTCAACCGGGATCGTTAGCGCTCTATCAAGAGTCCGAGGACAATTCGGGGAACTGAGGAAAGTCTTACAAAATCTATCCATAATCGGCAGTTGGCCTTGAGCCTGGCGTCTGTAGGATGTAGCAACACGGTGCTATCAATCTCCTCTAGCTGAGAAAGTTGTGCTCAGCGACAATGGCGTGGTGTAAAACCCAACAAGCCGGGCGAGGGACTTACATATTCCAGGATTATGGAACTCTCATCGCATGGCCGCAAGGCAGGTGGCTTGGGACTAGGTGCACCCTTGACGACTGTGGGAACAAGACCCACGGGGTCTTCCTCTAGAAGATGGGCAGGCCTCCGTAAAGGATCCGTCTCACAGTACTGGTACTCGAGACCTTTGGCCTCTAGTGTAATCCAGACGCGCTGAGAAAAGGGGCTAGGGGTAAACAGTCAGCGACAAGCGACATTGTGGTGATGGTCGTCTACAAATCACAGTCCAACACCTGTTGGTTTATTATCGCGCTGCTTAGATGGGGCCGGCGACAATGATTCAATCCAATAGGATTGATTGATTTGAGAACGCTTTTGGGGATACAAAAAGGTTTTAGGGAGAGGGGAAAAGCGCTAGGTAGCCGTTGAGTGGTACCACGGCTAACAGACAAACAAATAGGGGTTTGGATTATAGAAGCGGAGAAAGTCGCTGAGGTACTTACCAGAAGCAAGCGGCATAGAACTTGATCTCATCATCCTTGCCGTCTTTGGTGTGCTTCCTCGCCGTTGCTGCCGCATTACCTGTTGGCTTCCACTGCGTTGGTCTCTGATTCTTTGTGGCATGTTTCTGGCGTGCGGCCAGCCACCGCTGAACGCTACACTTTTTGATCTCGTCACTCTTTCCCAAAGTGTGTCTGTGTTTCGAGGGTTTGCCGTCGCCAACCCCATTTGTGCCGTTTCCATTGACACGCTGGATGGACCAAAATGATTGGTCTTTGAAGCGAGAAAAGGCTTTTGCCAGCGCTTCGCTGTCAACCCCGGCTACATCGGCCGTCTGGAGGCCCGCCATGGCTGAGGAGGTCTCCGTCTGATACTCTGAAATCTTGATCTTGACATCGCAGAGATTGCACTCTCGTATATTCCGCTTCCGCTTCTTCTTGTTCGGGTCGTCAGACTTGGGTGTCCCAGGGGCTCTTCCCTTCATACGACAGTCGAAGTAGTGGGAGACAAAAGACTTACGCTTATACCGCTGTGTTGACTGATGCGAATACACTTTGTCTATCCAAGGGAAGTACATGTCATATCTAAACAGTTGTAGTGATCTTGGGTGAGCATGTACAGCTACCGACGGAGACAGCATTGAGACGGGTGGTTAGGTAGTCACTTACTCCTGCTGGCTTAGAAACACGGTCTCGTCCAAGTCGAACAGTTTCTGGCGCCACTCGGCAAGGTTTGGAGGATTCTCAACGAATCTGATTTGGGCAGGATCCCAGTCATCCCAGCATTTGCGTCAGTGAGCTCTGTGCTGGAATCGTGAGGCAAACTTCTCACAGTCTAAGGAGTTGTCGGGCTCAAGATACTGTACTGGCTAAGCGGGAGATAATCCGCGCCAGCTGTTGATACCGCCCCTTGGGGGGTGACCTGAGCCCGAGCCTGGATGTGAGGTTGGGCTTCGACATGATGAGCCTGAGTTTGAGCCTGCGCTAGAGCTAAAGCTCGGCTAAGGGCTATAACATGAAGCTGAACAGGAGGTTGGATTTTAGGGTGAGCTTGACGCTGATGGGGGAGCTGTTTTCGCTGGTGTCCTTGATGGAGCTGTTGCTGGTCTAGCTGCCTGGCCGTCGCAGCTAATGAGCCTGCCGGCATCAGCTCAGTGTGGAAACCCGGCTCGATGGGGTTGAAGGCGCGATGCGCAACGGGAACGACATTCTCGGTCAGCGGGCCGTTGAAGAGGGCCGGATAGTCATGCAAGACAGCCGGGAAAACACCGTCGTCCTGGCTGGCCTCGTTGCCGTCATCATTGTTGTCACCGCCGCCGGCGCCGGCCAAAACAGCGACGTCTGGGACGGCAAGCACACCCGATGGGCGGTTATTCCGACGGAAGTGGGACTGTTGCTGGATGCCAAAATGCGCCATTCTGCATCTAAACTCGCATAGATTGGAAGCTGTGTAAGGGGAGCGCAGTTGCTTGGCAGCGCCTAGTAGGTTGTTGTCAAGATTGAAAGACGGCGCCCATCGTCTTCCGGGTCTTGAACGCTAAGGTACCTACCTACCTTACCTTGGGGATTTCATGTCTATTTCTCAGCGAGCGTGTTGACAACCCGCGCCGAGCTCCTGTTATACGGTACCTCTTTCGCAAGGTGTCATGGGAGGTTTCGAGGCCTGTCCAGCAACCTCAGACGTTGATGGATTGAATTTCAATGATGCAAAGTCCCCCGCAACTCAGCCGCACCTGCCCTCCCAGCCCTACTCCTGCGGCTACGCCAAACACCAAACATCGCAGAGTGTTCCTTAATACTAAAGTACCTTAGGTAAGTAAGTGCTAATAGTATAGTACGCAGCACGTCTCGACGAGGTCAAGTCCGCCCGGAATGAAAAGCTTCGTCACAGTAGCTAACTCCTCGCTCGAATACACCTAGTGAAAGAAACAACCGACCTGAGATGCTGCCTTCATGACTAGGCACCTAATTTCCCCTTTGCCGTTTATTATACGTCTCGATACACGTACTTGAATCTCCACACAGGCCATGTTATCCAAGAAACCCCTTGCGGTCCTGTTTCGTCGCCGTCTAGTTTTGTTCCAGCATTTTCCTCGACGTCTTTCCACGGCATTTTAGTCGTCTCTGCTCTCGGATCAACTGCCGCTGGTAACACTTCCTCCATCGCTAAGTGATTGTCCATCAGCCTCCGAGTCGCTGCTTCCATTTCTTCTTCCTGTTGGCCCCAGCGTGCCGCTGTCAGACGGCGAGCCGTTGATGCTCCTGGGCGGGATCTCGAGCCTTGCGGCGATCCCATAGACTCCACCCCCGTCGTCGCCCTGCCGCCCAAGTTTCGACCGTATTTTTACCATGTCCATCGCTTCACGTAGTGTGTCCCCTGTCTCATCCAGTGCCGCGAGAAAGCGCGCGAGTTCCTTGCAGAGTTCCCAGTCCTCCTCGCGCATCGCCCGCGTTAGCAAGCGCACGCTTTGCTCGCTTGCCGTCGCCAGCTCGTCAAAGGTATGAAGAATTAGGAGGTATCCGCCCGCCGTCTTGAGGCTGCCGCGCTGGAGGCTCTCTTCAAACAGCTCTTGAGGCGGGGGTAGATAGGCAAAGAGCGTGCGCCAAGAACGCACCTCTGTCTTGCGAGTGCACTGCACTACAATGTCCAGATACTGACGGAAGGAGGAGAGGAGGGAAAGGACGCGAGGGAGAATGGCGTGCTCCGGGGCTGGGGGGGGATTCGCATCCACTTCTTCATCCAGCACATGGTGCAGTAACACCTCCAGACCGTGTGCAAAATACTCAAGATTCTCGTATCTCTGGGCGAGACGCAGTGCTTCGACAGGCTTATTGGCCACCAAATACGAGCGTAATATGTCAGGCAAGAAAAGGTGTGTCTGTAAGCATATTTTAGCTTGGCACGCAAATGTAAAAAAAAACGATGCGCCAAGGGAGAGATAGAGGCGGGGTTCTTACCCTAATGGAAAAGCGGAAAAAGGAAAAGTTAACATCGCGGCGCTGAACGAGGTCTGACTCGACGCCGAGCACGATGGCTTTGCCTAGAAGGGCCGAGAGCGGATAAAAGTCGACCGGGACGGAAATCATGGGCGGCAGCTCTCTTGCCACTTCCCCAGATATTGCCTTCAAGACAGGCTCTAAATCCGCCCACGCCTTTAGCTCACTGCCGTCAAAAATCCAGAGAGAGTTTCTCAGTGTTTCCTCTGCCGGCCCGCTGGCCTCGAGGCTGCGTGCCTCCGAAGAAGAATAAGCCGGGAACGGCTGATCTCTCATGCTCACATAGTACTCAACGTTGTGTACTATGACACGCATGTCGTATTTCAAATGGCCCTCGCTGACAGAGGGCCGGAGGAGCACCAGTTTGCCATCCACGAGAAACAGGACGGAAGCGTGAGCAACGTCCTGCGACGGGTCTCCTTCTAGCAACTGGCTCTCTGGTAAAATCCAACTCAGACCTCTCACTCTGGCTGGTGACCTTACGATTCCGTGAAAGGCTATGTGACCCACCTGGATGAGCTTGATTGAGCCTGCGGCGGGGGCGAACACAAAGTGGTGCAAAAGGTTGTCGTAGGTATAAACCAGCAGCGAGTCCTCGCCCGACGGCGTGACTAGTACTACGGGAGCTGACATCTGCTGCGTGTGGACGACTGTAGTGCTGTCGAGTGCGGCCTCGCGGGAATACAGCCGGAGTTCAAACGACTTGTTGGCCTCGACGGCAGCCACTAGAATGTTTTGGTACCAGCACATTCCGCCTCTGACTTGAAAATCATTCTCCACGGCCTCGTTGGCAAACGTCTTCCAGCGGCCGCTGTTGATACTGTAATGGGCTAGTCCCCTGCGCCCGGCCACGGCGACATATCGGCCGTCGGCGGAGATGGTCGTGCACTTGATGGGCCACTGATTGGATAAGTAAATGGCCGGGATCCTAGCAGTGTGCCAGAGCGAGGGTTCGGCCGAGATGGACGTCAAGTCGGGGAGGTCGTACCCCCTGTATATCATGACACTAGATGTGCTCTGCAGCACTGTGCGGAAGAGGTTTGCGGAGCTGTAACACCCCGTTACTGCGCTTCGCGCCATTTCGAGCAGCCAGATGGCCTCGTGGGCTCTGCTAACCAGCAGCACTTCACAGGCACCTCCAACCCAGGCAGCATCCATCACACCGGACAGCCACTCCTCTCCATTGGCGGATGCGATTGACTGGTCTGCGCCGAAGCTATTGCTTAGCGCCTTGCCATAGACGCTCCATATTGCCCAGCCTTTTTCGAAGCCAGCAAAGAGACAGTAGCCGTCGGGGGAGTAACTCAGTGTCGTGAGGTCTCCGGACGCGCCGGTAGACGTCGAAAGGCTGTGAACATGGGACGGCGGGATGTTTCCCGAATAATCTTTGGCTGAGTAGACGCGGACAATGCCATCGGCACAGCCCACAGCAATAAGCGAAAACCGTGCGTTGATGACACACTGGGTTGCATGTTCGAATTCGGTCTGCGGGACGTGAAAGCAATAACCCTTGAACAGCCTCTTTGGGTCAGAGGGCTCGCCAGAATCGCCGTCCGGCCGGCTCACCGGCGTTCGCTGAACGGCATACGCCCTCCCGTCGCTCGTGATCCACGTGGACAAGTTCATGGGCCTGTCGTGCGTCATCTGCTTGACGGTGATCTTTTTGCCCAGCCAGCTCATGCGGCTCAACAGCTCGGTACTTGTCTGGCTCCCCGAGCTGTCGGGGGCCCAGCGGATGCACTGGACCGCGGCGGGCTTCCGAGTTGCCACCACTAGCTCGTCGTCAAGGGCCAGCACACTTTCGATCCCGGCGTCGACCTTAATCACCATGCGGAAACGTACACTGACATCCCGAACGCCCGGGCCCTCGCCCGGGCCCCAGAGTATCTGCTCGGGGGCAACGTGGCCCGGATCGCCCGCATGACTTTGCCGTCTCCTCTGTATGTTGGTGTGGCTAGCAAAGTGCGGTTTGTAGACCTTTGAGTCGGCATCGGTGGCGAGGGAGTATGTAATCAGGTATCCCAAGCTCGTGTGCACGACAAATATGGCCGAGTCGGGGCGTAGTAGCAGGTCGATGTTGGTGCCGTAGGACTGGAGCGAGTCATCAGAGCGCACTACGACTGCCAGAATGACGGTAGGCTTGGTCTGCCAGATTACCATGGATGTCGAGGTAATGACGGCAAATATGTGACCAGAGCGCGCGACGCGGAGGGCTAGAATGGGCTCGCGGAGCCCAAGGCTCGACGGGGTTGGCCCCTTGTCGTCCCGTTCACTCTCTTGGTCTTCCTGCTCGTCAAACTCGACCGACTTGACGTCGGGCGTCAGAGGGGTGACGGGTGTCAGGGGTGTGGAGGGCATGGGTATGGGCAAATGGCCCAATGCGTCGCGGTTCGCCAGCGGCGCTAAGGCTGCAGCATGTCGTCGAAAGGCGATGCCATCGCGAGAGACGCCATGGCGCGAGGCGGACGGGCGGCCAACACTTGTCGCATAGATGCGTGGGGTGCCAAGGGGCCAGTACATGGCTCTTCGAAGCCCGTGGCCGTTAGGGCGGCCTCATGCGCATGGGCAAGATTGTTTTCCCCCGATTCCCCAGATCAATTCATGTCGGAGCCTCCAATTCCTACTCCGCTCCGCTCTAGCCAGCGTCGTCCGATGGCAATGGCTGCAACTATTTTGGGAGTTGTTGGGCGAGATCGGAGAGAGGGCTGTCGACGTTGGGTATGAGTTCGTAAAGTACAGTAAGTTGTAATGAGTGTCGATGACGAGCTGTTGTGTTGTGGTTGTCATGTAAGGCAGGGGATTCGGCGTCGAGGTACCTCTCACCTTCCTTATTACCTTACCTATCCGTCGGGTACCTTGGAGTGGGAATGGATCGGCGGGTGGGCGTAGTCCAGGGGCCGTCGACACCCGCCAGGGATATTGAAAGAGTGCGTAGTTAGTGCAGGCTCCACACCGGTATTTGCCGAACGGCCGTCCCACCTCCCCGTAGAAAGTAGGTACGGATACCCAGGAACTTCTTTAATTCCATGCTTTTCAGAATACACCTACAGCAACGACAAAGTTATTTTACACGATCTCCAGCGTTGTCTTGCTTTGTTTCACTTCATGCAGACACACAATTCTTGCTACCTAGAAAAATCGACTACTCAATCAAGTTTGTAACATTTTCCTTTGTTGGAGAGGCTGCCAGAAGGCAATTAATGAAACAGAGTTGGGGAAGCGGCCGTCCTGGAGGCTTGGCTTTAGGTCTCAGTATTACACACAACGCCAAGGTACTAACCTAGCACCACCTAAACCCGAGCATGTCCATTTGGCGCGTCTGGGTAAGCCGTTGTTGAATATCGGCAACCGCCGCCGTCCTCCAGCTGCCTGCCTCAGTCTACCTTTTCCTCGCACCACACCGCCATGGCGCCATTACTCCGCCCCCGGTACACTCTTGCGAAGGAGAAGTTCTCTTCATATTTTGTGCCATTGAAGAGTCAGCCATATAGTGATGCGAGCGCTGCCTCTAGGGGAGGCGGTAGTCACCACAGGTATGGTATTATTGCGCCCACGCAGAGCAGACATCTTTGCTCATGCCATTGCCATTCTAGCCTTCGCTCGATCGCTTGGAACCCACTTGGCAGCCTTGTTGCGACGGGAGCTGCCGACAAGACTCTCCGAGTCTGGAATCCCGAGAAACCAGCCGTCCGCTACTCGACTGAGCTGAAAGGCCATTCGGCACCGATAGAGAAGGTGGCATTCAATCCGGTCAAGGATGCCGAGCTCTGCAGTCTGAGTAACGACGGCGCCGTCAAGTTCTGGGATGTACGGACAAAGGCCTGCGTTAACGAGGTGAAGGGGCTAGGCCCCGCTAACTCTCTAGCCTGGGCCCCTGATGGCATGTCTCTAATCGCTGGAAACAAGGTACGCTCGCCCAAACCCACGCGCCGAGAGGGGGCCAGCGGCAGTGGGCTAACTTTCCCGGTGACAGAATGGCGAGCTCTTTCAGATCTCACCGACACAGCCTAGCGTGGTTTCAACCCACCAACAGCCAGTTGAGACGAGCCAGATGGCTTTTTGTTGGAGTGGACAAAAGATCTTCCTCCCAACAAGAGAAGGAAATGTGCGGATTCTCTCGTACCCCGAGTTAGAACCTGTGCTCCACCATAATTTTGAGGTCGACCCGACGGAGTCGACCGAGTTCTTCCTCAAGGGACATACAGCCCCGTGCGTGACAGCAGAGCTGTCACCGACGGGAAGATATCTGGCCACGGGAGGAGCTGACTCTGTCATGGCTCTCTTTGACACCAAAGATTGGATCTGCCAGCGCACCGTCAGCAGCATGGTAGGACCAGTCAAAAACATAAGTATGGTGATAGCTTGTCCCGAGTCGACGATGTCATTAGCTGACATGATTGTAGGCTTTACCTTTGACGGATGCTACGTGGTGGGTGGTTGCGAAGAAGGTACCAAGTTTCCTGCTCCGAAATTGGATAGTGTCAAAATGCTGACTTCTCTAGGCGCTGGCTTGGATGTGACGCATACCGAGACGGGAGAGCTCGTCCACACATTCAAGACGGCCGGGCCATGTGAAGTAGTGGCGTGGGCCCCTACGAGATACTGCCTGGCCTACAGTGACCTTGGTATCCTGCGCATCGTTGGAATCGATGCGGACAGGATATGAGCCTAAAATGGCGGGTTACCCGGGAGTGTTATTATTATCATTTTGGACACAATCCGTTTCGCCCGGCAGAGTTTTGCTTGGCCGAGCCCCTCGGTCGGCAGTGGCTTGACCTTCGGAGCGGCTGGGATGGCGGCGGCCCGTTGCTTGACCGGGAGGTGCACGCCGACGTCAAGGGGCCGACGATGTCGGCTCGGGTGGTAGGTGTGGCACGAAGGAACTTTGACCATCAGCACGGCTCAACATCGATCCGATGTGTCATCGAAGCTGGCCGTGCTTGTAGGTCGGGCCGGTAATCAACGTGCAATGCATGTGGCTGTGTAGCTGTTCCCGAACCTGGGGCAGACTGAGGTTGTTTCTGCGCCCCTCTGCACCTCACCACCAGGCCAATGAGCAGGTTCGGCCGATTGCCAAATTCGGCCAGATAGGACGGCGACACAACGAAAACATATCCATGTCTCGAGGGACGGGGGTGTCGACAAGAGAAACAACATGAAGGCCCTAATCATACGGATTACATTATGTTTTGCTTCCTGATACCCCCCTAGAAGCACAAAGGAGCCTTATTTTATCTTTTCGCGCTCCGCCGCACAAAGGTGTTCCGCTACCCGCTCTGCCATGAGACGGTTGGATCTGTGTACCGATGGGTATCACACTCGGCCCAACCGAATGGAAGTGTGTGGAACTGGGCGGGCTATTAATAATACAGTCGAGTGGCAGGCATGTGCAACTTCGGCAAGGTCCCGCTCCCACGATGACGGATTAAGTACTGATAATGTTACCGTACTGCAAATGGAATTCAATACGGAATACTGAATACATAAAAGTGCCCTTTGTAAGAGCCTGGTAACTATCACGTAGGTAGATGCCATTTTAATTGAGCTGGAAATTCCTGATAATCCGTTCCGCTATCCTCGGGTGGAGTTAATGGATGGTTATTTTCAGTAGCAACGTGATTTTCTTCGTTGCCTTCCCAATCACCTACTCGCTGAACTTGAGGCGACTGTGGCATGTATATACTGTAAGGTTCGTCGTACACACACCACCCTAATCTAACCTCTACCGTGGCTCAAATCGAGAGTTACTGAGTGGGTGGGGGGAATAGGCCGATGGAGGGGTCGGCAAGGAGCGGTGGCACCTCCACTCGCCCATCCGTTGCGTGAGTGCCTGGTCCCTTGAGTCGTGGGAGAACGATTTCTCACTTGCGGGTCGGCAAGGGAGCCTTATTGACTAGTAGGTAGGTAGTGTACAACGGCTCGGGTGCATTCACGATACCGTAGCCATTTAGATCAAGTGCTCCCTACAATACGGGAGGGTACTGTACTGTACGTCTGGTACGGATAGTGTATCTTCAAATCGCGTTGCTTAACGCTTATAGGTTGCTCTGTAACTTGCCTAGCCTCAAGGCGCCCTGTCCGGGCCACCTTCCAGCATTACGGACTTGCCCCAACCTACCTCGTGAGTGGTAATACCTCGTAGGTAATGGGATGGATTACTGCCTTAGTATCACTGCCTTTGTTGCTGCGACACCCTGTGATTCTGCGGACACTCCCGACCACCTGCACTCCCTGCAGTTGCCATCGTTGTGCATTTCAACCTGTCTCTCTCTCTCTATCTGACAGCGTATTCCCCGTGTCTGTGGAGTTTGGCAAACTACGACGTACCAATTACTTGAAGCCCACGGCCGAGAGGCTGAAAAGGTGCCCAGTCCATCTTGTAGGATGCTGTGCTGACTCGTCGCCGTCTTCACCACTCCAAATCGCAACCATCCATTCCTGGACTCGCCTCGCGCCTAGCACAACAGCAAGCTTCCGTCGCAAGGCCGCAAGCCTGCCCACCCAGGCAAACTCTCGGTCTTGTCGCGCGCCTTGCTTCTGCGCCCTATTCGTATTGCCGAGTAACTTGCTAACGGTGCTGAGGCCGAAAACACTGGACTCTATCAAGCAAGCCCCTGTCTCGGCGACGTCAACCACTGCAGGCCATCATCCTACGAAGCTCACGCACTAGAAACACGTCGGCTAGCCGAGCAGCCAGCACCACGCACGGCGGCAGTGGCGGCAACTACGACGAACTCGCCATCACCCAAGGGCCGCGTACTGTGCGCAGACGTGTAAGCGTGCAAGCTTAGACGCAGGGACCGGAACGGTATCGGGACTCGAAATCGGGTTGGGCTTTGGACCTGGCGGAGGCTCGAACTCAAGGAGCCGGGATTCTGAAGCCTAGCTGGCAGCCAGCAAATATGTCGTCTTCGTCGGAGACTCCTCCCGACACAATCATGGTGTCTGGCACGGAAATTGACGGAGGTGTTGACGGACGCCATGACAGCGACCCCCATGGCGCCCTGGACTCGACCGCGATCGGCAACTCCAGCGTGCCCAAGCCAAAGCGTCTGGCTTGCATGATTTGCAGGAAGAGAAAACTCAAATGCGACGGCATCAAGCCTAGTTGCAGCACTTGCTCGCGACTCGGCCATATTTGCGCCTACGATGAAGTCAGGAGGAAGAGCGGGCCCAAGAGAGGCTACGTTAAGGCATTGGAGGAACGACTAAGTGCGAAGTCCCAGGTCCCAGGTCCCCCACTCCCGGCAGGAACCTGCTAACACGGCTGTGCGTAGAGCAAGTAGAGACGATGTTGAAGACACAGGACCCATCGGCAACGAGTCCCGACGCCAACAAGGCCATGCCTGTCTCGGCCGACGCTGGGCGAAAGCAGCCGCCGAATCAACGCGCAACCGCGGCCGCAGCCGCAGGCATGAATGTCACGGATCCGTCGATCGGAATCGCAAGCAGCAGGGATATGGATCGCTGGAACTTTCCCGGCGACTCGCCCGGTGGTGCAATAGACACAGGCTTCGACTTCGGCGGTATGGGTTTGGCGAATCCCACCAATAACTTTACCTGGGAGATGATAGGCCTGGGCCTGGAAGAGCCATTGCCACCCCAGGCAACCATCGATGAGATGTAAGCCGTTCAGCCATGGAAGAGACCGTGTTGCTGTTACGCTATTACGGAGACGGGTGCTGACGATGCGTCTGTTTAGGCATCAGATATATTTCGAGAAGATCCATCCGTCCTTGCCCATGATACATAGATATCGGTATCTGGCGGCCATGAATCTGTAAGGAAGCCCATTTTGAAACCGCATGTCCGGCGTGACCACTTACCATCAATAGAGCCCCTAACCAGAGACCCCCGGTCTGTCTGAGATACGCCATGTGGACGTTGGCGTGCTCGGTGACGGAGAAATTCCAGGACCTGAAAGACCTCTTCTACCAGCGGGCTAGGAAATACGTCGAGTCCGATTATATCAGAGGCTACGGAGAGCACATGATCTCCGTGGCCCATGCACAGACTCACGTGTTGCTTGCGTCTTATGAATTCAAGTGGATGTATTTCCCACGGGCCTGGATGAGCACAGGCTCGGCTGTGCGCTTGTGTCAGATGTGAGTTTGAGCATTGAAGTACCTACCTGGTACCTACCCGCCCCTTGCCGTCTTGGCTTGCTGACGCCGCACAGGGCCGGGCTGCACCGCCTTGACGGCAATGGTCTCGACGTAAAGCAGTGCTTGCCCCCACCTCGCGACTGGACAGAGCGTGAAGAGAGGAGGAGGACATTCTGGATGGCCTTTTGTCAGGACCGTTACGCTAGCATTGGAACTGGGTGGCCGATGACCATCGACGAGAAGGACATCCTGACTAATCTGCCTTCATCGGACGAGGCATTCGATCTCAGCCGTCCCGAACAAACACAACCCCTCACAGAAGCGATGAGCCCTGCTGGCGCCGGCAAGTTGTCCGCTTATGGCGGAATCGTTCTCATGGCCTGTCTCTTTGGGCGGAATCTCGTTCACCTTCACCGCCCAGATGTTGACGACAGGGATCATGATCTCAATGGCGAGTTCTGGAAACGGCATCGCCATATGGACAACATCCTCCTCAACACGTCTCTCTGCCTGCCGTCGCACTTGAAGCTGCCCATCGGGTTGGGCAATCCCAACATTGTGTTTACAAACATGTGTATCCATACCTCCACCATCTGCTTACACCAAGCGGCAATCTTCAAGGCAGACAAGAATCGGCTGCCGGCCTCGGTGAGCTCTGAGAGCAAGGTGCGGTGCATCACGGCCGCCAACGAAATTGCGAGCATCATGCGCATGATCTCCCATCAGGACCTGTCCGGGGTAAGCACGCGCTCCGTCGCCATATCAAAGACATCGCTAATCAGTTGTCCAGATGAACCCATTCATATCATTCTGTCTTTATGTCGCCGCTCGAGTGTTTGTGCAGTATCTCAAGAGCCGGCCTGACGATAGCCAGACGGCTGATTCTCTTCGGTTTATCCTCTCCGCCATGAACGCTTTGAAGAGACGAAACCCTCTCACCGAGTCTTTTCTCGTCCAGCTTGACGTGGACCTGGAGGCGCTGGGCTTGCGCATACCCAAGCTGAAAGCCGCATTCCCGCGAAGCAGTGACAGTGTAAGTGTATTATTCATTATGTGCATGTCTGTCGCTCCTCCCGACGTATCCGGTTGTATTAACTGGCTATAGCCCGGCCCTCGACAACAGGTCCCCCATAATCTGCATATGACGGCATCAGGTGAATCCGAGCCGTTGGGTAAAAATGGGCAGCCCTACCGTCCCGAATGTGTCTTCTTGCAAACTGTCGACGACACGGCCGACGCCGCAAATAGGGTCGATCTTGTCGATCCGGAGCCCGAGAATCCTGTTTCTCAGACTCCTAGTTCAACCGGGCATGGCTCTCAGGGTTGGACAGCAACTGAACAGACTGCCAGCCTTCCTTCGCGTGAACGTAGTAACGGGGCACCATATGTGCCCATCCATGGCCTGATGCCCATGAGCAGCTCACTCCCGCCCTACGGCTCCTCGGACATGGATACAGTAAGTACCAATGACATGTCCGGGACCTCCCCAGGGGGTGGGCTTTCAAACCGACTCACGCCAAACTCGAGCACGGTGTCAGAGCACCGACAAGGGCTCGCACCTGGCGGCCACATGGACGGCTCTGGCAGAAACTCGTTTGAGGCTAGTCCTGTCATGCCACACCAAAACCTGAGCATGGCGGGCACGAGTCAGAGCGAAGTTGAGCGCAGCGTCGACGCCTTTTTTAGCACACAGTCAGCATTTAGCATGCCGCCGGGCGTTTCTACTGGCCTAACGCCAGACCAGCGCTATAGCATGCCGGACACACCCGGAGGCCCTGATTTTTCGGTGCCTGCTGGTTGGCCCGAGATGTCAAGTCAGCCTGGCATGACCCCTGGCACCGACGGCGTCTTGCGGTCCTTATTGGCCATGGGGCCTTTGGAGTCGATGGATATTGCGTGGGATGGAAATACGTAGGGCATTCGGGACAAAATCTTTGGCTTTTCTTTTTTTTGGCTCGACTTTTGTATCTTGATACCAATTTCCTTTCCGTTTCTTCTTTTGTTTTCCTTTGATACAACTTCTCATTTAGTTGACAGCAAGTTTGCATACGATGTATCCTCTTCTCTTTATTCCTTGGAAACGAACCTGGCTGGCGGGAAATTGGCGCAAGTGTTTCCTCCGCGTTTGGAGTCATTCTGTTTTCTTTTTCTTTTCTTCTCGTTCGGTTATGGCTGAAAGGGGCAGCTGTTTCTCCAAGCAGCATGGATCGTCTTCACATGGGCAGTCATGTCTGTCTGCCCATGAAGGTACACATTGTAAATTTACGGGGAGTTTTGGTGGGAATGGTAAAACCCAACTCTCTACTACGCAAACGACGGAATGGCACAATGGCGAAATGACATTGAGACTGGGCGCAATAGGGCGCCCGATACAGAAACAAGTAGCATCCTAAGCATGAATACACGGCATGAACTATGGAATTTGGGTTGTCAGTAGCTTTTGCACATTGGTCATTTATTCAAACGCCGTCTATTATTCATTATCCTTCTGACGACCCGCCCTTTTTTATAAGAAAGCAAGTATAAAAGACGGAAGCTTCCAGCCATCTCAACGGCCCGGGCTTATACATAATAATGTCAGACGGCTGGTGGCACCTCTCCACCCTCCAGGTGATCAAGAAAACCACACGAACTTATATCTCACTGACCACAACTGTAGACGCCATCATAGGGCGGGTTCATCACTCAAATAGCTCGCGGCACTTTTACGCCCCATTGGTGGTGGAACTGGTTCTTCTCTTGCTTCTTCGCCGAATATCAGTGAACTTATCGCGGATCGTTATCAGCTCGCCCTCCTGGCGAGCCCTCTCACGACCCTTGCCAAGCTCCTCGAGGGTTAGCGTCTCGAGGTAGCGGTGGCGCCGGCCGTCCGCGTGGCTCTCTTCCCGGACGCGCTGGATGTCGGGCAAGTATGCCCACGAAAAGACGGCGCCGAGAGCCATGAAGGTCGCAAACAACAGGAACACGAGACCCTGGCGGTTCGAGGGCTTGTATCCCTGGTTGATGCCGTAAACGACGAGAACGGCCACGATGCTGCCAATCTTGCCGGCGGCGGCCGAGATGCCGTGGCATGTGCATCGGTAGGGGGTTGGGAAAATCTCTGCCGGGATGATGAATGTGAGGGTGTTTGCGCCTGGAAATTGGGTTGTGAGTTGTCAAAAGCCATTCAATATGGGGGAGTTGGCACGTCATTGCTCACATACCAAAGTTGAAGGCAAAGTGACAAATTGCAACCAACACGACCGTCACCGGTGCACCTTGCTTCTGGGCCACGCCGTAATAGACGCCACCCGTGACGAGAAACAAGACGGTGAGGATCATAAAGGACGTGGTCAACCATTGGCGACGGGGGATCCGGTTGACGGCGAAGATGAAGCAGATGCTTCCGGCGATGGACGCGATGGAGACGGTCAGCAGGTACTGCTTCGTCTGCTCGAGCAGAATCTCGTAAATGGTGTTGCATGGCTGCGTGCCATCTGTCTGCCATGTGGGCAGGCCAGTGTTGGCCCAGCCCCTGACAAGTGATGTGCCATTCTCGAAGGTTGAATTCCAACACCAAAGGTTGGGATCGATATCCACTTTGGAAGTGGTGGCCCAGAGGTCGGCTAGAGTCCCTCTGTTATCCAAGCTAAAGCCGTAAAAGGATACGTCGAGAAAGAACCATGTCATGGCAGTGCCGAGGAGATAGTGCCAGTTCTTGTCCTTGACGAAGAAGTTGTACAAGTCGTCGCGCGAGAACTGTATGGGTGCTCCTAACCCTAACCCTAAAGATCCCGAGCGGACGACGCCGCCTCCGCCGCCAGGACCACCGCCGGCACCCATGGCGATACCATCTGCAGATGGGGGGGCGCCGTAGACGCGTTGTGTGTCCCTGAAGGCGATTCCCGGCTTATTCTTAACCTCGAGTGTGTACAGGCCACAGTCGTAGAGGAAGAAGCGGAATATGATGGCCAGGAGGGCGGGAATAGCACCGGAGCCTATAACGATACGCCATATGCCGTCTATAATCTTTTTGCACTCTTCGTCGTGGAGGGAGTTGATTCCGCATTGCATCTCGTGAAGCTTGTGTGCATTGTCTTCGCCAACGAGAACCCAGAGACCGACCAGCTGTGCGAGCGCCTGACCAACGGGCTGCATCAAGAACACGGACGACAACATGCTCGCCCGCGACTGTGTGCTGGACCATTCGGCCGTTATTATTGCCGATAGAGGATATTCGGCTCCGATGCCTTGAGAATGTCAGAAATCAGAAACCACAAGCAGACAGACTCAAGGCCCATCTGGCCCCTTGGGGGGCAAACTTACCAACTCCCATCACAAACCGCCACTTCGCCAGACAAGTCAGGTAAGCCAGGGTTTCGAAAGACGAAGAAAAGCAAGCGAGAGAAGAGGCTCACCCAAGTAAACAAGGCTAGGAATGACATGTCGCCATAGCCGGTGCTGGAAGTGGCAACTCCAATAGTCGAGACGATGACGAGCACAAGCTCAATTCCATACAGACGAGTCCTCCCATACCTGTCAGCCAGATATCCGAAGAGAAGTTGGCCGCAGACTGAGCTAGTATGACCCGACAATGGTCAGTCGGCTTGTTGAACGACCAACAAAGGACAGAGCGATAGATAGTTGGGGCATACCCGAGCAGCGTGAAGACATTGATGATCAAGCCGCACCACCGGTCGTTTGGAAAGTAAACAAACGACAGCGTAGCAAGGATGACATTGGTGGCAAACAGGTTATACCTAGACGGCGGTGTTTTGATATCAGCATTGGACATGCAGTACTACTTAGATAATGTAGGTACGGATCATCACACGTATGTGCATTCAAGACAAGCTAGCAACCATTACACGACCGACGGATCATATTCAGTAGCACGCGGGGCAGGGGACCGGAACAATGCAAGACTGAGACGGATAGGGATGGTGGGGCCGGAGCCGGATCTGGGGCCGGAGCCGGGGCAGATCCGGGGGCATCAAGGGCGGGGAGTGATGTACACACGAGTCGGTGAGGAAACCAGAGGCGGCGACACCCCATATTCTCAGGTTCCAGGAGTTAAGATCTAGCTCGTAACGCAGTTGCTGGCGGTCCTAATAAAGACGATGGCGGAGCATGTCAGTCGGCGTTGAAAGAATATACGTAGAGCGTACGAAGACGCGAGACTGAAGCTGGCCAAGATCGGCGGCAGCCAGCACATGACATGATAATTAGACAATAGAAGCAACAGCAGCTTGCCTGGATGTCTCGGGGCGAGAGGGCCGAACTGTCAAAGCCAGTAAACCCGCGGTTCCTGCTCCGCTCGAGGTTGGGGTACAGCTGCTGGGCAGCAGCCATCGGACTCGATGAGACAACTCAGCTTGTGGGGGTTGTTGTAACTTCTACATGCATGCGGACTGACACGCCTCTCTGGGAGAAATGCGAGCGACAGGACAGCTGTCGTTGGCGAGACCGCGACAGATGACGGAGGAATAGAAAAGAAAATCAAGGACCAGGGCAGCAATACCCAAATCCCCACATGCTGTGGCAGCGGGAAGCTTATGGCACCTTTTTGATAGCGGGAGAGGTACGGAAGTGGAAATCATGGACAAAAACTCATGGCTAGCAGGCAGGGCTTCTGCTGTAAGGCTTGGAGTCTGCGACCTCAGGGATCCTCGCCTCTCCCACAAGATCCTGCCCTCCCCGGTCCCCCAGACCCGAGGCGCACCTTGGCGCACCAAGAGAACGAACGGCCGGGCTGCACCGTCCAGTCGCAGCGCGTGTTTCGAGGGCGTGGTCGACAGGGGTGTTGGCAATATTCCGTAGTACGTACCACACCCATCCCATGGTCCCCGGACCTCGACGGCAGAACCGGATTGACGAGCATGGTGTGCCCATGGGTCTGGGGAGGGTTTCGAGCTGTGCGAGAGAGAGAAGGATGAAGCTTGAAGCAACCAAAGTGATTGGGCTACCTCAAACTCGTCGCTACTCGGATTGAATGGCTTTGCATGTACAAACAAGGCAACCTCGACCGACCGGCCTGGAAGTGACAGTGACCGACTTGAGGCAAGCTCTTTGTAGAGCCTATCATCAGTGTTGAGCACAGGCCAGTGAGCTCACTGTGGGAATCTCAACATGGCAAAGAAACCCACCTTCTCGGTGTGACTGAGAAAGGTCGCCATTTTGCCCCATCTAATCCTTGTGGTTACTTCTACAACGTAGATTCCGAATACCGACCTCCTGGCCATCTCTGTACCATCATAGTAGGTATCAGTAGCCCCCGTCATTTCACCGTTGGAAGCTGCAACACATGGAATTATTGACCGTAACTTCATTCCACAGCGGGCTCGGGCCTAGGCCTAGGCTTAGGGGCCACTGGTAATTCCCTAGCCGACCTAGCCGCCTCCTCCTGCGGGTCTGGGGCCCTGGCTGCTGGCTGCTGATCGCCCACCCCGCCTTCCTTAGCGGGGAGTTCAAGGTCGAGGGCGCGTCCCTCTGCTTCACGCAAGTCCCGAACCTTCATACGGTGCCGGCGGCCATGAGTCCTATAGACCCCAGAGGCCTTTTTAAGCTTTCTGCTGATGGTCGGGATGCTCACTTCGAGACCGCACTGCTCCCTCAAGAACAGCTGCATATCTTCCAGCAGTGCGTCGTCGTGGCCTTTCAACCACGCCTGGAGCTTCTAAGATACGCATATAGGTGAGCCCCTTGTGATTTATTTAGCCAACCAAGGCAGTTAACCTGTGCAGGAGACCTCGAGCTAGATGGTCGGGTGGGAAAAGGGGGGCAGCTAACTGCTAGCAAGTGACCACCAGCCTCCACCCATCATGGGCAACGGCTCAGAGTATGGAACCCGACAAAAATAATAGCAAAACGGGTGGCCTCATTGGGGCACTGTCCCACACACCTTGAGATGCTCGTCCCTCAGCTTCTCGGCGTTTTTGCTAACGTCCCTAGCCTTTGCCAGGCTTCCAGTCGTTGCAAACTCATATCTCCGTCGCCGGATCGTCCTCTCGTCCACGTTGAGGACAAAGGCAATGTCGTGGTTCGTGAGCTTCTCGATCTGCAGGAGCTTGGCTAGGATTTGCCGGCGGTCGTCGGAAAGCCGTTTGCCTGTCATTTCTGCACCGGGTGGCTAGTTGGCTGGCGGCCGATACCAAGGCAACAAAAGACCGTTGTTCGGCCAAAGTTGAACCTCCTCGGTTACCTCCAGCATGCATCTTCTAGGCAAGTATGGCCGGACCGTTGTCGGGTGTTGGCCAAAGCTCTGTCCTTCGATTATCCATTGGGTGAGGCTGTCCACTGCTGGGCACGCGGGAGAACCCGCTGCTCGGAAGGGTTAGGGTCTCTAAAAGCATTCAGTGGCCCGTAGTCTTGTCCAAGTTCAGTTTCCTTCCCAGCCTGGAAAGGCTGACGTCGACGTAATCCCGAAGAGTTCCAGAAACCCTATTATGTAGACAATCGACACTGAACATTTCATGAACCGCCCCTAGGAGTTGTCCAACCCGGGCTCATGACATTTGGACCTAGCCAAGGCAGGTGGGTCCCCGTCCATGCCTACCTTATTCGACCTCAGGTAGGTAGCCAAGGCAGCAGCTACCTGAACCACGTTAGCTAGTACCTTCCGTATCGTGACCTTGCCTTGGTAGGTAAGGACCCTTGGGCGGGCAGCGTCTTCTCATCACCCGACACGAACCGCCATTGGGCGTAACGGTGCGGCGGAAAGGCAAGAAAGACCCCGCGAGTTTAGCCGCATGCTTCATCGTGCAAATCCCAGCGCCCGTTGCAGGCCACGGGCCCGGTCCGTTGGGCCATGGTGCTCAGCGTGAAATGAAATGCACCTCCATGTTGGCAGCATGCCTGCTGCCGCACCCGCGGTTGCTCTCTCCCCTGTCCTCGTCTCCGCTTTCCTATGGACTGGAGTCTTCCATAGACAGAACAGCGCCGCCGAGGCCGCAGCTGCCAACGATATCGCATGTGCATGTGCTCGAGTGCAGAGCTGCACGTTTGAGCATTAGGACATTAGACATCTCCCACATCGCCCCCCAAGTCCCCCACCAGATCACCAAATTAGAAGGCTTGGCCGGCTACCTGTGCGCTCAAGAGTTACCAGACTCCCAGTCTCCGTCCCCTCGCTTGCTCGCTCGCTCGCCAGCCTGTAAGCCGTACAGTTCCGATTCGATTCATTGGGCCAGAACTGCAACGACTGGCCGCCTGCTAGACGGATGAGCTGCCGAATTCAGCTCCTTTAGTACAACTCGCGAGAAGGCCGCCTCGCTTGCCGAGACATCAAGATTTGCCTGCTCGCTGCCCGCTTGCTCTCAGCCCGATGAAAGGTGGGGTCTGCAAGCCTGGACTTCTTTTTTCGCGATTATCCCAAGAACGGATCGTTGCTGTCGCCATCGTGATAACTGGATACGGTATTCCGTAGTTGAGACGCCCTGCGAGATAGCCTGCCTGCCTACAGGGCAGCGAGGACCGGCTACTACACACACCACTTGTATACCTTGATGCTGGTGGACTGTTAAGTGTGTAAGCATACAGCCGCCTTTCCTATCTTCAGCACCGAGCCTCTCCAACGTCGTGCGTGCTTGAGCCCCTTTTCCTGATTCTTCGTCTCCCAAAGAGAAACTGCCACTCCGTTTTTGCCCACCCCCCTGGGGACGATGCCACTGCAGCACGTAAGCCTCGACACCACTCCCCGGAAAGCGGAGTAGATTCGTGTGGTCCCCAGGCCCCCCCCTATCGCAGACCGCAGATTATGGCGTCATCAGGACGCTCTGGCTCCTCGTCGTCTTTCAACTCGTCTCGAGGTGTACCGCCGTCCTACACGCAGCACAGCAGCCCGGTTAATTCAACTTTCACGCCAGTCTCGGCCGTCTCGGGTCAGACGGTCGAGTCCTCGGCCCCGCAAACCCCCCTCGGGCCGCTCGACCTTGGTCCACCCGGTTTCCATGCCACCATGTAATACCCAAAGTGGCACCCGTCTGCCCATTCCTTGTCTCACTGCCGACCCTCGCGCAACAACTCAGGTCTGACATTGCGGCTGTCTAGAAAGCTCTATGAACGCACGCCGAACGAAACAACCGTCTATCTCGGCCCCTGGGAGCTTGTCAGCAATGGCACCGAACCCCGACGAGTCGTCTGGCAATGCTCCTACGCTGGCGAGGTACTGGAACATTTCTGTATGTTCCGCCCCGATTTGTATCCCGGTCCCGACGGTGCGGCAGGCCACCTCCCCTTGGCCCTGGCTGCCGTTGCTGACGCCCACGTCCAAACTTAGTGCCGTCTGACAGCCCTGACGAGCTCTTTCCTTATACGCTGCATGCTAATCACCGACGCTTCGGGGACCCCCGAGAAATGGAGCTCTATCTCACCTTCCTAGAGCCCCATCGCATCCGATACACCACAGTAGACGGCGTGGTGCATGACGAGTTCATCGAGGTCAAGTACGAGTTCACCACGGTCGAGGGATCGATCCAGCTGCAGAGCGACATCAGGCAAAGGGACTTGGTCGACTGGTTTGACGTCGATGTGGTCTGGTCGGATGCCCATCGGAGAACAGACGCGTACGGAAGCGTGAGGGGCCTGGGGACGATCCAGAGGATGAAACTATGGAGAGACAGGCATTCGACCTTCCACTACCTGACATTCTATGCCAACCACCGGCGGCGTTGGAGAGAGTATCTAATCAATGACTTCGAGAGGGACCCGCGCAGCCGTGACGACAGGCACCGCCGTCTTCAACTTGATGCTCGCGGGGGCCGGAGAGGAAGTGGCTCGGATAACAGCAGCCAAGGGGGCCAGAATCGTGACCGACGCTTTTCGGCCTCGTCCATTTTCCGACCACGACTCGTTAGTTCGTTTACGGGCGCCAGCTCATCTTCAGCAGCGGCATCCCAGAGCGTGCTGGATATCCGCTACTTGTCAATTCAGTTTTCAAGAAACAACCAAATGCAGCCAGGGAGCGAAGGTAAGCTATCTACCATCCGCGTCAGATAGAAAGAAGGCTGCTGTCGTTGAGAGGGCCGCTTCGGTTTCGGCGCTATTCAGGGGAACAAGGGCTGACGGATTGTAGACTTTCGAAGATTCATGGACCAATGGAATATCGCCCATGACTCTGATGGCGCATTTGCTGTGCCATACCCGATGAACCTCGTCGAGCTGCCATCGCCGCAGGTAAACGGGATACCAGAACTCGCCTCAGCCCAAGTCAACGGGGTAGGAGACTTTGCGCTACCCGACGCAAGCGATGCCAGGAGCCCAGACGAAGATACCCCGTGAATCAAAACAAGAGCATGGCCCCGGGGGTTTACTTAGAGTGCCTGCCTTGTGGGGGCTTCAAAAACATCGGATTTGTCCGTTTAAGCAAAAATGCAGCCGGCGTCCAAGAGAAAACGATTTGGGCAAGACGGTTGAAGATTGTCAATGATGAGTCGGCCTGAACATGACTTTTTCTGGAGCCAGCTGTTTTCGAGCTACGCTGTAACCCCGGGACATGTTGTCCTTCTTTGTTTGTCTCCTTTCCCCAGGAGTCGAGCTGTAGCCAAAGCAGGCGCGGCAGACAGGTCAGGCAGTTCGGACGAAGTGCCCAAAAACACGGCAATTGGATAGGATTCCCGGCATGATGGGATGGGATGGCGTGAACAGGGCGGATACCTACGGGTGGGGCGCTTGGCACAAACAGGTGGTCCCGTCACCCCACTAAAACCTATCCAACCGTCAGCAGCCCGCAGATGGGACGGACGTCATATGCAGCTATGACACGTTTTAAAACAGTCAGACCACCCTCGAGCTAGCCGATGAAGTTTGGCCGAGCCAAGCCTGGTTCTCTTCTCCGCCAGCTACCTCGAAGAAGGACAAGCCCCGGCCCCTCATATGTACACTTATACAGCGCCATCCAGACAACTCACATGACAATTTAAAAGCATTGGCGGCTCTTCCCGAGGCCTGGACCGGCGTCCCCTCCGCAGGATCCATGTCGTAGAAGCCAGCCAGCTCGAGGTATGGATGGCGACCTATGTTGTTGACTGCCGTTCTGCAAGTCTCCCTTGATTATACCCAGTTGCTTCATGCAGACGACCAGTCTTGCGATCGCTAATACCTCCTGCCTGCCTACCTACCTAGTTAGCTTCAATTTGCTAGCCTCTGCGCTTCCAAGCCATTCTCGTCCTTCGCCCCTCGCGCGCGTACACTATACATACATACCAACACGTACAATGAAGAAGATCATCCTCTCCATCAATGCGGGGTCCTCGTCAGTGAAGATATCCGTCTACAGCGTAGACGTCGGCCAGCGTCCAGTCCAAGTCGCCGAGGCCACGGTGAGCGGGCTGACGGCTGCGCCTGCCACTCTCACCTACGTACGGGCTGGTAAAACCGTCTCGAAGGACAAGGAGCTCTCCACCAAGGTACACAGCCAGCGTGATGCCTTTGACGTGCTCCTCTCGACGCTCGTCGCCGACCACGAGCTGGCCCAGATCAGCAGTGACGACGAAATTGATCTTGTCTGCCACCGAATCGTCCACGGCGGCGACTACGACAAGTCGCAGCTCATCTCGGACGAGACATATGAACACCTAGAGAAGCTCAACGACCTAGCGCCCCTGCACAACGCCAGCAGTCTCGCCATCGTCAAGGCTTGTCTGCTCAAGCTGCCTACCGCGCGCAACGTGGCCTGCTTCGACAGCCAGTTCCACGCCTCGATTCCAGAGCACATTAGGACATACCCCATTAACCGCGACATCGCCCGCAAAAACCACCTCCGCAAATATGGGTTCCACGGCATCAGCTACGCCTTCATCACCCGGTCGACAGCCGAGTTTCTGGGCAAGGACCCCGACAAGGTCAACTTGATTGCCCTGCACCTCGGATCTGGCGCAAGCGCATGCGCCATCAAGGCCGGCAAGAGCTGGGACACGAGTATGGGCCTCACGCCACTCGCCGGTCTGCCCGGAGCGACCAGGAGCGGGAGTGTCGACCCGAGGTCAGTGACTGACAAGCCCCCCATTTCCTGTCATCGCCATCTCGTTTCTCGTGACATGTTTTCTCTCGCCATGATTTGACTGTGCTCGAGTCTTCTTTCTTTTGGCTTGACCATTCTCTCCATTTATCGCTGACATTTGCGCGTCTAATTTTCCTTGTTAGTCTTGTCTTCCACTACGCCAGCGATGTAGGGAAACTCTCGCCCTCGTCAACCAAGGAATTGCACATTTCCCGGGCTGAAGAGATACTCAACAAAGAGTCTGGATGGAAGGCCCTGACAGGGACCACCAACTTTGGCATCATCGCCAACTCGGACGAGCCGGAAATGAAACTCGCCTTTGACCTTTTTGTCGACCGCATCTGCGGCTTCATCGGGTCATACTATGTCTCCCTGCACGGACAGGTCGACGCCCTCGTCTTCGCCGGCGGCATCGGCGAGAAAAGTGACTGTCTTCGCCACGCTGTCGTCGACCAAGTCGCGTGCCTGGGCTTTGACATTGACGAGACGGCAAATGGGGCCAAGATGGAAAAGGTCGTTCAGGATATTGGTAAGGCCGGCGCGAGACAGCGGGTGCTCGTGTGCTCGACCGACGAGCAGTTCGAAATGGCCAGGAGCTGCTCCGAGGATAGGGAGCTTTGGTTGTAAATGATGGATGTTATGAATACCCGAGTAATGACTGGGGAATGACGTGTAGATTCTTAGGCGTCCCGAGCGGCATCCGTTGAAGACCCCCATTTCTGATTCTACCTTCAGCCACCAACACTATCTCCTCACCTGTCTAGTCAAACTGGAAGTCGCTCCTGGAATAAACAAACAAATAGAAATTAGAATATGTTTCTTTTATCTACCATGGGAGCGACTTCTATAAGTTCGATTTATTGTCTAATTTAATTTAATTTATTTATTGATTAATTAGCACCCCGAAGCCCGTGGTTTCATGTTGTGTACGAATGATAAGAAAATGTCTCCATCCGATAACCACTGGCCTACAACGGTATTTGCGTGAAAGGGGTCATGTCTATTATGTGCTTGCTATATCTACTCTCTCTCTCTGTAACGTGCGCTTCCTCGACACACAGCACATGAGCAAGCAAGTCGCATTGGGATTTGGTGTCAGACGTTGGTGCGGTAAGTAGTAGCATTGATCCTTGGTCGGGCCAGACAAGTCTTTGATGAGGCCGCCGCCGTAAATATATCCAGAACCAAGGCCGTCTGAAGAGAGGAAGAGACGCTGTGCCCTCGCAAAAAAAAGACTATAAAGAAGAATGAAACAAAAGCCAACCGGCTCAAGAGGCCGTACATATAACCATGCGCAGGCTGATACCTGCCCAACCCCCCCAAGAAATGCCCAGTTTGCCAGAGATATGCTCTCAACCATCGTGTATATATGAGGGACTCCCCGAACCTAAAAGAGCAGGAACCTGAGGAAAAAAGGGCGGGGACATGCACACATGTCCTGTCGTCAAATATGAGAGACGGCAATAGCTCCTTCGCAAAAGAGACTAAAATGAAATGGGAATAGGTAAATCGTTACCTTCAAAAACGCCGTCCATATATGCCGCTTAGTTTGCCAAATGTGCCCATATAACCTATACAAGGCGTCCCGATCGTGTATACGCGCCTCGTCTTAAAAAAACAGTAGAAACCCGACAAAAAGCCTCCCGACCTCCTGGTAACATGGAATGCGCCGAAATATCGTTGGTAACCCACAAAAAGGGAATAAATAAAAGAGAAGATGAACATGGATGAACAAATATTACTGCCTCTCCAAGTGGGGTTCGAGAGGGTCGGCATAAAAATGTTTGACTGGCTAAAAGACCAGGGTAAAAATTATCCACTTGAAGCATCAGGAGGTGGACCGGTTTCTAGTCGACAGATGCTTTACAATCTGTCCATCGGTTTAGGCCTCCTATGCACCCTCCTGGCAGACAACAGCCATTGCAAGAGCATCGAGTCCGCTGCTCGGAGTACGCCCGGCGGTGGGCCGGCTGAGAAGAGGGAGGTCAAGTCCGCGCAAGTCCCATACGCCCCCCGAAGACGGTAAAGGGGTGCCGGGAGTACCGGGAGTGGCGGCGGCAGCGGCCGCTGCTGCAGCATGGGCGGCCGCTTTGCTGCGGCTTGATGACTTTCCGGACGAGGAGGATCTCCTCTCGCTCGAAGACAGCGCCGGCCGGGACGAGGACGACGAAGTGCGAGACTTGTCCTTATAGTGTGTTTCCAAGTGCTGCTTCATGTTGTCGGCTCGCGTGAACTTCTTGGAGCAGCCTTGAAATGAGCAAGGGACGGCTTTCTCAGCAGTGTGGATCTTGGAGTGCCGTGATGCGTGGCCCGAGGTTGTAAACGTCTTCTCACAACCGTGGCTATCACGATACCGACAGGGGTATCGCTTCCCCGAGCGGTCACCGGCGGTCGGGCTGGCGCCGGCCTCGTCGTCATACGAGGCGGCTCGGCTGTTGTTGTATACGCTGGGGTGCTTCAAGTCTTGGTATGCCTGGGCAGGGTCCATGTAATCTTCGTACTGGGACCGGGGGTCGGCCAGGGTGATGGAAGCCGTATAACCCCGGCTGTAGTCGAAAGCAGGCGTCAGGGGTGACATGGGTTCATTGCTCATTTGGGAGTCATACGAATCTGAACGGAGTAGTTCTGGCGTGTTCGGTGACGACGAGGCGCTCCGAGGTGCAGGAACATAGTATGAGGGAGGGGCGGCGGCGGCATTGTCATAAGCATTGTCATAAGAGTACTGTTGCTGTTGCCTTTGGGAATGGTGGTGGCGGCTATGAGAAGTTAGGTCGTCGTTTAGGAGCGAAACTTGACGTCCGGAGGCATCGCGAGCGTGCATGACAGCGGTTGTTAGCCGGGAACTAGGGGCGTCGAGCGTCGAAACAAGGGGGTGAGGGCACAACAATAGCTGCCTAAGGAACCGGCCAGAGGCGAAAGGGAGAAAAGATCAAGGGGGGCCCAGAGAGGAGGAAGAGGCCCAACCGCGTCGACGATCCGATGAAAGCTGGGCTTTCTTGGTGCGGACGGCAACGGTAAGGCGATGGCGACGGTGATGTATCAAGGGGTGTGATCAAGAAGCCTCAGGGGGGATGGCGGGGAGGAGGGGTCCAGGAAGGGTGTGAATATGAGCATTGGATTGGGGCCTGGGCTGGGCGGTCGTGGAGGGGACCGATGGGAGTTAATAAGGGAATAAGGATGAGCTTCCCAGCCCGACATGGGAAAGTGGACTGGGACTGCATGAAACCCCATCATCCACGGATCCTCATTTTTTCCCCTCGAACTGTGCGGTGCAGCTCAAGGTTGCAACTCAGGCTCAGGTCCAGTCCAGCGCCAGCCGCGAGCGTGGGTGTCGACAGGGATCGCGGAGAACAACGACCTAGGGGTGCCAGACTCGGGTTCACTCCGACAAAGTCGACCATCCCTGTTGGTGGAGACGCTGCTTAGTGCCAACCTTGTTCTTGGCAGGGCAAGTATCGGCCAAGTACCGCTCGTTGTGGACGGCCACCATCCATTCCACTCTGGTGCTGTGATAGTGGCCGTACTGTTGTACACAAGTACACTACACCAAAGTGATGTGTCCTCTTTTTTATCATACTCGAGTTTAAACCCCAGCTAAGGGCCCCAAGGGCCCGAGCTGGCCCAGCTTTGGGTAAGGGCCTGTCTGCAGTTTTTGTTGGCCCGCGCCAAGAGGAGTCTCTAGGGCTGTCAGGATATGACAGCAAAAGGGTACCCTGATGACGAAATGTTCCACAGCCGCAAGCTGCGGCCGCGGCCGTTTCTGTCAATGGCAGCTGCGCCGTTCCGGAACCTCACTTACACGGCCAGACACTGTTTCGCGCAAAATCAACCAGCACAGTAGTGTATATACGCGGAATTATAGTGCCGTGTAGCACGGTGAGGTGCGGCAGGTCAGCTCCCGTGGAGAGATCTCCGGCGCGAGCTTGATTGAGCTCGGAAAGCTACAGCAAATCAGGGACGCAGCGCTATCTGGCATACTGGGTCATACATATGTCTTTCTATAATCTCTTCCAGCCGGGGATTTGGTAGCTTTCGCCAACCATAAACCATTATCCACTCTGTGCACTTGCGTTCACTCACACTGGTGCTCAACGTTGGCGACGTTTTACTGGCTTTCCACCCATATCTGCTAGTTGAGTTCACTTGACAATCCGGCAATCTCTGTTTCGAGCATTTTCACTAACACTAGGTAGGTAATGTAGCTTTCAGATCCCAAGCTGTGCGGCGCTCTACCCCTCTCTTTTCCCTTCGCTTTCCCTTACTGCATAAACGCGAAAAGGAAAGTAACGCGTGCACACACAAATAGCAAATGGAAAAATGACGTCAGTGGCGGCAGGGGTATTGCTCATCCAGATCCCAAGCTGTCAGTGTTTCAGGGTTCAAAAAGTGTCATTTCCGGCGTCTTTTTATGCTAAGTTTATGCAGGGTTTTGCTCTCGGGAAGGTGTAACGATGAACGATTGCCCTAGCAATTACTTCCCGTATGATACCTGGGGGACGCTGCTGTGATCAGTGATCGGTGATCAGACCCAAGTACCCAGAGGTCAGGCAGTCTGATCGCTAATCAGCCATTTGCACCGAAAACCGATCAAGAGAGGGCAACCAAGGTGTGACTTCGTATATCTCGAGCTAGAGATAGGGAACAACGCAAGTTGTCGGGATTTCCGCCAACAGGAACTTGCCGTCGTCGTGGGGATCGGATGGCCGGCTCAAGTCGCACAGCTATTCGAGGGGAAAGAGTTCCCGATTCGAAGAGATCTCGATCCAGGTCCAAAAGCCGAGCTGGACGAACCAATAATCGAGAGGCCTGATGATCATCGGGTTTCGCGGACCTTGGATAAGTGGGGAACGAGGGCGGTATGTAGTGTAGAGTTAGGAGTATCGGCCCCCTCTATACAAAATCTCTACGAGAGCCTCATTGGAACTCGAGCGGGCGGTATGTACGTAATGCACGCGTAGTGCATAGTACACACAGCATTCGCTAAGGCCGTTTCTAGGGACTGGCCAATTTTCGTAGTCCAGGGTCTTGACAACATTCCGTCGTGACAAGCTTCACTTTGCAAACCTTCGCGGCTGTGTTATTCTACTGGACGGCGTGGATGGGACATGCCTACTGCACGGAACACGCGACATCGTTCCTTCCTGCGCCGTTTGACTCCCAGAAGCATATTCAACAAAAGACTCACGCGAGCACAACCGCCAGTGCAAATCCACCAGTGCCCTACCTTAACCAAGCTTGGTTCTGAAACGAACCCTCTTCAATAAACTCTATCCTGACGTATTTGCGCGACCGAACCTTCGTTATCATATTAGAAGACTTAAATAGGTAATCATATATATAAGGCCTTATGTTGTAGCATATCTGGGGTGGCTTCACCCCAACAGAATTAATGTACGTACTCGGTACTCCGCTATAGAAGGAAATTTCAATACCGTTTACTCCGTAGTTCTCCAAGTACCGCTGCCTCAGGGCGGAACGAAACCCTTGTGGGGTATGAGAATGCAAGTAAATCTAGGGTCAATTGCTCCGGTAGCAAGTCCAAGCCGCTTTCATACCCCTCCGGCTTCGAGCTAAATAGAGACGGCGGGGCTTTTCAAGGACGGCTTCCTCGATCCCGTTTCCGGCCCGCTCGGCCTTGGTGCATTGCAGGCTGGAAAACTGGCATGCCTTGCAGCTATTCCCTGGGCAAGAACCCCCAAAAACGTGTTGGTGAGCTGGACTTCCTAAGAATGGAGCCCTTCAGCCAAGGACACCCGGCATAAAATGACGAAGCATGGAAAGTCGAGCTTTGGAGCGAACATGACCTTGTTCATTCTGGCGACCGATCGGATTTTTGGGATGGGATCGAGCGGCCCTATCAACCCACCTGTGGAGATCCCAGTCCGCTTCCAACAGCGCGGAGCCTGGCGATTAGGGGACCACAGAGCCACAGGGCCTTTTTTCCCTGCGAGACACAAGTGTTGTACCGATAAGTACCACAAAACCCTGCTTTTCGAGCCTGCTAGGGTTTGTCCAGGGTCCGACTGAGGGTGCTGCAAGGTCACAGTTTCAAAAACCACAATGATGACATTTTGCACTTGCGAAAATCTTAGTCTGTGGCCCCACTCAAACCAATCCCTGAGGGTGGCATGGGCTTTGATGGGCCTGACAATCCCGAGAAGGGAGGGACGCCGGAGAAGTTCCTCCGGCTCGCTTGTGCCTCCAATGTTACCTACCATTCCCCACTCCCCCGCTACTTAACGATTCTTAAAACTTGACCTCAAAAGCATCCTCCATTGATTTAAGGGACTCAGGTATTAATGACTCTTTGCAGCGCATTCTGGAGTCTAGATGGCTTGTCTTTTGCTCCGTACTAACCCTATATTGCCGTTGTTTGTGGTTACACTGAAGAAGGTTTCTAGAAGCAAGTAGGTGAGGAGGGGTTTCGCTGCGAGGACCCGAGTGAACGGATAGAATGATGGACAACATGGTCAGCGTGTGGAAAAGGAGAAAAACTCCTCAAGGCCACCTTTCGTTGGTAGTTGAGGTATATACTAAGAGGTATGTACGTATAGTAGTATGTTGCGCATATTATTAACCTGTGCAAACAGGAAACAATCCACTCTTGAGCCACATGAACGCGCAATGGGCCATACATTGGAACTCCTTGCTTGCGGACAAGGTACGCCGCGTTATCAGGCCTGTAACACGATGCTGTCAGTAAAGAGCTTTTGTCTGACATGGAGTCACACAAGCGATGGCAACACTCCCGCCTCGCTGTCGGCATCATCGGGACTTGATACAGCCTCGGGTGATTTTTTTTCAATTAAAAAGAATTTCAGGCTAGCCCCGTTCTTGATCGAATGACGATCCGAATCAATAATGCAAATGATTGCGCAATGGAGCTATACCGCAGTGGGATCGGAAAGGGATCAAAATATCCTACGATGGCGGTGTGTCAACGATGGCGATGCTCATCAACGTCGTGCAGATGAGCGTCGTGGCCTTCTAAATCGTCGAGCTTGCCCATCTGACCGACCGACATATCGGATGCGCACGCCGAGCCAAAGCTCTGAGAGGCGGGGTCACGGCATTTTTCTGATGGATGCCATGGCGGAAGATGTGGTGAATAGACTCCTGCCCGCACGACCAAAGGTCATGCTGCATCCCTATTCCCCCGCCCACTCGCATTCCCGACGACGCCAACACCACACACACAAAACTTTGTGTGATAAGGTGCTCAAGACTGCATTACGGAGTGCCTCCCACCCCTCCTTCCCCCGCCCAATCCTCGGCGAAACGACCCAAGTGATCGGTTAAGACGGCGTCCTGCCATGCACCACCACGGCTCGCTCGCTCGGTCAGGAGTCCACCACGATAAACAATATCAAGGTTTAACGGCCCTGTTTAGTCTTGCGAGATTACCTGTGATAGGAAGGCGGCATGAAAACGCCGTCAAACGCCCGCAGCACGTCCAAAGGGACTAATGCGGATGCAGTAGGTACCCCCCTCCAATTCGCAATGATGAGGTGTGATGGTTGGTCTCGCGGGGGCGGGCTCTCGCGGCCCAATCTTGAGTCTGTGCGGATATTGTGGCGGACGTACTTAGAGTTATTAACCTCGAAGGGGACAAGATAGGCAAAGGAGAGTAGAATGACCCGTTGATCAGAAGGCTGCCAATTGGCCCAACCACATCATGACCGATTTAATAAGTAAAAATGCGTGTGCGATGCAAAGTAGTAGGGAAGATGGGCAATGGTGAAAGAGAAAATCAAGGACTCGCAGGGTACAATCCTAGAACGTGGTGTCCCCATTGCCTCTGACATCAAGGTTTTCCCCCTTTCCTTTGGCCGCTATGGCATTTCTCCTCTGGAACATGGCATTTCCAAGAATGCCATCTTAACAAACTTAGCCCTAACAGGTGGGGGTGGGGTTTAGGGGTCCCCTTCTAGACCCTCGGGTCATCCTTGCGGGCTTTGGTACCTAGACTACACCTGACAGTTGATGTAGGTCTTGACGCTGTGGCACAGCGCTCGGGGAAAATCATCTGCCAGTCTTTGTTTTGGCGCGACGATGGACTAATTCAAGTTAACAACGTTCAGGCAAGCTACGGGTCTGACGTGTTATCGCAAATCTAAGGTAAGGCGAGCCGCGCGTCCACGAATAAGACATACCACCCGAGGTCCTAGGGGCGATACTTAAAACGAGCATTCCTGTCTACCAGCTATGTGCCTACCGTCCTAAGGTATCCGCAGGCAAAGTTAACCTTGAAAGGTAGACGAGAAACCGTTTGAGTTGGTACCTCTTAGATTACCTCCGACCCCAGTTGATCTTCCACGGGTATAGCGTCCCAAATGTGACATGGGGAAAAAATTAAAAGTACAAGCAACGGACGGCCTTCTTCCAAGACGCCAGTAAACGATGATCGCAGAGTAACCCCACTCGCCCCTGACTCGCCCCTCCCCATAGTACGTAAAAAAGAAAAAGCCGATGTCATGACAGAATGCCATCATCTAGCGTACAAATGATGGCGCAGAGGACTTGGTCGCGCCAGTGTCAATCTTTTTTCTCGGAGGTAAATCAGGCTTTTTGAACCCGTCGTTGCTCCCCGCCGCGCTGGAACCCTGGATCTGCGTGAATGTCCCGCCTTTGAAGTATCGATCCTCGTCTGCCTTGCGCTTGCGACTGAGCTCTGCTTGGACTTTGGGATCAACAAGCTCCAAGCCTTGCATCGGCGTAAAGGCGAGCGAGGAAACCGTGCCCGCAATTGAGCCCACCGTGGAACCCACACCTGAGGCACGCAGACCCTTGCTGCTCGCCAGGCTGATTTTTCCCATGCCACCGACACCAAAGCCCTTGAGCGAGGACGCGCTGCCGCTGGCGAGAGAGGTTGCGCCGCCCCACCCCTTGCTCTTGGCACTCAACCTGGCGCGCGTGCGCTGGTCGATCTGCGCAACACGAAGACGTCCATCATCCCGTGCTCCGATCATGCCGAGGCCCTTTGTACTGTCGCCCACTCCGTAGCCCACCTCCTTCTCCTCTTTGCCAAATGCCATGCGATTCTGCGCCTTGCGGAGGTCTGTCATCGCCGTGGCCTCCTTCGCCTTGCGGGCACGCCGGCCTCCACGCTTCCTGCTGGGCTTGTCGTCCGGCGCTGGGAGGGCGCGGGCGCCTTTGTTTAGAGGCTTTTGGTGTAACTTGTCGAGACGGTCCAGGCACTCGTCCTTTAGCCGTTCGCCCTCGGACCCATCACGAAACTGGTGGAAGCAGTCGCAACGCGCGCACATGACAATCTTGTTTGCAAACATCTTCATGGCCTGCTTTTTGAGATCGTTTGAAATACCTCGGAGGATTGGCGACTGGAAAATGAAGCCCTGCTGCCGTATGCCAACGTTGGTCGCAAGGGCTGCGCTAGCCTGTTTCTTGGATCCCCACGCGGGGAGGTTGCATGCTGGCGCCTTGGAAAGGCCGGTGAGACCGCCGGCTTGGTTGAGCAGCTGCGCCGCTGTGAGGGAGCCGATAAGTGCTGTGAGGTTAGGCGCAAATATGTTCATACGCGACTGTACGTATTCGGTGAGGGTCTTCTTGGCTTTGTCGAGCGCTATCACCATCTCGCAAGCTTGTACCACGCGCTCGAGCTTGTCTTGTGGCATAGCCTGGCCCTTGGACGTGGTAGCCTCAACTGTGACAATCATCAAGGACGGTCCGTCGAGCACTGACTTGAGCGTCACGCCAAGGGGGTTGTCCGTCGACACTTGCAGCGCCTTGATGCTTTCTGAGTCCATGGGGCCGTTGCCCAGGATAGCGACAACCTTTGCATACTCGAGAGGATTGGTGATGAGGGTTTCGAGTTCAGGGAACCGAACTGAGTAGTGGTCGCGGATAAACTTGTGTACGAGAACTATCTCGTTGTCGATCGATGTGGACAAGCTGTTCGACTGTGTGAGAAGATGGTATTCGGGATGGTCCTCGACACTGCCTATGTCGGTCGACTCGGCGGGTTTTGATTGGTAATGTTCGATTTTCTGTCACGTTCGATCCAGACTGTTAGGGCTATTGCTCGCATGAAGATGTAAACACTTTACTGCATAGTAGGTGGGGGATGGGGGTGGGGAGGGGACAGGTTGGAGGGACCAGGTAGGAGAGGCTGCGCTAACCTCGAGGACTGGCGTCAGGGTCTTCATGAGTCCAGCAACGGCCCGGACATCGCGAACGTCGCCCAGCTGCATCTTTTCAATCTTTGCCTTAGCCTCGTCGGGGTCGTCGGTGCGGCCAGCTACGTCGTCGACCACCCCGTTCATCATGTCGCCGCTGCTATCGCTGTCGCCGTCCCCGCCTGCTAGATCGGCCGCCTCATCGTCGTCGTCATTCATTGCTGAGTCGCCATTTGCATCGGCACCAAGTGAAAGGGCGCCGTCGTCTAAGAAGTCATCTTGGGGGTCGTCGCCTCCGGCATCAGAGCCGGAGTCTTCGAAGTCCTGGAGTAGCTCGTCCGCAAGCGTCGACATTCTGAAGGTTGCCGTCAAATAGCGCGGCGTATCGAGTTGTGACGCGACTTTTATTTGGGGGTCGTTGAAGGTAAAGAAGTGAGGAAGAAAGTTTGGGTTCTGGCCGCTGGGGCGCCTGCACTGGTGTTGGACGATGAGGCTGCCAAGGCTACAGCGGCTGCTGGGACTTTACACTGGAGCTGGAGTTCAGATCAGTGGCTTAATTTAGTGATGTGGCGCAAAAACTCTATCCGGGCGCCATGCACGGACCATCCTACAGCGTAATCTGGGAACGAATGGAGTATCTGTATTCGTAAATCTAACCACCGCTAGAATAGGTGCTGGAATCGAGTCTAAGTCTACAGTATCCGTACCTTAGTTGGAAACGTAGACACGAGCATGTATTGGCGCCTCAAACGATAGCTCCCTCTCCTCTCCCATCGCACGCAAAAACCAGGCACGCCGGCCACAACCCTACGAAAAGCGCGATCAGCCACTGTCCTTGTCGGCGCGTCTTTTGCTGGCCCAGCATCGACGGCAGCCCTTGACAATGGAGTCCTCACGCGGCCCTCCCAGGGTCAAGAACAAGGCGGCAGCGTCAGTGCAGATTTCGGCCGAGCAGCTGCTGCGCGAGGCCGTCGACCGCCAGGAAGTCGCGCTCCAGACTCCCACACAGCGCTTCGCCGATCTTGAGGAGCTCAAGGAATACCAGGGCCGGAAGCGCCGCGAGTTCGAGGATTATGTCCGCCGCAATCGCGTGCGTCTTTTCAACTGGCTTCAATACGCCGCCTGGGAGCTCGAGCAGAAAGAGTTTGCGCGGGCGCGCTCCGTCTTCGAGCGTGCGCTCGATGTACATCCCAACAACACTCGTACGTTTCTCTTTCTCCTTGTGCATGCGCTTGCGCTTGCGGTCGCTCCTCCTCCCAGGCCAGAAACCCGCTGACTCTTCGCCTTCGCGACAGAGCTATGGATCAGGTACATTCAGGCCGAGATCAAGAATCGCAACATCAACCATGCCCGCAATCTTTTGGACCGCGCCGTCACCCGGCTCCCGCGTGTGTCTTCGCTATGGTACCAGTATCTCTATGTCATGGAGATGCTCGGCGACATCCCCGGCACTCGGCAGGTGTTTGATCGGTGGATGAAGTGGCACCCGGACGAGCAGGCCTGGAGCGCGTATATTCGCCTCGAAAAGCGTTATGGCGAGTTCGACCGCGCGAGGGAAATCTTCCGGGCATTCACCGTGGTTCATCCCGAGCCGAGAACATGGCTGAAATGGGCCAAGTTCGAGGAGGAGTATGGGACCACCGACACGGTTCGTGAAGTGTTTCAGACTGCCATCCAGACGATTGCCGACCTGATGGGTGACGACGCGGTCGACGAGAAGTTGTTTATCGCCTATGCGAGATATGAGGCGCGCTTAAGAGAGTACGCGCGCGCGCGCGCAATCTACAAGTTTGGCCTCGACAATCTCCCGCGCTCCAAGTCCATGGCCCTTCACGCCCAATACACGACGTTCGAGAAACAGTTTGGCGACCAAGAGGGTGTGGAAGACGTCGTTCTCACAAAAAGGAGACGGCTCTACGAGAAACAGGTAAAGGAGAACCCCAAAAACTACGATGTGTGGTTTGATTTCGCCCGGTTGGAGGAGAGCGGAGGCGACGCAGACCGTGTCCGAGAGACATATGAGCGGGCCATTGCCCAGGTGCCGCCGACCCAGGAAAAGCGCCACTGGAGGAGGTACATCTTCCTCTTCCTCTTCTACGCCATATGGGAAGAGAAAGAGGCTGGGGATATCGAGCGCGCACGACAGGTCTACGAAACGTGCCTGGGCCTTATACCGCACAAGAAGTTTACCTTTGCCAAAGTCTGGGTTGCCAAGGCACACTTTGAGATCCGTCAAGGGGAGCCCGCAACTGCCCGCAAGACGCTCGGACGCGCCATTGGCATGTGTCCAAAGGACAAGATCTTCAGGGAGTACATCAACCTAGAACAGAAGCTGTACGAGTTCGAGAGGTGCCGGACGCTATACGAAAAACATGTGCTATACAACCTCGCCAACTGCCAGACGTGGATCAAGTGGGCAGAGCTGGAGCGGGGTCTAGATGACCTCGACCGAACCCGCGGCATCTTCGAGCTTGCCATTAGCCAGCCTGTCCTGGACATGCCCGAGGTAGTGTGGAAGGCATACATCGACTTTGAGGAGGAGGAGGGCGAGTACGAGAAGACGCGCGCCCTGTACGAGCGACTGCTCGAGAAGGCAGACCACCCCAAGGTCTGGATCAGCTACGCGCAATTCGAGATCAACATACCCGAGGAGGACGGTGGCGCCGAGGGAGAAGAAGCAGAAGAGGCCGACGAGCGGCCCGTCAGCGACGAGGCCAAGACGCGGGCCCGCAAGGTCTTTGAGCGGGCGCTCAAGAACATGAAGGACCGTGAGCTCAAGGCCGAGCGCGTGTCGCTTCTCAACGCGTGGCTGGCCTTTGAGAAGACACACGGATCTCCCGAGGACATTGAAAAGATCCAGAAGCAGATGCCCCGCAAGACAAAGAAGAAGCGCAAGCTGGAGGACGACAGCTGGGAGGAGTACATCGACTATGTCTTCCCAGCCGACGACCAGCAGACCAAGAACCTGTCCAACCTGCTGGCCATGGCTAACGCGTGGAAGCAAACTGGAGGAAACATTGCTAGAGGAGGCGACTAAGGGCCGCCACGCTAGCCCCGTTGGCGTGCGTTCGAATAAGATGGGCATGTATGCCATCCAGTCGCCAGCACGAGTTTTGTAAGCAGCAGTCAGCTAGCTTAGACAAGGACCGGCGAGGCATTTCCTCTAAACGATGCTGCACGAGATTCCATTGCTTCCGGCATGCGACGCGCTACTTGCTTTGGGCTAGATATATGCTATCCTCGCCTGCCGCCCTTTTGCATTTGTTCTCTTTGCATGTCTGTGTTAAAGTATGTAGTACCAAAGGCACTGCGGTGTCAAAGCATCAATCTTTCACTTGTAAATAGCGTCAAGAAGGGAACCACTGATGATATGAGTCTTGACCCATCTCTTGGCCTCCCCCCGTTTTATTCCCTCTTTTGTCACCGCCCCTTTTACTCTTGTCACCACGGCACGTTTCGTCCGAAATCCAGACCTGCTTATAATAATAACTGCCGAGAAAAAAAGCAATCAGTCGACGCTTGGCTTGGCTGTACTGGTTGGGCTGGTTGGGTTGGCTGGCTGGCTAGGCTAGGCCGCAAAAATCCCCCCCGTACATACATGTGTCACTCGCAGGCTCGCAGGCTCGCAGGCCAAGCTTTTCGCTTTCTGCTTGGCAACGGGAGATCATCAGCCGCAACGAGGTCGCTGAAACAGTCGCTGAAAAGGCACTTTGGACGTCCTGCGAGACAGGTTCTGTGTAATTCGACGGGTTACGCTCTCTATTTTTTCCCTTTCTCATAACGTGAGGCTACAAAGTCCTTGGTGGCGAGCAGGTGTTAAGCTGGCAAGTTCGTCAGGTTGATTTAATCAATACTAGCCAAATAGACGAGCATAGGAGACACTACGAAGCCATTGAGGCGGATATGTGTGACTAGGTAGCCATGAACTAACTGTGTTCAAAGTGCAGGCGGCGATGATAGGTTGGTTGAGCGATAGGTGCGGGGGAGGTGATGTCACAGCCTGGAGCACGTCGGTTCTCGAGAGAATGGATATGGGTTCGGAGCGGGCGAAGACGGACGGGCCTGGTCGAAGCTTGGGAAAGATGCCAGTAGGATCGCCAAAAAAATCAATATTCAATGAAAGCTACCCAAAGTACGTAAAATATATGGCGCAAGCGCTCCCGTTTTCATCATGACAGTCGTATTCTTCATTCCAAAATATCCACCTTCATCCACAATCCACAACAAGACAAATAGTTGGCAAGAGAAGAAGAGAAAAAAGAGAGACGTAAGTAGAGACAAACATCATGAACCACCTACAAACAAACATCACCCCGCTATTCTTGTTACCCCATCGTCGATACAGACTGCAAACACATGGGTCCGAAAAAAAGCGCTCGCTCACAAGTCTTGCCTCCCTCTCATTCTAAAGCCCATACATATGAGAATAAAATAAAAGATATAGGCCGAATGTGACGATAAAAGGACATCGAGACAGTAATAAAATGAAAAAAAAAAAAAGGACATGGCAGGTAGATGAAGGGAAATAAGGAAATAAAACGGAGGAAGGTATAGCAGAAGGGAGGGAGGGGGGAGGGTAAGGGGGATGGCTGGAGGAGGGAGGGGTGGAAACGTAGCCTGCCCGGCGTATCGGAATCCAGTTGGGTGTGCCGTGCACAATCTCACCCTCCTTCGCACACGTGTAAATTGTCGCCTGTTCCTGTTTCGGCCGTTTGTCGTTTTATCCCGCACGTGCCGTTCGTTCCTCGCCGCTGTTTTGGGGTTGCAGCAATGCGCGGCCCCCCTCCCGCATTTCCCTCACACCGTCGTAAGCAGTCCGCTTCTCGGGGCTGAGCGGGGCGGAGGGATGGGGAACAAGGGCCCAAACTTCTGTTTAATGCACGCCATATCTTCCCGCTGGCGATCTTTGGCATACGTACTGTGAAAATGTGCGGTGATGTGTGTCACCATTCCACACATGCACACACGCACACGCACAAATACACCGCATATCCGAGCAGATATGGCCGTGCGCCAAATAGCAGATCAGGCCCCTGTCCCATCACTCCCCATGGCAAGTGAGGGCGGAGAGGCCGGATGGAGAAGCATTGAGCTTTAGTGGCGGCGGTCTGTCACACAAAGATTAATTAGGACATATTCTCAGCGTTAGGAATAGTCAATAGCGAGAAAGTGAATTGTGTGCGTGAAACAGAAGAAGAAAACGGAAGGAGAAAAAAAGTGGCCCATCCAATGTAACAACCAGAGCAAGTGTTAGAATCCAAGAATGAACAGTCCACGCGTCTACTGTCTGAGTGGCACCATGGCCTGGAGAGACTGAGACAGAGAGAGAGGAGAATCCCAGCAAGCCCGAAACGCCGCTCTGGCCATATTCCAACACGAATATTTCGTATGACAGTCGTAATAAGTGGTTGTAAGAGCGGCAGTGCTGAGGACTTCTATACGATGCGCGATGCTTGCTTTATTCGGCTTCCCCCGGATTCCCTCTCGTCTTTCCGCGCAGAGAATGGTGGAGCGCCAATGTATAGTGGAATGGGGGAAGAGGATGTAAATGGGCAAAGGGATGCATTATGCCTGGATGGGGGAAGGGGAAGAAAGGTGGACGGACGTGGGGTGCGGTGACATGTATGGCAGGCCGTACATGAAGACGAGGGTGGCTGGCATCTGCTTCACCTCCTGTCGGATTGCCCGGCAGGAGGGGCGGGCAGTGCGGCGTACGGATTCCCATCGTAATAACGGGGTCCGCCGTCAGACCGGTCCGCCCTGGGGGGAGCTGCCGGAGACCAGTTGTCAGCCCTGCGTCTACTGTAGCCGCGGCTGCCATTGCCACCGTCGCCTTCATCATCGCCATCACCACCACCGCCACGTCCCTGAGACAGCTGCAGCTGCCTTGCAAGACGCCGCTCGTGCCTTTCAGCCTTGCGCATCTTCCACTCGTGCATCTCGTGCGTCATCTCGCGGGCTTCCTTAACCTCGGAGATGGCGCCCTTGATGCCGAGGGCAGCGATACCAACCGAAGCAGCATCTTGCAATAGCGCCTTCTTCTTGAGCTTCTTGGCCTCCTCGGGGCTCAGTCGGCCCTCTCTGACCGCCTTTCGCCTCAGATTCCGTTTCTCCATGCTCTGGTAGACACTATGGGCTGCATGGATGGTTGCCACGGCCGCCAGGCCTGTGGTTATAAGTTGCTTACCTCTCATCTTCTTTTGCCGCTTATTGTCTTCGTCCGAATCGCCCAGGTCTGACTCGGACAGTGACGCTCGCCTTGAGCGGTCACCGCGTTGTCGTGAGCGATCGCGGCCGCCCCCGCGCGCAGAACGGTCGTCGTCGTCTTTTCCTCCACCGCGTCGGTGGTCGCGGTCGCTTTCATCGTCGGAGCTGTGGTGCCGACCGTGTCTACGTGATCCCCGCACCGAGTCGTAGTCGTCTTGATCGCGTCTGCGGTCACGACTGCGGTCACGGTCACGGCGGTCATCATCGTCGTCGGGTCCATTGCCGATGCCCACCTTGGCCAGGCCTCGGCGGGCCGAGTCAACGACGCTGCGGCTCCGGCTGCGGTGGCGCCGATCGGGTGACCTATCCCGGCTGTCACCAGAGTCTGCGCTTCGGCGCCGGGATCTCGACCGCTCGCGGTGGTCCATAATCTTCTTAGCGCCGAAGGCGCCGAGACCAGCGGTTGCAAGGGCGGCAAGACCGCTGACGCCGCCGCCGCCGCTACTGCCGTCGCGACTCTTGGAGCGGGCGCGAGATCGAGACCGAGACCGGCCCGTCTTCTCGTCCTCTTCGATATTCTTCTTGGAGCCGTTGAGGACGCGATTGCCGACCAGGCCGCCAATGACGGCCTCGGCTATGCCGAGCTTGCTACCGGCCTTGTCGGGATTCTGGGCCGCATCAATGGTGGCGGCACCAGCAGCCGCAGTAAGAACGCGCTTCGCCTTCTCGCCCTTCCAGGAGCCGGGCTCTTTAGAGATGCGGAAGGCTTCAGTGGCGCCGGCGATCAGCGACGCCATGGCGGCCTTCTGTATCTTGTTGGCCCCGCTTCCTTTCTCGCCACCCTTTGAGCGGGACGAGGGCGAGCGGGAGCGGGAGGTTGAGCGGCTGCTGCCGCGCCGGCTCCTCGTGTCCGACTTGTCGTCTTTGTCCTTGCCGCCTCCAGTCAGGGCCTTGACAGCACCGCCAAGGCCGGCTGCGGCAAGAGCGCTCTCCAAAAAGTTCTTGTGACCCTTCTTCTCCTTAGCTGTCTCTTCCTCCTCAGAATAGTACTCGAGCCTGCCGTCACGACCGCGGTGGGCGATCTGGGTCGTCGTCTTGGTTGTCTTCTCGCCCTTTTCCTTGCGCTTGTTGTACAGCTCGGTTCCTTGGTAGCCGGCAAACGCTCCAGCAGCGCCCAGAGCGGCCGAGGCTAGGACGTTTCGCTGGACGTCGGCACCACGCTGGTTTGCCTCACGGCGGTCGTAGAGCTCCTTGCCGCCGATGGCGATGGCAGCGCCGGTGATGGCGGCAATAATCTGCTCCTGCTTGCTGAGGACGCGGGCCTTCTTCTCCTCCTCGTAGTAGGCAGTGGACTTCTTGTGCGAGGAGCGACGTTCCGAGTCTCGGTCATAGTCGCGGTCGCGGTCGCGGTCGCGGCCGCTGTAGTGCGACGAGCGATCGTATTCATCGTAGTACCCGGGCTCGGCTGAGCGGGCGCGGCGGACGTCTCGGCTAGAGTAACCTGGAGGCGGGAAATCGCGACGGATTTCCTCGACGGAGAGGTCGCTATCCTCTCGCGGCCGTGGGACCAAGTCGCGCGACGGCGTGACATTTAGATAGGTATCACGGGTTTCGGTACCCCGAGCGTCCCGCTCCTCGCGATAGTAGCGCTTGGTGCGCTCGCGTGCAGGGACCTCGTAGGGGTCGTACGAAGCCATCTCGAGACGGCCACCCGACTAGAGAAATCAGCCCAAAAATAGCGGAAAATGGTGATGAAGGCGATGGTATAGTTGTTGTGGTTGGTGTGGTCGCAGACCCCCTTTTCGCCCTCTTGGTCGAAAAAGAGGGGGGGAAGAAGAGTTGGAAATACAACCTGGCGCAGAGACGAGGTTGGTCGGGTGAGACTGAATGGAAGGCGCCCGGGAGTGGAAGGAGGGGTGGTGCGGCGGGGTGCTCTATTTTTAAGGAGTCACCCACTGCGTACTGTGTAGCCCAGGACAGTGACGGAGCGGGGTGATTGAGAGCGAGCCCTTCCAGGTTGGTACCCTTGGGTGCAGCGGCCAGCCGAGCCCCGCCACGAACGGTACAAGATGGGCGCTAATAAGCCGCTTGCTTTGGATGGGACCAGAGGAATATCAGTTAGGTACGAGTGAATCGCAATATTGACACCTAGACTCGAAATTTGCACTCAGCGATCCCCGAATGCTCGAAACCCGGTGATGAGCGAATGAAAGATTGCTATCGGGGGGGAAGAGAGCGGGGTGGAGAGAAGGAGGTAGAAAAGAGGGAAACATGCGCTGCGGTGGGAGGCGTGAGGATGAGGATGAGAGAGATGGAGAGCCTGGTCGTGCGTGCTTGGTCAGGCCGATTCCTGGTTGGCCATCGCCGACCAGAGAGACTTCCGTTCGTCTTGGGCAGAGACGCACCGCATCCCTCCCCGACCCTTCACGCAGCTTGCAAGGCTCTGTGCCGTGTGAAAGCATGGGAGGCCGGGCGGCACCACGCTAGAGGATGAGACACGGTAGGGTCTTCATTACACACAGGGAGGCGGGCAGCCGGACAGAGTTACCGGTTTTCTCTTCACCAACAACTGACAGGCTGGGTAGGTCCCGAGTAACTCGAAGGTTGCCTCTAGCCTACCCGAGACCTTGTTTCCCGCCTAACCCTATCGCATAATTAAAATAAAATAAAAAATTGGGCGCTGGGCTGGGCTGAACTGGGCACCAAACATGATGAGCTCGGGCAAAAAGGATGGAATCAATACTTTTCAGTGAGCGGCACATGGGGGTAGGCAGGCTTATCCATTCATGAGTTCAATAACCATTTTGGATTGTGCTGGATAGTGATGACACCCATGGCAGGACTACGGAATACCCAAGTGAATTTACAATTCGGAGGCAGCCTGGGCGGCCAGGGGCCACGATGAGGGGGGCGGTGTTTAGGTGTGTCAAGTTGGAAGTTCATACAGTGCATTACAGTGCCCAGCAGTGCCAAACAGGTCCTTCTCAGGAAAGTATCCACAGCCCTTCCTCTAACCCGTTTCCGCGCATTCATACTGCACATGGATACTCCGTACACTTAGAGAAAACAGAAAAACAATGCCATCATTGCTCCACCGATTGCTGCTTGAGAATTTGAGGCCGCCATCTCCTATTTCTTGAGTCTGACTTGTCTCCCTCGATATTCACACTACTCTACATAGTATGTATGTACAGGACCCGCCCGGCGACGCGAATATGAAGCGTCAGAAGACATGACGCAGTGCCCGGGTGGCGCAGCCGAGCAGTTGCCTCCTCTAGGTATATCGAGTAAAATTATCCCAAAACTCGAGGCTCAACAATGGCAGTCTCGGGACGCTGGGTAAAAATCACTGGAAAGCAATAATGTAGACCGTAGTCTAGACCTCAGCCTGGGAGCTGTTTTGTTCGGCCTTGGTAGCCCTTTCCTCGAGAGCTGCCAGTGCTCTGGTGGGCGTGGTATGGGTTGTTAGCATCAAGGTCTCTGGAAGCAGCTTTTTATGATGAGGATTCCCCTGAACTTACTCCTGGTATCCCGTCTTCAGGGCCGGATCCACCGTCTCGCCTTTCGCCTCGAGTTCCCGGATAAGAGCCTCTCTCTCCTTCAGCTGCTCGTGGATGAGGCCGATGGTGTGTCGGAGCACGACGCCTTCGGAACGTGCCATGCCCACCATGCCGGGCACGATGACCGATAGCCGGTCGAACCCATCGCGAATGGCTTGTCGGCGCTTCTGCTCTGCTCAGTGAGAAGCGAAGGCAAAGATAGCAGCATACCCAGTCAGCAGAGTAAGACTAATATGAATGACAATAATATGAAGATGAATCTGAAGAGTGTTCAAGCAAAACCCTGTGGCGTTTTCTTTACCGGATGCAATGTGATTGGCCTTCCTCTCCTCTTCGGTAAGGCGTGGTTTGTCGTCCTGGTCTGACATGAGTCGTCCGTCGCGCCACTGCTGGCTAGACGAGTATGTTGAAAAATAAAAATGCTCGTGCAAAGTCCCGGTGCTGACATTACTACATGCCACCAATGCATGCCCGTTCTAAGATTTGATGTAGATTTTCGTCGGCAAGTTGAAAGCTTAAGCCAAATTCCCGTGGTGTGTTGGAAATTGCCCGCTGGGCTGTTCGACCTTTTAGCTACCTGCCCTTAGTCAAAGACGCTGTGATTCGGCAAGTCAAATGTCCAACCAAGGGTTTGCGCAACCCGATTCTCATGAATCCGAATCTATCCAGCCCCGCTGCCAGCCAGCCTCTGCTATACCAAATCTACCAAACAGGAACCTCCTAAATGTGTTCATTTTAGTGTGTGCGTGGTGATGGGTATAACCCATTTATTTCACTTTGGGATAAATTTAGAGAAACTTGTGGAAGTCGCCCCTAACGTATGTACAAGAAAGAAGATCTGTCTCTTAAAGTACACGAAAGAATGTATACACGTATAATGCACCCTGCCTGAAACCTTTACCTCGGTCCTCTGACACAAAGACCGATCTCGACACCCCCAACAGACAACGATACGTATTTACTACATTTTTATCATTTTTTTGGCGGCTGGTGTGATGTTATCTATTCATACAATGTGCGAGCCAGAACAGCCGCTTTTGTCTTCCGTAAAGAAAATGAGAGTTCGCTGTGCAGCTGGCAGAGATTCCGAAGAGCAGTGACGAGTCTAATGGCTCGTCGAGTCCCAAACTTCCTGTCCCCATCTTTCACTTCCCGTTGAATGCAAGATCCCCTCTCCCCGCCAGTCGACAATGCATAAAGATGGCGGGCGCCGCTCAGAGAGTAAAGCCAAGAAACTTTTTTTTCGCCGTAAATCAACGCGCAATCCCCGACATAACTTGTCTAGGCCGGCGCCTGGGCCTGGCCTCTCGGTAGTTCCATCCGACACATAGTCGAGGTCCAGGCCAACCCTCCCAAACACTTGCCGGCGGCGAAGAGCCGAGATAAACAAACCAGAGAATTGACAAGCGCCCGAAAATGACAGAGTGGAGGTACCCTTCCCGTGTTTATGTTACGCAAGATTTTGTGCAGATTCCAGATGCCCAAGAAAAATTATGACCCCTCGAGCATGACTGCCAAACGGTCGAAAATGGCGTTTAGGAAGAGTTCCAATCCGGGTCACGCAAGAATCCACACTCGCTCTAATTATAAAATCCGATTGTGAAAAAGAAAGAAAAAGACAATGGCTGGCCACGCTGCCGGCTCGGCGACGGGGTATCGGCCGGGCCAATCTCATAGAGGCCGAAAAATGAAAACCCGCATGGCCGTCTGAGCTCGGCAAGAGAGCGTCGCAACGGCATCGCGTAGACACGTGAGAGAAAGGCTAATTCCGCTCGTCGACACTTCCTCGCCAATCGAGTGTTACTCCGAGAGCTCCGAGAAGTAGGTCCAATAAGGATGGCCGAGAACGGCATTGTGGTTGATGTATAGATGCCGCCCGCTAAATCTCCAGACCCGATCAAATATAGAAGAATTAAGCGCCAGCTTCCGCTTGGGGAAATGGCATCAAGTGCTGACTGTGGTGTCGGTTGTTCCAAGGGCTGTCTGGTGTACGAGATAGCTCCATTCGAGTCAGAGACTGGAGGCAGGCAACAAGGCCTGATACCCGTCGTCAAATGGCCGCAATATCAAGATGATCAGACCGGGCTAGATGAGGAATGATCTGTTGATCCACGGGGACCGTGGCAGCCATCTCTGAAAGATCGCAGATGGCCAAGAGTTGAGAGGGGGTTATCAATTCAAGATCCCCTGCGCCCGTCCCAGGGCCTCGTTGTAGTGTACCTTGAGGATGGCGGGGGTAGCCTGGCCTTGAGGCCAAGGCTTTTGGGCATCGTCATTGAGGAGGTTGTCGTAAAATTTGATCAGATACTTCAGACCGTACTTGGTCGGAACTGGAGCAGAAGCGTCGGCGAGAGCGAGGTCCTTGAACTCCTCATAAATCTTCGCATTGAAGTCCTTGAGTAGGAGCCGAGACCAAAATTCGTAGAGCTTCTGCATCTTCCTCGGCGTCTCACCGGGTACAGCATTGCGGCGCTGATCAAGAGCTGCTTGGCGAATTTGTGTGTAGGGTTGACGCTCTGTGTTCTTGGTGGTGTTCTCTGCCTGCTGTCCATCTATCCAAACGACCCCGAAGGCGGTCTGTGTCGACTGAGCGGAAGACTGCGCATTCGCAGTTCCATTAGGTGTCCCTCCATTAAGGCTGAGAATCGTTAGCTCGCTTCAAAATATGCGACCAAATAAGTGAAGACCTACACTGGAGCTTCCGTAGTGCTGGCAGAGACACCGTTCAGCCCGTGATGAGGACCATCCGAGACATAGCCGGCCACTCCAGCAGCTTCCGGGAAGTCTGAACCATCCTTCTCGTTGTAGTCCAAGATCATTATCAATTTCTCGACCTGAGCATCCGTAAAATTGCTCAGACTCTCAAGAGTCGGCGGCGACCATTCCGCGACACCTGCAGACAACTGAGTCTCCGAAACATATCGGTGTCCATTGACGTCACCGCCGTTCATGGCAGGCTCGAATTGAGCTCCGTTCATGTAGTCGGGCGTCTGGAACATCTGTTCATCGGGGTATCCGGAATACAGCACAGAACTCGGGGTTGCAGGGTATGCCTGAGGCATAAGAGGGCCTGAATACGTCGCCGACAGGGGCGTCGCTTGCTGTCTATTGACCGGCACAAAATTCGCGGGCCCGTTGTTTTGAGCTTCCCGAGCTCGCTCATGCTCTGGCAGAACAAAAGCATTCCATCTCTCGCGAAGTCGGAGACGCTCAATGTTATCATCACCGATGACATATTCGAGAACTTCCGAGTACGAGGACGCGGCGCGGATAAGATCCAGAGCGGCCCAGCTGTCCTTCGCCAGTGACTGCATTCTCTTGAATCCGGCGATGACGCTAAGGGGTACAAAACCTTGGCCGTCCATGCGCTTTCGGAGGTAGAAATCTTTGCAGAGATTTTCCACGGACAGGTAGTACTCGACCTGCGATTTGGCTACTAGGAGAGTCTGGTCATACGGGTGGTAAAAGGAGTACGGCGCGTATTGTGTGACCGGGAACTCGTTGACTTGAGGTTTGGGGGGGAATGCTCCTCCAGTTGAGCCATTCCGGCCGGACGACTGGCCCGAGGTGGCCCACTTGTTGCCCCTTCCTCTACCTTGTGGCACAAAAGACACCGGGAACTGGCCAGAGTATGGCGGAGGGCTGTGAGCAGCAGGGGTTTGACGTGGCTGGTAAGGAGAGTGGGCAGAATACTGGCCATTCGGGCCATACGTTGAGGATGCGGAGTGAGGTCCGGTTGCGCCGTTGTGGCCACCGCGGGCGCGGTATCCGCCACGGCCGCCACGTTCAGAGCGAGCCTCGCGCACCGGGTATTGTTGAACACCAATGGCGGACTGTGGTCCCTCTTTGGCAAATTCCAGACCTCTCGGGTGGAAGTTATTAGGTCGGTCTTGATGCAGAGCCCGTGATATACCATGCCCAGGCTCGGAATTCACGGGTCCGACATCGTGTCGGTTCTCTCGCGATGCAGTTCCCTTCTTGACGGGAAACTAAAAAGGAGGTTAGACTCTGAGCGCAGTGAATGACCCTGGAGTACAGTGGGTAGGCGCATGGGGAGAGAGAATACTTACAACAGAAGAATCAGTGCCATATTCACGGGCCTGCTCTGTGTTCGCTGCAATAGACATCTTTCGCTGATCTCTCGATGAAGCGCCATCGATCGATGCACGCTTGGAGGCGTGAGGGGGGGCACCCTGGGACGCCGCGCGCGCTGGAATGCTTCCCTCCCTTGGGCGGGGCACTGCAGCTTTGGTCACCACAGACACGCCCGCGGGCGTGGACTTGTCGTTCACAGGACCGGGCGTAGAGGCACTGGTGGGACTGGTGACACTGCCCTGGTTGGGCCTTGCCGAAACTTGCTCACGGCCTCCACGGGCACCACCTCGAGGCTTTGTCCCGCGCGGCGGCATCGGAGTTTGCCAAATGACATTCGGAATAATCTCGAGGTTGACCCAGGTCTTCTTCTTTGCTTGGCCAGCATCATCCTGGCTATGGTTCTCAGTGGTCTCAGGCTTATCTTGCGGCTTGCGAGACAGTTCATCCGTCGTCGCGGCGGCAGACTTCGGGTCCGGCCACAAGGATGCATCGGCTACAGGGGGCAAAGCAACAGAGCTCCTCTCGTCCTTGTCGTTGGCACGACTTCCGCGGGGAGCGGCTCTGCGCTGTGCTTGCTCTGTGGGCCGGGGCAGCTCGGGCGTCTTTCTCGACATCTTGTCTCCATTGACCGCTCCGTTCAAAACACTGCTGTGAGTGTCCGCCTCTTCGGCGGTGTCGCGCTTCTTTGTATCAGTGTTCGTAGCGACGGCGGGTCCAACACTAGGTACGGCTGCGGGTGCGAGCTTGGCTTTTGCTGCTTGCTGGGCCTCTATCCGCCTTGCCCACACGTTGACGGCAGGCAAAGGCGCCTCAGAAAGAACCGGTTTGGGGATTTCCTTCTCCTTTTCGTCCTCCAGAGCTTGCTCGCTCTGCGAATCTCTGTCACTGCCTCGACCCTTCTTGGTCTTTCGGCCCTTCTTGTCGTAAACATTGTCGTTGGTACGGGACGTCCGGCTTGCTGACGAGGTGCTCTTGTCCTCGGCATGGTCCAGCGACTCCACCGCCATGTCTGATTTGGTCAAGCGCTCAGCAACTGCCATTGTCGTAGGGGGGACCGATCCTCTGAGAGAGCCTAGCTCCGAGTTCTGTCTCGATAACGCCACATCGACGTCGGGTTGCGTAGTCTTGTCCCCGTCAGGTGCCTCGGCATCGTTTGACGTGACTGAAGAAGCTGTGACGGACGTGTTCGCGGTCAGAATGTCATCTTTGGCCTGCGAGCTGGTCGACGGTGGGGCAGTACTCGACGTCAATTGCGGACTCGGCTGAGAAACAATCTGGCGTTTTGCGGCTTGCGCATAAGAAAAAGTTGTGCTCGACATCTTGATGCGAGCTGTGGGTGTAGACTCTGTGTTGGCAAGTCCGTAGCTTGAAGGCAACGGAATTGACCTGGCCTCGCGAGACTAAAAAGCTCGCGACTATCGACCTCTGTTCACGGCACTGGGCTCGCCTCTGCCCAGACTGCACGGTAAACCTGCCTCAGTTAGGCGATGTCCGGAGAGGCCAAAACCACCTCTCCGCACTAACAAGTCGTTAACGACGCCGTTGCTCGAAGGGACGCCGGAGAATGGGTCGTGGTCGAGTAAGGCAAAAGTTGACCGTGAGGCTAAACGTTCCAAAACTGGCGAATGGTTTCTTCAAGGTTCTTGGGGTGATACCGGAATGGGGAGGGAGGCAAGATCGCCTGTTCGTGTCGATTAAAGCTTCTGCGAACACGCACTAGTCGTGATTGCAGCGCCTGTTTCCCGGTCGCTCGGCAGGTTGGGCAGGGTGGTCGAGGTCTCAAATTCTCGAGGTCTCGATCGATGATCCCGGGGGAGAGGAAGAGAAAGCCACCTATCGAAGTGGCCAAGAAAAAATGCTGGGAAAGAGCGAGAGAGACGACGGCACAGGCACAGCAATGTAACCACTGCGGGCGGACAATGGCAGCCAAATTTTCCGAAGAACCCAACGTGGCAAGGCCTCGGATCCACAGACAGCCGACGACGAAGCCCAGAAGACAGGCAAGCCTCTGGTGAGAGTCCTTAAGCTGCACGAGGCTAGAAGCGGTTTGTGAGGATGAAGGTTGAAAAAAGAAAGAAGGGAAAAATGTGCCGAAGGAGGCAGAGAGAAGTGCTTCGCCAAAAACGAAGGTGAAAGAGATTTGTGTGTGGGAATAAATTTTCCTCGGTTCTCAGACTCTGCTGAAATGGTGGAGATAGACCAGGCCGTGTACAGTACATGCACACCTAAACGATTATGATTTTTTTGCCTGCTAAAGAACGTTTTGGGGGGTGAAGGGCCCCCGATACAGTGGGGTTTGCGCGAATATGAATCGACTTCCTCCCTGGAAAAGAGCCGGCCGAATCGCTGGGGAGGAGGGGCAGAGGGGAACGTTGGAGGAAAAATTCATGCCCCAATTTGTAACAGTCCATTACCATCTGTAACCAATTTTCAGCGTGACTGGACTCGAAATTCTTTTTTTTCCCCGAGGAGGATCGCACCTACACCACATGATGATTTGTACATACTCCGTATACACATGCAAAACCCAGCGTTGTCTATAATTCAGCAGCCACGCTGCCTGCCCGCCTTATCTACACCATTCCAGTTGCCGTCGTCAAGACCGAGGCAGGCTAAGTTTTAAGTGTTCTTGCGCTCCGGGAGATAGACAGCATGTATCCGGACCTCTTTAGGATATGGGCCTTCCGAGGTCAGGTACGTAGTGGGTACATCTACCTTATGTGCATACATACATTACCTAAGGTAGATGTTATAGTAGCGCTTGGCCAATTTCCGCCTGGGCAGCATTCCAGGCCCCTCATCACTTGAAAAATTTCTGGCGATGGTTGTGAGGAGGGGAACCTAGTCGAGCTTGACCGCACCCTGATATATCGACAGTACGGATACGGATATTGACGGATAGATCGACTGTATCAAGCCACGTCCCACTCGGGCCCACAATGCCGGCGCCAACAAGAATCCGCGGCGAACAACATTATGCTCCCAATCGAGCCCATGAAAGGTAGGCGAATCAATTAAAACCCGGCTATATTCGTAGAAGAAGGGAAGAAGGAAGTTTGCCGCGGGGATCGCGGCGTGCAGAGATGGTGGGCGCGGGGTGGGTGGGCTTACGTTAGCAGATATGGGGCTAAGACACTAGCAAACTAGTAAGAGAGCCGAGAGCTTGGGCCACACTCTAAATTAAATACAACTAATCAGGTTAAGCACGTGACGTGCTGCGAATCCGCCCATGGGCTGAAGCCTCCTGGTCCGTACAGAATATTCGTGCCTCGGCATTTAGAAAATATTCTGGCTTTAAGCGATCTTCGGGAAATGTTCCCCTTCTTTGCGCATTTTATATCCAACTTTCAATGCTTGTTACGAGTTAGACTGACGATGTTGTCCGCGGCAAATTTTAGCTGTCTGTCTGTAATTACTAATTAGGATGGGATCATACCCCACTTTGGGGCAAGGTGTCGGAGCATAAAAGTCGAAACCCGTTCGACACGACACAGCCGAAGACGGCCAGAATCTCACGGCACGCCACCTGCGAACGGGCTGCAGACCCTCGGCCCACGAAAACTGATGTGAGTCACTTGGGAAGCCCAAAAGCCAAACTCGCCTTATTTCCCCACTATAGCCTACCCCCCTCCATTCTCTTCCAGCGATAGATCCCCAATCCACCAGTAACAATCATGCTCCGGGGACATGACTCGGGAGCTAAACCGGGCCCGCCCTCGCACGCATGGTCCAAACCAGGCACCTACCTGTCTTGGGAATTGGGAATTAGGAATGGGGAATGGGAAAGCCCGGAAGAAAGCGCCATGAGGCCGGCCCTCAGAGTAGAAATAACCATCAATAAAACGCATATCCGGTATTCCCAATGCTACGGTTTCTAATATAAATTCCTGCTCTCCGGCGCGAAAAGAAACCAGAGTGGGGCTATATTCAACACCGCCTGCCTCTCTTTGACGGCGTCTCCGCCGAGCATGGGGAAGCTATAGCATCAAAGCCGGAGAGCGAGGTCTCCATCACTAGTCAATGGCCGGGCATAGGTGGAAAACAATTGGAAACATCCCTAGCTGCAGTCGCCGGCTCGATTCCAAGTCCCGTCGTTGGTTGAAACCATTGTCATTGCTGCTACCTTGGCTGTAGGGACCCTGAACATCCTTTGGATGCCGATGTACCGCTGAGAGCTTCTCGGAGTCGACCACCTCGAAATTCGTCTGTTCTCATCAGCCCTTTTGAGAAAATCTCCCAAATATTGAAGATCCGGATTAATACATAATAGCAAATGAGGTCTTTGGGCACTGGAATTCGCCGACCTTCGGTATAGCGCCATTTGTGAGGCCGATAGGCCTGCCTTCGACAAGCTCTCCAACTCTCATCATCGTGGAGGGGTAGCCGTTCGAGCACCACGTCATGTCCCAAGGCCGATTTCGTCAGGTCGGGATGTTGAGTGTAGCTAGCTTAGGCTATATCTAATCCACCAGCGCGTTCACGGTGTTGGAAGGCCACCGTTTACCGATGTGGCTCGCTCATGGCCTTCGTCGAGGACCACATGTCAGCATACTGGAACGGCCAGGGCATTTTCTATCCTTGGGGTGTGTATTTTCAAATTTTTGTCTTGTTGTCTTTTTAGGTCGTGAATTAAAACTCCTGAGGGCAAGAAAAGTTCTTCAAGATTAGTATTCTTCTTTTCAGCTGCAGTCTCTCTACGTTCACACTGACTCGAACTATCACAGCTCGTGTCTGTTTATTAGAGGGAAAACAAGGAGAAGGGAGCGACCCAACGTATTACCGGTACCTCATTCCACGACAAGACGCTGATTGAGGAATATCAGACTTTTCTGGCCAAAGCCGCGAAGCGTAATCCGGGAAAAACTTTCACTGGGACCGCTACTCTGAAAGAAGTACCATTTTGGTATTGTGTCATACTGCTTACGTCGATGATAGATATGTTCACCTTCGAGGCTGAGAAGGAGCAATCTGGGCTGGAGCCAGTGCATTTCCCCGGTCATTGTCGCATCGAGCCCACTAGGATGTATCATGCAACGATCTCCCATGGCGAATGGCCGAGTTTGGCGTTGCCCACCGCAATGAGTCCTCTGGCGCGCTCGCCGGGCTGACTGGAGTGCGACGTTTTGTTCAGCGTGAAACCATCCAGCCAGGCTTCAGTCTCCGCACCGATCCAAAATACGTTACGTGGTGGAGGATAGCACCCAGGCGGCAGGCGATGGAAGCGGTGCCGACCTGCTAGCCGGTTATGCTCGGACAGTCGTGATCCACTGGACCGTCTTTGAGAGCTTCTAGGAATTTCGACAAAGCACTTTAATGGTAAGTGGCCCTTACAAGCAAGTTCCCGTCAAACCCTCGTCATCCCAGTGCTGCCTGCGTTGAGTATCTATGCAGAGGAAGTTTGGAGTCTCTTCTGGAAGCAGAATCCGTACGTCGATGCCGACTTGAGTGGGAACACTCTTCGGAAGAAATATGCACTGGACAGCTTGGGCAGTACAACTTCGTATTCGGCAAAATAACACATCAGTCTTCTGCTATTTCCTTCATCTACACCAACAACACACAGGCGCCTTTTCAGATGTTGATGCTTGGGAGGCGGATCTACGCACGGCTAAAACCCGTAGTCGAGACGGCCAATCAGCGTAGTAAGAGGATGACCTAGTCCCTCTACAAGCCAAAGGTCACGATGACATGAGATATGATGGGCTCAGGGTGAAGAGTAATTATTTAATGCAGATCATGTTTTGGGTTCTCGTAAACCAACAAGAGTGTTCCGGCTTAGGGTTAAACATGCGAGAAGGAATATAATTCGTACCCACTGCGCCGTACCTTCTTTACACTCATTGAAATGATGCGTTTCCTAACTTCGCCGTGCTTGTTCGCTATGCCGTTTCCGAGCCCGGATTTCGTCTGTATAGCCATCTCTATCTGCCCCACCAGTTCACCATCGCCAACTTGTGTATTTCACAAAGTACATACATACCAGTTGCGCTACTGCAGAGCGGCCAGCCAGAACTTGTCGTCCGTCGCTGCTGGCAGCTTCCCAGGTTAGACGAGGCACCTACCAAGCTACAGTACCGTATCTAAATTAGTGTGAGGTTCCCCACCCCGCGGGCCGCTTGTTGCCTGGACTTTGACTTGGATCATACACAGTGGAGAGCAATGGATGGGGCTGGCGGCTGACACTTCCGAAGTTCAGCGAACTTCCCGCGGGCCACCTTGTTCCACTAGGTGCCTTACCTTCCTTGGCATGGCACCTGCCTACAGGCAACTTTGAAGGGCGGTAGGCGTACACTCTGCTTTGTTGCCATTCTGCCAGTTTGGATGAACACCTAGTTTGACCTGTGGCGTCTCTTATTCCAATGACCAGGATAGGTACCTAGAAAAGGTACGTATGTACTGTACATGCAGAGTACTCCGTCCCAGAGGGAAGGAGGACCTTGACTTTCCACTTTTAGTACAATACACACCTTATTTACCTATCGGCAGCCTTTGTCCAATGAGGGCAGGGTAAATATTGGGCCGCAACGAACCGTCAAGCACTTGCCGTGCTTCCAGAAGGACGAGGTTGCCGCCCGTCGTGTGTGTCGTTATCTATTGTTCCCTACGACGCACTGTAGGTTGTTTGCATTTTCCTGGCGTGTACGGATACGCAGCGACTACATCAACTCAACCCCGCTTCGGCCAAAAGCACTCGCATATCCGCCCCGGTACTCGCTTCAACACCAAAAGTCCCACAGAACGAGATCCAGGCCATGTCCTCCTGCCAACCCGTCCGCAAAGGGCAACTAACTGCAGCATGCTGGTCCAGCTGCAGGATATTAGTAAGGCAGGTTGGTATGTAGGTGCCCAAGCTCTTTCGCGTTAAAAGTGGATCAACATCAACGGTTTTTCGAGGTGATGCCCGTGGGATTCCCCATCTCTGCCGGTCCCCTACCCCGCTTGATTGTTCCCGCAAGATAGCGACCTGTGCGCGGCTTGCCATGTAAACAGAACGTCAGGACCGTCCCGTCACACGACTGGCGTTTCTGCTCGGTCCTGGGCCGTGTCTCTAGGTTGTTACTTAAGGTAGGACCTAGGTACAACCTTAGGTACCGAAGGGAGGTAAGTTCATCAGTCTGGCGAGAATGCCGTGGCCTCCACTGTTCACTTCTATTGGACGCCTCTGTGCGGAGCATCCGTACATACATACATACATCGGTACTTTCCACATATTAGACTCAAACTGTATTTCGCGCTCTTGGTTTTACTGCTGCTGTTCACAACCCGAAAGTCACCCGAGAAAGACGGCTTGGTTGGGCAAGGGCCGGAATGGTCAGCCTCGCGGGTGACGGGGCTCGGGAGCAACCGCAGCTCCCGCCGGACTGCCGCTGTCGGGCTTTTTTTCAGCGTGGTAGGGAACGCCACCTACCTCCACTGGCGTTAATAAAGGATTGCCCCACAGCCAACAAACAAATGGACGGCTCCATTGTGTCCGCTAAATAAGTAAGAGGTCTTATAGCTACAGCCTCGCTACCTAGCAGCCGTGAGCTGGGTCTATGTGCGGCGCAGCGAGTGCGGCTCGCGGCTCGTCGCGTCATTTGTTCATGGCTATGCTTGCTCCTGATCGCGTCGCGCAGATTTGCTGAGCCTTGGTTGTGCTGCCTCTTTCAGGTGCTGTTCTTTCTGTCTTAACTCCCAACAAACACGGCCGTTCTGGAACATTTCCAGATTCCAAACCCCAGTGAAACAGCACGGGCTGCAACAAAAGGGCCTTTAACGGCTAAATATTGGGAAAGGTTACAAACTTTACAAGGCTCAAAGAGGACCGACCTCATCCGGGCGGCCCCCGTTTTCAGCCGTGACGACGGGAGCGCAAACACTGCGGTAGGAGAAAAAAAAAAGCGAAAGGGGGACGATAGTTAGGTTGAGACCGGTTTTGAATATATTGATATTACCTAGTTTATCTCATACTTATGAATACAGCATGTCCTTCGCATTGCGCGACAACAGGTCCCGTAATATGATTCTGTATTGAAGCATCGGGAATTCCAACCCTCGTTTGCTGCCAGGACCAAACCCGGCTGCCGGTATATGCTTTTCTAGCACAAGAATGTTTGTTAAGCGTGCGGCTGTGCCGAAATAACAGCCCCATGAAATTACAGAGTATTTTTAACAACAAAACTCCAAATCAGAAACACGAGCGTCAAATCGTCAAGAAGAATATTTTACACAGGGTGCGTTTGTTTGTTTACCCTGTCATCCAAGCAGCTGCTCTGCGGGCACCAAAACTGCTTGCAAGTCGCAACCCAGTAGAACCCATCGGGAAGTAGCTCACAAGATACCAGATCAGGCAGGCCAGCTGGACGATAGCCGAGAAGAGCGTGAGGATTGTGCTATGTAACTGGAGGGGCTTAGCATGTTTGACCGAGAATGCACGAGAGGGATGACTCACTCCGACCGAGAAATACAATGTCAAACCGAGAGATCCAAAGTAGGCAGCCGTGAATGGAAGCCTCGGTGTTGAGGCCAGATGTTGCAGGTATGCCCAAGGGCCCATCATGACGGCAAAAGATGTAAGAAATAGAACTGATCCAAGTGTCCATCTACATCCATAGTTGTTAGCCTTGTTTCAAGCCTCTGACCCATGCATCCAGGGATATGATGTCATAAATCTGCCCAGCTACACCCTCGCGGTCATCCACTTCCGGTCACCAGGTGAGAATATGACAGTCCGGCACCATGCAAGGTCCCCGCGCATGTATCACGGGTAGATGCGTCAAGCCACGCCCCCATATCTGGAACGCCTGACGAGTCGATGAAGACTCCAAGGAGACTAGGGTGGAGGCGCAGTGGTAAGGGGGTGCTGGAAAAAGGAATAAGACTGTAAAGAAAGAGCACTTACAGGACAACTAGCTTGCGTGGTTTCAAGGACAATGCTGGAAAAAGAAAAATGCAGAGGACAAAGCAGGCAAGCGCGGCGAGGTTGCAGGCACCGAATATCAGCAACCGGTCCCATCGACTCACTGCGTATATTGGTTAGCCTCCGCGCGCCAGGTAGTATGTCTCTTGCTTGGCTACACGGCATGGGGAGACAGAGCAGGTAGGACATATCACATATGAACAAAAAGCCGAGCATCACGTTCTTGTGGAGGTGGCTGAGACATGTGGCAGCACAAACAAAGCACATGCCATGCAGTGCAATGCTATCTGCAGGGGCAATGTGAGGCTGCTAAGGAATATGCCCGAGGGGAGGCCAGGTAGAAAGACAAGTTGACTCACAGACAAACCAGGCCTCTTCCTCCTCACGGCGGTTAGGCGCAGGTAAAGGCGCACCGGCTCCCTCGGTGATTGGAAGCTGGAGATAGCCACGGTCGCCGAAAGGGTTGAGAGACTTCAGCGACGAGAACAGGCCGCTCTGCTGCGAAGTGTCTACATGAAGATCGGCATCGCGGCGCGACCAACCCATCGAGTTGATTGAGTCTCGAAAGGAGGTCGAAGCCATGGCTCTCCCCGTTTATACGTATGCTGTTTCTCCAAGTTGAGAGTCGAGAAACACAGAGGAAAGCGCCCGTGGGTAGCTCCCCAAGACTCGAGGTGCCCTGCGCGGGCCGGAGAGAAAGAAGTGGTGTGCTAAGTGACTGGCCCTGCCAGACACAGCCGACAGCAAGTAAGGTCGGAACTGGGCTGCGATATAGGTGCCGAGCGGATGGGGAATGCGCAGCAGGTGTGGGATGGACGGAATCGAGGAGGGTGGCTAGCAGCTCGAGGGGAAGCGTCGGAAGACGACAATGTTTCTAGCGAGTCGGTGGTTAGCGTGATTACTTGCTTCCTTGATTCAGTCCCAAGTCATGGGGCAGAAACGGAAAGATGGTCTTTTTACGACGCCCAGATGATTTGGGCGACGCTGTTGTCGGCTTGATAACTAACCAGATAACTAGCTAACCTTGAGAAGGGCCTCGCACAACAACCGCCACTGGGCAGGGGCGGCTTATCGGGAAACAAGGTGCGCGCGCGACAATAGAATGGCCAAAAGCCTTTCGCTAGAGCAGTTGATAGACCGGGTTCGATGGTGCGCAGGCTGGCTGGGCTGGGCTGGGCTGGGACGGGCTGGATAGTGTGAATGCTTGATGGAATTACGCAGTACTATGAGATGAAGTTGGTCGTTTGCTGACGCTTGCCCATCCTGCATTTGTGGTCGGGAAGGTGTACCACTTCGTCCAAGCACCTGTCTATTCTGGGCCATGTGGTTGGTTGGTGTGGGGAGCCAGCCCCACAGAAGGTGGTCACGGACCACCCAACGAGGGTGACATCCCCAGCCCTGGGGGGTGCGCCACTGGTTGCCCCAGACCCCCCCTACACTGAAGGTCTACGATTGAAGGTACGCGTCCATACAGAATGTCTTTGATCCCATGTGAAAGGCGGGACGGTAATACATGCCCAAGACGCCCTTTGTCAACGGGGCAGCGCGGGATGTGGCGCAGCGCAACATGGCATTTTCAAGAATTGCGTGGAAGAGGAAACGAATCCGGTCGCGCGGCCTCCACTAAGAAGTCCTATACCGACCCGGGCTCTCGAACAGCCGGCCCCAGCCTTTTTTTTGGTGGGTGATGTACGGCCACGCAGCTTGTTTGCGTATACTTAACTCTAAACGGGGTATGGTAGGCACCTAGTTTGATAAGTAAGGTAGGCAAGACGAGTAGGTAATGCGCAGTTGTCCTAAAGGTGGGCCTTCCGCAGGGTAGGGACGGGAGCCATCAAGAGCTTTCAGGATCCTGCCATCTCGTCCGCGAGTCCCGTATTCCACCGAGGCACGGGTTCCTTGAAGAAGGCCGCCTACCCACACGACCTCTGAAGCTGCTGGAATACCTAAGTAGGTAGGTGGCGCCTAGGCAGGTGGCAGGCAGGTAGGTATGGATGTAATGGATGGAAGAACTTGTTTCCAGGCAGTTGCGGTCTCGGCCTGCCTTACTTCAGCCGGCCCTGCCATTTTAGGTATCTACCAGGATCACCGCCACGTTCAAAACAGCGGAGACTTTCTATCTGAAGAGCGGTTCCTGCGCGGCGATGCCACTGTGATAGGCGCCGCCGTTGCAAGGCGCTATCGCGCGGCATATATGCATGCTCCTGGCAAGTTGCAACGGCTCATGCAGAGACGGGAGCTTTGCCGGGGCAGTCGACGGAGTACATTCGTAGCTGCTCGTCTGCTGCCGAGCCTTCCCCCCCACCTCAAATCAAAGAGCCAGGATAGCTTCGTTTGCAGATATCACGACTACTTGAGGTAGGTACTAGTATTATATTTAAGGTGGATCCCCATTTGTTTTGTGTAGAATTTACCTAGGTATTGTTTACTACATCTTGCTAGCTTTCCTGGACTAGATTGTATTTCTGGTGTGTCCGTACAGGCGGGCACACAGATTGACAATTTGAAGCTCGGGAATTTCAGGTGCATGGGTTAGAAACCGGCGCTGCCACCAAATGCCAGGCCTAAGGTTGCTTCCTTCGTGTTTTTGGTGTGCCTTGCTGTCTCACCCGTCGAGTCACGTTGATGACTGAGTGTGGCCCTCCAATGCCATGAATTCCGCCCACCTTCACCTCTGTGAGAGCGCCCGCGTCATGAAAACCTCTCGGTGAAGCTGGCTTCCGTCCAGATTACGGCCAGGAAGCCGCCAAAAACAACAGGCCATGCAAGGTGAAGAAGCCCTTGGTTCTACGGAACAGTACTTCCAACACACCAACTTAGCCAGCTGCCGAGTCAGACGACGTTGCGCGAGCGGAACCAACGGAGGAAGTGATACTTACTCAATATTATAAATCGCTGCGCTGCGCGACGCTGGTGTGGTTCCCATACATAAAACGGCGACCCTGCTGTCCTCGAGCTTGCTTCGCCGTACACCAATTCTAGTCCTAATTGCACTGCTAAGTTCTTCGCCGCGTCGTCAGGCCTCCCATCGGTCGTGTGAAGCGGCTGTCTCCGAGATCTGCCCGTGCACTTATATATCTACCTTACAAAGACGCGCAAACTCACCGCGTCCTGTTTCGCTCACCCTGACCCACCGTTCCCGCTCTCGTCTCACATCACACGAGGCTCAAGCAAGTCATCCCGTGAAACAAGGACTCGACGGCCAATCACAACCCCGACAGCAAGAACAGCTTCTTTTGATACATCAAAACCGCTACCTGCCGCTGATTTCATTATCAAAATTTCCAACAATCTTTGGCGACCTAGCGATCGACCTAGGCACCCACCTACCTACTTTGGTTTGAGGCTGCTATTGAAGAGTCTCGACATTTTTTCAATTTGCGGCAGGAGGCAAGCCGCTGCCCGACCCCTCCTTGACTTTTGGCCTTCTTGGTAGCGCAACGCTAAACAAACACAGGGACCCCGATCGGCAAAGATCGCACATCCGCCCAGCGAGCCCCCCGGAAAGCCGAAAGGCATCGGCAGACGGCGGATCGAGGATCGGGTCTTATCCCTTTACGGGCTAGTTCAGCTTTCCGCTTAAGTAAGGTAAGCTTGGACCAAGCATCACTGGAGGCCGGGTCCGCGGGGGGCTTCTCCACGATTGGCCCTCGGCGATTTCCACACTCCTTCCTCACTGGCCAGTCGCCTGCAGGGACATCAATCTACAATTTCATCCCCCATAGTGGGCAGTGTGCGAGGGCTTCAGCAACTGCCTAGCTAGGAAGACCGGAGTGATTGGGTGGCAGAAACAACGAAGCTTTGAACTTCGTCACGTCACTATTAAAAGAAACATTTCATCTAGTGTGGGGAAGTTTCCTTGGGACCCGAGGAGCCTCTCATAGCTCCCACTAAATAAGTGGAGCATGCCTAGTGGTACAGACTGGAACCTGCCTCCACTTCCTGTCACTACACGGTATCCTCATGCTGGCCCAAGGACAGACATCGCATCACTTTGCTTCGAGCCTAGTTCGGATCTCGCGGCGAACGGCTTGACCACCGAACAATCGCGGCGCCGGCGACGTGGTGTTGAAAGACACTGGGCCGTAATCACCTTGGTGGGTAAGACAAACCCCAAATCCCCATATCTGCAAGTTGCAGAAACCAGAAACCCCCGGGAAGCCCGTCCAATCGGCATCCCAGCCCTGCAAAGGCCCCACCTTCAAATTCCCCAAAAGCCGCAAGAATATCTATCATTCATCTCAGGATAACTTACAGCAAGTCAAGCCAGGACAAGAAGGTTGCGAGCGCTTCTCTTCCTGTGTCCAGCCTTTAGAAAGGGCTACTACTCATTCCTGCCTATCACATCTCACTTCACTTCATTAATCACGGGGCGTACTGCCCGCCACATTGCCACACATATTTGCATCGCAGCCTCTTTTTATTGACCACCTGTGGGGCTGACGCCGCTTGCTCCTCTCTTTTCTTACACAACCACCCACTTAAACTCCCATCCACGGAGCCGACCCAGTAGTGCATGGCCCCGGCTTTGAGCGGCACACTCGGCGCTGACCTAAGTTCCATTGCCAGATTGACTGACACACGTACGTCTTGCTCTCAGAATTTGTTACGACCGCTCAGCCCCCCAGCCGCTGCTCCCGCGTTAAATTGCATACTTGCCCTAGTTGCTTCCCGCATCACCAACCCTCCGAGCACCAGCGAGCTTACCTTTGCCCCCCCCCCCCCGTGTACCTCTCTCCACCTGAGAAGGCTCTACACTCTTCCGAGGAACCTAGCAAACCTTGGTTGGGTCTGGGGTTGGGTTCGGGTCACTTTGAACCAACCTCTTGCACCCGCCTCGTTAACGCGGCCTCGCAGTCCCCCAAGCGCTGGAACCCCAGGCTACCTTTACCGCTCTTCTGGGGCTAAGGTAGAAATATCCTCCATTGCCCCTTCATTACCTACCTTGGAGCACGGCCCACCAGCGCCCCCCATTCCTAATCCCTCCCTCCCCCCAACTTGCCCCAGCTCCCCAGGAGCCCGCCTTCTTCCACGCATCACAACTTTAAACTGCAGCTCCCTGCCCTGCTCCCCCGCTGTCGCACTTCCCCAAAAACCAACCAAACCCTCCTCGCGTTCGTTTCGTTGTGCAACGTCCCGCAACCTCGACCTAACCAAGATTCAGTTCTCTATCCCTCTGTCGCCAGTTTTGCGCTTCGGTTTGTTGCTGTCCTGTCGGTTGTATTCCTCCCGTCAGCTCGCACCCCAGTCTCGCAAATACAGGTCCTCTGCCGCTTGTAAGCCGCGCTGCATCGGAGTCGACTTGGACCAAGGGGGAAAAAAATACTTATCACCCCTCCATCGCCTCCGCTCTTTGTCCGCCGTCTTTTTGCCCGCCAGTCCTTTTCAGCCTTTTCGCTGCGTGCTTATTGCCAAACAAAGTTAGGCTGCTGCACCACTCAACCTTCGCCTGCGCCTGCGCCCGCACCTACCAACCTACCGCTTTTCCGAGTCATCGCGGTCGCATTGTAACGAAAACCCTCGCCGACGGAGACGCTGCACCGGCCTCGAGAACGTGTTGAATGAAACAACTCTATTCACATTGAGTCCTCTTCTCGACTTGCAACTCTTCGGTCGCTCAACACTTACTGCGCCAATTCTTCTTATTACCCGCATCGCGACTCTCACCGTTTGCGTCGAGTCGTATCTTCATTTGGTTGACACCTCACCGATTTTTTTGACGCAATCTCATGGCGAGCTGACCTCGACTAAGGATCTGAACTACATCTATCTTCCAAGGTATGCGCCACCCCGCCTCCATCGTTTGCGCTCGGCACTTTACTGCACCGTGCCCGGTCGTGCCTCTAGCATACCTCTGAGCGTGTCCTAGCCGCCATCGGGCACAACCACCCACTTCACGCCCCTCTATCCCTTTCACGCCCCTCTACCTCTTCACGGCTTCTTGACAAGACTAACCTTAGTATAAAGATTCCTGATTATATCCTACAAGAGCGAAAGGCTGTCAGCGCTTCCTTGGGGAGTTGAAAGGCAGCCTCCAGAACGACCATCCTACGAGTCCCACTTCAAAAAGACGACTAGCACAGGATGGCACAACACGGCTTCCAAATGGGTGGCCATGGCGGGAGCGCCATCGACCCCACCGACCTCGCTATGTCCGGCAATTACCAATCCTCCTTCCAGGGTAACTACTCGGGGCACAACAATTCTTCAAACGCCTTTTCAACTGGTTCAGCCCTCTTTGGCGACGACGAACTCCTGGATGGTCTTGGCAGCCCGACGGAGCCTCAATCGGCAGTACAGGGCCATGGGCAGGACTTTTCGGGCATGAGTGATATGAGCATCGGATATGCCCACGGTGTTTACGGCTCACATCACGGGCTGCCGATGGATCAAGCTCACGTTAATGGATTTTCGAGCACGCCTGATGGTGACCCCATTCAAAGCCCATTCGTTCACAACTTCGGACAGTATCGACAGATACAACACCCGCAATCCTTTGGAGGATCTTTGCAGTCCCCACTCTCGTTTCCCGGTTCCCCCATGGGGGCCGAATTGAACGAAGGCGGGGACCCAAATTATTTAAATGCGAAAGCTCGCGCACGAATGTCGCAGTCCATGCAGCGGAAGACGTCAGGCACAAGAAACCCCCTGACCTCGAAAACGGCGCCGATGGCCGCACTGTCCATGAACTCTGAAGCGGGCTTTCCGATCAGAACAGCCGGCGCCCGTCACGAAAAATCACTGTCGGGGCAATGGATTCATACCCCGAATAGTCTGTCTTCGTTCCCCACGTCCGGTTTCTCGTCACCTCTCCAGCCGAACATGCACTCGCAGCAAATAAACGATATTCTGCTCAAAGGCGGAACTTCGATGCCGGCTAAACTTGGCGCCACGGCCACCACTGCGTCTCCTCAAGATCTCAAGAAGAAGAAGAGACGTGAGTCCCACAACCTCGTCGAGAGACGAAGACGGGACAATATCAATGAGCGGATTCAGGATCTAAGCAAACTGGTACCTGGCCACCGTCTGGAAGATGATAAGATACGCAAAGCAATTCAGAACAACACGCCCCTCTCACCGACTCTGACAGGCGTACCTAGTCCTGCTCAGGCGACATCGGCTCTTGCCGGCCCTGGTGCTCGACGGGCCGCTGGCGGAACTGCAGGGAATATCACCACTGGTCTCCCGATTGAGGACAAAGACAAGCAGCCAAACAAGGGGGATATCCTAAACGGCGCTGTCAGCTGGACGCGGGATCTGATGTGGATGCTTCATCTCAAGATCCAACAACAAGAGGAGCTAATAAATGCCCTCATCGATCGCGGAGGCTCAGTCCCATTCGAGTTCACCGAAGATGAGCAGCGGATGCAGACCGAGCTGATGGAGGCAATATCGAGGAATGAAGAAGGCCCCGGAAAGCCCAGAGCCTTCTCATACTCCCGCACCGCTGGCTCGGGGCTTCGTGTGCCCCACCACACAGACTACAAGGGCGAGCCGCTAAATGGCAGCAACCCAACAGGCCATATCTCTGTTAGTCCTGACGATGATAGTCTCGACGGAGCGAGCGCAGATCTTCTCAACTCTCGAGAATTTATCGATTACGAGGATGATGATCTCAATTTCAAGGAAGAGGATGAGTACGGCATGGATTTGACCCAGTGAGGTTAGAGAGGCAGTGCTTTCCTTGGATAGGGGGCCGGTTTTCTTTTTGGGTGTCTGTTTTTCCTTCTTATCCCCCCTTCCATTCAGCATTGTGGATACATGCCATGATCATTTTACATCCTTATTTCATTCTATTCTTCCCCTTTTCATTTTTGGCCTTTCTGCTGGGCCTGGTTTTCGGTTCTTCTTGTCTTGCTATAACTCCTCCCCTTTTTTTTTCGTATTTGGGTTCCAGCATTCTATGGGTCATTGGAGAGCGGTGGTGGTTTGGCACAGCGGCGCAACAGCAGTCAGGTTGGACTTTTTGACATAGTTGAAAGACTCATCATTAGCGAGATAGGTTGGGCACTTGTCGGTTTCTCTTTTTCTTGTACTGGCTCTCCCGGTATTCCTTTAGTCTCGGATGATACCTAACAGGATTGGGATGGATTTGTGGACTGCCTGGCCGTTGGTTACATGAACACGCTTGTGCTCATTTGGCTTGATCGCTCTATATAGGCTTGGAATAAAGATCCTTTGCTTCTGATAGCATCCCTTGCTCATATCCGTATCTCTTTACACAACTCCTAAATATTTCTGCGCATGGCCGCGGTTCCTGTTTAGTCGACGTACGAGCTGCTCTCCGCGCCTACATCTGTCTACCAATGACGGACGCAAAGGAGATATTCACTCATAGATGTGAGCAGATTCCACACATCCTTTCGTTTCATCTCCTCCTGAAGCGCAATACGTTCCAGTGCAGACTTACCGTTGAAGAATTTGCAAAATTGCGGCCAAGCTTTCGCAACTCGGTCATCCCAAACCGCACTGTCTCGAGCACCGTCAGCCGCCATACCGGCCGGTCCACCCATCTTGCTTTGCTCGCCAATGACGGTTGCTGCCCCACGGTTGTGAAGAACATCTCTATCCATGTGTTGTTGCTCGAGTCTACCAGCACCAGCGCCCCGCTGGCTCTCTCTGGCGATATCGGCGGCTCCGCCCCTTCCTCCTCCCCCTGCCCCGACTCCACCGCGTCTAGCGGCTTCGGCGGCGGCCTTGTCTCGAAACCGCCGCCCTATAGCGCTGAGGTAGAGACTCTCCTTGCCCGTCGCCTTCTTGGCATCGAGAATGATGTGGGGCGACATGCCCGCGAGGTGCCGGGCAGAGTTGACACTGGGGTGGTCCGTCTGCACTGGCAGAGCCTTGCGGGAGTGGGCCATGGCGCGCTCCGCCAGTTCGCGGGCGGCCTTGTCCGCGAGGCGCTCGAGGCGCGCCTTCTCGGCGGCCTGCTCGGCGGGCGTTGTCTGCGGCGGGAAGGATTCGGCCGTCGCTAAGCGGGATTGGGAGCCACGGCCTCCGTGCCGCGACAATGTCGGCGACTGGGGCGAGTTTTCCGAGTCGGGCGACGGCGGGTCTGCCAGCCTCGAGCTACGGGAGCTGCGCACTAGGGATTGGGGGTGACTGAGTAAAAGGTCGCGAAGGGCCGTCGTGGCTGTAGGCGAGCCGAGATCCAACTCGTCGTCCAGCAGAGGCAGGAATCCCGACCCAAAGCCGGCGACAGAGGCATCGCCTAGGGCTGAGACGCCTACCGAGGCAGGGGCGGGTGTGGGGGCGGACTTGCTGTCGCCTTCCATACGAGGCTCGCGGCTCATGCTCTGTACACGCCTTGCGCGCGCAATCTCCTCAGCTTCGAGCGCGTGGTCGACTTCGTAGATTATTTCAGGCCAGACTACAACGTAGGCAAACGTGCACAGCTGCGTAGCCCAGCCGCCGCGCATCAGCCACGCCAGCATAGCCATGTAGAGCGGGCGGTGGGCCTTCCCGGGGCAGTGTAACTTGTAAGGCCGCGGGGCGACGCTCAGCTCGGCCAGGAAATTTGGGAGCGCGGGTGCTAGGGGAAACTGGCGCGCCCACTTTGCTGCAGCCTGTGGGAGCTTGCGAAGGTCGCAATTTGGGCTGACGATGTACATATCGCGGGCGTGGAGCGGGGGGATGGCAATGGCACGCCGCCAAAATATAAAATGCTGAGCAAATTTGCGCACCTGAGCTGGCTTCAGGACGTTGCTGGACAGTTGTCCAACCTGGTGAAAACTGGACATCGTCAGCAAGATGGACGCTGGAGTGAGGAGAGGGCGATATACGAAGACGACGACTTGGGAGAACTTACGATAGATGTGGCTTGCAGTGGTGCACAAACTCAATCATGGCGATTGTTGTTGCATTGGGATCATTCTGCAGCTCGGCGGTGATCTTCTTCTCGTCAGTCAAGAGTAGAAGGGCAAAGTTCTTGTCGAGGAAGGCCGGGTCATCTACAACATCGTCGTCCATGAGGGAGTTCGCCGTTGTTAGCCACAGGCCGGCGCACTGGCATTCCTCACTGTCTTGCGGCAAGTCAGACACATGGAATGGCATGGGGATTTGAACAGAATGGGTAACCATGCCCCCTGCTGTATCTAGTTGGAGGGCTGTGATCTTGTTTTGCGACACAGCGTTGTAGATGTCCTTCATGGACGCAGCCAAGGAAGAAGTAGACAGGATATCCTTCCACAACAAGCTCATCTTCATTCCTACACAACTACGTCAGTCCACGTGCGAGGTCGCAAGCAAGCTAGGCTTTTACGAATAGGGGGGACGTGACGCACTGTCTTCGCGGCCCTTGTCTTTGAGTATCAGGATCCGTTTTGACTCCTTCCACACAAAGTCGCTCCGTTGCTGACAGTATCTGTACGCCTTGTTGATCTTCTTGATTATGTGGGAGAACAAGATATCGACCAGATCCTTGGCCTCGTGCTTCTTTGGCCGGAGAAGAAAGACTAGGTTGAACATTGTCATAGAGCTTTTCTTGTCTTCGGGCTCGTCAGCTGCCTTGCCGGCGTTTTTGGCGTCGAACTGGTCCTGGTCGGCAGAGCCCCGGTGGCTGCCTCGCCCGCCGGTTCCTGCACCTTCAGTAGAATCTGCCTGCATTCCCACATTGTCGTCCTTCCTGGGTGGGCCCGGCTCGGGCTGCTGCTGCCGCTTCTTCTTGCGCCACACGCCATTCTCAGACACATAAACGGGATATGACACACATAGGAGCGGGTCCAGAGAGACCTGGAAGAGGCGCTTATGGTAGGCTCGGGCGGGCGTCAATATGTTCTCCAGATCCTTGGTCGGGAAGCCGGCGACATGCTCCCAAGGCACGATCTGGGTACCGCTCTCCGTCACCAAATGGTCGTCGTGGTTCCACTGCGCGAGGTCGGCGGCCTGACGGTCGGACGATGTGCCTACCGTCTCGAAGTTGACTCCCCGGGACGAGCTGCCTAGAAGGAGGTCGTCGTTGTCATCATCATCATCATCATCAACATTGTCGGCGCTGGGGCCGTCCATCCTGGTGCCGGCGTCCTGGGGAGGCACAACGTGCGGCGGATAGTGGAAGACAATCCTCGGCCCATCACGAGAGCGGTTGATGACGAGAGCAACAGCCAAAACGTTGGACGAACTGGGCAGCACGGGCAGCGCCATTAGGGTGTGGGGTGTGCACCGCAGGCAGATAGACGTATGTAGCCGGTCTAAAGAGGTCCACAAAGATGTGAACGAATGCCAAGGACAATGAGCAGCAGGCTTACAGTGCGCCCGCGTCTAGGCTTTTCTGCCTTGTCGGAACATACCTAAAGGTCCTTCCAATTGCCCTATCATTGAAAGATCAACAATATGTACGATTACCTAGGGCGTGTCGATGGGAAGCAATGGATTGAATGACAACCTATCCGTCCGTAATGTGGGGGGATGAGGAGTCTCCATTGGATGGATGATGGATTGTGATTTGGACGCCGATGGACGATAGGTGAATCGAATCGGTGTTGCCATGGGATTGTATAATACGTACGTACCTATACTCCGTAAATGCGCGCTCAACTGCGTTCAGCCGCGTGCTGTGAATGCCCAACCAATTGCCGCCGGAGGACTTATTCAGGTGCTGTGGCTTGCAGTTACTGAACCTGCAGCCAGCCTTGCTGGGAACCTGAGGTGAGGGCCCAGGCAGGTTCCGACCTGCAGGACTCTCCCCTCACCTCAGTCTTCAGCGCTTGGGCCCCTCTCCCCTGCCTAGCCCTCACTGCTACCCACTCCCAGGAGTGGGAGGGCCCTGGTTGTATTGTACCCTTGGCTAGGGTCTGAATGACAAGCACGTCCAGGTCATGTGCCTGGCAAATGACGATTTCTTTACGGATTAGATCGAGTCGTGCTTTTGGAGCAAACGGCAACAGATCGTGTGAGCAACTAGTAAGGTACCTTAGCAGGAACAGGAAGCCCACACTCATTTGGCCTAATTGAAGAGAGGCGTGCTCAACCCACCTCGTCCGTTCCTTAGGCCCCTCTTTTTTTGCCTGTTTGTGTTGCGAAAAAGACGGAAGGTGCGTGTCGACAACGTATAAGTGCCAGTCTTAGAATCAAGGCAACCGGGAACCTACCTAACTTGAAAGCCTCATCAGACCTCGAAGTCGCCGCTGCCCTGTCTAGTTCCACTGCTCCTGCTCCTGCTCCTAGGATTTCTTTCCCACCCGCTTCGCTTCTACCCCATGCGAGATTGCCTCATTCGCCCATCCCTTTCACGGAAAACCCGCAGACGTCGTCTGCTCAGTCTAGCCCACCATCAGTACCAGCAGCAATACCCCTTGACAGCCATAACCGATCTCGCCTTCAATTCTTGCCCTAAAATCCCTACAGAATCCCGAACTATCGCACCCTCTCCTCGGTCGCTCTCGCACGTTCGTCCCTCCATCCTCGCCTGGTAAATCGTGACCATCCCGCAACCGACAAACCTGCCTCTTCTCTCGCCATGGCTGTTGGAAGAGAGAACGGAGGCACTGCCAACGGAGAGCTGAAAGGCGACTCCCACATTCGGTACATCCCCCGTTCGTATTCGAGCACCGATTCCGATGCCTCAGCCCTCCGACTCGTGCTGGCCGTCCTACCGGAATGGGAAGATGCCAGCTCCAAAGTCGAATTTGTTCGCTTCACCGACGGTATCACAAACACGCTGCTGAAGGCGGTGAAGAGGAGGCCTGGTCTCTCCAAGGAGGAGGCGGACAAGGACGCCATTCTCCTGCGGGCATACGGCAACGGTACCGACGTCATAATCGACAGGCACCGCGAGGCGCAGAATCACGAGCTGCTTATGCGCCACGGCCTGGCCCCAGAACTTCTAGCACGCTTCGAAAATGGCATGATGTATCGCTTTGTCCGTGGAACCGTCACACAACCCGAAGACCTCCGCAAACCCACCATCTACAAGGCCGTTGCCCGCCGACTCGCTCAGTGGCATGCCACCGTTCCCTGCATCCCCGGCCGCACTGGTCACAGCCGCAAAAATTCAAAGACGGAAGGATTTCCAGCTCCTTCTAGAACTCTTGGGGATGCCGAGTTTCAATGGGTTCTTGACGGTGTGGCGCCAGGAAAACCGTCGCCAAATGTGTGGACTGTCATGCAAAAGTGGATTTTTGCTCTGCCTACAGATACAGAAGAGCAGAGAGCTGCTCAAGCAGAGCTCCAGCAAGAGCTTGGAACTCTAGTTTCGGAGCTCAGCCAGCGGCCCGGCCTAGGTGTTAATGGGGTACGTTTATTAGGCAAATCGGACGAGTCTTGCACCAGAAATACACAGCCTACTAACGGGAATACTAGCTCGTTTTCGCACATTGTGATCTTCTAAGTGGCAACGTCATCGTAACCCCGAAGTCGCAGGCTGTGCACGGAGACAAGTCGGCGGAAACCGTGACCTTCATCGATTACGAATACGCCACTCCGTCCCCCGCAGCTTTCGACCTTGCAAACCACTTTGCCGAGTGGGGTGGTTTTGACTGCGATCATGGTGTGTTGCCGACACGTGCCCAGCGTCGCGAATTCATCACGGAATATGTGCGCGCATACTTCGATATGCTACCAGAGAAGCCCATCGATATTGACGAGTCTGCCGAGATCGAGAAGCTGTTCAACGAGGTAGACCACTACCGGGGGGTGCCTGGATTCTACTGGGGAGTATGGGCCCTGATCCAGGCCACCATCTCCGAAATCGACTTTGACTATGCCTCATATGCGAAGACTAGACTTGGTGAGTACTGGGCTTGGCGAGGCGAGGTAAGAGGCGAGCGCCAGCGTTCCGGAAAAGAGATTCCACTTCGCGAAAGAAGGTGGGCGCAGGAGGTGTGATTTAAAAACAATAATGAGAATATGGGAAGTTGCAAAAATACTCTTTGGTTTGTTAGGGGTTATCAACCATCTACAGATGCTTCATTCAGGTTCGATCTTGGTTTCACGGCGTGGGTGGTAGCTTTCGCATGGGTACAGGGCGATCATTCAACATGGGCTCGGAATGCCCCTCATGGGATCTTGTTTCTTTTTTTTCTTTGTTTCTTTCCAGTTATAGATACCTTCATCTTGTCGTTGCTGGTAGCTGGTAGCTGCCGATCCTCAGATTTCCCGCAGCGGTTGATTTTGTGGCGCATTGGATGGGCGAGCAGAGTCAGAGTCAGCGCCAGTCGGACGGCTCAGGGGAGGTTAATGAGAAAAAGAATCGCAGTTTTCAACACTTTCGGGGTTTCCTTTTTTCAGTTTCTCGCGTCTGGGTCTGTTCTTTTTTTTTTCTTTTAGTTTGACATATTTTAAACCCTCGAGCATGGCGCCCCAAGGCGAGTTTAACTCAATTAATCGATATAGATGGATAATGGTTAATTATGGCGACTGACACTAGAGCAATTACAGACTTGTCTTTGACGAGCACACGAAAACTAGGTAATACTCAATAGCATATTTACGCAGTGCATCAACTTAATGCATTGGATCAAGCAGAGCAGAGCAGAGCAGAGTACGTATCTAGCGAATCGATAACAGTTTGCTGTCTAGTTGATTATCTGGTTCCGTGTGCCTGAAAGTTTAGTTTCCCCCTTTCATGTTTTACTCCCGTTGAAGGAATTAATATGATACCCTGTGGCCAGGTATGCGAAATATAGAAAAAAAGTCTTGACGCCTTGTGAACTTGCCTGCCCTGCCCTGCCTGTGTGAGGGCGCGCCCAGCCTTGTTGGGCAAAAAATGCTGTGTTGAACAAAACAAAAAAGGATTTACGCGAGTAGGTCTTCTCCATGCCGTTATATATGTGGCAGTAATGGATCTCCCCCAAATACTTAGGTGGGCTTCCAGTATTTGCTAGGCACGAATGGCATCTTGGCCACGACGGCCGCCCTCGGCCTGCCCCGCACCAACACTGCCACCTGGGTGCCAGACTTATGGAAACCGTCCTTGATGTAGCCCATAGCAATGTTCTTACCCAGCGTGGGGCTTGGGCAACCGCTCGTCACGGAACCGAGGCTGACTGTCTTGTCGTTGGGGTCAACAATCTCGGCGCCTTCTCTGGCGGGAGCGCCCTCGACCAGCAGCCCAACGCGACGGCGCGTTACACCCGAACCACCCTTGCTCTTGGGTAGCAGCTGGCGGGCTATTACTTCGGCGCCGTAGAAGCCGGCGTCAGGCTTCCGCCGGCTGGGAGGAATGATCCAGCTGAGGGCGGCCTCGGCCGGCGTCGTCGTGTCGTCCAAGTCGTGACCGTACAGGCACATGCCGGCCTCGAGCCGGAGGCTGTCTCGTGCGCCGAGCCCAGCGAGCCTGACCTTGTCCGGGCCGCCCGACGCCAGCAGCGCCTCAGTGACGGGGACTGTATCCGCAGGGGGTATGGAGATCTCGAAGCCGTCCTCACCTGTGTACCCGCTGCGGCTGATGAGCACTTCGGCGCTGAGCTGCTTGCTAGGGAGCTGCAGTCGGGTGCTGAAGGATTGGCTAAAGTACACCGTCTTCAGGTCCTGGCCGGCTTTAAGGAGCGGGGCGAGCACGGCCTCGGCGCCAGGACCCTGCAAAGCCACCAAGCCCCAGCCGGGACGCTGCTCCTGGACGACCCTCAGATCCTTGTGGTCGGGCTCGGCGTTCCACTTGGCCAACTCTTGGTCGAGATAGGCATCGTCCTTGTCGCGGCACGCAGCATTAGTCACGACGTAAAAGCTGTCTGGCTTTATCCTAGTGATGATGGTGTCGTCAACGATGCCGCCCGAGCCGTCGGCGTGCAGCAGACATGAGAGGGTGCTGTGGTTGTCCTGAAGGGCGCCGGGGTCACTCGGGGTGATGCGCTGCAAGAAGGAGATGGCGCCCTCCCCCTTAAACCACCGCTGCACCATGTGGCTGACGTCGAAAATGGAGCAATGCTCGCGTGTGAAGGAGTGCGACTGGCTCACGGTGAGCCCTGTGTACTGGACGGGCATGTGGAAGCCGCCAAAGGGCACCATCTTGCCGCCATGGGCAAGGTGGAGGTCATATAGTGGCGTCTTCTGAAGCTCTTCCGGCGACGAGGCCGAGGATGACGCAAGGCGGGTCTGGGGCGCGTTGGAGCCACTGCGATTGCCATTGCTATTGCTATTGTGCTGCGACAAAGCGACGCGGTGATGTAGCCTGGTGGCACTTGAAGTTGCGAGAGATCGTGTGTGTCGTGAGATGTAGGGCTGTGACGAGACGAGGGCAGTCGACTTGGAGCTGGAGCTGGAGCTGGAGCCAGAGCTTGACAGCAGCTTGGCGGTGTGGGATGGACGGCGACAGGCACTCCGAAGGGCGCTGGCCGTGGCGGCCGACCTCAGGCTGTGCATTGCGGCGCCAATTGAGACCTTACTATGGCCTTCTAATCGGGTTTGGAAGCGGGCTATACCTTCCGTCTTGGTTCCTGTAACTCAATTTGCGACAGTGTCACAAGCTCGTGGTTTGTTTCTGGGGGTGAGGACGAGAGGGGACAGCTCCGATCCAGGCCGATCGGAGGCTCGGAACTTGGAAAGGGCAGCCAGCCGAGGGGTCGGTTACTGGTAGTGCTCGTCTGTACCTGGTATAGTGCGAACAGTATGTACATGTACGAAGTACCTCGGTGACGTACTGGTGGTGCTGCCACTTAGTGGTTGCTACCCCGGGCGGCTCCATGTTAGGCTTGTTCCGTATCGGTCGCTCCTCACTTACACCCCTCCAATCGCCTCAGAACACCGGATGGAAAGCAGTGCTGCGCAAAAAAAAAAAGTACTGGCTCGAAGCCGAGAAGCTACTAATACTAAAAGCCCCGTCCCGGTCGCTTCCGGACCGGCTTCACCACAGCACCAGACGTGACCGTCTTCTTCTCCTTGGCAGGCCCCGTCTTCTTGACAAGCTTAAGCTCCTCCTCGGCGTGCAGCCGGTCCTCCTCCCGCTTCTTGTCGGCAGCCATCTGCGCCTCGATCTCCATTTTCCGGTTGAATTCAGTCTCGGTGATGCGCTTCTCCCGCGCCGAGTACCCCTTCTCCTTGACCGAGTAGAAGACGCCTCCGAGATCGGCCAGCCAGTGCGGGTCCACCGAGGTTACGGTCGACATGTACTCCTTGGACGTCAGGATCAGCTCGTGGTACACAACGTAGTCGGGCAGGAACCCCAGCCCGTAGAGCGCGCTCGTCGGGTGAAGCTGCACCGTCACGCTCGTGCGCAGGTTGATATACTCGCCGATGCCCTTGACCTTGGCCGCCTGGTGATAGTAGCCTGAGCAGACGCACTTGCGGATAATGTCCCAGTCCGTCCCGCTGCTGATCATCTCCATCTGCTGCATTTTCATAATGTCCAGCAGCTGCTCCCGCACCTCCTTGGCCCGCCGCAGCGACTTGGAGTGCAGAAAATGCTGCGTGCACCACCGGTCGCTGTACCCGTTGGCCTTCCACTGTGAATAAACGTGCAGGTACGTCAAGTGGTCCGACTCGGGCACAAAGAACTTCTCGCGCGCCGCGTCCGACTCTTCCTGCCGCTCCTTGGGCCTGTAGAAGACGTTGGGCACCGACAGCATCGACACAATCGTCACCATCTCTTCGCTGCACCCGTACTCTTCCGACGTTATGAGCAGCTTGGCGAGCGACGGATCCATGGGGAACGCATTCATCTTCCGCCCAAGCTCCGTCAGCTCGCCGAGGTTGTCCAGAGCCCCCAACGCCCATAGGTCAAATAGTGAGGTTGTGATGGTGTCCTGTGGTGGCGGGTCCATAAAGTCAAAGTCGAGCAGGTCCTTGACGCCGAGCGATTTCAGGAGCAGCACTGTGTTGCTCAGGTTCGTCCTCTGGATCTCGGGTATAGTTTGGATGTACATCTCGTCCCTGAACGCCTTTTCGGTGAAGAGACGGAATGCCTGGCCCGGCCCCGTACGCCCGGCCCGGCCCGAGCGCTGCGATGCGTTTGCTTGCGATATGGGTGTGATTTGTAGCGTGTCCATGCCCATCCGGGGGTTGTATACTTTGAGTTTAGAATACCCTGCGTCGACCACATACATGATACCGTCCACTGTCAAGCTGGTCTCGGCGATGTTGGTGGCCACAATGCACTTCCTGACCCCCGGAGCCGCACGATCAAAGATCTTAGCTTGCAGGTCAGCGGGCATCTGACTGTAGATGGGTAGGATGCTGAGTTTGGGAGGGTCATTCAGAGCGTCCAGCCGCTCGCGAACAAGCTCGCACGTCACCTCAATGTCCTCTTGGCCCGTCATGAACACCAAGATGTCGCCGGTGGGCTTGCCGACATGGATGGCCAGGACCTGCTGCACCGCTTGATCCACGTAGTCTTCGATGGGCGACTGGTGGAACAGAACGTCGACAGGGAATGTCCTGCCGGGAATGGTGAATTCAGGCGCCCCGCCGTAGAAGTCGGAGAACCGCTTCGAATTCATAGTGGCAGAGGTAACGATCAACTTCAGGTCTCGTCGGCGCTGGAGAATCTTCTTGAAGAGGCCCATCAGCACATCCGTGTTCAGCGCTCTCTCGTGTGCCTCGTCCATGATCACGCAAGAGTACCGGTCAAGGTCGGACTCGTTCAGAGACTCGCGGAGTAAGACACCATCCGTCATGTACTTGATGACGGTCTCTTTGCTCGTGCAGTCCTCGAACCGGATAGCGTAGCCCACAGTGCTACCAAGCTTCACCTCCATTTCCTCAGCGACACGCTTCGCGACGCTCATCGCCGCCACTCTCCTGGGCTGCGTGCAGCCAATCATACCCGACTTGCCGTAGCCGTCCTCGTAGAGAAACTGGGTAAGCTGCGTCGTCTTGCCCGAGCCCGTTTCGCCAACCACAATCACGACTTGGTTATCCCGGATGACGCGCAGCAGGTCTTCCCGCACTGCAAATGCCGGAAGAAACTCGCGCTGTTCCCGCAGCGTCTTGCTCTGGCTGAAGTTGCTTGCGCCTTCCGACTTCTTCATGTGCTCGCTGAACTTGTTGGAATTTTGCGCCTTGGAAGCCTCGGCTTCGGTCGCAATAGGGAGGGCGCTGTCGGTGTCCTCTTCCTTGACGCCCATCAGATTTCCTAGGGCAGTCCCTGCCAGATTTGTCGCTTCCTGCGCCTGCCTTGCGCGCTCCCGTTGTTGTCGTCTCTCCCTGACGACCCTGCTGCCCTTCCTGCTGAAAACGGCCATGTCGCTCTGGGCGTCCCGCACGGCTGGAACGGGGTCGAGCTGTTTTGTGAAGACTGTGCGCCCGTCCAAGAAAGGGGGCCGCAAATCATGCACCAGCAGGTGCACGCGTGTGCCCTCCTGGTCGTCCTCGAAGTCGTAGCCGAGATCCCTCCTCTGCGCCACACCCGAAGTGAGCATCCGGTTTGTTTCCCAGGCATCAACGTCCTTTTGTTTCTGCATCTGCCGCGCGTTTAAGCCCCGGGTAACCAGGCCGATTTTCTTTTCCGCCATGACTGCCTCGCGCTCCTGGGCCGCCCAGCCGCCCCCATCGCCAAAGGGGTTGTGGGAGTCGTCACCAAACGTGTGGCCGCCGAGGTCGTCGTCACCCCCGTACCAGTCACGGTCCAGGGCGTTCACGACCTCTTCGTCGGCAACACCCGGCTCGGGGCCGTCAAACTCGCGCTGCCGTGGCGTCGATGCGCCCGAGAACTTGGACCCGGCGCGCGGCGTCACCCCCCGCGGGTTGAAGGAGCCATTGCTTCGATGCGGCGCATTCGGGTCTCTGGGGGGACCGTGGCTCTGGGAGCGTGATGGCAGGTCGCCAAAACGGCCGTCGGAGCGCAGAGGGTTGAAGTCCAGCTTCCGTCTCTTGGTGAACCGGTCCTCCTCATGTTCGCGTCCCATCGCCGGCGCGTTGTGGTGAGCAAGCGATTGATTGATCGTCTGAGTGTATCTCACCAAAGTAACAGATCCTGCTTGCAAGTTGGCTAGCTTGTTCGCTGCGTCGTTTAACAACTTGAGGTGAATATTTCAAGCTCTTGGCAACATGGACTCTTGAACCCAAGCAATGTTTTACTGTAATTAGATGGGAACCAAAAGGCTGCCCGCCAAAAGCTAGCTGTCCACACACTGTCCAGCGGTCAGCCGTGGGTGGGCGAGCCTAACGCTCGCCTGTCGATCTCTAGCTGATAAGATAAGCCCCGCTGTCCCACTAAAAAGTTGCTGGTGGAGGAAATCTTTGAATTTTGTCGGCCCCCTCCATCATCGTAGATAGTGCCAGTCACGTCCAAATAGAGGCGCGATTTTTAAAGACTTCGCTCGGCGGTCCATTTGCCACTTCCAGCATGTCTATGATCACGACCACAGCCTGGGTGCCGCGGGGCTTTGCGGCACCCTTCCCCACCAAGTACAACTTCGACGAGGAAGAGTTCGAGCGTATTGCCAGTCTGGCCAAACTGCAGCTTGACGACGCCCAGGAAGAACTGGAAGAAGCGCAAGAGGCCGAGGCCGGGGCTGAAGCTGAAGCCGAAGCAAAAGTCGAGTCGCCCAAAGCGGTAAAGTCATCCAAAAAGAAGAAGAAGGCATCTGCGAAACCTGACCCTGATCCCGAGTACGTGTCTATCAATCAACCCCACTACACCGCTTCGAGAGCGCACCACTGACCCTATCTAGCAGCATCGAAATTGACGAGGATTTAAAAGAGTATGACCTGGAGCACTACGACGACGATGATGAGGATAACCTAGCTGAGCCCCAGCATATGGGCATGTTTGGAAATGTCAAGTCGCTGGCCTATTACGACTCCAACAAGGACGACCCGTATATCACGATGAAGGAAACTGCAGATGACGAGGACGACGAGCGCGAGGAGTTGCAGATCTTGGCAACAGACAACCTGTTACTAGCAGCCAAGGTTGAGGACGAGCTCGCCCACCTCGAGGTCTACGTTTATGAAGATGAAGCCGATAACCTCTACGTTCACCACGACATCATGCTTCCCGCGATACCATTGTGTGTCGAGTGGTTGAACATATCGGTTGGGAAGGCCAATGTCAACAGGGATACGCCCGCAAACTTTGTTGCCATCGGAACCTTTGACCCGGATATTGAGATTTGGGATCTGGACACTGTGGACTGCATGTACCCCAACGCCATCCTCGGACAGGGAGGCAATGAGCAGGACAAGAAAAAGAAGAAGAAGAAGAAGGCCAAGAAGGCCAACGACGAGTACCACGTCGATGCGGTCCTGGCCCTCGCCGCCAACAGGAAGCATCGCAATCTGCTGGCTTCAGCATCGGCCGACAAGACAGTAAAGCTCTGGGACCTTAACACGGCCAAGTGTGCAAAGTCTTACTCTTACCACACCGATAAAGTGTGCTCGCTAGCCTGGCATCCCGTTGAGGCAACAGTGCTGCTGACGGGCAGCTACGACCGCACCGTAGCGATCGCCGATATGCGCGCCCCCAACGAGCTGCCGACTAGAGTAGGCGTGGAAAGCGACGTTGAGAACGTCAGATGGGACCCCCATGATCCCAACTACTTCTTTGTTTCGACTGAAAATGGCATAATTCACTACTTTGATGCCCGCAAAGCCTCCAAGAACCCTTCGACTAGCAAGGCGGCTTGGACACTGCAGGCACACGACGAGTCAATCTCGTCGTTCGACCTAAACCCCGTGGTCCTAGGATACATGGCGACGGGTTCGACGGACAAGACAGTAAAGCTGTGGAATATCACCTCAGGGGGGCCCTCGCTTGTCGTTTCTCGGGACTTCAATGTCGGCAAGGTCTTTTCAACAATCTTTGGTCCTGATCCCGAGGTTGCCTTCAGGCTAGCCGTGGCCGGCAGCAACGGGACAGTGTCTGTCTGGGACACAAGTACCAACGCTGGCGTTCGGAAAGCCTTTGCCCAAAAGCTACCCGAGCGTGCTGGCAAAGACAGCGAAGTCGAGGATAAACTTGTAGGCGTAGACGACGGCCGAGAGAGCAGCAGCTCCGAGGAGGAGGACGAGGATGAAGACGGTGCTGTGACAGACGGAAACTCGATGGATGAAGACGAGGATTAAGCGTAGCTCGGTTTCGCTTCTGGCATCTGGTAGTTAGTTATCTTGCGCAACTGTAATCAAGTAGAGTGCTGTTCATCCGATCTGCACGCAGATCTAATTGGAACCAAACGAGCCGGTCTACGGGCGTGGAGCATAGGGTAAAACAGTATATCAGGCAGGCTCCAAACTCGAGGATTCCGGTGCTATCTTTTGTTGCTAGAATTTTGAGCCTACCCACTCGCATACATCATATCAAGTCTAATGAAAGGGTTACGAGGGGGGGGGGCGACATATAGTGAATATCATAAGCCATAGTCACCTACTATTTACTTACAGCGCTCGCGTGTTCTCGGAGTCGGCTTCCAGGGGCGTTTTCATTGGTTGGCATCGTCGTGTTGTGAGCATCTTCGGCACCTGGCAATGAAGCTCTGAATCACGCACACAAGGACTGTGTCGCGTCGGTCAATGTCCGGCAAAGACTTCCCGGAATTTGTTCACGCCGCACACTGGAGAAGAACGCGTCTGAAGCACCATCAAGTGGCGTTTTCTCCGTAACCTTATTCATATGGGCCTCACGGAAAATTAGGTGCGTAGACGGCAAAGCGAGCGAAACCCGCCGTGCATTGATCATCGATCTGATGTGATCGCCGTTGCACCGCCGCCTAATGGATGGCTTCGGCACTGACCAAATGAATGAAGAGTGGGGGAGGGGAGCATGACTCCTGAGTTGCCAGTCCGTCGCCCTTTTTTTTTTGTCGCCACAAGCAAACATGCGCAAATTCAGGCGATCCTAACGCAACGCCATTTCATTTCTAGAACTTCATGCGCGCGGGGTCTCCGCAGAAAAACAATCAGCCCGAAGTTCCTGCTCCGTAGTGGGCTTAAGGCAAACATGGATCTCAGAATCCTAATCCGCCCCCCGAGAAGGGATTATCGATGAAGCTATTCGGACCTGGCCGCCGGCAAACTCTCCAAGTACGTGTAGTTGGGAATGTACTCCGTACATGCAGTCCAATACCTGGATGTTTGTTACCGGCGGCTCTGAGATGGGGAGACTTCGCTGCCTTGTCGCTCGCCTTGAAGGTTTGCTCCGAGGGAGGCAACAGTTCATAGAGTCTTAATCCGTATCTCTCCTACGAATACCCTAGGTAGTATAGTATTCCCGGATGATCTTATTCACCAGATCCCTACTGCGGGTACTGTCCATACCAAGTACCGCATCAACATCAATTCAGGGTTTGGACTGCGCATCCAAGCTGAGGTGGTTTGCTTGCCTGCTAGTTCAACAAACAGTCAGCTGGACTCCGAGGCTGCCTGCGATTTACGCACTTCATGTATCCGAAAGGTCCAATTCGATAGCTCACCGACGCGCGCATGCTGAGTGTGCAGGCAGGCGGGCAAAAAGGAGAGCCATGCCTGGCTCTCTGATGGGCTCGCTCTGCTTGGTTTCAGACCAGGAACCCTTCCAGAAGCAAGTGCCAGATAGGAACATTTGGCCAATGAGACCCCTGGATATTTTAGCCCGTTTCAAACGCAGGAACAGACCCGGGCTTCGAATGCCTATTGGGCAGATTGCGGGTTCGAGGTGCCGGGTGGGTCGTCACCGGCTCCCCTGTCCTGCCTTGGATCGACCCTCTCTCAGAAATAGGGACGTGCGAAACAAACTTCGCCTTTTCTGTCTCCCTAGTCATTACGGAGGTATCCGTACACAGGCATTCAATCCTCTCAATCAGGAATTATTCGACTTTGTCAGCCCACGCGATAATCCAGACGGCTTCTTTCATGACTCAATGATGAGAAGGCGAGCTGGCGCATGAGGCTAACTTAGACAAGAGAAATCCCGAGAGCGTTGCAACCTTCACTTAATTAGCACACACCTCACCGTGTAACGTGGACCCTCTGTCGTCAACCCACGTCGGAACCTCTTGCTGCAGCAGAAGACAGTCACAGACAGCGCGTGCAGTTGCACACCATGCGAGTGACCCGAGTCGGGCCCTGGGGCCAATGAGGAGCGGCAGGCAAGCGGACTGACATGTAGTGCTTCAACCGCACAAAGGCTACGCAGGCGCCCGACTTGCAGACGGCGGAAGACTCGCTCCAAAAATACCTCGCTAGAACACACCCCCATTGAGGCCGGTTTGCTACTCTCCAGAACCTAGAGATGTGTATCATGCTCTTATTTGCGCCGCGATGAGTTGCCACTCTGCATTAGGATTGAAGTTGACTGCCCTTCCGGAATCTGAAAGGGTGCCAGTGGTGATGCCCCGATACACCACCAGGGTTGGAGAAACTCAGAAGTGTTTCCATGGTCTCCCATTGGTACGATTGAGGCTGCATTAACTTGCTGGCCAACCACAGGAAAGGAGGAAAGTGGCCGGCACGTCATGCAAGGATCAGGGTTTTAGGCGAAGACAGCGGCATCTGGGGAGGGGAAAACGGGCGCGATTTTGGGCGCGGATGTGTGCTCTCCTCCGTCTGTTTTTTGCCGGCCCGGTCCTAGGAACAGGGATCCCAGAGCTTTCACACCCCTTGTGAAGCCCACCGGACCGGGGGATGAGCGTAACGCTACCTCAAGTGCGACCTGGTGTGGGGCCACCAGCAAAGTACCAGTACTATGTACAGACCGATGCGCCCAAAGGGTCTGTGCCTCGCTGCACCCCTGTGTCTTTCGACGAGCCAGGTCCTTCCTTCCATCGCATGTCCCCGTCTTTTATTGTTGTGCCCTCCCCCAAGCTGGTCTACCGTACCTTGCTATTCTCATCAGTCCCTTCTCTCGGTCTCGCACCGACAAATACTCTCCTTTGCGGGCTTCTCAGGTGTTGAACTCCTCAGAAGTCGTCATTGAAAGTCCATCTCGGCCTCACAATCATTTGACATTCCTTTCACGTATATTCACCGACAACATTTCCTCGACCCGAGTACGATATTCCTTCGGCACTTGATCATCAACCTTCTTCCACAACCGGGGTTTCACTTCCCACAGTCGAATCGACGACCTCACACACAGCTCGTACCACGCAGAGGACTGGATCCGCCGCGACGACCCGAACTACAAACGTACACGTACCTTAGCTAGAATTTACCTTTTTTTATCTTCGATTTCCTCGGCTTGATTTTGTCACTGGCCGCCGTCACCCAGCTTTCGATTCCGATTTGGTGGAACGGCCGTTTTTAACATTTCAGCCCATATGAGAAACATCCCGAGAAACAACCTTACCAAGCCGGCCTGTTGCCAGTTCTCCGCAGTTCAGTCGAGCCTATATCTGGACTGTCTCTCACTTCTCTCTCAGCTCCCGGTTCATCCTTTCGTGATTTTCTGGTGACCCGGATCCCTTTCGACCGACGTGATAAGGTCGTCTGAACCGAGCAAGGTAACCTTCCCCAAGAAGGCTGGGACGGGGAACACAAGTGCACCTCAGCAGGCGCAACGTCACACCCACCCTTCGGTCATCTGGACTCTCCTCTATCGGCTCCATCGACTCTGTCGTTCGCCCTCTGACACAGCACCGCTTGCCTCTCTGTAACAATCTACGCAGGAACTTCCGATTTTCTCGCCTTCTTCTGAGCCACGTCAGGTTTTTTTCACTTTGGTGAACCCCAGTCCACAGCTCCCAGGCATAAAGAGCCCGGGATTGCGACTAGCACTCCCTCCTTTTTCAGTGGTTGGAGCAATCCAACCTACCATCACGCAACCGCGTTTCGATTTCTTGGCTAGGCCAGCCGACGGCCAAAATGTCTATCGCAAGAGCCTTCACGACACGGCGGCTAAAGCAGAGCCTCCAGACAGGCGATGCTGACGCCGCACCGCAGCGGAGCAATTCAACTAAGGGATCGATCGGGTCTATCCGACACAAGATCTCTGCGCCTGTCCAGCTTATCCACACCACCAACATGTTGTCATATAACGCGCCAGACCTCTTCCCAAAGACAGCGTCTTCGACTGGCTCCTCGCATCGATCCGACGATGAGCTCTCGGACGGTGCGCCCACTGCCGGCTCAACTCCTCCAACGAGTCCGGATATTGAGTCAGCGCCAAAGAGAGTTCTGTCGCCAGTGCCGAATCACTTATCAAGTTATTTTACTGTACCAGGACACTCCACCGTGCCCACCACCCCGACAGAGGCACCGCGCATTCCGCAGCGGGCAACTTCTCACACCAAGAAGTCGTATGACAACCTAGTGCGGCAACGGTCAATTTCCCGCATGTCGGAGCAGTCCAGCCACAGCCTCTCGACAAAGGCGAGTTTTAGCTTTTCCCGGTCGTCATCAGGTAGCACGGGAACTTCTGTCACATCGGCGAGCTCGGCTCCTCCTAATCACAAAGCCAACATGTCAACCGGGACTATCAACGCCCCTTCGCTCTCGTACATGACTTCGCCCCAGACGCAATATCAGCACAGGAAAGACGCCTCGCAAGCCCATCATCCATTCGGCCAGGAGCTAGCGCAAGTCACAGAGATTGCCGAGGAGTACGGTGTCAAGGAGCAGCTGAACGAGGTTGATGCCGAAGAGCAAGAGCTTCTCGCCAAAGGGCTATGCAAGTTTAGTCCTGAAGACTACTTGGGCGAGATCCGAGGGCTGGCCGTCATGTTCTTTGGCGATTCAAGGCCAGTCAGGGCGGCACAGTGGATTTGATGGACGATGATCGAAAACAACGGCAGCTTCTGCACACAAAATTCTCTGTACATATTCAACGACATTTTGAGCTGTAGAAAGGGACGAGGCGCAGCGATTCCGATGTCTACGCGGCATGCGGGGCCCACATGCGTTACTGGAATAGGGGCGATTGCTTTATTGATGAGGGTGGTGTTTATTATGATATCCATGAGGGTCTACTACAAGCCCCAAAAGACAAGGGAGCCTTTTGCACATTCGGGAGTGCTTTACTGTCACTGCGGTAAAGCCAGTTACATAAGGGGCAGCCAGGCGGGAAATCCCCGGCGGCGTTTGGAAGGATACTTCGTTCATAACCTAGATCTGAGATACTCGCCTGCGCAGTATTCGATTTTTACCAAACATTGTTTCTGTTCATTATGCACACAGCTGTCCTCGCCGTGAGCGATGTATGTATGCATGTGCCGTGCCGCGCGCTGTGCTGTGCTGCTGCAGGCCGAGCAGGACTAGTACCTTGATTGGCTTCTTGCGTCAGTCGCAGGAGCAACATGCAGAGCCGGCCCGCCGCCCAATATTGGCCGGTCGTGGCCCGAGGGCTGGTAAGATACCAAAATAGCCACGGCCGACCTGCTAAACTGCCATTCGCCGAATATTTTCGGACGTCATTCCCTCTACAGTCGCATTTTGACTAACATCACCATGCAGCAAAACTGTGCATCTGACTGTTTGGCTTGGGTAAGTCTGGAGGAGCCTAGAGGCGGTCAGGTGATTTTCAGACTCGTTTTTCTTTTTCTTTTGCTAGGGTTAATGAAACCGGCAACAGGTAGTAGTATCACGTTTTGCTTTCTGGGATATTCGTTTGGGGCGTTTTCGCTTGGCTTGTTTTTGGTCTTGAACCGGGAGCGCGAGAGTCCAAGGCATTGACTAGACCGTGAACTAGGCGTTTGGCAGTCAAAGGAATAGAAGAAAAAGACGCTTCGAGGGTTTCTTCCCCATGGCTTCTACGAGAGATGCGACGGCGATCCCGCGTCCTTCACACACACTCTTGTTGCGGGCGACTTTAGCCAGAGGGGCAAGCATAGTGTAAGTGCCTTTGTATGTATTTATGTACTGTGCCCGTCAGTGTCTGTTTGTCTACCTACCTATCTACGAAATACACACAGCAACATTCAGAAAGACACAGCACACGATGCATGGCATGGCGCAACATGACACGACACAACACGGCATGTTCGCCCGAGCGAGGACCGGGTCAAAAGGGCCCCTTCTGGAGAACTGGGTGGATTAATAGGTCCTGTCAGTTTGTAGGACAGAGGGAGAGTTAGTTTGTGTACCTGAGTGAGAGAGTTACTTCAAAATCGTGTCGTAGACTGCAAGCAGCAAGGAAGGCAGGCGTCTGTCTGTCTTTTTTAAGGCTATTGATGCCAACGACGTCTGTCACGAGTGCGTGCCCCCTTAACTTGTTCCACATAGCGGCCCTGTGCAGTACCTGCACGTGGACGTCCATCTTCAGGCAATGCAAGTGCATGTCCGAGTTTTCAGGCCAACAAAACAAAAAACAGGTGGGCGACGACCACCAAGCCCCCAAGAACCCGGTCTGGCCCTGCCGTGTCTGCCGGAGGCGGCCTGGTTTTTGTATTCTGGAAATGCGGGAGAGACTTTTTTGGCCCGTTTTTCATGTCGGGCCCCATGAAGGAGGGGGGTGGGGTCGGCGATCGTCAGTGATCGCCGGGCGGGCCTCTCCGAGGCCGTGGGAATTTATTTTCCAGGGCCCCGCGCGCCAGGACCACTTCCGGGCTCGGGCTTGTGATTCGCCCTATCTACAGATTCTCTGACAACGGCTACGTGATAGGCGGCCGGGGGGGGCCAAAACAAGACGAGAAGAAATGCAGAAGGCGAGAGGCAGTCTCACACCAGCCTTTTTGACTTTGGGAAGGGGATTGCAGCTCCGAAGAGAACATGTCAGTACAGACAGTTCAGCCTCCGTATCTGAACCGGCCGCCATTTCGGGCGAGGCTGCAACATGGGAAACTTAGGCAGACCGCGGGCGGCGACCCGGGCGGGCGGGCCGTTACTGGTCTCTAACCTTGCGGTTATTTTTATTTTTAGACGGAAAGCGATGCAGGAAATGGCCTTCTGGGTACTGCAGACCAGAAGGTTGGTCACTCGGTCGGTCTTTCTACGCGTGCAATCTAAAAAGCCTATATAAATAAATAAATATCGCGGGCTGAGGCCTGTGACCTGCCTACCCAGCCCGCCAACCTACCCGCCTGGCCTCGACACTTCTTTCACCTGGCGGCCAGTCTCAGGTTGCGGTGCGCACATGACTTTTGGGCGCCTGTATTCCGTATTCCGTGTGAAGGTGGGTTTTGCGTCGTGCCTTGAACGGGCGTCACAACTCGCGTGGTGATGCAACCAGAACAAGTTCTACGCCGTTCGAAGACACTTCTAGTCGGCATTTTAGGATCGGATGGCGCGTCGCTCGGTCCAACGCGACAAGTAGGGCTGATGCGGCGATGTGTAGTCGGCGACATATTGTCCAATTGACATGCGCTCGGGGCAGGCTAAGAACAAGGGGAAGAACAGGCAGATGATGGGTTGCAACGATGTGAGGGGGAGGCGCAGTCGAGGTCACGATTTCTTGGGTTGTAATGTACTGTACTTCCAGGTCGTTAACAGTGAACACACCCCAGCCTTCGGGTTAGTTTTGAACTGCAACTTCTCGGTTTGTTATCGCCGCGCTCGTGCATCAAAATATTAGATCCTTTGACGGACTTGGGCATGGTAGAAAATTGCACCAACAGTGTCTTGAGATATCCATTTGCGAGTGTGGTACATACTGCATCTAGCTGAACATTTTAGAATCCGTTGATTGAACCGAACCACTGACAGCCAAAACACTCATCCCCGGGCCAAGAGGCCCAGGCCTCCAGATCTCCGTCTAGGTCTTCCCACGGCTTTTCTACATCTTTCAGTAGCTTCAACTATGCCTTCAACTTCCTCTCTTCAGCTTTGGTCGCTGTGATTGTCGATGCCAAGCCCATGCCTTCCCGTAATGAGATAATATTATATTTCGTCTACTTAAGGCTAGGCGTTGACAACCGCTTCGGTCAAAGCTTAAGAGAGGAGGTTGAAGGCATAGCTGAAGCGACTAGAAAATGTGGAAAAGCCGTAAAAAGACCTAGATAATGCGTTGTTGTTCATTGAGTTCGAGGGGGACTGCTTTCCCTTCAGGAGGTTCCCCAGGTAGACGGATATCTTGGTCCTTCGTTCCTTTGGTACAAGTGGCCCAGTTATAGGGTACAGCTGGGCACCCGTACTGGTCTGGGAGCAGGTGTTAGCAATACAACTCTTGAGCCAGAGGATTGCTAGCTCACCTGAGCGCTAGATTGGCGCGTTGGTTGATATGGTCGCGCGAGCTGACTGAAGCGTGGATTGACTGGTGTGTACTGGGTTAGGGAGAAGGTGAGAGAAGCTGTGCAGCTAGACATTTGGTGCGCTTTATATGCCCCGGGCGAAAACCTTGATGTTGCATGGTGGCTTGTGAGTCGGCCGCTATGAATCTATCAGAGTAGTGCCGTTCACTCGTTTGACTTCTTGCTGTACTGCGGCAAATTGAAACTGTGTTTACTTTAGCGTGTGTGGTCATGGGTATAAGCCGCTTCATTTGGTAATATATCTAACTGTGGAAGTCCCTTCTTGAGCAGACGAAATACAATATACAATATTAGATCCTTTGAATTCAATGGCATACTATATAGTATGTTTTATTTGGATGATCATCCGGGATGTTCCGCTGATAATTGTGACAGATGGCTAGTTTGTCGGTTGTCTAGGCAGAGCAACAACCCACGCCGTGTATGGATATTTAGTAATTCGTACTCTCCGGCGTAGTTGGTGGGCTCTCGAGTATATTTCGCGGCTACCAGCCGGGAAAGTTTGAAGAAATAACTTGTCATCGCTGTGATGAATATACTTGGTTGGTCGTAGAGATTGAGATACGAAGTTGTTGTTATGGCGTTTGATGTACATTAGGTCACAATTACCGCATTCAGTTCGTCATCATTCGTCGCTCGCTCGCTAGAATCAAGGGTTAGGGTTACTGGGTGAGGAGGCTAACTCCCGACCTGCGCCGTGGTTGGGTTTCGCCACCTCTTATCCGTAATTCCATATCCGTTGTACAGCCAGGTTGCCGCCGCCATCTCTAAAATCACAATCCTAGCAGCGCTCCCTCCGCATCGCTCAACGCCAGAGCATCATCAAACCGCAGCAACCCACAACATGGCATCGCCAACTTCAAATGCAGAAGCACTGAGCGAAGTACCGCAGGTGGTCTTTCGGCCGGGCAAAAAGAGGAAAATGTACCGCCAGCGATCCGACGGCGTGTCAACAGCAACTGCCGAGAGTGACCACCTCGACCGCCCCTCAGCACCCCTAGTCGCCAATACCCCTGGGCCAGCCACCGAGACAGACGATGCCGATGCCGAGCAGGGCCTGGTAGTCGCAGAAGCGCTCAAATTGCGCAACGCCCGAAAGCACAGGCATGGCGGCGTCGGCTTCCGTGCCGGCGCCTTCTCGCATGGCGACGACAGCCCCGCACCCAACGGGAATACGGAGCAGGGCATGGTTCTGCACGATGGGGCCGATGCCGCGGATGGCCTCATACTAGGCGGCATCCCGAAGCGCTTTGCCCCGCAGACGGGCCTGGCCGGCGAGCTGGTCAATAAGCACATGTGAGTAACTTCTCCTAACAGAGACCCCCCAAGGGGCGCGACCAGTGCGGGCAGCGGCTGATTAAGCAAGGGAGGAATATGTAGAATCCGAGCTGGCTAGACGGAAGCGGAACGCTGTCGAGGCGTTGGAGCAGCAAAGCAGCCACCAGGACGGCACATCGCAGTCGGCCCGCGGTTTTGATTCGGTGGCAACAGTGGGCGGCAAGCAGGTCGAAACGCAGCGCGCCCTCCTTGGGAAGCTCCAGGAAATTGATCTCGGCGACGAGGCTCGGGCCCGCAACATCGCCATGACGGAGCGTGCGAGGCGACGCCTCCAGGGCCTAGCCGCCGAAGATGAAGAGGTGCCTGGCAGTCCACCCAAGAAAGCCCGCCTCGGACCGGATGGCAAGCCGTGGCGGCCGAGGAACCGGAGGGGAAGTGACGATATCAAGCGTGATCAGCTCGTCGAAGAGTTTTTGAGCGAAAACAGACGTGAGTGTAACCCTCGGCCTCAGCCCCGTACTCATCGGGTAAAAACGTTTCCCTCGAGAGAATAAATGTGCTGACATATGATACAGTTGACGTCTACGACATGGCGCCTGAAACGACTGCCCCTGAGACGGGCATGGATGAAGAAGAACTGGCCGCAGACGACCGGATCGCGGAGCAGTTCCGACGCGACTTCATGGACGCCATGTCGCAGAGGCACCGACGGAGGAAGCCTGCTATAAACGCGGTGCCGCGCCCCAAGGCGAATCAAGATGAGATTCTCAAGGGCCCCAAGCTAGGTGGTAGCCGCAACGCTAGGGCAGCTATGCGAGATCTTTTACTGAAGGAACAAGTCAGGAAGCAGAGATGAGGGCGCATTGCAGTATGACCAAGGCTAGCTATCAGCGACTGGGCGACTGAGCGCTGCACGAACAGACGGCCCTTCTCTGCAGCATGCGCAAGTCGAGTCGAGTTCGGTCGTCGAATTGGGGACTAATTGCGATTACACAAGTGCTGACGCCTCTCGAGTCTCAACACCATGCGCATCTGCTTCATGAGGAACGCGTAGCATCTTTTTGATCGGGATCAGATACGACAAAATGTTAAATTATCACAACAAAAGCCGCTTTCGTCCTGAAGCCTTGACCCTTTGCAATGTCACGGATTGTGCTTTGAATTTCGCGGAAAGAAGCTAAGATCCGGAGCCGGACCCGAATCGGAGCCGGAACCAGAGTCGGGGTTCCACTTGCAGACTTGGGGTTTCCAGCGAGTCAGCAACCACCTGGAAATTCTCCGAAACGGGCCAAGACCGTCAGCACAGGCCTAGACGGGCACGCCAACTTCACTAATCAAAATGCAGTCCAGGATCAGCCGCTTGCTTGCCGAGAGCCTTTTGGAGCGTGAGGGGTCCAACACTAAACTACAATTTGACGGGAGGATGGATCGTCAGCAATAAATAGCTCAGCCCCCCAGTTGCTGACACCCACCAAAGACCACTACCCACCCTCTTGGACAGTGCGGGTCGCTGGGTTCTCAAGACGGAGGTCGGCCACTTTAATGTATACGCGGACCACAGTGTGCCAAGACACATGCGTGTTGCTCTGTCTAGAGTCTGTCCGTCTTCTTACATATCATTCTGCAAACGTACATGACTGCGGAAGGAAGCCGTGCTCTTTCTTGCACCCAATAGGCCCAGATGAAGGACGATGCCCGTCGGCTGCTGGTGCACCGCCTTTCTATTCGGCCGGGGAGGGGGGCGTCGTTCGGCATCTTTAATCAGCAACATTGGGGAAGCCGTTTGAAGTTCTTGTGTGATGGTGTGCAAGTACTATGTATCTACATACTTGGGTGTCTACTCGTGTCTGTCAACCTAAGCTAATTACATAGAATTATAGAACATGGCATAGCATATGAACTGCTCTGTTTATTGATTAATTGATTACTCCTACTCCGTTCTCTCTCATTATCTGTGCCTCCTTCCGATGCTGGTGATGGGTAGAAACAAAGATATCCGAGTCACTGCAGCGTCTCAAGTACGCCAGCTTCCGATTGAGGGGGTCTGGTTCCGAGGGCCCTTTCCAGAAGTGGCCAGACCCAAGAGCGTACCAGAGCCAAGTAAGCCAGGAGAGCAGGGGTCCGATGCCCCCTCTTCCCATCTTCCCCCCTTTGCGGCATAGGTTGGAAACTAAAGACGGGGAGCTCGTTTGGTTGGTGAGGCTGCGCCTCTCGAGCCCTTTGGCAGCAGCGCTTGGCTTTGGGGTTTGGGCGGTGGCATGGGAACAAGCGTAATCCTCTGCTTCTCAGCTGAAGGCTCTCAGTTCCGGGGGGCACGGCGGGAATTTGTAGTGGGGGAGTTTACATCAGAGTGCTGACTGCGAGACAGAACGGACACGCGGAGAGAGCCTTGCCCTTCCAATCTAATCTTTTCTCCCCCACGGCGGTGCCTCTCTTTGTGTTCCCCTTCCATTTATTTTCTTTTCCGTGTCATCCCTTCTTTCTCGAAGGCGTCGCTCGGGCACAGCCGTCGACTGTTACATTGAGCACGCCGGTAACAGCAAACAGCAAAAGGGCCTCTTTCGCCACAACCACAAACACGCCCGGCCGGGCTCGATTGACGGCATCCGGGCGCGGACATAATTGGCTAAATAAACGGAAAACGTGCAAGGGCTAGGACCGAGCGAGGACGGGGCGATGAGACCACCTCCCTGAACAAACCCAAAAAATAATCTCGCCCCAAGACGACGGCGAGATATTGATTCGGGCACCGGGAAGTGTTGCGGCTGCGCAGAAGCCATAGTCAGGGACGACCAGAAATGCGAATATCGGCAGGGAGGGCCTGGCTGCTGGCCGCCCTTTGTCTAGGAACTGCCAATAGCGACGCCGTTGAGTTTCAGGAAATGACATTCACGGGAAGCGACCCGGCAAACCCGCAAAAAGCCATCTTCAGTCTCACGGATGAAACGGCAGTGATGAGCAAGAATTTTAGCTGGCTGTCGCCGGGAATCCGCGTCAACGAGATCAGGCTGTTCTACATCGACGACAACAACCTCGAGAAGCAGATTGGCAACGGCACCGCCAATGCCGCCGCCGCCAGCCAGGCCATCGGGAGCGGGAACGCAGGAGGCCTTGGTACTGCCAGCGCCGCCGGCACTGGTGCTACCCCCGAGAGGCGGCAATTCACCGGCACCGTTAACGGGATACCGCTTACAGGTGGGCTTGAACACGGGACCTCCGCTCAAGGGCTTTGCTAACAGAGACATGCATGGCAAACAGTCGACTCGACGGAAAACGGCGGCGTCGTCTTCTTCACCAATCAGACAAACGTCCTTGCGATACAGTCGGTCGCCCTGTACTTTGAGGCCGTGTGGCCCAATGGCGACGGCAAGAGCTACAGCAGGGCCTTCACGTTTGTCGACGTGGCCAGACTGGACCTCCTAACTAAAGCCCAGCAAAACCCCATCTTGGCCGACCCGAACCCGCGCCACACCGAGGTCAACACGACTCTGACCACTGGCATCGCGCCCATTGCCGGAACAACGACGGGAACATTCAGCACCACCACGTCCACGTCCACGTCCTCCACCACCGCCGTCGCGGTGCCGGAAGCCGACAAGCCGGCCGGTGGGTCCGCCGGCGGCCTCTCCATCGGCGCCATCGTCGGCATTGCCGTGGGCGCGGGCGTCGCGGGACTGGCGGTCATCGCCGGCATCATCCTACTCATTATGCGGCGGCGGCGGCGGCAGCAGTCGCGGCTAGCGCTGGGCGGCGCCGCGGACCCGTACGGCACCGACCGCCACCACCGGCCCGAGAACCTGATCATGGCCGAGAAGGAGGAGGCCAGCGCCGGCGTCGACGTCGACGGCTCACCGCATTCGCCCTACTCGGACGACGGCGTCGCTGTTGCTGTAGGTGGTGGTGTCACAGGTACAGGTACCCCCTACCACGAGGCCTCGTTACATCAAACGCACCCCACCACTATCATCCCGCCTGTCGTCGCCGCCCCCAGTGCAACTCCTGTCGCACCAGTCGTAGTACACCGCCGCCACCCAGCAGCTCAGCTGCAGCAACAACTCCTGCTTCAACAGCAACACCAACAGCAGCAACACCAACAGCAGCAACACCAACAACAGCATCCATCCTCACCAATACCTCCCGAACAGTCGTCGCGGTCCTACACGCCGTACTCGGACCGGCCGACCGCCTCGCGGCTAGGATCATCAAGCCCGCAAACAGCAACAGCAGTAACAACAACCGTGGCCGATGAGACGATGACGACGACGACGACGCGCAGCGCCATGGCTAGCCCCGTGCCGCCGGGCCGCGTCACGCCGCATGGTGTCTCAGCGCAGTACGCCCACCTCGTTGAGGAGGGCATGACCGAGGACGAGCTGTACCGACTCGAGGAGGAGGAGCGGCAGCTTGATGCAGCTATTGAGCAGTCGTCGTCGGGCAGAGGGGCCGGAGGGGCGGCGTTGCATGACCACACCGCAGGGGGGAGGTTTTGAGGCTGTTTTTATTGTTCATAGTCCTATATTTGTGTGTTTTTAAGGAAGGGGGTTATTCTTATTCTCTTTCATATTGGAAAATATATCTCTTTTATTTCGTGTTACGTTGCCCATAGCTATTTTTACGTCTTATACCTCTCAGCGGTATGTATGTATCTACGAATACGGGATCGGGGAATATGTGGGTGTTGTTGTTTTGTGAGTGTGTTTGTTGTATGTCCTTCCCGCGAGGAAGAGAAAGGGGAGCGAGAGCCGGAGTTCTTGTTGTCGTGCTTGTCTTTTTGAAGATTTTGGGTAGGGTTCGTTGGAATGGGGGTGGTTGTTGTCGCTGCAGTCGCCTTGCCTTGCCCTGCCTTGCCTTGTTACTTTTTCCCGTTCGTTCGTCTGTCACCCTCTTTCCATTACATCCCTTCACGACGCCCACAAACAAACATACGGCAAACAACGAGCGGGACAACGTCAGAGCCACGTTCTACCACGATGCCCTTCTCACACAGAATTTCCTGGCACAACACTCGATTCATTTGCTAACCGCCACCGGGATATTTGTTTATTTCAACACCCCCGGAGAGCGTCCTCACACAGTCAGCGATCAGGACATACAAACATACAATCATACATACTATATATCATACATTTTGTTCATACATAAGTAGTTACTTAAAGGGTAGCAAAGTAGCGGCAGGACTAGAACAAGGACCATGGCCTACCTTATCTTATTTCGTGTTGTACATAAAATACTTAACATAACATAACACCAGGGGGCTTGGGATGGTGGTGGAAGACAAGAATGGAAATGCGTGCCCTAATTCGATGCCTCAACCACCGCTTCACAATCCATATCAGGTGGTAAGATTGGCTGAGTATTGCAAGTGTTGGCAGTGTTTGCAGAAACGACTCTTTGACTTTGGCGTTGAACTCTGACCGCCACCATTCAAATACACGCAGAGTTTCTCGCATCATATCATACACACACTGACATAGAAAAGAGACACTTTGCCAGCCAGCCGTGGCCAATTACTGTCCCTCTCTCAAGAGATCAAAAAATAAATTAATTCTTACAATTTTTATCCCGTCTTGTCATACGTAGTAGCGTCCCAAACTAAACCAAACCAAACCCCCCGGCGCCGCCTTGGAACAAAGTGTCGCGACAAAAAAGAGTATCAAAAAAATAGGATAAAAATAAACGACAGTGAAGCTTCGTATTGGTAACCACACGTCCACCAGGATAGATAGACCCCGGCTTCCCGTTTTTGGGGTATTATCTTGAGAAGAACCTCCCCAACATGTTGCTTGCGATGCTCCCGGCGAGGTTGCCCGAGCTAAAGGCGCTCCCGGCCAGGTTGGACGCCTGGCTGAACTTGTCGCACCGCGAGAAGGCGAGCGAGTTGGTGATGGTTAGGGCGAGCGCAATGGCTGTATTGTCATGTCAGTCCTCGACTCACAGTTTTTCATGTTCATGTTCAGAGGAACGCACCAACAAGCGGCAGCCATATAAAGTTGAGGCGGAACAGGGCGACGACGGCCAGCACGAACCACAGCAGCGGCTGGGCGTAGATAGCGAGCCAGAAGAAGCGGCTGTCGGTGGCGTTGATGACCTTTGTGCCGGGCTCGCTGCTCTCAAAGACCCAGTGCGAGTCGCCCGTCGAGGGGTCGACCTCGTTCCACCAGCGCAGCCCGACGAGCCGCCGCCCGGCAATGTTCTTGAGGTAGTAGAAGTCGGCCGCGAGGAGGAGGATCGTGGCGATGAAGATCATGACGCTGCCGGGTTGTAGCATCGGTCAGCGGTCACAGGTTCAAAAGAGAGGCAGGCTTTCAACAACAAACTTACAGGCTGTCGGTGAAGAGGAGGAGGCCGAACAGATAGACGAGCAAACTAGCTTCAGGACGGCAGACTCGTCAGCAAACCAAGCTCGACTCTAACAAACAGGATAGGTACTGTGCGTGTTGCATACAAACTCGGAATGCTAGAAAGGTCAAGAGCGTGATGGGATGCGAGCTCAGGCGCCAGCTGAGGGCGCCCGGGCCTGTCCGTTCTAGATCCATGGTTGGCGCAGGTGAGGTGCGGGATTGATGCTATCGCAGAGCGCAACGAGAGACCATGCGCGCCCGGTTTGGTCGACTTATTGGGGAGCTGTCGAGGCGAGCTGTCGAGGTACGTATCTAATTGCGCCGAGAGTGGACACGAAACTGCGAGGCAAGGTACGTAACCCAAGACGCTGTCTGGTTGCAGGGCGTAGCAGGGGCTGCAGTTAGCGACAGGCACGGGCTGGCTTTGACTAATAGCAGCCGCGCGCAGCTGCCACCGGCCCGACACTTATCTTCATCCACTTCCCAGGGGACGAGACATGTGAGCGGGGGACTCTGGGTACGGAATCAAATACATCTTCTAGCGACATAGCAATCACTCAGGAATAGCGGCTGGAACGAAGATAGCAGCCCATGATGAAAACCCAATCAGCGCTATCTGTCCTGCGGCGGGCACTGCTCTATGGTACTTAAAACACCACCATCACCGTCCATCAGCATGTAAACAACCCTCGCTAACTCTTGTTGCTAGTTCCCTCGAGTAGTGAGAAGATGCTGGCCAAGTCTCTCCAAACAACCTGTGACAACATCACCTACGACCTCGAGGACTCGGTCACTCTGGGAGAAAAGGACTCCGCCCGCCAACGCCTCGCTCACCACCTCGGCGGCCTTCGGCAGCGACCACCGGGCGTCGGTGAGCTAGCTGTGCGCATCAACGCCGTCTCCACGGGCTTGGTAGCCCACGACCTCGCCGCCATCAAGAAGTTCCCTGTACTCGATGCTGTGGTCGTGCCTAAAGTCAACAGCGCCAGTGAACTCAAGCTTGTAGCTGATCACCTCCGCTACGCCTCGCGGTCCGAGTCGGCGCCGCGGCCCAGGTTGATCGCCCTCATAGAGTCCGCTCGGGCAGTCATGGATTTGCGTGAGATATGCAATGCCACTTCCGACCTGGACGGCCTGATCTTTGCCGCCGAGGACTTCGCCCTAGACCTGTCCCTCACTCGGACGCCCAGCTTAACCGAATTCCTCTTTGCCAGGAGCGCCATAGTCACCGCCGCCAGGGCCTTCAATATCCCCAGTACAATCGACATGGTCTGCACGGCATACAAGGGCCCCGACGCCGAGTCGACAATCAGGGCCGAGTGCCGTAATGGTAAGCAGATGGGATTTAACGGAAAGCGTATGTCAACCCTCCCGAAACTCTCACCCCCGGTCTCTCTACATAGGCAGCAGGCATTGCAGGGGGGTCTTACTCGCTAACTATAGAGGCGATTGGCATCAACTAGAATGCATCCACCCTAGCCAAATAAGTACCGTCCAGACTATGTTCGGGCCATCTGAGGAGGAAGTCGAATGGGCGATACGTGTCGTTATTGCCGACGCGCGGGCTTCTGCTAAAGGGCGAGGTGCTTGGACTTTGGACAGTAAGATGATCGATGCGCCTGTAATCGGCAAGGCCGCTGCCATTGTGGTAGCAGCAGAGAAGAGCGGTTTCGATATGGCGGCCGTGAGAAACAAATGGCAACACCAACAGCCTGAGTAGTCCAACGCTACCAAGGCGGAGTGCGCATTTCTCAGGACTGGCCACCTGCTGCATATTCGTATACTCACGCGTCGAGACACTCTGCAGTTGACAGGTATGAACAGTTGACAGGTATGAACAGTTGACAGGTATAAAAGTGACAAGCATAAGATAGATAGCCTTGTGGTCAGATTCTCGGCAAATACCCCATTCCATGATCCTCGGTATCGCCATCTCTACCTATAGGTCTGTACGGAGCGATCAAGTTGAAAGCGTCACAGCTTGGCGCTGTGAGACTAGTAGAGGTTCGGGTCAGCGGATCAGGACCGGCTGGAAACTAATCTACGTTTGGTTCTGTCAGTAGTGTTCTCTCCTCGTTGTTTATAACCACCCGAGGCGAGTCTACTAGCGCGTCCATGAGGCTCAAGTTACTATACTCGCCGGCGCCATGCTCCTCTTGTTGGGCTGCTGTCCCCAAAGTTTCTCGTTCTATTCTTTCGATATAGTCTTCCATCCTCTCCAATACAGGCTTTTGCCTAGCCATGGCCGAGGCCGGGGCGACCTGGTTTCTGAAGAGGGCGGCACCATGTTGGCTACCCTGGAATGGGACAGAGATATGATGAGCCGGACGGAACAAGAGCTGGGCATCTAAGCCACTCTGGTATTCCAGAATATCATTTCCAGCCTGACCAAGGCTGTGATCTCGTACATGTAATGGTCTTCTACTGAAGGCCGAGTCAAGTTCTTCGGGGATTGCATTTCTCGTCGATCCCTGCCCATGAAAGAGGGGTTCAACACTCGCCGGCTCCGTCCATTGGAGCAATTGCATGCTTCCATTCCGATCTCGTCGGTTATCTTGCCGGGGCTGTAGCCCACAAGATGCTTCATTCGATACGACCGTAGACAGGGTTCCCGGGCCCTGGGCAATCGAAAACTCTGGCCGTGTTTGTATTTGGTTCGGCTGAAGGAGCTCAGCATTTGTGACACGGTAGGAGACGTGCGTCTCCGGAATCTGATCTTCTTGAACAAGTCCTGAGACCGGGGGATTTGCTGTGTCACAACCACCTGAAGCACTGAGCCTCTGGCCTTTGAGTCGCGGATCGTTTGTTTCTATACCAGATGACGGAACGGCTTTAGTATATGGCTCTGTTTGCGATGCTGCATCCCTGTAGCCCCCGTGTATCTCGGGACGATTTGATAACCCCAGGGCGTGTCGCCTTGATCTTTTACATCTGGCGCTCCCCACGCTGCCTTCACCAAACGCACCCCTTTCGGACTCGGGGGTGTGATCATTGGTAGTGGTCACCTCCGAGAAGAAATCGTCATGGTTGGCCCTGGTCTCGAGATTAGTGTCGGTTGTCGACCAAGTGAAACAGGCTGTTGTGTTGCTGCTCGAGCGGTCTCTTGGAGCGTTTTGGTGACCGCGAACTTCCGGTCCCTGGTCAAGGCCGCTTTGGCGGAATCCGTGCTCCCGTTGACCGGTAATCTGGCCGCCTCTCCTGGGTAACTGGGGGTCGTAACCTGAAACATGATCTCTTCGGCCCCTGGAGATTTGGTGAGGGTTGCCGCGATCCCGGGTACCATGCGCATGCCTTATTTGAGCTCTCTCCCTACCACCCACGGCGTTTTGTTTCTCCTTGGATGCATTGTTAGAGAAAAATGCTCCTATCTCCTCCAAATTTCTCTCTTATTCACCAGGAAGTATCTTGTGGGTTTTGCCTCTCGGGGCCGATGGCTTCCTTCCCCCATTGATGACCGGGGACCCAGAGACAACGATATCGGATTCATGATTTCTGGCTGTATTCCGTCAGCAGGTTGCTGCTCGTCGGCTAGAACTACTTACCTTGCGAGAACCCCTCGTTACCTCCTGCTCTGAAATTTCCAATGTTTGACGACTGGCGACGCTACCATAATGTTAATTCGAGATATTTTTTTTTCTTTGGTATATAGCATGCAACCTCACCGAAAGCCGATCGTTGATGGTGACCTTTTCTCTCCTGTCGTTCTCCACGGCCTGCTTCCGCACGTCACTTCTCTTGGGACCCACGTCGAGTTTCTGGATATACTTGTCTTCTCGAGTCTTGTAGCGGGCCCTCTTTTCGAAGCGAGCCTCAGGTTGGTTGCGTTTCTCGGCAAACGCAGAAACTCCCCTTGAAGACAATCTTCTTCTCTTCCTCTTGTCCTGGCTTTTGGTCTCAGGAAGAGCCTGTGACGAGGAATGCCGCAAGGTTTCAATTCTACTATCTTCGGGGAATTTGGGGTGATGGGGCTGTGTTCGACTCAGCCAAGACTGAACAAGTTCGTCTTTCGTAAGATCTAGGTGGGCTTGAGGTTCTAGACGGCTCCTTGGATGGCGGCGCCTATGCTCTAGTTCCCGCGAGTAAAGGTGTGGCGAGCGTGCCCATCGCCGTCAGGGCTACGGCCACTTCGTCTGTGGCGATGATAGTTTTGGCTTTGGGATCCGGGCAGGATCGACGAGTCCGACTCTGGGGCATGATACCTCGATGGCTTCATGGCTTAAAGACACACAAACGAGCACACCGTGCGGACCTACAGGCTTGATCGTGTCCGACGAGGTTGACTGGATTTGGAGCGCCGCTTATGCCTTCCGCCCGATTTGAATCATGCGCAGATTCCATGGCTGGGTCCAGCCCGACAGGGTCGAGCTTTTCCCAGCTTCTTGCCTTACTTACCGCTGATAGTCTGTCTCGGTTCACCGAGCCCCATAAGCTATGGCGTCTGAGTACGACGAAAGGGGAAGGTGCTCTAGCCTTTGAAAACTTAAAGTGTCGCCCTGTTCCTTTTCGTGATGACAAACAGGCAGGGAAGGGAGCTCGAGCCCCGACTTTGGGGAGAAAACGGCAGGAGCCGCCATCAAACGCTCCCGTCCGAGTCTTACTCTGCAGATCCATCCAAGAATAACTTGAAGGATCCGATCTCGTCAAGTCGTACTAACCCTCCACGAACTCTTCTACGCTCCAAGAACCCTGCTGCAAATCCCATTTAACCACCAGAGTGCAGAATGGCGTTAGGTATCCCGAGGTTCTCAAGAGACGATTCTGCCTGTGAGGGCGAGAAATGTGCGTTACAAGGGCGATACGTACTGCAACAAAGCGTTGGGCGTTTGTACATACTACTAGTAGCTTGGACGATTCATCATGGATAGCACGGCTAAGCATGCGCCTGTTACGAGAGCCGGTCCGCCAACGAGGCCAACACTATCCAGAGCCTTGACCTCGTTTTAGCCATGCTCAGCCAGTCAGCTGCGATAGCACCGGCTCACCGTGTACTCTTTGGTGAGTATGAGACTCGGCTTTTCGGATCGATCCACTACAACTCCTGAAGACGAAGAAGATAACGAAGCGAGGCTCCGGAACCGGCCCGCAGGGCCCTAGAACATGTCAACTCTAATTTCATGCCCTCCACGCCGGGGCGGGAACCCAAGCTGCCCGGGCGGGAGGGTAGCGGTCGCTTCCCCACGGCCTCTTTGCCGAGAGTGATCGGGAACTTCCAGATGAGATGAACCGTGCCAGGCATGTCAAATGCATCTGCAGGACGCATCTGCGGGACAACACTGGTGGTACGCACTAGAAGCTAGTATGCTGGCTCCGCCGCTTTGACGTCTCCTGGCCCGGCACTGATGAGATGGGACCCGATAGATCATGAGCCCCAAGCTCAATATTAGTTGTCTTAACCTTCTGGCTCTAGGTATCACAACCAAGGTAGGGGGTGGGGAGATGTACGGGCTACTGTCCGTGTTGTTAGTCGTAACTATCGAGACTAACAAGTGCTCTGGCTCCCAGCCAACCTCTCCCCTCCCCCCTCCTAAGCAAGAACACCCTCAAAATATCAAGAGAGAGAGCAAACCAAGTTCACGCTAGCCGACGAGATCTGAGGCTGGATATAGCTGGGGTTGATCGTGTTTCAATCGACAGCGACCAAGTCTTGGCGGCCGGACCGGCCTTTTCGCTTTATGTTTATACACAGAGAGAGCTCATGGAATGCAGTAACACTGTGTGTAACTATTACCCCGCCGACTGAAGCTCTAGATGAAGCTCTGAAGCCTGGGTCAAATGTAACGAGCCCCATCTAGCCATCGGTTAAGGCCGTCTCCAAATCGGCGCGACCCGGTTAATTAGGCGATCAACGGCCGACTGTGTGGGTAAGGAGTTGACTGGTGGCGGGGCGCTTGGAGATGGTCGCACGGCCTCTTGTTCTGGTAAGCCTGCGGAACACACGGCGTGTCGAATCTCTGGCCGGATGCCAATCAGGTCCCAGGGTCGCAACCTCGTCCAAGCCGGCCAATACTTGCTTGGCCATTCCCTGCCCTGCCCTGCCTTGCATTTTTGTTCTTTATCAGATTCTGGCAACGCGTATCGAGGCTTTCAAACCCCAAGATCGGCGCACCTTCACCGACGACTTCGCTACGGCCCCAAGATGCCATGCCAGCGTGCGCGCATGTCTTTTTTTGTGTGCATCGATTCGGGTAGCCTCTGGTGCTTCGTTGGCTGTGCCTAGACTCCGGGAGCGAGTGGTAGGACCTATTTCATCACATGATTATACAAGACTGCGGGCTTCCAGGTTTGAACTTCCCGATGGGAGCCAAACTAGGCGACTGACAAACCTCCCTAGCCACCAGCATTTGTACATCTTGCCTGCGATTGAATGGCGTAAGAGCTTAAGCTATTCCAGAACATAAGGGAGCTAGGATCGACTGTTGGGATTATTCAATTAGATCGTCGCCGGCGAGCATATGAGGGACGAGGTAGTATCGAGTCTCTCGATAAAAGCCAAAAAGCCACATGGGAGATGGTCCAAGTTCCACCCCTAGCTCAAAAGCGACAACGGCCAGAAAGCAGCCAGACTGTAAATCTGGGAGAGGCTGAAACTGGGCTCCCCGCCCACCGGTTGGGCGCTTTGAGCTCTAGGCCGTTGTGGTGGTGGAAAGCTGCGGTCAGTTTCGCATCTGGTCAGGATCTCCAACCACGATTCATGCCGTCAGTCCACATTTTTTCCTTTCCAAGTCACTACCACCCCAACCCCGGCCATGTGCTCTCTCCGAAGCTACCAAGGTTACGAGCATAGACTTGCAGGAGGACGTGCGGCGGCGATATGGCGGCGACATTTTCAAGATCGAGGGGAGAGAAACGCTGGCGCAAACCTGTTTCCCAAACGAATCATGGATGTGGGCGGCGTGTCGCCCTTCACCATGGCACTTCCCGGCTTGTCAACCCTGTCTGCTTACCTTGCCCACTAGGGAAATGTCAAAGGGCTGATTGCCTTGGCAGCATGATCCCAAGACCCCGCTGCAGAAAAAAAATAAGAATAAGAAAAACCCCTTCTTTGAGAGTCTACACGACACGCAGATGGAGGCGGCTGCTTCAGCTTTCTAGGTTGTGCCGGGTCGGGGTTTAGTAGCGGACCGCGGGTCTAGCCCCTCCGCAGGGACGATGTCGTTATCGATATGGGACGCCTCTTCCCCCCCTTTTTTTTGGTCTCCCCCCCCGGAGCCGTGCCCGCAAGCTAAGCGGGAAGGGTGCCGCCGACCGCGTTCTGCGACCAGCTGGTCTGGTCGTCTGGGGTGGATATGATCCCAAGGCAGGGCGAGGCGGCACACTTCGACTTGGTGAAATCCATTCTCAACAAAGATGTGTGATGTTGCATAATTGCCTTGCATATTTGCCAATGCCGGCAAAATCTTGCCCCCCCAATGCCTTTGTGAATATTGGCGTTTATTAATACCGCTAGGGCCAACGGGAGCGCGGGCGACATCTAAGAAAACCTGGATGCGAGTTCCCTAGAGGAATGCCCCCTTCCTGGATAACGGTTACCTACAGCACCTAGCTCTCAACTGCCAGATGGCGTGTTTCCCAGCTAGCGAGTCTCGGCAAGGATATCCATGGATGACATGACGAAACCGCGAGTCCCAGACATTGGGCCCCGTTGATGTGTGGAGAAGCCCAAACGGGAGGGAGTGGTGGCAAGACCCAAGTGTGGGGTTGTCTGTCGAAAGGCTCCTTTTGGGTGGAATGGAGGGCTGATCAAGGATCTCAGAGACTTACTAACAGTCTCTGACCAATCCTACATTTTGGTCGGCGAGGAAGCCAGGGGCGGGGGGGATACTTGGGCTAGTGTTAGGGAGCGCTCCGGAGGGGCAGTGTTAATCTCGAACACTTCGAGAGATGTTCTGTGGGCTGGCATGCCAGGGGACTTGCAGCGAGCGGCAGGTGGTGCCCAAGGAGGAATGGAAGGTACGTCCATACGGTAATTATGGTACGGTACCGACCTACCTGCCTTACATTGGTACTGTACGGCAGTGGAGAGACGAGAGGGCAGCGATGGAGGGCAATTCGCCGCTTGCCCCTCCAGAGTCCAAGCAGCAAATCGCAAACCGTTAGGTTCCTGGGGCTGCGATTCTTTCGTCTGTTTGATACTTGTTTGGGGGCTGACCATGCTTGCCATGCTCGTACCATCATGCTGGTCGAAACAATGACTGGCCATCAATTACCCTGTCTGGGAGCTCCCTAGATAGGCTCATTGCTGTGTGTCATGGGGGGCAGTGGAAAGCGGTGCCTTTCGTCCATCCATCCCCCCCCAAAAGAAATACCCACCTTCTAGCATATAAAACGGGTAGCGTCAAAAAAAAAAACCCAACCTACCGACCGACCGCCTCTCGTCTCCCCTCCCCTCCCCAGCCTACCGTACTCCCGCCAACCAGCCGGTAATGATAGGAGGCCTTGGAGAACCCTGACCCTTCCCTACATAACACAGCTACACTAACACCCCACCGTCCTCTGCCCGTTGTCGGTCTTTCCCTCTGCCATCCTCGCATTTTTCGCTTGGAAAACCTCGAGCTGCGATTTTATCGAAATCAAACAACCTCTCCGGCTGAACTCATCAAGCCGTCCACCCCACGACATCTTCAGTCATTCCCGGATAAGAGATTCTCGCTCGTCGCCAGATCCTGCCCCTCCTCCAGACCATTAGGAAAGCACCCAGTGTGAGTCCCTCGTCCGTCTTCTCCTTTCCATTCCAAAGCGCCCGTCACTGGCACCTTCCGTTCCTTGATTACCTTGACTGCTTCGCTTCACGCGGCCATCAACTTCGCCTGTCCGTGAGAGCGGTGGAGGCGTCGAGAATATCGCAACCACTTTCTGCGAAATCTCCGCCGCATATCCTTAGGCCTAACCTAACCCTCGTCGCCCGTGTTTTTTTTGCCGCGGCGGGGTTCTGAAATCCTGTCGCCCTAAAAAGCTGACACGACCCTGACAAACCTGGTCACTCCTTAATGACCGCTGGCTGAACAATTCTTGACACAAACAGTTCGTCGATTCCCACAGCAAAGATGTCGAAGCTATTCATTGGGTAAGAACTTCCAACCCGAAAAAGAAAGGGACAGGCGTGCTAGCCATAAATCCCATTGACGCAGTTGGTGACTAACCGATCCGCAGAGGCCTTGCTTGGCACACGGAGGAGAACAAGCTGAGAGAGAAGTTTGAGGAGTTCGGCCCCGTTGAGGAAGCTGTATGTTACCTCACACTGCCTTCACATTGACGCCACGCTCTCGCTTGCCTTCTTGCCTTTTCTCAAATTACGCATCGTCTGCGCAATGACTACCCGCAATCTAACGCGTTCCCCCCTTGCGCCACTTGTAGGTTGTTGTCAAGGACCGCGACACTGGTCGCAGCCGTGGCTTTGGCTTCGTTCGGTTCGAGAATGAGGCCGATGCCATCGCGGCCATTGAGAACATGAACAACATCGAGTAAATATACCTGGTACTCCGTCTTGACATGGGTGAAACGTTGACTGACTTGGACAATTTTAGGTTTGACGGACGGACGATCCGTGTTGACAAGGCTGCCGACAGTGGTCCGCGAGGCGGCGGCGGACGTGGTGGCGGCGGAGGCGGTTACGGCTACGGCTCGCCCCGTGGTGGCGGCTATAACGGTGGTGGTGGTGGCGGCGGCGGCTACCCCTCGCAGAGCCCCATGCAAGGATACGGATCTCCTCCCCAGCAGCAGCAATACCAGATGCCGAATGTGTACGGTCAGCCGTATGGACGAGGCTATCCTCCCCAGGCCGCTCCCCAGGGATATGCTTCCCCTCCTCCTCAGGGTAAGGAAATAACCAAACGAACAGAAGAAGAGAGCAGGGTGCTTTGCTAACGCAAACCAGGATGGGTCGCCAACCCGTACCCTTACCCCGACCCGCAAGGACAGCAGCAGCAGGCGCCTCAGCAGCAGCAACAGCAGCAGCAGCAGCCTCCCAACAACGGTCAGGGATATTAGAGTAAGCATGAGTTGCGATCGGTGTTGGGAGTCGTGACAAGGGCTCCGAAGTAGCCCATGTCGAGAACGCGGACGCCAGTGCATCAACGCAAGAAATTTAGGGTCGACAACGAGAAGAGCACGTACCTTTTGAGGACCTTTTTTTCCCTGCGGCGACGCATTGGTTTGCCGAGTATGCCGTTGACCATCCTATCCTGTACGATTCAGGCTGTGTTGGTTGCTCTTGTGATCGTCACCATATACCCCCTTGTGCTCTGTTATCTTTCTTTCTGGACTTGCTGGTGACCGCTATCAGCTAGGCTGGCCGTGCCTGGATATTCAAGGAATCATGTTTCGGCCATTCCTCTGGGTATATGGGTAATTTTGTCTTTGTGTTGCGTTTTCGAGTTGTTATTTCAACTATTTGGGGTTTCCTTGCCCTTTCTCGTTGCTTTAGATGCTGTGTTCTGCCGAAAAATGGGTGTTCTGTTTCTGCACCAGGATGGATTACGGCGGGTCGGATCTAGTCGGTTAGGCCGAAGGGCGAGGACTGCCTAGGGAGACTAGGAGATGACTGCAATAAAGATCCAGACGACCCCTACGTTGGTGCCGTTACTTTTTCTATACTGTGAGTATAGAAACTAGGCCATGGTCTGACCTGGCGCGGGACGGATAAGAATAGCCCCGAAAGGAGGAAATCGGCGGTGTTGGTAATGTCAAGTTGGTACGGGACAAGGAGCAAAAAAAGGGGAATGGTAGGAGTTGGGGGATCTCTTGCTGGAAACCCAGACAGTAAGGAAAAGGGGAAGGGAAACAAAGAAACTTTGCTGATTTTCAAAAAAGCTTCCACTTCATCACGAAGTCTTCTCTGTCTCTTCTTGCTCATCTATGCTGGTGATCTTTCTGAAGTCATGCTGTTGGGCCGGACTGACAAGCACAACAGAAGGGGGCGGACGCAAGAACTTGTCAGGTTGATCGTTTCTCCCTTCCGCAAACCGAGCCGCAACCGCCCGGACCCGATTTGACAGATCAGTGACGTGCTCGTCCCCACTCTCTGGGCTGAGACCGTCTAGAGCCTTTTCCAACCCCCAAAGATAGTCCCGGTTTAGGCCGCTGGGCCCCTCGCTGAGATAGATGTGCTCGGCAAGCTGCTGGGGGTCTTGAGGTCCGACGAACTGGTCGTTGTCTGGTGTCCCAATGTAGACAAGAGCCTGGATGGGAGCCCCGGGTTGCGTTGCTTGCAGAGAGACGACGGGATGGGGGCGGAGTTCGGAGGCTGGGTGGAATGGCGTGTAATGGATCGAGTACCCGTTGATCTCGCGGATGTCGAGGTACTCCTTCACTTCGGCAACCCGGTCGGGCAAGATCCGGTACGCGACGCCCCAGACTCGGTTGGGTGCCGAGTCATGATGGTCCGTCAGCGTCTCCCAGTAGGACCGCTCAATCAGCGTCACTACGCGTCCTGGAGCCTCCGGGGTGCCGCGGTGGTCTTCGCTGGGGGGTGGAAAAGCAGTGTCAGTTGCAGTCGGCTGAGCAAAGGGCAAAGAAAGGTTTTTGCATTGGAGATTGGAGGCAGCCCTAGAGGGCTGGGTTTGGCCAAAAGAGCATATATACGACTCAATTGACGGGGCCGCCGGACGTTGGTGCCTCGCCTCTTCTTGCGTGTCCTCTTCTGTGAGCCATCGGCATCGGGAGCAATGGTGCAACTAATTTACCTCGCCTATAGGATAGATTTAGTATTAAGTATCCGATCAGGGGGTGACGAACCGGGCAACTGGTACTGAGATGAGATCCGAACCGCATGATGGACGACCCCCCTAGGCGGCATGGGAGTGTGTTGTTCCTCGAGGAAGAGCAAAGAGGACGGCAGGGGGCTGTGAGGCCAGGTAAGAAACACTAACCTACCTGCCAGAACCGGCGCACATAGCCCGTCACCCAGCCTGGGATTCTCCTATCTTGGCCTGGTTAGCTGCCGTGCTACCGAACCATAGCCAGAAAAGTCAGGGTGTTGGGTTGTCGAAGCCGAGAAATTGGTATCGGGGAGGGACGGGCTTGGGAACAGGTGAGTTACCAAAGTGTGGCGGTGGCTTCCAGATCAAACTTCTACAGAGGTTTTAGTTAAGAACCCCCACGGACAGATGCTGCTGTTGGCTATTTTCTTTCTCCTTCTGTTGTTTGGGGGCGGTCGAGGCGCGAGATACCGCGATTCACCCACAACATGTGATGGTCGCTTGCTTACCCGTATCCAAACAGCCAGAAGTCGCTGGACTGGGCGGGAGGAGCCCTGTCTGACATGGCCGCTCGACTTGGCCTCAACAACCCTCAAAAAAACTCAATGGGCTAAAAGGGGCCAACAGTTAGCTGCTGCTTCGTTCATAATTCCCGCGGTCGTAGCCGTGGATTGGAAGGAGATGCAACCTTCGGCCTAAAAAAAGAAAATGAAGTGTCGGATCATACAGAGTTGCGTCAAAGGATAAGTTTGATGTCCCTGTTGGGTTTTGCGCAAAAGCCGCAGAGTCGAAACCGTTCCGCACGTGTATCTGACCTTAGTTATGCCCGAGCCCTTCGCTTTTCCAGGGACCTTCCCGTCCAAAGCCTTTAGGTGTACTTTCCCAACGCGATTCCGAGTCCCGAACTGGAAGGTATAGAAAGTATGTTCACGTAGAAAGATGGAAACCAGAAGGCAGGCGCACCTGGTATGTACGGCCTTTACGTCGTCTGCCCCACTAAGGTCATTCCGTGAGTGTACCGTAGGGCAAGCATGGATGTGCATACACACGGCAGGTACGGATATAGAGTTACGGTCGGTCACTAACTTGCCTATGAGACCTCACGCAAGACGCCGACCATGGGAGAGGCGGCATTCTTTTATTTCCAAAAAGGGGTCCTCCGACTCCTGTTGGCAAATTCCCGGCCACTTTGAAGTTGGAAGAAACGCTGCGCTTTGTAAAGAAGGCAACCTTAGGTAATTCGGTTTACTTAGAGATTCCGTCAAAGGAGGTGCTCCCGGAAACAGGAAAGCCGACCGGACCGATCCCTGCCTCCCGAGACCAAGGCTCCCCCATCGGGCCGCCATCACTTTGGCCAAATTTGTTATTGCGTTGTGGGACTAGGTGTAACTCACCTACCTGAGGGGCTTAGGTTGCCTTGGCCGCGTGGAACTCAAATATGAGGTGCAATACTAAGGCCAGTATCTAAGGTGCCTGTCGGTGGAACCAGAGGCTTCAATCCCGATTCCCGATCTCCATGGAAGAGAGCAAGGCGGACGCAAGAAAAGGAGGGCCAGCACGTGCAGCTGCAGCTGTCAAACTCATGCTGAAACCGTGAAAGGCAAGAGCCCCCTTCCTGCACATCCCGAGTTCCAGAGCAGGTAGGGTGCATCGAGGCAATAGGTAATAGTGGCACTTGGGCACTTCCTTAAATCCGTTACTTGCTGCTGGGTGTTCGAAATGACCTGCATCGGGTTTCCCTACTAGCTCGCTCTGCACGGGACCATGTCCATGTCTCACATGGACTCGTTGCCCTTCCCCCAGGCCAACAACGAGGAGACGATATCCGCCCCACCTTTCGCGCTTGCTTCTGCTTGGGGGGACGCCGCGCCGGTTTTCTGTGTATTTGCGTCCGGCCAACGTAACGGGTCGGGGTTTAGATCCAGTGCCCAGTGTTGTGCCGCCTAGCAGTTTCCAATTGGAATGCGAGGCAGTCAGGTAGATGCCTACCTTGGTTCTCAGCCTCACGTCGTTCTGCTTGCTGTTATTAGTCTAGATCTCCAGCCCGATGTTACCTGGAACTTAAGGATAGTCCGTAAGGTGCTCATTTTCGACTACTGTGTAAGGTATCCAAGGTACCTTATATACTGTACCACAGAGCCTGGGGATGTGTCACTCTCCACCATTGGGTTGTGGTTTGGTCGCATCAGGCACTGTCATAAGGTAGGGGCCGGGAGGTAGCTCAGGTAGCTCGGCAGCACCTAAAAGTTTACAGAAGCGGGAAGACGCTGTGAAAAGCTCGCCCCAGCTTCTTCAAATCCCGTATAGACGTACGAGCACCGGACACCACGCCCCTAAAGACGTCCTTGGCGCCGCAACAGCCTTGTAGCTTCTGGATCGAAGATGTGCGTGTGCGGCTGAGTCGGTTGCAGTGACTGTTGGGGGTAGAAGCCGCTGGGACCAATCCGATTACAGGAAAGGAACACTAGACAGAGGTACTTAAATAAGGAACCCCTCGGGCGGGCCTATGCGCCCCTCCCAAACTTCCAGACCCCCCCGCCTTGCCTTGCCTCTGACACACACCGTCACATATAGAAAGAAGAACGACAAGAACAGTCGATCCGTGCCGAGTCGCCCTCCTGACGGGCTCTTTTTGCAAATATGGCCTACAACAGAGGCTACAACCCGGACGAGCTGCCTCGGTGAGTCTAAGCAACCTATGCGCTCGGGACGGGAGGGAACGGTGCCCTGACTTACCATATTCCCGCCCTTCTGCTCTACGAATATCACCCGCTTGCTTCTTCATTTGCGTCTATTTCTTAACAATCGACAAACCTGAACAACACAAGGCTTGGGTATACTGATTGCTGACCGTTTTCCTGCTTGCTATTGCTAGATTCGCGGAACCAGAGCAAGTGAGCCTCCCTCCCCCCTACACCTCAACCACCATAAGGCGCCGCGGCGCGCTTGGCGCGCAATCTCTTGCGTCGCAGAAGGAAGCTGACCTAGTCTTCTCCTCGGATTGCAGAAAGACAAGCCTGCGCCATCTCCCTCTTTGCGCTACGAGAACAAGCCACCCCCACCGCGCCCATCTGAGCAGCGACCTCCTCCCACCGACCGCTACCGATCCGAGCGACTATCCCCGAGACCCCAGGAGCGCTACCAAATGACCAACCCATCTCCTACTAGCGGAGGCCAGCCTTCGCCGATAACAGTATCGCGGCCCCCGCCCAGCCCTGCCCCTCGCGACACGGGCGCCGACCCGACTCTGCTGCCGCTGTTTAGAGCCGTGGATAAGGATGGTGAGTCTCTGCGTGCGCCCACGGCATTCTGGGGGTGACATGTAAAAGGAAGCAGCTACGCTGACTGGGTATGGGCGATACCAGGCACGGGTCAGCTGTCGGAGAAGGAGCTTTCGGCGGCGCTCGTCAATGGCGACTGGACCCCGTTCGACCCGCAGACGGTGCGCATGATGATCCGCATGTTCGACAGCGACCGGAGCGGCACCATCGGCTTCGAGGAATTCTGCGGCCTGTGGTCGTTCCTGGCCTCGTGGCGCACGCTATTTGACCGGTTCGACAACGACGGCAACGGCACCATCAGCCTGGACGAGTTCAAGGCCGCCCTCATTGCCTTCCGCTACCGCCTCACCGACAGCTTCATCGCCGTCCTCTTTAAGACTTACGACAAGCGCGGCATGGGCGGCATGAGCTTCGACCTCTTCGTCCAGGCCTGCATCAGCCTCAAGCGCATGACCGACGTCTTCAAGAAGTACGACGAAGACCGCGACGGGTTTATCACGTTGAGTTTTGAGGACTTTTTGATCGAGATTCTCCGCCAAATCAAGTAATTATCCTGAAGCAAAGCCTGGGGACCTTTTTTTTTTTTTTCATTCCTGACTTTTTTTGCGTGGCGGTAGCAACTGATGATTCGAGGCTGCTAAGCGGTTTGCATGACCTTTGCTCTTTTCTCATTGGCTGAACTGGGTGGACATGTTTTTTTCTTTTTTCTCTATCTGTGACGACGATAATGGCATTTTTTGGTTGGATTTAAACTGCATTTTCCTGGAAGGGGGGGGACATCGTCAGGCACAGCCACAGACAAGCATGGCGAGTGGGGAGGCTACGAGGCCGAGCACGGCTAGATGAGAGAAACAAGAGGGAAAGAGCCAAAAGAAATGAAAGACTGAGAGATGATACCCCTCGGACTGTTTAGAGAGAGACAGAGAGGGAACGAAGGGGTCGCGTCGCGTCTTGAAATCCAAAGCTGTATTGTGTGTTTATTTGGTCAGCCAGATAGGCGGTCTTTCTCCCGGCGATCTTTCTCCCGGCGATCTAGAAGTAAAGCGAGTCCTCAGATAGGAGAGTTATCTGCCTTGATGACATTCTGGACTCGGACTCTGCAGGTCAGCGCTAAGGAAAGCCAGCTGCATGCATTGTGACGAACCATGGTCCTTGTATTGTGACAATCACCTTCAGTCCTATCAACGGTGGCTGTGGTCTGTCTAAATGTCCTAATCAATGGCCTGACATGATAAAAGGGCCGTGGCCAAGATATAACCAAGTCGACGAAGTGAAGCAGATACAATACAACCACCCGCATGGGGGCTCAAATTGGTATTAAAAATATATATACAGTGTATGAACGAGGTGCGAGCAAATCGACACGCACACAGCCGAAGAGAAGAAACAGAGGCGTATACCGGGGTGGCCAGCCACTCTCTCACTCCCTCTCAGACACACAGACCGCCATCTCCGTAATGAAAGAGAGTGAAAGTGAAAGTGAAAGTGATTCACTTGCTTAGCTCAGCACGGAGGGTCTAGCCATGACCTCCTCCAAGATGGCAAAGCTCTGGCCGTTGTCCCGCGACAGCGGCGGCAGAGTCGGCGGGAGGCTCCGCGCAGCAGCAACAACCGCCAGCCCCTGTGCTCCTGAAAGGGGCGCCTGGTACTGTTGCTGCTGGCTGCTGCTTGGCCTGTCGCCCATATCCGCAGCCTGTTTTCCCCAGGCATCCACCCCCCAGACCGCCTCGTTGGTTACGACGACCTCCTCGCCCGTGTCCAGGGCTATGACTTCAGTGGCTGCGCCCCCACCTTTTGGGGTCGCCGTCCTGGCTAACACAGTAGCTCTCTTCAGCGCCTCGGACGCGCGCAGCTGGGCTAGCACGTCCTCGCGGCGGCGTTTCCTAGTGCGCAGGAAGCCCGTGGCGATGCCACTGACGAGCTTGTCGCCGTCGTGGGCGGAGACCCAGGCGCGCGCGCCGAGGCGGCTGGCCGTCTCTGCGCCGGCCGGCGCCCCGAGCAGGATGTTGCCACCCAGCCACCATGGGTTGTCGATGGAGTCGAAGCAGTGCAGCAGCGCCGTCAGTGGCAGCGCTGCCTCGGAGATCAGGTGGCTCGTCACGTAGCTCTGTAGCGACGCGTAGTCGATGCCGTGCGGCGAGAAGAGCACACTCAGCGGCCGGCCCAGCGACGCCTGCGACGCCGCTGAGTACGAGCTACTGCGCGCCGTGATCAGCGACGACACGGAGCGCACTGACCGCAGGGACTCTTGACCGGGAGAGGTCGGTGGGGTCGGCAGCGTGAAGTTTGTCACGGCCGTCGGGGGTTGACTTGGCACTGGTGGTGGTGGTAGTGGTGGTGCTACTACCACCGCTGCTGCCGCCGCCGCCCTCCGGTCCGAGGAGGCGGTCCGTAGATGGCCCATGGATCGACGGGACTTAGGGGTCGCCGGGGGCGTGAATAACGTAGTGCTTGGCGCGCGAGATTGACGGAGATGCGACGACAGCACCGCCGAGGGCGGCCGGTACGTGATGCCGACCGCACTGTGGAGCCCCGAGAGGTCTCTTCGCTGGGGAATAAAGGCCACCGTCACCTCCCCCGGCTCACCAGGGAGCGCGGACGGGATGGCCATCCGCACAACAGTCTGGCGGCTGGCGACTCGAGGGTCTTCCCATTTCGGTATCGTACGGACCTTTCCCCTATCGAAGTACTTCCAGCTGCGTATCGTGCGGGCTGCGGCCGGTTCTGCGAGGATGATGGTCTTGGTCCCCGTGGCAGGCAGTTGCTTTAATGTGGCCTGGTTGCAATGATCGCTCATGTTCTGCGAGATAATAACCAGGTCGGGTTCTGGCAGCTCGAGCAGTGACGATATGCAGGGCGGGTGTTGGTGGGTGGTTATCGATATCCTGGAATGGACGTAGGTCGACGGCCCCGTGATCCATGGATCCAGAAGGATATGGAAGGGCTTCTGGGAGGGCCCGCCATTCAAACTGGGTTCGAGTGTTAGGGGCTCAAAGGTGAGCAGAAACGAAGCATCGCCATTGAGATGTCGGACTGTCAAGGCCATTTTCGACGGCTCCTACGACGCGAGACGGTGACCAATATGTCAAAGTCAAGGAACGACACAAGGCTCTGGATATAGAGGGCCAGCTTTGGCCAAAATGGCAATTGAAGACAAGAGACAGCGGTAGGAACTTGGGACTTGATATGCACGACGCGAAACACCTGGGACATGATGAGCTGGCCGAGGGACGCGTAGGGAGAGAGAGGTGCAAGTGGCGGTGGGTGCGAATCGAAATCACCAACCCGGGCCCCGGAACGGAACGAGAAGAAGAGAAAAGGAAAGGGCCAAAAGCAGCAACATGGCACGGATCCAAACAAGGGCTGGCTTGCAAAAGGCCGGTGCGATCCAGAATCCGTCGTACGAATTTCCAGAGTACGCGGTGGCCAAAAGGCTTTGCACAACCTCATAGCGCCCAGGTCGTGCGTGCCGTGCCAAGGGATAAAATGGATGGAAGGGCGGATGGCCTGTTGGGAAGTTGGACGCGAGACGACGAGGATCCGAGACTCGTGAAGGGCCGTGGTGGCCGGACGAGCTCAATCCCGGTCTGCAGTTCTCGGGGCAGACCAACCGGCCAAAGAGAGCAAGAAATAACAAATAAAATAAATAATAACCCGACAGGGAGTCAAGCTTGCTCTCTCCCCTAGCTGTCTGTCCCTTGCAGCCCTAAACTTAGCACTGTCGTCTGTGACCGACTGTCCCTGGCCGCTGCAGCAACACATCGTGACCCTCTCCTCGGGTTGGCCGCATGCGTGTTGTGTAGATCCAAACACACACAGCGATCGGGCCGCCAAACAGGGTGTGAGCTGTGCCACCTCGAGAAACAGCAATGACGAAGTGGCAAGCTCAACCTTTCGACTTGGGCATCATGGCCAGCCAAGCCAGGCGAGACAACAGTAAACGACTTGTGAGTCTGGGACCAAATTTCGGGTTTTCAGACTGACGCTTAGGCCATCGTGGCTGTCCTCGATGCTCGCACAGCTCTGCGAAGGCATTCCGGGCAGCCGGAGCGGTCGTCTGGGCTAGAAAGCCGCCACAGAGGAGACCCAAAATAGCAATTCGATGCGCTTCGAGTGTTGTTTCGTTTGGGGTTTCAAAGCCCGGGGCGCCAGCTCTGGAAAGGGGCGTTTGATCGACCGGCAGGGATTTCCAATGGCTGGGCCGCCGTTGACCTGAGAGACGCCAGTGCAAGGCAAGGGATGGGATCAATTCAGTCTAGCCTCGAGTGAGGTATGATATAATATCCCCGAGAACCTAACGCGTCGGGTGTTCATGATAGTATCAATGTCGTGGTTTCGCATTGACCAATGTACCTACCTAGGCAGGTAAGGCAGGTAAGGCAGGTGAGTGAGCCAGCTTCCTGTCAATCAAAACCAATCGCCATACGGATACCCTGTTACACAATTTCCAATAAGTACCAATAACCGTACTTCGCACATACCGTAGCTTGCAGCTCCAAGCTGCGATATTGGTTGGCTCTGGACTAAATTGGAAGTGCCATCCACACCAACCTTATGGATTATACAGTCAATTGAGCGCTTGAGGGGTTGCTGGCAGGACAGTGCCCAGCCATCACCACAGCCAGGTGAGGGAGTGGCTGGTGCCATTGTGGGCCACGACGGTATTTTGTCCTCGACCGGTTTTCCGGCGATATCAAACGGGAATGATAGATTCCAGGTTGGAAAGCTCCAGCTCTGCTTTGAGAGAATTGGATGTGATGACAGGCGCCAATCAAAGGTCGTTCTTGACGTTCTGGGAACCGGCCCAGAAGGCTTTCTCACCTCGCACCCGCACGGCATCCTCACCGCCTTCAGCGGAGACAGGACGCCCGCAGTAGCTTCCTTGACATCCCACTGCTGCCTCCAACACCCAATGGGAATATTAGGAGTGCAGCTGGTTTTGTTCAAACCGCCATCTACCAAACAGCGTCGATCAAGCTGCGACATAGCTGCAGTTTCAGCTCAAAATACTTCAACCTACATGCTGTTCGCCCCTCCATGCCCGAGCTTCCTCGCAAGCAAGACCCGTGCTTCAACATGTGAAAGCTTTCTCTGGCGTGCATTGTGGTGCCAACGGGTGAGGGGCAATTCGCCTTGACTAAGGACGCCGCCCCACCAAAAGCCCTTAGACCGACCCGCATAGGGTAACCCTGAAGCCCCACAATGACGGGATTTCATACCCCTCAATCGCTCGCGCTGAGCAGGGGCCCCGAGCTTAGGAGGGCCAACTCCAACTCGAGGGCGCAGGTTTGTGGACTGCATTGTCAATCGAGGGCCGCAGACCGTGGCCATTTATTTCTGCAACTTCCACTAGCCTGGGAAGATGGGTTCAAGACTCTCGTCTGCTCTGCCGCCGCTAGATGGTAGTGAGTTCTGTGGGCTATTTCAGTCCTCGTGGCTGCAGCTTGGGCGGGCTATTTCTACGGAATATTGTACCAAGAAAATCACTATTCACTGCCCCCCCGTCCAGCCATGCCCGCTTGTCTGGGAGCTCCCTAGCTCGTTGGGAACCTGAAGCTTGACATCCCCCAGCTCGACCTGCCTACCTTAGGTACCTACCCCCAGCTCCAGAGACGCTGACCACCCAATCACAGCCGCCTCTCGGCTCCGTCTTCGAACAGCAGTGCTCTTAAAAATGTCTGTACCCCACCCCCTCCTCTAGGCCGCTCGCCATCCAACCCTTGATTGAGTCAAGAGACCAAGCCATTCATGTCATTCAACACGCTCGAGTCGAGTCGGCGAGCAGCGCAAACTTCGAGCCGCAACCCACAGCCACAATCCACAGCCACCAGACAACTGCCTCCTCGTTTCTTATTGGGCACAACTGCCTAGCTTCCCACCCTACCTACCTACGTAGGTAGGTATTGCCTTGCCCAGCTCAGTCAGCTTGGTGCTTGGCTGGGCTGGGCTGGGCTGGGCGGAAGACAAACCAGCCTGGAAATAGAGTGAGTGTAGCGCTGGTCTAGCCGATTTACGGTGAAGCTTTGTAACAGTGCATCGTCCGGGGTGATCCCACGGCGGCTGGGCCAAACCCTGGGCGCTCGGTAGATCAAGCGTGGGTGGGTTTTGGAGCCGCCCTTTTCGCAGCTTCTATCCTCCCCTCTGCAAGCTCTGTGCTGTCGACACAGCGAGTCGGCACCTGACTTGTCCCCCTCTCCCGCCCCCATCGAGCCTGACGACATAGCCTAGGTTGTTCGGCCATCCGCTTCCACACCCAACCACCACGGAATCCCTTAACTTGGGCCTGTTAGGACGACGGGATCCCCTCGCACATAGTGTGCGGTGGGGAAAAAAACATAAACTGTCTTTGTCAGTTGGTGCACAACGGGTTACCTAGCACTGCCTGATTACATTGTCTCCTACTACAAGTCATCATCGTCAGCACCGGGCCGTCCTTATTCTCCCTCCTCCCTCTTTGTTGCAAAGCAATTGCAGTGCGTGAAGTCGTGGACTTAGACTAAGGGGATGGGACTTCCCAATGTGAGCTGCTTTCGGTCATTCATACAGATCCATTGGCAGTTTTAGGTACATGGGACACCCCTTTGAGCAGCACCCGAAATCGAGTCGGGAGTCAGGACCTGTCCGGATGCTCTGTGCATGGATGGATGGATCTATGTATGTACGTACATACGGATTACTCTGCTTTGCTTGCCGCTGCAAGTGCTTAGGTGCTTGGTCAAGTAAAGTCGAGACTGTCAAGTCGAGTCGAGTTCGGTCCAGGCCAGTCATGTCAAGTCAGGGCAGTGCTTGTGTGCTGTCCTTGATTTCTCTCACACACGCCCCCCCCCTCTATCCCTTTCCGTCCCCTCCCCACCCCGCCCTCCATTCAAGTTGCTTGATTGTCCTCTATGCTCCCACCCCAGGCCACACTGCCTCTACCAAACCACCCACATTCTTCGAAACACCTCTTGTTACACCTAGAAGAGGAGCTTGGAGCTTACCTTCTCATGAACACACCCCCAGAGCAGAGCACTCTCCTCTGAGCTTAGAGCCTACAAAGGCCAAATGCGACAGCTTCGCTCTCCAGAGCCGGCAACATCTCAATTGAGTCTCAGTTAACGGCCTTCTAACCTTACATATTCTTATCGCCAGCTACCTTATCGCCCGACCGCTCCCCGCCACGCCCCATCGGCTTTGAATGGTGGTGGGGTGTCCAAGATGCCGCCCAGGTCGTCACTCACCTCGTCATTTTCAGTAACCGACGCCAACCATGAGGTCGTGTGTCCACTGCGAAATCAAGATGGCTCCAGCTGTCGAAAGCGCTGCATCGGGGTGAGTCGCTGTCGCTCTCGTTGTTGCTGCCCACGCCACGAGCCGTCGAGCTCTTCTTTCCTACGGCGGCCAATCCCGCCCGGTTTCCCCGCCCTTGCTCCGGAGCTCCCTAGGCCGCCCGCCATTCCATGGACAATGGGACCGAAGGAGGCCAAGCGCCGCAGCAGCTGGCTAACAATGTCGTCCAAAAAAACAGGAAAAGAGGTTCCGTTCCATGCAGGAGCACATCCGACGAGCTCACCCCGAACACTACATCTCCAAGCTGCCTGCGACCGAAGAGAGCTTCCATCTCATGATCAACACCCCGCCGAGCGAGCGACCCCAAACCCAGCCAGCCCTGGGCCCCCCGCATGTCAACCAAGCAAAGGGCATCAACCACACCTATCGCCGAGACGGTTCCAGCGCTCCTGGCACGCCGCGAAACCTCGATGAATACTCGGGAGGTGCCATGTTTCCCGCTGCAGCCGCGCTCGCTCAGCTGCACAACCACAAGACCGAGCCCGGCTGGGACTCAGAGGGGGTGAGTGTGGGTGACTTCCGCTTCTCCGTTCTTGCTAAACAGTTTGCTCTGCAGGACTGGCATTCAGACCACGAAGGAGGGAGAGTACCGAGGTCGTCGATCGAATTGCCGCCCATACACTTGGCCAACAGCGACGTGACAAGCGTGCCGTTCCCTAGCCATGATTTGGGAAGACGACGAGAGATTTTGCCCTCGATCCTTTCGGCCTCGCTTTCCAACTCTCCGCCTGGTCGCTCCTCCACGCTGCCACCATTGCACAGACCGCTGGGCCCCAACCGACCGAGGAAGCAGTCCGTAACCAAGAGGGGCCATCAGAGGAAAAAGTCAAAGGGCGCCGCTGCAGAATGGCTTCGCCGGCTGCAGAATGACGGTAACCCTGATTTTCTGAGGCCCGGAGCCAATGACAGGAAAGCACTCTCGGCCGAGCCTTCGAGTGATTTTGGCAAACGCTGGGAGGATTTGATCGACGCGGCGGCTTCGGCTACGGAAGGCATAGATGAGGACAGAACTCCAGTGAGTCTGAATTTCCCTTCAATGTTCGACCCACGCCTGACAAGCCAGGTTCCACAATCACCCATATCCATCCACCGAGCATCTCTTCCGCCTTTCCCGCAAAATGCCTTTACGAGCTACCAAGCATCTCCGCTGCAGCAAGCTCTCACACCTCCGTCATACAATCCCGAAGCTCCCGATCCGTTCCCATCTGTCGAGAGCGGCGAAAGCGGGGAGAACTTCCACATAGAGTCGAGGGGCTTGTCAGATTCCTCCCCAAGCTACTCCCAGAACACGCAGATATATTGCGCCGCCTGTCAAGGGGTCTCTCTCCTGCGCGAGTCTTATGCCTGTACGGAATGTATATGCGGTCTTTGCCAGGCCTGCGTTGACGTTCTGATGGGCGAGCAAGGCGCGCGCAGAAAGTGCCCCCGCTGCGCCACCATAGGAGGTCGCTTTAAGCCCTTTCAACTAGACATCCGGTAGTGCATCTGGTAGTTCTGATCTGTCGGGACTGCACCAGAGGCTCCTTTTGTTTCAACTCCTTTTTTTTCTTTTTCTTTTTTTTTAAAAAACATTTATCTTTTCCCGTCCCTTTTGCATTTTACCTTGGTAGGGCACATGTTCGGCGTCAAAATTGGGAAGGGGAGCATATCTATATATCTACGTATATTTATGTAGCTGGTGGGCTTGGGTGGCGGGGCTTGTACGGGTTCGACTGGGTCGGAGCCATGGGAACGAACCCACGCATTTTATTCTTTTCCGGAAAGATGAATCTTAGGAAGAGAAACTTCCTTTACGGCCTTGCGCAACACACACTTGACGATATCTCATGAGCGGGTACGGATACTTCGCTTCTTACCTTCGTTTAGGATACCCGCGACACTTTCAACACTGGCTCTGTTCGTCATGCATATATGATCTAGGAGGTATAGGCCCTATTTTTGTTTTGCGTTGCGGAGAGCCAAAAAGGGGCAGTCATGCGCATCATGTTTTTTTCTCCTCGGTACGTACGCTGGAGTTTCTGGTTTTTTAACTTGATTTTCTATTTTATTTTACGTAACTTTGGCATCTCACCGAATCCGGGAAGATTGGAGGTCTTGATGCCGGATCTTGACTGAAAGATTAGCTGTTGACCGCGAATCAAATTGTCTCTGGGAGCTATTCCTAGGCTGCCGAATGCAGGGTTTCGGCGGGCTTCACAGCGTAGCTAGCTAGGTGTTTGAGAAATATGAAGACTTTACTACATCAATCACGGACGGAGTGCCTGTGGCTTGCTCGATTGCGCCTTGGCAGCTCTGTCGTTTCGTTTTTTTAGCTTTGCCTTGGCTAGGTATGTTTGCAAATTTGAGGTTCTTGGTGAAAAAGATATGTATTCTTGAACAGGACATGGATAGACGATCACCATCTCCGTTGGCAGTTTTCCCTGGGGTCATGGAATGAGAGAAGTTTTCTCATCTTTTCAGGGTCCATCTTGCCATCTTTTTGCATTGCATCGCACTACTCATGGCCACAATCAAGTTTGTTTCACGTCTTGCCATGGACCGTTTCGGCACAACTTACTTCCAGCTCGCCACCGCCAGCTCGCCACCGCCGCTAGGGATGATAATACAAGGTAAGGTGGCTTACTCGCTGATCTGCAGTCGTGGTGTTTTCTTTTTCTGGGACTTTCTGTTGTATATTTCTTCCTCAAAGAGGCCGGGCTTCGATTTCTTCACTTTAAACTAGCTAACTAGGTCATTACCTAGTGGTGTTTACTTCGGGGCTGTAGGGGGGAAATGCAATGTGGAATCCTGATATTCCTTGGATGTGCTGTTACCGTCTAACTCTTTTTATAAAATGACATCAAAAAGAGATGTGAAGGTTGTTTGCTTTCTTGTCGGCCATCTTTGTTGTCTTGGTGATTTGCTAGGCCAGGGGGAGAGGAAGCTGAGGAGAGTTCGTAGATGCTGGTTGGCGTCCAAGTAGGCACTTATTATTTCCGAATGGGAGTGGCATTTGGATAAAGTAGACATTATTTTCCTTACTCTTCGTAGTGGGAAATCTTTCCCGACAATATGGATGTCTGTAGAGTACTTGTTGTTGTGCTCGCTCTAACTAGCTTGTCAACATTACCAGGGTAGGTATCCACCCCTTTCCCTTTCGAACCCCTTTTGACAATGGGATGTATGCATTTAACCCTAACCCTTCTTCATATTCCCTTACTACTGAACACGATAAGGAGACCATTCGGAGAATATTGGCTCATTCGCTATGACGGAGGGGCTATGCGGTTGGTAACTGAGGCAGGATTCCTGTATTTAGAGGTGGATCTTTCTCTAGCTATGTCTTGAAGAAAACGACATTGCCTTTCGATGGCTTTAACTGTCTTTCGTCTACTTGCTGAGAGTTTACCCTCTGGGGGTTCAAATCCCATGAGTGCTGTATTTTCTGGGTTCACGTTGTGGAAGCTCCTAGACAGAAAGCTGGAAAGATACCGTTTAATGCCTTTAAATTACTGCCATCGGCCAGCTGCAAAGTGTTGATTATATCTGTCAAAAGATGGGGGGTTTCCCAGGAATCATTTCCAACACTTTGTGTTAGCTGCTGGTGGCAGATGGCAATGTGGTCAAGATTCTGCCTATGGCGTGACTCTGGCTTGCGTAAAATATCAATAACTTTTCTAAACTTGAAAGGATTATTCTTCAGTCTTCGGATGAGCCCCACCCAGTCCGTCAGTTCAGACGGCATTCCCCTTTTGGGCTTGGCTGACGCAGCAGTTTCTGGGGAACCTAGGACGACAGATCCGCCCATCATTCTTTTTGCGGAGTCAATTATCCGGGGTGATGGGGCCGGCTGATTCCTCGAATAGGAACACTTTATCTGTACAGGGCAAGCTTTGCTCTCTCGTCAAGTTCTACAAAAAAACCTCGTGTATTAAATTCGACCTTACTCATGTCAATATTGTCATTCCGCTCGTTCAACTTTCCGCTGCACTCTCCCTTTTAGGCAGGTCTTGAACCCTCTCAAGCCTTCAATGCCCCCCTTTCAGAATGGTTTCGGAGCAACTCCTCGCTCCACAAATTGTGCTTTTCGCCCAGGCTATCGACATCAACAGGACCATCCACGATGGCATCGCGTTCCTCGCCGTCATGGATGCGCGCAGGGAGTATAGCATCCATCGAAATTTTCACTCCGTGAAAAAGATGAAATTGCCGGGCGACAGCTGATGACCCACGAGACACTCTCCCCCAGGGCGGCCCTAATTTGGATGAATACCAGACAATATCAGAAACGTCGGTCGAGGGGTGGGTCAGGCCCAAGTCTCGACTGCGAATACTATACTTGTGCTTCCTATGGACAGTGATCATCGCTGGCCAGACTGCACTACCATAACCCTCTCACACGGGCGCGACCTGCCTTTCTTGCTTGGACACCAAATCAGCCGGCCCTGACCTGACCCCCGAATCTTCTCCTTCCATTGTACTGTATGTACTGTACCTCACCACCAGCACATTCCCGCCTAGTGGCTGCACGATTGGTCCACGAGCCGGGTTTTCTTGGTGGTCGGGAATTTAACATGATCTGGAAGTCCATGACCCTAGCCGTCCGCCTTCTCTGGTTCGTGCTGGATACCTAAGGTACTATACCTTGCCTGTGCCTATTTAGCCTGCCGAATTCGGCTCTCGCTGCAAGGAACGCCCCGCCCTGCGAAGAAGACCTTGGATGATGGCAGACGTGTTGCCCACCTAGGTACACAGCAAGGGGAAATTAGTTGGGTTTAGGGTGCAGTGGCAAAAATGGATGAAGTGCTCTAGCCTGGCAAGACTCGTCAGCTCTCAGTCTGTGACGGGTCGCCTTTACGCTGCCCTGACCGTGGTTGCGGTGTGCGCTTTATCTGAGTGCCTGCTGCTATCCGTGAGACCGTCTCATACAAGAACCTGCCCAGGCCCGTCTGACGGCCAAGCGGCCAAAGCCATGGCTATTTCTTCCGTTTGTCTCTCCATTGGCGCCGTGTAAGTGAGATCTCATCCTGCCCCAAGCGCCCTTCGTTTGCGCTTCACAGCTTCTCGCCCCTACCGCAACTTGTCGCTCCCTTATGTCACTGTTGCTGGCAGCACATCGACTGTTCGACTTGGCGGCCCCTTGCATTGCTCCATCAGCCTTGCCAACGCCGCCATCCGGATATCTCAGCGCGAGCGCGAGTTGAAAGAGCCCCGTCGGCACTCAAACGTCACTCGTTACACGCCTTCGTATAGCCCTGGGCTCGCGAGCTGGCAGTTGGACCTGACGACCCGAAGAGCACCGTGTACCTGCTGCATCCCCTGTACTGGCTGAGCTGCGGTGCTTGCTTGCCGGCAGACTTATCAAGTAATCCACAAAATGCAGACGACCCAGAGCTGAACTGTGGTTTATCTGCCCCGACAAGCATCTCGGAGTGCGTGAGCTGAGCTTCAAAAGAGTTAGCAGGGGCTTTCGTCTGGACTTTAAAACACAGGTTGCCCCAGGCTGCACCCCCCAGATTGGGTCTGGGCGGAGCGGACTTGGTTGCTCTGACGCTCTTTCCTTTCAACATACGCACCTGAACGCACGGGACAACTCGTAACCGAGCGGTTTGCTGTTCTTTCCTCACCCAGCGGCGAGCTGGGCCGCTCGCTATCCTCTTGAAGCTTCGGGGATCAACATCTAGCTACCAAGACCCTTCAATATCTAGCTATATTCCGGCCGTGTGTCGATAAACCGAGATGGCGGGGCCGGTTTTCTTCATATCTTGGGCGCTATGGCAGCAAATGACCTTTGTAAGATTTCTCTCTTTCTCCCCGTTTGCGCGGGTCAGAACTTATTCGCTGATTGTTGGCTAGGTTCTCGCAATGGCAATGGTGGTGGTGTTTTGCGCTGGGCTAGTCAAGCTGTGGTGGTCAAATCGTTTGCTGAGGAAGCAGGAGATATTAGAAGAGGAGAAGAGGGCGCGGCTGCAGGAAATGCGCAAGTCGGGCATCCCTCACAAGCGGACCAATGACATCCCCTTCGGAATTCGAGCCATCCAAAGCGGCGTCGAAGTTGACGGAATATGGATTTCGAGGCCGCCGTCGCTCAACGAGACGGCAACGCCGAAGACGGGATATTCCACAACTCTTGTGGTCCTGGACTCGGAGAAAGGCAACGAACTTTACGATGCAAGACCAGTGCCGGTCTCCTCTGTGAACCTCGGGCGAGCAGCGCCGAGACAAAGCCCAACTGAAGCCTCCATTTCTCAACGATTAGCCAGTTTGAACCCCGCGGAGCAACCACAGGTACCTGTGCCGCCTGTTTCCCAGTTCGCAACGCAACCCAAGAGGCGCCCTAACCGAGAAGCCAGCGTTTTGAGCGAAGATACTCTGAAGAAGTTGGAGCACCAAGCCCACCCGAAACCCGCATACGAGACTTACATACCAACGTCTGCTCCACGGAACCCGCGCCAGCCTAGTCAGCGGAGCTCGGTGTCTTCGTCAGGAGAGTCGACGGAGTCCCAGCCGCGGTCCGCAAGGAGCGCAAGCGGCAGGAGCTACACATCATCGCGCAGCTCGAGACTTTACATGGCAAGGAATCTCCGCGAAAACCGCCTGGGGTATAGTGGTGTGCCCCAAGGATGGCAGGAAAAGGATCTTCGCGATCCTTTCGACACCCTAGCCCGGACGCCAAGCGGCTTCTCGGCTCTTTCTCAGAGCGATACCCTCTCATCCGTGCTTCAGAGCCGGGAGCCGCCGTCCGTGCCGGAGCCCATCTTTGGGCCCGGAGACCTGCACCTCAACAAATCCACACGCAAAGTCAATGATGGGTTTGAAGTTATCTCTGCCGGGACTTTTGGCATACCGCCCGAGTTCTCTGGGAGCGTTGGCGCCACGGATCTGGAGGGCGCCCACGAGTCAGGCCGGGGTGATTGGGCTGCAAGGCCCTCGAACCGGCTGTGAAAGAAGTCTGTCGGCCAATTTGAGCAAGCCTATTCCGAACAGCGCTGAAAGCCATCAACGGCGGTTATCGCCACCCAAAAGAAGAGATGAATTGGGAGGGGTTGGTTTATTCCCAGCATGGCCACACTGGCCCTGATATTTACCTACATACCGTCTGCATATGAACGGCTCCCTGGATTACCTGCCATCTGGAGAAGGCATTTCTTTTTGTTTCTTTCTTAGAAGGGTGGAAGTCTACTGCATAAATTTGGAAGTCTTCTTGTGGCCTCTGGATTTCTCTTTTCAGTCCTGGTGCATAAATGGATAAAGATACTTACACAAATACATATGGGGATTTCACTTACCGGAAGCTTCGTTAACTGAAGCTTCCATACGCGTTGAAAACCTTATGCCGTAATTAGGGGAGTTGTCTCGAGTCTTTTACACTTGAAATCAACGGTCTTACGTCGTTGCTGCCGTTGGCCATACATCGCGGGGTTAGGGTTTTTGGGGAAACGCGAGTCACAGTGGCTTAAAAGTGGAGACCGAAGCCTGAGAGTGGTCATGTGCTTCCGTGTCTCGTTCCTTCCCCTCGCTGACGCGCCCCGCGCCTGGCGAATTTGCCTCTGTCAACAGACCAAAAGCCGGATGCGGTTTCAAGCCTTGACTGCCGCAAATCTCGTCCCCTACTATTTGTCAAACCAAAAGACCCCGTGTTCACATAAAGACTGCTGTGAAATATGGCGACCAACGAAGAGTTTGATGAAGATGCTGTCAACAGCGACGATGGCGGAATGACCGGTCCTGGCGCGCCAACTCCGCTCTCAGCCCTCGAGGTATGTCGCGGCCATGGCTCTCTTCATTTTCTCGTACTGTCTAGTCTGGCCGCTCTGACGCGCGTCTCTAGGGAGTCTCTGGCCTCACGAAGCGCGACATCCAATTGGTTGTCGATGGCGGGTACAACACTGTCGAATCTGTGGCCTACACGCCGCGGAGGATGCTAGAGCAGATCAAGGGCATTTCGGAGCAGAAGGCCGGCAAGATCCTCGCTGAAGGTAAATTCGCTTTATGGTTTTTTTTTTCCTTTTTTTTTTTTTTTTTTTTTTTTTTTTAAAAAAAAAAAAAAAAAGGATGCGCCGTGGTTGCTGACTCTGTTTTTGTTTGCGCTCTGAAGCGTCAAAACTCGTCCCCATGGGCTTCACCACAGCCACAGAGATGCACCAGCGCCGCAGCGAGCTGATATCCATCACCACTGGGTCCAAGAACCTCGACACACTCCTGGCCGGAGGCGTCGAGACGGGCAGCGTGACCGAGATATTTGGCGAGTTCCGAACGGGAAAGTCGCAAATCTGCCACACGCTGGCCGTGACGTGTCAGTTACCGTTCGACATGGGCGGCGGCGAGGGGAAGTTCTGTATATCGACACCGAGGGGACATTTCGTCCGGTCCGACTCTTGGCGGTGGCCAACCGGTACGGCCTGTCCGGGGAGGAGGTTCTCGACAATGTGGCCTATGCGCGCGCGTACAACTCGGACCATCAACTGCAGCTTCTGAATCAAGCGGCGGCAATGATGTGCGAGACCCGGTTCAGTCTCCTTATTGTAGACTCGGCCACCTCTCTGTACCGGACGGATTTCGTGGGCCGAGGCGAGCTGAGCTCGCGGCAGACCCATCTCGCCAAGTTCATGCGCACACTCCAGCGCCTTGCCGACGAGTTCGGCATTGCTGTTGTGATCAGCAACCAAGTGGTGGCGCAAGTCGACGGTGGCCCGTCTGCCATGTTTAACCCAGATCCCAAGAAACCGATTGGCGGCAACATCATTGCCCACGCAAGTACGACGCGCATTAGTCTCAAGAAGGGTCGCGGCGAAACAAGAATAGCAAAGATTTACGACAGCCCGTGTCTACCGGAAAGCGATTGCTTGTTTGCGATTAACGAAGACGGCATTGGCGACCCGGCTCCCAAGGACCTTGAGAAAGAGTGAGGAGGATTCTGAGGCGATCTTTTGAAGGGACTTACGGAGCCTTGTTGTGAGGTGTGAGGAGACATGGAATGATTCGATGCATGGCACATGGGATAATGAGAGAGATTCTGCGGGCTGACTTTGGAGCTTTCTGTTTTTGCATGGCATGGTGTGCTGGCTTCAGGTGTTGGCATTTTTATGACGGAATGGGACTTTGCTCAGGATCTTGGTGCATTTAAGTGTATAATAAGCATTATTCTAGAGTCGCAACTGAGATTTACGCATCGGGGGTTGATACCACATATCAACGAAATTTTAGCCACTTTCATCTCCCCGGCGACTAGTATTGATTTGTTAGCCTCTTTATTAAAGATAGGTTCTATCTACCTTTCCAATGTAAATGAATTTTATGCTCGCTGAATTAATTGTCAGTTTTGAATCGCCCGAAAACGCTGTTTAGCAGACTGGATGCAGCGACTATCGTTATCTGCCTTATCCGCCTAGTCTTGAGCTGAGCCTGAGTCCCGTTTGGACAGCAACCATACCGGCAGCGATTCTGCCTACCAAAAAGCTCAACCCGACCGAGACCGCGTCTGCACCCACACGACATACGACGCGCAACCACACGCCAAGACTCGTCAATTGCCGGCAATAGATGCGCATGGGGGCAAGATGAGCTCCAGGGATTTCGAGGTTCTCTACAAGGAAGCGCGGCTCAATCTGGAGCCGGTGCAGTCGTCGATTGCCCAGATCCGCGTCGCGCCCCAGACCCAAAGCGCCTCCTTTGCCTACTCCGCCTTGACACGAGCTCCTACTGCCGCTGCCGCTACCGACGACGACGAGAGGCTCTATCGCGCCAGAAATCTCGCCACCGCCTCCTCCATCTACTACCGCAAGCACCGCAGCTCCCCGCGGGCGTTCCTCTGGCGCGTCTTGGAGCATGGCACGGTCCTGAGCATTCGCGCCGCCGATGTGTGCAAGCAGGAGAAAGACGCAGATGCGCCCTTAATCCTCAACCTAGCCTTTCCGTCCCCGATACGCCCTTCCTGCGTCGGGTTCGCCGATAGCCCCGACCACGATGCGCTCTACGTGTTTGTCGTCGACCAGTCGAGCCAGTTCTACTCCATCACCCTCCGGCCAGAGCACTTCAGAAAGCGGTCGATCTCGGAGGGCGGCCTGGGCGAGGCCTGTAAGGCTTTCTCGCCGCCTGGCTTCGGGTTCAAGCACCCGCACCAGCTAGTCGTTGTCAATCCCAACCAGCTGATCATCACTATGCATGATGGTGGCATCCTGAAGTTTGACAGGAATCGGTCCCACGACGGTCAGTTCCTCGCGGCCCAGATTTGCTGCGCTTTGCTGAATTGGCTTACTGACTCTGCCCTCCTCCCCCCAGCTACCAATGCGACGTCCTGGAAGGAAACCATTTACAATGTTGCGGGATGGGGCCAGAGCCTGCGCGGGCTGGTCCCCTTCCAGCGGAACCCGACTGTTCGCTACGACAAGATCAACATGGAGCTGACGGCGGCTGCGTCGACGGCGATAACGAGCATAGGCGGCGACGACACGTCCTTTCTATTCACAATCTGTCTGGACCATCGCATGCGGGTTTGGGACGTACAGTCAGGTCAGATTCTCTACACGGGCGACATACTCAATGCCAAGCGCGATCCCCAGGAGGTTGGCAAATGGACAATCGACCCTTCTCAGGGCAACCTGATCCAGATTCTAGACACTTCGCCCGGCCAGTGCCTCGTTGTGACGTACTCGCCGATCGGAGCCGGCGAGTTCAAGTTTTGGAAAGTGAAGGCCAACGACCAGGGATCCATCCATGTCGCAGACTGTTTCCCAGAAGCGCAATTGACACCTCCAAGCCCGTCCTCGCTCGACGTGTGGACATTGGCCGACTTCTCAGTGGCGCAGCAGGCCGAGGGCCCTGAGCTATGGACTCTGTGGAAAAACAACACCACTTACCGAGTGCAAAAGTTGCAGCTGCAGCCGAGAAACACCAAGGCGCCGTTTGGCGCTGGATGGAAGGGCGTTTTCGTCGAGAACGCCTTACCTGCCGCGCAGACATCGGGGCCTTGCGATCCGGTAGATTCTACCGAGAAATGGCTCGATCTTATCTTCTTCCCGGGACGGTTTTCAAAGACCACCATCGAGACGGCGCTCGGCATGTATGAGAAAGGCCTAGGCACGTACAAAGAGACCTCGCCAAGGGCTGGCAAGAGCATCGCGGAATCCATATGCTCGGTCCTCGGCTCATCCACAACACTGGACCGCACCTCGAACGGGGGCGTAGACTACGAGCAATTTAGGGGCACGAGCGAGACTCAATGGATGCGGTTTTGGCGTCTTTTGCTCGAGCTTGACAAGCAGAGAGGCGAGGCCCTGTCGTTGGTATACGATCCCGAAGAGGGAATGATCTGGGTGGCATGTGCCGACTGCATCTCTGCCGTCAGGCAATGCAGCGAGCTTGACCGTATCTACTACAACCTCCATTCTCCCGACAAGCAAAACGAGGATGTAGCGGCGCTCATTTTTGCTGGGCTGAACTTCCTGGACACCTTCTCGGACAGCATGGTCCAGCAGAGCAGGGCCGCGCTGAGGGCGGAATTATTCGAAGACATGACCGAGCCCGACGAGGATCGAATCCAGAGCCTCTTCGACAAGGCTGGGTTTTGGTCACAGCTTTCAGAAGAGGATTGCGCCCCCGTCGTCGAAGCTCTTGGCCAGAATTTCCGAATCGTGACACCGAGGCTCTACGACGACTTGTTCGGCATGATTCGCGCGTCCAGCGACGCCAACTCCCAGGAGCTTAGAGAGCCCTTTACGCGATTTGGGAGGAAGGTAGTCGTTCGCGCTGTTCAGGAGACGATCGAGCTCCACTGGCGCATTCTCTTCAGCCAGCTTATCCTCCTCCTCCACATGGAATTTGATCCCGAGAGCGAAGAGGACGCCCTCCACTGCCGGTTTGATATCGGCTCCGAGTATCGGCGACTTATCGATGCTCTTCGGAGACTGGAGCATCTGAGGTGGATGGCAAAGACGGAACTGAGCGTACCTATACCAAAGGCGGACCGGGCGAGCTCTGGCTCTGGCACCGCCTCTCCGTTAAGAAAACGTGGCGGCGAGGACACGTATGCCATCACGGCCCTCGAAGGCCTCACTGGACATCTTTTTGGATTGCCAGAGAGCAATAATTTGCCGTTGCTCACTAGCATCACGGAGGTGGTGCTTGACCTATGCTCCCCCAGCAGCTCTATCGTGCTGTGTACATGGCTCCTCCAGTGCCGACTCCTGAAGCAGGACCGGCCTGACCTCGCCTTGGAGCTTACCTCGTTCGCCGAACGCGGCCCCTTTTCTACCTATGTCCAAGGCCGTGTCTTCCTCGCGCTCAAAGACTACGATACCGCATCGCTCTACTTCAAAAAGGCGTCGATCGGCCTGAGCATATCAAAGAATGGTGTCGAGCGACACAGTTCGGGGCTTCTCGACGACACGGAATGGAATCTCCTTAGCAGTGGGCTTCCCAACTATTACGCCCACGTCGTCAATCTGTACGACAAACAAAAGGCGTATTCGTATGTCATCGAGTTTTCACGTCTAGCGCTCCAGTTTGCCCACGGCCACAAACAGGATGCGGCAGGAACCAAGATGGAAATGCTGAGTCGCCTTTTCTCGGCCGCAACTACGATATCCCACTTTGACGTGGCCCATTCGGCGCTACTCTCGATGAAAGACGAGGCGATGCAGAGGGCATATCTACGGAAGCTAGTGGAGAAGATGTGCGAAACGGGCCAGAACACGGAACTCATCAGCCTGCCCTTCTCCGGGCTGCAGAATAAGGTCGACGACATACTGCTCGAGAAGTGCAGGGCAACCAAGGACATGTTCAACAACGTGCCGTATCATCAAGTCCTCTACGCCTGGAGGATCAGCCACAACGACTACCGCGGCGGAGCGGCCATCCTGCTCGACCGACTGCAGAAACTACGGCAGATGGGAGAGGGCGATAGGGTCGGGGCCGACGACCCGCTCGACACGCAGGTCACGCGCCAGTACCTGCTGCTCATCAACGCGCTGAGCTGCGTTGCTCCGAAGGAGGCCTACATCTTGGAGGACGTGCCTACCGAGGACGACGCAACGAGGCCCGCAAAGGGGGCAGGCGACGACCTGGAGAGCCAGTTGGGAGACCTCGCACTGAGGCTCGAGGCAGAGGCAGCTGCGTCCCAGCCGCTGGCTAAGAGGCAGCAGGAAGAGGGCGATGACCATGCGCTGCAGTGCAAGATCGACCGGCTCTCTGCACGCATTAATAGCCAGGACCCGCAGAGGCGGAGGTTCCTGACGCTCAGCGATATCCGGAAGCAATATCAGCAGGAACTGGATAGGATCGTGGCGATCCAGAATAACCAGTTTGGATTTTCGGCCGAGGATGATTTGATGGGTGATGCTTGATAGCTACCTTAGGTAAAGTACCTTGGCTGGCTGGCTGGCGTCATAGGAGGCACGGGAAAGGAGTAAGGGAACAAAAAAGGACCCTTTGCGTGTACGATTCGATAATAAACAGGGGAAACCTTTTATGTAACCACCCACCCCTAGGAATGATGATGTCTTTTGATGCAGCTTCCGTGTAGTGCGGGCCGGGAAGTTATCCAAACTCGGTCGGTTACAGGATGTAAAGATCGTAACAAGGTCTCCGTTGGGGAACTAGCGGACGGATATGGCCAGAGCTTTGTTGGCCAACTTTGCTGTTCCTTCTTTTCCCCCCGAGAGACATAGGAAAGCCCTCGGGAATTACCTATTAGGGCCTTAAATATTTGAGTAGCGGTCTGAGTAAGTTAGGCACAGTTTGACGCAGTCAGACTCGCTCTCGACACAGCAGCCTTCCTCGGATTCCGGAATGCATAGACCCCTGCGATTCTAGAACCTGTGAAGCTAGAGAGGAATGTCGTCACGGGAGATGATCGTGAACGACCTTAAAAAGGAAGAGAGAAAAGACACACGGCCACTGCGCCAGGACCTGTCACTGGCTCTGCTGACGCAAGTAAAATCTTTCTCGAAATAACGAGACCTGAAAACAGGAAGAAGAATAAGATATTATGCATGTAGGGCACGTCCATCCATCCACCTGACCACCACCTAAACAATGGAAATGGAAATGGTAACCCGCGGCAACTACTTTGCTTTCTACAGTATCCCACAGATATCTCGGTCATTGTCTTCTTCAAGCTACCATTTTCCTCTGGCAACCCACGGCAACTACCTTGCAACCCACAGACATCTCATGAGTATACCTCTGATGATTCTGCAAGACGACGCAAGACGACGCAAGGTAAGGCAAGGCGAGACAAAAATAGACTAGACTTCGATAATAAAGAGAAACGACGCCGAAGAGATTCGTCTCTCGCCACGAGGCTGTGCTGCTAGGTTGACTTCTCTCTGTGCACTTGGACATGCAGACTAAGGTGAGCTACGCCTCTAGCTGCGAAGCCCACGTCATAAACTCTGTCGAGCGAGCGCTTCGGCGCCACATCACGCGTCCGCTCTCCTTCTCTAGGCCCAAGTCCCTTCCCCTCGCTAGTAGCTAAGGTAGGTTAGGTTTATGGCAGCGAACAGTCACCCAAGTTCCAATAGAAGTCGTTTCCCCTCGCCAAGGTGTCAGGTTCAGGCGACGAACAGTTACCCAAGTTTCGCAGTTTCGCGGTTTCGTGGTTTCGTGGACAAACACACACTAAAACAGACCTGGTGTTGTATACAAGACACGCATTATAACCCATGAGGTACATGCCTACTACAGCAGAGATCGGCACCCATTAAAAACCCGTTTTCCAGGTTTCTGTGCATCCATCTATCCATCTACCCATCTACCCATCTATTCCCCCACAGCCAGGCCAGGCTAACCCCAAATCGAAGGGCTAGAACTAAAGTTGTAGAAACTTGGACCCTGCGTGCACCTCACCTCACGGACCTAAAAATGCTGTTTAACAGTTGAAGTAACAGAGGGCTACGTACGTGTCCCCCCTTTTTGTATAGTCGAGACAAGCACGAGTTCTGAAAAGGCCTGTCTGCAAAGTTTCAAAAGACATGCAATGTAATGCAATTGCACAGTCCGGTTTTTTTTTTGCTCACGCGGTCTCGGGTTCCACGTGAAAGCTTCCGTCTTCCGCCTTCGAGTCTGGTGTGGTTGGCCCGGCAGGTAGGCAGGCCGTCCGCTTCTAGCAATTTACTTCCGTGGTAATTACGGTAATGGAAGGAGCAAGCTGTTTGTGTTACCGGCTACAGGGGGCAATTTGTCGCAGAGAGAGACACAAGAGAGACCTCTGCCTGTGAGGGGCAAGGCGCTAACATTTGTTCCCTCCGCCCGAAAGGGGGGCCAGGGTGAAGTAACATTGCGGGGCCGGCTCGAATTGGCTGAAATGCCCCGAAACTAGACGAGCGGCAGCGCACGCCGAAGTGGCAGTGGATAAGGTGCAGGTGGTCAGTGCTGCAGTGCGCTGTGGCGGCCAACCGCAAGGGCCACACGGCGTGTTAGCAATACAGGCAGGCGGGTGAGGTTAGGTAACTGCAAGGCAAAGCAAGTCAAACAGAATCGAGTTGGGTGGGGTATGTACTGCCCGGGATCCATTGAATCCTCGTGGATCTGTAGGGCCTAAAGTAACCGTCGAGACGAGCCTCCGGCTCACGGGTTTAGACCTCCTGACGTTTCTCTGCAGCTCATACCTAAGTTAGGTGCTAGCAGGTTTATTTCCAACAAGCTCTGTTGTTTTTCTCGTCTCTGCTCGCTCGCCTATTTATTTCTATACACACCTTTTTTACCTTACCAACGACAGGCCTTCAAGGTTCCTTCCTAGCCGTTGTTACAGGCACACCGAACCAACCAGCTTGACTCAGACCGGAAAGTGACGAGGCCGGCATGTGATTGTTTCCTTCACCAGCCGAAACACTCCCTTCATATTTTGGCCGTTGCGCTCCCTTTCTATACCGGAAATTGGATCCACATCAGACCAGACGACAGGAAGCTTTGGACCACGCCTTTATCATCGCAGCCAACATTCACACAGCGAACCAACAGTCATCATGAGCACAACGGGCATCAGCTCACCGGATGTCAGAGGCCTTGTTGCGCCTCTGCTCTCCGCGCTGCCTGGAGCAGCCGTCTCGACCCGGCCGCCCACCACCCTTCTGCCGCTACTCTCTCCAATTCTCAGACAACGTGTTCAACTCTTGTCTTCGGCCAGCACTGAGCCGTGGATCCGCCTGCTCACCTATGACACGGCAAAGGTGTCCAAGCTCACGGTGATCGCCCAGAGAGAGAGCCTACAGCCCCACCCTGTGTCTGGCGAGATTGAAGTGGACTGGAACTACGATGTTCAGATCAAGTATCGGAGGTTAGACCAAGAAACACTGCAGACTCTTGTCGTCCTCGGCGAATTCAACCTTTTCGTGCGCCTGGTGCACTGCACAGGCGACAAGGAGGGAAGCGGCGATGGATGGCGTGTCGGCGAAGTTGGAGTTGCTAGCGACCCTTCTCCTCTCGCCTCTTTTGGGGGGTCTGAAACTGTCAGCCAAGCCGAGAAGGCCTTTGAGGCGTCAAGCTCGGTGGGTGGAAGACAGCCAAACGGTGCCAGCTCCCACGGGGCAAACGGGGCGAGCAGCGTCTCCATGGCCGATGCAAACGACGGCGACAATGACGACGATGACGACGACGACGACTATTGGGGTCGATACGATGCAACACCAGCGCGGACTCCGGCCATAAAGCGCTCTCCTGCGCCGCAGTCAATAGCGCAAACCTCTCAACCCGCCAACGGGAACCGCCCTTCGTCTGCTGAGGACGCCTATTACGCGCAGTACGACTCTGTCCAACCCGTCATGGACAACCACGACCCCGACGAGGAGGTCGAAGGTATCGAAGCCCCCCCGCCCCTGGGGCTGGCGCGGCCCCCGAATTATTCGCATGACAGCATGGAACAAACCGAGCTAGACGAGACCAGCGGCGCCTGGACACTGGCAGAGCCGCCGCGGTCGCCGTCAGCACGCTCGAGCCGGTCACGAGGAGACGAGGAGGCGGTGAACCCGAATCTCCTGCACCCTCGGCCGGCCTCCAGCGCGAGCTCGAACGGTTCTGTAATGGTGGCGAAGCTCGAGGAGAGCGCCGAGAAGCGGGACCAGAGCGAGTTCGGCGTCAAGCAGCACATCTCGCGGAGCATCAGGAGCTTGTTTATGCTGTCGCGTGCGTCGGGCATCGACCGCGAAGAATTCGAGAGGATGGTTCGGACGGAGCTCGACGTGCTCGGCATGGTTGAGGATGATATCTAAATTCTGTGAATTAGGGGTTGTGTGCTGTATATAACAACAAAAGTGTCGAGGCTGTTTATTGCATGCTGGGAGGCCTAGGTTTGTCGCTTTGTGGTTTTATGGATTGGGAAGCCCGCTTTCGATTTTTTTTTTTTGTTGTTTATTTAGTCTGCATTGTCGGGCGGCGTTTGAGCTGGGCGGTTTGCGATGCTATCGCGAGGTTATTTTCTCCTCTAGGATACTTGTACACAGGTTAGATTAGTGGGCATAATCAAGTCTGTGGCGCATCTGCCTGAAGGCTTAAGACTGTGTCTGAAATATTCAATCTTTAGATTGTGCGTGACATTTTAAAAAGTTCCAGATACGAGGCAACTGCATTCAAGTTCCGTCCAGTCTCAATCCGAGACGGGCCCGCCCGTCCCATGGACACCGTCTGAAGGGGATGCTTCTATTGCTTCCATTACAACGCACCGTGTACGGGTTAGTGCGTATTCAGGTGCGGAGGTGGGCGTGACCGACAGGGGTGCATGGACCACACGCGACGATAAGAGCTTGCCAGAGTGTGGAGGGGCAGCGATAATCGTCCCGTGAGCGGGCTGAAGGTGGATTGATGGGGAAAGCTGCACGAGTAAACATGCTGGGAGCTGCGGTCGTCCCCCCATTAGACAGGAGCAGGCGAACTAGCGCAAACCTTGGTCCTGCAGCTCTCTCTGCCAGCTCATCCAAGGAAGCTGCTCATGCGCGACGAGCCGTGCCTACCTTACCGACCGACTGACAGCTTAGACCGATTGACACACCACCAGGAACAAATTCAATTACGAAGACGGCCAAAAGGACAGGTTCCCCCTGAAGTCCCGAAGCGAAAGGAACTCTTCGCTAATAACCAGGCTAGGGTCTAATAGCAAGTCCAGCGTCGCAGGCCGCCCCCTCCGAAAAGACTGTAAAACCGCAAAAACGAGGGGTTGGGCGCAGTGCGAGGTGTCGTCGACAGCTTCGGGAGGTTGGGAGAAGTAGCAGACCCTGCCCGACCACCGCTTAATATCTTTTTTTAAAAACCTGCAGACATTACCACACTGACAGGTTCCCGACCTTTTCCTCTTCTTACATTCCTCTCCCTTGGCCTAAAACAATTAACCCGGACCTGCAGATTTCGCGAATTTCCCGACTCTCTCATTCTATCCGAGTTTTGGGGTTTTGGAGACACTGTCTGAATTCCTTTCACTCATCGCATCGTCGCTTCCCGCTCATCGCTCATCGCTCATCGCTCATCGCTCATCCACTGCGCTCATTGCCCGCACACTCACCAACCCTGCGTGCGCCTTTTTTTTTTTGATCCAGCCACAACTTGCAGCAGCGACGTTATTTTTTCAACTGGGTTTGGCAAACCCACTTGAGTCGGTCTTCGCAACGGTCGGCGTTGTTGTACTATAAACACCAAGAACGGACCACAAGAGAGCTATTTCAACTTAGTGGGGACTCAACGGTGAGAGCAGGTGCTTGGTGCTCGGCGGCACGGGCGAGATCGGGCAGCGAAGGCCTGCGCCGGGCTTAGCTTTGTGCTCGCGACATCGTCTTTGAGCGGCTCCGGCTGGCTTTTTGCGCCGCATTTCGCATCACCCCGCACCCGACTCCGCTGATCCGAGACGGCAAACCCCTGCCAGCCCATCATCATGCCGCGATCGCATTCCTCGCCAAGCGTGGTGTCAGTACTGCTGCTGCTACTTGCCTCCTCAGCACACCGCGCACTTGCCGTTCCCTATCCTAAGGGTCAACCCGCTCGCAGACAGGACGGCGGCTACCAATTACACACGACGACATGGACGCTCACCGAGACCTTCACCAGCACTTATAGCTCCTTCATTCCCGCCCCGACAGGGCCCGTGGCTGGCGGTGGAGGTCCAGACTGCGTGCCTGTCGCAGGTTCGGGACAGATTGCCTGCGGCCCCGTCTGCTGCACGAACCAGCAGTACTGCGGATGGAGAGGTCAGTGTCTAGATAACATTCTCGGCCCCGGTGGAGGAGGAGTTGTCCCCACTGTGATTACCACGGGCGGGCAGGTTATCACCACGCAGTACAGCGCCCCGTTCCGTGTCACCAGCGGCGTCCTCACGGGCACGGCCGCTAGCGCTACCACGACCAACACCGCCGCCGTGACGCCAGGCGGCACTGCCAGTTCTCTGAGTCCCGGCGCCATTGCCGGCATCGTCATCGGTACACTTGCAGGTATCGCCCTGCTCCTGCTGATATGCGCGTGCTGTGTGGTTCGCGGCTTGTGGCACGGCATAATGGCCTTGCTAGGACTCGGTCCTAAGAAAAAGAAGACGGAGACCGTAATCGAGGAAGAGCGCTACACCCGCCGTGGATCAACTCACTCGCATCGAGACACGCACGGCGGATGGTTTGGCGGCGGCGGCCGACCAAGCACTGTGGCCTCGCGAAAGGAGAAGAAGAAGAGCAGCGGCTTGGGCCTGCTAGGCATTGGAGCTGCCATAGGCACCATATTGCTCCTCCTGGGCCTGCGGAAGGACAAGAAGAAGAAGCCGGCCCGAAAGACGAGAAGCGACGTCAGCAGCAGCTACTGGTCCGATTCCTACACCGCAGACAGTCCGAGTGAGTATCATCCCAATCCCTATTGTGCGCCTACGAATCACTGCTAACGCTCGTAAACAGGCTCTCTGAGTAGCGACAGGAGAACCAGCGACAGGAGGACCCGACGCTCGCGGCATAGCGGCACAAGTCGGGTGACGAGAACAGAAACCCGGGTATCGCGTGCCCCGTCAGCAGCACCGAGATCGCCCAGATCGCCCAGGTGACCAAGCAGCCCGGCGCGTCTTCCTCGCCGCTAGACCACACTTCACCTGGAACGCTGGATGAATCATGATACCCCACATCCACCATTAACGCCCTCACCCCCTTTACCGCAGTTTTGTATATACTCACTCGGCTCATGTACTGAGACAACTACAACGCCCCCTTTGCATAACACGGTGTTTGCGTGGCATACACCGTTGCATATACCATTGTCTCGTAAGGCATATTTCACGCATGCACAATACTAGATTACATAAACACCCCATCACCCAAGCCGCGTTTGGCAGGGCCGCCATAATTCTTCCTCATCACGGAAGACCCAAACAAAAAAAGATTTCGCCTTTTCCCCCTTACTCGTTTTATAATACCATTTGCCGCCCTAGAAGGAGAGGACAGAGCAAGAGCGATTTACGACACTCGGGAAGAGTTCAGACGGACAGACGGCGACATGACAGGATACCAAACCAGATATGGAGCGAGAAGAGAAAGAAAGAGTTGGGGATGGATTATATGTGACGAGAGAAAAGTGAGAATGGCCATGAGAATGAGAAATTTTATCTTGTTTCATTCATACATATCTACCTACACAAAAGTACCTAATGCATGTGAAATACGGTGCAATCTACCGTAGATTTGGTCACTCAGCTCAGCTCAACTCAACTCAGCCCATACTTGTCGCATAAAGGGACGCAACACAACACTATATACGTGTATCTATATCTGCATCTACCTCTTCTGTACTGCAACAAGAGCAGCAGGAGGAGAAATAGGGTTGGGAGGAGAATCTGATGCTGCGAGATCTCAATGAAAGACATGAATTGGATGGGAAGCTAGTATTGATTACGCAGAGAAACTCCCCCTGTGCCATATGCTAGACTGCGAGATGAAAGGTATTCCTTAGCTGGGTCATATTGACAAAATCTGTATCTAAAGTGAGTCCAGAATGCTAAGGGAGTGGTCGAGTGTAAGAATATACTAATTAGCAGGGTAACCAACAAAGGCCTCCCAACAACTACGGATACACAAGCTTGAATATATCCTCTCTGTACGGGGTAAGAGGATGGGCCAGAAGTGAGGCTTGTGCATTTCCTTTGACACGGCTCGGATTGGAGCACATACTGACATCACAGGACCAAGAGACGTATTCGACGATGATGCCGTGATGCTATTTGGCAAGCACCAAAGGGTGGTTCTTCCAGAAGGTTGCCCATTTTGCAGTAGCGTTTTTTTTTCGCTACGAAACATCAAATGCCCATGCCCCTTACCACGCACTCCGGTGAGACCCATAAAGCACAAAGAAACCCAAGGCCGAAAGTCCAATCAAACCACGACGTCCTCGATGTTTCCCTTCTCCGAGACGTAGAGACCATCAAGGAACTGTGCTCAATGTCAGCATGCAAGTCTTGCCACAAAGAGGATCCAGTAGACTTCGACGCACCTTTCGGATATCCTTGTTCCGCACTCTGCAGATCTGCTGGATATCCGCAGCGCTCTGGGAGACAGCCTCGAGCGAGTTTCCGGTGAGGATAAGCTCGTCCTTCTGCGCCTTGGAGATCTCGACGCTGACGCCGGATTGCATGATCACTCTCCGGACAATCTTCTCGCCGATGAAGTTGCTGCCAAGAAAGTTTGACGTCAGCCTCTGGTCCGATACAACCACACGCCGACAGCTTCACGGCCTAGTTATTTCCCCTCATATCCACCAATCTCCTCGAATATAACATACCGGATCTCAACCTCGTGGCAGCCGGTCTCCGGGCTGACGCTCAGGTTTACGTTGATGGGGAAATGGGCGTAAACATAACGCATCTTGTACTTGAAGCCCCTCGTCACACCGATGATCAAGTTGTTGATGAGCGTCCGGACGGTACGGAGGGTGGCGACGTTCTTGCGGTTGCCATGGTGGATCTCGATACCAATCACGCCCGGCTTGAGGATGGAGAAGCTGACAGCCAGATGGCTCAGGTCCTTCACAAGCTTGCCTCGCGGGCCCACGACTGTGACAAGTCTCGACTTGATGGAAACCTTGACTGTAAAGTGACACACGACCGGTCAGCATTCTCTCGCCCGTCTCCAAAAATAAATGGTGCTTCGCGCCCAAAACGGGCCAGCCAGCCCGTTTGAGTACATCGTTCCCCAAGGACCGGCAGCGTTATTTGTGCATAGACGGTTGCATGTCCCCCATCCTCCTCTTATTCTCCTTGAGTTATTCCCAGACCCATTGTTGTCGTCGTCGATTGCGGGCCATCCTCCTAGGGAATCGCTCTCTCCGTGCGTCTCGTCGGGTGGGAAATGCCATGCGGAGAATTGGTGGACGTACCATTAGAAGGGACCTCCAAGGTCTCCTCACTGTGGATGTAGCGCATCTTTGCGTCGGTATGGCGAGTGAGGAGGGTGAATGAGGTGTCGGTTTCGTCGTCGAGGTGGACAGATAATTGCAAGGCCTGAAACAAAGGTCGAATTTGGGACCCCGGAATAATTCGAGTTGTGTGTGCCGACCGCCGCCGCCTCTCTGTGGCTAGGTTTCGTTCCTTAGGGCAGGCGTCCGAGGGCCGCTGCCCATTGGCTGGCGCGGAAGATTGGTGGCAGAGTGGGGCTTAAAGTGGCCCGTGCTCTCCAAACTCCAACCTTTCGGCTTGACAGCCAGAGCCTCTGGCTTGCCACATCGCTATATAATTTGATCTGCCCTGAGGTCGTTTAAGATGTGCCTTTAGATTGCAGTTATCTTGGCCTCGGGCTGCCTGCACCATGTTTTTACATTCCCGGATGCTCTCGGCTGTGGAGATGAGCACGACCAAGTTACCTGCAATTGCAATGAAATGGGGTTGAAAGTTACGGATACATTATGATAGGCCATTGAGCCGTGTCTTGGGCTAGATAGGACAAGCAATAGGCGACAAGCTATGAGTGGACGTCTCTATCTTCATTGCAACGGCCACTATTCTGGAGTTTCCGTCCTGATGCACGATACGTAATGAGCTCCAGGTTGATTAACTCAACTTCGGGCAGTTAAACTGAAACCCATATATACAGAGCATGTAGTTTGATATCCCAATTATTCCCTTCATTTTTCTATACCTACCGAAATAAGAATGGACGTGAACCGAGTTGAACAAGCAGTTCTCGTTGAACAAGTCCTGTTGGCTACCTATCGTTGAGCATAGACAGCTGGTGGCCCCCCGATTGGAGCTTGTCAGCGAGGCGGGCCGCGTCATTGGTCTGGAGCTGGCTGTGAGAGCAGTGGCTCGGTACGGCGCCCCACTTCAGTGCAGCTCTCTCCACGATGTAGGGGAAAGGGACGCCGCCTGCCGCATTGCTCGCCGATGGGTGGATTAGCTTGTAACATCACCACTGCTGTCGCGTCCTCCCAGTTGTTAACAATTGCTGCATATTCCGCTTGTCTCACGTTCGCGCCCCTCTCTCCCAGACCTTGACGGCCTTCTTTCCGCCCCGGCCTATGTCCATGCGGTTCAAGGGACCTTCCGAATTGGCAAGGTAATTCCGCAGTGAAGCATCTACCCGACCCGCATGCCATCCCTCGTCCTCCCCAGAACCGACGCCTGAAAACGAAAGACGCCATGTCGTACTTCTTTGCGACACCCGTCGACATCGATGTCGTCCTCGAGGATGGCGACGACCGGTCCATGGTCGACGTCAAGCTCGACAAGAACCGGCGCGAGAAGGCCCCCCTTTACATGGACGGCGAGTCGGTGAAGGGCGCCGTGACAGTGCGGCCAAAGGACGGCAAGCGGCTAGAGCACACGGGAATCAAGGTGCAGTTCATTGGGACCATAGGTATGCCTTCGCCCTGAAGCCCCTGGCGCGCCCTGCTTACCGGCTACACAGAGATGTTCTTCGATCGAGGCAACCACTACGAGTTCCTTTCGCTAGTGCAAGAGCTCGCCGCGCCGGGCGAGCTGCAACACCCGCAGACGTTCGACTTCAATTTCAAGAACGTGGAGAAGCAGTACGAGTCGTACAACGGCATCAACGTGAAGCTGCGATACTTTGTGCGCGTGACGGTGTCGAGGCGCATGGCCGACGTGATCCGCGAGAAGGATATCTGGGTCTACAGCTACCGCATCCCTCCCGAGATGAATAGCAGCATCAAGATGGACGTGGGCATCGAGGACTGCCTCCACATCGAGTTCGAGTACAGCAAGAGCAAGTACCACCTCAAAGATGTCATCGTCGGCCGCATCTACTTTCTGCTGGTGCGCCTCAAGATCAAGCACATGGAGCTCAGCATTATCCGCCGTGAGACAACGGGCGCCGCGCCTAACCAATATAACGAGAGCGAAACGTTGGTGCGCTTCGAGGTAAGCACGGAACCAAAATACGTCGCTGGCGGACTGCTGACGAACCATACCTGCCAGATCATGGACGGCTCGCCGTCAAGGGGAGAGACAATACCTATCCGACTTTTCCTCGGCGGCTTCGACCTCACGCCTACGTTCCGAGACGTCAACAAGAAGTTTTCCACAAGATACTACCTCAGCCTAGTGTTGATTGACGAAGGCAGGTCCACTCTCTCCTTTCCTGACTAGTCCAATAAGATGACGATTCCTATTCTAACATGTGCGGCTCTGCGTGTGCGCGTGTGTAGATGCGAGGAGGTACTTCAAGCAGTCGGAAATCATTCTCTACCGACAAGCTCCAGAACTGGCCAACGCCCAAGAACCGTTCCCAGCACCGCCGGAGAGCAAATTCGCCACAGTGCAGGCGTAAATGAGAAAGCGAAAGGAAGCGAGCATTCGGACGGGAAAGGCAGGCGATAGCGGGTATTCTTTTACGGGACGTAGGCGAATTTGTATGCATTGTAACATGAGAGACTGCCGTAATTTTTCTAGCACTGGCGTCACTGTTCGGATTGTTCGGATTGCTGCGCTTGCTATTGGCGCCGCGGCAGCAAGCCGTTTGCTGCAAAACACTGTCAAGGAACTGTTCGCCAAGAAAGCACAGGCCAACAATTACTTCATACCTTCTATTATCCTCACAGCGCCGCATGCTGTGCTTTTAGCCACAGACCCAACAACCTAACTTCCTTCGCTTTCTATCCTACCAGACCTAACATTAATCGCGTCCGAACGAGCAACATCTCCCAAATATCTTTCAAGTACTGCTCGCATAGTTTCGATCTGCAGCGGCCTGGACCAATCTCGAATGTCAAGCAGGCCGGAACGCCTGAAAGATGAAGGCTCGCGCCTGCAGGTCACTGCTGCCGGGGCCACGGCCGGTTTGATCTCGCGGTGCGAACTCCCATTGCCTCCCCTCGCCGTCCACCCATCTTCTCCAGTGCCCCCTGCATTCTGGCGCTGCCAGAGCATCGCATCAGCACAACCAATCGACGCTAACTTGGCGCCGTAGCCATCTGCAGGTTTGTCATTGCGCCGCTTGACGTAGTCAAGATTCGTCTCCAGCTGCAGACGCACTCTCCTTCTGCTGCTAGTAATGGCGGTGGCAGTAGCAGCGGTCCAGTCTACCGAGGCACGCTGCAGACGCTCCGGCACGTCATGCAGCACGAGGGTATAACGGGTCTCTGGAAGGGCAACGTGCCGGCCGAGCTTCTCTACATCTGCTATAGCGCCGTGCAGTTCACCGCGTACCGGTCCGCGACGGTTGCCATCCACCAGACGGTGGGCGAGAGCCAGCTGCCGCAGGCCGCCGAGTCGTTCCTGGCAGGCGCCGTGTCGGGAGCCGCTGCCACGTCCGCCACGTACCCGCTGGACCTTCTGCGCACGCGCTTCGCCGCGCAGGGCAACGACCGCGTCTACACGAGCCTGCGGCGGGCCGTGGTGCAGATCGCCCAGGACGAGGGGGTGCGCGGCTTCTTCCGCGGGCTGAGCCCCGGGCTGGCGCAGATCGTGCCGTTCATGGGCATGTTCTTCGCCGTGTACGAGACGCTGCGGCCGCAGCTGGCCCGGCTCGACCACAACAACGCGCCACTCCTGGCGGGCGTGGTGGGTGGCGGCAGCTCGGCCGCGGTCGCCGGCGTCGTGGCGTCGGTCGTGGCCAAGACGGGGTCGTTTCCGTTCGACCTGGTCCGCAAGCGCATCCAGGTCCAGGGCCCCACGCGCAGCCGCTACGTTCACAAGAACATCCCCGAGTACTCGGGTACGGTGGGGACGGTACGCACCATCCTGATGCACGAGGGCTTCCGGGGGCTCTACCGCGGGCTCACGGTGAGCCTCATCAAAGCGGCCCCGGCCAGCGCCGTTACCATGTGGACCTATGAGAGGGCGCTGCACTTCTACATGGCTCTGGGTGAAAAGGAGACGAATCGGGATTTATGATTATGCTTCTTTTTCTACTCTAGACTATTCGCATACTGTACTTTTACAACACAAGATTGGGCCCACGCCCGGACGCGCGTCACTTAATGAGATAGACTGCTTACCATAATAATGGCATAATTGTATTCATGTTTTTTTCTCAGTTTAAACTTGGCAGTGCGATTAATTCTCGTACCGGATTACGTACTTACATAGTATTTTTCGCCGAAGTTTCATATTGCGAATTAACTGGAATCACTGCACATAAGTAGCATAAAGACGGTCGCTTCTGAACAAAGCTAATATATTCACCCCTGGCCTGGGCCCATATGATACATTGTAGACCTAGGGGATATGTAAAAAGCAGGTGATTCTTCTAGCTAGAGGTTGCTCGCCTCGCTGAACGTCTAATAATCCGCTCACTCTAACAACCCGTCTTCCCCCTTTTTGTCCCCCCCCTCTCTCCATCGACAGCGGAACTGAAAGACTCATTTCCCCTTACGGACCCAAGACTCGACCGTCTCACGGGCCTCGGTCACGGCCTCGGTCAGCTTGCGCGACGCGAGGTTGGCGTGCACGCGGACGAAGGCGATGCCCTGCTCGACGCCCTCGCGCGCGCGCACGTGCGCGTCCGCCACGGCCGGGAACCGCCGCTCGTACTGCCACGCCAGCTCTCCGACGTTAGCCGCCGTGAGCGGGATCGCCAGGCGCGCGGCCCCGAGCCCCAGCGCCAAGGGAAGCGCCGCCCGCACTACCACGTTGCGGTTGCGCGCCACGATGCTGCCCGCCATCCCCGCCACCAGCACGTAGATCAGGCCAGGCATCAGCTTCTCGCCGCTCTCGCGCGGCGGCGCCAGGGATGCGATGGTTGACGTGAAGGACTGCTCGAGGTCGAACGCGCGCGACATGGCCTGGTTGACGGCGTCTTCGGCTGCGCACGTCTGCGCGTGCAAGAACAGCCGCCCTCGCCGGACCTGTGCTGCCAACCGGTCCGTCGGCGTCGGGCCTCGCTGATGCTGCTGCTGCTGCTGGCCGAAGATGGATGCCGGGGTGGTGGTCGTGGACGCATCTGCTAGGACAGGGATAACCGATGATGCGGTTTCTGTGGTTTTTGTCGTTGTCGTCGTGGAAGGGGGCCGTGTGGCCGCCGCTGCCGCCGCCGGAAGCACGTCGTAGTCGTCATCGTAGATGGGCTTCTTGGACTGTAGTCATGTTAGAGAATGGCCAGGTTGTGAGCGAGTCAACGACACTTGGGGGGGGCGGAATATAGGTCGCACCAGGTGACGGTCCACAGGAGCTTCGGCGTGCGCGATCCGGGGGTAAAAGGCAATCCCGCCTACCAGCACAGCAGCCGTCAACGGCGCAGCTCGCTGTTTGTCCGATCCAGAGTGTGCGCGTCAGTCAATGGCTTGAATCACGGACGAGGGAGAAGGAAGACGTCCATGCAGGGGGCTAGGCGAATTCAGTTGGGGTTTGTGGGTTACTTACCCGTTGGAACAGCACTCTGGCAGCCATCGCCGACTCAATTAAGGGATTCCTCGGGGTATGGGCGAGAAGCGAATAGGTTTTGGAAACTCTCTCGCGGCGATGACAGACGAGCTCTGCGCCGGGGAGGAACCTGGTTGGAAGTGGGTTGTGGTTACTGCTGCTACAGTGCAGATGCAGATGCAGATGCAAGATGCGGCTATTTCCGGCCCCAGCAGCTCGGGATTTTTTGGAGGGGGGTTTCAGGATTTATTTTCAAGCATCTTTTCTTTGGGGACGCGAACGCTCCTTGTCCGCTGCAACTTGAACCGGCGGCCCGCGCTTACCGCATGGACAAACACACGCCAAGCAGACCATTATAGAGCGAGTTGTAGGCAGATACGTTCGCAAAGACCGCATTGCCTCTTGGTTTTGTCTCAACCATTTTGAATCTTTGATTTTCTGCTCGGACGCAGGTGCAAGTCTGCGCAACGGTGGGGTCTTCTCAGCTGCTCTTGTCTGACCCAAAAGGCAGCTTAAGAGATAGAAATCTACCTACATTAGGCCTATTGGCATGTATGTGCACCCCGAGCTTCTTTTCTACCCAGACGGCCAGGGCGAGGTTGTGTATAGATCTTGCTTTCGAGGTCCTCGGCTAGCAGCTCACTGACACCAAGGGTTGTCGATGATGTAGTTACCATACATACCAAGCCCTCCCAGCCTACACCATGATTCCGACTCTCCGACCACGGAGATGGGTCTGCCCCAGCTGTCTCGGCGCGTCCCCCGTAAGCAGTCTGCCGGTTGGCGGCCAGCGGCGGCGGTGGCTTGGCTACTCGACGCTTGCCCCGACCAGCAAGATGAGGCCTGTCACCCATGCAAAAGGCGGGTCAAAGCACGACGACGACGATCTGTTGCGCGGTATATTCGACTCGCCCCGGGTCTGGGACCAGTTCAAAACGCGTGCCGCCGGCGCCGCGAATACCGGTCTCTTCAGAAATGCCTTCCTCACGCGGCCCGAGGGATTTCTCTCCTTCGCCCGGGTGAGCGTCGACAGGGCTCGAGCTATCGTGGACAAGGTGTTGGCAGCGTCAACCCCGGACGAGTACCGCAGCATTGTCCGGGACCTGGACCGCCTAAGCGACATTCTTTGCCGGGTGCTGGACATGACGGATTTTGTGCGGGTCACACATCCGGCACACCAGACGCAGCAGAAGGCCAACGAGGCATGGCAGATGGTTTTTGAATACATGAACCAGCTAAACACCATGACTGGGCTGCACACCCAACTATGCAAGGCCATGGGCGACCCCGAAATTACTGCTTCGTGGTCCAACGAAGAGAAGGCGGTGGCAGAGGTACTGAAGCTGGACTTTGTAAAGTCGGGCGTCAACCTGCCCCAGTCGGACCGCGACAGGTTTGTCGCGCTCTCGTCCGAGATCAGCATGGTGGCGTCCAACTTTGTCCAAGACATGGCCCCTGACCAGACCGTCATTGTCCGCCCAAGCAGCCTGTTAGTGGGCATGGACCCGGTTGAGGCGCGGCTTTTGACCCAACGCGGAAAGGTACACATGCCCACCATGGGCTCCCGACCCGCCAGGGCGCTGCGCACCGTCCGGGACGCATCGACCCGGATGCTGATTTACAATGCTACCCGCACCGCGTCGGCCGCCTCGGTAGCCCGGCTCGAGCGGTTGATGAATCTCCGGGCCAAACTGGCAAGCCTCTCGGGCTTTGAGAGCTACGCCCACTTCACCCTCCGTGACCGCATGATGGCCAAAACCCCCGAATCCGTCACTCGCTTTCTCGGAGCCCTGGCCAAAACCAACGGACCCAGGGTGGACGACGAGATGGCGGCTCTTCTGGCGGTCAAGAAGATCACCCAGCCAGATGCCACCACGCTCGAGCCCTGGGACAGGGACTTTTATGCCGAGTCCATCCGCCGTTCGTTGATGGTATTCCAGCGCCCCGACGACTCTCTGTCGGCGTACTTTTCCCTGGGCTCGGTCATGCAGGGCTTGTCTAGGTTATTCAGTCGTCTGTACGGCATAAGCTTCCGGCCGACCGAGACTTCCCCAGGCGAGACTTGGCATTCCGATGTCCGCCGTCTCGATGTCTTTTCCGAGACCGATGGGCATGTTGCGGTCCTCTACTGCGATCTATTCTATCGTCCCGACAAGTCGCCAAACCCAGCCCATTTCACTCTCCGGTGCTCGCGCGAGATACTCGAGGGCGAACTGGCCGAGGTCGACGCGCAGACCAGAGAGGCCGAAGTCATGCCTCAGTTCTCGTCTCGCGAGGAGGCCGCTAACGACGGGATGGCCTTTTCCACGCAGACCGGCACAGTCAAGCAGCTTCCCACCATTGCCCTTATTTGTGACTTCCCGCAGACTGCGTCGGCCAGCAACCGGCCCGCGCTCTTGTCCTTCTTCCAGGTGGAGACGCTCTTCCACGAGATGGGACATGCCATCCACTCCATTCTGGCCCGGACTTCATTCCAGAACGTGTCAGGGACAAGGTGCGCCACGGATTTGGCAGAGTTGCCGTCCACCTTGATGGAGTACTTTTCGACGGACCCCAGCGTGCTGGCTCTGTTTGCGCGCCACCACGAGACTGGCAGCGCTCTTCCTTACGACCTAGTTGCGGAGAAACTCCGCCTCTCCAAGAGGTTTGAGGCATCCGACACCGAACACCAGATCATCCTCGCCATGCTAGACCAAGAGCTCCACTCCTCAAAGGCCAAGGATCACTTGTTCGACTCTACTGCAGTGTTCCACGAGGTCCAGCGCACATATGGAAGGATGGCCCCAGATCCTCCCGGCACGCGGTGGCAAGGCTTCTTTGGGCACCTGTCGGGTTACGGGAGCACATATTACAGCTACCTGTTTGACCGGATGCTGGCCCGGCGCGTGTGGGATGTGGTGTTCGCTTCGGGCGAGAAAGGCGGGGCGCTGAATTTCACGAACGGCGAGCGGCTGAAAGAGAGCCTCTTGAAATGGGGCGGAAGTCGTGACCCGTGGATATGTATGGCCGAGCTGCTCAGAGACGACAGGCTGGCGGATGGCGGAGAGGAAGCGATGGCTCTGGTGGGAAGCTGGGGGTCCAGCGGCCGGTCCAGCAGGTAGGGTCATGTTGTTATATATGTATACGTAGTGTATGAGCACATGGAAGTGATGTATATTAGGGAACCACTTCAGTGTAGACTACCTAAGCCCACAGTTGCATTCAGCAGCGCAATATCCATAGCCCCGTGCCGGACCTGCCAACACTTTGCAATAGATCTTCTTGATCTGAGCTCGAAGATGGGGGTCTCAGATTCCATCCACTAGTCCATCTTCATAATCATCTCGGCGGCCACTGAGCCTTCGACAAGGCTTTCCAAACCTGTAAACAGGTGCTCCAATAGTGGTTCTGCCTAGACATGATGGCGCAAGCCACCACATGCAGTGCGACCCTCGTTTTGACAGGCCGCTCGTCGGACTGAGACATTCCCGTATGTATGTACGGATACTGTATGCCAGGCCAAAATGCAGGCCCGGCCACGAGCTTCATATGCACTGGTTTTGGTGTTTGTAGAGCGAATCGAAGACAAAAAAGCAAAAGCTCAGTCCCTACCACTTACTATACTAGAGAAATAAAAAAGACAAGAGCTCACGAACCTACTTCCCTCACGCTACTGCTCCTGCATGCAAACAGACTGGGCAAGCTATCCGTGCCTCTCGTATCAATCACAACATGCATACAGCTGAACAGGTTCAGCCCTACCCTACCCAAGGTACTGTACCTACCCTGCTCAGGTGCTACATATGTATCTTTATCAATACCTTGCCTATCAGAAGAAAAGGACGTCGAATCAAAACCGGGGAGGCGCTGCCGCTGCTGCAGAAGACAAGATTAGCTTCCCGAATTCCGTTGTGCAAGCTCAATATAATTAAGCGTCCTATCCTGCCGACGCGCGACGTGGCTGGCGATTGCCTCCTTTTTTTTCTTTTCCGTAAGCTTGAGAAAGACTCGAATCGGGAGGTTTTTTTTTCTTTCAACACACACGACCTCGCACATGGGTCTCGTGGCTATGTTTTGATTTTACCTGTGATAATTGCAGCTGCTTTGCACGATTCATCTTTTGTTTTTGTTTTTCCAACGCAGATTTGAGGAAATATTCAGTCATTATTCAAACTGGTCAGCTCATATAATAAACGAAACCATCTCACCGGCCAGCCACATCGTTTGAGAAGATCAAAACAAACAGAAAGAAATAAAATGGCAAACCCAACCGGCATCTTCCCACACTTGTGTCTCCTCATCCTCACCCTCATCACCCTCGCCACCGCAACCACCACCACTACAGACCCCACAACCACGGCAACAACAACATCCACGGCGACTGCAAGCATCTACACATCACCAAGCAACGGCTTCTCGTACATAGGCTGCTACAACGAGACCACGGACCTGGCCGGCACGGCCGGCAACCGCGCGCTATACGGCGGCACCAACGAGGTGCTGCCGGGCAACATGACGGTGCAGACGTGCCAGGCCTTCTGTCGCGCCAGCGGGTCCGTTTATAAATTTGCCGGGCTGGAGTATGCTAGGTATGCTTTTTTTCTTCTACGTCCAAGGGGGGTGGTTGCATTGTGCATGTTTATTTCGGTACGTGCCACGCCATGCTGGGAGCCGTTCGCTTGCTGCGAGGAGCCGTTGTGCTGCTTGATGTCGTGCTCTGGATGTCGTGCGCTATGAGTTGTGAATTATGTGACTTGGCCAAAGTCTCTCTCCCGTCTCTCTCCTGCTTTCTCCTACCACCCCCTCATCAGAACCACAAGAATAAAAAGAAACCAGCACCGCCAACTCCAGAGACGTTGCTAACCCCCCGCCCCCGACCTTGCAGGGAATGCTGGTGTGCATCCCAGCTGTCTAGCCTGTCCAAACAGTTCCCAGACAGCGCGTGCAATCTCACCTGCGAGGGCGATGCCACGCAGATCTGCGGCGGGAGCCTCAAGATCACGGTGAGTTAAATAGTTGGTCTGCATTACCTGCGCCGGTCTGTTTTACTAATATTTCCCGTGTCCTAGGTATATGTCGCTGGCGCCGCGTCTCTGAGAGTAGCGTGGGCAGCCGGGCTGGTGGCAGTAGCGGCTGCTGTTTCTATGAATCTGATATAGCTAAGGTATTGCAGGGCATTGCGCTCGAAGAAGCTTACTTCCGAACATCATAATGTATAGAGAAGCGTGTTTTAACTTATCATTCGGCGTATATTACCTCTATTTATATCGTACATTATTGGGACTTGTTTTGCGTTACAACATGATCGAGATATTGCCAGGCTTTACAAGGCAAGGCCGTACATATCTTCGTGGGCAGAGGGTGGTCGTTTCATGCATTCAACATACCGGCAGTCGAGATCGACCGCCTGCACGGCTTACCCAAAATCCATCGGCGCCAGGCCTCTGGCTTTCATGGCGCCCTGGATAGCCCGCTTGATCGACGCAAGCGCACCCGCCCAAGCCTGTTTACCGCGTCCGTCGCTGCCGTCTTCGATGGTCACCTCGAGCCACCTGACGAGCTTGCGCACCTTCTCCATGTCCCGCTCCTCCACAATGACCCGCCCAAGGTATTTCTCGAGCACCTCCACGTCTTCCCTGTGTGGGCCCTCTTTCTGCGTCGCCTTGTGCCACGCGCCGAGCATAGTCTTGATCTCTTTCGCAGATGACAGTGCCGACTGCGTAAACGATAGCTTTGGGGGGCGCTGGGGGAAGCTCAGTCTCATCTGCCCCCCTGGCAGCGCGTCCTCGGACGCCTCTTCAGCGCCTCGTCGCCGTGGAAGAGGCTGAAAGTTCAGACCAGACCGCTGCGCGAGGCGCCGTCGCCGATGATCCTCAACAACCTCGCGGCGCAGGTCTTCTGGCAGCTCAGCTAAGAACTCGGGGTCTAGTTCGTCCACTAAGTCGTTTGCCTCGGTTGCGCCCTTGCCCGCCACGAAACTGGTTTGCAAGAGTTTCGCCTCCGTATCGTGTTGCCTCTCCTGCTCTCGGGCTCGACTGAATAGATTCTTCATGTCCCCCTTGGTAGGCGTCACCTTGTCCTTTGCATGATGGACCACTCTGTCCTTCCTTGGTGACTGGGGAAGAACTGCCTGGCCACCGCCCTGGCGTCGCCTCCGGCCATAGGATGCTAGGACTTCAGCCTTCATCTCTTCTGGCAACGTGTTGAAGACGTCTGGGTCAACATCCGAAGGGATGTCATCGGTCAAGGTTGGGCTTTGGGAACGCGACGTGGCGGCTGGCGACGCCTCTCTAGACTGAACGACCGACTTGCACTGAGCCTGGTTCATCAGCCTGCTGCGGATATCCGGAGGCAGCTCGACAAGCACTGCAGGGTCGGGGTTCGTAGGCATGATGAATTGTGTCCCGGAAATATTCAAAGGCGTCCTCGCCTTATCATCCGCAGCACCCGCCTTTGCTAACGCTAATGCTGGGTGGACTCTGGGCTTCCGAGGGGTTAGGGGGTCGACAGTGATGGGGTCTTGGTCCACGTCGTGCCCCTTGGCTTTCTCTGGACTGCTGTCATCGTCAATTTGCTCTGCCATGTTCCTCTTGTTCGATAGCCTAGTTGTAGCAAAGTTTCCAAAGCTCAGCTTCTTCTGGCTTCCCTCTGGACCGGCGGACAGTTTGAGAGGCTCTAACTTGGTCATTTGGATGCCCAGACCCCGAAGGTCACCCGGACTAAACCTGTAAGACCGTAATATAGCAACGGCTTCTTTTCCAATCAGTTCGCCGCTGTTCGTCGCAACGCCAAAAACGGCGCTCTTGTTGAATGTATCGCATTTCCCGTGACCGAGGTGCTTCGGCGGGTCCAGGGGGGCATCGAGAGCCCGCCGCATGATCTTCATGGTGAGGTGCTTCCCCTTTACCCCTTCGTTCAGCAAACGGCGTTCCAGCTCGTTCGAGAGGCTGCGGACAAACTCTTCGGCCTCTTCCTGGTTGGTAAAACGGATCCCCCAGTTCACCTCTGCGGAAGCGGACTTGCGGATGGGCTGCTCTCCCACCTCGGCTCGGTCCATGCCTCGCGCGTATTCCCACAACTTCTCGCCCGTCTTTGGCCCCAACACGGAAATCAGACGTTCCTTGGAGGTCTGACGTATGTCCTTCACCAACTTTATGCCAATTTCCTCGAGCTTTCCGCTGATACTGTATGCGACACCCGGAAGGTCCTCAACCTTGAGCTCGGCGAGGAGGTCCAGGACGTCCTCTGGTCTGACCTGGTACTGACCGGCGGGTTTGGCCTTCCGGAGGGCAACCTTTGCGAGAAGAATGTTGCTGCCCATGCCGACCGAGACGTTACACTCGGTCTTCTCCCTGATCTGGATGCGGAGGTCAGATGCAATCTTGTCCACTTTTTCCTGCTCCCGCCAGATGCTTCCTTCGCTGACGCCAACACCCGCGGAACCCGTTTCGGACAGCACGATGTTACTGACATCAATGAGCGCTTCATCGATGCTGACACTCTGGACGACGCCGCCTACATCGAGTATAGCGTCGTAGAACAGCCTGCTTGCCTCTTCGTAGGCAGGAAAATCGTACGGCAGGATCTTCAAGTCGGGACAGAGCTCCAGGGCCCGCTTCATCCACATGCCATTCTTGACGCCAAACTTCCTGGCTGGATAGTTGCAAGACGCGATCTCAGATCCACTACCATTGCCATGGGCTACTACAGCCGGCATGTCGCGGTACTCTGGAGCGCGCTTGAGGGATACCGCGCAGAAAACTAGCAGCGTACTGTTAGCATGCAACCAAGTTTCGGCTCTGCTTAGTACGTACGTTACTTACAGCTGTCAAAATCTACGTGCATAATGTATCGGCGCATGCCTTTACGCTGGATTGGTTTAGTCGGGCCTCTCTCTGCAGCGAGGCTCTGCATGCGTGCCTTGAGCTGAGCCTTCCATGTAGACAGGTGGTGTAGGCGACTCTCTGAGTAGTACTGTTTCAAGAAGTCTGGGTTGGCAGTCGAGGACTTGCGAATGTGGGGATCAGAGAGCAAGATGGCGTTGTGCTCTTCGGAGGTCATCACTGTGTGCTTTAGTAGACTCGTACCGTTCCCCGGCTTCTCGGGGACAGGGGGTTTCAGGAATTCTTTCTCCTGATCAGGCACTGGGCCGTACGAGACTTCTCCCGACCCCGCCTCTCCAAGATGACCCCCAAGCTGGTTATGGGGGGTGGTGGGAGGTCTATGAGGCGACCGCTCAGGGGTTGCGGCGGTCTCAGTCTGCAGATCGATTTCCATGCCATCGTTGTCATAATCATCTTGTATAGTTTCAACCAAGACAGAGGGCGGCTTTCTGGCCGACGGCGGCTGAAAGGGGCTGCTGGGGTCTTGGGAGCCACGACCTCGGGCCGACTTTTGCAGTTGTGCCGTGTAAAAGCTGTTTTGGGTCTGCTCGCGGTATCCTTGGGGAGACTGCTGGGCTGACTGAGTGAACAGCTTGCCGCCATCGAACCTGAAGGTCTTTTGCCTGGGCCCGTCGTCAATGACGCGATAGTCGGTCCAGGGCAGGAGCTTGCCGGCCTGTATCGAGTCCGTGACCCAGGCGGGCTTGACGATGCGATATTTTGAGAAATCGACAGCCTTCTTGGGGGGCATGGTCGAGGCGATAATGTGTGTGGCCATGGTCTTGGAGTCGAGGTACTGTAGGAAGCCGGCGCCATGCTGGACAAGCTCTTTGTGCAGGACATGAAGAGGGGGCTGGGTGTAGCCCGAGACATGGGCGACGACGCCCTTGAAGATCTGGGGTTTGCCATCGGCACTGGTGCGCAGCTCGACGTCGAGGTTCTGGAGTTTGATCTTCTTCCTCCGGAAATAGTCCCCGAGGCCCCCAAACTCGCTGGCCTCGTATTCGTCGCCAGCCTCGTCAGTGAAGCCATGTTCCTCGATGCGCTTCCGCACCGCCGCCGAGTTCTTCTCAAGACGACTCCCCATCTTGAGCGACTTTTGATTGGTGTATCTCAATCTCGCTGGTTTCTCAACATCTCGAAGAGAGCAAGTTTGACCATGGCATCTTTCGGCAAGAAATGAGTAAGTGAGGTGCAGAAATATAAAAAATGCGAAGAGAAATGAAATAGAGCCGCGTTCTGGTGTCGGGTTGCACGCGCTCAGAGACCGTTCAGCTGCTCCTCAGAACGCCAAAAGGCAATTATAAAGTATGGAATCCAATGTAATATTATAGCGACAGCCGTGTATCTTGAAAGCGCGCAGAAACGGCAGCCATGGTTTGGACGAGGTTCGCACAAGCAAATGCGATGCGCAATGCTGGCAGGTTGTTGTAGGTGGCAAAGCAGCAAGGACTCGCCAAGTCCGTCAATGAATGACTCCCAATGTCCCGTTGGTTGGTCCTGTTCGGGAGACGGGAACTGACGGGAGGTATCACCCACACGGGCGCTTTGACGTGTCGCCTGCTGAATCACAGGCACGTGAGCACGTGCTCAGCGTCTTTCTTGCCCCGCCACTCCCCGCCAACCGCGCTGCACCCCGCCTGCCGAACCCGTAATGCGGCACTACCACCCGCTGCGATTGAGCAAACACCACTGCTGTAGACATCCTGGATACCTTCAAAATAAGGCACCAACTTACACACCAAGCCTACCGACGTGCTGAACTAGCCTCGCCTCCAGGGGCTGAGAGGTCTTGGGCTTAGCAGGTATTCAAATCCAAGGCGACATCCTCGAAAAAAACCATGCAACGATGAACAACGAACAATTCCGCAAGCTGCTGCTGGCGAACGCGGCCAAATCCAAATCCGACGGGGACAAGAGGAATGGCGCACCGGCAACGAGCAGCACCCCGGCGCTGGGCTCGAGGTTGAAGTCCAACATTCCCATGACGCCTCGCTCTGCCGCTGGCGGCGTGAGGAACGACTTTGCTCGACAGCTGGCCGAGAGGCAGCACCAGGCTTTCGAGAAGGCCCAGAAAAAACACAAAACCTCGCTTCCCAAGGGCAGCAAGTTCGCCCAGGGCTATGTCGACCGCGCCAAGACGAGGCAGGACCAGGACGACGAAGACGACAGGGCGGCGCGCCTGGAGGCCCTCGACGAGTCGTTAAAGAATGAGGAGATAGACAAGGCGACGTACGACAGGCTGCGCAGCGAGATAGCCGGCGGCGACCTGTCCAGCACCCACCTCGTCAAGGGCCTCGACTTCAAGCTCCTGGAGCGGATACGGAAGGGAGAGGATGTCTACGGCGGCGGCGGCGACGGAGACGAGTCAAAGGCATCCGCAGATGCGGGCGAAGAGGCACAGGCGGAGTTGGAAGAGGATCCCGACGATGTCTTGGAGAAACTGGAGTCGGCCGAGGTCCATGCGATCACGAGAGAGAAGGTGCAGAAGAAGGGCCAGCTGGCCACCACGACGCTCAACACGGGCCAGAAAAGATCGCGAAACCAGATTCTGGCCGAGATGAAGGCAGCAAGGGATGCAGCCAAAGCAAAGGCGGAGTCGAGCCTCGGTCCCAAATTCAAAAAGATCGGAGCCAAGAAGACGCCGGGGACGAGGATAGAAAGGGATAGTAAGGGCCGCGAGGTCATGATCATTATCGACGAGGACGGCTACGAAAAACGCAAGATTCGGAAAATCGAACCCAAGCCTTGGGAAGAGCAGGAGAAGGAAACGGCGGCTTTTACGTCAGGCAATGTGCTCGGTATGGAAGTACCCGAGTTTTACAAAAAGCAGCTGGCGGAGCAGGCCGAGCGGGAAGCCGCCGAAGAGCAAAAGGAGATTACCATCTTTGATGATGCCGGGTCAGACTACGATCCCCTAGCAGGTCTCGAGGACGGGTCAGATAACGACTCTTCTGCAGAAGAGGGCGAAGCCAAGGAAGCCGTCGCAGGGCAAGGACCTGCCTCTACAGCCACTGCCGCACTACCAGATGAAGGGGCAAAACCCTCGGCGACCCTGATGGGGCCTCCCCCAAAACCAGACGCGGCCTCGAGCCCGGCAAGAAACTACTTCAAGGACTCCAAGACGGCGTTAACGTCAGCCGAGTCTTACAAGGGGCCTTCGCTAAACGACCCAACACTCCTGGCGGCACTACAAAAGGCAAAGGCAATCAGCGCGGCGGAGAAGTCGGAGGAAGAGCAGAAGGCGGCAGAGCGGGAACAGCGTCTCAAGAAGAAGCTGCTGGAGAGCAGCCGGGACGACGACGACCTAGATCTCGGCTTTGGTTCGAGCCGGGCCGAGGACCAGGCGGACGCCGAAGACGCAAAGGTGAAGCTGTCGACGTGGAGAGGCGGCCACGACGACGACGACGACGACGACGATGGCGAGGACGGCGGGGGTCGCGGCGACAAATCCAAGAGGAAACGAGGTTCTAAAAAGAGGAAGGGGGACAAGAGCAGTTTTGAGGAAGTCATGAAGGTCGTGGAGCGCAACAAGAAGACATAGTGGCTGTGGCAGGAATATACGCCTCCGTATCTATGAACTACTGGGCCGTGATGTTCTTTGTGTCTCGTGTCAAGGATATCGAGCGATGCAATTCTCGCCGAGGTAAGTGTTTGCGTTGAGCCCCAGGGGATAAGCCAGCTTTCTAATCGGGCACTCGTGAAATCTACTAGAATTGAGCCAAGGCATCTAGTTGCTTCGCCTTTTGCCGCCACGCATTCAATGGTGGGTCGATCTGATACCCGCCGCAGCCAAGTCAGATAGGTAGTTCTCGAAGCACCCATTAACAGCCACTAGCAAGTCACCCACCTTCCTTTAGTACATACGTAAGGGAACACGGCGGTATAAACGCCGCAGTGGCATAGCATTGCTTCCACCCGTTCGTTGCCAGTGCCAACAAGAAACGAAACACACGAGGTCCCCTAATCAGCATTTTAAATCCCGCCTGGACCTAGACTTGGCTGTCGATCCTTTGCTTTGATGCCTTGGTTTATTTTATTTTAATGAATTCCACTTTGACTTTGCCAAGTTGGTTTGATTGATCTAGCTACGAACTATTCCGTGCAAATCTACTATCTACTCCGTAACCTGCCGGCGACTATAGACATCTAGACATCTAGGTTCATCTTCGTTTGTTTTCTCAGCGAACTACCAACAACAACAACGAAGCCCCCAGGCCGACCGAGAGGATGGCTGATGCGCCAATTCCCGTCTGGCTGGACTGCGATCCGGGCCACGATGTGAGTAACAGCAACTACCTTGGGCAAATATCTTATCCATGCCTCAGACTTGCTTGGTCTGGACGACGGGTGGTCCCGACCATCTCCCCCTCTTTCCACTCACGGCCCCGGGTCCTATCGCGCAGGCCTCCTTGCCCCCCTCCGTCCCGTCCCGTCCCGCATCACTTCCGGCTCCATCGTCACCCCCGTGCCCGATACAGTCCGCGCCGTGCACAGATGCCGGCCAAGGTCGGCAAACCTCTCCGGGGGCCCGAGTCACCCCCTCTCGTTGTCGACCACGAATATCTACCTCAGTGACCATCATGCTCATCTGGCAAGCAAACAGTGCACTCGCTAATCGTGCTCTGATGGCAGGATGCCTTTGCCATTCTTCTCGCAGCATACCACCCAACCATTCGGTTCCTCGGAGTGTCAACTGTGTTTGGCAATGCATCACTCGAGTAAGTGTGGCCCTGACACTCAACCATTGGCAACCCTACTGACCAACCCCAGGAAGACGACGAGAAATGCATCGTCCATCCTGACCGCCATCGGCAAGGCGCGCGAGGTGCCCGTCTTCGTCGGCGCCTCGCACGCCCTGGCCCGCCCGCCCATGCACGCGCCCACCGACATACACGGCGAGTCGGGCCTGGACGGCACCGACCTGCTGCCCCAGCCGCTGGTGGCCCCTAACCGGGAAGTGCCGGCGGTCGACGCTGCCGCCGCTGCGCTGCGTGCCGAGGCGCCCGGCACGGCCTGGGTCGTGGCCACGGGGTCCTTCACCAACGTGGCCGCGCTCTTCATGCAGCACCCCGACCTTGTCGGCCACATCAAGGGCCTGTCGCTCATGGGCGGTGCCCTCGGTGGCGGCTTCACGCCCGCCGTCATGGGCCACGTCGACGGCATGCCGCGCATCGGCAACTGGACCCAGTTCGCCGAGTTCAACGTGCTCGCCGACCCCGAGGCCGCCGCCGCCATCTTCAACAACAAGGCCCTCGCCGCCAAGACCACCCTCGTCACTCTCGACCTCTCCCACCAGGTCCTGACCACCCGCGAGGTCCGCGACCTGATCCTCTACGGTCCCGGACACGGACCCGGACACGCCCACGACGGCCAGCCCAAGACCGGCCCCGGCAAGACGACGCTGCGCACCATGCTCGTCGAGCTGCTCATGTTCTTCGCCAAGACGTACAGGTTCGTACTGGCCAACCTCTCTCGGTCTGCCCGTAGAACCCACAAAGCTAACACTATTCCCCCCCAAAGCGACGTCTTTGGTATCACCGAAGGGCCCCCGCTGCACGACCCGCTCGCCGTCGCAGCCATACTAACAGAAATCGGCACAGACAATAACAACAAAGAGGACGCGATCCCCTTTTACGACTTTGACCCGCTCAAGACAACCGCGTCAGCATCATCGCCGCCCGCGGAGCGCTTCGACGTGGCCGTCGTCACCGAGGGCACGTACGAGGATGCCCACGCCGGCGCCCGCACCGGCCAGATCACTACCACGCTACTACCCCCCGGAGCCCAAGGCGTCCGAATCCCCCGCGGCCTCGACATCCCGCGCTTCTGGAAGGTCCTCGAGGAGTGCGTGTCCCGCGCTGATGCTGCCAATGCCGTTGCCGCCGCTGCCGCCGCTGCCGCCGTTGCCGCCGCTGGCGCTTGAGGCAGGCGGATGGATGGATGGGGCAGGGGCTTTTGTTTGTTGGCTTGGAGAATGTGTAGGCATGGGTGGGTAGGTAGGTAGGTAGGTAGATGAATGGTACTAGAGCTGGACAGACAGACAGAAGCGAGTTATTTGGCTTACCGCATCTTTGATAGACTAGCAAGCAAGCAAGCAAGCACTGAATCACTACTTGTGAGTCCCGCCCTTATGGTTCTTCTTACCCGTGCGGATCAGGGACCATCTATTGTTGTCTTTTCAGAGAGAGGTGATATTTCTAGTCTATTAAGGACGAACTGCTTGTAGATACCCAACAACAAAATCCCTGTGATGGTGGGTACATCTTGGGAAACAAAAGGGGGAGGGGCGTATATGGCTCGATACCGAGGCCAAACCATGGGATAGATATAGACGCGGGCAATGCTGAACAGGCTCATCAGAGATACGGCCGTACTTGCTCCTCGCACCACTCCCAAAAGGCATGCGTCCCGCCCGTCCCGCCCTCGGCCACCGTCTTGGTGGCCTTGACGAGGTCTTTCCGGATCGGGTAGATGCGGCCAAAGGGGATGACTGCAGTTCCATCAGCAGCAATATCAGTCAGCCACATCTCAAGCAACCAACAAGAAATAAAGACATAACGAAAAAAAAAAAAAGAAAAAAAAACTCACCCCAATTCCCCTCCAAGCCCTCAGCCTTCACGTCCGGCGCAAACCCCGCATACAGCTGTGACAGCGCGCCGTAGCGCACGGGTTACCCGATGGCACGCGTCATGAGCCTTGAACAGCCCCGCCCTGAGGTTTCCCGGATTAAGCGGCACGCTGACGATCCCATCACCACCGCCAAACCGCCGCCTGAGCTCGACCGCCAGCGCCCACACGCCCGACTTGCTGATGCCGTACCGCGCCGTGCCGGGGGGCACTTTCTCGCCTTTTTTTCTTGGATATAGGCGATGACGTCGAGATCGACCCCGATGTCCTTGGCGGCGAACATGTCGGTGCCGAACGACGCCAGCCAGACGACGCGCACGGTATCCGGTGGGGAGACCACGGCAGTAGCGGCCAGGATAGGGGTCAGCAGTTTTGTGAGGAGCATGGTGCCGACGCAGTTGACGCCGAGGTTCAGCTCGAGGCCTTGCGGGGTGCGCGTCAGCGGCCCGCTGTCGGACGTCATGACGCCGGCGTTGTTCCACCGCACGTGCAGCTGTGTCTCGGCGGCGAGGAAGCGCTGGGCGGCCGCCTTGATAGTCGGCAGGTCGGCGAGGTCGAGCGGGAGGAAAACGAGGACACCGCGGGACGAGGGTGCAGCCGCCTGATGGATGGCGCTGATCGCGGCGGCGGCCTTCTCGGAGGACCGCGCCGCGATGTACACTTTGGCGTGCTTGGTGTAGAGCATCTGCGCCAGCTCCTTGCCGAGGCCGGCGTTGGCGCCTGTGACGAGGTAGACCTGGGGTGTGGTCAGTATGGGCCGTGTATGTGTATGTGTGTGGTGGAAGGCTCACCTTGTGGTCGAGGTCAGGGACATCGTTCTCTGTCAAGGCCGGCTTGGGCGGGAACGTGTTGGTTCACGAGGACGAGAGCGTGGGCATGTTGGGCAACGACGAGACAATAGGGGGATGATGGGCTGATAGGGGAGGGCGAGTGGAACAAATAAACACTAGGACCTATGTGTGTATAAGTGGCTGCTGTAAATAGTGTTCCGAGGCTGGATCTAGACGCAGGAGCTGTGAGTTGAGCTGCGTTTGAAGCAAGAAAACACACACATAGACACAGGCACAGACACAGACACAGAGCAAGAGAGGGGAAGCAAGCCGGCTTTTGACCTCGGAATTTGACCAAGTATATCCCTATGAACTCAACCATGACAAGTTCCCTAGACCACGGCTGGCAGGATTCGTCCCTGCCATCCATCCACAACCCATCCTAATCAGACATGGACAGAGGCTCGGAAAGCTCGCGACATGACAGGCTGGCCCGCCAATGGCCAAGAACCAACAGGCCAGCAGACGGGTAGGTGGTAGTGTATAGATGGATAGGGTGATCAAGTGGGATCGCAGCTTGTATGTACAATACGGGCGCCGTCGGTGGTCACTCGTCAGGACCTACGGACCACCCTCCGCTCCTTCTGTGTTTTTCTCTCACTGCCCACCTATGCTGGGTGTTTGAGAAAAGATGCGCCTTCCGCCCGCCGCCCCGTATGCAACCCGGAAATAAATACTGACAACAGCCTCAAAAAATCTTGAAGGATTCGGGTACTTAGTTTCCTCCCCGTAATAATGAAAAATAAAAAAATGACTCCCGCTCCGGATAACGAAATGAAGAAGGAACCCCAAAGCAGTTGACACCGGCGCTTTCGCAGACAACACAAACCACAATAATAGCCCGCTACCTTGCAGGACCGACACTCGCAATGATGCGCTCAGTGTCAATGCTTCGCCCGCCGGTCTAGCCGCTTCTTCCTGGCCCGTGTTCGAAGGGTATCTTGGTCCAGGTACTCGACCGGCAGCTCAAACTCGGCCGCGTCCATGTCCGGCACCGGGTGGCCCCACGCCAGGACGGTGCGGCCCGAGCGCCGGCTCTTGCTGAGCGCCGCGTCTCGCTGGTACTTCTTCTTGAAGAAGGACTTGAACTCGGCTTGCGTCTCGGGCTGCTCTACACGCTGCTGCTGCTGTTGCTGCTGCTGCTGCTGCTGCTGGCGCGAGTGCGAGGGCGGAGGCGGCGGCGGCGGCGCTTTCCATCTAGTTCGCCTCGTCGTCGCTGTTGTTGACTTCTTGGCCTCGGCAGCCTCGGCTTCCTCCTGGAGCTGCTTAGCCACCGAGGCGTCGATGTCGCTAAAGTCGGGAGGTTCGACGTCTTGGTCCGTGTCGCCGTCCTCGGCATCGACCATCTCGACGTCGCTGTCTGCGATCTCCTCTTCTACCACCTCGGCCTCACTGTCGCCAATCTCTTCGTCGACTTCGGCTTCGTTCTCGGCCGCGGCGGCTGCTGCGGCCGTGGCAGCAGCCTCGGCCTCTGCGACAGCGCGCTCCTTGGCCAGCTTGCGGCGCTTCTCCTCGGCAGCCCACCGCCGGAACTTATCCAGGATGGTCTGGCAGCCATGGATGAAGTGCGCACGGGCCGGCTCAAACGTCTTCTTGCGGCTCTCCGTGATGCCGCTAACTCCCATCACGCGCAGCCAATCTGGCCCCTGCAGGCCATCCAGCAGCCGGATGATCTGGTCCTTCTCGTGCTGAGCCCGTCCTTTCTCCGAGTTGCGGATTGAGCGCTCGAGACGCTCGGCCTTCTTATGCGCAGGCTCGTACGCCAAGTCTGGCAGCGGGTCCTCTACCGTATTCGTCGGGTTCCGGCTCGCCTCGGGTAGGAACCCCATGTCGATTATTTGGGCATCTTCCAGTTTGGTGAAGAGGGCATCGCCAAAGTTCCGCACCGGGTACGTGTCGCGTGCGCGGGGTTGCAAGGAGCCCTGCGCCGTCGCAAGTGGTGCCGAATTGTGGGGTTGCGAGGGTGACGACTCGGCGATTACAAGAGGTGTGTCGAGGTTGAGCAAATCTGGCAAACAATGTCGAGTTGGCAATTGACGTCTTTGGGGATGCAGGATGGCAATTCGCAATATACTCACGTTGTTCCTTGGGATCGTTTCCAATGACCTCGTCATAGTCCAGAAAGTAGGCTGAGAGCTCGCTCTTGAAGCGGCTTGCCTCTTGCGACCGTAGCTTACGACCCTGCTCCTTCGTTTCTATCGGCTGCGGCTGCAGCCTGTCCAGCTCATGCTTGAGCCCATTGACCACCTTCGCCTTGTGTTTTGGGAAAGCCGGCGGCTGTTTGCCCCGGGCAGCACCATTTGCAACGGGCTTGGAGGTGGTTGTGGTTGTGATTGTAGTTGTGGCGACCGTGGTGGCCGTGGCCGTGGCGACGGCGGGAGGAGGGGGCGCGCGTGACGGTTTCGGGGGATTGGGGCCCGCGTCTGCAGCGGGTTTGGGCTTGGGGGTTTTGGCGGGCGCAGCCTGGGGGAGGCTTGCTTTCGCGTCGGTGGCCGCTTTCGCGCTCTTTGGATGCAGAGACGAACTCGATGATATCTCGACAGCGATCCTGGCCTTCTTGTGCACAACGAGGGAGAAGTCGCCTTCGGAATGATCGAGCTGTCGCTTTTGGCGGTGGGAATTGGGGGAAAAGGTCGGCTGGTTCTGCGTCTTTGCCGTCGCGAGCGGCTGGGTGCGATGGATGTTGGGATGCGAGGGGTGGAGGAGACCTTCAGCTCGTCGCGAGCGGGTCATGGAGGATGTCATAGCCATTTGGAAACACGACACTCATGATGCGCCCGACATGCTCATACTCGTCTCTCGATCCACATGGGGATATAGAATGACGGGAGGGGCAAGCTGGGTGCCGATCGATGGCTGAGATTTCTGCTTCTTGGCGGGTGCCGCAAATCGACTTCGAGTTTTGAAATGCATGCTCTGCAGTGGTTGTGGGGTCAAGAGTTGGCGCCTGCTGTACTGTACAGTGGACGGCTGGCTTGATTTGGCCCCCTTCCTGTTCAGGTCGTTGTTCAGGTCTCTACTCCAGGAGGGCAGCTGGAGGAGGGGAAGTGCATTTTGCATGCTCACGCGGCTGTGCCAAAAAAAAATTTCTTCCATCGCATTTCCAAGACACTGTTACCATTTTTGAGCCCCTTCCAAAGTCGCAAAATAACCTTAACCCCCAAAAGGATGATTAAGGGACAATAGGAAGTCTGACCGGTTTTGACTTGACAATAGAGACTGAGGCAGGCGCCTGGGTTTTGCATCAGCACCGGCGCCAAATGACCCCACTCACTGCACTGCCTGCTACGTTCAATAGAGAACCTAGAGCCTCCGGTTCCAGTTCCAGTTGTCTGTTCCAGTTCACTTCACTTCCATTGTTCGCAGCAACGCATCGCCGCCCAAGATTCGAAGAATTGTCTGACCTGTACTGCACCAACAGAAGGCAGGGACGTGCAGTGGCAATTGCAGAGACATGAATTCACGGTTTGCATTGATGCACTCAGACTAGGTGGATTGATTTCGACCACAACTGTAGCCCAGGACCTCAACTCACTTCACTTTTCCTTACTGACCTTGTTATTACCTTCCATTGCTATGACCCTGGCCTCACCTTGCATAGCCTTTCTACTGCAATTGCAGTGGCCACATCGTTCTACAGTGACGCGAATTCGAAGATATAAAACACGCCAATATTCAATATGGCTGGCTCTACTATCAACCCAAACAGTTGCCGGCCAGCCCCAATCCAATCCAATGCTGGACTGGGGCCCAGCAACGGCTGAGAAGCATGAAAGGTAGTAATTAACACTTTACACGGACGGCCGTCTCGGGAAGCGGGAACGCTATTTCCACCCAACGGCGATACGAGGGGAAGAGGAGGCGATGCCGTTGTCGAATGTCGTGATCCTTTTTGTTCACATGAGTGACTCTGAAATGGCTGCTCGAGCCTAGAAACTGCCCAATTAAGTCTCAGAACATATCCGAAGCACACACTCACATATATAAACCATGAATTCCTTGTCGTCGTTGTCCTCCTCCCTTAGTACGCGCCTATCTCCGCAGCTGATCCTAGATCTCGTCTCTCCGGCGCTCTCTGTTGCTTTTGTCCTGTTGCTCCCTCGGCGGCTGCGGCAGCTCAGCCGGCGACCGGCCAAGGCCAGAGACGGTTGGCTTGGACATGTCAAGCTCGTGAGTTGCTCGAACATGATCGTAACGGCAGCATCAGACACCATTCTGACAAGCATCAAGTTCGCGAGCCTGTTGTTCCTGTCTCTTGAAACTGCCGCCGCCGCTTTCCTCTCTCTGCGCCTAGGAAGCGTCACCCATCTCCAGCTGGTCGCGTCAGTCGCTGCTCCGGTTGCTGCCCTGGGTCTGGTCGTGCTGTCGCGTCTCGAGCACCAGAGATCGGCAAGGCCTTCGGACTTAATCTCTGTTTACCTCTGGCTCTCTCTGCTCTGCGACGTGGTCCATCTCACGCTGCCCTCGCTGCGCCATCTAGACAGCCACGCTCGCGCAGTCTTGGCTACACGGGCTGTCGCCAAACTTGTCGTCCTGATTGTCGAGTCTTTGAGCAAGGGCCCTGACGTGCTCGACAGCCGTGGCCACGTCCCAACCCCCGAGGAAAGGTCCGGCGTCTTTGGAAGAGTCCTTTTCCTGTGGGTCAACGGGGTCCTCCGGAGAGGATACTACAACACAGCCTTGGCCGTCAGCGATCTCCCGCCCATAGACTATAAACTGGCTGCAGAGCCTCTCAGGTCGAGGATCCTGCAGGCCTGGACGCAAAGCCGTAAGTGACATGACCGTGACCTGGTGTTTCCCCCCTGTTTTTAAACCGAAGACCGCTCTAGGCGCACCATGGCTCCCCCGGGTACTTGTCAAGAGCCTCGCCGGCCCATTCGTTTCGGTTGTTGTGCCTAGGCTCTGTGTCGTCATCTTCCGTTATGCGCAGCCAGTCCTCATCAGGTTTGCAATCGACTTTGCCCAGTCTGCAGACGAAAATCCGGATACCGGCTATCTTGTCGTGCTTGCCGCCATCGCCGTCTATGGAGGCCTCGCAGTATGTCCCAGCCCGAGGGTTCTCGTTTGCTCCGTCCCCTTCCCCCCATCTCCACCAGTTGGTCAGCCCTAAAAAGCACCATGTCTACAGGCATCAACAGCCGTGTACCAGCATAGCCTGAACCGGCTACAAGTCATGATCCGTGCTGCCCTCACCGGCCTCATGCACGAACGTACCCTACTCGCGCCAAGCGATGCCTTCAGCCATGGCCGAATCGTGGCTCTCGTGACGACCGACGTGGTCGCGGTAGAGGGCGCCGCTGAAATGTTCCATGAAATCTGGGCTCGACTTATTGAAGTGATCGTCGGAACGGTGCTGCTCCACAGGCAGGTAGGGAGGCTGTGGCCGGTGCCATACATCATCATCGTTGGTAGGCCTCGAATCCAAGCCCCTTGTCTCTGATGCCGCTCTGTCTTGTTCTAAAGCCGGCTCCCCCTTCCAGCTTGCTCGCAGACGAGCCGATATGTGGCTAAGCATATGAAGAGCCGCCAGACGGCGTGGAATGTTGCAACACAGAAGCGCATCTCCACGACCACGGCCGCGCTGGTTTCCATCAAGAACATTAAGATGCTGGGCATGCAAGACGCCGTCGAAAGGCAGATGATCGAACTACGAAAACACGAGCTTGCCATGGCGGGCCACGTGCGGCGTATAAGCTTCATATACAATGCAAGCGGTGAGCGCCCGGGTCGTCGCCCAACTCGGTGTCTTGGGCTTTGCCAGAGCCAGGTCGGCCTTTCTTTTCGGTTCTAACCTTACCCCCAAGCAAACGCGCTGGGCATGTTCACGCCCGTCATCACCATTATCCTCTTTGCCGTGCTCGCGAGGCTTTCTGGCAGAGCTCTCGACACCAAGACGGCGTTCCCGACCATTGCTGTTTTGGGCCTGGTAACGCACTCGGCCAACATGGTCATGACATTTGGCCCCAGAGCGGTGACCGCATATGCCAGTGTTGAGCGACTCCAGGACAGCCTACAAGAGGCACGCCAGGACGAACGAATCGGTCCCGTGCAGGACGCCCATAGTAACAGCACCCGCAGTCCGGCCAGGCTAGCGATTTCGATCAAGAACTTGAGCATTGCCTGGCAACGCAACGGCGCCAGCAAGACGGTTCTCGACGGCGTTGACCTTGAGGTGGCCCTGGGTAAGATCGTGGTCTGCTCGGGTCCTGTTGGGGCGGGAAAAACCACGCTGGCGCGAGCCATTCTGGGAGAGACTCCGATCACGGCTGGAACAATCGAGCTATCGACACGTCGTGTTGCCTACTGCGCGCAGACGCCGTGGCTGGCTAACAAGACCATCAAGGAGGTAATCTGGGGGCCCTGCGCCGACGTCGACGAGACATGGTATCAAAGCGTCACTCAGGCCTGCTGTCTCGGCGAGGACCTTGCCGCTCTCCCTGAGGCAGATGGCACAGTCGTGGGCGGCGACGGCATGAACTTGTCGGGCGGACAACGGCAGCGCGTGGTAAGGATTGCGGAGCAGGCTCCTGGACTGATCCCGCGGCAGAAGCTGGCAAATGCTCACTCCAACCCATAGGCTCTCGCCCGCGCCGTCTTTCAGCGCTACGACGTGGCAATCCTCGATGACCCCTTCAGTGCCTTAGACGGCAATACCGAGGAGCTTATCGTGAAGAACCTGCTCGGTCTAGGGGGCCTGTTCCGGCGCTTGGGGACGACCGTCTTCTGGATTACCAATTCCAGTATGTTCACACAGCCCAGCATGTATCCGTCTGACCCAAGCCTGCCTGCGCGCTGACAGCATTGCCGTAGCACACCATTTCGAACTCGTCGACCATGTCATCGTGCTGGATGGGCGCATCAAAGAGCAGGGCCACTGGAGCCAGCTCAAGGCAAAGGACCAGCTGATTGCCAAGCTCATCCACCATGCAGACGACGAGCAGCGGGTCCCTGGCGATGGTTCCAAACAGGCTACGGCAGTCGAGGAGAAGGTGGAATGGTCGTCTAAGACGGCGACGCAGACGTCGGCAGAAACAAACCGGGCCACGGGAGATCTGTCTCTCTACGGTATGCTCTGCCTGTTCACAATCATCCACCGGCCACACACACATACATAGAGATTGTGGGAGCTGATCAAGTGCGTCAACGGCCAGGGTACTACTTTGCGAGCGCCGGCGTGGCGAACGTGGCAATGATGGTTACCTGTGCGGCGTGGTACTCGTTCTTCATCACGTTTCCGCAGTACTGGATGAAGTGGTGGACCGATGCTGCCGGGAGCCACACTACCTTCTACGTGGTCGGCTACGCGCTGCTGTACATCATGGCTTGGGTCTCTACCAACGGCATCATGTGGTATGCCTATATTGGGCCGCTTAGCTTCACTTGGAAGCTCCCTCTAACGGCCACTGTGAGCTGATATCGGGACAGGTTTAGGGTGGAGCGAATTGCCCCGATATCAGGCCTTTTCCTGCACAAGCGTCTAGCAGAGACCGTTCTGCGGTATGTATGCGTGTTGGTCGCCCGATAGATTCGGTGTGATGCTAACCGAGACGATGTGCCATAGAGCCCCCCTTTCATACTTCTCCGCCACAGACACGGGCACCATATTGAACCAGTACGCCCTGCGCGGCTTGATGCCTCCCTTTTGTCAAGCGAGCTGCTCACAAGAACCGCAGTTTCAGCCAGGATATCCAGCTCGTGGACAAGCGGCTCGCCATGGCCGTCTCGACTCTGGGAGTCCGTGAGTCCTAGTTCTAGAGACCGTGTTGGAAGGCTTTGCTCCCCAATGCTTACGAGGAAACAGAGGCCTTCAGACTCGGCATGCAGGCATCACTAATCTTTGCCGTGCAGCCCATCATGGGCGCCACCCTGCCGCTCTGTGCTGCCATCGTCTACGTGGTGCAGAAGTTTTATCTACGCACGACGCGCCAGCTGCGCCTGCTCGAGCTCGAGTCACGGTCGGCCGTGCTTACTACCCTGCTAGATACGGTAAGTTCCAGTCTCCCCCCCCTCTTCTTTGACGCTGTCGTATTTGCAGGATGAACCAGCCCTAAATTTCTCCCGTCACAGTCCAGAGGAGTCGAAACAATCCGAGCATTCGGCTGGCAGCGCAACATGGCGGACGAGGCCTCGCACAACCTCGATCTCAGCCGCCGGCCTTGGTATCTCCTCATGTGCCTGCACCGGTGGCTCAACGTGGTGCTCGACCTGCTTGTGGCAGGCCTGGCCATCAGCATCGTCGCCCTGTCCGTCGCCCTGCATGACACAACAACCGCGGGCGGCGGCGGCGCTGGCGGCAAAATCGGTGTGACGCTAACCGTCATCCTCCAGGCAAATGCCGCCCTCACGGGCCTCATCCGGTCGTGGACGGATCTCGAGGTCTCCCTCGGCGCCGTGGCGCGGCTGCGGACCGTCGAGAGGGACACGCCGCAGGATGATCGTGTTGTTTCTGACGGCGCCGCCGAGGCCGAGGCCGTGGCGAAGGCGTGGCCGTCGGCAGGCCACCTCGAGATTGAGAATCTTTCGGCGTCTTACAAGTGAGTGTCAAGAGGTGGCTGGCCTTGGCGTGTCAGAAGGCTCACAAGCTGACAACCAATATGGGAAACAGCGACAAGGCGCAGGCCTTTAGAGACGTGACTCTGGATGTTGCCCCTGGCCAGACGGTTGTCGTCTGCGGCCGGACAGGGAGGTGCGTGCCGAACATTCTGCTTGACCCCTATGTTCCCCGTCTCATATCCAGTCTCCCCGCCCTACCTCGCGCGCACTTGCTTACCTTGGCCCCTCTGTGGAATAACCACCGACAGCGGAAAGAGCTCGCTTCTGCTCTCGCTCCTGGGGTTGCTCGAGACGCAGTCTGGCAAGGTGACCGTCGACGGAGTCGACATCAGCCGCGTGCCGTGCGCGACGGTGCGGCAGCGCTGTTTCGTCACCATCGCGCAGGACGCCTTCTTCCTGTCCCAGGCCGCGCTGCGCTTCAACCTCGATTCATCCGGCACGCTGGCCGACGGCGAGCTCGTCGGCATTCTCGACAAAGTCGGGCTGTGGCAGCATTTCGCCTCCGCCGAGACCGAACCACAGGACTCCGTCACCGAAAACGCACACGCCAGCGGCGACGCCGCCCGCGTCCCGCTTCTCGCCGCCCAGCGCCAGCAGCACCAAAAAAACAGCGCGGTGCTAGATACGCCGCTGGCGTCGCTCCCGGCGCTGTCGGGCGGGCAGGCGCAGCTGCTGGCGCTCGCGCGCGGCGTGGCGCAAAGCCGCAGCAGCAGCTCCTCGTCATCGGCAAGCAAACCTATCGTGCTGCTCGACGAGGCGACGTCGTCGGTCGACGCCGCCACCGAGGCCGCTATGTACGACGTGGTGCGCGACGAGTTCGTCGGCCGCGGCCTCACCGTCCTCACGGTGACGCACCGCCTAGGCGCGTTCGCTGCGCGCATACGCCCCGGCCGCGATGTCGTCGTGTACATGAAGGACGGCCGCGTCGAGAATGTCGTCGCGTCACCGGTGCGTGGCTAGTCTTGCTGATAGTATTGGCTGTTGTGACTAGTACGTGAAGCTGAGGAATGGAAATGACATATCCGTAAAGGATTCACGAGGTTGATATTTTATTGCACAAAACAAACAACTTGCTGTTTTCAGTGTGGATTGACGCAGTCTATACATCATATAAACATTTCTGGGCTGTTATAGCAGGCTGTGTGCCAAAAAAAAACTGGGTTAGGCCATACTCCTTTTCCTTTGTGAATGGCTTCCTCTCGACGAGTTGGTGGGGACAGTCAAACTAAGCAGACTAGGATGTTGGAGCAGTGCCGTTCAAATATTTGACATTCTGCTATACCGCGGCAAATTCTTAACTGTGTTCATTTTAGTGTGTGCGTGGTGATGGGTACCAGTCATTTCACTTTGGTGATCGAACTGTGCAAACCCTTCCTTGAGCAGACAAAACAAAACAAATAGACCGGGAAACCCCCACGGAACACCAATGTAGTAGTACTACCTTCATCGGTATCATCATCATCATCATCAGTAGCAGCATCAACAGCAGAAACACTAGCTGCAAGAGCATGTAGTAGTAGTATGAGTCGTAGCAATAACAGAAATTCCACCCGGGGTATCATCGAAAGCCAAAATCCTAGGTTCCCTCTTTCCAATCCCTTTCATGCGCCGCCCCTAGACCGACAGACCAACCGTGACAGAATAAATAAATCAAAAAGACCCCCCTTGAAAAAAAGGCGAAAAAAGAAGAGAATCCCCCGGTCCCCATAAGCGACTTACTAGCCCCTATTGACTGACCACACACCATTGGCCAAGTCTATCACTTGGAACTGTCCTTCATCCGCCCGCACACGTTGCAGGTCCACCACTGCCGCTCCATAACGTTGCCACAGAACGAGCACTGCCACGTCGCTGCGACAGCTACCGGTGCTGGCGGCGGCGGCGGCGGGAGTCTCGCGGCGCGACTACCACCACCACTCCCGGTCCGTCGCCTCCTAGGTTTTGAGGATGAGGATGATAGTTTCGGCGGCGGGCTCGTTGTCAGGTCGATCACGGTCCGCTCTGTCGGGTTTGCCGGCTTCCGTGGCGTCTCGCAGGCGTCGCAGGCTGTCTGGTCAGCGGCGTTGTGCAGCGTGCAGACGTCGCAGGCCCAGAAGCTCGCGGCGGCTGGTTCGTTCCCTTCCCATTCTTGTTCCTTGTCGTCGAGTTGAGGTGGTGGTGGTGGCAGGTCCGGTTTTGTTCCGGTGGGGATGGGCGGTGGCGGCGAGAACGTGCTGCTGCTGCCGCCGTCGAGGCCGTAGCCGGCGTCGGTCTGTTGGCTGCTACCGGCGGGGTGCTCGGCGCTGGGGGGGATGTAGGCGGTGCCGTAGCGGGCCTTTTCGTCCTCCTGGACGAGCTCCCACAGGGCCTGGGCGATGGCAGCGTCGTTAGCAGCGTCCTCATCAGCCTGCGTCTTGAAGCCGTTGCGCGTGGCCGTGTCGGACAGGTCGCGGATCTCGCGCTCGCTGTGCTTGGTGTTGCCGCAGCCCTGCAGCGATGTCTGGTTGCGCCGCTCGATGGCGCCGGCGATGACGCGGCGGATGTCCTCGCCGGGGCGCGGGGCGGCGCCGCCTAGCCTACGGCCCGAGCCGGTTGAGAGGGTGGCGCGCTTCTCGGCGGCGGCGCGGGCCAGGCGGCGGGCCTCGTGCATGGGCACGCGGCGGGTGCTGCCGCCCAGTCGGTAGCCGTCGGACAGGAAGCCCTCGCCCGTGTAGCCCTTGAGGGCCAGGCCCTCGTGCTCGTCGCGCAGCTGGTTCCAGAGGGCGTGGAACTTTTGGTCGTGTGGACCGTGCACAATGTGTGACAGCTCGTGCAGCATCGTGTCCGCCACCTGCTCGAACGGGAGGAACTGCGTGCGGTCGCCGGCGTAGCGCAGCCGCAGCAGGATCCGCTGGCCGCGATTCACGTTGAGACCTGGATGGTGTTAGCTATTAACTCAGAAGATGATAGAGACAGACACACTCACCGAGCAGGTTGTGCTCGTCGGGATAGAACTCGGCCAGCTCGCCGACCTTCCAGCCCCGGGCGCGCATGATGGGCTTCACCAGCGACGCGATCTTTTTGAGTGTGTGCAGCGCCTCCTTCTCACGGCCGAAGCCTTTCATGTGGGAGAAGGAGAGCACGAGCGGGTCGTGGCCAGACATTTTGGGTGATGGCTTTTTTCTTTCTTTCTGCCCACGCGGAAGCGCCCAGGTCTTGTTGCTGCCTCTGGTATTTCTCTTGGATTTTTTTTCGGTGAAGAAAACGTGGAAAGGTGCAAGTAGAAGAGGGTGGAAATGCGTCGCCAGCAAAGTTCGGAATAGGTGAAGCCGGAAGGCTGTGTAGGTTGAAGCTAAAAGGCAGGGCGCTGGCGGTATAAAATGAGTTGGGTTTGGAATTCACAGAAGGAACCGTCCAGAAACCAATCTAATCCAAATTCCATATCATTGTCAGCAGCTACAGTATACTTGTTAACTGTTGCTGCAACGTCGTGATGCTAAAGGCCAGAATTGCGTGTCAGGCAGGCAGCCACGTCATGTCTTTTTGCCTTGCCTTGCCCCGTCGCCGCCCACGCTGGGCGAAGGCTACCGAAGTGTCTAGGCGGTAAGGTATTCAGTGGCGGACGGCCACTGATGAGAGGCAAACTTTAGGCGGCTTGCTTGGTAATGTTTGGCGACTCGGCGCTTGATGCAACCGCAAATTCAGCTGGCAGACATAGACTGACAGCTGGTTCCAGTTGTCATCTGAAAGCTGCCCCTTTTTAAAGGGGTAAATGTAGTCTAGTACCTTTTAATTGTTTTGGTACTGCTACTATTGGAATTCCATTTGTATCCTAGGAGATAACAAACTCGCCTCTTCATGTCTTTGTTTGTTCGATCAGTGCCATATCTGCTAATTTTCTGATCCTCGGTCCGTCCCGACAAAGCCAAGGTAGGTAGACTGGCGAGTTAACTACCTTACCACCTTAGGTATGCGCACATAGTTGGAACTTGTCTCCGATAGGGATTTGTTGTCGCAAATTACGAGCAGATAGCTTGCGGTGACTTCGCAGGTTCTAAGTGGGAGGTATATGTCTGGCCACCGTCGTCTTTCACTTGAGAGGAAGCTATTTGGTTCGTCCTTTCTGGTACGGGATTCGGATCACATTGCTATGGCCCGTCTACACGCCAGTGCCAAAGGCTGGCTTTAAACATCGTCTCTACAGTGCAAGGAAGGAGGGACTGAGTCCTTGTGAATGGCGCCACTTCATGCAATGTTCTACCAAGGCAAGGAAGGTACTACTAGCACTTACAGATTTTCGGTCATCATTTCAAGTTTGCTTCCAAAATTGCCCGTTGTTACACCGTAGGGAGGTACTACCTACATAGATTCGTTCCGACGTTTCTGACCCCGGGTTTGTTGTTGACAAGTTCGCTCGGCACCACGGTTTGCGCTTTTTCGGGATGGGATGCCTGTCTGTGGAACGCAACAGGTCATGAGCAGACAGAGGGGCCCCACAGAGGCAGTCATGAACACATCGAATCGTGCCTTCCAATGTTCGCTAACGTTAGAAACAGAAGGGTCCGGAATATTTGCATTGATGCAGGCTCCGAGGAAGCCCGACAGAGGATCATTCGCGGTGACGCACTGCATGAAAAGACCAACTTATCCCTAACCGTCGCCACCCTCGATATTGAGCGAGCATTTCCTCCGTTATTAAAAAGTGTCATGACCTGCACCAAGAGAGCGTCATGACTATACATGCTCCTCTGCAACAGAGTGCCGACCAAGTCTGTAGTATATGGACCTTGCAGCACACTGATTGGTCACCCTTCCCCTTTTTCGCGAACTGCAGTGTTTTCCGTCTGCACCCCGCCGTCCGCGGGTGGCTTGTACTCGCGGCGCCCCTGATCTACCACGATCTACCCACAGGCGTGCGTTGCTGTGTTGCACCTGCTTCCCGAACCAGCCTAGCCAGAGAGGCGCAGAGGCTCACACAGACTTGTTTCCCGCCTGCTCGGCTCAATTGCCGGGGCGGTTTCCGCCATGTGCCCGCATGGCGAGCGTGGAGAGACACACTGACACGCACAGACGACACATGAAATCAACTTGCTCAATGGGCCCTTGACATGTAAACTCGAATTCCTAGCGGCGGCAGCATCTCGAAGAATACTACTGCATAGTACGTACGTACTGTAGTCGCCCACTGCCCAAGTGTAGTGGATTCTCGAGGCCTCTCGGGAGACGCGGCAGTCTGTAATTGAGAGGTGCAGTCATTTGCGGAGCCGCCAAGCGGCCGTTATCATGAGCAGCCTGGCAAGGCCGCAAGAAGCAGTTGAGGAGCTTATTCGCAATTAGCTGTGTTTCAGGTTGGCAAGCTTCCGTGTCGGGTTTGGCGTCGATTGGCGCGGCGGCCAAGCGGGAAAGTCTAGGCGGGCGCCCCAACGGCTGGGAGCGTTTGTCGCTGTAAGCCCAGCCAGTGCCGTCACCAGTGAGAGGAGCCCGTCACTGCCAAGCTGGCTCCTGTTTGCAGGCATCAATTCCACTACTGCAAAATTGCGATGAAGAGCGACCGCAATTCACCACAGAATCCATGTCACTGTCCGATGCTTCGATTCCGGCTCCCACTGGCCAACCCCTAGCTCTAGATTTTACTCCGTCCCTGGAACCCACTCGGTTCCACTCGGTATCGCGTCAATACGCACAGTACAGTATGCTCAGCGCTGTAAAGAGAGAGGATTCCGAGCCATTGACGATCGTCGCCTTTCGTGTCTCGAGTCTTGGCGAAGTCGGGGCTGTTTACAATGCCGTACGGGCAATCAAAACCGGCGTCGTACTGTATGATACCCCTTGTCTTGTCTATGGTCCCGAATCTTCCCCAGTGGCAGGCAGACTACATACATACAGTACGAACAGCACCTTCCTTCCGCGTACATCAGCCTGTACAGTGGTCGGCCGAAAACAGTGCCTGCGTGTGGAAGGCTCCCCCGGCCATCTGCATCTAGGGTGACGGCCCATACCCAGACCCAGCCATATTTCCCTAGCGCTTTCAAACCGAAAGTATGCCGTCTCGTCTTGATTGCGTGTTGTGATAGGCCCGCGAATAGATCTATCACCTTGAAACAGACCCCCCTCCTCTCCCTCTACCCCCCGTCGACAATGGCAATGCATGAAAGAGCCGGCGATGGCGATCAGTTGGCGAAAGCTTGTTTGACAACTTCATCGGTCCGCCCCAGATCCACTATACGGCGGGCCCCGTTCGTTCCCTACCCTGCCTCTAGCATGGGCATCGTCGCTTTATCTTCCTGTTTGTCCCTCTGATGATTTTCATTGCCATCTCGTCTTTCGTTTGTCGTTTTTGCTCGTGTGATATTGTGCTTCTGCCCCTCCTTAATCGCCGGCCAGCCAGTCTTGGCGGTGTTCTCTCGCTCTCTCTTAACTCTCTTGACCTACCTACCTTCCTTGCATAGTAGATAGGTATTTCTTTTCACCACGCTCCTTTTATTTATTTTCCCCATCCTTCTCTCGTCCATTGGTGGCTGTCTAGCTCCCCTAGTTGTCTGCCATGAAATTCTTCACCCACGCTGCTGCCGCGGCTTCTCTTCTCTTCTCAGCGGGTCTGGTCTTTGGCGCCCCGCGCGTCGTTGAGGTCCGCCCCAAGGACTTCAAGATCTCGACGCTTGGAGGCTCGACATTCACTCTCTCCCAGGTCCACAATTCCAGATTCAAGCAGCTGGGCAAGGGCCCCAGGGCTCTCGCAAAGGTCTACGCCAAGTTCGGCCTCGACTTTCCACCAGAGCTGCTTGAGCTTCTCGATGCCCTCCTTATCGAGCTAGGCCTTAAACCGAAAAAGGCCGGCGGTTCGGGTGCAGGAGCAGGAGCAGGAATCTATAGAAATGGGACCATGAATGGCGGAAACCAGACCTTGGATGACGACAGTCAAGGCGAGGTTTCTGCTACGCCCCAGCTGTTCGACGTCGAATACCTGGCTCCTGTCCAGATCGGCACGCCGCCCCAGACCTTGATGCTCAACTTTGATACTGGATCCTCTGATCTGTGGGTGTTCAGCACCGAGACCCCGGCCGCCCAGCAGAGCGGTCAGAAGCTCTATGACATGGCCAAGAGCACGACTTCAAAGTTACTCGAGGGAAGTGTCTGGAGCATTCGCTATGGAGACGGCAGTGGCTCTTCTGGCAACGTCTACATGGACACCGTCACAGTCGGCGGCGTGACAGTAGACACCCAGGCGGTCGAGTCTGCCACCAAAGTGTCGGGCTCCTTCACCAACGACACTGCGTCATCGGGCCTCCTTGGCCTCGCCTTTGACACCATCAATCAGGTCAGCCCGACCAAGCAAAAGACTTTCTTCGCCAACGCCATGGAGAATTTGGCCATGCCTCTGTTCACAGCCAACCTAAAAAAAGCCGAGGGTAAGAGAGAGAGAATTCCGAAACCCCGTATGACAATGGGTTATTAAAGTCTTCCATGCTAACGCGGGAAACAGCGGGCAACTACAACTTTGGCTTTATCGATCCCACTGAGTTCACTGGCTCCGTCTCGTTTGTCGACGTGAACACGACCAACGGCTTCTGGCAGTTTGCGGCCGACGGATACTCGGTGGGCACGGGCGCCTCCGTGGCGGTGCCGCACGAGGCCATCGCTGACACGGGCACGACGCTGTTGATGCTGCCCGACGCCATCACGTCGGCGTACTACGCCGAGGTGCCCAGCGCGCAGAACAACGCGCAGATCGGCGGCTATGTCTTCTCGTGCACCGAGAAGCTGCCGGACCTGAACCTCAACATTGGCACCTACAAGGCCGTCGTCCCCGGCGAGCTCATCAACTTCGCCCCCGCCGACACCGACTCGTTCGACACGGCCACCCTCTGCTATGGCGGCCTCCAGAGCGGCGAGGGCTTCCCCTTTGCCATCTACGGCGACATCTTCCTCAAGGCCCAGTTCACCGTCTTCCACGGCGGCGACCTCAAGCTGGGATTTGCGCCCAAGCCCGAATAGAACAGCCCTACCATGACATTCTATGTATTCATGTATATATCCATATATGTAAGGGGCGAGCGAGCGTGTAAAGGAAACCATGTATATAGAAAAGAAGCACAACCACTCACTCGCCCGTAACTGAAACTTTGGGGAAAGAAAGAAAGAGTGGTATGCATTGTTTGTTTTTTTCTCGTTTTTATTCATTCTTCTTCTTCTCTTTCTCTTGAGACAGTCGACCAATTGGCGGCGTAGAGAATATCACCGTGGAGGGGGAACGCATAGAGCACGCGCACGGGGAGTTCTCATAATGTGGACTGTGGATCAGTTCTTATCCTCTTCGCTTCTATCGCCGCAATACAATACACCATTGACTGTTGAATAGACGAATCGACTGTTGCTTTTATCGTGTTTGTTCCCCTCTCTTCGTTTACTGCGGCTTTCTTCGTCTTTCCCCCATTCTGTTTCTTTTACCAAAATGTGAAATGCAATAGCGCCTTCGCAGTGATTGATACCTGGTCCGATCTTTCTTCTATTCAAGGAGCGACTTCTATAATTAGATCAATGGCTTATATCCATCACCACGCACACACTAAAATGACCACAAGTTAAAGCAACGATATGATAGGAACAATGGGGTCTATGTGTGTGTTTGGAACTTGTGTTTACCAAATAGAGAAAAAAAACTACTTCTCAACACGGCAACTCGTTTGTAGACGGCTCAATATCCCGGGAAAGTGAAAACAACCTCGAGTTTCCACCCAAGGTATGTAGGTACGAAGCAAGTCTGCCAGCCAACTATGCCTCCTGCTCTCCTGCTCTCCTGCTCTCACTTCACTTCAGAATGTCACCAAAGCAAGGCCCGAGAGGTAGTAATGTATGTATGTAGTTTGTATTAAGTAAGGTCAGGCTAGGGCCGTAGTACTCACAACTAGTAATATCTAGCAATAAACTATATCATTTCTACCCCCAGGTATCCCCCGTGCCCTGCCATTTGCAATGCCCATGACCGTGAGAGACGAAAACATTTCCAAGACCACACCACGATAAAGGAAAGAATATGCCCCAGAGATCTTGCCTCCCAGTTGAAGAGCTTTTCTGCTTCCCGTTTCTTTTGAGCCAGCCAAAAAAAAAAGACAGTAAGAAAAATTAGGCTCATAAGTCTTCTCTCATCTATGTATGTACGTTATATATACTCTGTTCCTATCAGAGCCCAGCAGAGACAGGAGAGATTTCGGCATCAATCGTTAACCAGAAGACTTTTGCAGAAGCATGTCTGAATCCAGTCCAGACATACGTAGGTTAGAGAGTAGCCCAGAGCCCTTTAGAGACAGGACTCAGCAAGCGCCGTACCGGACGCCGCGCTTGCCAAGCTCCTTTCGGCCGATGGCATCCTCGGGCCAGACCCAGCCGCGAGAGCGCTTCGCCTCGCGCTTCTCAGCCAGCTGGGGCTGGGGCATCCAGTCATCGCGAGGCAGAGCCTTGCGGCGAGTGCCCTCGGCAGGGGCACCAATGTCAGCGCGCCAGTGGGCATGACCGTTCATAGGCTCATCGCCCGCTAGCATGCACAGACCCCAGAGCGTCAGGCACGCGGTAAGCTGGACCTGCTCAGCGTCGGTGGGGACACCAGCGCCATCGAGGGTGTCACCCTCAGGGGCGGCGGCCGCGAGCTGCACGCTGCCGACCTCGAGATAACCAAAGTGCGGGGTGCCGTCGCCACCGTTGCGCACAAACACCATCTCAATCTCGGTGAGGATGAAGCCGTAGCGGCAGCCGTGCTCGCGCATGGCGTGGTGGAGGTGTGCAAGTCCGCGGAGGTACTCGACCCGCTTGACATTGCCCTCGACGCGCATGCCCGTGTTGAAGCGGTCAAAGCTCTTCACGAGCCCGACGACGCGCGCCGTCGGCTTGCCACCAAAGATGGCAGCCGCAGAGGCGGACTCGCCCGCGACATTGGCCACGAACATGCAGTCGGTTGCCATGCCTGAATTATTGGGGGACACGGCGGCCACTGCGCTCTTCGAGGGGACGGAGAGCTGCAACGGTCGCTGAGATGAGAGGGCTAGGGCATTGTTGAGCTTGGGGAGGTAGTACGAGGTATAGATGGAGTGTAGGGCCGACTCGGTCTCGGGATGCCTCTGGGTGGCCATTGGGCTAGGCAGGAGCGCCGTAGATACGGGCATAGAGAGGCAGGCCGAAGCGCCGGGCATTGCCAGAATGGCCGAGGCATTGAAATTGCTCCAGGGGCGGATCTGACGAACGTCCCACCAGAAGTTCTTGATGTGAGGGTCCCGCAGGGGGAACGAGATGGTGCGGACCAGCGACGGCGCCGGGTTCGACGAGGTGAGGTAAGAATAGAGAGTAGTGGAGGGCGTTAGATCGGGCGTGATGGTGGCGGCAGCGGCCAGCGGCGAGGGAGCGCGCGGCACATACTGCTGGGGGAAGAGAAACTGGTCGGGTTGGGAAAGGTGGGCCTGGAGCTGCTGCGGCTGCGGCGGGGGGGTCGGGCTGCAGCTGGACCGGGCGGTGGGCACATACGAGGGCATCTGGCGGTAGGTCGGGAAGCCGTACTTCTCGAGCGTGACATTGTCCAGGCTGCACGTGGAGGCGCGGCGAGAGTGGCCGGCAGAGTCTTGGGGAAAGCTCACGGGAGAGCAAAGAAAGTTGTTGCTGTCGTCAGTGAAAGACACGGCGGCGGAATAAGGGATGGTCTCGGGGTTGGTGAAGCTGCGGGCGTGCGAGGGGCGGAAGGCACTGCTCTTGCGGGCAACAGGAGCCGGAATGGTGCGGGCACGCTTAGGAGCAGGGGCAGCAAGGCACGAGGGCGTGAAGGCCTGGTCCTGGCTGCGGATCTTGGGGAGGAGCAGCGGGCCGTGAGTGCGGATGGGGGAGCGGGCCGGCGTCGTCCGGCGAGTGCTGGGAGCGGCGACCGAGTCGGAGGGCGACGACTCGAAGGAGTAGACGGATCCATGCGAACTGGAGCGAGCGTGGCCAGGGTTGTAGGGGATCTCAAGCAGAGACGGATCAAAAGTAAAGCTCGGAGGGGTAGTGGGATCGCATGGTGGAAAAGTGAAGTCAAACGTGACATCCGCTGCCAGACTGGTTACGGAGAAATTCGGTCAGCTCACAGCAGACGACACGAGGAAAGGGAGCCAAACACGGCTTAGACTTACGTGGACATGATGAAGACTGATCAAAGCAGTGCGTCGACTACGACACACGACACGGCAGATTATAGATTAGAGCACAGCAAAAGTATCCGTGAGGACAACAAGGGAGGCCGGCTCCGGTGTGGCTTATAGCGACGAGATAGAATAAGAGAGGGTAGGAGAGACGGAGAACGGAGTGGTGGCGCGGTGTTGCTGTCGTCGGCGATTCTCAACCTGACTGACCTCTGCCTGAGAGATCTTGTTGATATGCTGGGGTAGAGGAAGGGATGAGAGTACAGGACAGGATAGAGAAGGCGATGTTTGAGAATGAACAACATGAACAGATGAGACGAGGGAGAGAGGCTATACTTATCCTCGCCCGCCAGAGGGTTGCCGGAAGCGCAGAGGTTCATAGGCCATGGGTGGCCGGACGGCGGCGGACCTACGATGGATGGATCGAGTCGCGGGCAAGGCACTGGTTTCCGGGGCGCGACAACTGGCGATGGAGGGTGACAACCGCGAAGCGTGTCTGTCTTTGGGCTTGGCTTGGCTAGGTTTGGGCAGATGGATGCCGCGCGAGAAGAAACCGACGGGCATCATCCATCGTTCGGTACGTACCCTGCCTAAGGTATGTACCCTGCCCAAGGTATGTAAAGAGAGAGCTTCCACCCTAGAGCTGCAGCTAGAGGTATGTACGATGTACGTACCAACTGGGCGTGTGGATGAAAATAGGAAACCTGAAACGCGGAGACGATGGCGCCCACCGAGGACCCTTCATGTCGCTCGACGTCAAGCAGGGCCCGATGGAGGAGCCCAGCCATGTAAGAGGTTGCTTTCAGACATCCGAGAAGCGCGGGAGTAGGTACGTACCTACTCGCCGCGGGTTGGCTTCGGCGGCTCTGTAGCGTCAGACGGCAGAGAGAGCATGGCGTGGCAAATTAGCAAGAGCACTTGCTCTGCCTCGACACAACGAGTAATTAAAAAAGAGGCAGGCCAGAGCCAGAGACTGCCAATTTAACTAGCTTAGCAGATTGGAAGAAAAGAACGGAGAGTAGGCAAACAGAGGTCGTCAGTCTAGTGCAGGTGCAAGTGCAAGTGGTGTTTGGGCCAGTGCGGGCTTTCCCTTTCGGGTAAACAAGAAGACCTTGAAAGCTCAGTTGGCCCAAGCTCCTTCCTCGTCCTTGTTCTTCCAGCAGCAACCTCAGACTCGCTCTTTCCCCCTCCCCCACGAAAAAACTGACAACTCACACTCACACCTGCTGCTGCTGTAACTGCTGAGCGAGAGTGGGAGACAAACCTCAAACGACGAAGCAGATGACAAGAGAAGCGGCCCTACTCCCTGAGACTTGAGCAGTCGATGCACGATGCGGCGCCGTGATTGGCCCCGGAGCAACTGCCCATGCAAACCGCCATGCGGGCGTCTATGAGTCATATTTAGACACATGGCTTCGCACGTCCAGCAAGCCTGCGTGCGTTGTGAGTGGCCCGTCTGGGCTGCTTGCAGTTGCAACCGAGAGCCCGCAATGGCAGCCCCAGTTCTATCTAGCGTCCGTCCCACTTTTCGGCCGCCTTTTGTGGTGGGACGAGGCGCCAAACGCGGATGTGGGGAAGGTGGGGTGCCGTGTCAATCAATCCCAGTGGGATGAAATTTTGGTAAGGAAAAAGGAGAGCTTCGCGACTCTCTCCATGCGCGGCGCGCCCAACGGTTCACGGTTCACGGTTCACGGTTCACGGTTCACGGTTCACGCTCCACGGTCTACGGGTGCGGTGCCGCCACGATGCCACACTCTCGGATATCCATAGGCGCGGCTTTTTGGCGACTCGAGCCACGACACGATGGACTCGCACGCATCATACGCACGTTTTCTTTTGCCCGACAGCCCTGCATTCTCTGCAAGCCTGATCCGTAAGGCCGCGACGAAAACTGCACGGGAGTCGGGACGAGCTTCTTGACTGGCGAGTGTGCGACCTGCGGATGTAACAAACACCCAAGCTAAGGTAGTACGCTACGGGATGTGGTTTTCACTTTTCTCTTCGAAAGCCCTGGATTTTGATCAGACCAAAGTCTTCCCCGCAAACAACTCATCATACTTTGACTATGCCTACAATGCAAATACTACTCCAGACTCGAACCTAAGACAGCGCATGCTTGCTTTCCCGCTCGCAGAGTTGGGCATCTATCCATCTGCCGCCGTCGCCTAGCGTCTGGTTGTTACTTGCCTGTAACTAATCGAGCTGATGCTGCGAGCTCGCTGCCTTGTGTGTCTTTCTACAATTTGCAATCTAGGGTGGACCTAGGCTAGCGGGAGAGGGAGAGAGAGAGACAACAGAGATCGCAAAGGTCAGATGACGACGCCAAAAATAGAGACGGCGGTCTCTCTCGCAGCCCAGGATCGTCTCCCCCGGCGCCGTCTAACGCTGTCGTTGGGACCGGGAGCCGGAGCCTTTTCGGGGGGCCCCCCTGGTCGGGCTGATGATGATACTCGCCCGCGTGTATTTTGCACGAAGGAGCCGGCAAAAAGACAAGACGTACAGCGTTAGATGGGAGAGAGGAACGAAGCGAGCGGTTACTGAAATTGTCGTGTCGTAGCGGTGAGATTGAAGGTCGCGCCTACCAGCAGTTGGGCCCGGCTGCCGGCGTCCTAACTTTAATATGTGCCGTAGATTGGCACAACGAAGGGGCCCGGCGGCCCATTCCTGCTGTGTAAACAAGCTCTGGTTACGGTTGCGGATAGTGGTTAGGCGCTGGGAAGGGCCTGGGGGAAGGGAAGCGCGGACCGAGAGAGGCGCGGGCGCTTCCCGCCTCAGGTACCTCCGCCGCCAGCTAGCGGTTGCGAGTTTCGCATACAAAAGATTGCCAGTGGTGTTGTTAAAGGGGTGGGCTGTGATGCCGTGCTGGGCGCTAACAGTCAGTCGTCTAACTTGACAGCTGCCATAGACCTCACTTCCAGCGGGTCGACGGATGGAAGGGGGCAACACAAAACAGCCGCCCGTCGGTTCCAACTTCCCGTCGCGTTGGAAATTTGAAAAAGAGACTGGCGGCTACTGAAATTGTTAGAGGGCCGGCAATCAATCGGCCGTCAGTCTGTCTCGTCTTGCCGCAATCTAGAATCTCCCTCGGCTTAAGCGCCCGTTAACCTGGGACGGACGGATGTGGCTGTGCAACGCTCTCTGTGAGAGCGGTAAGCCTCAGGTTTGAAGTTACCCTGCCTCCTCCACTGTTTTGGGTCTGGAGGAGGGGAAGAAAATTTGCCGGAACCGAACTGACGACCTGAGCTTCTTTGGAAAATTCCATCTAGTTTCCACCCCACGAGCAAGCAGTCGACGATCAGAAGGCCCAGCGCGGCGGCGCGGCCTGGGCCTGGCGCGAAAACGACGGAAGCCTGAGCGCCCCCCCCCCCCCCCCGGCGCGCATTGCAACGTCAGATCTCGATTCGCTGGCGCTCTCGGCATCTCTTCATGCGGCGCGTCCGGGGGGACGTGGCCAATGGCGGCGCGACGCCTTACGACATTCGACCCGTCGCATTCGTGTCGATTGGTTCGTAGCGCTCCGACGACATGCCACCCCGCTTTTCCTCTTGACTTATCTTGCGCTTTAGGACTCTGATTGTAGTGAACGATTCTTTCTTTAGGGAATTATGACTCTTTTACTTCCTTTAGTGCGACCCATTCCCAGAAAGAGAGAGAGATGATGTCGACGCTGACGGGACTCCGGCCGGTTTGTTGTTTCATGTTGGCTTTTCTTGGGCTAGTCTAACCTAACAGCAAGCTGCCTTGTCTCGTTTCGTTTCTGTGTCCATCGAGGCGAGGGTGACTCACAATACCAAGCTTTTTGTTTTGTTTTCTGGATGATTCCTTGGTGCATCATGCATTTTTGTTGTTGTTACTACGTATTCGTACCTTGTCCCTTTTGTGACACCAGACCTAGGTGTTTATTACTCGGTGAGCCGACAAGTCAGTCAGTCAGTTGTCTGGGCTGAGACTTGAGACGACGTTGTATCCGCAACTCCGAGAGACAGAGTTACTTACCTCACCTTAGGTGACCCATCTAAAATAGCAACTGACCGCTCTTTTCCTTCCCGGGCTGATGAAGCACTCACTTTCTTCTTGTTGAGTCATGTCAATCTGCCGACCTGCAATGCAACTGCGTCTTGTTCGGAACTTTGGACTTCCTCCTCACCCCTCCTGCGACCCGTTTTCCCAGCCCGGATTCATCGTGCATTTTGCAGTGGAGTCTACCATCTCAAACCGTTGCAGGGTAGCCCTCCCGCCTCTAAGAAAGGAAGCAAGATTCAAACTCGTGTTTCTCTGTCTCACCCACAGTCTCACTCACTCACTCACACAGAAAGACACAGAAAGACACAGAAAGACACAGTAACACATTCCTCGGTATTATAATATCAGGTAGTATTCGTAAAGCTGGCCCAAACCAGAAAAAAAAAGACGAGTCTATCTCGTCCTGTCCCATCCTACCTACCTACCTACCTACCTGGAAACCCCTAGTCCCCGTTGCCATCCAAGGTTTCTCCCGTCTCCCTAAGTGAAGAAGTAAAGTTACAGAAAATTAGTCCAACTGATTACCAACCACCGAAACAGACAGACAAGCCGGTCGGTCAGCCTGGATATTATGTGTATTATCTGCATGTGTCGAAAACAAGACCTTCGAGGACCTCATGCCGTCAGTGACGGCAAAGGGGGGCCAAAGAACAAGGCAAGCAAACTAAACAAGAAAAGATAGTATGTGTACAATGCAGGTTATTTCCAGGCGCTATACGCCGGGCCTCGTCTCGGCCGGCCCAGCTGAGCCACGCGGCCCCTTCCCCCCTCCCGCCCAACAGGTTAATCGCTGATATCTTATTTTTTGAGGGGCTTTCGTTCCCGCGTAGATCCGACATCCCGCTCGTTTTTCGAGGGCGCCTCGTCTCACACACACGCCCCCCCTACGCCGCAAGGCCACTGCTGGCCTCCTCGCCAGTGCCGGGCGTTTCGCCATCCGCTGGGAGCGGTGTGTCGGTGAGCAGTTCTGCCATTCCTTTTGTTGTCACGCTCTGGCGGCCTCCGACCTCGTCTGCTGCCACGGAAGAAGGGAGTGAGGAGCCTGCCTGGGTCTGCTCTCCCCCAACGCCTTGGAGCGTGCCGTCCACCACAGGCTCCTCGACCTCGGCGGGCGCTGTTGCAGCCGCAGAATCCCTCACCTTCCTAAGTGCACGCTGCAGTCCGTCCAGCCGCATCTTCTCGGCAATGAGCATTCCCTTGGCCAGGTCTTTGATGGCCTTGCGGCCCATCTTCTCGTGCATGTCTCGCCACCCGGCGAGCTCCAGCGCCACCGTCTGCTGGGTATACCTGAGTTCCTTGCTGAGCAGCTCCGCCTCAATCTCGTGACGACGCGTCTTCTCCTCGCGCTCTTCGTTGAGTCGCTGCCGCGTGTCGTCGAGAAGGCCCAGCGGCCATCGCGACGACCGGTTGAGGGAGCTGTAGCCACGCTCGACCTCGCGGCGGATTCCTATGATCTTAGCGATGGTTTGCGGCGGCCGTGCAAGTGCTTTGAGGATGGCCTCTACGTTGCCATATAGAGCGAAAAACGTGGTGAAGAAGAGGGCGTAGGGTGAGGACTGGGAAGGCGCCAGACTCCGCACATAGGTGTCAAAGGCCGAACTATGTGACAAGGGCAAGAAGGGCAGCGCGCTGAGCGCTCTGGTGAGTATCTGTGAAGCATCGTATAGATCTATAATTGTTGTTAGCGCGAGGCGGTTCTGTCTGCAACTGCCCCCCCCCCCGCCCCCCTCTTCTCCCTGAATGGACTATTGCTCCAAACTTACCACTAGCAGCGTTCCCCATTACATTTGCCCGCCTTGCGACACTTCTTGTCGAAAAATGCACGCTGCGGACCATGTCGCGGGCATGGTCAACAAACTGCTCCACTTCTTTGAGGTCCTCAACCGGCTCCAGCTCGTCGTGCACCTTTTCGGCGAGCGCATCTGCCTTGAGCTTGCTGCGCTCGGCCATCGTGTCGAGCTGCAAGTCGGGCACTAGGAAGAACTCCCACAACATCTCGTGTGTTGCAAAGGTGGGGTGAGACAACAGAACACGCAGAAACCAGTCCATCCGCACCTGGAGGTCCTTGAGCACCGCCCTACTTGGTTTGGACGGGATCTGCGTGGGTGAGCGTAGATCTGAGAGCGACGGTATCCACGAGGCCGGGTTCTCCATTTGGAGCAGCTTCGCCAGGTGTTCAAAGTCGGTCAGAGAACGCCGGCAAGTCGTAACGGCATAGCTCTGTTTGTCGACAGGTGCTCCGGACTTGAGCACAAAACGGATCGAGGCGTCTTCCACGAAATAGGACCGCACGACACCGGTCGTGCGTGAATCGGGACCTGGGATCAGGGAGAAGAGAACCAGGTCGTCGATTTTGTTGCGGAGCTCGTCGTCCTTGGCCAGCTCTACGGCGGTCAGCCCTCGCAGCTCCCTCGCAGTGACGTCGACGCGGGGGTCGCTAAACAGCACCCGCACCATGTCGAAGCGGCCATATTTACTGGCCACCATCAACGCCGTGAACCTCTTTTCGTTTGTCGCATTGACGTCAACATCACAGCGCTGGAGAATCCGCAGTGCCAGCTTGGCGTCGTTGACAATATGTAGCAGAGTGTTCCCTTTGGTGTCCACATGGTCATCGAGGTGAAGTAGCCGGCCGTCCGCCTGTGTCTTGGTTGCCGCCTCCAGTCCCTCCTCCACCATACTGTGGTAGCGAGGATGGTCATAGGACCGGCATAGCGCAAACAAGGGTGTCTGTCCGTTTTTGTCCTTTTGCCGCCATGGCAGCAGTTTGCCAATTCTCTTTATTAAGAACGGAGCATGAAATATGTAGTGAGCCGCGCTACGCCCGCGGGTGTCTTGAATCGTGAGGCAATCGCGCATTCTATCGTCGTCGGTTGATTCCAAGAGAATGTCAAGAACCACGTTGACAATGTCAGGCTGACCCAGCTGAACAGCCGCGCTGAGCAGGGTGGTGCCTTCGTTGTTTTGGTCGTCGAGGAGGACCTCGGCCGAGTAGTATTGCTTGAGCGACAGGAGATACTTTAGGATTTCTAACCGCTGGTTTTGGATGGCCATCATGGGTACCGACTCCCCAAAGGCGTCTTGTGTTTGTGAGAGTCGCTCAATCGACGTGTCTCCCTCGACCCCACTGGCAAATGTGCCGATACTCGCCGGCATCGACCGGAATGAGATTTCGGAACCGATAGACATGCTCCTAGTCTCCATCGACACCTTTTTAATTCTTTTGAATGGTGGCGGCGGAGACTCGTCTTTGCCGCCATTGCCCCTGTCTCCATCTTCGTTCTGGAACGGAAACACATGACCGAGTCCAGATCCTAGCGAGAACCTCTCTGAGACAGTAAAGGCTGATGACGACCGCCTGGACGCTCCATTTGTGAAACTCCAGCCGCTGGAGGACGCCCTCCTGGAAGACGGAGTAGACTCGACGGCAAAATCATCTTCCTCTGCCCAGTGCGAGTCTGGCTCCATAATGTTCTTGAGCTCGGGTATGTCGCCTCTCGACACAGAATCCCACAGAGCCTTGTTCCGTCGGCTAGCTCTCCGAAGGCCTCCAGACTCACGGTCGAGATAAGAGAGAACAGCCTCGAATGTGCTAAGGGCATATCCAATCTCGCCACTATCCACATCGTCTATGAAAATGAAATGACGGATGTATGTGAGCCGTGCTTGGAGATGTTTGATCTGTGCCTTTATCACAACATATAACAGAAGGGACACCAGGGTATCTGCGTTGATGGTCATTATGGGTTTCTCAGACGTCTGAGCTTTCGGTTGTCCCGGCGTTGGTGCATCGGTGAAATGGGTCGCCGCTTTTGTTGTGGACAAGAGTATCTCCATCATTTCTTGCGGGCAGGTAGCGTTGGGCATTCTTCGGAACTCTTCAACGGCGCGTCCTAGCCGCGAGAGAACGTCCCGCTTTCCCTGGGACCCCCCATCAATGAGGATACCCAGTTGAGAGATGTCAATAAAGTCCATTTGCCGTATTTTTGCCTCCAACTCGAGGTCGTCTGGCCGTCGAAGAGCCGCCAGTCGCGGGAATAACAGGTGATGCACGTTTTCCGTGATATAGCGCTCGATCAGTCGCTCGACAACGGGGCCGGTCAGCTCAGTTGTCGCGCCGAGCAGCGACAGCTGGTGTTTGTCGACACTCTGAAACAGGTCTATGGCGGCGGTTACGGCCGTTTCCAGCGAAACCCTCATGACGTCCTCGTCGTCCTCGGCAAAAAAGTTCTCGACAACCCGGTGTCCATTGGCCGTTCCCCTCGTGGCACCCGGACTCCCGGTGCTGTTGGACCTGGCCCTGATCATGGCGCTTGCTATCGGTCCCACATGCTCGGGGTCCGGGATATCCACAGCAGACGGTGGCGGAGGCAAAGGCCGCTCAAACACCACAGTGAACTCGCGCAAAAGCTTCTCCAAGCCCGCCTGCATCTGCTTGGCAATAACGGGGAAATTGTTGAGAAGCTCGTGAAAGCTCTTGATATCCTTTTTCCGCGGGAGCCCGGCAGACTCGCTCGACTCGGAGGCAACATTCTGCGAGGGGCCGGGTCTTATGCTCGGCGATGGGGGGAGTATGGCTGGCGCGATCTTGACCTCGTCCCATGATCCAACCAGTGGGCGCGATATATAGTAGACCAGAAAGGCCCTCGGATCCAGGGTGTCGGGGTACCATATGGCATCGTTCAGCAGGCTAGATTGGGCCAACGCCTTGAATCCTAGAAAGGAAAAAGAAAAAAAAAGTACTGATTAGCGGCGTGTCCTGGGCGGAGAGCGGGTGGAGGGGGGAGGGGGAGGGGGGGTGGGAGGGTGGCCCAGCGCGTACCCTTGTTGGTATACAGGTAGTTATCCTTGATGACAATGCTCCTGCCGTTGAGGGTGTTGTAGACCTTCGGCTTGCCTCTCATCTCACGCAGGTTCTGCGTGACATCCCTCCCTCCCGCGACGTGCGCCTTTGGTGCGGGAATGCGCAGCACATGGCTTCCCAGGAATTCTTCGGAGGCTATCGAGGCCAGCAGCGGCGCGCCGGTCTCGGTGTCGCGGGAGTCTAGGAGGACATCGGTACAGGGGACGAGCAGAATGTGCTGTTGGGCCGGCGAGCACTGGACGAGAAAGGGGCTCTTGGAGAAGGCGGCGAGGAATGGGTTTAGAGGTTGCATTCACTCAACGCGCGTCGCAACTCCTCTCGGTGTAGTTTCTGTTGCGACTGGGCCACCATTTGGCACCATGCAATCGATCTCGCCGCGATGTCTATCTCGAGTTTAGAGGCGAGGTCGATAGGCCTCGGCTCGATGTCTTCGAGCTGTTGACGCGATCGAGGTTCTCCTTCAACGCGGAGCTCGGGTCGGGCAGTTGGTCTGGGAACGGAACTCGGAGTCTCCGGGCTGCGGCAGAAACGGCAATGGCTGGGGGCAGCGCTATTCAGGTTAGCAAACGATACAATGTCAGCGTTGTTGTGTATTAGGTAAAATGGCTGGCTCGGTTGCTGATTTCGTCTGAAACAGGTCGAATTTGTCGGTTCTGCAAGGTTGAATCAATCCATCCCAGACCAGAATCAGCAGCCTACCTCAGATATTGGGGTAACTCAGGCACCAAGCGGCACTGCCAGATGTCTGCAGCCAATCAGATTAAGCTCTTGGGCTTGCGCCGATCTCCCGGGACTTGGAGAAGCGGGGCTGTCTTTCACCTTGGGTGGAAGCCTGGGCATCCTGGCCTGGAAGCTCAGGACCAAAAGCTCCAGTCAAGAGAGCACAATGCACACCAACATGCAAGCCATGGATCGATGCAGCAATAACCCCCAGGCCCTCTTGCAGGGAGGCTTCTGCATCGCAAAGACCTGCTAGCACCATTTCATATCTACACCATCAAGCTTTGAAAGCTATCCGTACTTGCTTAAACGTTCCGTCCCATGACAGGGACGGGATGATACCGACCTGACCATTAATCTTTAATCTTTCTTTCACTTGCCCAGAAACCAAAGCACCATCAATGTCGCGGACCCAAGCCCGGTATTGTATTAAACATAGATTGCGGCAGTATTACTTGAAGAAACCGAGACATTGGATCCACGGCACGGCGTCCTGGTGATAAACACAGCCCGACCTTAGCCGTCTCGCCGGGCATAATGCCATATCGTTCCCCGACGGGAAGCCCTTCCAGGTTACCCTTACCACTATAAGAATCCTTTCCGTATATGTGAGGCAAAGGATACATAGAACCCGACCCCCTCTAGTGAAATTCAGGAGATCAACCGAAAGACTAAATCCGGCGCATTCCGTTCCCAAAGTCAGAACTTGACAGGTATCGGTATAGAAATTGCGGTCAAAATTGCATGCAACTTCCGCAGATCTGCTAAGTTTCCTGCAGTACCAGCCTGTTCCTAACGAACAGACTCAAAAGACATGAGTTCATGCCAAAGAGCGTTGCTTAACGACCTCTTGGTGCTCATAATATTCGTGTCTATGGAAGCGTCGGAATGGTCTCAAGCCTTGGCAGCACCGGCCTTAATTAGCAGGATGTCGCCGTCCTCGACGACGTAGTCCTTGCCCTTGGTCATCATCTTGCCCTTCGCCTTGACCTCTGCTTCATCGCCAAGCTCCCTGAGAACTTGGTAGTTGTAGACAATGGCCTGAATAAACGTCTTCTCGAAATCAGTGTGGATGACGCCTGCTGCCTGCGGTGCCTTGGTGCCATTCCGAATAGTCCATTGCCGGACCTCATCGGGGCCAACAGTGAAGAAACTGCCCAAGTTCATGACTTTGCGCATCATGGTGACTATTTTGGGCAAAGCCGACTCAACGCCTAGTTCCTTGCACTCCGCAAGAGCTTCCTCCTCGGTTTCGAAGCGCGTTAGCCTCTCCTCGAAGCTGACGGAGATGGGGATGATGGGATCCCCCGCCGCATTCTCCTTCATCCACTCGGCAATCTTGGCCAAGTTCTTGTTCTTTTTTCTGATATAGTCCTTCTCTGACAAGTTGACCAAGTAGACTACCGGCTTGGCAGAGAGAAGAAACAGGGGGTTGATAACCTCGACCTGAAACAATAGTTAGTGACTGACTTGTGTAGCTAGTGCAAGATCAAACTAATGTTTGAGGGATATTTCAGAGAATGTTTTTGATATCAATACACCTTCAACAACAAGTTGTCTGAGTGCTCATCGAGCTGGGTTTAATAGCAGGCTTGTAGCCGTTTCTCATCAGGAAAGTAGGGGGGTGGGGCCAAGGCTGGTGAAACGGAAAGAAAATCAAACGAAGTGGACCTACTTCTTTGGGGGCCCAGGAGTTCTTGCGGACGTCCTTGCCGTCCTTCAACCACGCCAGAATCTTTTCAATAGTGGCCTCTTCTTCTCTCGCCTTCTTTTGCTCCAGACTCTGGCCGCCTTGGCGAGTGATCTTCTTCTTGGCCTCGAGCGCCTTCTCTACAAACTCGATATCCTTGAGTCTTAGCTCCTCGCTGATAATGTCAAGATCTCGCACCGGGTTGACGTCGCCCTCAACGTGGATAATCTCTGCGTCATCGAAGCAACGAACAACCTGGAAGATAGCATCGACGGCCCTGATGTGCGACAAGAAAGCGTTGCCAAGGCCAGCGCCGGTGGAGGCACCACGGGTCAAGCCGGCGATGTCATAGACTGTGAGATTGGCAGGAACCTTGGATTTAGGCTTGTACTTTTCGCACAGCCAATCGAACCGCTCATCGGGGACGATGACACGAGCCTCCTCTGGATCAATGGTGGCATATGGGAAATTCTACGCGCCGAGTCAGTAGGCGCACGTCTATCATCTGGAGGGTAGGGGCGAGGGCGTACATACGGCGGGGTTTCCCAGGTTGCACTTGGTAATGGCCTGGAAGAGCGTGGACTTGCCAACGTTTGCCAGTCCAACCTATCGCCCACGGGGGTTAGCAGGGTTGGCGGGACGATGGCCAACTAGGCGACCCACAATGCCGCTCTTCAAGTTGTTCCCAGGGCGACCCAAAAGGATCTTCTCCTCTTGGACGGGCTTCTTGGGGGCCATCTTGTTTCGCTTGCTATAGTGACGAGTAGAGATGTAGATGACGGTACAGTCAAGCACAGGCTTGTTCAAAAAAGCAGAGCTAGCTGCAAAGGTTCGAAGGAGACGTAGTGGAGAAGCGAAAAAGGGAGAACGAAGAATAGAAGTCGTCGTGACGAGCCTCTAGGCACTGGCTGCCTACCAGCTTTGATCAGAGCCGAGCGAGCGCTCTGGATCCGCGGCAACCCGGGAAGAGTGCCGGTTTGTACGGGTCGTCCAGCGATCGCCTGATGTTCTGGTCCGCTGGAAATCACTTTGTGAATCGTTCAAGATTTTTCTCTCGTTGAGCTTTTGACGGGAAAATCCTTTGCGCCAGTTAGCCTAGTTTGGTGAGCCTGAGGGTGGGGTTGCTAGCAGATTACCGGAAGATTATTTGACCGAGCTCATCAGTTCATCAAGCTTGAGGTGGGGCTCGGGCTTACTGTAAAGTGAGCTCTACATCATATCACTACGCTCACCCCCTAATTGGTCAATTCGTACATACTCCATACAATCCAGTCCAGCTGCCAGTACGCGCACCAGGCGGCGAGCTTGCTCCTCCCGCGAGCCCCCAGGGCCGCTCTTTCTGACGCCAATTGTCCCCGCGTGACTGGGGCTGATTAACGTCCGCCGAATATCAGGAAGCTTTTATTACCATTATGATAAGTCACCAACTTACCTACACTTAACTCTCCTGCCCTATTTGTTTGCCTGGATCTTGTGTTTCTAGATTGAGGCTTGCTTTCCGTTCCAATTCCGGTAGTTAATCTGGTTGCGGCGTATCCTCTTTGTCTTTCAGCCTTGGGCTTGGCAGACCACGAGCACCAGCGATTGTCTTGCCTCGTCCCACCCAAGCCAACCTCGGAGCATTCGGCATCAATCAATCGCCGCAAGCTTTCCGAGAGGGACGCTTTTCCGCCTGTTCAAGCATATCATAAGCTCCAACTAAAACAATGCCTCCTCGGAAACAGCAAAAGCTCGCAAAGTCGCATCGGTCGACTTTGTCGCTCCAGAAGACGGAGGTCGTCATCCACGTCTACGATCTCCTTCCCGTAAGAACGCTGCCTATTTTATCTGCTTTTTACTGTGGACATCCTTTTCCCTGAAGTCCGGCCTTATTTGCTGGTGCGGTGCTGATGCGCAATCATAGCCGGGCCGTATATCATCAACGCTCTGGTTTCTGGGGACGTCGCTGCTGCACTCGGGTGTCGTCATCAACGGGAAGGAGTACGCATACGGCGGGCACGACAGACGAGGGGTGACGGGTGTCTATTGGACGAGGCCGAAGACGGAGCCGCCTGGAGGCACGTTCAAATGTGAGATTTTGCAAGGCTTCACGCTCTCGCCCCAGAGCGAGATCGACACTATCATCCGCGACGCCTCGCAGGAGTTTCTCGGCACAGCCTACAATCTCCTAACGAAGAACTGCAACCACTTCACTGCATACTTATGTATGAAGTTGACGGGACGTCCCGGCCCCGGATGGCTAAACCGAGCGGCAAGCATTGGCGTCGCGCTGCCCTGCGTCGTGCCCCGGGAGTGGATCGAGGCGCCGGATTTCGATACCGCCGACGGCGAGCTCCTAGACGAGGACGACGACCGCGCAGATGAGAGATCTAGGATGTTAAGGTCATCGAGTGAGCAGCCGCGTCTCGTGGACCAGAAGGCAAAAAAGCCCCGGGGTAGGGCTGCCGAGGAAATCGACTGGAACAGCGAGGACGAGCGTAGGGGCGGTGGCAACGGTAAGGGCAAGGGAAAGGCTCCAGCTCGCGACTCTGCCGGCAGAAGCCTGCCTGCTGCGGAAAGAGCTCCGACGTCATGAGGGCAGTAACATGGTCATTGGTCATATGGGGTTTGATCTTTTGCATTGTTCCCGGAGTTCTGGGGAGAATCCCTCGTGCTTGTTTTGATACCAAGGGAGTTGGGGTTTATTTTTGAGGGTAAAAAATTACCCTTGCTTAAGCGTTTCGTTGGATTACTTGATGGTCGTGGTGTGCTTTCCGTGTTTCCTCAGGCCGGTCTAGATTGAATTCCACTTGTGCATACCTAAGTATTTATAACTAGGCCAGCCCTGGTTATGTATATTCCAGTCATATTTTGGCGAGAATGGCTTTGAATCACTATGTGATGCCCGGGTACGTGTTTTCACTGTCTCCCTCCCCTGGTTACGCACGACAGTTTCCAGCAAAAAACCCATCTCTGCGAGGTCATCAAAGACAGCCTGCCAAGGCTTTACACCTTGCCCATCTCGTGGTCATTCCATTCTAGAATCTGCTCCCAGAAGCCCTTGATAGTAGCGGTACCGCCACTGTACCCAATCCGCCTGTCCTCGGCGCTTTGCCTGACCGTGGAGTCATCAGCAATGCTGTGTATGCAGATGTCGAAGACGGCGACAGTCTCAAATGAAACGAGAGCGATTTCCGACGCCATATTTCCCGTGGTTAAGAGGTTTGAAGAAAGGTAGCTATGGTAGTGACTAGATTACCAAGGGCATATGCAGTCAATGTCACGAATATACTTGATGACTGTGACAGTTTAATAGAGACGTCCAAATGGGACGGGGCAGGTCACACAAAACAAGACAAGTCATTCGCAAGCTAGCTGTCCAAGATAATTGCGCTCTTGTTTTGTGTGTCATTGCTATCAATGCTGCGTAATCCACAATGAAATGGTTCAGCACGGTGAGTTGGGGCAACCGTTGTTGAGACAAGATTGATCGTCGTTTGGGACTTACACGTGCCGCCGCCCCTTTTCTACCTTTCAAGGAGGCCAGTGGATTTAGGTCTAGTTGGCGACCGAGTTGCTTGGCAACTTAACAACTTACTCGGGACTATACTCAAACTGGCCTCAGTGTCCAGGCAGCACCAAAGCGTTGCGAATCTGCATACAAACAAAGAGAGATCCGAGAGGTTCGAGAGGCTCGAAACCCTCACACTAACATTCAACAATCAGCCTGCAGCATGGAACGTCATGCTTGGCAGTGGCCCAAAACTAAAAGAGCTCGGACGAAACTCATGTCGTCTGTTCTTCCCGGCTTATCAGCCGATGTAGATCTGCTAACCTGGAAGCGTCATGTTGACGCAGCCTGTTACTTCTGTACGTACCATACCTAGCACCCGGGGTTCTTGCGTTAGTGCACCGTCAACCTTCTGATTAGAGTATTCACATCCAAGAGCTGCCCGGTACCCAAGGTGCCCGCCTCAGTGAGGTGAACATCGCTATCCTAGAGTTGTGCCGGCCTTGATGGCACATCGAGTCCCGATGCGCTCTGGGGCCAAAAAAAAAACACTCAAGTGTAGATATATGACTTGTGGAAACCTGAGCTTGAGGAAGGGTAAGGTAGGTGGCTTCAGGATCCTCCCAAAACCGAGGCAAGTCGATAACAAACATAATACACACACTAGGTATCCCTGGCCGACCTCCAGTTCGACAAGGTCATGTCCTCGAAGAATTAGAGAGAAAAAAACAACAAAAACGGAAGAAAAATATCATATCGTGTCTCCAATTGGTTCTTCTGATTGGATCATGGAGCACTTTGGAACCCTGTGGGGACACACAGGTGCCTGACTGATAGATTCTGGGCAGATTTGGCTCCCGCTGCAAGCCGCACGCCGGGCTTGAAGAAATTTCGATATTGGAGTCCGGCCCAAAACCCAATTCGGTTGATCAGACTGTTGCCAGTCACGGTCCATCAGTCACGATGCACTTTAGAGCGAACAGCGAACAACTAGATAAAGAGATGCGGCAGGCTATTACGTTTCAAGACGCAGCACGCTTGAGGGCGAGTGTCGAAGGACTCATTGTGTTGGGTCCAGGTGTTAAATACTTTAGGCACGTACCCAATCTGAGAACCTCTGTGCCGTCGATGGGCGTGAGATCTTCCCGGTTGGCCCGTGAGCCATACCTGCCTCGGTAATATTTTCAATTACGCAGCGACTCCCGCTGTGTGTTGTACCTGCAGTGGCTACTGCACTGATAAGCTATCGGCCGCATTTCCCGGCCAAGCCACACACATCGCGCTTTCCCGTTGTCGCAACGCCAAGGCAACTTATATGAGACGCGCAGCAATCGATGGTCGTAGCGTGGTTTACACTTGGATCGAAACATTGCGACAAGAAGGTGTGGTCCTTGCTGTCCACTGGCCACGTCATACACATTACACGCCGCCTTGTGTATCTCGAGCCCTTCAAGTCATACTCTGTAGGATTGACATGCTCCAGCGGCTCTTCGGCCTGGACGCACAAAGCAGCCCGTGGTGAACCACTGCGTAGACAGGCAGGGAGAGCCCGAGCCCGTCGCATTGAATCGCCAACAGAAGGGAAATGGGATTTCTCCACACCCCGGGCTAGCCAAAGCTTAGCGCAAGTGCAGTGTCAGGGCAATTGGGTGCCAGATTGCCGGTTGGCTTGCATTCCCCAACGACGGAAAGCCGCACCAGCCACAGTTTTCAGGTGCTATCGTGAGGCCCAGCGCTTTCCCGCCTCTGATTTTCCCAAATGGGCACCTCCTGCCGGGGTTCCCGCGCCCAGAGCCGAGCACCCAGGGCCAAAACACAGGAGCAATCAAACAAGATGTTTCGTGCCTTCCTCAAAACGGCGTTTCTCCCTCATCCCGGACTACTTCTTCTCCCGAACACCCAACCTCCGCGTCTTCATCACTTCATCACAGGTTGATCAAGAAACCCCCACGTTGGTCGCCTTTGCATCCGTATACTCAGTCTTGCATATCCACCCCAATATTCTTTGCGCTTCTCGCCGCATCCCGCCGAATTGTTTACGAGCATCGACTTCCAAAACTCTTCAATACCACAAGCCACCTCACCCCGCCTTCGCCATGCGTTACAACGTCGTCCTCGCTACGCTCTCTGCGTTTACCGCGGTTGCTTCCGCCCAGAACCTTTCTGCGACAATCGATCCCGCCTCCGTGGATTCTGTAACCAAAGGTATGCGCCCCAAGTCCCTCACTTTGAATCACGAGCGGAAGACTGACTGCCGGTTGGCTAGGCCAATGGTGCAACGCCCAGTATCAGACTTGCAACATCCTTTGCGCCCAGAGCCCGACCAAGGATGACTGCATAACGGTATGGACCTCCTCGTCTCCTGGGTGAATCTAGAGACGGTGAACAATGATTGACGTGGCCTGACGGTCTAGGAAACCCTGAACTACACCTGCACCTGCCAGGACGGCAAGACTCCGGAGCTGGAAAAATACATCCAGACTATCCCGACTGTGGGTGCTACTATGCCTTCATCCCAGGCGAGCTTGTGTAACTGACGAGGACGCTACAGTTTGAGTGCGAAACTGCCTTCGCGAGATGCCAGGCGGCAAATGCCATGGATGCCATAGCGCAAGGAAAGTGCAAGGAGATCAAGAACCAATGCGGTACTCTTGACCCCGCCAAGGCCACGATTGCTAGCCCCAGCTCTTCCACCACCGCCGCTCCCACGACCAGCAACACCGGCACCGCGGATTCGGCTGCGGCGACTACTACTGCTCCCAGCACCTCGACTTCCAAGGCCGCCGCTCCGACGAACCTTGCCTACCTTGGAAACGGCGTCGCTGCGGTTGCTGCCGGCCTCTTTGCTGCCGCGCTGCTTTGAGCAGGTGGAGAGAGGCAGACGCCTGAGCCTCGGCAGTGGAGCGTGTACAGCAACACACCCACCCTAGCGAGTTACAGCGTTGATCGTGTCGGTTTTTCTTCCCTTCCTTTCTTGTATTGGTTGCCCCCGGAAACCCTCTGGACAGGCTTTTTGCATCCGCGACCACATAATACATACCCCAGCGATTGCCTTACAAAAAAAGCTATGGGGTCTTAATACATACGAGGAGACGATACTTAGTTGATGACGTCAGACGAGGTGGAATGGTGGCGGGTTATGGATGCTGTGGAGATAGAGTCTTTGTCTCGGAAGGGGCTTTTTATGGAGTTGAGGAAAAGAGGCAAACATATTTACGCACTTTTGCGAGTACCACCCCCGAATTTGTTTGCGATGCGAGTTCCCCAAAGGGCCAGCCAATCATGTTAGGCATGGATGGTCGACATGGAGCGGAATGACAAGAGCATCGGTAATCAAGGGGCTTATTTGGTAGTCTCTGTCCGCTGACAAGTGCTTTGTTCCTGCCAAACAGATAACACGGATTGCTTTGTTGCCGCAGGGCACGAAAATTAATACTTTGCACTTATAACAACCCTCGAATTCGCCGTGAGTTTACAGACCAAGCGCGTTGGTTATATGGCTCCCAGCACTGTGACAATGTCTAGAAGCATTCCACCCGAGATAATCACGCAGATCCTGTTCGAACTTTACGAATTCGATGGGGATGTTTGCGTTTTTGAACTCATAGCCCCTGGGTGGAAATTCTGCAAAAGACAGAATCGGAGTCTCGCCGAAGTCTTGCGATGCAGCCGAACTGACACGTACATAGTTCTGGGAACAGGGAGGATGTATCAGAACATCTTTTGACCATGACAGGACAGACTACCTGCGATTGGCTATCCTGAAAAACCCCCTCGCGGTTAAATCGCTTTCTCGGTTCTACGACCGAGAAATATTTCGGGAGTGGACGACTAACAGTTTGATCATCATCCCCCAGGTGATCACAAGGTTTAGTAATGACATCTGGGGCCCTTTGCTCCCGCAGCTGGCCCCGGCCGTGCGTTTGCTGCGGGACCCCAAGATGGCGCTGCGGCTCTTGCCTTATGCCGACGACGACGAAGCCCAAGCCCGGACAAAATACCGGCTCCCCCCGCTTCCACCCCCCAACCAGGACCAGGAGGGAAACGAGACAGAATATCAGGTCCCCCGGTCGAACTACCCCACCGAGCAGGCCTCTCCCACTCCCAGCCCTGCCCCGGAGTTCATCTGCTCGCGCATCCGCCATCTGATGCTCACCACATCGCCCGAGACGTGGTTTCTGCAGGCCCAGGACATCATCGACATCCCAAATCGGGCGTCCCCCTCTGCGCAGGAAGCGTTCGAGGTTATCCACGACTGCCTCGACTTCGAGCGCGCGGCCTACCTGCACGTCGACTGGCGCCAGCTGTCCAAACTCGAGATGCTGTTCCTCGACTGCCGCGGCTACAGCCACGGCGTGATCGAGCGCCGGGAGATCGTCGACCTGGCCCGCGCGCTGCGGTCGTCCGGCATGCCGCTGCGGCTGCTGGTCATTGCCGGCCTGCGCTCGTACCACCGCTACCCCGGCAGCGAAGCCCTGACTATCGATGAGGTCGAGAGCGGCGTCCCCGGCCCGGAGCAGGACGTCGTGTATAACGACTCGGGTAATGGTGTTAACTGGTGGCTCATGTTCAGGCGCGCCGTGCAGCCCGGAGGCAGGCTAATTTTTATTGACAAGAAGTTTGATCATAACTGACCAGGTCACTAGATTGGCAGCCTTCCCAGCTGGGTAAGATTTTTTCTTTCGTCTCGTTCTCTCGAGGAGCGACTTCCACGGTTACCTAGATCTGTCGCCAAAGTGAAATGGGTTATGCCCATCACCACGCAGACACCAACATAGAGGAGGATTTGGCGTTGGAGAGGTAAATATTTGATGTGCTTGTGATATCGAGAGCCGGAATGATGCTACCTAGGTAGTCTTTTCACCGTCGTTCCTACCTAGGTAAGGTACGTAATTATTAGAGTCACGCTAACCTCGAGTTAATTAATATTAGATCCAGACCTCACCCCTTTTCAAAGAGCGTTTAAGCCTTTCTCCTTTAAAACTTTCTCTCATCATTAGCGGCCTTGGCCGCCGCAAAGTAATATATTTGTTTCCTATGTACGATATGCCCATTTACTATGCACCAGAAGGCTTGTTCTTTTTTCCCCACAGCAGTTCCCACGACAGTATCAGCCGTACCTGTTGGTGACCGGTTTCACACCATTTTGCAAGTTTGCCCCCAACCTACAAAGTATACCGTCCAACCTTCAGCCTTGGACGGCATCCCACCCTTGTTCAGGGGCGTGTTCGATCCCGAGCTTCACCTTGACAGGGCGACCAATGAGCGGCCCGCTGCTGCCACACACACCTTCGCACCCGCTTCTCGTCCGCCACTGAGCTGACGATGCGGGGTTGGGTTGGGTGCCTGCCTGGAAAAAAGGATGCCGTGGAATGCTCGAGACTTCCCGAAAATTCCCTTTGGTTTTCTGAACTTGCAAATCTGGCAGCACTACCTGAGCAAACTCACTCAGACTGACCTGAAGTCCTAAGCCACGCCATGATGGAACCCAACGCCTGCCTGCAGTGGCAACTATCTTGACGATTGGGTTGCCGGACGTGTTCTGCATGGGCTCGACCCAATCAAGGCGTGATGTGGACAACGACGTCGACTCGCTCACACCCGACATTCGGGTCGAAAGGGCTGGAAAGGGTTGGCTAGGCCGCCGCCATTCCGACCACTTGGCATTTGGCTTGGAGACGGGAGGGAATGTGGGATGCGAATGGGCCCATCCCTCGGGCATCCATCCGTCAGCACCTCGTCCTAGCTTCTGCTGCTGCTGCTTGCTCCTGTTTGCCGTTGACGTGCAACACCCCGCGTTTGCTCTGCTTTGCTTTTGCTTTCTAGATACATATGCCGTTCTGGCAAGGCCGCATCATCCCATCCTATCCCATCCCACGCAGCCTCGCCTTCAACAGTACAATTAATTAGCTTAACTTTGCTCCGCCCGCCCTGACTCTTTCTATCTAGACTTTGTCTTGCCTTCTTGCCTTGCCTTGCCACCAAACCGTATCATGCCCCTCTCCCCGTCCACGTCACCCTCTTCGTCCCCGTACCCGTCACCCTACATTATTCACTGAGCCCCGCCCCGCTTCCTCCCTCGGAGCAGTGTCATGGAAGTCTACTCGGAGAGAAACGAAGATGGCGCAACTCGACGAGAAGCGGGGCCCGAGACCGGCAACCGGCCGAGGCTTGAACAAGGGCGCCGCCACCCGACCCTCACCACTGGTTAACCTCTGGGCGCCTCTTTTTGGCTCCCGGACGGCTCCCGTTAGCAGAGCTTCCAAAACCCAAAGTGGCCGAGATCGAGATCGAGATCGAGACCGACACCGTGACGAAGGGCCGGGCCGGACACACCATCGTGCTCGTCGTGGCCCCAGCCCTGACGGTGAACAAGACCGGGAAACCCCCAAGGAGAGACAACGATCCCACCGCCATCCCCCGCCCCGCCATCACCACCACCACCACCGGCATCCCCGGCCAGAGCCTCGCCCTTACGTCAAGGTGGAACTGATGCCTCTCGATCCCCGCTACACCCGCTTCGAGCTCAACGCCAGGGTTGGCTTGGTCATTTCCAAGGTTATCCAATACATATTCCAGCGATATGCACAGAGGAAGAACCCCGTGTCGCCGGCGGCGCAAATTCGCCTCTATTCAGGCGGCCAAGAGCTCGGCGACCATGACACTATCACCCCCGAAAAGCGCAAAATATGGTACAGCATGTCACGCCCCGAAGACGCCGAGCGGTGGAAGTTCACGCACTGGCAAGACGAGACCAACGGCCGGCTAGACGGAGACCTCACCGACGGCCTGGTCAGTGCCATTGAGGCCGGGGCCACCGTCGGCGAGCTCAGACGCAAGATTGCCGACCACATGGGCATCGCCGACGCCCAGCGCATAGTGCTCATTGGCCGGGATGGCATGCGGCCTGGCCTGTTGCAGGGGAACAGCTGGGTGGCCAGCAGGATCAAGGGGAAGTGGTGCTGCCGTTGGATCGCCATCGACGTCAACCCGGAAAAGTGCTACGTGATACTCAAGGGCCAGGGGAGGGAATACGTCTACCACCCCGACCCGTCGTACGTGCGGCGCGGCCTTGACCTGATGTCTATCCGGACCTACATGGCCCTGCGGATATTCCCCTACATATGCCCGCTAGGGGCCGAGACTAAGCTCGACCTACCGCGCAGAAGCATTGCTCTAAGTCTCGGAGACGAAGACGAAGACAACGGCGACGGCGACGACGGCTGCCTCGCCAGTTCGGGCGATGTGAGCTGGGGGGCGACGTACCGCTTTGAGCTCCCGGCCGATGCCGCCGAGGTCTTCTCGGACGAGGAGACATGGCTGCTGCCCAAGAGCGAGACGTGCAGTATCTGCATCGAGGACAAGAGCATCAGCGAGCTGCCCGTCAAAGTCACCGCTGAGTGCACGCACAAGCCGACGGCCTGTAAGGACTGCCTGAAGCAGTGGCTGGCGTCCGGTCTTGAATCCGGCACTTGGGACCGGCTCAAATGCCCCGACTGCTCGCAGGTGCTCGCGCACGGCGAGGTGAAGCGATTCGCCTCGGGCGAAACGTTTGTGCGGTACGACGGCCTCGCGACACGCGCGGCGCTCAAGGACGTGCCTAACTTCAGGTGGTGTCTGTCGACGACGTGCGAGTCGGGCCAGATCCACGACGACACGTGCCCGACGTTCAAGTGCGCCGCCTGCGACTTCAGCCACTGCGTCGCGCACGACGTGCCCTGGCACAAGGGCGAGACGTGCGACGAGTATGACAGGCGCAACCGCCAGCGCAAGAAGCAGGAGAAGGCCTCCGAGGACATGATCAAGAAGACGAGCAAGAACTGCCCCGAGTGCAACAAGGCCGTGCACAAGTACACTGGCTGCAACCACATCACCTGTGAGCCTGCCTACCCCTATCTACTCTCCCGACTTGTTACACACCTGCTGACTATATGCACATAGGCGTCTGCTCGCACGAGTGGTGCTACAAGTGCCTCGCGCCGTTCCAGCGCAACGAGCACGGTTTCCTGTACTGCCACCACCGGCCGACCTGCACGGAGCGGGACCCGTTCGCCGACCTCGTCGACCCGGCGGGCGCCGGCGCGGCGGGGAACAGACGTCGGCTGCCGCAGATCAACGACCCTGGCAGGTTTCCCGCACACCTGCAACCGCGGGCGGCGCTGCGACTGCCGCCGGACCTGCCCCATAACCCGCAAGTCTTTCGCATGGACGCCCCTCTCCCCCGCCGCCCCCCGGACCTAACCCCCGGCCTCCACGGCCTTGTCAACCCCCGTTGGCGGCCGCCCCCGGATTTCGGGTCTCCCGAGCGGGAGCTTGCGCGTCAGCGAGAAGCGACAGCGATAGCTCGAGACCGAGACCGAGACCGAAATCGCGACGCAGTGGGAGGAGGGTTTCGCGAGGCGGCCATTGGCGTGGCAGCCGCTCTGGCCGTCAACGCCGTCAACCGCGCCGTCGGCGGCGATCGAGACGCGCGGGTCAACATCCAGGACGTGGCTGACGTGCTGCAGGATCTGAGGGGGTTGCGTCTCTGATGATGGTGCCTTGACGACAGGGGACTCGTAGGAATGGGAAAAAGGGACAGGAAAAGGGGAAAGGGAAATGAAAGGGGAAATAAGGGGGAATAACGGAGGATACATGATATCGCCTCTCTACTTATTAATGACCGACCTCCCCTGCTAGCTAGACGCTGTGGGGGTTGGGGGGGGGGGGGTGCAAGAAGCAAATGATTAGTTGTTTTAAGATATAAAGTGACGAGCCGCTGAGGGACATACAAGAGGCTTTGGGAGGCCAGGCTACTCATAATACCTTTTATTGTTTTTGTACTAGTACTTGCGGTGTGTATATATTTTGTTTTATTTTATTCATCAGCTTGTTCACATGTCAGTCATACAGAGCTGAAGAGTTGTGCTTCTGTAGGCCGTAGCCTTGAACTCAAGTTCGAGACACGGCTTTTACCCATCGCCGTTTCTTCATTTCTTCAGCAACTGTATTGAGGAATGACTTCCACAGCTGCAACGTTACTTTCATCACACTAGCGAAATAGTGTATGCTCATCCCTATTCTATTTTCACGTTTCTTCATTTCTTCAACTCTGCCGAGGAACGACTCACTCAACGTTAAGTCTGTCATAATAGCGAAACGGCCTATACCCACCACCCTATCTGATAAAGGAAAAATAACAAACAAACACCTGGGTATGGCTCTGCATATACCTATTTAAATGCAAATCCACTGCCATTGCTCCTTGATTTACATGCCACAGGATGTACCCCGTGAGAAAGCTGTCCTGTCATCACATGTCAAAATAGGAACGCCACACCACGTTGACCCACGCGAAGCGCGCTGGCTGTTTTGTCTCTGTGCATGTGTGTCTATGTATGCTGTATGCAGCGGGCCTGTAGTGGTTCGCAAAGAGGAGGACACCTAGATAAAAGCCTCCCGGTGACAGACAAACAAGCAGTACAGCACCTTGGCGTGCTGTTTTAAGTTGAGGTTCATGAAGCACAGAGGTCCGGATCAGGTTCTTGATGTCTGTTAGTCGGGACTACTATTATAGAATTTAACCTTTCAAGAGTTTTTGTTTAAAAGGATAATTAAGGGCACAAGAGCTACGGCTTGTGTTTGTTTCTTGGCCGTTGCTTTTTTTTCCTGCTCGTTGGAGCATGTTGCCTTGTCGACAAAACGAAACCCAATCTAGCAGCCGCTTTACAATCCAATTCCTGAATGTTTGTTAGCGAGGGACCTTTAAAGATTTGAAGAGCGGCTCGACCTCAAGGTTTTTCGCCAAATGTGGTAATAACAAGTAGAACACTATTCCAGGATTCTAGAGGCCAATCTCGCCTCTAAAAGTACCTATCAAAGGTCTTTTCTGCCAGTTTATTTGCGATAACCTTCTCCTTCTTCCCAGGTACCAGGCGAACATTCAGGGATTGGAGTGTATTACCAGTTAGTGTCACTTATGTATGTACAGGGGGTGAGGAAAGGGACGCGCAGTCGAGGGCGGTGAATTGTATATATAGCTTTTTTGAGGAAGAGAGAAAAGAAGAGCGTTTCTTATATTTAAAGCTGTTATTTTCGCGGCCACCTCGTCTGGTGAGCACTGACACCGCATCCATCCGAGGAAGCTACGTTGTGGTAAGGGCAAAGAACGGTTCTGGTTCGGGATCGTTCGGGGAATTATGTGCCTCGTGGTCCGCCAGTGTGAGCTAGGAAGTAGTGTCTGGTTCGTGGCTCATTCATCCTCCCCCCCCCTCTCTCATCCACCCCCCGGCTCTCTTTGTTGGGCAAGTAAGTGATGCAGCGAATCATTTCTTTGCCTCTCTCGTGCCACAAAGTGCAGCAAACATGGGGATTTTCAAAACAAGCTCTGGCTCCAATCGCGGAGAAAAGGGGGTGGTCGCACAGCAGAGACGTGACTAGGGGTCGGCTGTTTCCTCTCCCAATCTTGCCCCGTCACCGTGCGTGAGCTTGTGAAGACCAGTCTCTGTCAAACCCGGAGAACATGCCATGACCAAGTGGGAAATAAAAGTTAAAAAGTTCAGACGTACTATGTACGGATGCAACACTGCCCTTGCCTGTTTCAGGTTTCGTATCCGTGGGCTTGAGTTCCTTGCTAGGGTGTCCGTATGGTACCGGAATCCTCTCTGGAGACGACCCCCTGCGCGCCGGCAGCTCAAGGCGGGGGCAGCGGACCTGCGCCGTGATTCTTTTTGGCGAATCGAGTCGCAACGACCCTCATACGTACAGTACATGCAGCTTCTAAGGCTTACTATCCGGAATAATTGTAGAACACTTGTCTGAACCGCCTTTGTTATCGCACGGAGGCGGCGGCTATGTATCTTGCACTACGAGGCACTTCCTCGTATAAACCCTTCCAGGAATCCGAGGCTCGAGTTCCTGACAAGCCAAGGATGAAACTGGATGGCGTCAAAGGTGCTAGTAGCGTAGACAGACCGCTAGCGTTTCTATCTGACCGGAACGTGCGATCACGAATAGGGGAAGTTTGAGCGTCGTATTTAGACATGGCTGGGGGTTGGATACTGGATAGTGCGTGCCCTGGCCGAGAGCAGCGTATCATCGCTTGGGATTGTCCGCGGTCCCCTCAAACCTGAGCACAAACAAACAATAGGCAATAAACCCTCGCACTCACATTTGCACTTGCCCGTGCGCGCAGCAGCTAGAAGAATTGTACTTGGCAGCGACGTTGCACTCGAGCTGGGCAGCCTGGCAAGGGAAGGGAAGGGGGGCCGTGGTTGGGTTCCCTCGAAACAGAAAGCTGCAACTGCCCTGCTGAGACAATCAACAGAGAGGTGCAGCTCGCTCGCTCGCTCGTGTGTTGCCACTGTAGGTTGCGACTTGCGAGACTGCCGCGCGTGTGAAATGACAGTGTTCTGCCCTCAATTGGTCCGTCTGAGCGCGTTAGATTCCCCTTGTCTGTTGCTGCGTCTGCGCTGCAGTGGTGCAGCCCGCATGCAGCTCGACTGATAACTAGCGCAGAACCAAGAGTCATCCAACATCTTTGTCGAGCTTCAGTCGTCCTGCCCGGTTGTGGTTGGCAAAGCTGCCTGCTGGCTGGCTGGGCTGCTGCCGGCTCGCGCCTGCATATGCAACGGGGTAATAATCGAAACCGCGGGCGTCTGTGTTGCTGTTGCTGTCATTAGCGAGAGAAACACTGGAAGCTGAGGTGGTCGGCCATCTGCACGCTGCAGCCCTTTTTGGTCTGTTCTCCTAAATGAATGTTGATGACTGCGATTATCGGCTTGGGCACGGATGCCGGGCCCGGCTTCCCAGATGCTCAAAGGTCTGGGGACAGCAGATCTTAAAACACAATCCCCGACCAATATCCAAAGATGCACACAGGCCCATTCCTGTGGGGGTCGATCAAACTCGCCAAACGGGCCCTCGCAGAAGAGAGGATCGGAAAGCTTTGATCTTTCTTGAACGTGTTGCCCTCGTCACTGTGCCACATTGGTTTCGCATGATAGGGAGATGATGGGCATGGGAGATGAGATAGGGTGTCAGTGTGGATGTGGATGACGAGTGCTGGGCTCGATTCGGATCGGGCCATGTGTGGCCTGGAACCCCGGACCTTGGTGGAGAGATCGAGAGAGGCCCCTGTTGGGTCTACTATGTAGGTGATTGGCCTGCACTTAGCACCTTCCTCACCTGATCTGAGATCAAGACGCAATGTGGAAGGTACGAGTTGACCTATAGCTACCAGAAATGTTCACTGGACTGGGCGTGCCTTCCTGTACGATATGCTAGATTAGGTTTGACTTTCATACCTATTATAGTGTGGATTATAGGCATAGAAATGGAACGGGCTTCCAGTGCCTGTCCATTCACTCGAGATAACTCCAGAGCCAGAGACATTGAATCGGTGCAAGGTGAAATTGGGAGCGGATCACCGTCGTTCCGTCCTTCTGTGCCGCCAGACTTTCCGCACTTGGACTACTCAGTACCTAAGCAGGTTCATGTCACCGCCGGCCACACCATCGGATTGTCGCTGGCATAATCTCGCCCTGCTCGTCAACAACGGAGCAGAATAGAATCCGTAATCCGTCCACGCAACACAACACGGTCCTCGACACTGCAGGGCGCGGTGCTAACCACGGTAGGCATGTCAGCAAGCGGAGCCCCTAACGATGCCTTGGCTGCCAGGTTCGGAGCGACCCGTTGGTGATCAGGTGTCCCTGGAAGCCAAGAGGGGGCTTCGAGAAGCGATCCATCCGTCATGCTTGGATGCAATCTTCGTCTTCACTCTACTTGAAATCACTACCAGGCCCAACCGAACGGCATAAATACACAGACGGCGGGAACATGGCCGGAGGGCACAGCATCAATGCCACTCGTGTTCTCCATACTACACGGAGCACGAATTCAAAGTAGACTAATATGAAAGAATAGAGAGAGGCGACCAAGATTGGCTGGCCCATCTGCGGCCTCGTGGCGGCAGGCTTTCCTTCTTTTCGACCTCTCCGGAATACTCTACGTACTAGCAAGCGCACCACGCCCCCTCGCGCCGCATTTAAGCAATAGGAACGGCTCCATTCCGTCGGGGGGGGGGAGGGAGTGGAGTGGAGGGGAGGGAAGGGCTCGTCATTCTCGGCAGGGCTTTCCGCTTCCCGCCCTGTGCCCCGACTCGGCCGGCGACCTTCTTTCCAACAGCCTACCTTGGACATTATTGCTTGTCTGAAATCAAGAACTGTAGACTGAATAGCCTCAGGCCTGAGACTATAGGTCTAGCTCTGGAGCTCTCTCAGACAACATGGCATGTGCAGAATAATATTTGGAGCAAAAGCACACGTGGAAACTCGCATCTGTCTTGGCGTCCGAGACTTGAAGACGCGAGGGTGAGTGAGGCTCTCCCAGACTCACTCCCCCTTTGGCTGATAAGCGACAACAAGGGCTGGCCCGCTGGAGGTGGCTGGCCCGAGCCTGGCTTGGCCTGGCTGGCGAGGCACAGGCACACAGACTCGGGCGCCGCAGCGCAGCGCAAGGGTCTCCAACAACAAGACCTGAGAGTGACAGCCAAGAGCCAAGACTCTAACCCAAGCTGGCCCACTCCATCTGCAGCCCTTGGTCGCAAAAATGCGCACCACCCCTCTTCCCCCCTCCATCACAGTCGTATCAGTCCAGTCCATCCTGGCTCTTGCAGCGCAGCCTGGGCAAGCCTGGCAGGCCGGCATGCATTGCAAGTACCTTTGGGATGTTGTTGGACACATAGCATTTAATACCAGGCACCTGCCATTGGCACCCGCAAGCATGTCACTCATTGGGGGCATGTTCGCCCGCCGTTGTTCGCCCCTTCAGGCAGGAAAAGAAACCCAAGCAAGCACGTAGGGTGCTCCGTAGGCCCGCTTTCCTCTCTTGCAGCTCCGCGTCGACCAACCCGTCGCAGGAGTCGGGCATGATACATGATGTAGTGGGCCAGCCTGCTCCGTTCTGCTAAAATCCCGTCCACTTGCTATCCATGAGCTTGTCTCGCGATCCCCTCCCCTCCTTGCCCGTCAGCCGCCACCTATATTATTCGTCCCCGAAGTGCCGCCACCCTCTCCTTCTCCGGATCAACAAGACCATTAACTGGCTCGGGCATACACGCCAGTGACACCACACTCTTCACGCTACGGACGGTACCATACCCAGTCAGTGACGAGTATCCGCCGAAACCGCTCATCCTCGACTTGCGGTGCGGGCGAAGAAGGAGATGCATTGTTGGCCATGTGGATCTCTCAACGGCGCATAATATAGCAAGACGAGAAGCGCATTCCTCGCTCGCTGGGATCATCCAAGACAGGCCCGCCGAGAGACAAAAGCCCACACGACTCAGGATTCGCCTTCGGCCCGTTGGTTATGCCCAGATGGCTCGGAAGGGTCGACAGACTTATCAACCACTTCTACCCACCCCCCTCGGGCTTCCTCTCCCTCAGCGGCAGCCTCGCCACCTTCTGTAACCAGAAACTCGTGAGCCGAGCCGAGCCGAGCTCAACATCATGCCCAGCCTATGGAAGTCCGCGTCTGTCACCAGCCGCGGCAAGCCCGGTCCCCAGAAGTCCATCCGGGGTACAATCTCGGCCCCGATCCCGATTCCCGTCCCTGTTGACGACGACGAGTTCCCCATTCGGAGACCGGGTTCGACCAAGGCTACCGCACGAACCGATGACGAATTCCCCATGCGGAAGCCAGGGACCGGCATCGCGAGCACAATCCCGCCTGTCGTCGAGCCCGAGATAAAAGCACCCGTCGACAAGTACGACGAGCCTGAGATCGAGTCTGAGCCCGAGCCCGAGCCTAAGCTCGAGCCTGAGTCCGATACTGAGCCTCCGTACGAGCAAGCTAGTGAGGTCGAGCGGGAGCAAGAGCTCAACGACGAGCTCCAAGCCGGATCTGAACCAGTGAACGAGAAAGACCTGGAGCACGGGCAAGAGCAAGTGCAGGAGCAAGTGCAAGTGCAAGAACCCGAGCAACCCGAGCCAGCGCAAGGCCAGGCACATGAGCAGCCTCAAGTGCTTCTGCCGTTATTGCCATCGACGCCCGTCAAGATCTCCGAGCCCGGCCGCACGGACCCGGACATTGACATTCAGCCGGAACCGCCGTTGCACCTGCCACCGCCTCCGCCTCCGACAACCGGCCCAAGCGTATTTAGCGGACGCCCGGCTTCAAGATCCCCCCCGCAAAGGATCTCGCCCCGGAGGACGTCTCCGTCAGATATCTCGCCGCACCAAACAACGCCGCCCAGGACAAAACAGCCATCGCCGCCCTCGAGGCGGGCCACGAACCCAGTTCTAGGTGCCGTCCGATATTCAGTCGTCAGCGAAGCGCCGACCACCCAGAGCAAGGACTCACCGCAACGAAAGAAGTCGACTTTGCGGTCCGCACTGGGCAGGTTATTTGGACGCAGTAAGAAGAAGAATGGCAGCGGCAGCCAGGACTCGGGGCGCGACTCGGGGCCAGTTGGCTCGTCGCAGCACCGCAGCGTGAGTGGTTACCCCTTTACCCCTACGGGAGGCGACCCGATGCTAACACAAGGGGGCATGTAGGACCCTATCACCACAAGCCGACTCAAAGAGAATCCACCGGGGCGCTCTGCCTCGTTGCCCATTACCGAGTTCAACATGCCTTTACGTTCGCACTCGATTGGGCCGGATGATATCATGGCCATCGAGAGTGCCCGTGACTCGCTCCAGGCTGAGGCAGCTGGAGCTAGTTCCGGGGCTGGCGTAGGAGCCGGCGCTGCTGCTGCTACCGGGGGACGGCGACGCGCTGCTACTACAACAAGTCGTCTATTTCTCCAGCCGCGCTTGCGCACCACCGAGTTTGGCGCCGGACTATCGCCGCGGCCGGCCAGTTCACACGGGCGTGGCAGCCGGCTGGCAGATACTAACGAGCCCGAAGATCCCAACGAAATCGGTCGCGCCATTACGAGTGACAGCGGTAACGGAGTGCGCCGACGATCCCGGAGCCTTTCTGGCCTGCAGGACTTTATGGGGGGACGTCCCGGGGCCCGCCGGCGCAGCGACGAGATTCGCTACTGGCGCGAATCTTACGACCCGGGCTTCATGTCGCCGCTGTCGTCAAACGCACAGGAAGACGACACGGGCTTGATAGATGTCAGCGCGCCCGAGAGCCCCGCCGTCGAAAGGCCACCCAAGACGCCGCCCCAACCCTTCAACTTCGGCCCCATCACAACTGACATGGCCGGCATGAAGATCACGCAGGTAGCAAGCATCGACACGCGCATTGGCGACCTCGAGTTTCGCGCTCACAAGCTTGAGCGAGTTGTGGGTCAGCTTTGTCACGCCGTGCCCGGCTTCAAGACCCCCTTTGGCGACACGACGCCATCTCAGGGTGAGTCGTCGTCGAGGAAGCCTATATTTGCATACTCGGCTAGCCCCCCGCCTCCTATCCCCGCCATCTACCGGACCATATCGTCCGACCTGAAGGAGACGCCAAAATACGCTGCCTCGCGCCGCTCGGTCGAGACGGACTCACACTCTCAGGTCTCTTTTGGCGATGCTCCGATTTTCATTGGCTCTCTGCATCCTCCTTCTTCGTTCGCTGCACAGTCTCAGTCCCTCACCGTAACTGCGGCCCCTCCTGCCAACTCTCTGGACCGTCCGGCATCTAACTCAACCATTCGCGGAGCCGCGAATTTGCCTGCCGTAGGCCGCGAAGCTGGGGGCAATAGCGATGAACGGTACGCTGCACTAGCCGCACAGCTCGAGACGGAGCGCGCCGCACGCCAGGCACTGGAAGCCCAAGTCAAAAAGCTCTCGGAGCGTCTCAATACACTATCAACCACCATGTTTGCCATGGTGCGCGGGCCGTCCGAGTCACGGTCGCAGGAGCGGCTGGCGCCGCCCTCTCCGGGCGGACACTCGTCCCTACAGCCGCAGCCAGTGAAAACCCTGTTGGTCCCGCCGCCGGAGGCAGTGAAGGCGCTGTCAGTTTTCGAGACTGACGACGACGACGACGACAACGAAGATGAAGATGAAAGAACCGAGGCAGCAGGGGCTAAAGAGATACGTTCACTAGAGTCGGAAGTGGCCGATGACAACCTCACCGAGGACGACTTCCAGACGCCGCGAGAGGACATGCCCCCACTCAGCTATGGGGCATTCGGAGAAGAACTGCGCCCAGATGACGACGGCGAAGCCGAATCCGACGACCCGAAGCGGAAAAAGGCGGCGAGGACTCTGAGTCTCAGCCAGCTGACTCTGGGCAAGGGGCAGCGGACGCAGATCTGACACGGTTTTCTCTTGTTGCTTCTAACCATCTCACGACACGGCACGCGACACACGATAATACGATTCGCGTATCTATTGTAACGCTCACGTTCCCCTCCTATTCCACCATGTCCAACTTTAGCTACGCGCTACCACGTATCGTCCTATTTCTTCGGACAATGATCTCTCTACGAATCACAGACGCATATTCGATGCCCTCTCACACACATAGCGACGGCTTATTTCCGTGTCCGGCTTTCCATATCTTCCTAGCCTTGTTTTCTTTTTTCAGTTTTTCGCCCTCCTACTCTGGATGGAAGCCTGTATACTATATACCCTTTGGTCATGTTTGGGATACATATTTGGGCGGACGTTTCTTTTTACCCGAGCTTTTGCTTTTTTTGCTTTGTCTTGATTCTCATCTTTCTCTGAATAAATTTCTCTGAACACACAGTTTCTGTTTATTTTTGGGCGGTTTTGCGCACGTGTGGTTACTGGGTTTTGTTCTTTTGGCTACCTAATGTCTGGTCAGACAGAACCAGGGCCGGCGCAATTCCTTTGGGCTTCTTATCGTCGTTTCTGTCTCCCGCATGCTACACTTACAGAAGAGTAATCATAATGGCAGCTGGTCGGTCAGTGTGGTAATGATGGTAGCAGCGGGTGATGGGGAGACGATGAGGCCCATGTATATTATCGAAGCAATAGTCTTGGAAACTGAGCAATCTGTGCTTCTGATGTGTTCGCGGCCCGGTAATAGGGGTTCAAGATCCACGGATGTAATGGTCTCGGATAATTCTGATAGGTTAGCTAGGTAGCGAAAGCCAGCAGCGAACAGCGAGCAGAGACTCGAATATAAATCCATCCCAAGCACAGAGTAGTTCACTGATTGGCCGGACAATGACGCGAGTATGCTTTTCAGCGGCTCTGCTGTCTACATACCTAGATAAAGGAGGTAGCAATGGCAGATGATGAGAATTCGAAAAATTGAACGCCGGCCCAAAGATGGAAGTCGTAAAGATCATGGAAACCAAACCAAATAGCTAACCCACGAGCTGTATGGGTAGGTATGGTACATAATGTAACCTATGATACAAGAAAAGAACAGGCAGGCCGCAACAAGAAAAAAAATACCCAGTAAATAACGACAACCCTTGTCCCAAACGTTCAAAAACGCCCCGATACGCCGCGAGAGGAAAAAAAATACCAAAACCATGCTATCCATCCCTAGATACTATCTTGGCTGGCAAAAGAGATAAGGCAGCCCACAGGCGAGTGTAGTAACATATCACGCGCAGGCTCTCATTACCAAACCAAACCAAACATGAACATGAACATGCTGCTAATGAAAGGAAAACCAACTCACCAACTCACCAATCTCACGCGGTTCCATCGTCGGGCAGCTCCTCGATGACGCACTCGACCATATCGATGAGCTCGTCGATGTCGGGGCGCTCGGCGGGCTCGACGGTGAGACACTTGCGCACGATGTCGCGGATGGGCTCGCTGATGGCGTCGTCGTCGGGCGGGGCAGAGGGGATGGCGCCGGAGCCGGCAGCGGCGGCGGCTGCGGCTGCGGCGCTGCTCTTCTTGGCGGCGGCCGTCTTCTTAGCAGCCGCGGCGGCCCCTTCGTCGGGGAAGCGCCAGTCGCCCGATAGTACGCAGATGCTCAGCGAGCCGCCCGTCTCGTCGCTGCGCATCTCGAAGGGCGACTTGCCGACCAGGCACGCGTACAGCGTGCAGCCGAGCGACCAGATGTCGACCTTGGTGTCGATCACGGTGCCCGTCTTGACATCGAACAGCTCCGGCGCCCGGTACGGCATGGTGCTGTGCTCGGCCGCCGTGTCCTGCGTCGCGATAGCCAGCGACCGCGACGTGATGGCCAGCGGCGACGCCGCGATCGACCCCAGGTCCATGAGGATCGGCTCGGCGCCCGAGTCCGTGATCATGATGTTGCCTGGAGGGCTCGTGGTGTTAGAAATATGTGGCGGAAAAAAGGGGGGGGAGGGGGGGGGAAGGGGGACTCACCTGGCTTGATGTCGCGATGCGCATAGCTCTTGATCTCGCTGCCTGGCACACCCTCCTCGTCGGCCATGAGCGGCTGCTGCTGCTCCGACTCGTCGTCCTCGTCGGCGCCCGTCTCCATGGGCCGCTTGCCGCGGCGCTGCTTGCCGGCCTCGACGTTCTTGTCGACGCCGTTGGCGCGCATCTCGGGGTTCCTCCCGCTGGGGTCCCCTTGCCCCTGTCCCTGGGCGGCTCCTCTCCCGGAAGGGCGGTAGTGGTGCATGTCCTTGAGGGCGCGGCACACGCCCAGGAACAGCAGCATGAGGCGCTTCTCGGGGAAGCGGGTGTGGTTGACGAGGTTCGCGTTGATCAGGTCCTGCAGGTTGCCGCGGCGGTAGTAGGGCAGCAGCACGTAGACGGTCTTGCTCTGGGGGTCGCTGCGCTCGCTGGCGATGCTGTAGTCGACACTGTGGATGATGCTGGGGCTGCGCGAGAACAGCTTGTACGCCTCGACCTCCTTCATGGCCTGGGCCACCGACTCGGCGCCGAACGGGCAGCGGATCTTCTTCAGCGCGAACAGCTCCGACGTCGACGTGTCTTGGACCAGGTAGACATACGAGAAGCCGCCCTGTTGGTTTTGTTAAAAGCGGTGGTTAGTGTGAGCCGGGCGTGTGGGATGGTAAAGCGACTTGTTGCCTACCTCTCCTAGCAGTCGCAGGATCTTGAAGCTGCGGCTGTTGATCTTGAGCGTCGGCGATCCCGGGAAACAGCTCAGGCAGCTTCCAAAGGTGGAGGCTAGGATATCGAAAAAGACCTGCGCCATGGCTGCTGTGGGTGTCTAGACGTCTGTAACTATCGAGGAATGCAATACAAATGTAATGCGATCTTGTGTGGCTAGTTTGTGTCCAGTCTGTGGCGATGGGCCCGTCCCGTCGTGGCTGGGCAATGTCAACGAGAACTTGTCCTTTGTCGGTTCAGCACCTCGGCTGCGCAAGGAGGGACTGCGGATTTGACGTCGAAGGATGGCGAGTCAATTGAATGGGATGGGATGCAGTCGTCGATAAAGGTGGGAAAATATCGCTACCGGCGACTTTGTTTGTCTTGCACGGGCTGAGAGTAGCAAGGAAGAATGGTCAGCCAGAGGGAGCTATCCTGCCCGGGCTAAGCAGCGAGGATACTACGTATTTCCACGGTCCGTTGTAGGCAGTGTCAGTGTCACTGAGTGGGTGCTGACCGAATCCGGGCTAGCGTGTTTTCTGTCCTCGAACTGCGTCGGAACTCACGATTGTAATAAAGTGGTCCCAGTCCTTGTTTGACTTACACGAACCATTTCAACTACCAGCTGCTCAACCCGTGCTCTCTTGGGACTCTTATCTAGACTCTGATGCAGACCCATCCCTCGACCAGTTGGGCTTGGATGTCTTTCTTGATTATTGTGCCTTCATACAAGACTCCTGTTTCTGCTCGAGGGAGGCTCCGAGGTCATTGCCAAGCTGAGACCACAGATCGCCGAGCATCTGTGTATTGTACATGTACAACTCTGGTCTCAGAGATAGATGCTGGACTCCCTTGTCTGATATATCGTCAGAAGCTTAGTCTTGACTGATACCGCACCTTCACCATCCCATGCTGCTCCATCATTGTCGTTACGCAAAAGGTACGAAAGCAATCCAGCATTCCATCCCTACTCCGGCATCTTCATCCAAACATGAGCTGTTATTCCATCCCAGTGCATCAGGTGAAGGAGAGGCGATAGAAGAGTGATAAAACATTGCAGCGTACTGGTATCATTTTGCGCAGAAAAGAAGAGGAAGGATAAAAAAAGTCTGAGAAACGATGAGAGCCTCCCGTTTCCCCTCTCTCAGACACAACAACAGCAACAACAACCACAACTACCACGACCCCTTTCCCCAACGGCCCGCCTCATTGCTGCATCCCAACGACTGAACATCCATTACAAAAGATAAAGTAAAGATAAACCATCCAAACAAAAAACCACACAAACTGTCGTTTTTCTTACTCAATCATCCATCCATCCATCCATCCTATCGATCGTGACCCATCAATTATCTACTCTCTCTTTCTCTCTCTCTTTCTCTCTCTCATTTTGGCCGCCCCAGAAAGGATAACCCTCTCACTCACGACGAGGGAAAAGAGGATTACAAACCTGCAAAATGCGTGCCGCCGACGAGTGCATTTGTTTTGCTGACAAGACTATACAGTAACCCGAGAGAGATTCGTTCATCATGCCACCCCACAATGCACCCAGCCAAAACCCTCTCCCATTATCAAAGAAACACAATGCTGATTACAAAGTTTTGTATAACAGAGCACAAGAGCGATAATGAATTCCCCCTCTTCTCCCCTCTTAGAATGCATCTTCAAAGGGGCAGTCGACGCTATCGTGACCGTCGCGCTCGCACAGCGCACACCACTTGCTAGCATCGACGACGCCGCTCTCTTTGCCAGCCACGGGGCCCGAGTCCATCGGATTCGGAATGATCCGGACGCTCGACGGTGCAAATGCGGGCGCCAGTGGGGGCGCTGGCGCCGAGACCGGGGCTCTGGGCTTGACGGGCGATAGCGGTGCAGGCTTAATGTCGTCGTGTACGCCGGGAACCGTGAGGCTGCCTAGAACTGGCCGAGGATGGCCGTCGCGGGCGGCCGTCTTCTCGGCGCCGTTGGCTTGGGTCTGCTCAGGGCCGAACATGTTGGTGCAGGTAAGGATGTCGTGGCCGGACGTCTCGCAGATCTCGCACCAGAGCGTGCTATTCTCGGTTGCTGTACTGTACGTGTCGCTCTCGGCCATCGTGTCAAGCGTGTGGCCCCGGCTGTGCCTAAGGCCGAGACCCTTGTGCGCCGCCTCGGGGCTGCGCGGAGCAAGCACCACAGTACCCCGGGAATCGCGGAAGGAGCTCCTCTCATTGGTGCTACCGATCGTCATGGCGCTGCCCCGATGTCCTGGCCCACCCGAACCCGCACCACCTCTCCGCAGCATCTCAAGCTCGCGCTCAAGCTCCTCCTCGCGGCCTGACTTGTTTTCGAGAACGGCGCGGAGGTCAGCAACTTCTCGCTCGAGCTTCTCGCGGCTGAGGCGGTCTCCGATCGACTCGCCCTTAAGCGAGCGGAACGACCCGCCGCCCTGGGTGGGAGTCCTATCCGGATGGTCGTTAGGCACCGAGTCTCTGCTCAGCGAGTGGATGATAGCTTTCAGGCCTCGGATCTCGTCCTCCTTCTGCTCCAACTCCTTGGACATGGAGCCGCCATTCGACGGGATGCTCGCACCATTCATAGTGGCTTGAGACTTCTCGCGTTCTCGGCGGAGCTCGGAGCGTGTGCGTTCTACTTCCCCACGGAGGAATTCGACTTCGCCACGGGCCTCGGCTTCGCCTCTCCTAGCATCCTCCAGCCCCTCCTCGAGTTCCTGCACCAGCTCCTCCAATTGCTTCAGCTGTGTCGCGACCGTATCCACGTCGGCAGTTCTGTCCTGAAGCTCTTGGACTTCTTGCGTTAGCTCCTCAATCCTCTTCTCGTACACGCGCTCTGTCTCTGTGCTCGCCATCTCCAAGGTATCAATAGTGCTCCGGAAGTCGGCCCGATGCGCGTCAAACTCGGCCGTGAGCATAGCTATCTTCTCGTTCTTCTCCCTTAGCAAAGCTCGGAGCTGCATGTTGTCCCTGTCTTCTGAGCTACCGCGGCGCAGCTGAGCCTGCGGCGGCCCGTCCGAGTTCTCAATCAGCCCTTGCAGTTCTGTGAGACTGCTCTCCATGTCCTGGAGGGTTGAGGCTTGGTCTCGGAGCTGCCGATTGCGGTCTTCAAGCTGAGCTCGAAGTCTTTCCAGCTCTTCGTCGGTTGCATGGTTGCCAGCCCGGGAGGCGGCTCTTGACCCTGGGCGCGTTTTTAGCGCAAACGAGGATATCGAGCCAACACTGCCGTTCGGCTTAGGCCTCTGAATACTGACGGGCGTCGTCTCGTCGTCGGTAAAATTTGGCGTTGACGTGTTGCCCAGGGCAGACGCACTGCGTGGTCCAACGCTGGCCTTTTGTGCATTTGATGGCGCTCGCTTGCTTGGGTCGCCAGCAGTGCCACGAACGCTCTGGGCGAACTTGTTAGAAGTTGGGCTTCCAAACCTAGTCGGGACCTTGGGGCCTGGAGTGGCGATGGAGGGGCGTGGGGCTGGTGTCATTTGCAACTTTCTGACTGGTGAATCAGGGCGTTGTAGCGAAGTGCGCGGCCTCCTACCGACGGGGCTCGCAGCGCGCCCAGGGCCGACAGACTGGCTGAATTTTGGTAGCGATGGCGTAGGAGGTGTGTAGTTTGTTGAGTTTTGGTTTCCGACCTTGAGGCCGCCGGCGGGCGCGGGACCGGTGGGCGTGAGCGGAAACGTGCTAGCCGACACTGGGGGGGATTCCCGCTTCACGGCCTTGGATAGGGGCAGGAAAATCCCGGCGCCGGGTACCGACGTCGTGAAATAAAAGACACTGTCCGTCGCGCAATAGGTCAGCAGGGGTGTACCCAAACGACAAAAAAAAACACAGGATATGACGGCAATTACCCATCGACGTCGCCGCTGTTCTTGCCGCGTGCAGCAAACTCGCGCTGCAGCTCGACACCGACGAAGGTGCCCTTGCGCCCCTGTACGGAGCCGAGGAAGCGGACGGTGCCCAGCATGTTTCCGGGCACGTCGACCGTGTCGCCAATGTTAATAAAGTCGTCGGCCGGGGGGCCGGGGCGACCCGGGGTGAAGGGGGCCGGCATTTTTTCGCTAGTCAGGACCGAGTTGTAGGCGTAGGCTTCGGAATCATCGGGGATGGAGGCGAGAGAATTCTGCGTCAGGGCAGCGAAGGAGGCCTTGCGCGACAGCGCGGGAGGCGCGAGACGCGACGAGGGCAGCTGAGACGACGAGCCCTGCGTCGCAAAGATCTGGTTGAGGTTGGGAGTCGATGCCGTAGCGATACCGCCCAGCCCGCGACCCGTCCGTCTCGACAGCGTGTGTCTAGTCGTGGTGGTGTAGGTTGTTGTGGAGGACATCTTGGCGGCTTAGTCTCCAGCTTTCGCTGGAACCTTGTCGTGGTGGCACTAATTTTATTGTTTACACCCCACCTTGCCTTGCAACCTCCTGCTGCACCCTAAATCAGGCTCTGCCTGCTGTGACACTGGACTGGCACAGGGGCTGCTGCTGTCACTGCGCGCGTGCACCGCTGTATACCCACACCACACCGCTGCACACCCGCCCGAACCGCACCTCACACACCTCTTGACCTCGGCGCTAGCAGGTGGAAAGGGGGCCGCAGATCGAGCCGGCCACTGCAGTCGAAGTGCCCACCTGACACCCAACTGGGCCACCCACGGTGACCACACAGCCACACGACTCCCGCTCCCCACCGAGCGAGCGAGCGAGTGAGCGGCCTAATAGAAAATGGCGGTAGAAGAGGTCGCTGTTTCTGGCCGGTACCAAGACAAAAAGAAACACCTCGAATGCTGATTGATTGGCTGATTAGTTGATTGATTGATGCAGTGTTCTGACGTTTCTGTAGCGTATCCAAGTGACAGCCTGTCTTGGTTTCCCACCGGGCTGGTTGCTTGCAAAACAAAGCGCGGGGACGGACAGAGGCGGCCGCTAAAATAGAAAAAAAGGGCTCGTCCCAAGGTTTGAATTTGATGCAACCATCACCCGTCTTCCACACCTTGGCAGGCACCTGGGTAGTGTCTTGAATGGAATGACGGGGCGCCAGTCAGACAGTCAGGCGGGAAGGAAGCGGCGAAGATGGGCGGGGGAATTGATCAACAGCGACAAGACGGAAAAGCTGCTGTTCGGTGCTGGCTGACGATAAACAGCAGTGGAGATAGGCGGCGGGGAGTCGACGTGGCTTCTCTGCTGGTAAATTGGGTCGAATGAGGATAGGCAAGTAAAAAGCAAAAAAAGATGGGAGGGGTGATAAAGAAAAGAGGGAGGTGCACTGGGATGAAATGGTACAAACGAGTTTTGGCGAGCGGGCAGTTTTGACAAGAGAAGAGGCGAACAACGAAAAAGGGAAAATAATCAATAACAATAAAAGGCAATCCAAGAACGGCCGCAAAAGCTACCTTGCCTACCCTACCTAATACTTCTCGTGTATCCGTACATGTGTGCGTACGCACAAATAGTGTAGGTACATACGAAAGAGGTACGTAGTAGCAACGAAAACAATTCCCCCGCGAAACAAGACACGCAGCAGCCAGCAGGAGGACACCGTCTTTTTGTATGTTTTCTTTGCATCTATAGCTCCTCCTGGAACATGCAAGTGTCTAATAAACTTCAAAACACGCCGCGCGAGCCTTTCTCTTCCTCTGTATGGTTCCCCGGATTTATTACCCATTTGCGTGGCTTGTTCAGCAACATGGCGGTGGGAAGGTGGGGGCTGGCTAGCTGCGTAGCGTAGGAGGCTGTAGGGCGGTTGCCCGTTTCTCTTTTGCAACCGCTCTTCTGCAGGAGAGTGGGTATTCGTGGGTATAATCTTCCAATCTCGTGCCGAACACAGCTCTTCGAACGGCCCCCTCCCCCCACCCCTTTCTCTTCCTTCGCGCCCTGTTGCCTCGTGGCGAGAGATTGAAAGACAAAAGTTAACAAAAAGTCAACAAAACAAACGCCCTCGCACCAGTAGTACGCTGCAACCAAGATGATCAGAGTTGCACCATCTTCTCGTGTTTCGTCGTAGGCCACAGTCCGTTGGGCGCAGCTACCTATTATTTTCGCCAGTGCATCATCCAAAGAAAGGAACCTAAGCCCACCAGCCCGTTGAGATCTGCCAATGAACCTCGGTTGTATCCATATCCCTTTCGGACCCTTCCCCACCACCAGCCTAACGCCCCTTGCCGATCCGTCTCTGTGGGGAATGTCGACGACAGAAAAGCCAGCCACCCAGCCTGCCTGCCTGCCTGACATGTGGCCTTTGTTGGACAACATGGCGCTAATTGAAAGGAATCTGCCCTAATATTTCATCCATTGTGCATATATGGCCGCCTGCACAGCATTTCTCGGATCAAACCTCAAAGCACTTATGCACAGTTTTGTGATACGAATCCGCTGCTGACACCGCCGCCAGGGCAGGGCTGGCAAGTAAGAAAAACAAGGCTAGGTACTGTAGATGGGCGATGCAGAGCTTCAGGGGTGCAGTGGGAGTGGAATCCCTTGCTGTCAGGCACGCCAGCCCCACCTAAAACCCGCATGTCCGTTGACTCCATTCCGATGCTCCTCCCACGACCTCAGACCGAACACGGATGACAGATTATTCCATATAATTAGCCGTCAACTCTCTCGACAGTGGGTGAGTGCGGATATCGCGATGTTCGCTAAGTCCGTTCCGAGCAATAATGTTCAAGACTTATACCGGGACCAGCCACCTCTTTTCCCCCAAGTGCCGCTGCGATGTAGCCCAAGCGTGAACCATGCCGTTTGCCTTTCCGCCCGTGCTGTCCAAAAACCCGGATAATCCGTCTTAGTCGGCTATCAGCTATTGAGCCGCGAGTCGCCTTTTCGTCTGAACTTTGCCTAGTCTAGGACAGGCACGCCGCTCCACATACCGCGTGTCAAGAAGCTCTCGGTTTTTCATCTTGAGCAAACGGTTATCCATACCTGCTAGATACCAGGCAGTCTTCTTCCATGGGCATGAACCTCCTCCGCTGTGACAAGACCCTAAGCTTCACAACGCTGTTTGAGACCTAACAATGGCTTGAAACACAGCTTCTCGAAGGATGATACCCGAAAGATATTTATGGGTATGCACACTATCTGTGCTACAGAATCCTGATCCAGGCTTTCTGGAAGCTTAAACCAGACTTTGCCTTCTCGCTCGGCAGCACCGTCCCGTCATCAAACGGCACCACGTTCGGCTGGCTGCTGGCTGCAAGGCACCGCTAAAAAATACCCAGGGTGATCCCGGTCATTGCCAAACAGCAGCCGCGTCCGCTGCCTGGCCAGGTCAAATTCGATATTCTCTTCTGATATTATTTGAGAACCCGGCACTTGATAACAGGGATCTAGGTGTCCACGAACCTGCCGTCTTTTGGAGGCACAGTGCTACGTTGCTGCAAAACTTCCAGAAGTTTGAGCCGGTATCTGATATGCGCCCAGGGCATCTCTGTCGAGTGCCGAGGCTAAGATGCCTCTGTATTCAAGGATAAATTTGGGCGGTGACCATTGTTCGTGTCGTAAATATACATAGAAATAGCGCCAAAGCTAGCCCAAGGGCGACCCAAGATTCGGCTGGATGATATCGTCGCTGTTGAATGGGCGGCTCCCGTCGTTGAGGACCATGGCCTCGCGGTTCCGATTCCTAGTTCGTTGTTCGTCCACGGTCTGAAGGCTCTGAAGCAAAATCCGAGCCGGGTCATCTTCCGCCAAACTGTCTAGGTTAACAGGAAGAATCATATTGAACTGAGTTCCCGATCCCACCTCTTGGCCAAGGTCCTCGTCTGCATCGTCCGAGTACAGCCCGACCTTGTCCAGTGCGTCCTTGCCGGACGGATAGTTTTTGATTCTGCCAGCGATATCCGCAATACGATTGCGACGTCGGGCTATGTGGTGGTTGAAGTTGCGAAGTCTCTCCTCCTTCGAGGCTCCCCAATTTTGCTTGGCGAGCCATTTCTCGACAAACTTGGCCTTGACGATGTTTTCGGGGCCGTACCGGTTCATCAGCTGACTGATAAACATAAGGCAGAGCTTCTCTGTCATGTCTCGCATCGCGTATTCGTCCCAGTACTCATGGTTTAGTGTCTCCTGCTCTGGGTCGAGCGATAGTTCCAGCGACCTGACCAGGGCGGCGCATGCCTTCTCGTTATTGAGCAGTGGGAGGCTTTCTAGATCCAAGTCAGTGGGTTGGTCACGGAAGTGAGGTAGCGACGCGGCAGAGGCCTGGAGACGGGAACCCGGACTCACGAGGGTCTGTGATGATGGCCAGGGCGCGTAGATTCTTCATGCGCTCGTCGTAGTCGGGACGAGTGATGCCCCGTAGAAGTGTCTCGACAGTTAACTCATCGTTGACAGCTCGGTCACAAACGATCTTGGATGCCGTATCCCGAATCGCGTAGTTGTAATGGCCAAGCAGTGTGTCGAGTGTCTTGGTTTTCAGCGAATCCTCGGTATCTTGGGTGATGTATTGAGTCTTGGGCTGGGGGGGCTTGACTTCGGCCTCGTCGGTCCATTGCTTGAGATAGAAGTGCAACGCCACGGCCAATCCGGCAATCCAGAGGCCAGTGCCCGCAACAATCACCCGGTCGTAGCCAGGCCACGCCATGATGCGTGCATGTATCCCGGTCAAGATGGATGTCGTTGGGGTCGACTTTGCGCGCCCATTGAACGAAAGCAGCAACGAGACGAATACCAGTTCATGGATTGCTGGGTTCAAAGGCTCCAACAACCACCAGTGGCACGACGCCTAAAACGTTAGTTGACTTCACCGCATCATAATGCCCTGGCTCACCGCCGAAAGTTTTCCCCAGACAGGCGGGGCGATCCGATAAGATAAGCAACAGAACCCCAAGTTTTTCGAGAGCAAGGGAAAAAACATGGTCGAATGCTAAGGTTAGTCCTCGACACCCTTGTTGAGCAAGTCAAGTCAATTGCAAAGCGAAAATGCCTGGCTCCCAGCTGAAGAGGCTAAAGGCCTCCCTCAAGGATCAGGGGATCATTGGCGCGCAGAAGTCGAAGAAGCAGAAGCGCCAGATCGCCCAGGACGCAAAGGGGACAAGCGACAAGCGCCTTCTACGGTCCGAGGCCCTGGAAAGCATCCGCGAGCAATTCAACCCCTTCCAGTTCAAGACAAACGCCCGCGGCCCCAAATTCGATGTCACCACCCTCCGCCCCGCGAACGACAGGGCCTCTAAGGGCATTCATGGCCGGCCTGGTGTGGCCAAGGGCAAGGGCGAGGAGAGGGTTTGTTCGGCCCTCTGACAGACAGGTGCGCTGCTAGTATTGGCTAACTGGGCAATGTGTAGCGGCGTGAGACTCTCCTCGTCGAGATGCAGCGGCGCAACAAGGTCGGCGGAATTATCGATAGGCGATTTGGCGAGAGCGACCCTTCCATGTCGCTCGAGGACAAGATGATCGAGAGATTCACCCGCGAGCAGCAGAGGAGCCACAAGAAGAACTCCATGTTCGATCTGGAGGACGAGGACGAGGAAGGTACCGAAGAGCTCACCCATATGGGCAAGGCTCTCAAACTCCGCGGCAACGAGCTTTTAATGGACGACTTTGATGGCGAGGATCTGCCATCAAACGACGATTCCGACGATGGGATGCATCCCGACAGGAAATCGCTAAAGCGCCGACGGCCGCGCGGTGACGACGATGGCGATGACGACGACGCAGACGAGGATGCTAAACAGCCGGAGAAGAAAAAGACAAGCAAGGAAATCTACGAGGAGGTCATTGCAAAGTCAAAGTCTCACAAATATGTAAGCTCTCGCAGGGCCCGTCTCATTCTTGTCGCACGCATACATACTAACATTGCCACCAGGAACGACAAGCTGCCAAGGAAGAGGATGAAGACATAATAATGGAGCTTAACAAGTCCCTACCAGAGCTACAATCATTGCTTTTCCAAAGGCAAAAACCAGCTGCAAAGGACGGAAATGACGAAAGGCCCTCAGCTACCATCGCAGGGATGGACAAATCTATCGTTAACAAGGACTACGATCTCCGGGTGAGGCTCCTCGCCACGGACAAGCGAGCTCAGCCTGCCGAGCGAACGCAGACGGAGGAGGAGAAGGCAGAAGAAGCGGCGAAGAGACTTAAGGAGTTGGAGGAGAAGCGGCTTAAGCGGATGCGCGGTCAATGGGTCTCTGACGACGAGGATGAGGACCGCGGCGACATAGTAAAGAAGCAACTTGCTGCTGCTGATGAGCCGGTGTTTGATCCGTTCAAGAGCGGCGACGACGACGAGTTCGGTCTTGGAAAGGGCATAAAATTACGCCCGACCGCCGCCGAGTTGGGATTCGACGACGAAGACGACTTCCTCATTGATGATGACCTAGTCACAAGCGGCTCCGACATTGAGCTAGAGGAGAGCGACGATATGGAGGACGACGAAGAAAGCGACGACGAGCAAGATTTTGATCCCGATGACGACGAGTTTGTAAAGGGGCTCCTGACCGCGGTCGAGTCAAAAGACTCTGTTTTCCAGGCGTCGTCCAAGGAGCAAGGAGACGACAAAGATGGAGTCCCCTATACCTTCAACTGCCCCCAGACTCTCGCTGAGATGGTTGAAACTTTCAAGGGCGTCGACATGACCAAACTTCCGGTGGCTGTCCAGCGGATCAGAGCCCTTTATCATCCGAAATTGGACAGCGGAAACAAGGAGAGCCTCGGTAATTTCTCGCAAGCCCTGATTCAATATGTCGCCTACCTAGGCGACAATCTTGAATCAGGCTGGTTTCCTACTTTGGAGAATCTGAGCCGCCACATTCACTCCTTGGCCAAAACCTTCCCGATCGAAGTGGCTAAGGGCTACCGAGCACACATCCAGGACATTGGGGATAACAGACCCCTGGCACTTACAGTCGGGGATTTGGTCATCTTCACGGCAATTGGAACAACGTTTCCTACCTCCGACCACTTCCACCAAGTAGCCACTCCTGCAATTCTCACCATCGCCCGCTTTCTCGGCCAGAAAATACCCCAATCTCTTGCCGACTACGCCACGGGCACCTACCTGTCAATCCTCGCTCTCCAGTATCAGCAGCTCTCCAAGCGTTACGTGCCGGAACTGATGAATTTCTGCCTGAACACCCTCTGTTCTCTTGCCCACCAGAGACCCCAGGAGAACCTAGGGCTCTTCCCATTGCACGAGCCAGCCACGGGGATCCGGATCAAGGGTGCCAGAGAGACGACAGTGCGAAAGCTGAACTGTGCACACTGCCAACCACGCTCACAGGCGCCTACTGAGAGTGAAGCAAACTCGCTGAAAGTTGCCATTATCAGCACCACCGCTGCCGTCCTCAAGGCAGCCGCTGAGACGTGGTGCAGCGTTCCTGCCTTCTACGAGACCTTCCAGCCCGCCGCACGTGTCCTCCAACACCTGACATCAAAGGCCAACAGTGCCCACCTGCCTGCGGCTCTCGTCAGCAAGCTCGCCGACACTACGAGCAGCCTCGCCCGCCTCCTGCAGCTGGCCAATATCTCGCGCCGGCCGCTCGAGCTGCACCACCACCGCCCCTCGGCGATCCGCACCTACGTGCCCAAGTTCGAGGACTCGTTCGACCCCAACAAACACTACGACCCCGACCGCGAGCGTGCCGAGGGTGCCAAGCTCCGCGCCGAGCACAAGCGCGAGCGCAAGGGCGCCATGCGCGAGCTGCGCAAGGACGCCTCGTTCATGGCCCGCGAGAACCTCCGCGTCAAGAAGGAGAAGGACGAGGCCTACGAGAAGAAGTACAAGCGTCTCGTGGCCGAGATCCAGGGCTCGGAAGGCCAGGCCGCCAACCAGTACGAGAGGGAGAAGGCGGCGCGGCAGAAGAAGAACGCGAAAGCCCGGGGGGGCCGGTGAGAGCGCACTGGGGTTTTATTTTCTTGTGTGTTGCGTTTGTATATATACATGCATATACCTATCTCTTGATATTCGCATGTCATTGCAATGGATGCTTTTTGATCAAAAACTCGCAATTATTCTGTTCCCGCAAAATAGCGAGTGTTCCCCCATTGTAGTAGATGTACTTTATTGGTTGACAAATAACCTTCTGAGATTAAGATAACATGATCCATGAGATCTTCAGATGGTAAGGGGTTCAGACTAAACAGAATGGCAAGCATATATTTCAGTTCAGGCTTAAAACTCCTATATGAATGAAAACAGGTCAATCATACAATACATTGCGTACTAAATGACGCATGTTTCTGCATACCCCCCTTCTCATCCTCCCATCCTCTCCATATCCATGTCGTGACGCATTCTCCCTCATTCCAAGCAAGACAAGAATTGATTCTTCCAAGTAATACCTGGATACCAGATCTACCGCCCCTCACGCAGTCATACAGAGCAGCAAATTGGGGTTTCAATTTACTCAGTTCTACGCTAAATGCAGCTTGTACGTCGCCACCTCGAACGGTCGTAGGTCAATGGCGAACTTGCCGTCCTTGAGGGACACCTCCTCGAGGTCGTCCTCGAGCAAGTTGGTCTTGGTGACCTTGTCGACGTTCCAGGTGGTGGCGACGGTGCCGCGGCCGCGGCCGCCGAGGCTCTCGTAGATGCGCAGCACGACGCTGCGGCCGTCCTTTGCAGGCAGGTCGCCGTGGGAGATGTCCTCGTCGTCCTCGCCACGCTTGATGGTGTCAAGAACAAGCGACTGGTCTGAGTTGGGGGTGAGATAGACCGGGGGCTCGGCCGCGGTAAGGATAGAGCGGGCCACGCTGCTATTGTCGTCCGACGACATGGATAGGAGCTTGAGGGGGTTGTTAAACTCGTAAGCCTTGCGAACGGTTGTGGGGCCGAGGGAACCACCGTGGGGTAGGATGGCCCAGCGGATGTGATGGGTGCCCATGTCGGCATTTGCGTCGGGGGCCTTGGGGCTGCGTAGCAACGACAGCCGCATGAGCGAGCCCACAGTGGCGAAGCCGTACTTGCTATCGTTGAGGATCGAGACGCCGTAGCCGTGCTCTGAGAGGTCGGCAAACTTGTGGCAGCATACCTCAAACTTGGCCATATCCCAGCTGGTGTTGTAGTGGGTGGGCCTCTTCACGACGCCGAACTGGGTCTCGTAGCTGGCCTCGGTGTTGCGCACGTCGACGGGGAACTCAACCTTGAGGAACCTCATGGTCTCATGCCACACCACTTTGCTCGTAATCTCGACATATGACTGCTCGCCGTCAATGGCGGCAGACAGGGTAATGATAGTTTCAATGTGGCTCTTATTGCTGATCTTGGTCTCGGTGACGACGCTGACCCGGTGGTCTTTCTCTTCGTGCGCCTTTGTCTCGCCACATGACAGCTCCTCGCGGGTGTCAAGATGATAGACTTCGACGTCCCAGGCCTGCCAGTATAGGGGCTTGTCATCGAAGATGACGTATTGGTTGGCTTTTTGGCCCTTTGGAATTACTTCTCGCTCGGTTGATTTGTCAAACAGCGACGTGATGCAGCCAGCCTTCACCTCGACTTTGAGCTGATTATTCTCGAGGATGAAGACTCCCTCAGAAGACTTGTGAAGAGTAACCGTGGGACTCTTGTCGGAGGTTTTAAACGCTCGCAGATTTAAAAGCGGACCGGTTCCACAGGCTACGGCAGCCTCGTTCGCAGAAATGTCAACAAGTGCCTTGCGGTGCCACGGCAAGGTGTTTAGTGCGATACCGTTATCGATAGTCGTGGACTTGACCTCGGAAACACCAAGCGCCTTTGAGATGTCTTTAAGTATCCTTCCCGCGGTTTCAAAAAGCTCAGCGTAGATCTATCACAATGTTAGATGTTTCATGACTTCATAGAGGTCAGCAAAAAGAGTCTATCTCACCTTGTTGGAATCGTCATAGCACATTTCGATTGAGCTCCCTGGAAGGCAATCGTGAAACTGGCAAAGGAGAACCGACTCCCACATGTCGTCAATATCCTTCTTGGGGTACTTGTACGACTTGTTCTTGAGGGACGTGAGTGCCGCGAGCAGCTCTACATCCCGCAATACTATCTCCGACTTCCGGTTGTTGCGCTTGTTGTTTGCCTGAGTCGTGTACGTCCCACGGTGGAACTCAAAGTAGAGCTCACCGTACCATGTCGTCAAGGAACTGGCCTTCCGCTCCAGAGCATCGAAGAAGTCATCGACCGAGTTACCCATGTGGACACGCGGCAGGAGGCCGACGGTATCGGCGATGCCGCGGCAGCGACGAAGCTTTTCGATATGTTCCCAGGTAGGACCGCCGCCTCCGTCACCCTTGCCAAAGACGAGAAGCGACGTGGCGTCCTGGTCCAGAGACTTGTGCTGCGACATGCTGCGCTTCACGTCGCCAAAGTGAGCATCAGCAGTGTACGTCTCTGTTGGGGGCATGTGGCATATGACCTGGCTACCATCCAGAGAAATCCAGTTGAAGGTGGTATGAGGGAACTTGTTGATGTTGTTCCAGCTCAGTTTCTGGGTAAAGAACCGAGTCATGCCGGACAAACGACAGAGCTGGGGTAGCTGGCTGGAGTATCCAAACGTGTCAGGCAGCCAAAAGGTCTGGCAGCGCTTACCAAAGTTGCCCTCGTAGAAGCGTTGGCCATATAGGAACTGGCGGACCAGCGACTCTCCACTGGGCATGTTGGTGTCGTGCTCGACCCAGCTGCCTCCAATGGGGTGAAAGCGACCTTCGGCGACCTTCTTCTTGACCCTCTCAAAGACGTATGGGTACAACTGCTTCAGCCACTTGTACTGCTGAGCTTGGGAACAAGCAAAGTTGAGCTCGGGGTACCGATCCATCAGGTCGCATTGGTTGGACCAAGATCGAGCGACCTTGCGCTTGGTTTCGGCAAAGGGCCAGAGCCAACAGCTATCGATGTGGCAATGGCCAATTCCAAACACCAATGCCTCCTTACCCGTGTCGTAGACCTTGGCCGAGTTGACGTTGGGCCCGAGGTAATCTTCAGCAATCGTGCGACAGGCCTTGAGCGAGTCCTTGTTTCCCAGCTCAAATGTGTCAATGATCTTGTTGCAGATGTTGAGCGCCTTGTGTTGCTCCCACGAGTCCGAAGGGAACTCCCTGGCGGCGTCTCCAATGATCCAGATATCGATGTAGAGCTGGCGGGCATCGGGGTTTACAGCGACAATCTCGGCTCGGCTGAGCTGGAAGTACTTGTTGGGATCGGGTGGCTGGATTGCGTCGCCGCCAGCTGCATTCCCAAACATGCCATTGCAGGCCATCTCTATGTAGATTGTGTGTTCCCTCCCGTCGCGGAACGACTCTGGCAGGATCCATTCAACACGCTCGCCACCGCCCGTGAGGCCCTGCAGCGGGTTGCCGTCTTCGGTCCAGACTAGCCCCTCGTTGTTACCATCCCAGTGGAGCTCGAGCAGGTGCTTGTCAAGGAGGTCTTCGGGGACCTTGAGCACGACCTTGAACCAGTGGGTGGTCCAGGACGGGCCAAACCACGAGCCAACCGACGTTTCCTTGAACTCGTGGGACACGGCGTCGTCAAAAGTGGGCCTCGTCTGGTCTGGGGCATCCCAGACGGAGAGCTTGACGTGAGGCTCGCCCGAGACGACGCCCTCGTTCATCATGGCGCGAAGGTTGTTGTGCTCCCATTGTCCGCCGGCATAGAACTGGGCAATGCGCTCTTTGTATATGCCCGATATCATCTGGCCGACGGGCTTCGGGGCGCGTAGCGGGTAGTCGCTCTTGGGCGCCCTCTGGGCGACTGACTCCCCACCCATCGTGTCGGCCAAGTCGAGTCGAGTCAATTAAGTTTGGCTTCTGGGTGGTGTTTTTGGAGTGCTACGTCCTTTGATGAGGGTGTGTTGGTAGCTCGACCGTAGAAGGGGAATTGCGGGTGCAAAGTGCTGAATGGGAGCTTGTTGCTTGTTGTTGCCGACTTGGACAAGGACAAGTGGTATCCGTACGACAATGCGGATCGGAGAGGACGGAAGAGCAAAGCTAGCAACCAATATGGGCTGGAAGAGACCGAGCCAAATATTAATTGGCCACTCTTTCACAAGAACAGATAGGTGCCGTCACACAAGCACCAAGCAGCAATTGATACCTTCTTCATTCAGCAGTTGTGTGATGATTGGAACAAGAGATAGGTTGACGGATGGCGGGGAGACGAGGCACCTGAGGTGTGCTCCACACGGGACCAGGGAAGCTCCATCCCGCCAGAGCTGGAAGCTGGAAGCTGTCAGCCGTTGAAACACAGGGCGGATGCGGGGTACCGTAGCCAGCAACAAGCACGGCGATGTGGGGATGATCAGCTGGTGCAGAATGCGGGCACTCGAAGCGCCAAGATGGTCAATTCACGGCCAAGCCAGGTCCCGCATCGCTCTCTTCCACTGTCCTGGCTCCTGAGAGCGGACTCGGAAACCGCGCCGAAGTCGTAAACCGCGTGGCCATCTAGGCGGACAATAACGTTCCGTCTTATGGAGTAGTCTCTGTGCGTGTTTGGAACTCCGTATTCTTGGGGGTTCAAGATTTTACAACTGCGAACAGTTAACAAGCCTTTCATACGCAACGCTCCAGAGGCAATAGGCAGTGTCCGAGAGACAGGATACCTTAGGTACCTAGGTACCTATAGGGTGTGATCTAGAGTGGCAGAGCATCGTTCCCCGTGGCGCCACCCGTAGTCGGTGAGAAAGACACCTAACTTGCGAAGCCAGGAGTGTTGTCGCCGAACGCCCATCATCCATCCCAAGAGGAGGGGCCTACCACCGCGTCGCGTCGCAATGAGCAAATCAAATGCATGCTCTCTCCTATCCCACAATAGGCTGCAAATGGTACTTTCACGATCTGACTGATCTAGCCGCCGGCACAGTTGAACTCCCCGAGCCGAGTCTCTTTCACGCTTGTGCCCGTACGGGTGGGCGAACGTGGCGAGTATACGAGAGCCGCGCGGGCGGGCCACAACATGGATGGCCAGCTGGAAAGGACCGCCCAGGGCCCTAGACAGGCCACAAGTTCCCCAACCATTAATAATCGCGTAATCGTGCACAATGTAATTGTTCGCTCGGTCGGGAAGACGGGCGCAAAAAGTAGTGCGAATCCGACAGGATGACAAACAAACAACACAAGCGAAACCCCGGGGATTTGTCTTCATTCTTCAAGGATTAATCAAACAAACGATGGAAATTTGGAAATGATGAATAAGAGGCGAAAAATGAGCCCTCGGCTAGTAGGGCTTACGGCACCCAGCCGGCTTGGCCGGAGATATATCCCCAGGTAAGCCCCGATGGTAATTCCATGTTACGGATTTACCTTGACGCCCCATTCACCTACCTCCGGTGCCGCCATCGGCGGAAGTTGTCGCTTTGCGCTCCAGCACATGGATGTTGTTAAGGTACCTAGGTAGATTCAGCTGCGGCGGTGCAGCAATTCGGTGTTCGGTTGCCGGAAACTACGACTCGAGAAAATGGGTGGGCTGCTCTGGAGAAACGCGGCGCGTACATGATCCTGTGTCTGACCGGCGCAACCGATTTTACTCCGAGATGTGTCGTCCGTAGATGTGTCGTACGTATAACAACGCCACGAGTAACACACAAAAATGTAGGTACGTATGTATGTGAGTGTATGATTTTTAATGTTGATGTTTAGCGTATGTGTATGGGTATCAAGCTGTAGGGCATTATTATCTGAATACTGTCACAGTATGTCCTCCAGGGAGGTCGAGTAAATAAACCAAATACATATTTGGCGTGTATGAATATCTACGCAACGCTTGCTGGTCCGCTAATGACATTGTGAATCCAACGTTGCGCCGTCCAGCTCCCCGTCCAAGCAGCAAGAACCCCCAACGTTATCTCGGCCGAGAAGGGGTCGAGCCCACCCGCCATGATCATGATATATCCAAACAAGTAATAAATGAAAATAGAGTTGTGAAAAAAAAAGTCGAGTCATGACACGGAACTCCTCGTGGTAGGCTTGCTGGTGCCCAGCTGCACTCCTTTGGACGTTATCTCCTCGTCGTCGTCCTCTTCAGCGTCTTCGTCGTCTTCATCATCGAGCTCTTCGTCCCCCCTTCCTGGCCGTCCTCCACCATGGCATCCACGTCGCCGTCTTCGCGGTTCCCGGCGTCTTCTTCGTAGTCCTCGTCGTCATCATACGAGCTCTCGCTCTCCGTGTCGCTCTCGTCAAACGACAGCGCGCCGAGCAGCGGCACGTCGATGCGCGCCAGCTGGCTTTTGATGAGGTGATCGGCGACACTGAAGAGGTGCGCGTCCTTGTCCCGTTCCGCCGCCCGCGCCGCCGCCGCTCCCGTGGGCGCCGGAGGTTCCCGGCCCAGGAAGAAGGCGGCCTCCTCCTCGTCTACCAGCGCGTCGTGCACGGGGGCAGCAGCAGCAGCCCCGTTGCTATCGCTGTCACGGTCTTTGTCTGCCGCCGCGGTGGGGACAGGCACTTCCATGACCCACCGCCGCACTGCCTCGCCCTTGGTGATGCGCCCTCCGCCGGCGCCGTTGCGCGAGGCTGAGATGGGGAGGACGGCGGCCTTGCGCGCCAGCCCCCGCTTGAACGCGCGCTTCTGCCGCCGCCGCCGCCGTGAAATGCGATCGCGGATGTACCAGGCCACGATCAGCATGGCCGCCTGCATCATCTCCTGGCACTTCTTGCGATGCATGCTCGCCCACGCCTGGCACTGTTGCTGCTGGTAGTTGGTGATGGCTCGGCACCGCTGTTGGTAGTAACTGGCTATGCGCGACGCCATGGCGACGTAGCGGGGGTCCTTGGCCAGATCGTGGTCGCCGAACGGGAACGCCGTCGAGGGCGGCATTGATAATGGTGGTAGTTGCTGCTGCGGCTGCTGCTGCGGCGGTTGCCGCTGCTGCTGCTGTAGTGACGGCGGTAAGGGGGCATCTTTCTTGTTCGGTTGGTTTGGGTTGCTGTTATTATTGTTGCTGCTGTCTTGAGGGTTGGTGGTGAACATGGCGGCTGGTGGGATAGAGGTGTTGCCGGCTGCTTGATAGCTGCCCCCCTGAGCAAACATGGATGCCATATTGGGGGGGAACGGCCTCTTTGTAAACATGGGCTGATCTGGCGGAGGGGTGATGGGGACCTGGGGGTTGAAGAAGGGCGGCAATGACGCCGCCATGGTTATATTGCTGCGATATGGTATTCGAGGATGAAAATGATGTTCTGCTGTCCCTTCTTTTCACATTCGTTTCGATTGCCTTGTCTTGTTGCCGCGGCTTTGGTGAAGTAGGGGGGCCGGGAAGGGTGAGCTCGGCGGAGTGCGATGGAACGGGGGATTTGCAGGTGGGATGGGATGGGATGCACAAGATGCGATGCAGCAAGGGAGGGAGGTATGTATGTACGGATACGTCTGCAAGGTAAGGTATATACGACTTGCATCTATGGAACAGAGACCAAGGTGATCAGGTAATCCTAATACTGCGAGGAAGTAGGAAACAGGAGTTAAACGGACTAAGCAAAACCCCGAGGGTGTGCCAGGTAGGCCAGCCAAAAGCCGACTTGCCTTCTTTATACCTTGATTTGAATGCCTTAAATGGAATTACAAATCGTATGAAAGTGACGTCCTTGGATGGGGTCTGACCTGACGGGACCCAGCGACCTACCGCCCTGGCACCTGGCATGGAGCTCCTGACGACGGCTACCTGGGTACCTACCTCTGGGTAGGTTATAAATTGGGTGGCTTCATGACTTTCAAGCGCCAAGTTGGGGGGGCCGTTAAATCGGCGGCTGGCGGCCAGTTCAGCACGAGGGAAGGCAGGTCCCAGGTGGCTGGCTACCTTGAAGAGGCAAGCTCGAGGGAAGCTGAGGGGGTGGCAGCAGGCGGAGCCGGTGGGAAATGGCCTGAGAGGTGCTCGGGACAGCATGGAAATGAGGACAGAACTGGGCCACCTCGGGCACAAATCGGTCGATGCCGACAAGACTCTGGCAAATGGGCCTCCGAGGTGCAGTTGGGCCGAGAGCGACAATCGAGCCATCCTAAAATCAGGCGAGCCCGAGCCAGCGCGCCATTGGCCCCATCCATTTCCAGTTCTCCACTGTCTTGGCCCTCGCTTTGCTTTGCCCCCAGCAGCAGCAGCAGCACTGGTAAGGCAAGAGCGAAGGATCCCGTCCGTCTGCCGCCCGTACAAGGCCTAGCAGCTTCGGGATTTGGTCTTGCCATATTTAATCAGATTTCGTGGGCGGATTTGGTTGTGCCACTTCATGATTTCATTAGAAGTCTTGGAGGCAGTCGCCGATCCACCCTCCATATAGCCTAGCTCGAGGGGGCGGCGGCTTTCATTGGGCCCTGCGGAATCCCGGAGACCACCGGAGCCCATCGGGTTTTCGGGACTAGCCAGAGACTAATCGGCAGCTCTGCCTCTATTCCCGACCATTTTACGGAGCATGACATCCGATTTCGACTACCGCGGCCAACTACCTTGCCAAGTTGCTATGCCATACGCAATAATAATGACCCATACCATAATAACTAGTAACCACAGACGAGGCATCCCGACTGAATGTTGCTGAGCCTGCTCGCTGCTCCTTACTCAACTTATTCCAGGTCTATAATTGGCACTACACCATTAGCTGCTGTTCTGCCGCTCTCCAGCATCGCTTCAGACCTTTTGGGTAAATGGTCTAGAACGGCCCGGATTATGTAAGGATTCGGCCCACATAAATTAGTAAGTAAAAGCCTTGTAAGGCAAGTTGTCGCAGCCGACCATTGATAACCGATATTCCCGATTACAAACCCGGAAGTAAGGAGTGTACAAATCCGTAGGCCAAGTCCGCAGACAATTCATTAGTACGTGCACTACAGAATAGAAAATACACAGAATGATTACTACACTCCGAGACATGGTGAGTAAACAAGACGGGCCGCCTAGGATGGAAGGGCTGTGATGCATAATGACTGAGGTGAGGTGGAGCGCGCCTGTCCTTGTGCGACGTCAAGTTCCTTTCTAGGTTTCCTGAACTTTTGAAGAAGCTGTAGCCTGGTGGTGCTGCATCCAACCCACAACCCACCCTACCATTCAATGCTACTGATGGCGGCTGTTCGAATAACACCTCATCATCTCTAAACTCCGTCAGCCATCTGGTGTCCCCAGGCACCTACATTCCGGAGTGCGACACAACTTATTTGCACCATATTTTTATTCCATGTCATGGAGACACAGATCTGATCTTGATGTCGGCCCCTGGCCTCCTAGGGCGTCTTCCTTGCTCGGCATCCATTGCCAGGTAGTGTCACTGACGTGCACCTGAGCGAGGTAAGTAGGGACCTAAGGGAAAAGACAGGGGTGCTCCTTTTTTTGCGTTTTCGCGATCACGTTGTCGGCACCCTAATAATTTTCTACCTGTAGATAGCGCACATCACGTCAAACTCTGTTTCCTGGGTTTCCATCCTCGCAAACAAACCACCCGGTGCTACTTTCCCCCGAACTCTCTTTTTGACGGAGACTGAACAGGCCACTCTTGATGCTATTCCCGCGCGCGCACTCAGTCCCGCGCGTCCGGATTGCGTGCAGAGGCTCTGCGTCTGCGTCTCTTTCGCCATTGTGCTGTAGTGCCGCCACTGTCGGCCGGTTCACGGTCCATAATGTGACCACGCTTTCGAGGTCGAAGTCGGGGCCGGGGTCAAGGTCGAGGACGAGGACGAGAACGGCCACTCCCTTCGCCACCCTTGGACTGCTTGCTTCGGCTGGCACTGGCACTCCTGGGCCGCAGACCCGTGCTGGAGCTGCATTCCTGCCTCTGGCCCACGTTCGCGGCAAGAAGACCAAAACCGTCGTGACGCTGGGCGAGCTGCCTCAGGGCCTCATCGTCGCTGAGCCGCCCTTGCCCCTTGCCGCGGCGGAGGCCGAGGATAGCCCCGCCTACCCGACTGTGGTCCTGCAGGCCCGCCGCAACATGCTAAAGTTTGACAACTGCGTGCTCCTCACGCGTGTCGGCGGCTTCTACGAGCTGTACTTTGAGCACGCTGACGAGTATGGCCCGCTCCTGAATCTCAAGGTCGCCCAGAAGCGGACTAGCGCTGGCCCCGTGCCCATGGTATACCTCTCTCTCTCTGTCTGACTCTCATGTGCCCTGCCGCGTGCCCGCTTCTTCCCCAAGTAGATCGACTGTATTCTGATAGACGCTGTGCTGCTAGGCCGGGTTTCCCTTCTTCCAGCTAGACCGTTTCCTCAAGGTCCTGGTCCAGGACCTCAACCGCCACGTAGCCATCGCAGAGGAGTTCCCTAACGGTCCCTCCGAAAAGGTCAAGTCGGGGGGGCTGCTGCATGACCGCAGAGTAGCCCGCATCGTCACCCCCGGCACCCTCATCGACGAGAACTTCATGGACCCGTATGCAAACAACTATGTCATGGCCATCCACCTCCCAGAGGCTAGGGCATCCGGGCCTGCTCCCTCTTCTACCGAAGACGGCAGTAGTAGCCCATCACATGGTGACTCGGCCTTGGTGGGCGTCGCCTGGCTCGACCTGTCAACGGGCTGTTTCTATACACAGCCGGCGACGCTCTCGTCGCTAGGCTCCGTGCTGGCGCGCGTGTCTCCCCGCGAAGTCGTGTTGGACAAGGCCCTCGAGGCCGGCCCGAGTCACTCGGTCCTGTCCATCCTCGCCGAGGAGAGGTACCTCGTAACGTATTCTCCCCAGGGCGAGCTGCAAACCTTGTCCGAGTGGGCGCCCATGCTCGAGTCTGAGATCCCGGCTCAGACGGCCGAGCAGTTCACCGAGGACGAGGTGCGGGCCGGCAGCCTGTTGCTGCACTTTGTAAAGGAGCGCTTGCGGGGGCTCAGCATGAAGCTGCAGCCTCCGCTCCGCTTCGAGAGCATGCAGGTCATGGGCATCGACAAGAATAGCATGCGGTCGCTGGAGATCAAGCAGACCATCCGGGACAATGTGTTTCGGGGAAGCCTGCTGCACGCCATCCGACGGACCGTCACCAAGAGTGGCGCGAGGCTTCTCAACGAATGGCTAAGTAGGCTTGCTTGTCTCTTTGCTCCTGCTTGGTATTTTTGTCTGTCGAGATTAGACCGCAAATGACCCCCCCCCCAAGACCTAGCTGACACGAGCGTGTGTGTGCCATAGGCTCCCCGTCCACCTCGTTGGAGGTCATCAACCTAAGGCAGGAGCTTGTCTCTTGGTTCATCCAAGAGGAGGATCTCCGAGACTCGATCGTCATCCTCCTGCGCCGAAGCCACGACTCGCAGCGTCTCGTGCAGAAGTTCGCCATGAACCGCGGCGAGCCGGACGACCTCCTCCGGCTTGCCAGCACCGTCAAGGCAACTGAGGACATTGTCAACCTGCTCCAGGCTTCCATCGCCTCCCACAAACTAGAGGAGCAGCCACCACCGTCGTCGTCGTCGCCATCTCCCACAAAGCCCAGCCAGCAGGCTGATTGCCTATCGACCATGATCGGCCGCATCAGCTTGGACCAGCCGTTGCAGCTAGCGCAGCGCATCAAAGACGCCATCGACGAGGAGGGCCTCGTGCAGCAGCACCAGATCGAAGACAGCGAGGCGGGCGAGATGATTGCGCTGGCACAGGAGATCGTCAAGACCGAGGGCACCGACGCGGACGGCCTGCTGCTGCCCAAGGGGGCGGCGACGAGTTCGGCGGCGGCGGCGGCCAAGAGTGGCAAGAAGAGATCTGCTGCCGCAACGACGTCCCTCCGCGACCACTACGGCGAGGACAACGAGGTGTGGATCATGAAGCCCAACGCCTCGCCGGGCCTGGCCCGCCTGCACAAGGAGCTGGCAGCGCTCTCGCAGGACCGGGCCGAGCTGACCGAGACGCTGCGCGCGCGTCTCAACGCCGCCAGCCTAACGCTCCGCTGGACGCCCGGGCTCGGCCACATCTGCCACGTCAAGGGCAAAGACGTCGCTGCCGCGGCTACTACCACGACACTATCAGCAAGCCGGTCGACGCGCTCGTTCCACCAGCCCGAGTGGACGGCGCTAGGCGAGCGGCTCGACAAGGTGCGGTTCCAGATGCGCGCGGCCGAGCAGCGCGTGTTCGCGGCGCTGCGCGAGCAAGTCGTGCTGAGCCTGGTCAAGCTGCGGCGAAACGCCGCCGTGCTGGACGAGCTCGACATCGCCACGTCGTTTGCGCGGCTCGCCATCGAGAAGGGGCTGACGCGCCCCGTGCTCAAGGACAACACCAACACCACTAACACTAACAACACGACAACACAACAGACAATAATCATGGGCGGTCGCCACCCGACCGTCGAGGGCGGGCTCGCCGAGCAAGGGCGCACGTTCCAGCGCAACGACTGCCTGGTCGGCGCGCCAGGCCACGGGCGGGCGTGGCTGATCACGGGGCCGAACATGGCGGGCAAGTCGACGTTCCTGCGGCAGAACGCGCTCATCACTGTGCTGGCGCAGATCGGCTGCTACGTGCCGGCCGACTACGCCGAGCTGAGCGTGGTCGACGCCATCTTCAGCCGCGTCGGCTCGGCCGACAACCTGTTCCAGGACCAGAGCACCTTCATGGTCGAGATGCTCGAGACGGCCGCCATCCTGCGCCAGGCCACGCCGCGCTCCTTTGTCATCATGGACGAGGTCGGCCGCGGCACCACGCCCGAGGACGGCACCGCCGTGGCTTTTGCTGCTCTGCACCACCTGGTCCACGTCAATAGGTGCCGGGTGTTGTTTGCAACGCACTTTCACAAGATCGCAGACTTGGTGACTGAGCGCGGCATGCGCTTGGAGGATGGGGGGACAGCAGGGTCCGTGGAGACGTACTGCACCGATGTGAAAGAAGACGAACATAGCGGCTTTGTTTACGTTCACAGATTACGAAAGGGTGTCAACCGGCAAAGTCACGCGCTTAAAGTGGCCCGTCTGGCAGGACTGCCAGGGCCCGCTATACGGATTGCTCAGCAGCTCCTCGGGGATCTACCAGTGGGCACATTGAGAGACTACGAGACGCATAAACCGGCGGCAATTGTATCATAGTATTATGGCATGGAAATTGGGAAACGGCCAGGGCCTGTCTGTATAATTTCTTAAGTTAGCCTTGATACCCCAAAATGTATAGTATGTGTATAAATTGTAGCAAGTGGGTTGTGTCTCATAAGTAGTTGTTTGAATGGGTTTTCATCAATGATATCAGGGTTAAAAAGCTCTTTGATTTTTTCTAATCATCGACACGGGAAGGGGGCAAGGTGAGGTAACTGGTAGGGAATTCGAACTAACCTTTGACGGTGAAGAAATAAGGTGCTGCGTCAGGGATGAGTCCCGCACATATTTCAAGAGCACAAGCGAGTGGGCCTCAGACTGGTCCGCCAGGTGCGATGTGCTTGATTTAACAACAAACTGATCTCTATAAAGTCGTAGATAAAAATCCATGAAACCTTTTCTCGACCAAGACCAAGGTTGCTGGTCTAGGAACATCTTCATGACATCGTTACGTTTAACCGCTGTTGGACATGTTAGCTGCATGAACCGGAAGCAGGGGTGTTGGGTTACTAACAAGAGATCACCGAATCCACCCTCGTCGGAGTCGGAACCCTCATCCGATTCCTCCTTCTTCTCCTCAGCCTTGGCCTCAGGGGCGGCAGCCGCCTCAGTGGCAACGGGCGCAGCGGCGGCATAAGCATCGGGGTTGGCAATGCGGTCCTTGAGCTCATCAATCTCGGGCCAGCTGAAGTCGGTACCAATGGCAACAGCCAGGACCTTCTTGTAGCTGTTGACCAGCGAGTGGATGACCGAGGGCAGGGTCGGGAAGTTGATGGCAAGCGAAACGCATGCAATGGTGGTGATGGAGCTGGAGAAGGCCTTCAGGAGCTGCTCCTCACCAATGTCGAGGACGTCGGGGGGGAAGGCATTGCCCTGGTCGTAGACCTGCGAGATGCCCATGCCGTAGGTGAAGGGGGAGATGTTGAGCATGTTCAGGAGGGTGGCCTCGGAGGCACCGACCTTGGCACCAGCCTCGACGAGCTTGAGATCGGTGGTGATTTCAATGGTACCACGGGCAATCTTGGTGGGGACACCGAGGGCCTGGAAGAAGGAGGTCTTGCCAGGCTCCATACCCGTGTTTCCAGCGGGCACGAACACGTCCGAGGGCGCGACGGCACCGGCACGGGCGGGGGCGGCAACCTTGTTGGCCAGGATCTTGTCACGGATCTCCTTGAGGTCGTCGTTGGTGAAAACGAAGCCGATGTTGCCTTTGACGAAGGGGAGAAGACGCTCGTACTCGGGCGAGTCGGGCATGAAGGTCTTCAGAGCACGGCGAACCTAAAAACAGACCAAAAAAATTAGACGGGGCTCGGCGATCGCAAAAAGAGTGCTTTTCAGGCTTACCATGGTGTTCTTGCCCATCAGGACAACACCCTGGCCGCGGAGCGACTGGCGAATCTCGTGCATCTGCTGCGACGAGACATTGTCGACGGTGACGATGAAGATGGACTTGTATTCCTCCAACAAGCCCTTCAGCTTGTCGAAGTAGCCAGCCTTGTTTCCAGTTTTGCCCCCCATATCTTCTTTGTTACTGAAGGCAGGATGTTTAAGGGCGAGAAGTGCAGGATGAGGAAACGGAGAGAGATGTTCGATGGTGAGAAGTTCGCGAGAGAAATTTAGCACGAATTGGCTGCGCACGGTCTGTGGTGGGTGGGTGCAGCCATTCTAGGGCTTGGTGGGGTCTGGCCAATGGCTAACAACCGCGAGCCCCACATTGGCTGTCCTTGGACGGTACGGATACGTATCCGTGGGCGGATTAATTCGTACCAACTACGGATACCAAGACAGAGTTCGGAGGACAAGCGAGGTGGTGGATCTGGCCGGCGATCGGTGCGTAGAAACTAGAAACCGCGATTCAAGCAATTTTTTCCTGAGAAGTCGGCCGCGCATCCTAGTGATTTGTCTGGATGCCTCTGAGTCTCTTTGCCCTGAGAACTTAGGCCGTAGCCATCTCGGTCAGCCGCACGTGGCTCGGCCCCTAACAATTTTCAACGAAAAAGGTGGTCAAGTATTCGTAAGATACCTGACCTGACTTTAGCTGATTCCAAGGCTCAACAGCAGACGGTGCGTTAGACAGATATGTTTGTTCTAAGAAAATGAAACTGTGGCTTACAATTGTGAACATCAGGTAGACAATTCCTGTGGCAGCAAGGGGCAAGACTTGACTTTTAGAGAAAGAGAGGACAAGGACAGGATTTTCCTTTTCCTTTTTTGAGTGAATCACATACCGGCGCATCAAATATCAACGCTAGGTAATGCTACAGAGCCAAGGTCGTCTTCTTTTATAACTCGTAATGGCTCTGCCATACCACATGCTCAAAGTCTGCGGCGACATCCTGTTCGCCGCACGGGGAAGCAGCATCCACTCGTTCAACTTGAACTTGGAACCCCTGGGAACCTGGAAATATCCAGTGCAGCAAGCCAGCGGGCCAAGCGCTCCATCTCATTCTCAGCAACCCCGAGAGCCGCCCGCTCCGCAGTCAAAACCGCCCAGCAAGCGGAGGAAGCTGGAGGCAGGGCAGGAGCCCGTGATCAACAGCCAAGACGCAGACGCAGACGCAGATCAAGAAACCCCCCAGCCCGGGAACCGGAGGCGGAGGCGAAACAAGAGCGGTAGCCATGAGCCCAGCTACTCGTCCCCTCACGACGTTCCCTTCATCCACGAGCTCTCGGCAACAACCGACGGCCGTCATATTGTCGCCATCACAGGGTCGGACAAGACCATCTGGGTTTTTGAGCACGACGGCGCCGGAAACCTGAAGGAGCTGAGCCGAAGAATGATGCCCAAGCGGCCGTGTTCCATCGCCATCACCCCAAACAACCAGACTATCCTGTCCGCCGACAAGTTCGGCGATGTATACGCGCTCCCCCTTATCCCTACTCCCGCAGACGAGAAGAAGGAGCAGCACCTGCTGCCGCAACAGCCCCAAGATGAAAGCAAAGACACCACAGCCGCCACGGCGCAGGCGCAGGCACAGGCACAGGCCCTATTCAAGCCGCAGGCCAATGAGTTCACGGTGCACACGAAGCGGAACCTGATGGCGCTCGAGAACCAGAAGCTCGCGCTGCAGCTCAAGACGGCCGAGGAGAAGCACGCGGCCGCCGCGGCCGCCAACGGCGCCGAGTTCGAGCACACGCTACTCCTCGGCCACGTGTCGATGCTGACGGCCGTGGTGGTGGCCACGGCGGGGCCGCGCGAGTTCATCATCACGGCGGACCGCGACGAGCACATCCGCTTGTCGCGCGGCCGCCTCGACCAGGCCCACATCATCGAGGGCTTCTGCCTCGGCCACGACGACTTCGTCAGCCGCCTGTGCGTGCCGCCGGGCCGCCCCGAGCTGCTGATCTCGGGCGGCGGCGGCGACCACCTGTTCGTGTGGGACTGGGCAGATGGCACGCTGCTCTCCAAGGCCAACATCCTCGAGCACGCACACGACGCCGCGGTGGTGCCGACGACCACTACTACTCCTGGCGAGTCCGACGAAACAGAGACCAAGAAGATCGCCGTCAGCCGGCTCTATGCGTGCCAGCTCGTCGAGGAGGACGGCGCCGTCGCCAACTGGGTCTTTGTCGTTTCTGAGCGGTATGTCCAATTTCACTCACTCACTTCAGCCCTCTCCTCCCAAGTCCGCATTTCACTCATGACCCCAATACTAACATAGCCCCCCAACCCCCAGAGTCCCGGCCGTCTTCTGCTACTCGCTGCACGCCGGCGCCAGCACGCTCCAGCATCATCAAACAATTGCCACTCCCGGCGGCGCGTTTCCGCTGGACGTTGCCGTGCTCTACGGCGCCGCCGACGCACCACTAGCATTCGCACGCCTCCTTGTTACTCTGGACCCGAACAGCGGTCTTCGGGCCGCTTCTTCGCCAGCAAACCCTCCCCTCGCGGCCGTGCTCGGCTGGGCGCCAGGGTCGGGCTGGAGCAACGTACTGCAGACGCCGCCGGGGCTGATTACTGCTGCTGCCGCCGCTGGGGGAGACGCCGCCGCGGGCGTGAGCGCAGAGGACCTGCACAAGATCCTGTACTCGACTGACAGTCTGCGCAAGACGTCGATGGACTTTGAATGAAGCGGTCCATCCCTCTCTACTCTGCCCTGTTCTGTCTGTGTATATAAATAGACAGATATCGTATCCGATGGAGGCGGAAAGGCACGGCAGTCTATGCTGAAGCTCTAGCTCGCTGGCTTCCCCAGAACCTACCGCTACTTTCCATACCTGGTCACCTAGTCATACAGCATAAATGTAGATCAAGCAATTGGCTGACAGACACAGTACGGCAAAAAACCTCATAAGTTTAAATCACATTTTTATGACATGCTCGTAACCATTCGCTAGAAACAAGAGGCAGGGCAGTTGCGTGACCGTCCCAGAGGGAAGAGATAGCCCAAGGTAGGCATGCAAGCACGCCCGCCTCTACGTGCATCCGCATAACAAGGCAGATGTCTATCTCTCACTCACCTCGCTCTAGAACGCCGTCTTTCATGTCCGGGGATAAAAACAAGACGATAGGCTGGGTTTCCCAAATCCACCCAACACATATATCAAACCAAAACAAAGCAAAAAGGTGAGCCAGAACCCGTCAATGCATGCCAGAAAAAATTAGCAACGTGATGTGCAAGTGTGTAAAATCCTCTATCCATCCATCCATCCCCAGGAATGCCGCCCCTCATCATTCGCTTTGTCATTACCCTGCCACTCCCCTCCGTTCCTCGTCCCTCCCATGCCCATCTGGTCACGGCTCGGATGTGTAGCGCGTGTGTGTAATCTTCTCCAAAATGCGAGAATAGAACCCGACAAAGTCCAGGCCCATGCAGTCGTCTTCAGACACGCCAGACACCCCGCGATTGTCTCTTTTCACATGTCGGAGGATGGCGTGAAACCATGCGGGGGCGTTTGGTCTCCGATTCCGTGAACGCCCGACCCGTGAGGCGTTTTGATGACTTCCAAGCGTTCGACTCCGCTCCATTTACTGTGAAGCGCACTGGACACGCTCCGGTTGGGGGTCGTCGTCCTCCTCCATGTGCTCGCCGCTGAAGCCCTTTGTGCCGCCCTCGACATCCTCGAGATCCGCAGGCTCTGACATGGACTCCTTCGGAGGAATATTGACGACGGCCGGGGCAGGGAGGATTTGCCTTAGCGCATCGAAGTGTTCCGGGTTGGTGGTCCAGTTCTTCTCGGGGAACTTGACAGCAAACTGAATGTACATGCTGCCGTAATCATGGTGACGGTAGGAGGGCATGCCTTGCCCGCGAATCATCTTCACAGCATCTATTACTACGAGTTAGCAAATACAATTCTGAAGCCGCCAATCTGCGTGACCACAACTTACTCGGTGCAATAGCCTCTCCAGGGAGGATGTCGACACTCAACCACCTGTCATCCAAATGCTCGATATAAATGGTGCCGCCGGCGAGGGCTGTGACGAGCTCTATCTCGGCGTTGTACAGGAGGTCGTCATCGCGGCGGGTGAAGCGGGAATGGGGCTTCTGCTCGATTTGAAACACGACGTCTCCAGCGATTATGCCGGGCGCTTGGTCGCCTTCGCCCCGGAACTCGACCTTGGTGCCGCTTTTGACACCGCGATCTACGTGAACGTGGAGCACCTTTCTGTCGACGATGGTCTTCTTGCCGCCACACTGCTTGCAGCGGTCCTTGTCCTTGAAGATCTCGCCCTCGCCGTTGCAGTCGGGGCAGACCGTCTGGAAGCGTTGGATCATGGGACCCATCTGGCGCATCATCGTCTTCATGCCGTGGCCCTCGCAAGAGTTGCATCGTCGTACCGAGCCTTCCTTGCCGCCGCGGCCTTCGCACTTAGGGCAGATGATAGACCGTTGCAGCGCCAACTTAGAGATCTTGCCGCGGTAAATGTCCTCAAGCGAGACGTTGTGTGTGTGGTGGATTGTCTTGGCCTTGGGAGGCGCGCGCTGGTGGTTCATGCCACCGCTACCGAACATGCCGCCGAGACCGCCGCCGAAGCCGCCGCCACCGCCAAAGAACTGGGCAAACAGGTCCTCGGCCGCCATGCCACCGCCGCCGGCACCACCTTCTAGACCGGCCTCGCCATATTGATCGTAGACTTGGCGCTTCTGGGAATCTGACAAGATCTCGTAGGCCTTTGATATTTCTTTGAACTTATCCTCGGAAGCCGGATTGCCTTGATTCTTGTCTAGAGAGGGCAACTAGGTCAGAACTCGGAACATCGCAGTGGGAGTTGGAGGCAACTCGTACCAGGATGATACTTCAGGGCGCCAATCTTGTATGCCTTCTTTAATTCTGCCTCGGTGGCAGTCGGTGCGACCTAGGTCTGTTAGCCGGGCGCGGCTTCAAATAGTGGCACGAAGAGTTATATGGTTTCTTACACCGAGGACGTCATAGTATGCGGTCTCCTTGACCATCTCGAATTTGTGGTGGCCGTTTGACGGGCAATAAAGTGCAGAGAGAGAGCGGAGTGTTCAAGGCTGCTGCTGTTGGTAGCAGGGGTGCCTGTGCCTGTGCCTGGGCGTCGAGGCGAGAATGGCCGGACTAGATGAGGCAGCGGGGTGAGCTAACAGTGTTGGGTGAAGGCGAAGAAAAAGAAACGCAGAAAACGAAGGGCCCCTATATCATATGCCATCGGCTTCTCTGAGGAAGCCCGGCAGAGGAGGGATTTCGCAACGCTGCAAGGCTGTGCGGATGTTCCGAGCACAGGGTGGGTGAAAGACGAGAGATGCAGCGAAAAGTTGTAGGAGGGCAGTGTTCGGAGTTGAACAGAGCAATCACATACCTGGTAAGCGCAGTAATCAGCTGAAACAAAAAGGCTTTGGGTTTGTCTGTCTGGCAGTATTTCGGTGGATAGGATGCAGAGGAAGTTATTATCGTTGCAGCCGGGGATTTTCTTCAAGGTTGAGAGAAGTTGGTAAAAACTGTTGCGGAAGCTTATAATCTTTGGCAGGTGCGCAAGGGGCCGGAGCAGGAGGCTGAAATTCATTGGGACGCCAATCGACTCGCCGCCTTCCCTCTACCTGCGCATTCAGCCCCTCCCGATGGAAATCAATCGAAGACTCTGGAGTGTGGCTGACGCTGATAAGGGAGGACCCTGCATGGCCTAGCAGGCCCCGCCCCCACCTTAGTGCCCAGATGCCCAATGTTGCGCTTTCGGACGGGCTGCGGGAGGGGCCAAGGGCGGCGCCGCCAGGGTGTCATTGAGGTACCTTTCTATCTAGATCTCGCTAGAAGCAGCCTCAGAAGATGCACATGGAAACAAAAAGCGAGCTGGGGTCGCCCCTGTCAAAGTGGCTGACCGACCGTCCGACAGCGGGGTTCACTTCAGCTTCGGACCGGCCTCACAACTCCGACTAAGAGAGACGCATTCGCGACACATAAGCGAGACTAAGGCAATGCATGCATTGGCTTGACCTGCAAGAATGTCTAGGAGGCATATGTCCAGATATTTATATTTAACCCTAGGCGCGTTCTACTACTCAATACCGTCATTGAGTGAATACACCGCTGGTGGGTTTCGCAATGGCGGGTTCTTCTAGATTCCGAGGGGGTCCCGATAAACAGATTCGACGAAGTCGATTCACCATCAACCGACGGCGATTCCATCCCTGTCCTTCGGAAGTTGGGGGTGCGTGCGACAAAGTTTATTCCCCTGAATACGCTACGTAGGCATTTTGTCAACTGCCTTGCCTGCCCTGCCTACCCTAGGCGCATACTTCAAGTTACCTTGGCCCATCTCAACCTTTGGGAAACCTTATCCATACCTTATCAAGAATGTTCCACCAAGTTTGGAACTTGGATGTGGCGTACCTTGCCTTTGCGTACGGAAAGTCCACGATGTCGGTAAGTACATACCTTACCATAGGTAGGTAGGCAAGGTAAGTACGCAGACGTGCAGCGAGAAGACTCTGGCCGAGTTCCCAGCAGGACGGCACCTTTGGCCACCTCATGATACGCTGTGGAGAGGGGGGTTTCAGTTCTAATTTAGTCCCATCCTTGTGCCATGACTAAAGACTAAGGTCGCATACGCTGTACTCTGTATGGGGGGTATACCTTGCCTCTGATGATCATCAGGCACGCGCATGGTTGCCCACCGGCTGGCAAGACGCGCAAGAAGAGTCGTTGGCCATTGATAGTACCAATTTGATACCAGGGTCGGGTTAGGACACGTCAGATAAAGAGAAACCGAAGCCGTGCTGTTGGAAAACCGGACACGGGGAGGAAGAAAAGACATAGCGAAACAACCAGTAAGGGATAACGAGGCAGGTATAAGGGAAGTCGAAATCCAATTGATGTCAGTGCTCTGCCTGTCAAACTGAAGCCATGTTGTCGTTGTTGAGTGAGTGAGCGAAGACAGAACGCACGTTATTATATTTGGCAAACCCAATCAATTACACCCAAGTACAGGGAGAGCTGCCTACCCAAGACTTCCCGAGCCAGTGACTACCAGTAGTAGACGACAGGGCTCCGCAATGGCTCATGGCGCCAAAGGAGAATCGGCTCAACCAACTCACACGTACCCGCTGCATCGTCAGTACGGGATGGGAAATTTTACGTCGTTTTGCTCGTACAGATGTCCAAGGACCAGACGATGCGGTGCAAAGGCGTCGTCTGTCATCGTGCATACACACAAGTCTTTGTACTGCTCTAGGCCTTAGCAGGACTCTAGGCCTTAGCAGGAGGGACCCCCCAGGTAAGGGATTCCTGACTACAACTCCCTCAACAAACCCAGGCTGTACCAGAGGATAGCCTTAACACATACAATCGATCCAAAAGCAACCCTTGATGGCGGGCCCGAGTATGCAGATCACCTATATCGAGTCGTGCGAACACAACAGCTTGGCGAGCTCCTAAGCTACACTCCTATCTCCGATAATCGATCACCAGCATCCTTCTACAATATACATTCTATGTTAGGCCCTCAACAGCATTATCTAGTGGTTCGGGGGTCAGCGGCCGCGCTTTTTGGGCCTGCCCTCTGTCTGGTTGGGAGGAGGGGAATCACAGGTACAGAGGTATGTACAAGCTCAAAAACGCGCGGCAAACTGCTGCTGTGGCTGAGATTCTGAGACGGTCGGGACTTAAAGTTTCGAAATCGCTAACGTCCTGACTACAATAATAAGACAGAAAGGCACAGACACGGCAAAGTAAACCCAGAACCGTGGCTGGCCGGGGGCGAAATCGTCGGACATGCTAAACAGAGCTGCAACCCAGGATAACGGGACGAAAACGAGCGCCATATAAGTGAGACGCTTGAGAAGCATAGCCTCCCTAGCTGACCGTCGATGATGATGGTGCATGGCTATAGTTGTAGCCACCTAGATAGTGCGCTCGAGAGACTGGCCGTACTGCGTAATACTCAGCGAGAGTCCGTCCAAGTCCTTCAGCACCAGGCCCCAGTCAGCAGCAGCCTTTTCGGGCTCCATCGCGCAGTGGTGGGATATATACTCGCTGGTAGAGCGGACTTTGAATTGCGTTTGGATGACGCGCTGTCGCCATTTCTGGAGATCTATTATGTCCTCCCGGAAGATTCTTGACTGCGTGTCGTTGAGGGAGTATTCGTAGTGCTTCAAAACCCGCGCTAGGATGCGACTATACACCATCCAATTCGAGATAACGATCTTCAAGGGGTGATACGCTAAGCTGAGGGGACCGGAGCCGGCCTGTCCGAAGAGGGTTGGCTGTTCGGAGACGTATTTGAGCGTCTGGTTGAGCATGGTTGCCTGACGGCCGGTGTTGTTGTTGTTGTTGAAGCCGCACTGGGACCCGGGTCTAAGCGATTGGAAAGATGAAAACGACAGCGGACTTTCGAAGTTTTCGAAGCCGTTGTGAATAGAAACCTGGCGGAACCGAAGTCCATTATCGGGGCTCGTCATAGGGTCCGGAACAACATCCGAAGTCGACGAATCGACAAGAATAATGCCTTTTGAGGTTGTTAGTGACGCAACCCCCTCCCCCCCCCTCCCCCCCCCCTCAACTTTCCTCTCATATGTCCAACACGTACCGACCATGGACCGGCGGAGGCTTTTTGTCAGGATGGCGCAACAGCCACGCATAATGCCTAGCTGCCGGCCTTGGAGCGGCGGCAGGCGTCGCACAAAGCGTCGCACGTTCCCAGAAGTTTTCAAGACCCACGGAGAGAGCTGCGGCGGACAATCATGGCTCAGGTCGACGACTTTTTGATAATGGATATGGAACCAATTTCTCCGAGACTGGATCTGCGACGGGGTAAGGGCCACGGAGGGGGGGGCGGCGAGTCTACCTCTATATCCTCTAGGCTTGTCGAGATATAGCTAGCAAAAAAGATAGGGTCGATCTCCAGCGTGGAACCAAGGATCTCAAGAATGGAAGGGTGGATATCTTCGACAACCAATACCAGAGCTCAGCCAGGGGCCGTGGCAGCGAGAACCGAAGGAAGGTTGCTGTGGTGTACTTGTCTCATATGACGGTTGTCATCCATGTTGCTGTCGAGGTTGAGGCTCACAGCGTAAAGCTGACACGAGTCCGGCGGTAGTCGGCTCTCGGCCATGAATGCCGTCACCCCGCCGACGCCCGGGTTTAGCTGTTGACAAAACTTGACATACTCTTTGTAGGTCTTGGGTGTGCTGCCAGCCATTGGATCGTAGTGGCCCTTGGAAGCTAGCTGAGGGGGCTCTGGTTATATTTCTGTTAACAAAAAACCAATAACAGAGAGCAGGCGTATGTGTGATGGGGGCGAGGCTCGGTGTGTGATCTCAGTGGGTAAAAAGATCATTATAAGAAGCAGGGCTGTGGAATCTGGCGCGCAAGTCAGCCCTTTTGCCGTCTTCTACACAGCCCGAATGGCCGGGGTGGGCGGGGGGCGAAGCATGGCAACACAACATCTACACGTGCATCTCAGCCTATCTGCAATTGGGGGTGAATCCTTTTTTTTTGGCCCCCGTTTAGGAAGAATACCAAGGCAACCACTCACTGCCAGATATTATAAGTGTCGTGTATACGCTGGTCGTGCCGTGCAAAGCCGCACAGTCAGCCCTATTATTCAGTCCGCTCCCAGCTAACCATCAACAGACGTCATTAAGCACAGACAGAGTAGCAAGTGCGGCCCCCCAAACGTACAGCACACACGGACTGTGGAATGGAGCCACGTACTATGGCAACAAGAGATTGTGTTGTCGAGACCTTCATGAAGAATTACGCTAATGGTGGATACCTGGTATACGAGAAAGTGAGCGAGCGAGGAAAGTAGATCCTCGTGCGCGAACTAGATGCGCTCGAAATCGACCACGAGGTCTTCGACCTAGGAAAGAAGGGTCTGCCGGGGCCGGCGGGTCAAAAGCCCTAGCATTGACGGAACGGACGATCCTCAGGCGCCAGGGCGACTGGGGCCGGAAGTATAAGACGGCACAGGAAATCCTCTCCGACATGCACGACCTGGCGGGGCTCCGAATCGCCCTATACCACCCAAATGAGGCCCGTTTCCCTACCCAACCTTGGACAGGGATGCTTCTAAACGACGGCAAAGCCTGTTTCCCGGATATTTTGCTCGCCACTACAGGGTCCGCCTAAAGGAGGACGATGTCACCGAGCCCGCAGTCGCTGGGAAAACACTCGAGGTGTAGGTGATGACGCTGTTGATGCACGCCTGGTGCAAGATGCATTACGAGCTCATCTATAAGCCGAGACCCGGGATCCCGCCGGCAGACGAGGACGACGAACGGCTACAAGAATGAAAGTGGTGCATCTCTTGTTGACATGATGCTCGTCTCGGTCGTCGACCACGGCGACTTCAAGGTCCTGGAGTCGGAGCTACGAGTATCGCCGCCACACGATGTTGCCCGGCAGCTTGGCAAGTCGGAAACGGCGAGGCTCGTGAGATACCAGGCCCTCATCATATGCAACGCTCTGCGGCGCTATGGGCTGGACTCGTTGCACGTCGTCTGACAGGGCCGCGGCGACTTTCCCGGCCCGTACCCGTCAGGCCAAGACTTCTTGGCGATCCTCCATCCGGCGGCCACCAACACGGATCCGAGAACCTTGGCCATGTTGCGCGGCTTCTGCGACTACCTGCTAGCATGGGAAGACAGAACATGGAAGCTGCACTGCGCCATTTCTAGGCTCGGCTACTTTGAAGTCCAACAAGCGCGTGGTGGCTTCTACTACAACACGGGAGGAGGAGCGGACATGGATGTAGATGAGTTTGCCATCACATCGTGCCCTCTAGCCTTGGTCCGCCTCCTCGACTATTCCAACGAGAACCAGGACAAGGCGCTCGCCGGGTCCTTCAAACTGCTCGAGCATGCCGAGAAATGCAACAACGCGACTCTGGGCTACAGTCGACATTATCCCATCTTCCCAAGGACCATCGGGATTGCCGGCGCTCCTATGTTATCCAGAGGCCAAGACGGCCAGCAGCCAACGGCAGCAGCGTGTGCGCATGGGAGACAGATGATACGGAGCCGCCGGGGGTGCTCGTGCATGTGGACTTTTGCAAAGTACGGGAGTACCTGGATCGTCTTGGTGGCCACGGTATGGGATGCGGTCGAGATTGAAACGGGACGGGAGCCTAGTTTTTATTTTATTTTATTTTTTATAAGGACTATGTACGGAAACTCTGGTGGTTCTCGCTTTAGCATTATTCGGGCTGTCGTATTTTGTGTGTGTGTGTGTGCGTGTGTGTGTGTGTGTGCGTGTGCGTGTGCGTGTGTGCGTGTGTGTGCGTGTGCGTATGTCCAAAGTCTGAATAGTGGCTTGTTCATGTCTTTTGCTAGAAATTTCCGGTTTTGCCATACAAAGAACTAAAACGAGTCTATGTCAAGTAGTTAGCTGTGTGGAGGAGCCACGCGATCTTGATTGTACCGACTATACTTGTTAGTGCTCAGTATCTTCCTAACTGATAGGGAAAGCTGCAGTGGTGACCAAAGATGGTATAATTTGGATGTGTGTAGAAGGTTGGAAGGTGGAAAAGGGAGCTTGTGTGCCCTGCCGCGGGGATATGCCCCACGTAGGCGGCAGAATAGTACTGCCTGTACATACCGCTTCCTTGCCCGCCTTACGCTAGTCTATGGGCTCCCACTAGGCGCACAGGTCTGTGCGCTTACATAAGCTTGAAATTCGCTTACATAAATCTAAAAATGCATCTAACGCAGCATTTACCCCGCGCAAAAAAAGGAGCTCTCAACACCAACGTATCGCCAACACTGCAACGATCCAGCCATCCAGCCAGCCATTCAATCAATCCGTACAATATCTGAATAACGCTTCGGACATATCCGAGAGGTCCGTATATGGCCAATTTCACCGCAAGCCGTACACTGGCTTGGCCGCTTAGCCCGTGTTGCCTGTGTTGCCTCAACGACCTCGAATTCACTGGGCTCCCGTTTCGTACTTGACGCTGGAAGCTTACTAGTTGTAGCTTTTGGCTCTATACGATGGGGCTCTAAAAGCTGAAGTGGAGCCCCATTACGTATTAAGCGCCAGTGTGGATGGAAGTCTTCAAGAAGAAGAGGCTCTTGACGTCCAGTTAGTGCATGGACACATGGAAGCCCGTAGATACGGGTAAAAGTACCTGTACAAGTAGGTTGAGGAGGGTCTTTCCACTGTAGTTGCCGCTGCTTCTCAACCTTCCGTAGTGCTTCGTATGAGACCCAGCCCTGTACAGCCTTATATAGAGCTTTGTCGAGCTCAAGGGGTATACGGATCTGTTGCTTGGCTTGATTAGACCGTAGTTCAGAGAGTTGGTTGATCAATGCAAGCCGAATTGCCTTCCATGCTTCAAAAAGGTCAAATGTTGACCTCTGAAGGTACGACTTAAGAAGCGCATGGATCCCTTCAACACGAGAGGTAGCTGTATTTCCAAAATGAGCTTGTTGGTCGACCCATGCAGAGACAAGCTTCTCTTTGAACGGTAGGAGCCATGTCTCCTTAATATAGCCAACCTGTACAAGGTTTGTCAAGCCATACTTGTTTTCGAACTCTTTTAAACGCTCCTCGTAGATCTCTTTAGTTGGCGAATTAAGGATGATGGACTGGCGTTGGTGTTGAGAGCTCCTTTTTTTGCGCGGGGTAAATGCTGCGTTAGATGCATTTTTAGATTTATGTAAGCGAATTTCAGGCTTATGTAAGCGCACAGACCTGTGCGCCTAGTGGGAGCCCATAGACTAGGTAGTCTATGGTGCTGATTATGTAATTATACAGTGGTGCTCGTGCCAAATGCACGTGCGGGGCCGTGTCAACAATTGACACGCGCAATTGAGGCCATTCCCGTATCACTAGCCCTCTCTGTAAGGAGGAGATCGGAGGCAACCGTAATAAAGAGTACGGAAGTGTGGTAGGGAAAAGAAACTCAATAAAAGAGGAAGCTCAAGAGAGCCGCCAGGGCAACCCTGAGCACGGGCAATCGTAACTAATTTACTCATTTTACACAGGTACTATACTAGGAAAATCCTTGCTCCCCCCCGGGGATCCAAACTCTCTTACTACTACTCTTCTAGCAAGTTTTATCCTCGTCCTCGTCTTCGTCTTCGCTATCCTCGTCCTCACCATCTTGGTAGGTCTCGTGAACTTGGCAACCCTCGCCATCTTCCTCTTCTTCCGACCCTTCGGATTCATCACTCTGGCTCTCTTCTTCCGGCCCTTCAGATTCATCAGTCTGACTCTCTTCTAGTTCTTCTGGCGGGCTTACCTCCTCCTCTCGCTTGTCATCCGGCATCACAACTGTGTAGTACGGTATCTTATTTTCATCATCACGTCGGGGTGGCTCCCCCAGGCCGACCATCGTCGCCCCCTGCCAAGCCATGGCATTGGTGCCGGCTCCCGGCTCTCCGGCTGAGCTGTGGAAGGGGAAGGCGGCTTGACTGCCCTGGTGGGGCGCGTCGAGAGATGTCTGCTGCGGCTCGGGCCCTGGAAGGGTTGGTCTTTGACTGCCCTGGTAGAGCATGCCGGGGGCTGTGTACTGCCACACTCTGGTGGTGGAAACGGCAGCGCGCCCCCCGTCGCCGCCGCGTCGCCCTGCAGACCCCGGGGCTTCATCCGGCTTGCACCCCCCAGTGGCAATGGATCGTAGTAGCGCCAATCATTTGCGGGCACCAGTGGTTCCATAGCTGCCGGTGCCGTGGCTGCCGATGCCGTGGCTGCCGGTGCCGTGGCTGCCGGTGCCGTGGCTGCCGGCAGCGCATGTGACGCATTGGAGTTTGGGAGAGCCGGTGTAGACATCTTGTTGGCGGCCGGTTCCGTTGTCTTTGGTGGCGCCTGTTTTTGGCAAGTTAGTGAAGAAAAAGAAAAAGAAAAAGAAAAAAAAAACACTATTAGTCTGGTAGGTTGGTATGTTTCCTTACGGTCACGGGTCTTCGCTTGGCTGGTTTCTGCTTTGCCTGCCCGTAGCGTCCGTCCCCGAGAGCCTGTTGTTTGTTGGCCCCAGATACGGGACCGAGGAGCTCTACCAAGCGGTTGAACATGCTAATCTTGAGGCTCTCCCGGATCTGTCTGTAGGTATGTGATGTTAATGACAACTCCCTGGGAAAAAAGAAAAAAAAAAAACCTAGTGGGCAGCTCGCTGGTCTCTGATCTTGATCGGTGTTTGTGTGCCGGGATGCAGACAGCTACCTGTTATCCAAGTCACTGCCGCCCGTTCTAATCTTTATACCGCACCAGGACCCTGGCTCTACCTACGGCTACATGCTCAACTGCTACTGGAGATTTGGACATGAGTAGTTTTTAGAAAGCGCCCTCAAAGCTCACTTGACACTTGACATGCCAGAGCCGCCTTGCAACGTTGGGGCCGAGAGGGCTGGTTCTGCTACCCCTGACATAAATCAAGGCTCCTACAGGCGAGTCATGGCTGTCTGTATGGTTGCAGGCGCGGGACGGAGTGCACACCATCGTTGGACTCACCGAACTGGGGCTGAATATTTCCAGGCAGAGCTGCAACCCGATGTGTCTTAGTATGGCGCAGCAGCTGCCATATCGCCGGCTCCATGAACTCCTGCCCCCTACGCCCACCGCGTCGCTTGGTGCCCAAGGCCCCGGACTCGTACCACGCCGAGCCAATCGCCAAGTATACGTGGACGCCGAATCTTGGCACCCGTAGCATATAGATTAGAGCCCCCAGCTTCCCACCTCCCTATACGTTGCCCCTGTATGTGGGAGAAAAATCCCTCGCCGTAGCCTCATTGCATGCAACCCGTTGCGAATGTAGGGTGTAGGCGTCGCCGAGAGGAACACTTGACATGGACAGCCGGATCCCTTTCGTAGCTACGCCGGATCTCTCCCGCCTTTTTCGGCGACGATGATGGCGCGCGGCCTCGATAGTTATGGAAAGGCAGCATTAACTTGCGGCATCAGCTCTCAGAGCGTCACCATCCATGTGGTCCTAGCGGTAGTATCGAGACGGGGACCGCAAGTGGGACTTATAACAAGCGAACTAATTAAGACAATCAATCTAGGCAGACGTAGCCTGACAATACGGGAAAGATGAAGAGAGAAAAAAGTCGGAGAAAAAAAGCTAATAAATCCGCCACCTCCCCCTATCTTCTGCGCTGGAAAAGGGGGCTGGTGCTTGGCCTGCTGCCTTTGCTTGTCTCTTTTTCACTCCTCACATCTCACAAAAGACGCATCTGCGGCGCTCTCCGCATGGGCGAGTCCGACGCTAGTAGATGCTCTGACACGAACGCAAGATTGTGGCGCGTCACCAGAGTGTCGGGGTGGTCGGGTCCCAGTAGGTTGCGCTGCATGGCGAGCACTTGCTGCAGGATGGGCCACCCCTCGTCCACGCGCCCGAGAGAGCACCTTGCCTGCGCCAGGCTGCCGAGAATTCGCAGCGTGATGAAGTGGTCGCCGCCCAAGCGTCGGGCCGACGCTTCCCAGGCACTGAGGTAGCATATCTCGGCCTGCTGGAGATAGCCTTGCTTCGCCTGCTTAAGGGCGAGATTGTAGTTCTCCGCGTACCCGTCGAGCGCGCTCTCGTGCGTCTCGCTGTTGCTGCCGCTGCCGCCGCCGCTGCCGCCGCTGCCGCCGCCGCCTCCTCCTCCTCGGCTGGCCGGAACTAGGGAAGAGCTGTGCGGGGGCGGCTCTTCGGTTTCCTCGGTTGCGGCATGGTGGTAGTCCACCTTGGCCGCCCTAGCCTCGCCGAGGGCATGCTGCGCTTTCTCTGCGTCGTCTTTGAGGCCAAGGTCGTGGTAGTCCTGTAGGCAGTCTTCAAAACGCTGGATAGCAGCCTGGTGCTGCCCCCGGTGTGCCATGTGCGTGGCCATCTTGAAGAGCAGATGCGCGCGGTTGCGCTTGACCTCGACGGCGGCGCCCGGCGACGACGGGACATGGAGCTGGAGGACGACCAGGGCGCACGGGGTCAGGGCATCGCACCTGTCGTGCTCCTCGGCCTCGGCGTCAGGATCAGCAGCGCTCATCAGCGACAGGGCCTTCTCCTCGTAGACAGGCCGCTGGTTGTGCTCCACCAGCCACGCCCGCGTGCACTGCCGGATCAGGTCTGTGACAAAGATGGCAGTGCGGTTTACGTAGGGTTCCACCATACCGTACCGCACAAGGATCTTGATGTGCCTTTCGACGTCCTTGTCGGCTACCGCCTCGACGAGGAATGAGGTGCCGAGCCTCTGCACATCCAGGACGCCGAAGAGCAGCATCAGGCACGACGTCTCTGGGCGCTTCGCGGCGAGGTGGCTGAATAGCAGTTGCCATGCCCGCCGCACCCCGGCTTCTTCTTTTTCTTCTTTGGTGGCGCGGTGGTGGTGGTGGTGGTTCCCTGGAGCAGGCGGCTGCTGCTGCGACCGGACCGCGTCCAGGTAACGGCTCAGGGGCATCTTCTCGACCGTGTCGAGGTACGCGTAGGCCAGCGTTAGGGCGACGGGCGAGTGCCCTAGTTCCTTGGCTACGCGGGCCGCCGACTTTAGCTTGGCCTCGTCTTGTACGGCCGACGACCCTAGCAGGAGTTTGGCGGCATCCCTGTCGTTGATGGCGGGCACTTCGACGACATTGTCCTCCTTCTGTTGGGCCAGCCGATTTGCCACTGTCCTCGAGCGAGTCGTGGCCAAGACCCTGCCCATGTGGCACTTTGGGACGAAGTCCAGAAGCGACCTCCCTTTGTGGGGCCCGTCCGTAGCCGTCAGATCCGCGCCTTCGTTCAAGCCGTCCAGTACCATCAGCCAGTAGCCGCTAGACTCCCGTTTCAGGTGGTGGTGCACCGATTCGGCCACGCCGCCCTTCCCCGCGTCACTCAGGTGGGAGGCGCTGGCAATGAGCCTATATGACTGCTCGAACTGCTCTACGCTGGCGGCGTTGACCCAGTAGACCTTGGAGCTGGGGAAGTCGATGCCGAACTTGTGTGCGTATTTAATAGCAATGTGCGTCTTCCTACTCGTTTCGTATTAGTAGTCGTATCGAGAGGGCCCGTAGAGAGAGCTGATCCTCTAATCTAGGAGAGAGAATACACATACCCGATCCCGGGATCACCGCACAGCTCTACCATCTTCGTCTTGCCTAGTTTATCCGTAATCCGCTGCAACATCCCCCCGCGGCCTATAAAGTTAGGCTCTTCCTTAAAGAGAAGCATCGTCGACAGTGAATATGAGAGCTCTGAGGTTGACGTCTTCGAAGGGATATCTACACCTTTTAGTCAGAGGGAGAGAGAGAGAAGGAGAAAGAGAGAAGGAGAGAGAGAGAGGGACAGAGAGAGAGAAAGAGAGAGAGAAAGGGGGGGCACCCTGCGAATGAGGGACAGGAATCAGGAATGCGATGATCAAAGCCCGCCGCCCCTTTACTGATATGGGACCTGCGACTTATTGGAGAGAGAAGGTGTGTGTTACATGTGAAAGCAGCTTGGGAATTTGATTACCTATTCTTCGACCTCCTAGGATATCCTTAGACTTTTCTACCATATTCTTGATCTCATAGCTAACAGACTGGTAGTGGCAATCTTCGCTGTCTTCGAATTTGTTCATTTCGAAGTGTCCCAGAGACAATCCGGCCTTGGGGTGCCCGTTCAAAGTGCCTGACGATTCGTTGACAACAAACTCCTAAACGATTGCACAATTACCGTCAGCTACAGGCCAAGGCCATTTCCGTGCCGGGTGTTTTTACTCACCAAGTCGGTCTCGACACCGGCAATAGCCCCGAACTTGGTAAGTCTCTCTTCAAAGAAGCAGAAGACTACAGGCGGAGACGTGCGAGTGTTGATCTTGCGTGCAAAATCGTAGACGATGCCGACAAGCATATCATTATCCTCGGCTAGAGAGCTGCCTAGGTTGCTTTCTGTACGCATCTGTGCGAGGACGATCTCTGCATACATTTGTTTCAGGCTCTTGGCAGACGAGAATCCCTTGTAGGGAGTGCCGAGTGACAGGAAGCCCGTGATCGAGTCGTATATGAAAGGGTAGTCGGACGTGTGCATCATAGCAATCATGTACGCCTGTCGAGACGTGGTTAGAGCCGGTCCAAGTTGGCAAGCTCGGGAGATGCTTTGCTCATCTTTTGCGCTATAAGCCCGCCGAGGCAGTGTCCGACAAATATGATGGGCCGGGTTTGACACTCTCTCCTTTTCTCCACTAGCCCTGATAGTAGCTTCATGGCGAGATTTGGGATCGACCCTCTGGCCGGATTGTCCCCCATCTGCATCGAGTCATAGCTAAAGTTGAGAATGCGCACCTTTGGGCAAGCAGCCGGCAGCATGGTCTCGTCGGTGAGCCAGTTTGTATTCTTGCCCTCGCCTTCGAACGTCCAAGCGTCCGTCGGGTGCGCCCCAAATCCGTGGATGGCGACAACGCTGCCGATATATGCAAGTCAGCCGTCTGTCTAGAATCGCAAGACTCGTAGTCCGCGGGGTAGGTGATCAGGCTCCTTACTCGGCCAATATGTCGTCAGAATCTTTATACTCGACCAAGACCCTCACCCCGAGAAGTTGTCGCTTGATGATCTAGGGGGTCGGCTTCTCCGTCAGAGCATCCAACTTGGGCGGAAGCGGCGCGCCGTAATCGTCTGTTCTGGTCCGTGACGCCATGTTTGTTCTTGCCAGTTGCTTGCTGCACAAGCCGGTTGAGTTGATCAAAAGTCGGGCTCCAGAGAAGACGCCAACCAGTGCCCAAGGTAGATACAATAGGAGTTGGTTGCTATAGACATGGTAAATCTTGCCCGCTTTCTTCACTCAGGTACTTATGAGACTCTCTGCGCGCACCCACACCCATCTGTCAAAGAGCCAAGGAAACCCAAGGCTGGCAATGAAACACGGCTTCTCAACTAGTTTCCTCTTCAGCATAGCCTCCATGTCCTTTGAAAACGGGCCGAAGACTGTGCTCGCCGTTTGTGCGGATTAAACCCTTGGTGCTTTGCGAGTCATCTGCCACATTGAAGAGGTGTTTCGCGAGTCATCTGCCACATTGAGGAGGGTCTGCTACTCGCGTTCCCATCACCCGTTTGGTGAGATGAAGTAGAACTGGCGCGGTACTCTCAGTTGCAATACAAGTTGGTCGGGCACCATTATCCGCCCCCACCCTTTGGTGTGGTCCTTTTTTTCCCTGCCACATTTACGTGGACGGCCGTGAACCCTCTTTCTCTAGCCGTTAGAAAATCGCCCACGTGGTTTGGACTGATGGAATTGGACTTCGCCGTAAACTCGGCTGAGGGGGAAAATGTGGTGGTTTGGACTAGGTAGTCTGGAACTCTTTTCCTCATCCGTAGCCTTACCCGTACCCCTCATATGCCCACATCCAACAGACTCAACAATCTCAATGGGTGATATCGCAGGTTGCCTACGTGACATTAAGGCGAGGCTGTAAGTGAGCCCTCGACATCATGTGATTGTATTTTTCAGCGGCCTAGATGCAACCACGCCAGCTAACTAGCGTTCACCTTTGAAATCACAACACCCTCCTACGAGTCTTTGCCGGCGACATACAGACGAAGGCACTTAGTATTGCGGTTAGTTTGCCTAGACTACCTGATAGACTAGCGCGCAATTTTTGGGGTCCGGTTGAAGGAATAGTATATTGCGCATACATTTCCGCCAGGCTTTGTGCGGCTGAGTCTTCTCTTGTTGAGATTGAATACCTAGCCTGCGGGGACGGCTTCACCCCGTTTTTATCATCACACGTCCCTCTTAGCAATGACATGCCTAACGATATCGCCCTCCCCCCCCCCGGGTGTCGCCACCGTCACGGTTTCTTCGGGGTAGAAAACCTCAGCGTTAATACGGCGAAGGGATCCGGCTGCCCATGTCAAGTGTTCCTCTCGGCGACGCCTGCACCCTGCATCCGCAACGGGTTGCAATGAGGCTAAGACGAGGGATTTTTCTCCCACATACAGGGGCAATGTATAGGGAGGTGGGAAGCTGGGGACTCTATCTATAATCTATATGCTACGGGTGCTAAGATTCGGCGTCCACGTATACTTGGCGATTGGCTCGGCGTGGTACGAGTCCGGGGCCTCGGGCACCAAGCGACGCGGTGGGCGTAGGGGGCAGGAGTTCAAGGAGTCGACGACACGAGGTAGCGGCACCCACAGCCTTAGTACGGCGAGATAGGCTAGAAATGCGCAGATGGAATCTCCTCAACGGCTCAACGACTCCCACCTATAAATAGAGCTGTGGCAGCCGGGTTGGTAACTTACAAGATATTGCCCTCCTTTCACAGCTTCCGTCCGCTTCTTCGCTCAGGCCTACCTGTTTACCCTTTTCGTTTTTCAAACACCGAAGCAATACGCAACGCTCTACCAAGCTGGCCACCGTCGCTATGCCGAAACGCCAAAATCCTTTGCTTCCGTCGAAGAAGAAGCCGTCTGCTAGCCCCACGCCCATGCAGTACTTGGGCCCCGGGACGCAGCCGCAGCCAGGCTACGCGCCAGTGGCATCACCTAGCCGTAATCCACTCCTCACAGCGAAGACTCTGAGAGACCAGGCTAACAGATTTCCTCAACAGGTAGCTAAAAATTCTGGAACTGCCTGTTCGGATGTGCCCTCACCTTCCTGTTTATCGCTACCATCATCTTGGGCGGTGAGTCTTCCGGTCTTTTTTTTTCCTTGTAGCTGGTTGAAAATTACATGTCTCTGGCGCTTAATACACGAAGTAAGTAGTCTTTGCCATAGTGGGCTGTGTCTCGACAACCGCAGCTATCGACCAGCTTTACCTCGCCGAGTTCTATGAGACTACTACGATGGATGACGTTCATCTGCGAGCTGGGTATTTCGGTACGTTGCAGAAGCCCTGAAAGCAGAGAGCTCTGCATGTGATCGGCAGAGTTTGAATTTGTTTTTCATTGACCTTCTTGTTTAATAGGTGGTTGCCTCTCGGTTGCTAGCGCAGGCGGACGAGCTGGCCCGCAGGCGGACGCGGCGGCCGCGAGCAACAAGACCCACGCCATCAGTCCACAGACGCACTGCGTCATGAATATGCGTGATAAGGACATCGACGACCTTGGCGAGGAACTCTGGGAAGACCTACATCTTACGGCTGATGCCCCCGCGGTCGAGGGCATTTTCAACAGCGTGCTCCCCTTGGCCCGGCACGTGCAGGCCGATTTGTTCCCCTGGGGGCCTCCAGTGGCGTGTCATGGTTTGTTCGTCCTCGGCAGTTCCATGATGCTGACCTCCCTGGCGAGCTCATCGCACTCGCGGGTCTACAAGTCGGTATTGCTGGTAGCCGCGATTATTGACCTTTTCTCGCTGGTCATCAAGGAGACTATTAAGTTAGGTGGGGGAGTAAGCGAACGCCACTGATCCAGAACATTCTAGATAAGCGAGGAACACAACCAACCCTCTTATATAAAAAGCCCATAACTCAACCAATTCTTTTCCAATTCTCTTCATCTTCAATTCGTTTTATTCTTCTCTTGACAATGGTTTCATATACAGAAGAAGACCTCCGCAAGGCTTGCGAGGAAGCCGTCAGAACACATCGATTACGCAAAGTCGCGCGAAAATGGAACGTTCCACCCTCCACCCTTTATGGCCGTCTACATGGCTCCCTACCTCGAAATGTTGCTCATCAAGATAAGCAAAGGTTTACACAGACCCAAGAGGATCGTTTAGTCGAATGGATTCTTCTTCAACAAGATTTAGGATTGCCCCCTACACATGCACAGATCAGGGAGCTTGCACGCCGTATTCTAGCTGAAAGGGGGGACTCCTTACCACTTGGAAAGGGGTGGTGCCGTGCCTTTCTTAACCGTAATCGAATTTTGAAGACTCAGAGGGCCAAGAGGGTCGATTCGGTCCGCGTCAACTGCGCTACAGAGTCAACAATTCGACCTTGGTTCAACCATTTCCAAACACCAGCTATCAAGGCGATTAAGCCAGAGAATCGCTGGAACAAGGACGAATCTGGTATTATGGAAGGCAGAGGAACCAACGGCCTTGTCATTGGAAGCCGTGCCTTTAAGGCGCTTCAAAAAAACAGCCTGGAACCCGCACTTGGACCACTTTTGTCGAATGCATCTCAGCAGCTGGCCGTTGCCTTCCTCCTTTGGTCATTTTTAAGGGGAAAAGCGTTCAACAACAATGGTTTCCTTTGGATATGAAGCCATTTCAGGATTGGTTCTTTACAGCAACTGAGAAAGGATGGACTACCGATGAGACAAGCCTCAAATGGTTAAAAAATGTGTTCATTCCTCTCACCAAGCCAGCAAACTCCTCTGAGAAACGACTCCTTATTATTGATGGCCATGGCAGCCACACAACTGCCGATTATATGTGGGAGGCATTCAAAAACAATATTCACATTATTTATCTGCCTCCCCATACTTCCCATGTCCTCCAACCCCTAGATTTGGCCATATTTGGCCCCCTAAAACGACTTTATCGCAGACGGCTTGAGGACCTTCTTGCTAACGCCTTTGACGACTCTTCTGTAGCCGGAAAACGTGCGTTTCTGGAATGCTACCAGATTTCACGCACAGAGGCAATTACTAAGAGTAATGCTAAGTCAGGATGGAAGGCATCAGGCCTTTGGCCCTTGAATGTCAACAAACCGCTAAGAAGCCCACTCCTCCTCAAGAATTCTAATACTTCACGCCCCTTAAGAACTACTATAGTTACCCCAGAGGTTCGCACACTCCGTATGCCAATCCTGGAGGATTATGGAGACGATCGGGTGCAGTGGAGGACTCCTAGAAAGGCACGTGATTACGTTGAGCAGGCAAAGAAGTTCGCACGCATCATCAAAGCAATGCCAGCGGATAAGCTCTTCCTCAGAAAGATTGGTAAGGCTTTGGATGAACAGGCCTTTGAACTGGCTATTAGGAAGCGAAAGATTGAAGGTCTAGAACACACTCTCGAATCAATAAGAGCCAGAAAGAAGAAGAAGGTTGAAGAAGATCCAAATACCACCTTTGCGAATATTCAGACTATTCGTGAGGCCCAGAGAGCTGTAGGGCGTGCAGCAGAGGTTTTAGAAGATGCGGAAGAAGCGGATGATTCAGAGGATATCAAAGATTGTATTGAAGTTTTGTAAATAAAAAGATCACCCTTTCTTTTGTTGGAGGGTTAGTTGGGACTCCTGCTTATACAGAATGTTCTAAATCAGTAGTGTTCGCTTACCCCCCCACCTAACTTAGCGACGAAAACGTCCGGTCAAGAGATCGAATAACTGGCCCAAATCGCTGGTATTACTAAGCAGCTTGCGACCAATTGGCACCGCATCCTGTGGTGAGACGCGCAGGTGGCGTAGCACCAACTTACTTCGACCTCTCCTTTCGTTTTGGATATATTCTCTTTTAAGTCAGGTGGTCTGCTTATGGAACACCCCTGGATTTGGAACAAGGTTTGTCATCAAGGACTTGCCGCTCGCCACCCAACTCACCTATTTCAATCGCTTGCAACTCGACCAATTCTGCTTCAATACTTATCTTCTTTTCTCCATTCAATTGAGAAATGAAAGATAAAGCGATATACTCAGTTGGATTTGCAGAATGCGCTGGCAGAGTATGCAGAAACCGGCTTACTCCGTAGCTCTGCTGAAAATCACGGCATCCCCCCTACTACTCTCTTTAATCGGGTTCGTGGTTCCGAGCCAGCCTCCAAGGCCCAAATTCTTAATCAAAAGCTTTCTCCAGCTATGGAAGAACGCTTAACCGAATGGATTCTATTCCAAGGGTCGCTCGGTCACCCTCCAACCCACGCCCAAATTCGGAAACTAGCTAGAAGAATGCTCGAAGATAACGAGACCCTCGGAAAACGCTGGACTAGCCGGCTTTTGGCTAGAAATCCATCTATTTCTACAATTAGGCCTCGGAGAATCCATGCAAACCGTGCTGATCGAGCCTGTGAGGCCGTTATCCGGCCTTGGTTTGACTATTTGAAGCCTCCAGGCGTGGAGGCTGTTCCAGCCAAGCATAGGTATAATATGGATGAAACTGGCATTGCTTCTGGCATTGGAGATAACGGCCTGGTTGTTGGATCTAAGGAAAGAAAGAAATTCCAGAAAAAGAAGAAAGGAGACCGAATTTGGACCTCGATTATCGAATGTATTTCCGCTGACGGCCGGTATTTGAACCCAGTCGTCATTTTCAAAGGTAGAAGCCTTCAACAACAATGGTATCCACGCGATTTACAGCCATTTAAGGGCTGGAAGTGGAAACCCACTGAAAACGGCTGGTCTGACGATGATACTGCCGTCGCATGGCTCCGCAATATCTTTCTTCCAGAGACTCGGCCAGCTACCCCCTCGGAGAAGCGCCTCCTTATTTTAGATGGCCACGGTAGTCATACCACCGAAGAATTCATGTGGCTAGCCTTTTCTAATAACGTACAATTGTTATTTCTACCAGCCCACACCTCCCACGTTCTCCAGCCCCTGGATTTATCGGTTTTCGGCCCTCTAAAAGCCCGGTACAGAGCCAAGCATAACGAGGTTGTTTCCGGCTTCGACGAAGGCACTGTTGCTGAAAAGAGGGCCTTCCTAGAATGCTACCGGCAAGCCAGGGTCTATGGAATGACTGAATCTAATATCAAAGCCGGCTGGAAAGCTACAGGCCTCTGGCCGGTCAGCCTCAGGAAGTCCCTAAGCAACGGCCTTGTTATTAAGAATTCTAACGGCGACGTTGGTCAACTGACCTCTACGGTTTCTATAGACCTTCAAGAGGTCCATAACCCCATTCTAAATAAGAATTCGGAGGGCCGGCCTATATGGTTTACCCCTAAAAAGCCGAAGGATTTCCGTATTCAGGGGCAGGTTTTTCTAGCCGGCCAGAAACGGACTGCCAACGACCGACTTTTCATACGCAAGGCCGCAAAAGCCTTCGATTACGTGGTTTTCCAACTAGCCAATACGGCGCATCAATTGGAGGCTGCAGAAAAAAGCCTAGAACGCACAAGAGGCCGAAAGAGAAGGAAGGTCCAAGTCGACCCTAATACGCAGTTCGCTGGAATTGAGGAGGTTCGTGCCTCACAGAGAGAGGCTGGCAGAGAGGACCTTAGTTATTCTGAAAGAGAAGAATCAGGAGAATCCGATACTGAAGACTTCATCATTGTAGCTAATTAATTGACAAAGTTGTTGGCAATTGAAGTTTGTGGTGTTGTGCGGGGTCCGATTCAGGGGCTGTTCCATAGGCAGGGGTGTTCCAAAAGTCCCCCACCCGACTTACTAGCGGCTATGCTATGATCAGCGGGGGTTAGCAAAGATTCCGTGATGACGCAGCATCTTCCCACCTCGCTCAATACTATGCGACCCTGAAGTACGTTGTAGACGAGGGGCGAGTATATACAGGAGGCAGTGGACGAGACGGTCGGCTAGAGTGGCCTGGGCCCTCTTCCAAGACGGCCGAAATGTCATCTATCGTCAGTTGAGGAAACCTGATTCGCAGAGGCGATGGAATCCTCAACTGGACGTCCAGGATGCATGCGCGGGCGAAGTGACGCAAGGCTTGCGAAGGCTAGAGTTGAGCGGGCATCGAGATGAAATGGCAGGTATCGTGAGAGATTAGAACGGTAAGCACAAAGGGGTGGGTTCCGGATGGTGGCGAGAACAGACGAAAGCGGCGGCGCGATGTGACGAGGGCGTATGAGAGAGAACAAGGACGAATGGAGACATAGCCGAAATGAAGGATCACAAGTGCGGCCGCCGCGTTGCATGCTGGTGCAATTACGAAGAATATGAGGAAAAGGGCAAAGGTCTAGAATGTAAGAAAGAGACGACGGGGAGGAGCGGTTCTCATTTATGTCTAGAACTAGTCGCAAGGACGCAAAGTCGCGTGGGGCGATGGAATTGCCGCGCTAAACTAAATGAGGAGAGGTGGCGTGTAGCACCGTGTTCGCGAATACCAAGGTACACCGTAATGGATAACTCCGCACCACTTCTCCGCGGCTTATCTCGGCCGTGATTATTATTCCACATCAGGGCGACATCAAATCGTCAATTTATAGCCTGGATGGAGCTAACCGCCACTCCAGCAACCGTCGACGATGCCGCCGGCATGGCCATCGCATTTGCCGAAGCGCAGGCGTCGTACCAGGAGGGCGGAATCCCGGTATGTGTTATGCGTCTGGGCCATACGCGCGTGTGCGTTTCTTGCGTCGTTGGTCGTCTTGTTTCATCCAGGTCCTCCCGACTCTCGTTTCCAGTCATGCCTTCCCTTCCTTCTTTGTTGGTCGGCCTGTGCATTCCGAACTAGTTGTTTGCAAGCAATGCAAGTCCACTGTGGCTCTATAGTAAAAGTGCAAAAGAAATGAAAGGAAAATAACTAAGACTTGATATCCAATGACTGACCCAACTGCGCCTCGCCTCTCCGGCTGCCTAGATAGGAGCCGCTCTCGTCGCCTACGACGGCAAGCTTCTCGGGCGAGGACACAACATGCGTGTGCAGCTGGGTTCGGCCATCCACCATGTGATTCTTGCCCCTGTTTGCTTGGGATATCAGACGAAACTTCTTCATGCCTCCTGCACGGCTGATACTCATCCTACCCGTCTACTAGGGCGAGACCTCGGCACTGTTTAACTCAGGCCGCTTGCTGGCGCGCGCTTACAAAGGTCTGCCTTCTAAGTTCCTTCTCCCCTCTACCACTCCAAGAGGGAACAAACAGACAGATAGACAAGCAACACATAAACATGAAAACACAACACATAGAAACAAGACTCCCATCACTAACAAACAGCCCCAACAACCCCCCCTCTGGGCTGGGCTGGGCTGGGCTGAGACAGGCAGCACCATGTTCACGACGCTATCGCCGTGCGACATGTGCACGGGGGCGTGCCTGCTGTACGGCATCGCGCGGGTGGTGATCGGGGAGAACCGCGCGTTCCTGGGCGGCGAGGCGTACCTGCGGCAGCGCGGGGTCGAGGTGGTGGTGCTGGACGATGCTGCGTGCGTCGAGCTCATGGAGCGGTTTATCAGGGAGAAGCCTGAGCTGTGGTGAGTGCCTTCCTCTCTTTTTTTGTTTTGTTTTTTCTCTTGACCTACCTAAATGTAACCCCTTGAAATTGGTAAATATCACGTCACATTTGCTCACTCATAACGCGCATGCACGCACGCGCAATCGGCAAAGGAACGAAGACATTGGCGTCGAAGAGCGCGTCTACTCCAAGGAAGCAAAAGCCCCAGAGCAGCAGTAAGTAAGCAGCTAGTTCCAAGCTCAGGAAAAACATTAGCGGGAACTGCTGTCAAGCCTCAGCTAAATGGACATCGTGCCTTGGATAGTTCGTAAACAATACACACAAGGAGACAAGGGATAGTCAGACAGACAGGCACTCCGTAGTTTTATTAGACGTTTGCGTCAACTAGCCAGATAGCTACACTACGCTGTTTGCATGCATGTATGCCCTTTGGATCTCTTCCAAGATCGAGCGCTCTGAGCGACTGCCAGAGCAATATGTCCGCTCCATCCACCAGTCCAGTCCCAGTCCTAGTCCCAGTCCTAGTCCTAGTCCTAGTCCTAGTCCCAGTCCCAGTCCTAGTCCCAGTCCCAGTCCTAGTCCCAGTCCCAGTCCCAGTCCCAAATAAAACCGTTTCCTGAACTCCTCCCTCATGGAAAAAGAGAAAAAGAAAAAGAAAAAGAATTGACTCCATGCTGCTCCCCCTTTTTTTACTCCTTGTTCCCAACCCCCCCATCACCTCCGTCAACCACCACTCAGCTGACAGGGTGAACGGGAAAGGTGAAACAAAAAAAATCTAATGTTGTGCAGGAAAAAAGTACAGTTGTTTTATTTTACATTGGCTGGCCGGTGAAATTGCACAGCATGACCATGGTACGCCTCCAGACCATCGCCAATCAGCCCCTGTGGACGGCTCTTTTGACGTGTCCCGGGCCCAGTCGGGTTTGGAGCCAACATCCTCGGTTGTGCCCCTTTGTTCACTAAGAAAGGAGATTGCGAAGCGATGGGCTCGCGCTGGCCCCGCTGGCCGGCCTATTATCCCGTGGCGGAGGATTGCTTGGCTCTCGGCTCAACGGGATACTCTCACGGGGGAGCGGGGGGCTGCTATGGTGGGGAGGCGGAGGCCCATGGTTGTTCCACTGGCGGAGGTGGTAGAGAGACTGTTGCGCTTCTGGAGCAATCGGCCCCGGGACAACAGGCGGTATCTGGCTCATCGGCATATGATGGTGCCGCAGCTCAGCTGAACCAAGACTGTGGTGAGATGGAATATAAGGTCCGCCGTTCTGGGGCGACGGCGGTGGTGGGCCGGCAACCCGTCGTGGGGATGGCGGCATTCCGTTCACAAAAGGCTGGGCCATTTGCCCGTTCTGAGTAGGAGGGGGGTGCGGCGGCGGTCCGTGACCAATAGCTGGCATGGTTTGCGGTCGGAGGTGGTTAGGGGGGGCCAACGGATGCATTGGCGAGTGTGGAGGAGGTGGTCCGCCGTTGACTTCATGGACCGGAGCAGGCCCGTGGCCGGTCGGGGTTCGGTGCCAATCTGTAAATGTCCGGGAGCCTGTAGCATATGGGTGAGTCGGCACAGGCGGTCCTCGTGGCACGACAGTCTGCGGCAAGGGGGGCGGGGCCACGTGCGGAGCCTGGACTCCGGGCGGCAAGCCTGATACCCCGGGATGAGGCGGGACAGGTACAATGGGTGCACCTGGTAGTTGGCCGGGCGGTGTCCACATTATTGACCTAGGTCGTTGCTCGGCGCCAGCCGGCGATCGGAGACTGGGGATCCTCGGGGATGTTGACCGAACGGGCTCCGGAGGAGGTGTCGGTTCCCGCGGAGCGTGTGGGTTGGGTTTCCGTCCTGCTTTCTTGCACTTGTGGCACTGGAAACTTCGCTGCTCGACAAACTTCTGTGCCTCGGTCCCGAGATTCCCATAGTAGCCGTTGGTGAGCTCTCGCTCCTGTGCTTGGTCGATAGCATGCCACTTGGGGCTGACGTCGGAGCCACACGTCAGGCAGATTTTGCCGTCGGGCTGCAGGGCACTTGGGGACGGTTCCCTAAACCCTCCGTTAACCATGTTGGTGTTGGACGACCGCCGGTTCTGCTGGCTCGCCGGAGCCGCTCCTGACGATGTCGACATCCTCGAGGAAGCAAGCGTGATCTGGTTTGCCTTTCTCGCACAGCCCGTCAAGGTCAGGTCGGCCTGTTTGAAGTTCTGCGCATAGAGCTGGAGAGCGTTCATGCCGCTCTCGTCCACTACCTCGTGCATGTGATGGACAACCGTCTTGGTCGGTGCGTGATCCTTGCACCAAATAGCGGCTGACATGGTACCCGTATCCCCATTAATGGACACGATATTGTGCTGATCGCGGCGGGAGCCCTTGACGGGAGTGATATCAAAGCCGAGGACGTAGCCGGCCTGGTGAGCGCACTCGACATGGATCGGGGTGCGGCACTGATAGCAGTGGACGCACGCCCCGCCGTCTTTCTTGCACACCTTGCACATTTCGGCATATCTGGCGCGCGGAATCGAGGGGATGCCTTCGCTTGGTCCGAGGGCCTTGGTATTGCCAAATTTGACCTCGGGCGTCCAGACGGCGCAAGTGACGTGAACCCAGTTGTTGTCGGCGGTTCGCTTTAGAGGCTCCCTTGGGTTGACGGGACGGTTCATCTCCTCCTGCTTCTTGCGGTAGTAGTCAGCTGCCTTTTGCGCGTTATCGCGCTCGATCCGGTCGCGCTCGCGCTCCTTTTCCGTCTTTTTCTTATGCGACACCTTAGGCGGCTCGACAAAGTCATGCTCGGTGAACTCTACAGGACAGAGAACACATTTGTAATGCTGTATTCGAGTTAGTAAAACCACGCACAAATACCTGTGCCAACAGACTGGGAAAACTTACTATTGATACCTGGGGACTCTTGTCATTGAGACACATGTCACAGGTCCATTTCCCGGGGGCGCGATTCTCCATGATGCCGTAGCAGCTCCTATGTACAGCCAACCGGCACTCCTTACAGGACAGATGCTGATCACCAAGTGGTTCTAGCTCGTGGCATATGGCGCAGGGGAGAGTGCGCGGCTTCGGAACCATGAGAATGGGGGGTAGCGGAGCAGCAACCGGCGCCGGCGGCGGAGGCGGCGCTGGTTGCTGCTTTGGCTGCTTCTCGGCCGCCTTCTCCTTCTTCTTGGAATGGGGGGCGCCGCTTACGCTGCCCGATTCCGAGGCCGTCAGGTCGGGATCCTTGTCTGGCAGACCCTTTAGTTTCTTGCGCGGCGGCTCTTGGGTCGCCTGCGCCTGTAGAGAACTGGCCGGGCTTGCCGCAACGACTGGGTCGGGGGTCAGGTAGCGGGTGTTGTTCATCATCTCGTCCGCCGCCACGAGCTCCTTGTACAGCTCCTCGTCCACCTTGCGTCGCCACCCGCGCCCGCCAGTCTGGGCGACCTTCTTGGCGACTTCTTCGATGTCTTCCCACTGGATGGCGTAGCGTCGCCACAACTCGGCGCACCGCCGGCAAAGCGCGGGGATATACTGACCGCCCTTGTCCTTGTTGGAATTGCGGCCTGCGCTCTCGGCCACCACAGTCACTGAAGCATTGGGGGCCCGCCGCCACTGGCGCGATGCCTTGGTGCTGCAAAACTTGCAGATGAACTCCTTCTTCTTGTCGCGCGCCTTGTCCGTGTCGAAGGCCGAGTCGTCATGGTCGTCTGCGACATCGTCGGCAATCTTGTTGGCAGCTGCCTCGGCCTTCTTGGCATCTTTCTTGCCCTTCCGGCCGGGGTAGTTGCCCCAAATCACCTTGCCTCGCTCCGTCTTCTTCCAGGTGTAGTAATAGCGGGTCACGGTGGCCGGAGTCAGCGTTTTGACGTGCTTCATGACGCTGTGCAGCTCCGAGCCAAACTTGGCGACTCCTTCTTCGAATTTCTTCTGTTCGGCTGGCGTGAGCTCCGGCTCCTTGAAGACAGACCGGGGGGTCGAGTCCATCTCCTTCAAGGCCTTTTCGGGGTCAAACAGGTTGTTGTAGAGCACGTCCCTGGCGACGTCCTCGAGGTTGGTAGAGCGTGGGGGTAGCTTGAGGGATGTGACCTTCTTCCTGGCCTTGTTCATGTACTCGTCCATGGCGTCACTCGACATGCTGACGCCGCAGCGTTCGGGAGGCTTAAACAGCTCCGTGACGGTGCTGTCCCCGCCTCTCTCAACCCATCCGGGGGGCTCGTCCTGGACGTACTTGGGGCGCTTCTCGCGCTTGATGCGCTCGGCCTCAAGAGCGGCTTGCTGCTCCTTATTGAGCTTGCCGTCCTTGCGGCCCGACTTCTTGATCTCCAGCGGCTTGACGTACTGCACGGGGCGGCCGGGCCAGGGCAGCACGACGGCCTGGTGGCGGGGGCCGAGACGGGTGCTGGCACGCGGGAAGATGCGATCGTCGTAGTCGAGGGCATCCTCGACCTTGCAGTGGATGCCGAGGTAGCGGTAGGGCCACAGGCTGGCATGGTAGATCTGCTCAGCCGTGGCGGGCTGGTGGGCGTCGTCGTCGGCGGGGCTGGTGCGGCTGGTGCGGCCCGTGTCGAGGCCGGCGCCGTCGTCCTCTTCGTCGTCGGGATACTCGTCGTCGTCGGCGTCGTGGTTGTTGGGGTCCACGTTGGGCGTGTTACGGGCCTCGAGCTTCCGCTCCTGGGCGCGGCTGCATGCGGCACACGACCATGCAAAGCCGCGCGACGGCTTTTTGAGCAGGGGTGGCTTGACGCAGTTCATGTGGTACGTGTGTTCGCACACGGCGCAATCGACCGAATCGTTGCTGTCCAATGTGTCAGCGCTTAACTCCACATTTGGGGGGGAGCCCCTTGCCCTGGGCTCCCCAACGGGACCTGGCCTGGGGCAGGGAATAGGACATGCAGCCAGGGCCAGCCAATCTCATAACACAGAAAAAAACATCTGCCCCAAAACAGCCAGCCCGACCGACCAGGTAGACTCTGGCTCACGGCAAACGCAAAAGCCAGACCCAGCCTAGAGAGCCCGCACACCCACTCACACACACACGACCCCTCGTCGACGCACGCACACAGACACAGACACACACACTCGCACATATACATACCTCGCGCAGTAGCCGGTGCATCGCTTGCACGTCTTGACGGCACTCGTCAGCTCCTTGCCCCGGCCTTGCTCCACCAAAATATAGCGCCATCGCTCGTCGAGCACCCGCTTGACGTGTTCGGGCACGTTAATGATCTGGGCCGTCGGGATCACCTCATAGTTTTTCTGGATGTAGCGGTCATATAGCTTCTCGTACCAAAAACAGTCGGGCGCCTTCTTGTAGTCGGTCAGGTTGGAAATCTCTGCCTTGTGCCGGATCTGACACTTGCCGCGCAGTGCCGTCAGCGGGCTAATGTCCGAGTGCATCGTGGCGAAAACCATGCGCGTGTCTTGCACCTTGCGGCCGATGTCCTTGGGCCGGTAGTACCAATTGACCCGCAGCGCATCAATGGCCAGCGAGTTGTCGTTCTTGACGTGCAAGAATTCCATGATGCGCGCCAGATAGTACGGCTCTCCCGGCGGCTCGCACACCAGGTAAACGTGGTCTGCACCGTCCCGAGTCAGCAGCGAATTCTCTCCGGGAATAACGTCACCTAGGCCACCTGGTAGTCGCACTAGGCGGACCACTGCCTAGGTAGACATGGGCGAGGGCGACTGGGTAGACTAGACTAGACTAGGTAGATTGGGAAGATCAAAACTTACCGTTCACTTCCAGCACAGTGCCGTCGTCGGCCACCATTCTCCCATTCTTGGGTCTCGACTTGCAGTTATCAAACGTGAGCAGGTTGGTCTCCGAGTACCCGCCCCCACTGCGCGTGCCATTTGCGCCATGCGACGAGTTCGCCACAATCCGTTTGGACACGGCCGACGAGTGCGCATGGGAAACCGACGGCGCCTGGCTGCTGCTGGTGGTGGCGGACGCCTGTATTTGCTCTGCCTTGCGCTTCTTTGACCTTGCCGAGCCATTTGGTGTGCTGCTGGCTCCGGTGCCCGTTGTCGACGCTGCTGGCGACGGGTGGTGGCTGTGATTTTGATGCTCCTTCTCCTTGGAGCTGTGCTGGTGGGATGCGTGATGCCTGCTGCTGTCATCTGAGGAGGGCAGAGGCTTCCGACCCGATCCATTGCCAGAGCGCTGAGCAGGCTGGGCGGCTGCTGCTACCGTCGTCGCGGGCGCGGGCGCGGGCGACACTGCCTTTGTTGCCGCTGATGTTGCCGATACGGCGGCGGTGGTGATGGCAGTAGCGGTGGCAGTGGCACCAGCCGATGATGATGCATTGGAGGACGCGGCATGTCTTGGGTTGGCGGTGAGCCCTCGCTCGGGATACATCTCAAAAAGCTCCATGTCGATATCCTTGTCCTCAGCATAGTTGATGCGCGATCCGCCATTGCGCTTCCGTGAGCGCGTGCCATAAGGCGAGGCGGTCCCGCCCGAGGCATCCTCGGATGAGGCGGCGTGGGAGCCCGCCGACGCCGACTTGTCCATGGGTTGTGGAGATTCGTGGGTGGTTGAAGAGGAAACAGAAATAGGATTGGGATCTGACATTCTGGGCAGGATGGTAGATATGGACCCCGAGGCAGAGGCAGAGCCAGAAGCGGCCGAGTGCCTGGTTGAGCTTGGCCCTCCTGCGCCGTCCTTGGCAGACGAGGTGCGACTGGGTGGGTTCGAGCGGTCCTCGGGGTGGCTCACATTTTGGGTTTTCTGGGCCATGGCGGCGCCGCGACCGCAGAAGGGAGGAGGTTGCTCCGCGCGTCAGTAGAGAGGGGCGTCGTCGTCGTCGTCGACGCCGTTCTTGCTGCAAAACAGGATGTGTAGACAAAGGGAGAGGAAAAAGGGCTGGTGGTGGGAGTCGAAGCCCGATGACATGGAAAGTACGCAGGTACCTGGTACACGAGACGAAGTGGTGGCAGGGGGCGATGTGACGATGGCGGTCTTCATCAGACGTGGACGTGGACGGTCAGCGTGCCGGCGCCCCGTGCTGAATAAACGTCTAGACCTAGTCCTAAAGTGCAAATTTGGCCAAGCCGAGCCAGGCAGGCAGGCACGGCTTTGAGAGAGCAGCGGCGCCGGTGGTGGCGGCGCTCAACCACTGCAGAGGGAGAGGCGGAGGGCAGTTGATTTTTGACAGAGTGAGAAGCAAGGGCGACAGCAGGCCTGAGAATAAGCTTGACTCTGAAACTGTGCCTGAGCCTGATCCGGAGCCTGAGCCTGAGCCCAAACCTTGATTCTAGGCCTCTGGGGAAGGGGCAGGGGGAAGATGATGAATGCGGACAAAGATGTGGCGGTGGTGATATACGTGTGCGCAAAAACGCGAAGTGCAGATCTCAGATGGGCTCTGGAGCGTGGCCAGCGCGCGGTGACGAAGTTGCCGAAGAAGGAACCTGGTTAGGCGGCGGCCACGAGACGAGATATAAAAACGGCGGCAGGAAACAGAAGGCAGCAGGCCGCAAAAAGGGCGTGGGGGATTACACGACGGCCAGCTTCTCAAGCGGCGGCATGTCGTGGTGAAGTATTAAGTCAGGGAGAGCCCAGGTGCGGTGCAGTGGGGTGCGGTGCGGTCGAGGGGGCCGAAGACGGTCTGTATGGACGGTATGTACGGCGCTGCAAGAGAGATCTAGACCGGAAGTACAAAAGGTACGCGAGGCAGATGAACCTCAGACAGATAGCAGCCTAAGTAGGCAAGGCCTCAGGTCAAGTGCGTGCGGCGAGCGAGTCCACAGAGCGCCCGTACGCGGTCTAAGGGAATCCTGGCCGCGAGGTGTATGTATCGATGGTATGGATGCCCCAATGCGTAGTAAGTAAGGCAACTTGAAGTAAGGAGGGTCGGAAGGGGAAGGAAGGCCTGTCCGTCCCTCCTGTGCGCTGGCTATGAAGTACCTAAGGTCGGGTATCCGTACGGTATGTCTAATAACTGAGGTGCCTGCGTTGGGGTCGAGGACAGGCAAGCTCCGGCCGCGTCGGATTGCACGTGCAAAAGTTCGCGACGGGGAGGAAAAGGAAAGGGAGAGATATGTGGGCAAAGGCAACAATGGAGAGACGAACGAGAAACGTCAAATGGCAAGCAAGGAAAGCCAAGGTCAGGTAAAAGTGCTTGGTACCTTACCTTACTCCATCCGTACAGACATCCAGTATCAGTAGTACGCGCACAGTACTGGACGGCACCTTCCAGGTATATTAGGAGGTACTTTCTCTAGCTCCCGCTTTGGGTTATTACAGGCTACTAGACCTAAGTACCTGCCTCTAACCTTACCTGCTTTTGCCCGCCGCTGCACTGGGGCACCACAAGGCGGTGCCCCATGCCATGGCCTGGGTGGGCTGGGCATCTCGGGCGCCTTCACCCGCCTCACACGCCTCACACGCCTCATACACGGCAAACTCCATCCACCTGAATGAAGCCCACACGGGCGGGCATGGACTAGAAGTCACAACATGCCCGCCTGCCTACCCAACACCGCTCCGGGCGAGTGGGTCAGGGCTGGGCTGGCGTGTGGAGGTAAGATATCGCGTACTGCAGGGATTAGCATTCCCGCACCGCCCACGCTGCAATGCGGCAAGCCTCCCACCTCCCCCCCCCCCGGGCAGCCACCTGGCCAGTACCTTCCTAGTATCCAATGTACCTGCGCGCTACCTGTCTCTTTCCTGGGCCGAAGAAAAACCTCCTCAACCTCACTCCATACTCCAACAAACATACTCCAACTGAGGTGGCAACTTGCCCTGCTCCACCACGCGCGACGAGGTCAGAGGCCGACCCCTCTGGCACCCACCGCCCTCAAAAGAAATGGGTGAAGTTGGGCAACTGCTTTTTCGCATCACGCCGCTATCATAGCTTGGCTTTCAAGGTTTGTTTTCATTGCTTGATGCATTTCTGCATACTCGGCACACAGCATATAAACTTGTGAAGAAAAAACCCCCTCGGCCCCGTCCCCGTCCCCCGTCCCCGTGCTGCGTGGCTGTTTGATGTGGGAGGTTTGGGATTATTATGGAGCCTGCGGCGGGAAGGCCCATGGAACCAAATAACCTAGGGTAAAGTACGTAGGCGTAGGACCCACCTCAGACCTCTGCGTTTTTCTCTCTCGCTCTCGCTCTCTCGCTCGTGCGTTGATATACCCAGGCCAGGATGGGATGAGATGCCACTTGGGGCCCCATCGGCAGACGTCGACATGATACAGTGTATCCGGGTGACTTGAGGTGAGGGGGGGGAAGTTGGGATGCCTGCGCGCACACGTAAACTAAACGGCATCTCGCTCATCGCATCGCATCACTCGTGCACTACCTAGCTACTTATCCGAGTCAAGGACGGGCACAAAAGCCGGGTTTGTGCGATGCGGGCAGCCCAATGGAACCAACCCTTTCAGGGGATCAGTCGAAGAGAAACCCATGCAAAGAACGAATGCGCGTAGATGGGCAGATATAATTTATATATCTCTTACCTGTCCAGGTGCTCGTGGGAACAGCAAATAGCAAACCGAGGATGACTCCATTCTTACTAGTCAACGGATATCTGTCTACTGTGGCGAGGACTGAACATCTTGAACCCCATGCGTCTCCCCGCGGTGGACGTGGTATCTCTCGTCTCTGGGCAGGCACGGCACGGGACACATATATATGCGGGAGTATATCTCCTGCCGCACTCCATATCCGCGAACGAGCATCGGACTGAAAAAGAAAGAAAACTGAACCTGAGCGAGGACGAGAGAAGGGATGAAAAAAGGGGCACCCGTGTAGATATTAGATATCTTGGTTTCGTGCGAAAGCCAAAACTTTCATACATGAAAGGTTGTTTCGCACTGCAGCGTGCAAGTAAGTTCGTCACACTCGACCCAACCCCAGCTTGTTCGCGCGCCTTCTATCCATCGCCCAACAACGGCCGCTGCATATCGCGATTCGGTTCGCAAGCGTTTGCCGATTCTGCTCATACGTACTACGTGCCCTCCCCCCTCCGCCTAGTACAGTAGGAGACTCTCTTTTTTGGAAGAAGAGGGCAAAGAAAGAAGTGCAAAAAAACATCATGGGGGTTTTGCCCTATACATGTATACCTTTCTGTTCATATCCTAAGTCTCGACTTGGACTTCCCATTGTTGGCTGGGCATGAGCGACTATGGACGTTTTCCCATATTTTTATGTTGGGTAATAAGGTAAGGTACTTGCCTTGTACCTTCTCGCCAGCCGGCAGACGCCCGCCATGTGTTGTACGTGCCATGTGTCGGTCGCGCGTAAACGTCGAATACCCTTTGACACCTCCTACCTACTCCGGTTTCCCCTCTCCCCACCGCCACTGCCCGCAGCTAACCAAGCCAGCACGCCTTGGCCGTCCGCCAGCGGCGTTCAAAGGCTTACGACTTGGAAGCGGAGAGAGAGCAGATACATAAATAAGGCGAGTTGGAGGTTGACGGAGTATAATAAGCTCCACGGTAATGGGATTTTAAGTGGGTTTGAGGTCTGAAGACAGCTGTACTGTGTGCGTATTCGAGACGCGTCGTGGGCGCCGACCTGCCTACCTCGGCCCCTGGTTCTCTAGTCAAGCCAACGGCGGCAAATTAACCTACACCGACCCCGTAACGTTATCCCTATCTTGCTCGTCGTCGCATTTCCGAGTATTACCGTACTGCTGCAGTACATGCATACATACAATACGTTGTATACCGTACATATACATATAACGTGAATGACAGCATGCCGATAGATATGTTATATTTGCTACGCCTGCGAAATTCGACCCTTTTCATATCTTAACCAAGGGCGGGATGCTCTGGGTTACGGAACACATCATTGAGGCCGGCCCATGTGCCTGGGGATCGGCGATGATGTCGAAAGGGTCTGCCATTTATTCCCCTGCCATGAACTTGTCCCCGACGTCTTGGCGCAACCCACCACACGAGCTGCATCGGTAGTCCGTACTGTATGTACGGATATGTACTGTGTTATTTGGGCAGGTACATCCTTCCATACCTCGTAGACATGGATGGTTACGTGAACATGACTCCCGTTTCCATGCGCTCTATGTCGGCCATGAACCATATGTACTACATACGGGCCGAGAATAGAGAGACAACATCGTGTCATTTTGCGCGTGTACATACCTACCAATATATACGGGGCGTCGCGGTCATGGAATCGGTAGCAGTGGCGATGCTGCAATTGTTATATTCCCTAAAAGAAGGCCTCGCTAGCGGCATCCATTGCGCAGCCCTGGCATGCAGCAAAGAATGGGCATGAGGTTGGTCTAATGACCCCAGGTAGGAGCGCGAGCTTGCAGGTGGGATGCGTGACAGTGGCCAGTCAGGTACCCGATTAGGTAGAGTTTAGAACGGCGCAACGACGACACTCTAGCATTTCGCTTCACGCAACCTGTTGTTTGTCTCCACTCCTCGCTTTCCCTCCCTTCCTGGCCGCTGGTGACCGCCGTCGGTATATAATATCACCATCCCCTATCCGCCGGAGGATGGATTGTTGTTGCTTTTTTGTTTGTTTCGCTAGATAGGACTGGGTTGCTGTGTTTCAAACTTCAAACTGCAACTAATCTGTCCTCCAGTGTACCCTACTCGCTCGGTTTTGAGGGATGGTCGTGGAAGTTCGGGGCCCAAAAATTAATAATGTGCCGCCTTCCCCCCACCCCCCTGGCCATTCGTCTCCTCCGGGACGGATATTAAAACCCCCAGTTCTAGCCTTTTCGAACCAACTACAAGGACTGCGAATACATCGCCCCTCTTGGGCCCAAGCCACGCGTATGTCACGATCAAGCTGGCGTCTTTGTGCTGCCCAACGCCATTGAACAATAATTGCCACGGTGAGGCTCAAGGCGGGCCTTTTTAGATATCAATTCTCCGTGCCCCAAAGGAGCCCATTTCAGTCGTCATGGCGCATTACCGGATGAAACAGTTGGGAGTCGGACTCTAACCCCATGGGCGGATATTCGGGTCCTCCCCTGGTCCCCCCAGAAAGAAACGAGGGACCGGAGAGGGAGAGGAGATGGGATGGAATGGATGAGGTTCTGGGCCAGTGCGAGTCTGGTAAATCACGCACTGGACTGCCTAGGTGCCATGCTGTGCAACAGAACCCGTTCTTGGCCTGCTATTCATACATCTTATTAAGCGACGATTCGACAACGCACGTCCATGCATCGCCGTCTGTTAGCGACTTAGAGTAGCTATGACTTTTCCGTTCGAGTAATAGCTGGCGGCCTATGCTACAAAAGACCTGGTCGAAGTTCGATCGGCCGAGTGTTCCGTATATTCAAACGACCCGATAAATGGATGGATTATTAGACAGCGCCCCCCTAGGGCAGTTAGCATATCGGCCCAGTGCCCACCTTTCTGCGTCATGTCTGACAGCCTCGCCGTACCATTGCCCACTTTTGGTACCTAGACTTCTTGGACGAGTTGCCAGGCTTCTTCAAAACACATCACTGAGTTCAGCATTTGGCAAACATTGATAGCCATTGGCCCAGGGCGAGACGCCAATCGGTAACTCATTCGCGTTGTCGGATAATGCGCGCGAAACTCTCAGGGTTCGGGACCAGCGCCACTGGTGGTGGAGTAATGATCTCAAAAGTTCACGAGTTGTCCGTGCGGATAATCCCGCGGGCCATCGCCCCCAAGTCTACCTGCCACAGAAGTTGGATATCGGCCAAAACCGACGCTCGAGTAGTAGCCGTAGTTTTTAAACATAAGGCGGCGGGCAACGCCAGTTTCGAAGGGGTGATTTGAATATTTTGTTCGATCAATTCGTTTTGAGACAGACCGGTCAGTCCGCCGCCTTTGTGCGTTGAGATCAAAGCTTCCACCATCGGTGGAGACAGGGAGCATTGGAAGGGCTCAAGCGCCCATTTCCCATCCCCCCGGCCCGGCGGGGAGAGAGAAAGAAACCTGCATTCCCCAGAACTGTGAGTGTTTGAGACCGTGTCGACAAGGCGCTCCGTTGCGGGCCGGGCTTCCTCTCCATTTCTCTTTTGCTCCTATACTTCGTGGAAATCGAGAAATCCGACGCAAGAGAGGCCCTGTCACCTCCCCGCCAACAAGGCTATCCAGTCTTTGGCCGCAGTCCGAGGACGGGAAAGTCAATGGGCGCCAGGCAGATACTCGTGTTGTGGTTGGAGCGTTAAATGACGAGGGCATGACTCTTATTGTGTGGAGGCCCGATTGGTTCACGAGGTCAGAACGGGAGGTGAGCGGCAGACCAGGTACTTATGGCGGTTGACGTGCAAGAACACTGCAAATATTGCACTAACTACAGACATCCATAGCAGAGTCGAGCTTTCAGGACCCCGTCTGACGAGACGTGGGGTGATGCAGTAGGCTTTTTGTCTTGCGATGTTGCCGTCTTTCCCCCCCATTCTCCGCGCGATAACACTGCAAAAGGACATTGAAGTTGACTCGAGTCTAGCGGGCGGGGGGCGACGTCGTTCCCTGTCGGCTGTCCAAAGCTGAGGTGGTCTTCCAAGTGAAGTCTCTGTCAAGTCCCGTCACTGATCAAGGTACCTTGGTGGGGCATGAGCATTGCAGATTCGCATAAGAATTTTAAGTGATTTGACATGGCACAAGGTTCCGGTATGTACCTCTGAGATACCTGTGTGGGGAGCCAGGGGCTAGAACAGACCCACCTGGGCCAAGCCAAGCCAGCCTTCCATGCAGCAGGCCTTTTCCCAAACGGCCGGGAAAGGCGACGTCGAACGCGATGTCTTCCTCATAGGCGACGGGCGCCTACCAGCTCTTCCAGGCTTCCAGAACACATAGAAAGCCCCGGCAAATTCTGGCGATATAGGCCCCGGGCGATGCACTCTTCATGGAAATGCACATATTGGCTCTCGGCCCACCTCGATTAAGTTGCAGTTAGGAGGATGAGGTTTGGCTTCCGCGTCGCGCTTTGAGCCTTGGTACGAAGGACCGGACGTCATGTCCAACAAGTCGAAGCTTGGCTTATGGCACACGACAACCTTGCAAGAAGCCCAGTCCGCCCGCCAGCAAGGCCAGCAAGGCCAGCAGCAATCTTACCAGACAGTCGCTGTCGCTGGCCAAAAACGGCCACCACCTGACGGGTTGCTCCCCGCAGAGCCCCAACAAAATGCTGCGTCGTCCACGAAGCGCACTACGCTGTCTCGTCCGAGTGTGATTCTCTCCAAGGAGCCCCCACGACTGACGGCGAGCAGCATCGGGTGTGCAGACAACTTTGCTGTTGGTGCAGGTGCTGGGCAGCCTTCCGAGTACACGCAGCGTAGGGCCTTTCCATCCACGCCAACTGCTCCCGTTGACCCCTTGCTTTCGCTTTCGCATCCCATCTATGGGCTACCGGAACAGCTCATAGCAAACTTCTCTGCCCTGGGCATAAAAACCATCTATCCTTGGCAAAAACATTGCTTGCTTGGCCCGGGCCTTCTCGCGGGCGAGAAGAACTTGGTCTACAGCGCCCCCACTGGCGGCGGCAAGTCGCTCGTCGCCGATGTCCTCATGCTTAGGCGGGTCCTTCTCGACCGCGGTTGCAAGGCTCTTCTGGTGCTACCCTATGTTGCTCTCGTCCAGGAGAAAGTCCGCTGGTTCCGAAATGTTGTCAGTGGCATCTCCCGCGAAGATCCCAGTCAGACGCAGCCAAATGCGCAGGGACTGTGGGCCAAGAGGGCCGATAAAGACACCATCAGGGTGGTTGGCTTTTTCGGCGGCAGCAAGATTCGCGCGACCTGGGCCGATTTCGACATTGCTGTCTGCACCATAGAGAAGGTTGGTGGGTGTTGCAAGGAGGTTAAGGTGGCGGCAGCTCTAACAAACGTACGTGCCAGGCAAACTCGCTCGTGAACGCGGCGATCGATGATTGCTCCGTCTCGCAGCTGAAATCCGTTGTCTTGGATGAATGTCACATGATTGACGATGGCTACCGTGGCTATTTGCTTGAGCTCATAGCTACCAAGCTCCTATGTGTTGGCCAGGAGCTTCAGATTGTTGCCATGAGCGCAACTTTGACAGTATGTTGCCATTATGTGTCTCCATTGTGTGCAAGGGGAGCTGCTGATGGGCCACAAGAACATTGGCCTGCTCAAAGACTGGCTACAAGGACACTCCTACGAGACGCATTACCGCCCGGTCCCCATTGAGGAACATCTTGTATATGAAGGCAAAATATATCCGGTGGGGACAACGGCCAGCCTGATCAAAGCTGCCACGCAGTTGGACGCTCGCGGCGCACCCACGCAGCCTCGAGTGCAACATCTGAGAGAAATCGGTCCCTCGCCCCATCGGGAATTCAAGGACTCGGTGCTCAATGCCGTGGTCGCTCTAGCCAACGAGACAGCCAGGGCTGGCTACGGGGTCCTGATATTCTCCAGCAGCCGCGCGGGCTGCGAAACCGATGCTCTCCTCATCAGCCGGGTGATGCCCTCGTCCAAAGAGATTGACCCTGCTGTGCGGGAAAAGCGGTCAGACTTGCTAGGAGACTTGCGGAGCTTGACCACCGGACTCGACCCAAAGCTTAAGCAGACTGTCCCAGCCGGAGTTGCTTTTCATCGTATGTTCTTTCCCCCCCGAGATTTACAAGCTGTCGCTGACAGACTTTGGGGTAGATGTATGTTCACCTCTTCTCGCCCCCTCAGCTGCCACTCTCTGAACCTCTCTAGGCTGGTCTCACGACAGAAGAACGAGAGCTGCTCGCCAGTGCTTACGATGCCGGTGTACTCAAAGTATGCGTCGCAACATATTCGCTTGCTGCTGGCATTAACTATGAGTTGAAATAATTGCGTACAATTAAATCCCTGAGTTTTTGCTAGCTCGGGGCTTTCCAAGATGTGAAAGACCTCGTTGCCTTGCGGCTCACCCTGACGTTCTTAATTGGTGGAGGCAGTAGCTATGGGAGTTGCTGATGTGATAAATAGTGCCGGCCAGGCGGGTTATCTTGCATAACGCCAGAATGGGCCGAGATCTTGTCGGGCCTGCCATGCTGTAAGTGGTGACGGCTTGCTACCTGTGAGCACTAGCTGACCCTCCGCTGTAGCCGACAGATGCGAGGTAGAGCCGGAAGAAAAGGAAAAGACGAAGTTGGCGAAACCTATCTGTGCTGTCGACAGAATGACTTAGAGGCTGTTGTCGATCTTATGCAAGGCGACCTGCCCCAAATTTCAAGTTGCCTGATCTCGGATAGACGGCGTATTCGGAGGTCTGTCTGTATGCTCTTTTGTGTAAAGATATTTGCTGAACGGAAGAAGGGCACTGTTTGAAGTTATAGCTATTCGGCTGGCGACCAGCCGGGAAGCCTTGGACGACTATATCAGCAAGACCATGCTTGCTTACTCTGCTGAGCCTGGCTCTATTCGAGAAAATCTCGAGGCGAGCCTTGCCGATCTCCAGGAGATGGGGTTCATCACGGTTGATGACTACTCCAACTTCGAAGTGACTAAATTCGGCAAAGCTATCGTTGCTTCGTCCCTTGACCCCGACGATGGTATCTTTATTCACAGTGAGCTCAAAAAGGCTCTGCAGGCTTTTGTCTTGGACGGCGAGATGCACTTTCTCTACAACTTCACGCCGGTACAAGACTTCGGCGGTACTGCCATCAACTGGCGTGTCTTTTGGGACGAGATGCAACAACTAGACGAGAGCGGGATGAGAGTCATGGATCTGCTGGGACTCAAGCCCTATGTCGTGAACAGAATGTAACACCATCAATCGATCCTCCGCCAAACTCAGCGCGGTCCTGGGCTAACACAACTCGTACGCCTAGGCTCCACGGAGGCACGATGAAGGACAAAACCGCCGAGGAGAAAGATGCCGGGCGACGCTATCACAGATTCTACCTTGCCCTCCAGTTGCGGGATCTCTGCAACGAGGCTCCAATACATCGCGTGGCCCAAAAGTACGGCATGCCCCGCGGAGCAGTGCAGAGCCTGGTTCAAACTTGCGAAGGCTTCGCCGCGGGAGTGATCAAGTTCTGTAAACATATGGGATGGGGGTAGGTACCCGTGGTTTGTTTTGGTGTTGACATTTATCGCCCGCTAACTGGATCACAGTGCCATGGGAGCAGCCATGGATCACTTTTCGGACCGGCTAAAGGCAGGAGCTGGTGCGGACCTCTTGGCTTTGGCCAAGATTACTTCCGTCAAGAGCCGAACCGCGTAAGGGAGACATTCCCAGATAGACGACCGCAAACCCTCTCAAAGCTGACACTTTTTCGGCAGCCGAATATTCTGGGGCAATGGCTTCAAGTCAGTTGCCGCTGTTGCCAATGCAGACCCCAGCGAACTTCTACCGGTGCTCATGCAAGCGCAGCCGAGCAAAGCGAGGTTGGAGATAGAAGACGAGCAAAAGTACAAGGGCAAACTACTCGCCAAGGCTAAGATCATTACAGATTCAGCGAACAAGATATGGCGTAAGGCATCCTCCCTAGGCAAGGAGATAGTTTAAGAAGAGCCCAGTCCAAGCTAACACGCAGGTTACAGAGATGGAAATGCGACTGCAAATTGACGAGGAATAGTGGCCAAACGGTATGGCCGATGCCAATTGGAGAAGATGCCGACAATGTTGTGCATCCGCGATGGCCGCCGTCATCTTTGCGTGTCTAGCCCACCGAGCTGAAAGCAATGCTAGGTCCAAGGTAAGGTAGTTGACGGACGCAGGAGGCAGATGCTGTCACTAACTCATAAAGTACACAGGTATATACGTTCGTTCGGCAAACCCCGCAGGCCCTGACGGCTCATTTTGAGTTGTCGGCAACAAAGTGGGTGGACATTAGCCAGCCACCCCCAAGCTGGCGCAATCATTACTTACCAGACTAGGCTCAAAAGGCCTAGACGACATATGGCTGAGGGATATATGATATTTACAAATGCCTTACTTAGGAATGGGACAAGGCCGAAGCCATCAACCACATCGGACAAAGGAACGCATGTGTGTACGGGTTGGCCTTTTTGACGCGCAAGGCGAGAGAGGGAGAGAGGTGGTAGACGAGTGTAAGGAATAGACGAGCCGCGAGGGGGGGCGGGAAGACGGGGCACGAGACGAGATAGCCAGCCCCAGGACAAAGAAGGTGGTGGTGGTGGAGGAGCTCGATGTAGTGGGGTGGTGCAAAGTAGCGCAGCGCAGCTTGGGGTGTGCCGATTTGCGGTCAAGCTTTGATAGAGGTGGTGGGAACTAGGTTGAGGTATGGAGGTGGGAAGGAGGTGGGCATGTCGGTGATCTGAGGCGGGGGGTCACCGCGTTTAGCCCGCTCCAAAAAAGGCGCCCAGACAGACTACACATGCGCCGTGCAGCAAGATGCAGATGCAGATAGATGCATACCGTAGGTTGTCTCCGTCTGTCGCCCGCCCAGGGCTCGAGCTGCTTTGGCCTCTAAGGTAGGCTTGCGTCGTCTCTGACCCCATCCATGACACCCACGAGAAGCTACGAGAAGCTGGAGTTCTCTGCCCCCCATTCGCCCCTCCCCCCCTTCCAGGTGCCCAAGACTTGCGCAACATTGCAGAAATTTCCTGTCGGCTCGCGCTTCTGTCCGCTTTGCAGTGCAGCGAGTAGCTCCAGACGCACCTACCTGACCTACATTAGTTGTGCCGTCGGTTCCACACTTACCATTGGCTAGACGTCGTGAGGGCAAGAGGCTGCTGCATGCTTCCTTCCCTTCCACATATTTTCCCCGTCGACCAGGACCAGGACCGGGACCAGGACCGGGACCGGGACCGGGACCAAGATCACCTACAGGAGGAGAGGAGGGCATTCATTCATTTGCATTTCATCCTGCAAGTTGCATCTGCAAATGCAAATGCATATGGCAGAGGGTCACACACCTCAACCTCACGTCCTCAAGTCCTCAACAATCCGCAGCTTCCATACTACCCAAAGTATCCTCGGTAAGTGTAGGTTAGTACTTGCTAGGGTAAAGCTCGCTTGGTTTACTAGCGACGACAGCCACACCGCCGCCGCGAGGGGGACGAGGGAGGTGCGGCCCACCCCAACGCGGCTGGAATTACCAACATGATGTATGTAGGCAAATAAGAACTGGACATCCATGGATGCATGTTTACTCAGTCTAAGTGTGAGTAAGGTACGTCCGGGATACAAGTCTTGGACACAGGTCGTACCTACCGTATGTGCAGTACTCCATACATATATAGAGAACTACCCGCGCCTGCCAACTACTAATGGGCCCTTACGCCTCGGTCCATCACCTGCAGTCTACTGACACTTTGTCGTCCTCCGTCCACCTCAGACTTGCAGCCTTTGCCTGACGGGTGGGTTAACTTGAGGCTTTGCACGACGCAGACGGTTCGCACGAGACCCAGCACTGCGTCCGATTCGCACCTCCAAAGTCCCGGCTTTGAAGGACACAAGCTGGAGCTTCTCCAATCCCCGGGCGGCAGGTCCCAAAGTGGCACACCCACAGTCCACAGTCGCGGTCCACAGACTACAGCCCATATTCAGTCTATCAGTCCAATAGTCTACAGATGGTCAGAGTCGCGGGCGAGTCCCAGTCGAGCGCGGTACATACGGTACTGGGCAGTCTCACATGCATGTCTTCTGCCGTTGCACATCGAGCGGATATATTTTGACAGCCAACCGGTGTGGCGGCCTTGCGCGCTCTTGCATCCAACAATCGGCTGCACCACCTTCGCCGCCTTTTACGCACGACCTGACAGACAGACAGACAGACAGGCAGCCCGGGAGCCCACACCTAGTTAACCTAAACTACCTTAGGTAGAGAGAGAGAGAAGAGAGAAAGACAGTCCAGCTGCACTTTGCGCCTTCGAGTCTAGTAGCTTTTTCTTGCTTCCGTTTTCGCTGCCTCGTTTATCTATAGTCTTTTTTGCTTTTTCCTGTCCTTCGTCCCCCATATGTACCTTACCTTAGCTACCTTACCTTACCATAATTATTGCTCGATTGCTGCGTCCATAACCTGACACCTACGCCAGCGCCCATCTCGCCTCCCGTCACACGGACACGCTGCGGACAACCACCTCACGACGACCTAGGACCTACCTTACCTGCCGCCTCCCCACGCCTACCAACAGATGCGCCTGCCTGCCCAGCTAGGCCCAGCTACCCTTACCTCACCCACACAGAGCTAGCTGCCCGGCTCGCCTGCCTAGGCAAAGGCAATATATACATTTTTCGCCCCCGGTCAGAGGGGACGATTTATCTCCGCTGCGCTCGCTGTCCGTCCACATCCTCGAGATCGAGCTCTTTGCGCCTTTCATCCTATAATCTCTTGCGCACGCGCATACATACCGTCACACACCCTCGCCCCCCCTCGCCCCCCCAGGTATAGTGTAGCTATTCGGATCGCATTCTATCGCATTCAAGTTGCGCATCACGGCGCAGCGCATCGCATCGAATCGCAGCTGGCGGCGACCGACCAGGGGGCTTCCACACCAATGTCTGAAGCTGTTAATAGCGGGTCCTCCGCAGGCGCTGCCGCCGCCAGTGGGAATACCAGGACGGCCGGCATCGGTAGCAGCGGCAGTGGCAGTGGCAGTGGCAGCGGCAGCGGCAGCGGCAGCGGCAGCGACAACAGCAACGACATCAACAACATCAACAACCACAGCAACAGCAGCTCCAGTGCAAGCTCCACCGTTGACCACCGGCGACATCAACAAGGCCGAAGCAATGCGCAGGAATTAACCTTGGACGACGTCATGAGGGCGCCGTCGTCAACACTCCCTGACGTCGTTGTCTTGGATTCTATGCCCGAAGGCCTCGGGCGCAAGGAGGTTCTGGATCCAAAGGAAGATCTATGGCTCTCGACTGCCGACGGGTGAGCTTTCCCTCTATTTCCTGCATCTTCTGTTGGACGTTGGTCCTGATCGCCGCCCCACCCCCTGTTCCTGCTTTCCCGGGCGGGCCAACGGCAGCCTTTTCGACCCCGATCATTACGCAGTCGTACGCACAGGCTCACACTTGAGTCGACCCTTGGTGGCCGTTGCCCATGCAATGCGTCCCTCCCTCCCTCCTTGCTGTGCAGAAGGCGCGGGGTTGCTGACGTGAGGATATATCTTGAATATCCACCTCTAGACGCTACAGCACGCCCGTCATCCCCCTGCGCGTCGGCGAGCCGCCGTATGCCGAGACCTTCTACGTAAGGCTGCCCAAGACCGGACTTCCTGCTACGTGGCCACCAATGCCGAGGGACTCTGCTAACACCGAAAACAGGTGCACAAGCATATCCTCCTGAAGTCTGAGTACTTCGAGAAGGCTCTTTGCGGCCAGTTCAGAGAGTCTAGCGCCCAATCCATCGATCTTCCCGAAGAGAATCCGGCCATCTTCCATTTTCTTATCGCCTATCTTTACGAGGGCCGCTATGACCCTATAAAGCCCATTGCCTCCGTTCTCGGTAAGTATCCGTCTGTTCCCCCCCTGAATTTGTAGGACTTGATTTTCTCACACACATCGACAGTGCCTGACCAAGACAAGGGCAAAGGGAAAGAAGCCGGCCCGGAAACGGGTGTTGAGTCGGATTCGGACGACTCGGTAGGCTCGTATGGATCTGATATAAGCGCAGTGTCTCGACGGCGGCGGGAGCGTCGTCGCCGACGAGAGGAGCGGCATTGGGAACGGATTCGCCAGAAGCATCCCGGCCACCACCGGCCCAACTGCAACTGCCCACAATGCCTCTCGGCAACGGGCCCTCCATGTTGGCACTGCCAAGCACCACGTGCACCGCCGCCGCCAGTTCCGATGCCGCACCACCCAGGGGTTATCCTCATTGAGCGAGACATGCATACCCGGGTCGAGCGACCCCAGCGCCGGCCCCCCCGGAGGCACCATGGGGCTCAGCAAGGGCCGCGGCCCGTGACGCCCCCGCCAATGCCTGGCGCCGGCCCTGATGGTGGTGCCTGGGGTCCTGCGGACCATCTGAACGGCGGCGGGCGCATCTCTGGCGAAGACTTGCGCACGTGGCTGCTGGCTTACGAACTCAACGTGGACGTGTACATCCTAGCCAACAAGTTTCTACTCGAGGGGTTCAAGCGCGAGATTGCGCGCGTCGCCATCGACATGCTCGAGACGGCCGGTGCCGACGCGGCCGTGCCCCAGGTCTTGTTTTTGTGCCACAAGCTATACGAGGGCCTGCCCGAGAACGATATGCTGCTCAAGATGATTTTTGCTCGCGTCGGCTTTCTGCAGCCGTGGCGCCGCGCCCCCGAAGAGACGCAGGACTTTCTGGTCGCCCACCCCGAGATTGCCCCGCTCCTCCTCCGCGAGATGGCCGCGCGCCGCGAGGAGGACTTCAACGGCCGCAACCTCCCCAGCATGGAGCGCCCCTGGGTCCCCACGCACCCCCCCGTCGATCCCGTCAGCCCGTACCACCGCGCCGCGCCGCATTACCATCACCATTACAGAGGGCCGCCGAGGTGGTGAAAGTGAGGTGCTAGGGGTGGGTGGGAGTGAATGCCGTGGTTATGACTGAACCCCAAATTTCAGTCGGCATTTATGCGTGTGTGTGTCTCTATGTGTTTTTCTTTATGTGACTTCTATCTCTCTGTTGGGTTGGATGAATGTTGGGTGGATGATTTTCAGTTTCTTTTGTCTGGTCCACGGGGCTCAGCCGGGTTTAGGGGGCTTTGCTTATTTACGATATCCCCCCGCAAGGAAGCTTGGGTGTTTATTTATTTCTTGGTTTCCAAAACGTGAAGGTGGTGTTTGTGTCTGGTTTACCTTGCTGGACCATCTCTGGTGAGCGAGCAAATCTATCCATCTTTTTATTTTCCAAACAAAAAGAAAACTGCACTTTTTCCGTCCTTTAGTGTTTGAGACCACGACTCGCTTCGCTGTGACTGGGATGAGTGAGGAAGTAGGCAGGCTCAAAGATTAATATTGTCAGCATGAAATAACCCTTCCCTCATCTCCTCTTCAACGAACATAACATGTGCATAAAAAACAAGTATGCATACACCTCGTCTCTCAGTCCACGGCAAAATCGCACATCACACGCAAAGTCATGCCGCAATCTAAACTCATACTCGGGCATAAGGTCGGGGACGAGCCCTCGTTCCGCGCAAAATTCGTAGTGTTCTTGGTATTTGGTATGTACCTAGACCTAACCAGCACAGTAGGGAAGTCGTCTACAATACATACAATACGGACGATATGGACCGTAGACTGTAAACATACCTAGGTATCCTTCATGACTGGACTGGTATTGCCTGACGTGATGTGATGTGATGTGCCGTGATGGGATGGGATGGGATGGGATGGGATGGGATCGTGGCCCCGTAATGAAGACCTGAACGGAACGGAAATCGCACATAAACAGACCCATCGCGCTATGCCCATGCCCTCACAACACAACACATATATAACACACACACATCTGTCTCCCCCCAGGTACACACACTACTACACTGTCTATCAACAGACTAGTCAATGGTGTCATCTCTTAAACGGAACAGCTGGGCCATGACCTCGTCGGCGCGGGCCCTAATCGCGTTGTGGTACAGCGTGTTGGTCTCGAAGACGCGGATGCCCTTGACGAGCGCGGCCGTCTCGCGCGCCAGCTCAAAGTCGACGTACATGTCATCCACAAAACTGGCCGCGTACACGGGCACGGCGTTGCGCGCCAGCTGCGCCTCATCGTACAGATCCTCCCACCCGTCGTGCGATGCCAAAATGTCGGCTGCGGCCTGGATGCGGAACAGTTCCGGGTAGGAGCCGGAGAAGTGGAACGGGAACACCATCTCACCGGAGAAGTACAGGGGTTCCAGAGGTTCGGATTTTCCTGTGGATGGTGATAGGGGCGGGTCCTTGGCCAGCCAGGCAAAGCTCGGGAGCTCCTTGCCGACGCGGAAGGCGGCCCACTGGGAGGCGAGGCCGGGGCTGTGGCAGTAGATGGCCTCGTGCAGGATGGCGTAGATTGGGTTGGTGTCAAAGGGGATCAGCTGCTCGACGGTGGTCAGGGCGGCGCGGGTGAGGGCGCCGAACTGGTCGAGGTCGGCGTCGAGCTTCAGGATGGCCGCGTGCACCAGGTCGAGCCCGCCGTGGCTGCCAAACGAGAGCCCGAGGCTGAGCAGCCGGCCGACCGTCAGCTCGCCGCCGGCGGGCAGCGGGATCGGTTTTGCGGAGGCGGTGATGTGGTCGACGATGCGGCGCACGGCGGCCACGTCCTTGGGGAACTTGCGGTAGTAGGCGCGGTTGCGCTCAGCCACCTTCTTGTACGTCGCGCGGTACACGTCGTCGGCAGTGCGGCGGATCGGCGCCAGGCCGCCCGTCATGAACACCTCGCGGAGGCCCTCGGGGTGCTTGGATAGGTAGGTGAGACTCACGAACCCGCCAAAGGACTGGCCGAAGACGGACCAGGGCTTCTTCTCGGGGGGGAAGTCGGCCGTCAGACACTTGCGCACGGCCTCGGCGTCGCGGACGATGTTGTCGGCGCGGAACAGCTTGAGGTAGTTGGCCTGCTCCTGGGGGCCGCCCTCGGCCAGCAGGGCGTCGACGTTGACGGGGGTGCTCAGGCCGGTACCGCGGTAGTCGAGGAAGAGCATCTGGTAGCCGCGGTCGAGGGCGTAGCGGGTCAGAGTGCTCTCCTGGGGCTCTCGGTTCCCGAAGCCGGGGCCGCCCTCGAGGTAGACGAGGTAGGGCTTCTTGTCGCGCTTGTCGAGGTCCGACGGTGAGGGTGTCACGATGGGCCGCTCGTGCTTCCGCACGCTGCGGCCAAACAGCTTCAGCGTGCCGGCGGCGCTGTTGGCGTAGTTCTTGGGCACCTCGAAGAACAGCTCCGTAACATGCAGCTTACCTATATTGTGTGTTGCGAGTCGAGTCAGCGACGGGTCACTGCATGAAGGGAGTCGGTCAGTCAGCCAGAGCGATGTAGTACATACCGGGAACTAGGTGCGCCCGCTGGCTAATGAGGCGGGCTGGCTGTATAACGGCAGCCATGGTGGCGACGTGATATGATGCGACGTGAGGCGATGTTGGTGTTGTTGTCGGGTCCGACGTGTTCGTCGTCGGGCTGTCGTTGAAGTGCAACTCACTCAAAGGCGAATGCGGTGAATTATTGAGGTGTATACAGGTGAAGAGGTGAGGCTGCAAATCGGCCACGGCAGCAGTTTTGCCCAACCGTCGACCGTTACTGTCTTCCTGCCAGTTGCCGCATCGATGTTGCGCCCGCTTGCTACTCCGCGGATTACCGTTTACTGCGGGTTGTTACTCGATGGGATGCATTTTCCTGGTACTTACTCTGTACAATACATACGGGCAATGGATGTAAGCGGGGGTGGTCGAGGGACAGTGACTCGGCATGTTTATCATATTACTTAGGGCGCCAAGTGTGAAGACGACATTAGACCGTGAGACAAATTTTCTTAAAAAAAAAAAAGAAAAAAAAAAAGAAGAAAAATAATGATAGGAAGAAGATTCATATTATCTTACATAAAAAAAAGGCAACACACAAGATCGCTGTGACACATTTTGTTTACTTTTACTTGCTCGCAACTCGCTCTCATCACCAGTCCACCTAGCTTCCAGCCGTCCCAGGGCACAGACGTAGTAGGGGAGTGGGGAGTGACCAAACAACTTCGGCGCTAACACGGGTCGATGGAAGCCCCTTGCGCTTAAGCCCTATCAAAACCACCGGAACCGGCCAAACTGCAGCGCCTGAGGGGTTAGTGCCGGGCGATAAAACCGGCTGGCAGCGGAAAAAGATTCCAATTCGCCTTTCTTCATCGCAAAGCAACCTGACTAACTGCCTACCTTTGACCAGCCAGCTTCAGGCTTGCTCACTCGTGCAGCTCTTATGGAAGCCGCGATACATTATTAATCGTGGCCTTCCCCGCCTCCTCCATGGGATGAATCACGTCCACCTCACCCAGACTCTGGCCGAGTCCTTCAACGCGCTAGCCGATGAAGTCCAGTCGCTGATCGATCGCAAGACAATTCTCGAGCACAAGCTTCGCTATGCGCATGAGCAGGTAAGATAACCCCATTCTCTCTTTTCACTGCCGCGCAAAGCACACCCCCATTTTCTATGATGATACTCTTTAGCTCTAGATCTGCAGCTGTCTCAAAGGCAGTAGATGTAGACAGAAATCACAATGTCTGATTGTTCTTTTGTTCCACGACTCTTCACAATTTTTTGTACACGAGCCAGGAAAACGAGTTGCTAACGATAGGTTTTACCCTCTCAGTACCAGTCTCTCGCCGATAAATATGCGCCCGCCGTCCCCGAGATAGCCGAAACGCTAGCCAAGCTTCAGCTTCCCTCAGACCTGCAGCAGCCTCTTGCGACTGCGGCCGCGCCTGTGCCGCTGCCACGACGTGGTCAACCTAGTAGCCCACGGCATCAGATCGCGCTGGCCATCAGAGAGGGCAGGAAGGCTGCCCAGCAATTGGCGGTCGGCATGGGAGACGCTAGTATTAAAGGCAGCAAGTCGAGCAAAGAGACATCGGTCTCGCCAGGTGGCGAGACGCTGACGTCCGTGTCGACCGTCCTCGAGCAAGACTTTACGGTCGAGGGCAGGAAAGGTCCACTGCGCTGTCCGTTTTCTGCAAATCTCGACGAAGCCGTCGAGAATCCCCATGTTGCCGGTGACTCGCACGACCTGACTGGCACCACGATGGACCCCACGCCCCATAAATCTTCTGACCCCATATGCGCTGCCATGATCGAGGAGACCACGTCGGCGCACCCGGCTGCCGGCGCCTCCAAGTGCCCTATCCGGTTCCTCGACAAGCACTCGCCCGAAGAAATCGCCGCCTACGTTGAGACCCATAAACATGAAATTCCCCGCAGCCACGAAGTGTGCGTTTCGCGTTATCAGAAGAATGAGGAGCAAATAAGAAAGCTCGATGCCAAGTACGGCAACCTCGTCAGCATGATCAACGACCTTAGCCATCTTCACCAGCCCATGTTGCCCTCGGCAGGAGGTGATGGCGAGCTAGGAGAGGCGGATAAAGCATCGAATAAACGAGTGGTCGAGGACTGGGCGCAGACCGTTACCGCCAGTGCCGACCCCGAGGTTCACGAGGATGAGAATGAGGTGCCCGTAGACGAGGACCGTGAGAGTCACTTTGACCGTGACCGTCCGCTAAGAGACGTGCGCGTGGGAGAGTCGCCCAGTCGCCCCTGGGGCATCTCAGTGCCCCTCTCAGCCGGCTTCCGGCCAGAGGACATACAGAGGCAAGATTCGCCCCCGCCGGCGCCCGTAAGAATGCACAGCCCTCTGCGGGCTCCTGTGAAGGAGCTGGTGGCCACCGCTGCTCGGAAATGTCCCTTCGACTTTTCGGCGCCGGGCCTCCCCGTGCCGTTTACGAGGACAGAAGGAGCCTCCAACCAGGCCGAGCCAACAGGCGGTCAAGGGACAGAGGCTGAGGCACCGTTTACCCCCGTCAAGAACCGCGTGCGCACCCGGAGTCCCCCGCGGCCAACGTTTGTAAACCCGGAAATGCCCGTGCCAAAGTCTGAGCGCGGCGGCCAACCCCCTCAGATGGTATTCAATATATCTGGGCCCGTGTTCATCGGGTATCCCATGGAGCAGGCCATTCAGTTTATGCAGCGTTTCCAAGGCCAGTGAGCTTGGATCCGCCCCTCGGTTTTTTTTTCTTTCTTTTTTTTCTTTTTTCTTTCAGTCTTGCTTGGTCCTCATCATCAGTCCTGGACTTGTTTTCGTTTTGGAATTGGGCAGCGAGGAGTTGGAGCGATAGCCGGTGTTTTATTTATTTATTTATCGATACCAACGAACGAAGGACAGGAGAAACTCCCCGACGCAGCATGTTTCTATTCATGTATTGTACTTTGACACACGCCCCTGAAGAGCGAGCGAGCTTCAACAGCATTCAAACGAATCACGCGATGATGGTTTTACATACGCCACGATTTGATGCTGCTTAGTTGAGACACATAATTCTATCTGATATTTGTACAGATATATACGTGCAGATATACATGAGATGAGACTGGCGCAGGCTGGTCATGGCTTCTGAGCGTATTCTGAATATTTACTTCGGAGAGTGACCCCATCCTGTGCGGCACTCTGTACGGCCCTGGCCTTGTTAGCAGTTGCTAGTGGGTTGCGTGGATGAAGATCCAGCTGTACAGAACCCCACGGATTCATGGCCAAGAGCCGTTTAGAGCAAAACGAATCAAAGGTGTTGTTTATTTCAAAGCCCCGAGAGGGTTTTATTAACTAACGCCTTTATCATATTATCTGGATCCCCAAGTCTCACGCTATTACTCCGAGAACAAATAACAGGAGTATTCAACAATATACACGTGGAGACAGGGTTTGATTTCCTTTTCTGCTGTTCCCAAATAATCCTTCCCCTTCCCACTCCCGTCTACTTTTCTACAGCCGTCCGTCCATCTACTATACCACAGACGCCGTACTTTCTGTCTCCCCCCTCTCTTTTATATCGATCGATATCGACCGATCGATCGCTAGGTAATTTGTACCATTCCATGTTACCCCGCACCCTTCCCAAAACAACAAACTTGGAAAATAATAATAATTAAAATAACAAGAAACACGATACATGCATGCACGCATGTCTGCCTCTCTTCCATGCTCAGAAGCAATAACAAATGTACTGTACTGCACCGTATCAAAAAAAAAAAAAACGCCGTCCCTCCCTCTAATCCTCAGCCTAATCATAGCAATGATCTTTCCCTGTCTTGCATCCATCCAAAAAAAAAAAAAAACAAAAAAAAAAACGCCGCCTCCAAAAATGCAGCACACACAGGGCGCGAACAGGAAGAGAACAGAACATAGTAAAACGAGCCAGAGTTTATTCGCTCTTCCGTACCTCTTCTTCTAGATTGGGATCCAGGATATGATGTAAATTTATGATAAGACAGGATAGGTATTCTAGATGATAAAAACAACAACAGCAACAATACATATTTATTCTTCTTGTTTGAACATGTAGGTTAGGTTGTGTTGGGTGGTGGGGAATGTGATTGAGCGTGGTGTTGGAATGAGAGCGTCTTATCATCTCTTGATGCCGTTGCCGATGCCGGAGGCTGGAGGAGCAGGAGGAGCAGGAGGAGCCTCGTCGTCCCAGGCGTCGTGGTAGCCGGCGCCGGCCTCCGTCTCCCACAGCGAGATGTCGTCGTCGTCCATCATCAGTGCGGCGGCGTCCTCGTCCTTGGCCATGGCATCGGCCGTGCCCGGGGCCAGGGCGCCGCCCGTCTTCATGAGTCTGCTGCTCTCGGCACCGTGGACGTCGTCGTCCTCGGCTTCTTCATCGTAATCGTACTCGGCACTGCCGTTGTGGTGGCGCGGACCCACTAGCATCTCCTCGTCGTCGGTCTCGCTGGCCGTGGTCGCCCCCAGCCCACCCTCCTCGTCGCCCACCTCGCGCGCCAGCTCGGCCGCCCGCGCCATCGTGCGCCGGTAGATGATCAGCCCGACGCCGAAGCCCACCAGAGCGCCGATGGCCATACTCGCGTAGTTGATGGCGCGGTCGCGGCCGCTCATCTTATCACCGCTCTCGACGATGCGCGCGAGCCGGCTGCCGATGAAGACGTGGATGAGCAGCTTTGGTCTGGTTTAAAGTGTGTCAGTACTGCAAGTTTCGGCTTCTCGAGAGTAAAAAAGGAGCTTACGTTGTCATGGCCGTTGCTAGAGCATACGATAGGGGCCTAATGCTGGGCACTGTGGCTAAGAAGCCGTTGCTCAGGCTGTAGGGCAGGGGGCAGAGGCGGATCATGGCGAGGACGCCGACGCCGTCGCGGCGGAGGACCTGGCCGAGGGCGACGAAGCGGCGGTCGCCGCCGACGAGGCGGTTGACGTAACCGCTGAAGATGCCTCGGCTGGTGAGGAAGGCGGTCGTCGAGCCGGCGATGGTGGCCGTGGCCACGATGGGCCAACCGCCGGGGAAGTCATAGACGAAGCCGGCGATGGTCACGGTCGACGAGTAGCCGATAACGGGCGGGAAGGCCGTCGAAAAGCACAGCAGCCACACGATCAGCCGCCCGCCGGGTAGCGCCCGCCACTTCTCCGCCACCGGCCCCAGCGCCGCGAAGATGCGGTGGCTGAAGACGAGCGCGACAAGTCCCATGACGCCCACCGCGGCGCCGCCAATAAGCACGAGCACCTGCTGCCACCGCGACAGCCCAAGGAACAGCTGCCACGCCTTGAGCGCGAGAGCTAGGCCCGTGTGGAACGCGTTGGCGAAGAATCCCTGTTCGGGGCCCGCGGCGTCGGGCTGGTGCGACCGCCGGCGGAGCGAATACCCCGTGCTGCCGGGCCGCGCCGAGAGGCGGCGCGCAGCCGCTGGTCTCGGCGACGGTGACGGCGGCGCCCCCCCTACCGCCGCCCCTAGTCCCGGGCCTGCCCAGGCCAGCGCCGCGTCATCAGAAACAGACGAGCGAGCCGAGGACGTCTGGCTGAACCCGCGCGGTATCCGGTCTATCGGGGCTGGGGCCCGGGCCGGGGACGAGGACATGGGGTCGTCCAGCCTCGGGAATGGGGTTGTTGTTGCGGCCATGGCGGCCGAGCCGTTGTTATATGTCCCCTTCTTCCTTGCTTCCTCTCTTCTTTCTTCCGCAAAGCCTGCGAGTTGGCCGCAAAGCCTGCCGAACTCCCCTTGTGTGCAGGTCTAGAACCCGACTGTTCTTTTTCTCCCAGCAAGTAATATTTTGATTGGAAAGGTCGACAAGTCGTCGTGGGAAAACGGGATCCTCGATAGAGTCCGTCGGTCGGCAGAGATGGGTTTAGTTGTAGTTACCTGGTCGTCGAGATCGTCGTCGCCTCCGTGGCCATTGCAGTCAATCTATCTGCGACTCGGCCGGGAAGCTTTAGAAGCAGGCGCGAAGACCTGAAACTAAGCAAAGACGAGGAACAAAAAGTCGAGACTCGGGCCGGCTTTCGGTTGATTGACAGCAAGCAGCTAGAATAGAATTAGCTCTCGTTCGTAGGGTTCGTTTATTACTTAGTCAACCAACTGACAAACTGAGGCGAGGTCGAAAAAGAAGGTTGTCTGTCAGCCTGGCGTGAGACTGAGACCGAGACGGAGTGAGCGTGAGGAAATCGGGTCCTGTCTTGAAACCCGCGTGCAGTGCACCTAATTAGTTCATTAGTTGTTCGATCGAATTCTTTGGTAGGAAGTGCTCGTTTAGGTGCCCCCACCCCCCGGAATCAGACGAAACGAGGCTTAGACCCAGCAGCGAGGCTACCCTGGTTCCGGCCCCAGCGGCAATTGGAACCTGCCAAATTGCCCTATCCGTGTACATAAGCCCGCAGACAGGTGGTCTTACGGGCCTGTCGAGCCTAGAACTAGCCCGGACTAAGCAAGCTGACAGCACCGGTGTGTCACTGGCAGCCGGCGCTCGCAGCCCGACAGGAGCGGTCCCGAATAAACCCTTTTCGGTCGACAAGTAAAGGGTTGCGAGCCTCACCTCACCTCAACTCACCTCAACTAACCTGAGGTATCATCACCTGAAGCAGCCAGGAGCCAGGACAGCCTGGAGCGGCACAGCGCAATGCGAGGTCCTGCAACGCCCTTCCTTGCCGTAAGCTGTTGTCAGCAGGCAATCCGTGCTTACCTTCCACGTTGCTTTAGGGCTGAAAATGACACAGTAGACAAAGTGAACAACATGTGTTGCAATGTTACAGAAGTTGTCTTCATCAGCAGATAATTGCGACAAGGCCTGACAAGGCCTGCCAAGTGATTATCGCGGCCCATGTCCTTGCCACCGACGAATCTGACAACATGAAGGGGTTAGCTAAACTGCGCGACTGTTAGACCTAAGCGTGCACGAGCTTGCAACCAACTGCACATGTGCCCCTCCGCCCGTCCCAGGACAGGCGGGGATAAGGACGTTGAGCGGCGCATGCCGGCACTCGAAGGAACGAGCCAGCAACCGTGGGGTTAAATCTGCGTTTGACTTTGCTCCGACTCAGCAAAGCAGCTGGACCTTGACGTCGGAAAGTCTTCTGCTATCTATGATGCTCTATATCAGCAATTCCTGCGTGAGACTCTATTCCGACCTCTCGGCTCTCTCCTTCTCAGCCGTCACCTGCCCCGATTCCCAGAGGGTCCCTTTGGCGGTTCCTTCAGCGCCGATGGGTCCCTAACTAGCAGTTTAACCTTGCCTTCTCCGATCTCGACGCCCTGGGCCAGAATGTCTACTTCTTCCTTGCTCTCGTCGTCCTTCTTAGCCAGCGTCGCTCCATCCCTAGAGAGCGACTTGTCCCAGCTGCGCGCGTCGATTCCCAGGATCCCGCCCATACTGTTCCGGTCGCCCGGAACCGAGAACTCACGGTACGCATAACGCCACTCGTTCAAGAAACTCCGCAGAGCCTTGCCCACTTTGTCCTTGCCGTTCTTGCTGTGGTGTCCCGTTCCCGTAATCGCGTAGATCGGCCTGTTCTCCTTGACGTTCTCCATCAAGATACCTTCGAGATATTCCACCGCCTCGTCGGGGTGGAGCCCGTGCAGATCCACGTAGACCTCTGGGTATTGGGCCTTGTCCTTATTGCGTTCCTCATACAGCTGGTTGGCAGCTTCGCGGTGCGCTTTCCTCATCAGATCGTTCTCACTTTGTCCCCGCAGGCTTAGAGCCTTGGCCGCCCGCGCGTCGTTACGGTTCCAAGCTTGAGCAGCACTATGAGTCAAAGTTAGTCGCCGTCCACTTATCCTGGCGCCGGTGACGCTAGAATCACGTACCTCTGTAAAAACTTGTTCCTGAGACCGCCATGCTTGATGGCCTCTTGGCGCGCCTTGAGATAAGCCTTGTTTGCTTTGTCACCCGTCTCAAGCCAGGGGATATGCCTCGGATTTGGGATCGCCTGCGCTGCTGCGCTGTTTTCTCCGTTACGGACGCTAGTTGAGCTACCGTTTCTCGTAATTTTACGATCTTGCCGCACCGGCCCTAGAGTTGGCGACGGCGACATTTTGACAATATCTGCAAGCGTGCTTGGTAGCAGGTTTTCCTTGGGACCGTGGCCGTGCCCGCCTCTTTTGCCATGATGTTTCTTGCCCTGCTTTGCCGAGACCGACCCGAGAGACGGAAACGCATCGGCATCGTCCGGAGATGGGGCTGCTTGTGGAGTCTCCTTTTGCTGATGCCGGCTTCCCGGTCGCGAGCGCGGACGTTCCCCAGGATATCCGTGGTGCCCCTTGAACCCAGGCGGCGGGGTGATCCCAACCGAAGGATAGCCGGACGCGGCAGCAAAAACAGGTAGCTGCTCCGGCGTCGCAGGCTGCAGCGAAGGAAAGTTGTTGTAGTCCTGTACGTTGACTGATGCGTGCTGAGTGGGCGGTGTGCTTGAGCCGTCAATTTGAAGCCTGTTTGCGAGATGAGAAGGATCGTGTGAGAAAATGCAAGTGTTGCCAGCAAAACAGTTACCCGCAACCCAGTACCTAGACCTTGTGTAAGCATTACGGCGCTCCCAACCAGGAGGGCACGTCTAAAACTTACTTGCATATGTGACTGGTCAAGTCGTGGCTGAATCGGCAGTCTGACCGTAGACACTGGCCGGTAGACAGGAAGAATTTGCAGATAGCAGTCGACTTCTGCTGGTCGGCTGGAGTTGTCGGACGCGCATCCGGAGTCATCGACTTGCCAATCACTACCACTCGGGCCTCTTCGGCCTGGGCAGCGAGAGCGAGACTATCCTGTATCTGCGTGTCCATAATGGCAGCGACCGTAGCTCCGAGATCGTAGCCGTGCATGGCAAGGGCCGCGCCTATCTCCTCATCCGTCTTGGACTGACCCAAGATGGACCTTAGCATGTCGTAGGGCGTCATGTCGTTTTGCTGCGACGAAACGAACTCGGGAGCGGCCACGTTCAGCCCGCTCGAGCCGCCAGCAGAAGAAGTCACGTTCACAGCGTCGTCCGCCACAAGCCAGTCCACGATATCGGACTGGTAGTCGCCAAACACTTCTTGCGACGGAGCATCGTCGTTGGCGAACTGATAAGCATTCAGGCTCGGGCTGTGCGGAACAGGAGCAGCAAAGGCCAGCCGGGGAGACGGCCGGGGCGAGCCAAAGGGCGAGGCAGCCGTCGACGATTTAGCCCGACTGAACGTTGTCGGCACGAAGCCAGGCGGGGCAAGTGGGCTGACGCCTAAGCGAGGGGAACCCGAGAGCGGGGTCCCGGAGCCGCGCCACGAGGCCGGTGATGGACGACGCAAGATGGTCTGCCGGATGGGTGGAGGGGAGGTCGCGCTCCCCCCGCCATCACGGAATCTCCACAGCGCATCCAATATGGCATTCTCAAGGACTTGTCCAACCAGGCTCGTCTTTTCCTTCAGCAACTCTTCCAGCTTGTCCGTCTTGTCCTCATCCTCGATAGTCAGATCCTGGAGGATGGGGAGGCAAAGCTCGTACGTCTCGTCGGATACCATATTTGCGTCTGTCGCGTGCTGGTTTCGAGGAAGGCGGCGTTCGTTGGTGTGTTGAAGGGGAGAGGAGGGAGTGGGGGAGGCGCTGGCGACCTAATCACGAGGACAGTTGGAATTTCAAGCGCGCGTCGCTACGCAGCTTTGAAGGGTATAGTACAGGCTTCGAGCCAGCCTCGCCGTGTGAAGTGCGATACGATATTATGTGGTGTATCCCAGCCGGTGCCAGGTTGGGCGACTGAGGCGCTGAGAGACGAAGGGAGAGGGGGCTGGGGGTCACGGACGCATAGTACAAAGCCAGCCGCTGTGTCACTGAGAGACGGCGGGAGGCCTACTTCTGGAGCGTCCCAAGAATTCGCGATGCAGACGACGCCTGTCGTCTAGTAGCATGTTGGCATCGTGAGGTTGGAACTTTGAGTTGCTTATGTGTTGGTTGAGAACGGGTGTGAGCAGGGTGGGTAGGGAGGTATCGCAATGTCGGGAATAGGCCACCTAACGGAGTGGATGGCAGGCCGAAAGAGCAGAACCAGGGCAGGCTTCGGAGACGGAAGGGATTAGTTAACGTTAAAACGTTATTGCCTGCAGAAGGGTTCCGGCTCGCGACCTCCGGAGTCACAACCTAGAGCCGGCAGGATTGACAAAGATAGGACGGACGACGAAGAACACAAAGCGCGACGGTGTTGGGATCGGAGAAGGCGAGCTTCAGCTGTGATCGGCACTTCGGAGACAACCTTACACTGGGCTGGAGCAGGAGCAGCGACGGGGCCTGAGTGGAGGGGCCGCGTGAAAGTGCCCATAGTCTGGAGCGCCTGCAGTTAGCACTTGGCCTAGGTCGGTCCGGCGTTATTATGGCGGGCACAGGCAGCACAGCCGCGGGAGAATGGTGCAGCGGGGGGAGTCGACAGCAGTGGAAGTGGATAGATTACTGTAGGTAGTTGGGGGAGGGGGCGTTCAGGGAAAGAGCGATCCATGGATGTGTGGGGTTCGGTGAATGCACAACTCCATACCAAGTGATACCTACGCCGTACGCCCCGTAATCCGTGCCCTTGGCCCCTACTACAGCCCAGACTATCAGGAGTCCTGCACCAATGCACAGAGAGCCCGAGCCTATTATTGGGCGACGGTGCAACCCAACGAATAATTAACGGCTGTGAGGCCGCCTCAACAAGAGCGAGCTGATTGGTGTAGCCCGGCGAGTCACCACCGCACTTGGTGCTGGACGGACTTGCCTCATCAGGCCACCACTCCATAACCGCTCCATACTAGTAGTACCTTGTACACGTTCGGAGCCTCTAAGCAGTTGAGTTGGCCCACCCAATCACCAGCAAGCGAGGCCAGGCAAAGCACAGCAGACGTGCCTGGGAATTGCGAACAGTTTTGGAGAATGGCCAGCGCAACATTCCGAGCGTGCCATTGTCTTTCTTTCCGTCCAGTTGCAGGACCGACGGCAACACCGAAGCCAAAAGAGACGGGAGTCGGCCCAAGCCACAGCCCACCTCATATACCCAGATCGCTGCGCATCGGTCTCAGCCACAGCGTGCATGATCTTGGGCGTGCACCATTTTATGACACGAGGAACGGACGAACATCGTCTAGGGCCCAATCCCGGGCTGCGCGCTAGACATAAGCTTTCAGCCCGGTGACGATAAAGCTGCCGCCATCTCACGACGGCTTGGAACAGGACTGGAGGCTGATCCAGATCCCATCTGACTCTCTTTACATACCTCTTTCAATATATCTAGTCTTTTTTCCCAGCACAGAACCGAACCGCTCCCTAATACATTTCTAGTCAGCCCTGATCCCCAGCCGAGTGTGAGAGCCCATGCCCTGGTAACCACCTAGGGGTATTTACTGGTTTCCGAGTCCTAGTTGACATGCTCAATCATCATGGTATTTCCTAGCCGTCGTCTCCAAACCCGAACCCGAAGCTGAACCCGGCGCTCTTCTTCTGTGGCTGTTCCTCGGCCCCATCATCGCCAGCTGCGAAGTCCCATCTTCTTTTTTTGTGCACTTGTTTCTCTGCCAGCTTTCCGAGGGCTTCCTCCAACAGGTCCGGATACTTCTCTCTCAGCCCAGCCACAAATATGCTGTACGGTTCGGTTACCTCCTTCTTGAAGCCAGACACCTGGTCTGGCCTGTCTTTCAAAAAGGACAAGACGTCTGGGAGGTGAGATTTCGGTACAAAGTTTTGAGTCAGGGCGATTCCGGCCTCGAGATTGACTACCAGATGCCACCATCCACTTGGGACGTGGAGGATTTCGCCTGCATTGCAAATGCCCTCTCTGCAGTCTGGCAGCTTCCGGGCTTCTGCTTGGAATTCGAGAAGCCATTCGGCGATGCTAAGGGGGCTGGTGACCTCACTGTTGTCCTTGGAGACGTACACTCCGGGCACCGCAGTTGTTGGGGGAAACATGATCCAGTATTTTGCGCCCTGGATCACAGCGTTCCAGGCACTTGTCGCATTGGGGTCCTTATGGAAAGTAGAGCCGCTCCGAGCGGGTCCAATAATGAGCCATCGGTGTGCCGGCCGTGCTGTGCCGAGGAGCTCGAATAAGTCAGGACCAAAGCAGTCGGGCTTCCAGTATGCCGCACCGCCCCCCTTGCTCACCTCAATATCCATCTTCTCGGCGAATTTCCGATCAAATAGGTAGAGGGGGCTTTCATCCTGGCTGTCCAGCATATACCGATAGTAGGTTGCAAATGACCAGTCCACAGCCTCAGCTCGAAAGTTGACATTCGAGTAGCGGTCCAGGAGGCTGCCAAGGTTCCAGGACTGATAAGCCGGCCATGACTGGATGTGTTTTGTGAGAATAAATGGCTTACTGCTCCATTTATCTGCAAATTCTGCGTATGACAGATCTTCGAAGCGGTCAATTTGGTTCTTTGCTGGGATGTTTGCGGTGTGGTCATGAAGTGCTATGTGGCTGCAAACAAACGGGCGATGGAGGACGTCGGAGAAGACGTTGCTACAGTCCACTTGGATCCGTCGCTCTAAAGTCAGGCCCAGGACAGTTGCCCTCCATGAGCCAAGCCATGTAAAGGAAGACTGTTTTCCGAGTTCCGACCTAAAGCTGAGTCAACAAAGATTTTCCTTATTTGGGTACGCTTGGAGGCCAGTTTATGAGACTCTAAAAAGAAAAACACCAAGACGCCCTCGCACATTGTCCTGCTAAACTTAAACCGCACAGACACAAGCCAGATGCAAACTTTCAATATATTTTGACAAAGGAAGGCAAGCTTAGTGACTAAGGAAACCGCAACTCCAAGAGCAAATCTCAAAAGTCCCGTAGTAACTTATCGTGTTATACGGCTTGGTGGAATTGGGGAGAACGAGAGTGAAGAGTGGCATCTAGAAAGGGTGCAATGCTTACTCGAGGAAAATGTATTTCCAGACATCGTCTGACATGCAATGGGCGAAGAGAAACTTGCAGGTATACCCAAAGAGCCTCAGGCTGCGTTTGTCAAAATACTCGAGAAGTTGCATTAACATCTCATCGGGCAGCACTTGTAAGGAGCCCAAGGACTCGCGAGCATCGTTGCTATTGTCAAAGAACTTGTTGCCCAAGGGTTTGATCCGGAGAGGGTGTGGAGGAATGGAGGGCCCAGAAGTCAACGTCAACTGGTGGTGGCCATCTGTGTGACTCCCGCTGCCGTTTGTCTCCAAACCAAGACTTGCGATTTGCTGTTGGTCGTCTGAAAGGAACATTTTGAGTTGGCCCCCCAAAACGCAGGTTGCCGAAGGCTCAAAGAAGAAGATTTGATAGGTTGGCTGCGGAAGGAGGACGGGTTAAAATGTGACGTCCCATGGATTGGGATGCGTTTAGCGCCAGTGTGCCCTATGAGTCAAGTCTGAGGGAGCCTAAATGAAGAGGCAGCCTGGAAGTCTGGTAAGGTGAGGCGAGACGATGCCGATTCCCTCTCGCTCACCTGCAAACTGCCAAGTCTGAAATGCCCCACCAGATGGAGGGGACAAAAATTAGATATGCACAAATTTGGAAAGAAGATTTTGCCCCAGTTGGCTGGAGCTGATTGCCCCCACCAAATGGTGGCCGCCCTTGTTTTGGAGAAAGGATAGAGGGGAAATTGTAGCTGCCTGAGGCACCAATAAATTTCTCGCTCGCCAAATTGAATTTTTATCGCTGGCAGCGCTCAGGCTCTTTTTCCCTCTGCTCACCACCTCCAACGAGAACAATCAACAAGACCTTACGACATTTTCCATAGATTCAGACGCTCCTGGTATTTACTGGGACTCTTGAATCTATTTCTATTCTCGTAATCTAATTTCGATCGTCTGCCGCCCTCACGACTAGACGTTTGCGGATTTTTTTTTAATTCGCTGCCCCTCCATCTTTTTCGCTCCCACCCACTCGATTCTTAGATTCAAGCCGGGCTTGGATCTAAGAATTTTCGCGAACAACCAACCGCAATCATGGCTACGGATAAGGGACTCGAGGACGTCCCTGAGGGTACGTTTGTCGCGCGCAAAGCCCTAGACTGGCGGATGGTGCTAGGCGCTGCGCAAAGCATGCGCCGGCCGACTCCCTCCCTGTGTCGGGCACCCCTATACCCCGTCGCGGGCCGATTTCGAATGCGCCGGCTAACTCAACTGCGAATACAGGACAGATCGAGTCTAACTACGATGAGACCGTCGATTCTTTCGATGAGATGAACCTGAAGTCGGAGCTCCTCCGAGGTAAGAACTAGGCTGGGGAGAGAGGCGTCGGTGTGGCGATAGGGCGCACATAGACTAACGCCTCGAAAAGGAATCTACGCTTATGGCTTCGAGCGCCCGTCTGCTATCCAGCAGCGCGCTATCATGCCTGTCATCAAGGGTAAGCCAACCAAGCCTCCGGTCTGCTCTCAACTGCTCCTCGTCTGACAATGCCAAAAAGGTCACGACGTTATCGCTCAGGCCCAGTCCGGTACTGGCAAGACTGCCACCTTCTCCATTTCGGTCCTTCAGAAGATCGACCCCAACATCAAGCAGTGCCAGGCTCTCATTCTCGCCCCCACTCGCGAGCTTGCTCAGCAGATCCAGAAGGTCGTCGTCGCTATTGGCGATTTCATGAACATTGAGTGCCACGCCTGCATTGGCGGCACCAGTGTCCGTGACGACATGAAGGCTCTCCAGGATGGCCCCCAAGTCGTTGTTGGAACGCCCGGCCGTGTCCAGGACATGATCCAGCGCCGTTTCCTCAAGACCGACTCGATGAAGATGTTCGTCCTCGACGAGGCCGATGAAATGCTTTCGGTAATGTTCCCTGAAACAGCCTTTGCCAGGAAGCTTGTGTTCTAACTCTCGACAGCGCGGTTTCACCGAGCAAATCTACGACATCTTCCAGCTTCTTCCCCAGTCGACCCAGGTCGTCCTGCTCTCGGCCACCATGCCCCAGGACGTGCTCGAGGTTACGACCAAGTTCATGCGCGACCCTGTCCGCATCCTGGTCAAGAAGGACGAGCTTACCCTCGAGGGTATCAAGCAGTTCTACATTGCCGTCGAGAAGGAGGAGTGGAAGCTCGACACGCTGTCGGATCTCTACGAGACCGTCACCATCACGCAGGCCGTTATCTTCTGCAACACTCGCCGCAAGGTTGACTGGCTCACTGACAAGCTCACTGCCCGTGACTTCACCGTCTCGGCCATGCACGGCGACATGGACCAGTCGCAGCGCGACCTGATTATGAAGGAGTTCCGGTCGGGCTCTTCACGTGTCCTGATCGCCACCGATCTCCTTGCCCGTGGTATTGATGTCCAGCAGGTTTCCCTAGTCATCAACTACGATCTCCCCGCCAACCGCGAGAACTACATTCATCGCATTGGTCGCGGTGGTCGTTTCGGCCGTAAGGGCGTTGCGATCAACTTTGTCACGGCCGACGACGTGCGCATGATGCGCGAAATTGAACAGTTCTACAGCACCCAGATTGAGGAAATGCCCATGAATGTGGCCGACCTAATCTAGGTGGCACCCGCATTGTTCACGACGAATCTCTTTCTCTTTGTCTCGGCATACCATACCCCACGCATTCACAATTCGACATCAACATCCCGCAATATACGTGGGGGACATCGTGTTGCGGTTTCTGATAGAGAAGGATTGCTATTTTATTGATCTGGAATTTTGCGGCCTGGCATCTGGTGAGATTTGTTCACCAAAAAGCGCTGGTAAGTAGGAAGGCACTTGCACCGTTATCTTTATTGGATGGTGCCTGGTGCTCGGAGCCTATCAAAAAGGGCAGGGGTTTTGATTGCCTTTATCGACGTTTTCTCAGTGTCATCTGTAACTAGTGTCCAGGAAGTTTTCTCAAAAATGCGACGTAGACTGACTCTTCTGCCTCCTTGTGTTGATGAAGAACGGTGTCGAGCTGTTAGTGTCTGCCGGACAGTAGGTTACAGGGTTCACAGAATAATGTCTAATTCAATTCATCTTGATAACGACGGAAATGTCTCTAGAAGCAATCAGAAAGCAGAAAGCAAGAGACGTACGTCTCAACTCAAATGTAGAGCGATTCATGTTTGCTTAGCCACGACGGTCGTAGGACGATTCGTGGCGTGTGTAGTTGGTTTTGCCGCACAGCGGCCTAACAGCCCAGGTTACAGCGTGGACTATGCACCCGACTGGCGCATTGCCCCCTGCCCACTAGCTGCCCCACTCCACTCGCGCGAGGTTGGCTCAGGCCCAGATCGGCTGCCATGGCTCGCGCCAGCCTTTCTCGAGTCTCGACCTTCCACAACCGACTGCTTCTCAATAATTGTCAATCGCGCATCATCATTACCGAAATCACAGCGTGCACTCTGTCTCGCTACTAGTAGCCTCACTGTCCGCTTAAATCGCCCATTATGGACCCCGGTCTCGATCGCAGCCTAGACGAGATTCTCGCCGAGCGCAAGCAGGTGCGTGCAAAGATCCGCGTCACGCTTTCTTTCCCCGTCTTCTCCCTCCTCCCTTCCCCGGACACGACCCACTAATGCGGATGGTTGCAGAATGGCGGTGGCGGTGGCAGCGGCGGTAGAGGCCCTCGCGGCGGCCGAGGCAATGGCAGCAACGCCGGAGGCGGAGGCGGCGCCGGCGGAGGCCGTCGGCGTGAGAGACAAGATTATCCCCGCGATGGTGTCAGAAAGGTAAGTCTCGCCCTCACGCGGTCTTCAATCGCATGGTGACTGAGCATTGGTGCGCCCCGCAACAGGTTGAATCCTCTCCTCTCCCCCTCTAGATACGCTTCTTCTCTGCACGCCCGACCCTCAGATCTCGACGGCAGCCATCACACATCACGGCCATGCGCTCCATAATGCCTCGGATCGCGCGCCCGAGGAAGCGCTTACTTGGTTTGAACCCCCGGCTAACAGCTGCCGACTTCTTCGGCGGGACGACAGTCGTACAGAGACGATGCCCCGCGAAACCTAGACACGTACGCATGACCCCTTCTGTGGAGCCCGAGTGCGGAGTGTTGACTGACACGTCTTTCCCGCGCAGCGAGTGGGTTCACGACAGATTTGAGGACAATGGTAATACTCGCATTTTATTTGCGATGCTGCTTGGAGCAGACTGGGTGGCTGCTAACAGGCGCAGCAGGAAATCGCCGGTCCCAAAGACGGCGACACTCGCCAGATCCGTCCAGGTAAGCAACGCCCATGATCTCGTCGAGAACACTTTCAGCCTAACATTATTCTGCAGCGATCCGAGAGGGTCCAAGATCAGAGTCGATAACATCCACTACGAATTGACCCAAGAGGATCTCGAGGTAAGGCTCTACACCCATATAGAGTTGCAACAGGTAGAGAAGGCACTCGACGCTAACCTATTCTCTTTTTTCCCCAGGGGCTATTCTCAAGAATCGGACCCATCGTCAAGCTCGACATTAAGTATGACCGAGCCGGGCGCTCCGAGGGCACCGCATTTGTCACATACGAATCTAACTCGGACGCTACGAAAGCAATTCGCGAGTACGATGGAGCCAACGCCGCAGGTATGTAGAGGCTCTAGAGGTTTGACAGGGGGCTTGTCGCAACTAACACAAGCCGCAGGGCAACCCATCCGTCTCACGCTGATGCCCACTGGCCCGAGACGCAACCCCTTCGACTCGGCCGTGCTGCCGGGACGCTCGCTCGCCGAGCGCATCACGGTGCTCGCGGGCCGGTCGCGCTCGCTCTCCCCGCGCCGCGAGTCAGACGAGGAGGCCGCACGCAAGGGGACCGACAGGTACCGCCCGGCAGCCAAAGCCAGCCGGTCGCGCAGCCCGCTGCCCGCTAGGCGAGGACCGCGAGATGGCGGCGGCCGCAGGCCCGGCACGCGCCGCGAGGGCGGAGGCGACCGCGGAGGCGAGAGAGGCAGGCGAGGCGGTGGTGGAGGCGAGAGAGGCGGGGACCGCACCCGCGAAGGTCGCGACGGCCGACCCAGGAAAACCCAGGAGGAACTGGACGCTGAGATGGAGGACTACTTTGGCGGCGGCGGCGGCGCGGCGCAACAGGCTGACGCTGGCCCTGCTACTGGCAGTAATGGCAACGCGGCTGGTGCCCGGGCACCGGTTGAGGATGATGTTGACATGATTGAGTGAGCCGGTCGGTTTTCTGTTGTGGGGATTGGTCTTGACCGGAGAATGAAACAAAAAAAGATGAGGGCTATCTTCGTGATATCAGCAGAATGGGCGATGAGGAAGATATGAGATTGTACCTTGCTTTTGAGAGGAATTGTCCCGCTCTCGTATCTGCCTTAGACATGCTAGCTAGCTTAGTTATGTGCTCTCGTTAAAGTGGCCTTGTCTGGCTTTCTCTTTCCGTTTGTTTCGCCTATCTTAAGTCTAGTGATGTACTTGTTTTGCTTCTTGGAGTGAGTGTTTGTAGTACCCGCTTGCTTGGCCATATACACAGGAGTTCATAGAACCTAGCCAGTCGCCCCGCTCCATCTGAAGTTGCCGACGACGGCGACGCGAACGATACCAAGTTCCCCAGTCGAAGACCAACATGGTGTGCGGTGATATATATATATATATATATAATATATTTGCGCTGAGTAGCAAAAAGGCATATTATCGATGGCATGAGGAAAAGGCGAAGGTTTCAAAAAATAAAATACATACCACCATACTCTAGAAGCAGAGAAAGCGGTGTTCTGGCCGCCGAATTTGGCTGGCGCATGCTGTGACGGCGTTTAGCAACACCCACTACCGCTGCACCACACCTTCCAAAAGGATGCCAGAATTACAAGCCGTCAGGCTGCAATTCTATAGTGGGTTATAGTATGGTCACGCACCCGTAGGGCCTCAGCGCCTACCGCCGTGCCGTGACACATGCCGCTATTTTTGGCGGCTTCGACACCAAGTAACAAGTCTCTTACAAGTACCGTATGGGTACCTGTATCATAGTAGCCTTTCTAGCGCGCATCTATGGAACCGATGAATGCATAGCCTACCATAAGGGGCCTTGAAAGAAATAAAGAAAAAGCGAGGTTAAGAATAAGTCGTTACAATTAAAATAGCCGTTATAAGCTTTGTTGGGTTTTATATATATATTTTAACGTTGACTCTTTAAATAATTATATATAAATAACCGTAAGATGTTACGATCCTGGCTCAGGCGTGCAGATGGCGGCGCTAGAGCCTCTGCAAATTGGCAGGTGCAACCCAAACGGTGGAGACCGCCCACTGGATTGGTGCAGCCAATCAGGAATTGCTCTGAGAGATTAGTCGCCAAGAGCCGCAGAGCACGAAGAGCAGTAGCGATCTGTGTGATACAGGCGCTCTGTAGGCAGAGCGCCCGGGACCCACCGAGCATCGAAGGGAAGGACTCTGATTGGTTATTCATATTCTATATAGGAAGCTGGAGGAACACTCTCTGGGAGATGGTTCCTCAGCTATCAATGCATATGGTTTATCATTCATTGCTTGACTGATTGAGAGTGAGACTCTCGGAATCTGTGCACTATTGTTTACTCCTTATACTTCGCATTACCTGTGTGGTTCGCCGCACTGCAGCTCACCCCCCCCCACCCTCACAGTCCTAGACCGGGTCTAGCTTCGTGGAACTCTCGGTGTTTCAGATTGTAACATAAGAGATAAAATTACGTAATAAATATGGCCTGATTACCTTCGGTTATTGGAAAAAGTATATTATTAGCTTTTTCTACAGCCGAGTTACTAGGTTACCTCGGCCTAGTAGTAGCATATATTTCATTTTTCGGCGTGCAGTTACGCCCTGTTGCTTCCAGTACCAGTACCTGGTGATTCCAACAAATATACACGCCGTATGGCCTGTTACAATCTGGAACACCGAGAGTTCCACGGAGCTAGGCTCGGCCTAGGATCGTGAGGGTTTGGGTGGGTGGGCGATGAGGAGTGAACCACACAGGTAGGTTGAAGTGTAAGGAGCAGTGCAATAGTGCACAGATTGCGGGAGCTGTATCCCAATCACACAAACAATGAGTGATAAACCATATGCATTCATAGCTGGGGAACTCTCTTTCCAAGAGAGCTCCCAGCTCTTCCTATATGGAACTATGACTAGCCAATCAGAGTCCTGCTCAAGGTGATCTGCTCACAGATCACCTAGAAGCAACAGATCACCCAGCTCTGTACGCTGTCTATCTTGGCGACAGATCGTACAGAGCACATCCTGACTGGTTGCACCAAGCCCATGTGGGTCCAGCCCACCCGCTTTGCACTAACCCAATCCGCAGTCGGCTTCCTGCACACCTGAGCCAGGATCGTAACACTAAGCTAAGTTCCCGGCTTATGTAATTCAGCTGAACGGAGCCACCGTAGGCGAGCTTGCGAGCCGGAGGTGGCGTAGAGAGGCTGTCTCGTCTACTTTACCGTGAAGGTGCCGAAAGTTTCTCGCCCGGGGGGATTGGCCAGTTTTCGTCCGTATGGAAATGGACTGGGCTGGGGGACTGGTCAATCGGATAAGCCTCGGATCCCTTAAGCCGCGTAATACCGAGCGCAGCGAGCAGCCCGCCACAGGGGCCCCCGGAGGGCCGCCGGAGGCACCAGTCAGCGACCCCTTCCTGACTTGCCAGGTAGCTTATTTTCTAATTGTCCTAACGCCGGTCTCGCTTGCAGGGACTCGCCGCATGCCCTGATGGTAGGCCTGTCGCTGTTGGGCGGCGACCGCACTGGAGGCGCTGAGCCCGTTTCATGTTTTTGGAGAAAGTCTCCCATTGGGTGCAGCGATCCAACGTCCAATCACATCCCGTTCTCAAAAGGAGAGCCGCGACTGGGTTATTTTGCTGTTGCCGCCAAGCGTGCCATTCACCCTTGCTTGGAATTCCTGTGTCACTTTGGGGCTGCCGTTTTTGGCCATATGTTGGGTCATCAATACTGATTTCTGATTGGCTAGTCTGATCTCGGCAGCTCAGCCCAGACATTCTCTGCATACAGCTGTAGGTTCTGAATGCTAAGTACAAAATCTCCCTCTTGCGAGCCTAGATCGCGAAGAAAAAGAAGTCGAAATCCTAGTACTAATGCCCCCCTAGTAACATTGTACGATACTGGATTTGTTGTCTCATCGCGGGTGATGGTGATTGACTGCCGTTCCACTGGGTTGAGAACACCATTCTGCTGTAATATAGCAGCAGCTCGACTCCGCGTAATCACTCCTTGTGGACTCGAGATTTCTTCCTCCCATTTCTCTAGCAAAATGTGGTGTTGCTGGTCGTCAAATTTCGCCAGAATGACAATCTTAACCTCGTGGTTTGATGCCTGAAACCAATACTGCATATCCTTGTGAAGTTCGGGTAATGTTTCGGAATGTCCAGACTCAATGACTAGTGTTGGCCAATTACCTGCTCCTATACGTTCCGGCCGTGGACCGCCTGTCGAATCGCCTTCTCCGCCATCTCCTCCAGGATGACCTTGTTGCCGAAATGTTGTAGTACCTATATGTTTCCACTTTTCCTCCGTAGTACTTCGGAGATACGGGCCATAAAGTCCTAGGTGAAGGGCCTCGTGTAGATCGGTTGGGATTGTGATGATCAAGATCTGGGAATTGGCATTGTAGCGGCGTAAACGGAACTTTCGGTATCGTTTCTTTTGCCTAGTCATTCGCCTAGTGTCTCGCTTACGCTCGATTTCGGTGAATTGATCAGGAGAGACGTCTAAATAATTAGTATATTATATAGAAATAAGAGAGTAATATCATACTTGTAACGGTAAGGAAATCCCCAGTGGTGGAATTAATAATATCGAAGAGGTATTGGTAAATCCCACAGTCAGGAGATCGCTATCTTTCGTCGACTTAACTGAAGTAAGTATGGTAGACGCCGATACCGACGAAGCCGACACCGACGGAGATATCGTCGACCTCGATATAATTGCCGCCATGGCGAAGCGTTGAAGTTTGAAGTTGGGATCTGTAAGATGCATGGAGGAAGCCACTGGAGGGGTACGTGCTTATGAAAATGGCGGGGCCATACTAGCCAAAAATCACAGCCCAGACAGCGACACAGACACTCCTCGTGGAATTGCTATAACCGCGGGGCGACTTCTCTCTCTATTTTCCAGATCTAGAATGAGGTGAAACAAGATAGATCGGGGTTGCTTGCTTGCTGCCCGTCGTGGTTTGCACATGGGTTGTTTGTTTCTCTGCGTGCAATCGTGCTTGCATCTGCATCTGCATTCTTTGGCGGAGGGATTCTTATTTATCTTTGGGCGGAAGGACATGGAGTCGTGGGGTCAGAGGTGGGGGAGGGTGCCTTTCCCGGATCGTGCAGCACCGTGTTCTCGAACACATATACATACGTATGCATGAGCATATATGATACTGTTGGAATAGCGACATTCACGACCGTACCTTTGGTGTAGGAGGGAGGTGGTGTGAGTCACGTATTAGCTCACGTGCCTACGTGAGCGCACGGGACTTGCGGATATATCTACCAAAACCAGGTTCGCATACCCTTCTACTTCTTCTTTAGCTTAGTATCAGAAATATAGAGAACAATCACAACCCCACCATTAGTAGTACTACTACGCAAGCTTCAGGACCCAGCCATTAGTGGTATAACCGGAATACCACGAACAGATACCTCGTCGGAATTTAATATCTGTAGTACCTGTGTTGTTGAAAAGCAAGGTGTATTGCCTTTTTGGTTGGGAGGGGGTTTCAACATGTGTTCATTTGGCAACTACGTATCGTACCTAGTGTGTTTGTCTGTTTGTTTCCAACTCTAATTAACTACCCATCTCGACTGACTGTCTGTCTGTCTGTCTGTCTGTCTGTCTGTCTGTCTGTCTTCTGTCTGTCTTGTCTGCTTCCCCTGGCTGGCTAGCTTACTACTGACTGTCCACCGCCGACGTCTCATCGTCTCATCGTCTCATCTCATCTCGTTTCGCACGCACATCCTACTACTTCTTCACATCATCATCACCATGATCAACCTCGCCCTTGGTCGGGACCGTCGCCCCGGGGACCATGCCCTCGACGTCCTGGCCCGCGTCGTGCGTCCCCGTCGACCCCGACAGCTTCTTGCTGCTGCCGTTGTTGCTGTTGTTGTCATTGCTGTTACTGTGCGGTCCTGGCGTTGTTGTAATTGTTGCCACGTCATGGATGTGCGCCTTAGTGGTTGCTGCTACGGGCGGCACGGCGTCGTTAACCGTCGGCCCGTCGCGGGCGCCGATGGGGTTTCCGCGGCCTGAGTTGGTTGCCATTTGTTTGCTCTATTAACTGTTTGTGTGTAGGCTATGTAAGTAGTGTTAGTTGATGTGTTGTGTTTGATTGAAAGTGAGTGAGTGTAAGTTAGTTCGTTCATTCAGTTGCCAGAGTGAATTAGGAATAATTGTATTGTAGGTGAACGGAATGTAAGGATATTTAATTAAATTAAAGTGTTTTGCCTACCTGTCTACGGATACACTTGTAATGATCGCAAGTGTGGTACTAGTTATGAAGTTGTTTGTCCCGAAGCTTCGAAGTGGTGGTGTGTTCGGGTATCTTTTTGAACTGAAGACGACTTGTGTGAAATCCCGACATGTAAGTTCAAGTCGCCGGAGGGAATGATGTTAATGATGTCAGAGGTGTGCCACTAATGGATGTGTTACGGTATCCGTATCGATGGCTTGTAATTGGTAATTGCTGGCTTGGCGGGGATAGCACGGACCTACGTATTGATACCGTTAATTACCTCACCGAGGTGAGCAAGTACCTTACCTACGGAATATCGAACCTCGAATTTCCTTTCTGAGATTCGCGTCGGTTGTCCTCGGTATCTGATACGTACGCGACTCCTTCACAGCCAGGCCACCGTGATACTTGGTTTCTGATAATATTTACGAGTAAAAGACATTGCTTGGTGCCTGAGACTCGACTTTCCTTTCCTACTTTTTCTTTTCTTTTCTCTCTTTTTTTTCTTTCCGCCAAGACCAGAGAGACCATGTGGCAATAGCAAACACGCCGAAATGCTCCTGGTTAGACTCTCCCCAGCAAAGCTGGTATCGGTGCGCCGTGTTGTTCAGTGGCACAGGATAGCCCGTAGGCTCTCAACTTCGACCTCGTCGTTTGGCGGCCTCTCAGTTGCTCTCAATCTGTTGACGGCGTCCAAAGTGGGTTCTCAGAGGCCATCCCCGCTGTACTATAATTGAGGTACTAATGCACCGCGGTAGGAACAAGTAGCAGATGCTGTCACCCGGTCGCTGAGGACGCCCGGGGGGCCTGCCGCCGCTGCCGTGGTGCTTGCCTCGGGAGGCTTGGCCTCGTGGCTGCAAGACGAGGCCTTCATGTCTCGCCTGCTGGCGCCCCTGGTTGGCGGGTCTACGTCTCTAAGCGTACTGTCTGCTGCTGTCCACGGCATCCCGCGGCGGCGACGCGGCCCCGGACCGCCCTTCTCCTCCTCTGAAGGCCTCGCGGTCCTGCACGGTAGCCTCGACGGGCTGCTCCCAGGTCTGTGGAATGTCTCTACTGCAGGCATATACCAGGCCACCGGCGATGCCAGCGACCAGCCATCGCTCGAGTTCCACACCGCCCCGCTCGACGACGACGCGCGGCCTCTGCAGGTGACGGTGCCTCTCGCCAACACCATCTTCAGCAACGGCAGGCAGCACACCATGTTTGCGAGCCGCTGGCACATGGCCAGTGGCGGAGCAGCCCAGCCCCAGCTCGCCGACGTGGTTGAGAGGATGACGCAGTCCATCCTTGTTCCCAGGGCTGCAGATGCCGGGGCAGCCAGCGCTATCAGCACCGTGGCTGTACCGCTTGTCCCGGTGACCGAGGCGCGGAGGATTGCGGCCGGCCTCGGAAACATTCTCCGTCAGGTCGAGATTGGCGTGACGCCCATGCCGGCGTCCAAGGAGCTCGAGTCCGTCATCCCCAAACTCCTCGATGCCCGGTCCAAGCAGCTGGGCGACCAGGCTGCGGGACCTGTGGGCGTGTGGGCTCTGATCTACCCCGAGAATTTTGTTGCCGACGCAAACTTTCCCCGTCCTCTCGAGTTGAGCGGCGCCGGGCAGCCTCACGAGTGGAGCCGTGCGCAAGAGGTCTCGGACCTGATGCCCCGGCTCCTGGCAGCTGGCTGTCATGTACGTAAAATATGTAAGTCGGGATAGATATCAAAAGCCTACTGGCGAACCAGTTCTTGTTCTAACTGCAGCTACAGTGAGCGGAGGCGGTGGCTGGGGGCTGAAGCAAGGTCTGCTGTCTCTCGACCCGCAGACGAGACATGCCACGCCAGACCAGGAGGACATTGAGAGCTTTATCAGGTCTTTCCATGGCGACAAATCTGGCGGGGGCATCGTGACGCCTGGCTCCTTTGTGCAATTTCTGGTCGAGCCGGCCGGCAGCCCCCCTGCCGGAGAAGTCGCGCAGACAGAAAGCAATGATACTGGCCCTCTAGAAATTGTCGTGGGCACGCAGGACCAGGTAGTGGAGTCCCTGGCTGGCTCCGACCACATCGAAGTCGGCGTGAATCTCTTTGGTGCCATATCTTCGGACGGCATCTACGTCGTTTCGCGGCCTGCAGCGGACCAAGGCAGCGGCCCAGCCATCACGACCAAGATCGACGCATCTAACTCGTACGTCGTCTCGAGCCCCTGAGCAGGTCATGGGACATGACATGTCGGGAACATACGATACTGCGATACCCACAACACGAATCCACCTTCCAGCATGCTGTGGCAGTCGTGCGGATGGCTGGTGTCATCACCGTGGCAACTCATTGCCTCGTATTTATTTATTGTAACTCATGTCACAAGTTGGGACTTGGATTGGCAATATGGCCGAAATATCTTTGTACATTATAGATCCTGTTTCAAAATCCAACTCGGAGCTACGACTAAAGCCGCTTTCGAGTGTCGTTCACAAACGGCAATGACGCAATTTGAGGCCAGGATTTAAATCGGCTGCCGGCCGCAATCGCTGCTGCGGGTGAATGAGTTGGCACCCACTGAACTAGCATCTAAAGAAGCTACCCACATATTTAGTATCCAATTTAGCCCTTGGCCTCCAACTTCACAGTTGAACAAACATCACTTTGTCCCGCATTCAGTGAATGCCATCAACCGCTCCTAAACAACTACTCACCAACATTGAGTTATACATCAACGGATTTGACATCTCGGAATAGCATCAAGACAAACTGTGAAAGAAGCGATATATCCCAATCTCAGCCAGCCATATACGCAAGGTAAGAAGATCGCAAGCATGCATCACGACAGAGCCAATTCACTAATAACTATACTCTAGACAGGAAGGTAGCCATGGTAACAACAGCCGCCGGAGCGCGCCCAGATGACTCGCTACGGCCCAAGATCGGCATCATCTCGTTGGGGGACATGGGCAGCGGCCTGGCGCGGCTGCTCGTGGCCCGGGGCTTCTCTGTCGCTACGAACTGCTCGGGCCGGAGGTACGTAAGGGGGCTCATCAAAGACACACTCACCCCCCTATCTGCATCTACACTCTCTGTCCACCCACCACAACACACACTGACAAGCCGGCCAGCCAAGACACCATCGACCGAGCGACGGCGGCGGGGGTCGAGCTGCTCGCGTCCGACGCAGCCCTCATCGACGCCTGCAACGTGATCCTGTCGGTCGTCCCGCCGCGCGACGCCACCGCCACGGCCCAGCGCATCGCCGACGCCCTGCCCGGCGCCAGCAAGCGCTCCGCCCCGCTGTACTACGCCGACATGAACGCCGTGTCGCCGGCCACGGTGCGCGCCATCGCCGCCTTGTTTTCTTCCCCCGCCACATCGTCATCCTCACCCGTGGAAATACGCTTCATCGACGGCAGCATCCTCGGCGGGCCGCCCGCGCCACCAGAATCAACCGGCCCCAGTGCCGACGTGAGCGAGTGGTACCGGCCCCTCCTGCCGACATCCGGGCCGCACCAGCTCGCCGACGCCAGCGCGCACCTGGCATTGACCCTGCGCGCGAAGCACATCAGCCCCGACATTGGCGCGGCATCCGGGCTGAAGATGTGCTTCGCGTCGCTGAGCAAAGGGTTCGCCGCCGTGGCCATCCAGAGCATCACGACGGCACAGCGGCTCGGCGTGCTGCCGGACCTGCTGTCCGCGCTGGCAGACCTCGCGCCGGCGACGCTCGCGCGCGCCGAGCGCACGGTCATCGCCGTGCCGCCCAAGGCGTACCGCTGGGTGGCCGAAATGCGCGAGATCAGCGCCACGCATGCTGTTAGTGGCGGGTTCGCGCCCGAGCGCATTTTCGCGGGTGCGGCGGACGTGTTTGCTGCCATGGCGGATGACACCGTGCTTGGGCAGGAGAAGGTCGGGCGGAGGAAGCGTGGGACTACGGTGGAGGATGTCGCGGATGCGATGGCGGAAGGCTTGGAGCGCAAACGGAAGAAGACGGAGTAAGTGGGTGGTGGTTTGTTGGGAAAGGTGAAGGGGAAGGGGAAAAGGGGGTGGTTCGATGGCTGGTGCGCAGACGCTGGTTTGGCTCAGGTTTGTCTGTCTGTCTATATCTAACAAAATAAAATGCTTTCCGAGGCCCTGTTTATTTATGCTCTAGCCACTTCACTCGATGGAGGAGCATATCCAAGAAATCGATGCTCAAGGGGTAGGGGTAGGGGTTGGGGGTTGGATGGAAAAGGGGCCCGAACCACAAGCGACTAGCAAACAGCGAACAGTGAACAGCGAACAATGAACAACACGATACAGGCTCACCCCTCTAGCGAAGTAGCAAGCCTCTATTTTACAACAGTAGGTATCTGCAAGTACACTGGTTACTGCCTGGGTTCGGGCTCTGGGGCCGGCCCTTCGCTTCTCCCCAAAAAGGTTGGTTCGAATCTAGCCTTTGATATTTACTTTTTAATTTTTAACTTGTAAGTAAAGTATGAAAATATATAAGAAACCCCCCTCAATTTTCTCTGCTCGGCCATATTTCGAAGCGAGCGCAAATGGAAAAAGAAAGACAAGAAAAAGCAACCCGCCTCCTAGGAACAAAGGGAACCCCTTCCTTTCCTCGTACGTGTAGTATGCTATATATGGGCCCCAAATCCGCGGCACGCCTGGACAGGGCTTTATGTATGTATGTTGTGTGTTGTGTGCTGGCGAGAATAATCATTGCTGTGCTGTGCTGTGTAACCAGTGAACCCCCCATCCTCCAGAAAGCCAAAACTCCTCCGCCTTCTCTCGGCTTTACTAGACAGAAACAAACATTAACCCACCTGCCGGTTGCAGTATGTAGCTAACTAAAACATCGTGTTCGATCTGCAAAATAATAGAGACATACGAAGACAAAAGAAAAGAGAAACCCCGAAATCAAAATGCCTGCTTCCCAACACCAAACTAGCTAGTCAATTTTCCTCACGTCACCTTCTTTTGGGTATCTATTAATCTGATTTTTCCGCTCAAAGGACAGGGAAAGCTGCCCAAAAATCACATCACCACACACTTCCTGTCGCCTTTGCTCTGCTGCCCCGCCACAGGCTCGCTGCCGCCGGTTCGGCGTCCAAAGCCCATGGACCGCGTGCTAAATGTCGTCACGTCGGTCCATCCCGCGCTGCTCGCCACGTCGAAATCGCGCTCCTTCTTCTTGCGCCTAGTCGACCGCGAACGGCCCGTCCATCCACGCCGCTTGGCGTCGGCAATGTTCTTAGCCGCGCTGCGTTCGGCCCGGCTCTGCTTCCTGTTTAAGCTAGCGACGCGCACCGTCGACGAAGTGGACTCCGGCGCTCCAGGTACTCTAAGGCGTGACTGTTCGGCTAGGGTTTGATGGTGCCCACCGTTGACCGACGCCACGCTGTAGATCGTCTCGAGTCGCTCCATCGTGGGACGGAGAACGGCGGGCTGCGTCACGGGGCGCGGGTGGCGCGGCACGGGCGCTAGAATCGGCGTCTCAGCCCGCTGTCCCGAAATGCGCTGGTCTGGCGTGTCAAAAGCACCCGACACACCCTTGGGCGTGCTGATGATGAGGGGCATCTCCTCCTGGTGCCGCCCTGCCATGATGTCTTGAGGGTGCCGCGGTTGTGGTTCGTAAATCAGGGCCGGGGCGTGATATGGCTGAAAGCGCGGCTGCTGGAACTGCGGGTATTGCTGTTGCGAGTACTGTTGCTGCTGCGAGAGTGGCCGCTGGTACGACAACCGTCGGTACTCGTCGCTGGTGCGGCTACCCACTGGCACCCGCTGGAAGGCCCCCGACAATCGCTTGGGCGCTTCTGAGCGGTTATTTAAACTCGCCAGTTGGTCAGGCCGGGGAAGAGGGAAGGGTTGTGCCATGTTGTCGGTGTTTATGCCAACAGGAGGCGCCGAATATGGGTGACCGGCTATCACATTGAGGACGTCTTCCGAATTCTGCAGCGGCCACGTCATAGAATTAGACAGCCGTCTGACCGGAGCGCTGTTCGTGGCGAGTGCCGTGTTTTGCGATGCTGCGACTCTGCTGACTGAGGGAGACGGGATATGTAAATCAAGCGCTGGAGGCCGGCCAGATTGAGATTGCGGAGCAGCAGGCGCTGTTTGGATGCGAAGCAATGTTCGAGGATCTTGTTGGTTTGAAACAACGGGCGATATGGGAGCCCCCGTGACGACTGCATCGCTGCTAGCTAGAGGACCGCCTACGATTACGCTCGCAGCCAGATCTCGCGCGGTCGGCGAGTCGGGCGGTGAGACGTCATAGATGTTCTCTCCCTCCATGTATCGAGAGTCGCTCGAGCCCGGGCGCGAACCGCTGTCCTGGGGAGGCTGGAGCGAGGACCCGCTTATCTCTCGTTCGTGCGAAGGTGATTGCGAATCCTGTGGGGCTTGCGGAGCCCGAGCCTGTGGTGGCCGGACAGAAAGGTGAACCTGCGGAATTGGCGGAACAGGAGGAATGGAAGCTGGAAGAGATGGAACGGGCGGGATGGGTGGAACTGGTGGAGCGTCACGATAGCTAGCGCTCACCGTTTGAGTGCGGCGCGGCTGGAGAGTGAGCGGACGGCTTCGAGCTGGTTGCTGGGTGGATGGCTGGCGGAGAGGCTGCTGGAGAGTTACTGGCCGGTTGCGGGTGGGCTGTTGCTTCGGGAATTGCTCTTCGGTCTGCGCATCAGGGGCTGCAGCGGGTCCAATAGCCGCATGACGTAAGAAGGCTGGCAAATCACCAGGATCATCTTTCTGATACGGAGGCGGCGGGGGCACCCAGTTGTCCGCGTCACTCTCGTGCGGATGCTCGGCTCGACCGTCGGCCCTGCGGTATTCGATATGACCTGCCGTCGCCTGCGGGTGCATCCGACGGTTCACGGCGGCGGCGGTGGCGGCACGCCGGAGGGTGGTGCCCGACCGCGGGCTTGCATGAGAATAGGGGGCATCCAAGGCCTCCTGCTCCTCAATGATCGATTGCGTTTCCGTCTCCTCGCCCACCGCGGGGGGCTCTGCAGCTCGAGGAGGGGGAGGAGCCCGCATTCTACGGGGCAAAAGGGGGTCATCGTCCTCATCCTCGTCTGTTGCTGCAGACTGGGCAGAAGATGATTGACCGCGAGCCGCCGTTGTTGCAGCACGCATGAGGGTACTACGGTTCCCCCTCCTTTGAGCAACCGTCCTGCGGCGGACGATTGCCACCTCGGTATCCATATCCCGATGCTCTTCCTCAAGCACTTCGGGCTCTATTGCCCCCACTTCGATAGTGCACTCGGTGACCCCACCGTCTTCGACACCATAGTCGAAATCGATGACAGTAAGTCGTCCTCCGTCCACAAAATCGATTCCCTCGTCGTCGGTAATCGACAGCCCAGGTATGACTCCCCGGGCAGCAACAACCAGACGTTCCTTCATCGACGAATCGCCAAAGTCGGCAACCCATTTGACCATGTTAACGCCGTCGAGCTCATCGATTTTGTAGCCTCCCACAAAAGTGTTCCGAAGTTTGTCGCAAAGAATTTGCCACTGAGGCACTCTGCTCGGGTCGCAGTTCTCTTGCATCCGCTGCGCTGATCGCACCGACGGACCGCTGTTGCGGCGGGAGAGGCTATTTCCAGTCTGCGCGTTGTCGCTGCCAGCGTTGGACGTGTCGGAGATGGCATCGAGGTCTTCAGGGATGCCGTAGAGCCAAATGTCATTACCCTGAAAGCCGGCCGAGACAAGCTCGCCGTAATACGAAGCGGCCGGCAGTGTGCATGGGATCAGCTTGGCCTGGCAGGTTGGGCTAGGCACTGGCCCGGTGAAATACGTGGTGCCGTTACGGAGATCGTCGATGCGGACCGCTCGGAAGGTCTCGAAGCTGCGATCGTACGTAAACGTCCAGCCGGCCTCTTCATACTTGCCGTGCTGAATCAGAACAGCATGGCTGCAGTCACGGCTGGTGTTCGGAAAGAGAATCGACGTAGTCCACAGCGCACTGATGTTATCGTCGGCCATATGACTTCCCGGGTCGTAATAAGGGGCTGTTAGTATGACCGTGTTGGGCTGCGACGACGAGACCGTGGTTCCTAGGATCTGGGTGCCGTCAAAGGAGAAAGTCAGAGCATCGACTCCGTCGCACTTGACTGCTCGTCTATCGGTGGAGAGGGCCCCGGGGTTGAGCGAAGACACCTCGATACCGCCTTCGTAGGCGGCAGCCAGAACCGAACCACACGGGGAGATGGCGATGGCGCGAGGGCTGTGGTCAAGGATGATGGACCGGTTTCGCTTCGGAGGCGTCTCGGTCAGGTCGTATACGTCAACTTGCATCTCTGTCAGTAGCACGGCGAGCAATGAGCCTTCGTCGTTGATGCAGGTGGCAGCAGGGCGACGCAGGATCTTGAACTCGCGCTTGACGGCGATCTCGGGGGCGCGCATGTCGATGACATGGATGCGCGACGAGTTGTAGGCCAGCAGGTGATGGCCCTTGGGTGAGGGATTGAACTGGATGCCTTCGCCGCCCGGACAAGACGAGGGGCTGATTGAATTTGAAATGACCTTGATGACGGTCTTGTTGGGCCGCAGATAGGCCTCGAACAGGTTCCGCTTGACCTCCTTGGCGAACAGCTTCCGGAGCCGGGGCAGGTCGTTCTCGGAGGCGGCGGGCGGCGATCCGCCGTGGCTCATAGCGTACGACGGGCAACTCGCCAGATGATGAGCATACAAGTGAGCCTGCTGGGCGACACTCCTCCATTTTGCGTTGAGCAGGGACAGCGATGCGAAGCCATTCGAGTCGGCCGCCTGGAGGATTCTGGGGGGTGCTGCTTGTTAGACACAGTGGCTACGATGCAGACACAGACACGAACACAAACACGGGATGACACTTGAGAGAAAAGGGAGCGAAGGGAAACGCACTGCTCGATGATTTCGTCGGGCAGCCTCTCAAAGGCGGTCGGGTCGTCGTCGTCGTCGTCGCCATCGGACATGATGACGATTGGCGACTTCTCGATGGAGCGCCGTCGGCCGTCGCCTTCTGGCCCGGAGACGGTCGCCATTGTCGATGGCGTCGCGCGTCTGGCGTCGGGTCTGGGGCTGGGCTGGGCTGGGCTGCTGGGCTGGATGGAATCACGGCAACGGCTACTTGTCAGTGGGAAGTTTCATGGTATGGATGCCCGGTGCCGTGCGTGCGGTTGTGGCTCTCTCCATCGGGCGGGCTTCGTGTAACGTCGAGGGCCGCTGGCGTGAGGGCTTGCGGGCTGGCTGCAGTGGTTGGGGGTTGCTTGGAATGTGGAGGGGGGGAAGGGTGGACGATTGGAGGGGGTGGGCGTGAAGGTGGGCGTGAAGGTGGGCGGGTTGGTCCTGGGCAGACGCAGAGGCCAGGCGGCGAAGCGGCCAAGCGGCACCGAAAGGGCACGGGGGGCCGGCGACAATTGCTCTCCAATCCAGTGCAGTGCTCTTCAGCCAATTCGATCCAATGGGGGGGATGCAGGCTTGGATGGTAGCGCAATCCGTTGTTTGCTGTAGGCGGGCCTTGGCGCGCACACTCGAGTCTCGGGACGAGATGGAAAGCGGGCACTGATCGGGTGAGGTGGAGGTCAGGTCAGTGGAGGCTCCAGGGCAGTACTGTGGAGGTTCAGGGACGAAGGAGGCCCTGAGGTGGGACGGGGACGGGGACGGGATTCCGTTCTAGAGAAAGCGAAAGTCGCACGCTAGGCATGATCCACCCGCCTATGCAGTACCTAGATGGCCACGGAAGAGACCCCGCTGTGGACGGTAACCAATGTTCTATACCCCATCCCTATTCCGTACCTAGTGTAGGCTCTGGGGCGGAGTGCTCCTCTGTGCGCGTTCACAGCTTCTTGTGACGCTTAAAAGGTTGCTTTAGTAGAGGTTCATTGCATGAGGCGGCCAAGGCTTTGTCAGCTATCCACACACTCTCACTGAGACTAAGTTCCATACGGAGTACTGCGCTTGTAAAGTGCGTTCGTCCGTCGCGACCGCCACAGCAATTCCGAATTCTGGATTCTGCGTGGTGCGATCCTAGGTGCCCTGCTAGGGATCGGGAAAAAGGTGACGACCGCGCACACTCCCACACACCCTACGGATACCCGACCCTTGGGAATTTCCACCCGCTACAAACGTTGAGAGCGATCATCATTGTTTCATCTTGGCTTCCATATGCCGGGACCCCTGCACTATCTCTCCTTTAACAAACAAACCAGGAAAATAAAAGGAAAAAGTTGGGATAAATTCGAATGCTAGAGACAAGTCACCAATTGCCTCGATTGACTGCGTCGCAGGCCCCCTTTTGGGGTCCGCTTTGGACCATCTATTGGATCTCTTTCGAGGCTGTGAGGATCAGGATGCTCCAGGTTGCACATACATACAGTGCATACTAAACTGCCTCTCTCCCAGTGGGCAACCACTGCATAGAGGTAACTCAGGTTACAAGTGGGTGTGAGGGCGCTTTTCGTGTCCGTGTCGAGATGCGAGATGCGAGCCCCCGACGCCCAGACCGACCTCGTCGTGGTCGGTCTGGGCGTCGGGGGCTCGCATCTCGCATCTCGACAAAAGCGCAGGAGTCGCCACCTCGCCGCGAGTGTGCGCCGATAGGCTGGGCCCTGAAACAAAAATAGTTCGACTCCCGCCTCAGCAACAACGCAACAACAGGCCGAGGATCCGCCACTGGCCCGTCTCCTTTGTTAGGAGGTGTGGCTGGCGTCGAAGCACACTTCAATCGTATGTAACAATAAGGCGCTGTCGGGACAGACACGGCCTTGGCACTGGAACTTGTCGGGGCTCATTGTCGGTCTAGTTTAGGGAGATAGTATACTATCCCGTAAGCCGTATCGCCTGCCACACTCACTGAAACTGGAACTAACTTGCATCACGGTCTTGATGAGGATTCCGTTGCTCGTCGAAATGCAACCTCTTTGCAAATGTCACAGCGAGCCGGCTAGCCTGCCGGCCCTGCCCCAATGTCACCGCATCTTGCCTCCATACGGAGTACTAAGCATCTTGGCTTCTGCCTTGGGCGTCTGTTATAGGATTAATTCGATAGTCCGAGCTGGGGCTGAGAGCTGATCGACAACTGAGAGCACCGCGCAGTTGATACACGGGCGCGGGACAGTTGAACACGAGGCCCAGGCCCCTTAAGCGCGGATATTGACGCCTGCCTGAAGATATAGTAGGCACAGGAACCCTACATACTAGGTAGCCAAATACAAATCCGACTTCCATTTGAGGGTGAAAGGCGGTGGCACATGGACGCCGTGGACCCCAACTTCCAACCTACTACCTCGAGGCTCTAGGCCATCGCCAAAACATGAAGGTGTCATACACACACCTTCTGGGAAAGGAAATCGGAGCGACTCGGACCCAGCGCAACGGCAGTTGGCGGGCGCTGTTGGCTGCTGCCTGCTGCTGTCTTTTTCCCCTTTTGCGTAAGCCCCCACTCTCCACACTGAGGTAGGCCTTGGTAAGGCTGTTACGGATACGCGGGTACGCTCTGCTGCGTCAGTTACACTAGATTAGACGGAGATGCCAACCGCTGCGTTCACAGATCCGACGGCAAATCTCCAATGCGGAATGAATGCCGGTGCGGTGTAGTTGGTCGCCGTCGGTTGATGTGGTGCAGTGCGGTGCGGCGCCCTTGGTGGTTGCTCAGTGCTTATTACCTAGTATCCTCCTGAGGGCATCAAGATCTGTCCGAGATCTCGCCCAACGCCCGCCCAGATGACAGCAGCGGGCCGCAGACAGCATCTGATCTGGCACCAGAGTCAGCGATCGGCAGTAGCTAGCTGCAAGCGCTCACCATACCATACCATGGTGAAACTCTCACATGCGCCAGCGGCCTAACACTGACGGACCTGACAGACGTGACTGGGCAAGCCCCTGCCAACGTAAGCCCGTCTCATCAGCAGCAAGTTCCTTCCGATGGCACAAGATATTACACTACAACTAGAAAATAAGCCCGACGCACAACATCCATCATGACAAAGTCTCCGGCCCGGACCCGAGCTTTGCTTTGCGAGCACTGGACCTCCCATCAGCTGCCACGCTTACTGGCCCATCAGACCCCGCCATACATGGTAGGCTATAGTCTCGGGTCTTGGGCTGTTTGATATAAGGCAGGCGGCAGCGTTGCGTCCAGGTCTGGGTGCAGTGGACTCTCTCTGCCTTACTAATGCAAAGTCAGAAAGCCGCGTATTCGACACAGCCTTGCCTCTTGGCCGGCCTCCTTGTTGATGATGAGGGCGTAATCAACGGTTTTCAATGGCCAAGGTGCGGATACGGAGTGGAGAATTAGTAGAGTGCGCTAGGGACGTTACATAGCTTGCCGTTGTAGTTTAGGTCTAGCTAGGTGGAGTCGATTGCACTCTTGGTACAGTATCGTATCGGCACAGATCCATAGCCAGGGATCTTAATTGAGATGTTCTATATTTTTAGAGAGTCACGTGCTGTCGTGCGCGGCGCGCCGAGTCGCGTCGAACACTCTCACCACGACGGGATCTGTAACCCCAGGCCAAGCCACTTGACAGACTTGACGGGACTCGCGACAAGCCCAGTCTACAACCGATTTCCTCCCCAACAAAAAATAACAGGCAACCAATTGGGAAACTGTCAGCCACGAGCATATGACGGTATCTACTTAATTTTTAAGCGTTTCTTTTAGAGCTCTTTTGGCATCTTTAACTCCTTTGCTCCTTTTGGGTCTTTCGTCTGGCACTTTGGCACTTAAGCACTTTGGCACTTTGGCAGCTTCTCACCATGGTCCGGTCGTCGACCCGCTCGGCCAGCGCCAGCAAGGCTTCAGCTCTCGTCAATAAGACAAAGACTGTCATTGAAAAGTCCAAGGCGGCCGTGTCGGCCAAGACTTCTTTCGTAAACGGCGCCGCCAAGACGAAGCCCGCCGTGCAGGGGCCCACGGCTGCCAAGCGCAAAGCCGCGGCTCTGGCCGAAGACGTCAACTCGGGCCCGGACGACAAGGAAGAGGAAGAGAAGAAGAAGCCTGCCGCAAAGAAGCGCAACACTAGCAAGAAAGCCGCCGGCTCCAAACCCGACGACATGCCGCTGGCGACTCGGACCGCCGTCGCGTCGCTGCCGCGCGCCGTGTTCATAGGAGCTCATGTCAGCGGCGCCGGCGGCGTGCAGAACTCCATCTCCAACGCCGTCCAGATCGGCGCAAACGCCTTTGCCGTCTTCCTCAAGAGCCAGCGCAGATGGCAGAGCCTTGCGCTGGCCCCCGAGACCACGGCAGAGTTCCACGCCATGCTCAAGCAGCACGGCTACGACGGGACGCAGCACATCCTGCCGCACGGGTCCTACCTCATCAACCTGGCGCAGGCAGACGCCGCCAAGGCCGACCAGGCCTACGGGAACTTCATCGACGACCTCGAGCGGTGCGAGGCGCTGGGGATCCGGCTGTGGAACTTCCACCCCGGCTCGACGGGTGGAGACAGCATGGAGGCCGCGGTGGCGCGCATCGCGGCGCAGCTTAACAAGGCGCACAAGGCGACCAAGTCGGTGGTGACGGTGCTGGAGAACATGTGCGGCAGCGGCAACGTCGTGGGGTCGCGGTTCGAGGAGCTGCGCGACATCATCAACCTCGTCGACGACAAGAGCCGGGTCGGCGTGTGCATCGACACGTGCCACGCCTTCGCCGCCGGCTACGACCTGCGGTCGCCCGACGCGTTTGCCGCCACGGTCGCCGAGTTCGACGACGTGGTCGGCCTCAAGTACCTGCGCGCCTTCCACCTCAACGACAGCAAGGCGCCGTTCGGCTCGCACCGCGACCTGCACGCCAACATCGGGACGGGGTTCCTGGGGCTGCGCGCCTTCCACAGCATCGTCAACCACGCGCCGTTCCAGAATCTGCCCATGGTGCTCGAGACGCCCATCGACGAGAAGGGCCCCGACGGCAAGACGGTCGAGAACACGCAGATCTGGGCCGACGAGATCAAGCTACTCGAGGGCATGATCGGGCAGGACGCCGAGAGCGCCGAGTTCGAGGCCAGGGCAGCCGAGCTGCAGGCCAAGGGCACGGCCGAGCGGGCCAAGATCCAGGACCAGGTGGACAAGAAGACCGAGAAGGACGCGAAGAAGGGGACCAGGGGCAAGAAGGCGGCGGCCAAGAAGAAGAAGGGCCAAGACTCGGATTCGGAAGACGATCACGGTCACAGTCACGGCCACGACAGCGATTGAAGCGGGGGTTTGATCTGTAACAAAATAATGAAAGGATGTTGTTGTATGCCGAATCTGATGCACTGGACACGGCATCCGCTGTACGCGAGAGCCTGGAAATAGCGGGATTTTTGTAGTTTTGTTTGTTTATTACTGACGAACATCATAATTCCACAAGAGCCAGACAGGAAATGGGAGATCAGGATGCACGACCAGGCAAAGAACCACTCAAGGAAGGCATGTTATGTACCTAGAACTAACCAAGAGAAGCACCTCTCAGAGGGGGGTCCGGCAGGACGAATAAAAAAATATATGCGATGTAATGCATCTCTATCCACCCGTCTCTCTCCTCCTTTTGTCCGACGCTATGATATCCACCGGTTGCTATAAAGAGACTGGCTGCCCATTGATAGCAGCCGGAGGTATGGAAAAGAAAGAGAGAAAGAAAGTGAGGGGAGACCCCAGAAGTGCTGCAGAAAATGGTGAGTCTCCATGCGCCAGTCACCATTCGTCAGCCACCATCGCCAGGCAGTCCAAGAAAGCATGACCAACCGCTACCTGGTCCATGAAACCACCAGACGAGAAGGAAATAAAAAAAAAACCCAAAAGCCATGCATGAGACACCATAGCGAGGCAAGAGAGACAGACCAAGACCCTCAACGCCGGCCCCCCCTCGCCCAGGCCTCGACCTTGGCCATCAAGCTACGCAGACCGACGCCGCGCTCCGAATTAGCCTCGAGCCAGTGCTCCATGCGTCTGCGAACAGCACGCATGCCATGCAGAACCGGCATCACACGCACACCACCACCACCACCACCACCAGCATACGCAGAAACATGCGCCACCGGATTAAGCAGCAAATCAAAGCAGTCCCCCCAGATATCCGTCTGCCAGTACCGCTTAAGGCTCTCGCGGATCTTATACCGGCGGGCATTACTCCCCACACCACCCGAACCCACCGCCGTGGGCACCGTCTCGATGTACTTGCCAAACAGCAAGCAGTGAATAGTCCCCGCAAGCCCATGATAATCGATCTGCCAGGTCCAAGGCCTGCCGTCGCGCATCTCGGCGCAGTCCTGCGCGGTGGTCTTCCAGTCGGCGACGAACTGCACATCCGGCTTAAACGCGGCCATGTCGATGGCGCGGCCAAAGTCGATCAGCGTGAGGCCGCGCGCCGCCCAGCCGCCGGCGCCGTCGGCGCGCCACGCGGATGTGACGCTCCCAAAGGAGTCGAGCCGCAGGAGGCAGTTGTCGGCTTTCACGTCGCCGTGCAGCAGCTGGCGCGCGTGCAGCGCCTCGACAGTCCTCAAGAGTTCGACGGCGAAAAACATGGCCAGCGCCTCGTCCATAACGCCCGATGCCTCGCCGCGGAACAGGTTGACCACGTCAAGCAGCGTGCCGTGGGCGTGGAACGGCAGGAACAGGAACCCCTCGTCCTGGTACAGGTGCAGGGCGAGCGCGGGGGACAGCGAGGCCGTTGCCCGCTCGCTGCTGCCCAGCCGCGCGTGCGCGAGCCGCATCATGTAGAACTCCCACGCCGACGGCGGGTCCTCCATCTTGAGTGCCTCGCGCTCTCGGCGGCGGTACCGCTGTTGTGTTCCGGCCGCAGTAGCAGTGGTCACCAGCGTCTTGTTGTTGTTGGCGTCCTGTGGCTCGCTAAAGTCCATCAGGTCTGCCTCTGCGTCGTCGTCGCCATCGCCCTTAACCGTCGGACACGAGTTCTCGACTAGGTACACGGGGGCGAAGGCGCCCTTGCCAAGCTCGCGGCGCACCGTGTACTCGACGCCGGGGGTCTCGGGGAAGTGCAGCACGATGGGGGCGCCGCCGAGGGTAGCCGTCTTGTTGTTGTCGCTGCTGCTGCTGCGGCGCTTGCTGCGGCTCATGAGCGCCTTGGCGAACTTGCGGATCTCAGCGCCGCGCGCGAACCGCTCGCCGCGGTGGTCGTAGAAGCCCTCGTACGCGCCCAGCGGCGGCTGCATCTTGGCTAGGATCTCGGCCCGCACGCTGTCGTCGACGGGGTTGCACTGCAGGTCCTGGATGATGGGCTGCGTGGGGATGAGTGCGGCTTCCGCGGGGAGAGGCGTTGGCCAGGCGGCTGCGCTGGCTTTCTTTACCTCGGGAACGAGCGCGGGGGTCATGGCGGCGGCGACAGCGGCTACGGCCTTGTCGTCGCTATTGTCGGAAAGCTCCTCATTGTCGTCCGAGTCCATCACGCCGCGCAACGGGCTGCTGAGCGGCTCCAGGTCGGAGCTCTCCTCATCCTCGTCGTGATCCTCGACCAGAATCACCTCTCTGCCCGCCGCGTCTCTCTTAGAAGGCGTTTTGGCGTGGAGCGCGTGGCGGCTCTGGTCCGACGTGATGTCGAGCGACGACTCGGTGCGCTCCGTGATGGGGGTCATAAAGGGGAGGCGGTTGTTAGCCATCTCGACTGGGTCCCTGTAAGTCCTCCGCGACGGAACGTAGTCCTCGGGCGGGATGGGCACGAAGACGGTGCTGCTGGTGCTGGTGCCTCGCAGCTCGCCGGGGAAGTTGTCCGTGACCGGAGTCACCATCCTGTCACCTTCCTCTGAGTTCTCGCTCAGCTGCCGCCAGTGCCTACTGCTCCCCGCCGGCTCGCCAAACGAAGACCCGTCGTGATTCTGGTGAATGTCAATCAGGTCCGACAGCTGCGTGTCGTCGTGCTGGTCGTCGCGCGCGGCTTCCACGCCCTCGTCGAGGTCGAGTCCCGGGATGTGTTTCCGCGTAGAAAAGTCTGACCACTCGCTCACGCTCTTGACGTCCGACGTCTCGTCGTCGGGCGCTTCCTCGGGTGCTTCGTCCTCGTCTACGTCTCCGGCTTCGCTGGTGGAGATGTTGCGCGTAGTAGTACCGGTGCTCTCAGCGCCACTCGTGTAGTCGTCTGTCTCGTAGCCGTTCTCATCGTCGCTTCCCTCCTCTAGTCCGGCGGGTTTCAGCGGCGCATTGAAAATTTCGTAAATGTCGTCAGTCGCGGCCCTGGTGTGCAGAGTCATGGTCGGCTCTGCCGAGAGGTGCTTCTTCCTCATCTTTGGGCCCGAGGGCGAGTCCAGCTTGGCCTTGACTACAGTTTGGTTGGTGCTCGGTTAGCTACTACAGTCGGCGACAAGATGCGGGTCACGTACTTATCTGGGTCTCGTTGACCTCGACCACCTTCTTCTTCTTCGGCTTGCTCTCTCTGGGGTAGATGGGAGCGCCGTTCTCGTCAAGTCTCACAACATCGTGGAGCACTACTAGCTTTTCAGTCACTTCCTCCTCACGCACAATCACGTCGGGCAGCCTGTTTTCGTCCTCCCGGGGAGTTGCCGCGAGCGACGGCTCATCCTCCCACCTATAGTCCAGCCAGCCGCGGTTGGCAGCCCAGACCTCCTCAAAGCTCAGTTCAGTGCCGGGCACATCGGGCGTCGGGTAGACAGAACGTAGGTCGACAAATATGCGCTCTCGCTTGCCCGTAGTAGGGTTCACTGTGACCTGGACCTTGGAATGATGGATAGCAATGTGCGACTGGGAAACCTGCGGAGACTGTGCTTGAGACTGCGCTTGAGGCTGAAGCTGAGACTGAGACTGAGACTAAAATACAAAAAATCGCCAGCCCACCAAAAACAAAATTAGTCCTATATTGATCAACGTCTGTTTGTGTGAGGGGGAGGGGGAGGAAGGTCACCGTACCGTGTCCTTGAAGATAGCCATCTTGGGCGCCGCGCTCTTCTTTCCGCCAGCCTTGAGCGTCTCTCCCGCCCACGACTTCGCCTCCATCACGTTCTCCTTCTTGCGGTCCGCCAGCGAGCCGATGCTCTCCCACCCCTTAGACCCGGCTGGTCGCACCGGCAGGGCCGAGGGAGCGGCAGCCGCGTCTGCATCCGAGAAGATTGCCAGCTTTGTCCGGCCAGGCTTCGCAGCTGGTCCTCCGATTCCGTTGTTTGGTCTGGGAGCCTGGGGGTCGCGAGCGGCCGCCGCAGCAGCGGCGGCGGCGGCAAAGGGGTCAATCTTTGCTGCGAGGGCCGGGCGAACTGTCGGCAGAGCTGGCGACGAAGGGCCGTCGGCATCAGCATCGGGCAGCTGGGCCCGTCGCTGTTCAAATTCGCCAAACTTGCGTAGCAGGCGCGACGTGGGCCGTGCCTCGCGCTCGATGCCCATCTTGTACACCTCCTCAGCCTGCGCCCAGCGGCCGGCGGCCTCGAGCCAGGCGGCATACTCCTCGTAGAACAGCGCGAGGGTCTCGCCAATCGAGTGGCGCGACAGGAAGACGAACGTCTCGCGCGGCGCGTCTGAGAAGAGCTGGATGTAGTGCAGCCATAGCTTGAGGTAGCGCGGGTCGTTCTTGTACTGCGGCGCGTTTATAAAGGCCTTGGTCGCACGCTCGAGGACCGTGTGCAGCTGTGACTGTGGTGTTGCCTGCGCCGACGGATACGCGTCCAGTGTCCAGCGTACATAACGGTCGTAGACGTCGAGCGGGTCGTCTGACTCTGCGAGGGCCGTGATCTCAGCCTCAAACTCTTCCCGGATGCTGTCGTTGACGGTTTTGGTGTGTGACGGTGTCGGCGTCAGCTGTTTCTGCAGGGGGTTCGCCGAGAAGAGCTCGGCAAGCTTCTTGGCCGACCGCCCGCTAGGGAGCGCCTGGATGTTTTCTTTCTGCCCCTCGATGATGTCGAAGTCGATCAAGTCGTCCGACGCCATGCTTGCATGTGCAAGACGCTGCCAGCCTCGGCAGCAGCGCGGTGTTTTGAAGAAGTTGGGACTGTTACAGGCCCAAAGTGTGTCTTGGTCGTGTTTTGTCGCGAATCTCTTTCTTGTCTTACCTGTTGACGTCGGGTTGTCGTTGTCGAGCGGTGGGTGACCTTGCAGGCTGCAGCAGCGCGTCGGGTGCGGGATGAGGGGCTGATTGCGGCGCGCGGCTGGCAACCAGGGCCAGATTGTTCCGTATCTGTGGCAACTTGTTTCCTTCCACTCCCCCCAATATTTGGGGCCGCAGCCGTCACTGTAGCAACCCTTGTCCCAGGTGCCAGATTGGCACTCTCGGCATGCCAAGCCCCTGGCGCCAGCTGTCGGTACTTACCATCGCCACCAGTGCCAAGCCAACACCATGCCATTGTGGCTTTTGCTTGGAAGAGCTAAGTACTTTCCATCCTCTTATCTTGGCCATGCACACAATTTACCTACTACAAATCACCGAGGACATCGAGGCAACAAAAGTTTCACAGGAATGCAAGACCGAGGCATACATCCTGGTGTTTATTGTGTCTATCTCATCTCGCCGTTTTCATAAACCATTCCGATAACCGAATCATCCGAGGTAAACAAGTTCGCCAACCAGCCACCAGAGCCTATTTAGCGGCTTTGCTTCCAATGTACCCGCGTGCATCTGCTTTCAGCTGCTTTACAAGGTGACTGCCGAGCGGAAGTTCTCGCCCGCGTAGACGGCGTTGGACCCAAGCTCCTCCTCAATGCGCAAGATCTGGTTGAGCTTGGCGAGGCGCTCGGATCGGCAAGGCGCGCCGGTCTTGATCTGACCAGCCCGGATGCCCACGACAACATCAGAGATGGTGACATCCTCCGTCTCTCCGGAGCGGTGAGACACCATGACGCCCCAGCCGTCGGCGTACGAGTCCTTAGCAGCCTGGATCGACTCGGTCAGAGTGCCGATCTGGTTGACCTTGAGCAGGAGCGCGTTGGCAGCCTTGAGCTCAATGGCCTTCTTGATGCGGAGAGGGTTTGTGACGGTAAGGTCATCAGCGACAATCTGGATGTCCTGCGTCTTGTAGAAGTAGCTCCATGCCTCCCAGTCGTCCTCGGCAAAAGGATCCTCGATGCTGACAATCGGGTACTTCTTGCAGAGCTCGGCGTACAGGCTGGCGAGCTCCTCGTACGAGAGCCACTTGCTGGAGTCGCTCTCGGGGTTCTTGAAGTCGAGGTCGTACTTCTTGGCATCCTCCTTGTAAAACTCGCTGGAGGCGACATCCATGGCGATCTTCATCTGGCCAGTGTAGCCCGCCTTCTCGATGGCATCCGTGATGAGGTCAAGGGCCTCATACGGGGTCTGGATATCCGGAGCGACACCACCCTCGTCGCCGACGTTGCCAGCAGACTGGCCGTACTTCTTCTTGGCAAGGCTCTTGAGCTGCTGGTAAACCTCAGCTCCCTGGCGCAGAGCCTCGGAGAAAGACGGCGCAGCAGAAGGGACAATCATGAACTCCTGGAAGGCCAGACGGCCACCGGCGTGCGAGCTGTCGAAACCAGTCAGCAATGATCCTGTGCGCTTATCTGTGGGGACATGACTCACCCTCCGTTCAGGACGTTCATGAAGGGAACGGGCAGGACATAGGGCTTCTTGGTGCCAGCAAGGTCCGAGATGTGCGCATAAAGAGGGACAGCCTTCTCCGCCGCACCGGCCTTGGCAACGGCCAGACTGACGCCGAGAATGGCATTGGCACCAAGCTTGGTCTTGTTGGGGGTTCCGTCAAGCTTGATGAGGAACTCGTCGACCTTGGACTGGTCCTTGACGTCGATGTTCTCCTTGATGATGGCGGGGCCAATGATCTCGTTCACATTCTGGACGGCCTTAAGGACGCCCTTGCCACCCCACTTGCTCTTGTTACCATCGCGGAGCTCGCAAGCCTCGTGCTGGCCTGGTTGCCAATCCTGTCAGATAATGTCCCTTGCACACTGCTTGAGTCTTGGCATGACAAACCGGTGGAAGCTCCCGAGGGAACAATGGCGCGGTGCAGACCGATCTCGGTGACAACGTCGACCTCGACGGTCGGGTTGCCGCGAGAGTCGTAGACGTAACGAGCGTGGACCTTGGAGATAGCCATATTGGATTTCTACCGCGGTTATGTCAGTGACCGTGTCCTGATGCCTTGAAGCTCAAAACAAGATAAGAAGGTGCGGACTGGCTGGGCTGGTCTGGGCTCGGGCAAACGTGTCGTGGACCACAAAATCAAGTGTTTGTATGGCAAAATTGGACGGGGCGGGGTCGAAGCAAGGGCGGGCTCGAGTTGAAGAAATACACAATGAAGCAGAGTCTTTGATTGAAAGATCCGAAGGCCTCGTATGGATGAAATTCACTCAAGTACGAGTTGGTAGAGGGAAATCACAATATCCCGCAACCATCTTGGTCCTTTTGGGACGGCTTGACGCCCGAGATGGCGGGGTTTTTGCTGCGCGGGGAGAAGCAGGGCTCAAATGAATCCCGAGGACGACCGGTGCTCGAGTTTGTACATACCTAGATTGAGCTTGGAATGGTGTTGAATGTTTGGTAAAAGCTCTGTTACGGTCGTACGATGCAGTCCGAAAAATGAGGAGGGCGTAGAGAAGAAGTTGGAAGCTTTTCGGCGAGCAGGACGAGCAGAGCAGTTGAGGAGGGGAGGGGCAGGATTGCTTGGTGGGGTGATCCCTGCGAAGTAGACAAGACCCCCCGCCTGTTAGGCCAGCCCAGGCCAGGCTTACATCGCAGGTGCGATTGCCGGAGGGGCGAAACCCTGGCTTTGTCAACGATACTTTTCCGCCCCGAAAACCCAATGAGACCTGCAGCAGGCTCGTCACGTTGAGAAAAGTTGCCAGTGCGCTGATTATTGTTACAGCCACGCCGTTTGTCACAAGGAAGGAGTGAAATTTACATTGGCAGGCACAGCATCGGAGCAAATGTCGGACTTTCGTCAGCAATTTGAAAATTTGATCCGATACTAACTAACAACAGGCATCGGATGATTGAACAGGCTAGTAATGGCTTCAATCTTTTCGATGGAACCACGTGGGTCTATGCGTGAATTGTATCATCAATGATTGAAATAGGTGACGGGGCTTTCTCGCCTCCCTCCTAGCCATTGCTCGTCGGTCTCTATATATAAGGACTGGCGTTTGCTGTCCGTTCTGAAGCTGTGCTGTAATCTGATCTGCCCCGCAACCACAGCTCCTAGCTTAGCTACGGAACTGGAACTGCTACCTACCTGTATCAGCACGGGCACTTCCTACACAGGACACCCTTGCCAATACAGGCAACTCCGAAAGCGAAGGGCACGTCATCCTGGGTCACTGCAATTGACTACGCAAACAAAACAGCGAGACGCCCTCTTTGGTTTAACAAAAGCAGGTAAAGTACACACATGGAGTAGGATATGGGTCACACTTGGTAGCAAGGGAGAAGTACCTAGGAAGTCTGTCATTCAAACAGCTACGACAATGGCATTGTTACCGGTGCCTCGACTATGAAATGGCAAATTTACCTCAATGTTCTCACTTACGAGCATCACTAAGGTACGGATGCCGTTAGTAGGTGCCTACTATGTACCTTCCTTACCTTGCCTACCTTGGACAAGCATAACAGCTTACTTTCTCTATTGAAGGGATTATAAGATCCATCGCTATTCTACTGTGGTATATTCCTTGGACTGAAATCTCTGGTTAGTGTGTTAAATAAATTTGCGGGCCTTTGCGTGTGTTTTTTACTGGACCTTAATAGCGTGTTAAGGCTTAGTATACAAGCGAGCTTTGGTTGGCGCAAGGGCCTTGCGTCTGTTGCTTTCAAGGCTAGATATGCCGGGGCTTTTTTCGAAAGAACTCAAGAACGCAAAGGCCTTTCTTCCCCAACACCGTGGAGGGGAGTTTCCTCCAAAATAAAGCGGATTAACGCAAGTATAGTGCCTAGCATTACTTTTTCCCTAACGAATGAGGTTGGTCAAAATTGAACAGCTTGGGTACTTTATTCTGTAGCGTCTTGATTCTCTGGACAAGGCAGCTGCTGACTAGACCGCCTGCTAAAAGCAGCTTACAGTGAGCGACCTACTGGCCCCTGACTGAGTTGGCAGGAGGAGCAGGTCGGCTCCGCTAGCAAGCTGCCCTGTTAGTGTGAGCCGTGCGCCGCGCGCGAGCTTGCCCAGCTTGCAGCTGGCGAATTGGCGACCAGGGTCGCGTTTCGACTTCTTCCATTCCACCTTCTGGAGCTGTGCATGGAACTTTGCCATCTGACGAACACTGTACGTAAGGGAGTGTACGATAGACCGTCGGTGCTGCTGTACATAAGGATCGCAGTTTCGCTTCTTGTTTTATCTCTAGTCTCTCTTTTTTCCGGTCATGCTTCGCTCTTGCTTGACGTTACGGCCTGCCTACCGAGGGGCGCAGAGGATTGCCGCGCAGCCTACAAGACAAAGTGCACCAATACTGAACGGTTTTTCATCAATTGCATCACGGTAAGGCCGCGTAAAAAAGCTCCCTAGACTAGACCCACGCCGCGCCTTGGGCTACTAACGGCTGCCCCGCAGTCAGTCAGACTCGAGACGATTATATTCAGCAACTGGCTCCCCTCTCGCGGCTCCTGGCCACTGTCACCGTCCGCTCCCCAACCGCCGAATTACCCCAAGCCGTCTTCGCAACCCACCCGTCCGTTACTGCTCGCATCGCCGCCACAGTATGTGCCGAACCCAGGCCCTCGCCGATGTGGCAGGTGGGGTCAACGTGCAGAGCCGCGAGCTTCTCCCCGCCAATGTCATCCCACGGCACTACCACATCACGCTCGAGCCCGACTTTAAGAAGCTGACCTTTGACGGTACCGTGCTCATTGATCTCGACGTTGTCGACGACTCTACCTCGGTCTCCTTCCACTCGCTCGACATTGAAATCCACAAGGTCGAGATCAGCTCGGGTGGCCAGACTATCAGGTCTGTTCAATTCCCCGTTTCCCCTCTACGCCTTTGCGCCTTTGCGCCTTTGCTCCGTTGCTAGAGTCGCTAAGCTAACCAGAGACATAACGCAGCTCGTTCCCTACCGTGTCGTACAACGAGGATACCCAAGTCACCAAGGTCGACTTCGACAATGCCGTCACCAAGGGGAGCAAGGCTCAGCTTGAGCTCAAGTTTACTGGTCACCTCAACGACAAGATGGCCGGCTTCTACCGGTCGACCTACAAGAAACCTGACGGTAGCGAAGGCGTGATGGCCGTAACTCAGATGGAGCCTACCGACGCCCGCCGCGCTTTCCCCTGCTTCGACGAGCCGTCTCTCAAGGCCGAGTTTACCGTCACACTCATTGCCGACAAGAACCTGACGTGCCTCAGCAACATGGACGTTGCGTCCGAGTCCGAGGTCACCTCCAGCACCGGCGGAAGCAGCAAGAAGGCCGTCACCTTCAACAAGTCCCCTCTCATGTCCACATACCTGGTGGCGTTTATCGTCGGTGAGTTGAACTACATCGAGACCAACGACTTCCGTGTTCCTGTCCGCGTGTACGCCCCCCCTGGGTATGACATCGAGCATGGCCGTTTCTCGCTTGATCTGGCCGCCAAGACGTTGGCGTTCTACGAAAATGTTTTCGGCATCGACTTCCCTCTACCCAAGATGGACCAGATTGCCATTGCCGATTTTGCCCAGGGTGCTATGGAGAACTGGGGTCTCGTTACCTACCGGGTTGTTGACCTTCTTCTGGATGAGAAGGTCAGCGGCGCCGCGACAAAGGAGCGGGTTGCCGAGGTAGTTCAGCATGAACTTGCTCACCAGTGGTTTGGAAACCTCGTCACCATGGACTGGTGGGATGGTTTGTGGCTGAACGAGGGGTTTGCTACGTGGGCGTCTTGGGTAAGCTCCCTCCAGCGCATTTTTTTTGGTTGCTGTCCCCATTTCTCTCGCTAACTGTGATTGCCAAAGTACTCTTGCAATGTCTTCTTCCCAGACTGGAAAGTGTGGGAAGGCTATGTTACGGACAGTCTCCAGCGCGCCCTCTCCCTCGACTCTCTCCGGAGCAGTCATCCGATCGAGGTTCCTGTCAAGAAGGCAGACGAGATTAACCAGATCTTTGACGCCATCTCATACTCTAAGGGATCTTGCGTTCTGAGAATGATCGCAACCTATCTCGGCGAGGATGCCTTCCTCGAGGGCGTGAGGCATTATCTCAAGAAACACGCCTACGGAAACACGCAGACCGGCGATTTGTGGGCGTCCCTGAGCGAGGTGAGTGGTAAGGACGTTGAGGGTGTGATGAAGGTGTGGACCAAGAACATTGGGTTCCCGGTTGTCGCTGTCACGGAGAAGGATGACAAGACCATCCACCTGAAGCAAAACAGATTCCTTCGCACTGGCGACACGAAGCCAGAGGAAGATACCGTCCTGTACCCCGTCTTCCTGGGCCTCCGGACCAAGGACGGGGTTGATGAAACGCTGGCACTGGACAAGCGGGAGGGCGAATTCCGGGTTTCGAGCACAGACTTTTTCAAGCTGAACGCAAACCACACTGGACTGTACCGCACATCATACACACCTGAGCGGCTCGAGAAGCTGGGCAGTGCGGCCAAGCAGGGGCTGCTGAGCGTTGAGGACCGGGCGGGCATGATCGCTGACGCGGGTGCTCTTGCCACGTCTGGATACCAAAAGACCTCTGGTGTATTGAACCTTCTGAAAGGGTTTGACTCGGAGACCGAGTTTGTCGTTTGGAGCGAGATCATCTCTCGTGTCGCAACCATTCAGGGGGCTTGGATGTTTGAGGACAAGTGGGTTCGGGATGGACTGGAGAAGTTCCAGCTGGAGCTCGTGAGTGCCAAGGCCCACGAGAAGGGCTGGGAGTTTTCTGAGAGTGATGGGCATATTGAGCAACAGTTCAAGGCCATGCTTTTCGGAAATGCCGGTATTTGCGGCGACAAGATCATCATTCAAGCAGCCAAGGAGATGTTTGCCAAGTACATGGATGGAGACAAGTCGGCCATCCATCCCAACATCAGGGGTAGCGTGTTTAGCATGGCCCTGAGGTATGGTGGCAAAGAAGAGGTATGTTTTAGTGGGGCTTCCTTTGTTTCTGCTACGGCTCGAAGCTAACCAATGAGACAGTATGATGCCGTCCTCAACTTTTACCGCACCTCGACCAACAGCGACGAGCGAAACACGGCTCTGCGTTGCTTAGGGCGGTCTAAGGACCCGGAGCTCATCAAGCAAACGCTGTCGCTGCTCTCGGGCAACGAGGTCAAGGACCAGGATATCTACATGCCTACGGCCGGCCTCCGCAGCCACGCCGAGGGTGTCGAGGCGCTGTTCGCGTGGATGGAAGAGCACTGGGACGAGCTGGTCGTGAGACTGCCGCCCGCGCTGTCCATGCTTGGGTCGATGGTGACCATCTTCACGTCAAGCTTCACCAAGAAGGAGCAGCTGGAGAAGGTTGAGAAGTTCTTCGCGGACAAGAGCACCAACGGCTTTGACCAGTCTTTGGCCCAGAGCCTGGACGCGGTCCGATCTAAGATCTCGTGGATTGAGCGCGACGGCGCAGATGTGGCTGCGTGGGTAAAGGACAACGGCTACAGTTCGTGAGACACTAGGCGGTGTTTTGGAGGCCAAATATCTGACTAGTGACCCAGCACTCTCGACATCAAAAGATGTGGTTGGAACTAGACCATCTAGATCTCGGCTGTAAGGGGGCAGAGGAGCTGCTGGGTGGTAGGTTGTTAGACGGTAGGGTGTTATAGTACAAGGCCGAGGCTGTGGGCTCTGCAATTTTCACTTGAAGCATAGTCCCACCAAGGAAGCGTAGATAAATTATACTAGCAAGCCCCGGCGTGCTTGTGGGTTTTTAAGCTGAAGTTGACTTTTTTGGCGAGAGACAATTGCATAGGTACCTGCCTACCTTCCAGGTTAGTAGGTACTAAACACGTTGTTGCATGCCTCTTTCGAGCATTGCTAACGCCAAAGGACAAGACAATTTCTTCAGCTTTTACAGCACGCAAACCAAAGATATCAATCCATTGAGTGCGTCTTGCAGCGTCAAAGAGAGTTTGCTTGTGCTGCAGATTCCAGGGTGGAAGCCTTCTTCAGTACCTACCTTAGAGTATGTAGTGTGTGCAGTAGATGGGTGTATGTGGTGGGTCCCATCTTGCAGTTTCAATTCACCCCCATCTCCGCACTTCTCACATTCATCAACGGCCAAAACGGTGTCCAAGTGTGAAATCAAATCCAATTGTGAAATCGAATTGGTGAGGGTTCTTGAGAGCCATTACAGTTACAGTTCGTCCCCAACACTTGCAACCAGGGCCAATGCGCTAGGGGAAAGAAGAAGAGAAAAAGAAAAAAGAAGAAGAAAAAGAGGGCAAAATGGCCAAAGAGAAAAAGGGCAAGAACGATTCGAAAAAGGCCAAGCTGGCGGAAAAGAAGCAGAAGCAAGAGAAAAAAGCAGAAAAGAAGGCCAAGGTCAAGGCGTCCAAGGTGGACGGCAGCGATGCCGAGGACGTGGACTTGGACGCGGTGCTCGACGAGTACAAGAAGCAGCAGGAGCAGTTCCTCAAGGTAACGGAGACGGTGTGCGAGGGGCCGCCGCGGGCGCGGGCGTCGTCGACGCTGCTGGCCAGCCCGTCCAACAGCAATCAGCTGCTGCTGTTTGGCGGCGAGTACTTCAACGGCGCGCTGGCCACCTTTTTCAATGATTTGCTGGTCTACTACGTCGACCGCGACGAGTGGCGCAGTGTCACGTCGCCCAACGCGCCGCTGCCCCGGAGCGGCCACGCTTGGTGCCGGGCTGGCAATGAGCAGGCCGCCGTCTATTTGTTTGGTGGCGAGTTCAGCTCGCCCAAGCAGGGTACCTTTTACCACTACAACGACTTCTGGCGCCTCGACACGGCCACCCGCGAGTGGTCGCGCGTCGAGCCCAAGGGCAAGACGCCCCCCGCCCGCAGCGGCCACCGCCTCACCTACTACAAGAACTACATCGTCCTCTTCGGCGGCTTCCAGGACACGGCCCACCAGACAAAGTACCTGGCCGACCTGTGGCTGTACGACACGCAGAACTTCGTCTGGCACTGCCCCACCCTGCCGCCCGCCCAGCTCAAGCCCGATGTCCGCTCGTCCTTTACCTTTCTACCCCACGACCAGGGCACCGTGCTGTACGGCGGCTACTCGCGCGTCAAGGCCGCCGCGGCCGCCTCCTCGGGCGGGGGAAAGCAGGGCAAGGGCGGCAAGGGCGGCGACGGCGGCGGTGGTGGCGGCCGCAGCGTGCTCAAGCCCATGGTGCACCAGGACTGCTTCTTCCTGCGCATCACGCAGCCGGCAGCCGACGCTCCCTCAAACACGCCGCCAACAGTGCGGTGGGAGAAGCGCAAGCGGCCGGCCAACGCGCCCAGCCCGACACGCGCGGGCGCCACCATGGCCTACCACAAGGGCCGCGGCATCCTGTTTGGCGGCGTGCACGACGTTGAGGAGAGCGAGGAGGGCATCGAGAGCGAGTTCTTCAACCAACTGCTGGCGTGGAACGTCGAGCGCAACCGCTTCTTCCCGCTGGCCCTGCGCAAGCCGCGCGCCGCGCAGAAAAAGGGGCAGGCAACCGAGCAGCAGCAGCGCGTCGGCCGCAGGGGCAGGGCCCAGGCCAACGAGGAGGAGCTTCTGAAGCAGCTGGCGGCCCTGCAGGCGGGCGCCGGCAAGGGGGGTGACGGCGACGGTGACGGCGACGGTGACGGCGACGACCAGATGGATGTCGATGCCGCCAAGAAGACGGCCGACGAGGAGGACGCTGCTGCGGTGGCGGCCCCCAAGGAGGACATGCTGGTGTCGATGGAGTTCCCGCACCCGCGGTTCAACGCGCAGCTCGCGGTGCAGGACGACGTGCTGTATGTCTACGGCGGTACGTTTGAGAAGGGCGACCGCGAGTTCACGTTTGACGACCTTTACGCCATCGACCTGGGCAAGCTGGACGGCTGCAAGGAGATCTTCAACCGGCCGGTGGAGGACTGGATCGTAAATTCTTCTCTGTCTACTTTGCCTACTCTGTCTATGCTGCACAGAACCAGAATGTGGGAGGAGGCCGTGTGGAGTTACGACTTGGCTAACGCTGCTTGTTCTACAGGCTTCGGACGACGAGGACGACGATGATGACGACGACGACGACGAGTACGAAGACTACGACGACGACAAGGAGGATGAGGACGAAGACGGCGACGTCGAGATGGTCGAGGACGGCCAGAAGCCGAAGCCGTTCACCCCTAGCGCCAGGGGCAAGAAGCGCGCGGGCGCCGAGGCACCGGACGAGGCGGCCAACGGCGCTGCCGCTGCCGCTGCCGCTGCGGAAGAGGAGGAGGCGGAAGCGGCGGCCGCCGCACCAGTGGACGATGGTTTGCCGCACCCAAGGGTAAGTTTGTCCTTCTTTACATGTCTTGCATTGGTCCTTTGGAAACACAAGAAGCGAGCGCTAACCACCCCGCCGTAGCCATTCGAATCGCGCCGCGACTTCTTCCAGCGCACGTCGCACGAGTGGCAGGAGGTGCTCATGACCAGCCTGCGGTGGAAGGGCGTCGCGCCCGAGACGTTGACGGTCAAAGAGATCAAGACGCGCGCGTTCGAGATGAGCGAGGAGAAGTGGTGGGACTGTCGCGAGGAGATCACGGCCCTCGAGGACGAGCAGGAGGCCGCGGGTATCGGCGAGGTCGTCTCGCTGGCCGACCGCGACGGTGGAGCTGCTGGGGGGGCGGGTGTCGGGGCCGGGCCGAGGCGCCGGTAGTTGTCCGTGTCTTGGTTGTCTGTCTCCGGGGGAGGAGTGCTGGCGTGGAAAGGATATGAAAAGGCGCTTTTCTGCTCTGCATACCTGCCTACCTTACCTTGCCTTTTGCTCCTGGGATGCCATCCAAAATACCAGCTAAAAAGGTCATTGCATGATGTCTCGCCACTTGTGAAGCCTGGGGTGGGGGTGTTTGGGGTCTCACTCTTGCTAATCTACTGGCATTGTCTGGGGATATCTATGGAATACTAGATACCTATATACCCGCGCATAAAATAAAACAAGGCATAAGAAGGGAGTTGAAACTGAAAACCACTGGCCTATCTGCCCCTTTTCGCCATCCCTTTTCCCTTCAGTCGGGACTTATTCCACGTTAAGGGTTAGGGTTGGTGTTATCAACCCCGACAAAGGCACGCCGCACATGTGACTCGGCGTCTACAAAGTCGCCCCTCAACGCGACCGTCGCCTCTTGTCCAAAGTCCCGATCGATTAACGATTCAACCCCAGCGTCTGCCCCGCGCATTGTCTGTGTTTTAGATTTCCATGCCGTGAACACCCGTCAAAACGTCGAATACGTACATATATTTTGTTCTTTACTAAGACCGACTTAAATATTCGGCGTCTCCTCCTACAGCCCCCCGGGTATAATTATTGGTTTTAATTAGAAAGGCCCCTGTTGATGCTCTGCGCTGTGTGATGCTACCTGTGCAGCTTCGATTCAGCAGTGCATGAGAGAAAAAAAGGGACATAAAGATGCCGCTCGGGATCCAGCGCCTCAATGCGAAACGGTCACAGCCCAACGACCGCATCGTCTTCATCAAGCCGCTGAAAGGCCCCGACGAGGCCGTTGCGCAGGACTTTCTCGAGCGAATTGCTGCTCAGTGTTGTATGTTACCCCCCTTTCTTTTTTTCTGAAATATTGTATTACCATTTGTTTTTAGTATATTTAGAGAGGCCAGCCCCTGCCGTCTTACGGCAAGAGACTGACATTCCCGCAGTGCCCGTCATGAAGGAAAACCACCTGTCAGTCATGTCGCTCGAGGAGTACGAGCCTAACCCCGAGTTTGTGGGGCGCAACTTCAACGCCGGCGAGGTCGTCCAGCTCGTCCTCAAAGCCCGCTCCGGCCACTGGCTGCCGTTCAACTATGTGCAAATGGTCATGATGCACGAGTAGGTGGCCCAGCGTCGCTCCTCTTCGCTCTGTCTATCTACAGGTGTCACCGCGAGAGACAAGGAGACGGATAGTGTTTACTGACTTGCTCGCCTTCTGGCACCAGACTGGCCCACTGCAAGCAGATGAATCATTCGCGGGCGTTTTGGGCAGTCCGCAACCAGTACGCCGACCAGATGCGAGGGCTGTGGTCGCACAGCTACACGGGTGAAGGTCTCTGGGGCCGGGGAGCGCATCTATCCACAGGCGAGTGGGAGAAGAACGGCGTGCAGCCGGGAGAGCTTTTGCCAGAACACCTCTGCGGCGGCACATACCGGTCGCGTGGCAGGAAGAGAAAAGCGAAAAAGGTGCTCAGCTATCAAGAGCAAAAGGAGCGCCGCATACTCAAGAAGTTTGGGGCCAACGGCGTGGCCCTTGGCGACGACGCCGGGACCAAGAAGAAGCTAGAGAAGGGTCGCACAGTCGCGGCCAAGCCCAGGGTCGCGGGGAGCGCCCGCGGTCGTGAGCTGCGAGCTGCCGCCGCCCTGGCCCGGTTCGACCAGCAGAAGAAGGAGCCAGCAGAGGGCGGCTCATTGATAAAGAACGGCGATGAGTCAGAGAGCAGCGGCGATGACTACGAGGACGAAGAGCTGAACGCCGGGGAGCTCGAAGCTGTTGACCGGAACGGGAAGAGGCTGCTGGACACAAAGGGGAGAGGCATGATCAAAGTGTGCGAAGACGAGAATCCCGAGGATCAGGATTCAAAGCAGGAACTGCTCGAGTTGCTGGGCATAAGCGCGAACAGGCCACGCTCGAATCCAGATCAGGCCGACTATGGAGGGCCAGCTATGCCAAAAGAGCCAGAGACCAAGCGGAGCAGCAAACAACCACCTGCCCGAAAGACACCCCCAGCCACGCGGCAGACCGCCAAGTCAGAGCCGGCAAGGCCAACGCAGCCCGAGCCGAAAGATGCGCCGCCGCTTATCAAGTCGGAAGACACGGGCGCCAATACGTGCTCGGTGTGCTCGTTTGCCAGCGACCACATGTCTGGCACCTGCGCCATGTGTGCCAATGTCCTACACCCAGAGAGGATGCCGGGCTCCTGGGCGTGCAGCAGCGAGGCGTGCAAGGGCGCCAGCTACCGAAATGCCAGAGACTGTGGCGTTTGCGGCGTGTGTGGAGAGCGTCGAAGAGAGGCTTGAAGTTTAGGCGCACGCATGCATACATACCTGCGCCTTGCCACCGGACACATTCACTCCAAAGCTCAGCGCCAGTCGGCTAAGCGGGATGCACACCGCATCACGGCCACATTTGCGTGAAATGAAAAACGAACCCAAATTTACAGCTCGTAGCCTGTCAGAGTTTCAGACCGGTGCTCTGCTTGCTTCTTGTTGCTCCCGTCAGCCCGTCGGCCGCGAGTTAAGTCGACGGCATTAGGGCTGTGAACAGGAAGCTATCTTACCTACCTTGCCTGGGTTGTTATTAGTTGCCGAAAGGTCAAAGACTCGGCTCGGACGGTATGATGATGTCAGACAAACAAGTGGGAGATGCGACTCCCGACTAATTTCCGGCCGATCATCTAGGTATGGCATCATCAAAAATGATTGCCAGGCCTAGGTACAAACGATCAATGTGGCTCAAGGGTCATCGTCCCGCATTTCCAACCCCCCGGTCCAGTCTGTTTTCCTTTGGGTGGAAGGGAAGATCTGTCTTTTATTTGTTATTTAAAGTTGCAACGAATGGATAGGATGAACCGCAGCCGATCTTGTGGGGGGGGTTGCATGGAGGCATTGGAGCGGATTTCGGGGTTGGGCGGATGGGCGATGAACAAACGAACCAGAGTGTGCATGTGCATGAAACGTGCCAGCGGATCTTCTAGCCAGTTCACAGCACAGCACACACAGCACGGGCAGGAAACGACGTCCGAGAGACTCTAGAGTGATGGATGGCTGGCTGGTGTTGCCCTCGGCAGCACGCACCGTCAGCCGTCAGCCAGATTCACCTTCACCTTCTGTTGAGAGACCGCCTGCCCTGCTTGCTTAGTTCACAGTGCTTACTTAGGTAGCCTGCCATGCAGCTGACAGGGGTGGGAAATTGGCCAATCGAGGGCGCTGCTGCGTCGCGCTCAGGAGGTGTTTCACATTCCCATCGTCGTCCCAGGTCCAGCCCACCGACAGATACTATACAGCAGCAAGGGCGGCTCCGAAACCTGGCTGGCTCTTCCTGGCTTGATCAACCCGAAGGAGAGAGAGGGAACCAGGCTAGGCTAGGCCGGGGCTGAGAGGATTGATCCGATCTGCTTGCGCGGCACATCGTTCATGCCCTGGCGTCTACCGTCTGTGGGCCAGAAGAGCCCAGAGTCCCAGAGTCTCACCAAGGAAGCTTCGCTGCTTCGGTCAAGTCGAGCTCTCTGTCGCAGCCTCGCAGGAGATCCCACCATCCCTGCGCCCGAGGGGCCGTAGCTGCAGATCCCCGCGCATCGAAAGCTTACCCCTGGGAGAGTGCAGCAAGCTCCGCACCGCACTGCAGAGCGTAGCATATGCCAGCATGGCAACACCGCACTAAACATCAAAGCAAGCCAGCCAGCTTAATGATCCCGGCGTAAGGTAGTGGTGGTTGCTTGCTTCTTGTAGATAACCGGTGCGGGTGCCCGCTGCCATTCTTTCGTCTCTCGATATTGTTGTCTGTCTGTCTGTCTTGTTCGACTCTTGGGAGATTGCCCTCCATCTGTCCGTTTGTCTGTTCTTTTTCGCCGTGGTGGTGGTGATGAGTAGGGATCTGTGATCGCCTCTTTTTTTCTTCTGCTTCTCTGTATATACCTTCCTACCTACCAACCCTTTTTCCTTCACTCTTCTTTTCTTCTCAACGCGACGCTGCCGGCTTGACGTCTGTGCTTTCTCTTCTTGCGATACCCGCCGTCTTCTTATAACGGCCCTGCACTTTACGAACGACTCGAGAAGGGATACAAAGTGTCTGGGAGAGGAAACGACCAGGAACTCGCACAGCATATATCGCTATTACCCACCCAGAGGAGCCCGCCATGTTACCAACCGCCCTCTTCCTCCGGGCTGTCCTGGCTCTCGCCGGCGCCTGCCTCGCCATGCCGTCGGCGTACCACATGTTCCCTCGGGTCATGGTGCCACAGACACATTACGAGGTGCTGAGCATGCGGGCCTCGACACAGGTCAACCCGCGGGCGGCCCTCGACACGCGATGTATCGACAGGAATGCGTAAGTCCATGTTGTTCCACTATTTTCCGTCACAAGACAGTTACTAACAAAACCCCCGACAGCCGCATCGTGTTCCACGACCAGAACGTGGCCGAGCTGGACATTTGCGGCGGTATCGCCGGCGCCGTGACCAAGTGCGGCGGCCAGCCGGGGCCGTCGACGACGGGCCGCTCTGGCACCGCCCTGTTCACGCTCCGCGCCGCCGACGCAGGCGCTACCATCAACATCTCCAAGGGCCGCTGGGAGCAGTGCGTGCGCGCCGCCCGCTCCGTGTGTCCCACTGGCAGCCTGGCCGCCACGTGTGTTGGTGGCGCTACCTCGGGCAATGTCGCGTTTACGCTCACGCCTATATGACATGGGGGCAGGCGTATTTGAATCAGCTTCTGCTTTTTTTTAAAGCGCGTTTCGACGACATACGCCTATAGAGATACCTACCTGCAGGGCATATACACTCCCCCAGGTAATGGCGGCAAGAGGGTGCTGGCTGGGTTCATCGGGATTACATATAAACAGACAGATACAAAAAAGGGATACAAAGGGATACAACGGCCACCTGGAAATCTCACACATTGTATATAAGGTGCATGAATGGATGGGTGGACGGCGTTTATAGAGCGGGCTACAGCAATTTGACTCTCGTCTATAGATATTAGATACCGACCTAGATAAATATCCACAGCCTCAAGAGGCACCGTATGTCAACTACAACAACAACAACATAACTGTGTCTACCCAACCCAAACCCCAGCTCTGTTCGCGTCGCAACAACCCAACTACTGGTCACCGCCTCACCTTCTACATACGACCATAGCCACTAGAAAGCTCGGGATCCCGTCCGCTCTCCCTTCGATAAACCCGTGAGGGCCAGACCAGTAGTTGGGTCGTTGACGACCGACTCGGAGAGTTCTGGTGGTGTTTTCGGGGAGCTGATATCAATAATGAGCTAGGAAAACTAGGCTTCTAGGGACGGTGGCATCTCAGGGGCGGTGTTGTTATCGGTGGTGCCTGAAGCATTAAGCCAGCCGAGCTGTTGGCCGCCATGCAAGCGAAGCAAGTCTACGACCTGGTCATATAAGGGGTCGTCACTGAAATGGTGCTCCCAGTAGGCCATGGCTTTGGTGATGGCTAAAGCCCCGCAGGTGCATGAGTTCTCAGCGAGGCGTTGGAGCCCATCGTACATGTTGTTAAGATGTTGTCCCCAGTTCCGAAACCTGTCATACGGTCCATCGTCGGCCCACTCGACTGGGAACGACCCTTCCAGACCAGAATATTTCGTCTCCATCTCGAGTGCCCTGGAAATAAAGCCGCAGCCTCCCACGACGCGAAGTTCGTTGTGTCCTTTGGACTGTGCTGCCCTTTCTTGAGGCGAAGCTGTCGAATGTCTTCGACGTCCTCGAGAAGTTCATGCTTGCCATGGAGCTCTGCAAAGGCGGCAATGAAGTGATGGATCAGCAGCGCCCGGTACTCTGGCCTGAACTCGTCATTGTTGACCGCGCACGATGGATGGAAGGACTGGATGAGGATGGCCGTGTGGCCATCTCCAAAGTCGACGTCCTCTCGCTCCATCTGATAGTCATCAACAAAATAATCAAATCTCCCCGTCCACTCGTCTTAGTAACTGTCCCTGTAGCAGCGTATCACCACCCTTAGCTTCTTGGCCTGTAGAATCTGGGCTAGCAGCTGGTGGCACTCTGGGTTGCGGTCGTTGTTGTTCCTATCCGACTGGTACGAGAAGGCATAGAGAACAGTTGTGTTATGGATGTCCCATGCTCCACTGGTAGCGAACCTGATGACCTTGTCCAGCGCCTGCAACGAGTTACAATCTCGTACATGCTCATCGAAGGAAATTCTGCGGGAAGCCGTAGAGGATGGCCGCTCCAGGATAACAACTACGTCTGAAAAGCCAGCTGCGAGGTTGCACGCCTGAGCGATCTCAGGCTCGCTGGCACCGACCTCGGTTCCGAATTCTTCGAGGAGTCTGATGGCAGACAGTTCTCCTTGAGAAGGCAAACATGTTGGAGGGAATCGTGGTAGCGCTTGAGCACACTGAGGTACGCCTATCCCCATGACAACCGGAAGCGGTCACATGGCTTTGAAGATAGTAGGACTGTGGCCGTTCGCCTGGAGCTCTTGAGCGGAGGTTGGAGGTCAACAGGAGATGGAGTCACCACCGGGGTGAGTGGGTGGGTTGGGAAGGGCGAAAGGAGTTGGTGCGGCTAGCGTGTGTCTGCGTTTGAGCCATTCTTGCCTGAGGCCCATCTGCACGATCCAGCGGCGTGACCATCGTAACGTGATGCTTCCGTATTTTAGCCAACACCCTACACAGTAGGTATTAGAACCTGCATTTCTTAAGCACTGTCCTCATTTGATATAAGTACCAAGGTGCATGTATAAGCGGGTGTGTAATAACCTCTTTGACCTTATGCTCCTTGGGTTTTAATTTTAGCGCTTGGATCAAAGGCTTCCATTTCTATGCCTACCTAGGCACGATCCAGGATACCGAGGGAGGCACTTAGAGCCCAAGACAAGTTCCGTAAGAAACGAACATAAATTGGCCCATATGTTTAATATTGTCTTTTGCATCTTTAGAACGCCTGGAAAACGGGGTATCATTCTGTCTCGCTTTTGGCCGCAAATAGAAGAGAAATAAAATGAGAAAAAGGGGAAATAAAAATATGCTACTCCCACGGAAAAGGCTTACCCCTTTTTCTTTTGTCCATCTTTTTTCCCTCGGGATATGAAGCACCCCGGCCCCTCCCTGAATAGGAGCGGAAAAGAAAATAAATCTCCAAAAAATACACAAAGAGGACATCAAACACCATACCGCGTAAAGCACTCCTCGCGGTGCGCCGTGAGACACTGCAGCGCGCACACGCGCGAGCCGCACTTGGTGCAGCGCACACGGCCCCAGTAGCCGCACACCTCGCAGAAGTGGCGGGTCGGGTACGTCGGCTGGCCCGAGGAGGCGTCGTAACCGTCGCCGTCGTCGTCGTCGACGGCGGCGCGCGCGTCGAGGTAGCTCAGGGGCGGCGCCGTCATCAGCGCGCGCAGCTCGTCGTCCGTCGGGAAGTACGGGACGTGCGACATCAGCAGCGGGTCGTCGTCGCTTGGGTGTGCGGCCGGGGGCGCGCGGCGGTAGGCGGGTAGGATGGTGCCGTCTGGCGGGTAGGTTTGGGGGGGCGGTGGCAGCGGTGGTTCGGCATCGCCGGGCGCGGGCGCTGCCGATGTGGTAGTAGTACTGCCGTCGGTTGTCTGTGCTGTTTCTGTTGTAGAGGCCTCCCCCGGTGCGTCCGTCATCTCCACGTCGTCATCCTTGTCCTTGGCTATGTCTAGCTGCTCAGCCTCCGCCGCCTTTGCCGCTTCCGCCGCCGCGGCCTCGGCTGCTGCCGCCTCTCGCGCCGCGGCCTCCTTTGCCTCTCGCGCTGCTGCGGCAGCCGCCCGCTTCGCCGCGGCCGCAGAACGCTTGCTGGCAGTGCTTGTGGGTGCCTGGGTTGGTGGTGGCGGGGTGGGCGCGGGCGAGTTCTTTGCTGCTGCGGTAGCGGGTGGTGTGGGAGCAGACGCGGCACCGGGCTTCAGCTGTGCTGCGTTCAGGGCGGCGGCGGCAGCAGGGTTCGTCTCGGCAAGGGCGAGCAAGGCCCGGTAGTCGTCGAGGTGGTTGGCGAAGGTCTTTTGCGACTGTAGGATCTTGCGCACGTTTGGCGTGTGTTTGTTCTGGGCTGGTCACATTCATAGGGAATCAGTCGCTAACTGTCATTTAAGCATGTCCAAGAGAGTGCGAAGCTGTGAATGGCACCCACCTCTACCCGGCTTGGGTGGCACGGGGATACTCGCATCCCTAGAGCCGTCGCGGTCAAGGGCGTCGAGTTCCTTGCGGATCTTGGCGTCCTGACGGACCGACAGGTCGGAGCTGGAGAGAGCCGCCTGGTTCCTGGCGGCGCGCTTACGGTTGGCCGGCTGCAGCGCCGACGACCCGGGCGCCGGCCCCGTGTCGGGCACGTATGCCCATCCGGGCGCGTTGGTCTTTTTGGCGCCGGCGACCTCGATGACGCCAAAGTTGTTCATGGTCGTTCAGCGCGGAGGAAGCGAAAAGGTGGGGTGGAAGTGGATGCGCCGGATTTCGTTCGGGAATTTTATTAGAAGTGACACTAAAGTCGCCCCGTCCACTGCTTCGTACAGTACCGTATCCATTACGGGGTACCTTGCAGGCAGACACAGCACGCTATCACGGGTATGCGTGCCCATACCCCAATATATGCCGATTTGCCTCCTGTTGCAGATCCAGGTGGTTGTAGTATATTATTGGGTCCGATGAAAAGAATCATCCCAAGTCAATTGGCATTGGCCAGCACCGCGGCTACCTCAGACCAGTATTGCCACGGGGCTCATAGATAAATACGGCAAGCAGAGCAGATAAATCGCAATAAGACACGCTCCTTTCGCTTCTTCATACTGACGGCCATGAATGGAATAAAAACCCCCATATGTACCATACAAGCTAGGCTGGCCTGCCCCCCTTCCAATCTTTCATATACATGGGCAAGCGGCCTAAATACCGCGCATTTTTGTTTTGTTTTCCCTCTCCCGGGCCCATCGTCACGTCAAGTCATGCTTCTCGTCTATTTTTTCTTCCTCTCCAATGACTCCATCTTCTCCTCTAGAGTTCCCACGTATTTGCTGAGACGGTCGACGGCGTGTTGAAGGTTCTAGACGACAACAATGCCTGTTAGCCACAGAGTCCCGCAACAACCGCCATGTGAAATAGGGGTGGTGTGGACGACACGGCATTGCAGAATGAGCAAGTTCGCGCGCGTGCAAAGCGTGTGCGGCCCTCTCCATCTCCTGCCACCGAGAAGCCCGCAGGACCAGAAGAGGAGAGGAGAAAAGGGGGTAGAGAGGCGGTGTGTTGGTAGGTGGAATTACGCTGAGCGAGACGCCACGGCCGTCGGGGCGTCCCGTTTCCCCTTCTAGTATTCCAAACCCAACAAACACACACACACACACACGCACACACACACACGCATACACACACAAGCACACAGAAAATACAACCACAATAATAATAACAGTAACAACAACAACAAAAAGACCCAAATGCAAGGAAGGAGGCGTGTTAAGTAAAGGAGTATCGTATCAAATGCAGAAACGCACGTAGATATCCTCGGTCAACAGCTCGTTCGATGACTTGTACTCTTGCAGGGCGTAATAGTAGACACTGGCGCCGGCGAGGGTGCTGCCGAAGAAGAAGCCGAATAGACTGGAAGCAAGCAAGCATGCAGTCAGTAAACACGTTCATTCCTAATTCATTTCGCAGTTCGCCGGCGTCGTCGTTCGCTATACATGGACAGACAAAAAAAGGGAGAGCAGAAGAAACACAACAGCCCATAGACATAGACATAAGCAACACAACATACCCTCCTCGAAAGGCTCCAACTGGCTTGCGCGCAGGAATTGGCGCGGCGGCGACGGTGTCGAGCCGCGCAGCAGACGTCTGGAAGGTGCGAGCGGCGGCAGCAGAGCGCAGCGTTGCGCTCGAGAGAGCGCGAGCGCCGGTCAATAGTATCTGCGAGTTCATTTTATGGTGCTTTGGTTTGGACTGTTCCGTTCCGGCGGTGCGAGGGGAATGACGTGAATGCTCCACGGTTGATGTGAGGCTGCAGCACAGATGGAGACATTGAAAGCCCGACCCGTGGCCCCCTGGGTTACTGACTGCCGCTCAGGGGCAATTGAGCCAATCAATACCCCCCACTTAGATTTTTATGCAGCGTCGAACGTGTCCTGAAATTAATGGGAACACAAAACACGACACAATACGGATTAGATACACCGCGCAACCCATTGGCCCAGTTCTCGAGCACAGAAAAGAGGCATAAAGACGGGAGTTACGATATACTAAAGTGTCATCTAGGTTTCAACAACAGTCACCAAATGTGAATCCGTGAGCAGGAACCCAGGGGCCTTTTTCGGGTCAGGGCCCTCATTCCAATTAATATGAAAATACGCGTCGGTAAGGTATTTTGTTTGTTCCCAACCCCAAAATCAAAGGGTTTCAGTCGCCCCTGTCCCTAGTGAAAACCGAGAAATGCATAAAATACAGAAAAAACTCTCCTCTAGAGCTCGTCATGGTCCTCCGTCTGCTTGGCCGCCTCCGACGTGGTCGACTCGGTGGCAGCAGGCGCCGCCGACGCCTCCTCGCCCTCCTCAGAGACCGACGCCTTGTACTTGCCGTTCTCGGCAATGAACTTGATCAGATCCTCGACAGTTCGCGCGCCAGAGTACGTAACAGCCTCCGACTTGGAGCCAGCGGGGAACAGCTTGATGGTGGGGAAGCCCTGGACCTCGTCCGGAACGTCGTTGAGCGTCGCGTCAACCTTGGCGATGACGACCTTGTCCTTGAACTCGCTCTTGGCATACAGGGCTGCGAGCTCCTCGTACTTGGGAGCAAGAGCCTTGCAGTGACCGCACCACGGGGCGTAGAACTCAAGCAGGACATCCTTGGTGTCATCCAGAACGATGTCGTTGTAGTTCTTGGCCACGACTACGGTCACGGGGCCTTCCTGGGTCTCGGGGATGGGTTCAGACTTGATGCTGGGGTCAACCTTGCCGGCAACGAAGTCGTCGACGAAAGTCTTGATGTCCTCGAGCGTAATCGCCTTCTCCTGGTCGTAGGGAAACTTCTGGTTCTTGACCGTCTCCTGAATGGCAAAGGCCGGGAACTTGTCGGTCTTGAGGTTCAGGTTGCCGGCGTGGGCACCAAAAGCCTTGGCGTCGATGGTGGCGAAGTTGACAACGCCACGCTGGGCCTCGGCCACAGGCTTCAGAAGGTCGCTAATCTCCTTGCGCTCCTCAGCCGTCTCGGCGAAGATGTAGGCCAGGGGAAGTCCTGACGACATGTAGTCAGAGTATGTCTCGGGGCCAACCTCGCCAATCAGGGGCGTGGCAGCCGTCTTGGTGAACTTCTCGATCGCCTCGGCGTCGAACTTCTCCGTGAAGACAGCCTTGCCCTCGTCGAACTCCTTGTAGAGCACAATGGCGGGGGCAGTGACGCCCTCGGCCTCGGCAAGAGCAGCGTCGTTGGTGGCACCGAAGGGGTAGTTGTCCCGAAGCTTGTCGGCAACCTTGGAGAAGGTCTCATTCGAAGCCTTGTCAGCGGCATCGAAGAAGGCCACGAGAACGACCTTGTCGGCCTTCTTGAACTCTTCCAGGGTATCCTTGGTGAGCGTCGATACGGCAGGCAGCGACTGCTTGATCATGTACGACGTGATGCTGTTGCGGATAGGTTAGCTCTGTTTGCCTCAAGCAGCTTGTAATTGACCAGGGACGTACGCAGCAGCCTTGCGCGGGCCCTTATACGGCGAGACATTATCCAGACCGCGGAAAACCTTGAGAGTAGGGTAGCCCTCGACGCCGTGTTGTTGGCACAGTTCCGTCTCCTCTGTGCAGTCGATCTTTGCGAGCCTGATGTCCTTCTCCTTCAGCGATGTCGCAGCCTCCTCGTACTCTGGGGCGAGAGCCTTGCAGTGACCACACCATGGGGCAAAGACTGTGCGCGTGTGTTAGCATGTTGAGGCACGAAAGAGGCACTGGGAGTACAGGCAGACACGTACATTCAGCGAGGACAATGTCGTTTGTCTTTACGAAATCGTCGAAGGTGTCCTTCTTCAATTGCTCGACGTCGGACGCAGTGGCAACTGCCGCAGCCGCGAGCAGGCCAAGCGCAAAGTTCCTGGCGGTATGCATACTTGCTTTCTGACACTCTGTTCGAGTGATTTCTGTCAGTGAACTGGCTCTGAGCAAACAGTTGCAGGCAGAGCCACGGATTGCGAGCTAGGTTGGGGTGAGGTGTTGTTGGTTGTCGGTTGCGGGAGGTGCCACAAAGGAAGACGGACTGGACTTACGGTAGTGGGGGTGTCTCAAGAGGAGGAAAAGGATAAAGAATTAAAATACCAAGCGGGCAACACCGAGTGGGTATTTGGAAGGACCCCAGGCGGAAGAGTCCCTTATAAATAAAAATTGAGATGGGGTTGTGTATTGGAATCTCCCAGGAACTGAGAGAAGTGTATGTGGCTACTTTTTATTATCTGATGCGAAGTAATCAATTTCTAAGCCCACCTGTTCTCAGGCACGAGAGAACAGGTGTCTTTTCCCACGGCATAGCTCCCCCAGCCTTGGCCCCCCTAGGCTCGAGAAGCGCCTCGCAAAGGGGCGGGTGGCCTGCGTTGGTGGGGACCAATGGCCAGGGCTGAAGCAAGTGGGGCCAACCCCCAGGGAAGTCTCAGCTACTTTGATGGACGACTTATCGTGAACAAGGTAAACTACGAGGCTACACGTCCAATAGTAATAACATTCCCACTGCGAAAATAATTAGAGCACAAAAGTTGAAACTTCCTAGTGATGAGAATTAAGACGATGCTGGCTTCTGCGGCTCTTATTCAGGTACAAACAGAGAAAGCCCTCAAGTCTTTGTTCCGTCCTCTGGGACGCAAAGTACGAAGTACACAGTACTGACTGGACCCGAGATCAGCCTTTTGGCAACGGTCCCGATTTGCCCCAGCCGTTTCCTGCAATCAATTCCGCACCATGTTGCCACAGCTGCCACAAGGCCTGGAGGGACTGGTTATCAAAAGCTCACAGCCTCATGCAGCGAAACAACCTTGAAAGTGAGGTGTGGCCGCCACGATAAGCACTTGGATTCGATACTAGTACCAGAGATGGATTGATGGTTCACGGTCTATGGAACCCGGGAGAGTTTGATGCTTATCCTTCCGGTCACGCCGTCTCTCAAAGTTTTCTTGATATGAACGCCTATCTTGCTTTTATGTTCTCGGAAAGGTAGGTAAGGTACCTCGTAGCTTTGCTAGATGCCGCTTAACCTTTTCCAAAGTCAAAAGCGGCTCGTCTGAATCCGCGAGGCACAACGGCTAGGAAGAATGGACTCCAGCGTCCGAACCGTCTGGGATTATCGGGATGGCAATGCCGCAAAAATGTCACTGGCGCTTACATAGGTCGCAGGTCAGACGACAGAGGCCAGATATGAGAATTGTCACACTCTTACCCTGCACTACCACGCTTCAGTTGCTAACAGTGACGGGCTCTGGCGACGCACAATTGTCTCGACATCGACCCGTAATCGAGAAGACGCTATGTTTAAAACGACGTTATGGGACTCAATGCACGTCAATGGAGATCAAGATCCATAAGGTGTTGTTCATCTCTCGCGGCCAGCGCCAAGCCACGACTAGGCGTTGCTTTTGGGCGGCCACCTTCCTGGGCTTTGTTGGTATCATGGAGACTCCTGAAACTTGTTTAATGTCAGCGCCCCGATTAGAGAGAAGTGCAACGAAAAGAACAGCATAGCAGCAAATCCCTAGATTTCTAATCAGAAATACCAGTCCACTCATAATCATTCGGGATACCTACCTTAGGTACTGACTTGGCTCGAGATGGATCAACGGGTAAACATTTTCCCCGCTGTTACATTGCCCTTGGTGAGGCAGCAATTTTTGCCGTTCCGTGAGATGTTTATAGTTCAAGCAACTCAAGCAAGAAAAATTGCTTATATCACAAGGTGTGTCCACACGCTGGGTACCTTAGGTACCTGAAATCATCAGAACGTTTCGAAACGAAATATTATGAATGGCGGTGTGTGGGCTTGACAAGTTTCAACGACATCCGTTGACTGAACTTGAGTTGGCTCTTGGACGGCCGGCAACTGGATGTGTGCGTAGAAGAGGGTGCACGTATGATGATAGAGCTGGAGACGTTGGTGTCTAGAGCTATACGGCGACTAGCCGTTGGTATTGGCCGACCACTTCCAAGTTTTAGGCGTTATGTCGCGCCTTCCATTTGTCTTGCTACTAGTCCTTCGATCCTTCCTCAAGAGAGCGTACTTGGTTAATTCCGAAGCGGCTTTCTATGGAATTGGAAGTCCAAGGTGGATAGTTCCTGCCAGTTCTTCAAATTCCCCTTCTCTTCCTGGGCAAGGTCGTGACAACCCGGACGGCCATCTCAACCCGGGGTTGCGTCTCCGGACTCAAGTTCGCCAGCATTGGTCAACCGGAGTGTCACGGCAGTTATTGACAAGCAACTGCGTCGTTTTATGATTACCGTCTTGTCCGCACTGTCCAAGTCCCAATTCACGTTTCCGTGTCCGTTCCAGTCCATCGAAGCCCCAGCTCCACGCGCCGAGTTGGAGCTGGAGTCGGATCGCATATTCTCGCTCGCTACGCCGGCTGCTTGCTTCCATGGAGCAGGTTCGCACGGCAAGACGTTCAGCTAGCCATGGTTCTCTCAATCGAAGTTACGCGGTCGATGTTTGCTATCGACCCCGAGTTGGCCCCTCGCGTACCTTCTCGCGGCCCCTACGCAGCGTGAACGAAAATGCGTCTCTCCTGGCGTCACCAGGGCCACTCGAGAGCATGCTCAAGACTACCACCGAGACGGGAGATATTGGCTTGTTCTCCATCAAGCCGGTCCGTCCACCCGCCACTTTCCACGGCCCCCATCGCGCCCGGCCCATCTGGAGCGACACAAGCCTTGGTGGAGCAACTGTCAGTGACGGTTTCGACACCTTTAGCCTCAGGGATGACAGGAGGAGACTCCCATCCTACCGAGACACTGCCTCGGAAATCATATCCATGTATGCTTCCGATAGCCAGAGGTCCGTCTCGAGTTCTCTTTCGCCGCCTTTCGATGAGCTGGGCCAACGCTCCTACTCCATGACAACTTGCAGCTCGAGGCTGCTTCCGCACCAAAAGTCTTCCGGGACCATGGAAAGCCAGTCAAGCGGAGGCTTGTTGCAGCGACCTCGCTCACCTTTCCCCTACCCCACCAGGCTTAAGCGCCCAGGCGTGCGGCCTTCCTCGCCAGCCGTCACCGAGAATGGAGGCGTTGATTATAGCAGGATGGTAGAGATTGACCGGATATCCCGTGTTGGTTGCCTCCTCTCTTGAAGTTGTCTCTCGTCTAACTGTTTCCTAGCGGACAGTTCATGGATCATATAAACCCACATATCCACAGCGCGGACGCCGGCCGGCACCAGGGTTAGCACGTCTCGGACACAACAGATCCGGCTTGTCGTCTTCCAACTGCGATGCCGTGTATGGATCTCAGTACCCTCACAGTTTTCCGGCGAGTGCCCCTGCAGCATGGGGTGGTAGGTTTCGCAGCCGGCTTGACAGTGGCACATCGGAGCATAGTCTAAGGACCGCTAGTCTGACATCCATTGTCGACATGTATCAACCTACGTCTTGTGCCCCCCGAGCACCTAGAAATTATCCCCGGCCTCAACCAAGCGGCAGTTTTTACTATGACTACTCTGAGGACTTTGACAGTATTTCCGAGAGCCCTCCGGTTCTGGTCGGCCCTTTAGCCCCTGTCCCAACTCGGGCTGCGAGTATGCGTCGACCAAGGGTCTTGGAAGATGGCTGCGATGTACGGTTTCACGGCCCGACTGCCCACCGTTTTCCAGTTCTCCATGAAATATCTACCACTGGAGAGCAATGCTGTCATCTCCCGAACTCAGAGGATAAAGGTGATTTGGAGGAACTGTTCTGTGGCTCTTGTTCACGTTACGACGGGCCCGGACAACCATTTTTGGGATCTACCACTCAACTAGGAAGCTTAGAACTGCCAGACTACGAGGCCAACGAGGCAGTGGTCATTGCACAGCATCCATCACTACAACAAGACAGGGCTCCGGAATCATGCGCTGGCGGCCGGGTTGGTAGTGATTCCCCAACCACCTCAACAGATGAGAAGGCGGGAGCTGATAGTTCCTCTTGCCACGAGGTGGAGACCAAGGTTTTAGGGAAAACAGTTGTTCGTATTGAACAGACTGTTGTCCTCAGGGGCGAAGAAACTGAGGCTTCAACTCCGACTGATTCTCCGAATCTGGTCGATTACGAGACCTACAGAAACAATGCCCGAAAATTAGCAGCATCATCTCCCGGGGTGTCTTCGCAAACTGTCGATATCTATCGGTCCTTACCGCTTTCATGGGCAAAAAAGGAGTCCGTCTCGTCAACTTCCAGTGGCCATCGGCGCCGGAGCAAGTATTACTCAATCGAGCCCGGTCTGTCTGATCTTGCTTCTCTTGTTCAGCACCTCGAAAGAGCTGCAAACACGACCTCTCAGGATGACTCTGCCACGCCACACTCGCCGGTGAATTCCCCAATGCAAGCATCGCCGGACGCCTCCAGCGACGATCCAGCCCGAGAAGAAAGCTTCCAAGGCCCACAGATCAAAGACGGCACTGAAGACAATGATGACGTAGGTGTTGAAGGAGATTCCGGTGCCCGTGGCCACAAACGAAACCCCGCCGTATCAAAAATCAGTACCAGTCAGCTGATATCAGTGGTCAATCAGAATTTAGCTCCGGCCATGAGCCGACCGCAGACGCCTATTCTAGCGCCCCATCCCATCTCACCAGTTAGAGAACTGCGGCTGCAGAATAGTGTCCCTCAACTCATGAAAGCATTGCCCCCTTTGCCGGGCAGCTCGACCAGGAGTGAATCTTATATTCTCAGAATGCCATTTGATAGGCTTGACCTTCCAGCTCGATTTTCGCCGTTGGACTTGTCGAAGATCTGGACGCCACAGTCCATGCTAACCGAGCCTTCGGTAACGAATAGAGCCAGAGACGACCGAAATCGTGTATATCGAAAACCGGACGTCAATGAGGGCGATGTAAAAGCGGATTCAGAGAGTAACACGGAGAAGCGGATACCAACCCCCGGAGCACCCTCTCCCACCGCTTCCAACTCTTCGTCTGGCCAAGATACCAGCCAGCCTGATCGAGACGAGGCCAGTTCCCAAACAGCAATAAGCGATGGCGGCGAAGACCACAAAGCCACCAAGCCTAGGAACGGGAAGTTGAAATTAAAAGTTTCAAGAGGCGCTCTGGCAAAGAGCCAAATGGAGGCGGGCGGCATCAGAAGAACAACAATCCCAGAGCAGATCGGAGGCTGGCGAGAAGCATCCGCGGGGCCCCGGCGACTAGTTACTCGGGGTGACTGCAGCACATCTTCTATGATTAAGTTGAGCGAAAATGTATCTATATGTCACATGGAAGATTTCGAAACGTGCGAGCATGAGAATGCGTTCATCGGCAGCTCCGCTCCGTCCCCTCCGGCGGCAGCGCTATCTTTTTGTGAGACAGGGGGTCATCTCGACGACTATATAGTCGCTGCACAAGAGTCTGTTGTCCTTGTTAATCAGGTCTCCCCGGTTGAAGTACGGAGTTCTTTTTCAGATGAGAGCGCAGCAAGCGGGAGACCCCCCAGAGGACTGCGAAAACGCCTCTCTGACCTGCGGGTTCGCCTCGCCGAATCCCGTCTGCGGATTGCAGAAGAGCCGATGCCCGAGACTGTGACGAGCAAAGAGATGGAACATGTTGGCATCGGCTTTGCTGTCCTACCGACTGCCAGTCTTGTGGATGGCAACAAAATTCAACTGCCTTCCAGGATCCCTGCTCGACTGGACGACGGTCTGCCCCTCCACCATCGAGGCTTCAGGGGCCGCATGTCCAAGTGGATGAAAACGGCCAGACAAGCTATTATGGCTGCTTGTACTGGCTTAAGAAAGCGCGGGTGAGTGTCAAGAGTCTTTGGCACTGGGATGTGGAATCCTGGCGTCGGCTTGCATAATGCTATGTTGGCTATGCGAGCCTCGTGTCTTGCTCTACTTTGGCTTCGGGCAGGTGGTTACTTTTTGGAAGTCTGTTATTAGAGTCCTAACAGACGCAGATCAGAATCTTGTCTTGGCATGGTTGCAAGGAAGGAAAATTGCCGCCTGCTTTGGTTTTACTTTGCTCCTTTTCTTACAAGATGCTCTCGGAGCACAGCGTTTGCTGCAGGATTCAAGATGCCACGGCCTGTTGTATTCACCTTAGTTGATGGGATACCACGGAGGGAATCTAAGCCGGGTACCGGTTTCCCTGCTGTTGGAAGGAGCCACAGGTTGATGGCGTTTTGGTAAGTATGTCATACAGAGAAAGTTTTTTTGTTTTCTTATACCTTGGCTCTCGGTGAACTTTGAAGTGGCGACGAGCCACAACTCTCACGCTCACAACCCTATAGCTGCGGTCTCCTTGGTAGCTCCAAAGTGTTGAGCATGATCCTTTTGCTGTACTAGACAGCCTTGAGCTCTTGATAGTTTTGATCCCTAGACGCAAAGCCTCCGCTTGCTATCCCGCGGGCACAGAACGGGGACTCCCTTCACTTTCGGAGAAAAAACTGTAGTTGATTTACCCTCACAACTGCACAAACGCACACCCATTTACCTTTTCATTCCTTTCCAACTTACGTAGTCTTTCTTTTTCCCCGCCGCAACAACTTTCGCATTGCCACAACCTATGCAGAAAACAAGGGCACCGAAATCTTGGCGTCGCCTCAACCATCGACCATCGGCCATTGACCATCGCCAGAGGCATTGACAAGCGCCTTTCATCCTAGCTTGAAGAGGGAAAGCGTATCGCTTATTCATCCGGGATACACTCTTTTGATATCTGGAATTTCAGAGGTGGTCTTCGTATCCCAACAAACAGAAGGGTAACCGAGAATCCTCGTCAATATGAAGCCACCATACACGTATCCACACGAAAGGGGCCTCAGGCCGTCATGGGGAGCATTCGACACCGCAGCGCCAAACGACGAAAGAGCACGGCGGCGGAGATCGACAAGGCAATCGCGAGATTCTAACGAGTCTGATGAAATAAGAGTTAACCCCAATCCCGTTTGGCCATTACCGCTGTCGACAGGCGCACGAGGCGGTCATGGTCGGTTCGCTCACCAGGGCCACGTTCAATATCGCCAGCAACTCCCCCAACCAGAGATTTACAATGCACAAGTCGTTGACGACGACGTCGATGATGATGATGACACAGAAGAGAGTGATTACGCAGCTGGGGATGTCGCGGCAGAGGTGGAAGCTCCCAAGGCCCGCGGACGATGGGGAAGGATTGTTGACCGCTTCGGGGCGAAACTCGGACGGAATAACGGCAAGTCTAAGGATGTCGGCTTGACTGGTAATGGCAAGCAAGACAAGGAAAGCGGGCTGAAACGAATCTACAAAAAGCTTGGCTGCTTCGGCCGCGGCAATGGACAGAATAAAGGGGGCCAACAACAAGAGCCACCTCAACACCAACAAGATGATGAAATACCGCCAGAAGTGGGTGGGCAGGGGGTTTTGCCGCTGGGCACAAATATCCCGCCCGAGGTTGTTCAACAGCTCCCGGTCGCTAACCAGGCACCAGAGCCAGTCGCGGGGCCTTCAACAATGGTCCAACGAGTATCTACTCTTATGGCAGAGACACGCCCTGCACCGGATCTGCCTCCCCACCCGGCTGCTGCCCAGTCACTGGAGCAGCAATATCAACAACATCAAGCATCGGACTCGGCGATGAACCAGAAACCACTGGACAGTTATCTAGCGGCCAAAGCGCTGCATCTGATGACGGAGCCCCATTCGGGCTTTCGATCGCAGTCGGCTTTCAGTCTGGCTCCCGTCCAGGAAACAGAGCTGAACACATGCAGTTCCCAAAACAGCCTGGCAACCACCACGCTCGGTCCCGACGCCATCGCGTACCAGGTCGGACAGCAGCAGTACAACGCCCTGTCGCCACCGCCAGGCCGCCACTACATGTCGGGCGCGCTCCAGCAGCAGGCGTACTCGCCGGGTCTGCACCCGCTACTGGGCGGCGGCGGCAGCAGTGAAGGGTTCGACAACCCGTTCGCCCACCTAAACGCCGACTTTGATGGGCCGGCGCGGCCCAGCCGGCACCCGATTGCGGACGCACATGCCGAGGAGTGGCACCGGTGCGGGCCGGCGATCCCGGAGCGGCTCAGCTCGCGGCCCTGGCGCCCGCGGTCTCGGGCCATGCTGTCGTCGTCGTCGTCCATGTCGCACCGGCGGCGGCAGCGCTCGATTATGTCGGGCTCCAGCAGCCTCGACTCGCGGCGCATGTCGTGGAACCCCTACGACCTGCCCACGCCGCCGCATCAGCCGCTGTTGGCCGACATGATGGAGCTGCTGAAGCAGCAGCAGTCGTCGTCGCGTCCCAGCACCGCCCGCGGGCCCCGTGCCAGCCGCAGCTCCAATCTCATGACCAACGCCGGCAGCGCCCTGGTTAATGTCAATGCCGCCGCCGCCGCCGCCGCCGCAAATGCAAATGCCAACAGAAACGGCAGCTTAAACGCCAGGAAGAGCAACCTCAGCAATGTCAAAAACAGCAACAACGCGGCCATCGCTGTCGTCCCCGGCCACGTCCGTGGCGTGCCCCTATTCAGCACGGGCAGCAGCGCCGCCGGCGACTCGGCTGTGAGCGGAGTCTCGCAGGGGTCTGCGGAGGAGGCGCCGTGGGCGGACCGCATGGCGCGGCTGAGCCGGACGACCGAAGACTCGGGCGTGGGCGTCCTGGCCGAAGAGGAACAGCAATACAAGAACAAGACAAAACAGCAGAACCAGTACCAACAGCAGCTGCAGAAAAATCAGCAACAGCAACAATACCAGCCGCCGCAACAACAACACCAGCAGCAGCAACAACCACCGCAACAGCAGCTACCGCCGCCGCCGCAACAGCACAGAAAGAAAAACAGCGACGCCACGACGACAATGGCAATGTGGCGGGCGCGGGACAGAAACAGCAAGGCAGCCGCGGCCGTGGCCAAGGCAGAGAAGCAGCAGCAGCAGTCGCTTCACGAGAACGGCGGCGGCAGCAGCAGCAGTACTAGCAGCGCAACAGAAGCAGCAACAGGAAGAGGCCCAGCCGGAGGACCGGCCGGAGGAGGAGTCGGCCTGGGGATCATGAACGAGGCCTGGTGGAAGCGTAACAGCAACGGCAAGATGGTGCCGCCGCCGCTGTCGTTGCCGCTGGTCAAGCAGCCGGCTCCGGCCCCGACCTTGGCTACAGCCTCGCAGTCGCAGCTGCAGTTGCCTCAGCAGCAGCCGCTACCGTCGCAGAAACTCCCGCTGCCGCCGCTTCCAAAGACACAGCAGCAGCAGCAGCAGAAGCGCGGCATGAGAACGTCGATGTGATTGGTCCTTTACATGTTTTTTTTTGTTCTCTTTTTCTTTTAGCAAAGGGGGGGAGGGGGCAGCGGAGAATAGAGGATGGGAAGAGAACGAAACGAGAGAGTGGAAAAGGTATAATAGCTGAGATCTGAGTGTGTAGTGCGCAGTACCGATAATTTATTTGTTTATTTATTTGCGAAAAGGGGGAGGTAAAGGGGGGCTGGCAACGGGGAACAAGGGGAGATCAGATCAGGCCGGGTTGGACTGGACTGGACTGGACTGGACTAGGTTGAATTGGATTGAATCGTTCCAGCTAGCGGACAGGCGTCCGAACAAGTCCAGGCCACATCAAGCAAAGAGCCCAGGCCAACGAGACAGCTAGCTAGCTAGCCAGGCAGCCAGCCATTCATTCATTCATTCATTCATGCCAGTCAGTCAGCCAGCCCGACAAGTCTTTGACGTTCGGAAGCGGGTGCCAATGCTACTTTTCTTTCTTTTCTTTTCTTTTCTTTTCCTCCTTGACCTGTCTCTATCTACATGGGTATAGCCCCTTGTAATGGTGTGTATGCGCGTGTCTGCGTGCGCTACGGAGAGTGGTTGAGGCTGCCTTGCCTTATTGCTTTTTCTGTCTACATGTATCGCTACCCAAGGTACCTACCACCTACCGCTTACCCACCACCTACCTACGTACCTACCTAGTAACCAAGAGACGAGAAACTGCGATTGGGAAAAAAGGGGGGGTTCAGGAGGCGGAGAGTAGAGATGGACTCGAACATGGTCATCTGTGGTATTTTAATTGATTCATCTAGAAGCATTCCTGCATTATCCTTCGTCTTCGTCCTCGAGACATGTACTTGTTCCCATGATATATGAACGGCTGCAAACTGCACAGAAAGAGCCGTGACAACATTTCAAAACACGCCACCGCCAATGATGAACAAACGCTCCTCCTCGCGGCGGGCCCATTGAATGATCTTATTCGCGCCCTGGGTGACGAGGGCGCGCGAGATGTTCGGGCCGGCGACGCAGTAGAACTCGAAGACGGGGGTGATCCAGGCGAGGCTGGCAGCAGCATCGCCGACGCAGTGCAGCACCTTGAGGTGCGAGTGCTTGGCGTGCATGGACGCGTGCAGCTCGTGGTACAGGGACATGAGGCGGCGGCGGGTTACTGTTTTTGACGATATTGTGCTGCCGCTGCCAAAGGCCGGCTGGTCCAGCGACGCCATGCAGAACTGCACGTTGGCGCGCGACTTGTACAGAAAGTGGCTGATCTGTGCGCCCGGTGCGATGGCGGCGACCGAGGGCCGCCCGCTGCGGACGGCCTCCTTGATGATGGCTAGGCTGCCGTTCTTGGCCAGCTGGTGGGCGACGCTATCGCGCATCTCCTTGAGCTCGAAGAAGCTCTCCTTGTCCGTGCTGATGAGAATGATGGCGATTTCGTCTTCCTCGGCCTGCTCGGGCTGTCCTCTCTGGCTGGAGAGAGGACTGCTCGGCGGATGCGGCTGCTCTGCTCCCTCTCGGGGCGCAGCCGGCTTATTTCTCGCAGAGCCCGGAGAGCCCGGGAAGCCCTCGTCTCCAAAGAAGCTCACGTACATGTACAGGTAGCCGCGGTTGTTAAAGGCGGGCAGGCACAAGGGGATCCAGTTCTCGCCGCCGCCGGCCCTGATGCCGCCCGAGGTAAAGAGCATGTTGAAGATGAGCTGCAGGTCGCTCGGGTGGAGCGAGTGCTTCCGGGGGCGGATGACGCTGACGAGCTTCCCGCCGGCGACGATCAGGCCGTAGAGCAGCCTGTCGCCGCGCAGCTTAAGGAAGGCGTTGTTGATGGAGTGGCGCTGGGACTTGCGCAGGCGCAGACACTCGAGGGCGCCGAGCAGGGCCGAGGGCGAGCCGCGGGTGAAGCTGTCGGCCAGCGAGGACAGCAGCGACTCGGTGCCTTCGAGCGGCTTGCGCAGGTCGGTGGACGGGCGGTGGACGAAGATGTTCTGCAAGGTGGGCAGGGTCAGGGTCGACAGGATCTGCATGTACAAGGCGTCGAGCTGGCTGCGGAGCTGGGCGTCGCTCTCGCCCAGGCGGCTGATGGCGACGAGATAGAGCGGGCCTTCGGTGGCAATGACGAAGCGGGCGTTGCCGGCGGTGAAGCCCAGGAGGGGATTCTGGGCGCCCTCGTAGAAGGAGATGATGGTCTGCACGATGCCCATGTACGAGTTGACCAGGCCCAGGTCGCCGTGGCGGCTGTATATGGGCTTGCCGGCCGACGACAGGATCATGTAGTGCTTGAGCTTAGCCTTCCACAGCGCCAGGCGGTCTTCGTCGGCCGTGACGGCGCTGCGGTCGGGGATGTCGTCGAACTCGCTCTCGAAGCCGGCCAAGGCGGAAGTAGTAGAGGGGCCGCGCTCGACACTGGTCTCGAAAGGCTGGACGGTAGCGCTCTGGGACCTGAGCAGCATCCAGGCGGGGCTCTTCCTGTTGAGCTCGCCGGCGACAAGGCTGGCGAGGTCTCCTGGCGGGCGCAGAGTAGGGGCGAAGCTCATGAGGCTCATCGAGTCGGAGCCGTCGGCCAGGTTGGCGCGGGCCGGCAGAGCGCCGAGGGCGCCGAGGGTGTCGTGGGTGGGGGTGGCATATCCGCTTGCTGTGGTAGAGGCGGCTCTCGTGGTGGTTCGAGAGGCGGCCCTAGAGAAGGTGCCGCGCGATCCGTCGGGGAAGGAGAGGGTCGAGATGTCGATCGACGACACGGCCGTCGTAGCGGGCGCTACCTGCAGCTGAAGCAAACTGCCAAGTGCATCTCCCGGAGAGGCCAAACCCAACGACACCGAGGGGCTCCGGCGCGGCGGCCGCGGGGGCAGCGGGGGCGGGGGCGGCTGCATTGTTGGCGGCGCGCTGTCCGTGTCCGTGTCCATCTCCATGGTGGTGGTGGTGCCGCCCTTGTGTCCGAATCGTGCATTGTCTCTTGGCGGGATCCCCTTGTTCTACTCGTACCGCTCGGGCTGTCGCGTGCTCCAAGTCGTGATTATCGCCCGCGCGCGTTTGGCTTTGGGGGGGTTCGCTTTGATCGTATCTGCATCCCGAACAACCTAGAACTAGTACCCGAGGTGTACTTTTTGGGGTATCATGGTCCAAATTTTATCTCAAAATCTGAGGCTGTCAAACCGTAACCCGCGCTGTTTCAAGTTTCATGTCAAATAGATGAGGTGGGATGAGATGGGACGGGATGGGAAGATGAAGGGAAGTCGGAGGAAGTGCAAATGACGGCAGTACGATGCGCTGCAAGTCAGGCACCAGGCTGGACGGACAGGGGGTGGAGAAGCCAATGGCATCGCTGCTACGGATAGGCAGCTAGCAGCGCCGTTGGCGCGGCGCAGCTGCACCCACTGATGCGCAACTGTTAATGACAACTGACAATCTAGCAGCCGCGCACCGCACCGCAGCCCACGGAACATCCATAGAACTTACCATAGGCCGGTATTACGTAGCTTCACAGCACCAATTCCATTCCTAGCCGCATTGCCATTCCTGAGCAGGGTGACGACGACATCCTTCTGGCCTCTGTAGGCACCACCTCAGCCTGGACACCTACCTAGGTAAGGTACCTGGTAGGTAAGGTACGGTAGTTGGGGACGGGATCCATCTTTACGAGTCGGCATGGAATGCGCTATCTCCTCTGTATAGCGACGAGCCTTTGCCTGCGCCCGCATCTGCAACTGCACCTACACTCGGCTGGGTAGGGACCCTCCAGAGCAGACGAAACAACGGCGGCAACGACAGCAGCGACAGCAGCGACAGCAGCAGCACCACCCCGACAGAGTCGCCGCCGACCATGTCCCTCGAGCCCGGGCGGCGATCCGCGTCGCCCGACAACAGCTCAGGCCGCGAGTCGCCCGTACCGCGGCAGTGGAGGAACCAGCTGGGGAGCGGTATGTTTGGTTCTGTTCTGCGTATGACATGTCGACCTGTCGCTGACTGGCCCCCCCCGCGGGCTGCAGAGGACACGCCGCCCAAGGACAAGTATTACCGCCGCTATGCCTCGGGCGTCGACCGAGCCCTCTCGCTGTTCGACACGGCGTTGCAGGAATGGGCCGACTACATCTCGTTCCTCAACCGCCTGCTCAAGGTGGGAATCTCCCAGTTCCCCTACTGTCTCACAAGCCTCGACACGCTGCTGATCCTCCGCAATAGGCGCTACAAGCCCGCCCCTCCTCCATCCATACCATCCCCGCCAAGCCGACGGTTGCGAAGCGCTTGTCGCAGTGCCTGAACCCCTCCCTGCCCTCGGGCGTCCACCAGAAGGCCCTCGAGGTCTACAATTACGTCTTCACTGTCATTGGCAAGGATGGTCTGTCCAAGGACCTGCCCCTATACCTCCCGGGCCTGGCCTCGGTTCTCTCCTTTGCCTCACTGGCCGTGCGCTCTCCCTTTCTCGACCTCCTCGAGCGCCACTTCTTGGACCTGAATCCGCGCGCCTTGCGCCCGGCCGTCAAGTCCATTGTCTTGGCTCTCTTGCCCGGTCTTGAAGAGGAGACGAGCGACGACTTTGAGCGCACACTCAAGCTCATGGAGCGCTTCAAAGCTGCCATCCGACCCCCGGGAAGCCAGGACATCACCCCGGCGCACTCGACTGGCGACGGCTTCTTTTGGCAGTGCTTTTTCTTGGCTTCCATCACCGGACACAGCAGAAGGACAGGCGCCCTCGCCTACCTCGTGCGCTCTCTTCCAGAGCTGGGCCACCCGCTGCATCCGGAATCGCAAAGATCAGGTGATGTCCACAATGGCCCGGAAACAGAGGTTTCTGCAAAGCTTTCCCAGCTCGTAACATCTCCCGAGCCAGGCCTGCTAGTGCGCTGCTTTGCCGCTGGTCTCGCCGACGACCAGCTTCTCATCCAGCGCGGATATCTGGACCTGCTCGTAACCCATCTCCCGCTGCATTCCAACGTTCTGCAGCGCAGGGCCAAGGCTGGCGACCTCGAGCTCCTCCTGAGAGCCGCGTCTGGCGTGACAACCCGCCGAGATATGAGTCTCAACAGGCGCCTGTGGACCTGGCTTCTTGGCCCCGAGCCCGCTGCCTCGGGAGAGACAGAAAGCGGGTTGGAATCTCCCAGCTCTCCCTCGAGCCACGCCCACGGCTTTCTTGTGTCGCGCACGAGCTACTTTGAGGAGTTTGGCCTGCAGCCTCTGACGAAGGCCCTACTTGCCATTATCACGTCCAGTTCGGACAGCAACCCAGCCGAGAGAGCAAGGCCGTACCGTGTATGTCTGTCTCTGATGGACAGGTGGGAGATTGGCGGCTTGGTTGTGCCCGAGGTATTCCTCCCTATCGTGGATAGCGTCCGCGACTTCAAGGCCAGAGCCGAGAACAAGAGCGATTTCGCCGAGGTTCTGCGGAGCGCCAGCGTCTTTTTCGATGGTGTGGAAAGCGGCTTGATTTACAGTGAAATTCTGACCCTGGTCGCCCAGGCTGTGAGCCCAGGAGATATCTCCGTCGCTGACCGCGTGGGAAAGCTCGATCTTGTCGACTTCATCCTGACGTACTTTAAGGTCAGAGAGGAGGAGATGATCACCATCCACGCTCCGCTGACCCTCCTGTCCATCCTGTGCATGATGGAGGAGGCAAAGGAGAGAGAAAGGTCGCTTTCGTCCCTTGACCCCTCCATCCCGGCACAGGCGCTCGAGATCGCCGCAAGTCTGCTCGAGCTGATCCCTGAGCGAGCCTTTTCAAAAGACCCTGCGAATAAACACCCTCCCCCCGTCGAGCCAAAGATACTAGCGGCCATCCCCAATGTGGAACTGCTCAAAAAGGTCAACACCTTTTATGTCTCTGACCAAGGAAACCTGGACGCCGCACTTCCCCCCTTTGCCCCGCAAAACCTAGCAGAACTTCTCTTGCAGAAGGCGTGCAATCTCAGCTGCGGTAGCCTCGACCAGAAAGAGTCTGGCGCAGACGTGGCCGTAAAGAGCCGGATTCTCATGCTCCTCCTGTCCAAGTCTCCTCCAAAGTCATTCCTTGACACCAAGAAGCTTCTTTCATCTCTTCGGGGGGGCCTTTCTCCCGAGTCACCCATGGCATTTACTACTTATTCCTCCATCCTCTCGCTGTCTACAAATCTATATTCGGCGAGCCGGATTTCGATTGTTGATCTGTCGGAGATTGTTTCTCCCTTGGTCCAGCATGCCTGGACGTTCCTCTCGGCCTCGGAGCCCAAATATCACGTAGAGACGGTCCGTAGTCTTTGGCTGCTGCAGACTGCACTGACGCCGACGAACCGGGACGTCGAGGCCGCCATCTGCTCATTGGTGCTTCAAAAGGACGTTACTGGCACGTTTTCTCAGCGCCCTGCCGATCCTGGCCGAAGCTTTTCCATCCTTTGGTCTCACAGCTTACAAGACAACCCCTCTGGGGCCGACCGACGGGGTCCCAAGACTCCTAACGGCGACCCCAAGATCCCTCCGCGTCTAGGCGGCATGGATAACTACGAGGTCATGCTCACGCGGCCTCTGTTCCTGATGCTGGATGCCCTCAGTGACGAGAGGACACAATTATTTATGACTGTCAAGACTTGGCTCGGCAGCCTTGTGGGCATCGATAAGTAAGCAGGCCGCCCCAGCCAGCCATTTGATATGTACTGACCCATTGCAACAGGCTTTTCAACATATTTGTGTCCAAGTTTGCAGAGCTCCCGTTTCTGCGGCGTCGGATGGAAGCAGAGAAATCGGCTTCTTTGGGTGGCGCGAGTCAGTTTTCCGCAGACGATGACCTCGACTTGGGATTGTACTATATTCGCGCCCTGTCGAACGTCTTTCGGTGGACACCCGACACTGTCTGGGCGGTCCTCGCGAAGAAGATAGTCCAGTCGGCGGCTTATTTTCCCCCGCTGTCCGAGATCAGTATGTCTGCCGCGAAATTTGTGTGAGGTTGTTCAGGAACTAACACGACGCAAAGCTGGGACAGATGAGGACATAACGTTCCAAGAATTCTTTCTCGATGTTTGCCTCCGGTGTATGCCCAGTGATACTGTCCCAGAAAACGACGGTTTTGGGCTGCGGGTCGCACAGCTGTACCGCTCCGCGTTGACCGTTTTACACCAGATTCTCCTTAACCCATACGCAGAATCGCTTTCAAAACTGCATCTCGAGACGGGACTGATCGAGAAGCTGACGATATCCCTCACGGGGTCTGACCCTTATGTGCAAGTCCTGCTTCTTGATGTTGTTTTTGCCTCGTTGAAACTCCGTGAGCTGCTTCCAGTGGAGATTCCAACATCCCCAGCAAACGAGAAGCGTGCGGCGAGCCTCGACCCGGCCAAAGGCTTCAGGCCGTCCTTGACAGGCGAGAAGCCGCCAGACATACGGCCGCCCCCTCCTACGCTGCTAAAGTGCATCCTGGCCGGACTGAGTTCGCCGAGCAGCCGGCCTGTCCTGGATAGCTGGGTTGGTTTCCTCGGCGAATGCCTACCTCTGTACTCGGACTCGGTATTTCAGGTCTTGATTCCTCTGGTGGAGACGCTGTGCAGCCAGATTGGGAGCACCTTTGCCAGTCTGCAGCGCTTGTTCCGAGCCGCCGATCGCCCAGGCGCGCACGATGCAACCGGCCCGGAAACCACTTTGATATCCCTCCTGAACGGCCTTGAGCAGGTCCTGGCCAACGGACACGACAGGCTGCTGGCTGAAGAGGCCAGAGCCCAGGTTGTCAAGAGCCCAGAACAGCCCCAAGGTTTTTTTGGTAATATGGTCTCTGGCGTCTTCTCATCGGATGCGCCGCAGTCGCGGAGCGCCACGGCTAACGACAGACTTACCGTCTTGCTGGCATTTCAGGACGCCGTCCGCATGTGCTTCACAATATGGTCCTGGGGCCAGGGAAGCGACTCTGCGCGACAAGACGCCACGTCGGGAGCGTCGTTCAACTATACCGCCTTGCGCATGAGGAACCGCGCAAGAAGGCTGTTGGAGCACCTGTTTGCCGCAGAAACTCTCGAGTGCTTGGAGACGGTAATTGGGATATGGCGGGGCTCGCTGGATGATGCCGACTCGTCAAAGCACGCCGAGGTCTTTAACCTGCTGCCTGCCCTCGATGGCTCGCGACCCAAACACACCATTCCCGCGCTTTTCAACGCCATTTACAGCCGGACAAACCCGGCTGCCCTGGACCCTTCAAGGCGATCTACCCTCACAATCGAGCTCCAGGACACGGATGTGGTGATATTTTTGGTGGATTATGCGCGCTCTCTGGAAGACGATGCCATGGACGAAATATGGCAGGACTGCATGGCATTCTTGAAAGACCTCCTGGGCAACCCCTTTCCTCATCGCCAGACGCTTCCGAGTCTGCTTGAGTTTGCCGCCATACTCGGCGAGAAGGTCGACAACACTAATTTTGGGGAGCAGCGGAAGATGCGCCGAGAACTGGCGGTAAGTCTTCACTTTGCCATTGCCATCGCGCATGTGCAGTTTATGTAGGACAGCCCAACTGACCCGGCATTCTCTAGGACCTGTTTCTGCGACTCCTCACAGCCATATTCACCACGAGGCCCACAAGTTTTGCTGACATTACGAGCTCGTCCGTTGTCTCGGAGAAGCGAGCCAGCGAGACTTCCAGGCAGCCGTCTGTGGTCAGGCTTCCCGGAGATCGCGCCGACGATGTAGTAGGGATTTTGTCTACCATTGTGCCAAACCTGCCCAAAATCCTGGTAGAGAACGACCGTATCCTCACGGCTGCCACAGCAATTTCGGCTAATGTCATTGGGCCAACGCTTCGCTCCAAGGCATTTCCCGAAACTGTCTCGAAAAACACGCTACTTCTGCTGCAGGAGCTGGCTAAGCTCCCCAACAACCAAAAATCATGGAAGAAGGACGTTGCCGACGCCTTCAACGATACGCGCTTCTTTACTTCGGCTGTCAGCTTGGTGCAGGACGGCTGGCTGACGCTTCTGAAGCAATGGTCCATCACGGACAAGGAGAGAATGCCTGAGACGTTGGCCCGCATGACACCGCCGACGACAGCCGGCATCGTGTTTGGCGTTGGCGCGACGTCGGCGCGCCTCGAGGCAGACCGCAAGACGCAGCTGAACCTCCGCCGCATCGCCACGCTGATCCTTGCGTGCGGGACCGACGCGTTCGTCACCGACCTGCCTCCTATTCTTGAGAAACTCACCGAGCTCCTGGGCGCCACGTCGACTTCGTCGCCCTCTTCCACCACCCGCGCAGAGGTGTACATGGTTGTGCGCGCGCTCTTGCTCAAGACGAGCGCCATTCACCTCGCCGCCCTCTGGCCCATCATCAACTCGGAGCTGCACGCGGCCATCTCGTCCGTGGTCGCGCCCGACCACAGCGCGCCCTCGGACACGTACAGCAACCCGTCGGTGCTGCAGGCCTGCAAGCTCCTCGACCTGCTCGTGTGCGTGGCGCCCGATGACTTCCAGCTGCACGAGTGGCTGTTCGTCACCGACACCATCGACGCCGTCTACCGCTCGTCGACCTTCCAGCCTGTCGCGCTCGTCGACGAGGTGTCGGAGGAGCTCGGTGCCGCCATGTCAACGGGCCTCGTCCACTACCACACCGAATTCGCGTCGCCGACCACGACGCACACGGCGGGTAAAATCTCGCACAAGCGGCCCCTGCTCGGCCCCGGCGGCATCATCAGAGACGACGTCAGCGTCGACCGCAAGGACGAGCTGGTCGCAAAGATCCTGCGCCCCTTCTTCGGCCAGCTCAGCATCTACGCCTTCGAGGCCACGTACGCTATGGCGTCGCTCGACTGGGACGGCTGCGTGCAGAACCTGCTCAGGGACCTGTTTGACGAGAGGAGCATTGTCAAGGCGTTATGAGTGTGATTTGTATCGTAGACGAGTGGAATGAGGGCTAAAGCGAGGCTTAAAAGTGGGCTGTCTCGTCGATAGAGACGCTGGCAGGCGGAGAGGGAGTCAGGGATGTGTGTACGTATGTGGCATGGACAGAGAAGACAAAAAGAGGGGCAAAATAACTATTGTACATTTCATCTTCTCGCTGTTGTTCAGAACATGCGGATAGTCATTTGCATTGCACATGTAAACAGTGCACCGATTGTGTTGTACACTGCCTGACGTATTTACATGTGTGCGTGTGCCACGATAGTTCATCTGGGTGATTTGTCTTGTTTTCATGAAAGCCCCCCTTTTCATCCGTCCGTGTCTCTACCTCTACCCTTACCTGACAGCAGCAGCAGATGAAGATTGTTGTTGTACGCTACCTATTTACATGTGCGTGTGTGTGTGCCGATAGTCATCTATGTGACTTGTTTTCATGATAGGCGCCCCTTTTCATCCATCCGTGTCTCCACCTCCACCATTACTTAACAGCAGCAGCAGCAGCAGGTGAAGACAAAAGAGACTCAGAAGCAGGCACAAACACCACCATAGCCTTGCTCGCGCCGTTCATGCAATACTGCACCACGTCGAGCTTCTCGCCCCCTTGGTCTGAGGACGAGGGCGCCAGCACGCCAGCCACCTGCCGCAGGTCGCTCGACCGCGGTAGGAACAGCGTGTGCTCCAGCGGCGCGCACGCCCCGTGCAGGTCCGCCAGGCTGTACGGCTCCATGCGCGAGAGGTCGAATACCTCGTGCTCGGCGTAGCTGACGCCACCCCATGGCGGCGACGCGAACACGGTCGCGCGCGCCGGGTCGATGGAACGTAGAAGCGTCTCGACTTCATCGTCTTCGTCGTATTGCTCGCCGTCTTCCATTTCCGTGTCGTCTGCCTGTTGCCCTGACGACTGTGAGAGGCTAGGCAGCTTATGACACCGCCGCAGCCGCGCCATAAAGTCCAGGCTGTCGCCGAGCACAAACGTGATAGCCTCTCGCACGCCGTAGACAGCGGCATTGTGCTGCGCGCACGCCAGCGTCGCCGCGTCTCTCTCTATCGCCACCACGCGCGCCCACCCCTCCGACAGCGCGAACGCAATCACGTTGCCCCCCGCCCCGCCGAACATGTCGATTATCGTGTCCTTTGTCTTTTTCGTCCGGGGGTTCTTGGTTTTGGACTGCGATGATGACCATGCTGCGAGGTCTTCGGCGATTTTTCTTTTTGGGGGTTAGTTTTTCTGGGAGGGAAGGTGAGGTGAGGTGGCTGCTCACTTTGCTACCGGCTCGGGCGTCACGCCAAACCACGCCTCGTCCGTCAGCCGGACGTCGTAGTCGTAGAAGTTGAATATCGAGTAGCGCTGGTGCCAGTATCTGCGGTGCGTGTCAACGGTCTGGGAACGTGCGAGTGAGCGAGTGAGAAGACACTAAGGCATATTACTTTTGGATGTCCCACGGCACGTCGCCGAGGACTTCATAGTGGCGGCATTTGTCTGTAAGATGCAGCTGGTCGTGCACGATGGTGAGCGCCATGGCCCGCTTGTGTTGTGTTGTGTTGTGCTGTGCTGTGTTTTGTTGGTGAGAGGGCTCTCAGCACAGGCCTGAAGGGTGAGTGAGGTGAGCGGACAGCCGTTTGTTGATGGAAATCCTTGAGAGAAATGTTGTATGATTTTTGGGTTGCGCAGCTTGGGACTGTCTGTTATTCTCGTATCTGTTTCTTGCTTTCTTTCAAATCAGGACCTGCCGCTGCGTCTCCGAGCTAGTTACAGTTAGATTTTATATTCTGTGTCCTGGTGCATTTGAGAGGCAGTCGCGTTTGCACCTGCCAAGATAGTGCTGTATGTATACTGTGTATGTATGTACGTACTTGGTAAGTTCACTCACCTAGGCCGGGGTGGGACCCACAACTCCACCCACAGCGCGCTGCTAAGGCAGGAACGGATTACTTAAGTACATGCGCTACGTAATTCTGTAGGCAGCCCTATGGCTGTAATACCCACGTTACCAGCGTACCGTACGGCAGCACAGCTACCCCAGGCACTGTACTAGCACTCGTAGCTCCTTCGTCAATGTTGTGCCATACGTCTATTAACAGCGCTCGACGACAACAACCTTCAAACAGCCAACACCACCACCGCCTCGCCATCCGAGTACGACCATGTTCAACGCACTCAACCGATTCATTTCGCGGCTGGACGGTGACGCCCCGTCGTCGGCGTCAGCCAAGGAGAACCAACATGGCGCATTCGGGTTTCAGGTGCTCCGCAACGAGAGCCTGCAGCTGGCCGTCGAGCCGTGGTTCGACTTTGTCGTGGGCATCAACGGGCGCATAATTGTTTGTTTCCCTCCCCCAGCCCCCCCCCCCCCCCCCCGAATGACTGGCTGACTGACACCTCCTCTCCCCTTCCACAGGACGACTCGGACCCACGACTGTTCGCCCAAGAGGTGCGCAACTGCGCGGGCGGGGCCGTGATGCTAGGGCTCTGGAGCGCGAAAGGCCAGCGCACGCGGGCGCTGCACGTGGCGGTGCCGGCGGACACGGGGTCGCTGGGGCTGACGCTGCAGTGGACGCCGCTGGCGGTCGTGTCCAATGTCTGGCACGTGCTGGACGTGCCGGCCGGGTCGCCGGCCGACGCCGCCGGCCTGCTGCCCTACAGTGACTACATCCTGGGCACCCCCGAGGGCGTGCTGCACGGCGAGGGCGGGCTCAGCGAGCTGGTCGAGGACCACATCGGCCGCCCCCTGCGCCTGTACGTTTACAACAACGAGTACAACGTAACGCGCGAGGTCACCATCCAGCCCTCGCGCGACTGGGGCGGCCAGGGCGCCCTCGGCTGTGTCCTCGGCTACGGCGCCCTGCACCGCCTGCCCGCCCCCCTCAGCGAGCCTGTCCACCTGCCCGGGGAGACTCTGTTCGACGGCGGCGACTCGGTCGACGCGGCGGCTACTACCACGGGCGCCCCGGCCGGCCAGTTCGTCGCGCCCGACGCGCCGTCCACGTTTAGCGCCGGAGGCAGTGTCCTGGCGCCACCCCCCCCCTTCTCGTCTGGCGGCGACTTTATCGTGCCGGCCAACCTGGTAGGCAGCACATCACCACCGCCACCTTCTGGAGCGGCCGCATTTGGGGGTCCACCGCGGAGCGGTAGGAAAAAGGACAGGCACGCCCACCAGAGCCCGAACCTGCTGATGGACGACTACTTCAAGGAGCAGGAGAAGAAGAGTCGGGAGCTGGACAATGTGCCGAGTAGGCAGGCGTCTCCATTACCGCCGCCGCCAAAGACCGGGGGGCCGCCCAGGGCAGGGCCGCCGCCGAGAGGTGGAAATGTCAACACACCGCCCCTGCCGCTAGCAGCATCAGATGGAAGCGAGGATTAGGAACGGGAGGAGAGCTATAGACCTTGAATCTTTTTTCTTTCGTTCTCGTTGCCCCTATCATGACTACGAAAGAAAAGAAATGCCCTATTTAGAAAGCTCCAGCAGGGCCTCCTTGTTTTTTTTTTGGTATTGTACAATTATAATGTGTGATAAGATAGATAGGCCGAGAGGCTAGTTTACAAGCCCGTCGGGTCATTCTTTGAAAGGGGGAAGGCCCCCTTGTACTCTCTACTTTTCCCCTTTTGATACCAACGCAAACCCGTTCCTTTCCCCAGTTATTCTTCCTTAGTATACGCTACAACGCGCAGATGAAGCTGGCTGTCTCAGTTGATAAAGTTGACGCAGAAGAAGTGAAGAACCAGGCTGCAGAAGACGAAATCGGCAAACGCCCTGATCCAACGCCGTGGCTTGCGTCAGCATTGCGTGGCGTGCATGGCACAGGACTTGTTGATATCCAAGTTGGTTTGCAGAATGCTTTGGTGTTGGGACTTACCGCTCTGGAGACACGGAGGGAAAGTCGGACTTGTTGGCCTCGGTCGTCTGGATCCGCAGCGAGGCTGTGTGATGATATACGGCTGGTTAGAGAACGGAGGGGTGGATGGCTTTGTCGAGGGGCAGGGAGGAGCAGCAGCAGGAGGAACTCACCCGTCAAGACGAATTGACCCACGGTGGCAGAGAAGCCTGATAGGAATGCGTTGAAAGGCTGTTCGTGCATGTAAATCATTAGTACTCTCTCGTCCTCGTGTTGCCCGCCGCCCGTTTTCCTTCGTCATGTTGTTCCGGTGGCCCGAGCAAGGCAGGCACTGCATTAAGCAAACTCACATAGTTGCCCGCCACCACGCAGTACAGGAACTGTAGCGCGCCCGCCACCACCAGGAAGGTCATGAAGGCGTCGATCAGCTTGGTCCGCTGCGGCGCCGAGTCCCGGTACGAGTTGGCCAGGTTAACCACCACGGAGTTCCAGTCTTGTTTGCTGCTGCTGCTGCTCGACACCGATTTGTTCACCGCCGGCTTAGCTGAGGTTGATACCGCTGCCTGGGGGGCGCTTCCGCTGCTTGTTGCGCTCGTCTGCGCTGTCGACGCCGCCGACGGCGTCACGTCGCGGTTGTTTCGGTTCTTGGGCGCCATTGCAAGCTCGGGGGTCACTAAAATGATACCTGCTGGGTTTGGGGGCAAAGTGCGGAGTGGACGGGCGGTTGAGCGGTGTCGAGGGGTTGTCGCTATCGTCGCCGTCGATGTCGTTGTCGTCGCCGCGATACGTACGATGAGGCTATCTGTCAGTGGTTCAATGCCCCCACATCTCCCAGTGGCCACGAAGCTTCAACGCATCCCTAATTGACAGGGGTTAGCCTTGCGGCAGAACTTGGCTTCTGCAGCACGGGCCAGCAGCTGGCCGCCGCGTGGTGGAATCGAAGAAACAGGGCGATGCCGCGCCACAGTTCAGCACAAAGGCCAAGGGGTGTTGTGTGATTGGCTGGATATTGTGCAAGAGGGGTGATTGGCCAGAAATGCTATCCGACCTCGGGGGACGCCGTCCTCTTCTGGCCTTGGTTCCCATTAGGTTCCCATGTGTTAAAATGGCAGTTGCGACTTTGCGACTCTCGTCTCACCATAGCCCTCGAAACCTTTTGACTTTTTGTTTGGTTTCCCGCAATGACCTCGCCCCCCCTCAACCACTCACCACGCCAGTGACACACCACGGTGGCCAGACCCATCAAACAAGCCTAACAGGACCCCTGGGCCATGTTTGCTTTCCTTTTCGGGATCAGTTATAGTTGCACCGCGCTTTTATTAGCAGACACGCACGACAAATGTTTGCCCTCTTCTGTCTCGTTTATATACCTTGTTCCTGCATCTACCAGCATACCCCGGCTTCGTAAACCGCTTCTCGCTCGTACTGTGAGCTCTCACTCCCACCACTCTCGTCTTCTTTCGTCTGTCTCTCCGAAGTCCGATGGCGTTTGTTTGCTAGATCCCGTCCTGCGGCCGGCGCCAACACCCCATTGACAATTCATCAGTCAGCAGGCAACCTCCCTAAGCCAGCCATGGCCTCCATGTTCGAGGTGCGTGCATGAGAAGCCCAGCTGCCCAAGCTGTGATACCACACACTTATTCACAGTCCCACACTGTCCTCCCTGCCTGTTGGGCAGTAACCATCATGTTTTATCCGCTATCGAGTGCAAGATCAGCAGCAGCCACCTACCTATCTACGCACTAGCAACCAACTACAGCACGCTACGCTAGCACCGTGCCGTATGCTGTATGTAAGACTCGACAAAGCGTGGGCTGACCTTTGACATTATTTATAGGCTCTCCAACCACATCAAGAAGACCGTCTCCACCTCAGGCTTCATCGCGCAAGGTCTGTCGTCTTGACAAGTAACGAGTAGGTGGAATAAGTCTCTTACTGTTCACTTGTCGTCTATGCTCCGTTCCCCGTGTGCCGTCTCTTCTTCCTTCAGGGGGTTCTGTTGGCTGTCAGCCTTCGGTATTTCGGGTCGATCCGTTCCCGCGTTTTTTCCTGTCCTCTCTCTGCTGTCTGGATTTATTTTATTTTAAAATTCTCATGTCCTTTCCTTTTGCTATCTTGGTCCGGGCTGCATGCATATCGGCCCTTCTTGGAGGGGGATGCCCGATATACGTGCCACCGCCATGCGTTTGCCCTTCCCGTCTTCCCCGCAGTCCCGGACTCGGCAGTGCGTAATTTCTCTTTGTTTGACTTGGCCCCTTTTTCTCCGCCGCCGTCTGAAGCCTGGACTGCGGGGAGGTTTTCGCGGGATGGTGGACGGCCGAAGGTGAAGGTGGTAGCCACGGACGTGTTCGCGGCTTGCGCACGCGCACGCGCACGCGAACACGCACCCTTGCCTGAAAGGTCCTCAACCCGCCGTGTCCCGTACCCGCCGCTCTATTTTACGTTACGCGCCTTACATACTGCTATGATATGATGGTACGTTGTACTCACAAGCCGTGCGCCCCCCCTCCCTGGGGGGGGGGGGGGTGTGGTGTCTTTACTCCACAGGCTCGTCGAACTGCGCGCAGCCCAACGCACGTTTGAGGGTGCTTACATGCGCACGGCACTGGGCCAGTTCTCATTCGCCCTCATCATCCTCAAAATCTTCAACTCGGACTTCTATACCATCGGCGCCCTCTTTGCCGTGTACGGGGCTGCCATCATGCTCGTCGCCGCCTACCGCCGCTACGAGGGCAACAGCCAGTTCTTCGATCGCGTTGAGAGCGAGGATCAGTCCTTCGAGGAGAGCGATGGCGCGGGCGGTTCGATCCGGCACCTACGGAGAGTTCGGGTGGTTAAGAAAATATTCCGCACTAGCGGCAACAGCGTCGCGCTTCTGGTGTTGTTGAGCTTCAGCTCCTACGTGGCACTAATGGTGCTGCTGTGGCACCTTGGCACATGAGGAAGCAACATCGGCTCCCAAAAAAAGACAAGGCGCAAGACCAAGAAAAAGCCGTTTGTGCGTCGCGGACGGCAGGCTGTGCGTGCGTTGTGGGGGGAAGGGACGAGGCCGTGCGCCGAGGGCGTGACGTCGGGAAACTGGCTTCCCGACACAATCGATGAACAGGACCACTATCTGTAGGGCACGGCTCCCAAGAACAGACTCGCCTTGACTTGACCCCACCACCTTCCGCCAGCCTTTGAGCTGTCAGAGACACAGGTCGGGTGCTCCGAGGCGTCATTTTCTCAACTACCGGCATTGGGTAACTCGGCGCTTCCGGTCCCGACGGTTTCAGGCCGCGGCGACGCCGTTTGCATGAAGAGAATATGATTGCGGGGGGTCAAAAAGCGGGGTCTGGGGGTCGGTCTGGGGGTCCGGGGTCAAAATGGTCTGGGGTGTGTCCTCACCTGTCCGGGGTGCAGCTTGACCTTGACCTCCTCCCCATTTTGGTACTCGACAGCCAGCGTGCTCAAAACCATTGGATGGCGACAGGCTCGGTGGCGCAAAACCCTGGGAGCGCCGCAAAGGAGGGAGGGGGCCGAATCAATATTTTGGTTAGCCTCATTCGATTGCCTTGCCAACCCCTTTTTTCTCTTTTAATCCATGTATATATATAACCTAGGCATTCAATAAAGTCTTTGCAGCCACCGCCGTTGTCGGAGGCTAGAAGATTGCCCGTCCAGCGCACAGATTATATCTAGAACTTTGGTATGCACTACCCACGGTAGGCAAGGATAAGGTTCCTATCAAGACCCAGTCAGTGTCAGATAGCAGCCCCCGGCTTGAAACTTCGTTTACATGCGCCAAGCATCTATCTACCAGTGCCACTGCCAGCTCAGTGCGTGATGAGAGACTCGTGTGATTCTTAATGAAGCGGCAATGAGAAGGGTGTTCGCCGGGTCTGGCCGGGTGAGTGGTCAGCCGCCAGTCTAGTATATTCAAGCCCAGGTCACTCGCAATCAAGTGCAATCACGGACGCAATGCAAGACCATTGATCTCAACCTTATCTCCCCCTTCCCCCAGCACACACACACACACACACACCCGCACACAGACCACCACCCACGCCAATGCAATCGTCACATGTTTGTGAACTAGAAAGGGTAGGCCTAGTTTGTGTACGCTGGAAACAAATACAGAGAGAAGCAGAAAGATAGGGAGGGTATGCTAATAAGTAATAAGGTATACTTTATATGTGTTGGTCAAGATGAAAAAATATTGTAGCTTCCATCACTACTCCTCTCTTGTCCTCTTCATTCAAGTGGTCGTAATGGTATATACCCCCCATCCCGTCGAATCGTGGCTCACATGGCTAGACTAAGCAAGGCACTCGAAGTTATAGGCTAGGCTAGGTAGATACAGAAATGAAGCGATACATGCAACACAGCGCAATAGGGTGAAATGGAGGAACAGATAATACGCAGAAACGTATGAAGAGAAACTTTTCTTTTCACCACACCGCCCACCAAGACATGTGTAATCAAGAAGAACCAGGACAAATCAGAAACATTAACCCAACTTTAAAGGCATAATAATTTGCAGAAATGACAAAGATGAAGAACAAAAAACAAAATGAAAGAAAAAAAAGAAGAGAAAAACATGCCAATTGTATCCGTTTTCCATCCTTGCCACCATGCAGTTCTATCCAGTCCACCCGTTGAACCAGCCTACCAACCCAAACAGTCATTGCCCGTAGTGTTGTTTGGTCTCCGCTGACTATCGCCCTCGGTTTCTTCCTCTCGAGAGCCCACCCCTCTGTTGTCGCCGTCGTTGTTGTTGTGTGCTGCGACGTCAGGCGGTGGGATGAGGCTGACGCTTCCGTCCGTAACCCAGCCGCGAATCTCCCCCCTTTTATCACCCACCGGGGCGCGCCCGCCCGTGTTCGCCCTAAACCTCACCACCAAGCTCCCGTGCCGTGCCGTGCCGTCTCCGCGGTTTATCTAGCCCTAACCCAACTGAACTTCCATGCATATGACCTCGTTTCCCATCCCCAAGCCGAGCCGCGGTTTGCCGAATTTTGTATATTGGAAAAAGAAAAGAAGAAAACATAAAGCGACCAAAAGCGGGAAGACGTTCCACACTCCCACGCATGCCACTAGCCGCCTCACTTTCGGACGTTCGCTGTATAAATGTAAGTAATGTATGCAGCCCGTCCGTCGGCCCACCACCGCTATCTTTCCCGTTCCGCGTGTCCCGCCTGAATCATGTATGCCGTGAATCTTGGCTCGTATATAACCCCAATTTCGTCCTCCATCTCCTTGTGCTGTTGTTGCGCGATTGAGATGAGCACTCACTCGCCCGAGTACGTTATTCGATGACAGCCCACACTCGACGTCGGTGCTATAACAAGGGGTTAATTCAACCCAATTCACGAGCTTCTGGTCGCAATGTTGCTTCCTCTCCACGAAAGAAAAACGTTCGAATCGTATATTTCTCCCTCAAGCCTTTGCAGGCCATGGTTGATACCATTCCCACCTAGGTGGGCATCATTATCCGTATAAACGGCCACGCCGGCCGACAATGGAGAGGCAAGTTCTGCAAGCGATCCTTGTTTGTCGGATGTGTGCATACAATACGCCTGGGCAACAATTCAAAGAGCCTTCGGTTCAGACGGTTGCGCCTGCTTGCAAAGCCGGCGCCGTTGTGCAGTCGATTGTCGAGCGCGGCCAACGGTCTCATGTGCTGCGCTTTGAGTCGCAAATCGCCCGATTCGGCTTTGAGGCAACAGTGCGCTCAGGCTTGTTTTCCCGATTTGACAAAATTGCGTCGTGCAGCTCAACGAATTGAGAAAAATGGCCCCTTCGCATTGACAATGGACGGTCCACTACAAGTGGGCGAGCTTTGAGCGCCCGGAGGTGTCGCCACGTGTGCATCGATAAAGTGGCAGCGCTGGATCTTTCAAGCATTCGTGAACAGCGGACGTGAAAATCACTTTTTCGCAACTTCAATCGACACAGCCGTGCAGACCCGTCCAAACCCCAAAGTTTAACACGCTGTATACCTATACACGCCTGTATACACACTGTCGAAAACCTCAACCAATAGCAAGCGAAAGCTCGACCTGGAGTGCGGGAGGTCGGTTTTTTCGGCTACCGCTCATAATACATGTTCGACCCTGAGTGATGTCCAGATGGATGGTGTTCATGCTGCTGAGCTCCAGCTTCTCCGTACCACGCCCCATAGCTGTCGGGCTTCGAGTATGAGTACGACTGTTGCCATGAACCATATGTGGACGGAGGAACGGCTCCGGCTGACAGTGAAACACCATGCTCCAAAGTTGTGCCCGGCACTGTCTCGATCCCGGGAATTGTTGTCGCAATAGGCGGCGGATACATGTCGGCAGGTATTGAACCTGATTTTCGATCATAGGACCGGCTTGAATGGCCACTCATTTGCGAAATTGATGGATACTGCTGATGGCTAGACATGCCCTCGGCGCCGAAGGAAAGAGATCGAGGGGGTGGTGCTGGGTACGAAGACCATGCTATTTCGTCCCTCGAAGAGGATTCGGAGCCCACTGACGCTGACCAAGTGGCAGATGGTGGTGGCGCGTGAGGTGTATAGGGAGAGAAAGCAGCCGTGACGGGCGATTCGGCCGGGTAGGTTCTCCACGTCGTATTCAAGTCGCTTGGCTTGGATGAGCTTGGGCTGGCGTCCGCCGACATCCAGTTGGTCATGCCATGATGACCATATTCGTACGGTCGACTGCTCGAAGGCACTGTTGGGTGTTCAGCAAGCTAATCTCTAACTACAACAATAGTGCCGTTCAGGGGAAAGGGGGTTGAGCTTACACTTGGAATCAGGAGTATAACTCTCCGTTCCAGCCGGCTTCATGGGAGGCGGCATGGAAGGCATAGTCAGTTGCGGATAGGGCTGCTGCCCGTGGATGTCTGAAGGAATCCCAGTCTGCATGGCGGGCGACGAGGAAGCCGAGGCGATCTTGGGTCCGATCGAGGACCGCGAAGCCGACTTTTGCCGCGTGTCTTGGGGCGTTGGCTGCTGGTCTACGGGAAAGAAGCTGCACTCTTTTTTCAGCCGGATGCAGTTTACGCAGCGTCCCTGGACGTCATTTTGCGACGGGATGCATCGAATCTTTCGTCGGCGGCAGTGGCCTATTGTCGAGTGTTAGCCCCCCCGAGTCCAATCAAAAAGACGGACAGGCGTCGAAATTCCAAGTGGAAACGTACCGCATGCTACAGAAGTCCGGTGGTACCCAAGCTTGTTTCTTCTCTTCTCTCCAGCGAGGGTAAGGGCGTCTGGGGTGCCAGGTTGCTGTGGCGTCGGGGGCTGCTGTTGCGAAGCCTGTGATGATGGCGGTCCACCGGTTGGTATCGACAGAGATCGCTCCAGCTTCATCGACTTTGAGAACGAGACGGAGCGCTCCCTCGAAGGGATACCCGAGTCCGGGCCCGATCTCATATCCATCCCGGATGCTGCTTGTGCGGAGTAATATCCTGAAGGCGGCATGTCCATCTCGGCGCCGTTTGGGGGTGGCGGCGGCGGATACTGATATGACCTTACGTCTGTCATGGGCGCAGTCTGCACGGCTGGATATATAGCGGATTCGCCAGATCCCCAGAGATCCAAGTTCGATTTAAAGGGTGGCGGAGCAACGACTGCCATGAAAGACGTTTGCTTTGATGGCGTCTGAGAGGGACAAGGGAGAACCGCGGTACGGCTTTTTCAGCACCAGGCCGACCAAGAAGAGGGCGGCAAGTAGGAATGGGTATTACTGCGGGTCCGGGGGCCTTGGTCGACTAAGTTCCAGACTCGCAGCTATGGCAGCCAAGCAAGCTACACCTACAGGCGGCCGTGGTGATATTCGACAACGGGGCTCTTATGGCATAGTCCAAGGTCTACTGTCGAGGGTCCTGGTCTGGTTATGGGGCCGGCCAGCTGGAAACTGGATTGCGGTCCGGGGCGAGAGACAACAGAAGAGCTCTTCTGGTTCAAGATATGACGCTGACCAAAGAAGGGGCAAGAGAAGGTAGCGAGCGACGAACGGACCAATGGAGATGGTGAACTTGGGGTTTGCGGCACCTGGAGCGAGCAGGATCCAGGCAATATGACTGGTGATTAAAATACACCCCCTTCGGTTCAGTTCTGGTCTGGCAGGCCTAGGCTGCGGCAACTCAGTCTGCTGCAAGGGTTGGCACGGCAAGACGAGCTCGGAGCTATATGTGAACCGAGTATACCTGTGCGTGTGTGCGCAAGAGACCGAGACAGTGTGTTGTAAGGTTGGGCTTGTCTGAGGGCGTGAGCTGGGTCGAACTGGCGGATGCTGGGGGGGGCTAGAGGGGGGTGATAATCCAGTGGTACTGTAGCTGGCCTGCAGTGTGGAGAGAGGTGCTGCAGTGCACGAACGAAACGAACCAAGTGATGGTAGGGATGGAACCGGAGCCTGGAGTAAAGTTTGGTAGGCCGCGTTGCGAGCCGTGTCTCTTGAACCCCAAATTTTTGTACCTGATAGAGGATGGTTCAAATGTAGCTAGAGCAGGGGGATCCCGCGGCTGCTGTTTTTGGAAGTTCGTGTACGACCTTCCGGGTGCCTTTGAGCTTGGGCGTGCTCTTAGCTCAACGGCGACGAGTTCGAGATCGGGACCGTCGGGCGCGAGTGTCTAGCTATGTATGCGACGAGTCCGTTTTTTATTTCTTTCTGTTCAGTGGGGATTTGTATATTCTTTTTTTTTTGAGCGGGGCCGAAAGAGGGTCGGGGTGGTGGTGGTGGTGTTGCGGGTGGTGTCGTGAAAGTGAGTGGGTGGCAGCAACTGGCGTGGGCGGGAAGGTTAAGGCTGGACTTTTAAGTGACGGGCTGTCTAGGATTCGACACCAGAAAGCCAAACCCCCCCGGACAGGTGAGTGATTACTCTTTGTCTACCAAGCTAGGACAGTCGGCTAAGATGTTTGTTGGTAGAATTAAAGCCCTGCAGCGCGTGGGATGGCAACTTGGATTGATTCCAAAAGGGGGGCTGCTCGCGCTGAGGAAGGGGAGCCCTGTTCAGGGCTTGCTGCTATTGCTTGAGTGCAGGATAACCAGCTCTCAGTGTCTTGGCCACTCAAGCGGGCGACCAGCTGTCAGCCCTTGGTCCCGGCGAGGCAAGTGAGGCAAACCCTGTCTGTTTCCAGGTAGGACCCGATAACGAATGGTGTGTGGCGACGACGTAGAGGACGGCTTCTGCGCCGCTAGAAGGATGCTCGGTAGTGACAGGCCAAACCGACAAGGACGAGAGCGGCTGGAAAGAGCAGACAAGCGAAGTCTTGCAACACAAGCACCCGTGTCTAGCGAAGCAGAAAAATATGATCCGCGGTGCTGGAGGAACTTGACTGGGATAAGCTTCTCTGGGTCGGGGCTCTTATTCTCCTTTTTCTTTTCTTTTTCGACTGGCTACGTGGTCGGTAGTGCCTTTTCCTCCAAAAGGTACCAGCAACGCCGAAGGTGCCCGGGGGCCCAGGGCTGCCGTAGAATCGGTCGACAATGCGCGAGGCGGACGCTCTGATGCCCGGAGTCGACGAGTTCCAGATGTAGTGTGTAAGTGGAACGGCTCGTCGAGATGTCAAGACGGGAGGCGGCGGGCAGAGACGAGGTTGCCGTAGGTTGGGAGGCTGCTCGCTCGTTGGGTGTTTGCCGGGGTGGATGGAATGCGAGGTTTATAAGTGAGATATGGATGTGTTGCTACTTGTATCGAATAATGGCCGCGAGCACACCTAGAGCGCCCGAGGGGTGGCAACGGGCAGCAAAGACCGGGCAAAGAGGACGCTCGTCATATCCATCCATTCAATTAAAGGAAGTAACACCTATTAGATGCGGCGCTAGTATCCTGCTCGTCTCTTTATTCCGCAGGCAGGTGCCGACGAGGACACAATGAACCAGAGCAGCCGGACAAGGAAGGTACGAAGTACTCCAGCACAGGGCGGGCAGGGAATCAGGCAACCTAGACAGGAAAGGGCAAAAGGCAATTAATTCATGGAACTTAGCAAGTAGGGCAAGTGGCACCTCAGAATGAATGGATGATTCAACTCCACGCGAGTTCAGTCGGGTTCAGTTGTTAGCCAAAATGCCTAGGACCGTTGGGCCTGCTGCATCTGCGTCAGGACTAGACTGGGAGAGTTTAGCAAGCTCGAACCGGAGAATAAAAAATCTGCCCATGGTAGCCTCAGGGTCAATCGGCCGGCAGGCGCATCGTATCGCGATGCTCCTCAATCCATGCACGAAGGCCAGCCCCCCAGTGGAATGGCTAACTTGGAAAAATGGCTGTTGGGGAGCTAGGCCAATTCATCCTTTGACCATTGCCAAAGGCTGAAACACTGCTCCCAGCACTGGCTCTTCGGAAAGAAGAGCGGATTTTCTTCCATTGCTTCCACGGCCGCCCTGACTAGTCGTCGATGAGATGATTAACCGATCTGGCATGCACCACCCCCCTCCCCTCCACCACTCACCCCCATGTCGGGCTGGTACAGTACCTGTTCTAAGGCCTCATTCATCCACGAATACCCAGCTCGTACCCAGGCCGCCAATCCGAAGTCGCAACTCGCGACCCCCGGCACCGGACAGGTACCCAGCCGCCCAGCGTCTGATACCATTCGTCTCAGGTACCGGCATTGTATGGTTGGCCGGATATACTTGGCCGTGCAGCTCTCGAGTTTCCCTCATGCCCACCCCCTCTACAAAGCTTCTTTGTTGCCAGCCCAGCGAACAAGTGAGGGAGAAAGGCAGCAGAGAGAAAAAGCACACTTGGATTGGCCAAGTGCTGGCTGGGATTTATATCCCTGCCCAGGGTAGCAGTCTTGTAGTCGTTCATGCGCCCAAGGGTGGCATTCGGCCGGGAGAGACCCCATGGAGGAAGATCGGATCTTGGAACCTGAGGAATCGGCACGGAAGGCGATCAGTGAGCCCTGGAATGTCCTCGAGTGCGATACGATACGTTGCCGCGGTCCGCTCTCAGATGGGCGGCCGCAACATGCGACTGCTAGGTTGGATTGCTTCAACGTATAATGACATCTTTTTTTTCGGCAAGCCATGACGGCACAATCAAAGGAAGGCTTTTGGAGAAGGCGCATCGACCACATCTGGGTCTTGTTGTGTCACGACGTGGGACGATGGCCAGTGTGTTGTGCAGCAGCGCCCTGTCAAAGAATGCCGCTAATCCCTGGCTAATTAATCGTCAGACCGTTTGCTGTTATGTCATAGGCCCAGCACCGTCGTGCACTGAGCCTTGTCCTTGTCTTGTTGCCCTTTGCGGTCAAGTGCCCTTGGCCAGACACCACCACCACCACCTTGACCTCAGGTTTGGCCATGTACGGCAACCATCCTCCATCGAGCTCGTCCTGTCCTTCACAGACTGACTGCTATGGTATAATTGGGGTCTGCTATGATTGTTCTCTTTTCCCAACTCTGCCTGTCTGCCAGCCAGCGATATGGGTCTTTGGAAGAAGTCAGCTTTTCTCTCTGGGCCCAGGACAAATGGAAGAATTCGTTGAGCGCCACGACAGCCGGCGCGCACAGGCTGCAGTGTTCAACCCAAACGTGGGCCGGAAACACAGCCCTGGAGCTTCCAGAACGTGATCCACGTCTAGTGTGGAAGGCGTCGGCGATCTGCGATGCTGCCAGCGACAAGCGCCTCTCCGGATTGTCCTTTCTTGCAATGATGCAACACCTGGAATACTGCTCACGGAGGCCCGACCTAAGCGCCATTATGCACAAGTCGTCTCAACCCGGGCAGGATAGGTCGGGATAGATAGCCACTGCAATGGTCGGGTACCTTGCATCGACATGAGGACTAGAGCCGTCAGTGTCTCCAACTCCTGGGGTTCGGGCGATATGAGGAGTTGATAATTGCGGGATTGGAGACGAGTGGGATATCAAGGCATTGGCCAGTCCTCGTGCAGCGCACCAGGAAAGCATCAGACACCCTTCCAATTTCTCCAACCCACCTATCCGTAGGTACTCCGTGCCTACCTTACCTGTCCATTGCTCCAGCTGCGGTGCGACACATGGAAGTGCAGTATCGCTGATGGCTATTTAGCAACACCGAAGATACCGTTATCTCTCAGCATAGCCAGCAAAACTGGTAAAATGCCGGATAGACTCGTTGCCATATCGTGCTCGGGGGCCATTGGCACCCCTCCCTCTGATTATGGATGTTTGTCCCTATCGACTCATCATCAATGGATGTGCGCAATCCACCCAGGACAAGTTGCTTCGTCAGGACTGATGCTCTGCAGAGAAGTTCGACTGCCGAGAGCGTGGCAGGCCACAAATTAGCACACCGGTGTGGTGCCAAGAGTCTGTTGGTGGTGTCATCCTGGCCACAGATTGTGACGATTCCGAAGGTTACTTCTTCCTAATCAGGTACATTACAGTGCAGTACCTAGCGAGGGGCGGAAGAATTGACGAAGCTCACGGCGGCAGGAATCGCACCGGGGTAGCTTCGGCCTCGTGGTAACTAGAGCTCCATGATGTTGCCGGGGCACTGGGCCGGCCGAGGGCGCTTCAGGGAAAGGTTCAAGGGTGACCAAACCATGGACTGCTCGACGGAATGTCTGACATGCTAAGGATCTACAGGGTTGAGCTTCTCTCCCACGATGAAAAGAATGGAGGGCAAGACTCGGTCTCGGTGAGCTCCTCGAGATGGGACGAACCAGATCTGTCTAGGCGCATGCTTGCATGCATAGGTACGTTGCTGATTGTTGATCAAAGATTGATCCCCTCAGGGATGCTGTGCCCCTCTCCAACATGAAAAGATGGGGGATTTCGGGGTCAACCATGGGTGTATTTGCAATTACTCCAGCAATACCCGAGACCGGCACGTCCGATGATGTCAACCTGGAGTGGTCAAACAGAGATAGATGGCATGATTGCGCTGCGAAATAGTAAGGTAGGTATCGTTGGATCTCGAAGCTTCGGAAAAACATCACCCCCTTCAAAGTATCTCTGTCCTCGTGTGACTTTAAGACATTAAGTGTGTAAGTGAAGCCTAGCCCATCACACCATCATCGGCGCAAAGACTGGACGAAGACTTGAGACTCAAGGTGCCACGAGGCCGATCGCCATGGTCCCCTTCCTAATTCGGACGAAACCAGGCGCCAAAAGTGTCAATGGTTTTGAATGATTTCCCCACTTTCCCAATCGCACATCGAAGCCAAGGGGTGTTGGAGATGAGTTGACGACGTACCTTACCCATACCAGCAGTAGTCTGGCATATATCGGTTACTACGGTGCTATTATTCGCTCGGTTCTCTTGGCAATAACCATTGCTCTCGCGACAATAGAAGCAAAGTTTCAAAGTCGACTTACAGAGACGCCGACCACACTCACTGCCAATGCGGGCGGGGGTTAGCACGGTTGAGGTGGGGTTTAGTGTGTCTCGAAGCAAAAGAACTGGAGTTCAGTGATGCTGGTGGAGAAAAGTCAAAAAAGCGACCCCACAGTAGCTAAGGTGCGGTATACAGCAGGGTAAGGTACCTAACGTAAGGAGCTCACTCTGGGGGATTATCGAAACCCCACCTCACAGGCAAAAACGGTCCATGACGTCCCGGAACAAGGTGGCGGCTGCCGGGGCTCACCAACCTTCTTCTGACGAAGGCTGCTGGCGGAAGCCGCGACTCAGACTCGACGGGCGAGTTTCAACTGCATGTTCGGCACGTGCGATTTCTCCTCCCGACCATGGCTGTTCTCAAATTGGTCTTGAATAGATTAAATTGTTGGCCATAGCGCCTTTTCTGTCGGAACGTTTTGCTCTTTTGCCACCAACTTTTTTGCTCGTTTGCCCAGTCTCGCCAGGAATGACAGCAGCTTCTCGAAATCTGACGAGACACGGTCGAGCAACTTTGTCGCCGGTGATGCAAGACGTGTATTCTGCATTCAGCCTGCGCAAGTCCACGACGCATGCCCGCTGAAGAAGTGGACGATGCTCGCCGTATTGGCTACCTGGGTACCTTGCCTTAGGCACATGGGTACCTGCCCACAACCATAGTGGATACAGAGAGCTCGATGACCCGAAGAGTTAATCAACTTATGGCCAACCTGCAGTGGAACGAAGAATGTTCTAGGACGTCTGTGTGGCCGCTGAAATACCACCGTGCCTCCTCGGCAAGGCAGGTTGAAGGGAGACAACAAGGTACTTCGTACAGACTACCTTATGTGCACAAGGTCCCCCAAAAGCCTCTCCCGACGGGATTCCCACGGATGCGCCCGTCACACCGCGATGCCACAGAGATGGATGCAAGTGCCCGCTGTCACGGTGGCGGCTTGTTCCGCTCAGCCCTGCCTGATCGGGGCGACGAGAGCCGCCTCGGCCCAGGGAGGCAAGCCTTGGGTATGCAACAAAAAACATATCTTACACACCTTGCCTAGGTCGCACCACAGCAGCAGCCTTGGAATAGTGTCATTATCAGCATCCTGCATTGCTCGTCCACAGAGGACGGGTCCAGTGCAATAGATGCATCCAACTTTTCTACCTGCGTTTCTTACCTTTCCTGCGGAGTACATGTACATACATACACAGCATGATGCCACTTTCGTTGAGCGAATACCGAGGTACGGAGTAACTACTAGGCACGGTAGTGTCACCGCGTCAGCAATCCAGCACACCGGTGTTCGACGTGCTCTTCTGCATTGTCTGCACGTCCTCGAGAGAGCGGCGAGTCCTAGTCCCGGATCATCGGATGAAGTCCCTCGGACATGTGGCAGATCTCGGAGCCATTGCGGGTCAATAGTAGTAGTGCTAGGCGCATTGTCAAGCTCGCTGGCAATCCCTCAATGCATTTCCGGCCACATCGCCAAACCTGGCTTGCTTATTACCTATTTGCTTGCTTGCCTGCCTGCCTACTTGCCTGTCTCGCTGGGCATCTCGCTCTGTGGAACCAGCCTGTGCAGCATTTGAATCAATGGCCACTATCGGTGGCTGCGGAAGCCGGAGAGGCATTCCTGCCTTTACAGGCTCCAGAAAGAGAAAGCCTGGTCTAGCCTCAACTACGAAGTACTCCGTACCTACTGAGCAGCCGGACGTTGCACCGCGGTTAGTTATGGGCCGACTCGAGTGCAAACCCTTCCATCTAAATGTTTGATCTTCTTTTAGCCAGAATGCCACGATAAGCGTCTTTCGCCATATCCAGCCCCCCCACCCCTTATTAGAGTGCCCTACTGGAGAAGAGAATCTGGCAAAATCGGTGACCGGCCCGTTTTGGCCTCAGGGGGTCGTGCAGCTCGCCTCTGGGAAAATGGTTGCTTCTAGGAGATTTCCCCCTTCCTGACCAGTCGCCCGCCAGTCTGACAGAAGCGGAGTTTTAAAACACATTTGCTAACAACAGCCATCAGGTTTCCACTCCCGCACAGCAACCACACCCATGCAGACTGCAGCGATGGGGTTGCACAGGGGTTCCAGGCTTCGCTCGTCAAGATGTCCAGCCTCAGACGATACATGTCGCTTCGCCATTGAACGCGAGGACACAGTACGGAATATATCTCGGCCCCTGCAGACCGTTTGACCGGCGAGTTTGGGCAAACAACGACTTCTCGGCAATGCGTGCCTGTGGATGTGACACTTACGAGAGGAGAGGAAAACATGTAGTTCAGATCTTGTGTCGCACTTGCACATGCCCGCCCTCCTGGTCGCGATGAGGCCAGCCATGATAGCCGGCGCACCAGAGGCCCGGCCCTCGGTCCAAACACTTCGTTCTAGAATCCTTCCCTTCGGAGACTGGGAGCACGGGGCGTGGATGCGGCGGGTTCGCAGGCTCGCAGTCTCCTCGCGGGATTTGCAACCTCCCTAGGCAAAGAGCCTCCAGCGGAATTCCCGCATGGCACTAAGGGCTTCGCGAGCCGTTGCATCGCATCTCGCCATCACAGTTCTCGGGTCTGTTGATGGAACGCTGCAACGTCTTTCTCTCGCATTTCTGGTCGGCGCCGTTGTAGCTGCCACGGGCATACTATGGCACTTCTATGCTAAACTAATGGACAGGACAGCCGAGCCGCCGTTGCTAACCCCCCACGAGAGTGGTTGCGTGAGCCACGACTTGCCTCTCCCTTGCCTGCTGTTGGTCGCATCACGTTGCCGCCTGCTCAAGTGGTACACAAGATGTTTCACAGCATTGAAGACATCGCCAACTGCTTGTTCAACCTCAGCCCCGAACGTCTCTCTGCCTGGAGATGGCACGGTTGGCTGTTTGCACCATGCATGTGACGTGCGGTGCAGTATACTGTGTACTAATTCACTCAGTTTTATCCGTCACGTCGTCTCTCTCAGGTTTCGGCCCTTTCTCGCTCTTGTTACTGCAATCGAAGGGAGAACTCCGTAAGCTTACGAGGGTTACCAAGTCAAGAGCGAACGTCCGCTAATCTCCATTAAATCCGTAGAGTCTCTTGCCAGCAACGGCTTTCTCTCTTCCACAGGACCGACCGCTGAGTCGAAGACGACAGAAAGAGGAAATAGGGGCTCAGAAAGCTCTTAGCTTTCCTGTCGGACTGAAAAGTCGTCAATCACGTCAATCAACCCCCACGTCAGTGACGACAATTGAAGATTGCACATTCCTTCTTTTGTCGTCCCCCGAGTCACCCTGACTCACGAATATTTCCCCCAAGCTAGTGCACGCATTCCTGTGTCGGTGTGTCGATTTGGACACCATGCATCGGGTACCTTGTCTAGGAAGGATGAGGGGGTGGTTCACTGTTGTGAAATTTTATTTCTCATCTCGGGCATGCGAACCTATTTCTACCGCGTTAAAATAACGGACGCGTTGTAAGCTGTAGTGCGGTGCGGTGCGTCGGGCGCGTCCAGCGCCGCGCCGGCGCGCCTCGGTCACATCTTCCCCGCTGCCCGCGTTTCTCGTCACTACTTTACCCCCTCCCCCTTTTTTCTTTCCTCTTTCCGTCTGTCAGCTGAAGAACAAGCACGCAGCTGAGTTTCCGATAACTCACTCGCCATTCGGCATTCAGCAGGTGAACACAACCCCTGTCACTGTCACTCGTCCCTCGCAGCTCCCCCCCCCCACCCCAATCCTCTTTCAATCTGCTGTCATTTCTTCATTGATTGATAAGATTTGGATAATCGGTACTATTAGATCGGGGGCGGACGGGTATTTCCGAAATTCCCCATTTGAGAAAGTCAAGAGACTATCGCCTCCAGATACGGACCTATCTTGACTTCCAGGTAGACATACGCACACCGTCCTGGTTCGGTACCTAGTTTCTGTTATGACTAATGTTAGAGGGGGAAGATGACAGAATGGTATTGAGCGATAAAAAAGTAAGAGCACAAAAAGTTAATCAATTAATTGTCGAATTTGACCTGGCTTTTTCTTCCAAAGTCTCACGCAGCCTTAATTTCCCCCTTGAGGGAAAGCGGAGGGGGGCGCAAGTGACCGTCCTCCCCCCTTGAAATTTCCCCCAACTTACGCAATACGCTCCGTGCTTCCTGTCTGCCTGTTTGCTTGTCGTCTGTCATTACAAATCATTGACGTGGCTACCTATGGTAGACAGGGCGAATGAACTAACAACAAACCAATTAACATTGTTAACCACTTTGGGTTGCGTGTGAAGTGTAGCCATCGTAGTCTGGCTGCCTACCTACCTACATTGGGTATCGTAGATGGGTAAAGTAAGATATGCATGTATATATATGTAGTCAGACCAAACAGGAAAAAGAAGAAGAAAAAGAAAACGAACGAAAAGAAAAAGAAGAAAGAAAGCGGAAGATCGAGATCCTGCTCCTTGTCCCGGCCCCCTCAGTCCCGACTGTTTGGTAAAAGGGGGGGAGGAGAAGACAACCCCCCCATTCCCTCGCCACTCAAATCAGCAAACTAGACGCTAAGTCGTGGATTACATGCGGGGAGCGGCAGGCAGGTAGGCCATGCTACAGACGGACGGGCGGCAACGTTTCGGGACGGGAACCAGCCAGCCAGCCTTGTTTGTTTTCCGTCTTGCCCGGAATTGTTTAAGTTGCTGGTGAGAGACGGATGGAGACAGACAATGAAGACGTAACGAGGAACATGTTTTCGTTCGTCTACTCTAGCTAGGAGCGACTTCCACAGTTAGACTTCTCACGGGGGTGAATGGCTGATACATATCACCCATGCACATGCTAAAATGAACGATTAAGGTAACTAGGGACATACCTGGGTAGGTACATACAGACATGACATGATGCTGTTGGACAAGTGTCGGGTAAACAGTCTTCAGCAAACTTCGTGAACTTCAGTCAGTCCAGGATTTTATTTCCACATCGGTGCTTCCTTTCCAGCCGGAACTGGAACAGAATCCAGTAAGACTTGTCCAAAGTTCTGGCAACAGTGGGCTGCCATACGACTTCTATAGTACAGACATAAATACGCCGCCGTTGGTGTGTGAAAATGGGAGAGGTTCCGGAACTATGGGAAGCGTTCAACGTAACCAGGATTCCCAATTCGCTTACCTTTTGATCTGGTATGGTTTTCTGGGGAACAAAAACAAGTACATTGGCCCGGTTTGTAGACGGGACCTCGTCCATGAACGCATGCATATACTTACCCCGGACCTCTGTCGCAGCCACGGCCATGCTAGAATCGACTCAAAGAAAAGGGGCACAGCATTCCCGGAAAGCGGCCATCATCGAGTAGTAAATATTGGGATTGATCAAGCCGAACTGAAGTATAACCAAGGTACCTAGGTGAGTACACGACTACAGCACAATACTAAACAGCAGTCATGTGGCGTTGGGAGCAGCCTATTACATCCAACGCAGCCTCCTAAACGCACAAAACAAGCCTTCCATGGGCATTCGTATATATCACCTTATTATGTATTCACCAGCCTCCTGTCCATCCACTCAACTCATAACAAACAACAGCGTCCCTTCAAGCCGCCGAAGCCGCCACAGCCTGTCGGGCGGTGGGATGCTGCTGCTGCTGCTGCTGCTGATGCTGCTGCTGATGCTGATGCTGCTGCTGCTGCTGCTGCTGATGCTGCTGCTGATGCTGATGCTGCTGCTGCTGCTGCTGGTTCTGGTTCTGGGCAGCCAGCATGCGATTCGACTCAGCGAGCGAGTCCACCTCTAGGAAGCTGTCGTCGCGCTTCTGGGAGTGGTGGTGACGGCTATTCTGGCGGCGGTGGCCTGACTTGTCGAGAAACGTCTCGCGTAGAAAGGCCAGGAAGGCGTCAACATCTTGGGTCGTGCTCATGGCGCCGAGGCTTGCGCGGACGACGCTGTTTTGTGGTTGTCAGTGAGACATATGTAATAAGGGGGGAAGCTGTGAGGAAGACCTACCCCGTAGGCAGCTCGTTGATGACGCTCAGGCCGTTGGTTCCTGTGCAAGTTAGAATTGTGTTTCTTTTCAAGCTGTTTGATGTCCACCCTTTTCTCCAAAGTCTTAAAGGAGGAGAGGGTGTAGAGACATGGATGGATATATGGGGTTTGTTGTAAAACTGCATGAGCAAGAAAAGGAGGAGGACGAGGAAAGAAAAGCTTACCGCAATGATGGCCCGCAGATCTCGCCCGATTCAGCTGCCACGGCTCGTACTGCAGAGCACTGTAGACGCCTCCGGGGTTGCAGACTCCTATCAGCAAGCACGCATCAGACTCTTCGCACACCGCCGCCGCATCACGTCTCCGAACAACACATACCTCCCGAGCGGACATAGATGCCGCGCTCGTTGGCGAGCCTCTCTACCTCGGCGTACGACTCGTACGTCCCATCTTCGCGGAACAGGTTGAACGCCACGGTGGCGCCCTGCCTCGTGGTGTCGTCGTAGCGCATCTCGCCTCCCTCCTCGTCTTCCTCTCCCTCTGTGTCGCCGCCGCTGTAAACCTTGCACAGCGGCTGGCCAGTGGCAGCGTAGCGCAGGCCCTGGATGCCGCGGTACAGGCGCTGGGCGAGGAGCGATGTGTGGCGCGAGATGTTTTCCATGGAGCCGTACAGCTCACAGTGGACGTCGATGGCCTCGCCGAGGGCGAGGATACTGTGGAACGGCAGCGTGCCGTCTTCGAGCCCGTTGTGCAGTGCATGGCTGCTGCTGCTGCTGCCGGGGCCGCGGCCGCCGCCGCCGCCGCCACCATGGCCGCCAACCGCAGCCGGGATGGAAGCAGGAGCGGGAGTGGGGACGGGAGCGGGAGCGGCGCCAGCGTCAAACGCCTTGGACATGTGCCACGCGCTGTCTATTGTGCTGACCAGGGATACGGTGCCGCCACCAAAATATTTGCGCAGCGCGAGGATGTGGCCCGAGTCTTTGCGGACGACGAGCCCGCCAAGGTCCGGGAAACCGAAGATCTTGTAGAAGGAGACGCATGTAAAGTCGGGCGCCGCGCCCGGGTCAGCAAAGACGTGCGCCACGGAGCTGGTCATGGCCAGGGCCGCGGCGTCGAGTAGGCTGTATGTGTTCTGCAGGCTCCGCGCCTCACACAGCTTGCGCACCCACGCGAGCGGCAGCCGGCGGCCCGTGAGGTTGGACTGACCCGGATACGCAAATAGGCCGAGGCCGGTGCTCGCACCGGGGTGCCGGCCACCTCGCCTGCCGGCCGCTCCACCGCCGAGATCTGAGCCGCCGGCCGTGCTGCTGTTCTGGTCCAGCCAGGCCTCGACCTCGCCATCGCTCGTGAAGCATCGATGGTGGCCGTTAGTAAGCTCGCGCACGCCGACGAGGCTGGTGTGGGCGTCTCGGTGGTAGCCGTACCAGAACGAGCCCGACCGCGTCTGCTCGGCCAAGTCTTGGAAGGAGTCGGCAACCAGCTTGATGGCGGCGGTTGCGTTGGCCACGAAGATGAGATCGAAGTGGCGTGGGTCAGCGCCGAGGAATCTAAGGGCCTTCTTCCGTACCTCGTCAACCATGTTCCCCGAGATCTTGGCCGGCTCATTGGCCGAGTGGGGGTTGCCATAGAGATTCGAGAGCATCTTGTTGGAAAACCGCTCCACGGTCGACCGGGCATATATCGTGGTGCCGCTGTGATCAAGGTAGGTTCCTATAGGCTGGTTAGTCTGAGGTAACCAGGTAAGGGGTGTATATAATGACTAGCTGGGTAGTCGGACTAACCACTGTTCATGTGGGGGTACTCATCCTGGCGGATGGCCTCGATAGGCTTACTGTATGGAGGCGGGCCTCGGGTCCGTATGCCATCTTAGGTAGTTGTGAACAGTTACAGTCAGCCAAGAATGTCAAATAGACACTCAAAAAGAAAGTTCAGGCTGTCCCTACAGTTCATGGTTGCGAGAGAGCGTCGTTTCAAGAGCCTCTTGATGGACGAAACTGGCTTTGCGTCACCTCGAAGGCCGAAAGCAGGACGGTTCTGGGTCCTTTTCCAAGAGGGGCAAATAGAAAGGTTGAATTGGGCCATGACGAGATGGATGCTGGCGATGGCGAGATTTCAGGAACGGATCCATGACTCGACTAGAGAGTCTATCCGTTAAATACTTCTCCTAGGTGGTGCTGGTCGAGCATGAAGGGCTAGTCCCAAGGTGGACGGAGCTCCTCACCGATAGCTTTCCCGGCGTCTCCTCTGCGAGGAGATCGAGACTGGACAAAGATCAAGGAAAGCCCTACTTTCTCAGAGTGGCGGGTTGCCAAGGCACAGCCCGAAGGCCCACAGACTTCGGGGCCGCCTGTGATGAGAGAAGAGGCCGGCGATCGAAACTCAAGGTGGTGCCCGAAGTCTTTCCAACTCAGGCTAGGGCATCTCACAGAATGGCTAGTCTAATCCGAACGAGCTTGGAGTAACCCACGGTGTACACACCTAATACCTACCCTAGCTTTCCATAGGCCGAGGTGCCGAGCTTACCCTGTATCGTAGACATGGGAACTGCCTCAAGGTGGTGCCGGGGGACTGGAGAGGGATTCAACCGGGTTGCCTGGGCTGAAGACTAGTGGTTCTGTGGCGAGAGCTTAGTGCAGTTGTCCAGAGGTGTGACTACATGACTATTCACTCCATCGAGGAGCAGCATCGTCACGCTATCGTGACGATCACAGAGAAGGTAGAAATCGGTGAGGTAACTAGAGACTCGACGGGCTCTTCTAGACCCCTGAACAGCTCATAACCAAATCCCGAAGAGCTCGGATCAGCGAGGTGTGTGATTTGCTTGGAGAGATGTGAGCACGTGTGCGTGGTTTTCGTCTTGGGATTCTATGGCTGAACAAAACTTCATGTTGGGGAATTGCAAACACGCAAAAAGGGGGTTGGAGGAGGCGCCCCAGTCACGGACCGGCTGGACAGTCACTCTCATAATGAACGTGTGAAGGAACAAGACATAGGCTAAAGTATTCCGTAGGTAGAGAGATAATTCGGACCTCGTGGCAGGAAGCTACCTACGACTATGGCGTGTATACACAGGCTTCAACATAGGGCTATATTTTCCACACCGGGTCCTTGGAGGCATGGCCATCGGATTCTGGGCGAGTCTGACTCCAGAGATCCTTCCCTGGGAATAAAAGCCACGGAATGCTCGGGCTGAGTCCGTGAAGTATGGCACGCTCCGAACCTTGGCTTGGCTTCTGCAAGGCAGTTAGTTGATGTGATACTGCACATTGCCATGTCTCACAAAGCGCTTTTTGTGACAAGAGAGCAAGGCGATGCTATCATTGTAGACCATGCTCCAAGAAGAAGACGGCCACACATTGGTGGGACCATCAAGAAAGGGAAAGGAGCAGCACAAACTGGCCCATGAGGAGCTGAATACAGGACGGTCCTGTCCAGACACAGGCTAATGGCGCCAAGTGCCAGCCTCGAACAATTGCATCAGACGCTGGTGGAGGGCGTGTTGATCTTGTCTGGCAGGAAGATAACGACGGCGACCTGCCCGGTTGGCAGCCCCCTCGGAGAGAGCAAAAACGTAACGCGATTTCCAAGCATGGCAATGTCAGATATGATAGACCGAAATAATACCACCTCGTCTGCTCCTGGCCAGCGTGACCGAGTGCCTCGGTGGTGGGCAGAGGCAAACTCCAGCCATTCACTGCAGGTGTGTCGTTCGTGTATTGCATCGAGCGGGAATCGCATCCCAGGTCCAGCTGCACAGAATCTGACCAACAGCTTCCCGCCTTACCGAAAGAGACTGTTGACCGGTTTGTCAGTTCGACATTGTTACCACCTGAGTGGATCGCCTGATACCTTTGATTGACTCCTTTCGTTCTTTGCGGTAGGCCATTGCCATTGCAGGGCTTATAGACGAGCCCGAACTGAGCTACGTAGTGTCGGCCGGAGACGTGGTGGTGGTCGGTGTGGGAGAATCTGGAAATTGGAGTCGTCGACGAGAGCCAACAATAACACATAACCACCGCCACCGCCGCCACCAATATACCTACCACTGAGTCCTACCTGATTCGGTTGGAGATCGGGCCCTGGGTTTTGTTTGGGGTGGGCGCATGGCGGAAGGTGAATCGGTCCTACCTTTCTGTCGGGTCTGTGGAACGCGGGAGTCGACGACGTCAGTGTGTCGGATCAAGACCAGGCAAGCTGAGCCGATGCCACCTCGTAGGCACTGTAACAAGATAAACGGCCTTATTGGAAAGCGCCAGTGTACGGAGTAGTCTTCGGAATCACCCCCCCGCGTCCGAACTTGCGGGAAAAGAAGCAAAACACCGAGAATACTGGCTTCTGCTGCACTCAGTACTGTACTGGTATGTACTCATACAATTAGGTACTGACTATCGAAATCAAGGTTGCGTAATATTTCCACACTCCAAGGCGACCTTCGAGCTCAGAGAGGGGATTGATCCCACACCCCGTGCCATGGGATGTCGAAGCCCCGCCTTGCGAGAGTGAGAGCGATCTAGGTCATAAGGTGCAGCCAGTCTGCTAGAGAACTTCCCTTTAGAGATAGAAGGAGCTAACGCCTCTCTCGTGACAGTGTTAGTCATTGGGTGTTTTTTTTTCCGACGGTAGAAGGAAGGTCCAGTCCGGCCCACGGCGTTCGTGGGCACTGCAGCTGAGCTCTGAGACAGGGATCGGCGGACTGAAACCCCAGCACAGCGCGGGAAGCGGCTTCCCCAACCACCAGCCGCCTCTCCCTCTCGAGGTTGCCCTAGCGCAAAGGTACACGGACGCCGTGTCTTGGGAAGAACCGCCCGCGAATCAGAAGCCTTTGAGTTATCCGGACGGCGAATACTCCGGATGGTGCAGAGCCTCCCGTAGGGAGATAGATTCACGTAAGAAAAACCCGAGACGCTTGTAATTTCGGTAGCTATCCGGGCTCAAACAGTTGCGTTGGGAAGAAGGGTTGAAAAAGGCAGCAAAGGCATCCAAATCCAATTGGTAACACTACCTGACGCTTTGAGCAATTACATCTCTTTACATGACACTTTTCGGAGGGAAATTTCTGAGAAAGCCGGGGTGGTTGCCTTTTTCTTTTGTTTTAACCCCTTTCCTGTTCGTCGTCGTCCTTCTGAGCTGATTGTTCCGTTCGGCTGTGGGGGTGCCTAGGTTCCCCTGCCTAGCGAGATCTGTTCCACCCGATCTTGGTTCGTAAGGCGAGGCTAGGGCTCCTCCCGGTGGGGTTCCTAGCGATCTCCGCTAGGAACCCCGGAACGGGTGGCGCTTGGCAGGCAAACCAATCGACCTAAACTAAAAAAACGATCGCTTGTGGCAAAGCGCCCACTGAACACCTAATGTCCACCTCACCACCCCATCAGCTTCCTGCTCTAGCGTCTCGGGTGCCTCACTGACGAGTTATTCACTATTACGTTACGTTAAGAAACTGAGGAATGTTCAACTACCAATAAGTCCAGTTACAAGGATGGTGGTATTATGCACAAATAGTTTGCAGCAATGCAGCCTGCATCTCATCGCCTGCCAACAACTCCAAAGTCAAGTCCAAGTCAGGCGCTATATTAAACATTTTCCCACCCTTTTGCCCGGGAAAAAGCCATCTACCTAGCCCCCATCCGGAAGCCATGATATATCTCTTTTCCCGAGATTGCGGTAAGCTCAAAGGTCAAGCTTTTTTGACATCATTGTTGTGGTGACACCGTTCATGCGTTGTGGGCGGGAGGGAAACCCCTGATTTCATGCCGAACGCCCCCCCCCCCCAACCTCCCTTTCCAAAACGCCAATGGGTATGTAGCGGTAGGTGGCAAGCAAAGCAGCCAGCCATTTCCGACACGAGAAGAGAATCGAAAATAGAAAAGAGAAAAAAAAAACAAGAGAAGGTTATTATCAAAGAGCGAATAAGATGGCGGCAGCAAACGCAAGTGCGCCTGCGCTTCCCACTCTCAGACTCGAGCCACTAGCAGTAGCGATGGGACTCGGCGGGCCAGTGGGCAATGTAGTTGTGAGGGGAATCGTCGCGTTGCCCCCAACAGAAGACGAAGGTGCCGAAGAGACCGTGGAATACGGGGGAGACAGAGTCAAAGACGAAGACGTAGACGAGGAGCCGCCGCCGCCGCCTAAGCAGGCAGACGAGTTCGAACCAGAGCTACCGCCGCCGATGTCAAGCGGCTCGAAGCTGGCGCAAGTGATTCTCGTCTTGTTGGCGTAGTGGAACACAAAGCTGCGGTTGCCAAAGTACGAGCCGAGGCCCTCCAGCGTCGTGACATACGGATCTATGTACAAGCCCGTCCACGTGTCACAACCCGCGGGGATGCTCCCGTGCTTGCCGCTGAGGTCGCCGACCTGGCACGACGCGGGATTAGTCTCGTCGCAGGCAGGTGTCTCGCCTCGGGCAAAGGGATCCAGATGGCCAAGCGTCGCGGTGCAGTTTCCGTTCGACGGAACCGGGTCCACGTGAAGGTGATAAACTACAAGGCAACGTGTCAGCGAGAAAACCCCAGGATAGGCCAGCTGTAGGGACGGTAATTGCAGCAATTCTACTTACTGAAGGGGCCACCCTCTTTGGGGAGATTGCTAAACTTGATTTGGAACAAGACGCCGCTCCCGTCAGGAGCTGCGAGGGCAATTATATCGCCTTTGACGTTGCCGCCGGCGGGGAAGGCAGGCTTAAAGAATGCCTCATCCGGCAAGCTCGCCTTGAAAGCAAGCCCGGGTGGGTTGTTGGTAACGACAGCGGCATCCGTCTGTTGGTGTTCATTGTGTTAGCAAGCTTTTTGCGTTCTGGACGAGGTATTGTATTACGGAATGGCTTACTCCTGTAGGCAAGGTGGTTGCTGCTGCGACTGCCCCAGAGGATGTCATAGTCGGGACCAGCTCGGTGGTTGTGGTATAAGAGTAGTCGGTAGACCCTGCTGCGACCTGCGTGCCGGCGGCCGCGAGCAGCAGCGAAACACTCGGGACACGCATCTTGTGTGGAATTGAGGGTTATCGAGGTTTATATTAGGTAGCCGGGCTCGAAAACCGTCGACGATGTTTTGTCACGATGGTGTGGGTTGGGGACGTGGAGTGGAAGATTTCTTGGCGGAAGAATTGGGCTGCCCTCTTATTATAGATGTTCTTGATCGAGCCCCTGAATAAGCGTGGCAGAGGCCGATCGAGGATTGGCGAGCAAAGCAAAGTCACAGGGGCGGGACAGGGGGAAAAAGACTTGAGATAGCGGATCTACGGGTCCGAGGCAAGTGATGAACATCTTAATATAACAGCCAGGGTTGACGATGTGCCTCAAGTTACACGGGCAGGCACAGGCACAGAGAAACACACAGCGAGCCAACGGCTGGGCGAGCTCTGCGTGACCCACAGTGATGCATCTCTGGCTACTCGTTTGCTGGGGAAGACGGTTGAGAGCCCTGCAAACGTCATGGTACCTTGCAGCTGGGAAGCGTTTGCCTGTGTCATAAGGTACATGGCAGGGTTGTCAGAGCCAATTCTTCCCACGCCCCAGAAGCTCCCGTCATATGGCCAAAGTGTCTGCCGAGCCAACAATTAGCAATAGATGGGATTCCAGCTAAGCGGGAAGGCACGGAGGCAGGCAAGAAGGCACGCATGCGGGCCAACTTGCAGGAAGGCGGGCACTGGAAGGCCCAGCCAGGGCAACATGGAAGGCACCTGGGGTGAACCTTGTGCTTGTGCTCCCGAGCTTAGCCAAGATGGAAACGAGATGGCCCCAAGGATGGGTTAGGCCGATCGCAACTTCCCCCGCCACTCATGTGCATGCTCACGTACTAGTATTCCGTACAGATACAAGGCAAGCACCTGTAGTAAGGTACTATACGTGCTAATCTCGGCAAGCTGCCCTGAAGTCGGAGGTCTTTCGTCGAGTGTATGACAGTGCCAGCCGGATGCCGAGGGCAGCGGCTGGGCCGAGCAAGAGGTGAGGCACACGACGCACCCAAAGCCCCTTGGATATCTTGATGCGACGCGGAAGCCAGGCAATGGGGAGACACACGCGGCTGCCCGCAGACGACGAGCCGTGTCGCTTCTGCGAGTCTGCAGAGTGGACACAATGAGCAAGACAGCACGCAGGTACCCGGACTGGGCCAAGCCTTCCCCAACAACCAAGCGCGGCCTCGTCCAGGGGTCGGCGGCATCGGATTAGTTAGCGGCCCTCGGCCGGCTCGCTCTGCTGTCAGCAAAAAGCCGGCCTGCGCGGTTATCACGCTAGCAGCCCACCTGCGAGGGGGCCAGTACCAGTGGTTTCAGCCTTGGATCCGTTCCCCGCCTCACGCCCGCTGCTTACATCTGCAGGAACAACATTTCTCTCTATGCCAAGGATAGAACATGGACGGAATATCCGTACGGCACACTTTCCAGAATGAAACATTGCATCTCCATCATTTTTGCTTCCTCAAGGCCGGCAGGAGCCATGAAAATGGCAATTGCGTTTGCTTGGTTTTTCGTCTGGACGTCCACAACACCTGAGGAGTATTAGCCGTCTTCCCGATCAAGGTACGTAATGAAGATGACCTGGCACTTAGGGGAATGAGCGGCATTGGGTGCCTAGATTGAGGGTGATCTGGAGAACGGAGCTAGAGATTCCCAATGACGACATGCTAAAGAACTCCGTACTGCACTGCAGATCTTCGTCACAATAACTCCGCCCCTCCCACAAGGCAAGGTATTGATTGCGGCGGGTTTTGGCTACTATCGTGGCCGAACGTGGTCGTCAATCCCACCAACAGCCTTTTCTTTGCGGCGCTGAATGAGGCACCTTTAGCACCGTCAGGGCGGCAATTAGATTAGTGCAAAAGGCGAAAATTCTCTTGCTTCTGCGCACGGAATGCATTCCGAGATCCTTCCAAGAGGGCTGTCACAGTGTCGCGTCCAGGGCGCCTATTTTGTTTTGGCCCCCTAACCCGACATATAGTACTACCTACGCACAGAGACAGCAGTCTGCATTCTGCAATCCTTCCTCCTCATATCTTGTTTTGCATATACGGGCTTGCAATTCAGTGCGTTCGTGCTGGCGGTCGTGGCAAGTTGCTTACGTCCATGACTGCATGCTGAGTTCAGTCACAATTCCCTGGAGCTAACAATGGTTGCGGGTCCATCAAGGCCGTCGCCTCAGCCTGGCCCATGGGCCTTGAGCTTTGCCCTTATTTTTCTTTTAAAAAGGGAGTTAGTTCGCTGCTCCTATGTACCAACTTGGAAGGCCGCTAAGCTAGTTTATAACTCCAAGGATGCGGTCGAAGTATTTTATTATGTAAGCGTGTTCTTGGCTCAGACACTTGTTGAGGTCATCATGGCAACTTCTCGGGTCCTTCTGGAGACGATAAGCCCTCGCAGGACGTGCAGGGTTGTTCAGGCACCTGGCACCCAGATTGGCAAGGGAACTGACAGTGGAAAGCAGCTCGTGGCCCTGTGCAGACGGCCTTATGAGGGCTAGGTCGTTTCAGGCCCGACCGAAGTCGAGAGAGGCTCGGCGTTTCGTTTCCAACTATCCATCAACAAATGTGGCTTTTGCACGCCGCTCAGCGATGTTTAAGATGTCACTGTCATCCGAATTCCGAATTTACAAATACGCTTTGCTTGGATGAGTAGGATGTTGGAACATGAGTCTTCGTACAGTTCACTGCCACAGCCTTGACCAGAGCCTACTCAGGAGACCCAACCGCCCCGCTGAGATATTTACTGGCTATTTTAATGGGCCTTGAAGTCTTGGAGAGTAATGTTGGCCAGTAAGGAGGGCCAACTTTTCTTTTGGTATCTGACTCGCAGGCGATGAGAACCCTCGAATGATAAAGACATGGAGTTTGGTGATTGAGCAGTTCGGACACATTAAAATTCGAAATTTCTTAGAAGCAGCGAATGCGGTTGACGCCAATGAAGCTGAACCATCCGTGATTTCTCGAAACAGCTCGCCTTCTATGAGAAACAGCTCGCACTCATGTAGCGCTTACTTCGTACATAGAAGAAGTGACCAATGGTCTTTTCTGGAAGCTTTATGCTGAATGCAGGAGACTCTTCAGATGTAAGTCATGTGCATTGATGTTTCGGATCGGCGAGGGCAAGAGTGGTGACTGACGAGGGTGTAAGTAAGCCGGCCTGCCGTGCCGTGGCCCGTGGGTCGCTCCAAATTCGCGCCTTGGAAGTTAGGCAGCAAAAGGCGGGCCAAGCTCAACGCTCGCCGTCGCTGGGGAGTTAGCGCAATGGACAACAGCCGCAACATCATTTCGCCCCAGGAGCTCTCAAAAACAACACGACAACGCCGCCGACAGAACAAAAGGAGCTCTTGGCCTGGGCCGCTGACCGAGAAGGCCATCAAGAAACCGATACGCCGAGCCGCCAATTCTAGTTTCAGCCACCCTCCTCTCCCAACGCCGCCATCATGAAGCCCGTCGTGGGTGCCATGCAAGCATGGTCTTGGTATGTTACTGAATTCTGCGCTGCCCCCTTTCCCGTCTCCCGGCACCAAGTCGGATGCGAGAGCTAACAGCCCGCAACAGCTTTGTCATCTCCATATTCGCCATCGTCGTTCTCTCGGTCCTCTCTATCCTGTTCAACAAGAACCACCCCGAGCTAGTTGGCGGCGACGAGGATCCCGAGAACGGGCCCGAGGTCGCAAAGACCCTGTTCGTCGCGATAATGATCTACATCGTAAGTTTGAGAGAGAGCGCGCATACGGCTTTGTCTTTCATGTATGTCGGACTGTGGGCGAGCCTTGCTAACGCATCGTCTGCTGTTACTTAGGGGTTCATCGTCTTCTGTGGTATCCAGGGCCTACTCCATCTACGAGAAAGCCGGAGAGGCGCCATTGCGCTATAGACGACAACGAACACGTGGTATTTTAGAGATTTGAGGGAACATTTGGCGTTTGGGGTCTTGCCTGGGACTGCTTCGCTTTGCTCTCTGCGCCTGCAAGGCGGAGAAGCGGCTGTACAAACTATGTGTATTGGGATGATTGGAATTGGGCGGTAGTTGACGGAAGCACCCTCCATCTTGGGGACGGAAACTCTGTGAATTATGTTACCGTGTCTCTTTACATGGGAAATAATGAACATAGATTTTGGGTTCCAACCGACAAGATGCACTGGGACTGGCTGGTGGTAGCGGGGTGTGAATCAAGCCCAGGCTGCTATGCCATAATAATTCTCTGAGGGAAGAGTCTTGCTTGCGTATTTTGGCCCGTCATTTACTTGCCTAGCGAGCAGATTTGTGTTTTATTTTTTACCGTCTATATAGCGTGCGAGTTGCTTGACCTCGCGGCGAGGCGGGCGGTCCTTGGCAGAGATCGCTATATTTGGAACCAACAAGAGCCATATCATGAAGTAACCAGAAACCATGCAATGTTTTATACGCTGTAAAGGGGTGTTGTTATTTTCTGTCCATCGATCCGCCGACCTCCCTTGACATTAACTGCCATATAACAGTGCTTTCTTAACAATAATTGATTCCTGGTTGTTCTTGCTGTTTTGCTGTCTGGTGCCTTCCTCCACATGCAGGCTCCTTCACCGCCAATCAATTCTCCTGTCTCGAGAGGAGACACATGATGCCCATGGAAAATTATGACACATACTCGTAGTAACTGCCTTCCTCAGGATTATTTCCTTGGTGAGTGATGGCCTGGAAACACTTTATCGAGACCACGGGACCTCGTGTTGCCTTCGCGTCCAGCCACCCCCTCGTCGCCCCCCTGTTTCACTCAATCAGCTCTGGGCAATAGGCAGCGCACCCGCTAATACCACACTGGCAACGCGCCACAATCGAAATTCAATGGTTAGGGTCAAGGCTCACTATGGCAGCTTGGCGTGCTAGGGACTTTCAGATTTATCTATATCTACCTTCATGCCTAGATGAGTTTTGAGATGTTGTGTTCTTGAACCGATTGTTCCTTTTGCAAGTCTCGGGCATGCAGCATTCATTTTTTGGCGAGGTAGCGGTGAGATCTACTCCCAACAAGACTTCACTTTGAACTCCTGGTTCTACGAATATTGATAGCCCGGTCCTGGTCAGCCTCTTTTCTGGTTTCTATTCTGCTACCTTACCTAGTTCTCGGTTCTGTCTTCGTCGCCTTATTTCCTCCTTTCGGGATCAGGAATAGGATTTCTTTTCTGGCAGTAAGATTCTCTTCTCCATTTGGCCTGGTCTTGTCCTTGTGAGTCTCAAGCACTTACGCAACCATGCGGCGTACAAGCCCCTTATAAGTCTCCCAGGAGACCTTGGGACCTTTTTCCAGACTCCACTATAGGCTAATCAGGTTCAGACAAAGTGGTTCTCGCCGGTTTTAGGTAACTTTCCGCCCAAGGAACAAGAACCCGTCTTTCAGCATGTCGTCAGAAACGCTTCCAGAACTGCCAGCTCCCCTGGGGAACCTGGTCAGGCACATTGCCGAGCACCCTGATACGCCCATGGTTCAGTTGATGAAGCCGTACCGGGATTATGAGGCTCATCTTCGCCAGGCTTTTGCTCAGAACCCTGACCATGAGCTGCTCAAGGATCATCATGTCAACATATTGCCTCTTTTTACCGACGATACCCCCAGCATAAAGGTACGCGCCCGCGATATTACGAATGAGTCGGCAGAGGAGTCATCAAAGTATGTTATGCCCCTGCCAAAGGACCTACGCCGCCCGGACAAGTCGCCCGCCGTTGTTCAGTCGTTCAAGGACTTTCAACGCAACTTCAATGTCTTCTCCGAGTCGTCCCTTATTGATTTGGACTGGAACAACATTGTCGCTGCCGGCTCCTCTGTTGTTAACTGTCTTCTTCCTGTCCCGGAACACTATAACCGCTCCAAGAGAGGCCTCCGCGATTTCTTTCACGAAAAGTTCAGCCCTGCCTCTGATGTCGATCTGTTCATGTACGGCCTCACCGAAGAGCAAGCCATCGAGAAGATCAAAGACATTGAAGCCCGGGTCAGGGACTCTCTTCTTACCGAGACCACCATTGTGAGAACCAAGCATGCTGTCACTATTTGCAGCCAGTATCCCACGCGTCACATCCAGATTGTTCTTCGCATCTATAAGTCCGTCTCGGAAATTCTCACCGGCTTCGATATTGATTGCTCCGGCGCTGCCTATGACGGCAAGCAAGTGTATTGCACCCCTCGGGCTCTGCAGTCCTACATTACCCAGACAAACCACATTGACCTCTCCCGGCGGAGCTCATCGTACGAGAACCGCTTTTCCAAATACAGCCACCGGGGGTTCGAAGTGTACTGGTCTGAACTTGATCGATCCCGTATTGACCCAACCATTTTCGAACGGAGCTTCCGCCGGACCGTCGGGCTTGCTAGGCTTCTCGTCCTTGAGCAGCTGCCAACCCCGTCAGCACGAGACTCGTACCTCAACCAGCGAAGGGAGGAGAGAGGCCGCCCTCGTATCAACCGCTATCTTCTCAACCTCCATACCTTGAATGGCAACATCAAGGATGAACACGAGGACGAGATTGCCGACTGGGTTAATGAAGAAGAGGTCTCTAAATATCACACCTTTTCCATTCCCTACGGACCAAGGTTCCACGCAAAGAGAATCGAGAAGCTCTGCTATACCAGAGATCTGTGTGAGTTTACGCTGTCTGGCTACCTTGTCGGCTCAAATAAACTGACATGTTTGTTCAGTGCTCAATGCCGAATGGAACCAACACGATGACAATAGAAAGGTCTACCTTCATCGCCATCCCGCATTTTTCGGCAGTTCTGTCGATGTGATGCGTGATTGCTGCGGGTACTGACCCATACCAAGAACCGACGAAGAGAAGGAGGTTGCGGAGAAGGAAGACAAAATCTACGTCTCGGGCACAATCACCTTTCTCAAGGATGACCCGGGCAGACAGGTAAGACATGCATTCAGCCCCTGAGCCTCCAAACCCCTAGTATCGACTGATAAGAGCCATCACGTAGCAAATTGGTTCTTTTAACCCCCTGACCGACAATTTCTGGACCGAGATGGCATACGTTAGCAACACTGCTCGACTTTGTCAGGCAATTGTAGATGGCGATGTTGAGCACGTTGAAGACTGGATTGCCCAGGAAGGTGCCAATCTTGACGCTAGAGATTATACTGGCAGAACTCCCCTTCACCTTGCTGTTATGTGTTCCTCGCCCGAGGTGGTCCGTTGTCTCGTCAATGCCGGCGCTCGCCTTGTCTCTCGTCTTGCTGATGGAAGAACGGCGCTTCACCTCGCGGCTGCGCGTGGTGACGGCGAGATTATCAAAATCCTCATGGAGAAGAGTGCCGCAAATGAGGGAGAGTACGAAGAGAAGGAAGATCAGCGTCGTCGAAGCAAGAGTGCAACAGAGGACCAGAAGGCAGAAGGACAAGAAGACACAGAGGATAACGCGTCATCCGATGGAGAACTTGTCGAAGAAGACGAGTCCGACAACGAAGCGAAAATTATGGCGACCGGCTCTTTCGTTAGGGTCGAATCCAAGACTATGCCACCGGATGAGCTCGTACCGGTTGAGGACAAAGAGGAGCCGAACTTTTACGACGTTAATGTGGTCGCTTGGGATACGCCATGCTCGGCTTTGCACTTTGCGATCATGGAGGGACAAGTAGAAGCGGTCAAAGCACTATGCCAGGTAAGCATCAGATCTAAATCTTTACCATTTAACGCCTAGGGGCTAATAGCGGTATTCAAGGAACACGGAGCCGATGCTCTGCTGCCTGTGAAGTTCTTGGACAACGAGAAGAGGCCATCTGGTGCGCTGCTGACTCTAGTGCTTGCCCTTGCCCTTCCTGTTGAGGAAGCAGTGGAGATGGCCGAGACTCTCTTGAGTCTTGGTGTCTCTTCAGCTCAGGCAGACATGAACAGCATTACTGCCTTCCACCGTTATGCTGAGCAGAATGCCGAGTCTTTGCTCGATGCCCTCGTCAATATTGATACAATCGGAACCAAGACGGCAATTAATCACATCGCTTTTCCAGATTCCCATAACTCATCGACGCCCCTTCATGCTGCCCTTCGAAGCGGCAATCTCGGCGTGGTATTGAAGCTATTTGACAATGGTGCTGTGCCTCAAGTGGACTTCGAGTCGTGGTATGTTAACGTGGAGTTTTAAATTCCTTACTTTTCGAGTTACCAGACTTGGACTGATTCATTTTATCAGGCTCAAATCAGCAAAACTCTTCACCAAGATGGAGCAGCATCTAAGCGGCTTTGAGGTCAATCAGAAACGCTTTAATCAGACGATGGAACAGCCGTTACTAGTCGCACTCAAGTCTCCCAACCCGGCAGCAGCCCTTGTGCTTCTGGAGAGGGGAGCAGATCCAAACGCCATCACCCCTAGCTCACATTCCTATCTTGGGGGGTCGATGTACTCGCGGTTTGAACCGGAATCAGCCTTGGACATTGTCAAGTCACAGCTCATGGCACTTCGGGAGTACCTAGGCGAGGTCCAGACACTCTCCCGGCCTAGCCTACCAAAGGGTATTGACACTTACCTCGACAACTTCAAGGATGGGACTTATCAGCATTGGCTTGTATCTGTCGCAATTGATGAGGCCCGGAAGTCATATCGCAAGCAGATCAAAACATACGAGAAGGAAGAAGAACGCCTCAGCAATTCCCCCGGCGTTTTGGAAAAAAAGACTGCTATTGCCGAGGCTATCCACACCATGGAGGAGGTCCGGCAGGCAATGCTTGAAAGGGACGCAAAGACCTTCATGGAATTACATCCTGAGTATGTGGACCGCTTCGCGCACCTGTCTTATCAGAACGCGATGAAAATCGCCCAAGCGCAGAAGCCTTTCGATGTCAATTTCATATTCAGCGGTGTAAGCGATATGACCGAGGCACGGAAGGTTGCATATGTCCAACTGTGAGTTACACTTTGGTCTAATGCCAGACACTGGTTGTACATCATAGCAACGTGCCTGCTAAACTCGTCCCTCTAGGTTCGAGGCTGCCTGGGCTGGCGACTTGGAGAGAATCAAGACCTTCACTCTCACAACGTGGGATGAGTACAAAATAGAAGCCCCACTCAAGATTGCTGTGTATAGCCAGAATCAGGGCAGCCATACTCCGTTTTCCCTGGCATTCTTCCGCGGCCACCTCAATGTCGCCAAGGCAATCCTAGAGATCACGCAGGCCCAGTACTCCCCAGACGAGAAACGCAAGACACGCCTTAGGATGGAGCAGGACGACGATTGTGGCGACGATGAGTCCGTTGGCAGCAATGACTCTGAACCGAGACTCTATAGTGAAATTGTCGATAACGAATTCACAATTGAGAATGTCGGACAAGTTTCAATGAAGGTCAAGAGCGACGTCAAGCCTCAGGACTTTTTGAACTGGTACTGCATTGAAGTAGGCAAAGATGCCAAGCTGAGTCCTAGGACCAGGACTATGTTTTATCATATCATCCAGAGGAACGATATCAATGGCTTGAGGATCCTCCTGGATTGGGCTGAATACTTCACTACTTCAAAGTTTAGCCCAGACGACGAGGTTCTGCGCTTCTACTCGTTCCCCGACGACGACTTCCGCATTGCTGTCGAGTTGGGCCGCACCGAGATTCTAGCTGGGATCATTAGAAGAACCGGTGCCGGTCTGCCCCTAGAACAGCTCGTAAAGAATAGCGGTGTTGAGCTGACGGAGATACCAGTCTATTATCAGGGCCTGACTGTGTATGGGAAAAAGAGGTATAGTTCGGATCATTAATCTCAACATGTCCTGCTATGCGTGATTACTGACAGTGGATTACAGGAAGGAATGGGCAAGCACGGCAAGCGCCGGCCGCGATGCTGTCTACTCTCCGACTGGATCTGAGACCTCACCCCTTTTGATCGGGGCCGAGGCAGGGCGTATCGAGACCGTTGAGTGGTTTCTTACCGATATCCCTTCGAGACACTACCTTGATTTTGCCAAATCAAAAGCAGCCCGAGACGATAAGAGGCTGAAGCATCTAGCCCAATCCCCTGGGGGTGTTGACGGTGCCATCTCGAAGTGGCTCAGCAACCAGAGTAAGCCGGTCCTTGAACGTACACCACCCAGCTCGTAATGCTGACACATTGCAGGCGATTTGGTTATACATGCTGCCGTCTGTTGCCCTGAGAATGAGAAGACTATTGAGCTGGTGTCATATCTTGTCGAAACATGTGCCTCATCGCTTGACAAGAAGTCCGGAGAAGGAACGACACCTCTAATGGTTGCATGCCATAACGGCCGTGTTGAGTTCGCCAAGATTTTGATCGAGGCTGGAGCGGACCAGATAACCAGAGATATCTCTGCCCGTAACCTCTTACATGCGGCTCTCTACTGGAATCCCACTGCCAAGCAGCTGAAGCCGCTTCTAGATCTATTCGACCGCAGCGTCCTGGCCCATATGTTGCAAGAGCGTTCTCGGACCCAAACACCCATCCAATTCTGGCTCGCAGCAAGACACACTTCATGCTTCCCGAATCGGTACGACAACACGAAGGACGAACTCGAAGTGCTGAAGCTGCTTCTCAATATAGCACCTGAGGTCGCCGCAAAGGCGTTAACGGTGCTGAACGGTGCTGGCGACACGCCGCTTCATTTCCTCACCCAGAAAGATGCGGGCCCTGTTCTGGTCCGCACCATCATCGATTTCAGCCCCAGCCTGCTGCTACGGGTAAATGCGGTTGGCCGAACCCCCGTTGAGGTCGCCCACGACCGCTTCGTCTCAAGCAGGATTAAAGAGGAGTTCGCAAAGCCCTACCACTCCATAAACAAAACACTCGAGTTAGTATCCCGGGCGCCAGCAACTTTTCTCGAGAAGGAAGACGACAACGGAACAAGGGAGCACGAGGAAAAATCCAATGTGGCCAAGAACTGGCGGCTGTGCACCGAGATGCTGGGCCGCCTTGGGAGCACCAAGAGACGACTGGTCAGCCTCAGCGAGGCCAATGATGTGGCGAAGAGGCTGAGCAAAGAGCATACCCGGAAGCGCTACAACTACACCTTGGCGACGCCGGAAGAGGGCTCAGAGGGGGCGGAAGAAGGAAAGTGGGGTGGGCAGAGCAGGAGAACCGTAGACTTTGTGTTGCGGAAAATGGACTTACTATCGACTGGCTTCTGGGAAGAGCCAAAGACGGCGGATCGCAATGTCGAGGGCGGCGATGACACTGACGAAGAAGAGAGCTAGAACAAAGGACGCTGCCCTTGCGGCTACACGCACTAGATTATGTAAGTCTAGGTCTAGACTTGAAGACTCTTTGGGGAGGTTGGCGTCGCGAGTGTTTATTCTCTTTTTCACACACTCTATCCGCTAGCAAAGGCAGATATACGGTCTCATTACTTCGTTTTCTCACTCTATCTCTTTTTCACACCTCTTTCCTAGTCCACAGTCTCTACAGCCATGTTCAGGAATAGCTACCTATTTTGGAAACTCGAGTATGGCACTACGTCTGTTTCGTACAATCCAATCCCTGAATGTTCGTTGGCGTGGTACTTGGGCAGAATAATGCTATAGCCCAGCGAATAAACTGACCAGGAAAAGCCTTGTTTTGGGGTAGAGATGGGCCTCTAGGTTTCTAAAATAGCAGCTCCAATAGCTTTTATCTCACTCGGCAAAAAGAACCTTTCGGGCGAGCCGTAGAGTAGGTATTGAAGCCTTTTTAATCTTGGAAAATCTCCCGCTAACAAACATTCGGGGATTGGATTGGATTGAGTTTTATGTGTTGGCAGAACTGACGAATACTGAGCAAGGAGCAAGGAAAACGAGAAAACAGAATCAAAAAAGCACCAAGAAATCGGGGCTGGACAACAGGAGATCCAAAGTCTCGGTATTCCTGCCCCGAGTCACTTACTCACTAGCAAGTCAGGTCTAATCACAAGAGCTTCCTGCTAAATTGAGCCGTCCTAGAACTTCCCTGGTGCTATAAACCACCGCTCAAGTGGCACGGAATTAGCACGCACCGACTAAACTCGACATAAAAACAACAATACCCATATAAGATAGTGAAGATCTACCCCGTAGATTCATCCCAACGCGTCACCGTCTTATTTTTCTTCCTTATCGAACGTCTAAACATCAAAAAAAAAAGGATTGTTGGTCGACAAGCAAAGAAAGACTACGACGACAAAGGGGTATATATGTGCGAGAGAAAACAGCAAAACCGAACACTTCCAGAGCCAGCCAACCACATTAACAGTTCTAACACCCATTCACACGCAAAACCTCAAACCATCAGCATCAGCAGACAGATGAAAGCAATGTAATTTCTCTGACGAGACATGAATGGTATTATTCTTTAGAACAACACCAAAAGACGGTTCGGGTCGGGTCGGATGGGGACAATTCACATTCTCTCTTTCTTTCTTTCTTTCTTTCTTTCTTTCGTTCTTTCTTTCGTTCTTTCTTTCTCCCTCGGGCTGCCAAACCCCACCACAACTATAACCGTACAGCTCGCAAACTTAGGTATCTTTGGACGCCCCTATCTCTCTCCCCATCTCGAAAAAAAAACCACTTTTTAACACCGCTTTCCGAATTTCTCTCCCCAAGAATACCTCTCAAGCATACTTAAAAAGGAGAAAAAAGTCTCAAAAAATTGTGCTTGGCCGTACCATTCACACCAACCCCCTGAAACCAAATCAATAAAAACAAACGCCACGTTTCCTCACTAGCGGATTTCCCTTAATCGACACAGTAATGGTAGTAATAATAAGCAATGGCGACGGCAGTCGACCAGAGATCAGAAATCAACGCTTTTAAGAGATGCAGTCTCGACAGGAAGTAGAAATTGGAAACTCGCCCCTTTTAACCTCGCCACTTTGGCCTGGCGTCCTTGTTCTTGCTGTCTGACGAAGAAATACTGTTTTTGCGCATCGCAAATCGAGCACCAGCAATCGCCTGAGGGCTCTCTCTCCCGGTAATTTGGACCTTGCCTTTCGGCTGGGGAAGCAAACTAGTTCGTCTACTTGCGGCTAGTGAGCTGGCGGGACGAGGCGTTACATCTGGGGACGACTCAAGGGGTTTTGGTGGCTGCAAAGAGGCGCGCCTGTTGCTGAGGCCCGACAGCGAGGCCTGTGTGGTGAGACGAGGTTTTGGAATGGCCTGCTGAAAATACGGACCAGGAGACGCGAGTCTTTCACGGAATGAGCGCTGGCCGGATGGAGGGGCAAGCCTGGACGGGGTATTCTCGGGAATAGGTGACGAAGATGCCGCCCGTGCTAGAGGGCTTCGTAGCATGGGTAGCTTAGAGACGGACGAAGGTGTTAGTGCGGATGCGGAGCGAACCGGAGTTGGTGTGCGCTTAGCATATGGGCTTGGAGTGGTCAGTGTTAGAGGCTTAAAGTTGTGACCCGTGTCAACGCTTGATGTATTAGTCGAACCGTTCCACTTAGGCCTGAGGTCCAGCGTCGAGGGTGGCCGGGGTATCCGGTTTCCAGTAGGAGTGGCAGAGCCTTCTCTCGTGGGCGTTGAGAGCGCCGATACCCGCGGGGTAGGGGGTTTTTGGGGTTTCTGGTTAGATGCGGTGGGAAGTGAAGACAGCCTCCTGGAAGGCTGGGGGAGGTGGCTCCCAATGCTTGTGGATCGCGGCTTCGTGGCCTTGATGTTTGCGGCGCTGCCAAGCCCCAGGCTCGACATTATGACAGAAGACGGGGGCGAGCTCTGTGGTGTTTCGTTTCCACTCGCGATCGTTGACCTGTCGTTCGAGAGCATGCTGGAGACAGAATCCCGGAGCTGCTGGCTCTTCTTGTCGGCGTGAAGCTCTTCTAGGGCGAGATCGAGCTCCGCCATGCGCTCCTTCAGGTCTTCCCACTTCGCCTGCATCTCGTTGTGCAAGCGCAGAATCTCTCCATTGACGGTCAAGCGGTCCTTGACTCCCTTATCGATGATAGATAGCACCCGATCTATAGACGGGCCATAGTGTGTCTTCTTGGCCTCGTAGTTCTCAATCTTCTTGCTCATCATGGGTTGGTTTGTCAAATGCATTCCTGAATCAACGGCCTCGCGCAGCCTCGAGACGCCCCTCTCGACCGACTCGTACATCTTCTGGGCCTGCCGACCGGCGCCACGGAACACAAGGACCCAACGGTCTTCGCCGAGCTCCTTGCGCAGAGATTCCGCGTCCTTTTCCAGCTTCTTGTATGTGTTGTCCAGATTCGATCTCCTCATCTCCAGTTCCTCACAGGCCGTGGGAAATATGCCTTCTGCCCTTGCCTCGAACACCGACAACCGCATGGGTAGAAAGTCGAGCGACGCCCTGAGAGGCTGCATCCTCGCAAACAGGGCTAACAAGCTCGAGTCATCTTGCGAGATGCCCGTAGCACCAGGCGAGGGAGAGCTTGGGCTGGCCGGAAAGGCGGGGAGGCTGAACCGGTTATTGACGGGCTGCAATCGCGACGCAGCAGCCGGCGGAGTCTCCTCAACAATCGTCTCGAGATCTCCGATATCCACGCCATCATTAGTAGCGACGGCCAGGATGGATCTGTGACGCCGTTCCTCCATTTCGAAGACGAGCCGGCTAAGGTCATCCATCTCGTTTTGTATGTCTCCCAGCACCATGTTCCATAGCTCCTCCCATTCCATAGCAATTTCCACCTGGGCCTTGACGTGATGCAGGGTCGTGCGAATCTTGGCCCACTCGTCCATGATGGCTTCCATCTGTGCTACGGCTCTGCGGAGGTCGTCAGACGAGACCTCGCCGATGTCATGGCGACTTTGCAGGTCCTCGATGGCGCCGACATAGACGTTGATAAGCTCTTCGAAACGGACGATAGCGTTCTCGACCTCCTCGACGCCCTCGCGCCCGCCTGCGGCCGCCCACTCGACATCGTCGTCGCTTTCCAGACCCCCTATTACCTCCGAGGCCTTGTATATCCAGCCGCGTATCTGGTCGGCGGCTCCGATAAGGGCTCTAGCGGCAGCCTGAGCCGTCGGGATTGCAGAGATTTTGGTGGATAGCAACTCGGCGTCGGGAAGTTGTATTGATGTCAGCTGAGCCAGCTGGTTTGCGAACGAGGCGCGCGACAGGGTGTAGATAGAACCCGGCCGCTGGAGGCCCAGGGGATTGAAGTAGCTAACGCTGTCGGGGTTGAACACGTCGCTCGAATTTGCCGAATAGCCTTGGGATAGGGGCGGCGAGTCCTTGGGCAGGGGCGGCGGTGGTGTGTCGGGGGTCTGGGGAGGCTGCGAATCTCTCGCGATGTGCTCTTGCCGCGTTTCCAGCTGGACCTTCACACCGTTCCCGTTTGTGTGGTCGGGGAGGCGATATTTGTTTGTGTCCATCTCTAAGGGTTTCGAGGTCGAGATTTCGGGAAGAAGCTGGGCCTTCACCTGGGCATCTGTAGCCTCATGAGGGCTCTCGTCAGTCGTGGTCTCACCGAGCGACGAGTCTCGTTTCAAGCTCGCCCTGGACGGGATGCGCGCAAGGCCCTTCCAGGGACGGCCCCGCCGTTCGACGATTGGTTTTGGCGGGCCTGCCTGTTGGTAGCTCTGGTCGAGTTTCCTGAGCTGCTCTTCTGGGAGGCGGCCGACGGGCTCGAGGTGGTGCGATGGAGGCGGCGACGCGGATTTGCGAGTTGTGCCAAATCCCAAAGCTTTTAATCGCGCTGCGAGGCCTGGCGACGGTTTTCGCGGATGGTGGGTGGCCGTTGATGTTGGGGTGCTGACCGCCGAGGTATCATTGGCGGAGAGCTGCGATTGCTGTTGCGGCACCTGGGTTGCCAGTGGAGGCAGCAGTTGTGCTTGGGGTTTCTGGTGGTTTCTGTTGTTATTATTCCTAGCGTCGCGACTGCCGCGACTGGGCGGGCGCTGTTGGCCGACACCGTTGTCGTTGTCGTTGTCGTTGTCGTTGTCGTTGTCGTCGAAGGAGTGCAGGCGAAAAAGTTCGCTTGGGATATCCGAGAAGGTTAGCACGGCGCCATCGCTGTGAATGTGGGCGGCATCTCGAAAGCTCGTCTCCACATTTGCAGCTGCAGTCGCTGTGATTCCGGTGCAATCGCTACTGCCTTGAGCAGCAGCGAGAAGACTGGTCATTTATCGACCTGAGCAATGAATTAGACCACTGGGTATCCCTCTGCACGAAGTAGGGCGGGTAGGTTGGCTTTACCTCCCGTTGGGCCGGGCGTACTGGTTTGCGGACTGGAAGGTAGGTTAACAGTCGCAACCAGACCCGCAGTGCTGCACGCAGGAACCTAGCCTGGAGGAGGGCTGAGCTGCACTGTACTGGACTGCCCGTAGCGTAGCGTCCTTTCCCCCCACCCAAAAAAGCCACCCCCGGGCTCCTCCTCCTTCGCACCTCACCTCACCTCGCTCGGGCTGCCCTGGGGCCGGGCGTGCGACTGGTCGGGTTGGGCTGCGCTCTCTGACAGCCTGAAAGCGAAACTAGGCAGATCACTGGCTGGCTGGACGCGTGCGGATGGGACCTGACCAGTGACAGCGAATAACGAATTGGCTTTGGAGCGGCTTGCAACCTAGGGAAGAGGAATGCAGCGCAACGCGTCTTTGCCTCCTTGAACTCGCAGCCGGCCAGCGTCTTTAGACTTTCGGATCAGCGCGCTTCTGCAGTGGTGCGTGCCGGGGCGGGGGGCCCTGCAAGGTTCGCGACCCGGATGGCAGCTGCGATTGGGAGAATGTTCTTTGCGCGTGCAGGCGGTGGACGCGCAAAGAAAAAAAAATGGGCAGGCTGAGAGCGACTGCGGGCCTTGTCGAGACGAAAGCCAACGGGCATTTGCTGGGTTGCTCACTAGCCAGGCCAGGCCAGGAATCGAGTTGAAATTCTACAACCGAGTAGAAAACCAGTTGTCTGTTCAAGGCGCGGATTGTGCGTCAACGACTCCCGTCGTTTGGCAAAGTCGATGACAGGTATCCGTATATCCGTATCTGTAATGGGTAAGGTAGGCACTCGGTATTATCGCAGTTTCGCGAAGAGCCACAATGCACCCCCGGCTATAGTGATTGGTTTGAGCTGCGTTCTCATGACATGTGTCACCGCTTCAGTTGGAGGCATCCACGAGGAACGAGCGGGTCCCAGAGGATAAGTAATAGTACGAAGAGCCAAGGTCGGCGGTCTGGTGAGTAGGTTAGGGTGTCCGGTATATCATATAAGAAGGGGTCTGAAACACTTTCAGGTTGAACGGCCAGCACCCAGGAATCTCGAAATTAGCTACGCAGCAACCCGAACCGTACAGCCTAGGACCAGCACATTGCACAGCACCCAGACCCGGAGTAGGCAAGGGCGGTTATTATTTGTGGCAGTGTGGCTGGACTGCTAGGCGAACTGCAGAGAGACCGGCCAAGCTGTGTGCTGTGCGCGTCTCATTCACGGTTCCAAGGTTCCGCTGCCGCGACCTTGTCACACTCATACGTATCCGTACTCCACTAATTTATTAGCCACACTCTTCAGTGCAAGGGAACCAATTTCTTTCTCTGGCCCTCCATCCTCACTCCCTTTTCCCACGAGCCAGACAAGGGCAGAGTTGTAATCGTTCTGAGCAGCGTTGCAATAATGATCCGGCAACGGCAGTGAAGTGGTGGCCCGAGCGAAGGTAATGAGCTTGTGACTCTGTGAGGCACGGGTGGCAGGGGTTAAGAAAATTATTGAGCAACGCTCTTTCCAGCATTCAAAATGGCCGTGGCACCGGAACGCCACATCCTGGGGGGTGCGAACTTTTCCGTCTTTGGGCTTGCTACTTTTGATCAGTTGTTGGTGACTGACCGGACATACGCAGCAGTAGCTCTCCGCCAATGGTTCTCATCAGCGACACGAGATGGTGATCGGCAATAAAGTGAGGTAAGGTAGCTTCTTCGTACAGAGTATGTACTGCGTAATTGCGAATAGCGAGCTGTCATTGTTGTACTGAGTATGTACACAATCCGTAATTCCCTATCGCATAGCGCGCGGTGCTTCAGCAAATGCTCTTAGATGTGTGTACGTATCGGTACCTCGTACATCAAGTCTGCTCGCATATATACAGCAATATAAAACCTAGCGACTGTGATGGGCCTGGGAACAGATAGTCAGATGACGGCCCATTTTTGCCTGGGACATACACCTAATGGGGTTCTAGAGGGAGTTTAACTTGATATCGCGCCGTTCTGCTGTAAAAATCGGGGCATAGCGTTGAGTTATAGCGGCCTGGTGTCAGCCCTACCCGGATAGGAATTACGTGTGTCTTTTTCAAAGAATCCAATTGATGACAAGCCTAGAAGTTTTTCTCTCTTTGTGACACCCGACATGGGAAGTTTAGTCAGGTACCTTAGCTGTGCCATGACCGAGAGTCAACGGCGAAAGGCTGCATGCATTCGACCTGCATGTTCCCGATAGCTGTGCCGGCTGGGGTTGTGCAGGCACTTTAAGTACGGAATACGCCGCATTACCACATCGCCCGCCCAACAGCATGCATGCTCTTGGACATAAAGTACCTACGCAGTGCCTCTCTTGAACCTCTCCACTAGTTGGAGTGGGGGCATCTGTGTGCCTTTCGACCTGCCCTCACTTTCTTCGTCCATCACGATGAATTCTATGGATGCTAATGATACATATTATTGCCCAAAAGGATATGTTTTCTCTTTCTAAATACGTCGTAAGATGTAATGTTTTGTAACAAGACCTCTCTTCTAACCTTTTCTTTCACCTTCTCAACTCGATTGGAGTGCATAAACTGAACCGAGGACACTTGAAACAGCTCGATAAAATAAGGAAACTAGGCCAATCCCGTATTAGACGACTATTTTGAAATGCATGTAACATTTTCTTTTGGTTGCCCCGGAGTTGCCAGCGAGGAATGTCACAAATGCCATTTCGCATCTCGCAATCCTATTAAATGCCCACCTAGGGGGCATGCAATCGAGTCGATGGCTATTTTCGCCACTATTCCCCCCTTGAATATTTCTCGCACCGTTTGGCTCTCGCAAGGATGCGCAACTAAGTCTCGGAAAGCCACTTTGACTCTTCTAGCTTGCTTGACGCGTGCATATTTGTCGGTTCCGTGGTTCGACGCGACTTGGAGTGCAGCGGGAACCGACAGAGACCGAGCCGCGTATCGGCCCAGCGCGGCCACTGACGTTAATAATCGAGGGTTCAACGACCCCTGACGCAGCCCACCCGCCTGTTGCAACTGTCGAGAAGCGACAAGCGCACCTCCACCAGAGAGAGCATCACCTCATTGACACCCCCCCGGGAAGCCAAGCCCGATTCTCCATTCGTCTCACAGCAATTCTTCCACCTAATAGACCCAAGTCCAATCTTCTCTCATTTCTGCCTTGTTTGCAGAATCCATCCGTCATTCATTGACATCCATTCCCTATCCCCTCCTACGAAGTAATTCCCGTCCCCCAGCAGCTGAGCGCACTCCACCAGTCATTCCAGAAACAGAAAGACCGAAGGCTGCTGCGCAGTCTCGGCAGCCTCTCCATCCGCACTCCCGTCCTTACTTTAACACCCGACGGTACTTCGTACACATCCAAGCTCTATGACGCCGTCGTGAACTAGGGTTCAGTTTTTACCGTGCACCAGCAGATCCGATCAACCTACCATTCAGCGAAACGACACATTGTCAAACCAAACTTTGCTTTGGCGTTCGGCTTCTCCACCACATCTGCAATCGTTCGGTTGTCACTGCTGCATGCTTGCTTGCTGCGGAGCTTGACTTGTTTACTTTCAAACTCGCCCCCTCCCAAGACACATTTAAAACCCGCATAGAACCACCACCGAGTCCGCGGCTCCATCCCAACATTGCCTGCCCCTCATTCACGTGGAAAGGCAAAGACATCAACCGCCTGCTCTGCCCATAACACAACCATAACTGCATCTGCAACTGTTCCATTGCCCGTAGATCGCCAGCCAAGCCTACCCAAGTCCTAAGCCCTAAGCCCTCGGGGCAGCGACCGCCACCCGGACCTCAACATGGCTGCTGTTGCGCCTGATGAGCCACTGGTCGTCCGCTGCGACTCGCCTCCACCCGACACGGCGCCGATGCGGGCTCTTGGTGCCTCTTCCGACATGTCACGCTGCCTTTCGACTGCCTCGTCCGTCTCCCATGCGTCTGCCACCACCGACGCCTCTCACATGAGGGACTCGCTCGGCAGCGAATTCTCGGCCTTCTCGCGTCAGTCGTCAGGGAGCTACCAGTCCTCCCGCCTTTCCGACATGAGCTCTAGCGGCCATGTGCTCCGATCTCGAGTCTCTACAAGCAGTCTAGACACTGTTAACAGCAGGTCTGGTGGCGGGGCGAGCAAGCGGCGCGGCTACATGCGGCCGCAGGGCACCGACTTTGCTGCAAGTGCCCGTTCCCGCGAGAGCGTGCTGAGTCTTGGCAGTATCACACATCTGCAGTACTATTTTGCCCGGACCGGCCTCCTCGATGGCAAAGGCGGACAGCTGGCACGGAAGCGCCAACTAAAGGGGCAAACCCTTGATCTCTCCGCCCTCGACACCAGCTCGTTTCTGACTGCGAAGCCGTCCGGCAGCGACCACGACTCGAGCTATGCCTCGATGGGGAGCAGCCCTGACTTGGCCGCCCACGCAGGCTTCGGGGGCGTCAGTCTGGGGGGCGGAGGGATCGTCGAGTCGCCCATTGAGGAGCACCACCCCGACCAGCAGGACGAAGAGTACTTCTCTGACGACTTTGACGAGCCAGATCCGCACATGTTGCCCCCAACGGCAAGCACATACAATTACCGGGAGAAGCCGTTACCGAGACCGCCATCAGTAGGCGAACTGAAATCGGATTTGGCCGACGCCCTTAAAACTGCCGTCAAGGCACTGAATGAGGCGAGGGAAACCAAAGTCCCCTCGCCGGAGCAAACATCGCCTTCAAACTCTCCAAAGGCGTCATCGGGGACCAGCCCCGGGTGGCACGAGATTCAAGGGGTGCACATCCTCGACGTGATGACGCTAGCCATCCGGGCGGCCAAGATCTACTATACGAGTCATGACCGACCGGACCGCCTCGACTCGATCAAGTCAGAGAAGCAAATACGCGGCGAGCTGCTCTCCGTCATGGACGTGCTCAAGCGCATGGCCACGCGTGGTTTTGTTGGCGGTATGCGCAGCGACGAATTCCGCACTATGGATGCGTGGATCGCTGGACTGCGCGCCATGCTGGCAACCGAAGATGCGATTGAGGCGGCTGAGGCGGTGGAGCGGGCAAGCTGGACGTGGCTTAGACCTGACGGCTGGGAAGGGCGCGAATTTGCGCGAGAGGAGGCTTTCATGCAGTCCATGCTAGAGGGCAGCGCGGATCCTGTTGACAGCATGTCGCCTCTCCCGAAGTGGACGCCCATCGACCGAGCTCTGCCCCTGACAGAGCAATCGCTGCCGACCCCATTTCTTGCTTCGCTGCAGAATGGCCTGCGCTTGGTCCAGCTACATAACTGTGCCGTCCGTAAATCTCGGCGGAAGTTTGGAGCAATTCCAACCTTCCACACCGACACCCAAAAACCCTACCGGGCCGCTGATAACCTGCGCTACTGGGTCAAGGCGGCCGAGCTGCGGTGGGAGGTGCTTCTCAAGATAGATGCGTTGGGCCTCCAGTATAACAACAACCCGGCGCTGTGGGTCGAACTCGAAGATGCCGTGCTCCACTGGTGCCGCAAAGTGCGTGAGGAGATCGCTAGCGAGCTTCAGGGCTAGGAGTCGTTGCCATCGCCACCATTGCCCATCCGGGGGAACCAACGCGCGGACGAATAACCAGCGACCTGGATTTAACTTGCGCACAATCACTCCATGCCTCACATGCTCTCTGCCGTCTGCGTTTGGGAAACCCCGTCTTCCACTCCATGTGCTCTTGCTTCCTATGCTAGTTTCATGAGTACTGACGGGGCGCACGACAGGCGCAGATGACAAGGGGAAGAAGGCATGTATGACTGAAAAGATATTATGACTTTTGACGGACAAAATACTTTCTTGTTCCACTCCGCCAGTTCTGATTTATTCTCATCCGCCTTTCACTAAACATGTCGACGTCAGCAACACAACGCCATGGCATAGTCACAGTACAGGAAAAATGTGTTTCTCTGTCCCCTCCCAGAAAAGTGGAGTTTGTCAGGGGGCAATCTTGGTTCTGCTTACCACCACTACAGGATCCAGTTTTGTTTTCGTTCCATATTCATTGAATTCTGGGCTCAAACCCCCAACTGCACATACCTTTTTGTTCTTTTTTTTGTTATTATTTTGGTTTATCCAACGGGGAAAGTAACTTGTTCTCGTTTCGGAGTAATGGGAGATGGCGAACGATAACAACCATAATAGGGGGCGTCTTTCTGCTCCCGCCTTTACCCTTCTGCCTCACTCAATGGCGAGTGGGTGTACATATTTTGTTTAGCAATGTGCCTCAGATCCGACAGCTTTAGGGGGTTGAAAGCATTCAAAGGTGATCCAGGACGAACGAACCTCGGGCAGGGAAAAATCATTGACTATTCGGGTGATTTTTACTCTTTTTCTTCTCTGAAATTTCAGATACACACCCGCATCACACACTCCCGTTTCTAAAGCATATACCCTTAGCATAGCACTTCAATGATGTAATTAGCTCTTTTTCTTCTCTATCCCCGTCTTCGCATCGCGGGATTGTATGCACTTGGTTGATAAAAGTGCCCTGGCACGTTGTTCATCCGAATTGCTTGTACTTCACGTACCTACTGGATGGGTTGCTCGCACCCAGGCCACATTTGCAATCACCTACCTACCTGGCTTCCCAATTAGTTCATAAAATCCGTGAGTAAAATTAAATCCCCATTTCATGCCGTCATAGGCATGCATATAACACGCATCGCGCCTACATGCCTGGGCTATGCTAAACAAGTCGCTAAATCAAAGTCCGTTCCCCGGACACAGTTGCCCCCCCACCCAGACGATGCGCGTTGAGTTTTGGGGGGAGGGGCGTATCAATGAGTTCTCCAATTTCTTGCTTCAGGCCGTGATGAATGACAAAAACTCGCGTTGTTGCCAATCACACACGCAAGCAAAGCAAGAGAGTACCGGGCTTTTAACAATCGTCATTCATCCTCTCCTTTCTTCCCATTTCATCTAGATAGGCATCATAGAGATACCGCTGCTGCCCGCGGAGGATCTCCTAGTGCCAGCCTTTCCAGATGCTGGTCTGCCCCTTGCCGGGCCACCTCCACCAATGCTCGAAGACCGTTTGGATCCCGATGCCTTGCGCTTCGAAACGCCGACCACAGACGGAGCCCGGGTATAGCCTTCCCCCCCTTTGCGCTTGTACACTTTCTTGGACGGCTTATTTGACATCTTCCACCCGGAGCCGGAAGCTTTGGTGCTGCCCACTGTGAAGGCTGCCCTAGACGGTTGTGTGCTAAGTGAGTTAAACTCCTCGTTCCACCGGCGAGACTCTTCTGTTTGGCCATATGAAGTGACAACCGCCGGTGTCGACATTACTGCCGTAACAGTGTCGCCAAAATATCTAGAGAGCTCGAGGTCCTCTCCTCCGTCTTCATCACCCGAGCTATCTTCTTCGTCTGTGATGAGGTCGACGACATCGTGGTTCCCCGAAACGGTGCGTGTTACGGTGGGTGCATTTGTGTTGTTCGCCATCATCGCTAGATATTGGGTATGAAATTGTTTCACCAGGCTGGCAAACTTGGCGCCGAACCTATCGACCTTTGCTCTATCCATGCCGCGGATGGTGTACATTTTCCCAACTGTTGTCGTCCAGCGAATCGCCATTTCGCGGTATTGCTGCTCTGTAAAGATGGCCCTGCGGATGTTGTTTTTATTGCGAAGGTCTTCCTCCAATTCTGTGGCGTGTTCCACGAAAGACCGAATGCATTCCTTGTGGATCTCATCAAGGCTGGCCCCTTCAAGGCGCGAATCTCGAGATATGGGAGGTCCAAGCTCATCCAGCGTCGGTTGTCGCTGAGCGCCAAGGCGGCGATGGGCAGGCACCGGCTCGAAGGCATCCTCGTCAATGTCTGAAAACTCGTCCTTCTCAAACCCGTTGATATTCGGCCCATTGCCTCTGGTCTCCATGTCGCTTTCATGCTCGTCAATTGCCGAGACAGCCGGTACGCTGGGTTTGATTTTGCGTTTCTTGGAGGCAGCAGGAAGGGGCGACGAGACGTTTGTGGACGGAGGCGGCCTCTGCGATCGTGCGAGCCCAGCAAAGCCCGAAGGTTCTGAGCTGCCCAAAAGATCCGCCCGAGCCCGCACCCTAAGCCAGCTCGATCCGTCACTATTTGGTACTGCGATCTTGAACTTCTGCTTGCCTCTAAGGTAGTCCCACGCCTTGGGGCCAATCTGCGCATATATCAGTAACAGTGCCGCAAAAAGAAAAGCCTCACCAGGTTCTACTCACGTTATAATAGGTATTAGAGATGTTGACCCTCGAATTCACTCTGTTTTCTTCACCCAAAGCCCCTAGAGAGACGAGCGTCAGGATGATCCGCTGTACTTCGTGAGACTTCATCTTTTTGGCAATCCCAAAATGTTCGATTGAGTTATTCTCTTTGACGCGCTTTCCCGTCATGATCTCGACCAGTTTACCCAGCGTTAGGGGCCCCTTGGACCGGACTATCTTCAATGCCGCCACGGCGATTTCGGTGTAGTCCTGTAACTCGGCAGATATATTAATTCTGCCGCTCCGACAGTTGTCGCAGGCGCCGTTGCAATTGGCAGGGTTGAATGATTCGCCAAAGTACTGCAATATCTCGACTCGCCGGCATGCATGTTGATTCTCGCAGAACGCTACAACACGGTTGAGCATGTCGAATTGCCTTTCCTTCTGCGCCTGATACCCTTCACCTTTGTCGATCATTCTCCGAAGGTTCTGAATGTCTCCGTAGGTGAAAAAGAGGTAGCAGTCGGAATTTTTCCCGTCTCGGCCTGCCCGTCCAGTTTCCTGGTAGTAGCCCTCGAGACTCTTAGGCATGTGTGAATGGATAACGAAGCGCACGTCCGGCTTGTCGATGCCCATTCCAAAGGCAATAGTGGCAACCACTACTTTAATTTTGCCTGACTGCCAGTCTTTCTGGACCTGAGATTTCTGGCTTGAGGGGATTGATGCGTGGTAGTGGTGTGCCTTGATGCCATGCTTCTCTCTGAGTTTGTCCGCGATAGATTCGGCCGACCGACGTGAGAGAGTATATACAATGCCCGTCTGCCCGTCATACTTATCGTTGATCATCTCACCAATACGATCTATGATATTCGTCTCCTTCAACCTGACTTCGTAGAATATGTTGGGCCGGTTGAAGCTCTGCGAGAAGACCTGGCAGTCATTCATGCCGAGATTATGCTTGACGTCGAGAATGACGCTCTTGGTGGCTGTTGCTGTCAGGGCCATCACCGGGACGCCTGGAAACTGACGACGGACTTTGCCCAGGGCCTTGTAATCCGGGCGGAAATCGTGACCCCATTGGCTCAGGCAGTGAGCTTCGTCGATGATGATACGAGCCAGCTTTTTCTTCTGATATAGCATCTTTAGCGCGTCAATGAAAGGCTGACTCTTGTTCATCATTTCGGGCGTTACGTAGAGGAGCTGGATAACCATTTCGGGATCATCCTTTGAGGCGAAAGTATCGAGAATATGCCGACGTTTTTCTGCACCGATCTCTCCGTTAAATTCCTTGGCCATGACATTGAGGGCCTCTAGATGATTAACTTGGTCGTGCATGAGACTCAGAAGAGGCGATATGACTATGCTGACGCCGTGAGTTTTGCCACTGGTAATCACGGCTGGAAGTTGATAGCAGAGGGACTTCCCGCCTCCTGTGGGCATGAGAACGAAGGCATCTTTGCCTTCAAGCGTTGCGTTGATGGCCTCGAGCTGGTTTGTTCGGAAGCCTGACATCCTGAAGCGGTCCTTTAGAGCACGGCGAACATCTGCAGACCATGCAAATTTCATGAGCTCGGGCGGTATGGAAGCTTTCCGCTGCGAAGATGTGACTCTCTTTGCCGCCGGTCTAGGTTTAATTGCGCGGCCGGAATTCCCCGATGCCTCAGATAATACCGACCGTGCTCGACGTTTATCAGTCGCAGAAACAGAAGTTGATCGCTGTCTCTCGAAGTTCTCCGCAGCGGCGAGCATATCGGCGTCGTCATTGTCATCGCCAAAGTAGTCAGGAACAGCCATCCTTGCCACCTTGACTAGACTCTTTCGTCGCAGCGGCGGCATCGCAGGATTGTCTAGCTCCGAAAACATCTCGTCGTCATCGAAGAGAACTTCCCCTCCAGAATTCGCGAAGGAATTATTAGGCACATGTCGTGAGCTACCATAGCTCTGGGGCTTCCAAGCTGTAGACCAGTTGTCCCGCACGAAAGGTGCGGAAGGCGGTTGCATTGTGTCTATCCGCTCGGATTTGCGTGATGAGTGGCAGTCCGCATGCGGCGCCTGCGTCTGCAGAATAACCTGGGAGTTGTATCCGGGGATAAGGGTGCTTTCTCGAGTTGACAAACTTGGGGGTCCAGACTTGCGTGAGGGTTGAGTTGCCATAACAACAGGCTCTGGAGAGTCGGGGACCACCATGTGGTCATTGGGGTCCTTGAGAAAATCGAGATCCTCAACCCCGCCAGCAATGAGCTTGCTTATCAATTGCTTCTCTTTGGCTTGAACTTCGCTGGACAGGTTCTCAAGTCGCACTTCGTCTTCCTCCGTGTCGAGACCTTCTGCATATGCCCGACCGAGGTCGGCAAGTAGCGTCTCCCGCTCCTTTGTCAGGTCCTTGAGAGTATGCTGCTCCGATAAGACATCTTTCAAGGCCTTTTGCTTCTGTAGAAGTGGATTACGCTCACTTCGCACCCGCTCTCGTTCCTCTTTCGAAACATTATCGCGAAGACATGCCACGAACTCTTCCTGGTTCCTCTTAACTTGGTCGCTGATATGCAGTAGCTTTGCTTCCACTACCGACGGTTTGGACAAGAATAAGCCTAATACGTTCTTTTTTCGCTCGGCGTCGGAGCTGGAGGGGTTCTGAAGTTCGTGAGAAGCTCTGCCCCCCGAAGGCAGTTGGGATTTCGGTGTCAGGGCCGCAGCTTGCTCCTCGCCTTTGTCATCTGGCAGAGAATGCTGGCTCGCTCCCCGGATGGTGGTCGATAGGGTCGCAGCAGGCTGTGACATTGAAGGTGTATCGATCACAAGACGCGGATCATCAAGCTCTGCTTCCATAAGGGCAGCTTCATACATCTCGTCTTCATCAGGATTCATTCGAGAGCGTGCCGTAGATCTGTGCGTCAGCGGCGTGATAAACCTATTCTCGTCCTCGGAATCCGCGACAATTTCACTTCGTCTAGGCTTTTTTTTCGTCTTGATTGGCTCATCCAAGTTATTCGATTGGGCTTGAAAAGCATTACCAAGCCGACTGGGTGATGACAGCGACTTTCGCTTACGTGTAGACGCTGAAAAATCAGAACCTGGACTTTGGCGGGACGGCGATCGGGCAGATCTATGACAAGATGCGCCTGTCGCTGGCACAGCGATGGGCGGGACACTGCCTAGACGTTTGGTGGCCAATAGTCGGCTGGATGTGCAGGCTTCAGTGCGCTCTTTAAGGGCAGAGCCAGGTACTGCAGCCTTTCGCGGCGGGGCAGTCTGAGCTCTACTGTTCTGGGAAGAAAATGACGGTCCGGTGGATGATTGTGGTTCAGATTCGATCAAGTCGCAAATATCCGGGAAATCTTCGTCGCCGTCGTCAGAGATAGATGGAGTATTTGCGATCTCCTCGCTTTTCCTCTTCTTGCCCCGCTTTGGCGGGAGGGGTTCCGGTCGCTCAGCATAGTCGTCGCGCCAAACAGTCACGTCGTCCCCGAAGGCCAGAACTGAGCTCGAAGCCTCGTTGTTGTCGGCCTCGGTTAGGTCGATGGCGTCCGAAAAGGGACCGTCGATGTCGATGTTATCAGATGGAGTTTCTCGTGAGCGGAATGAAGGGGCCGGAGATTTCTTTGCAAAACGGGTAGCAGTAGAGGGCGACTCGTGAGCGAGAGAAGCCGAGTATGCCCGTTGTAGCGGCCCAATTCCCGTGGTAGATGCTGGCGTCAGCAGCAGCTGCTGTTTCGTTGTGACCAGTGACGGCCGGTTTGAGCTCGCGCTTGTTGAGAGCCTCGCCATGGCCCCGTCCGCCGCCACTACCTCCCGTCTGTGCTGCAATGGTGCTCTAGCGTCATTGGTAGAGGCGGATATCGGTTCCGCCAATTGCTGACGCGCTGGTGGTGGTGGTGGTGGTGCTGCTGCTGCTGCTAGCTGGACGAGCGCTCCCGCGTGGGCAGTCTGGCTCGCCGTGGTGTGGCGGGAGGAAAGCCGAGCGGTCGAAGTATTATTGACAGAGGACGTAGCGGCATTCACAGGAGCAGATGTAACAGGGGCAGCAGTAGCTGTAGCTCTAGTTATGGCTGTGGTGGTGGTGGTGGTGGTGGTGGTGGTGGTGGTGGTGGCAGCAGTAGAAGCAGAAAGTGAGGGAGTGGGAGTGGGAGTGGGAGTGGGCCCTCGAGGTTGTTGCTCAGAGTCGACGGCGGGCGGCAGCGAAGGGCCGACGGGCGCTGAGAGGGAAGGATTGCGCAGTAGCCATGGAAGATGCTCGCGGAGGTTTTGGCGAGTCATGAAGGGAGGTATTCGGAACCAAGGTTCCCGCATCTATGCCGGTTCATTCGCGTCGAAATCGTCTAATTGAGGGGTAGAGGGGAGGATTGCTGGTGAAGAACATCCAAGGCGTGTTTCGTGCAGCGAGGGAGAATGAAGAGGTTCGGACGCGTAGACGCCTGGAGAGGACGCGGCGTCAGGTGCTGTTGGGTGGTCAAAGCGTTCTCGGTCGGCTCCCTGTTACGATCGAGCTAATTCAGCATTGTACCTCGAAACCAGGACATATACCGAGGGCAGAAGCCCAGGTCTTAAGATCCGGATTCTAAATAATAATTTTTTTGGAAAATAGCGCCGGACTTGGTCCTTACGGGTGATTATCTAGTATCCTCATGTATTGTATTTTGTATTATTCACCTGTTGTGGGCTTCGAGATTGGAGAAGTGAAAAACTCCCTCTATACTTGGGACCAGGCGAGCCAGGGCGCCTCTTTTCGAGCTAGTCACGAAAATACGCTGAATGTTTGCAAGCCGAAGCAGGGCGCGGCGTTTGCTCGTCTACTAATATTCTCTGAGACTCCAGCAGGCGGCTGCCCTGCATTGCCTGAATTGGAAGGCACAAATAAGCTATGTCACCGGGCTACCAACTAGCTCAAAGTTGTTCAATTACGGCAATAGGAAGGAGTATCCAAGACCATTCGCTCTATTATTTCCCATTTCTATTAGGTCGTACCTTAGGTCATGTATCTGTTTCTAATACCCCAAGATTCTATGAATCTATTCCCAGCCTTCCGCATTGAAACCCATCTCAAAAACGCCGCGCCTCTCATTATCATAGATCATCGTCTCGTCGTCGTCATCGTCTCTAAACAGCTTCTCGTCGCAGATACGAACACACACGCGGTGCTCCTCACGCTGAGTCCTTGCTGGTTTCAAGCCGCTCCTGCTCGGTGGTGTTGAATAGGAACATCAGAGTCACCAACAGCTTGCCGGCACCAGAGACGGCGAGCGCGGCGGCCGAGCCGACGGTCCTGTAGATGAGGGCGCCGGCGAGAGAGCCGACGACGAGGGTGGCGAGGAAGGCGACGCGGCGGGTGCGCGGCCTGTTGCCGCCCGACAGCAGGTTGGGGTCGATGACCAGGTCGACCCACGCCGCCGTGGCCATGGCCGTGCTGATCTCGGTCATGCCCAGCGAGCGCGACTGCACCACCTGGCTGCCCGCCGCGAACGCGAGCAGCCCGATGGCGAGTATCGTCCGCGTCCCCTCGAGCTCGATCCCCCGCATGTACTGCAGCGCCGCGGCCCCAAACACCAAGCACGTCTGCACTAGGTTGCAGAAGATCAGCCAGAGCCGCCGCCGCGGGCCGACCACGTGGCCCAGCTGGCCCGTGAGGTACGCTGCTGCGAGGAACAGGCCCAGCGCGACGCCAATGTTGGCCGTCACGAACATCTCGCCGTTGAGCTTGGGGAGGACAATGGCCAGCGTGAGGAAGATGGTGTTGCCCGTCTGGTTGGACGCGAAGCAGTGGAAGTCGGGGAAGGATACAGCATCTTTTCTTGGGGCCACGACTGTTAGCAAGGAGGTCTCGAAGCAAGTAGGTTGCATGTGTGGGATGTCGCTGACCTTGTAACCCAATGCAGAACGTGAGCAGTAGCAATTCGACTTCGGCGAGGGCTGAAGGCTTGACGGTGGCGTTGAGATATTCCCAGGCCGTTGGGGCACGGGAGGGAAGTTCCGTGACCGAAGGGCCGTGCTTGCCCTCGAGACTTCCATCACTCGAGCTTCTAGCTGAGGAAGATGAAGAGAGGAGTCCATTGACCGACGGGAAGCTTTTCTCTCCAAGGCTTTGCTCATCGGGGCTCCTGGCCGTGCCCTGTTCTTGATGCAGCATCTTGGTTGAGGAAGCACAGGCTTTTGTGCAAGACAGGGTGTTGATGGGGGGAGGTATTGGTTCCAATGCTAACAATCCGAGGATTGGCTTTGCTTCGAGTTCTTGGTAGCGGTGGACGATATAAGAAGATGTGGAGCTCTGGGGTTTCTAACGGGAGAAGGACAAACGCTTCTCGAGGATCTTCGTAGTATTTAAAGGCCATGATATCATTCACTAGTTCGAGTCATCGAATCAAACAGAACAGTCCAACAACTACCGGTCCCCCTTATCGTGTTATTGGATTTTTCTCGGCTGGGGGCAACCTTGGCGGTTGCCAGTGGGCTTTGCAACGGAGTCCACGCCGACACCCGGCCGTCTTCCGCTATAGCGGAGTCAGTTGACGAGAGACCAACAGAAAGTCAAAGGCCCCGTACAACCGACATTCTCCGGGTCCCAATGTTTGAAATCGGGTATTTTTTCCTCGGCAGCCAACAAGAGCCAGCCAACCGAGCGCGCGTTACATCCAAGCTTGGTTTCTGCGTGCGCAAGTCCCGTGCGCGAGGGACACCACACCACGTTGTCGAGGGTTGTCGAGAACAGTGATCTCGCTCCCGAAACGTGCGGTGACAAAAAAAAAGGCGGATGAGGTACCACGGCCAGGGGGGTTTTCAGCTTGTTGAAAGTGGCATCTTCCCTCAAGTAGGTGGCACAAAACAAACACCGATCCCGCAAGCCTGGCAATGTTGAATCTAATCGTACCCTGTGCTCGGATAAGGGCCCCTCTCCCCAGCGGTTGCGCTTCCTTCGGCTGTGCCTAGCCAGCCAGGTCTCTATCTCTTTGTCTCCTCAGCTGTACGCTTGTGACTGCTGTGTGACATCACCACCATCGGTTGGTTTAGATAGCCCCAAGAAAGCCGGAGGGCGGCCGGCCCATGGACGGTAAAAGCGGGCCATGTTGGAGGCCCACTTTCGCGGCAGTCGGGGGACCGCGCAGGCCAGACTCAGGCTCCAGAGCCGGGAAGAGCAAAAGAGACGAGGTCCGTTGTTTTCGCTCCCTCGACGAAAAGAAAAAGGGTATCTGCCGTGGTTTCGGGCCCGGTGGACTGGCTTTGTGAGCGCACTCGTCAGAGCGAGTGTTTTGGGATGCCCCAATGCTCCGACACTTATACGGCGAGGATTTGGAATCGCCCCGAGCACGCAATTTCAGGGGGAGGGGGAACTGTTTAGGCGGCCCCCGTCCGTCCGACAGCCGCCGACTGCCGTAAGACGACTTGCCGACGGATAACAGCGCACCCAATCGCGGCTCTTCCTTTCTTCTACGACAACCGGGCAAGGTCCATGCAAACCCAAACAAGACAGACATTCTGTTCGCTTCCACCTCCACCTCGTCCGCAACTACAACGCCCCCGGTTCCGCTGTTTTTGCATGCACTGCACTCTTCTCACCGCTTCTTCCGATATTTTTTCAAGGGCTGAAATGATAATAATAGGAGGAGAAAAAATTGACAAAAGTTATTGTTGGCAGGTTGTTTCGGCAGAGTGATCCCATCGCCCCTATTCCCCTTTTCCGTAGATTCCATGACTGAGGTACCCAACTACTCCGTAATAACCATCTCTGCTGCGAAGTCGCCAACTCCAGCTCCCGTCCGCATCCAAACGCATTATGCACGACCGGACAACGTAAGGTAAGGTAGGTACCCAAGACAAACCTTTGCCAGTTTTTCTCGAGCACGCGCGGAGACTGACTGATTGTTGTGTCTTTGGCTCTCTTCTTGTTCGTCTTTTCCGTCCGAGTGTTCTTCTCCCTCTCCCTCTCCCGAGCATCCAAATAATGCTCCAAGAGAGCCTTGCAGGCACAACAGTGCCGTTCTGTTCAGTTCACAGTGGCGGCCACATAAATGGTCTGGATACTTGGCAATCGCGTCAAGGCCAAAAATAATGGAATCCCATCTCGTCCTTATGAGCTCCTGAGTAAAGGGAAGACCTTTCTTGGCCAGTTTAATCCGGTAAACCCGCGTGAGGTCCCAGTGTTGCATGCACATACAGTCTAATCCCTGAATATTTGTTAGCGGGAGGCGTTCCAAGATCTGCTCCGTGAAGGGCCTCAGTATCTTACGACCCGCCTTAAAGGTTTTTTTTTCGCTGAGGGAGGTAATAGCTATTCGAATACCTGTTTTAAAATCCTAGAGGCTTGTCCATTCTCTAGAAATACCTATTAAAGACCTTTACTACCTAGCTATACCAGACGCATACCCACTACCAAACCAAGCCTGATGATCTTGAAGCTCAGAAACAAGAAACATATTACCGTATTCGACGCCACGTCGTCTTTCTATCGGCTACCAGTATACAGCTTCATCGGATGATTTATTGACACTAAGAGGCCTCGAAAGGTCAAACGTGGCGCTCATGGGATTCAGGAATTCACCTCCCCCCTCCCTTTTTACGCGTAAAGATTCATGGACCATCGTCTCGAAACATTCAAGGAGTTTGCAGCAGCCTACATAGACGACATCTAGCCGGTTTATTTATTATTATCTTCTTCATCCCAAGTACCACGGTAATAAATACCTAATAAATACCCAGGGTTCAGAGTGTACTCCGGGCTCTGAAGGATGTTTTATCTAGGTGATTTTTTTTAGAGAAGCGACAGACCTCTAGATATAAAATAATGATCCTAATAACGACTTCCTCCCTTAGCGGAAAACCTGTCAAGGCGAGCCTTAAGTTATCAAGGCCTTTCAAATCCCGAGCCAAATCCCTGAATCTTTATTAGCGGGGGACTTTCTACCTAAGTGCTTTTGGAAAAAGATATAGGCATCTAAGATACTAAAATAGGGATCCTGATAGCCTTTTACCTCCCTCGGCGAGAATCCTTTAGGCTTCTCAGATCTTGGAAAGCCCCCCTCTGACAAACATCCAGGGATTTGATTGTACCACAGGGGTGGACAAACAGGCGGTTTTGACAATTTTTTATTACTTCTTCGCTACCCTACTTCCGTTATAGAGCTGTCAAGAATCGCTGTTGTGGGACGAAATACACGCTGTCACAATGTGACTGAGAGAAAAGCAGTGAAGCTACGTTGGCTCGTATGACCCCGCTCGACTCACAATAGTATCCCACACTAGCGCGGTGTTTTGTGAAATAACTTTCGCCAGCTCAGTCGCTAGTTGGGTGTCGGGGAACGGGATTTCGTACGGCGAAGGAAGGTCAGCTGGCAAGGGATGTTTCTCATCCGCTGAGGCATACTGATACTTCTTTCTCCAATTTTTCCAATACAGCTTGAACCCGCTCGGTGTCGGCATACTGTTCGTCGCCAACTTGTGGCTCAGATACTGGTTGAGGGCTAAGATGTAGTGTGGGTGCAGCTTCGCGCCCGAGTCATGCGAGACGATTACGCTGCCAATGGCCTCGTTATTGTTGAAGATGAGCTTCTTTTCCTTGTCTTTTGACCATTCCACGACTCTGGTCTCCTCGCTAGTGACGTTTTCTGCGCTCGGCCTCAGCCGACACGTCTGCCAAAGCCAAAACATATCGTCGTTGTGCCATTTGCGCGAGGCCCTAGTCCAGAATAGCTTACTATTCGGGCTGACCAGCCGTAAATTCCATTTCAACCCTACTAGGAACGCCGCGGCAATCGCGAGGGTTGTGAATCCCTCTTGGACATTGAATGGTATCATGACCTCTTCCATGCTTTCGGTCACGCCTAATCGCTTGCACGATATTTCCTCGACATCCGAAATCTTTATGCCTGGAAGCATATTGCAGAGGCGAAATCGGCTGGGATTTGGTACGCACGCGTTGATACAATATTTGTTAATATTAGCGTTGTTGAAGTAGTCTGCGACGTGCCGTGCGTCACGCGCTGAGAAGTCGAGTGGAAAGATGGCACCTTTTCCGTCGAGCTCCGCGGCAAACGCAATCACGGGTCCCAACCATTGCCTTTTTTTTCCCTTCATGTTAGCTTCTTGGTCCAAGCAAGTAGGTATTTGGGGTGGGAGGTTATGTGTGTACATACCGATGGTGGCCAGGCTTAGCGTATCCGTTAACGCCCTGGTTGAGAAACTTGAAATCCTGTGGCTCTATGTCGAAACCCTCTTTGTCAAAAAAGATGATGACGAGTGCGTGGCCAATTTTCACGTCGTTGAATGCGGGACTTGTGTTCACAAAGACGGTGTACGAGGACTGCACTCTCCCTGGCGACCGCTTCAGGTAGGAATCCAGATCACAGTGGTTGAACGTTAACCGACACCCTGGCGTCGACCAGTCCACCCTGGCCCAGAACAGCTCGGGCTCGCTCTTAGTGACGCGCAGAATTTGCGCCGCGAAGTACGATGAAACAGACGCAAAATACGGGTCGCGCGGCAAATTGTGACTGCTGAATTGCTGGCACATATTCTTGTGTAGCTCCCAGTCCGCGTTTAGACACACCTCCGAGCAATAATGCGCGGAGTGGCAGTGTTTGCACTGGAATCCGGCAGTATTCATGCACGAAACACAAAGCATTCGGGCTTCCTTGTCCTCGCGGGTCGCATCCATAAAATCGTCGTTATCTAATAACCTATAATGTGTCATCTTGTCATGCTCATCGTCGCGGCCGAACTGAAAGACGGTGATCTGAGGCTCTACCCTGTCCCCAACGTGCGTTGTCTGGTCATTCTGCTCGGAGGCGCCGCCCTCATTCAGCGTGACGCACTCATCATCTAGAATGTAATTGAGCTCGGCCTCTTCCTCTTTTGGCCCGGCATCCTTTTCCTCTGGCTCGGCCTCTTTCTCTCTTGACCCAGTATTCTTCTCCGGCTCGGGCGTCTCTTGAGTTGACTGGGCGTTCTTTTCACCCGGTTCGGCCTCTTTCTCTTGACGACGTACTCCGGTTATCTGGTCCATCTTTTTCTTGTGATGGTTGCGTATTTTTGTTGTCTGGCTTGGTCTTTTGTTTTCTGGCTTGGTCTGTTTTCTTGGCTTGGTCTGTTTTTCTGGCTTGATCTTTCTGTTCGTTGGCTTTGGCTTCTCTTGTATTGCTTGGGCGTTCTCGTCGCCCGTCTTGGCTTTATTCTCTTTCTCAGAGGCATTCCCGTCCTCCGGCTCCAGCTTCTCTTGAATCGACTGGGCGTTCTCGTCACCCGGCTCAACCTGCTTCTCTTTCTCAGAGGTGTTCCCGTTCTCGTCGCTCGGCTCGGCCCCCTTCTCTTTCTTAGAGGCGTTCCCATCCTCCGGCTCCGGCTTCTCTTGAATTGGCTGGGCGTTATCGTCACCAGGCTCGACCTCCTTCTCTTGAGTTGGCTGCGTGGTCTCGTCACCCGGCTCGGCCTTTGTTTCATTCGACGCGGCATTCTTGTCCTTCAGGTCGGAGTCGATACTGGTATCCATCGATTCTGCGCTCTTGTCCTTCGGATCGAGGCCCGTTTTCTCTAACTCAAAAGCCAGTTGCACGATCTCATTGTTCTTCTGCTTCATCTTGCGAATCAGGTCCAGACGCATGGCCGCATGTTTCTTGTGCTCGTCGTCCGACTGCTGGATCGGAGCAATCTTTGTCTCCAACGTATTGATCAACTCCCGAGTATTAGCCGCGCGTTGAGACAACTCGCCTTGTTTCTTCTCCTCGATAGCCGTCGATTCATTTAAAGACTTGATCTTGTCTCTGGACTTGATCATCAAAAACTTGATCTTGTCTTTTTGCCCAGTCAAGTCTTTAACCTCCTCTATGGAGGCTTCCATCTCTTCATTCAAAGATGCGAGCTCGTCTCTGGACCTGGCCATCTCGTCATTCAAAGACTTGACCTTGTCTCCAAGGACTTCCATCCACACCTCTCCCTTGAATCTTGTCTCATTTGCCAACTCGTTTGCTGCCATGTTAGTCGAATGAAAATTGCGGATAATCTGGGTGGTCCAGTAAGGTGAATCTTTTGCTGACTTCCAATGTGAGGACGTGACAAGTTGGGCCGGAGGAGGGTATTTAGCAAGGTCTTGAAGTGCCGGATCATCATTCTCCATGATGACCTGGATGGGGGTCCTAGAGGGCCAAGAGGCCTTTCAACGCTTTTCGGTCTTTCCGGCCTGCCGAGATTTAGCCGAGGTTTCTTGCAAGAAGGCTGCTCCCAATAGATTTTCGAGGCTTGTGACAGAATCCGTATGGTGGGCGGTGACCGAGGTAGCGGTAGGTAGCGATGATAACACCATCCAGGGACAAAGTTATACAGATGAACGAATGTCAAAGTGCTGGCAAAGTGTTGCTGTCAAGGTTCTGGTTTGCGTTCGATGAGCCCCAAAAAGCAAAGAGCAGATTGCCACTGCCGCATTCGCAACTTCCCAAGGCAAGGTACCTGGCACGCCCCCACCAGCTTCCTTCCATGCCGTGCCGTTGTGCGAGCTTAAGCAGGGGCTTTAGGTTCTAGCATCGTATGAAAAGTAAGAGCCAGCTTCAAACATGATCTGGGAAGCACCATATCTCGTCTGGGCACTGCCTGCCTTCCATTCATCTCCCGAGCGAGAAAAGAGACAATGCTGCCCTGGGCAGGCATATTTGCCGACGGGCGCGCGTGAAGCAGATCCATTGACGACAACACATGCGGCATTAGAGGCCGAGTATCTGGGATGAGGCTGCAAGGGAGCCAAACGCCATGGCACCTTACGTCCCGAACATCTGGCCGCCAAGCGACAGCTGCCCGAGGTGGGTAAGGTATCAACCTAGGTACCTAGGTCTGGATACCAAAGGTAAAGTACCCTCTGCACCTAATGTATGTATCCGTACCTTGCAGATGGCCCTGCGCAAGATCGAATCCTGTGCGGCCAGGCGTCTGGTGCGCTCCATGTGCTGTGAGCGAAGACGTTAATCTTACTCGGTACATAGTGACGGCAAGGTTCGTGAGTCGGCCGGTACTTTTGACTCTCTCGGTGCCCTTCAACTGCTTGACTGTTGGCTGTACCGTGGCAAATTCTTAAATGATAAATCTAACTCGTGGAAGTCACTCCTTGAGCAGACGAATAAAAACAATATCCGTACCTTCTAAATTAGTATTCAAGTACCGTGTGTAAGGTACTGTACAGTATGTACGGAATATGTTACATTGTATCGTATCCGTACTAGGCAGTTGCTGGTTCGAGAAGGGCCCCCCCACTAGATCTGGCTCGTGCTTTCTCTTATCGATAAGCCACTTTTCTCGATTTTCTTCTCGACATCGACGACATTGAGCAAGCAAGACTGACGGAGTCACAAAACAGGGAACCCACCACCACATATAATCTTTTGTCGCTATCTTCTAGACCGATCGCAAAAATGCTGAGACAAATGTAAGCTAGCAACCTATTTGTTACTATTCCAAGCCACGCAGCTGAATTCAATCCCCTCTGCGACTAGTAAACCCCGGACGGCGCGGTCCAAGAGAGTGCTCGAGAAGCGGGCGCCCAAGGCTGTCGAGAACCCAAAGAACGCCCTGTTTCTTCGCGGGACAACATGCAGCCAAGTTGTGCGTTCTTTTACATCTGTTATATTTCACTCCCTACAGTTTGGCTGCTGCCATTGCTGTTGTTTTTGTCTGACTGACCGGGCTGCGATGCAGACCCAAGATGCCCTTGCGGACCTCTTCGCCCTGCGCCAGTTGCACGGCAAGCGCTTCCACAAGAAGAACGCAGTGCACCCCTTCGACGACGCCAGCTCGCTCTGCTTCTTCTCGGAGAAGAACGACTGCAGCCTGCTGCTGTTTGGCAGCACCAGCAAGAAGCGGCCCCACACCATCACCTTTGCCCGCACGTTTGACTACAAGATGCTCGACATGCTCGAGTTCAGCCTCGACGCCTCCACCTTTCGCAGCATCAACCAGTTCAAGACTAAGAAGGTACCCGTGGGCACGCGGCCGCTGATTGTGTTTGCGGGGACGGCCTTGTATGTACTCACTCTGTTCGGCGTAGCCCGAAAAAGGAAAGCCCAGACTCACTCACACACAAACGCTAACCCCCTCTACAGCGAGAGTCCTGTGCCCAACGAGTTCACCATGGCCAAGTCGATGTTGCTCGACTTCTTCCGCGGGGAGACGTCTGACAAGATCGACGTCGAGGGGCTGCAGTACTGTGTGGTGGTGACCGCGGACGAGCCGACGACGACGGCGGCCGACGACCCGGCGTCCAAGCCGGTGCTGCATCTGCGCGTGTACCAGATCCGCACCAAGCGGTCGGGCCAGAAGCTGCCGCGCGTCGAGGTGGAGGAGCAGGGCCCCCGCATGGACTTCCGGCTGGGCCGCATGCAGGCGCCCGACGAGGGCATGCTCAAGGAGGCCATGCGCCGCGCCAAGACCTCCGATGAGCGCACCAAGAAGAACATCTCGACCAACACCATCGGCGACAAGATCGGCCGCATCCATCTGGGCAAGCTCGACCTGAGCGAGCTGCAGACAAGGAAGATGAAGGGCCTAAAGCGGGAGAGGGATCCCCATCTCCTCGACGATGATAGTGACGGTGGAGACAGCGCCGCCCACCCGGCTCCTAGTAAAAAGGTCGAGAAGACAAAGCGGAAGAAGATTTAGATTCCCTTATTTTATATACCCTATCCACTCTCATTTCTTATTCTTCTTGTGTCTCAAATCATCATGCGGGCGTCCTGGGAGGGTGGCATTTCAAAAGAGGAATGAGGGCGGGAAAAAAGCTGGCGTAATGTTTTGCTTTCTTTTTTTTTTGAGATAACGAATTATTCATGTTTTTTTACCTTGGTTTTATTCGTATCTCTCTTGGAGCATTGCACCCCCCTCCCTGGTTCCCACCCTCCAGCAGAGAGTCTCAACAGCTATTCACTATAAAGCTGGAGATTCTTTTTAGCATGGCCTTTTCCCCCTTCGTAATACGCCGTCGCGCACAGCACTGTTACTGTCACCTCTGCCGCTCGTAGACACCCAGTCCGGGTTCCTTCGTCGGGCTGTGCGCGGCGCATCCATCCCCAGACGTATCTGATCTCGTCTGCAAGCATGTATTGGCCACAGTCCGGTTGGTACTTCCCCCCTCTTATACTTCGTACATGCGTGTCTCCTCGAATCGGTAGGTAAGGTAATTGGTATATCGTCCGAACACTATTCGGAAACGCCCTCTTCTTGGCCTAAAAACTAGCATTGGATTATCCGTCTTGCTCGTAATGCTCCCGCTCGACGTCCGTCTGAGGGACTGACTCAATGGGGGATCGAGCGTATGAGTGGAGCAGTCGGACTGTAGTTAGGCAGGGGCGTGTAGATAGCTTGGATAATAGTTCGCCATTCTTCGCCGTTGTGGCGTGGCTGGCTATGCGGAGCGAGACGGCGTGGCGTGGCGGTGTGCCCTGCCTGCCCAAGAGCCAATCAATACCGGGACAGGCCGCTTGATACTTTTCTCAAAGCCACGAGGGGTTCATTATATCGACCCCTTTTATATGGCACCACGATTCCCAGATTGAGCATTAATTTGCTTTCTCTTTTGTGATTTTGATTTTGATTTTAATCGGGAGGGACGGGCGGTATGCTGTTAATGGGACTAACCATCTGGCTCAACAGCTCAATGTGGCGAAAGTAGCCGCCGGGCTCCTGTCCGCGAGCCAGGGCGGCCTCTTCGGCGTACCAGTCGGCGCCCCAGACGTCGGCCGGTATGGGTCCGCTGCCCGTGTGCTCGTACAGGGCGATCTGCATGGCCCACTCGAGATGCGGCCACCACTCGCGGTACGCCTCAGGGCCGAAGAAGTCGCTGTTGAAGATGCTCACCACGCCGAGCACCTCGCGGCGCGCCATGCCCTGCAGCCACCAGACGCGGTCCATTGACTTGAGCAGTGCAAAGAAGCACGCCAGGATAGCGAGGGCACGCGGCTGCCGCTCCTCCAGCAGCTCAATGTAGCGCCGCGACACCGTGGCGGGAAAGGCGAGCGGCGCGCCCTTGTGCGGAATCTTGTGCGCCCAGTTCAAAACGGCCACAGCATGCTGGTAGGCCTGGCGCGTGCTCGCAATCAGGGCCGGGTCGGCAGAGGCGCTGCCTCGGCGCTCGCCTTCGGGCGGTGCGCCGTTGCCCATGGGCGGGTACAAGTTGATGTTGGGCGACGAAGAACCGGAGCCCAGGGCGGCCAGTTCTTCGTCCAGGCCATCCAAGAGATGGCCGAAGAAGGTGTCAGGCCCGGCGGAGAAGTCAAGCTGCAAGACGGCCTGCGAGTTGATTACCTGCGTGGCCACAGGGCTCACGCGCAGGTACTGCCACGATGCTGCCGTGATTGCCTTGACGCCCTGAAAGGAGTGGAACCACGAGAAGGGGATGGTGTAGCTCCCGGCTGCCGAGCTTTGGCGGTCTTTGCCCCCTAAATTTATGCCACTGCTACCCTCTATGCTTAGCTCGTCCTTCATGAAAACGCGAGTCGCTGTCGACTGGAACGCGATCAGGGCCGAGGTGAGAAACAACGACTCGGCATTTGTATGATCAATGCCCTTGGTGAGAGCAGCACTGTACTCTGCGAGCGTGGCTGCCATGTAGGCGTGCGAGGCCCGAACCAGCTCCCTGTCATTGGGGGTTATGCTGCGCAGGTGGAGAGCGGCCACGGCGAGAATGGCGTCGGCTAGGTGCTGAGACCCTGAGAAGGCGAGGTTGGGTACCGTGATGCTCCATATTTCCTCCGTCACGGGCGCGGTGAAGGTGATGGTCTTGCAAGTCATGGCCGTATACTGGTGCATGAGCCTCAGCTCGAGCAGACGGTGGCTAGGGGGCGTGGTCGATGACAGGCCCGGGGTCGACGGGGCGCGGTAGAGCGGTGTAGCCGGAGCGGAGGGGCCAGGGAAGGATCCGAAGTCGATCGAGGCGGCCGGTGTGGAGGGGCTTGTCGCAGCGATAGAAGGGCTCAGCGGCGACAGCGCGGCTTCAGCAGCAAGGATATCGACGAGGACGGAGGGGTTCTCAAAGTCGCAGGCAACGGCATGTTTGACGCACCCACCGCAGCGGGGGTGGACTTCGTCGCACTAATAAAAGGGGGGAGCAACCACGTCTCGTCAGCATTGGCCATCAATTGGTGTTTCCGTGTCCCTCTCGCGCGACGGACGCGTGCATACCTTGATCTTGCGCGACTTGCACCGGCGGCACCCGGCCCTTGACTTTTTGTGGGAGCGACGCGGCGCCATGTTCTAGTCGTCGTATCCTGGACGGCGCAGCGCCTTGAATTGTACGGTACGGGGTGACGGTGAGGTAATAGCGGTCACGGCCTTGGCTGGCGGAGCATTCGGCGCGCCCAGCTTCCCATAGTAATCGTAATTGCACTACAAAGGGCCCTAGGTGCCGCTCCTCGCGACTCGGGACGCAGACACAGGTTGAACTGGTCGGCAGAATGGGAGCGGCGATGGAGGCGAAGACGCTACTGTCGGTTGAAAGTGGAGGTGCTTCCCAGTAGATGTTTCTGTCAATGCTTCACAGAAGCGGGCATACCTTACCTTGTACGAGAGCCCGGACGCGGAGGTAGCCAATCGACAAGCTCCGTCAAAGCGGGGTGCAGTTCCTTAGTTTAGCAACGGGCTCTTGCTGCAACCCGGCAGCCCGGGAAGCCTTCTACAAAGTTAATTGCATTTGCCAGGGCCTGAATCAATCAACTCTAAAAAAAGTCTCAAAGATCAGCTGGCGCATGAAGTCTCTTCAATTGACTTCAATTGACTAAGGTAGGTTAGGTACCTGCACCGTATACACCCTATATCTACGCAATGCTGTCAATTGCGAAGATAGATTACCTAGGTACCATAGTTACGGATTCTTATTGGCTGTTAACACTCAGTATGTATCCGTGCATACATACATACGTAATACAGTATGTGCAATTCGCCCCCTGATTAATGACCGGGGGTAGTGTCAGCATTCCAGCTGCATACCTAAGCGTTGTCTACTTGAGTTGCACTCTAAGCATGTCTGTGGTTTACCTTTGGTACATGCCTTAGCGTAATCCGTCACTCAGGCGCTTCCGACCAAAACTCAATACGATAAGTGGTCCGCAGTCTGAATGCGGGAGTCATGAGGGCCGTTGTCAAGCACCCACCCTGGGAACGAACAGGGCTGATGTCCATATCCACTGGACGTTGTCCATTCAGGAGTACGGAGTACCCGTACTCGTTCGATATGTTCTCATCAGATTCCAGTCTTGCTCCAGATTCTTGACGCGGAACCGACCCTCAAATATCCCGAGGTTTATCGGGACTGATAAGTGCGGATAAGGTTACCAGCGCGCAGGTTAATCAGGCGGGATTCCGCAAAGGACGAAAGGTCAACCACTGATAAAGCCAATGTTGGAAAGAGAGGAGTGGATTAACTAACGCCTTACCTGCGTAAGCTAGTTACTTCACTCCACAAGGTAGCTGTTATGCAACCTTATCTTCGGATGCCTGTGTCCCGTGGAAATATTGATGCGGCCTGAGCTGCCGTGGTGTGATGTGGATTATTCACCCTCCATCCGGCAGGCTGGCGGATGACCTCATAGGCTGCCCGGGGCACTTGGACATTCGAAAGTCGATGCCGAGAACGGTCCTTGTCCAGCTGCAAGCGCCAGACACGCAGGCAGCCGCGTGAAGCCCGAAAAGTCACAAAGGCTCACTCGAAGGCCATGTGAAAGAGACTGGCTGGCAGTGGCATCCGATCTGCCGCCTGTGCGGGGAAGCGTGCATGTCTTCCCTGCGGCCATGCGCCCTGCGTTCGGTCGTGGTTCGTCCATTTGGATGGTTTGAGTATTTTTGTTGCTCCAAGGACCCCGGATGGCATGTTGTTCGGGAGAAGATGGACGCAATTGCGGGCGCCAAGCTGCCTTCGGGTCGAACCGCCTCCACTGGCGAGAGTTTTCGGTAGGTAATTGCAACACCAGACGGGCCGGACGCATGCAGATTGCAAAAAGTATTTGGGAATTGCAGCCCGTTGCGCTTTCGGTTGCTGATTCCATGCCCATCGGATGCGTTTCGAGGCCAATTTCCAATCATTGATGAGCAATCAGAGGGGCTCACCGCCGGGCCGCCACCCTGCCAGCCCAGCAAGCCCACCCAGGCCGGAGCGTCCTCGGCACGCAGCGGGCGATTGGAGTCTTGACAATGGAGAAAGGAAAAAATAATGTGCCAGGATACGGCTGGCAGGGCAGGGCGCAGAAGAGATTTTAAAACCCGGGCCAGGCTTAAAACAAGGGCGCCGCTCGGCGGGGTCGTCACGACAGCCGAACCACCACCAAAAAGAGAAATTGCACCATCGACGGCCCAAATCGCACCTTCTGCCACCGTGCTGAAATCCGCCTACAAGACCACCCAGGACTCAGGACCCAAGACCTAAGACCCCCACGTCTAGACGCCTCCAGCCTGCACAAGAGTGCCCAAAGAAGTCGAAAACAGCAACAGCCGACCAATTATCTCGCTTGTCTTATTGAACAATTGATCGACTTTGGAAGCCTTTCAGCGGCCCTTTCAGCGCATCTTTAGAGAGCCATGACGGCTCACAGCGACCAAGCCATCACGACGCCGCCGCGCGCTCCGTCGCCCGTCCATGGCTTCGGCACTCTAGCCGTGCATGCAGGCTCCCCGCATGACCCTGCCACGGGCGCCGTCATCGAGGCAATCTCGCTGTCGACGACGTTTGAGCAGACGGCTGTTGGCCAGCCCATCGGCCAGTTCGAGTACAGCCGCAGCAGCAACCCCAACCGCGCAAACTTTGAGACCATGGTGGCCGCCCTCGAGCACGCCAAGTACGCCCTCGCTTTCTCCTCAGGCAGCGCCACCACGGCCACCATCCTGCAGTCCCTGGCTGCCGGCTCGCACGTCATCTCCGTCTCAGACGTCTACGGCGGCACCCACCGTTACTTCACCCAGGTCGCCAAGGCCCACGGCGTCAAGGTCACCTTCACCCCTGAGATCGAGGTCGACATCCGAGACCACATCACCGAGGCCACCAAGCTGGTGTGGATCGAGACCCCCAGCAACCCGACCCTGCGCCTTGTTGACATCCGCGCCGTCGTGACTCAGGCCCACAAGCACGGCATCCTGGTCGTCGTCGACAACACCTTCCTCAGCCCCTACGTGCAGAACCCCCTGGACCACGGCGCCGACATTGTCGTGCACAGCGTCACAAAGTATATCAATGGCCACAGCGACGTCGTCATGGGCGTAGCCGCCTTCAACAGCGACGAGCTGCACAAGCGCCTCTCGTTCCTGCAGAACGCCATCGGCGCCATCCCGTCGGCCTTTGACTCGTGGCTCGCCCACCGCGGCGCCAAGACGCTGCACCTGCGCGCCCGCGAGGCCACCACCAACGCGACCGCCGTCGCCCACGCCCTCGAGGCCAGCCCCTACGTCATCGCCGTCAACTACCCCGGCCTCGACTCGCACCCGCACCGCGCCATCGCCAAGAAGCAGCACCGCAACGGCATGGGCGGCGGCATGCTGTCGTTCCGCATCCGCGGCGGCCACGCCGCGGCCGAGCGCTTCTGCCAGCTGACCAAGATCTTCACCCTCGCCGAGTCGCTCGGCGGCGTCGAGAGTTTGGTCGAGGTGCCCAGCAGCATGACCCACGCCGGCATCCCCAAGGACCAGCGCGAGGCCGTCGGCGTTTTCGACGACCTCGTCCGCATTAGCTGCGGCGTCGAGGACGCTGAGGACCTCGAGAAAGACGTGCTCCAGGCCCTTGAGCTGGCCGTCGCCGAAACAACGACAACGGCCAAGCTCGGAAACGGCACCAACGGCGTCAACGGCACGGCCAACGGGCAGCACTAGGGGAACGAGGAATTTGGAGAGGGGAAATCTTGGGGGTCATCATCCTTGGGAACCAGGCGGGAGTCGCGGAGCACAAAAAGTCAAGCATTCAGGGCTAGAAAGACGGGCGGACGGGCGGGGCGGGTCAAGGCGCATCATCTCTGTATTTATTTAGCGCATTTTGCATCATGCATATGAATGGGTTGTGTGCCTGTTTCTAGAGGCAGAGGCTCGGGGTTGGTGTTTCTATTTTGGAAAAAAGAGGGCCGTTTCTTTAAGAACAGCCAGCTCGGATTTATTTGTCCTTTTTTTTGTCCCATTGCAAAGACTTTTAGACTCGAGAGGTTTTGGTTCCACTATAGAAAGAAGCATTTGTGATATATACACTTCTTTTTTTTTTTCCCCCTCTTGGAAGATTTGGTAAGTCGGAAGTGTTTCGTGTCGTGACGAGGGCAGCTCGCTTTCTTGGGTTTGGAATCAAAGAACCGAGACAAAGCAAGCAAGTAACCTAGTAGCTATCTAAGTAAGTATCCGAACTTACTTGAGTGGGATCAGGTAACTGTCTTGGGCTGTATGTACGAAGTACATAGACAAGAGCCACTTGAGACAAGCAAGGTACCTCCTGGGTTAGGTTTCGGAGAGCCACATGTCAGCTATCGATGGTACAGAACTTCCCTCCCCACCTTGGTGGCCGGTAAGAAAGGAGGTGGTAGGCTTGAGGTAAGGTTTTTGAGGGCGTTAACCTTGCTAGAAAAATAAAATAAAACAGTAAAGCTATCGGGTATCGTTGACAAACAACCCACTGTCCGGCCCGTTCAGCGATTTCTTCAACGGGTATCAAAACCGGCGTTGTCGATACCTGACTCTCGTGTTGATGGGGTTCGGCTTGACGCAAGGTTTTTCAAGAACGTTAACTCTGCTAGCAAACAGGCAAGCTATCGTATCTTGTGGACAAACAACCCACAATTTAGTCCGTTCATCTCAAACGTTGATTTCTGCAATGGGGATTAAACCTGTCCTTGCCGTTAATCAAGGCTCGTGTCGGCGTGACTCTAAAAAAGATAGCAAAGTAGCAAGCGAGTTGACCCTAAGTAGTCGACGAGAGGGCAGGCCATCGTAAAGTGAAGAGATAGTCTTTGAGTGCAGAAATTATCTATCTATTCGTCACCTCTGTCAAAAGACGACTTCCAGAGGTTAGATTTTCACAGCACCTAGGTCATGATCACATGGAAACACTAAAACGAGCACAATTGCTGTATACCTAAGCCATATCCCATCCCTTTCGAGGTCAGACGGCGCCTGTGTGTGCTTTGGTGTTGAGCTTTCTTCCGCAATTTTTGAAGAATCCCAGGTCCAATGTCTGCCACGCTAGATCAGTTTGCTCCTGGCTGTGCCACAAGTCTGCACCGTAGAGGCGTGAAGTTGCACACGCGTGGGCCATGTCTACCGTGTACGCCACTCTGTGTCTTCCATGTTGTGGCACTTACCTATCGGTTTTGAGAAAGTTTCACGCTGGACAAGCTTCGAGATTATCTCTGGGTTCAGTTCAAAACAACCTCAGTAACTTCCTTTATGTCTTATCTGTAAGATATATTAGCTTTTTTTCTATGCGTCTTCCTTGACAATACCCTGATTATCTCTGTAAAAAAGTGTGCGCTTCTTAACTGGTAATACCCAAACCCTCGACGAATTCAGACTTTTGCAACAACCCGGCAGCGGGGGATATAAACCAACTCGGCAACCGCACATCCTATTTTCCCTCTTCCTCCTTACCTCCTGTCTACAACACTCACTTCCTCGTCTCACGTAGTATCGCCATCCCCGTCTCACAACACACTGCCCACCGCCGCAGGCGAGAACAGAGACAAAATGTCACTGATCACACTGATGGTGTGTGGGTGCACCGGCTGCATGCAGTGCTTCTGGTGTGGATGCCACACCTGCATACATTGCGCTTGCAGGCGGGTGGAAATCTACCCCGGCCTCGTGCGGGAGGCGGACTGCTGGAGAACCGCCGTCGCCCGGACTGAAACCGTGCTCTCCGTTATGGGGGGCTACACACACTCCCAGCTGCCCTCGCACGCTGACGGGAAGAAGTTTCTGTTTTCCAGGGACTCCCGCCTCCTGATTGGCAAGCGGGACATTTGCATGGCCCGCCAGGCACTGAAAACGCGGCATGCCATATACAACCACTGCCTCGCATCCGTCACTAAGGGGACACTAAGGGGACACTAAGGGGACAGGTAGCAGCAGCAGCGGCGGCGGCGGTGGTAGCAGCAGCAACATGAGAATGGCGAGCATGGCGGTCAGCAATGCCAATCTCGTCGACACGTGGGGGTCCCTCGCTGCAGGAGTTCGGCTCGTCAGCTACGAGCTTCCGAACTGGACGAAGGCGGTGGGGATAGAGATGCGGGAAAACGACCCGCTCATGTTCGCACCCGCGCCAGGCGTGGGCCAGACGTACTGGGACGTCATCATCGGGAAGCACCTGCCGGTCCGCGGGGCTACCGTAGCACGCTTCTACCTGGCACCCGAGGTGTACGGCACGTCCTGGCTCAACGAGCGCATCTTCGGCGTCGGCAGCACGCGCGACCTTACCGGGCCCAAGAACTGCATCTACGCCAACGCGCGCGTGCTCCGCCTGCTCACCCGCGGCATGCTAGTCATCGTGCAGGGGCAGCAACAAGACGCCGACAGCCGCCCGGCCTACGTCGCCCGCATCATGGACCCGGACTACCCGCTACTGGGCGAGCCTATCTTCGCGACGCCGCGGGCCAACCTCGACGACGTCAGGGAGCCGATCGGCAAGGGCAAGCAGCGGGTGCTGCCCTCGCCCCCGGCCCCTTTGCCAGGATATGGGGCAGACCTGATAAGCCTCGACGGGGCGCTCGCCTTCTCGCACATCCTCGGGCCCGAGTTCGACTCGATCCTTGCGGTCGGCTGCAGGGGGTTTCCGCCCGCCAGAGGCGACGGCCGGGGCACCGTGGCGTGGGCCCCTATCATCATCCTCACCAACGAGATCGTGGGCATGCTCACCGGCCCGGAATACCGCGACTACAAGTTCAGTCGCGTGGCCGACGAGGAGAGCGACGCAGAGACGGTGGAGATTCATGCCCAGTGCCCGGACTCCGGATGTGTCAGTCGGTGCAAAGTCAAAGCTAGTGCCTACGTGCCGGACAGTGACAAGGACTCCTCCATGGTGAAGGGGCTTGAAGTCTAATGGCTTCCGTGGGTTTGTCGTTATGCGCAAGCGAGTTTTTTTTCTCCTTTGGCGTTACTTGCAATATCCAGTGCACCCAACTGCATGGAGATTGGCGTTCTTTTTTCCCCAGGAGGCATAACATACCTATATATGGGCACGAGACAGAGTGACGGATGCATACACAAGGCATACACAAGGCGCGTATACCTATTTTTCGCGATGAGATTTTGAAGGCAGCCCATAGTGATGGAGCAGAGGTTGCAGGATATAACAGGGACGATAATAGGTCAGGTCGTTCCTGTGATGGAGGTTACGCTTCTAAGCAAGTTTATGAGCGTCTCTATTACATAGAAGGAAGGAAGGAATGAATTGAGAAAGAGGGGGATGTGTATGTACACTCTAGACTGAAGAAAGGGGATTGTTCGTGGGGGATATACATTTTGCCCAAAAAAAAAAACCAATCAAGAACCAAAAAAAACATACAACACCAGGTATTCGCTGGTAGTCACCGACCTAACTACTGATCTAGCCCTCACTAGTTTATTGACGGGAGAGCGGACAGGATCCCGAGCTTTCTAATGGGCATGGTCGTATGTGGCAGGATGGAGGCATATCGTGTGTTTTGTTGGGCTTGTGGTGGTGTTTGCGAGCCTCAGCGCGGATGGGACGACGTTTCGGTTTGCAGTGTGCACGCTGTACAGTTTGAGCACGGAAAGAAAATACAAGCACACGCTGGTATTGGGTAGGAGCTGGTTGTCGAGGATCATGCCCGAGGCGGGGATTATGCACGAGATACGCAGCCGTGCAAGATGCCGACGGGAGCTACGGTTACTGCACTACCGGCTTACTAGTACTAGCATCATGCTCTAGCGTAGCGTGGGCAAACTGTCAAATGCCGAGGAGGCAGTAGCGCGCGGGCCGTTCTGTGTAGAAACCACGACGAGAACCTCCGGAATAAAGTTTGCAACTACCGCCGCCTCTCTTTAAAAATCTAATTCTTTGCTTTGAACCTTTTGACAGTTGCTGCAAGTATCTGACGGACCTGGGTATGTAGTGGAGAGCAACTGGCATTGTTTCCACAGATCCACTCCTCGCACAACATGCGAAAGGTCGAAACAAGCCCGGCTGGCGCAACGGTAGCGCGCAAGACTTCTACCTAATCTACATGTGGATCTTCTCCTCGACCGAGAATCAGAGGTGTATCTTGAGGCTGTGGGTTCGAGTCCCACGTCGGGCTTCTCTTGTTCGGATAATGAGGTGCATTGCGGCGTTATTCTTTTTTTTCCCTTTCTTATTTCGTTACAACCTAACCGAGAGAACCCTAGCCGGAAAATGTGCCATACGAGGGTAAGTTCACGGGTGAACATAACAGCGATTGATGTACATTTCCCTTGACTGACGTAGAAACAAAAGGGGTCCGCGGACGGGTCGGTACTGTACACTGTACTCGTGATGCACGAACAACTTAAGCCCCTGCCAGTCATCCCACCCTACCGTCGTCAGCGGCGAGCTCTAGAAGCCTGTCATTTCAAGACCCACCTTCCCGATCCGGCAAGAATAGCGGCCTTGATGCCTGAATTGCTGGCCTTTCGCGATGCACGTCGCCTCCGTATTGTTAATGCTTTTGTTTTATTAGACCACCTCTTGTCAACGCGTGTGAGTGTCTGCAAACACCACCCTATATACCCGACATTGAAAATGCCCCTTTCTACAAATCCAAAGAAAGCACCAGCTCTTGGTCTTTCCCCCGTAACATTAATCCCCCAGCCTCTTTTATCTTACAACTACAATTCACCATCATTATACCAACAGTCCAGTCCCCCACTTGCCAAAGAAATGAGAAAGACCTCTCCTGTCAGCTCTGAAGCTTCGGAACCCGTTTATCTTTATAAAAAGCCACACTCGACCTCACCTCTCAACAACAACCATCCGCCCACAGCACGTACCACGGCGCGGACGCACATTCGGGATACCTATCTAGATAATTATGCCGTCCCTGAACGACCTCGTCCTAGTGACTAACTCCCAGTCCTCGCCGCACGAGGTCTCTTGGAACTCTGAACTTACCAGCGCGACGGTGAGGAGGGGCGCGCGGGCCTCGGACAGGGCGGCCGCGGCCTTGCTGTCGACGCGGACGTGCGGGACGGCGAGCCTCTCGAGGCGCGGCGCCTAGTCGGGGTGCGCGGCGATGGCCTAGAGCGCTGCGGGCCAGATGAACGGGTAGCCCATGCTGGAGCTGTTGGGGCCGGCGGCGGCGGCCGTGATCTCGAGCGTCTTCAGGTTTGGGCACAGCTGCACCGCCGCCAGCAGCGCGTCGTCGTTGACGTCCCTGCCCGCGCCCTGCAGCACCAGCGTCTCGAGGCTCGGGCACGCGCGCGCGCGCGAATATCTCTAGCGTGGCGCCCGTGACGAGGCCGGCCGTCGCCTGGTGCCCGTGGGACGTTTCTTCGGGGTGGAACCGGAACGACCGCAGCCCGTGGCACACACCCTGGCCCATGTTCATGATGACCTTGAGGTGCTTGCTATAAAAATCGAGAGACCAGAGGGTTAGTCCAGATACGGACTTTTGTCTCGCCCCACTCACCCTTAAGGTCGGTCGGTACGTACTCGGTCAAGTTGAACCACTGAAACACGATTTCTCTCGTCGACGTCCCAATCCGCGTCCTGAACTCAGCTCTCCATTGCTGTCCTCCATTGAACCCATATTGCCAGGAGCCCTCAAACACAGCGATTGTTTCGCCCTCGCCTACAGCGAACGCTAGCTTGAGCGGCGGCTTGTAGCCATTCTGCGGACGTACTCGACTTCTGCTGCTCGGCGTGCTGCTCGGGCGCTCGGCGGCGGCGGCGGCGGCCCTCCCGCAGCAACGGAGGGCGGCAACGGAGACCGCTACCGCGCCGCCATTTGAACGTGACCTTTCGGGAGAAGCCGTACCTAGCCTATGGACTGCTTGCAAGGATGGCTACGTTCGGCGTTTCGGTGCGGACGGGCGGCATGTTTTCCATTGCAAAGAGAAAGAAAAAGAAAACGAACAAACAATACTGAGGATGTTTTGTCGTGACAGCCGAATACTGACGGAGCGTCGGAGACGAGGGGGCAGTATACAGATCGGTGAATTAATTTACCCGACACGTTCCCAATCTCGAAAAATCCGAAGTCTCGGCCAGGCCCCTTACCACTTACGTATTCTCGTTCATTTTGGGTCCTGAACTAGCTCAGGGATTAAAAATCACACCAAATTTTACGTGTACATACAGCCGAGATCGTGGGGTGAGGCAAAGAAGAAGAGTGGGGGTATCCCGCAGTGAGCAAACAATCGACCAGATATTCCCTCCTAGTTCAGAACCCAAACAAATAAAAATATCCGTAGGCGGTATTCTTTTGGCACTCATGCGGCGCGCATCGTCAGTCACGCGCTCACCGGGGTTCATTCACCACGACTCCAACGGCCATTCAGGGGCGTCAGCCTCAGCTTCACTAGCTCGTAAACTGCCCAGGCGCCTTCGCCTCCACCAATCTCGAAATAGGTTTAGCGCGGACTTGGACGAGGCGTATTTTCGATTAGTCAGTTCAGCTGGGTTCAGCATCGGTTTATCTAGAAACACTATCGACACCTGCATCGCCAACGTACGCAGCTAAGACTTACATATATTATACCTTGTTCAATCCTGCAATTCATCAGCTCCAAAGCTCAATTACATAAAAATTACCAGTGTGGTAGTATGATACAGTGGTGGTTAAAGTTACAAGATGTTGTTGTATGTATATACGCCTAAGAGGCAGCCGCCAGCCGCCAGACACTGCCCGAAGCAAAAATAAAGAAGACATTGTGATATTTTCCACGTCAGATAAACCACGCGCCAACCTCAGCTCCGCCTAACCGCACCGATCTTGCTAGTCAATAAAACCAAGATGCGCTAAAATATCTCATACCCCAAGAAAAAGCCCGAGACAAACGTGGCAGAGGTCGTCTAAACTCTCAACCTAGCCTAGAAAACGCCGTAGATGCAGAAAGAAAATAAAGAGAAAAAAGCCAAATATATATGAGCCAGCTAAAGGGAATGGATAAATGCAAGCACAACTGTGCAAATCGCTCCAAATGCTACCTTTCAAATAGGCCATATGATTAGCGCCGAACACAATCCGGCGAGAGTAGAGAATTATGGACATTCCCATCTTATATCCTTGCCATGTGAATGGAGAGATCTACACATGTAAACGCCGTGTTATTAAGATTGGTTTTGCGTTGGTATCGAGATCGTAGATGTGGGAAACGTGGCCGTAATTCGTGTTGCCGAGGCTGAGGAGTTGCTCGCGCTTTTTACCTCAAAACCTCTGGCTCGAATCAAGGGGCCCCATTACGCCGGCCCAGCTCGGATGCTGCCCGGGCAAACGAAGTCCAAAATTTGGGCTCGAGAACCGGTGAGAATACTTTGGAGCTCCCTAAGCTCGCTGTCGTATTCCAAGTCCCTCGACGCCCAGTGTCGGAATCTCGACATCGCTTAAGCCCAAAACGCCCTCGTCTCGTCGTCGATCCACAAAGCTGTTGCACTCGCTGACCACCATGCCCCACTCCGCCAGAGCACGACCCGCATACACGGCGCCTGACGTGTAGATTCCAGTAGGGCGAACGGCGCTAACAGAAGCCAACTGTGTGCGGCCAACGTCGCTGTCCATGTCAAAGGACCGGCCACGTTCGGATTCGTCACTGTCAATTCCTGACAGCCGAATCGGAGACTGAATGTCAAGTCTATCATCGTCATATGCCATCTTATCAACGACATGAACGGCCGTGACGTTCACTCCTAACGACAGGCGCTTGTCCACTCGTTTTTCCGTTTCCGTTTCCAGGGAAGCAGACAGAGGCCGCGCATTTCGCGCTTCGCTAACCAAGCCGGTCTGCGTGACTCCGCTGATTCGACGGGTGGGTGGCGGAAGGCCGGCTGAGATGGGAGGCGGGCTGTCGTTGCGAATGGCTGAGCCCCCGCCAATGCTGCCGTTGGCCAACAACGCGGCAGAACGAGCGCTGACCTTGGACTGTGCCGGCGCAGGGAGTCGCGGCCGAGTAATGATCCTATCCCGTGAAGGACTGCCGCCCCCGGGGCCGTTTTGGCCTTGCCATGTGAGAGCGAAGCGGAACACAAATGTTGCGGCATCAAAGACAGGGGCAGATCCGGTTGATGAGCCCGAGTCTGAGGACGGCGTGACGACAGATGGGGCTCCCTGTTTAGGTGGAGGTGGCGGACCCGAACGGGTAGTCGCCGCAGCTGCTCGCGACGCAGCTGTCTCCCGGCGGGCTTGTTCAAGCTCATCGTCCCAAGTGCGTTTCCCACCAATAGCGACATTGCCAAACCCCATGTTTGCCTGCGTTGCTGTTAATGAAAGAACCCTGCCCAACAGCGACCACTTTTTCTTGTAGACAGTTGAGATGCTTTCGGTTCGGGCGCTGGCTGTCGAGCTGTTACTGTTTGCTGAGACGGAGCCGCGAAAGTCTGATATCATGTCCGAGCCTGGGAACGAGCTGGAGAAAGAATCAAACCCCGGAAGCAGGGCGGGCTGCACTGGCGGGATCTCGGTGCGGATAATCAGGAACCGCTTGCCTGGCGTTGGATAACACGGGGCCGTCGACGGAGGCATCCGGTGTTCTTTCTCTGCGGTCTGCTGTAGCCAGAGAAAGTGGGACCACACAGTCTTGAGCCGCTGCGAGACAAGAATGAAGATTTTACTAATAAATATCGTCAGCTTCGTGAACAAAGGTCAAACGCGCCAAAAAGGGGGTTACATACGCGTCCAACTCGTTCGGGCTGCCCGAGTCCCTGCAGACACGCCAGCAAACTAACCGCATATAGTAGGCTCGAACCATGGGGCACCAGTGATTGAAGAACTTCTCAAACGCCTCCTCCGTCAGCAGCCAGCCAAAACAAATGGCCTCCTTGCGTAATGGGTCAGCGGTGATGGCGTCCCACACTGCGTAGAGGAATGAGATGATGCGGATTTCGGACATGGTGTTGTTCGAGTTCATTATCATTTTCCCAACGTCAAACCAGAAAGGCCAGTCGATGTAATCGAAAGACGGAGAAACAACCTCGTCAAAGGCTGGGAACGCTTCTTCAGAAGGGGACGTCGCGATGCTGCTATTCGCCGTGTTCTGAAACGCATCGAGCGTCACGAGCACCTCTTCGAGGAAGTCGCAGAGGATGAAGCAGGCGGCATGCTCATAGCGTGATGTTCGTTTTGTAGCGGCTTTTGCGGTAGCCAGGAAAGCTTCGGCAAATGTGTGCTTGATTCCGGCAGCGACGCCTATAGAGTTTTCCGACAGCATGTCCTTGAGCAGGATGATCATCCGATTCTCGTCCATGCCCTTGAGAAGATTGCTGGGGAGCGGAAGTCCCATCAAGGCCGTATCGGCCCCGTGGAGCCCGTCGGTAAGTGGAGGGCCGAGCATCGCCTCGATAGAAGCCTGTCGATGGATTGTGCTATCCAAAATCGAGAGGAGGTGGGCATGGAGCAAGACGAACGCGGGAGCGCGCGCCTTCTCGACCAGCGGAAGCCCCACAGGCATGAACTCGTCGGCGAGGATGTAGTAGTACTTGCAGAAGATGAAGAACAGATCAGTATCGCCGCCTCGCCACCTTGATATCCATGGGCCGTGCCATGGAATTCTAGCGGACAGCAGAGGCAGCTTAGCCGCCTGCCGCAGCTTGTCTCCCAGCGTCTTTCCTGACGTCCACCCCAGCTTGCCCAGGTGCGGAGGGAAGAGCGCCACTATGTCGTCGCTCTCTCCTTTGCTTCGCCGCGGTAGTCCAAATTCGTCAGCTACTCTTCGCATGACATCTCCGTTGACGGTCCACAGCCGGACGAGTACGTCGGCAATGCCTGGCACAAAGAAGAAGGCGTATGCGCACGCCTTGCCGCACCAGTTCACCAGACTCAGAGGCGCGTGACGCATCGACATCTTCTCCACAACCAGAGCCATCTGCGTCAACAGATTAGTAACGAACATGGTGCGAACGTTGTGCTCGGCCGACTCGGCCAGGAAATTGGCCGACGAGTCTGGGGCATCGTCGGTCGACTGGGTGCTGGATCTCGCTCGGACCCGTTCCACGGGCGATCGCTGCTCCAGGGGCTGGAAGTAGCTAGTGATGGCCCTCCATTCCGGGCGCATCATGATCATGGTGGTGGTTTCGAGTAGGGTCGGTCGGTCGACGCCGGCGACAGGCTGCAGACTGGTCGTCATCATTGGTTGTTGGCCTAATATTCCACCTCCACCCATGGCAGCGCCGTATAGGCTGACGCCGAGTCTGGATTGCCCAGCATCGAGCATCTCCAACAGGCCATTCCACCACTTATTCAAGATTGTTGCCCTGCGGTCGATGTCCTCGAGCGATAGGATGGTCCTGTTTGAGTTGGAGGGGTGGTGGGCGGTGCTGCGCAGGAAAGGCACAAGAGTCGATCGCACAACACCCATTCGCGCGGCAGTCGAGTTCCTGGCGGCGAACTTTGTGAATTCGACATCGAGAGTTCGGAAGGTGGCCCATAGCGGGTCTCGGGATGTTGGGTGCGGCATCGAAGCGCCCCTGTCGGCAGAGGACGGCGTAGCGTCGTCAGAGGCGGCGGTGGTTGCTGTCGTGTCTAGGGACGAAGTTTGAGACGACGAGTGCCGAGGAGAGTCGATGCTGCTGTGAGAACCATTACTTGCTGGGGCCGTCGAGGTTGTCAATTTGGTCACGATTGCGCGTGGTGGTGCGGGTGCGGGTGAAGGTGCAGCAGTAGTGCTAGCGGTAACGAGAGCGTTGTTCGTGGTGGCGCTCAAAGCTGATGGGGCAGTGCTGTTCAAATCGGCCGCCGAGACACAACTTCTGGCAGCCGAGGCTGACAACGGCGCGGGCGATGGGCCCTTGGAAAATACGCTCTGGGGTTTTTGCTTCATCCTTGTCAAGTAAATGCTGGCACGATTGAAGGCGCGGCTCTTGCTGCTCGGCGACTCGGTAGCAGCCAACCCGTCATCGCCTTCTGGTTTTGCTCCGCTCCGGTCCCCCGAGACAGTCTGAGACGCTGGGCCGCTTTGCGACTTGGATGCCCCGTTTCTCTCGCCTGTCATCCGATCAGAGCCCCGCTCCCTGTCGGCCTTGCTGGGCGGCGAAGGCGACCTCGACGTGGAAATCCAGGACCGCTTCGCGAAGTCGGCAAATGACTCGATTGTCCTCGACCGCTCCAGAGCCTTGGGCTCCAACGACGAGGTTTCGGGCGCATTGGCTACATAGTCTTTCGAGAGCCGCTTTGGGCGCGGGCTTTGGGACGCTCGTACGTTGGGGCTCGACTTGACACTTGGCAGCCACGAGCGGGGCCGGTCAATCATTGATCTGGTGCGGGTGACGGTCTCAGCCTGTGTCGCAGCGGCGACGGCCTCGGCCTTGATCTCGACGACCGTTTCTGTGGCAGGCGGGCGCCGCGGAGGGGCCTTTTCGGCGCCGAAGCCGCTCAGGGTCAGCTCAAAATCGTCTAGGTCGAACGAGGGCACATCGAAGGCGGGCAGGCTGGGCAGCGTCTTGAACTTGAGGCTGAAGGCGCGGGGCGACGAGTCGATGCTGCTGATGGCAGAGGGCGGGGATTTGGTCGATGCTGACAATAAATCCGGAGTAGACTGGGAGCGATGGAAGGACGAACTTGGCTGTCGGACGGCCGAGGCCATCGCAAGCGTTGACCCGCTCATCTCATGGCCAGGACTAGATCGACGGGGCACAGTCCGACCCGCCGCACCCAGTTGTCCGCCTCGTGTGAAGACGTGGTTCGCCAGACAGCCGAGTCGGCTCGCCGGAAACCAGTGCGTTGGGCTTCGGCGAACAGCCAAAAGTGTCAGCACAGCGTAACCAGAGCAGGGGTCAGGGCCTGTTCTAGATTGCTATGCCGCCTCTGCCGTCGGCTGGGGATTCGTTAGGCTCTGGCCTGCGACTGCGCTGATCCGTCTGTCCAAGGCAGGGCAGGGCACTCAAACCATTTTTTTTCTTCTTTGGATCGCGGCAGGTTCTTGTCGGGGGGTCGCAGATGTCGTAGGTAAACCAGTGGCAGAACCAAGAAGCAAGAAAAAAAAACTGGTGCGTTCAAATGCGGAGTGAGGAGGCAGGCAGCGGGGGGGGGGTCTAGTCTAGAATCGACCTGAGCTGAGCGGCGGCAGCGGACAGCGGGCTGCGGGCTGCGTTGCAGGACCACCCAGGGCAGATCAGGGCAGGCTCGGTTTCTAATATCCAGTGCTTTTCTTTTTTAATATCGAGCTCCGGTCGAGCTAAGCCTGACTCGCTGAGCGTTACCCCCCTTTGGTGGAGATTGCCGGCTCGGTCTTTCCAAGTCTGCGGTTTGACAGCAGGATGATGCAAGTCGAGCGAGCTCGCAGGGCAAGAGCCATAGCGGCAGCGGCCAGCGGTACAGCGGCCAGGCTGCCAACCCGCAGCGGCAGCAGCAATGGAAGGAGCACCTTCCTCAATATGCAATTGACGTCGTCGATCGTGCGCTGCTGGGTCCATTCCCCATCAGATCTCATTCCCTATTTGCCCTACGGATACCTTACACGGTGAGAGCTTGAGGGCCTGCGCACATCATGTTACGGAAGGATTACGATGGGTCCTGGGGAGACAGGGAGATGACCGGGGGGCGGCGTTCCTTCTTTGCACTGGGTGCATCTCACGCCTTTCTTGGCTCGCTGCGGTGTCTTGACGAGCATGGCAGCCACAGGAGGATGGACTGAGAGCACGAAAGGTTGTGGACAGCCACATGGGACGGGAATATTAACGTTGGTCTAGCATTGACAACTCGAGACGAACGTGTGGTGTCCAAACTCAACTTGAACTCAACTGCTACTCCGTACCTACGTACATATGTACAGTACCTGGATGGCGGCATCCTTATGTGCACTGTGTTAGACAGGCGGGGTGGTTCACGGCAACCCGACAAAGAAGAAACGGGCCAGGGCTCCTGGGCAGCTTAAAGCTTGATGACAAACCAGAAACACATTAGGCGAGACGGCGGTCATCCGCCGTCCATCTCAACATGATGAGCGAATTCGAGGCCCGGTCTGGAGGGCTGGGAGTCTCCTGGTGAGCAGCAGCAGGAGCAGCAGCGTGCGGTGTGCGCGAACCACCGAGCTCCTCTCGTCAGATCATGCCCAGTCGATGTGCCCCTTCCAATTCCGTATCAGACGCTGGACCGGCCGGATCTTGTGGCCAGCCGCGGACGGGCGCGCGTCAAAAACTGGTAGGGACCCGCCTGGTGAAGCAGCTGGAGCCGAAGCTGAGCTGAGCCGGCGTTGGTCTGTCCGGGGTATGCTTGCTTTCTTTTAGGATGCGGGTTTCGGAGAATGCGTCTGCTTAGGAAGTGAGAGTGGAAGGGGTTCGCGGCTTACAGTACTGTAAGGTCTGAACACCTCCTGACGCCAAGGCGCTGGCCAGCGGTGACGCGGACAAAGCTCGAGTCAAGCTCTGCATCACTCGCTCTACTCCAGTGTCTATCAAGGGACATGGACGCGGGATAGACGAACTGGTGAGTTTGGAGGAAGGACTGAGAATCACCAGAGTAACAAGAATTGTTTGGATGGCCCATCCCTGAATGTTGTCAACAGGACGTTACAAGCTCTGAAGGCTTCACGAAGGCCTCACTCTAGAGGGTTTTGTCCGAGGCGGGCAATGGCCATATAACCTAAGGTAGGTAGTTACCTACCTTAATCATTAGAGCCCTATACCCCAGCTTGCAATGCATAGCAAAGGGCTTTCAATACATTCGCAGACTAAAGGCCGAATTAAAAGCCGGCTTTCTTTAGTCTTTTTATCACGTCGAACCTGGTCTGATGCAGCGTGTTCCCACTCCACTGTTAGGCCCGGAAATGACGACAAATAAGGATTACCACAGAAAGGATGGGTCGAGGTGAACATCAAACAACCTTGGTGCTAGCCAACGGATCCAGCAGCACGGGCCCAAGATCGAAACCTCCATCGGAGGAAGCTTCCTGGCCAATTGAGAGGCGTGTTGTTGGGAGGGCTGGAAAGGGCAACAGAAAACGTCCCATTAACGATTAACGATTACCAGCAGCGACACGGCCAACAAAAGATGTGGCAGCCACGTGTGTACGGCTCGTCCAACCCGCCCGCCCGCCATCTTTTGCAAAAGTTAACAACGGCAGAGGTGATGCACGGAGTAACCCCAAGGGTTTCTCCCCGCCGTTCCGCAGTTTTCCAGGTTGTTTCCCAGGACGTTGGTAGAGGAAGATCTCGTCGGGTGTGAGGTAATCAAACGAGTTCAACCCCGCCCCCCACCGCCAACGGAACCTAGCGACGTCATCTAGGCCAAGCACTCCCGCTCGTCGAATCTTTTCTGTAGGCAGCAAGTCATCGATGGACGGGCGTCGGGGTTCAAGAAGAAGCCGTCCGCCGCCGCCGCCGCCCGCGCCACCGCCCGAGCCCAGCTGAGAAGTGGCTGCGCGATGCGCTGGCCGGCATTCATTCCCAGCACGTAACTAAATTCTCGCAGCGAGTCGCTGGGCCCAGCTTGCGCTTTGCAGCCAAGGCCCCCTTTCACCTAGGCCAACGACGTCTTGGGGAACGGGCAGGTCCAAAACATGACAGCCCGAGTGCAGCGGGCCCCTTTAGCAGATGATGCCTCATTGGGGATATGGCGCGTGTTCCAAATGCGTTCCCTGTCCCGACTTGGCCTCGTGAAACGCGAGCTTGGGGCCTCACTATGAGGGGGTACATACAGCACGCTAAAAATAAATTTGACAAACTCGATTCAGTGGACGAACTTGCACCGAGAGAAGATCAAGATCAAACCAGATGCAATTAAATAAAAAAGGATGAAGGAGCGGAGAGGACTCGACGGCAGACAAACGTCGGAAACCATCAAATCACTGTGCACCCGAATGCGGGAGCGCCTGCATTAGTTTTGCATGGCCCACCGCACACGACAACCTGGACACGACACCTCAATGGCTGCCCGTCCTCACCGGCTTCATTGAGCTCGTGTGCTGTCTGCATGGAGGGTCCCCCCCTTTCCAACACGAGCGGTTTTTACTCTGTACATACGTGAGGGGAGAGGGAGGGATGCAGCCAGCCTCTCTAACTGTCGCTGAGGCCGGGACATGGCCGCGGTACGATTGACGGGACGGGACACTGTAGATCGGTGGGCGTGGTATGCCGACCAGGTTGCTGCTGCAGCGGTGTCCGCCGTAAGCCCCCTTAGAGCATGCGTGGCCATGTCCCTGTGGCGGCGAGAGTGCTCTCGGAGCAAGCATCTACCATCGACAACGTCGTCTGCAGAGTGCAGACACAACCTCGGGGGTCCGGGCAGACGAGAGGGGGACGCCCTGCCGCTATCTGTGGCCTATCCCAGACAGACTCACTTACCTATCTCTCCGTGGCGTGCACCAGTCGCGACAGCACAAAAAAAAGGGCAGCATGTATATCTCAGATGCGGACGCCTCCTGTGCTGCCGTGTCGTGTCAGGATGCAGCGGCTTATTACTATCGACGCCAGCCTCGTCGTCTACGTGCCGCGCTCAACAATGCGTAATGTTCTCTGTGTGCGTACTGCCATGTCGTCTGAACAAGGCAAAAACGAAAAAAATCAAGCGCCGCTGCTGACTGACAGACGGGCTCGTCTGAACCAACAAGACTAGAATACGCAGTAGACCCTGGCGCCGTCGATGCGTTGACGCGCTGCCTTGTGGAGTTGAAGTACTGTAAGCGCCACTAGGGACGTGCCGAAAAGGGGGAAAGGGGGCGCTGCCAAGACGTGTGGTGCAGTGCAGAACATCGCCGGCTCGGGACGGTAGAGTCAACAAATCGTCGTCCTGGATGCACTGGAGCATTAGCCATGCCGGCAATAGAAATATCAGAGGTACGTCTGCGTAACTAAAGATGCACATTCTGACAGGTATATTTATATATTTGTTTTGTTTTATTGCGTCTACTCTTGGAGCGATTTCCACAGTTAGATCTATCACCGAAGTGAAATGCATATATACATCACTCTTCATACATAAAAATGAACACAATTAAGCATTATGTTTGGATGTCTATATACAATCTTGAAAAATATGCCCTGCGAGCAACGCAACAAACAAACATCAGGTCCTCAAAAGCCAAAAGCTAGGGGTCAAGCTCCGCAGCACATGAACCAGTGGAGACCGCCCTCTTGCACCAAACAAGCAAGACAAAAAAAGTCACTTTGGCGGAGTCGTGTCTTCGGACGCACAGGTGCGAATCCTGTAGGTGACGGATCAGCTTTTCTTTTTTTGAGTCCATCTCTCCCTCTTTGCTCCTGTGTCTGTCTCTTTGTGTGTGTGCTTGTTTTTGCATGTCTGGCATTTTGAGACTTGATAACTCAGAGTTGATAATATTGTCATATCCTTACTTTTATCGACGACTTGGCAGAAATAGGAGATAGTCTTTTATTCAACAAGAAAACGGGCACATGCAACTTAGACGACGTGGCAGACCAAGAAAATTCAAGTGCGCGTTACTGTCAATTCTATCCATAGTAACCCCAGGTCTGCCTCGTTTTCAAGTATTCCTCCCGAACCACCCTGTCATCTCACATTACCATGCCACCAAACCCTATTCCAACACCCTCCCAAACCAACCCCTATTCCACCTCCCCCCAAAGACACAAGACAGAAGATAGAAGAGAGAGAACCCAATCCAAGCAACAAAGACAAAAACACGACAACCCCCTAGCCAAAAACATCGCTAACATACCTATCCTCCTTCTGCCGCTGCAGCCACACCTCAGCCTGCGCGCGCGTCTGGTCCGGGTGCGCCTCCTGGTAGATCTTGAGACACGTCTCGGCCGTCGTGCGGCCGAGCCTCGCCGCACTACCACAAACAAGGATGCGCGCATCCGCATGATCACGGAACAGCGGCCTCAACACATCGCGGTCGCGCCACAGCAGCTCGTCGACGTGGCCGTGCGCGTACTGCTGGCCCTCATCATCACCATCAGATCCTAGGGAAAGAGGGGGAGGGTTCCTCGAAAACGCCACGCGGACCTTGACGACGCCCTGCGCCTGCCACGCGGCGAGCTCGTCGGCATACAAGAAATCCGACGCATGGTCGCGGCAGCCGTAATACAGAAACGCGGGGCCGAGGACAGCCCGCGCGCCGCCGGGGCGCGCGGCCGCGATGGCCGCGCGGTCCTGGATGAAGGCGCGCATCGGCGCGATGCCCGTGCCGGCGGCCACCATGATCACCGGCGCCGTCGGGTCCGCCGGCAGCCGGAACTTGGCCGCCGCGTTGGTGCCGCGTACGAAGCAGCGCAGGCGGGATCCTGGGAGTAAGGAGGCGAGGTAGCTGGATGCGACGCCGCGGAAGTGGACCGATGGGTGGCTGAGGGACGGGCCGGAGTAGACGTCGTACGTCAGTGTCGCGGTCAGGCTGGCTTTGTCCTGAGGGGATGTGGTGGTGGAGGAGAAAGTGGTCGAGGCGGCGGGCACGGCCTGCTGCGCCAGCGGCGACGACGAGATGGAGTACTGCCGCGGCGCCAGTGGCGAGAGCATGTCGAGGTAGCTAGCGAAGGAGAGGGCGCAAGACGGGAAGTCCTCGAGCAGGTCGATGGTGGAGAAGCGCTTGCCGAGCACTTCCTTGCTGTAGAGCGCGTCGTCCGAGGCCAGCGCGCCGAGGCGCTCTACGTCGGCGCCCTGCGACAGGCTGGCGAGTGTGGCGACCTGCCGCTGCGACGCCGGCGTAGCCAGCTCGACGCGCGTGCTGATCAGCTCGTACACGGATACGGGGCTGTTGGCGGGTGACTGTTTACATCGCAAGGTTAGTTGACATTGAGTGGGTGGGTGCTTTGGCGGTCGTGGGAAGCGTACCTTGAGGTGCTCCTTGGTGGTGCCTGTCACCGTGGCCAGGTCGTCGGGGTGCAGCCCGAACCGGTTCAGCACCCGGGCGACCGACTCTCGCGGGTTGAAGGGCTGGACGGCGAGGTAGTCGCCTGCAACAATGAGTCAGCGTCCATGCAGCCAGCTCAGGGGAAAGGGGTAACTTAGGGGTAAAGGAGGACAAGGACTCACCACTCCGATACTCAACCCCCGGCGGCAGCAGCACGTTTATCTGGCGCTTCTCGGGGCCGGCGCCCTGCTCAGCGAGGACCTTATTCACCAGCACGAGGCCCTCCGAAACAGGCTCGCCCGCGAGCTTCGACGGCGTATCAGGGTGCGAGATATCCACACGCATCTCGTCCGTCTTAACCGCAGCCGTGACACCCCCAACCTCGCGCAGCCGCGCAAAGAGACCGGCCTTCCACTCCTCAAACGGCCCGACAATATCACGACCAACATCAACAAACCCGGCCGGAAATAGGCGTGTAGCGCCCAGCTGCTCGAGCAGCCCGTCGATGAGCCGCGGCACGCGGTGGAACGTGGCAGCCCAGTCGCGGTTCCCCGCGCCGAAGACGGTGTACTCGACGCCGTTTAATAGAGTCGAATTGCCGGGTGCAGCGGCGCGGGCCTCGAGCCACGCGACAAAGTTGCGCGCGTTGTCTGCGGGCAGGCCCTCGAACGACGACGCGATGATGACGACGGGCCGGTCGCGCGGCAGGTTCTCGACGGCGTCGTCCAGGCTCTGCACCTGCAGTGGCACCGCCAGCCCGTAGTTGGGCGCCGCCGTCTCCAGGTCCTCGCCGAACGATTTGCACGTCCCCGTGTTGCCGCCGTAGTAGATGGCCATGGGCTTGCCGCTGCTGTTGTTGGTGTCGGGCTTGTCGGTGGCTGGCTGGGGTGTTGGGGGGGCCGGCCCACTGGTGAAGGTGAACAGGTGATCTTTGCCGGGGCGGCGGCGCGCCTTGATGAAGAAGCCGTCCGGCTTGATGGTCAGTGTCGGCTTGACCTCTGCGGAGGCACACAAAATGTCGTCAGTATCTACGCAATCTTGTCCGTCCCTCTTGCTTTCAGGGGGCCTGGTTTGTGGGCAACTTACTCAGCTGGTAGTCGGGATCGGCCGCCTCAATGACAAAGCGCTGCAGGATCAGGGCCACGGCCATGGTGATTTCCTGCTCGGCCAGGTAGCGGCCGATGCAGGACCGAACGCCAGTGCCGAAGGGCCGCCAGGCGTTGGGGGGCAGGCGCTCGAAGCCGCCGTCGAGGAAGCGCTCGGGCTTGAACTCGTCGACGTCGTCGCCCCAGACGGCCGGGTCGTGGTGCAGGCCCTTGAGGTTGACGATGATGGCGTCGCTAGGGCCGACCTTGTACTTGCCGCCCAGCAGCACCGTCTTGCCGCCCTTGGCGTGGCGAGTGAGGGCTGGGATCGGCCCCAGGTACCGCAGCGTCTCTCGGATCGACGCCTCGATGTACTCGAGCTTGGGCACGTCATCAAGCTCGAGCGGCCGGTCGCCCAGCACGGCGTCGACCTCGGCGTAGCACTTCTGCAGCGCTTTAGGGTGGTGCAGCAGGTTGTACCACAGAAAGTTCAGCGTGCCTGCCGATGTGTCGTGGCCGGCGACCTGAGAATCAACACGTGGTCAGTAGAATATCAGGCCATCTGTATCTGCCTCGAGGGGCTCACCAGGAAGGTCGCCATCTGGTAGCGAATGTTCTCGTCGGTAAAGCCCTTGCCGGTGACGGGGTCTTTGGCGTGGAGCATGACGTTGAGGATGTCGTTGACGTCTGGGCGGGGATTCGCCTTACGCTCGGCCACGATGTCGTCGCACACCTTCCACATGGCGTGGATGTTGTCCATCATGTGGTTCTTGCTCTGGAAGCGCAGCTGGTTCTCGATGGACAGGCGGCTCGACCGCTTGCCGGCCTCGACGAGCGTCTCGGCCATCTGCTTGGCGAACAGCGGGATGTCGTCGCCGTAGAAGGCGTTGAAGCGGAAGTTGAATGCACAGAGACCGATCACGTCGAACGCGAGCCTAGAATCATGTTAGACGCTGTCTCGGCCTCTTTTTCTTGTCTGGAGCTCACCGGGTGAATTCGTCGGTGCAGTTTATGCGGTTGTCAGGGCCGAAGCGATCCCAGCGGAAGACCATCTGGGACAGTATGTCCATCATCTGCGAGAACATCTGCCGCACGTGGATGGGCCCAAAGACGGGCAGCAGCGTCCGGTGCGCAATGCCCCATTCCTGCGTTCACGCGTGTCAGCGCTGGCTGTCATCAAGCGGACACAGTTTGGGCTTGTAAGGGGTGTACCTCTTCGTCGCCATAGGAAGTAAACAGGCCTGTTCAAGGGTAGGCGTTGGCATGCCAGTGTTATGTCGGTCAGGGGGCAACGACATACCATTCTTGACAAAAACGCGGACGCTCTCCTGCGGACCGCTGACAAACTTTTCGAAGCGAGAGTCGTCGCAGACCTCGTTGATGAGCTCGAAGTTGGATACAATGACTACTTTGCGCGAGACGAGATTGAGGGAGAAGATGGGGCCGTAGATTTCGGCGAGGCGCCAGAAGGAGCTGACGGCAAAGGACGGGTCTAGCTCCTGGATGTTGCCGACGAGCCATTTCTCGGGCGGGTGCGGGATGGGCTCACCCTCGCCCGCGTCGGCGTCGGCGTCGGCGTCGGCATCGGCCTTTGGGGGGTGTTCCCCTTGGGGCTTGGCAGGAGGGGACGAGGGGTGGTGGAATGGGCAAGACATGCTGGGCTGGAGGCCTATCAATGCCCCCGCTATCGAAGCTTGAGAGCAATGGATGTAAGTCACTGTTGACTGTCGACTGTCGGCTCTCGACTGCTCATGGCTGGATGGCTTGGCTATGAGTCGACAAGTCCGGAGGGCATCTCGGATATTTTATACTCGGACTGGCTGGCATGCGACGAAAAGTGTCAGACTGGCTGCAGTGCCTGTCTACCCGTCTCTGTCCAACCAAGAAGCCCGGCGAGGACATGACCGAGCCGAGGCTGTCGTCGTGTGTCAACATGACGCGGTATAGCTAACAAAGTAGTATAACCACCCCGGGGAGGTAATAGGTAGTATAGGCGCGGTGCGCGCGGTAGCTCCGTCTCCGTCCATGCCTTGGTTCGCTGGGGAGGAAGCAAAAAAAAAATGATGACGACGTCAATCTCAACACGTATCATTATCGCAGCAGAGCAGCGGCATTATCGCCAATGCAACACAGGGCCTTAGTAACGACTGCTTCTTTTCTGCGCCAGACGTTGCACGACTTTTCAGCATTCGCGGCGTGTTCTGTGCCAAGTCGGTATGCAGGGTCATCAGACACTGCGACAGCCTCACACAATATGCCGCCCGCAATATGCAAAATATGGGGCCTGCCGGTCCGAACGTGGGTCGACCTCGGCAGGCCATGCCGCCGCCGCCGCTGCACGCCGAGCCTGGATCCATTCGAGTCTAGGTCCGTACAGCCTGCAATGCAGCATGCAGCCTGCTTCCCGTTGCTGAGAGCCTTAGTAACGCCCGCGGCATGACAAACCCGACTTAAACCTTCCCGACTGAATATAGTAGCAGCAGCAGCAGCAACTCGGCAAGCCAGCCCGTATGCGGGACCGGCGTCCTATACGGCTGCTGCAGCGGTGGAACGTCCGAGCCCCAAACACCCGCCTGACGCAGCACGACAGTGAGGCCCGACTCGACTGCAGCGACCAAGAAGGAAATAGATAAGACGTGACGACGAAAGCGCCCAGAAATGCAACGTGTTCTGGTTATCTACCGATATCCCCAAAGAGAATCCCGGCAGGGACGTCGTCGCTGCATCTCGGTTGTTCAATCTCTGAGAACCCGAGGCTGGAATAGAGGCATTCATGAAGTCGAAATTGACAAGCCCGTTTCACTTTTCAGCGCCGACGTTTTAGCGGTTCTCGCGCTAGAACAGCGTGCTTTCCCTCCACAGGCTTGGCTGGTGTTTTTCTGCCGCACGGGCGGGGAACGGAGCCAGAGCATGTCACTGCCCCCCTGTGATTGGCTCCCCGGGGAGAGGCGTCTTCCCCTGAAAAGAGAGCGATCAAGTTGGGATAGATGGAGATATTGTATCTTTAGCAACTCTAGACTTTTACGTTGACATTATCATTGCTTGGGTCTCTAGTTTATGCCTTGTTCTTTTTTCGTGACATCAAACCGACACCTGCTTGCTGCCCCTGCCATCCAGCCGCCCCCCCTTTTCAAAAGCTGTAAAGTGTAAACAAATGGCGTCTCTCGGCGAGCCCCAGCAACAACCCAAGAGTCAAGATGTCCAAAACAGCGACAACAAGCTAGCCGGCACAGAACCAGCAGCAAACGGCGATGTCGAAAGCCAGATGAAACAGGAGCCCGTTTCCGTCCAAGTGCTGCCCGACGGCGACGGCGGCGGCGGCAGGCTGTCGGCGTTCCACGCGCTGGCCTTCCTCGACCGCTTCCTCGCCGTGTGGATCTTTCTGGCCATGCTGCTCGGGATCCTGCTGGGCAACTTTGTCAAGGACGTCGGCCCGGCGCTGCAGAAGGGCACCTTTGTCGGCGTCTCGCTGCCCATCGGTGCGGCTCACTCTTTTCATCTCCTACCAACTAACCAGCTAATCGCTCTCAGCCATCGGCCTGCTCGTCATGATGTACCCCATCCTGTGCAAGGTCCAGTACGAGACGCTGCACCGCGTCTTCCGCGAGCGCCAGATCTGGGTGCAGCTCGGCTTCAGCGTGCTTGCTAATTGGATCGTCGCCCCGCTGGTTATGGTGCGCGCGCCCGAGGAACCCCTTTTTTCCATTTCCCTTCCCCTTCCCATTTTCACAGATAAGCGTAAAAGAAGAAGCTACCACTAACACCCCCCAGCTCGCTCTATCATGGGCCTTCCTACCCGACAAGCCCGAGCTGCGGCAGGGACTCATCCTCGTCGGCGTCGCGCGGTGCATCGCAATGGTGCTGATCTGGAACAACCTAGTCCGTTCCCCCTTTTCCTCTTCTCCTGCCCAAAACACACCCCTGACACACAAAAAACAGGCAGGGGGCAACGGTGATTACTGCGCGATCCTGGTAGCCGTCAACTCGCTGCTGCAGATGGTCCTCTTCGCGCCCGTGTCGCTGCTATTCCTGCGCGTCTTCAGCCCGCCCTCCTCCTCCTCCTCCTCCTCTTCCTCCATCAACATATCCTACTCAACCGTGGCTACCAGCGTCGCCGTATTCCTCGGCATCCCGCTCGGTGCCGCCATGCTCACCCGCCTCGTCCTCCTCCGCGTCCTCGGCCGGCAGCGGTACGAATCCGTGTTCCTGCGCGCGGCGGCGCCGTGGTCGCTCATAGGCCTGCTGTTCACCATCACGGTGCTGTTCGCGAGCCAGGGCGCACGGGTCGCCGCGCAGGCCGTCGGCGTGGTGCGCGTGGCGGCGCCGCTGGTCGTGTATTTCAGTGTCGTGTTTGTGGCGACGCTTGCCGGGGCGCGCCGCGTGGGGTTTCGTTACCCGTTTGCGGTCACACAGGGGTTTACCGCCGCGAGCAATAATTTCGAGCTGGCGATTGCGGTGGCGGTCGCGGCGTTTGGGCCGAACTCGGACCAGGCGCTGGCTGCGACGGTCGGGCCGCTGGTGGAGGTGCCTGTATTGTTGGCGCTGGTTTATCTTGTCAAGTGGTATGCGCGCAGGAGCGGGTGGAAGGACTGATGGGTGTGCGGTGAGAGTTGGGATGTGTGGTGGGATGGGATGTGTGGTGGGATGGGATGTGTGGTGGGATGGGATGTGTATTTTGTAATGCGGAGAGTGAAATTTAAGTGGCTTCTCATAAACGGTAATCAAGTGAGTTCAGATCCGGAGAATGGTCAAAGACACAAGATACAGACTTTATTAATTTCAGCAAAAGCGTTCCGGATGTGATGGGAAGCTAAATTAGACCCTAAACCCTAGATAAATCGTTTCATCCTCTCCCCTAAAGAACATAAAAGTCGTCTTGCATAACCTATTACTTGCTAGGAAAAAATCAATCCTAAATCACAACGTTGCATTACGCAGGTCCCGTCTCGGCTATAGCCATTTTTGAAGAAACTCATCGAGGCCAACCGCCAGCTTCGCCCCGGAAGAAGCTTAGAGACCGATCTTGCCGAGAAGACCGGTCAGTCCACCGGGAAGGATGCTGCCGGCGGCGCTCAGTAGGGGCCTAAGAAGGTTGGGCACGATGCTGGTGACGCCGGCAATGCTTTTGAGGACCCCCTGGAGCCCAGGGGCGCCAGTGCCGGTGCCGGTGAGGGCGCCCAGGACACCGCCGAGGGTGCCGCCGACGCCGCTGTTGCCGAGGAGGCCGCCGAGAAGACCACCGGGCGCCAGGAGACTCTCCACCACCTGGACAAGAGCCTGCAGCACCGTCGAGACGCTGTCAATCAGAGGGCTGAGACCGAGAGCGTCGCTGTTGCCCAGCACGCTGGTGATGTCGGGGTGCGAGACAACGCTGACGAGGGTCTGGTGGAACTGCTCCAGGGGGCCGGCCACGTTGGCAAGTAGAGTGTTGACATCGTTGCCAGAGTCCTTTACAATTTGCTCTGTGTCTCCCCGTTAGCTCTCCATCCTGTTAGAAGGGCTGGGTTCTTCTTACCAATCTGGTTGGCCATGTTTTGAACAGTGGCGGCCAAGCTGGGGAGGTCCTGCATGTTGGAAGCGTCCCGGCGCATGTGCATGTCTTGGGAAGAAATCTCCTGGCCCGCCATGTTCTGGTCTGCCATATCCTGGGCAATGGAGGCGGCCATGTCCCGCGAGACCTTCTGGGCTTCTGCAGCAACACCGTCGCCTCCAGACGATCCCTGGTCGGGAATGGCTAGCCCGGGGATGGTGATGGGTGGGAACCCGGGGATCTGGATGGTTCCCGTGCCGGGGATGTAGATGGGGCCCAGGCTCGGGATGGTAATAGAGGGCGAGCTCGGGACGGTGATCGCCGGGGTTGTGACTGTTGGGCGAGGGATCGAGATGGTCAGGGCCGGGGGGAGGATGTTCGGGAGCGGGATGATGAGAGGCCACCACCAGTCGGCGTCGTCCTTGCCGTCCTGGCCATTCTGCGTGGCCTGGCCGTTCTGCTTGTCCTGGGCGTCCTGGCCTTGCATGCCGTCCTGCATCGGCACCGCGAGGGCGCCGCCGATCAGGCACAGCTGGAGGAGGGTGGGAGTAACAGTCTTCATGTTGAAGAATGGCTTAGGTGACTTTGGTAAAACAAGACAAGTTGGCTGCGTTCGAGTGGGCTCTAAAGTGGCCGTGGCTTGTTTGGATGATGCCTATAAACTTGCCGTTGACGACTGGATCCTGCTATCTTATAGCCGTGTCAAGATCCGGTCCAAGTGATTCGACATCTCCATGTTTCTTCGCCTCGACTAACCTCGATCGCAGGCTTCCAAGGCTCGGTGTCATTCTCGGCGCTATTCAGTATCGAGATGCGAAGAGACGAGATTGAGATTGTCCAACTCAGTTCCCGTCCAGTGTCTTGTTGTCTTCAGTGAGGCATGCCCCTGAATCACCAAAGCGCTGCAAGACAGCAGACGGTAGACATATTCTATAAAGCCTTGGTTGTATAGGAATGTCGAAACGCAAAGAGGCTCCAAGTCGTGAAGTTGGACCAAGAATGCGGCAATATAAAAGGGGCAACTAGCCTCCACGTAAACGAGACATCTGCATTCCCAAACAGCTGCGACTCAAAGTTTCAATTGCGATGACAAGACGTCATTGAGAATGAATAGTGAGACTGGGCTTGTGTCTTGGTCGTGATCTTTAGAAGCCAATTGAATGGATAGGCGCAAACGAAACAGGGGGCAAGCATGCTTGCCATTCGAGGGAAATTTGGGCCTAGGCAGCATGAATGGTCAAATGATATTCACAGAAGGCACCTGCTTCTGCCTTCATAGAGTTTTGTAGAGAGAAGACGAGGAAGGCGTGTTTGAGTACGCACGTGCCTGTGTTCTTGCCGTGGTCGCCTGGCAAAGGTCAGCCACAAGACTCGGAACGAGTTGGGCTTTCCCGTTCTCCGACTAGGCACGACCCTATCTCAGGCACACACCAATGGGCACATTCCTCAACTTCAATACTCCCTCCCCTTGTCAGATCCGCCTGTGAAACAGGCTCCGCCGTGTCGGGAGAGCGAGTAGGCCGTCGGCGACAGAGACGCCATGCCCCGCCACATGTCGCGGTCACGGTCACGGTCACGGTCACGGTCAAGGCCAAGGCCGTCCAGGACGGCAGACATGGGCAACGACGACAGACTGTCGTCAGCGCCGCGGAGCCCACCGCCCCAGACATCGGCCACTACCAGCGTGACGCCCGACAGCGTAGAGTCGCCCGGCCTCGACCTCCAAGAACTGGAGCCGATCCCCATGACTCCCAGCCCGCGATGGAACGTCGGGGCCCGCCGCCACAGCAGCAGCGCCGCCATCGCAGGGCCGTCCACCGTCTCTCACACCTCGCCGCCTGCAATAGCTCCCCACCGCCACGTCTTTGGCCCCGCGGCCGAGGCATACGGCGGTGGAGGCTCACAATACGTCGACGGGCGATATAACTCGCCCCCATCGCAGACGATATCGCCCACCAACGTGCAGGGGCACGGGTACGAGCAGAGCGCCGGGCGGAAAAGCGCTCACCATGTCGTGTTCCTAGCGCAGGACAGCCCACGCGCGGGGCCGGTTCCAGAGAAGAAGCTCGACAAAGCGGCGCGCGAAATCAAGACCAGGCCGAGACAAGCCAGGGAACCGAAGCTGAAAGGGGAGCTTTCTTGCATGTTCTGCATGGCCGGGACCTGGGCGCTTGTTTTCTTGCTCTTTTGTTTATTCTACATGTGAGCCCTCACCCCGTTGCTCTTTGGTTTGCCTGTGAATCATAATGACCAAATGTGGTGCAGTTCCGGGGCTTGCGTGGGCTAGTGGAGCACGATCGACCAGCCAATCTGGAACATGAGCCACCCGTGCTGGGGGCGTCAGGGTAGATGATGGGGGTATCCGTACGGGTCGAGGATGAAGTCAGTTGCGGGAGGCGGTGGGCTTTGGTAGGGGTAGGAGTTTAGGGGGGATCATGTAGCCCAATACCAACAGATCAGGCTGGAAGCCCACGTCTGAGCTTGTAACAGAACAGCAGCTTGAACACGGCAGGCGATGGAGGGAGGAGAGAAACAGAGATTTAAATGTACTGTAGCCTGTGGCCCAGAATACCTCGTCTAGCTTCCGGTAGTATCAACCTAAAATCCACCGCTCTCTCCTCTCCAAGAAAAGCAAAAAGTCAATCAAGCTGGACACCTAGCTCTCTCCTCGCGGCGCAAGAGCAGTGCAGCTGAAGCGCAGATCCTTGCTGCCCGCGTCCTGGTCCAGCTTGATGATGCGCTTCAGGCCGAGCTCGAGGGCCCTCGGGCTCAAGACGTCCTCGTCCTCGGCGAGCTGGCCGCGGTCTATGGGGCCTCTCCTGGACCCCTCCAGCTCCCACAGGTGGCCGTCGTCGCCCTTGACAAAGGCGATAAAGTGCTGGCCGGTGTGCACGCCGTTAACACCGACTGGCGGCGCCACCGTGTCGCCCATTGCGGCCACCGAAGCGTGGGCGTCCTCGAAGGGCTGGCTGTCGTAGAGCATCTGGGCGCGGTCGTCCATGGCCAGCGGCAGCGCGTCGGTGCGGATCTTGTCGAGGGCGCTGCTGGGGACGATGAACTGCGCGGCTGCCCCGTTGATGGCGCAGTGCAGCATGCCAATGGACCCGCAAGCCTCGCCGATCGTCTGCTTGAACCAAATGACTGGCGGTGGCTGCTTGTGCTCGCTGCCGCTGCCGTCGCCCTCCTTGTCGTAGTAGTAGCTATAGTCGGCCACGTCCTCGCGCTCGCGCTCCTGGTTCCACGCGTCGGTCAGGGGCACGATGACGAGCAGTGCGTGAGCCGGCCGTGGAATGTGGGCGAGCAGAGACGGCTCGTCCAGCGACCACACGTCGTAGAAGGCAAGGTCCGGCGACAGCCCTAGCTTGGCGGCAAGGGCGTTCATGACCTCGGGGTTGTTTTCTATGCTCGGAATCAGTTTACGGGTCAATCAAGCCTGGGTGGGCAAGGTAGGTTATGTGCGTACCGAGAATTACGAATATCTTTTTCGTCGTCATTGTGACGGCTGCGCTGGACGGCGTGTGGCGGACGTTGATGATATGCCGTCAGCAATGATTAGATCTGTGCCTGTTCGGACAGTATTTGTTTGTCTTGTTGACGTTGAGTGGGATTTGCGCCTTCAAGCTGTCTTGCATCGTCAAGCTAGACCTTAGGCCACGGCAAACAACCTAAGAAACATGCGTATATTTCTGGCTGCCTAGACGCAGTTACCCCTTGTCAAGAAGCCCCAACACGTATGCCAATTGGAGTGGGCAGCTCGGACTGAAAGGCCCAGGGCATGGTGTGTAACCAGCACCTGCCTTGAGCTCGCCATTGGAAAACAGCCGATGCGCACTTGCGCTTCGGGGATTTAGGGGACTTTGAGGATGGCTTGTAAGGGCACACAAGTTGATCTGCTTTCTTTCGGAGGCAAGAGTGTTTTCAATCAACGGAAAGAGCATGAACACTGGGAATCGACTGTTAAAAGGGTAGTAGGAGAAATTTTGATTCTCACACCAATGAATTGGCTTCACAGCTACTAGTAGCAACAGAGTGGCACGAAAAGTGAAAAGGACGTAACGGGGCAGAGAGCATCTTCCCAAAAATAATCAGCCTGACTTGGTTCGTGAGCTTTTCCCAAGTCATGGACAATTCCGAGTCGTTCTTGGCGCCCCCCGCCAACACCAAGGTCTCCACCCCCGCATTTTGCTGAGTGTAACCCTAGGCCCACTTGGGGGCATGGCACTTTACGTTGATGGCGAGAGTTCAACCCGTCGTCATGACATGACTTGGGACGTTGGCGTCCATCGACGCGGCTTGATAAGTAGAAGTAAGAATCGGGCTTGTGGTTGGCTGCTACCCAGCTACCCAGCTATTGATCGTCATATAGTAACAATTGGCAACTCAGGTAGGCCCTAACAAAAAAGGGGCGGATTACTACCTCTGCACTCTCCACGCTTCATGATCGAAACGACTACGCCCACATCATCATCATCCTCACTTTCAACGGCCGCGATCAAGCATGTCATCAAAGTCTGGCAACCATCTAACCATCCAACCATCGAAACGAAGGCGTCACGGACAAAGAACGGCCCAAGCATCCCCAGATCGTCTCGGCCAAAGCCCGCCCTAATGATCACCACCCCTCCTGCCTAGCAAACCCCCTCAAACGGCGGTTATCATTGACGGAACTAGCGGAGCGCATGTAAAAGTGTACACGACCGGGACACCCCTCACTCCCTGATCGATCCTCGACATATCCAGTCATGTGCTCGAGATCTCCAAAGTCAGTCAGACCACCCAACGCCGACCGGCTTTCTCTGCGGGGTCGAGGATCCCAACCAACTTCGTACCTCAAGCAACCCTGCCACCCATCTTGTGCAAATCCAATGGTCGACACCTACATCTAAGAGCAGATGCAGCCAGTAGTAGCCGGAGCAGACGGACAGAGGTGACACAGCATGGAATATTCCCAGTAAAGCAGATAAGTAAGAAATAAGAATAGAAATAAGCTGTCAAACATGGACGTTTGGAGGAGGGCCCCGCGCTCATTCTCGTTGGTGAAGTCATTATGACCGAGCTGTCGAGCTCAATCGCAGTAATGCCCCTCTCTCACAGCCCACCTTTCTACTAGGAAGGTACATACAATACCTATACTATATGAAGCTCGTATCTCGCTCACCTTACCCTTTCCTTGGCCCCATAAGGTAGATAACTTAGTTTAGCTTGCCCTAAGTAGGTGGTAGCTTCCAGGGAGGAGAATGGAAAGAGACAGAGAGAGAGAGAGACGGGGCGAGTGGCGAGGATCCATTGACCGGGTGGACCTCGATGACAGCGAGGCCATGGTGGAAGAGCACCACCACCAGCACCAGCACCACAGCTTCCGCACAGCCAGCCAGCCGTCTTTGTCTTTTAAAGCGAGCCCCGCTCCCCATCGTCCACCTCCTCTTTCCACTCTTTCCTTCCTCTTTTCTATATATCTGGATACCTGGCTTCACATCCGTCCAGAGAAGAACAAATCAAAACAAATCAAAGAACCCCCCATTTCCGGCCTCCGTGCAACCTAGAGAGAGAGTGAACATAACATCCCATCGCGCCCAAGCCGACGACCGAACATTCCCCATCGTCGTTGACAGCTCCAAAACCAAGAGAATCACTTGACCAATCTACACACCTACCTTGCAACTCGTGCCCACCCATCACCGAAAAAAGTGGTAATGGACTCTGGCAACATCACGGTTCCCCCCTTCCGGAACGAGCGGTCCGACTCGACTTCATCGAGCTCTTCGACTTCATCGAGCTCATCAGCAGCCTCGCAGCGCCGCGTATGTCACTGTCTTCCGTCTTCTTCTCATTACATGGTCTTTTTTGTCTCGAGATCGTTGTCGCTAGCGTGTATCCAAAGAGAAAACCAAAACACTTCACCCACACTGACACTGTGAACGGGCTACAGGCATCGCACGGCCTCTTTGAAGGCCTGACGGCGCAGAAGCGCGCCACGGACCCCGTCTCCATTGGTCGGCGTCAGAGCATGAACGATCAGCGGCCCCAGGCTGGCTTTATCGGCCAGATGTGGAACAGGTATGGATTGCCCATGCAGCTCTCTTCACGCACACACACACACACACACACACACACAGACCATATCGTTCTTTTCGTAACTTACTAGCGATGCCAATACAGCTGGGTCCGCGGCACCAAATAAGCTGGCTCTCTAAGCCCGTTCGAGGAGGAGAGCATCGCAGCAAACGGCGCAGACTGGTAGAAGAGAGCGAGAGAGGAGACACGATCCGAATTAAAGAGTAACAGAAAACAAGACGAAAGCAGAACTCGAACGAAGAAAGAATTGGAGGACCGATCAAGGGTTAAACTATTAATGGCATGTCTGCCTGTCTGCATGGCTTGGCCATCTTTGACTTGCTGTCCAGCGACGAACTAGAGATTGTTCTACGACTGAACGTGGTACTGGGAAACCGGTACCCTTAGGGGCACAGCTGGGCAGTGGGAAAATTTAATGAGAGATTGGGAGAATAAGCAGAGAAGGAAACGAAACTGTCTGGTCACGGCGACCTAATGTTTTTCAAGAGGTTCGATATCAGTTCGAGTTGCTGCCTGAAACGAAGCTCTCCATATGTTAGCAGCTGCGAAAAAGCTCTCTTTGACCCTTACTTTACCGGTGGCCATGACGATGACTGATAATTTTGCCGTCCACGTCCTCGTGTTTGTAGCAACCGACTACTTGCCGGGTCTTAAAAATGCCGGAAGACTAAGGTGGTAAACCCTTCACTAGTCGACAAGCGTTTGAGCCCTGACAAGTACCGCCGCCGAGTCCCTGGATACATTATTAGCAATTTTTAGAGCCAAGTCGAACAAGGAACCAGGAAAATACTAGCGTCTTCCGTGATTAGGACACGATAGGGTTGGAGCACGAACACTTGTCGTGGAGAGACAGGCATCCACACACCGTCCCTGGCTGTCTTTGTGAGGTGTTGAAGAGGCGAAGCAAGAGGACTGAGAGCACGAGGTAGGGTCAAGACTGGGGGCCGTAACATCTCCAGGTGCTCCGGATTGCGGGTATGCCAGAGAGCTTGGCTACTTGGCCAGACAAGCCACCACTACCTAAAGATGGCACGCAAGCGGACCAACTTCAAGCAGGCGGAAAGGACGTGAGGAGGGAGGGGCCCGGAATCCAAGGAAGGAGGGAGCAGAAGTGAATGTGTGTCATTATGAAGGCCTTAATGCGGTGAAATGCTATGACCAGGAGACCACTCATGCCATGGCCCGCGCTGGGTAGAACTGCAAAGAATACCGAGAAGGCTTTTCCATCTCCATCCCAATGACCATTCCCCAAACGCCATCCACTACAATCCCAAGTCCGAGACAAAGTCTCAGCAAATACACTATGTTAGTAGCAGGCTAGATTCGGTGTTTCTCGCTCTCTATTGGATCTTTGTTAGCTTTTGCGCGTTTATACTCTGCTAGTCCTCCATGACCAGGTCGTCCTCACCAAGGCGAGAGTAAAGCATATAGAGGGCCATTCTATTGCATTCCTCGGTTCCAGTGATAGTGACGAGACGCTCATTGCTATTGTCTTGCGGCTCATTGATCTTGATGACACTACCGCTGATTTGGCGAATCTCATTGATCTTCTGGCCTCCCTTGCCAATGATAGCTCCAACCATGTCATTAGGGATAAAGATCTGCTGTGTGAGAGGGGTGGCGCCGGGCATGGCACCGCCTGGCATGGGGGGCCCATGGGGACCGCTCACGTGGGGCTGGGGACCGGGGTGAGCAGGATGATGAGGCTGGATATGGGGGGCCGCTCCATATCCTTGAGCAACGGGGTGACCTCCGTAGTGCATCGGAACAGCAGGAGCGGGTTGGGCCTGCTGGGGATGGGTGTAAGGGGGTGCATAGGGGTGGGGGGGCATCTGGTGAGGTCTGCCATCGGGACGGCCGCGATTGTAGTGCTCGCGATTGCCGTAATTGCCGCTGGACGGCTGCGGGGAGTACGGAACTACTTGCATTCCGCCAGGAACCGCACCGGCTGGGCCGCCGCTGCGGGTGGCATACGCAGATGCGGCAGGGCCGCCAAACCGTTCATTCAGTTGCTCAAGAAGAGTGCTTCCGACGTAGTACGTCGCAATGTGCACAGCATCAGCTACACCCATGACGACGAGCGAGCGCTCAGTGGATAAGGGCAGGCAAGAATCAGAGGCATTGAGGCGAGCGCCGGAGGCCTCTTGAATCTCCTTGATACGAGCGCCGCCCTTGCCAATGATGGAGCCGATGAGAACGTGGGGAATGAGAAGACGGAGGGGATACGTCTTGGAGTGCGAGCTTGAGGGCTCCTCAAGAGGCTCGTTGTTCAAAGTGCGAATGATTAGGCCGAATGCCTGCTACTGTTAGTTGATGAATACGAAATCAAAGACGCAACGACATACCTTTGCAACGGCGTCGACAACGCCGCTCACTGTGAGGATGCGCTCAACAGCGCCCTTCTGGTAATCGCTGACGGTGCACTTGGCTCCAGACATCTGTCTAATCTTGGACACATTCTCGCCGCCCTTTCCTATAATGGTAGCGGCCTCAGGGCTCGAAATGACAGCGCGGACGTGGATCCAAGCAGTTTCGTCATGGGTTTGTGCGGGGTTCGCCTGCGGCTGCGATGTGATGCCAGAAGTGGTGCTAGCAATTGGCTTGGTCTCGGGCGCATCGGGAACAACTGTGTCGCCTTGGTCGTCCTTTGCATCTGACTTCTTGCCGTTGGCCTTTGCAACGCCGTTCGACTCGGGCGACTGGATGGTAGCGACGACGTCGCCGTTATTATCCGAAGACAGGTCCTTCTGAATCTCTGCCTGCTCTTTGATAACCTTGTCAAGCGCCGGTCGCTTGGCCTCGGGCTGGTCGTTGCGAGATGGCGACGACGCCTCCTCCAGAGGCCGCTTGGTCGACTGGGTTGGTTGCGGTGAGACAGACATGGTGGGTTAGATTTGACGAATTTCACTTCTCTCGAAACAAGCCGCGGGATCAGTTGTCGACAAGTCTTGTTTGCTTCAATTGATTTATTGGCTTGCTTTATCTACACCTTTGGGGTTTTCGAAAGAAAACGGGCAGGTGTAGTGTGGTCGGGTAGAGGTGCTGGACTGGATCGGGGTCGCACTTTTGTCAAGGTTAATGTCGGGCTGGGTCGATGAAGTGGGAGAGATCTAGACCACAGAAATGGTCGCGACCGCGGAAGGACGAGAAGAGTTTCTGTGGATGAGGGCAAACGCAAAGAGGATTCGCGAAGGCCCTGATTATCCCGAGTCCAACACTGCGCAACGGAAAGTTGCAGGACGGTGGTGGTGAGCGTGCCGGGTCGGATAGAACAGGACGCGGAATAGGCGTGCAGGTGGAAAGAATTAAGTAGATGCAAGAAAGCAGGGGCGAGGTGGAGAGCCGGACAGTGAAGGTGCCAGGTCAAGGTGATGGATTGAAAGGTGAGCGGATGGTGAGTGTGAGGTATGTCAAAAGGCGAGCGAGCGGATGGTCAAAGGCAGCGTGAGGTGAAGCACTCAGGTACTGGTAGCTCAAACCTTTGCTAGTCAAGACTGCCGGCAAAAACACTCAGGCCTTGCCTTTCTTTCAATTGCCTGTCGAACCCGGTCCGACTGCTGTAGCTGCTGTAGCCCGGGTGCAGCTCGTAATGCAGTGTTAGATGGAGGTCGGTCGGCTGTTGGTCAGTCGGCGCCGTGGGGGTGTGGTGTCGAGAAGGGTCGAGACACACGGCGGGGCAGGGCGCAGGCAGGATTTGGCGTCGCGAAGGAGCCCGTCGTTTCCAAGCATAAAGAGAGAAGATAGCCGGACGTAAAAGAACAAGACTATTGAAGGAGCAGTACTGATGTGCTGCGGGAAGTGGCACGCTTTGGAGACGAGCCTGTGAAGGGGGTAGATGGGGAAGAGGATGTCTCGAAGAGGTTTGAAAAAGCGGAGAGAGGGCCGCTGAAACTTAAGCAGATTCAGCAAACGAAAAGCACCTGCTGCTCGCACTGCACAGCCTTGTCAGCTGCCTTCTTTTTTTGCCGTCCCCGAGCACGGGCCCCAACTACATATCAGCTCCTTCTAGCGGGATAAAGTGGGGACTTTTGGGTGGTTTTTAGCCTGACGGCTTCTAGGGGCGGGAATCTGGCGACCTGGCCCTCACGGCAGGCAACACTGCCGTTGGAGGCGGCGACGGGACCTCCACTTGCGTCCAACAAGGAAGCAGCTGTCAGGCACGACAGGGCCGTGGTAGTCATCCTTGCCTACGAGCCCTGCGAGCCCTGTGAGCCCTGTTTAGGTCCCGATTCTTTGGGCACGCTGGCTGCATTTGCTGGCCTCATGCCTCTTGCATACATGGCGTTATCCTGGTTTTTTGTACGGCACATTCATTCCTATTCCTTCACAGCGCTGTGCCCAGGACGGTGAAACCAGAGTGGCATTCTATGTTTGCTGTTGAAGGTAACTTATTCATGTAAACAAGGTCGGGTACAGTTACAGCACAGCGCCTTCCGTTAAACAGCGTATCCGTGGGTATTCCGTACTGTACAGTACCAGGAATATGCATGCGGGTGCGCTGGGGAAAGAGCGCTCGGGCCGATCACTACAGTTATCATTTCGCTGCTGCAGTGCGCATGCAGCCGATCCCACCCATTGTGGTAGTGATCCATGGTTGTGCGTGCCTCAACCACGTCCGTGCCCTACGACCTTGCACTATCGTTACGCGATATATACAAAATCGTGTTACAGAATACGAATACCTCGAGGGTTCTCCTGTAATGAGATGAGGATAGGAGCCATTTTCTTCAATTCCCGGACGATTGAGGGACATACCTATCCGTATCTACGCGTCGGGAGCCATCAGTATGGCTGAACCCTCTCGTCGCGGCGGCGATGGCTCTCACCAGGCCGACGTGGACCGTACGATCACAGAACTGAAGAGGAGAGAGACGGAGCTGGAAGATGCCCTGCAAAAGGTACGTCCCGAGGGCCTCTTCGTCGAAATATCACGTCACCGACGCTAACCCCCAACAGCTGAGGGCTGCTGCCAGCACCTCAAGACGCCCTCTGGATTCCAAGAGTCAAGTGAAGGTCACCATGGAGATCATGTCCAAGGCATACCGGCATGTCGCGGACTCACAGCCGTTCCTGCCGTCTCCTGGCTCCGTCTTGCCCTCCCTACTTGCGCTGCGGAGGGCCCATCAGACAGTCGCCGGATCCAACGAGTACATGGACTCACAGGCAGCCTCGTTGGAGCAGATTCAACGCCGCGTGAAGGCTGAGGAGGCAAACCTGCGTGACCAACTTGCGCTGCAGGACGCGCTGGAGAAGCGCGTGCAGTCATTGCGCGACGGCATGGAAACTAGAAGGGAGATGACACAAGAACAGCTAGTCGAGGAACGGGCAGCCGAACTCAAGCAGCAGAAGGAAGACTGGGACAAGCAGACATCGTCGCTTCTCAAGGACCTGGACTGGTTCATCAGGCATCATCTTGGCCCCATGCTGGCGGCCGAGGAGCTGGGAGGCCCCGTTGTTGGGGAGCTGATGGAAATTGAGGCGGACGATCTGAGCGCTGGATTCAGCACAAAGGGCAAGCTGAAGAAGGCGAAGGCGTCGCCAGACGAAGACCAGCGGCAGAGACGAATCGACGAGATCTGGGGCGGGGCGCAAGAGCAGCAGGACCAAGGCAGCAAGAGGAAGCACGAAGAGCGGGACGAAGCATCGGCAGCGAGCGCCGAGATGCGCGACCTCACGGAGCAGCTGCTCAACAAGCTGCAGGAGTCGGGCGGAGACAGTTCGGCGGCTTACGTCCAGCTGGCCAGGGAGTCGGCGGCATCTCGGTTCCTGGTGCGGTCACAGGTGGCCGAACTGCACCCCAAGGACGCCACGAAGCTCCGGCTGGTGAACTTTGGGCGGGAACTGGACGATTGAGTCAAATGGGCACAGAAACGGCATGTATAAACGGCATAGCCGTGGCAGGCACACCAGTGTTCCAGATCTCCTTCGCAGCAGTTCCGACAATCATACGCTCGAGCATCCTGCCGATCCCCCTCACAAGCAGCGCTGCTCACAAGAAGCCGAAGCGAAGCCAGCCCCCAAAATCAAATGGCTAATCTTCTGTGATTCCCGGCAAAGAGAACAGTAGCTTCACCCTCAGAACTTTGACTACCTAGTCAACGATGACGACGCAAGGCCAGCCTCTAGCCTCAGACTTGCATGCATGTTCCTGGGCTTGGCATTGACATGCCTTGTTCGCATGTCGCTAGTTTTGACGACACAGGGATGGATTGAACCTAACACCCACAGTATTTGAATAGTAAATCGCCACTACAGCAGGACTTAAAGGGGCGCCAAATCGTGAAAACATCATGCAATACCAAGCACGACTAGGCCGTCGCGAGTTCTTGCACGCTGGTGTCGCGGTTGTGGCGCTGAAGGAAGAGGATTGGCCAATGATGATGCTGTAGTGAGTTCGCGACAGTGGGGTAGACTGGCCTATGCCGCCTACGCGAGTTGGTAAATCCTATTAACGCGTCGCGTCGACGCGCTTGTCTGTCTGGCCCCCGGATTTAAGACTCCGCAATGAAATGCTTCCGCTCCGCGCAGCGACAACGCCTTCTGCACCATCTCCACCCGCTTAGTAGCAATCGTAGTCGTAGTCATAGCCTCCCTGTCTTGCAGCACAGCAATCGCTGCCTCACTTCTTCGGTCCTTCCTAAATCCGCCATGACTACTGAGAACATTAACATCACCTCCCCTCCGACATCACCTCCCGCCAAGCGCGTCAAGACGTCTCCCGAGAGCACTACTACAACAACCACTACTACAGCAACCACCACCACTACCGCAGCAGCAAAAACAGAAACCATGGCCGACTCCGCCGCCAGCAACACCAACGGCAGCAGCAGCGCAAACAACACAGTGGTGTCCGTGACGCTTGCCGACCAGGCGCCGCCGCTGCTGATCAAGAAGCTGTCGGAGGCGGCGCGGCTGCCGACGCGCGGCAGCGCCTTCGCCGCGGGGTACGACCTGTACGCGGCGCGCGACACGACGGTTCCCGCGCGCGGCAAGGCGCTCGTCGACACGGACATTAGCATGGCGGTGCCAGCGGGAACTTGTACGTTTTGTCCTCCATTCCTTCACCGGGAAACTCACAAAATCTGTTGCCATGTCGAAAACAATAAGTTACTAACGCATAAAACAGACGGCCGCATCGCACCTCGCTCGGGGCTCGCGGCCAAGAACTTCATCGACACGGGCGCGGGGGTCATCGACGCCGACTACCGGGGCCCCGTCAAGGTGCTGCTGTTCAACCACTCGGATGCCGACTTTGCGGTAGCCGCGGGCGACCGCATAGCGCAGCTGGTGCTAGAGCGCATCTACACGCCCGAGGTGCTCGAGGTGGCGGAGCTCGAGGCCAGCGTGCGCGGCGCCGGCGGGTTCGGGAGTACCGGGACCGGTGTTAACTGAACCCTTCGTCTCTGAACCAGAAGACGGAAAAATAAAAGGGGGTGAAGATGTTTTTTGTTGGCGGTGTTTTTAAATGTCCGTCTAGACTACCTACCTAGAGTCTTTCGATTTGACATTCAAGACATTCGGCGACTGCAGTATGGAAAAGGAGCCGGCGAGCAGGTTTGCACTGGATGCTTCGCACTGGGATGCCCAGCCTAGCCTAGCCAAGCTACGGAGTATGGGAATGCAATTGGTAATGGCATTTTTCCCTCTCGTTAATGACCTTGTTTTGCCACTGGTTGCTTTCTGGGTGCAAATAAAACTCAGTGGACAAGGGGGGGCGTTCCTCCGTGGTATGCCTGTGTGTGATAGAATAACAAGAAAAAAAGCAGCTGATGACTGCTAGCTTGGACGAGCAGTAATACAACATGGTAGCTGGGACAAGTACAGTATATTCCGTAGTATCACTAAATCAAACGGCAGACGAAAAAACCGGTATAATAATCTCAATGTGTGGTATATAGCCCAAATCATCCAGATCTAACGCTCATTATGACCGATCGCATCCATGCAAGTGCAAATGCAAGACAAACAACAGATAGGTACAGCTCGTAGCTGATACCATCCACCCGTTCTAGGGAACCAGCCTCGGCCACAGATTCTACATCCTCTCGGCGCGGAACTCGACTTTCGGATGGCGCAGGCTGTCCAGGTGCCTCACCAGCCGCAGCTCGGCCGCCCTGCTCTTTATCGACCGCAGCTTCTTGTTCTCCTTGCTCTCCACGTCTTCATCCGCCACCCCGTTCGAGGTCTCTTGTTCCGCCACCGCCGCCACCGCGCGTGCCTTGCTCACCTGCGCCTGCATGGCCTGGCACGTCTTGGTGAGCACCTCGTGCATACTGGCGAGGACTTTTTCGGTGGCCTTGGCCAGCGGCAGGTCGAGGGCGTCGACGCTGTCGTCGCTGATCCACGCTTCGGTCTCGGAGAGGGGAGCCCCGCCGCCGCCGTGCTGCCGCTGCTGGTTCTTCCACACGGCCTCGCGCATGCGCACGACCATCAGCGCCGCAAACATGTCGCCCGTGCCGCTAAAGTAGCAGTCGATGGCGGGGAAGACGATCTTGAAGGCCCGCGCCCGGCGGTCCGACGTCATGGTCGAGCCCACGACGGAGAGCGACGACGCCGGGTGGCCGTCGTGCGGGATCGAGACGGACGTGATGACGATGTGCGGCACGCCGTAGCGCTCGTGTATGACCTGGATGGCGCCTTGCAGAGACGCCACGTCCTGGATCTTGACTTCAGATAGCAGCCTACATAAGGACCAGATTAGTCACCCATCCCCAACGCGATTCATCGAAAGAAGCAACATTGTTTTCTCGACGTACTCGGCCTCGAACTGGTTCGGCAGGATCAGGTCGGCATGCCTGATCAGGCCGCGGTACACGGGGACGACCTCCTGGGCGACGTAGAGGTTACCGTTGTCGCCCATGACGGGGTCCAGCACCCAGAAAAAGCTGCCGGGCCTGGCGATTGCGTGGCGCTTGAGGTCCTCGGCGATCTGGCCGACGGCCTCGAGCGCCGGCGCGCCGGGCACGTAGCCCGACAGCATCATGTCGAAGTCGTCGAGGTACGACAGCTTCAGCCCCCGGTACAGGTCCGTGATCTCCTGCGCCGACACCTTAGTGCCCGTCCACTGCCCGTAGCCCGTGTGGTTGCCTGCATACATGGCTTCTGTCAGTTCAGTTGCGCACACTGGGCTTATGGCTTACGGGGGACTGCGGGATCCGTGGTGACACGGGGAAACGAAACAAACCTACTGAAGTGCACAGTATTCAGCGCGGCCACGTCGCAGCCCAGCGACTGCATGGCGAAGACGGCAATCCTGTTGCCCACATTTCTATACGGTTTGCGCAAATATGTTTGTCAACGAGGGGTGGCCAAACCGAAACTATCAAGTTCTACACTACGGGTAGAGACGAGAGGCGCAAAACCAACGGCGGCTGACGACGTTGGTTTCGGTCGCCCATTCATTGGTAGAGAGAGAGATAGAGGAAAGACTCACCCAGAGACGACCTTACGGGCAAACCACATTAGCTTACGAAACAGCAACAAGAACAACACGAGAAGAGAGGTGGAATGCTTGCGCGCGCCCTACATGACTGGCGACCGCCAACACGCGGGTTTCCGGGACCGGAAGGTCTTCGGTCATCACTACGACGTCGCGGAGGGGCGGGAGACGGGAGGGAGGGAATGCGCAGAGGGAAAATCGGATGGTTTTAGAGCGAGTGTGGGGTGGTGGTTGCTCGGCGCGGCGGCCAATTGAACGAACGTTGAACGCGGGGCAACAGCACGAGAGTTTGTTATGCCGATCCTATCCAGCTGCCGTGGTCGGGAGAGCCGGAGAGGGTTCAGTCTTTTTCGGTTCGGGGGAAATCACTCAAAGAAAGAAAAACTGGGACGGCACGTGGGAAAGGGGAGAAAAGAGGAATAGCAGCAGCGTTAATATCACTCAAGAGAACCCAGCCTGGTGTGCCTGGCTACCTTAGGTTGTGATATGTCAAGAGTCAAGGTGGGAGGGGAAGGAGGATGGAAACTGTTAGAGGGAGGCAAGTACGCGATTCGGATTAAGAAACTCCAAGAGCGTCTAACGAATAATATTCCACAACCATATCGTCCGAACGTCGGCCGTGTGAGTCGATCACAAAGTCTTTGCACCCAAACCCTTGGCAAGACTCTGAACCTTGCCTGACTCTTTGTAGGAGAGGAATCTAGATATACTGGGGCCGTCCCAGGATTGCCCCGCCTAAATATGATGCAGGCGGATGCACTCCAAAACCCCGCACTTCAGAGAATATTGAAGCTGGTCGTGTCAGAAATCGGACTGCTGCTGCGGCTTGAACGTGAAACTACCAGGCACTGTGATTATGTCACCTGCACCAAGAAAGTACAGTGGTACGGACCAAGGAGAGAGTCCCTCATGGCGAGAAAAAGACTTCATTACCATATGCTAGATGCCTGATCGCCGTCGTGCTAGGCCAGCATCCGCACTCTCTAACAAGACACTGTTCCGTCATTCGTCTACTAAAAAACCGAAAGAAACATTGCTTCCCGGTTTTGTTATAGTATCAATAGTATTGGCGCAAGGCATTCATACCCTGCGCGGAGCCAGTTCCTTTCTTTCCATATTCTTTGTGTTGTGTGCCATCGCTGGAGTACTTGGACCCCCTTTCTACTCCTCGTCTCCAATCTTCAATCCATGTTAGATCTCCGTTCCCTCTAGAACGAAACGAGGCAATACATACCTTTGGCGCGAGGTAGAAGCGCAAAAAGCTGCTACCCGCAAGGGTATACTCGACCAGCAGGGGTATCTCGTTGGACAGGCAGATCTTGACCGTCGTAGAAAGCCCGGACGCCTTGCAGAAGTTGACAAGGTACTTGAGCGAGAAAGTGAGGGCCACGGGCTCGTTGAGCTCAATCTCGATGCTCTCGGCCGGCTTGTCCACGTTGGTGTGCTGCCGCAGCGTAACAGACCCGTTGCCGATGTCGCCCTGCGACGAGAACTTGATCCCGTCCTTATTCGCCTCAATCGTAACTACACCGGTTTGTCAGTAGCACAGAGCAAGAGATTGAAACATGTCTAGACGCTGGCAATGCTGATAGAGGTCAGACATACCAGACTCGGACATGGCCATGAGATCTGTCGTGATGCGCTTGAACTCGGACGACGGCATGCTGACAGTCGCCGAGTATTCCGTCTCGGGAATGCCGAGGTGCTCCTGGTCAATGTCCATGAGCTTGAGGTCATACTCGGAGATCCTGTCATTCTCCGAGCTCTCAAAGATGAGGTTCAGGACGTCGGGCGCGTCCTCGGCTTTCAGCGTCAGAATGTCCTCGTTCTGCGCCGCGCGCAACACCTTGGTGAGCGACGTGAGGTTGACCCCGAGCGCGATGTTGCGGTCGCAGCGGAATGGCGAGAAGGTCTCCGTCTTGAGCATTAGGGACACGAGGGCGACGTGGCTGTTGTCCATGGCCTGCAGCGCGATGCCGCTGTCGTTGCAATCGAAGTTGCAGTCCTGCACCAGGTCCTTGATCGCGTCGACCACCTAGCGGGTGCATATGCACGTTAGCGACGGGGAAAGCAGTCGGCAGGTCGGGTGCACCCGGGCGCAAGTGACTGCACATACCTTCTTCAGGACGGACGCCTGCTCCAATCGTGCTTCCAACATGGCTACTTCTGATTAGCGACCAGCCGACGACAAGAAAGCGGAGACATTGGCGATACAAGCGCCGAATTAAACTTACTGAATGATTTATTGTGTGTTATGGGGAGGGTGGTTTCGTGGTGGACAGATGGCGGCGGTGGCAGGACGCTGGGAATTCGTGGTGTTTCTGGAGACGAAGAATCGGGCGATGAAGTGCTGATGTTTTCGAAGTGGGAGGGGGATCTAGTGGGTTGGCACGCGACGCGCTGTGGGAGACGCGACTGGGCTTAAATTGATTCCCTGTCTAGGTCTAGCCTGGTTGTGCTTACATGGACCTGCTTCAACGTGGAGAACAATGCGCCGCCGCCATTCCATCCTGGGCTGCCTCTTAGCACTTTCATCCAGGCCTTCTGTTCCTTTCTTGATTGGCCAGGCAAAGTCAAACAACGGAAAATAGAGGGAAGAAGACTGCAGTTTGAATATTTAGAACCAGCTAGATTAGCAAGAGTTACTAGTCATTACATCATATATCAAAGCAGTCTATGGCGGGTTATAGTCAATTAAGCATTGGCTCAGACTGTTTGTTTGTTGTCTATTTGCCTGTCAATGCAGCCCTGCTTACTTGCCCTTAACAGTGCCCCTGAAAGCCCATCTCTGCCTCCCACACAAGCAGCAAGTTCCCAAACGATGAACTAGTCCAATGATCCTGTTGATACAACTTATCATACCTCAAAAGTTTACTTACAACGAATGTGTATTATCATATATATGTCGGTAACTAGGTGTCCGCGACGCTACCGGCCGGGAAAAAAGAGAAAAATGTATAAGTGGAAAAACGCCGTCATGAGTCCTGTCATTCGCAAGTTTATGGACCGGAACCGCGACTAGAAAACGCCTCTATCCTGCCACCGTTGAATTTTTGAGCCCCGTGAATGCTTCCGATCTAGGATACGCGCAGTGATGAAAGCAAAAGATGAAAATCGTGTCATCGTCAAATGTCATATTGAGAAGCGGCCGTGCGAGGGCCTTGCTGCGGCGGTGTTCGATCGCTTCGGGCGGAGATTGATGACCATCTCGAGTTCTCGAAGCATTCCATGGTTCGCGTCGGACTTCTCCCTGGCAATCTCTCTCTTCCCTCGGTCTTCCTTCATCTTCATAAGTCGTTCCTCTCTCGAGAGCGTGCTGCGAGGTCGGGGCAGGGCGACCGCCTCAAACACTTCGGCCTCGTCGATATCTCCCCTCGTGCTGCCGAAATTCGAACTGGGCGGGGATTCGCCTGTGAGTGCTTTAAAAGCATCCATCGTCCCTCCCTCCTCAACCGTGGTAAGCCCGCTCAGTGAGCTTGTGGGCGAAAAGAGGCTCATGGAAGACAGTCGCTTCTCATTGCGGTCGATACCCGATGCTAGCGCTGCTTTCCCTTCCTCCCACGCTTGCGTCAGCGTCCTCAGGTCCTGTCCAATCGAGTCGTACTGGGCCAGCAGGCTCGAGCCGAGTTCAGATACATCGTCGGCCTCGTTGAGAGACCTCTCGGACTCTTCGCGCAACAGAGCTAGCTTGGCCTGGAGACCTCGGATTCCGGTGGAAAGCGAGCTCAGCTTTCTAAATTGAGACCGCCGCCTCTCTCGGCCTGGCGTCAATGGCATCTTGGGCTCTGGGAAGGTGGGAAAGGCTATTGACTCGTCAGTGTCTAACACAATAGCATGGCGGCTAATGCCAGCGTGCTTACTCTCTTCTTCACTCAAGATGTGGCGAAGTCTTTCAAAGCAGTCTTTGGTAACTTCGTTGAGTGTCCGGAGCCCTTCCACAGCCGTTGACCATCGCAAAAAGTCGGTATTGTCCCCGCTAGCCTCGAATGCAAGCAGAGCGCATAAAAGAATCTTGCGAATGGTGTGAAATCGAGTGGCGGCAATCTTAAGCACGCGAAGGGACTCAGAGTCTTCAAACTCGCTCTCTGAAAAGCCTTGCAAGGCATCCGACATATCGAAGTCGCTGATATCATAGATATCGTAAAACTTGTCTAGGTCCAGTTGCTCTGAGAACCCTTTGAACACGGAGGACACTTGGGTGTAGTTCTGAATCATGTCGGCGAGACGAGCCTTCAGGGCCTTGCGCAGCCGCAGGCATCGGCGGGTCTGGCTTCTGTCTTCGATGCGACTGATGGGAGGCAACGGCGCGCTAATTCTGTATCCCCGCGAGACGAGCTCGACCTCTTGGATAAGTGACAGCGCAGCACTGGACGCGCTGTCCAAATCTTGGGACCCCGACACGAAGGTTGCGACCTCGTTCAATGCCTGATCACGCACGTACCGGAGCCACTGTTTCCGAATGTAGGCGTGAGAAAACAAGACGCCCACTATCAAGACGGTCGTCGCAAACAGCATGCGCTTTTTGGTCAGGTAGGCAATACCACCAGAGTAGACCCAGCTGATCATCCACGCCACGATGAGCGCGCCGGCAGCTGTCGCTAGTAGGCCCGTCGACGTCGGCACCACTACATTGGGAGTGGTGTTTGGTGGCTCTTTCGATCGGTTGTAGTACTGGTGCTGGCTCGAGAGGGACTGTCCGCTGAGTAGTTGCGACGCGACGATCGTGTATCGGAACTGCTCAATAAACTTGACATTGTCGACGCGGTCCATCCTCGTCACCACAGCATTCTGCCAGCCAATCTGTCAGTTCGGGCAGCCCAGCACACAGTCGCGCGAGGCATCTCACCGAATAGGAATGTTGGAGCGAACTTAATCGGGCCCCGTGGGGGATGTCGAGGCGCAGCGGGTTCGGGATGTTGCTACGGAACCGCTTCCTCACCACGGGGCGTCCGACCGGCGCGAAAGACGGACTCGAGGGTGGCGACACATCGTGTCGGGGGTTGTGCTCGGTCGGCGGAGAGCCCCATGTTGAAGAGTCGCGGTCATGCTCATGCTTGAGGTCGAGATCGAGGTCGAGATCGTCCTCGTGCTCGTGCTCGCGCTCGCGCTCGAACCTTTCCTCTCCCTCGTCTGCCATCGGAAAAATGATTAGAAACACGGCAGGAAAGGGGCCAGCCCGGTGCTGGTCCGTGGAGGCGCAACGGACCCTTAAGATAGTCGGCAAGTGGAGTGTGGTCGAGAATAACGGCCTCCATGAAAAAGCTGGGACAGAGTGACGGGGCTTCTGTGGTACCCACAGCTGTCCATCTGGTAACACCGAGACCGTTGCTGCGACCGCCTTTGACGAGGCACGGGGTTCAGTGGGTGGTGGTGCACGCGACAATTCAACCCCTGTGGCGGCGGCGGCAGGAACACACGTACGTCAGAACTAGATGTCAGGCGGCTACGGATAATGTGATTTGCTACCGCTGTTGGTTGCCGCTCTGCATGTTTCGAGAGACAGGAGGCGCGCGGCGGCGGAGGTGCACAAGTCTAGTCGAGATCGTAACGGCTGGCTTTCTAGAGTCCAGGAGGATGAGGATGGTTTGGACCCCAGAAACATTAACAAAAGCAAACACGGAGACGAGACGAGCGAAGACGAGGACGAGGCTGGGAGGAGTCCGCTAATAATAACAAAGGAAGGTTACTCTGGCAGTGAAGCTCTGTGGATTCATAACTTAACCCTTGTCGCGCAGCTGCAGCTCTCATTTAAACGCCGGGAACCGAAATTCTTGCGATGTATTCCGTACTCTCCAAGGCCTGGGCACGCCGCTGAAAGGTCCCCCAATTACGCTGTGGAGGGCGTCATTTTTTGCCGACAGCAAAGCCCCCCCGGGTTCAGCTATATGCATAAAATGCCGGCGGCCGTCTCCGCAACGACAGCGCCGCTCATCCATGCAAATACAGAACCGTTCGACTCCTTTTACCTGTTTTCGTTGGCGACATCTAGCAAGCCGATGGAGCAGACTCTGTGATACGGATACAGAAGTGTAACCAGTTGATCGGACTTGCATGTCAGGTGGGTCACATGCTACCAGAATTAGCAGCCGGCAGCTGGCCGACAGCTTCAATACAGACTGTTACGAGTGCAATACGCACACTAGTATTATTCCGTAGTCCCACATCTATTTCCGTACATCGTCGACGATAAGAGGTCCCCACAATAATAAAGGGACCCTGGAGCTGGAGGCACACCCATGTCCGTGCTACCTCGGTGAGCGGCCCAGCGCGACATCACGGCGATCACTTTAATCACTTTCAACGTCTTCCCAGCTTACCCGATCACGTCACGTCCCGCCTCGCCACGCAACGACCGCACACCTCGACGACCGCGACAACGATCGCAACACCTAATACAGCCATTAGATTAATTTGTCAAAAAAGTAAAACATAAACCGCAGCCCGATTGCCTGCGCCAGACGTTCGAACCGCCGACCGCGATCTACCCTTACCTCCACCCCCTTCCTCGTCGTCGTCCAGTGTCCACGAGACAAGCCAGCTCGCCCCTCGGCCTGAGCGCACAACAAGCAACCATGTCGGCCGAGCGAGAATTCCAAATCGTGCCCATAGTGCAGGAGGCAGTCGTACACAACTCACGGGTTCGTCCCCCCGTCGTCATGTACACCACCACACAACCTACCCATACCCCTAAAATAAACTAACACCCATTAACTCGCACGCAGACATTACTGAACCTGCAGTCGCTGACGGCGTCGCTGTTCGGCGTCGGCGCGGGGATCCTCGGGCTCGAGTCGTACAGCGGGTTCCTGTTCTACGTGGTGTGTTCGCTGCTGACGGCGATGCTGTTCTACGTGGTGCGGGTGGCGCCGACGTCGCTTGCGTCAGACGCAAACGGCGGTGGCGGCGCGTTCGATACGAGCCGCTACTTCCGCAGCCAAGTCGAGTTCTGGACTGGCGGGCTGATGAACGGACTGGCGGGCTTCATCCTGACGTGGACGCTGTTTTACGGGTTGGTGAGGGCGTGAGGGGGGATAACCGGCACCGTGTGATGGTGTAAGATTTGAGCGCAAGACTCTAGAGATAAACATTAAAATATACAAAAAACCCCCCCCCTGGAAATATATATGGTCAATATTCATACGACGCGCAATATTGGAAAGTGGCGATCGCGTGCACAACTGGTCCAAACGCATAGTATTTCTATATAGCGACTCTCGTCAGGGATGATGTTAATTTCGCCGACTTTTGATTACAACTGACTCGTGGATAATAGCACTTGGTAGCTATGAAATGTACGCACTGGTGCAAGTCTTTGGTTATCTAAAACCAAGAATTTCGCTGAAAACAACATGGGGCTGAACAAAAAGAAAGAGCTAAAACATAAATGCTTGAAAGGCCAAGCCCGAAAAAGAAATCACGCCTTAAAGTCGCCCACCCGGTCATTCCATGATCTCAACAACTTTGCCAACAAACCCACCTAATACCGACCTATCTTTACTGGCCCCTTCTTGTATAAAAATCCGAGACCCAAGCTCGATCCACTCCCGGTTAGACAGCAGCTCTAGTTGTACTTCTACTTCGCTTGCCATCTCGATTGATTGTGTATGTTTGACGCCGTCTATATTTGCGTCCTCACTAAGGCTGAACATTTCGTCAATATCTTCTGTGGCCAGTTTACTTTCATCTTGTTGGTGCTTAGATTCTGACACGCGCACGACCCGAGCGGAGGCGCGGACACTTGCGACGTATATATTGACGAGACTGCCTGTTGCCAGGGACCTCACCTCTGCGTCTTCAAAGACAGCAGTCAAGCCGCTAGCAGCCTGCAGAGAGAGGCCCGTCGCGACCATGTGCTCGCTAGGCACCGCCACAATCATCCCCTTGCGCAACCTCGGGGTCGAGGCCGGCATAACTTTGCCAGACTCGCCCAAAGCCTCGAAAATCATCCCGATGGACCCAACTTGGCCCGCAGTGAGGGTCTGCACGGGAAGTCGGAGGTTTCGGATGCTAACAATCGACGCGCTGTGCCACTCGCCCTTGATGGCAGACGCGGAGACTGCGTTTTTTACCGCGATACGGTTGAGTTCAGTCGAAGAAGGATGCGACATGGAAAGTCCGTCGGCGCCAGACGCATCGTCGGGCGTTTTGTCACGCGATTCGTCTCCTACGGGCGGAAAGGGGCCAATAATCACCCTGTCGCCGATGGACAAGGTTCCAAAGCGCAAATATCCCGCTACCACGGTCCCGAGATCGGTGTGCTGATCGGCGATACTGGTGGCTAACGAGTAAGTTGCTGGGAGACTGAACTTGTCTTCAATGTGAAACAGACAAGCCGGTTGCTCGGGGTTCAGCGCTGCACCAACAAAGTCTTGCGAAGTTGGCCGGGGGGGCAGCGGCAGACTTTGAAGCATGGCGTGGACCAAGCCAATTCCCCGCCCATCAACTGCACTGGTCAGCACAATGGGCACGACCGAAAGCAGATCCTCGCTCCCCGCCATGCTATCCACGACTCTCTTCACAGCCTCGAGGTCCGCTGTCGACACGTGGCCCGTATCGGTATGGCTGGTTTGGTTCGTTCTGAGTATCGCCGGCACTCGACCAGCCCCTTTGATCGCTGACAGAAGTTTGTTGAGAATGCCGGTCATGCTCTGTTTGGTCGCCAAATCTAGCTTAGTTACAACAATAGCCAACGGTAATCTTAACCTCAAGCACAGGTCAAGGTGAGCTGATGCCAGGTCGACACCCGCGGCAGCAGGTCCAAGTATATCGACGGCAGAGGATGTAGCGCCAGCAGCCGATGCGGAATCGGCACCATCGGCCGCCAAGCAGAGAATGGTCCAGTGCGGAGCCCATCCCACAAGGCCACGAAGAATAGTACGGCGGTAACGAGGATGTCCCGCAGAATCGAGCAGATAGACGAGGCGGCCAGCCTTTGTAAAGTCGTGGATATCAATCCAATCCTCAACTCCGCTGTGGGCATAGTTGATTATGCTGCCGTCATCGTAGCCAACGAGTTCCTGTGTGACAGACGAAGTAACACCGGACGCTACCTCGTGGAGGTGCTTGAGGAGACTAAGACGGCAGTTCCCGCGACCATTGTCCCGAGTCCCGGTCGAAAGGGTGCCTAAGAGAGTCGACTTTCCAGACGTCGTCGGGCCCGTAAGCGTGACTCGGAGCTGGTTTACCGTTAGAGGACCCTGTTTTGGGGTATCTAGGTCCTCTCCTAGTCGAGACAATGGATGAGATTTAGATTGGAGCGACAACTTCTGCGGTGCATCTCGAGGACTTAAATCAGGTGTGACCAAGGCTTCGGCCACCCACAGCTTGGTTTGCCGCCGAGTATGTGGGGCGAGGGGCGAGGAGCCATCCTCTGGGCCGATGGCCTCAACCCACTCGCAGTCCCCGACAGTCACCATTCGAAGCACCTTCATAGCGCAGCCCAGGCTCGCGGCCATGATACGAAGAGTTGAAAGGCTCTCATCCATCTCATCCTTAGTGAGGCCGGCAAGAGTGCCATCGTCAGCCACGCCAATCTCATACAAAGCTCCCCTGGATGCCTCCAGCCCAGGTGGAAGCTTGGCCAGTTGGACCTGAGAATCCAGGGAAACGCTCTCGTCCAGGAGCTGGGGAACGACTAGCCCGCCGGCGGCGGAGCTGGAATGATAGGGGCAAGACTGCTGCAGCCTCCAAAGCAGCTGGGTGGTGAGGTGCTCAAGACGGGTCTGGCGGGTCTGGATCGATATGGTCGACGACCCCACCAAGACGGGTGCCAGCTTTGACGACTTGGGGTCGGGAGGGGGGCGAGACTGCGTTGACCCAGATATGCGATTAGCGGTGCTGGTGCGTTCGTAGTTTCTCCTGGGCCTAAGAAGTAAGTGAAGCTTATACTCGGTTGGCCCGTCTTGAGGCTCGGCCTCGAGTTTGGTGACGCCGTAGTCTGACAATAGACCTGGCTCCACTGCCCATTTCCGCGACACTGACCGCACAGAAACAACTGGACCATTGCTAGGATCCACTGGCTTCAGCCATGGGGAGGCAACCCGCGGGGGGTCTGGGTCGAACGTGAAGACCGACATGGCTGAGGCTCAGGAGGTTCGTCTCCCCACAGTATTCGTACCCAGCTCGCAGCAGCAAATCTAACCAGACAGGTGAGGGTAGAAGCCGGGCGGACGAAGAGGAAGAGATCAGCAATTCGCTACCGCAGATTGCTGGTGTATGGATATAGATAATATTGCACTGCAGTTAATCATTCCAGAAAGGTATAACAGGTGTATTCTTGGTATCATTTTGGAGTCTGGAGTTGATGGCTCGCGGGTTGGTTGGTGACTGGTCTGATCTTGTCTGGAATTATTTCGTGCGAAAAAGCCCCGATGAAGACAAAACAAAGCACTCTTAGTTAGAAGGCATCTTGTACGACTCTCAAAGCTTCATTAGCGTCTGATATGTATAGAGGGGGAAGGAATCTTCAGCTTTGAGGTAAGGAAGATAGCAGAAATAGCATTCGTGCTTGAGAAGGCAGGACCAGCCTGATGACTTGTGCGCGACCCTGGCCGGTGACGCACCAGAACTGTGGCCTCTGATTGGAGGGGCACTATCGTCTGATATCGAAATACTTTATTCACAAGGTTGCACACTGCAGCCGCAAAGTCTCCTCCTACCAAAAACCACCGCTCGCAATTGACGGCTGCGCAAAGCCAGCTACAATCAAAGCAAGCTACAATCAAAGCAGCAAATCACTCAAGAATACGGAAGCCCACTATGGAGACACTCTCGCAAGCGGAGCCCGCTGTTGCGGCCGAAGTCGTCGAAATAATCAACGACATACATAGCGATAGCGACGATGACGAGAAGGTGGCGATCGAACTAGTTACCACCAACAACAAGAAGCCGTCAAAATGGGGCTGGAACGCCCTGAGAGGGGAAGAGAAGGTGATGAAGGTACGTTTAGATGCTCGTACCGGCCCTGCACGAATGCGCTCCACCGATATCCCTGCCTTCCTCCTTCCCCATCCATACAGCTCCGGCGGCCAGGCCAGACCCCGATGGCCTTCTGCGGCAAGCCCCGCAGCTGCGCTTCGCGGCGGACGCATCCGTTTTGACCACCTGGCGGCCAGGGGACCATGGCCAAGGACGAATCGCTGTGACGCCGCGCCACGCTGCGCAACACGTTCCCAAGATCCCTCACTCCACTCCCGCGGTGGACGGCCAGTGGGTAACCTATGCGTGGCCTGGGGCTGAGCCCGTGGCCCTAAAGTATCGATGCCAGCCCAGCGCCGCCCAAGAGCCTTTTGCCGGCGTTGGATCCAACCTGGAACAGACCCAAGACACTTCGGTTCTCCGCTCTCTGCAACCTAGATCCGCCTCAATATTTGCCCCCCTTTTCTGGTCTTTCCCATTTCAATTAGCACTTTGTATTAAAGTCTTGTCCTTCTATCTCCTCCCTAATCTGCCATCCGACGTTCAAACCGCGTTTTACCTCTGTTTTTCTATCTGTACTAAGATCGGCCGCAGCTTCTCAACATGGGGCGTTTCGGATTCGGCAAGAAGTCGGACGACAAGAAGTCAAAGGACGGCGGCTCGCAAGACTCCAACCCCTATGCTGTTCAGCCAGTGGCAGACCCCTATGCGAATTCCTACGCTCCCGCACCTCCCGTGCAAGGCCGTCAAGGACTTCCCAGCGGACCCCGTGTTGGTTTGCCGACTGGTCCCCGTCCGGGCCTGCCCCGCGGTCCAGCTCCTAGTACCAGCAGCTTTGGCGGCCAGAGCGCATCAAGCTATGGCACCGCCGGCTCTAGCAACTACGGTGCTCCTCCTCCAGCATACACGGACGGGTTTACGGACGGCCCCCAACTAGGCTCGGAAGGCTCACAGTACGGCTCGGGAAGCCCGCAGCTGAGTACGGGCAGCCCGCAAGTTGGCTCGGGAAGCCCGCAACCCGGTGGTTACGGATACGCAAAAGACAAGCTTGGCGCCCCGGGCGGATATGGAGGCGGCCGGTTCGACAACAATGTCCCCAGACCTGCGGTCTCACCATTACCTCAACGAAATGGAGGTTATGGAGGCTTGGGTGACCCTAGTGCCGAACTGTTTGGCGACAGGTATAACAATAGGCCTCCCCCGCCCCCGGCAAATGCTGGCTATGACCCAGCTGCCGATAGTACGCCAAGTTATGACGCATCGGACGACCCTCTCACCGGCTATGGCGACCGCCGAGAGCTGACCGAAGACGAGCAAGCGGACTTCAAGAAAGCAGAGATCAACAAAATTCGGGGGCAGTCTAAAACTAGCATCCAAAACTCGATCAGGATGGCGACGGAAATGGACGACCGAATGAACCAAATCATGGGCACTGTGGACGAGGATGGTGAACGACTTTTGCGTACCCGTGTAGCCATGGACCAAGCAGGTAAGTAGTCTACTAAAGACTATTCTCGGCAGCACCCGACATCGCAGGTACCTCGGAAGGCTAATAATATACTCAGAGACCAACAATAATATTGCGGGTCTGAATGTCAAAGATCTCGACAAGCTCACACGCACTCCCTTCTTTGCGCCTTCTGGAGCCAGTGATAAAAGAACAAAGGCATCGACTGGCAAGCTCTTGGCAAACGGCGAAAGACGGAGAGAAGATATATTACGACAGGCGAATGAGCAGGACCCAGAGCTGGTGGAATACACGCGTCAGCTCAATGCCGCTCCCAGGCGACTCGGTGCTGCCTCAAACAAGAAAGCAGAACGGAAGAAATTCACCTTTGAAGACGACACTGGCGAGCAGGAGGCGGACGAGGAATTCATCGACGATGGCCTCGATGTATTGGATGTGCTGGTCAAACGCCAGAATCTCAATTCAAAGATCCTGAAGAAGAAGTTAGATATGCAGAACGATCAGGTTGACTACCTCAACAATCATGTAAGTACTCGTTCACCTTTGGACCCAATCTACACCTGTTCTCCACCGGATATTTGCTAACCTTTTGATTCTTCTCTCCTTCTCCAGACCGACAAGGTGCACGATGGCGTGCGCAAGAACTACAACATCATCAAGCATATCTCGGACAAAAATTAACTCAGTCAGAATGGGGGAAGATGGGGAGAAGGGCCAAACCGCCAGATTCAATCCATTCGATTCAGTCGCTCCAGTATCATCTCACTCGGTTTCTACACCGACCTGCTATTCTGTTCCCTCGCCCCAAAAAAGGATTCGTCTTGGACAAGATTCTCGACGGGGTTTATTACTTGTTTTTCTTGCTACCGTGGGATAGAAATGAAGGAATATACAATCCTCCCCAGTTTGAGCCAGGTTCTGGTCTGTCGCGGCTTGGCTGCGCAACCTCAAACTGCGGCTCGGAGGTTGATTCGATCTGGTCTTCGAGATAAGATCATTAATGATAAATTATGTCTAGTTTTGAAGTCGTTTTGTTGCACGAGTGTTGATAGATCATATTTCTTCCGTCTTTGGGAGGAGAGGATGGGGCCCTGCTCGTTTTCATTTAATGTCCTTTTTTTTCTGTTCCCACTAATTAATTACATGTTGACATTGTGATGCTCGCAATATTTTTCGCACACTTTGCAAACGCGATTCCAAATGCGGGCCCGTCACGAGAAGTACGCTGGGAACTTTAACGGGTGATATCATTGTAATATGGCAGCTACCTAGTCCTCATCAGATGGGGTATCTAATGTTCCAAAGCCTCGGCGATCCAGGATGCCTGGATGGCGCTGACTTTTTTTGCGTAGTTCTTTTGCGTGTAAACATGTTCTAGGAACATGATAGCCTCCTTTTTCTGACCATAGAGCACGCTAGATGGGTGGATCGCCACGACATGCTTGCCGTGAGAGGTCACGTAACTGCTGTCGGGCGCCAGCATAGCAGTCTTGAGCGCAAACCCCTTGAGGAAGCACTTCAAGATGACAGCTGCCTCGTCCGGCGACGCGGGAGAGAATGGTTGCGGATCGGTAGGTGCCAGCTCCATCATGCCCTCCCTGACGCAAAGGCCGCGGATCTGCTTGCGGATTTTGAGCGCCTGCTTCATGTTCCGCATGTTGATCTTGCGGGACTTGCACCACTGCGCGCGGTCCGTGTTCTCGGCGGCGTAATGCTGCATGGCCGTGAGGTACGTCAGGAGGTCACCCTCTCGACGGTACAGCTCCTTTCGGTAGACCTCGACCTCCTCCTTAATCTCTTCTGACTGGACTTGAAGAAAAATGTCGTCGCCGGCTGTGATACATGATATGATGTCGATCACTTCTAACAGGCAGTCGTGCTTGGGATCTGTCGCAGCGAGCAGAACCCGGGCATATGGGGCGGTCATGGGGAACATGACCATTTTGCGGCCCATGTCCGTGATTGACCCGTCATCTGCGAGAGCCCCGAGGAGGTGGAGGTGTAGGAGTGATTTCCCGACGGATTCTACCTCTGGTGGGTCCATGAGAGGGAATGCAAGGACATCCTCTATCCCCCTCGCTTTCATTGTCAGGACGGCGCCAAGAACATCAGTCCGCAGAATCCCAGGAAGGTCGGTTTTTTGAAGGCCTTGGAAGGTCTCTTCGGTGTAGAGTCTGTATGATTTGCCGGGACCTTCTCGTCCTGCTCGTCCAGTCCGTTGGATGGCCGAGGACTGCGATATTGGCTTTGCTAAGAGAGATTCCATGCCGAGTCGGGGCCTGAATTGCTTAACTTTTGCTTTGCCGCAGTCAATGACATACCTGACGCCAGGCACAGTGACTGATGTTTCGGCAATGTTGGTCGCGAGCACTATTTTTCTAGTAAAGGCTCCTTTAACCGGTTGGAATGCCTCGTATTGAGCCTCCATGGAGAGTTGGCCAAACAGTGGCATAACCTTGATCTTTGGCAGCTTGGGGCCGAGTGTTGCTGCGTACTCTTCGATAAGCCTCTGGGCTGTCTCAATTTCTTCCTGTCCCGTGAGGAATGCCAAGATATCGCGTCTTCCGTGTTTATCCGTCAGTGGCTCTTCCGTGTGAAGCTTGAAAATTGTCTTTAGAAGGGCTTCTTGGATATCCGGGATCGGCTTTGGAGCATGAATGACATCTACGGGAAACTGACGCCCCTCAATCTGAAGAAACTGGACCCCGTCTGTAGGGCTCTCTTCTCGTGTGGATGAGGAGCTCGCAGTGTTGGTATCTGAGTTTGAAAAGAAGTGTTTGATGCTCTCGACATTGGCCGTAGCGCTCATGATAACAACTTTGAGCGGGATGCCGCCACGACCCGCCTTGTCTCCTGAGACGATTTGCTTGAGAAACCCAGACAGCAGGTCGACATCCACGCTCCGCTCGTGGATCTCGTCGACAATGATAGCGCTATACTGTCTGAGATGGGGGTCCCGGAGAAGTTCTTGCAGAAGCATGCCTTCTGTGACGAACTTGATTTTGGTGCCTGGAGGTACCCGGTTGTCGAACCGAACAGAGTAGCCAACAAGCCCCTTTATGGCAGCACCCTTGGCGTCGCTGCCTCCTCGCTGCCCATTGAGAGGGGTTCCAGCTTCACGGGAAACGCGATGGGCGAGGGTCGTTGCTGCGACTCGGCGCGGCTGTGTGATTGCAATGACGCCTCCGACGTTCACTTGCTCGGTTACTCCGTTGGTCTGGACCTTGACCCTCCTTCTCTGGCACCATTTCTCCTGATAGAGAAACTGGGGGACTTGAGTACTCTTTCCCGAACCTGTCTCACCGACAAGAAGCAAGACATCGTGTTGCCGCAATATGCGACGAATCTCATCTTGGTGTGTCCATAGTGGCAGAGCCTGGCGTATTGGGAGAAATTGCGGATCACCCGCTGGTTTTGTAGTCTCATGGTTTTTGTCGGACTTTTGTTCGTCCTTGGCTTCTGATTGTAATGCTGGTGGTGCTTGGGTCTGGAGCGCCTGATCTGAGTTTGGGACTCCACTCGTGTTGTTCGATGTGGCTTGCTCCTTCCTCGGCTTTTTTGATAGGTAGCCCTCCAGCGATATCGTCTTATTTCCGACTTTGACCTGGTCTCCAGCCTTGGCCTCGAGTTTCCTTTTTTTGGACATCTTGTATGTGTGCTGGTTAGCAGTTGGTGGGTATATGAATCGAAGATTTTGCGAATTGAGGAAAACTTGGAGATGGTAAACAATAGCTCCATTGATTGGCTGTGATGCGCTAAAGGTGGGGCAGAATATGGGTAACGGCGTCCAAATTGCCAACAGTGGTTGTACCCCCTGTAAGTGCTTTGCACCTGTTTGATTACACTCCCATCAATTCGTGGCGTCTTAGCCTCCATCTCAAGTTCTAACATCATGAACTAGACCTAGCCAACCCTCCTTGACAGTTAGAAGTAGGCAGCTCACCATGTTAAATGGATTACACTCGCTACTTTTTATCTAGTAATAATTAGACCGGGGGCATATAATTCGAGCTTGAAGATTGAGGCTGGCGTTTATTTCAGTTGTTTTGTCGACTTCCGAGAGCAAACCGGCATTGCAGACATGAGAGCGTCAGCGAAGTTCTTGATGGCGTCGGCCATGCAGTCATCGAGGGGTCTGAATAACCCCGGGCCGATGGCGCTATTGCCGCCAATACCACTCTACCGACGACTACTGCGGGCGCATCGCAAGTTTCTGCCGTCCGAGATGCGCGTCCTGGGCGATGAGTACGTCAAGTCTGAGTTCCGAGCCCATCGGGCCGTCGAGAATCCAATCCACCTAGTGAGCAAATCTTCCCTGCGGCGACAGTCAAGCTGCCAGACGGATTCTCACAGCGGTATCAGATAGGGTTTCTCACCGAGTGGCAACTGTACGCGCAAAAGATCGAGGGGGAGTCCTGGGTTGGCGAGAAGTTGGACCAAGCCAAACTCGCAAAGATGAGCGGTATGTACAGTCTCAACACTGAATTTGATACCACCTAATTGCTAACGAAAATCCAGACGAGCAACTGGGCCAAATGTACGAGCTCATGCTAGCTATAAAGAATCGTAATTCCGATAGCGAGTCCAGCTCATGAATACATCTGCATGTATATGCCTATCTAGTTTCTCTTCCCCGTAACTACCTACAGAGCTTGTGCAATCGGAATTTGAGGTCGTTTCCCTTCCACTTTCGATAACATTTCGACATCGTACTCAACATCATAAGCCGAATCCTCCCCGTCGTAGTATTGCTGATCTGTATCTGGAACCCCAAGACTCTCCCCTTGCCAGTCTTCATCTATTTTCGCCAACTGCTGAATCGTCACCATGGCCTCGAAACTCTGTTCCCACTTTTTATGTTTAGGGTTTGACGATCCTTCTCCGGGTTCGTCGACAAAGCGTGGCCTACGCCGCTGACTACGCTGTCTCCGACTCCTGAGAGCGTTTTGCTGCTTCTCGTCAGGAGTCCTCACTCCATCTTTGTCTATTCGGGCTAACCTCCTGGGAAACTGCTCCGTGTTTTGAGCCTCCAGGGTGTTTTCACGCTTCTTGTCGGCCGTTGCGGGCGACCTTTCCCAGCCCTCGTCGATTCGGTCCAGCCCGCTGAAAGGAAGCTGTTCCATGTTTCGGGCCCTGAGAGACAGCTCTAGGCCTTCTATTTCCCCTATCTTGCCCATCAATCTCCGCGCCTTGTCGCGCTCAAGCGATTCTCTCCATTCCTCTTCTAGCTGTTTGACAATCGAATGCCTTGGTCCTAGCCTGGCGCTTAGTCTATCGATAATTTATTCGCGCGACTTTGGTGGATCATCTTCATCAAATATTGTTGCGAAAGCCCCCTCTAGATACTGAAGGAATGGGGGTGTCGGGCTTGAGAGCTGCGAATTTTGGGAGCCAGTCTGGGAGGGGCGGGTGTTTTCAAGCTGGTCCACTCTATGGCTAATGCGTTTGGTGATGAAGTGACCCGGCCCCAAACAGACCAGCGCTCTCTCAAGGGCATCTTTATGGTAGCGAAGTCCTGCCCCCTTCATATCTGATTTTGACCATAAAAGTGCAAGTCCATGCGTCTCAAGAGCTTGCACTGTCTCGGGATGGTATTCTCCATAGGTATGTCTGGCTCGAGAGAGACAGTCGCTGGCGAGATTAACGGCTTCTTCATATCGGCGATCTTTCGAGAATAACAAACACCGGACAATCTGGCGCATTGTGTAGAGGATATTGCGGTCGGAGCGATCGTAATACCGAGCGTAACGAGGCAGCAGCGCCTTGTAAACCTTGCAAGCGGTGTCCATAACACCTAGCTCCTCGTCTTGGTGGTATACACAGTCTGCCCAATATCGCATAATTCTGTAGTGGTGTTCACTTTTCGTGGCCTCTTCAAGGTCCTTTCCCGTAAGCGCATTCTCGGCATTCACGCGATTGTTCCAATAATCCATGTCCCCGCCCTTCTTAGAAGCCGCTTGAAGCCTATCGCGCACCTCCAGGATATGTGATGAGAACTCGTAGGTCTCGGCTGTTTCCAGCGCATTTCGAAGAAAAGATTTGGCAGGGCCCCATCTGCCTTCATCTATCAAGACCTCTGACAGTTTCACCTGGGCCTTTATCGTGGTGATCTCCCTGGATACCGTTGCTCTGAATTTTAGTTCAAGGCGAGTCTCGTCGTCAACTAAGATCCTTGTCATTGCCTCGGCGGGAGTTTCTCGACGCTTTACCAGTATCCAGTCGTCTTCCCGGTACTCTTCGAATCTCCAGTCTATTCTGTCCAGTGTCTCCATACACAGGCCCTCGGCATCTCCGAGGCGTCCCATTTCGAGGTAGAGTTCTGCAAGGGTCTGCAAAGCATCCGTTACCGAATCGTCGTTAGAACCGTACTCTAGTTTGTGTGGTAGACGGACTTCTGCAGACATTTCTCTGCCTCTAGAAACATTTTCTGGGACTTGTAGAACCAGCCTAGCTTCCAGAGCAGATAGCATCCGTACATATCCTCGCCAAAGTCCTCCAGACCGCGGCCTAAGGCGACGGGGTCAACCGTGCTTTCACCCGTGCCTACCACGCTGTGCTGGGCACGAGTCGGCTCGTCCGGTTTTGCAGCCGGGACTGGGATCCCAAGACGTCGAGCATCTTCGGGCAGAGCCTCCGCAAGTGGGTGGCCAGCGCCAGGGATTTTGGCGCAGAGTTGGAAATGTGGAGACAACATCTGTTGCAGAATCATTCTTTCTGTAGATTGAGTTGAAATGCTGACCGATTCAATCAAGACGGTCTTCGCCACCTGAGCCATCTGCCCCGAGGTCTTGTCGTCAAGCTTCTGTGCAATCCACTCGTGTACCAAGTCATGCATGGATAATATACTATCTTTTCGAGTGCGTATTATGGAGTATGTCCGAAGCATCAACATGGCTTGGCTGCCAAGCTCTTGAACCCATTCACCATCCTCAGTGGTCTGAATCAAGTGTTCTAGATTCAAATCTGGGTCGCTCACAAGACTACCGAGGGAGCGGGAACGTATGGTCTGATATTTTGCTCGTTCCTTGGCCGTACGTTCAAGAATTGTCATGATATTGACGTCTTGGTGGCGATAGAAACGACACAGATTCAACATCTGCAAGGTAAGTTGTGCAGCGAAACCTTTAGCTGTCCCTCTGAGACGGTGCTTGATATCAGCAAGTGAATCGTACGACAGGTCCAGCGTAGCAAACACTGGCAAGTTCCTTGCGGACGACCCATTGAACTCGGGGCTCTTGAGCAACTGGACTTTGCTATCATGGAGCCGAGTCAGAAATCCGGAGAGGGAGCATTCACCTGCTCTAACGTACGCCGCCGCTTGATCAATCGCAAGCGGAAGACAGCCGAGTTCTTTGACGATATTTCGGGCCAAACTCACATCTCGTCGACTTGTGAGGGAATATTCGGGACCAGATGCCTTCAAAAGAAGCGCGATGGCGTCTGACTCTTTCAATTCCTTGACTAGGAATACAGATTCGAGCTTGAAGTCTAAGGATAGTTCCAGACTGCGTTGAGTCGTGTAGATTATGTTTCCCGTATTTCATAGCGGGAGATGCGCTATGCGGTCTCTTATGGTGCAGTTGTCGAATATTATGAACCATTCCTCGGATAGCTCGCCGATCTTTCGGAGGGCTAGTCTTTTTAGCTCCCGGGTGCTTGCCTCCCCCCACCCCTTGTCCAAGGCAATGTTTGCATAGCTCTGGTCAACGGTAGTGGTGCTGCTACCGTCTATCCAGAAGACATGTTTCACACTATGGGGAGTCAGATAGGTGCAGGCAGGTTTGATCACTTCCGGGGAAATGGGGGATTAACTTGCCTCCCGTTCTTTTTAAGCATCTCGGCAGTCCGGAGGGCGATCTGGCTCTTTCCAACACCGCCCATACCATGCAGCATAAACTCTCGTCTTTCGGTGTCTTTGGACTCACCCCGATCAAAGTACCTCACTAGTCTGTCAAGCGTTTCATCCCTGGCTGTAAAGAATTGGCTGGTCGTGTCCATTAACTGAGCCTTGGCGTCAGTTGGGATTATCTGCTTCTTATCTAGGCCATCTTGTTCCATGTTAGCAAACATGATAAGGTGAAGATACTCTTTCTGTGCGTGATGCTATGCTAACTTACGGACATGACCAAGGGTGAGCTTGTGATCGGGGGACTCCTCCTCGAGCACATCGGCTGTCTCCTGGACTTTGGGGATGATTTCCTCTTCGGCGAGGTAATCAGTTGTCAAGGTCTTCAGATAGGCTACCTTCTTGTACACGTCCAGTTTGACCTTATCGGCTGCATCGGGAACGCTGAAACGAAAATATGCGCTGAGATGGCCGTTCAGTTTGTGTTCAAGCAGTTGGTGTGGCGTTTCGGCATCAGTAGCCGCGTTCTTCAGCGCCCCGAGCATCCCCATCACGAATTTCCCTCGCCGCTTCAAACCATCCAGGCTGAAGCCACGGCGCCGAGACCTGCCTACCTCGGTGTTGCGAGTGCCAGTGCCGATACTGACGATGCAGCCCAACCGCCTATTGGGTCCAAACGTGGCGACGGCTTCCTTGAGGACATAGTCGACCGGATTGTTGCACCCAATGGCAGCATAGATGTACGCGGCACTTTCCTCAGTCACGCTATCCTTGAGCTCCATCGGTTTGAAAAAGGTCGAGGCTGCAGTGGTGGCCCTCGCAGCCTCGAATATTTGGAGGTCCTTGTCCCAGTTGTCGCTGCCTTGGTAGGACCGAACTAGGCGCGGCTCCCCGATCTTCTTGGCAGGCATCACACACACAAACGCCTTTCCTTTCGGTTGGTCCGTGGGGTCTCGCATCAGTTTTCCCATTCCCCGTCTCTTAACAAGGTCCTCAACCACTTTCTCGAGAGCGGTGGCCTTGTACCACTCTGATAGGCTGCCTCGCTTCCGGTTTTTGTTCGAGAAAATCTTCTGGGCGCACTCGTCATATTCGTGTAGGGCCTCTTCAGTCGACATTCGGAGCCTTCCCAACATGATTGCGATGAGGCTGGAGCAGTTTTAGTATGTAGCGACTTTAACGAGTGCGCTCTCCGGAACTCACCCTCCAGTGCTGGTCCCGCCTATCAAGTGGAATATATCACACGGCTTGGGAATATCCGCATAGTCATGCCTCTCCTTGATCTTCAACATGATTTCGTGCAAGATAACAAGTGAAGATGCCCCTCGGACGCCGCCGCCATCTGTGTCTTGTCAGCTTTACCTAGTTTTCAGGGCGGATGGGATCAACAGACAATACACATACCTAATGACAAAAGGTTGATGGCTTCATTGCCATTCGACAAGGGCATCTTCGACCACCGCTTGGGAATAATAGCTGAGATAAACAAACTAAACGAACCAAGCAAAAACTAGAGGTCGCTGTTCAACAGAAAAGACAAATAAATAAACCAAAAAAATGTGAACAAAATTCATTCAAGAAATCGCTTGATGGTTGTAAGGAAGAAGTGCAAACCACCGCCTTTTCATTCCGGTGACGAGGCCATATTGTGGGGGCTGTCATACGGCCGTGTTGCCTCGCTGTCTGGCAGGACCAGAAATCCGGCCTCCTTGGTGGCTACGCGCCCGGGGGGGGGGGGGGGGTTCTGCATATAGGCACCCTGCATTTCCACTGCATGTTTCTTTGTGGCCGACACAGCCTCATTTTTTTTTTCGTGCACATATGTTTCGAGCTGGACAACCAGCAGAAATATCCCACATTTTATCGTCAAGTGGTGAGCGCTGGTCGAGAGGACCGACATAATGTCTCATTATGACTCGTTGATTGGGCGTTTTCCTTTCCATGAAGCGCCAGCCAGCATTGAGCTCGTCCGTATTGCTGGCTGCATGAACGAGAAAAAAACAAACACGACAAGGCAACATCGTCACCCTTGTCATGTCTTTTCTCGAAACACACCTCGCAAGATTCGAAGAGAGCTAGATCTGAGTCTTTTTTCTGGGCCGGCCCTCTATACATTTCCGAATCGGTGACGAATGGACCCAGATCACGGGCACCGCCATGGTCTCCCGGGGGTTATCCTTTACTCAGGCGATGAGCGGGAGAGGCCAAAAATCCAGATCCGTTCAGGCAACCAGCCTCCGGTCCCGAACGTGATGGCAAGCTGCGGTCGAGAGTGAGTGTTGCAAACGCCAAGTCGGGCCAGCAAGGCCAAGGCCATCGTGTAAGCACTGGGGCAACAGCCCAGGGGAGGGCGGCTTCACGCGGTAGTTGTTTGCTGAAACAAATAGGAAGCAGAGAATATGGGTCCCCAGGTTATTTCGTGCTCCAGTGGGAATGCGTTCCAGCCTGTCGGGACAGAACTGGAGATGCTACTGGTCGAAGCGGGCGTTGAAGGAGCGTAAGCCGAGTGGGGACTGGAGCAGCTCCACGCCATGGCTGGCGCGCGCGCCTTCCTTAGCTGCCGCCAGTTCGTTAGCGGACAACTTCCACTTAGCGACAAAAGCGGACCGCCCCTTCCCTTTTAGAAGGGAATCCATGAGATGTGCATGTGACACATTCGGCTGCTCATTTCTCGCATTTGAAAAGTCGAACCCGGCGTTCTTGGCAGGACTGAGAACGGGGTTGGATTCTTCGTCTCATTCCCCCCTCCCCCCAAAAGGCACACTCGCCTCCTCGCTCTCTACCTGGTAGGCACAGGTCATAAGTGACTATCAACGGGTAACAGAGTAACAGGGCAGCAACAAAAGGGGCCGACCGACATGGATCGAAGCACATGGGCGCGCGTGATTAAAGAAGGAACGCAGAGTTCTCGCCCCCCCCCCCCAAAAAAAAAAGCCACACATAACGACCCTAGAACATCCAAGAGCCAATGCATTTTGCGGCAAAAGACCTTCCTTTTCCCCCTCAAACCTACAACGATGGTGACGATAAAGAACCGAGATACCAAGTCTTGTCGGCGTGTGGGTCGAGCTCCCTGGCCGAGAAGCCGTTCCCTAGATACTGGAACCTGTTCTGGCGGTCATTGTCATAAACATAGTCCCAGTCCTCGCCGCGGAAGTGGTCCAGCATGTGGAAGAAGTGGAGGCGGCTGCCGGGGTGCAGGGCCGTGACGGCGCCGTCGGGGCGGCCGTCACGCTTGAACCACGAGCCCGGGCCTTGAGCCCAGGCGGTGCGCGGCATGAAGGCCGAGATGTGCTCAAAGTAGTCGTCGACGGCGGCTTGCGACGGCGCTATCGCCTTGATGCCCTCCGTCTGGCACTTCTGCACCACCCCCGTGATGTACTTGGCGATGTGCTCCGTCAGCGTGAAGACGCTGCCGTGTCCGATTGGTCCGTTGGGTCCTAGGAAAGCTGCATGCATCAGTCAGTATGTAATTACGATTCTCTAGTGGGTGGGTCTGCAGGCGCGGCGGCTATGTCAGTCGGCCGTATATACGCCGAGAAAGCAGGAACCGTCCCCTGTCTTAAAAAAAAAAAAGAACTTACAAAAATAATTCGGCATCCCGGCGACGGCGCACGACATGTAAGCCTTAGGCACCTCCTCGCTCCAAATGTCTTGGAGATTGCCGTTGCGGCCCACGAGCGGGAACCGCGGGCGGAAAGACGTCTCGAAGCCGGTGGCGCAGACGATGGCGTCGACGTTCAGGACATCTCCCGTCTCGAACTCGATGCCGCTCGGCACGAGCCGCTTGATGCCTCCGCGCCTGATCTCGACGTTGGGCTTCGTTAGCGCTCGCAGGTACGTGTCGCCCGGCGTCATCCTCCGGCTGCCTAGCGGGTAGTTTGGTATCAGGGCCTTGCAGAGCTCCTTATTGCCGCCGAGCATCGCCGTCATGTACTTGGTCGCGTTGTCCCGCGCAAAAGCCTGCACAGGGCCATTTGTGAGGACCTGGGATGGTACAGTTAGCAAGATTTTCCGTGCTCTGCAGCATGCTGGCTGGAAAAGGGGGGCTGCTTACGATTGGAAAGTTATTGTTTACTTCAGCCTCTATCTCCTTGACGAAACTGCGGTAAAATTCAGGGTCCGTCTTAAACCTCTCGATGATTTCTGGAGAGAAGTTTTCATTTTCGTCCATCTTCACTGCGCTCAGGACCTCGGGGACTTTGCCCATCATCCTCCACGCCTGGATACGCGAAGGGAGGGCCCAGGTGGGCGTCCGGACGACGTGGTACAACTTCTTGGCCTCTATCATGCTGTCAGATCCCATCCAGACACCTAGCACGAGAGAATGCTTACCAGGCTGGAGTTCTGGCAGGACTTGGACTCCGGTGGAGCCGTTTCCAATAACCGCGATATTTTTACCCGAGTGCTCGAAATCCTCGGGCCACCGGGCAGTATGGACTAGTTTACCCTTGAAGGTTTCAAGGCCCTCGATGGCGGGCCATTTCCAGTTGCTGCAGTGCCGAGTTTGTTAGTTTTTGCTTCAGAAGTAAGTAGGTCTCGACTTACTTGAGGATTCCTGTCCCATCAACGAGAAAATGGGCATAGTCGCTGAACTCCTTGCTGTGTTGATTCCGGACAATCAAGCCCCAAACCCCATCTCTCTCGTTCCACTTGGCAGATATGACCTCGTGCGATGTCTTTATATATTCCCTCATGCCCTCGTCGTCGCAGACTTGGTTGAGATAGGCGTTGATCTCGTCGGCTGGCGAGTGAAAGTTTGACCAGTCATGCTTGGGCTTCCACGAGAATTGGTAGCTGTGGCTGGGGATATCGCAGCGGCAGCCGGGGTAGCGGTTCTCGAACCAGGTGCCTCCCACGTCGGTGTTCTTCTCGTACACTACCAGCTCGTAGTCGGTGAGATTCAGCCGGACGGTGCGAATCATGTTGAGGCCGCTCGCCCCGGCCCCAATGGCGACAATGCGGATGTGTCGCGTCGACCCGAGCGGCTTGTCTAGAACCTGATAGGCAGCCTTGGTTGGTGCAACACTGGCTTCTTGCGGTTCGGCTGCCGCTGCAGTAGAACAACGGACATGTGTGGCCGACATGACAACGGCCAGTTCCGAAGAGGTAATAAAAACGAGAAAAGTCAAAATATACGAGGCCACAAAGATATAGCGGATCAACTTGTCAATAGTCGCTTGAACCGTTGACAATTGAGGTCTGAGATATGAGCAATTGCACAAAAGGAGAAAAAAGACCGGGACTACCGGCCTTTTGTAGCTGCTGCCACTTCCAGAAGAGAGCGGAGGGGGGCTGCCCTTGCCAAAAATGTTTGCTCACGGGCTTGTTTGCAGCAAGAGCTGGGCCATCCATCCATCCATCTGAACAGTCCTGCCGGGGCCATACGCCGGCAGCTAGCCTGGATTCCGCTCTGAGATGGAAACAGCTCTGGTTGGGGGAGGGTGCCTCGGCTGACAGACCTATCCAGCCGCAAGCAACCAGGACAAGCAGATTGGGTTCTGACAGAGCGGTACGCCATGTGGAGGAGGCTCAAACAAAAATACTACGCTCGCTGCAAGCAGCAAGTCTGCCCTTTCCCGGTTAGAGCTGATAGGGGGAGGGGGTAGCAGGCGCGTGGAGGTAGGTGGTCTGTCCCTGGAGGCGAGTGGGCTCTTGAGGAGGAGTGCTCCTCCTTCGTGACACATCGTTGGCTGGTTTACGGAGATATTAAGACTCGGGACTAAAGGCACTTTTTTATTCCCTTACCCTTGTAGGAACATACCTTAGCAAAGGTAACTTACCTTTACACTAGCTGGTTTGCCCGTTTTGCTGCTTGCATCGCGGATCTTGAGTCGAAGTCGATAGTATTCCTATGCAAGTATTCCGCTGATCTTCCCGCCGTCAACAACAAAAACAAGAGGGGCTCTGCTCCAATGCGATGATCAATTCTCGGAGACCGAGATGCTGTCACATGCTGTATGTCGGCCGCCAATTGCCCACCCCTGGTCGGTATTCGTTGTTTTGCCTTGGTTCTGCGGGCTAAGACGCGTTGCATGTTTCTAGCCACCCACGAATCCAGACGGTCTTGGCCAAGACGGATCTGGCCAACAAGTGCCAGTGCCAGTCCTGTGTTGAAAGCAGGGTCGCGCGGAGAGGATTTGGAAGTCGTATCCTGTCCAACCAGTGGTGGTGGTTCGTGGGCGGCGATTAAAAAAAGAGGGTCAACTACCTCAGTTTTTAATAGTACGTAAGGTACATACATGTCGGTATGGATGTACAAGTGCAGTACGGTATTCCGTACTGTTCGAGGACGTAGTATGGATGGATAGCTCCCTTTCCAGGTGGGTTTGCCCTCTGCAAGACCGTTGCTTCGCGGAGTGGGTCACGCATTCGTCGATCTCCGCATCCCTAGGCTGCGGCTGTGCGGCGAGCTATCGTGCAGTCCTAGGCGGGCACTTGGCCTTGATGAAGGGATGGATGGAATTGGTGTTGTCACTCGGCCATTGAGCCCCAACTCGCTAGGTGCCCCATCAGTGGTGGAGGGAACGACCCCACCCACCGGCCCGCATCAGGCGTCCAGGCCCTTGTCCAGACTCCGCAGTGGCCGGTAGCTGCCGGCGGTATGTACCCTATGTACATACCCTGTCAGTCTGCTAACCCCCCGCTGGCCGGGACCGAAATCAGGGCCACTCTATCCGATTATTTATGCGATAAGGGTATCCGTATCCGTGTCCATTCACGAAGCAAGACCGTCCCCGGAAAAGAAAGAACGGGAAGGTAACGTACCCTATTAGACTAGCTCAGAAAAGCCGTCTCCGCCGTTTCATGGACTGTCTGAATTCGGCATCAATCTCACTGTTAGGCCTAGATTAGAAAGAGGGGAAAAGTTACTCGTCCTGCACAGCATCTAACAGCAGAAGCGTGAAGCCGGGCACTTTTGGTCCTGCATTCTGATCGTTACCCGTACGAGAGGCGCAAAAAAATGGCGACGCCCTTTTCCTTCTCGTTTACAGGGGACGACATAGAAAATGATGACGGCCATGCCGCGCAACCAACAACCGCCGCGGCGGATCCTTCACAACCGCCGCCTCCGCTGTCGTCATCCGCATCAACACCCGCATTCGCACCCGCATCAGCATCCACATCAGCATCAGCAAGCGCCTTCCCGGTCCAGGGCAAGCCACTACTGCCGCCCATCCGCCATGACATAGACCAGATGCTGGCGAGGCTGCCGTCGAAGATCGCCTATGGGCTCCTGAGCGTGACTCTGGGGGACGATTATCCCGGCAGTGGCCCCACCGCCGCCGCCACGATCCAGCTCCCGCGCCGCGAGCTGTGGGACGTGCGCGTGCAGCTCATGGCCGAGGAAGAGGACGACGACAACAACCAAGACGGCAACGCCAGCGTCGGGCTCGGCGAGCACGACGTCAAGACGGGCATCTACGAGGGCGGCTTCAAGAGCTGGGAGAGCAGCGTCGACCTCGTCAAGGTCCTGGCCTCGGAAGATATCCCCCACGCCGTGGGCCGTGATCCCTGTGTCTTGATAGAGGTGCGAGGATCTGCTGCTGTTCCGTTGTCACGCCATCCCCCCCTAACTTTTTCCTATTTCCGATCCATTCCCTTCCTCATTCAAGAACCAGGCAGGAACGAAGCGCGCGTATGTGTTTAATATCAGCTAACTAATCCGTGATTTTTCGTCTTGCAGCTGGGATGTGGCACCGGCTTGCCCTCTCTGGCCATGTTTCAATGGGCCCTGGCTAAACGGGGCGAGTCATCGTCGCCATCAACGGCAGAGAGATCGCCCTTGGTGCTGACCTTGGCCGACTACAACCCGTCGGTGCTCTACCTGGTGACTCTGCCCAACTTCATCCTCACGTGGGCCCTCCAGCAGCAAGGCCAGCTGCCCCTCCTCGAGGAGGCGTTCTCTTCGGACGGCGAGCTGGAGCTGACGGCCGAGGTGGTTGCGGCCTTCAAGTCGTCGCTCGACGCCCACCACATCACGCTGTCCTTCCTGTCTGGGGCGTGGTCCCCTGAGTTTGTCGACCTCCTCTACCAAGCGCCCGGCGGCAGCGCCATCCCGGCCAACGCCAGGACGCTGGTGCTAGGGGCCGAGACAATATACTCGCCCTTTGCACTCGAGAGCTTTGTAACGACGCTGCTCTCCATCCTGGAGCGCGAGCGCCGCGAGCGCCCTGGCAGCGGCCACGCCGCCGCGCTGATCGGGGCCAAGAGGCTGTACTTTGGCGTGGGGGGCTCCCTGGACGACTTTGTCGACAGGATGCGGGGGCTCGGCGCCACCGTCGACACACTCCGCGAGGAGACCGAGGGCGTTCGGCGAGGCGTCGTCCGGTGCATCCTCGACTAGGCAAGCCCCCCCTAAAGAAGAGATCTTCATAGAGATAAGCGCGAGGGAACTTGGCCCCGTTCCTGAGCCGAGCCGAGCCGAGCCGAGCAATTGTTCCAGCCACCAAAATAGGTTCAAGATCACATCCTCAACCCCCCCCCCCCTTTTTTTTTCTTTTTCTTTCTCTTCTGGAGAAATCCAATTATTGTCGGCGTGCGGACTGAAGGTGGGATTAAAAGGACGGAGAAGACAGCCGGACAAGTAAAAAAAACAAAAACATTGTTGGATTCTCGGAACCCTCTCTCCCGCCGGCGCTGCGGAATGTTTTCTTGGCGTCGACCGACTTGTGTTTTTGTTCCCTTTTTGGCGATATTTCATTGACGACGTCATAAACTCTGGGCGTGTTTCAAGGCCCGATTTGCCGGGGCGGTTTACACGACGCCTATATCCTTCTGAGGCATCGGCAGCCTTGCATGAAACGGAAACAAATGTTTTGCCCCCCTGGGGGGTTGTCTTGTTTATTATCCGGGGGCTGAAAAGCTCATACGTGTGTACGCGCAAGTCGGGAACATTTGCAGGCAAGCGAGGTGAGGCGAGGCAAGGCGAGGATTTAGGAATGAAAAAAAGAGAGGGAACATTTCCAAACACGGCCCGGAAGTCTTCCTTCTTCCCCCCCTTGAGTGACGAAACCTCGGTTTCTTCTTGCCATGGTCGGGAAAAACTCAAAATTGCCCGGAACGTCGACCTTTGAAGCGCACCCCGTACCATACCTAATAGACTTTCCCGGCAGCAGGGGAATTGAGTAAAAACGCGGGTGAGAGATAGATACGGCTGCAACGCGGCAGCAGGCGAGCAAGCGGTATGAGATTGGACGAGACGAAGCTCTCGGTCCGATGCGGCTGCGTCGCTCACTGACTGGGCCATCACGCCTCGTCCATGTCTTTCCGCGGACCTCGTCCAATCCTAACCTACCTGATCTCATCTATGAATCGCTGCTTCGACAACGATGATGGGGAAAATTACATTATTGTTATTTTTTTCTTTCTTTTCACATGTATCGTATTGTATCATGCGCTTATATTGAGGCGTGATGCCACCTTCCTTACGCAGTATGCACACCTCTAAAATCGGAATCAATCTCACAATTCTAGGCGTTCGTGTGGCGGGCAGACGCGCAAGCTTTTGAGGTTCAGCTCTTTTCTGCTTCTCGTATTGTACTCAGCCCAGTCCAGTGATGTCACCAACCCCGTGTGTGGTTTATTGGTACTGCATTTTATTCTTGCTCCGATGAGGGCCACATACAAAATTCGGAGTTATAGGTTGGCCGTGGAAATTTTTACTAGTCTTATACTATACGAAGCTAAAGTGGCATCATCATGCCATGCGCGGCAGGTTCGTGAGAGAGAAGAGTAAGGAGGGCGAACATGGGACAAAACCTGGGTCAAAAAGTCTGCCAAGCTGTGATCAAGCCCCACCAGTTGACAGCGCGATCTGCGTGCAACCGTCCTATTCTGTTCTTGCATACGTAACATGGAACCTTTGGCCCTGTGTAGCTCTCGTCCTGAACCAGTTCGATTGGAAAGGTTGAGTTTTCGACGGGACGACGAGCGAGTCGAGACATGGGAAGACTCGGGGAGGGGTGCTGATGCCAGACGCTGCTACCCGTCTGGCAAGCCTAGTCACAGATTACACAAGAGGCCAAGATTGAAGCACCCTCGCAGGTAGCTGCAGTGTCGAGTTTGCCCTGTGCGAGTTAATCGGGCTCATCTTTCTTTTTTGTCTGTGGGCTGAGTGACGTTGGGCAACAGACTGTCTAGGATCGTGGGGAATGTCAAATCGATCGGCTGTCTTGACAGCCCAGGTCCAGACCCAGGCAAGGAAGGATGAACAGGCCAGCCGGCAGCCGGCAGCTGAATAGGGGCACTGTGGGGACACCCCTGGTTTGGAGAGCCGATGCCCTGGTTGCAGACGCCCGGACAGAATGACGAAATCCCGGCCCAAGTTCAGGCGCTCCTTCCGATCCTCGATTCAGGTATCCGTCCTTCGTCCACCTCAATATTCAATTCCGTACGTACGGAATACTTCAAGTTCAAGTTGTTTGCTTTGGCGGCATCCACCTGACTCGAATGCACCCGCAGACACCTTATGCGGTGGGAGGAGATTGGCACAGGATCCGGCTAGCCTAACTTCGCACAAACTTGTAGTGTAGACGGCATTGCCTCACACAATGCTGCCTTAGGGAGCGCACTCTACCTTATGCTCCGACTCTTTACGCTGGAGCGGCAAAGACATCGGCGATAACCGCCGACGGGCCATGGAACATTCTTCCTTCTACGTAGTGTAACGGCGTTGCCCCGGCGCAGCAACACAGTTGGCTCATTGAATAGGTAGGAAAACGGATGCCTTCAATCCCGCCGCCTAGCCAAGTCCGAGGAGCTGGAATACCAGGCGGAAAATGCTGCGTACATCCAACACATACCTTCGGTACCTCAGTATCCAGGAGGACAGCGAGAACGCGGCCAAAGGGGGTAACGAGGAGCTGCCAGCTGCGAAACATTGAGCGAAACATGGAAGACGGAAGAGCCCGACATCGCTTGTGCCGCCGACAAGGAATCGGCGTTACGGCTAACTGATTGAACCGCCGGTCTTTCCCCCTTCGTCCCATCCTCAAGTTACTTGTAGAGTGCTGCTTTCATCCCCGCTGCTGTAAGAAACAGGTCAAGATTCAAGAGGCCAGTCGGCTCCGCAAAATCAGGTACGGATGATGACTGATGACCCCGTACCCCTGGTCCGTTCGGCGTTGCCCCCCTGGCTCGCCCAGCATTCCCCGTGCCTGCATCGCGAGACGAACTCGAAAGGGGTTAACTCGATCCTCCGGCCTTGCTTCCCCATTGGTGGGAGGTGACGCAGGTAAGCTCCCCAGCAAGCTTTGGCCAGTCTCGTGTTTTTTTCTTGGGTCATCGTTTATTTTGGCCCCCTCTTCTCGCTGGTCGGCCGTGGCAGCCAATTTCTCTTTCCGTCCTCCTCGTCCCTTTCCAACCGTTCCTTCCAAACCTCACCTTTCGACCTCAACTCTGTTTCGGGAACCTATTATAATAATACTTTTTCTTCACCACGATCGTTTCGTCACTTTTTACATCTTCCAGTCCATCTCCATTGCATCGCCAATCAGCATTCTTCCCATATTTGGCAGCTTGGTGAGTGACTGATCTTCATCCGTCGCGGCGCGCGTGCGCGTCTCGTCCCACTGCCCATTTCCGCCCATTTCCGGAGGTTCCGTCTCCTGTCGTCGAAGCTAGACAGACGCCTGATTACAGAAAGGCCTACCTGCCTTGGTGCCAAATCTACCTATTTACCTAATATTCCTCGTGTTTACTGACTCGGTATTTCCACTCTTAGTTGAACCACTTTTATTTAATTCACCACCTCAACCCGATCCAGACTTCACACCCCTCTTTACCCACAATGAAGTTCTCCCTTGCAGCTGCCGTTGGCGCGCTCGCGACCTTCGCGGCCGCCCGCCCTGGTTTCACCAACAATGAGATCGTTGTTGCGGAGGGCAAGCCCACTACCCTGACTTGGGATGGCGCCTCGGCTCCCGTCACCATCACGCTCATGACGGGCCCTGATGAGCTCAGCATGAAGCCGTTCAAGGTCCTTGACAGTAAAGCCACCGAACTCGAGAATCTTGGGGCATCCTGAGCTGCCGCCGGGTTGATCAAGTTGACCGTATGCTGACTGGATACGCTTGCGTGTGTAATAGCCAAGGACAGTGGCACGACCTTTACCTACACCCCGACAGACATCCCATCGGGTCTGTATTCTTTCCAGATTACGGACGGCGTTTCGGAGCCCAACTACAGCGTGAAGTTCCAGTATACTTCGGCGACTGTCTCGGCAAGCTCCAGCACCTCCGTCACGTCCTCTGCGTCGACTTCGTCAGCCCCCACCAGCAGCTCGTCGACGACCTCTGGATCAACCACCAGCACCGGGTCAACCAGCTCCACCACTGGCACCACAACCGGCACAACCACCACCAGGCGTAAGTTCTTGACCGTCTTTCCACATGTGCCAGCACCTGCTAGATCTCATGCTCATCAAAACATAAACAACTCTAGCCACCACGAGCTCAACCGCCACCACCACAAGATCGACTTCGACTTCCACCCCCATCAACAACACCAACGACAGCCAGCGCCACTCGGCACCGCTCGCGCTCTTGCTGGTAGCAGCTGCCGCCCTCATGTTCTACAACTAAAGGAGCCGTGTCTACCGACTTGCATTTACTTTTTTCTTGTTGCAGCGGTTAGGTTTTTCTTCTAGGGGGTTGGCTGTTGTAGCATAAAAAACTGACGCTTGTTTTGAAAAACCACCAGCTTTCTTTGTACATTTTCGGACAGGATCTGCTCGTTGTATGATCATTGGCTTCTTTTGTACCAGAATTGTTGGGGAGAGGAAAAATGAGGCGGAGCTGGAAACGTGAAAATGGCAAGCAAGGCTGGCTGAGAGGGCTAGCCTGGGGGTGATTAATGTCGATACTGAGCGACGCAGTTTTAATATTCCTTGTATACGAAACCGCTCAGGTTATTAGAAAAATGTCTGAAATATTTGCAACTGTTGTCGGCGACTGACAGGGCAAGTGTTTGACGCTACAGCTTGTGGTATGCCCATATTTGATCCATCGTAGTAGGTCAAATTGCTACATTGGCGGATGCTATCGACTGCTTGGCGGCTGTTTAGTTTTGACGAGGAAAGGGATGGATCCAACCTGCCTAGGGTGGCTGCATGGCTTACTGCACCTCGCCTTGCATGGATGCCCGCATGCATGAGGAGGAAGCACGACGGACGGACGAACGAACGCACTGCTTATTTGCAAAACTGCGGATCACAGCACGCTATCTAAATATTATTCGCTTCTATCTACGGTTTGACGTACTTCGACGTTTCGACTCAAGGTGCTTGATATTGATATAAACTAAGGTACCTTGAGGGAGAGGGGTCGAGATGGCAACTTTGCTGATGGTGGAAAGAGGTACCTTACCTACGGAATAAGGTAGGAGAGATGAACAATCGTCTTCAACGTCGCTGCTACCTGGCCGCCTGTTGGAGAAAGTAATCCTGTTTGCTTGTAAACAAATTTGTGTGACTTCAGAGTTATGGGTGTGAGACTTCCCCTGAGTAAGCCTATGTAAATACATATATGGTATCAATCTCATCACAAGAATCCGCTGGCGACCACAGCGGAGCCGATACTGATGCTGACCACGATGCCGGTGGTTAGCCCGGTGGTTAGCCCGGTGGAGGTGGCCAAAGATGAAGATGTAGGTAATGAGGATGTAGGTAATGATGATGTGGGTGATGTGGGCGACGAGGATGTAGGTGATGAATATGTGGGCAATGAGGATATAGGTAATGGGGATGTAGGTAATGGGGGTGTGGGTAATAAGGATGAGCCCAATAGCCCGTTTCTAGACAGGTCAGACGGCGGAAGGCGAGCTGGAACATTGGGGCAAAGACAGTGGCGGTCGATATTCTCAGAGCCGAATTAAATATGAGTAGCGGCGGGGCCTGGGAGCTGAGCCCGTTGATGCACATGGCGGTGTTGAGGACGGTCGAGCTGGCGAGGGTCAAGCAGGTCTGGGCAAATGAGTTGGCGCATGTGTAGCCGGTAGGGCAGCACCCGACAAAGGTCTTGTCGGCGGCTATGGGAAACTGCACCATCTAATCCGACTTGACTCCGGCTATAGCGGTGCAGGCCGACGTGTAGCCCACGGGGCAGACCAAGCCGGGACTATAGAATCCCCATCCGGCAAAGGGCAGTGTCACTTTGGGGACGCCGTTTGTTGTTGCTGGCCAGCACGTCTCAGCATCCTGAGCGAAAGTGCCGCTCGAAGGCGCGCACTCCTGGCCGTTCCATGCCACGGTGCAGGTGGTGCACTGTCCCACGGGCACGAGACAGGGCGCCGGCGGGGTAAAGGTGGTCGTGAGTGGGCCGAGAATCGGCCGTGAATCGGCGGTCTGGGGAGTCTCGGCCATGGTGATTTTACTCCGCTTTGTCACGACAATCCGGGATATGGACCTGGTAAAAGAGAAGGAAGAGGTGTAAAAAGTTGAATAAAGTCAGGGATTAAGAGTATTAGGTTACCCTTAATCAACTAGTAACCTACATGATCAACTAATGACTTTAATATATAACCCTTTTCATAGAACGAGGCTCAGAATAGTCTCTAATTATAGACTTTCATTTGTGGCGCTAGCCGGCCGCGTGCTGGCGTGCGGCTGGGGCAATGTCATTTACTTTTGGCCCCATGTTCCGTACTCCGCAAAGATTACAGATCCGTATGCCTCTGTTGGCAGCGTGTAAGTGAAGGCAGGTACGCCTGACCAAGGTGGTTACAATGAAGGTACTGACTGGATAGAACGAGCAGTGACTGGTATTGGTAAGAGACTTCAACCTGGCCTTCGGAAGGGAAGGGGCGAGGGCCACTGCTTATATACATGACAGAGTGCAGGGCTAGCGGGCGAGAGGTCATGACAAAGGAGTGAGGTCTTAGCCCGCTCGGTACGCGTGTGAGTTGGTTGTACGTGTGTGGGTGTGGGTTGGGGCTCTTTCCTTACACAGCGGCTGTGGAGCTTGATTTAACATGTCTATCTAACGCTACCCGTAAACCTGATTCTCATTTCCATCAAACCAATCAGTCCAGCAAAGCGAGGCTATGATTATATCGTTCTTTCAACATGAATATATATATTTTCCCGTATCCCAATTTTCATTACCAGCGCTGCGCAGAATCTCTTGACACAAGACAGAAAGCCTGGCGTACGCTCAAGTTTTGATCCCTACCTAGCCATGCAGTGAAAAAAAAGTGACAGACAAGGAGTAGAAAACGCCCGTTCAATGCCCCCGTATGTATAATAGTTGTGTTGGTGTGGTTGAGCTCAATCCAACAGTTTACTGTCGTGGTTTTTTTTGGCTGGTCATAGTGTGTGACATCGCCCCCAGGCTCCCGGCGTTCAGAGCTTCGCCTTGGGCGGTACCTCTTCTGATACGAGAACCACCACCGCGCAAATGTCGTCTTCTTTGCCGCCGCGCCACACTTCATACGGATAGTACTTCTTGACTTCCTTCGCAAAAGGTCCGTCCAGCTTGGAGTTCAGGCTGGCTGCCTTGGCGGCACCAACAATCTCCATCGCAAGTAGGCTCTGCAGTGTGGCTATGGGCCGTTGCTGCGTCCCTACTTTGCTGGCGCCGTTTTTTTCGCTGGCGGAAGTATCCATACTAGGCACCTTCACAGTGTCAAGCCGCGTGTACGGAGACAGGTCCAACGCCACCTGAACTCCAGCGTCTGTGGTCGTCCACGCGCCCGTATTGGCCATGGTGCTGCTGACAATGCGGAGAACATCCTGGGTAAACAAGTTGTCCCAGAGGCCGTCACTTGCAAAAATCAGCACGTCTCCGTGCCTCAAGTTGTGGCGCGTCACCTCGGCGTCCCGCGGCTGGTCCATCAGCCTCGCGCCGCCAAACGCGGCAGCCCGGAGCAGCATACTAGGTGGCACCACGCTGAGTTGGAATGGGGTGTTGAATGCGTGTGTCTGGGGCTCACTGGACGCGTGTACGCCGTTGAGCCGAAGAAGGATGTAGCCGCTGTCGCCCAGGTTGGCAACCTCCAGCATGCCCTTGTCGTTCAAGAGCCCCACGATCGCCGTGCTACCACCTGCTTTGATGGCCGGGTCGTGGCAGACGGCATCGTACCCCTTCTTCATAAGCTGGCGTGCCGACAAGGCCGGCTTCGCGCTGCCCTCTTCCGCTGGCCGGCACTCATATGCCGCCGTGGCCATGTAGTCGCAAAAGGCATGCGAGAAATCGGCCGGATCCACGCCGCTGTCCATCCACCCGCCCACGCCGTCTGCTACACCAAGAGCGACCTCGCTGGGGTTGGACCCGACTCGGCTCACGAAGAAGGCGTCCTGCCCAGACTCTGGCCGGGCGGATTTCTCGCGGCCCGGCTTCGGCGGATGCACTCGATTGTAGAGGTTGAAGTGGAAGACGTGTTTTGAGGGGTCGAACGGAATGCCCTTGGAGATGTATGACGCGGCAACATTGTAGACGAACTTGGGGTCGAGGGCGGTCTGCGCGGCGCGCGTCGTCGAGCTTTGGCGTCGGCTCTCGAGGTTGTATCCCAACAATCCCAGCTGGCGCCCAGCGGGCCTCGCAGGGCTAGAGCCGAGGGACGAAGCCGCGCGGGCAGCTGGCGACATCCTAATAAAGTTGATCGCCGGTCTAGAGAGCCGCGGCCTCGGACGGCATTGGAGCATCAAAGCTCGGGCTGTGCTGGGTCTGGAGGCCATTGTCTGTCGATTCGCGGACGCGGACGCAGACACAGACACCGACGGAGAGGTCGATGGTCGATGCGAAGCCCCAGCTGGGCTCGCAAAAGAAAGGCTGTTATGTCAAAGGCTTATATTCCAACACATGTTTGAGCAAAAAAGAAAAAAAAAACGCGAGGCTTGGCTTGGCTTCTTGCAACGGTCATCTAGAGTTTAGACGGTTTTCCGTCTTCCCACTGCACTGGGTCTCATCCTAACCCGGACGTGCAGTGGGGATCGGAATTTCCTGCAGCAGTGGAGCTGTGGGAGGTCACGTTCTAGCGTCCCATGGTTTAGGTTTTGCGCTAATCGAGCTAGCGCGCCCAGGCGGGAATCTGATGAGGTGCACTTTCAACGCTTTCCTCTTTTCGTAGGCCTGCAGCGGAGATAAAAGCACACTGACACGGCAAAAAACAGCGTCACAGGACAGATGCAGATGTGGTGCTACAAATACTCTTTCCTTGAGATGAGTTAGCTTATGGCTGTCTCACTGCTTTGAAGAGGATCCTCGTTATTAATAAAACACCTGACACATAGTCATAGCCGTTCATGTCCTTTGGCGGGCTTAGGTTGCCCGGTTTTACATCGGTGTACGGAATCTTCCGGATATAGAATAGAGTTTAGCCAGGGCCTTCTCAAGCGTTGTGTATACATAGAACACCAAGTACAAGGCGGTGTTCGAGATATAAATACTCTAGTTAAACCGGAAGACAGTGGTGGCTGCGTTATGTGTCTTTTTATCTTAAAATGCTACGAGGCGTCTTCTCGTTTCCCTGACGATAATGCAGAAGCTCAATGTGTTGACGCTATTGACGCAAAACCCGGACATGAAACAGGAGAGTCATTCTATCCTCGCTATTCAGAATTTCGCCACGTCTGTGAGAGGCTCCAGAGAAAAGACCTTGGATCTTTGATTAATTGGCCGAAATTTCGATGCTGCGTAGCTTTCGTCTCCGGGCCGCAAGTTGCTGAAACGGCAAAAGGACGTCTTGAAACCTAGCTATTTCATGTCCCCCCTCCTGAACCCCTAAACAGAAGCCGATGTGCGCCACTGCCGTCTCGCTAATCAATCCATGGCTTGGGCGGGGCCTTCTGCAGTGGCCCAAGCGGCAGTTTGCCTGTCCAACGCCTGCAAGTGCGAACCTGCACGGCCTGTGCAACGGTGCCTGCACCCAACCCCCCCCTCCCACGATCGGCTCCTCAGCCGAAGATCATTGAGAACCCGCGGTCATAAGCAGACTCCCTCCTGCGAGTCTTGGCATTATTAAAACCTCCCTCCCTTTTTCTCTGCAGAGCTTTACCGAAACCGCATATTCCGTATTTGTTTTCTTTTTTTTGTCTGCTGAATCGCCTGCTTGCAACTCGCTTCTCGACCTCGTTGGAAGTTCTTCCTCCAACTTGGCTCTAGCCGCGCATTCAGTTAGCCCATCTGGCTGAACCCCTGCCCACCCACAAAGCGACCCGGCACATCCCCTTCGCCATGTCCATCCTCGCGACTCTCGTCTCCCGGCAAAACCGGGATCGGGAGTGCCAGTTGACCGATGATGGCTTCATCGACGAGGACTCCTGCTACGTGCCGTTTTGGTACACGAGGGTCAGTACAGCCACCATCGCTTATATGACCATCAACTTTGCAGCAATAATACTAACACACAAGATCAGACGGGTGTTATCGTAAAATGGTCACTGTTTCTGGGCTTGACTATGGCCATCGCCCTGTATCTCCTGGTGGGATACCTGCATGCGAAGAAACGGCTGCAAAAGGGGCTTCCGCCTCTCGCGTATCACAGAGTACGTCAGCCCAAACCCCTTTCCCGCCTTATCTTGGATGGGCATGCCACAATCCAACAAGATCCCCGTGCACGCCACATAAGCCGACCTAGACGTGAAAGACTAACCCGTGCCGCAGTGGCTGGTGTCCCGGGCTGAGCGAGGCCGAGTTGACCCGCGTTTCCAACCCCCCAACGCGACGGTGCGCCCATACTACTACAATGCCAACGGCCAGCCCATCGACATGTACACGATGCCTCCGCCAGTCTACGACCCCAACACGGCTCGGCCGCCCAACTACGAGGGCCCACCGCCGGCCGGCTCGACCAAGGCGAATCCGTCGCAGTGGACCGAGTCGACCCAGCGACCAGCAGATGAGGAGTACGCGGCGCCGCCAGGACCGCCGCCTTCAGCCCTTGCGCCCCAAGGCACGGGCAATACCAACCCGTTCCGCAACTAAGCCGAGACAGTAGAGATGTTATCTGCCCGCATGAAAAGGAGGTCCGGCATCGGAGGTAGTGCTGACCTGCCTCCCCCTGCGGCCTTCCATCACATGGTAAAAAGGGGGACGGAGAATAGAATGTAACATAGTCACCTGCTTAACAGGTACCTCCTCTTTGTTTTCTGTCCTCGTGTTAAGAGCAGGTTGTTGCGTATAAACTGGGGGCGCATTAGCGTTTGGTAGATGGAAGCAATGGACATTCGCGGGTTTTGAATTTACACACAACCACTCGGCACCGGCACCGGTCCCGGTTTCGGGATAAGAATAACGGGGGAGGTGGAAACGGTCCTATTATTGCATAGAAGAAATCAATTAATTGTAAATTCCAAGTATACGTACATTGTAGAGATAATATAATTGGTGCGTGTGTTCCTAGCAAAGAAGCCAAGTTGTCGTCATAAACACCGCGCTTAGTCAATTCCGTCCGTAGTCACACCTGTGCACCAGTAAACAGTGAATTGATGAATCCCAACAAGCCAAAGCCAGACCTTTCTCTCAACTTCACACTTGCTTCAGTCAAGCTCCATTGCGTCCTGGTCATCACCGTCAGCTTGCGGGGTAAACCCTGACGTGGGGAAGGCCGGTGAGACGGCTGGGGCCTGAGTAAGCGGGGCCGGGACGGAGTGATAGCCCTCGCGGTGTGCCATCTGCTTCTCGCGGGCGCGGGCGCGGGCCTCGATGATGGCCTTGCGGACGCTGTCCTGCTCCTCGGGCACCGAGATGGAGTTGGGGACGCTGTAGAGGACGAGCTCCTTGCCGGCGAGCTCGGCGGCGTCGGGCCGGCCGGCGCTTGCGGCGAGCATGTGCGCGGGCAGGATGCTCTGCGAGCGCATGTGCTTCTCAATGTCGGGTAGGAACACGAGCTTGCCGCCGTCCTCGGCCTCGCTCTCCGACGACAGCTCGTCCTCCATGTTGTAGATGTACACCTTGTACTTGGAGTTGTCTAGCTGCATCATGGCGTCATCCTGTGCGCTTGGCGCTGGCTTGCGTCTGGTGCTGCTGTTGCCGCATTGTGATGTAGAGCTGGGCGTAGGGAAGGTAGCTGACTGCGCCAGAGAATTCTCGACCGGGACGTACAATTTAGTGCCCGACTTTTCTGCAGTATGAGGAAGCGCGTGAGCTTTGGTGTCGTGTGCTATACAACTCGGGAGGGAGGGGAAGGTAGGGTGGGTGGTGCGGCGACATAGCCTGTTGAACACAGGTTTGGCACTGCAGTGTTGCATACCTAGATTCAATAAGCTCATACGCTTCGATAACCGCTCATTGCTTTCTGGCTGCGCTTCGGCCCTGCGCTTGCGGCGGATTTGCTGTGGTGGTGATGGTGGTGGTGCGGCGGCCAAATGGTGGTGAGGGAAGCGATGGTCAATGCCGAAGGTGTCCATCTCCATGCTTTGCGCGACCAGTTGCGGTGCAGGGTTCGCCAGCATCATTTCCTTTTTTTCTGGCTCTTATTTCTACAACTCTTCCCCTCTCAATTGCCCCTCTTACCCGATAAGAGAGGTGCCTCAATGCGTGATCCAATCACTGCGCTCAAAGCATTAGTTGGAAAGCGATAAAACGAGCCGATGCAGCTCCGGTTGTGAATGGCAGGAAATAGGTACAGGTGCCGTGGTTGAAGCGTTATCGAATTGACGGATGAAGGAGTCGTTGTGGTGGTTGTGCTGGTCCTGGCCCAGGCGGTCCTGCCGGTACAGGAGCTGCGGCACAAGCTGTCGGGCAGCTTTTGTGACTTTGAGTCATTCGTCGCGAACCTTCCACCACAAAACTGGGCCAGTTTCGCCGCCTTCAAGCCTGGGGAAGTTTCGAGCAGTTACCACAACCCTCACCACCGCCTTCAGAACCACCACCGCCTTTCCTTTCAGATCAGCTGTCTCTCCGGTCCGCCTGCAGCAGCAGTGCATACAACACGCATTAATACTCGGAAGTGGTATCCGACCCTATTCGCAGCCCTCGTCTTCGTCTTCGCTGCCCGCCATGGCTGAAGGAGTCCAGTGGACTGGGCCCCTGGTCCGCAAGACCTTCTTGGACTTTTTTGCAGAGAGGGGCCACACCATCGGTATGCCACCATCGCGATGCGCCCACCTCGGGCTTTGCGCCCATCGCAGGACTGGTGCTCACGCTTGCAACTTTGATTGGCGTCTTGTCCAGTTGCCGTGCATCTGAGTTTTCTTGTTTGGAATTTGCGCTGACAGATTTGGCTTCTCTGCGCAGTGCCGTCGTCGTCGGTCGTCCCTCACAATGACCCCACTTTGCTGTTCACGAATGCGGGCATGAACCAGTTCAAGCCCATCTTTCTCGGCACCATTGGCAAGACGGAGGACATGGCCCAGCTCAAGCGTGCTGTCGATACTCAGAAGGTGATTCGGGGCTTTTTGCTACTGCTTTTTGGACATTCTCGTTGACAACTGCTGTCATGATAGTGCATTCGCGCTGGTGGCAAACACAATGTACGTTGTCAACTCTACCCCTCCCCCTTTTACCCCCAGGGCGCATGCTAATGCAGGTCAACACAGGATCTCGACGATGTTGGCAAAGACAGCTACCACCATGTAAATGACCCCCATAATAGCCCTCTTGCCGTGCGGTGAAGTAATAGATTGCAGTCTATTGTTAAGAGTTGACGCAAGATGAGTCATGGTTTACTGACACATCTGTAGACCTTTTTTGAGATGCTGGGCAACTGGTCGTTCGGCGACTACTTCAAAAAGGAGGCAATTGAGTGGTCCTGGGAGCTCCTGACAAAAACCTATGGCCTAGACCCGAACAGGTTATACGTTACCTACTTCGAGGGCAACCCTGCAATGGGTCTCGAACCTGACCTCGAGGCTAAGAAGCTATGGCTCGATGTCGGCGTCCCAGCAGACCACATCATCCCCGGAAATATGAAGGACAACTTCTGGGAGATGGGCGACCAGGGACCTTGCGGACCTTGCAGTGAGGTTCATTATGACAAGGTCGGAGGACGAAATGCGTCGCACCTTGTAAATCAGGATGACCCTCTTGTGGTGAGTTGGCAGCATCCCTATATTTCTGTCTGCAATAGCATTCGTAGGTTGCAGCTTGACTCACATTATACAGGTGGAAATTTGGAACAACGTCTTCATCCAGTTCGACAGGCAGGCGGACAAGTCTCTCAAGACGTTGCCCGCACAGCATGTCGATACGGGTATGGGATTCGAGCGACTGGTCTCCGCGCTCCAGCACAAATCATCCAATTACGCCACCGACATCTTCACACCCCTATTCGAGAAGATCCAAGAAGTCACCAACGCAAGGCCCTACACCGACAAGTATGGCAAAGATGACATGGACGGCATCGACACCGCCTACCGTGTTATCGCTGATCATATCCGATTGCTCTCGTTCGCTATTGCGGACGGTGCACCCCCAAGTAAGTTTGCGGAGTTCCGTCCTACTTTCTCCTTGCCCTCAAGTCTGAGTATGTGCTAATCGAAATGTTTCAAAAGACAACATTGGGCGAGGCTACGTAGTCCGCCGCGTCCTCCGCAGAGGCGCGCGGTATGCACGAAAGTACTTCCAAACAGAAATTGGGTCCTTTTTCTCCAAAATTCTACCTGCGCTAGTTGAGCAGATGGGCGAACAATTCCCCGAGCTCATAAAGAAGCAAGGAGATATCAAGGAGATTCTTGACGAGGAAGAAGTAGCATTCGCCATTACTCTAGATCGGGGAGAGAAGCAATTCGAGAAATACGCCCAACTCGCCATCAAGGACGGCCAGAATAAGCTTTCCGGAGCTGATGTGTGGAGGTTGTACGACACTTTCGGGTTCCCTGTTGATCTGACCAAGCTCATGGCTGAGGAACGTGCCCTCACTATCGACGAGGGTGAAGTCGAGGTTGCCAAGGAGAAGGCTAGAGAGGCCAGCAAGGCTGTCAAAGACGCAGTGCAGACTTTCACCAAACTCAACGTGCATCAAATTGCGGAACTAGAGAGCAGTCTCAACATTCCGCGCCCAGACTCGGAGCCCAAGTACCTGAAGGGCGATACAACGGGCAAGGTCCAACTTATCTTTACCGGCGAAGGGTTCCGCAAGACCAGCAAGGAGCTTCCACCCAAGACACCGCTTGGTTTGATTCTTGACAGGACCAACTTTTATGCCGAGTCAGGTGGCCAAATTGCCGACACTGGCCGTATTCTAATCGACGGCGTTGCCGAGTTCAAGGTTCTTGACGTCCAAGAGTTTGGCGGCTACGTGGTACACAACGGCTACCTGGAATATGGTGAGCTCACTTCGGGTGACGAGGTCATCTGTGAGTATGACGAGCTGCGGCGCCAGCCTATTCGCAATAACCATACTGGCACACACATTCTCAACCACTCCTTGCGGGAGGTGCTCGGCGATGAGATCAACCAGAAGGGATCCTTAGTTGACCAGGACAAATTGCGCTTTGACTTCAGCCACAAGACCGGGATTGCGCTCCCTGATATCAGAAAAATTGAGGATATGTCCAACAAGTATATTCAGCAAAACTTCAAGACATACACCAAGGATGTCGATCTCGACCTGGCGCGCCAGATTGAGGGCGTGCGAGCTGTCTTTGGGGAGACATACCCTAATCCCGTGCGGGTTGTGTCGATTGGAATTGAAGTGGACGAGCTTCTCAGGAACCCGAAGAATCCGGATTGGCGGAAAGTCAGCGTCGAGTTTTGCGGTGGTACCCACGTCGACCAAACAGGACTGATCAAGGACCTGATCATTGTCGAGGAGGGCGGAATCGCCAAGGGCATTCGGCGCATAGTCGCGTACACTGGTGATGGCGCTCACCAGGCCCAGCGTGAAGCTAAGGTATTCGATGAGAAGTTGGGTCATATCGCTGCGCTCGACTTCGGCCCTCAAAAGGCTGCAGACATCAAGGCCGCCGCGGTTGAACTCGACCGGCTGTCCATCTCGGTCCTTACCAAGGAGGAGCTTCGCACCAAGTTCACGCAGATCCAGAAGGAAGTCGTAGAGGAGCAGAAGAAACGACAGAAGGCCGAGAGCAAGACAGCGCTCGACACAGTCCAGGGGCACTTCAAAGAAGACAAGAAGGATGCCAAGTACTATGTCGGCCACCTGCCGATCTCGGCCAACGCCAAGGCGATTTCCGACGTCATGAACTACTACAAGACCAAGGACAAGGAGCGGACAGTCTACGTTTTTGCAGGCAGCAAAGACGACTCCGTCATGCACGGCGTATATGTTGGCACGGTAAGTTTGCAGATTGGAAGTGACTCTAGAGATGCAGCTCATGCTAATTCATGCAAACAGCACCTCTCATCTAAGGGCGTCACTGCTGAGCAGTGGACGGCTGCTGTGAGTGAAGTCATTGGCGGCAAGACGGGCGGCAAAGAGCCCAGTCGCCAGGGCGCGGGTGCCGAGCCCGCCAAACTCGAGGAAGCCGTCGTAAAGGCTGAGCAGTGGCTGCTTGAGAAGCTCAAGGACCTCAGTATCTGAGTCTCTCTTTCCTCTGGTGCCCTTTTCATGTTTTTATCTCGTGTTGTCAGGGCAGGGCTGGACGGTGATGGTTCGTCTCTCGTTTGGAGAAATGGTGTGATTTTGTTTTGCTACAAGTCCCTTACTGAAGGCCACAGGAAGGAGGCGAGTTATCCCAATATTTCCTATCGTGTATCGATTGATTGGTCTTTTTGATTCCTTATCTCTCATTCTCTTCGGAATAGACTGGCAAATTCGCTGCAAAGAAAAAAAACTTGGAGCAAAACACTTTAATTGCGTTGGGCGGTGTTAAGCGGTGAGTTGACAAGCACGAGTCTAGCTCTAGCCGAGCTGCTGTTTTTACTTTCTTGTAGTATTGACAGTTACTTGACTGTTGTCAGGTATCTGGAAAATAATACACGACTAAGTAGGCTTATTACATTTCTGTTTGAATGTATGTACAAGTATTAGAGAACACTAGATACTCTTTCGACCGTGACGGAGATGCGCTAGAAAGGCCGCAGGTACACCGACGCTACTTGTAAGAGACTTGTGCGCTTGGTGTTCTGGCCACCGAAAATGGCAGCATGCGCCAGCCGAATTCGGCGGCCAGAACACCGCTTTCTCCGTTTGTAGAGTATAATAACAACTGCAATATATATATACGCACTATATAGAGTTTTCGATTTTTGCTTTTACTTTGGTTTGGCTTCACAGAGTCGTCAGCACGCTGGCGTTCTTGTACCAACTCAGCAGCGGGTTCTCGCCCGTCTGTGTCTCCGTCTCCTCGAGGTAGGCCCACCGACGCATGAACTCCTCGTGCGACAGCACCCGTGTCAGCTTGCCCGTTATGGCCTGGTAGATGGCCTCGGCGCGGTGGAAGTCGGTCGGGAACATGATGTCGAAATACCCCTGGTGTACCTGCAAGAGTGGTTCCGCACGAGTTAGTTTCCTAGCTTTTTTGGCCTCCCTCATGGGTGACATTGGTCGGGATGAAAGCAGGGGAAAAGGGGAGAATGGCTTACCAAGGGCGTGGTGACGGGCACTGGCCGGCGCTGGTACCGGGTCTGCACGATGGGGGCGTTCAGGCCTGGGAGGGCGTTGGGCAGGGAGTGGAAGTCGCTCGTGACGAGGCGGTGGGCGGGGAAGTACTTGTCGAGGACCTCGAAGAACTGCATCAGGCGTGTGGGGACGTACTCGGGGTTGCTGAGGTTGGGGGCGCCGGGGCGGTTGGCGGCGAACCAGCGGCCTAGGCGGCTCGCCGGGTAGGGCAACTTGTAGCGGCCGGAGGTGGCGAGGTGGCGCACCTTGAGGAAGTGCGCCACGGTGGGGTCCAGCACGGGCACGTAGAACTCGAAGAAGTCGCCCGAGTCGTCGATCAGCACCGTGCCCTGCAGCGGCGCCTCCGTCTCGAGGTCGTAGCGCAGCACGTCGTGCGCGAAGTTGTCGAACACCTCAAAGGCCAGGAAGAAGCACGGCGACGGCACCACGTGCGACCAGTCGAAGATGCTCTGGTTGATGATCTCGACCTTGCCGATGTGGCCGCGGTTGCCGGCCGCCGCGGCCACCGGTGATGACGAGTGCCAGCGGGCGGCCGACTGCTTGAGCTGCGAGTCTTGCACGCCGGCCAGCTTGCTGCTGATCTCAATGATCTTGTACTGGGTGCGCGCGTAGACGTCGGGGTCCATGTCGCGGATGTAGTCGAGGATGTTGAGCATCAGCGTGCCGCGGCCGGCACCCATCTCGTAGATGATGAGATCGTCGTACGGGTACGTCGTCAGCTTGTAGTTGTCCACCAGGTACCGGGCGATGGCCTCGCCGTAGTAGGGGCGGAACAGCTCCGTCGGCGTGTACCACAGCTGCCGCGTGTCGGACGGCGCCGCCTCGTCCAGCCTGTCCTCGAACGCGCGGTACCGCTTCGACAGCAGCTCGTGGAACTCCATCTCGTCGCGCAGGTTCGGGAACTCGAACGGCTCGCCGGGGGAGAAGATGACGACCTGCTGGGAGAAGTAGCCGTAGTGCGGGTTGTAGAGGCTATCTGGGGGAGGGGGGAAGGGGTGCGAGGTTAGCAACGTGACGCGAGTTAGGGCCGGCGGTGACGAATGAAACCAACCTTCAATAAAGTCGCGCATGAACATCTTGACGCGGCGTGGGCGCTCCCTCCGGCCGCGCAACTCCTTTGCCGTCACCATGGGGAAGTGTTTGTATTCGTCGGTCATGTCGCGCTGGAGCAGGGCGGTGCGCTGCTGCCAGTTACTCTCGTTCCTCTGAATAGCCGGCCCCGACCCGCGCTTCCACCCGCTGCCGGGGGTCCAGAGGGAGCGCCGCTGCTGGTGGTGGTGAAAACATGGCTGTCGTCGGCGCACATGATGGGGGGACAGAGCAGCTGCGGACGAGCATGTTGCGAGCCTGGCGAGGTGCTTGGCGGATTGGTTCAGGTTCAGGTTCAGGTTCTGGCAGGCCGGGTGCTGGCGGAACAGCTGTCTGAACAGCTGCGTGACAACGGGAGAGTCCATTTTCCGCCGGTAATGCCCCCGATGATTCAAGGAGACGCCTGACCTGTTGGGGTCTATCAGTCACCGGCGTTTGGGGCCTGGCCGAAGCTGCAAATCATGTGCGTGACCTTTGCTGGTGCAACCCGCAGCCATTGATCCCCAGGTGGGACAGAGTGCTTTCGAAGATGGCCCGAGCTCCATGTAATGAGAGCTTGGCACTGGGCGGGCTCTTCTTCAAGGGCTGTGCGGCTTTGCCAGGGGTCTTTGCACCCATGCCGTTGGGTGTGTCAGATAAGCCTTGGCATTTTTTGCGTTGTGAGTCTGTGAGAGAGTGCCTAGACATTCGAGTTTAGGTTGGATATGACATCAGTCGTAAGCGCGCCCTAAAGAATTCTAAAGCAAAAAGAAGAGAAAGAAAAAAAAGCAACAGAGAAAAATCAAGACGAACAAGCTCAGCCAGGTACACGGAATACTATACGTATAACTACTCCTGGCACATATTACTTTCCCCTCAACCACATTACCAGGAGAGCTTGCGACTCAAATCAAGAAACTCGGCTTTTAAAGCAAAGCAAGCCCGCCTTCCCCAACACACAGGAGAAGACGAAGAGGAAGAACAGGAAATGCACTCAACCAGCGATCTCTGAAGCAGCCATGCCACTCAGCGACCACCCCCGTGCATATGGCACGGCCGCTCTGACGGTGGCCTTTGCAGCCGGCATCCTGGTCACGCTGGGCTTCAAGGACCTCTACCCCGAGCTCGAGGGCCGCTTCCAGCGCATACGGCAGGCAAGAGCAAGAAGGCGAAGGCGCGTGAGCACGAGCAAAGACCCCGCCGCTGAATCAAGACGGGGCAGCCTCTTCTTCGGCGGGCCTGTCACGCTCGAAGACCACGAGCGCGGCTACGGGAGTGACGACGACGATGATTCCTCCTCCTCCAATGGCAAGGAAAAGGAGTCCATCGTCGACGGAATCGAGGGCTGCATCGGCAGCACACCGCTCGTCAAGATCCGCAGCCTGTCCGAGGCGACGGGGCGCGAGATCCTGGCCAAGGCCGAGTTCCTCAACGGCGCCGGCGGCAGCCCCAAGGACCGCGTGGCGCTCAACATGATCCGCTCGGCGGAATCCCTGGGCTTACTGACGCCAGGCCGCGGCGACACCATCTACGAAGGGACCGTCGGCAGCACGGGCATCTCGCTGGCGGCGCTGGCGCGCGCGCGCGGCTACCGCGCGCACATCTGCATGCCCGACGACCAGAGCGCCGAGAAGTCGGCGCTGCTGCACCACCTAGGCGCGACGGTCGAGCGCGTGCCGGTCGCACCCATCACGTCGCCGCACCACTTCGTCAACCTAGCGCGCACGCGCGCCGCCGAGCACACGGCGTCGGCCGCCACGCCCACGGACAGCCGCGGCTTCTTCGCGGACCAGTTCGAGTCGCGCGCCAACGCGGCGGCGCACGAGGCCACCACGGGCCCCGAGATCTGGGCGCAGACGGGCGGCGGCCGGCTGGACGCGTTCGTCGCGGGCGCCGGCACGGGCGGCACCGTTGCGGGCGTGGCGCGTTACCTCAAGTTGGCGGACCGCAAAGTAGCAGGGCGGCAGGGGGCGTTACGCATAGTGCTGGCGGATCCGCAGGGCAGCGGCTTGTACAACAAGGTGAGGCACGGGGTCATGTATGCGGGGGCGACGGAGCGCGAGGGCACGCGGCGGCGCAGCCAGGTGGACAGCATCGTCGAGGGTATCGGCATCAACCGCATCACGGAGAACTTCGAAGCCGGGCGGGCGCTGATCGACGACGCTGTGCGCGTGACGGACGAGCAGGCGTGCCGCATGGCGCGCTGGCTGGTCGAGCACGACGGCATCTTTGTTGGCAGCAGCAGCGCTGTCAACTGTGTTGCTGCTGTGGCTACCGCCCTGGCCCTGCCGCCCGGCAGCCGCGTCGTCACCGTGCTGTGCGACTCGGGCACCCGCCACCTGAGCAAGTTCTGGAAGCGCATTGGTGAGATGGGGCTCGAGGACAACGACAACGACCGCGACGGTAACGACCCCGAGGCCGCGGAGCAGTCGGGCGACCTGCTCTCCATCTTAGGTCTCTCTCCGACGGGCACTAGCACGAGGTAGCAAGCAAGCAAGCAGTAGAGTGTACGTGTGTACGTTTGTATATATATATATATATATATATATTTATTTATTTATTTATCACTCATCATTACCGTTTCGTGATTCATGCCAAGTATGTTCGCGGGCAGCTGTGAACAAGATAATGTCCAACATCCCCCACAAGGAAGCAAGATACCCTCATCCCGGCACGCCACTGCCGTGCCGTGTCGTGTCCAGTCCCCAATAAGTCTATAGTACAGTACGGACTGTTGTCTAGGCTCTAAACCAGCCCGCCAATGCTCTCCGACTTCTGCTTCTTTCTCCGAACCCACCCAAGGCAAGAGGAGCGAGATGGGTTGTTGCGTTGCCGCTGCCCGGGTGTCATGCAAGGGCACGCTAATGTACCATCCTCGTGTGCGCGCTCCTTTGCCCCTGTACCTCCTCCGAGAAAGAATGAAGAACAAAAAGGAATACTAAAAAGAAAAAGAACAAAATAGAAAAGTCCGAAAACCGGAAAAAGCCCCAAGACTCCGTACCTAGATTTTCCGTGACTGAAATTCGGAGGACCTTCGTATCCCTCTAGTGTGAATGCTCCCTGAAATGCCACTCCGGTTGACTCCTGCTAGAAAATTGCCTAAGCGGCCTGACTCCTAGTGAAGCAAGGCAGACAATGTGTTGCCCGCCCCCGCAAGAAAAGAAAACAATGAAGGGAGAAATAATGAGAGCCGAAATTAAAACCACACCCTAATCCACCCGTCAAGCCATTGGCCAAGCCACGGCGATCTCCCGATGCTATAGGAAGGAAAATTGTCAAGGAGGATCGAGGCAGAAGCCGGACGACTGGCCGCCTACGAGAACTGCGAATTGGTCATGTTAGTACATGAGTAGCAAACCCAATTGGGGTGCGAAGGGGCGAGGGAGAGAAGCACTAACCTTCCAACGGTTTCCGCAGGACATGCACTCGCAAAACGTTGTCATCGGCTCATCAGCAGACCGAGTCTGGGCCTGGGTATACGACACCTTCTTCTGTCCGCACTTGCCGCACTGCAAGGCGTCGCTGATGGACCGCTCGGCCATGGGGACCTGGGCCTTCATCATGTTCTCCTTCTCAAACTCCTGGTCCTTCTTGCGCTGCTCCTCAGACGACAGCTCCTGGTCCGACATGACGACGAACTTGCTGGCAGGGATGTCGCCCGAAAGCACGCGGCGGCCCAGCTCGCGATTGTCCTTGCGCTTGAGGCTAGTGAAGAGGCTGCGGAGCTTAGCGCGGTATTTATCGTTCTCACCGTTGAACTTCTTGAAAGCCTCGTTCTCAACCTCGACGGCACGCGCCACAACCTCCTCAATCGAAGCGGTCGAGCGGAACGCCAGGCCATTGTAGAGCAGGCCAACACTATTGTCCCGCGACTGACTGCCTGTGCGCGCCAGGTCCACCTTGTCGACCTTGAAGTGACGCTTGGTGGAGTCGCCCTGGTACGGCTTGCTGTAGGACGACGGGGCCGGCGCTGGCGAGCCAACAGGCGCGGGAGAGTTTCTCATATCCAGCTTCTTTTTCTTAGCATCTTTAGCCGCATCGACCTTCTTTCGCCATTTGTGGACAATCTCCATGGCGGCTCGGCCGATTGCCTTGTCGCTGTGCGATCGCAGTTTGCCGATCGTGACACCAGCTTTGGTAGACTGTATTCGGCATGTAGTCAGCTCTCTGTTGCATTTCTAGGTAGAGAAGAAGTGGGGTGAGGGTAAAGTGGGTTGATCAAAGAAACGTACGCGAAGCTGCTCCTCGGTGGGAGCGGCATCGTTCTTCAGAAGCTCGAGGAGATCGATGATCGTGTCGGTCGGCTCGTTGGAAGCAATGGCCTTGCTCAGCTTCTCAATGCGCTTGGTGAGCTCCCGATGATCCATCTTGCGCTTTGGCGAAACTATCGTGACGGCGTTGTAGAGATTGAGGAGGTGCGAAAGTGCGGGAGTGAGGAGAGGAGGGGGGGGGAGCGTGTGCGCAGCACAATTGAGGCGATCGACGCGATCAAGGAAATCGAGGCACGTTCGTGCGCGACGAGTTGTAGAAGGTAGCCGTGTGGCTTGTATTAACACTGAGGCGGAGAATGTCAAATGCAGCGCAGGTCGCGATCAGTGCCGAAACGGGCGTGAGAGTGGCAGCTGTGAAGGAAGCTTCCTTAGCAGTCGCCGAGAGGTTGATGACGGAGGGAGAAGTAGCATCTTTTCCGCCCCACGTCTGAAAGAATAAGGCTGCTAGAGTGGGGCCGCCCGTCAGCGCATTTGCAGTTGACTGGCGAAAGTGGACCGTGCTCTGAGGTAAAGGGAAAGTGGCTAAGCTAGGTTAGGCTTAGAGTCTAGGCGTTTGAACTACTAAAACAACAAGGCTCTGTACTGAAGAGCTAGACCTGCAAGTTTAAGTTAGGACATTGGAATCGCTCTATAATGACTGAGTATGCATTCAAAATCTTGAGAGGGCCCTGAATTCATTTCGTGGCCCCCGTGTCACAATTAAATAGCCCTTTTCTGTACTGAATCCTTAATTGGTGTTAACACTCCATTCGCTCCCAAAGTGGACGGTAGGCCTGTGAGATTCAGCCGTCAATTCAACAACGGACCTTAGACGGGAATCTGACATCTCCCATCATGATTCTTCAACAAAGCCATCTGCATCTTTTCTTTTCCTAGTCTGCATCGAAGTCGCATACGTCACCTACGGTAGTTTTACCAAAGCAATAGCATTGTCCTAGCACATTCAAACCCCCAATCGACGAACAAGCTCCGTGTGCCCAATCAAGACCTGCTTCCTTCCCACTTGAACGATAAAGAAAAATGGCAGCAGCACGCTTGGATATATTGTATGACACCTTGACCTTATTATAATGGAACCTTCTTTCCCGTGCTTGGTCTGACGCTGTTTTTGCTGCTCCTGGTACCGCTGCCGCTGCTGTTTCCCTCCCTTGCGCCTTGGTCCCCGACCTTGGCCATCGTGACTGACTTCCACTCAATGAAGCACGAGAAGATGGTGGGCAGAGCGCCCAACGGGATGGAGATGGTGAAGACGGTTCGCAGTGCCTTGATAAGAAACATCAGGGGAATTCTTGTGATGAAATCCGCTTCGGCGTCGTTGGGAGGACCAGAATCTCTCCGTCGTTGCGTCACATCGGCCTCCGCCTTATTCTCGGTTTCTTGGGGAGTGGCCAGACTATCCAAATCGACTTGCCTCGTCGACTAATGGGCTTTCGCTCCAGGCTTTCCAGGATGCCGCTGCCCCCGCATGGGCGTGGTTGGTCTTCCGCTCTTCGTAACTGAGTCTGTTGGTGTTGGTGGTGCCGAGGCCAGATGACGCAGCGAGCCGCCAAGCACGTCCTCCATGAACTGGTTCCTGTCGCTGTTCCTTGATCTTTGTGTCTTGGACCGGACTGGGGGAGGGTTGCGTGATGGTCGACTCTGCGGGCTGACGCCGCTCCCTGCCTCCCTCGAGTTGTCCCCGCCATTTTGGTTTGGGTTTTCTTCTGTCTGAGACCCAAGCAGCCCTGCGGCCGAGCTTGTCGCACTCTTGCCGCGTGAGTGCTGCCACGAGGGCGTAGGGATCTGGGGAGGTGACTCTAAAGGAAGCTCCCACTTCTCCCCCTTGCTTCTTCGATCCACGGTGATGAGATGGCGGCGACGACGAGCCTAGACGAGAAGCAATCCTGTATTCCAATACGGCTGTCTTTCCGGAATCTTTCGAATCACAGAGGTTCCTCCTTGCTTGTCGGTTGCAAGGGCCCTGCGTTAACAGTCTGACGCGCTAGCCAATTGCGCCATGAGGGATTTGCTTGTTCAGGCGGATCTTGTCGCCTGTTTATGGATACTACACCCGGCAGACGAACCCGTATGGGCGGGCACCTCTCAGCCTGTGGATATTCTGGCTTGTTGGTGGAGACTGGACATGGAGAGTTTTACCTGCCTACCTCCCTAGGTAACTATGACACGGAAATGGCTGGGCTGCGCGACGAGCATCCGGCTATTGTAGACATTCGATAGTTGGTGTTAGCCGTCGAATGCATCAGAGAGGCAGTGCAAGAGAACAAACAAACAAACAAACAAACAAGCAGCAAACGTGGTTGGTGGGCTGGTGCGTGCGTGTTACACGCCCCTTTTCCCCGGCAGGTCAAGACTTAGGGGGGGGAATCAACAATATGAATAATGTCATACCCTACAACAACCCTTGAACGATGTAGGCAGGTCCAATAGAAACCGCCGCCATTCCCTCTGCCACCCTCCAAAAAGGGCCCGTTCTGAGACCCGGCACCTCCACGGACCCCGCCGTCTCTGCCGCTCCCGTTCACCCCGCCCGTGAACCCACCGTTACCGTTGCCGTTGCGTTGCCATTGCCGTTGCCGATGCTGCCATTTCCTCCGAAACCATCTTGTGACCTCCCTCCTCCGCTGTTGCCACTGCTTCCGAACCCGCCAGAGACAGAGCCGTTCGCGCCGCCTCCGACCTCAAACTCACCGCCACCACCGCTCATATCCCCGTTATTCACGCCGCCACCGCCTCGGTCAGTAGTCTAAATCCGCCCCCGTCCGCGCCCCTGACCCCCCCTTTCTCCCGGTCTGCTTCTATTTATCCTACTACCTACCGCCGCTAGTCCGAATCGACGTGTCGTTGATGGACGTGCGGTTGACGCGGATCGGGTCGCATACGCTGATGCCACGGCCGATGCATTCAGGCGCGTTGAACGTCGGCCGGAAGTCGATCAGTGGTGCGCCGCGGCTGCGGCTGGTGTCTTGGTTTTGGTCTTGCCTTTGGTTTTGGTCTTGCCTTTGGTTTTGGCTCTGGCTTTGGCGGTCACCTTGCCGTTGTCCCCGAACTATTCCTCCGCCGCCGTTGTTATTGTTGTTGCTATTGTTAGGTCGAAAGCACCCCGCGCGTCCCTCGGCGTGGTTGAGGATCTCGTCAAAGCCATCAAAGAACCCAGGAGGGAGCGAGCCAGGGTTGACGGTCGGGAACGCAAAAGCCTGCGCTCTGTCCATTGAAGAAAGCGGCGGTGGTGCTGTTTGTTGCGACTGGAGCGTATGCTGGCCCTTGCAGGTCGGGTGCGAGGACCGGCGCGGCGCAGGCCATTTGCGGCGGCAGGGAGAGCAGGGAGGCGACGAGGGCCGCCCGTGTTTGACCCATGCTTGCTGCTGTTTCCTCTATTTCCAATACTAGTGAAGCTAAGAGACACTGATAGAATAGCTCGCACAACCCCTCTTCTAGGCTCCTATTGTCTCGTATTATCGTAGATAGAAGTTTATGTCAGACTGGGTAAACAAATAATGGAAGCCATCTCAATGAGGCCTTGAGTTCTCTGCTTGCCCCTGATTGCTTCCAAAGACAGAGAAGAAGCTATCCTGGCCGAGAAGGGCCCTCCACAAGTCGGGAATGCTTTCAATCCTCTCCCAGTACACTATTACACAGTACACATGAGCCGGCCCAGCAGCCCCTGACTCGAACAGACAATTTTCTCAGACTAAACAAGGCCTCGCTCTTTCTCTCTCCTTCCAGCCCGCTAATGATTTCCCCCTCTCGAATGCCGTCGCCAAAAGTGGTAACAAACACAGAGGCCGGCAAAAAAAGAAGCTATTCGTTGCCCGCCGGCTCGCCGACGGCGTCAAACGCCAAGTCAATGACCAGCACATATTGCGGGCACCCAACGACTTTCTTCGGCCGCCCTTCACTAGAAGAAAAGCCACAAGCCAAGCCACTGACGCCCTCCAACTGAGGCCTAGCTGGCCGACGCCGGACCCGCATTCACTTCACTCCGTCCTCCGAAGGTCGACCCGAACCCACCTCCCCCAAATCTGCTCACAGAGACAGGACGAGATCCTACCGGTTTATTTCCCTCGGAGCTGCTTGCTTACCTTACCTAGGCCCACAGGCCAGGCCAGGCCACGCCACGCCCTTCGCCCGTATGTCTCCCTCCCCATTCCCTAACGCAGCCGAGTTGGCCCCTTGACACATGCAATGCACGCACTCTATGGGATGGGCTTCCTCTGCCCATCCCCATTCCCATCCCCATCCCCATCTCCGGGGAGAGAAAACACCGGCTCCAAGCCACGCTTCGCCCCATGGGCACGACACCACCCCCGTCTGTCCTAGCTCCAAGGGAAGTCGTAAAAATAGACGGCGAGCGGAAGCGAGAGAGAGACAGAGATGGCAAGAAAGAAGTATACATATAAGCCGTGCCATTCACAAGTCTAGTACACCTCCTTTTTCCTCTTCATTCCTATCACACACACATACAGACAAACACACAGAGTCAACCATCTTCTATATATCCATCATTCTTTGAGCCTAGCTGCTAATCTTTTTCTTTTCTTCCCCCCTCTTTCTCTCTTTCACTAGAAACCGTCCTTCAGACATTTTTCCCATCTCACAAGAAATATCCCCTTCAACAAAAATGCATTTCACCAAGATCTCCACCGTCATCGCCCAGGTCGGCATGACCACCGCCAGCGTACTCGCAGCGGGAGACGACGCGGGGTATACACTCGCCCCCTTTCTCCTCCTCGACTAGGCAACCGACTAACAGACCCAACATAGACAACAGGACTGGCGCCAGGCCAGGATCGCAGCGCTGCAGGCAGCCAGCGACGCCCAGGCCAGGTGAGAAGTTTTCTCCCCTCTCCCGAGAAAGACGCAAACAACCCTCACTAACACCGATACTTAAAAAAACCAGAGCCGCTGCCATTGACGCGCGCTCGCCAGCTATCACGCCGGCGCCGGCCCCGCTCGTCGTCGTCAAGCGGCACGGTGGCCACGATGACATGGACATGGACAACATGGACATGAATAACATGGCAGCTCCCGCGCCGGCCCCTGTCCCCGCCCCGGTGGCAGCCCCTGGCGTCGCTGAGGGCCCCGCGATGATGTCGCCGGCGCCGGCCCCCGCACCCATCCCCGCGCCGGGCAACGTGGCGGACTGGAGCTCGGCGTACAACGGGGCCGACATCGCGAGCTGGGAGGCGGACGCGGCTGCGGCGCAGGCGTCGTGGCAGGCTTACGGGTCTGCGGTTGGACAGTCGTACGCGTCGCAGTACGGAAACGCCATCGGCCAGTCGTACGCGGCGCAGTGGAGCGCGACGGCCACTCCCGCCGTCGCGTCGGCCTACCAATCGCTGTACTCGTCGCAGTACCAGTCGCTGTGGTCGTCGCAGTACGTGGCGCCCGCCGCCACCGCCGCCGCCGAAGGCGCACCCGCCGCCACTGGAGCGGTTGCAGCTGAGTCTGAACACGGACAGGGAGGATGGGCCGGAGTTGCCGGTGGCGCCATGGCCCACGGCACTGGTGCTGTCGGCAATGTCGGCGGCAACGGCGCTGCGAGGCCCACCCAGATGGTGCAGGTCAACGGCGGCACCGAGAGCGGCGCTGCGCTGGCCCGGGCCAAGGTTGTTGGTGGTGGGCTCGCCCTGCTGGCCGTCGTGTTTGGCAGTTTCTAAGCACGCCTTTTCCTACCCTTGTTTGTTCTAGAACAGACCAAAGGAAAACACATAATGGGGGAGCAGGGGACAAGCGAGAGGGTGGGATGGGCATGGGTGTTCTTGATCACAGATTGCTAGGAGACAGAAGCCCAAATCACAGCCCTCCCGCGGCTCCTAATTAATACACTATAGCTCTTAGTGATATGGAACATGTAATGGAGGATGGAAGTGCCATTTGTACACGGTAATAATATGTGGCATCATTCAAATATGAAACCGTTCCTTTCAGACAGAAAAAAAACGAGGTAGCCTACAGGCACAAGCACAGGATATTTGGTACACGACCATACAGAAGAGGAAAGAGAACACGCTTCACCGAGTCGCGGCTGCTTCCGCGGGTACTTCTGCTGGTGTCTCCTTGGGCACCTCCGAGGGGCCAACGGCGGGAGCTGCCTGGATTTTGGGCGTCGCAATGCTAAGGTGATATGTCTTGAGCTCCTCGTTGGTGATCTTTCCGGGACTCTTGACCATAAGGTCGTCGCCCTTTATCGACTTGGGAAACGCAATGACGTCGCGCAGAGAGTTTGTGTGTGTGAGGACGGCGACCAGACGATCGAATCCCAAGGCAAAGCCCGCGTGTGGCGGACACCCAGCGCCGAGGGCGGCCAGCAAGTGCTTAAAGAGGCCCATGCCTTTGTCGGTCATCTTTAGTACCTCCTTCATGACATACTCCTGCATCTTGGCGACATGAATACGTCGGCTTCCACCACCGAGCTCGATACCGTTGACAACCAAGTCATAGTGGTCGCCTCTAGCCTTGAGGGGATTCGTTGCCAGCAGCTCGACATCCTCGTCAGTAAGCGGTGCAGTGAATGGGTGGTGGGTCGCCGAGAATCCGGCTCCGCCACCCTGCCCAGGGCCCGACAATTTGTCGGGCGTGAACAGGGGAAAGTTGACGACCCAGAGAAACTTGAAGCTCAAATCCCTGGGTAGAAGGCCGCTTGAGACGGCTCTCTGGTAGACTAGGTTCCGAAACGTACCCAATGCCGTCGCCCCGCCTTGGAACGCTGCGTCTCTGCGGGCCTGGAAGACGACGACGTCGCCATCCTCCAAATCTGCAAAGTCTTCCAGGCCAGGGGCCCCACTTGTAAGGCCCTCGAAGCCTGCATGGCCGAGGGACGAGAGACCACAGAGCGGCTTTTTGGTGTCAAAGACGAGGGCGACTGGAGCACCGCCGCCGAATCGGGCAGCTTCAGGGCCAAACGCCTCGATACACTCGGTAGTAAAGGGGGAGATTGGGTTGGAACTGGCTTCGGCTTCCTCCTCGGAAACCAGCTGAGGGCGAAATCTAAAAGCCTCCACAACAGGGCTCTTAATGTCGGTGATCATCTGGACAAAGGCAGAGGGCAAGACTTGATCCACTCGTCGAATCTGAAACCATTAGACTTATTTGTTCAAAGGTAAGCGGACCGGCAGTCGGGACCTACCTCAAACTGAATTCGCAAATCTGGCTTGTCCGACCCGAACCTCGTCATGGCCTCTTGGTATGTGAGACGGAGAAATGGAGAGGGCATCTCAGGCCACGACAGGTCAAGCTTCTGGCCCTCAGGCTTTTTCACAACTTGTCAGCAACGTACACCCATAACCCTCGATACTGGAAACATACCTTGCTCCATTTGGGGATGGGAAAGACATCGTCGCCTTGTTTCGCAATATTGAACTGGGCGTTTAAGGCGGCGGGCAACTCAGAGACGAGAGACTCGACGGCTTGCATGACATCTTGGCCAGTTGCAAAGGCCATCTCCAGATCAAGCTATTTAGAGGGTGATAAGCACAGGCATAGATGATTCAAAGCTGCGGTTGTAGGTACCTGTGTAAATTCTAGCTGGCGGTCCGCACGCAGGTCCTCGTCACGGAAGCAGCGGGCAAACTGGTAGTAGGCGCGAACGCCACTGGCCATGAGAATCTGCTTGTACTGTTGGGGGCTCTGGGGCAGGGCGTATGCGAAACCCTTGCGTCTAGTGGGGACGAGGAACTCTCTTGCTCCTTCAGGGGTAGACTTGAAGAGGATGGGAGTCTCGACCTCGGTGAAGCCCTGGCTTTCAAGAGACTTCCTCAACTGAAAAGCTATCTTTGGGCGGGCCAAGAGGCGCGAGCTCAGAGGCTGGGAAAAGCGTATCTGCAGATGGCGCGACTTTGGAGGAAACTGGACGTTTCTTGAGACGATGACCTCCTTGGGCCAGACATTGAGGGCTTGGACGGCTTCCAGATCCAGGTCGATTTTGGTGACACCGTTGGGGAATCTGCCAGACGGTTGAGCACCAGCAGCCAAGTCTTTCTCAGAAATGAGCTCGGTGACTGTGCCCGTGACCGAGACCGGTGCGTTGAGAGGCACCAACTTGAAGGCCTCACAAGCCTCGGGCCCTTTGACCGTGACCTGGAAGTGCGGACCGTGCTCGACGCGGATGTTGGCAAAGAGCAGGTTCTTGTGCAAGATTCTCCGCGCGCCGAGGAAGCCATGGACGACAACCTGGTTCCCGACAGCGAACTCGTGGGCTTCCGAAGCCTTGGAGAAGTTGTCTGGTCACCAGCGTCAGCATCGGTCGAGCAGCCACTCACCCCAACTGCCTGCCTGGGCAGGAGAGGGCTCAAGAAACCTGTAAAGACTGTAAAACGTACTGTACTGGGACCATTCCTGGCGCAGTTCCTGGCCGGCCAGTTTCCGGAAATCAAGCTTGGTGCTTGCTGGACCTTGAAACGCTCGAGATGTCGAATTATCATGGTCGTCTCTGGTGTGCATGAGACGATGCTGTGAAAAGCGAGTCAGAGGCTGCCATCCCCTGCTCTGGATTTGCATCAATTGGGATCTGCATTGTGCTAATGGCCCATTTGACTCGAGCTTGCAGAGGCGCCTCAACGAGACGCGTGGCTGGGCCATGCCTTGCTTCGCAGCTTGTGTGCGGAGCAAAGTCGCTCGAAAGCGAGCTTCGAAAAGTTAGCCGTGAGCGAGTCCGTCAATGAATTGACCCATTGAGTCCATCGTCACTGAAGTCCCAGGCCGGCAAGGCCCAAGCTTCAGGTGCAGGGGTACCTAACTCTGCAAGGTTCAGCGGGCTGTTCGGTTGATTTCTCGCCGAACAGAATTTCCTATGTTAAAAGTGGGTCTGTTTAGTGCTCCACTCTTGCAGCGAGACCTCAAAACCAGTTCGCGGCGAAAGATCTTAGAAAATTTCTTCTTCTCTTCTTCATCCTTCCAAATTCAAAACAATGTGAGTACACCCAGTCCGCCCTCCCGCGCAAGCCCAGTCGCCGCAGAACTCGAATGCATGCTAACCGTCTCCGTCTAGATGATGAAATCCAGCGTGTTCATATGATGAAGCTTCCCGTCTTCTCGAACTTCCGAACTCTCCCTTTTGGGGGCTTAAGTGGTTTGGCTGCGAGAGAAGGCAAGGGAATTATGAAATAAGCGTTCGGCACACCGACCTTGTTACTCATCGGACGCAATCATGGTACTCTGACCTCATTTGAATTGGAAGCCTCTTGATCTTAGTTCCTAGCAATCTCGACTTGAACGTCCACCTCCCTACCTTGTGGTATTTGGCCTGCCACTAGCCACTATCCCCTCTCTCATGTTGCTCTGGTTTTTCATCTACCCCGACCGATACCTGTTTTTCTTATAATTTGCAAGCGACCGAGGTCCGAGTCGTTAGGCACTGCCTGGCAGAGGATTACTTGTAGCCACTTTTCATCTCCAATATTCAAGTGGAACCATTTCTCGAGATGTCTCTGCCTTGAGCCAAAGACCAGCGATGAACTATGGGTAGTGAGCGGGTCAGTGCTCGTTCTGCCATACACCGTGGAGTCTAGCACAGACAATCGGTTATTCGCATATCAGGACATGTACAAATATTTTTGAGTTGAAATCAGGGAATGAGAGCTCAGAGATGCGCTCTCTTTGGAAACCGTCTCTCTCCGCTCTTGGGGGTGGGGCAGGATGCTGAGCGAGACGTATACCGTACATACAAACAGACAACAATCAGAAATCTCATTGCGAAAACAAAGCATGCGGCAGCCCAGTGACGTCTGAATATTTGTAATACATTGCACGGGTTAATACGACACATAGGCTGAGGCGTAGAAATCCGCCTTCCCTGATTCAATGACTGTAAGCAATCTGAGATCTGAAAGTGGCTGAGTGTGAGGTGCCCGCCCGTCCCGCCGCTTGATTCATGTCCTTGGGGCGACCCAGTCAGCACAGGGGGTGTCTACACAGTACCCGCACCTTGGGCGGTTTCTAGGGGGGGGGGTTCCAAAGGCCGTGCGTGCGCATGCGTACACTATTCCAATTCCCTCCTTTGTGACGCGGGACCTGGTTTTTAGGCCCATCCATCAAAGAACGAGCATCCACTGCCGAGGAGGCTGTCCAACGACGCACCACGCTCGCTGCCAGTGGCCCTCTTAAGGCGTAGGCCAGACGCTGCCCGACCACGACCTACTACAACCTACTACGACCCAAACTAGCAGCTCTCCGATAATTCTCCCTTCCACTCACTACAGCAGATCTTTACAGCCATCATCGAATACGACGAGGCATTACGGCCCGACGTCGGTTGCGCTTGCGGTCGAGCCGAACCAAATAGCGAGAGGCAGAAACCGGTACCCAGGAGACGGGCATTCATCAAAACGGGCCAGGCGCCTTGATCCCCCCCAACGCGATCGAGCGATCGGGCGCAACGAATCCAACGAGCACCAGAACGCGCAGTCTGGTCGCCCAGACTTGTGTGGCCAGCTCGGAATACCATGGCGAGCTCCTTTGAGAAGTCGGTCAAGGGCGCGACCAAGATCAAGGTCCGCTAACCCCCCCCCCGGTGTGCTATACCTTCCTCGCGCTACGAGTAGTTGCTGATGCATGTCCTTCCGAGCAGGCCGCGCCCCCCAAGACTAAGTACATCGAACACATCCTGGTCGCGACACACTCGGGCGAAGCCGGCGTGGGCGAGGTATTTCGGGCCCTGCAGTACCGGCTGCGCGACTCGACATGGACCGTCGTCTTCAAGAGCCTGATCACCGTCCACCTCATGATCCGTGAAGGGTCGCCCGATGTTACGCTGGCTTACCTCGCGAAGCACAGGAACATGCTGGCTGTGAGCATGTTCTCTGATGGTTAGTGATTGGCGATTGCGGGCCGCTGAGTTGTGGCCGTTGTGTCTGGCGGGTGCAACGAGCGCTAACTTGTCCTTGCTCAGGGCAAACCCAAGGCCGAAATATCCGGCACTATTCGAATTACCTCTCCGAGAGGGCGCGCGCGTACCGAGAAACTAAGATAGACTGGGTGCGGGCCAAGGAGGCGCGGCTGGAGAAGCTTTCAATCGACAAGGGCCTGCTGCGAGAAACGGAGACTGTGCAACACCAACTTACGGCCTTGTTAAAGTGCGACGTATGTTTTGCTGTCTCTGTACTTGTCCGTGTCGAGGCGCGTTCCTGACACCCAAACAGGTTATGGAAACTGAACCGGAAAACGAAATTACCGTGACCGTCTTCCGGCTGCTCGTACTAGATCTCCTCTCCCTCTTCCAGTCTCTAAACCAGGCCATGATCAACGTTCTAGGTAAAGCCCCGCCCTGTTAACGAACCCGTGCCCGACATTGGAGAGCTAACCCCGATGGCAGGCCACTTTTTTGAGATGTCAAAAACAGATGCCGAAAGAGCTATGGAGATCTACCGAACGTTTACACGACAGACCGACTTCGTGGTGCAGTACCTCAGTATTGCGAGGCAATATGAACACCACACAAGAGTAGAGGTTCCTAAGTTGAAGCACGCTCCTGTGAATCTAGGGCGCCAGCTCGAAGAGTACCTGAAGGATCCCGACTTTGAGATCCACAGGAGACAGTATCTGGCCGAGCTCGAGGCCAAAAAGTCAAAGGGTGGCTCGGCTGGGATTTCAAAGATCTCTAGGAACGAGCCTGCTTCCAAAAGTGACACGGCGAAAGCGTTCTCGAGCAGCACGAACGGGACACCACAGCTCGATTCTAAACCGGTTCAGACCACCAAGCGCCCAGACGCAGACCTTATCGATTTCTTCGAATCTATCGAACAAAACCAGACGCCAATGTTTGCGCAGCCAGCCCCTCCAACGCAGGTTCAGATGGGGATGTCTCCTTGGGGGCCTGCTCCCTTCCAAGTACAACAACCGACCCAGTTCGCGCCCAACGGCTTTGCCCCCCAACAAACTGGGTTCCCCACGAACAGCCCTTTCCAGCAGCAGCCTGCCGGGAATTTTGCTATCCAACAACTACCCCCGCAGATACCTCAGCAACAAATGCAGCCGGCATTCACAGGGGCTGGCTTTGGGGGCTTCTCGCCTCAGCCCAGCTTCCAACCTAGTTCTCTGGCCCCGATACCCCAGGATTCCGTCGCCAGCTTCCAAACTGGTGCACCCACAGGCTTCAACACTCTCCAGACACCTCAACAAACAACAAATCCCTTCAGGCAGTCCATGCTCATGAGCCAGCAGACGGGCTTGAATTTTGCAGCCGCGCCTGCGCCTGCACCCGCAGCCGTCCAGCAGCGTCCGTTGACGAGCCAGTCTACAAATCCCTTTGCCCGCTCATCCCCACAACCAGCCCAGCCGTTTGCCTCTCCTAATTCAAACTCACCTTTCCAGTCTCCGTCCCCCCAACAGCCGCAGCAACCCATAGCGGCCCCGCTCCAGTCGATGGTAACGGGCACCAACCCGTTCGCAAAGAACTATGCCCCGTCCCAGCCGGCGCCTGCGCAGCAACAGCAGCGCCCCGTCACCGCTGGCGGGGCGCTCTCGTCGCAGCCTACGGGCAGCACGAATCCGTTCCGGCAGGGCGCGTTCGTCAACCACGCAACGGGGATGGGGTGGCAGCATAACCAGACGACGATAGGTGGCGGCCTGGACCAGGTGGAGACGATTCCTGTATTCCCGAGGCCAGCGCAGCAGACGCCTTGGCAACAGTAGTTGAACGGGGTTTTGATTTTGTTTAGAAGTTCTCGTTCCTGCTGGCTGGCCTTGTGTGTATTGCTCGTTTTTTTTTGCATTGCATTGCTAGGCATACAACAAGCCTTCTTGTTTTTTAATGTTTTTTCTAGAAAGAAAGGGACTAAATTTGATTCTTGCTACTCAGTTAACTACCCCCAACAACCTTTTTTTTTTAAAGACAATCCGGGCTTAGCGTGATTCATTGTTTTGTTTTGCCCTGTTCTTGTATTCACGGTTCAGTTAGGTCATGGGCGAGCGAAGAAAAACTACCTAGGTACGTAACTAGGTGGCGAACTTGACGCATTCCCTCCCGCAGCTGGACTTAATACCCATTTATTTATTTTTGCACTTCTCTTTTCGTTTTATTTTTCGTATCATAGCAGCCGTTTTTACATTCAATACTGAAGAAAATTGTTCTATTTTATGTTTGTGGATGTGATGAGATGAACAAACTTCCAAGAGGTGTACTTTGGGCCTGGTCTGGCTTATTGACTGAGTGGTGGATAAATGAATGATAGACAGGAAAATGGGTTTATACATAAGAGCCACCACCTGGTGAAAAAAGGCACGTGTGCGAGGTTTGACTATATGCGGTCGTGAAACTGGTAGCAGCGTGAAAGACTATCGTACCTAGACATTATAGCATGTCTAACCTTGCTTCCTCAGCAAGGAGAATGCCATTTGTTGACTATCTACGGATCGATAGCTTCATGTTTTTTTCTTCTTGGCTCTAAAACGGCATGGGGATTATCAGCCCCTTTCCCTCCCATTATGCTCCCCTTTTCCCGGACCGGGTGTGTGTATGTAAAATTCCATCCGGTTGTTGCTAAAACGCCGACGCTATGCTCTCTTCCTTGTCCTCTTATTGAAGAGATGAAAGAGGATGAATAAGTGACAGGAAAAGGTAAATACAGGCCCCGTGGGCTGGCTGTTGTCAATCTAGCTCCATCCTGTCGCCGACGGCGGCGATGCCGGCGCCAATGGTGGCGACCTCGCGGGCCGACAGGCCGATGCCGACCTCCTTCTCGTCGTCGACAAAGACGCCCAGGCCCGCAAACGCCTCGAACATGGCGCGGTGCGTGTACTCGTTGAAGGTGTAGCCACCCGTGGCGTAGCTGCGGTCCAGCCGGTACTTGTTGAGCCACGGGTGGTCGAGCCCCTCGCGCACCCGGTACCGGCTCGGCACAAAGTCCATGCCGCCAAACGGGTCGTACGGGCCCTCGGCCGCCGCCGGCTTGCGCTTCTCCTTGAGCCCGCGGATCGAGAGCCGGCCGACGTCAGCCAGCGCACCCGACGCTGATGAGAATGATGCTGATGCTAGTGATGATCCTGCTGCTGGCCCCGCTGCTGCTGATACCGCCGAGGGCTCGAGAGCTGCTGCTGCTGCCGCCGCCGTGGCCCGGTTGATCTGGCCACGCCTCTTGAGTTGCACGCGCTGGCCGTCGCCACCGCCGGGGGCAGCACCCTGGGCGAGACTGTCGAGCTCGGCCTCGCGCGAGCGGGCGCGCTCGACCTTCTCGTCCTCAGCCTCGCGGAGGGCGTCGACGCGGCGCTGGCGGGCAGCTTCGCGCTCGGCGTTGACGCGGCGGCGCGTCATCTCGTCGGCGTCGCGGCCGGCCTTGCGATTGCGCTCGATCTCGGCCTTGTGCGACGCCTCCCACTGCTGCAGCGTGGCCTCGGCGTCGTGGCGGCGGGCGTCGGTGCCCGACACGAGGTCGAAGGTCAGGTCCTCGACCATCTGTAGGTAGTTGTTATAGTCACGCAGCGTCTCGAAGTCGTCCTCAACGCGGTTGAAGACGGCGGCCACGCGCCGCCGGATGTCGACCTCGCGCTCCACCGTCAGGTCGCCGAAGAAGGCCGACCGGAAGCCCTTGCGCCGCAAGGTCTTGTGGCACCCCGCGTACGGGCACTGGTTCGGCCCGTCGTTGAACAGCCGGTTGACGCAGTTACTGCACATGGAGTGGTAGCACTCCGGGTTGATCAGGAATTCCATGTCCTTGTTGAGGTACCGGATCATCTTGCACACCGGACACATGTCGTCCGACGTCAGCACCGGCATACCTCTTGCCGACGCCGTCGCCCCGGGCGCGCCGGCGGTGCCGCGGGCGCCAATCGGAGCCTTGCGCGACATGGCTGTGAATTTTCGTTTCTTTTTTTCCTTCTCTTCTTTGGTGAGATGGGAAGAATTAATCGCGACGACTTCAGCGGGCGCGCGCCTCGGTTACCTTACGGCTGGGTAGAGGGGACGCCTTCTGCTTCCCGAGCACAAATAGACACGGCGGCCGTCGTCACCATATAAGGTTGGTGGGAAGTGTCGGTTATTTGAGCTCGTTGGGCATCAGGTCGACGTTGAGCAGACGTTGCCCAAGTCCCGCGATTCGAAATACTTTGAATGAATTACTGAACCGTCAATTACGGAGACAGAGTGTAGCGCCAAGACAAGGCTGAACAAGCCTAGTGGGTCCCTGCTTTATGGTATGTGGGGTCTTCTCAGCTGGTGTGGCTAGTGCGGGGTTGAGCTTTGGGGGGGGAAAACTCATTGCCCCGCCATGGGCCTTTGCGTCAGCCTTTCTGTCGCTTGGTTGCGGATTCCACAAGCTTCCAAAGCTTCTCTTCTCCAGGAAGAGAACCATTCCAAATAACCAACACTCAAGCGTATATCCTATTTACTTGCAGGATATTCCGGGTCTAGCTTGTTGGCAAAGCAAAAGCCATCATGTCTGACAACGGTATGTTTTCCTCGACCTTACTTCTCTCTCCCCCTCTATCTGTATAAACCCCCAAGTCTTTGCACGCTATTGCTCTTAAACACTATAAAGATAGCTTGCTAACAGCCCTCAAGCACCACCAGAGCCCAACCCGGCAGAGGAGGCGGCTGCGCGCGCCAAGGAGAAGGCCGAGCAGGACGCGCTGCCCTACAAGTGGACGCAGACCATTGGGGACCTGGACATTACGCTCAGCGTGCCAGGAAACCTCAAGGGCCGGGACCTGGTGGTGGACATCAAGAAGCAGTCGATATTGGCCGGCATCAAGGGGCAGGAGCCTATCATCAAGGTAACAACACACGTCCTCCCCCCCATTTCAAAAAACTCCCGCACCGCTAACTCTCTCGCCTCTCCTCCAGGGCGACCTCCCGCACGCGATCCGAACCGACGACAGCACGTGGACGCTCACGGCGGCGCCGGACGGGACCAAGACGATTGAAATTCACCTGGACAAGGTGAACAAGCTGGAGTGGTGGGCGCACGTGGTGACGGACGGGCCCAAGATCGACGTGACCAAGATTGTGCCTGAGAACAGCAAGCTGTCGGAGCTGGACGGCGAGACGCGCGGCATGGTGGAGAAGATGATGTTTGACCAGCGCCAGAAGGAGATGGGCCTGCCGAGCAGCGACGAGCAGAAGAAGCTTGACATCTTCAAGAAGTTCCAGGAGCAACACCCCGAGATGGACTTTAGCAACGCGAAAATGAACTAAACCAATCCGAGAGACAAAAAATAAGACGCTCTCGCAAGTAAATAAATAAATCATGAACAATAAAAAAAGTGAGATTATGGGCACATGATATTTCCGCAGACAGACACATCTTTTACACCCTTTACTATCAGACAATGAAATAAATACACAGGTAGAGAATTATACATATTCAGGCACAAGGTAATTGCAGTCAATAGGATAGTGGCGACTTGAGCTATGCAAGGCACCCATCTATCCTTTGTCTCTGACGAGGAATCAATCATTATTGCCATACCTATGCTTTGTCATCTGGATGTGGCAAAACATTACCATCTCTTCATAGAGGAACCGAGATACTACCGTGTAGCATATCAAAGTGCACGTTGGATTGCTGGGAGGGGAATGTGAGGGGTGAAACGAATCACCAAGACGACGGAATAATTGTCAGGGTGTCAGAGAGCCCATCAGGGTTTGATCTTGGAAGCGCGCAGTAATGAGAATGCAGATGGAGAGCTGCAAGCCATCAATTGTTAAAAAGCGTTCCGTGTGAATGGGCCCGCCAGAGGCGTAGCGCACAAACATGATTTGAGGTTTCACTGTATATCTGTCTTAACTCAGTAGGAGACTAGCAAATGGATGAGGATCAAACTCTCAGGGCGCGAGGGTGGAAAAACGAGGTCAAGGGGGAACGTGATGCTAATCATGAATTTCCGAGAAATTAGAGAAACATCGCTGCCAGTCAAGTCCAATTGGCCTCGACCAAAACACAAGCCCTGAGGACCGAGGACAAGAAGCCCCGGCCCTATGGCTTGGCCAGCCTTGCCGCCTTGAATTTGCTCATACGCTTCGGTCCGCCCTCTTCTTCGCCGAGGGGAACAATTTCTTGCTCCTCTTTTTTCATGAAGCCGCCTTCTTTCTGTATCATTTTGTTTCGTAGTCGGTTGTACTCAGCCGCTGCGGCTTGGTATAAGAGGACATCATCCATGTCATCAGGTCCGTTCGGCTGCGTAGAGACATTTCGCTCAACGACAGTGTCGGCAATAGTCCGGCCTTCCGGGGCAGCAGGTAGCGGGGGAGACTCTGGTCGGCTCTCAGTGAGGAATTTTGCGGGCACTTGGTGAGGGCCGCGAGGAAGTGTGGGTATTGAGGGCACTGGAGGCTTTGTGCTAATACGCTCTTTCTTGAATTTTGACACCCGCTTCGGGGGCTCCTCCTCGGCATCATCAGGTGATTCAAACGTGGTCATCTTCTCGACAACATCAGCAATGGGACTAATTGTTGCCTCCTTTGGCCGAAGTGCTAGTGATGTACGGGAGACACTTTCATCTGCAATGTCCAGCTCCGGGGCAAACTTGACACTCTTGGCAGTCTTTGCCTTCTTGGAAGGTTTTGCAACTGCCGAAGGTGGTGCATCGCCTGGTGTTGAGCTTGGAGTCCCGACGACGGAAATCCGGCCAACGCCAGCCACGGTCTCGTCTAGGTTCCTTGGCCGCGACTCGGGGCGCTCGACGGTGAAGGCGGACTTGACTCCAAGTCGCTTCTCAAGCTCCTGCATGCGCTTGATATAACCGCTAGTTATAACGCTGTGTTTGGAACGTCCGAGTTCATCCTCATCCTCATCTTCGTCCTCGTCATCGTCCTCGTCATCCCAGTCTTCATCCTCCTCGTCAGGAGTGCCGTCGTCCAGCTCCAGCTCGGCAACTACTGGGCCAATCTCAGACATGCCGTACTGGAGCATCTGACGGCGCAGCTCGCTGTCCTCGGCAGGCTCATTGTCGGGGATAACGGCTTTGGACAAATCGATCGCTTCATATTCCTTGGCCTTTTGCATGATCTCCTCCAACTTCCGAGCCGCCATCGACTTGGGGGGTTGGTCGCTAACATTGGGTGGCTTTGTATCTTGGGAAAATGAAACGTTTTTTTTTGTACTCGGCAAATCGACTTCAGCCGGGGTAGTACTAGGGGTCACCACAACGGAAGGGGGCACGGGAGATGCCAACTCGGCCTCGGGAGCCTGCCCCGTCTTGCCGATTGCGGGAAATGTCCGGTTGTTGAGCAGGTCCGCCTCGGTCTCGGGGATGTCATGGATGCCCGCCTTCTTGAGAGCGTCGAGGACCTTTATGGGCACGTCGCTCCCCGACTGCAATCGGAACTCAACGACGTTGTCGTCATCGTCAAGCTCCTCGATTATGTCAGTGATGGGCAACCCGCTATCCTCGTCGGTGTCGGCGCCAGGGTATGCGACAATGGAGACAGCGGCTAGCTTGTTCTCCTCGGCCTCGATGAGCTTTTCCAGAGACTCGATGTTCTGCTCGACGTAGTCAGTGCGTCGCGAGAGAACACCGATAATCTGCCCGCGTTCATTGAGGTCATTTTGACCAAAAATTTGACCGATCTCCTTTTCGGTCAGGAGATCGCTCTCAAAGTCACGGCGGATACGGGCAAGCTCCTCGCGCGGGGACGGGTCCTTGGACAGCTGCTCGACTTCTTCCTTGAGCTCGGAATATTCGAGATGCCATTTCTGCCAGACAGTGAGAGACGTGCGCAGCTGGTTCACTTTGTCTTCGAGTAGTTTTATGTGCCGGTCGAGGTCCGAGAGGGAGTCTTTTGGCAGGCTCATTTTTCCTTCTTTTGTCGCAGGCGGTAGAATACTATTAAGAGTTGAGATTTAAGAGAAAGAGAGGCGAAGCATCTGAAAAGCCTGAAATTCGCGACCCGGCGGGGCCTGTCGCTTAGGTAACTAAGATGCCTAATCCGCAATTGTTTTAGTCTGCGGTTAATTGTGGGTCGCTGGAGAAGAAAAGAGGAAAGAAGAAATGAAATCAACTTTAAATGCACGTTCGGAAGGCACGTTCAGAAGTCTGATTCAGTTGCAATACATAAGCCCCAGCAGCGGCGTCCCAGATGTCAGGTGGTGGCTATAACGATTACAGCTACCGTCAATGAGGCTCGGAAGACTGAGGGATTAGTACGGAATAAATACCTAGATACCACCATTCTTCCAGGACATTCACTTCGTATTTGGCGAGTGACTTAAGGTACCTAGGAAGATGTTTGGATTTGTATTCTATATATTGCTTTATTTGTCCTTCTTCGTGATACGTCCTAATAATACGGACATGTGAAAAGGGGCAATCAAGAACCGTTATCCTATCGGTACATACACGAAAGAACAAATCGCCCAAGATACGACAAGATACCGAAATGATACCAGTAGTAGCAATCCCATTGAAGAATAAATTGAACGACAACAAGAATCACAAGTATTTACCGAGAAAACAATAAAATTTTATCGGACGTGGGGGTATCAAGCGCGCGCAAACCACGACATAAACATTGCTCGCTTCTTCTTCTTCCCAGCGCCTTGGAGCGCATTAATGGGTCTTGGCCTGGGTTCGTTTTGCGAGCAGGCCGTTCCGCACTGCACGAAGAAACATGTTTCTTCCAGCAGCCGTCGGCCCGGGCCGCGGTCACAAGTCTGGAGCCCGCTCCCATATTCTTCCCGTCTTTGGTAAAGCGGAGGAACTCGCTAATTTCGAGGCCGTCTTTGCGGCCTGCCATGGCCGACCATGGGAGTGATGGCCGCGCCAGAGGCTGTCATTCGCTTCAACCTTGGCGGTAGAATGACGGGCTTGGATGAGGGCTCGGGCGTGGCTGGATACGACGGCCATCCAGGAATTTAGGGCTCTTCCCATCGTAGTATAGATTCCTAGACTCCTCTTTCTTCTTCTGCTCAAACGCCGCGCGCTCTTCGTCATCGAGAGAGAAAGCCTTTTTGAGCCACCCAAACGCGCTACGCTTCTTCTTCAAGCTCCGATCCCCTTCTGTCCTGTCTGTCTTGCTCGTTGTCGTCGTCACATTGCTCAGCATACTCATGCCCATCGCAGACGGAATGTTCCGCTGCGGTTGTGGGAAACGGTTACTTCCCGCTGTGTGTGGCCTCTGTTGCAGAGGCGAGTGTGGATTCCCATTGATTGGGCGGAAATATTGTTTGTCCGAGTGCGGCGAGGGGATCAAGCCCGGATGAATATACGGTGGGGAGAAGTCCGAAAGTGAACGGTCAATGGACGCCATCGAGTTGACGGGTGGCCGTTCTATGTCTGAGACGTATGCAGAGTCGGGTGAATGGTAAGCGCGGGGAGACTGGTACCGCGGCCGCTCAACATCGAGCATATGTGATGGAACCTGGATGGCTTCTGGCGGCGTCATTTTCAGCGAGATACGCTCTCTGAGCGAAGATCTGTGCCTTGAGTGCTTCCCTTCCTCCGTCTCCGTCTCCGTTTCGGTCTCTGGCTGTGATTCCAGTCCAGAGTCCGGCCTTGTGTCTATCCTGTGAAGCAGTCTCGGGTCTGCCCTCGCTCCAATCGCAACCAATTTCGGTTTCGACGGCTGTGATCTCAACTGTGCATGCTCGACCTGGGGTACGAAACTGGGAGCAAAATTGGGTCCAAGGTAGAATTCCGGTTCAGGTTCAGCTTCGGATTCAAGTCCAAGTTCAATCTTGATCTCGATTTGTGACTCGACTCTTGGCTCAGTTCTGGACCTGGCCCGAGACTCGACTTTGGGCGTGGCCCGAGACTCAACGATGATGGTCGGCGGCTCCAGTAACTGCCGTCCTGAAGCATCAGCAGAGGGGGCAGGCGAGTGGAAACCTTGGTGTGTAGGCTCTGCTCTTGACCTGGGTCGCTCGTTCTTTACAAAGGGTGAAGGTAATGGCGAAGGGGGCTGCGGCGTGTAGGTTCGTGGCTGTAGGATATATAGGGGGCCATCATTCTCAAGCTCCTCCACGATGGGTTCCTGTGGTGGGACTGGGGATGGGGTCGGACGCTCAGAAAGCCGTCGAGGATTGCGGACTGGGGGCGACCTTGGAATTAGGCCTTGGTCTCCAACTTCAGTTAATGTTGCCTCTACTAGTGCCTCGTGTGCCTGCCGCGTCTCGTGTGCCGGCGCAGGTCGATCCTGGGAGCCGAACAACGATTCCTCATACAGCCGAATGTCCATAAAAGATATGGGCTCGCTTTGCTTCAACGGGCTGAGTCTGAGGGAGATTCGAGGGGGCGAATTGGCAACCCTGGGTCCTGGGGTTGTCGGGGGCGTCGTGACGGAGGATGAATTAGATGGTCGAGGGCTATGGCCCGGTGAGCTGTAAGGCTCGATGCTAAACTTTGGAGGGGTCAGGACGCCAGCCTTACGACTTCACACATGCAGGTCGAAGACCAAAAACTCACCCTTGTTCTGCGGCTAACCTCGCCGGCCCTCCGCTCGATCTCGGAAACCATTCCACTGAGCTTGGCAATGAGAGTCTTGAGATTGCTCCCTTTGGACTGCAGATCAAGGAGTGCGTTGAACCAACCATCCGTATTTCTTTTCATCGCATCAAAAATGTCAATCATGTCGGGACGCTCGTACCGCCATTGGCCGTCTCTTTGTTCGGCCAGATAGAAGTTGAACTCCCTCGTCGAAATGACGCCAGCCTCAAGGTCCTGCATGGTCTGCTTGATGGAAACTTCGGTGCGTGCCAGGATGTGTTCAATCTTCTGGTTCCCGTCGAGAATCTGCAAGCGGAAATTGCGGTCCTCGAGCATTTTTTCGAAGACGTCAATGTTGTCCATGGGGAGCTTGAGGTGTTCGATGCGCCCCTTCAGATCCTTGGTCGCTAGAGCAATGTCTTCGAGCGCCGTTTCTAGGAACTCGTCCACCTCGTCGATGTGACCTTGGAGGATTTGGACGACGGAGATCTGGCTGTTTGCCATGCCGTTAAGCAGCAGGTAGACACCAAACGAAATTTGAGCCATGAGCCTGCGCAGCTCGTGGCTTGTCTGGCCGGGGCGAAAACGCCATTCCGGGATGGGAGGGCCATCGTTCTTTGCCTGGTCCAGTAGGGCATCTCGGCGAGCCTTGGCGTCGCCGGTGCGCAGTTTTGGCTTTGGCGATGCGGCGCCTGCGGTGGCCTCGATCAGCGACTCGGCAAACGCTTCTTGCATCGACGGGATGGGATGCCGGGGCGCGGGAGGCGGCGGCAAGTTTTGCGGCCGCGCACGCAGGATGAGATCGGGCTCGGTGTCGGAGTCGTCCATGATGGGATAGGCTCGGCCCCCTCAGCAGCGGCTTCTACGCCAGCACCAAGGGGATTTCGGGGACGGCTCGGCGGACCGAGGCGGGAAGACGGGGTTGAGAAGCCTTCCCGTCGTCAAGACGGCATCGAGGGGCTCGGAATTCTATCGACCATTGGCCCGCGGGTTAGCGTGGTGTGCCGATCGACAGGAACCCGTAGCACAGCTGAGGGGCAAGCAGCTCCAGCTCCGCCAGCCTGGGTCCTCTCGCCCTGCCACTTATGCAGGTGCCCGCGAAACAGGGCGGGTTTGGAAGAACAGGGCAGACTTCGTACGAGTTTACAAGGCAACCAGATAAGTGGTGAAACTCGGTGTGGCAGTTCCGTCGGTCGTCGGAACGGTGGCAGCTAGTAGCCGGCTGTCTAGAACTCTAGGTAGCCGCGGTGTTTGCAGCGATGGTGACCGTGTAGGCCAGGCTATCGTCTAAACGCCCAAAGCAGGCTGCAACTCATGCAACTTGAGGCATCGTTTGGTGTCGCCAAGCTGTCCCTCCCCAGAGAGAAAATACTGCAGATTTTGGGAGTGCTGACGGATTGATGAAGAGAAGGCTCCGAATCGTTGGCTTTGGGTAGCAGGCGGTTATGGAGAGGCTAGCTGACAGAAGGCTCTGGCGCTAGACGGCCTACTCCGTCGGTAGCAAGTTCGGGTTACCCCGTCTCAGAACTGCGAGAGAATAGAGCGTCGACAGACAGCGCGCGTGTGCGGAGAGGGAAAGGCGAAGATCGAAAGCAAAAAGAATAAAAAGATAAAAAGATGAAGAAGACAGAAACGGATAGGCGACTATTGAGAGATGGGTATGGAGTAACTGCTTGTGGGAAATGGTGGTAAGATAGGTAATGCGCTCGATCGTGCACAGCCATCAACCAATAGCCTCTCCCTACAGAAGCTCCCTTGCCCCTTCCAGGAGAGCAGAAAAGTCGAGCTCAGAAACGACAGGGCACTATTGACGGGTGCGCATCTGCCACCAGTTCCTGGTTGTTGGGCGAGATCCATTGGACTACCCACCAGCAGCCCAGCCCAGCCTAGAGCCCAGCCAAGGACCCCAAGACAGCCTGGTGTCGTCGACTGCCTTGCAAGTGGAGGGGAGGGCCCGGTGAGCCTGGGTCGCCATGCAATATCGTGGCACGCACACAGCGCCACAGAAGGCACCCCCCCTGCGGCCTGCTGGTGGATCACGGATATGGATAGCGTTGACGCGGCCTGTCATTGGGGCCCGCTCTCACGAGAGCCCCAAGACCTAAGACGAACAGAGAGATTCCTTCCTTCTATCTTGGGCATCCCATGCGTTGGACTTGGAACCCCCTTGGCTTGGGAGTATTGACCCTACCCTGGGGATTCGTTCCGAAGGAAAACGGTCCCGTCATCCAATCTTTCCCGCCGACTTATCAAGGTCGGTCTCTCTGCTTGCAGACCAACAGAACAAACTGGGATCTCGGATTATGCCATCACTCTTTTCTCTCCCACCCGCGAGGTGTGCAGTTAGAGCCTCGACCAGTAAACGACGCGGGACTGGGCGCTTCGAACCTGGAATTTAAAGCCGCGTAAATTGGGTATCCAGGATCGCAGGCGGTCTCCTTTATCGACCCACCTGAGGACCGGGTCCACGGCGCTCGGATTCTTTCAATATAATATCCAGCTCGACTTCCTAGCCGGCCGACCGCAGCCCCGTAATGCGGGGGTCAATCTACCTAGTGGTATTCAATACCTTGAACGTAAACCAAGAGTCACTCACGCATTTGGCCTGGCCAAGGTATTCGGTACCTAAGCTTGGTTGCGACGGGGCCTTTAACGGAGCCGGGTCATTTGGCCCTTTGAGGGTCTCAACGACACCGAGGCTCCGGATACCTCAAACTGCCATCTTCTCAATGTCTAGCAAGTTGTCCTTGGGCCACTCGATCATGGGCAATGGTGGCCGCCGAATGCCAATGTGTACTGTAACGGACGTATGCCAGACGGCTTGGCTGTCGATGGACCGAGTCCATCTTCAGGGGGACGCAGTGAGGTGGAGGGGCAGATGCACGTCCCTTGTCCATCACCCGCTGCTAAAATGTCATCCCCCCGCCTCCTTTTTTGGGCATCCACTGTCATGGTAATATTCTGATATTAGGGTCTTTTGGTCGCTACGGGCTGCTGCCACGGTGGGATTCGTGATGTTGCGTTCAATATCGATGTTCGGCAGGAAAGGGACTGAGCGTCTGGAACATCAAGTTCTCTCTGTTGTTATATTGTACTGCGTACATGTAACGACACGATGCACAGCGCCTAACTTCCATAGGTTCCAGGTTACTATGAAGACAACTTCATCGAGGTACGTAAATGCACGTAAGAGCGAAGTGCACCAAAGACGGGGAGGAGTGGCCGTAATGAATATTCTGCAAAAAGCACCATCGTCCGGTTCTTTCCTAGATTACACCCGTATCCGTACACTACCACGCCTGCAACCACTAGAGCGGCCCCTTATTTGAAAAATGTACGTCTTCTTGCGATAGTTTACTCCAGCTTAGGCAGACTGCAACCTTCGCTTCCCCAGTTGCGTGATGGAACCTCGCCTCCAAGACGGAGATGAGCTGACTGTAAAAAATCACCGATTATATTGTGTGCGCCTGACAACCGTCTCCCGCAGACCGACTCAACTCTAATTAACTTTATTTCCTTCGGGCTGCGTGCCATCTGTTGTGGCATTCGACGATCGACCAAGTTACCAAATTGCCGTTTCCAGATTGAAAAGGAGTACGAGTAGTTATTCAGCCAGCCTTCACTTCATCTCAAGTTCCCGCACCCAGCCTTATCTACTACTAGTAGTGCGATTGGCTAGGCCGCGGCGTTGCCCAGCTGATGACTGGAGCCAGCAATTAAATGCTGCCCGAGGTGTCGATATTGGACGCAAACACTGCACACCGCATCTTCCCTCCTAATAGAACACTGATTGGGCGTCTACTGTAGTGACGATTTTTAGTGTCCATCCTTTGAGCCACACCGAAGGTTTGGCCGCTTCTTGTCCTCTCCCCCGCCAAGTCCTGGGCCAAAGTCTGTATCGATCGACGCACTCTCTGCCGGAGGTTGGCAATCTGCAAGCGTGTCCAAAGACGGGTTGTTCGGCGAAAGAGACCACCACCACCTCAGTTGCTGATTCCAACCCCCCCTCCAAGAGATAGAGCCGCCCCCATATTTTGAATATCATTTCACGTACAAATCGGCTTATGTCCAGCAAGACTTCAAATACGAACACTCTCCATCGAAGCTCTCGACGACCGTCGTCGTGTTGTTTCCGATGCTGCTGATGCGTTTCATTACCCTGTCACACCACCTCCATCCATGGCTTCTCGAAGAAGTCCTTCTCCGGCTGTTTCAAGGAATACGGTACTACTACCTGCTAGCCCGTGTGGTTTGTCTTCTGGCCTTTCACGTGAAGACGCCGAATGGGGATGAGCCGAGAACAAAAAGCAATGACAATCCAGGTCGCGAGTGCAAACTGCAAGGTGAGGAGGTAGACGTGGTGGATGTGCTCGGCAAATATTCCTGGCAAAGAGTTGAAGTGAAGCTGCTAACGGAAACACGTCATGGGACGGAAACTAGTACTACTACAGTCCAACTGCACCGTGAAAGTTTGTCAAGATGATGAGGTGGGAAGGAGGCATGGACTAATGGACGCCGCTACCTCTCCTTCTAAGTTACATAAATTATAATCAACACCGGCTAGACAGGCAGGCACCCACCGTCTAGGTAAGGTAGGTTCGTTCAACTTTTTTCTCGCTTCAGGCCCGGGCCTTTTCCGATCTCGAGGTTTCCCCACAATCGGATCTGCCGCCTAGGTTGCCTTTTTTCCTCCTCAAAGGCGCCCTCCTCTGCCAATTCTTGGCATCAGACTCTTCCTTCTCGGCCAATCTGCATCTGCCATTTTTTCTTCTTTTTCTTTCTTTTTTTTCCACTCTACCTTGCCATTTTGCGCAATCATAATAAAAGAGTTGGGCGCGATCTTCGATTTCAATACCATGGCTGTGAAGGCGTTTGCGTTCGGCACCGACCTGTGGGATCCGTCGCATCGGTTCGAGACGTCATGGTTGATTTCGCCATGGCTACTATTCTTCTTTCGGGCGCTTTTTGTAAGTCGAATTTGACATTATCGCATATATATATATATATATATATGCCTTGGCTCCAATCCTTCGCACATTTTAGGGACCACCCGGTTACCTAGGCAGGTCCCCAAGCGGGATGGAGTGGGCGAATTGGCCTACTAACAGCCTTGCCATTGCGCATCTTGATGAACCAATGCTGATGATAGTAAAATGATATGATAGTCTCTATATATTCTCACAGCCATCGTCATCATCCTAGCTTGGCAGTGCGTCAACGACGTGACGCACTGCGCAGCGTCTCGAGATGAGTTCAGCTATTTCACATCGCTCACCTACTGGGGCTTGGGGTTCTACTTCCTGGCAGCGTCTGCACATACCTTCACGTACGCACGGTCCGGGGCCCCCTTACTCGACCGGTTCCCGCGACCTCTCCAGGCTCTGCACTCGGCCTACTACACGTCCGTAGTTGTCTACCCGTTCGTCGTGACGATTGTGTTCTGGGCCCGCCTGTACTCGGGCCACTGGTTCCCGGTCGTCTTCGACGGCTGGAGCAACGTGTCGCAGCACGCCATGAACAGCGTGTTCGCCCTGTTCGAGCTCGTGGTCGCCCGCACCAACCCGCCGCCGGCCGTCCATATGCTCTGGCTCATTCTCGTGCTCGCCCTCTACCTAGCCCTCGCCTATCTCACGCACGCCACCAAAGGCTTCTACCCGTACGACTTCCTAGACCCAGCCAAGGAGCACGGCTTCGTCGCCGTCTACGTGTTTGGCATCGCCATTGGTTCACTTATCATCTTCGGCGTCGCCTGGGGTCTCATTTGGTTGCGCAAGCATGTCACGGAGGTCAATCTGGGCAGGGAGGGCAAATTCGCACGGCAGCCACAGGGGACCAGGGGCAACCGGATCGGCGAGGAGGATGTGGAGATGTCGGGGTCAAAGAATCGGTAAAAACACTTGGCCCGTGACGAACCGTTTGCGGCTTACTCTCTCTCTTTATATCTTGCCTCTGGTTTCTCGTCCTTTTGTATTTCGGCGCCAGCTAGATACCCTGACTTGCATTTATGTTATACTGGAATCATCGGAGTTATGTGTTTTGTTATCTTTTCGCAGACGTCAACCGACGGGCCGAACGCAAAGGTCATGTCTGATCAAGATAGCGTCATATTGTCAATGTTGTTCTTGTTGTTATCCCGTTCGGATATAGATGTACCCTTCCATATCCCACCATGGAGAGTCAAAGTCAAGCTACGTACCTACGTATATGTCTGTAAAATGCCCTTATATGTGACGAGAGAGTCTGGCTTCCAAGGCTGTCGGAGACACCTGCCGTTTTTGTGCTTGTGTCCGCGGTGGATACACCGAACACAGCGGGAAATACAGATCGGAACCCACTCGCCACGAGGGACAGGGGACAGACACTCGTGGCTACCACGATGCAGGTTTATCCCATGCGGGACGTTGATGAGTGGGAACCTGGGTGCGGCACAGAAAGTGGGGATCACAGGTTGGAGGTGGGTTAGGTTGCTTGCTTGCTGATATCAGTTTGCGTGCCACACTTGTTTCGTTTGCTGCGCTTATGTGTGTGCTGCCTCTGTGCGCTGCGTTTGTACTGCGTATGCGCGCGTGTGGAATAGTTGAACGGCGGAGGAGGCTTGTCGGGACTTTTGTAATGGAACCTGGGCTGGGCTGGGCTGGGCTGGGCTGGGCGGGGTAGGCAGAGGATTACGCTCCCCTTTTTTCTTCTTTCTTCTCCTTTTTTTCTCAGTCAGCTGCCAATTGCATTTGGATTAGAGGAGCTTTTGTGGTTTGTGGAGAAAGGGGGGAGAGGGAAAAGGGGGCCCGAAGGAGGGCTACCGTTGATCTTTAGCAGCTAACTAAGGTACTGTACTAGCTCTGATATCAGTCAGGCTTGTACGTATTTTTAGTGGAATACTCATGTTAGGACAAGATATTGTAGACAATTCACAGGTAAGTATGTACTGTATCACGTTCTAAGAAACACACACACTGCTAGTTCCGTTCTCAGCCATGGGAAACACATAATGCAAGTGGCCCCTATTCTCGAGGCCGACCGCAGACCGAGCCTAGTGCGCTAAGCCAAGACCTTGAGGGATAAGCCGAGCGGATCCTTGGCCCGATCGGCTCGGCTCCGACGCGCAATCCCGCTGGAGAAAGGCCCCCGCCCGCAACGCAAAGCGGATAATCCGGCACGGAGACGGACGCCTAATCAGCTTTGTGTGTGTGTGTGAACCCGTGAATGGGAAATCGCTGCATACCTGTGTCATGAGGCTGCAAGTGCACTTGAACTTAGATACCTACCTAATGTCTGGGCTCCGCGCAGGTTGCCTTTTTTAAGGTAGGTTGCGTTTAATTCTTCACCAGCTGAAGTTGAAGGCAGCGGCTGGGTGTTCAGAGAGCCTCGTCGTGTTTTCTATTTCATCTCCCCCTCATGAGGCAGATTGCACACGCAGCCTTCTCTAGGCCCCCGCGCTGTATTCTGTATGTATATATTGATATGCCTCGTTAATTCCGCACAGGCTGAGGCTTCCGTCTTTTCTCTCACGGTTTCGTCTCATCGTCTCTGGTGGCAATTAAATATTTGGTATCCTGTCCAGTCAAAATACCACCACCCTACCCTGCATTAGCTAGCTAGCTTTTGCTGAACTGGAGATCCATACAAAAACCTCCTGTCTGGACATCGCTCGGGGGTCTTCTTCCCTCTGTCAATCTCGCAGACACAGAATAATAAATTAAAAGAAAGCAGAAATGGCCAAACACATCGTTGTCATCGGGTATGTTTGTATTTCCTTCTAGGTTTGTCGTTGTAGTTGTAATTGGACTAACCCGAAGCAAACCAGAGCCGGCGTCGTCGGCCTCAGCGCCGCTGTCGCCTTGCAAGAGGCCGGGTACGACGTGACCATCGTCGCGCGCGACTTTCCCGGCCCGGCCGAGACGTTCGACGGCCTGCAGCACATCAACTTCTCGTCGCCCTGGTGTGTTGTGACTCTACTTGTTCATTCTTTTCATCCTCTCCTAATTACCTCCTTTTCACCTGGGCCACCTCATACGACTCTATTTCCCCCCCCACCCCCCCCCCCCCCCCTTTCTATTTTTTTCTCTCTAAAAGCCAAAAGCCGCAAAAAGAAAGATGAAGAAGTTAACAAAGCCAGGGCCGGCGCGCACAACCGCTGGGTGCCGCCCCTGCCGTCAGGCGAAGGGCTGCGCGAGCACCGGTTCGCACTAACAACATTTGCGCGGATGCGCGCGCTGGCTTCCGCCGCCACGGAGTCCACTGCTCACGGCATCACATTCATGAAGGGAATCGAGTATGTGGACACGGGCGCGGCCGTGCTGGCCGACGTGTACGGGCTGCTGACGGAGGCGCGCGCGCAGTCGGCCGAGCTTGCTATGCCGGGGTTCCGGCTACTCGGCGCGGATGACTTCCCCGACGCGCGCGTCGCGTGGGGCTGCGAGTACGACACGTGGTGCGTGAACCCCATGGTGTACTGCGCTTTCCTGCTGCGACGGTTCGTGTTCCGCGGCGGGCGGGTAGCAAGGCGCGAGCTGCGCGCCGTGGCCGAGGTGTTTGCGCTGGCGGCGGCAGACGCGGTCGTTGGCAGAGGCGGAGGCGGGGTTGTTGATGCCGTGGTCAACGCGTCGGGGGTTGGGTTCGGCGGGCCCGAGGACGGCGTGTTCCCGACGCGCGGGCAGACGTGCCTGGTGGCTAACGCGTGCGACGCCACCGTGACGCGGCAGCACGCCGACGGGTCGTGGACGTTCTGCGTGCCGCGCGGTTTTGAGGGCGGTACCATTGTCGGCGGCACCAAGGAGCCCGACAGCTGGGACCCGCTGCCGTCGCTGGCCGTGCGCGAGCGCCTGCTGGGCAGCATGGCTGCCACGTACCCGCGCATCCTGGAGGGCGCTGCCGGCGGCGACTTCACCGTCATCCGCGATGTTGTCGGCCGCCGGCCCACCCGCAAGGCCGGGCTCAGGCTCGAGGGCGAACTTCTCCCGGGTGCTGTTGCCGGCGGCGGCGACGGCTTCGTCATGCATGCGTATGGCCTGGGCGGGCGGGGCTACGAGCTCTCTTGGGGTGTGGCGGAGGGTGTGGTGACTGGCGTGAGGGAGTACTTGGAGGCGAGGGCCTCGTCGACGGCGTGAAGCGGTTGGCTGCCTCTTCTGTAAGTGCCTTTTCCATGGCAGACATAATTCTCTCAAGGAGAAGGGGAGTGGCTTGTTGGCCCCCTTTTCTAGTTTATTTCTGAAAGGTAATGGAAAAAAAGAAGGAAATTTGCGTCGAGATACCGCAATATAAAATTGCCAATCATTGCCATTGCTTCCCAAGAAAGACTCTCGGCCATTTTCATGTGATAGTCGAACTATCATTAAATTCGCTTCTGTTTCGATTATATATACACATCCCATATCTATGTTACAGAGCAGCGTTGTCCTTGACGTGTGGTTGGGATGACGAAAACCAGGGCCTGCCTCTTGACAGGCTCGACACCATGGCCGCCATCATTCCCCTGACATCTGCCCATTTTGCTTATTTTGTATCCCCTGCCAGTATCACTCCTTCCGCATTTTCCCGCTTCGTGACTTGGGGCGAGGTTTCCCGTCATGATGGTATTGTATAGTATTGTACAAGCGTCCGTCCAGTCCTTGGCCTGGGATATTCGGAGTCGAGGACCCGATATGTTGCCGCCGAAAGAACTGAAAAAAAAAGAACACAACCGTGCAAGTCTTTCCCTCGCCGTCACCTCCTCGCCGCCCCACCACCGCCCTCGCCATCGTTCTTCTTCCCTATCATCCGCTCCCCCTCGTCGTCTAGCACGGCTACACCGCGCTCTATTATCCTCCTCCGGTTGGGGCCTAGGAAGCCGCCCATGCGCTCGCCGCGCTTGAGCTTCTCCATCTCGCGGCGGGCCTCGTCGCGGTCCTTCTCGGGCAGGCCCCACCACTCGCGCAGGAAGGCCTCCTGCTCGGCCTTGCGGCGGCCCTTGCGCTCGCGCTCGCGCGCCCGCTGCGTCCGCTGCGCGAACCAGTCCTCGCGCGCCGCGTCCTGCTCCGCCGGCGTCGCGTGCGACTTCATGCAGCTGTTCATGACGTGCAGCGGCGGCCGGCACAGGAACGGCGCCGAGAACGTCCGCCCCAGTGCGCAGTCCGCAAACGCTGCGGATCACAAGGTTAGCCATGCTGCTGCGTGCGGTAGGCACGGTAGAGTCTAGTATATGGTGATGGCAAGAAGGAAGAGCACAGGTCCGTTACATACCCTTGATCTCATCGGCGCATTTGCTTCGCACCCGGGCGTAAAAGATGTCGCGGACTTGTGCCTCCTGCGACGCCGACAGCGGCAGGGGGTTTTTCGAGGGCATTGGCAGGCGCTCCTCTGTACTGCCGCCGTTACCATTGCCATTACCGCTAGCGGTGCTGCTACTGCCGGCCATGGCGGCCATGCAACGGGCTTGCGTCAAGAGACGTCAAGGGGGAAGCAGGTGCTCGATCGAAGCGATTGTTTCTGCTTGGATGAATGGCTATGTCGGTCGGTCAATCGGCTGGTTGGAAAGATGATCGGTTTCTAATTGACTTGTAGCGAAGCCCCGGTTGGCGAGAGCTGGAGGAGATGTGTTGAACGAGAGGGAGACGGGAAGTTCGAGTGCCGCCGTCGTAATCTGAGCGTAATTCGGTATGATGCTGCTCTAGCGCAGACAAGATATACAGCGAGTAGGCTTGGCTTAGCGCTGATGTGCTAAAGCTCGAACCACACTTTCCGCGCTGGTTGTACGCGCTATTTTCAGCCACGAAACACCCCGGACTTCACTTCTGTTCCTCCAGCCACACCTGCTCAGCCCGGTATCAACAAACCCCTTTTACGATAGTCTCTTCATGGAACTCGACTCTAAATCCGGCAAAATAGAAACAAAATATGAAGCAGCTCAGTTCATAAGCCCAAGCCTCCTAGGTTTCTCGTGTCATTTCCATAATTTAGGAGGTGAATTACTCTGTAATATTCCTCATGTTTACAGCGCACACCCCCGACACTAATCTGTATTCGTCCTGTACCACGGTCTCAAATCCTCACCCGCGCCTAGGGAACATGCTGTGTTATAGTTAGAAACAAATCCTTGTTTTTACCGCTAATTCTACCAAAGGCGCGCACCGCTCACCGTATTCTACTTACTACCTACGTAGCAACCCAGACATCTCCAGTCCATATCTCCAAAATATCCAGCAGCAAGATTTGAGAAGCCATGACCCGTCCCGTCCCGTCCCGCCTACACATCTAAAGGCAGATGAAATGTGAATTGATCTTTCACATCCTCTCCTCCCGTCTTTTAACACGATAGGTGCTGCCTGATATAAACAGTAAATAGCTAGCTCCGATACATGTCCTCGCTAGTGTCCTCCGACTCGTACGTCTGCACCCGCTCCAGGTCCAGGCTCTCCTTTTCCTTCTTGCCCTTCTTGCCAAACGTACTCAGCCAGCGTACCGGCGTCTTGGCGCTGTCCTTGCTCTTGACGCTCGTCACGGCCGCGAGGCTGGGGCTGCTTGTGACGCTGTCGTAGCCGCGGCCCGAGAAGCTGGTATTATACGCTTCGTCGCCAATGTCGTCAAAGTCGCCGAGGCTAGACCGGTCAAGAGAGGCCCCTTTGTCAGAAGCGCCGCCGCTGGCCGTGCTGCCCGGGCCCTTCTTAAACAGGCTCGAGTCCTTGCCGCCAAGTCGCCCGGGAAGGCTGAACTTGCTAGAACTGCTCTTGCGGAACAGCTTGCGAACAACGTTCTCGTCTTTGACATTCGCCGAGAGCCCGGTGCTAGCCGGCTCCGACGGCGTGTTGGAAAAGGATTGGTCAAGAGACAGCGAGTCGCGTGACTCCGAGACCGAAGTCTGCGTATGTACCGAGAATCCGTCACGGGATTGTCGCGACTCCGTGGGCGAATCAATCTCAAAGGTGAAACCGTTCGGGGTGTCGGGCGTCGCCGCCTCTTTGCCCTTGGCCTTGTCTTTCGAGTCTTTACCCTTGTCCTTAGACTTGTCCTTCGCCTTGCTCTTGTCCTTGCCCTCTCTTTCCTTCTCGGGCTTTGATTTAAACAGCGAGCCAATAAATGCTGGCGCATTTGGGTTCAGGCGTGCAAGAGCCGCTTTGGACGAATGCTGAGGCGGCCGGCTTCCGATGACTCCAACATTATTGACATTGGACATGTTATCATCGTCCAATATTTCGTCGTCTGCGGATGCCAGGGTTGTCTTCAGTGCAGACGGCGACCCATGGAGAGATGGCCGACGGGATGGATTTCGGGACCAGGGTACGTCCGGCGACCACAGACGAGGTTGTTTCCCAAGCTGGGATACGTCTCCGGGGGGTCCCCAGATCGAGCTCGAATCCGTAGAAGGCCGCGGGAAGTCCGAGGACGCAATGCTGGCAGGCCGGGGGCTACTAGAGTCACGCTCGGCGTAGATACCCCCAGCAGCCCGGTGGGAGCTCGAAAAGGGGTTTAAGCTCCTCGCCGAAAACATGCGCAGATTCGTCGCGTGTCCTTCCATGATGTCCGGCCCGGCCGAGTTCCGGTTGAACATGTTCCACGTGCCAGACAGGCTGATACGACGCTTGTTAGTCAGAGCGTCGGGCTCATCCGTCTGCCTAGGGAATGACTGGCTCTGTCCCTGCTTCAGACTTCCCAGCAGGGGGCCTTCCTTCTCTATAACTTCTTTAGCAGGTCTGGATCGCTGGAAGGAGAAAAGGCTGCCAAGTTTGTTGGTAGACGCCTCTGTCGTTGGTGGCGACACCGTGACCGTGGCATTGAGCGAGTGCCTATCCATGGCGTCGCTCGAAAATGGAGGGAAAGGGAGGTTCTGCGAGGATCCCCGAGGGCTCGAGAGGATGCTCATCGATCTGCCCGACGACGCGGGCGACTGAGGATCGTGCTGGGGTGAGTTATTGTTATGCGGGAAAAATGGGTCGGGGCCATATTTAGAGATGGGACTCGGATCGTCAAAATCCATGTCGTCCAAAATGTTAGATGGGAGAAGCATGGTGGCCGTTGGACTAAGGGGAGCCGACGCCCCTCTGATACCAGCTTCATCGAGCCGTTGCGGCATCTCTGCCGCCAGACTCATGAATGGTCCAGGCGCAAATCCCGGAGGCGCATTTGCGGACCGTGAGCTGGCAAATCCGGGAGGGATGCCAGACGCGGCTGGATCAATCTGAGAGTATGCTGGCAAAGGCGATGAAATCGAAACACTAGAGAGGGAGTTGCTATTCCGGCTCCGTCTTTTGAACTGGCTGAGAGCCGGATTGTTGTCGAATTCCACGCCAGACGAGTTTGGCTGGTTATACATGCCATAGCCCGACTGGGGGATGTGTTGCACCTGCATGCTGAGGACGCGAAGCTGCTCGTCGAGGCTCCTCGCACGTTTCGACTCCAGCGTGAAGCTCTCGTGGAGCTCCCTATGCCTCCGCTGCCAGTCGCGCCTCATCTCGGTCTCTTTCTCGCGCCATTCGTCATCCTCTTCCCCGCCCGGCAACTTCTTCCGGGCTTCTTCCAACACTTTAACCTGCTCCCTCCTCTCCTTCAGTTCGGTTTCTAGACGCGAGCATTCGGCATGCAGGTCGCCGTTCTCTACACGAAAACGTTCAGCTTTCTCGTCCCGTTCCCCTTCGAGATCTCGCATCTGCTGGTCAAAACTCTCGCGCTCTCGCTGCATGTCCTCCATAGCTCTCTCCCATTTGGTGATGTTGTCGTGGTACTTGGACCGCTCTTGCTGCTTCTCTTTCAAAGACTTCTCCCTCTGTGCCTTACGCTGCATTGCGTTACGCATTGACCGGTCGGTGGAGTTGACATCTCTCTTGAGCTTCTCTGTCTGCTCCTCCTTCTTCTTCTGCTCCTTCTTCTTCTCCCGTTTCTCGGCTTCGAGCTCTTCAAGTAGCCGCCTATTGTCGGCCTCCTCCTTTGCGATAAGAGATACCACGTCATCCGTTTCGTGTCGAATGCACTCGAACCTTTCCGTCAATTCCGGCAGCGTTTTCTTGGCATTGGCGTTTATCTCGTCCCGCGTCTGTGCCGGTTGGTCGATGCTTGTGGTTGACGGCGAGTGGCGCCGTGTAACGGTGTTACGGCGCGGCCCGGACCCGGCAGCAGCGGATCCGTCTCGAGCCGGCGACGCAACGACATCTGGAGGCGCAGCTGTTTCGAGTGCCGGGAACGAGTTCCGTAGCACTCCATTGTCGTCTGTGTATTCTCCCTGGGCCGAGGCATGGGGCTCCTCTGCCATAAAGTTAGACGGAAGCCGAGAGTTTCCGAGCTGGGGCCGCCCGTCGCGGCCAAACGTGCGCAGACGGATGACTCGACTCCCCGATTGAAAGTTGTTGGAGCCCACCGCGATCACGCGCACGTTGTAGAAGTGATTAGGCTTCAGGCCACTGACAACAATTGCCGGCTCCTGGTTCGCAGCAACTTCCCCCACTGTTTGAAACTTGTTAGAGTTCAAACCATCTATAAAAGACCTCGAGGTCATGTTCCAATCTCTCCGGACAACTCACCGACTACTCCGTTGACCTGAATCAAGAACTTTTGGACCGAACGGTTCGCCGGAGGGCGCGACCAGTTCACCGTGGCCGCATCGGCTCGGATGCCCGCCAGCGAGACATCTGGCGGGTCGGGGACGTCGACACCCAGGATGCTGATGAGCTCGGGTACGGGTTTCCACAGCGTCTGCCATGCCCTTCGCACTAGCCTGCAGACACGCGCGCAATTCTGTTCAGCAAGAAGCTCAATCGCGTGATTGTGTCGCATCGTGATTGGGGACGGGAAAATGGGCGAGAGGAGAGGAGACGGAGACGGAGAGTGCTGCCTTTGGCAGCAGCCATAAACGGGCGGAGACGTACCATGCAACGGCGGCGCCCGTCAACAGCATGTCGGCACGCTTAGCAACCAGCAGGTCGAGATGCAAGGCGGCGACCAACTTCACACACAGCATGTATAGAGACGAGGACAGGCCGCGGGACAGGTCGGGCGCGACCGCCCAGCCAAAGAGCACGACGCCGACAGCGGCGATGAGGTTGATTCGTGCGTTCTTAGGCTCGGTGAACCACCAGGCGAGCGTGGCCGAGCAGACGAGAAGCGTAGGCACCAGCGACGCCCATGAGATCCATGACATAGCGGTGCGATCAAAAAAAAAACAGAGCGAACCTTGTCTGGCGTATCGAAGGTTCCAAACGCGAAACGACCAGGCGGCGGACGACGGGCGCTGGACAAAGAAATGTCAAATGACAAGAGTGGGGGGGCGAGAATAAGTCGCGAAAAAAAGATGGCCTTTTCGTCCACTATAGCCAAAATTGGCCCTCTGTGATAACTCCCGTCCCTACTAGGACTAGCAGTAGCTAACTGCAGATTTGGAGACGTTTTGGCACCCCAATCCACGGAAGGGAATGCCCTGTCTTGCTAATAGGCTGGGCGGAGCATGGATACTACAGTGGTTTCATGCGGGTAATGGAGCCAGGAGCCCCAACTTGTTTTCCAGCTCTTGAGATTCTCGGCCGTGCCTGCCTTACTTCCTATTATCCAGTAGGTACATCTGCCTAGGTTAATTCTAGATTATTATCGCCTGTGTAAGTCGTGCTAGATCTACACGGGCTTGCTGTCTTTGATATTTTCGTCGTGGGCTCGAATCTTCAAAACAGCTGGCAGGAGGTTCAAAAGGAAGCCTGGCAGCCGCACACCTTCGGTCCATGCGATCCGGTTGGTCTCCGCGATTCCGGCACTCAGCGGTGGCGGGGGCCGCCCTGACTCTCCCTAATATAGATTACGACGCACTGTGCAGCAAGTAAGCTTCTACCCACATCTGAGGTGGCCGTTTCGGCAGCCCAACACAGCAGCGCGGTTGATCAAGTTTATGGTATAATCCCCGTTTCCGATCAGGCCATCGGGAGCCTCCCGCCCCTCCCCGCGGTAGTTCTGGATGCTTGCAGTTAGACTCAGCCTGCACTGGGTTGCATAACGTGGGGATGGTGTGCATGTGCAATGTTGCCCAGCTGGTGCGACCGTTTTCAAGAGGTTAATCACGACATCTCTTATTAATCAAGAACTGGGAAGGTCGGTTTCAGTCCGTCACTACTAGTCACACGGACGCCGTGACGGCTTTTCGTGTGCTGATGGCCCTGGTGCCCGGAGCATGTGCTTGGTTCACTCAGTCCGTATTGACGCTGACTAACGTTATTCCGTCGCGCTGCGGCGCGGATGAGCTCGGCGAGTTCACTGAGATCAGTCGGAGCGGCCCGACGGAACAGCGGAAATTCTTACTCTATCTACAATCTCTACGCAGCTCAACCCGATTAGGTTCATGTGTAGAATAGCACATACCGCAGCGCCCAACTCTTTATGCCTTGTAGCATTCACTTGTCTGCCTTGTTTGGCAACCAGCTTTGTGAGCGTGGTTACATGGTTTCGCCTAATAGCAACCGTCTTGAGAAATGGCTCTTTGATCCTTATTGCCTAACGATGCAAGTCCTCGCTGGTCAACGTGCCTCACTATTTACGGCGACGGACTTTCACGAAATGACGAACGGTCAACATGCGTCCTGTTGTAGCAATTAAAGCAGCACCATTTCTATGCGCACCTCGTTGAGGCCCAAGTAGGTATTAAGGTTTCTTGTGCTGTAGGCGGCTGTGGCAAGCCCGAACGACAATCAAACAGAAACTTCAAATCGACCAGCGACCCGGCCTTTCGACCTCGGTACATAGGTCGGGATGAGGCTAGCATCGCAAGGCAGCAAGTGGTTTTAGATAAGGTAGGGGGAGGCATCTGAGAGTGCGAGTTTTGACTCCCTACTAGTAGTACATTACCAGCTCCAGCACAAGACACCTCGGCTCAAAAGTTTCTGTCGATGGATGCGAAGACACGCGCCTCGGCCAAGGCAACGCCGTCCTCTGAAAATCTTCCACGATTATTTTACCCATGCCATGCTTCTACGCAGTATGTACTGTCCAGTCCCTAAGATATGACTGGTATTTGGGTAGTAGTGATTGTTGGTTAGGCATTATTGCAGTACATACATTTATCGCTCAGAGCTGGACAGTTCCTTAGCTCTGGAAAGATACGCATGTCCGATTTTGATTTCGGAGCGTCAACCAACACGGGCTCTTGAGATCACCTCTCCTCAATCCATTTACCTCGTTCACCGCCTAATGAGCTGCACGTTCCGGTCCGTGTCGCGGGCGCCAGAGGTCAGGCGCTCATTTACTGAATAGGGTCGCCGCCATCTTCCCCACCAGCAACTGCTGGGCAGCCAGCCGCAATTAACATGGAAGGCAATGCTCCCCGCGCCCTATTATGCCGCTTCGCCGTTGAAGGCCGATTCTAGCTCCTAAGCATGCGTGCAGGAGTTTACTACATAGTACAGGCGGTCCAGATCAATGCATCCCAGGGGCCTAGGGTTTAGCGCACGCCGGATGGACCGAGTGGATTGGACCTGCGTTGAGGACTGAGACCGCGAGACACGTGTAAAAGTGAAAGCCGTTGTGTCACGCAGACGACCCCATCTGTCTAGGTACATACCTAGGTTGTTGGTCCTTGCCTTGGGTATTTGGGACCTAAAAAGGGCTGTGTCTCGCAACTCAAAATTACCAGGTCTTGTTGCTAAAATGGAAGAAAGTATGGTTGTTTAAAGGGGTCGCAGCTTCAAGGAGTCCGAGACCTGTGAGAGTCCAGTGCAATGCCAACGACCTGAGGTTCATGTTCAGGATGAGTCCATGACATCAGTCGGAGCACCGAAGAAGACGACCAGGGTCTTTAATTTCCGGGATGCCGTCAGCAGGACTTAGCGGTACCTCGCATTGACAAGGTGCCCAACAGCGGCTCGGTGACGTGCCTGATGCGAGATGGGTGGCCCACAAGTACAGGCCGGTACCGGTACCGTTCTTGGGATGCAGCCCACGCGCTGAACTCGGCAAAGGGCGGGTGAGCGATGGGGCAAGCCAGAGCTGGATTGTTGAGGCCTGGGCTCGTGATTGCCTGTGTCCTGTCGTGTCTCTCTGGCTTTCAGCTGCGCCCTCTCACTCGGGTTCGTCTTTCAATATTGCATCTTTGTGCTGGCGATACGTACACAGAAATTAAGGATTTCCCGACCTGAAGCGCCCGTGGTATTTATGCTCAATTTCCAGAGGTAAACTCCCAAGCGCCCAGCGTCCTCGGTTTTTGTCTTTCAGACTTCTTGCTGTGTCTTTAAGCTGGAAGCTGTCCGCCGTGTCCCAACTTTGTCCCACTCGGCACCGACAGTCGTCATCTTGCCGCATTCCATCTTCACGCGGAACTCGACACACATTCAAAGGGCGAAAAAAGGAGCTAGGAATAACGAACCTCACCGGGTGCCTCGGGCCTCGTATCTCGCCTTCTCGCGCCCCAGCTGAACCTCGCGACGAAAGCCTTCGCAGTGCTCGCTGGCCCCGCCCCTCGATTCTCTGCCTCCTTATCCAAGACACCCCAAAAAGGAGTCACAGCGCTGCCCCAACAAAGTGTCAACAGGTGCTCCTCCCACCTCGCACCCCCGGCTGTCGCAACGTCCTTTGGTAGCAGACAAGCTATTGGGGGCATCGGCAAGCCCATCGAGAGCAGCAGGTTTTGTAGACGATGCAGTACGTCAGGAATCTAAGCGACTCCGTTTCTACGGCATGGAACTCGATCAACCCCGCGACCCTTAGCGGCGCCATTGATGTCATTGTGGTTGAGCAGCAGGATGGGACATTGCTGTGTTCCCCGTTTCACGTACGGTTCGGCAAATTCTCCCTGCTGCGACCGTACGAGAAGAAGGTCGAGTTCAAGGTCAATGGCGTCAAGCAGGAGTACTCGATGAAGCTTGGCGAGGGTGGAGAGGCCTTCTTCGTCTTCGAAACAACCGACACTATCCCTCAGAGCCTGCAAACCTCGCCGCTAGTGTCGCCCGCTTCCAGTCCCCCTCTCAATGCTCAGACCGGAGGCGCCCCGGGGCTCCAGGAGCTTGAGTCGCTCGACCTGAACGATACAGCTGGCAAGCTTCGGTCTTCGAGCTTCAACAGGCCGCCGCCTGCCACCTTGTACTCCGCACCAGGGCGAGATGGTATGCACGATGCTACTCAATGTTTGTCACTTTCCTGCTAACGGATATAGGTCTAATCACACCCCGATCCGTCTCTCCAGAACTCTCTAATAAGGGGCTGCCGGCATCTGCGGACTGGTCCCCACAGCGTCCGCATAGCGAGGATATCCTACGGAGCTCGGCACGGAAGCAGTCGACCGACCACGAGTTTGTCGATAGCTCAGCCGAAGGCGACAGTCCGAGGTATTCAGACCGGTCGCACAGCCCGCCTCCGCTGGGGTCGAGCGACGCTCTGCAGAGGGCCCAGAATCTGTCCAAGGAGCTCTCAGCTGTCAACATCCCAACGCATATTAGCGAGACTGGCGACCTGATGCTGGACATGACCGGGTTCAAGAACAACGACGAGGACGCTTTGCGTGCAGAGATTCTGGCTCGAAAGGTGCTGGCCGAAGAGTTGGACGGCAATTACGATATTGGCTCGCTCTTCGGGGTTGACGATAGGGGAAACCTCTGGATTTACAGCAGCCAAGAGGCCAAGGATGGTGCCATGAAGAAAGCCATGGAGTCGTCTCTACGCACCTCAGCCGCCCTGACCAGTGACGCGGCGTCCGACCCGGGCTACCACAGCGACGGGAGCGACATGACGGCTTCCCCGATAATCCCAATCCACAGAAGGACGGAGTCTGATGTTGGCCAAATGATGCAGACTCCCCCAGGTTCTCCTAGCTCGCCCGCCACCGGTGATCCAAACCGGAACTATGCCAAGACCTTACGCTTGACTAGCGACCAGCTGAAGGCCTTGAGCTTGAAACCTGGCGCAAACTCGGTGAGCTTCACGGTAAACCGGGCGACGTGCACGGCCTACATGTATCTTTGGAAGCATGAGACGCCTGTAGTCATCTCGGATATTGACGGAACCATTACAAAATCCGATGCCCTAGGCCAAGTGCTAAACATGATCGGGCGAGACTGGACTCACGCGGGGGTGGCCAAGCTGTATTGTGATATTGTAGCCAATGGCTACAATATCATGTACCTCACGAGTCGGTCGGTCGGACAGGCCGATACCACGAGAGCTTACCTTGCCGGAATCGTCCAGGGTGGCTACCGCCTGCCTCGCGGCCCTACAATTCTGTCCCCGGACAGGACAATGGCCGCTCTCCGTCGAGAGATTTATCTGCGCAAGCCTCACATCTTCAAGATGGCAACACTGCGTGATATCCGCAATCTCTACGGACCCGAGGGATCTCCATTCTATGCAGGCTTCGGTAACCGTTTCACCGACCAGATCTCGTACCGGACAGTGGATGTACCGCGGAACCGTATCTTCACCATCAATTCCAATGCAGAGGTCTCGCTAGACCTGCTGAGTCTTAACAAGCTCAAGCTGAGCTACGTCAACATGACTGAAGTGGTCGATCATTACTTCCCCCCCGTGAGCATGCTCGTCAAGGGGGGTGGCGAGGACTTTACAGACTTCAAGTATTGGCGCGACACGCCCCTGGACCTTGACGAGTTTTCGGCTAGCGACTCGGAAGAGGATGACGACGACCAGGCCGAAGACGACCATGAAAGCCAATATGCCGATGAGGACGATGACGAGGAGATCGGCGACGGCCTCGGCGACAGCCTTATATCGCGCGACTCGGCTGATGACTACGGCGATGGAAGCATTGTGAGTGGGGATTACGATGAAGAACATATGGCAGGTTCGGTCATCATCTACGAGGAAGTCGATGACGGCGGAGATGAAGGAGAAGAAGGAGAAGAAGAAGACAATGACGAGGAGGAGGAACAGGACCGTACCCAGCTTGGCGTACCGGACTCGAACTCGAAAGAGAACCAGACCGCGCCTTCGCCAAAGATCGCCACAAAAGACTTGGACGCTGAACTCATAACAGGAATCAAAGACTTGTCAGTAGAGAAGGACGCCAATTAAATCTTGGCTGTCCCCGAGTTCAGCTGCAGGGCTGAGACGTGACTATTCAACACGAGTCATGACAAAGTTGGGATTATTGGGTACAGAAATTCAACAGGGGCGCGGGTGTGATCATGGCATGGCGGAAGGTGAACACATCTTTGGGGGGGGGGGGTTACATTGATTCGAAATTTGCATAGCGTGGCGCCTCGGGGACTGTCGACTTTTGCACAGCTGATACAAGTACACTGCATCTAAATATTTTTGTTTCTGAGTGTTGGCCCGTGTTGTTGGCCCTCTCTGGGTAGTCTTAAGAAGATCATGTCCGGCATGCTGTGTACATAGTAGCCACCACGCTGGAGTGAATAAGAAGTATAGAGCACCTTGTGGTTGAACATCTATGTAAACGACATAGCAAGTCCCATGTCAAGGCGAGCGAGTCTATCTAGCATGTCTGGCGTGACACGTCGTTTTGTTCTGGTACCAAAGTAGGTACCTAGTAGAGGAAGATTCCTAAACGCCCCTCCCCCGTCCCGCCGATTCCGTTTGACACCGTAAATAAATATATAAAAGTACGAGAAAGCATCCTTCGCTTTTGTCTCATGTTCTTGTTGTTTTTTCCTTTGAAAAGCAAACAACGCGTGAACCCTTCCATGGAAGCTGCCTCCCCACCTCACCCACCTTGTCTACGCCTCAACCATCTCCTCGTCTTCTTCGTCGTCCAGCTGTTCGTCTCCGAAAATGTCGTCAACGGTGCCTCCCTCAACGCCATCGCCCCCAATGTCCTCGGTCTCAACGCCCTCCATCGCATCGCCTCGGCCACCCCCGGCAGTGCTGCCGTCCTCGTCCATGTCGTCGTAGTCGTCGTCGCTGGCGTCGTCGGCAGGGATCTGGCCCGACCACACGTCCCGCAGGCTCCAGCTCAGGCCGCTCAGCACAAAGCGCTCGCCAGGCAGCCGCACGCCCCACTCGGTCGCCGTGACACGCGGCAGCGCCACCTTGTTCCGCTCGCGCGCCATGTCCATGAGCCAGTCCTTGCTGGCGGCGCCGCCACCCGTGCCGCCGCCTGCAGCTCCGCCGGCCACCGCGCCCGTCCCGACACCACCGACACCACCGCCCACAGAGCCGCCAGCACCCGCACCGCCGCCCCCGCCGCCCCCGCGGAACTGGAACCCCAGTCGGTTGGCAATGGCCAGCTGAACGGCGTTCGCGCTCACCGTCGCATCGCCCACGTTTACGGGCGCTGCGCCCGACGCCGCCGACGGCCGCACCCCCGCGTGCGACGTGTACGGGTCCGCCGACAGGTGCAGCGCATCGCTCAGCACCGCCACCGTGTGCCGGTATGCAAAGTCCAGCAGCAGCAGCGGCACGCGCTGTTCGTAAGATGTCACACCCTGTGCTGTCAGGAGCAGCTCGACAACGCGGGCGTTTTGCGGGCGCGAGGCTGACGCCGAGGGTGATGTTGGCGCATTTTGTTGCTGCTGCTGCTGGGGCTGGTTCTGTTGGAGGAGCTGCTGTTGCGTGACGAGCTGCTGCTGCTGGGACTGGGAGGCACCGGCAGATGTTGTCTGGGTCTGCGGTTGTGTCGCCGTCGTCGTCTGCTGCGATGGAGAGGACTGCAGTGGTTGCTGTTGGGTGCTCGATGGCTGTGTTTGCGAATTGGACGCCGACCCGAGACCATTCGTCTGCGGAGCCGCCGCGCCGACGCTGACGCCGGCTGTCGACATTGTCTTTTTTATTTTTCTATTTCCCGCGGCAGATGTGAACAAGCCAGGCGAGGTGGTGCGGTGGATAGGAAGTGAGTTTGGATTCGTTGCGCGCGCGCGGAGGCGCCTTGCGACAGACTAGTGAGAGGAGAGCTTGTTGCTTGAAGCTCTAAGCTAGTGCTTTGTCCAGGGGTGGAGACTGTGATGGAGCGCGGCGGAAAGAGTGCGGCGGGTGTGGCTTCCGGGTTTCTCACTGGGGAAGAGATCAAGGTGCAAAGTTTGCGAATTTATTAATTCTTGAAGCAAGCGAGTTTTAACTTAAATAGAGTAATGTACTTTCAGAAAGGAAGCTTGAGCTTTTCGCAAACCATTCGCTAACGTGGAACAAGAGGATCGCGAAACGCATAAATGGAACAATAGGAACAAATGTCGCTGAATTGCAGCCCTCCTTCCCCACCAATCAACGGCCGCGGCCTGCTCACTCGCTCCCCGCCAATCAGAGGCCGCGGCCTGCTCACTCGCTCCCCGCCAATCAGAGGCCGCGGCCCTTTCACTCATGGCGGCCGGCGACTTGTCGGAGTGTGGAATGATCCGCCCGCTCACTGCAGCCAGCACACCACCACAGGGCCGCCAATTGTTCAGGGCGTGCACACGGTGGGCTCCCCTGCAAAAAGAGAAGCAGGTCTGCGCACTGACCACACCTTATAAACGCCATCCTTGGACACGCTCAGCATCTTACCCCGCTAGGAAAAAAATCGAACCTGAAAATGGATCGGAAATCAATGAGGGGCAAAGTGCGAGCAGGCGAGTGAGTGCTTCCATGCCCCACCATGCATGGTCTACTTAGGTGCCGATGCAGGACTGCGAGTCGGCTCTTGTACCCTCCTCAGAGTACTGTTAGTCTAGTCGCCATCATTTTTTGCTTTGCTTATAGACTGTAGAGGAGTCACACTGGCCACCCGGGAACTTTGTGGATTGTCGAGCCGCTCGATTGCATTGATACCCCTCGTTGTACCTTCGTTATACCTTGGGTGCCGTACTCTAATTGGCTTCCCTGCCTTGCCTTGCCTTGCCATACCTTAACTTGGGACCCGGTGTAAGCAGCAACCTGCAACCTTACCTACCAATCATGGAATCAGCACTTCCGCTCCCCTTCCTCGTCGGCGTCGCGGTGCCGCCGGGGCTCGGGGGCGAAACTGAGGGCCTCACGCGCGAGGAGGTGTCGTGTCTCGGCTGCGTCTTCTTCCAGGTCGCTCCCCCCGCCGTCGGCAAGATCCTGCGCTTCCTCAAGCGCCACAACGTCGAGTTCCATCCCTTCTTTGACGTCACCCAGCTCGAGTCTAGAGACGACATCGTCTCCCTCCTCGATGCCGGCGCACGCAAGGTGTTTGTGCGCCCCGAGCAGCTGCCCGACTTCGCCGAGTTCGGCTCCCGCGTTGCCCCCGTCGTGTCCTCTGCCATCAGCACCTCGTCGTGGCCTGCCTCGACCAGGCATGGCCTGCTTGTCTGCGACTTTGACCCAGCGCAGGACGGCGCCGCTCAGTTCGCCGACGAGGCCAAGTCCAAGAAGGTGACTCCGCTGTTCCTCAAGCCCACCGCAACTGCCGACCTCGAACGATTCGTGGCTATGGCGGCTCAGTGCAATGCAACCCCTATCTTGCCCTCGACAGGGCTGACGACGGCCAAAGGCCAGGCAGGGAAGCTTGCCGTCCCCAAGGTCCTTGCCGCCTCTTGGACTTCAGACCGTCCCGACGGACTGATCCCCACCATTGTGTGCGACGAGAACGGCACAGCCCTTGGCTTGGTCTACAGCAGCGAGGAGAGCGTCGGGGAAGCCCTCAAGACCCAGACAGGCGTTTACCAGAGCCGCAAGCGTGGTCTGTGGTATAAGGGGGCGTCGTCTGGGGACACTCAGGAGCTCGTCCAGATATCGCTCGACTGCGACAACGACGCTCTGAAGTTTGTCGTGAAGCAAAAGGGGCGCTTCTGCCACCTGGAACAGTCTGGCTGCTTCGGGGATCTGAAAGGCATCTCCAAACTGGAGCACACTCTGGTCGCAAGGAAACAGTCTGCACCGGCCGGCTCCTATACCGCCCGCCTCTTTTCGGACGAGAAGCTGCTGCGGGCAAAGATTATGGAGGAAGCCGAGGAGCTCTGCGATGCCAAGACACCCGAAGAGGTTGCCTTTGAGGCTGCCGATCTCATCTACTTTGCCTTGACGAGGGCTGTGGCGGCGGGCGTGACTCTTGCCGATATCGAAAAGAGCCTCGACGCCAAGAGCTGGAAGGTCAAGCGTCGAACGGGAGACGCAAAGGGCAAGTGGGCCGAGAAGGAAGGTATCAAGCCTACAAACGGCGCGTCACCCGCCCCTCCAGCGACTGAGGCGGTAAAGGGGGCAAAGGAGACAACCCCTGAGAGAATCACCATGAAGAGCTACGACCTGTCCAAAGTATCGTCTTCTGAGCTTGACGAAGTGCTAAGGCGGCCATCACAAAAATCGCCAGAATTGATTCTCAACATCATCAAGCCAATCATTGACGATGTCCAGAAGAATGGCGACAAGGCCGTTCTTTCGTATACGCACAAGTTTGAGAAGGCGACGTCTTTGACTTCGCCGGTACTCAAGGCTCCCTTCCCGGAATCTCTGATGCAGCTGTCCTCCGAAACGACAAAAGCTATTGACATATCGTTTGACAACATCCGCAAGTTCCACGCCGCCCAGAAGGACGAAAAGCCGCTGACGGTCGAGACCATGCCCGGCGTTGTTTGCACGCGCTTCTCTAGGCCGATCGAGGCTGTCGGTCTCTACGTGCCCGGCGGTACCGCTGTTCTCCCAAGCACGGCGCTCATGCTTGGTGTTCCCGCCATGGTAGCTGGGTGCAAGAAGATTGTGATCGCCTCGCCGCCCCGCTCCGACGGAAGCATCACGCCCGAGATTGTCTACGTCGCGCACAAGATCGGCGCCGAGTCAATCGTGCTTGCCGGCGGCGCCCAGGCCGTGGCGGCAATGGCCTATGGAACCGAGAGCGTAAGCAAGGTTGACAAAATCCTCGGGCCAGGCAACCAGTTCGTCACGGCGGCCAAGATGCACGTGTCCAACGACACCAACGCCGGTGTCAGCATCGACATGCCGGCAGGCCCGTCAGAGGTGCTCGTTATTGCCGACAAGGACGCCAACCCTGCCTTCGTCGCCTCGGACCTCCTGTCCCAGGCAGAACACGGCGTTGACAGCCAGGTCATTCTGATTGCCGTTGACCTCACCGAGGCCCAGCTGGCCGCCATCGAGGACGAGCTCCACAGCCAGGCCATGGCCCTCCCGAGAGTAGACATTGTCCGCGGCTCCATTGCCCACTCTGTCACGGTGCTGGTCAAGACGGTCGACGACGCCATGCAGATCAGCAACCGCTACGCCCCGGAACACTTGATCCTCCAGGTAAAGGACGCCGAGAGGCTCGTTGAAAAGGTCGTCAACGCCGGCAGCGTCTTCATCGGCGAATGGACACCCGAGAGTGTGGGAGACTACTCGGCCGGCGTCAACCACTCGCTTCGTAAGCGCAGCACACCAGTTTGTTCTCAAAATATGACATCTTGCTAATCAACCTTCTCTTTTGGTTCTAGCGACCTATGGATTCGCGAAGCAGTACTCGGGTGTCAATCTGGCATCTTTCGTCAAGCACATCACCAGCTCGAACCTGACGGCCGACGGGCTGCGCAATGTCGGCGAGGCAGTGATGCAGCTCGCCAAGGTGGAGGAGCTGGAGGCGCACAGGAGGGCGGTCAGCATCCGCCTCGGTTACATGAACCGGTGAAAGGATGTCTGTCTCGATGAATTGCGAATTCCTGTATCGAAAGACGCCTGGAACCATAACAACGGCCGTATCATGGTTGCCAGGCAAAAATAAATTGATCCCAGTTTATCTGCTTGGTGGCATCAAATGATGTGAACTGAACTGATACCTCGTTGACTAAACTTTCATAGAACGGGGAGAAATGAAGAACGCACATCTACGTGGTCATCTAAACAAAGCAAAAGAATAGATGAGATATATAAAATGGAGATTCAGTGTGTGCGTGGTAATTGGTATAAGCTATTTCACTTTTACGGTAGGTCTATGTGGAAGTCCCTCCTTAAGCAGACGAAATAAAACATATACTACTTAATATAGGCAAGGCCGATATTAACATTGAAGACTACTCTGGTTGGACACCACTATTATAGGCCGCTGAGAACAAGTATAAAGCTACTATCAAACTGCTAGAGTTTGTGAACTTTACTATGTCATGGTTATTGGTAGGATCGACAAAATTTTCCTGGTCCTTTGAGGCTCTCTCAATTTGGCTTCCTGCCCGCTATTAGGCAATATTTGTGGCGGTTCATGGTCATACACTCATCCTAAGACATATCTATGGATGAAGTAACGTTATTTGCGGTTGGTTTTAGAATGATAATTTCTATGGTCGTCGTAACTTTTAGCTCTTGCTAGCTACGCTGAGCATATGTTTATATATGATCAAGTTTACAATGCTGTTACCTGATCCACCCCGCCTCCCCAACCGATAGCCTTTGCTCCAACACACCCCTTGGTTGCACAATATGAGCAGCCTCGCGAACTTTGAACTGAGTGTTTGGAGACCCATGCGATGCAGGGTCATATTGAACACGGAGGAATTCAGAGACCGTAATCTATAAGTTTATGTCTCTGTGTGAGAGAATTAGGGATATCAGGGACAATATTGAGTGGCAAGGGGAGTTTGTGATTCTAACAGCTGTTGTTTTTATACCACTTTCTTATAGCTACCCTACCTCCCTATGCGCGAGCTAGGGTACATGCGATCTCCATCACCCTGTCCAGCCAAGGGAGTACTTGCTTCCAAAGACGACCCCTTCACATCATCGACGGAAAACTTTCAAGTCGCCAAGTTCCACCTCAGAGATCAGACCACAGATGAAGCGTCCGAAGCCAATGACCTTAACCATATCTTCATTATCTATCTCAGGACCCAAGATCAACGTATTGATATTCTTGGCCAGGAGTTTTGGCCATCGCTTATCAAGTTTCGGCATAGCCGTCTGCACATTCTTGATGTCGGTGCGGTCATGCTTGCGGGCGGGCACCTCGCACCTTGCTATGGTCTTGTTCTCTGCCTACGAGTCTAGTGAGCTTGCGAGCTTTTGAGCGAAGGGCCAAGGCAGGGACTCACTTGATGTCTTGTTTATTGGTCGAGCCGTTAAATGTATGCACTCGCGTGTCTTTCGACTTGGTGTGGGAGGTGTGCACGTTCTGTGTTGGATACCGATGCTGGATGAGCTGCATGGAGCGGTTGTCGGATCTATGCTACTTATACCTCGCGATCTAAGGCAATCCCGTGAATGGCAAATAGAGTTTGATTCTGGTGTCTTGCCGAGCGAGTCATCGCAGTTGGCTCAGGCGTCAAGATTTGACGCCTCCGGACGCCGGGTTCGGTACGGCTTGCATCTGGTGACCTCTAGGTCATCCCTTGCGTCATGTTACCGTATATAGCGGTGTAATTAGGCGGGCATGAGCGGGCTGCCAAAGACGGTTGACTCGATCGGCCGGGTAGCTGCATCCCTTGCGACGGAGAAATTGAAACATTAGTCAAAAGGCCCGGATAACTGTTTGCACTCAACGGTCACGCTTACGGGTCAGTTCTCCCTAGCCTAGAGAGCTGCCAAATGAGGCTGCGGAAAGACATGTCAAGACCCTCATGTTCTCATTCGTGCGGCGTTTCCTGCAAGACACTAGAGTCGTGACGTTCACTCAGGTCATGGAACTCGCTGCAAAGTCAAGATTGTAAAAGTCCGTGTGAAGTGGAAAAGTGGCGAGGAAACATGGGAGCCTCTCGAGAATATGGCGGGGACAGTAGCTCTTGGAAAGTATGATAGCCTCTATGGTCTGATTGCAGAAACTTGCCGCCGAGACCCGCACCTCGAGACGAGGCCTCGATGTAAATAGACGCCTGCAAGGTAAAGACACGTGTCTCCGTTGCTTTGTTATCCTGCATCTCGGAACATTTGCCTCTCGTGGACTGATCCGATGGCTTTGTACCTTCTCGAGCCGAAACCGGGCTGGCCGGTGGACGGAGGAGGCTTCCTCCCTCCCCCCCGTGGGCAGCCTTCTTGTGTGGCGGTGATACGCGCCTCATACTCTCCACCGACGAGCCCGTAGCGTTCGCTTCAGACGAACGGCTGCCGAGTCCAGCCCATGCCACAGAGCTTCTCATTAAGTTCTGTAGCATATACGGACTTGGGCCCAAGAAGCGAGGAGGTGAGATATCTGGATCCGTATTTCCCTTCATGGCCGCATTCTTGACAGCATTAGCCCTTCCATTCTATGGAAGCGTCAACCTCCAGCCGCAATAATCCGTGTTCACGTTCAGCAGACGTAATACCAACGGCGTCTTTCTTCAACCTATTCGTCAATATGCCGTTGATATTCGATACTACATGACGCTAAGTCTGGACCTGGACGCCTTAGGATCAGTCAACGGAGCATATTTTAGCAAGCAGAGGTCGAATGCGATCTCGTCAGTCCGTGGCTAAGTTCGATCCTTAGTGTGATTAAAACCCATCATTGGTTCTCGAGATGTGGAACTCTTGGCCAAAATATTTGCGCTTCGCCGGCCACGCGCTGCGTTGTGATGGCTAGGCATCTTCTTGCCCATGCTATTCATGGTCGGCCACTACCGAGGGGTGGGGGTCTCCACAGAAGGCGGCCACGGGAAGATCACCTTGCTCCTTGGACAGCGCTTGAAAAAGCACAAGCCAGAAAGCCAGCGCCTGACGTATAATTGCGGAACGCGATGCTCGACGTCGAGGTTGGCGAACCTGACCTCAAGGGACACATGATGACCTATGTCGTTGGTGCCGACCCTGTTAGAATTGGGTTGCTTTGGGCGCGACGCTGTAAACACAAATGACGGGACTTCTTGCTGGTTGGCGTGGATCTTCTGAGCATCGTCCCCGTCTTCCCAAATGAACACGGCCTAGTATGGGGTTAGGGCTTCCCGACAACACCAGAGGCTGCCAAGACGTGTCGTACATGTACCCCGCACTGCGCGGCGCGTCCCGTGCCGCGTCAGTCCCCACCACCGCATCGCAGGCTCCTTAGTCGGCATTCTCCCCGGACGGCACAGAGAGGACAACCGCAGGCCTATACGCCAAAAGTCTGGCGCGCTCACGCTGTCTGTGTATTTTATGCACATGATCCCTTTCGTCGGATCGAAGGTTTACCTGGTCGGTACGTCCAATTGGACTAGGAAGACATGCACCCCCCAACAGCTTTGTACCATGGTGTCGCAACGGAGGAGCCTTCTACCCAATAGCTTAATCGCGCTACTGCCGCTTCTTCGGGCACTAACAGCTGAGCCAGCCGGCAGCACGTTTCTGCTCCGCGATTACCCAAGAAATGCAGCCATCAGTTTCGTATCACCACCCTACGGTCACTCTTAGTCTAGCTCTATTTACCACAGAACACACAGGTATGTTGGAACTAGAAGCAGATTGCGGAACATCCTAGAAACGCACGGTTCCAGGAGATACCGGTCGTTCCGATACGGAGACGTAAAATACAGGCCGAAAATGTCATCCGTCACCGCTCCGGACGCACCACGAGCGCCGGGAGGCCGAGGAGCCTCCGCCACAACGCGTCCAATGGCTGGGCATTTCCCGGCCACGTCACGCACAGGTGGACGATCCGGTACACGGACTCCTTCTATTAACAGCATCCGGACGCAAACGCGTACTCCATTATGGTAGGTGGCGCATACGGTGTCACGATCGAGGGGATAGGCTGCAAGGGCATGTCTGGAGGAATGGAGCGTTCATGTCCTCGCTCGGGATGTGGCGAGATGCGATGCTACTCTGTACATGGTTCCCCACCGAGCGAGTCTTCCAAGTCAGCGCCACCGTCTTCATTGCAGCCCACGAATCGCCCGCCTAGTCAGACGCCTACTTCGATGCTTTCGTATATAGGCCATATACGAGACCTTCGTGTGAGTAGATTTGGTCCCCGATGAGGTCTGGGAGATGACGCCGCCCGGTATAGCGGGACTGGGTCAAGGATGCCCTGCAATATTCGGCCCCGCCTTATGTCGTCGAGCAGCCTTGGCATTCTCTCTCGGATGGCCATTCCTCCTTGGATTGATCCCACGTGCCTCGGCCGATGGCAGCCGCACTGCAATGTTGGTGTGTCGGCGACAATCTGCGATTTCGCCGACGCGATGCTCAGCCGCACGGAAATCGTGTCAGGTTGCAAACCCGCCCGGCACGTGGGCGCTTCAAGAGCCTTACCCGCGAGCAGGCCGTGCGGAACGGATGCCTTGGGCTGGCCTCTATTTGCTTCGATCGAAAACTTCCAGTTGCCATCTATGACAGGAGCTTGCTGATCCTGGTTTCAGAGGCCTAGGTGTCTACGCGACGTCCAGGTAGCGACTATAATATTCCACTCCACAGCGATGGCCACCCGCCCGGCAAGCCGCGCTGAATTCCGCATCGCCATAGTCTGCGCATTGCAGCGCGAATACAATGCGGTCAGCCTCCTCGTCGACGAGTTCTGGGACAAAAAGGGCGATCCGTACGGGCGGGCTTCAGGGGACCCTTACACTTACAGAACCGGACGTATTGGTGATATTAGTATCGTCCTCGTCCTCCTTTCGGATATGGGGAAAGCCAGTGCGGCCAGTGCTGCGGCCAGCGTCCGGTCGAGCTATCCCAACCTGGAGCTCATCCTCCTGACAGGCATCTGTGGCGGCGTGCCCCGTACTGACGCCAACGAGGAGATTCTGCTGGGAGATGTCGTTCTTGCTGGATTAGTTGTCCAGTACGATTTCGGCAAACAGTATCCTGACGGGTTCCAAACCAATGATACCGTAAAAGGAAACCTCAGCAAGCCTTCTAAGAAAGTCCGCAACTTGCTAAGTGTATTGGAGACTGATCCTCGCCGCGAAGACCTTCAGAGGCGTGTCGCCGCTATACTTCAAGAGCTCCAACACGCCAGCCATCCGAGTCAGCTAGCAAAACACCAGTTTCCCGGAGCCGGGCTTGACAAGCTCTACCAGTCGAGCTACCGGCATAAACACCGGGTTCCGGCTGATTGCTCGAAATGCATGGACCCACACAATACCGGCGAACCGTCCCGCACGCAGACGTGCGGCGAACTCGGCTGTGACGACGCTTTTCTGATGCCGAGGAACCGCAAGCATAATCTGGAATCTCCTGCTCCCTATATTTTCTTCGGGTGCATCGGGTCAGGCGATACGGTGGTCAAGTCCGGTGAAGACCGTGATAGGATTGCCAAGGAACACCGTCTCATCGCATTCGAGATGGAAGGTGCCGGAGTCTGGGATGAGATCCCTTGCATCATCATCAGGGGGGTTTGCGACTATGCGGACAGCCACAAAAACAAGCGGTGGCAGGACTATGCGGCGGCGACGGCAGCATCTACCATGAAGACGTTATTGGAACTTTATCCAAAAGCAGACGAAAACCGAGGTACGTAGATTATACTATGCCGACAGAAGAGAGGATACTAAACGTCTTCAAGCGCTAGCAAGCCGCCATTTTCTTGTCCCGCTCGGTCGAAACGAAGGTTTTGTCGGACGTCACTCCATCCTAGATCAACTCCTCCAACTCATCCCCCCAAACACGAACAAGGATAATTGCCAACGCACTGTCATCGAAGGTCTCGGTGGCGTTGGCAAGACTCAGGTGGCTCTCGAGGCAGCCTACCGGGTACACCACCATCACGCAGACTGCTCTATCTTCTGGGTATCCGCCGTTGATATAATGAGCTTCGAGAACGCCTACCGCAATATCGGTCAAAAGCTTGGAATAAGCGGAGTCGATGATGACGACGTAGATGTTAAGTCGCTTATTAAGACGGCTCTCGAAAATAGCTCGAATAGTTGGCTCCTCGTTATTGATAATGCCGATGATATAGAGCTGGTTTTTGGCGGTCGAAATTCGCCAGGGTCTGCCATACATCTCCCATTTAGTCGTAATGGCTCAATAATTCTCACGACGCGGAACCACAAAGTCGCAGTCCGGTTTAACCAGAGGAACATCATCGCCCTAGCGCAAATGAACCAGACTGAAGCAGTCAATCTATTGCAATGTGGCCTAGGGACCCAAAGACACGATACCGAGAGCGAAGGACGTCTAGTAGACTTCCTAGACAACTTACCTCTTGTAATTAGACAGGCATCGGCATATATATGGCCGAGATGGGAATGTCAGCGGCAAAGTACCTTCATCACTGCTACTCGAGTAACAAGACCTTGATTCAACTACTCAGTAGGGACTTCGACGACCAGGGCCGGTACGAAAACATTAAAAACCCCATAGCTACCACTTGGCTGATTTCCTTCGAGCATATTGCACGGGATAACCCGACTGCCGCACGGTATTTACGATTCATCTGCTTTCTCGCCGAAAAAGATATCCCCTTATCACTACTACCACTAGCAGAAGATAAACTGGAAGTCGACGAAGCAATCGGCACTCTGAAGGCGTATGCATTCATTATTCCGCGGGGAGGAGAGTCATTCGATATTCACCGGCTTGTTCGATTAGCGATGCGGAACTGGTTAGAGGAGAAAAGAAAGCTAACGGAAAGTATCACTAATGTGATTCAACGGCTCGCTATAACATTCCCCTTCGCAGAACACGAAAATCGAGAGGTCTGGATGAAGTACCTACCACATACACAGGTTATTTCGGAGTCTCCAGAATATTGTACCGATAAAGTGGCCGAATCCAAACTTCTTTACAACATAGCTAATAGCTATTCTGAGATGGCTAAGTACGAGGAGGCCGAGCAAATGCACCAGCAGGCGCTAGAGCTTAGGGAGAAGGTGCTCGGCCGCGAGCATCCCTCTACGCTTAGTAGTATGAATAACCTTGGGCTTGTGCTTAAGAGCCAGGGCAAGTACGAAGAGGCCGGGCAAATACACCGGCAAGAACTAAGTCTTAGCGAGAAGGTGCTCGGCCGCGAGCATCCCTCTACGCTCACTAGCATGAATAACCTTGCGCTTGTACTCGGGAGCCAGGGCAAGTACGAAGAGGCTGAGCAAATGCACCGGCAAGAATTGAGTCTTAGCGAGAAGGTGCTCGGCCGCGAGCATCCCTCTACAGTAAGGAGTAGGAAGAACCTTGTAGACTGTCTCGCAGCAAGATATCGTAATTCATAGCCGCGCGTAAAAATTTCTATATACACTCGCTCTACTCTTATACTTTTCTCTCATAACGTGTCACAGGAAGGGTCTGGGAGCTCGAGCTAAAGTATAATACGCTTTTATATTCTTGCGCCTTCTAGAATCTTTGATTGCTTTCCACTATGCCCGCTAATATAATAAAGATCAGGAACTCAGATATGAGTTATTATATTTTATTATAACTCTTTCACTACTAGGCTAAGGCCTGCCCCCTTTTCATAGGCAAGCAGCCCCTGTATAAAGCTCGTAGTGTTGTCCGGCCTGGATGCCTTTGTCTATCCAACGATGGTGCTGAGGGTTGAGATTTCGGAATCTTCAGAACTGCCCCATATCTGCATGAAGACGACGCAAAGTGGACGACAGGGCCGGTGCGTTTCGTGGCCGGGAAGCTGTCTCATCGCCAGGTCGCTAGCAAGCGACGCGTGCAGTCTTATACGTGCGCCGCCAGTGAGGCGTCAAGCACCAAGAGCGTGAGCATGGATATGAGAACCGGGGCGAAAACCTAGTCTTGGTAAGGTAAAATTATCCACTGCAGGGCGCAGGCGCGTTAAAAGCGCGAATCATCCTACGCGTTAACTCGTCTTCCTCGCGGTTCGCGCGGCTGGCTGACGTGGTTCGGTATAAGGGCGCCAACACGTAAGTAGACGTCGGGCAGTGGCCACCTCTTTCAATCCAAAGCTATTCTCAATGATATGAGCTGCAGAGCGCTTCACACTGTGTAACCGGGGTTGGGTTGAGGTTTCCCTGTGACATTCGGCCCCGCGTTATATCGTCTGGTAGTTTGGCATTTTCTCTTGGATGGCCTTTCCTCTTTGGACTGCTCTCGCATGCCTCGGCCGATAGGGAGCCGCACTGTAGTGTTGATGCGCTTGCAGCCGTCGAGCCTCGAGGGTCCAGGGAGATATTGATGACAACGATTCCTGGAATCAGAACACCTATGTCGTCACCAGGCCGAAGATGCGAATTGCCGTTGATTGGACTGCAAGTGCCTGTGGCGTTAGAGCACATGGCCTCGGCGGCCGCGTTGGGCGGCTGGTCTTTGAGTGTTCTGCATCTGGAGAAAAGGGATAGGGGTAGGGATAAGGAGGGACAGGGAGGGGAGGTGTAAGTGAGTGAGATCCACTTTAAAGCCAGTTTGCCCCTGAATGGATGAATGTTTGTTGGCTGGTAGGCCGTGGATGTTTTGTTTCCAAGCACTTCAGCTCGGCTCTTGGAGGGATAACAACCTACCTACGTAGGTAAATACTTACCTTGAGTGTCATAGGCTTTTCGAACAGCTTACTGTTGAGTGTTTATATGAGAGTTAAACCAAGGTGGAAGTAGCTTTTCGGGACTCTACAACTTGAACTCAACGAACCTGCGGTTCAACCAAAACCTGCTCAACTGCATGGTACGTGAACAAGCTGGTACTGCCGGGACTGATATCAAGCCAATAGCCGTGGCCGTGTGCCCTCCGTCCTCGAAACGAAAGCTGTCATCACACGCCTGGGTGTGTTTTGCGAACCAAGCCGCTATGGACCGCTTCGTGGAGAAATTTGACGGGCGGCAGGTCGACGACAAGACCCTACAGATAATAGTAGTTCGACCGCCGTGAACCCAGCTTCCTGAGACTACTGAGAAGCCATCGCCATTGAGTAATAAATAAAGTAGTGCCTCTGCAGGTTCACGTTGGGCAACGTTCTATTTGTGCGACATACGCCTCAGTCTGCTGCTATGGGAGCTGAGCGTGAGGATCCAGCCACAAATGCCGAACTCCCTGGATCTTGTCTGCTTTCTAGCGTGACATGACATCTAATTGTCTAGCATGTATGGTACAAACGCGTTGCCATAAACCGAGTTAGTCAAAGCCCCTAGTGTACATCGAGGCTCGCTCTTTCCTCCTACTCTCTCAATACCCACCCGCTCTTTCCCCGTGACGGACGTGAGCTTCGCTTCCCTACCGCACCTTCCCCCAGAGCTCGACTTCTAGGTAATAGTCTAGAATGCCGGCCCCGTCTTCCAAGATCTTAAAACCTAGCAGGCTAGCCGAGCGGTTAAAGGGTGTGGTTTAAATCCCACTGAATGACCCGGGCAAGCTTCAATGCCGCAAAGAGAGCCATGCCCCCTGTCCCCTGTCCCAATTCCCCCGGGTTTAATTCCCAGGGCTGGCGTTTCTTTTTTTAAATTCTTTTTTTGCAGACTGAAATTTGTATTGTTTTTGCATTGGGATGGGGATTTCCGCTCGTTCAATCTTCCTCTCTGCGTATCTTTGGTGTCGCCGAGGTGGCCACAAGCAGAGAAAAGGGGGATCCGCGTATTTCCACGACAAACCCAAGACACCTACCTACCTGTCGAGGTGCGTACGAAGTAGTCAGATGTGAGAATATTCCCCTCCTTTGTTTATATTTGGCCAAATATTTGCAAAATCCTGCTGATATTACATGGCATTACAAAAGCATTGTTGCATGGGAATCACATGCCTACCTCGTATGCTCCCGTCTCCTTCTACATTGTCTCTCATGTACGCACGCTCACAGGCAAATAAGCAGGTAGCCAGACAGTGAGGGGGTGGGCCTTTACAAGTGTTATATAATCAGATTTGTTTCGACAGATGCCTTTGGCCCGTCTTGGTTGCGTTTTGGGTGTCAGAACTTAATTCTCGCCAAGGTAGGGTTAGGTTCTTGGCGAACTCGACCGGCAATTGACTGCCACAAGCGAAGCAGCCCACCAGCCAACGAGCGATGAGGTGAGATTAAATGGTTCGTTTCAGAGTTGTCCTCAGCCTCGCCGTCGGAGTTCTACGGTGGATAATGGCCCCGCCATGTCCTCTCTTTTTTTTTTTTTGGTTCCGCATTGCGGGTTTACAATCGCTTTGGAGTTCCATGCCCAGTAGAAGTACACGGTAGATTAAACTTCAGTCTTAGCATAGACTCGTCGTAGCTGCTGCTTCATCAGCCCTGCTGTCGTGCACGCTAGGTGAAGGCTAGCCATAGTATTTGGAACAGCCACCAGTGGAGTCTCCGAGACAAACAGGCCGTGAGCCATGGGCCGGTCCGTCCTGTAGTAGTAGTAGTAGTAGCACGAGCCGTAGGCAGCCCTGAGCAGCATCTCGACTGAGACATGCAGGCAACGACGTTTGCTCGACGAGACTGATTTCCAGACGTATCGCCGCCTCCTGGATCTTTCCGTACTAAAATATGTCAAGGAGGACATGCTCAACGGCAGAGCGGCAGACGCGGACCCGAAACTAGAATTGCTCACACATGCGTAGTACTGTGCAAACACGGATACGCTTTCCTCGGTTCGAGGGTAGGTGGTACGTCCGTCCCGTCAGCTCGCGATGCATCTGCCAAAGGATCGCATCGCACAGGGGCTGGCCTGTCGCGTCGCCGCTAAGCATGGCTGGGACTTGCCGGGGTTCTTTGAGGATGGGGGAGCAAGGGAGCTACCTAGGTACTCAGCAAGATGAACATGAGAAGAGAGCAGCGCCGAATGCGACGGCGGCGGGGGCAAGGCGGCGGTCTCAGTCATTCTCGGTGGCCTGGGCCGTTTCGCGAAACTATCCCCTTGCACCGCTGCGGCCGGACGGCCTCAGCCTCACGGCCTCAGCCTCCTCTGCTTTGGTAGCGAGGGCGTGCTTTAACGGCGGGCCGGGGACGTGGCTGGGGGGCCGGAATAGCTGGTCAGGTAGGGACGGAGTACTGTACCCGCCTTCAGTTTCGTGGAGAACACCTATGACGCACTGAGACGCCCCAGATGTTTTGCGGATTTACGGACCTCCCCGGAGTTCTGCAATACATATAAAATTAATGGAAGGGGGGCGGAAATCTGATGTCTGAAATCGGCATAACCTGGAAGAAGAAGAGAGAAATGTTCGATTTCCCTGCAGCCCTGCTTGCCGCCTCAGCCGCTAGCGCGAAAGATCGCCTGCACTTCCTTCCCTCGGGAGGGAGCTGAAGGGCATGTAGATAGGAATTGAAGGATTCATCGGCATGGACCAATGAGGGACACCTGACAGTCCCGAACAGGTGGTGGTGGTGGTGGTGGTGGTGGTGCGGGAAAGCTCAATTTCAGGCTTGCCAAGAGCTGCCCGCCCTGCACCGGGGCGTAAATGACTTGCGGTAAGAGATGGGATTCATGGGCAAATCGGATGGAGTGTTGGTAGGGAATCTCTAGCCTGCGCAGCCCTAAGGAAGGTGCGTATTCCGTATTCCGTATTCTGGGCCGGTCTCTTCCTTCCTTCGTAAGGTTACCTAAGATGTTCGGTACCTAGGTCGGGAATGTCGGTCGGGATCTGCACAATGGACGTGAATCTCCCCCTAGGCAATACGAATGAGTCAGTCAAATCGATTTGGAATGGACTTACCTTAACTTGCCTGCCCGGGCTGTCGCGCTTTTGAATAAAAACCCCGCCCAATCCAACTCTAAACACCGCACCAACAAAGTTCCAGCGATTCCCAAACATCTATCCCAACATTTGAAGCGTTTTGGAGTGCGTTGTCGGACTTTGAAGATTGGATGAACGGCCCCCTCCCCACCTTATACTGTACAGTAATCCACAAGAAAAAAATAAGCGCCTCAGGTTGTTTCCCAACTGGCCGTCCAAACAAGCTAGCCAACCTACGCGGCCCACACAATATACGAAATTCTGTCGCCTTTCTGATGGTGGTGGGTTGCACACCCGCGCGACCCGAGAGAGAAATGGAATGGAGGAGTGGAGAAGAAAGAAGCCAGCCAGCCCCAGCCGGGCAGGAGACGAGGGCGGTTCAGAAACACCCGGGAGGTTGGCCTGTCTGTCCGCCCGGCCCCCTCGCGTATTAATTCATTCCATTTCCCATGATGCACATCAGACACACAGACACACACACGCTATTCTGTACCTTTCAATAGTGGGCGCATACCTTGCGGCCTCGTGATGCGCGGCATAACGCTGTACGTACATATTCGTACTGAACCACCGCTCAAGCACACCCACCCAGACCCAGCCTGCCCAGCCGACCACAAACAAACCCACACGCGACGTTCTGTTTCCTATCTCTTCTTACGGGCTAACCTCGGGGCTGGACGGGCTGGACGGTAGGGTAGGTAGGCGGACACGATAGGATAGCTGACGATCGTTTCTTTTTATGGGGAACGACAGCCCGCATGATTGTCACCCGCGTTCCTCTCCCTCCCTCTCTGAAGAAGAAACAAAACGGTTATCCAGCACATCATAGTCACATTCTCTTAGGTTTTTCTTCTTCTCTTCTCTTCTATCTTATTTTTTTTTTGCGGTGACATTTTATTTATCATTTGTTTTATTTTATTAAAAAAGGGGAATTTTTGTAAGAGAAAGAAGCGAAGAAAAAAACGGGAAGACAAAGAGAAGGGATCCCTAACCAACAAGGTAGCTCGAGAGTCCGAAGTCTGTCTCCATACCTTACCTCTCAGACTCCGAGTACCCCGTCCGTACCCGTACCCGTACCCGTACCCGCGGAATCCATCCGACATTCCCTTGGCGGGTTTCGGTTTCTCGGTCTCGGTCTCCGCATCCTTTGATTCGCCCGCGGCCGCGCCAACCAATCCTCGATTTCCTTGTTTCCGATTCGGAATCCTCGGGCATTTCTCAGTCGTTATTATTATTATTCTTGCGTGCCTACTACGTGCCTACCTAGATACATACTTGCTTCGTTCGCATGGTATTATTGCCCGAGGTTGGGTGCTGAACTACTTTTTTGGCTGTCCTTTAATTTCCTTTAATTTCCTTTTTTGGGGGCTTGCTTCTATTCAAATTTAATTATTTCCTTTTCTTGCTTAACCCAATTTCCGTTGCCGTGGCTTGCTTCTCTTGGAGAGGAGAGGGGCGAAAACGAAAGACAGAAACATATTACGCTAAAATAAAAAAACACGACAAAGGGAGAGGGTGAGCGCGCACCGCCCTCGTCGGACCGGGAATGCATCTCCTGCGCGTCACGCTCCTCCAAGCGCTGCTGCTGCTGGTTGCCTTTGCCTGCGCCGAGCCCATCAGGAGGATACCGGCGGACGCGGCGGCGGCGGTAGCAGTAGCGCGCGCGGCCCCGGACTCGCCGAGCGGCAAATATGCGCCCAAAGTCGTGCCGTGCCCGGCCGTGAGGCCCCGGATCCGACCGGCCGGCGGCGTGTCGCCCAACGAGACGGCTTGGCTGCAGCTGCGGCGCAGAGCCACGGTCCAGCCCATGATCGACTTCATGCAGCGCGTCGGCATCCCCAACTTCGATGCCGCCGGATACATCCGGAGCGCCGCCGCCGCACCCGGCATACCCAACCTGCCCAATGTAGCCATTGCGGCGTCCGGGGGTGGCTACCGCGCCCTCATGAACGGCGCCGGCTTCTTGGCCGCCGCCGACAACCGCACAACGGATGCCCTCGCGAAAGGGGGAATTGGCGGGCTACTGCAGTCGACCACATATTTGTACGCACATTCCCCAGAAAATACCCCATGCATGGGCGGGTACTGACTTCTTACCAGGGCTGGCTTGTCTGGCGGCGGATGGCTTGTCTCGAGCATCTACGCCAACAACTTCAGCAGCGTCGAAACGCTGCGCAACGGCCGGAAGGACAGCAGCATCTGGAAATTCGGCAATTCCATCTTCATCGGCCCCAAGGAGTCGGGCATCGACATTTTCAATACGGCTGAGTACTGGACCGCTGTCGCCCGCCAAGTCGACCAGAAAGACGAGGCGGGCTTCAACACCAGTCTTACTGACTAGTAGGCACCCCTCCTCATCCCCCTCCCCTCATTGATCCTCGTGAAATAAAAATGGGGTGCTTATAAACTAACCCTATGTGAACGATAAACACAGCTGGGGACGTGCTCTGAGTTATCAGCTTGTTGACGCCCCGGACGGTGGTCCGGCATATACCTGGTCCAGCATCGCCGAGGACGAATCCTTCAAAAGGGGCTTAGTTCCTTTCCCCATCTTGGTCGCCGACGCCCGCGCCCCGGGGGAGACCATCATCTCCCTGAATGCCACCGTCTTCGAGTTTAACGCCTTCGAGATGGGCTCCTTCGACCCTACCACATTCGGCTTCACACCGGTGAATTACCTCGCCTCAAACTTCTCGGGCGGTGTAGTCCCAGCAAATGGCAAATGCGTCGAGGGCTTCGACCAGGTGGGCTATGTCATGGGCACTAGCAGTACGCTGTTCAATCAGTTCTTGCTCAACAACATCAGCTCGGTCGCGAGCGTGCCCAAGTTCGTCGTCGACGCCATCGAGAAGATTCTGGAGGACCTGAGTGACGACAGGAACGACATCGCCCAGTATGCGCCTAACCCCTTCCTGGGTTGGAAGCCCGACACCAACCCATCGGCCGATGCGGCCGAGTTGGACCTGGTCGATGGCGGAGAGGATCTTCAGAACATCCCTCTGCACCCCCTGATCCAGCCGTTCCGCAAGGTCGACGTCATATTCGCCGTTGACAGCTCTGCCGATACCATCTACAACTGGTACGTATTACCCTCGTCCCTCTTACTGAGAAAAAGAAAACCGAGCAGCAGACACGACTGACCTTGATATCTTTACCTCCAATACAGGCCGAACGGCACGGCCATGCGGGCCAGCTACGAGCGGAGTCTCGGGCCTCTCGCCAACGGGACGCTGTTCCCACCCGTTCCCGACGACAAAACCTTTGTCAACCTGGGGCTCAACAACAAGCCGACATTTTTTGGGTGCGACGTGCGCAACTTCACGCTGCGGGGGTCGCAGTCGGCGCCGCCGCTCATCGTGTACATTCCCAACGCGCCGTACACGGCCTCGAGCAACGTGTCGACCTTTACGCCGTCGTACACGGACGAGGTGCGCAACAACATCATCCGCAACGGCCTCAACGCCGCGACCCAGGGCAACGGCACCCTCGACGCGAACTGGCCCACGTGCGTCGCCTGTGCCGTTCTGAGCCGCAGCCTCACTCGCTCCGCGACCCCCGTCCCGGCCGCCTGCGCCGACTGCTTCGCCAAGTACTGTTGGACCGGCAAGCTCGATCCTGTTGACCGCGGTCGTCCTTACGAGCCTCCGTACAAGATCGCCAACGAGACTGCCTCGGCACTGTCCGGCGCCGGCCGTGCCGTCTTCACGGACAGGGCGGCATTGTTGTCCTTGGCCGTGGGCTTGGTTGCGCTCTTGCTCGCTGTGTAATGGAAGATGCGGCCGCTGTTTGTCCGGGAATTTCACATAGTAGACGATTACGAGCACCTCTCTTTCTGTGCGCATGTGTGTGTGGGGGGTATTTTAGCACGCCCGCTTGGGGTGTTGCGCTGCGTGTTTCGAAATTGATTAGCATTTAGCGGTGTTTAGATATCATATTGCTTTTGCTCTTCGCTTCCAGTTCTCTCGTAATTTCTTTCCTCGCCTGTTCTGACTGAAAGACTTGGCCTGTCCTGCTCCCGTCCTCAAGCGTGGGAATTTCAAGCCAGGACGACTCACTTGAGGCTGTCAACAAAAATGTAAAACTATTGCCAAGAAACAAGCAATTACAAATCCAACCGTTCAGTGTTCGTGGCAAAAAGGTATCTCGTGCGTGAAGGGGGAAAAACAGCCCGTATATTGTAACGCCTTGGGGAGCGGGAGATGGGCGTCGGTTTATCTCTGCTTTTATAAAAATATAACCAATATCGCGTCTTGCCGGCTCTCTGACCTCTCAAGAGCCTCAAGCAATCTGGGTATTAAAAAACAAACATCACACCTTTTTATACCACACAAGGAAGCATTCCTCAATACAACCCCGACAAAAGAAAAAAGGGGGGAAGAGGGCTGAAGTAGGTACCAAGAAAGAAAAATCTCAACTCGGTACTGGGTATAAACGCGGTACCAGTAGGCCTTCGAGTGTCGGCTGAGACACTAGGAGTACTGAACGCCTAGACAAATTGCTGAAGATTGCTAGCAAATTGTCGAAAGAGATGATGGATTTTGTCATCTAAACGTATTGCGGTATGGACCGTCGACTTTCACTTCTTTAATTCCTTCAGGCATGGAGCGCAGCCATTCAGCCCAGCTATCCATATTGATGGAGTCGTCCGAAAGCCGGAATGTCAAAACCATATTGGCTCCGCTAGAGGGCGAATCAGGCGTGTAAGGTGGCAGACCTTTTTGCATTGGGGCCAAGAGGATCGATGGTAGTTTCGCACTACCCGAGATCTGCGTATGAAGCGGAGACGGAAAACTAGTGACCATTTCTTTCTCGGGGCTCTGGTCCTGGATGATTTTAGGGTACAGAGAGAGCAGTTCGGCGTGCAACTCTGCTGCTGAGAATCGGTCCATATACTTCTGACTGGCCCTTGTCCGTAGCTGGGTAGTCAAGGCACGAGTGAAAGCGCTTCGGTCAATGAGCTTGGCATGGTCCTCGCTGGCCGATGCAGCAATCAACTCCAACACACCTTCCTTCCGGACCATCTTCGACGAGGGGTAGTACGCCGAATCCATTATGATCAATGTGTCCGAGCATGCGTCCTCGAGGATTTGCTGAATGCCACTCCATCGAATGGTCGTTGTAGGATCGGCGTGCTTAGAGCTGGAGGGCAATGTAAGCCTAGGACCAGGCACACGCACGTTTTGGCAACGGGCACGAACCTCGCAAGCACCATTTCTCGGTTGCCATCGAGATAGCTATGGCCACTGTAGTAGAAAATCTTCAGAATATCGCGTTGGTCTTGGTTGTCGATCAAGTTATTAACTTCCCCCGAGAGCCATCTAAACGAGCTGCGACACCCATCAGACGACGGAGGGATCGCCTTGATCTGAAACGTATAGTTGTAGTTCCGTTCGAGCACACTGCCCAGCTCCTCCCTGGCCTCTCTGGCCTGGAGGTCCTCATCGTCCTGCCAGTGCACTAGGAGCACCGAGACACTGGTGTAACGGCTCCGGTAGGGGTTGGCTAGGAACCTAGACGCGATTCCCTCGAGATCGGGCTTGAGGCTGTCGATTCCAGGCAAAGCAGCCATGTTCACGGCTTTGTCGTGGCGCGGTCCCGAGGGAAGGGGGGTCCTATTTTGCAAATCCGAGAGTGAAGTCCGGCCAGGCTGCTGCTGAGGCGGGGATACGTCAATGTCCATATCCTGTGGGTCTTCGGTGAAAACGGGCTTGTTAGAGCTCAACTGTTGTGCCGAACTAATCGGCCGACCGCTGAGCGGTGGAAGCGCCTGCCTGGCTGGACTAGGCGCTGTAAACTTAACCGCCGCCTGTTCCCACGACATGTTGTGGTGGTTTGGATGGCACTAAACGATCGCGAGGCATGCGTGAGTAGCCCGCCCTACCGAGCATCTGACACCGGACGTGCAGGGAAGCGAGACACAGAACTTACCGCAACCCTTCGCCGGCGACAATCTAGGCAAGCACCCATCTTCCTAATCAAGGCTGCCCTCTCCCTCTGCAGTGGAGAGAGCGGGCCGGTTCGCCGCCTGCTCGCCCTGCGCTGCGCTGCGGCATCGCTTCCGTCCTTGACCGAAAAAACGGCCTGCGTTACAAAGGTTGGCGATGCCTCGGCGCTGTATCCAGAGGACGCTGTTTCGGTGGAGGCAAGCGTCGCCAGGGTTGCGATAGTTGCCGTGGTCGACGTCGACGACGTGGTGTCTTTCCTCGCCGGAGGGGAAGTTCCGCCGGGCGGGTGGGCGTGATTTCCATGGGCAGTACTAATGCTGAGGCCATTGTGTTCGGGGCTGCCCGGGGCATGTTGCCCAGAGCGAGTGTCATCAATTTTCTTGGGCGGCGCCTCAGCCAGGTTGGGAGCTTGATGCATTATTTGCCTCGCGCGTCGTTATTAGTTGCGGCACACTCCCATGATCGAGGGGCGCCACGGCCCTACGCCAGCTGGGTTCCGCACTCCTCACTCCTCGCCCACCCGGCCTCAGACTGGGTAGCTCTTCTTTTTTTTCCTCCTGTTTTATTATGCTTTTCTTTTTTCGCTTCTCTTTCCTTTTCGTTCTTTCCTTAGCGGGATGCCTCAAGTCTCAATGCGAAGCATAATGAGAAAGTGAGTCTCGCACTCTCGTGAATGATGGTTCACGGGGGTGTGGGAGGGGGGGGGGGGGGGGGGGGGGAGGGAGAAGAGCTAGAAACACGCGCTCTTACAAATTATGTAGAATTTGTAAAATATTCCGGGTGGGCACTCGGTGAGGACCGGTCAAGCAACGGCGGAATTGCAGGCGGGACTCGAGATGTGACGGGGTGGGCTTGGAGTTGCACCACAGCGAAGCTGGTTCTTTTTCGTGCTGCACACCTCGCTCCACGTAGGCCGAGTCCGGAGCAGCCCAGGGTATCCGTGGCAAGGTAGGTAGGTAGACTAATAATGCGCGAAAACAAAACAACAAAAACACCCTAGAGAAACGGCAACCCCCAAAAGCAGACAAGAATCCGTTGCGGCGTGGCTTGCAGGATAAGTCCGGCTGCTTAACTAACTGTCAACCAGACGCCTAAAAATGCGATGTAGACCGCAAAGACAGAAAAGGAAGGGGAATAATTTAGGTATGTACAAAAAATCAAGACCCTTGCAGTGACTGAGGGCCACACAAGAAGAGACACGACGAAAAGGAAGCGTGAAAGAAGCAGCGGCGACGTTGTACAAGAATCAATGGGCTTGCCTGGGGAAGTAGGTAGATTACCCATGCGCGGATAGCCCTCCAGTCGGCGGCAGGAAGGCGTGGCGGGCCAGAGTCGGGGATGGGATGAGACCCGAGCGTCGGTCGGTACAGAATATAGCGGGGGTGCTGGCCAGAACGTGACTTGGCCATCCAGTTCCACTGGGACGAGGAAACATCGACGGGACTCGCGGTAGGTTTGCGCGTAGGGCAGTTTCTTGATAATAAGTACAAAATAGTGCTAACTGATCCCCGGGCACGTGCATCAGATGCTTCCCACTCGCCTCAGATCAAGGCCCTCGGATGAAGGAACCTAGGTAACCCTACCCTAATACCAGTGTACCTTATAATGCTCAAGATAACCAGATAACCTCGATACCTCAACTGTGCCAGCCAGAAAACCCACCCCAGCAACACGAGAGCATTGCCTGAGCGCCTCTCACCCCCCCGGGCCCCCGCACTCCCCTTTCCCCCCTGCCATTCCCAATGGGTTCAGGTAGGGCGACAAAGTCAGTAAACGAGCCCTTTAATTTTTTCAAGTCGCGCGATAGGCCTGCGCTGTAATGATTCAGTTGAAGAAAGCAGCCATCCAATATACTTTTTCGGTCACATACCACGTGGACCGGCCACTGTCAGCCTGCCACCTCACTCACACCTATACACCGGCGGGCCAGTGAGTGGTTAGGACGACGGGATACCTTCCATACAGTCGTCGCAAGTGAGGTGTCGCTCCCCCACCTTCCATTATCCCCCATGCAGCTGCGCTACGCGAAGACCGATTGTCACGCTTATCCAAGGCAATTGATGCTCGCCCTAATGCTCTGCCGAGACGCCGTTCGCCAGTCACGCCGGGGGCCTCAGCCAGCGCTCTACCTTGATCGATCCATCAATGCTGCTTGGACGGCCTGTGGGTGTGTGCTCCGCAGTCTCCATTTTCTGTATGTCGAGTGCCCAATGGTGCGGTGAGAGTTGCGGGTCATGCCGCTAGCCTCGCCCACCTTCAGTATCCACCCGATAGGCCAACCCCGGCTCCGCACGTTGGCTCGGCTGCTACGGCAGATTACCTAGGACGCATCCGTGCTACGATATCCGTACAGTACAGGGTCGCTGTCATTGACCTGGGGGGTACCTTATAGACTCAGCGAGCACGGAGCACACCCACACTCCCGCACTCCCGCACTCCCGTGCCCTCAACAGACATAGAACCTACGAGCATGTACAGATCCTTGGGGGAACAAGGGTCGCGGACTGGCTCACCTATACAACCTAAACCTAGTAGTAGCCCGGGGACGAAGGGGCGGCGGGGCGGTGGGGGATCGCAGCGCGGCCTGTGAACGATGTCCTCGGGAGCCCCAAAAATGCCTTATAAAGGAGGGCGGCTCCTCGGAGCCCCGGACGGTGAACCTGTCAGAATCAGCGCCACCTCCAGGCTCTCGTTTGGATAGGAAAGACAGGTCGACAGAACCCCGAGCAAGCCCCAGCCAAGTCTTTCTCAAGGTTGGGTAAAAATGCTTGGGGCCGCCGTCCATGTACAGAGAAGCTACAAGTGGAATGTAAGGTAGGAAGGCAGGAACCTATGGCACCCTGCCTGTCATCCATCCCACCTACCTAGTTCTAGGGAATACATACATTGGTTCAACTCACCTCACCTGTCTTGACCCGTACTGTCCATACAGTACATACTCGGTGCAGGCATGGAAACCTTCGAAGGCGCTATTATAAGGGGCTACATCATACCTTACCGTCTTCGGTATTCCGAAGGCAGACCTGATGCTTTGCCTGCCTTAGTATCCATACCTACCGTACCGACCTGAGGTAGATGGGCACTCGGTCGCTAGACGTCGTTCGCTCCTTCCGCCGCCACATTATCCGGTTCACGATCCACCGCTGCTAGGTCACCACTTCCCTACCCCTAGGTTGTACCTGCCAAACGGTACTTACCACTAGAATTTTCTGTGGTAATCTAGCGCCAGCCCACATCCGCCCACATTTCTGTGTCGATAAGCCACATGGAAACTATCGACGGAGCTCAAGGCCAACTTCCAGGTTTGCACTTTGCAGCTTTTTCGGGGCTTCAGATTCGTCTGCACACCAGTGGTCGCCTTGAATTCGATTCGATGAGCAGCAGCTTCATCAGCTCAGGTACATGTACCACTGTTGACTCCTAATACTAGACTGTATGTCCATACTGTACATACATACCGACCTTACCCTCGAAGGGAGGAAACCTGGAACCTCAGACGCTCCGAATATTTATCGCACTGCACGCATTTACCGTTAGTCAGCACTACCAGGTACTTACCTTCGCGGAGTGGATGCTGCGCGTCCTGTGCTTCGTGGAACTATCATGGAAACTATCGAAGCCGCCCAGGCATGATGGGAGCCCGAGGCCAAGGCGTGATGATGGCGGGCGAGTAAGTGTTCACCAAGAAAGAGCCTAGACTAGAGAGCTCGAAAAGATTCATGGGTAGGGAGATAACCGACGGCCCCCCTCCCTCATCCCATCCCATCCCCCGTCGTGCCGCATTTCCAATAACCACCATCACGTCTCATTTGGCCGAAGCCCTCCACCAGCCGCCCTTCTTCCCTTCTCGTCTTTGTGCTTGGCCAGTTTTGTTGCAACCTCTTCCTCATCTGTCAACGGGGGCGGCGTCTCGGTCGGCCCTCTGGTGTGTCCACGACCCACGCCCACTCGCGCCCCCATGTACCCATCGTCCGTGAATGGCTGGCTTTTGTTGATTTTTCTGGAAGCGGGTGGGCATCACTGGTGGAGCGTTCAATGGCGCCCAAACTCCTCGAGGTCAGCAAGAAGCACGCCTCCATATCCGTACCTTAGGTAGCCACATACCTACCCTACTGAGGGTCGGGGTACAGTACATAGATACCCGCCCTGCGCCAAGTACGCAGACCGAACGGATTGTTACAAACCGACCGAGTCTGGAGCGTCCAATGGGCAAGGGCACTGGATGTTGGCAAGCAGCCCAAGACCGCCGGCCGTGGCTCGGTGGCGCTCTCGAACCTTTCGACTCGACGTCGATGGCTAAAATTTCAGAAATATCTTGACTTTTCCGTCCTATCACGCCCACCTCCCTCCTGCGGCCGCGCATCTTCAGGTTTCATGAGACGCATTAGCCCTGTTACCGTATGTCCAGTGTTCAAGTAGCAGAGCATGTATGTATGTATGTATGTATGTACTTACATACAATATATGCGCAGTAGATACGCAGCACGCAGCACAGTACATACATCTCGGCCTGGAATCTCTATTGCGGTTGCGGTCCCCTGTGGAGTTTGGGGGTCGAAAGGTCGACCGTCGACGAACCCAAAGACGAGCCCTTTCTCGGACGGCCTCACTTTTTCTCCACACGCCCGCTCATCAGTGGTCCTTTCATCTCCAACTTCATGCATTGATACCTGTGATACCAGACTTCTCCAATCAACCGACCACGGCTTCTTCGATTGTGTTATTGCTTTTTTTCTCCCCTATCCCTCTCTCCCTACCTCTCCCTTCGCTTCTCCTCGCGCTCTTTGGCCCGTATTCTCACCTCTTGCCCCTCGCTTTTCTGCGGCTTGGCACCGAATGAGCATCCCACACAGTCCAGATGCAAAATGCTGGGAGATCAAGCCGCTGTTGCATTCTCCGTGTGTGCCATAAAACACACACCTTGCATGTCCTCCGGTACATGCTCTCCGCGGTCAACCCCGAGCGGCGGGCCAATCCGCTCCAAGTCTAATACAAAACGAGGGGGGCCATTCCGGGGTGCCGCCAGATAGTTGGCGGCTGGACGGGCCTTGATTATCGACGTCCCACATTGGTGCAGCAGCAGCAGCAGCACACGTCTTAGGACCTATAGACAAACATACTCAGGCTTCTATGCCGCCGTCTGGTCTTGCCATGTCACGCGAGAGCCTCAATTCGGAGTGAGGCATTTCTCGTTCGACTAGCAACAGCTCGCAGGAGAGCCTGATGCCTCTCTGCCAATACAGATACTAGCTGGCAAATATTAAGCAGAGGGAGTTGAAGTCATCCAACCATACATGTCGCAATCCGCCCCAATATGCCCCATGATCAAATCGGATGGATACAATCAGCGAGTGGAGGGCGTGGGAAAAAAGGAAGAAAAAAACATCAAAGTCGTCTGTTGCATGATCCTAGACCGAGTTCTACGCCATCAAACTGTCACAGCATCGCCGCCGGAGAACGTTGTGGATTTCCAAGCCAGCTGCCTGAACCAGGTAAGCTAATGGCGATATATCGGGGTTTTTGGCGAGATCCAAGCTCGCCTATCAAGAGTCAAGACAGCCATGCAACTGGACTTGAATATACCGCCGAGCCCGCGGTAACGATATTCCAAACTGCAATATCAAGCAACCTCCAGCGAACTGCTGAGATATCACTGAATTTCTTGATTGTGTCATTCCATCGGCCAAACTGGGCCCTCGATGCGGGGTCGCGCAGCCTCGGTTTTGATCCCAGCTTGAAGAATATCTCCGCGCGAAGCTGTCTAGCCTCCCACATTGGCCACGTATGTACAGCACAATGCATACCTACCGATGTACATGCCAAGCCCGGTTTGGGGGTCTTACCCGCTCAACGAGTTCTAGGTTACAACATGCACGCGTTCCTACTTGGCAACCAACCACAGCTCTTTGGGATTGTTGGATCCGTTGGGCAGACAAGTCGGCATTTGTGCCCTCAGCTCAGATGCAGCTACAGTGGAGCGGCGAGCACGTTTGTCGCGACCTGTCAACATGTAATCTGTCAGCCTCTGGAATACGTCTAGAGTTGGACGGGCGCTCCGACCTTTGGAGTGTGGCGCCTTCAACATTTGGCCCTCGGCCCTGAAGAATCGCAACCTCGTGACAGCCTCAGGGAAATGTCGATGATCAGTAACGGTAGATTAAACGTCCCGACGGCCCCCACCTCGGGAAAGGAGCAGGCATCACATGCCAAAGCAAGGGAGCAAGGCGTGAATTGTCTCGCCTTTCGCCCAGGCGAGTACATAAGATAAGAGAATCACCACTCCACCGACGCCAGATCTTCTTTACTGCGGCCGAACACCAAGGCCCAGCCTTGATCTCTGGACTTGAACCTGAATGTTATGCTTTGTGCGCCTCGAGTCCCTCCGGAAGCCGTGGTATCTGACCTGTTTCTCTCAAAGCTGGCTTTGGCATCTGCCGGGATAGCGAGCAGCGTGGCGGTTGCTGAGCTCTTGAGGACCACCACCTTCCAAACTGCCGTCTGAACTACGATCCCTAGGACAAGCATTGCTGATATTGCCACTTGTGTGGCCAGGAAGGCCAGCCAAGGCAACCGGATGCAGACATAGCTTTCACTCACTGACGCAAAGCCATACTCTGTTGTTCCCATGGCGCGAATACTAAGGGGTGAAGTATGCAGAAAGATGGCACAAGTTAGCAAGAGGGCACTTCTCCAGATGAAGACATTAACGTTCAAGAATTCACATGAACTAAAAGTATCCCTCGGTGACTCCGCACTAATAACAGCCCAACCGCTGAACAACGACAGGTGACAGATAAAGCCATCGCTCGAGGTCAAACCCAAAAATGGTGGCTCACCTGTTCGTCAAGCTAGTAGCCAGATTATCCATAATATTCATAATCGCCGCGGCCGTGTCGCTCGTGGATCCCGGCAGAGTTGCCTCGGAAGCTTCGAGCCCCTTTTTCCTGAGGATCGCCACACCCAGGGTGTCGGCAGCTGCAGTCGAGCCTGCTATCCTCGGCCCATACCGGGGGACGAATATGTTCCGGAAAACACGGAGCGTAGGTAATTGTTGAGTAAGTGCATCCCATCTCTTTGCACAGAGTACTCTCTACCGTCGAGGAATAAATATAAGGCCTGGTTGGGTCGTGGGGAGCCGCGCTCGGGTGAGACGCCCTGCGTTTGTTCCTCCGATGCTGCCGCGGATGGAGATAGGGTCGTGGACGAGTTGACCTTTACCGACACCGACACGCCCCGAGACGTCGACACCTAGTACGTGTTGACACAGAAGTGCAGCAGTACCTCGGCGGCATGGAACGAGCCAGCCTAGTGTTGACTCGAGTTGGCAGTCTGGCCGGTGGTGTACACGACGAAGAAGTTTGCAACGGCGCTAGAAACCCCGGCGTCCAGGTTGGAGAATGCCAGACTGGCTGCAGCAGCAGGGAGGAGGAAGCTGTCCTGACCGGTCTCGACTGGTGAAGGCGCCGACATGTTCAGATTGCAGGTGCCGGGGCTGCCAATGAGAAGCACACCATTCGGGAGGCTCGCGTTGTGGACAGGCCCATCGATGCCAGCCCCCAGATTGACACCCAAGGCCGACGGCTTAGTTTGGCTCGAGACGGCAAGTTTGTCGGACACGTCAGCCACGGCCGCGCAGACGGCGAGCGAGTTGGAATTGCGCCAATGGCATTCTCCCGAGCTGCGGGAAGGCATTACGTGGGGGAGCTCTTCGCCAGGCGCATGGTACAACCCCAGCTGGATGGCCTGTTTCTCTCGCAGGTCTAGGGTGTCTTTTGGGGGGGGGGGGGGACACGTCCCATTCAGCGTCTACCGCGGAAAATCAACACGGGGCGGGTGTCTTACCGCCAGCAACTAAGTTTGCCTCCGGAAGATACGACTCGCTCCTGGCCACAGTTGCGGTGCCGCCGCTCCCTTCGACGAGATGGGTGGGATAGCTTATGGCTGCTTGGGTAAGGGGCGCTGATGCGAAGCTTGTGAGCAGAACCGCAGCTGCAGACATGCCCAGAAACCTATTGCATATGGTTAACGACACTAGGACTTGCCCGAAGCAAGGAAGAAAAAAAAGGGGAGAGGGAGCTGAACTATGGTCCTATCCCTACCTTCCCTTTTGCGTGGCAAAAAGCTTTGCACTCCCAACGGGTCCCCAGCCAGCGTCGTCGAATGCCTGGAAGTCCGATAAGGGCCTACCAGCCCGGGTAAACGAGTTCCACTTCAACTGTGCGAGACCCTCAGCTAACGAAGCTACCATTGCAACTTGGCATATTGCCGTGAGAAATGCAACGGGCACGATGAGGGGGACGGCCAGCGGCCAGTTGGGAAGGTCGTGTCCGTCATAAATCTTCAACAGCACGGCAATGGGCGCCAAGGAGACGATGCTGAGAATGCACCACAGTATCTCGGCAGTCCAAGGACGCCAGGCCCCTCGAGAATCGCCGCTCTCATGCCGTGTTTCTCCATTACCTTCGACGACGGGCACGCCCTTCCTGCGCCGCTTCCGCTGCAACCACCGGCGAAGCCAGGCTAGCCGAGCCGGTTCTTTGGGGGGCGACGGAGTGGTCGCGGTCCTCGCTAGCCCGGTGTTGTGGAGCTCGTCCTTTGGTTCCGCGCCAACCAAGTCGAGGTAGGCGAGATCTTCATAGTGCATGAAGGGGCCGTGGCCATCGCTCAAGGGGCTCCCTTCGCTATGGTGGATGACCGAAGGGATCCGAGGCACCGGCGGGGGGGCCTGCCCGATCTCGTCTGCAACGCGCACCGGAGCCGGACCGTACGATGTCCGCACCGGGCCCCGCCCCAACGAGACCTCCCGTGCTCGCGCCTCTGCCAGTTCCCGCTGTGCCTGGCTCCCGGTTATCTGCTGGAGCGTGATGGGTGCCGCGTCCCGGCCGTTCTGGGCGGGCACTGGGATGTGTTGCGTCATGGCATCGGGGATGGGGCTGGCAGGGGCGTACCACGATGGCTGGCTCTCGATGGCTCGGTCGCTGTGCTGCTGCCACGCCTCGAAATCATACGGCGGGGCCGGCATGTCGTCCTCAAGGTCATCGAGCCAGGTTTCGGTGTCTGTTTCCACGACTCCTTGAATAGGGGGGAGGCTGTTGTCGCCGCGTTGTTGCCGATCGTCCACCATGTCGTGGCGGATGGAGCTCGCGGGCGAGACATCATAGCCGTGTGCTACGTCCTCGGGGATATCCTGCATCGGAATGTCGTGCCGCATGGCAGGGGAGACGTGATGGTGATGGACAAGCTCTGGGGAAGGTATCTTGCCAGCTGCCGAGCTTGGTAAGGCTGCGGCACTCAACAACGGACGAAAGTTGACAGTCCTACGGAGAATGTTGCTGATGCTAGAGATGATAAGTAGGGCTGGCGGGCGGACAGGAGGTAAAGACGCATGGCAGAAGTATCTGAGAGCCCGGGCAAGTGATAGAGTCGACTTGGCGTCGGTGGGGGCACAACTCTTCGAGGTACCGGTGGTATGGCTGAAGTTGTGAAATGGGGGGGAGGGGGGCAGGGCAACAAGGTGTGGCCGAGCAGCAGTCCGGCTTCAACGTTGGCCAGACATGATAAAGGCAAAGGCAAAGGCAATGGCTACGTGCAACAAACGAAGCCTCATGCCAACCTTGGGTGCTAAGTATGAAGGACGAGTGAGTGCCCGTCCGAAACCCAAATCCAGACCCAATCCAATGGGCAGCTAACCTTCTACTAGTCTAGTTTGGCCGCATATCTCGGCGGGCTCGGACGGTTTCGCATCTGGGATCTCAATGGTGCCTCCCGGGGCGCGGGAGCGGCAGCTTTGCCTACACGCCTTGTTGGGAGGCATATCACGCAAAGTTACCGATTAACCGCCTAGTCAAGACGGCGCGAGCCTCTCTCTCCCCTCCCCCTTTCCTGACATACCTTACTGGCAAGGGTTTTTGGATGTTACGACATTACTAGATATTCGGCAGTCTGGGTCTTGGACTACGAGGCCTACAAAACTGTTAGAATGGAATTCACACCGATGAGGGAGGGAGGCGACATATATATGACTGGCGGGCAAGAGACAAAGAGCCGTATAGCCCATTTTGCTCTCCCCCTCTTATCGCTCTCGAGGGCTAAATCAGTTCATTCACAGACACGCGCGCGCAGCAGCAGCAGCATATGCCGAATGCTTGACCGGTTCGGAGACGGACTGCGGAGCGCGAGAGAGGTCGTCGAATAGTAAGGCAAAGAATTCTGCTGCCTAAGGTGGAAGGGATGCAGCCTCGAGATTGGCTGCCGAAGGCTACCCTGGAATACCTTGGACCAAGTCACGGTACAGTACTACTGGTATTAACTGGGAGGCGTATCCGTGGACCAACCTAGGAGTGGGTCCGCCCGCCATAACTGTCTACATTTATTTAGAGAGTGCGACTGTAGCTCATCGTCTAGGTCGTCTCGAATAGTTGGTGGAGACGCTGGGAGAGGGCAAACTTTGGGTAACGTTTCTATGTTGTTTGTCGCACGGCGTTGCGTTGTTGGTGGCTGTCGTGTCGGTGGAAAGAATGGAGCCCCCGCAATCAAAAACAAGGTGAGGCGTTCTGACGCTGCAGCGAATAGGCGTTAGCCCTGTTTCTTATGCGTTACACAAACGCCGGGCATAAGTAACCCGGCCTCAAGTACTGTACGTATGTACTGTTTGCACGTACAATACATACACCACTGCCTTACAAACCTCTTCTAGTCCCCCTTCCTTAATCCTACTAGGTCTCTTGTTTAGGTTCATCCGTGGCTAACACCAATGTCTGTACCTCGGGGCAAGCTGTCCCAGTTCTACTCAGACGACACCTCTTGCATCGTCTCTCCATCGCCTGTCACGATGTGGCTGTCGCCAAATAAGCAAATGCCGAAGACACGCAGGTGGTTAAACAAGCAGCAATGGACGTCTTGTCCCAAGCCTCCGCGCTTGGCCCCCAAAGTTCCATGCCTTGCCCGCATTCCCTTCGGCTAGGCAGCCGTCTTTCGTCTGGGTAATCCGAGCAGCATACGGTGGCTCCAAGGTGCCATCCATCCATGGGTCCGAGGGAGATACCAGTCCATCAAGGGAGTTAACTCCTCGCCTTGGACGCTGAGACCTTGTGGCATGGAGACTACCTAAGCTCGGCGACCAAAGCAGAGGGACCGCTCAAACTCTGCTATATACATATTTCTGTCCAAGCTAAGGATCCCAGAGCCTAGACATGAAGATCAGCCTAGACATGAAGATCAATATACGAATCCCACCAACTTACACTCCAATCCCTAAATATTTTGTCGCGCGCATTCACAGGGCAACAGAAATGAAGCATTTGATGCAGGGAGGTAAGGCTTGAATTGTCTGAAAAGGTCTAATCTTTTGTTTCCTTTGGCAGGACCAAAAGTCTCTTTTTTATAGTTATGAATAGTGGCAAAAGCTGGTGGCGAAGAATCACATAGCAGCTTCTAGATCTTTCTTGCTCACTAATCCCAATATTGTGACACACCCCCCAGGTCAACAAGTGGTAGGTTGTTGCCCTGACTTACATAGGAAAGTGGTGATAGTTTTGTGGTGTTGTAGGCCCACAAGGCCTGTGTATTGTAGTGGCTTATTCGTCCCTTTTAACTAGATGTTGAATGTCTTGGAGGTTCAACATGGCCCTGAAGTGCTCGAATTTTTGCCGTGAGAGGTTTTTGGTCAGGCCGTCGGCAGGCATCTCGCTGGTAGGTAGGTATTGAAGGATGAATTTTCCTTTCTTGAATTCCTGCTTCATCCACATGTTCTATATATCCACATGCCTGAGCCTAGTGTTGATTCTTTCTCCTTCATTGACTACCAGTCGTATCGTCTGGAGGTTGTCGCAATAGAGCTTGAGCGGTTCTTGCAGGTCCAACGAGATGTCTTTGAACAGCCGTTCGAGCGCCATGGCTTCCGAGGCTGTGCGTTGTAGGCCTAGGAGCTCGGCTTCGGTTGTTGACATTGTAACTGTGGCCTGTCGACTGGCTTTCCATGCAATCGGTCCACCAAACAGGGTCATAAGGTAACCTTGTGATGACCTTCTTGTTTCTTCATCGTCAGCAAAAGAAGCATCGATGCAGATGACGAGGGCCTCGGTGGCTTCGTCTCCGTAAGCCACAGATAGGAAGCGTGTGGCGTAAAGGTAGGCTATGGCTTGGTCGGCTGCCTTATGGTGTTCCGGCGAAGGGTTGGTCAAATGCCGGGAGAGCTCTGTTGCTGCCCTGGCCACATCTGGTCGTGTGATTACAGCCGGGTAAATTATGGAGCCAACCTTCTCTTGGTACTGCTTGATGCTCTGTGGTGATGCCTGGCCGCGATATTTGGTAAGCTGAGCTACTGGGATTGGTATCGAGGGAAAGCTTGTTCGAGTTCCATTATCGAGGGTACCGAACTTTGTAGCAATCTTTTCAATGTAAGAGTCTTGGCATAGGAAGATTCGACGATTCTCTCTTTCTCGGAAGACTCTGATTCCAAGGAACCAGTGTAAATTTCCTTCGTCTCGAACCTCGTATTTGTCTTTGATCTTCTTGATCACTTGTTGTGCCTCTGCTTCGTCTTCTTTCCTGTACATAACAAGAATATCATCGACGTAGAAGAGCAGAAAAACCTTGTTATTGAAGAAGATACAGGCCTCCTCTGATGACCTGTTGAGTCCTAGGGTCTCGAGGAAGCCGGCGAACTCTTTGTACCAGAGGAGAGGAGAGTCCCTGAGTCCGTAGAGAGCCTTGTCGAGCTTGAGGGCCTGTCCTAGTTTCTTAAATCCATCCGGGAATTCGCAGAATACATCGCTGTTGAGGTCGCTATTAAGAAAAGCATTGACCACGTCAAACTGCTGGACCTCAAGGTCGAATCGTGCTGCTATAGCCATGGCGGTTCGGAAGGACTTTGCGGCCAGTGTGTGGGCGTAGGTATCGTTAATGCCCTCTTCCTGTAGGTCTCCTCGAACGCAGATGCGGGCCTTGCATCTAATTAATTGCCCTTCTTGGTCGAATTTGTAGGTAAAGATCCACTTTAGAGGAAGAATTCGGCCGTGTGTTTGTTCTCGTTGAACTGCGCGCCATGTTCCTTTGCGTAGGAGATTTCGTATTTCTTCTCTGCAGGCCGCCTTGAATTCGGGTCCCTTTGGGTGGTTTTCAAGGTCTTTGTAGTTCCTTGGTACTCTAACGAGGTCGTCTCTGTGTGGCATGCTTTTGGCGGCTGCGGTAAAGACTGCGTGGAATGTGTGGTGCAGTCCTTCTTCTTCATTGTAGAAGTTGAAGTCTTCCGGGAAGTTGATAGCATTTACCATCTCGCCGCGTCTCTTCCGTTGTTGTGCCTGTGACTGACGGCCTTTTTCAGTCTGTTGTCTTTGCCTTCCACTTCTTCTCGGCTCTGCGGGAGCCTCTGCTCCGGCCGGGAGAGTGTGGCTTTGGGTTGACGGCCCTGATTGTGTTGGCGTTTCTGTTAATTGGTAGGGTTCGCGAAGTCATACTCGGTGTTCAGGAACAGCCTGTTGATCAGCTGGCATTTGATCACCGCGCTGTGCACTGCCGGTATCATGGTCTATGCTCTGTGCTGTTGTTTGAAGGTCTTGCTCGGTAACAAACTGTTGAACGCCCTGCTGTTGGTCGACCTTAGGTGCAGGCGGCGGTTCCGGTGTCTGTTCCGGCGTCAGAAGTCTACCTGGCCACCTGGCAGCGTTGTCAAGTGCTCCTTTGTGGCCATTTTCCACCCCCGAGTTCTGACGAGCGTCTTCTTCTTGAGGGTAGTTGGTAGCAACTGTAATGCAGTCTTCCACGACTTCGTCTTCTTCGCTGTCAGCGTCCTGACTGAACAGTGGTGGTTCAGGGAGCGAGAGGATCTCTGTAATCGGGCGGTATTCTCCAATTGGGAGCCCAATTCGCTTTTCTTCCTCTGGATCAAAGAACCTGTGTTCGTCGAAGGTGACATCTCTTGTGGTGATGACTTCGTTGAGTACCGGCACCCAGATCTTGTAGATGTTGGAAGCCATGTATCCAACCAGGTATCCAATGTGTGCCCTAGAGTTGATACTGAAATGGCTGTTGCAGCTGTTGCGCTTGTAATCCTTTTTTAAGGGGTATGCCCTCGCGCCGTATGCGTAAATACCATTCCAGTCTGGTTTAAGTGCTTGTTTTGCACTGGCCAGCCTTTTAGGGTCAAACCACCGGTAATGAGCATTTATCCAGATGTGGATGACTTCGTCGGGGGACTTCCAGTTGTGGAGC